GGGACGACAACTTGCGCGTGTTGTCGTTGCGCTCGCGCAGGTCTACAACAGTACGTAGCTTCGTCTTCTCGCGCTGATTCTTCGCGATGAGAAGCATGGGCACCGTGTTCGTGGCGGTGGTGAATTCCCACCGCCCCGAGCGCATATATGCGTCGCGTTTCTCATTCCATTGCTCACGAAAGATTGCAGGGCAATTCGAGCGACGGAACGGGTACCGACGGTCGGGGTCTATGATGGGAATCGTGTGATTAATCGCACGCAAGGGCGGGAGCTCAGTCTCCGCGATGGTCTTGCACAAAGGTAAGGCCATTTCGACTAGATGCTTCCGAATAGCTTCTAACTCGTCCGAGCCAGGCTCGGGCTCTACGTTCGCCATGAACAAGTCGTCGACGTGTGGCCCCTCAAGCGGCAGCGCCTCAACGCTCCCAATGAGGATCTTCGGCGGGTTGATGGAGAACGAGATGGAATGCTGGTACAGGAACGGAGTCCCGAGGACGACGTCGTAAGTCGCGAGGTTCAAGACGTCAAAGACGCGCTGCTCGTGTATAGCTGACCATTCAAAATCTACAGACGTATGAAAATTACATTTCGAGCGCGACCCGCTCACTGCCATCGTCATGGACACCTGGCCATCGTGCTCAATGAGCGGAAGGCGCAGTTGAGTAGCGAGAGCCGAGCTCACGAGATCTACTGACGAACCAGAGTCTACTAACGCCTTGCAGGGATGCCCGCTTACACGAACGACGAGGACGATGGGCCTCGGGATGCGGCGGCCGCTCCCCCGCGGGAAGACGGCTGTCCGTTGCGCAACGCGTGCGGACGAGGACGCCAACGGCGCGGAGCGCCCCTTCGATACTGCGAAGACCGTCAGCTGACGCCATGGAAGACGCGAAGCTGGGAAACGTACCGGCACGTTGGACGCCATGCGCACCATCGTTGCCCACGCCTGTGCGAACACGCCGGACTCAATCAGGTCCTCCGCGGGCTCGCGAAACCAACGCGCGGGGAACGCGCCGTCGGGCTGCGTGAAGACGTCGAAGCTTCGACGCGCTGCGGCATCAGCAGGCGACTCGAACCAGCGCGACATATAGCGCTTCGGGTGAGCCGTGTTCTGATGCCCACCCACGAAGTAGCGCATGCGCTGATACATGTACCAGTACCAGACGTTGATACCGGCGTCAATGTCCTTGAGACGAAGACCCCACGACACGCCCAGGAGCGTGTCGCACACGAGGATGACCGGCGACCCAGAGTACGGCCGGAAGGCGTAGAAGCGGGAGAGGTCAGCGCGACGCTGCTCCTCGCCGACTACGCGTCTGACTGCCCAGTTGAGGGCGTAAGCGACGCTCTCGGGCACGAGATCCCCGAGGGTAGTGCCCGTGGAGTAGAGGTACGCCATGCGACGAGCCTGTGAGGTGTCCATCCCGAAGTCGACGCATATCTGACGCGCAACGTAGTCCTCCATCGAGAAGCCTTCGCGGATGAAGAACGCATTCGGGATGCGAAGCGGAGCCAGTTCGCGACGCCCAGCTTCGGCCTCAACAGTCTCGAAGAGGGAGACACAATCGTCCTGGGTCTGGACTGGCAGGAAACGGACGGGCGCGCCATCGCAAAGATACGAGAGCGGCGCGAGGTTGTGGAACATCGCATCGCGCAGCTTCTCGCCGTCGCCAGGCCAAGCGCGCACGGCGTTCAGCGCGAACGCACCACGCACCCGCCACTGCCCCAAGTCGCCAACGTATGAAGGGTCGCAGGCGCGACCGATAAAATCGGCATACTCGGGTGTCTCGCAGAGGGCGAGCAAGTCGTCGCCCGAGCAAAACTTGGGAGGCTCGCGCCTCGTGCGCAGCGCAATTCGCGTGTAGTAGTCGAAGAGCGGCTGCACGTAGAGGTGGGGGCGTCCGGGAACGTCGCCACAGACAAGCGGACAGTCCGCGAGGACGTGTGTTGCCCACGGCGGTGAGCACGTCGTGCAGCGTGTACTGTCCGGGTTAGACCCAGGTGAGTCGTGCGAGGGTTCGAACTGAACCATATTGACTGACAATGTAGTCGTGTTAGTGATGCCAGCACGTCTCTGGTCGAGCAGACGTGCCTGTTCGATTGCCACCGAGTGAATCGCGAGACCAGGAGGTCCAGAAGACGTCGAAGGTACGTGGTTCGCTTCGGGACAGTTTCGGCTTATATGGTCCTTAGACTCACAGCGGAAGCAGCGCCCCTCTTCACGGAGGCGCTTCAGGAGCTCAGGAGATTTTCCTGGCTTGCGGTTAGGAGGGGCGCGACCGTTCGCGCTCCTTCCATTCGGCGCGGAGGTACGTTGTGACCCCCTTGCCTGTCCGCTGAATTTACCTCCAGTGGTCCTCGAGCGTTCATTAGAGCTCGAGGTGCGCGTTCCAGCGGCAGCAGACGCGTTCGCTGGCGGCCTAGAGGAGGGAGCAGAAGAGCTCCCGCCTCCAGAACGTCGGGACGATGCAGATGCGCCACCCGTGCCGCTTCCGCGGTTGGGGGGCGATCCACCATGGTCGTCAGGGCGCCTGCCCTTCGCTTGGGCTCGGGCAGCGTAGCTAGCCTGCCAGAGCTGCAGAGCACGTCGGTACGTAGGCTCTAACTCATCAACTTCTTTGCTGAAGCCGTCCTCCATCAGGCGCTTCACGAGCCAGGAGTCAAGGCCTTCCCAAAACTTCAAGACCCGGTTTCGGCTGGTCTCCTCAGTCAGCACCACCCAGAAGCGCTCTAGATCGTGCATGTAGTCGCGGAGATCGCGATTGTCTTGGATACAGGACTTGTACCGAGTACGACATTTGTCTTTGTAGTTTAGACTGAAACAGTGATCGAATAAATCTCTGAAAAAGTCGTCTAGATTTGCGCTTCGAGAAGCACTAAGCATGTAGTTCTGCTTGTAGAACCTTCTGGCCTTGCCAGTGAGCCAACGCGAGACAACGTCGGCCTGCCGAGTGGCTGCCACTCGACCATCAGTGACATACTGAAGAGAATCAATGACGAAGGTCCAGAAGGCCTCATCGTCCTCCCGGCCGTCGTAGGACTCGGGAGGCTGCGGCTTAAGGCGGCTGGCCTTACCCGCGCTGTCAAACTGTCCGTCGTCATCCGAGTCTGAGCTCGGAAGGCCGACTACACGGCTTCTGATCATAGCCATGTACTTGTCCCAGTAGGACTCGCCCCCAGCTACATAGCTCGGACGAAGCTTGTCTTCGGGACTAGAAGCCTTCGAAGGACGTTCACGATGCACCGCGGGGGGCACAGAGGCCTCCGCGGTCTCGCGCTTGATTGCGCTCAGGTCACGTGTCGGTTGAACTTCGTTCGGCACCGATCGCTCACGTGCGACGCTCGCAGCGCGCGAGCGTGCGGCGCCAGACCCATCCGTGAGGAGTTCGACGAGATTGTCGTACCTCTCACTGAGCTGGCTGACCTGCCTCGCCAGTTTGGCATTGAGGGCGGCGTAGTCCGCGGCCTCAACAGTCTTGAGGTGGAGTGCATCGAACAGATCGGCGATCTGCTTGTTTTCGGCGGCGCGGGGTTCCAGATTTGCCAAAGACACCCTTGGCCCCTGATTGGGCACTTGAGCCCGCGATCCCCGAGCTCGATTTGCGGCATCCAGGATGTCCCGCTGAATCTCGGGATCGTGTTCGACCTCGTCGAAGTCGAGATTACCGAAATTGCGTAGATCCGGGCCTTTACCCTTATCCATCCGGTCCCTACTGTTTCCGGGGATAGAGCTCTCAGGTACGTTCACGCTTTCGGACTCGCGAGCCCCGTGCTCGCTGTTCTCATCATACTGAGGGAAAATTTTATTCGTAGTATTATCTACTTCCGTGGACTCTGGCGCGATAGCGCGACTGCCCACAGCACCCGGTGCACGCGGCTGAGCACCAGCTTCAGGCACGAGGCCGTCGGCGGCATGCGCGTGGGTCGGGGACTGAGCAGCGGCATCGGCCGACCACTCGCCCTCTCCAGGGTCTGCTCCGTCGAGAGCAGACACCTGGCGGGATACCCCCACCGTCGTGGCGGAAGCACCCGACGACGGCACAACGTCGTGTTGCACCGTCGCATGCTCGATGACCTGGTCATCGGCGGTGGCAGGCGGCGCATCTTGAGCGCCCGCCGTACCCGAGTCGGACTCGTTGTCCGAGAGTGCACTAGTGAAGGAGTCGTCAGTACCACGCCACGCGGTCTGAGACTCACCGGTGTCAACCGACGCTGCGCGAGGGCGGAAACGTCCGCTGGAGTCGCGCAGAGGTTGAGCTTTTGGCGCCATTGAGATTGTCGACAAGGAAGAAAGGGTAATTAAGCCGCGAAGGGTGCCGGGTTGATCAAGTCCGTTGCCTTAGCGGGGGGAATAGGGGTAGGTAGTGAAAACTTTGCTGGTTGCTGGTTGTCGAAGTCGAAGTCGATGTTTCTATCGAGGACGTCGAGCCAGAGAGTAAAAATATGAGGCGAGTACGGTGACGCGGAGAGCGGGCCGGGCTCGGCTCACGGAGATGATGAAGAAGATTCCCACGAGGTTACTCTGTAACGAAGTCTCGATTGAAAACCTTGCCCTCCTCCCTTGGAGGAGGGCCCTTTTATACCTACAGCTGTAAGTAGTCATAACTAGTCACGGAGTATATATACGAGTCATAAGAAACCAGGAGAACCTCAAGGAACTCCAAAGGAAATACCCCCGCGAGGGGTGAAGGCAGAGCACGTGGCGTCGGCTAAGGCCGAGGCGTCACACAAGTATCCGAGTACAGGTAGCGGGGCGTAAGCAATATAGGCCTGGTCTATTGTTCGACTGTTCGGGATGCTGGCCGCCACGCGATGATCCTGACATTCCCCATGGGGAAATTATGACCATTCTCGTAATCTCATTCAGATAGAGCCAATCGGTCTGTATGATTTAGCTAAGCTGGACCCAGGATCGGAAAGATGGATCAATGGACGAATACCGCACGGGCAAGTTGGAATGCTACCGAGTAGAAGAAGACGGCCACATATCGACTGCTAGGGGCAAGTAACAGGCTCAGCGTTAAAGCATCAGGTAGCATCGACGGTGACCAGAATCCATTAACAATATACACATGGTAACATATGATACAACACCGAATCTTAGCAAGAAGGGTATGTTGTGAATGATATAGACAAGAAAATCAGGATATGAAAATATAAGTAAGTCGCTGATATATCACAGCGGGCACGATCACTTCGTCCGGGAGGAGTCGAGGTAGATACTTGGAGAGCGGATACGACGATGCTGTCGATGAAAGCACGCCGTGACTTCGCGCGGAAGTTGACATACCACGCATCGCGCGACATTTGTCGGTGGACTGGTACTACTTGCAAACCTGAAGATATGATTAGAATGTGCGCACGTCAAAAAGGTGGTTGCATACCTATTACATGAGTGGCGAGACGTAAGCCGGTCCCCAAGACAAGCCACTCATCGGAAGGCCGCCAACGAAATCGCGGAGACCATCCATCGCTGTCCGTGGATAAGAACTTGGGAATGAGTCGGTGATCTCCCAAGGCCACAGAGTAGGTTCAAGGAAATTCGTCGTGCCCGACTGCGCAGTATGGCAGTGGTTGCCGCCTGCGTACATATCGAGAGAGAGGTATGCGGTTTCGGCGTCCACGTAGCTGGGTGTATCTACGCCGCACTGTTTGTCGAGGTCGATGAGATTCCAGTCGCGCAACTGGTCCTGGTCCTGCAAGTCGACTTCGAAGGCATCGAGGGGGGCCATGTCATCATTCGGTGGTATGGGCAGGGAGGTCGTGCCGGCTGCGGTGGAATCAGCATCAGCGACTGTCGTTCGACACGTTTCCGATGACAGTAACGAGATATCGATGAGGTCTGTCAAATCATCAGCCATGCGAGGAGTAAATTCAGGATTATAGACGCACCGGACGTGATAACATCGGAGGCAGACAAGGGGAAAGGGTCTTGAGGTAGGCTGATGGGTAGTACAGACGGCGATGTAGGTGGCTGGTCGTCGGCGTGGCACAAAGAGACCGGCGTCGCGTCTAGAGCAGGCGCGCCCGCGACGGCCGTCGTAACCGTGCTCGTCGACAGTGAGGTGGGATATCGCTCGAAAGATGGTGGATCGCCGAGAGATATGGAGCGAAAGCCGTTGGCATTATTGTCGGAGCTTGCGCTGTCATCCTGCGCCAAGGACGGCGTAGAGCTCGCGCGAAGCCGCTGATTAGGGTGACGAGGCCGAGATTGCGGCGGCTTCGAGGGCGATACGCATTTGCGCGGATCGCGCCACACAGGTAGTGTGCGTGGACGTTTGGCCGATGGCTCTTCGACGTCTGCAGGAGGGGGTCTCTTGGCGCAGAGAGAGGGCTCTCCGAATTTATGAAGGGTAGGCGGAGGACAAGAAATGCACGCTGGCGGAGGAGCGCACGAAGGGGGACCTTTCGACTCTCGTTTGCTTCGGGAAGGCGTGAGTGAGGAGGAGGCCATGGAGTGTCGCGAAGGAGCCTCTGCAGGCGTCGGAACGGCCTCGCGGCGAGGAAGGGATCTATAGGCAGGCAGGTAAGTAGTGAATCTGATCAAAGACAGACAGTGACATACTGTCGTTTTGCGGACGGACCGGCGCTGTCGAGCTCGGCGTCTGCGGAACTCCTTTTCTTGATGTGATTGGCGGGAGACTCGGGCGTTTGGGTAGGAGCGCGCCATTCCGCGCGGTGCCGGGCTTTCTTCAAAAGGGCCGTGTTCGGATGTAGAATATGAGAGTACAGCGAGTTGGCGTTTGCCTCTATCTCAGCAAAGCGAACCTCGAGGTCGGGCGGGAGGGGGTTGGAAGCGTCGCGCACCGGCCAGAAGCGTGAAGCCGCCTCGACTATACCGATCTGGGAGCGACCAAAGCGGTTAGCACGCAGTAATGACCAGCCAATCCGTTTGCGCGCGCTCATAAACCATGAGGCGACCTCCTTGACGGAGGTCTTGCTTTCCTTCGACAGCGCCTCCCATTCTTCTCGAGTCGGATACGGATTGTATAGGTGGTTGAGGAGCCACCTGTAGCAGGGCTCATTGACCTTAGACATGGCAGGCTTGTGGCTATCATAAGTCAGATCTGATACATACCCGATTGAAGGAAGACATACCGACTGCTGGAGGCTTTACGCGTCGCGTGGGTAGGTAAAGCGGCGGCGACAGCGGAATATAGCTTGTCGCCGAGATGAGGAAGGGCGACCTTGAATTTGTTGGAGACCCTTTGCAGAGCGTCCTTCCGCTGCGACGATGTGTTTGGCGGCTGCTTTGCAGCGACCTTCGTTAAGAATCGCTCGAAAGCTGAGGGGTGAGAGCCCTTATCATGGCGAGTGGTTGGATTGTGTGGCGCTAGAGGATGACGCCCAGATGTAGGTAGCGACATGACAGCAGGACGAGGAGACGGCGATGCCCAGATCGAAGTACTGTGGCCAGGCTGCACTATCGAAAGACCATTGTTCGCCCGTTTGGGCGATCCCCGATGGACCATCATCATCATGGAGTGATCCGTTCTCACAGCTACGCCGATCATTGTTCAGACCAGTACTGGCATCTTGTTTGCGTATCCACGCATTCGTAGTTCTGTTAGCAGACTCACGCGTTCGTACATACTTGTTTCCTAAACTGCGCTTGAGAAGGCTCGAGTACGACGAGGAAGTGAAAAGACGACCACCGTTCATCATGATCAAGTTGGTCCCGGGTTTGATGCGATCACCACACCCGGGACTCAATATTCCCCGGCGCTTACTGCACGTTTACTGTGGGATTATTCTGAATCAGCTTTCGATAAAGACCGCGGGTTGATTGAAAGGGCATATTGAGGCCCAGCCAATCGGAGGCCGTACCGATCAATATGCCACCCATAAGACCACAATCGACCCATCGCCTTTATGCGTCGCTTATTCAAAATTAACTCCCACCACACCTGAGTTTCAGTATTCCCTGGCGCATACTGCAGGAATATCGTAGGCCAGTTTTGAATAAGCGAAGCATAAAGGCGACGCGTGGATCGTGGTCTTACAGGTGGCATATTGATCGGTACGGCCTCCGATTGGCTGGGCCTCGATATGCCCTTTCAATCGACCCGCGGTCTTTATCGAAAGCTGATTCAGAATATTCCCTCAATAAACGTGCAGTAAGCGCAGGGGAATATCGAATCCCAGGTGTGGTGTCCCAGTATTCATGCAGTATACGCCGGGGAATATTGTGTCCCAGGTGTGGTGGATCGCCTTCCTTTCGGATTGCTTCCGTTCGGCCTTTAGCGAATTCAGGCTCGAAGTTTAACTTCAGTCATCGTGTCAGAAAATGTGTTGCAGCGTCAAGAGAAATTGAATGTCATGTGGATTTGCCTGCGCGAGCGACAAAGAGAAATAACATGAAGCGCAAAGAGGGGGGGGGTGAAAGGCTATCTACCAAAATCGTATACACAGTACGATCTATCCTACTAAAGTGCCGAGTCAAGATTGGGCGCATACGGCGCGTGATAGGGTATATAGTACAAGTGGGTATCAAGCAGCCGCAGGGGTGAGCCTACGGCGCTTAGGCGGGGCAGAGTCCAGGGACTCGTTCTCGGTAGGTAGGGCGCGTTTTCCTGGTCGCTCGGCGACGGCGGCGGTTGCGATGGGGGCTACGTTGTTCCTAGGAAGGGTGTCGACACGCGTCTCCCACCAACCGCAAGGGTGGAGGAAGTCGTCTAGACTGTAGTCGTCTCCGCACAATGGCTTGTCGCCGGCCAGCATGCTGAGGAAGTCGATATCGGAGCTGCTCGGCGCCGACAGGTCGGGGAAGGAGTCGCATGTGAAGTCGGAACGACCGAAGAGGCCGCCCCACGGGTCCGTGCCAAGGTCGATGATGCTGTCGCCCGTCAGCTGAGGGATGAGCGTCGGTGGTGTTATGGGCGCGGACCCCGGAGGAGAGGAGGTAGACGATGTGGGAGACATCACGATGGGGTCGAACGAAGATGATACGTCCACGAAAGGTTCAGATGCTTTGCCGGACGGCGGTGAGTCTGAAAGCTCAGTCAGACACGCAACATGAAAGCTAGCGAGTTGGACTCACTGTAGGAGATATCGTTGGAGGCTAAAACAGGGATGTCGGCGTCAAGTCCGGAGGGTAAAAGGTTCCAGAAATCGAGGTTGTCGTTACATGGCGAGAGCAAGGTAGTTTCAGGTTGTTGAGGGGTGGAAGTGGGGAGAGACAAGACGGAGGGCCACGCCAACTCGTCTATGAAAGCACTAGGTGCAGGATGAGGGGCAACGGGCGCCGATACGGTCCGACGACCGCCATGGCTTCGACCGTTGCGATCCTTGGGAGATTGCGATGATATCGATCGACAGGATGCTGAAGAGTGCGGACCATCCGACGCGCGGACGCCCCTACGGGTCCCAGCCTGAGAAGACCGGGGGTCGCGCCATTCAGGCAGAACTCGACGACGCTTGGCGTCCGGAGACGCATCGTCTACGGAGCGGGACCGCTTCAACGAAGACGTAGGTGAGGTGGATTGCAGAGACGGCTCCCCGAATGTGGGCTGGGTTGGCTGAGTAGGTGAGATGGTGAGAGCAAGAGAGGAGGCAACCGATGGTGTGGTCTTCATCGGTCCAGATGCGGAAGGGGGCGACGGTCGCACACGCGATGCGCGACCGGACGAAGCTTTCGGGGAGTCGTTAGAGACAGACCTGAATATATGTGAGCGATAATTTGAGGGGGAGCGAAAGGACAAGTACCTGCGCTTCGTAGGCCTGTTCACGTCAAGGTCGGCATCTTCGGAGCGACGCTTCTTGGAGATGTTACTCTCGGAGGCGCTTCGACGAGATGGCTCCTTGGCGTTCGTTGGACGGTTCTCGTTCTTCAGAAGGCGAACGAGAGTATCACTTGGCTGAAGGGAATTGGTGTAGAGGGACTTGACGTTCGCCTCGATCTCGGCGAAGCGAAGTTCAAGATCAGGCGGCAACGGTCGGGTGGTGTCACGTTCAGGCCAGAAGCGAGAGGCAGCGGCGACCATGAGAATCTGTGAGCGACTGAAGCGTGTTGCGCGCAGCTGAGACCAGCCGATTCGCTGGCGTGCGGTGACAAACCAGGCTGTGATGGCTGGCATGGTGCGGTCACATTCCCGGGCCAGAGCTTCGCGCTCTTCACGGGTGGGGTATGGGTTGTGTAAGTGAGATGCGAGCCAGCTGTAGCAGGGCTCGAGCTTTTCCAAAGCGGCTAGAGAGCTACGAGGTCTGAGTAAGGTCTCCGCGGAAACTCATGAGGAAGCGGGCGTACCGCGGATGAGGGGTCGTCTTGTCAATTGCAGGTTGTTTGCTGGTGGCAGCGACAGAGTGTGTTAGCTTGCCTTCGAGGGACGGAAGGAAGAGGCTGAGGTCGAGGGCGGCATTCTTTATATTGGACATGCGCTCAACCGACGCTGAGCTTGTACGCTTGGTAGCGACGTTGACCAACAGGTGTGGGAGGTTCGTTCTCGAGTTCAATGGAGCCAGTCTCGTCTCCGACGAGGTCGACATAGTAGCAGCAGTAGGTCGAATGGCAGACAGTAGCGGGTGTGCGGGGTAGCGCCGTCGCCAGAGTTATAAGCCAAGTTGTCGGGACGGACAAAGAAGCCTCATGTTGTCCGTCAACCTGATTGTTCGACTTCCGGGGAAATCATTTGATCCGTCCGGGAGACGGGATCAATTCCGGAAGGGTCGAACAATGGGACTTGGGAAAGTGCATATTAGGCCTGTCAACAAGCCGGCGCAAACACCTTTTCCCTCCCCCGGGACGCATACCCGCGCGTCGATATTCCCTCTCGACCTACAGTCCTCGTTCTCCAGATGTCGTTCCTCGACTACGACGAGGCTCGGATGACCGCTCTTATGCGTCGTCGCCTGCAAGCACAGAAACTCCCTGCCGCATTCATCAAGACGAGAGTCGATGCCTACGTTGACGCCGTCTCGCAACTCATCGAGAGCGTCACGGTGGCGTACAACCTCATGGACGAGGAAGACCCCAATCGTGAAACCCTGGCTGCCTGCTGCCAGTCCCAAATTGATGCGTGGGCGGACGAGATGACCGCCCCGCCAGACGTACCTACTCCCCCGCAAGAATTGCAAGACCCCGAAGCCCAGCCGGTGAACCTCCTCAAAAGGGTGAGCTTCCGGCTGGTGCCCGACTCACCCGCCCGCTAACCAATTCGCAATAGGCTCGGCGACCCCTGCTCGACCGATACTTTGACCTGAACGCATATCCGTCCGTGACGGACAAGAAGGCGTTGGCAGCGCACGAAGGCGCTACCTACCGGCAGATTCACGTATGGGTGAGTGCCCAACCCAACAGCCATTGAACAAGTCTCCTGATCCCGCGCTTGATAGTTTCAGAACCGTCGGGCGAAGGCTAGAGCCATGAACATACCTCTGCGAAAGTGCGATACTTCCCCCGAAATGGCTTCCGCGCTGCTCGAACAGGCGCTTTTTGAGGACGATGCCGAAGAACAGTCCCCTTTCAACGAGCCTCTAAAGAGCGACACCGACGTGTGTATCGAGCTTCACTCTCGCTTGTTTGCAGAAGCTAATGAAGTCGCAGGATATGTCCTTGCCATGGATGCAAGACCAACCTAGCGCTGTGGCCGAAAGCCCACGTGCCCGCCTGCAATCTGAGTTCAACACCGGCACCCCGCTTCACCAATCCGTATCTCGGCATCGTCCGTCGCGCGACTCGCGCCGGTCGAAGCCGGTCGATATGGATGATCTCATCACGGCCTTCGACGCCATGAACGTTCGCGGGGCTGGGACCAGGACCGCCATCGGGGCAGAAAAGGGTTATGCAGCGCGCACGGCCATCACATACGTCGCCCCGAAGGCACCTCTCCCTTCCTACATTCCCCCTCACCAACTATCATACGCTCCCCCTATGATGACCTCCGGCAAGCCTGCTCTCGCGGCCCCCACCCAGCGTAAGCTCCTGGGTCTCCCCAAGCGCAAGCCAGCGGCAAGGCGACGCTTGACATCGATGTCCTCCGACTCCTCCCGCTCGTCGAGCCCAAGCTCCGACCGGGTTCCGTCTCTCACCTACTCCGACAGTTCTGATTCCTCCTCCTCGCCGTCGCCTGAGCCGCCTACTTGCTTCGAGTCGCTGCCGTCACCACCCAGCCCGACTTGGGTTGACCTACCTTCTCCCTCCTTCCCGATCATCGTCTCACCTCCAGGCCTCATCGCACACGAGACACCTTCGTCGTTGACATGGCGCGAGGATGCTGGTGCGGAAGGAGACGATGAGGATGACTCCTGGGACCGTGCTGCGCAACGCGCCATGCTCGGCCCGTCGAAGCCCAGGCGCAAGACGAGCAAGCAGAAGACTGCCCGGCCTCCTTCAAGGCCATCGCGCTCACGCTCCGCCGTTGAATGCGCGCGGAGCCCTGCGTCTGACCCGCGGCCAGTCCTGCCTGTCGCATCCGACGACGTTGTCTTCAACGGCGTGACCACCGCCGTAGTACAGGACGGCATCGAGAGGCTCCCCGGCTGGGATGAGCTAGACCTCTCCATCCTCGACGTCGACCCTACCACCGCTGGGGAGCTCGATATCCAGATCGGGACGTGGGACAGCTCGAATGCCACCCTGCCCGCTTCGCAGTGCGACTTCGGTCCGGTCGCTACCTTCGGTGACGCTCCTTCAGCCCCGGTGGCTGAGGTTCAGAGCGAGCCTGAGAGGGAGCAGACTGTCGACGAGTCACCTGCGAACACGGATGTCGACAGCAGTGCCTGGGCAACGCAGCTCTCGGGATGGAACGACAATTCGTCGCTGATTACCGTCGACAACCTCGGCTTCAACGCTGACTTTGCGCCCAGCGCGTTTGATGGCTTCATTGCGTCGAACTGGAACCTCGAGCCTGCGCAGGAGCCAAGCTCGACCCCGTCGACATTGTTCGGCAGGCCCGGCTTCGAAGCAAGCAACGTCGCGTCGACTACGCAGTCCGCGACGGATGTCACTGCTTCCAACCCTACCAACCCATCCACCCTCGGCGCCACTGTGCCCGAGACTACCTTTACCTTTGGGTCAGAGTCTACACAACCGACCTTCAAGTTTGGCGCCTCCACCTCCACTGCCAGCGCTGCTGCCACCCCCACTCCTGCCCCCACCTCATCATCATCTGCGCTCAAGTCCGCCGTCCCCTCGACCACCTTCACCTTTGGCAAGCCCGCCGCGACCCAGCGCTCCAATTCAAAAGCGCCCTCATCATCAACATTCACCTTCGGCGCGCAATCGACCGCAACCCCTACCTTCGCCTTCTCATCAACACCCTCGACTTTCCGTTCTAGTCTCCCATCTGTTTCTTCGTCCTCTTTCTCCTGTGCTCCTTCCTCGTTTGCTTTTGGCACCGGCCTCCCGGGGCCTTTCACCTTTGGAATTTCTGCCTGAGTACTCTAAGTTCTTGTGCGCCCGACTGCAGAGTTACCGTTTCATTTTCATCTCAACGACGGCCTACTTATATCGGCCTCGTTCTAATCTTCGACTTCGTTCTTGCTTTCCTGCTTTCTTGCTTTGCACTTCAACTCTCAATGTACCACCACCACCCAAGGCATCACTTACCTTATTGTATATCTATGTTCGTGCTACGCTGTGGATAACAATGGAACCCTGGAACTTCTCGTGTCTTATCCTCCGTATTGCTTGACGCCGCTGCAAGGGATGAATGAGCCGGAGAGAACCTCTTATAGTGATCGCCACGCGAAAATCGACGGGCTCCCTTCCAGGCCTGACATGGGCACGGATGTGCCGGCAAGTAGGCGCATGGGCATTGTCTTCGTGGGAAGTACAGCTGTAGCAACGAAACAATCCGACTGCATTCACGAGGCTCACAGCCCCAACATGCGATACTGCGAAGTGCATTGTGTGACCGACCGTCACTCCGATCACCGTGATCCGGGATTTCAAATGGAGTGGACCCACAAATACGGCCATGCGCCAGCTAACTTAAATGGCTCCTGCCGGTACAGTATTTGCAAGCTGCTGGGCCACAACTGTCTACAAAAACCTACAAAACAATCGAGTGCTATGCATGGCAGGCTTGGCATAATACTGCCGTCCCCTGCCGGTGTGCGGACGTCCTAAGCGGCAACTGCCGTACACGCGCTGATGGAGAAGTAGACCGTGACACTTCCGTTATAGTCGAACAATGCTGGCTCAATCTCGCCGCTCACGACAGCGTTGTAGCCTTAAGGTGACGTGACCGCTGCCTTCCTTCCCCCACCTTGTCCCCAACCACCATGGCCTCGTCCTTAGCGAAGCCCCTTGGCCCTTCCGCTGCTGCGAATACTATGTTGTCCAGCGTCACTGCCTTTCAGAGCTTCCTCGCCGACAACGCGACCAAGCACCCCGATAACACTTCTTACGAGCGACGACAAGCGATTGAGAAGGCCTTCGAGAACCTCCGCGTCGACCTCCCCAAAATCTACGTGCCGCCTCGCGTCACCAAGCCGAAGCCGTCGCAGCCTGAAAGTGCTCCGGCCTCGCGCTCTCCAAGGTATGCTCACCGTTGCATACATGTATTCTACCAGTACTCAAGGTCCACAGAACGTGCCCACCGAAGCGTATTGACGCATGCTACAAGTGGCTTCTGAACCACTTGCACAACCCGTATCCCACTCGCGAAGAACGCGAAGACCTCGCCAGGCAGAGCAGCTCCGACATCAAGTCCATCACAGCCTGGTTCGTGACAGCTCGCCAGCGTATCGGCTGGTCCAACCTACGCGCTACTCGCTTTCAACGCTCGCAAGTCCTCATCGTCGAGGCTGCCTCCAAGTTCTGGCCCGAGCGCGATACTCGCCAGCCACTCGAGCCTGACCTCGAGCTCCGCTTTGCCGAAATCGAAGCCAACACCCGCTCGATGTATAGCGAAGAGCAGTACCCCAGCGTAACGCTGATGAACCTGCTTCAAGAACACCAGCCGTCTTCCGTGGCCGTCGCGTCGAATGCGCCGAGTAAGAAGCGGAAACTGGACGGGCCTGCCGACCACGATGGCCAGGAGCACAAACGTAGAAGGTGCGTCTGAGCCACTCTTATGTGTATATCTCGTACTTACTAACTGACGCAGGTCGGCTTCTACGCCACACACAACGTCGACATCCGATGTGTCTCGTGAGAGGAAGGTCGTAAGCGCCCGCCGCAAACGGGTCCCGTCTGCTCCTCCACCCCCGACTGCGCACGACGCCGCGCCGCCAACCCTGTCGCTTGCGAGCAGCGTGTCCTCTACTCCTAAGTTTGGCGAGCCCTCGCTGTCGTCGCCCTCCCCAAAGAATTCCCTCAAGCGCACGCGTTCCGACGACGATGCTCGCGAGGCCAAGCGCCCTCACCTGCTTCCTGTCTGGAATGACCCACGCGCTCGTCCTCGTGCAGCCTCGCACTCGGGCGCGAAGACCAGTTCGACGCGCAAGCCGCCATCGGCTGCTCGTCGCGTTCGTAGCGAGGCTCCTCCGCAACTGTCGCGGAGTGCGTCCACTCCTCTTGTCCCTACCCCATCGCCCTGGGACGACGACGTCTGGTCGTCCTTATTCGCCATCGACACCTCAGGTGTGCAGGAGGCGTCAACATGCTCGATTGACCTTCCCGCGTCCGATGTCATCATCAACCCCGTTAACCCCTTTGCCGGCGAGGGACCTTCGCTTCCATGTGAGTTGGACATGCCTTCAATTCCTACCCTTATTGACCGTGCTTCTCCAGGCGAGAGCAACCTGAGCCCGATCGATGTCCACGAAGACGTGGCTTCCCCGTCCGAGACGGTGGACCTGTCTCTGCCGACGTTGTGCTCCACCCCATCATCCACCAACACCGACTTCTCTTCTCTCCCATCCCTGTGCGACGCGCACGAATTCGACTCCATCTACCCCCAACTCCCCTCCGCATTCGACAGTACCTGCGCACCGATCGACGGTACCTACGCGCCCCTCATGTGCCCCGATTACACCTCGTCTGGTCTCGCCGGCGACTGGTACAACTACAACCACCTCGACGATCCCCTGTTCATGCTCGGAGCGGATCTCCAGCAACTCCCTATCGACGCTGCGCCCTCTCCACCTGAGTGGGAGTGGGCGTTGACTGCTCAGATGCCCAGCCCGCCGCGGATGGTGGACGACCTGCCATCGCCTAGCCGCAAGCGTTCTCTTGATGAGGACGATGCGTGCCCATCGAAAGACTTGCCCGCTGCCAAACGCGTCAAAGTCTAGGCGATGATCACCTCCAATCATTGCGAAGTGGTCCGGGTTTCACCATTACCTCCCAACTGCCTCCAACGACACCTGGTCGCCCGTGTCCTCCGCCGACACCGCCCAAAGAGCCTTCCCCCTTTCAATACTCCCCACCTCACTCACCCCACGAACCGTTCGGGCTCTTCCCTCACCCTGTGAGTCGGATGCGCACGTTCTCCATTCACCTTTGCTGACCGATGATTTAGGTGCACCACCTCACGTCTGAATCATTCCATTCACGTCAACCCCTCTTGACGGCCCGGGATCTTCGCATTCCTGTAAGTCGAATACGCTATCGCCCTTCACCCTGACTTACCGTTCCTTCAGGAGAACGCAGCGGCGCACTGCTACCCATTCCTACCCCATCTACCTCGTTCAAGGCCAGGGTTTTTCCGTTCCCTGTGAGTTGGAGTGCACGCGTTCTTCCTCTCACTCTTACTGACCGCTAATTCCAGGTGACAGCGCCGACTAGCGTTCCATCCCCACTCCCCATCCTCTACCCCTTCTGACCGATAGGGACTTTCTCGTTCCCTGTAAGTCGGATAGGCCTTCTATCTCCATCCTCGCTGACCATCCTTTGTAGGCGGCAGTGCAAACGCCTACCCAACAATCCCCCACTTACATATCCCCACCAGCCCGGGTGTGCGAGCCGTCTCCGCCACCCTTGTGCTCGACATCGCCATCCCATCTACCAAGTTGTCTGCTTTCGTGTGCCTGCTTCATTGGCCCCGCATACGACGCCATCCATTACCAACTCCACCTCACACGCGTATCTGTTGGTACCCGTGGCTGGGGACGACGCGCACTCATCGTCTTCTATCTGCCATTTCGCTTCTGACATTTCTCTGCGTCGTTATCCTCGCCGTCTTTGGCTCATTGACTTTACCTCGGAACCTTCGCACACACTCAAGTCCTCCTGCAGGACTACTGAAGTATTGATATCGACTTCAAGCGCTACTAATTTCTCCTCACTCTGTACTACTACTTCCTTCTCGCTCCGTCTTCCATTTCTTCCCTCTGTACAACCAAACCCTCTTCTTCGAACGGCACTAATTCGTCTTCCTCTTCCCCCTCCTACTTCGTTCACGCTATCTTGCTTTCTTGCTATGTCCATGCTGCGCATCTAACCTCAATGTACTTTTACCCCCAGGCGATATTTACCTCATTGTGTATCTATGTTCTATGGTGTCTATAACAATGGAACTTCTGCGCTGTTTCCTTGGCTTCATTCTTCAACGACAGTGACAGCGAACGTATATGGACGAGGCAGGAAGTGGTCAGAGGGCATCAGAGGAAGGAAAGGCTGTCGTGAGCGACATGCTACGGCTTTCGCAAATTCGGACTCGACATTTGCGGGTGCAAGATCGTGCATTAGATCGGCAGCAGTACACTACAAAGTACACTTGGGTATCCCCTGATTATGAAACAAAATTACATTCCTTCCATCCAGTCCTCTACTTCGCAACTGCGCCAGCCTTCACCGGCTCGCCCGGCGGATACGGAGTGTCGACGACGTGCGCGCCGGATTGCAACGGTGCGCTCGTCGCGGGGATGCCGGTAGACGAGGCAGGTGGCGTCGGGTCGGTGGTGGCGTCGGCGGCAGCGGACGCCTGGCTAGCGAAGCCTTGCGAGGCGAACTCGCGGGCCTTCTCGATGCCAGGTTGGACCTGCTGTTGAGCGGCGGAGAGGACCTTGCCGGCGTCGGTGGCCGCAGCCTGTGCGCCGGCCTGGAGTGTCGGTGCGTGACCGCCGAGGGACTCGGGGATGTAATTCTGGAGGGAAGGTCAGAGCCTAAGCGATGGAACTTGATCTTGAGCACATACCTGCGCTACTTCCACAGCAGCGTTGACGTAGTCCTTGGCCGCGCTAACGTATCCTGCGCCAGCCTCCTTCGCTGCGGCGACATTCTGCTGGCCCGAGGCGACAGCTGCGTTCGTCTTCGCGCTAGCCTCCTGTTCGAGACGCGTCGTGCCGCCGCCAACGTCGCCGGTCAAGCTGCTGCCGATCGACTTCGCGGCGGTCGCGGCGGACTCAGCAACGTGCTGGGTCTGGTCGGCGGTCTTCTCGACCTGTCTGGCGGCTGCCGGGCTGCCTGCCTCGACCTGCGCGTGGGCAGCGGTGGTTTGAAGCTTGGCAGCTCTAGGATGTATGTGGTTAGTACGCGACACAGCACATCCAGGAAGCGAGAAACTCACTCGGCGCCAGTGGGCTCCTGGACGTTGAAGATCTTTCCGGTTTCAGTAGACATGTTGATTGTGTTGGTCGTGTGAGTGATGGATGATGGTTCGAAAGCAAAGTGAAGGGGAGGAAATGGCAGGCGCGCCGTTATATATGAGCTGCGTCTTTGCCCGCCATCCGATGACATCACGCGTACTTTCATGACGACAACCGCGTCACCCACCTGTCACCCCACCGTCCCGTCATCGAGCCCAACGGCAGTGCGCGCCAACAATGCGCAGAATGATTCTGATATGGTTAGCAGCGGGATTGACAGCTTGGAATGGTGACTGGATGGAGCTGAACGATGGAGGACACATCGATGCAAGTGCGCGAAGTTACGCGACGGGTACGCGTCCTTATGAGGAGTCGCAGCGCGAGTGACGTTGAGCGAGAGCCGCCAGAATCCTCATTATTCGTGAGTATGTAGTTCTGTCCATGCATGTCTATGATACACAACACAATTAGGCGTTGGGCGTGAGCCTGGATGATGGTCGTCAAATGAGGTCCAGCAAGGGAAGGAGGATCTCACCAGTCGTATTTTATCATCTCGTCCGCGTTGACGATCGCAGACGAGATGAACTCGCGCGCCTCAAGCCAAACCCAGACCTGCATGCCGATGAGAAGACGGGCATCGAGACTAATAGGCAAAAGAGCGCACCTTCAACAAAGCCGCCAGATTACTAGACGGCAAATCCCTCGTCGACAACCCAGGCCCATCCGCACGAGCCATCTGCCCGCCCAATTGCCTCAAAATCGGCAATGCACCCTTGAACAAATCTAACTCCGGATTCAACTGCCTCCCAATACCCTCCAACAGCAAGATCGAGATGACCGTGTTCACAAAGTCGCCCTCCATCTTGACGTGGTGCTGTCGGACTGCCTTCAGCACCTCCGTCAGGATGTCGCTGATCTTGATCTGCCCCAGCGAGAACGTCTTGCGCTTGACGCTCAGCACGATGTGCTGCATCTTTAGCGCGAACGTCTCCGGGTCGATCGCGAGGTGCGGCGTGCGACAGCGCTCAATCATGAGTTGACCTGTGCGATAACCGTCGAACTCGGCGACCGCGCGGAAGAGGTCGAGGAAGTTCTGCCTATTCTTCGCGTTCAGCGTAGTGACGAGGCCGGCGTCAAGGAAGATGAGCTCTGGTATGTAGCCCTCGGTGTTCAGGTCGTTGAGCGCGGCGTGCCATTCGCGAGGAGAGCTGGCGACGGAGCGAAGCTGGTTGACGATGCGGTCGGAGTCGGCGTTAGGCTCGACAGCTGCGATAGGATGTGGAGGTGCAAGGGAGGGGAAGTATTGTCGTAGTAGTCGATTGAAGGCGTTGACCATGAGTGTACGGCCGGATAGGGGCTTGTTGAAGCGGACCATGATGTTGCCGGGATGCAAGTCAGAGTGCACGAAGTTATCGAGCAGGAGCATGTTCAAGAAGGTGTCGAGACCGCTCGTCGCCAGTATAGCGTCGAACGGCCCACCACCATTCTTCAAGAATGTCTCCAGCGGGATAGCCTTCACGTACTCCTCTACTAGCAACTCCCGAGTCGACCATTCGCTAAGTGGGCGAGGGAACGACACAGAAAGATTCCTTGGGGCGAAGTTGTTCTCGAACGTCAAGAGATTGTCCGCTTCGTGCCGCAAGTCTATCTGCTGGAACATCATCCCGCCAAACACCTGCACCTCCTCCGGCAGCGATATCCACTCCATGCCAGGCAGCCAGTTGATTATGTTGGCAAAGAACGTCATGATCGTAAGGTCCCGGGTGATGGTCTTCTCTACTCTAGGATGCAAAATCTTGATGGCGACCGCGGTGGCGGGCGCGACGGGCAAGTCGTCCTCTATAGGTAAAACGGATGGGGGAATGACCGGGGTGATGGCGGCGACGGGGGCGGTCTTGGCTTGGCGGCGGCGCGCAATGTACGACGGGGGGACGAGGCCGTTCTTGAGCGTGGCGCGGTACACCTGAGCAATGGCACCGGCGCCGATGGGCGTCTCGTCAAACTCCTCGAATATTTCGTCGAAGGGGCGATCGAAGACTGCCTCGATCTCAGCCACCGTATGCGACAGTGGGTGAGGGTGGGCGTTAGAGTGCATAGAGCCCATGCGCTCGCACAGAAGGATGGGGAAGAGGTCGCGACGGGAGGCAGCCCATTGTGCGAGCTGGAGTCAAGTTAGCGCCGATTGGGTAAGTACGGAGCGCTTGAACGCACCTTTATGAACGTCGGGCCCGCTGCCTCCATCATGTAGACCAGCAAGTCATACCACCAAACAGCTCCCCATCGCTCGTCCATCAACTTCTTGTCGGGGTCGCCCACCAAGAGCATAGGGGAAGTGATGATGACCGGGACGAAGAGGCAGCAGAGGTATACGAAGCGCTTCGCTGTCAGGATGGGTTCCCAGATGTACTCCAGCCAGAACCGGAGTACACGCTCCTTGAGTATCTCCCGCTTCCGTCTCCGCGGGGGAACATCCGGAAGTTCGTTCGCGGGACGGCAGGGGATGAGGCCGGGAGACGCGAAGAAGTTGGGCACGGTCGACTTGGGTCGAGGGGCGAAGTGGAGGGCGAGTCCGGTGGTCAAGGGGACGACCCATAGTGCGGTCTTTAAGAGTGAGTATCGTCGGACGGGAGCGGGGATGAAGAACGACGGGTATCGCGTCCATTGCTTCGAGGAGGACGATGATGATGAACCATGCCGGAAGGTCGAGAAGCGTATGCTCGGATGCTGTTTGCCGAGGCCCCGGAGGACGAATGTGAGCCGGAATGCCATGGGGAGTCTGTTGGCTAGCAGCACTCGCTATGCATTTTGCGAGGGCGCGGTCGTGGGCTCGTTGAGGCCGACGTCGGACTCGACGGTCAATCGCGAAGACAAGAAGACAAAATTCACGTGCGGTAATAGTAGGTGACGTCACGCCCGGCGCACTCCCGCTCTTCCCCTCGCAGAACGAGCGCTTACGGGCGTGCCTGGCGCGCACGTCGGCCGTCGCGACGCACTCTCCTCTCTCCCGCCTAACTCGTCCTCGGGGCAATCTGCTCGCTCGCCTTTCGTGAATCCAACTCCGCGCTCTTCTCCCCCATGTCTTGTGCTCTTCTGCCTGAATGCTCATAGGGTGCCATTGACGTTTGATGTCGTGTTAGGAGGACATGTATGGAATCCAGAACACCCAAACAACCTCTCAGAAGGCTCAGACCGCCGTCTTCTGTCCGCATTCCATGCTGTGGTCCCGCCTTTGGCGCGGCGACGCGTTTGTTGATGGGCAGAAATTTGACGGAAACGTAAAGTGAATGAATAAACGCAACAAATTCAAATTTGCATCTCTTCCCCGAACCCCCACATCCGCCCTCCCCCGCCGGCGCCTCTCGCGCTGCGCCTATGGCCGCCCCGAATGCATTCGTTACCCTAGTCACCTCCGACCGATACCTTCCCGGCGCACTCGCCCAGGTCGCCGCCATCGCCGACCTCCATCCCAAGGAAGCGCACGAACCCCATGAACACTTTCAGACCGTCTGCCTTGTCACTCCAGAAACCGTCGATGTGTCCACGATCAAGGCTCTCAGGGGCGCCTTCAACGTCGTTGTCGGCGTCGAGATCATTGAGCAGGAAGACGACAAGGGCCTAAGGCTGCTTGGTGAGCGATTCCTTCCAACCCGCCTCAGAACGCGCTTCGATGGATTGGGGCCCCGCATGAGCCGGCACATCCGTCACCCCTCCGTATTCTGGGCGTCTTTCGCTATACTCGGCGCGTCTTGACGCGTCGATCCAGCTGACTCGCCACAGTGGAGCCCTTGAGCTTGGAAATGCCTCTGGGTATGTGCCGTCGCTGATCACCTGCCTCATAGGTCGCCCGGATCTCAACACTGTCCTTACAAAGCTGCATATATTCCGCCTCACCCAGTACGAGAAGATAATATTCCTCGATGCCGATGTCCTCCCCGTTCGTCCGCTCTCTCATCTCTTCGCTCTCCCCCACGAATTCTCTGCGGTCCCGGACGTAGGCTGGCCGGATATATTTAACTCTGGCGTACTTGTCTTCTCTCCTGGCGAGGACAAATTCAACGAGCTGCGCGAGCTGCTCAAGTCGAAAGGCTCTTGGGACGGCGGCGATCAGGGCCTGCTGAACGAATGGCGAGGCGAGAACTGGAACCGGCTTAGCTTCACGTATAATACTACGCCGACAGCCGCATATACGTGCGTTATCGACCGCCTTTGATGATCGTATCTAACTGCGCATATATGCAGGTACGCTCCTGCGTACGAGCGGTATGGCTCCCAGATCTCTGCCATCCACTTCATCGGCCCGCACAAGCCATGGAACAACCTCGCATATAGGCACCCGTTTGTGGGCCGCCAGCCTGACACGGACCCGGGTCTCAAGCGCGCGTACGACTACGATGCGCTGGTTGATCGCTGGTATGCTGTCTACGATAGGCACTACCGCGCGGAAACCCCTGCGACGACATCCCAATTCGAAGTGCGCAAATATGTCGCTTCTTGGGATGCGCAGGCCGGTACTGGTGACAAGGACTTGGCATCTACTCCCGCCGTGAAGGCGGGCGGTGCGCTGGGGCTTGATCAACTCCGTCGCCTTGCTATCGAAGGTCTTAATGCTGCTGGAGTCCCGCCACCGGAAGGTCCTAGACAAGGTGGCGAATACAGGAGTATGCCACTCGACGGTCGTATTGACCTCATGCGTCCGCCACCTCAGCCCTCTGATAGTACTTCCTCGCCTATCAAGCACGCCATTGAATTGGCCCAGCAACCCGGCCATCCGTCTTATCCTGGCCCCCCTTCTCGCTCATCCCCCGGTGGTACCCCTACCCAGACATCGCCGACGCCTGCACCCAGTGAAGTTCCGTCAAGTCCTCGCTTATCGACTGTGTCGCTGCCGAAAGTCACTCCCGGTCCCTCTCGTCAAGGCTCCTACTCCAGCAATATCTTCGCGCCTCCAACACAGCAATATGAGCCTGGTCATTCTCTCCTGTTTGATAACGCACCTTCACAATCGTCGCAACAAGGGCAACCTTCTTCCCAGCCCGAGGACCAGGCGCCTGGACAGCATCAATTGCAGCAACCGTACTTTGTTGAGCCGCCTACGGACCCTATTCAACGATATCAACACGAGTTCCGGCAGTACGAGCAGCAGCGCAAGGAGTACCAGTACGAGCAGGCGCACCCCGATGAGGTATACCACGAGCGAAGTCACGATGGCCAGCATACACCTCATGATCAAACGCAAGGGCATCACGAGCAAGCCCGACATGAACATCGCGATCACGGAGCAGGTCACGACCAGCAGCAGCAGCAACACCATCAGCATCCTGTTGGTCATCAGTCATCGTCAGCTCCTCAGCCTCAGCAATGGCAGGGGCAGGATATGCAGCAGCACGAGCGCCGTCGCTCTTCGGAGCCACCGCGCCCACCATCCCCGCCTAAGTTGCTCTGGAACCCTGCTCGCGAACCACCACCCAACGTCCCACCGACCGCGAACGCATTCCCGACGGACACCTACTTCCCGAACGCTTGGGACTCGGCTCCGCAACCCCCGCACATACTCAACAAGACGCCGTCTCCCGGTGCACCCGCTGCCGCTGCCGCTGTGAGCCCTCCGGCAGATAGCCGTGGGCTGTTTTCTCCACCCCCGCCGCCGGAGATTCCTGTCGAGCTCCAGCTCCAAGGGCACTACCGTCGCGTGACGGGTGAGGACGAGCACCCTGATAGGCACAAGGTCAAACCCGTCTTCCCTTGGGAGGAGAAACCGCGCGCCAAACCGGGGCGCGTGTTCCCGCACGGCGAGTCGCCCTCGCCGTCCGAGTTCAAGATCCCGCTTCCAGAAGTCGAGCCTGAACCTGAAGCCCAACAGCCTGCGCCAGGCGTGCCTGCGGTGCAGACGACATCCCCGACGAGGGTGTGGGATACCCCGAGTCGCGCGTCGGATAGCGACAGGACGCCGAGGGCGTCGCCGCCGGTGCATGGATTGCCGAGGACGCTGGCATTTGCGAATGCGTGGGACACGGTTCCGAGCATCCAGAAGTACGCGGACAAGCTGCGCCCGCCGCCGCCTGTAGCGCGCGCACGCCCTGTATCGCCCTTTGACGAGCAGGGATGGCGCAGGAAGTTGGAGGAGCGGTCTGATATGAGCGCCGTAGACGGGGATGACGAAGAGGACAGCGAGGACGATGATGTCCAGCCGCGACCGCGGGCGTATAGCTCGGATCATGGTTCGCGATCGTCTTCCTCGAGGCGCTCGAGGAGCGCATCGTCAGTGTCGTCGAGCCACAGCTTCCAAAGCAAAAGGAAGCAGTACAGGTCGTTTGGGGTGCAGACGGATACGGTGGAAACGAAGACGGTGGCCGTGCAAGTCGCAGTCGTTGCTCCCCCGCCGGTCCTCCAGGAGAAGAAGGCGCAGCGTGCGCGTGGGCCTGCACTGCTGCCAGCCGCTTCGGTGAGCGATGCTGGTGGCCTGGGTTTATCGCCAATGAACGGTCAGACCGAGAGGCGTACTTCGCCTTTGGTGTCGCCCCGCGAGTTCGCCTACCCGACGACGAATGCGTCCAAGCGCGCCATGAAACCCGCTCAGACCTCCCCTCCCGTTCGCCCCGCCGTTGGTTCCAGCACGACCCCTCCTCGCCGCCAGTCTCCTGTAACGCAGACCAGCCCGCCCACGTCGCGCACCGTCAGCCGTATCAAGACGACGTCGCCGCCTGCCTCTGTCGGGTCTACGCCTACCGCCTCCGCTAGTATGTCGCGCCAGGTGTCGAACGAGTCGAACATCACGTCTCCGCCCTCGTCCATCGGACCTGTGTCCCCGCCTGAGGGTCACCCGATTGGGGCACCCACTGCAAAGAAGGCCGCTCGTGTATTCGACCCGGCGCGTGGTGTTGACCTGTTCAAGCGCGGGTCGGAAGAGGTGCTTGCACGCTTCCTCCGGATGGGTTCGTGGGAGGATGAGGCGAACGCTGCCTCTCCTCGGTAAATCACGGTGATGTGAATGTTGTTCCTCCTTATTCCTCTGGCTGTGGGTTTCTGCCGCTCCTCTTTGCCTTACGCATATTTCTATCTGGACTGGTCGTGTATGTACATCGTCACGCATTTCTCCCTCAGGCATCAGATTTCCGTTCCTCCTCGCTGTAATTTCTGGCTTCTTCTCGCAATGGTCCTTCTCGTTCAGCTTTCTCAGCTTCAAGTTTCTCATTCGACTCGAGCTCTCACTCCCAGTCAAAACGTGTTCTGACGCGGTCGAGCCAGATGTGACGGAACTCAAGTGTGCGACGTGGTACTATCTAGCTCGAGCAAACGTGCCCTCTGGCAACTTTCTTTCTGATGTGAACGAGCCGATTGTGACTGAATCGTACCTCCGTTTTGTTGCCGAAAAACACGCTGGATTTCGTTCCACTTCTTCTCAGCTCAATTGGGTCATATTCTGCACGCTGCAGTCCGACGAGTCTATAACACTATATTGCTATAAGCTGCTACTTCGAGCCACATCTGGAACCTTATATGACCTCATTGAACAAAAATCCGACGCGTCTACGTGCATCGATCACCTGCGGGCATACCGCTGCCCAGCAAACCGATGCTTCAAGCAGTCTCAACTGCTTGAGCAGCCTACGAAAAGCGGTGAGATGCTTCCACCACGGAGGACGAGACATGGCATACCTGAGCATGTGACTCATTCGCCAGACGCGCCCGCTTCTGCCACTCCTGCAGACAAGTCAGAAGACGTACACACATCACGAAGATAGCTATACCTCCTTCTCGTTCGTGTCCATCTGCTTCCAGTGTGCCTTGAACAACACAGTCATGTTCTTCTTGTCGACTCCTGGGTGTGCGCACTCGAAGTTCTGACGGCAGAGCATGCTAGTGGGTTGTGTGTAAGCAGACGACAAGCTCGAGGAACAAGGGACTCACTATGGGGTCACTGTTTTTCCCCTACTGGCTGCGGCACGACGGGAAGTAGTCGTCTTGGAATTGCCGCTCGCCCCTGCCGAGGTCGTGGAGGTCGTCGCAGTCGCGCTTGCGTCACTTGGAGAGTCAGCCGTATCCTGAGGGGTGTTGAGGGCGACCGATGTCGCGCTAGGCGGGGCCGTGGGGGTGGATTTGGCCGCGGATATGGAGTCCGACTTGTTTCCTGTAGCGGGAATGGTAACCGATGGGTAGGCGAACGATGGGGAAGCGCGATCCGAAGAAGATATGGTGGTCGACGCGCTGGAGGTGGGCGCGACTGTCGAAGTGGATGGGGGATTGACGGCCTCCTCCGCGGGAGGTGGAGAAAGTCGCGCCGCGATCGGGTTGGCTGCGCGATCGGCTTGCGCCTCGTCTCGAAGTGAAGATGCTGATTCCTTCAATACAATGTTAAGTCATAGAGCATCATTGGAAAGATCATTCACGCACCGGATATACGCTCTCTATGTGCCCGCTCGCATCCGGTGAAGCCTCCTGAGCCCGATCGCTGGATGCGCCGGTCGCGTGCTGTTGGACCTGCTCGCCGGTGCTCTCGACAACGGTTGCTTCGGGCGTTGCAGCGCTGGAAGACGAGCCTGAAGCGCCATGAAGGATACTGGGGGCGGCAGGGGACGGTGGGGAGTTCGTGTCGGTGATGATGGTGGTGGTCGAGAGCTGAGATGATGCCGTGGCGTCGCTTGCTGCTGTCGACGTCGACGTCACAGCACTTGTGACGGTCGAGAGAGGCGAGCGAGCGGATGTCTTCTTGCTTGAGCATGAGGGGAAGATTGACTTGAACTTCGGGAGCATCAGCACGATGAGCTGCAAAGAAGTAACTTGGACATACCTTATTCTTCGGCTTCTTCGTGACCTGCTCGGACTCGAGTGCTGCGTCTGCAGCGCTACGCTTCCCCTCGCTCTTTCGGACGTGCCCCCCTCCTCCTTCCAGCTTACAACTGCTCTCGTCGCTGGTGCTGCGTGCGTTAGCGCGTCGTACATGCTTGCGATACCACCACGGGTAGTTCAATGTCGCGAGCCTTTGCGCCTTCCAATGCCCATCGCAGAAGCGTAACTCCACGAAGGCCTCCTCCATTGTAGCCCAAACATACATCTTGACCTCGAAGCTGGCCTTCCCCCACTTCTCTGGTAGTAGGCCAGGAACCTGCAGCAGAGTGTGCCACAGGGAGTACAGTACCTCGCGCATGGTAATGAGCTTCCTTTCCTCAACGCAGTGTCCCGCCTCATCTTCGAGGAATCTGTACGCCCCCGGCGACTCCTCCTCCTCCTCTTCCGGCCCCAATGGCGTGACATCTAACTGGCCTTTCATCCGAGCCGAGAACTCGGACCAATACCAGAAATGGATGCGACGGTAGTCCTTGCGATTCAGGGTGATGATGCGGGGAGGATTGTGGACCGCGCGAAGGGCAGCTTCAGCTAACGTAGAGAGTGGTCCAGAGCGTACACGCGAGGTGTTTTCGCCCGGAATGATGGGGGAACCTTCCGAAGGCAGGCGTTCGAGCAGCGCGTTGTACGCTGCTCTGAGAATGGTGAGCTTGGGCACATCTGCATTGAAAGCCTGATACTTACTTGGACCCTGTGAGCTCGCCCTGGAGCTCGTGCACCCGCTGCGTGAGTAGAGCCTGTTGTGCCTCCAGCTCTTTGATGCGCTGCAGCAACATCCTCACATCGTAACCAGACGTCGAGATGCTGGAATGCAGACCCTGCGACAACAAGGACGAAGACGGCTGCATGGCCAGCTCGAGCTGCATGTTCCCCATGTGAAGCGGGGCGGGCGAGGGAAGCGATGGCCGTGACATTGTGTGATCCCAACGGTCGGTGCTTGGGAAGTCTGCCAAGGAGTATGTGAGTCTGGCTAATGCTTGCTTGCAATGTATTGCTGATCCCACCTGGGCCATCAGACCGTCTGTGTAGTCTGAAGAGGATGCATTGGACATGGGCGTATCCGAGCGAAGGGAAGGATTTGCGAACATCCTGCGTACACGTAAGCTCTTGGCCAAAGGCGACTCGCGAGTACGCCCCCATTTGGGAAACCCTTACATGCTAGTAAAAGTGTCCGAGAGCAGTTCGCGTCGAGTGCAGTGCGTTTACGCGTTATCGTCGTCTTAGTGAAGGTATGGGAGGAAACGGAATGTCGAGAAATTTCCTTGCGCCGCCGGAGGCATGCATCACGTGCTCGTGATGGACAACACGTGACAAGTTCGATTTCCAAGGTCAACGCTGGGGTTCTTCGTCCGGGACAGATCCTACTTGTTAGATGCTCAAAACCAACACTACATGGTACTATAGCTTGATTGCAAATGTGAGAGAAACATAGACTATAGGGGAAGAGGCAGAACAGCAAGGTATATATATATATATTCAAGCTTCATCATCATCTTCGTCTTCCGAATCGCGAGAGTCATTGTATACATAGCCAATCTTCTCCAAAATGCCAAGACCAGGTCGCTCCACTAGGTAGTACCGATCTCTTGCTGTCTCGTCCTGGAAAAACAAGGGGTACCGCTGGTCTGGGGCGAGTAAAACAACAGAAAGAATACTTCGAGCATCGATAGCAACTACTTTCGTGTCCCTGTGATGCTGCATAGTGACATATGTCTTGGAGGAAAGATTGTATATTCCCTGATGAGGGAGGCCATATAGCGAGCATATTGCCACACCGCGCAGCTCACCGTGCACTGGAATAAGCACATAATAGTGAACCTCGGCAAAACGCTGGCCTTCGCTGGCCATGAACTGTGCAAAAAGTAAGTAAGGCACTCGAAGTAGCTCACAAAAGATTCCGAGACGTACCTTAACATTGCGAGACATGCGGACATGCTTAGGATCCATCGCCTCCTCCTTCCACCGCGAGCGCGCAGTTTGCCCGTTAGGAAGTCGAAGCCTTGCCCAGCGACGCACTTTCAGAGCGTCACCTACAGGTGTACGATCTCCTTGCGCTTCAAGAAAGCGCTGTAGAGCGAGGGCCTCTGCGCGCGTGACCGGCCTAGCAAGCCTGTCCCGCCGAGGGAGAAGGGCATACTTCCCTTCGTGCAGGATGTGGGCTCGTCGAGGGAAACTCGGCTGTGCAGGCTCGATGTCGGGAAGTAGGGCCTTAATAGCGTTGATTTGGCACCTGCGGATCGCGCGCTCGGAGAGGTTCGCATAGGGGTTTGAATGTTGCTTGATCTCCTCTCCGAGGTTTCCAATTGTCCGCTCCATTGTATACTGAGAGTAGAGCATGCTGGGCCCCAAGCGCTGCGTCTCGCGAGGCATGTGCGAGGGTGCATGGACGCTGGCACGGACAAAGTGCAGGCGATCTGCGCGGCGCTGAACGTACAGATTTTCGTACTCATCTGATTGCTCACACGTGAGCTCGTCAGACTCGCGCAATAATTCGACCGATATTTTGACCTCCATGTCGACCCGAGTGGCGCGAACCAGCTTGCAAAACTGAACATAGTAGGCCTCCGGAAGATCTCCAAAGAGCAAGCAAGGGCAATGGCCGTAGAAGTACAGCAGAAACTCCCAGGACTTGTAGCCACTGGTAAGCTTCTCCGCGATGTTGCGTGAAGGGCGGTCGAAGGATCCCGGAGTGTACGGGATGGCGTCTGCAACCATCTGTCCATGCGCCTTCCACTTCGCCGGGCTCTGGAAAATTGCAAAAGGCCAGGTCGCCTTGTTGTCGGTTCGTGTGTCGCACTCGATCGTGGCGCGCCACAACGAGATGTACAGGTCGGGGATGTTGAGAGTTGCGAGATGCATCACATCGCCACCAAACATAGCTGGGACGCCCAAGTTATGCTTGGGAGGCAAGCCGCTGAAGATCGAGGGCTTGACAATGCCAGTCTCGAGGCGGTTCCTTTCATAGCGCGTCATGTTGGGGGAGTTGACGACGGTCTCGAGATTTCTAAGGTAGCGCGCAGTGGCGCGCTCCGTCGTATGCTCGTTGAGCAGCTCTCGAATGTCGACATCGGGATGGTCGCAGCCAGGAACACGATAATGGTGCGGACGAAGACGTGCGGGATAGTAATGGGGGCCGCCGATTTTGTGCCGCCCGATGATTGGACAATAAAAGCGGCAGTGGATGCGCCCGTGATGTCCAACGAAGCCGTTCAGGTAAGCCATCGCAGGCCCATCGGCAGTCGCCAAATACAGGAACGGATGGTCTCGGAAGACGCGTCCGGTCGCTGCATCCCATACGACGAGACCCTCCTTCTGAATAGCGGCCAGGTGGTACAGCCCCATGAAGAGGAAGCTGTCCGCATTCCGAATCTTGTTAGGTCCTGGAATTGTGCCGCCGATGCAGACGAAGCGCTTTTTGTACCGCACATCGACGTCGAGGTTCATCAGAAGCCAGATGTAAATCCAGCAATCCGATGCCTTGTTGCGGTAGAGCATAGCGCCATCCATGGATAGGACAACCACGCTGTCGTCAGGTGTTATCCGTCCATCCTGTACTGCCTCGAGGTATTCCGCGCCATCGATGTAGTCGCTGAAGGGAGAGACCTTGACGCCGTTGTTCGCATTCAGCTCATCGAGGACAGCAGCCGTACAACGCTCGCGATACTGCATCAGCCGCGAGGTCTCCGGGCCACGTCGCTGCGCCTGAAGCTGAGGGCCGAGAAGAATTGTTGTGAACTGTTTCCGAGGACGCTTAGTGCGCGATCCTTTGCCGCTTGCCGGAGTGAGCTCGTAGCGCCGCTCCCCACAATACGGGCAGAACTCGAGATCGCGATAGGGGCCCGTATACCCAATGCACGAGTTATCGCACATATCGCGCTTGACCTCAATAATGCCGCTCAACTCACGGACTAGCTTCTTCACCTAAATCCCCAGAGTTAGCGCCATCAGGTAAACACAGAGAATGACCAACATACCTCGTAAAACGAGAGAATATTGCCTTCAGGATGGCGGCGCAGGTAAGCGGCGCGAGAGTCATTGTATGCGTCCACAGAGGCGTCAGTGAGCGCGAAGAAGAGGTCCAGCGAGTATCTCTGGTCGGGATCGTCCACCGTCAGAGTGTGCAGTGGAGGATTCCGAAGTTGCTGTATGACGTCCTCGGGTAGGGGCTCCACATCGCTATCGAGCGTCGCATGCTGAAGCAGTTCGATGAAGTTTTGCGAGATTTTGAGGTCGTCAAGCACAGGGTTGAAGCGGGGGGCGGGAGTATCTGCGTCCAGAAGCTCGTCCGGAGGGTCAATATCGCGCGAATCCTCTCTTTCGGCCCCTGCTCGAGTGTCGTCCTCGTCCTCGAGTTCAAGACTCTCAGTTGCAACCGGGGAGTCTCGCTCTACCGCAGAGTCTCGCGGTGGCGAGGAAGGCTCTCTACCTTGCAGCGGTGGAGGGCCTTCTTGAGGAACATCGACTCGAGACGCCGAGTCCTCCGAGTCCTCCGCCGGAGCAGTTCTTGCACCACCCTCGACTTCGTCCTGTCCGAGTTGGTGAGCTCAGTCAAGTGGAAGTCGTCAGATTCTCTCACCTCTTCATTCTCCTCTGTCTCAAGTGGATCACCATCGTCTTCTCCTGGATCACCACCGGGCGCATTTGCGTCGTCGTCAGTGCCCGGGACTTTGTCGCCCGAGATGTCGGTACGTGCGCGCTTCCTTGTGCTCTCCGATGCGGAATCGGCCCGTCGCTTGTGTGTCGAGCCTGCGTGGGGCACTCGAAGTAGCTGCTCGTTGTACAAGCTTGTCGAGGCGAGGAGAAGGCGAGCTTGATGCTCCTGCTCTCGTTTGCGATGTCGGTTCACGACTCTCCGTGTATACGCACGCCCCGGACCGTTGGGCCCACCACATCTGAGTGAACAATGGCAGATTTCCTTGCCCGACATAGTGGGGAAGCACAATAGAAATTGGTGAGGATGATTTCGAGGAGATGTGAGTTGCCGAACTTCGGCTTATTCAGGAAGTTCTCCAGTCGCCAGTGAGAACTTTCGAAAGAAATCACACGGGCGATTTTCGCATTCGGAAACAAGCCGAGTCTCGCACTTAGACTAATCAGTTTCAGGGCGTGGCTTGCCATTGCGATGCGGTAAGTTATGGTAAGACGGAAGGTGCGCAGGTGTGACGACGGTCATATTGGGTCATATCGCCGTTACATCTGTCACATCTGGCCTTATCTGGCTTGACTGCGTCAGAACACGTTTTGACTGGGTCTCACTCTTCGGTTCGCTCTGGCTACTTATGCATTACATATCCTTGACGTGTTCCGTCGACAGCAGTGTTTCCGTACTTCCCCTCCTGCAGTTCTTTTAGCGCAACGTATGTGTGTATACCCGCCATTTTCGTGTACTTTGTCGTGCAGTTTGTCCGCTATGTAGATAGCTGATCTGACTGTATGGTACCCACTCTCCTTATAGACTTCAGCGCGTTGCACATCAATAGACTTTACATGGTTGGATGCATAGACGTTGCGCAACGTCTTGTGAAGGACGTGGGTAGAAAACAAGGCTTGCCCGAAATGGCACACTGAGACGCGTCCATTGTTCTTCGGATCGGCAATCACCCTTGTCTGAGTCGCACGTGGCGTGACCTCATCTTGTCATGGCAGCTCGAGCAGCAGCGGCGCGCATCCCTCGTCTTCGACTCTTCAGCGGTCCAAATTGCTCGCTTTGCGATGTATGTCCTATACTCCCGATGGCGAGGACCTTTCGCGCTGACCTCTTGCCCAGATCGCAAAGGCCGAGCTTGCACAAGTACGGAAAACTGTGAGCCTTCCATCCGACTTTGCCTGCCACCACTTTTACTTTCCCTCCTACCGCTTCCCCTTTGCCTGCCGCCACTTTTCCCTGCCACCACTTCCTCCTCCAGCCATCAGCATCCCTACTCGATCTAACATGCGCCCCCCAGCACGACTTCGAGCTCGAGACAATCAATATCCAGGCTCCCGGCCAGGAGTCCTGGAAGCGGAAGTATGTGTACTGGATCCCCGCGCTGCACATCGACGGAAAGGAGGTAGCGAAGGGAAGATGGGACGCGCAGACGGTGACCGAGGCGCTGGAGAGGTGGAAGCAGGAGCAAGCCGCGCAGGGGAGGCAGGAGGAACAGGCGGCGGCAACGACGAATACAGACGCCGACTCAAAGAGCACATAGAAGAGCAGTTGAAGCTTGTCCCGTCGCACTGCCTCTACTTCGAACAAGACTTCCCCGGCGAGCCGGGGTATACTTTCCGCGGTGTCTACGAGCGCGTGACGGACGAGGTGCTGGGGGAAGAGGACGAGGACGCTATAGACCCCCACCCCTCCCACTCGAATGCCCTCCCCTCTCACTCAAATGCCCACCCATCCCGCTCGCGCTGCTTCAACTGCGGCTCCCCCGAACACATCCTCGCCGCCTGCCCCGATCCCATCTCGCGCCCGCTCGTCGCGCTGTCACGCCAGATGCACGACTTTTACCGCGGGAACGCGAGTGCGTCGGGCTCTGGCGGGCGACTTTGGGTGGTCGAGGAGTGGCGGAGTCAACGGCTGGGCTGGTTGGACGAGTTTCAGCCGGGCGAGGTGCGGAGCGAGGGTCTGCGCGAGGCACTTGGGAACGATGGGCAGCCTTGGCTGGAGAACATGATGATTTGGGGCTATCCTCCGGGATGGTATAGCGCTGAGGACCCTCGCGAGCGTGTGCGCGCTATCATCGAAGGGGACACTGAACCTGAGGAGTTTCAAGCCGATGAGTCTTTCGCTGTTCATCATGACGAAGGCGTGGAGGGCGTCAGCTTCACCTTGCCCTCGTCGGAAGACACCTCTGAACCGGCGCAAGACAAAGAGGACGTACGCGCGCCTTCTGTACCCAAGTCGTCCCAAGCGCCTCGCCGATGGGCGAAGTACCCTCCCGACCTATTCTCGTCGGACCACCTCAGCGTCTACAATGGATTTACCCTTCCTCTGTTCGATGGATTGCCGCCTCCGCCTTGCTCATGGGATGCTCCACTACCTCAGCCACCGTCGGGCTTACCGCCACCGCTGCCTCCAGGTTCTCCTCCACCTCCTCCGCCAGGTTCTCCGCCGCCATTACCTCCCCCTGGTCTACCGCCTTCGCCTCCGCCGCTACCTGATTTACTGTCTCCTCTGCCTCTTCCTTCGACCCCGCCGCCTGTGCCTTCGCAGACCCAACCACTGTCGGCAGTGGAGGACACGCGCATCTCGCGATCTGCGAATACCGCACGGGCTGACGTCCAGCGAGATGAGAGCGCTGCACCTCACACTCATGAATCCCTCGACAAGGCCCCAGCTCCGCCTCCGATGGAAACCTCGTTGGCGTCGCAGCTTCAAACACCCGAAGCAGCTCCATTCTCCCCAGCCTTTTCTTTGCGGCCGTATTTCGAGCGATATGGCTTTCCCCACTTCCTGAAGGCTGTATATATCGAGCCTTCATCGCAGCCAGATAGTCCAGACGAGGGCGAGCAAGATATGGTATTCTCCGATGATGAATAATGCGAGGGTGGTCGTAAAATAGTTGTCTAATGTGATGCAAGTAGCCGGAGCAGCGATCGCTAGCAGTACGAACATGACGAAGGCTCCGCGTAGGCTAGTGCATAAGCAGCACCAAGAAAGTAAAGTAAGTACGGGACAATACAGCGACGTCCTATGGCTCAGTATCATGCGTAATGGTTATCGTTATCCTCTGCCCAGGCAGGATTTTATGGGAGGAATCCTTGCAAACGGCGATACTGACCTCCCCACCACAGTCCGTAGAGGCTTTGGCCTGGGATATCCACGCCTTTAGGTTGCCAGTGCCGTTCAGCTTTGGCTTCCCAGCCTGAGGTGCCGAAACTGAGGACGTGTCCCCTTCTCGCTTGCCGCATAGACATCGGTATCTCGAGGTGAACCTGGTGGATTGTGGGTTCGTCGCACGCTTGAAGGGTTTGAGGCTGGTTGAGGGTCAGGCCGGATGTCCGACAAGCAGTTAGGGTGTTTCTTACGCAAATGAGACGCTCGTTTCGTCGCGCAGCTTCTGAGCTACTTCAATGACGCGGGCTGCATGGTTTTGGTCGATGTCGACGATGCGATAGCACCCCTCGAACGTCAATGGTCGCCGGGGTATATGCGTCCGCTTGATCCAAGCGAAGAGTTCGTGCGCGTTGCAGTATTCCGATGCAAGCGGTTCGTGGCGCTGTATGTTACTCATTTAGCGCATAGTCATGATCTAGCCTCGTGATACGACACTGACCGCCGAGAGTACTATCTTCGCCTTCGGTTCGCTCTTGACTTTAGTGAGTTTACCGGAGGTGGCGGCTGAGAGCTGCAAGGCATCGCGCTGCTCCTTCTCTTGCTTCTTCTTTTCCTTGTACCTCTTGCCATACGCGCGGCCCTTCTCAAGACATTTCGTGCAGGCCTTGTACTGGTAGGACGGGTCGTCGATGACGGTTCGACACGAATTACAGGTTCGACTCGGGACAAGGGTGCCCATGCGGACGTTTGAGTCGACGACTGACATAGCCATTTTCTCGAGGAGCTCGCCTGTGTCGGCTGGAGGAGATGCACGACAACGCACGAGCGATGGTGGACGACAACTTGCGAACGCGTCGAGCTCCGCGTGGCAACCGCGTCAAGTCACACCACGTGACTTCCATCAAATTGAACATGTCACAAAAAACAAGAGATCATTTGACTCCGAAATTGTCAATGGGCGTCAACTTGGGACTCGTTGACGGCACAGCCGACTCGGATTGTGCCTGCACGACGATCTCGGCATTGTTTTTCTGCTCATCCTCAGACCTTTTTTTGATTCCTTGCTGCTCCTTTTCCCTTCGTCCGTTTGCACTCCAAGACTCCTTCCCAACCTCGCTGGTGCCCAGGACCCTTCCCTGAGTCTTCCTAGTTTGCGAGGTCTTTTCGGCTCGATGCTTCCGTTGCAGGTGCTTTGCTGGGATGTTGACGACCTCTCTTCTCCGCTCCGGTAGAGCGACTCGGACGACGAATGGATCAGTATGTAATTTCATGACTAGAACCGTCGCAGTCGAGGCGGTATTTATCTCGGAACGGGAGCATCAGACAGGCGCCAACTTCGCTTCACCGAGCATATAAAGGCGACCTGTGCGGTGCTGGTCATCTGTCTCTTCCCCTATCCCCGCCACCACCACGCCAACACGCGACACGATGTCCATGGGGTTCCAGCAGCAGCAGCAGCTCGAGCTTAGTGAGGCAGCCATCTACGGCCTCCCCAACGAACTCCTCGCAGATATATTCGACACGACCGTGAAGAGCGTTCAGGGAAGCGCGGAGCTGGTGCTGGTGACGCTTGAGGTACGCGTCCGCCCGTCAAAGCGAACGAGCGTCCGAGGCTGAGAGTTCCCCAAGCAAGTATGCCGACGATGGCGGAGCGTGCTTCTGGCAACGCCGATGTTGTGGACGTGCGTCACAATACAACACCCTCGCGCGCGCCCACGCCATCCGCTCAGCCGCATGCGCGCATACCTGACACGCTCCGGCGCGTGCCCGCTCGACGTTCGGCTGACCGATTCTGACGACGCCGACGCCTTCTTGCCCTTCCTTCTACCCCATATTGGCAGAGTTCGTTACCTTGCCATTGACGGAAGGACGGTAGAAGGCCTCCATCGCATCGCGGCCTTCCTTCGTGACCTTGCTGCGCCCGAACTGCTATACTTGAAGTTTACGCTCAACTTCCACACGCCTCCTTTGGCCGTTCAGCAGGCTTTGATGCCTATGACCGTGTTCGCTGGTGGCACGCCGAGCCTGACGCATGTACACATCCAGCTGTCCGGCGCGCTCGACGTCTTTCCTCTGCACATTCCCGAAAACACGGCATCGTTGAAAATTACACCATATCCGACGACAGTAGCGTCAGCATGCCTCCATAGCGCCTTGGACGTCGTCCATAACCTCACGGAAATCTTCGTTCACGGTCAGCTAATTCCAGTGAACACATCCGCGTACGGAATGGACACCATCGAGGCACCCCGTCTGCGTCGACTCACGCAGGTCGTCGGTCGTCGGCGCAGCACTTCTTTTTGGCCCGCCGTCCTGTGCGCGCCGATGCTCGAGCACATCACCTTGTACGCGCGGGAGAGAAAGGATCTGGAGGGCTTCCTTAGCGACGCGCCCGTGTCCTTCGAGGACCTCGCCATCCCCGAGCAACCCATGCTTCGCTCGCTCACCATCGCCACCAAACACTACAAACACCACCGTTGCGACAATCCACCCTGGCGCGGCTGCGAAGCTCTCCGCATCTGCGGCCACCTGCACAGCGTCCTCGCGACCGTGCGCCATCTCACCCTGGTCAACGTCTGCAGGGGCGGGGAGGTGCTTGCGGATATGCTGGCAAGGACGCCGGAGGGGCAGCGGATGCCGAATCTGGGGGTGGTGGAGGTGTCGTCGCCGTCAATGGATTGGGAGCGGCTTTGCGGGATGCTGGACTTGCGAAGGGATGCAGGATACCCGTTGCGTGTGGTTGGTATCACTCCCGCGGCGGTCGAGGAGGGCGCGGATCACCTATGCTCGAGGATGGAGGTCATACGAGAGTTTTCAGAGACCGAGGCTTTGAGAGATCCGTTCGCTGACGGGCAAGTTATGGATGGTCTATAGAGCGGTCATGCTAATAAGATACAGTGAGTATGTACAATCCGTATAATGCGGTGAGGTATTAGCTATATGATGCGTGATGTGAGCGGTTCTTCAAATGGTGAGTCCGTCCTTGATTCTACATTCCCTGTGCAGATATCGCTTCTCTACGGACCAGTGTTGCCGTAGACAGGGTACCCGTGAGGCATAGGGCTCGCGAAGCGTCCAAACCCCGGGTCTTTCGTGGTATGATGTGACGGGATGGTGGCCACTCCGTAAGGGAGTGCGTTCGAAGGCCGCCGCTGGCGGGTTGCGGCAGAGCGGTCGACCGTCTTGGCGCTCGCAAAGCCAACAACGCGAATGTCGCCCTCTTTCGTGAGGACGAAGTGATCCTCGCTCAGTAGCTCGTTCACGCTGACATTTCTGCTCAATATCTGGGCCAGAATTGCTTGCATATCTGGGCTAACAACATTTATCAGTTAACATTAGTGGCACATATGTGGCACAGGCTTACCGATGGAAATCTGTGCGATATACAGGTCCGCCAGAGCAATACTGCATCACCAGCACACTGCAGGCCTGTCCGTTCTTCGCATCTCGGCCGTCGAAGTAGCCATACACATTCGGAACGACGCGTCCTTGCAAAGGATGCAACTCCTGCGCGTACAACCTGTACTCCCTATCGAGCGCCGTGCGCTCGGCGTCATTCCAAGCAAACTTCATCACGACAGGCGTGAGCTCGATGGACCCGGCGGCGCCGTACTCCGCGACGTATACGCGTGGGTGGCGCTTCCGCTCGCTGCCTTTTATGGGGCGCATGTAGCCGGCGGTGAGATGCTGCGGGTGGCCGCGGGCGCTCTTGTCCAGGGACCACATCTTCTGGGTGTAGTCGCCCCAGGAAATCTCCAGAAGTGACATGGCGGAGGGGATAGTGGCGGGTGGCAGGGTTGAGCTTGTGTGGCGCGGGTGGTTAGAGGTGCCGGTGAACGACGAAGGGAGGGAAGGTGGTTTGGATGGCAGAAGGTAGGCGGCTACTTATATACCGTCAAGTGTGGCCTGCATGGGTCACAACAACGCGCGCGCGAAGTCCGAAGCAAAGCACAATCACGAACCCCGTATGTATGAATGGTCATAGGCCACCCCCATTAGGCCACCGCACGTTGCAACGGGATATGCCGAATGACTGGTTTTGGAAATGAGCCTTGTCCTTGTCCAACAAGCAGCACGTCAAAGGCAATGAAAGGGTCTCTCAGTCATGGCCCAACGAACATGAGCGACTTCGTGCAAAGAAACTACCAGGGTTGTAAGAACGGTGTTGCTTGCCTAGGTCCATACAAAGCAAGAACGCACCTCACTAGACCTCACGCTCGAACAAAAGTCGGGCCAGGCTAGAGCAACAACTGTACTACTAAGTTCATTGGTATTATACTACAACATATCTACAATTACACCTAGACCGCCAGTACAACCATTTCCGCATGGATATATGCACTCCTCCAAGCCACCTACCTTCACACACGATCCGGCATCAACTTCCAATCAGCATCGACGACTTGGATGTGATATCGCGCCAGCCGCTTGCCCCAAGCCTTCATCTGACCCTGCAAACCAGCCTCCTGCGCTCGCCCGGCAACGCCCTTGCGAAGCCAGCGCACATCCCGCATCCGCAGCACGCAGAGTTCAGGAAGGCGAGGGAGCAGCTTCTCCAATACAGGCCACCAGTCACTTGCCGGGCGAGGGATGGATAGCATCCGAAGCGGGTGCGTGGCGCCTGGCTCCAGACGGAGCTCCGGCAGCGGATTCTCGAGGGAGAGGTGCCGCAGCTGTGGGCACGTGCTGAGCAGGTCCACGGGCGATGGGTGGAGACGTGTGGGCCACGACTTGGGGGTGAAGAGCAGCAGAGACTTGAGCTCCTTGCCGTGCGTGAAGATAAGCTGCGACACGAGGGAGGCGGGGAAGGGGACGTCGTCGTATGGCGTGACCGTCAGCTTGCGTAGTGATGGGAGGGGTGATTGCAGGAGGGACATGAGGAGGGTCGAGTTGTGGAGCGAGATCAGGGAAAGTGTGTGGAGATGGGGGAGGTTGAGGGTCTTGACGATGGACTCATCAACCACGCTGGAGGCGAAGTCGAGCTCGGTGGGGTCTGGACCGCCGCCGATTACTTCCAGTTCCTCGAGGTTGGGGCACGATGCGACCAACTTGAGGATGGGCTCGTCCTGGCCAGTAGCAGAAGGGACGTAGGTGATCCCGCAGAGGGACCGTAGGTGTTGCGACTCCCATCGGTCTGCCAGAGCCAGTATAGGTCGTCGGCTCATGACGAATGAGGGGTTCAAGCTCAACTTCGCGAGGTGCGGAAGGAGCGGGAAGAGCTGGGTCAGGAGCGAGTCGAGCTTGAGGGCTTGCGCTCGCCCCGTGAACTCCAGCTGCGAAAGGTCGAGGACCTGCACCCATCGTCCGGGCGCCGAGTAAGGTATCCGCCGAATGGAGTCCCACTTCTCGTCGCATTCGTGCAGGTGTTTGTATAGCTTGTCGAGGGACGAAAGATGGGATATGCGAATGGTGTGATACAGAAGGGGGAGGGCGATTTCCTGGGGACTTGATCAGTGCTTGCTGCGACAGGAAGTCAGCACACGACATACCTTCAGCTCCTTGTTCACTAACAGAAGATTCCAAGCTTCCGCCGTCTCCCGCGTGTCGTCCAGGACGTAGTCCAGTATCCGTGCCCACACCTCCGATGGTAGGTGGACGGGGGGCTTGCGGATGGGGAGCAAGGGTAATAGCATGAGACGCCCGCTGAACTTGTCGTATGGGCGGGGGCGGAGTATAACCTTAGAGGTGGTCGTAGAGGACATTGTCGACAGACGGTAGAAGACGAATATTGCGGACATCTTGGTCGTTCCCCGCGTACCTTTATACCCCGAGAGCGCAGGCACCAGCGTCCGACTCAGCACGAATGTTGCCGAGCGACGCCCGACGGCAGGAAGAGAAAGGATGATAAGCGGCCTGACTCTACCCCGCGCTCATAAACCAGCCGCACGTGGCTGGCATCATTCCCCGGACCCCCTCCAGCCATCATCGTCTCGGCAACTTCCTTGCTTGTCGACTTCGAGAGACTCGTCTGAAGTATGGAAGACAGCTATGTCTGCTATGTACTTGCTCTCGGACATGGAGGAAGTCGTTCATTTTGATGGCATTTGTAAGGACTCCGATGCTGAACGCACAAAACACCCCTTTGCGGACCCATCCGACGTCACGAAAAGAACCCATGGAAAACCCATCCAAGCTCACAGATGCATACGTCCTGGAAGGTGCTCCACGGCCACCCTCGCCCAGAAGGAGGCACTGTCAGTGAAAATCGAGCACGCCCGCAAGGTACCCGACGCCTACGAGTCACCGTTGCGAGCCTCCCGAGTCATCTTTAAAGCCCAAGGTAGGAGCAGACGACATGGCCCGACGTCGAAGGGCGCTGAGGGCGCACACCAGACCGTCGAGGCCGCCGTCTAGCACGAAGTTATGACTCGAAGGCGCAGGACGAGAGCAGTCTACGTCCAAAGGTCCGCACGCTCGTGAGATAAGGGGAATTGCAGCGATAGCTGAGGTGGTAAGATACGCGGGCGTACCCTGGTCGTTCACTTGGCGGCGGCAGCCTCCATTCAAGGAAGAGGACGGCGCGCAAGTTCAACATGTGGCGGGCATTCCCGAGGAGTTGTGATGGACCGGTCCGAACTCTCCCTCGCCGAATGCGGCCGGAGCTTGCCGGAACTTCAACATGCCTGTGACGTCACGCTATTGAACATCCTTCCGGTGCAGCAGGACCCTGGATAATGGGCGACGAGGTTAGTTCCGGAATTCCTCGAAACAGCGGCGTCCAAGTCCGACATTTTTTGGCCAAAAGGACAGCCAAAGTCCGACTTTTTAACCAACCTTGTCGGCCGCCAAGATTTTTTATTTCCCGATTAGGGAAATTAATTATTTGTTTTGTCACGTGAGCAAATATTCAGCATTTCCTGCGACTTTCTGTGCCTCTCCCGAGGGCCTGTTTTGAACGGGAAACCACGCCATTCGACGTATCTCGCTGTTCGCGCGTACCCAGTGCACCATTTAGGCATTTTCGTGCTGTTTTGTCTGATACCTAACTCAGGCAGGGTCCCAAAAGTCCGACTTCCAAAGTAAGCTGACGCCCTCAACCTACCCATTTCTCCGACTTTCTCAGAGACATTTGGAGCGTTTGAGGCCCCAAAAAATCCGACATCGCGAACTACCCCTCCCCCCAATTATCCGGGGTCCTGGTGCAGCTTGGGCATTTCCGGAAGCAAAGGGACCGCCCTGACGGCGACTCCGAGAACATACGGACATAACGACGACGCACTCCGACCTTTTGACATCATACTCAGCGACGTTCGCCGACAAAACCCGTGAAGAGGCGTCACTGTTCACTCATCGGACACGACTGCTCACGATGCTATCCTTAGAGATCTCGTCTACATCGTCAACACTCGGGGATACGGTGGCGCTCAACGCGTACGATATACTTGCTACATCGATAGCTGGTGGGTACCGTTAAGGATAAAATACAAGCGTTTACAGAATTACCGTGTACTGCTCTCTACCATCCCGTCCGTACATTGCTTTGGCACTTCCCTTTACCTTCTAATCAGCGCATACTTAGTCGTTTGCTTCTTGCACGGGGTACTTGTGCTGCACTCCATGTCAGCTTCCCATCCCTTTCCTTACTCTGACACCAAACGGACCTTGGTGCTGTCGAACGCATCAAGCCCGGCAGCGACCCTGGCACCCGCGACCATTCCGCTCCAGTCGAGAACGTCGAGGTTGGTGGTACCCGCTTGTTGGGCGGATCGGTGCAGCGCGCGTGCAGTGAGGAGATGCTGGTAGGCGACGTCAATGGCGGGTAGGGGCACATCGTTCTTCGTGCTCAAGTGACGGATGTGGCTTTAAGGTGAACGTCATTAGCAGGATTGTTCTGCAGTGCGGAAAGGGTAGAACATACCTGGCATCCTTGATCCCGCCGTCAATAGAGAAGCCAGTGGTGCCGTCGAAGTTGTCGTGTGCCATCCGGTTGGCGTAGTTGACGATGCTGATCCAAAGGTCAGGCTTTGGTCAGTACACATGCATTGAACGTACTTAGGTGCAGGAAGCATTTCTTGTCATAAATAGTCATGTTAGGGGGGCAGACGCGTTTCGGAGAAGAAATATGCATACCCTGAACAAACGTCAAGACATTGGACGGGTCAATCCCGGACTTGTCTGCGAAGGTAAAGCTAAGCGGCGTCAGAACCTCAGGCATGGTCAATATTCAAGACATGCGCACCCTTCGGCGAGAACTTCTATTGTTCCTAGAATCATCGAGTTGCCGATGAGCTTGAACGTCGGTGCTTTGGGAGGATGAACATGTAGTTCAGATGCGAAGTTCTATACACGCACCCTTGATGATGTTGCCACCGAGATCCAAAACCTTCCGCCCCACGCTCGGAACGAGCAGATGCGCAACTTCCTTCTTCGCGCGGTAGTCACCGCTCATGATGATCACAAGCTGAGCTTTATCAGCGGTAGCAGGAGGGCCGAACACTGGTGACGTGACGAGGTGGCAATGGGGGAGGGTGGTGATGAGGCTGTCGAGCTGGATCGCTAGGGAGGGGAAGATCTGCAGTACATAGCATACATCAGTACATCGAGAGGAGCGGCGAGCAAGGCTGGGCGCACCGTGCTGGTCTCGACGAAGATCTTCATGTTCGAGGCCGGCTTGCTCTAGAACCGCCGAGGTAAGGACGACGAAACGGCGAGGACGATAGCGGCGCACCTTGAGCGTCTCGGCGAACTGCTCGTAGACGGACTTTACCACAGCGTCCTCGTTGAGCGAGGTGAAGATGATGTCGCATTGCTCGACGAGGTCGGTGAGGTCGTTCGCGATGCGAACGAGGGTGCCCAGTTCCTTCTGCAGCTCCTCTGACTTGGAGGGTGTGCGGTTCCAGACGAGCAGAGGGGGGCCGTCGCGCTTGCCCTTGGCGAGGTTGCGCGCCATGAGGTAGCCCATGTTGCCTACGAGCTAATTAGGTAGCCGCATACCACAACCGCGTCTCGCGCGTACCAAGGCCGACCCATCTACAACGCCGCGTCAGTACAATCTCAATGACATCCAGCAAGTCATGTACCCGAGTTTCCTTTGCCGCCCAGGAGACGGCGGCCTCGAGAAGGGCACCGTCTGCTGGTTGATACTGAGCGAAGACATTGACGATGAGCGCAGGGTGCAAGATCAGTGCATCGTCATGCGATCTCGCCTGGATGGACGCATCGGGTTAGGCCTCGGCCCCCGCGGACTTCTAGAAAACAATGGAATTCCGACGCGCGCGACAACAATAGGATGTGCCAAACGGGGATACAGGCGGGCAACGTGCTACTGACTTCGTCCTCGTGCCCTTCAGCTCGCGAGCGCCTCGTTGACGACGCGCTCGGAGAGGTCCCATAGCTTCGACGCCAGCGCCTCGTCTCGGGCGAGCTCGCTGCCTGGTGCGATCTGGCCGAAGGGGACCACGTACGCGCCAGCGTACTTCTCCCTCTCCGCCCACACCTCCGGCGCGGCGGCAGCGAACAGCGGGGTCGTAGCACCATCGAGAGGCTTATAAGGCAATTGACTTGCCCGCGCCTCGCCGACAAACCTGATGCATCCATCCGTGCAGACGTTCCCAGGATCAACAGCGAGAGCGACTGCCGGCACACCTTCTGCGTCGAGTACCATCTGCAATTGCTTGATGAAGAGGATGTTCGCGAGTTTGGAGACGGCTAAGAGGACTGGAGAGTCAGTTTAGTGATGAAGACAAGGAGCGGAAGGTCACGTACAGTATTGGTGGGCGAGGCGCATGCCTTCGGGAATGTCGGTAGAGACGGCGCTGAAGGACTCCTTGGTTTCGAAGTTGACACTACCGGGTTTGACCTGAGCATGCCAGGAGGAGGCTACCTGCATGTCGTTAGGAATGAAGAGACAGATGCTCATAATCATCTTGACCCACCGATACCACGCGTACTCCCTCGGATAATTTTGCGTTCGCAGTCTTCTTCAATAGAGGGAGTAACTTGCGTGTCAGAACGAACGGTCCAAGGTGGCTGACGACAAGTCCATCAGCTTCAGCAAGGGATCGACATACGCTAGACGTACTTCACGGCATAAGTGCGCGAGACACCATACGACGTTTGTTCTTCCGGTGGAGCTGACCTATTGAGGGCAGTCAACATCGCGCACAAATCAAGATACAGTAGTGACAGCCCACATAGCAGCATTGTTCACCAGAATATCAAGGCGATCCTCCGTCTCCAACATCTTCGCCGCCGCTTCCCTTACCTGCTTGAGGTCCGCTATTTCCGCGACGAAGGGAAGCACTTCGGCGTTGGGGTTGGCTTTCTTGAGCGTGTCAATACCAGCCTGCGCTTTCTCAGCAGTCCTTGCGCCGATATACACTTTTGCGCCTTTGTTCGAAAGCTGCTGTGCGATGTTGAAGCCGATACCGCCAGGAGAGCTACAATGGGTGGTTAACACAAGTCCAAGGTGGCGCAGGTGAGGAGGAAACGCACTTCGCGCCAGTGACCAAAGCGACCGTACCCGTCAAGTCGACCATCTTGTTCGCGAAGTCCCATCGCTATCGAGATGTCAGTAATGTCACTTGCAGGCAGAGATATAAACACTTGCCTCGCTAACAGGTGGTAGGTGAGCCATTGTGTCTCGAGAAGGTCGACAAGTCTGTCGATGTTCGATCCACATACCCAGACCGCCCTTTTATACAGATCCCTCAGCAACCCATTGCGCGCTGGCAGAAGCGCACAAAGGGCATTGCCGAAGCGCCGATGAGCAGGAGAGGCAGCACCGGGCAAACTCTCCCGAGCGCGCGACGGCGCTACGACACGCGCCCATTCCGATCAACGGAGCGCTCACTGATGGCTATAAGCCTACCGCTTGAGGGTGCACAGTCTTCTGAATTCTGCGCTCGCCGTGGTGTTCCCTGCAAATAAAGCGAGGACAGCGCCCGTGAGTTGCAATACTCAGGCGAGAAGGGAAGTACATCTGCCGGAATAATGAACACAGCACTGGAAGAGGGGATTACAGGCGTGCTTACCTCTGAGGAGCGAGCGAAAGTACCGAAGCCAACGGAACCCTACCTATCGCAGCTGGTCTTAGCGCATGTCGGTGTCATAAATATTCCACTGCAATAAATTAGTGCAAAAGAGGGGCAGAATATAGTGTACTATGCTAGGAGCGTCCGTCATCTCTGTCTTTCGCTGCGAGAGGCCGCCATAGGCCCCACTGCACGTCGCTGGATCAACGACACGCTGGTAAGCGCGCCTAGTCCTCCCGCAAACGGGCCCTCCCCTCCCCGAGCTCGTACTGCTCCGCCTCCCGCAGGTCCTCGTCGCCCACGAGCGGCTCGTATGCAGCAGTGTCCCTGCCATTGAGCTTGCCTAGCCACGATGTCTTGGCGCCCGCAATGGGTGGATAGGCCGTCTCGCGCGTCTCCGCGGCAAGGAGGGGCTCCGCGGCTTCGGTGGTGGCCAGCTTGATATTCTCCTCGTCGGATGCTTCGCCGAAGACGGCGTCCATTTCTTCGAGCGGGACGCCCTTGGTTTCGGGGTAAACTGGGGTGAAGCGGGTGAGTGACTGCGGCTTGACTACGAAGGAACAACGCTCACGGAAATATACCAAGATACAGCTACACGCGCAGAAGAACCCATGCATAACGTATACGCGCCAAGTGATGACTTCTTGCAGGTACGGCGTCGTCTCGCCCACGACGAAGTTGAATCTAGGCAGGCATCAGCTCTCTATTCTCCTTCACAATGCCTCCTGCCCTCTCTCCGAAAGAGGGAGAATAAGCTGACTCACGCCCAATTCGTCGCCGTCGACAGCGACACGCCCTTCGCGCGGAAAGTCAGCGGCATGATCTCAGGCGGGTATAGCCAAGGGATCGGGCCCCAGCTGTACCCAAAGGCAGCGTTGAAGATGATGACGCAGGCGACGACGGCGTTGGGCGTCTGCGCGACGTCCATATACATCCAGTAGCCTGTGGCGCAGAGGGAGATGCACATCTGGAAGAAAAAAAGAGAAGGTCAGTTAGGGTGCTTTTTGCGGGTGGGACGAGAGGCAGGGGGGGTGAAGAGATCAAGGGCACGGGGGAGTGGAAGGGGGGGATGGGGGGAGGGGGAAGGGGGAGGAGAAAGGGGCGGAACACGCACGATGACACCTCCGGATAGCAAGATGGGCCGCCTGCCCCACCGGTCGACGAGAATCCAAGGCGGGAGTGTGCTAAGAAGGTATACGATGGCGTTGATGCCGGTCATGAGGATGGCTTGACGGCCGAGCCAGCCGGCCTCTGCATGATGGTTTAGCGATCACAGAGGAAGGCAAAGTATAGAGCTCACCTTCGAATACCCTGGCTAAAATTCAGGTTATGTTACTTGTCCATACATGCAGCTCACTGACTCACGAGCATAGTACGAGATGACATTGATCCCGTTCAACTGCGCAAAAGCCTGCGACGACATCGCCAATAGAACCCTCCGCTTGTACTTGCGATACATCGTCGCGTACGAGCGGCCCTCGCCCAGAGCACGCTCGCTCAAGACCTTGTCTTTGATTTCGCGAAATTCGGCTTTGGCGTCGGGATTGTGGATGTCGCCGTCGTGGAGGTCGGCGAGGATGCGGAGACCCTCAGTGTCTTTGTCGGTGTCGATTAGCCATCTGGGAGGGGTGAGGGTGGTCGACGACCAGTAGGTACAGAGAGATCGAAAGAACTAACCTCGGACTTTCCGGCATGACGAGGGATCCCGCGGCCAAGAGCGCGCCAATCACGCACTGCATGAAAAGGGGGACACGCCAGGACATGTCGCTGTCGATGAAGGAGCAGAAGTAGTCGGCCCACTAAAGTTAGAGCGTGAGATACCAAGTCGGAGGGTATGCTAAGAGGACGTACGACAGAGACCACGTATCCAAAGACGTTGCCGCTGAATTCTGCACAAGCGAGAGCACCGCGCTAAGTTGAGGAAGAGGTGTAAGCTGAGGGTGGCACAATGGAACGCGGAGAAACACCGACATGGTTCGGAGGGGAGACTTCGCTCTGGTAGATGGGCACAATGGTGCTGTAGCGGCTCGTTGGTCTACGGGAGTAGCAAGGATGAGCTGAAAGAGTATCACTCACGAAAGTAGGCCGACACCGAATCCGCTGATGATACGTCCCACCACCATGATCACGAAACCGGGCGTAAACGTCTGCACAGCACCTCCAATCGTAAAGATGACGGCGCCAATGAAGAGCGTTCCCTTCCTTCCAATAGTATCACCGACGCGACCCGCAGCCAGCGACGTGACTGACGCGCTGTAAGCCTTCCGATGTGCGCGCCACCACATCACTCACCGAACGCGCCGATCTCTAGCATAGCCACCATGCTGCCCGTCTCAAGTGCGGTAGGTTGCTGGAAGAAACGAGTAAAGTGGGGGCCTGTAATAAGGCCAGACATAACGCTGAGGGCGTTCCCTCAGCTTGGGGACATTCGCGCGGACATTTCCCCGCACCCTTGGTCATAGCCGAACTATTGCATGATTATTCAGTGGACCGCGGTCGAGCAGACTTGTTACCTACAAGAAAGACACCAAGGCTTGCGAATATAGAGATGGCATATAGTAGATTCTGGCCTACCAGCCTGCGCTCGGGACTGGAGGCCATGATGGGTGAGTGTGGGGAACGTGGCGGTCTAAGCGGCACTTCCCGTCCTCGTCGTCGCGCTCGAGCAACCTTCCTCCGCGCCCCCATCTCCGCCGTTGCTGCCGCTCTTAGCCAGCACAGCGCCGCGCGCAATGCAGGCGCACCAGATGTATGCCCATGGCCAGTCGAACAAGGGCACTCTCGTCCCCGGCCAGTCCATCGCCGTCAACAAGTACACCGTCCAGGTCGAGCGCTATCTCTCACAAGGTACTTCCCTCCCTTCTCGCCGTGTGCTCATTCCAATGCGCCCAAGGTGGCTTCGCGCACGTCTATCTCGTCCGCACCGCGACACCCGTCTACGGCACCACCCACCATGTTCTCAAGCGCATCGCGGTCGCCAACGATGCCATGCTCACGGAGGTCAAGCAGGAGGTCGACATCATGGTGCGCACCCACCGACTGCCTCTGATTCTGTGCCTAACTGCCCGCCAGCGATTGCTCAGGGGACACCCCAACATCGTGCACCTTATTGATGCCGCCTGGCACAAGCTCCCCAACGCAACATACGAAGTCTTCATCCTCATGGAGTTTTGCCCAGGTGCGTGCGGCGCATTCCAGCGCACAAACCCTCGTCTCACACCTCGCAGGTGGAGGAATCATCGACATGATGAACCGCCGGCTTCGCGAACGTCTCACAGAAGCCGAGATCCTGCAGATATTCGTCGACGTCTGCGAGGGCGTCGCCTACATGCACAACTCCCGTCCGCCCCTCCTCCACCGCGATCTCAAGGTCGAGAACATCCTGCAGTCCAGCCCCACCTCCTTCAAGCTCTGCGACTTTGGCTCAGCAGCGACCGTGCGCCGGCCGCCCACCACGATGCAGGAGATTCGTGCAGTCGAGGCGGATCTCAACCGGCATACCACCCTCCAGTACCGCGCGCCAGAGATGGTTGATCCTTACCAGCGCCGTCCGATCGACGAGAAGAGTGATGTGTGGGCACTTGGGGTTCTGCTCTACAAGTTGTGCTACTATACAACCCCATTCGAAGAGCACGGCCCACTAGCCATTCTGAACGTGCAATATCGGATACCGCCCTACCCCGTCTATTCAGCCAACATGAACGCATTGATTGGTAAGCTACGTGGTGCTGGCCTCCTTGCAGTCACTTACAAGCCTCCGCAGCGTCGATGCTGCGGGAACATGGCACTCAGCGACCCTCTGTGTTCGAGGTACTCAACCGCGTGCATGCCCTCCGAGGGACGAAATCGCCGTACAACTATGTCATTCCCGCCACGCAGCCCCTCTCCCCTAGCGCCTCCCGCATTGTCTCCCCGCTTGACAACACGATCTCCTACCGCTCCTCTTCGCAAGCCAAGGCCGCTATCTCAAGCTCTCCTACCAAGAACCCAGGCGTACAAGCTCGTGACAAGGTACTTGAGGCCATCGCGCCGATGCGAAGAGGTCGGCCCGCCGGTCACGAGCGCTCAAAGTCTAAATCCAAGTCGCGCCCAACGACACCGAGCAAGGAGCAGGCTAACTGGCTGGACGGAGACTTCAATGCGGCGGAGGAGAAGGCGTGGCAAGCTGTTTCGTCGCAGGCCGGTACGCCAGCGAAGAAGCCCTCGTCAGAGGATGCCTGGGCCGTACATGCCAACGCACCAGCCGCGGCACCGCAGGCTAACAAGACACCCGGCTTCGGCGACGACTTTGCGGAGAAGCTTTGGGACTCATTCGATCCTAAGGCGAAGCAGCAAGCCGCAAACCTCGGCGCGTCTAACGGCCCGTCGATGCCCTCCTCGCTGGCACCTAAGGCGACCATTACCCCGCGCGCTCCCAGTTTTGGGGCGGCGAATCTGCGGCGTGCGCCCACGGTGTCGACGCGGCCGAAGGGGGACGCGTTCGAGGGATTGGGGATCGCCTCCTCGAACAGGGAGCCGGCGCCAACCTTGGGGGAGGCGAGAAAGCTGCGCACAGGGCTGGCGTACATGAGCTCAAGCGCGACGCCATCGAGAGACACTGGCGCATCCCAATCTTGGGTCTTCCACGGCGAATCGGCCGACGCCGTCGCCTCGACCGAACTATCTTTCCGCGTCGACTTCGCAGCAGCAGCAGCAGTCCGACTCCCGCTCGCCTGTACCTTCGCCAAATCTGCGGCCTGTCAATGCGGGTGGTTGGAGGCCCTCGCCGTCACCCAGTGCACAAGGCGATGGCGACGCGGAGACGCGCTTCCCGTCGCTGGAGGAGCTGGACAAGACGTTCGGGTCGCCGGGATCGGAGCACCCGCCATCGAGCTCGTATCAATCATCTCATATGCAGGCATTGAGCTCGCAGTATCAGTCCGCCAATGCACATCACCAGCCTTCAAGCTCGCCGGGAAATGTCAGGCTACCGCCTCTGGCCAGCAGCCAACCCAACCTCGAGATGCAGAGACCGTCGAGCTCGCGCACGGGTACCTCGTCCTTCCTTCGTCCCAGCGGCACGCCTATGGGCAACAACGGTGTCAAATCTGCGCACGTCACTGGCGTCGCAATGCGCGACCACGACGCGCGTGGGGGTTCGGGCGACTCGATGTTCGGCAACGCGCGCATGTCGCGTATGCCTCTCAAGGAGTCCCCCACCTCACCGACGCGTCCGCCCCTTACACGCAAGCACCGCAGCTCAGTGTCGATCAAGCACTCTCCGCAGCCCAGTGCGGACGACTACAGCCCGTCGGACAACCCGCCGAAACTCCCTCCGCGCCGGCAGCAGCCGATGCAGCAGACGGACTGGCTCACGGGCGATGACGAAGCAGTCGAGCGCCTGCCCTCGAACCCAACGGCGGCGAGTTCGAGCCCGATCCCCATCCCGGCGAACAAGAACGCGGACGCGCCGCGCCCCGTAGTGCGCGAGTCGCCGAGCAAGCGCGCCAGCGTGATGTACATGCACGTCAAGCAGCCGTCCCAGGGTGAGCAGGGACTGATCCCTGAGCCTGCACCTGCGCCCAGTCCAACCCCGAGTCCTGCGCCAGGCATCGAGGCTACACCGTCGACGGCGTCGGCGTACAGGGAGCGGGCGGAGCGCATGTTCCCTGCGCTGGACATCGATACAAAGCCTGTAGTGGCATCGCCGCAGCCGACGGGCACGACGCAGAGTAGAGAGGAGCCGCCGTCGAGCGCGGATGAGGATGGGCCAGAGGACGCTGGTGGTTTCCAACCGATGAGGAAGTCGAACGAGACGCCGAAGGCGAGACATAAGGCGCGACAAAGCTCGGTACACGATCTTGTGGATCTATGGGGTGGAGGGCTGACGTCGAAAGAGAAGGAGCAGCAACAGCAACAGCAGCAGCAACGGCCTGCATCGTCTGCCGCGCAGAAGCGAAGGTCGGCGATGCCCTCGCTGTCAGGGGTGCCATCCGCGTCTGCGTCGCCGGGACCGGACTCGCGAAGGCCACCATCGCCGCGCAAGCAGCACAAGGAATCGTCCTCGATCACGAGCGCTAGGCAGCAGGCGGCCGCCGTACCACGATCTCCTGGCCCAGCTTCCCCGATGTCGGCCAGGACCAACTCGTCCTCCCGACCGCAGTCAATGTTCCTTTTCCCCTCGCAGTCGCCCGAGATGTCCTCGGGGAACAACAGCTTAGCTGCTCCCGAGGGGCAGAAGCCGCGCGCGGGCATGCGGCGGACGTCCATCTCCGATATGGTGCAAAAGTACGAGGCGATTGGCGGCAAAGTCAGGCCTGTTGCCAGTCCTGCGCCTATCAACACGTCGGCTGCGAGACCTTCAGGGCTGAGAGCACCAGAGCAGGGCGGTCTTCGACGAGACAGGTCGCCTACGAGTCCTTCGTTCTCTATGGGCAACGGGAACCTGCCACTGCCGCAGGATACGACGGGGAGGTTCACCCATGCTTCCAGGTCTTCGTCACCGACGGGTTTGCCCTCCCGCTACTCGCCCGGCCCATCCCCGACGTCGACTGGCATGCCAAGGAGCTCGCCGTTTATGCAGAATCGCGAGCTCAAGCAGGAAACGGAGCTCCCATACAAGCCGCGAGTGCGCAAGCCCTCAGCGACTCCATCTGCTGGAGTTGCGAGGCCAGACCCGCCTTCGCGCAAGCAGTCAGAAGACTCGCCTGAGCCTTATCAGGGCGTTGGAAAGCTCATCCAGCAGTGGCAGCGGAAGCAGGAGGAATCGGACCCTTCACGGGATAACAAGCGGGGAGGCAATGGGAGTGGCGGTTTGGTGGCAGGCCGGCGTGCCGCACTGGTTGGGGCATCCGGTCGCGGATGATGTGTATGTAGGCCCTCCTCCTTCTCCTCACCTCATGTTCATGCACCTACATAAGACTCTTGATTGGCTTACTCTCATTTCTTCGCTCTCGCTGCCCTCGTCGCACCCCTCCCGCTAGCTTACGGTATTTATCGCGCACATTAGTTCCCTCACACGAACCCCACTTGGATACAATATGATAAATAGCAAGCAACACGCCCACAGTCAGACGATACCTGGACTAAAACGGGATATCATACAACATTGCGTGTCGCGTCACTGTCATGAAGGAGAGGAGAGCTCGGAGCTGCTGTCGTCGTCGAGGCCGAAGGCGTGATGGTCGCGGGTGCGGGTGTGGCCGAGGAGGGCACGGGCTTGTTGCTTGCCCTGACCGTGCTTCCACGGCGCGTCGGTGCGGCGGTAGTTGGCGTCCGATACGCGGTCGGTCGTGCCGCCTAAGCCCAGCTCGAGGGCGGCTGCGTCGGCGCGCGCGATGTTGTTGAATCTGGGGTGGATGAAGATAGAGTCGGGTTTTGACTTGGAGCGGGGTCGGGTTTGAGCGCGAGGTTGGGGGACGGAACCCAGAGCTATCGGTGCTGAGTTTCGTTCCAGAAGCGGCTCTTCTGCGTCTTCGTATGAGCCTGGTGGTCTGTGGAACGTTGAGTTGGCTTCACTCGGCTAGGACAACAGTGGGGGACTGACGGTCGATGGGACTCCAAGGGAGGAAATTTGTGCAACTCGGTGAAGAACTGAGCGGCAGCAAGGGTGGTAGCCTGAGTTGGATGAGTGCAGGTCTCGTATTGATTGTTGGTCATACGCACGATGAGCAGTATCAAGCTGGGACAATCATTAGTTCGACGCATCGAGGCATTGAGAGGAACACTCACCCAACATTGAAAGACATGGCAATAAGCATATAGGATCTGCAGAGGATATTAGGACTTGATCGGACATGCGCAAGGGGGCACTCACAATCTCAGCAAGCTAGCAAGCCAATATAGCCCTGATCGCCACAACGCGAGTCGCCACCGCGATCGCTCACACCATGCAGGTCCCCATTGCGTTCCATGAGCGTACGTTGCCAATCTATCTTGTCCAGTCAACCAGCGGATTTCGGGAGGGGGGAGGGGAATTGACCAGGGGGAAGGAGACGCAGGGGAGGGAGACGCAAGACGCACCTCTCGGTCAAGCAGATCGTGACGGTGAGCAAGGACGCTGCGAAACAACCCAATGCAGAGTTCAAGCGCAGGCTGGCAAGCAAAACGGGTTCCCCTCTCAGTCCCCAGTGCAAACCGCCGGGGGAATCCCAGGTCTGGTCCGCAGTCGATCGCATACTTCCGGGTCAAGGGAGGGAGCGATGTGCGGTTATAACGCAGAATGGGGGTAGGACGAAAGAGTTTCGAGAAGTCAAGGGTATAGAGGAGACAAAGGGAAGAGAATGACGGAGGGGGGAAGCGCAAAGAAGATGGCAGGAGGCAAGGTGATGTTATGGTATGCGGGTGGGCGTGATGTCCGCAACGCCGCGGTGCCCGTTGTCAAGCCGTATTTAGCCATTTGGTTCTGAGTCCTATGTGCAGCTCATTCGACTGTCCCAAGAGCCCCCTGGTGGTTGAACTAGATGATATAAAGGGACAAGATCTGTAGATGCCCTTCTCTTCCTGCTAAGAAGCCCTAGTCGCGTTACGAAGCGCGTGACAGGATGATGATAGAAGCTAGCATGTCGACACCGGACCAACGGTGTATGGCAGAATCAGTCTACCAGTACCCAGTCCTCCTCCCCTCGACCTTCTCCCTAGCCTCCTGCGCCTTGGCCTCCCGCCACTCACAGTCCTGCATATATTCGCAGGTGCTAAGACCGATTAGCATGGGACCACCGCAGCATTCAAGGACGAAACTCACTGGCATCGCCGCGCCAGCTCAACAGGGACACCCTGTGGCGCACGTTCCCCTCTCCACCACTGAAAGACGCTCTCCACATGTGCGTTGAGTACTGCGTCGTCCATGATGAACTCCTTCGTTCCGATGACCTCGAGAGATGGTGATGGTAGAGCACCTGGATTGTCGGCAACATCTGTGACTGTTGTGGCTTGATTTGAGTATGAGCGTCACGAATTGGGGCTCGCGACAACTCTCACCTGAAGCACCTTCTATCGCAGGTATACCCACCTCTTCTGAATGGGATGCCGTGGCGCCGTTGATTTCGCCCTCCACTACTTCAACGGGGGGCGTTTCGACCTCACGCAGGTCTTCTAGGCTCGCCTGAATTGCCCGCGCAAGACCCTCGTCCTCCCGCTCCTGGAAGTCCGTTTCGCGTCTGCGACCCTTCCCCCTCCTCCCTCGCCTCTCGCCCTCTGGTATCAGTCGATATACCAGCTGCAGCCTCGACGCCACCTCCGCGTTCAACTCGTCGCGCAGCTTCCACCACAGCTCGACGACGTCGCTCAAGCAAAGTTGTCCACCGTCCAATTGATCCGGGAGCATGCCTGTATCCTTCAGGACCGTCGTCGGGAATGGACGGTAGGGGTCGAGATCGAGCTTCGCCCATAGGTATGCAAAGTCGAAGGAAGGTGAGGTTCGTAGGAGGTCGGAGAGGATGCGCTTGTAGAGCATAAGTTGTATTCGAGAGGGGAGGGCGTCAAGGTCGGAGGGCATACTACGCGCCGTGCGCGTCTTGGTGTCTAGGAGGCTGAGTGTATATGATGGTGGAGGAGGTGGCGGAGGAACGGAGGGACAGCGAATGTGCCCAACGTCAGATTTCGAGCGCACAGGGGAGTTCTTCTTTGGCGATAGGTACTTGTCGATGGTGTTCTGCGATTGCGAGAGAGGCGGCCGTGCACGCTTTGGCGTCTTCGGGGTCGGCGAGGCATAGGGCTTCATATGTATCTCGTCCTGTCGGGGATATGAAGTTAGGGGTGCTCTGTACTGGCAGTACAACGACACTCACAATAATCCCGACGACGACTTCATCGTGAATGATCCCAAAGACCGGTGTTTCGCGCTGGCTCAATTGAGTTTGGGTTTGCAAGCCAGCAAATTATATACGACTCACTGTGATGCCCATTATCATTAGTTGTCGTAAATTCATTATGAGGTTGACAAGCCTACTCGAAGCGTCAATTCCTACAGTCTAGGCTTCAAGTGGTGCATAGCTACTGACCTGAGCGCCCACTTCTCCTCGTCGCAAGTAATCCTAACATATATTGGTTCCGCCATAATCTCCCTTTCCAGCTCTTTGTGGATTTCCTACGTGGAAGGTGAACCATCGGATGACTTGCCGACGAGCAAAAGGCAGATACGCACCCTTCCGCCCTTGGTTCGCGCGTCGTTCTTGGCCTCTACCTCAGGCGCGACAGTGATCTCCTTCCCCTTACTCGACCTGAACGACCGTGGTCTGTCCTTCAAGGGGCGCGAGCGCTTTCCGCGCAGTCCGTAGTCAAATTGGACTTCGCACCTCAGAGGGAACGCTGCGTCTCAGCGACAATGTTCCAGGGCATTTTTGGAGATAGGCTTTGCTCACCACTGTGGTGCACAGAGGTCCGAGACGGAAAAGACGCCCTGCCGTCGGTATAGCTCTGCGGGTGACTTGACCGCATCCTCAATATCTTCAAGGCAGTCATGCGCAACGTAGAACGCGGGTGGCATATCATCGTCCTCATCTTTCGACGTTGTAATCTTGCCTTCTATCTCTACGGCGACGGACAGCGCGCCTGTAGTGGATTCGTCGCGCGGCTCGGACAATTTAGACGTCGACGCAAGAGTGCTGGGGTCCGGATCACCGAGCGCGAGCAAGTCCTCCTCCGTCAGGTCAGCAAAATCGTTGTAGCCAGCGTAAGAGTCCTCGGAGTCGGACATGGCGCGGTGGACGCGTGGAATAGGGCAGGAGGCAAGGGAGTCAGGAATCACGGGACCGAGTCTCGGAAGTTGAACGCGGTCTTCCCACGGTCACGCCGAAGCATGTTGATATTCGCCCAGGCCACATGGAGTGGCCATAATGCTATATGAGCTCTGATTATGCTTTGTATGTATTTCATACTCAGATTATACCGAGCCTAAGCATATCGGCATCAAAGTTATGGAGTAGTGTACAACTAGGATCAGTAATCTAGATATCACTGGACACAATTCAGCGCTGCAGCGGGTTCAAGTGCAGGTATAGGGACTGAAGCATGCGCATCATCTGCTAAGATATACACAGCTTGGTCATACTTCTTGTGCTCATGCAAGTAGGTCAAGAGAGAATGAGGAGCGGCATTGGGCTTTGCACGCGCTCGTTGTGAGTGCGCAAGCATGTTGGAATGGGCATCCCCCGGGCCAGGGTCTTCGCCCTGATCCAGCGCCTCAACTTCAATATGAAGTCGCTCGAGCATAGATGCAGAGCTGGGACGCGAAGATGGGTCTTCATCAATCATTTCATTCACGAGAGTCCGAAGGCCTGGTGGGATAGGAATTTCTTTGTCCTGTGACACGATGAGAGAATATCGTGGCAAATCCACATGCTGCAGACTTCCCTCCATAAGAATCTCCATGAGATGGCACAAACAAAAGACATCGTAAGCAAATGGATCAATTTGCGTCCAGAACGGCGCATAGAACTCGGGCGCCTCCAGGCGCGATCCAGTGTGATGCAAAGGCGTGATCGTTGGAGGCGGGGTGCCTTCTTCCGCTACAACCGCTGAGTTGAAGTCTATCAGCACCCATCGAAGAGGCCGTTGAAGAGGAAGGCGGATGACGACGTTCGGATGCCAGATGTCGCAATGAGCGATGCCGTTTTCGTGCAGAAAGTGCACACACTGTCCAGGGAGATTGATTAATGTTTGGAAGAAGAAAGGATGATCTCACTTCAGCCAGCTGGCATACGCCACGCAGTATATCGCGCGGATTTTTAAGGTCCCACCAGGCGTCCTCTTCGGCGCAGACCTCGCTGATCACCAGCGAGGCTCCGCCTTCTTCCTCCATCGGCACGTCGATAACGTCCAGGTACGGAAAGCGGTTGAGTTCGGGCAGACGCATCTTGCCCGACAGCAGTCGTCGCACGACGTCAACCTCTGTTCGATATTTGCGCCACAGAACGAATTTAATGACCACAAATGCGCCGTCCGATGTTCGCTTCCCCTGTCTGTGTTTGTTCTTAATCAGCTGGATCGGGAATATTATCATCCCACGTCGCGCAATGCAGCATTATTCGACGCACCAGACGGAAAGGCCATGTCGTTAGCGCATATCCGTAGCGGGCAAGTACTGGCTCCCAGCCTTGCCATATCTTGTCATCCGGTCCGTCGGAGTCAAGCCTTGGCTGCGTCCAGTCATCCTTCTCGGGAGGCATCTTGCAGCCTCGAGGAAATACGGCGTCTAAATACGCAAAGCGCTTCTTCTGCTCGTTGACGTGGATTGGTTTCCAAGGCGCCATACTGCATGTGCACGAAGATTGCAGGTATAGCAAGGGTAGCTGTCGGTAAGCTCGGAGAAGGGGCCCCAAGTTTCGCTTCAAGCAAGGTTGTCTGGAGCGCTGGGGATCCAGATGATGGTTGAAGACGCGGTCGACCAGTCACGGTGTCACACAATGCTCACGCTCAGAATTTCCCTCCTCCGCATACTCTCCGAGGGTGCTGTGTTGGGGTCATACGACATGCCGCGTTCTATGGATCAAATCAGGCAAGCACCGGAGCGATGCTTTTGGTAGGCAGTGACTCCTGCTTATTCTCAGGGGAAATGAGTCGGATAGTACGTATTCAAGCTCTGCGCCTGAAGCATCCAATTCGAGATCACGCTCATTATAGACGTTCATCATACATATGATTCCGTCTCTGCTTCTATGTGTAGTCCCTTCATTTTCTTCTGACTCCGACGATCAGACTCATGTGCGCGCGCCCACAGCTTTCGACTGCTAAGCGCCGCGTTCCCAGCGCTTCTTTATCGCATTTAAGGCCTTTGGCTTGAGGTCTGATGTTCCGAACTAGTGCGGTCCTGATCACCAACATGTATGGTCGATACTATCTTCCTCCTCCGCCACCTCAGCCGCAGCCGCAAGTACCTCCCGCAGAGTGGCTGCAGGCCGTTGTCAAAGCCGTTAGGCAGTTACCCGGAGACCCTTTGGCCGTCTTCGTCCAGAGCTGCATGGAAGGACCGTCTCCGGTCAACAGACGCAAGCAGCCGCAAAACGACTTCTGTGCAATTCTGAATACTCAGGGTCACAAGCTGCCTTGCAGCGTTTCCTTCGTCCGCTTCAGCGACACTTCCCATCAGGTCATTTACCAGTTTACCATTGGTTCGTTTTACCGTGCTTGAGCCTGAGACCTCCTTATCATTTATTCAGCAATTCGACACCAGTTCGAGCACCGTATCACGCTGAAGGTCCTCCAGCGCAAGAACAGGATTGACTTATCCACCGACAACTTGTTTGTCATGTTGCAGACGGCCATTGAGAGGGGCATGGTCGAATACATGGTCAATCTGGACGTCATTTTTTCCGCAGTTTTCAAAGCAAAGGGCACCTTTTGGACGAGCAGGGAAGCCGCTTTGAGAGGCCCAAATCTTGTACCATGTTGTTCGAGTGATCAAAGCGACGATGGATGGTCCTTGTCGACAAGCATGAAGACTGTTAGTGCTGCTCCTGTTTGGCTTTTCCCCTCATAGACGAGTATCACTGTATCTGTAGGACTGCGTGACTGTATTCTTCTGCGTCTTCCTACGGATGGCAGCCTCTATGCAGCCTTTGCAATGCTCTTCACTCGCCCGCACAAAGTTCAACTTCAAATTCCCACGATCACGTGCAAGGGTTATGTTCAACTTCTTGAAATCGTCCCGTCATCTCTAGCATCGCAGGATGTCCGTACCTTGATGATGCATCGAATCAAGCAAACATTGCATCCGGTAAATGGGTAGATCGGTAAGTAAGCAGGAAGCAAAGAAGCAGACATCTCGAGAGCGCGGGTCGGAGTGGGGTACGCAGGTCGGGAGAGGATCAGAAGTGGAGCATATAAAGCAGGAAGCTAAGTAGAAGATGGATACGAGTTGTTGAAAGGTGGTAGGCAGCTTCCAAGCATACGATAAGAAAAGCTTCCAGAAAGAAGTCCTCGCGAGTAAGTATGGTACTGGCGTGGGGTAGAAAGTCCGTTCGAAGGCATTACGTTCGTCATCCCGCGGGCAAGGTCCGCGGGGGTATCATGAGCGTATGATATATGGACAAAGGAGGGCGGATAGTAGGTATTTAGCAGAGGCTGGTGATAGGTGAGAAGCAAGACGAGCATGCGCGGGGTACACAGTACGAGCCGAGACTCTGGCACCGAGCGCAGGCGCAGGCGCGGACACGCAGGAGCGCAAGCAAGCGTGAGGGCGAGCACGAGCAGCGGCGAGCGCAAGCGGGAAGAATAGAGGAGGGAATACAGTTTTACAACAACCGCAAGCACGGCGCACAAGATGGTCTCGCACACGGCAGCACGGCGCTCAGCGCGCGTCTGCATCCGCTTATAACAATTGGAGGTAGTTTGACGGTGCGACTGGGGAAGAGAGAAACATAGTCAGCAACAGGAAACAGGGAAGTACGGATATTGAACTCACTTCCATTCGTTCCGTCTGCCTTGCGGGCGGACCACCACTTGCCCGACTTGTCGGTTACCTCGAGGATCTCTCCCTTGGCGAACGAAATCTCGTTTGGGTCGTCCGGCGACGCCGTGTCTGCACGATATCAGCAACGGCTCCCCCGCTAATCCTCGCCAATCACTCACATGCATACAACGCCTTCGCCTTGGGCAAAAACTCCCCACTCGTGCCTGCTCCACTCATATCTCCCTGCGCCATAAGCGGAGAACCAGTGCCATCCTCCCCACGCGGCGAGTGCACGCTGCCAGTCGCGGTGGTTGGGCCGCCCAGACTGTGCTGGCTCCGCGCGCCCCCTCCCGGGCTGTTCAGTCCCGCGCCCGCGCCGGCACTCTTGTTGTCGAAGGCGCCGGATGCGGTGCCGCTGCGCGCGTCGAAGGCGCCGCTCACGGGCTTGGCGTCGTACGCGCCGGTCGCGACATCGTGCGAGCTGATACCGCCTCCCGCGCCGTAGCCTCCGCTCGCGTAGCCGTTCGCGGGGGCCATGTTGTGCACGCTCCGGGCGCGGCGACGGCGGGAGGGCGGAGTGAGCCCACCCGTACCGAGACGGTTGAAGAGGTGGAAGAGGAGGGACTCTTCCTCTGCGGTGAAGAAGAGCAGCCAGAGAATATCAACGATGGCGAGGATTAGGTAGCCGGCAGCCATGGCGTTAAGGGCTCCATCCTCGGCGTAGAGACCAGCGTTGGCACCGTTGACAGCAAATACGAGAGCGACAGCACCGAACACCGAGATTTGGAAGCGGTGGGTGGCGAGGGAATCAGAGGCGAGGGTGTAAAGCACACCGAGGATGAGGAAGAGGTGGAGGAAGATGGCGAACCATAGAGTGCCTACGGGGCCATTCCCTACTATGGGGACGTTAGCACACGCTGGAATTTGGGAGAGGGGAACGCACATCGCGCCGTGGCGATAATCTGCCCAATGAACGCCGTAAACCACGCGATCTGCACGCAAAAAATTCAGCAGGCGCGCCAGGGTGAGACAGCGCGACTCACGAAGGCGAGTATGGACGTGAAGAGGAAGAGGTAGTGGGTAATAATTGGGGTAAAGTCAAGGCCCTCATTTCCGCGGGGAGGCATCGTCGTCGTCGGCGTTGGCTTGCACGCAGTCTCACGGCGACGGGGCGGTGCGAAGAACGGATTGTCACGTGTGTATGACGAGAGTAACGATAGCCGCGTGTGAAGTGATCATCACACAGGCCGAGGCCCGAGGCCACTTGCCGTCGAGCTGCCGACGTCGGCGTAGACGACGCTGGAGGGTCATAGAAAGTCGCACTCGAGTACTGAAGGGGACTGGGCCGTGTATAAACCACCCGGACGAGGAGGCACAGTATCACGCGTGCGGTCAATCAACATTCAGTACTTCCTTGAATGACAACTCTTGAGGGCTCGATTACAGAACGGAGTAGCTACTCAGGTACCCACTTATTCGCTCGAACTCGAGGGCCAAGGGCTCATCCGTCGAGGTCCGAGCGGTTTAACTCAGGTTGAACTTGAACTTCAACATGCCGGACGATGGTGGCGCGCACGGCGCCACGCGACGCCGCGGCAGTGGCGAAATGCTGCCGAACCTCTTGACCGCTTACCGACCACCATGACGGCCACAATGAGCAGCGAGCAAGCGCTAGTGTCGGCGACGCGCGGGTTCGACGCGCTCTTCAGCAACGAGCTTGCGGAGGCGCGCGATATCTTCTCGTCTGAGCCCTCCGCATTCCACCAGCTCGGCTTCGGCGTCTGCGCCTTTCTCGAAGCGGCGCTTGGGATGGAGCAGGCAAGAATGGGGGACGCGGGACGCTCCCTGGCAGCCGCGGAGAGCGGCGCGAAGAAGCAGAAGGGACTCGAGTGGGAGGTTCTGGCAGCGGACGCGGTGGTACTCGAGGGCTTGGTGCACGCACTCAGCGAATCGTACATGGGGTACGTCCAGTGCCTTTACTCCCTCAACTCAGCGCACTCGCGTTTCGCCAAGCTCTTCACCACCGTCTTCCCCAACGGCCTCGACGCCGCGCCCAACACGATCGCGCGCAAGCCATCCTCCGTCTTCCGATGGGGCGCACAGAAGGAGGAGGCCCCCGCACCCCACACCCCAGCGGTGGACGAGATGATTGTGGCTGGTACCGCGTTCGGATACGGCCTCTTCAACCTCGTCTTCTCCCTCCTCCCCAAGGGCGTCCAGGGCGTCGTCGGTCTCTTCGGCTACAAGCACGACCGCGCCCTCGCCCTCCGTGCTCTCAACTACGCCTCCGGACGCACGGACACCCATGCTGTGTTCGCTGGCCTCGTCCTCATGACCTACCACGGCGTCGTGCTACTTCTGGCTGGGTGGCAGGCTGACGAGGCCCGGCTCGTGCGCGAGTATCAGGCCATTGTCGACCGCACCACCCAGAAGTATCCCGCCGGTGCGCTCTGGATCCTCAACCACGCCAAGATCCAGCGCATGACAGGCCAGCCCGACGCCGCCATTGCCACCCTCGAAGCAGGCCTCGCGCCAGGGCACAAGCACACCTTCCAGCAGGCTGACGCGCTTCTTGTGTTCGAGCTCGCCTGGACGCAGCTCGCCCTTCGCCGCTACGAAGACGCCGCCGCGTCCTTCATTCGCATGACCGAGCTGAACTCCTGGAGTCACGCCACCTACTATTTCATTGCTGCCGGCGCCCACCTCGCCGCCGCGCATGAACAGGGCGTCACGACGGCGATGGATCGCGCCCAGGAGCTCCTTGACGCCATTCCCGGCCTCATCGAGCAGCGCAAGCTTACCGGGAAGGATCTACCCACTGAAGTCTTCATCAAGAAAAAGCTAGACTTCTACCGGAACAAGCAGCGCGCAAGAGGTGGCGACCCAGCGCGGTATGCTGAGGCCGTGGGCATCAATCTGGCGGAGGAGATGGCTCTGTGTAAGTTGATATGTGTTTCACGTCTACGTATCGAACGATAATTGACTCTATCCCCAGTCTGGAATACCCACCAGCGCATCCCAGCCTCCGTCGCCCGCACGCACCTCCGCATATGGGCCGCCCTCGAGCCCAAAGTTGACCTTGGGATCGACTTGGCCGAAACTGGTACCTCCGGCACGACCACCCCAGTCGAGACTGCCTTCAAGCCTGCACCTCTGACAACGGAAGACGAGCGCGCGGTCCGGTCACTCCTACTCGGCATCGTGCTTCGCACGCTCGCGATGCATGCGGCGAAGGGCGCAGAGGATGCAGAGAAGGCCACCTCGACTGCTATTCTTGCGCGTTCGCGACATTTCCTGCGTGAAGCTCGGGGTGCGCATGTGCAGTTGAATACGTGGATACCGAGCGTATCCGCGTTCGAGGAAGCCGTGCTTGAGTTGGAGACAGTGGAGATCGCGGAGAAGGAGGGTAAGGAGGTAAGCGACTTGCACCTTTCCATGGTTCGATCGCAGCTAATTACTGTCGGACTACCAGGCCTCCTGGCAACCCGCCCTTCACGCCGCTTCTGCGCACCTTGACGCGGCTCTCGCAGCCTCGGGTAGCTCCGTTGACTTATCAAGTCGGCTGGACAGCCGCGTCGCGATGCTGAGAGACGAGATCCGGGTGAAGGAGGAGAGCTTGAGGAAGTAATGTGGATTGGCGGACGCGAGCGCTTTGACGGCGCTTGCCCGTCGCTCGAGCGGTGGTTCTTGGATATGGTGCACATAGAGACGCGACCTAGAGTCGCCACACCATTCATTACACGTATAGATAGATACGGACACGGACTCCAGCATTGGCATAACACTCGCTAAACTTATTGTATAATTACCTAGCTAGTTAGACAATCACCACTAGCTTCCGTCCCTTAAATCTATTGACCAAACGATGCAATTGACACTCTGGTCTCCCTCAAAACACGGGGCCTCGCAGCCCTCAATCCCTTCGTCTAAATCCTTCATACCGCCAACCACCCTTCCTCCAACGTCGGATCCTCCCTCAGCAGCACATCCCGGATACTCGCCGCACTCAGCTCCTCCCGCGGCCGTATGATCGGCTGGAACGGCTTCGGGCGCGTATTCGCGATGTGCTCGAAGGCCATGCTGTCGATCAGCGCCGCGGGGTCCTCTGCGATGTCCAGCGCCCAGAAGATGTGCGCGAGGTTGATGAAGACGGAGCGCTCAGCGACGTGGTTGCCGGGGCAGGAGCTGGGAGTGGGTGTGAGTGCAAAGTGCAGAAGCATCGAGGTAAGTGGAGCATAGGGAGTGATGCTCACCGTCTGCCGAACCCAAACGTGAATATGCGAATATCTGATCGTAGCTTCCCATCGTCCGTCAACCAACGCTCGGGACGGAAGCACTCGGGATCGGGGAAGACTTCTGGGTCGTGGTGGATAGACCTGGTGGCACTAGTCAAAGCTGTCCCTTCTGATAGAGAAATCCTGAAGCCTCACCAGTGGTTCCCCAATACGCGCGACCCCTTTGGTATCACGTAGCCGTCCTTCGCGGATTCGGTAAGCCGCCAAACATCTTGTATGAATTTGTGGCAACGCTCACATAAACCACATCTTCCGTCGCCCTATGCTGCACACCACCGGCAGTCACCGGCCGCCAGCGCCCGACCTCCTCCATGAATGCAGCGACGTACGGGAGGTTCGGCTGATCTTCAAATGAGGGAGCTGCGCATTTGCGCTTCAGTACGTTACTTCAATGGAGCCAGAAACAACCCACCCCGTCCCCTCCCCACCACAGCGTCCAGCTCTGCTTGTGCGCGCTTCAGCGTCTCCGGATGTAACGCGGCGGCCATTATGGCAACGATGATATATGAGGCGCTCTGAGTGGCATATGTTATGAGCAAGGGCACAGAATTGAGATGAAAGACCGTAGTGTACCGTGTCAGACCCCGCACCGAACTGACTGCCACACAGATATGCGCACTCGTCGAAGGAGAGGCCGAGGCTTTCCTGTGCCTGCAAGACCTGAGTCGCAAAGCATATCCTCGCGCGGCCTGCTTCCTGAAGGAAAGGTGAGTGTCTGCGTCGACGGTCCCACCTCGTTCCACTCACCATCGCCTTCTGAACCTCCCTCAGTTTACCTCTGAATAGCCCAAGCTCAAACTCGTGCCCCTTCCTCAACTCCTCCATATACCCCAACCTCAACAGTAACCTCGTCCCTGCCCTCATAAACCACCCCAACCCCGCCACCTCGCCCCGCAAGACCTGAACCCCCCAATCCGGGAGCCCCGTCAGCGCATCGACGGCGTACGCGCCCGGCATCATCGCGCGCGAGACGTTGCCGAGGCAAGCGTTGACGGCGAGCACGTCGGGATCCGAGGGTGTGGTGGGCGAGCATTTCCCGTAGGTGATGTGCATGATGAGGCTGGCGGCGTATTTCCTGTAATGGTCGACGAAGGCTTCTGGTTTGTTCAGGACGTCGAGAAGTGCGATGCGGGTAGCTTTGAGCTGTACGGGCTTGTGTATCGCCGACGCGGAGGGCTGGAGGCTCATGAGAAGGGCTCTGAGGGTGGCGTGTTAGCGGCATGCGTAAGGGGAGAGTGAGTGGCATGTGCAGAGTTAGCGGCAGATCAGGGAGGCGACCATCCGATGGGAGAATATGCGGGGTGAACCCACTTACCTTCTCAGCTTCTTTATGCGCTCGCCTTTGGGGATCAGGAGCGTCCGCATCCCACCAGAGAGGACTTCTCCCGCCGCAATAGCTCGCGGACGGTCGGCGAAAGCGGGAGCATGTCTTTCGAGGAGCTCGATGGCAGCCTACAAGTAGGATATAGTCAGTACACCTTAGGTAAAGTCTCGTTCATGCTCTCAGAGGATGTGAGGAGCTTCGCCGCGTTACAAGGTGCATTCTCCGCCCGGAGACCGATCTCCGGACACTCCGCCTCACCTTATACGTTCCAACAACAATCAGACGTTCGCCCATGCCCAGACCGAGCGTGAACAGCGACCCGTACTGCTCCGTCCAGGCCGCGAACGCGACCCACGATCTACAGATCAGAATATGTTAGCAAGTTCTGAGTCCCCGAAAAGGATTCCAAACAAGTGCTGCGCCCACAGTGATCACTTGCGAAGAAGTGGAGAAGGTGGGCGCCTCATGGGAAGGGCTGATGGGTGCGAGGAGGCGCGGCACGTCGAGCGATGGGTCGTGCGATGAAGAAATGGGTCGTACGATGGAGGAAGCGAGATGGGTGGGGAAGTATAGGAGGGAGGACAAAGATATTATAGAGAAGAAGGACACTCACAATACACCACTAGGCATCTTCGTACCCAACAGCCATCTCGATGGTGGTCCGGGCGGAAGCCCTACGCGTCGGCGAGGATAGAGGATGTAGATGCTCCCAGTAAGAAGTAGCGCGCAGAGCACGAGCGCATGCAGGCTATCGAAGTGGAAGGACATGATCGACGGTGCTCGATGTCGGATGGATGGATCGCTGCGAGCAGAATATGTGCGGGTGCTACAAGCAAAGCGTCGCAGTCAGGGAACAGGTCGACGTTGAATGAAAACCGGCGAAGCAAGAACGCCAAGGGCACCACCACCCCTCCCTATATACTGCACCCCGCTCCGTGAGAGGGGACCCTGAGGCACGGGGTGGGGGCCACTATCATTGATTGTCGGTCAAGCCGAGCACCTCGAGGCTGATTAGTCCCCGGTGGGGGCTGATGTGTCTTCCGTGCAGGATGATCGACTGGCCTGTTGAGGCTAGTGAGTCCCCATTTGAGGTCAAAGGGTTCCACATTTTCCACATTGAGGTCGACTAGTCCCTATGAAGGCTGATGAGTGGGCCTGTCCAAGGCCATGACTTGTACTATCAAGGGCTCGCGCCATGCGAGATCGTCGGATGCATGAGAGCGCAGGAGATGGTGTGCATTGGGGTCCAGCGTACTAGCGTCGAGTCAATAGCCTCGGCATGATGGGTCGTCAAGTGAATAGCTTCGGCACCATGTTTAGCGACGCAGAGCCTTCCTACGACGCCGTCGAAGGCCGTATGAATGTCGTCCAGGGCGAAGGTGACGTGTAAGGATCATGAAGGCGTGTTCAGAAGTAGCGCGAGGTGTGGATATCATAGAGCGATCGCATGTCCCTCGCATGTCGGCTGTCAACGCTTGAATGGCCAATAATGTCGGCAGCTTCTATCGATAGTGAGGGTACAAAGGGATGGCCTAATGGGTATAGGTCATGGGAACCAGCGTGGGAGTCATCCTTGGCGTACGTTTCTGTACGTCGTGACTCGCCAAATTCTGGAAGAACACCAGCGCTAGACAACAAGCTGAAGACGATACTTTCCGGTCAATCCTGAACCTACAGAAGACATGTGAAGGAGGCGAAGGCACACGAAAAAAAGTGGCAGCGACACGTGATCGCGGGAAGAAGTGCAAGTTGAACTCTGGCAGTTGCGGGCTGTATTCACTAGGGGCGCGCGAAGGTGCCAGTGATGTCAAGAACCATTACCTCTCATCTATACGAGCTTGGAGACATACATCATGGTCTTCAGAGGAGTGGGAATCAAAAGCGAGCACGATCGGCGACGCATCGTAAATTTGAGCAAGTGTCCGCAAGTCGTCGAACGGAGCCTATGAGTGATCTCCGCGGCATTTTTGCAGATCATACAGACCATTGCACGCATTTTCGGCCTCAGTGGCCGCCAACGTCGCAAGCCCGAGCCGGAAGAAAACCAGATGCTTGCGGCGTCTTTACAGGTAGCGAAGTGAAGAGTCTAGACCAAGTCCCGGAGGGGCTCCGCGTAGATCAGCCAGTTGTACGCAGGTTGTCCGTTTCCTTTGAATCTTCGACGATTGTGGTCGGATCAAAGTGCCACAGTGGTGGGAAGAGAGCAAGGGCTCGTCCAGGACCAGAAATTCGAGAACCTCATAGACCTCGTCGAGTCCGTGATTTCCTCGCAGGGTAGTCTGCGATTCAACCGTCGATGTTCGACTTGACTGTGAGTTGGCTCAATTTGCGGCGCGGGTGTCGAGCTGCAAGTCCGCCCGCTCGGTTGGATTTAACCGTTTCCGACTGACAAACCCGACTGGCGGCCAAACCACAACACGAGGCGCAAAGTACCCGTCCAATCGGCATAGAGGCGTAGCGCCCATCGAAAATTAATCGATGGCAGGAGGAGGCAGAGGAACGCATGGCGAAAGGAGAGAACACGCGTCGGGAGTCGGGACCGGGTTCGAGCGTTTTCTTCCGCTTTTGTCAGCGGCGCCGCTGACGCAGCCTACGAATAAAATAAACACGTGCGGAGATAGTCGGGTAGGCAGAGACAGAGGAGAGGCTCGGGGATGCAAATTACGGAGGAAGAGGCGCGCACGCAGGCGTCGCGCCGATGACTGACGCGGCGCATGTCTGCATTCCGTCGGGATCAAGGGGCCGAGGCGGGTGCCCGAGCGCGAGAGGACGTCGAGGAGGGCGTGTCGGGGCGGGGGAGCAGAGGACGCGAGCCGGTCGTGCTGAGCGCGGTCTTTAGATGAGAGTTCATGTCAAAGAGGACGCTGATTTCGAGGGAGAGGCGCGCTCGGGGAACGCCGAGCCGGAGCCGGGCCGAGGCGCAGGCGTGGGCTGATGTCAAGATGCTGACGTTTGGCGGAAGTGGTTCGATCTGTCTTTGTCTCTCGGCGGCGGGACGCGCCCATTGCTGATCAGCATGTCTCGCAATTTATTTATCGTACTCACTTGCCTTTCTCCAAACGCGCCTTTTTCCTGTTTCCATCGGCTCGTACGACCCCAAGCACTGCTTATCATCGACTATGAGCCTCTGAGGCTGTGAGCTCGATCCCCCCGGCGCTGAGCATCATGCGAGTCACTCCCTGCGGCCCATCCTCCGCCTCGTCATCGGCGGCGCGCATCCCGTCACCCCCTTCCCCCTCCTCGACTCGGGATGCCGCGGGAGCACAGTTGGACAGCATCCGCCCGGCTCCCGCGCCCTCATCCTCGACACCCCCCTGTCCCCCGTCTGAACCTACTTTGACACCTAATGCGGCGGACGTGTCTCTGCCCGCCATGTCTTCCCCCTCGTCGCCCCAGTCGATGAGGCCAAAGGACACGACGGCTCTGACCCTCAGGACTACGGCCCCGCCACAATCACTCTATGTGTCTGCTTTCTTACTCGGCGGGATGGGCGTCTTGCTGGTGAGCCTTTGCTAGCCACTTATGAAACACGCCTAACCATTTTCAGAGCGTCTTCACTTGGCTCCTCGCCAATGTCGTCCCACCCGCCCAAGGCGACGCTCAGGCCCGCGCCGAGCACGCTCAGCGTCGCGTCGAGGGTGCCGTCAAGCGCGCCCGCCGCAGCTCTGCGCCAGTAACCCCGTCTCACATGCACACTCGCCCCCGCAAGCGGACTACCGCTCCCCCTGCTCCGATCATGGTTCCGCCACAATCGCCCCAGGATCGGCATGTTGTCTTTGTGGACGGCCCCGAGACGCCCACGCCCACCGCACGTCGTGAACCGAGTCCCCGCAGCTCGCTCTCCGACTCGTCTACGCTCGTCAATCACATCAATTTGACACTGGAAGAGGGTGAGGCGGACCAGCAGACTCCCACTGACTCCAAGTCGGCCAAGTCTCCTGCGTCTCGCTTCAAGTTCCCCACCCCCTCCTACTGCAAGGCGCCAGAGGCCCGGTCTTCGTCATCATCACTTGAATCCGGCAAGCCTGTGCCAGCTCACCTGAAGCGCTCGTCATACTTGTCCTCCATCTCACCGCGCCTGTCTCGCTTCGGGAAGAAGGTTAAGCGCGCGTCTACCGGCTCAGCTCAGTCGTCTATAGCATCTTCAGACAGTGAGTATTGCAATCTCTGAATTCATAATTGCATCTCACTAACGTCTTTCTAACGTCGATTAGGCGACAATGACCCCCTAAAGCCATTGCGTCGCACGAGCATCAAGCTTCCCGCGCCTGGCTGGTCTCGCGCCTTCGGTTGGCCGACGTCGACGAGCCCGGTCGCCGTATCTGCGCCGTCGACTCCTGCCGGTGATGGGCGGCAAACCTTTTTCGGCCCGGGATCTGCTACACCCAGTCGTAACTCGTCTTTGACTCGCGGGCGCCGGACGCAAGTCGGCGAGATGTCTTCCAACCGCGCAGCGTCTTCGTACATCCCCTCGCCGATGTCGGAGACGTTCCCATCGGTACCGTCCTCCAGCCGTCCAGCGCCCACGCGCTCGTCCTCCGTCTGCGCATGCCACTTCCGCAAGCGCGCGCAGGAGGACACGGAGAAGGCGGACAAGCCGAGCGAAGTGAAGACGGAGAAGGTGGCGAAGGACGCATCAAAACCGCGGAAGGAGTCGAAGTTGGGCAAGTGCTGCAAGATCAAGGAGCGGCGGCGACAGTCTGCGCCCGTGCCCGTACCGCGGACGCAGCCGTATGCATATCCTTACTTTGCGGCGCCGCCTGTGGTTAAGGAGAGGCGGCCGGTGACGGCGGTTCCGGCGAGGAGCGAGTCGTTGACGCCGTTGGCGAAGGCGAGCTCGCCGGCCACGCCGAAAGCCAGCGTGCCCCCGGCTCGCAGCGAGACGCTGCCGGGCATGTCGAAGACTGCGTCAGGCCCGCCGCGGGCTATCGCGACAACGACAGCAACGCGGAAACGGACGTTGTCGTCGCCGACGAAGCCTGATTTGGCTGCCTTGGTTGAGGCGCCTGCGGGGCATCGGGTGCAGCGGCCCTCGACCGCGGATGGGACGAACATGGCGGAATTCGGGGTGCTGCCGGCGCGCGAGGCGGCCACTACCACTGGTAGTCGGCCTTGCGCGCTGCGCCTCCCGAGCTTGCGGGCTTGGGCCATGGGCCCTGTCGCGACCGCCAGCACATAGACGCGATCGCCCACGCCATCCTCCTACTCCCTTGCTATCCTCCTAACCGCATCCCAAACACATACACCATCGTCATCCTCATTGTCCTCACCCCTCGCATCTCATCACCCTGCATATCTATCCACCTTTGCTCGCATATTCGCATCCAGCTCATCTCGTCTTCCACTATCTTATCTGTACTATTCCTCATCCTATTCTCGCTGCATCCGCCGCACGCTCGCTATCAGTTTCCCGTGGCAGATGCTTGGCTCGCTACTATGTCGTCGTGCACTTGCTGCTTGCCATGATGCCGTCGCGCGCTCGAGCTCTGCTTGTCGGTAACTATCATAGAATCTTCAAGGGGTGCTTCCAGTGTACTAGTACTTGTCGGTAGCCGTAAACCATGTCACGAATTGCATGAATGTTTGTCAATGAGCTGTAGTTGCCTGTTTGCATTGGGAGTATTACGAACTTGCTCGATGTTCGAATTTCCAAGTTGTGCTTGCCGGTGCCATCCGTCGGGACCGAGGTCACGTGACGTGGGAGTTCAACTTTCCGAGGAGAACTTCTTAGTGGGAGTGGGCGAGGTTGAGGCCAAACGGTTAGGCTCATGTTGTGTGCTGGCCTTTCCTATCCCTCATAGGTTGTTGTCTACCAAGAGTCTCGAACGATAGGTTATTTGAGAAGATAGAACAACGTTACAAGGCGAAATAAAAGTCTACACAGCAAATCTAACGGTTTCTACATGATCTCTCCGCGTCACTTCCTCGTCGGTTACGTCGCTGTCCCCGCTCGTATCTGCTGTTCGATCTGCGTTGTCTCCACCCATCATCTCAGTCCAGAGAGACGTAGTGGCGTCTGGAGCTGTGCCTGCTTCTCCGGAAGTAAGCGCGAGCTCTTCTATGCTGGCCTGACCAAAGGGTGGCGCGCCGTCTGGCGCTCCGTTGGGGGATACATCGTTGGCACTGAGCACCTGATAGTCCATCCCTGCGAGCCAAGATGAAGCAGGGGAAGATTCCGTCCGCTAGCGACCTCCTTGAGCAGCATCTACAAGTCCGTACTTAGACCAAATTACGATGAGTGCTGAGTAGTTAGATTTGGAAGTTCATCTTCTGCATGTTTGTAGCGGTGACTGAACTGCGAAGACCGTGTGGATTCAGAGACCAATAGATAGATCAGACGGACACAATTACACACAGTACAGCAAAGCAACGAGGATGCTACGAGGACACGATCGCGGGGAAACCAATAACGGAACGGAGCCCAAGACGTCACTATATTGTACAACAGACCGGGCGCGTGCGCCCTGTCTGTAGGTCGTCGATCCCAGTCATGACACTGTTGTTCATTACAGCGGTACCGCACATCACCTCCATTAGACCAGCGCCTCGCCGACTGTGAAGTGAACGTGATCGCCCTCGCCGAGTGTGAGACGAACAGGGAGACGCGGGTCGATGCGCACGGGTGCGCTGTTGCCGACGAAGAAGTCGCCGCGGCTGAAGTTGCGAGTAATGGCGGCAGCCTCTTCCTCGGTAAGGTTGCGGGGTCGTTTATTGGGCCGGAAGGTGGAGGTGGAGGCGCCGGTGTACTGACCGTTGTAGTCGTAGTACGGCTGCTGCTGCATAGTGTTGCTCTGCAGCGTCGTGTACATCGGCGGAGGTTGAAAGGGTGGTGCGGCTGGAGAAGGTGAGCAGACAAGGAGAAAGATGGACAGAGGAACATACCGGACGCCGAACTGCTCGCATCTTGCGGCGATTGCGAGTTGTCGGGGTCAGGGTATGCACAGGTCGCGCCGAGACCGCGCTTTAAACAGCTCTGGTGAGCGATGATCAGTGGAATGTGAGGGAGTTGGCCACAGGTACTCACCTGACACGGGAGGGATTCGCTGCACCGGGTCTTGCCAGCATGGCATGCGACACACGCGCGACGAACTGATGGAGCTTTCGCTGAGCCAGTGATGTTCAACCGAGAGCCTGGAGAGGCGGAGGAGCTACCGTACGTTTTCGCCCGCTACTGCTCGTGGGAGCCCCGGAATGGTGCTCAGGTTGTGGGGGGCCTTGCTGTTGAGGCGGAGGGTGCATGACCTGGTCCTGGATGGCGTGGGGGTGCGGGGGAGGAGGAGGCGCTACCTGGGGCGTATGGGAGTGGTGGGGGACGGCATGCAGGTGCTGCTGTTGCTGCTGCTGATGCTGCTGAATTGCCTCGATCTGGCGCGCGGTGTTCTCGATAACCTCGGGGGAGATCTCATCGACGCTGTGTGCGGGGTCAGCGGCGCCGCGATGGGTGGCGATGGCGAAGGACGCCGGCGCGCCGAACCTGTTCGACATTTCGGCAACGGCCACGCTCGCGGACGGACGGACGGGCGGGTAGGCGGACGGCGGTGGGCGGCAACGGCAAGATGGACGGACGGACGGCGATGCCCCTTTGCCATCTCGGCCTCACTTTCCCACGCACGGACCAGGGTTCTTGGTGGGAAACCCCTCATAATCCAGCCGCCACTGCGCCGTGCAGCGAGATGAATGGCTCTGGCCGGTCGGGGACAGCAATTACTGGTTTTCTGGCAGAACGTTGTGTTGGAAACGGAGTGAACATGGTCGCTACCGGCGACACGGCCGGGTGGACGGTCAGGGCCGAAAGAGTCCTCCTGGAGTGGTGCCCCGCGCCGTGAGGGTATGGGTGCTTGTAGGTCCGGCGGCTTCGGTCGAGGGGCCGGACCCCGGATAGCCGGATACCCGGTCAAGTGCCGGTGCTAATAGCCATCTCTCCTCCCCCACACCGATCGAGCGACCATGGACCAGCAAGCAACGTCGCCGACGACGGCCCCGCCGTTCGACTTCGACTTTGCACTCGATCCGAACTTGCTGCAGCCAGGCGCATTCCAGCTCCCGCCATCTGCAGACCTCTTCAGCACGCAGGACAACCTCTTGTCGACAGACGAGGCGAACGACTTCTTCGGCTTTCTCGATGACCTCCAGCAGGTTGACTTTGAGAATCTGGAACTCCCAACCAGTCCTGGGATCCAATGGCCAGACCAGCACCGCGCGTCGCCGCCATATTCTAATCCCCATCTGCATACCGCCCCGGATCCCTCTACATCCCAGCGACCCCGCGCGGCCAAGACGCGTTCGGCAACCGCGCGCAATAACCTCCGCTCCCCCACGCACGATCAGCATTCCTTCTCCGGTAGCCCCCAGCTCGCTGACATCATCGACCCGCCGCCCGACGCGGACGGCGACGACGCGGAGGGGAGGGGAAACGGCAGCAAGACCGTGCTCACGCAACCCCAGAAGCGGCTAAACCACATCATGTCCGAGCAGAGGCGGAGGAATACCATACGCGACGGCTACGCGCAGCTCATCACCCTCCTCGCGCCCGCAGGCTCCGAACCGCTTGACATGCCCACGCGAGGGAGGCCGAAGGGGAGTGGGAGCAAGGACAAGGGGAAGAGCAAGGGGAAGAGTGGGGTGCTCTTCAGAGCGGTGGAGTACTGCAAGTGGCTGGAGGAAGGAAGGGACGCGTTGCAAGCCGAAGTCCTCAGGCTGGAGGCTGCTGCAGGCATACAGCCACGATATTCATGAACCCGCTTAACGACTACCGATTTGTAGGTAAGATCTCTCGAAACGCCTCCCAAGATCCGCGCCAAACAGTCGCTGATCTTCCCTCTCCAGATACCCAGTGACATTCGCTTTCATACCTCGCGCTCCCCCATCGCTATCCGCTTGCTATGCCTCGCAATGACCGCGTATTCGTCTGCGCCCGCCCGCGCAACACCATCCACCAACTACCTCAAGCACTCGCTATTCATAAATAGGCATTAGGCGATATGTACATGTACACAGGACCCTTCTTGGTATAAGCACCACCTGTACCATAACTTATCCTCCTCCATATTCACGTCTAGTATGCAGCACCCCCACCCGCCGACTTCCTTGGGTCGTTCGCCGCCTCCAGCGTCCCGTCCGCACTCCGCACGATAACATGGCTCGTCGACCCCGTCACGTCCTCGCTCGTAACGTTGTACCCGAGCCCGATCAAGTACGCGACGGTGCTGTTATCGTAGGGCGTGACACCCTTGGATGATGCCTGCGCATAGTTAGCGCCGTTGTCGGTTGAGTTCCAGAGACCCTCGAAGAGCGTGCTCTCGCCGAGCTGGTCGTGGAAGCGCGCGGTGTGGACGGCCTGGGTGGCGTTGTAGCCGCGGTCGAGGTGGAAGTGCAGATTTTGGAGGGTCGCGGTGATGATGCGCGAGCCGCCTGCAGAACCAGTGGCGATAAGGAGGTCGCCGGTGTTGATGTCCTCCGCGATGGAGGAGGCGATCGAAGACGTAGGGCGCTTGCCAGGACTAATGAAGTTCGTCAGTGATTGGGTAATGGCGGCCCAGGTGCATTACTCACCGAATGTAGTTGACCGGGCTAGGAGCGAAGCCGAAGGCGTTGGTGAGGCCAGGTGAGCTGAAGTCATCCATCTCATCGTTGAGGACAATGCCATCTTCAGTCATGACCTGGGAGCCCCAGTACAAGTTGACAGTGGTCGTTAGCGACACAGCGCCACCATACTCATCGACGGCAGCAAGATGTGAAGTACCTGTGGTACCTCTCGTCAGCCCACTGCCCATCTACCTTCCGACGTCAACGTACCGTGATCATCGAGCACAATGTACCCCGACGGGTCGTAATACGACGGCGTGAACGTCTCGTTGTCCGCGATCAAGCTACGCACGGCCTCAACCGTCTCCGGCTGCAGGCTCTCTAGCTCCAGCTCAGTCACGTTCGCAGTGTACGCCGGGTCCCCGTATCCCGTGCGCTCGCCGTACCCAAATTTCGTCGCCTGGATCAGCCGGTGCGTCGTCTCGTTAATGCCCGCCTCGCCGAGCTGCGCGCTCCCGTTGAAGCCCTCGAACACCTTGAGCGTGCTCAGGACCACCGTGCCCGAGCTCGGCGCGACGGTGGAGAAGATGCGCGCCTTGTCGCGGTAGGTGATGTTGTTCGGCGCGCGCACGATGGCGCTGTAGTTCGCGAGGTCGTCGGTGGTGAGGACGCCGCCTGCGCCCTGGGAGGCCTGAACGATGTTCTCGGCGATGGAGCCAGAGTAGAAGCCTTGCGGCCCTTCGTTGGCGATGACCTCGAGCGCATCGGCGAAGCGCGTGCGGAAGCACGTCTCGCCCTCCTTCAGCAAAGTGCCATTTGGCGCATACGTCTCCGCCCAGAGGGGGTCGGAGAGCAAGAAGGGGTATTCCTCCGCGTCAAGCGCGGCGGCGAGGTCCGCAGGGACGGCGAAGCCGAAGCGCGCCAGACGGATCGCCGGCTGGAAGAGCGCGGCCCAGGGCAGACGGCCATGACGCTCCCAGAGGAGATGCCAGCCTGCAATCTCGCCGGGTGTGCCGACGGCGAGGCCACCGATAGTGGAGGCGGTTTTATTGGGGCTATCGACGAACATGGTCTCCGAAGCGGCCGCGGGTGCGGTCTCACGGAAGTCGATCTGCGAGAGGACGGGTAAGCACCAGGGGAGGGTAAGAGGTTTAGGGTAACGTACAGTCTCGTACTGCCCAGGACCCGAGCGCGCGAGGAGGAAGCCTCCGCCGCCAATGCCAGAGTGGAAGGCTGGAGAACATCAGACGCGGTCAAGGCAGAGGGGAAAGTACGCCTACCATTGATCGTGCCAACACAGAGACCAGCAGCAATAATCTATACGGCGTCAGTCGTTCCGCAGATGATGGGTACACGGGAGGACTCACCGCGTCCGCTGCAGAGCCTCCAACGAGGAGCATCTCGAGACCGATATCCGAGCACTGCGCGACCTCCGTAACCACCGCGCCGTGCCGTCCTACACCGACCTCATTCCTCGGGAGGACCGCCGCACGCGCGAGCGCAATCGACGCGAGAACCGCAACCGCAAGACGCTGGGGGAACATCGTACTCGGCTGAGCAGGTGTGCACTTGACAAGCCCTTATGAAGTGGAGGGAATGCGGTAGAAAGGCGGTGAATGCCCAGTACCAGCTGACCAGAAAGCGGGGAGCACTCCTGCTGTGGAAACCTGACTTGCCGAGGACAAGAACGCGTCGAGGGCGGGAGCGCGCAAATCCCGCGTCCGTATCTTTATATGCGTGATGAGACCATGTGCCGCGATGACGAGCTCGTGTGCGGTGATTGTTTCTGGACGGGGCGGACCTGATAGGCAGGGTAAATGTAGCTCGGGGTTATAAGGGCAAAATGGATCCACAGTATGTTTGCGGCGTCGGATGGAGGGGAGGGGAGGAGGAGGAGAACATGTTTATGAGTAGGGAGGTTCGGGCTGGGTTCATTAGGCGCCCATCTACCACTTCAAGCTATCTCGGCGTTTGCCGGCTTCAAGCTCAACTTGGCGATCGGCGCCGGGTATCAAAGCACTGTATGGCGCCCGCGGAGCAAGGTCAACATAAAACGCATATGCAGAGAGAGAAACTACTGACGCCATTTTGCTGGACTGTGGCGAATTTCCGGGTCAAGGTCTTCACGGCAAGGAGTGCACCAAGTTCGACTTGAATGCGCACGCCACATATTCATCGAGTGGTCGCCTGCAAAAAGGATATGAGAAGCGTATTATGTATTCCTACTATCTAGCTGCACCACCCCAGTACACCGGCAAACAGAGGAGAAGACATGCATGTACAACAGAATACGTGAGCAGAAAAATCCAAAGCGGGCCGAATGCTACATGAGTGTGTGTACGTCCTTCGTCACTGTATCGTGAGTCCAACCTGGAACTCGTATACTCCAAGGCGGACCGTACTGTCATACTGTGTATATGTAAGTCCTAGCCCGCCTCTACCTCCGCGCCCAAGTCCAGCTCGGCCTCCAGCTCGTCCTCGAACGAATGCAAGAAGTCGTCGTCCACCTCCGCATTCTGACTCCCGCCATCGTCCTCGCTGTCCATCGCACTATCGGTGTCGCCCGCGACAGACCCTGGCCTCGAGGGCCGCGGACGCGGCGTCGATGCTCGCGAGCCGTTGACTCGCCTCACGGGCGTCGCTGCTCTCGAGCCCGCCTTCGATCTTGACCCGGACGCCACCTTCGCTTCCGCGACGGTGAGGTCGCCGGCAGTGATGCCTGCCTTCAAGGGAGATTCCCCTACGCGGTCGGCTGCAAGCTTCTTTCGCTTGGCAAGCGGAGAAGAGCGAGGACCGTCGGCGCCTACCTCAGACGGTGTCACGCTTCGTGAGCGCTTCTGGCCTCGGACAGGCGATGGTGTGGCACTCCTATAAGCAGGGAAGGGGACTGACGTGAACGGCTGTACTAAGTGAAGCAAAGGATCTGACGTACGTTATCTCGCTATTCGTCTCGTCTGAGAACTCTTCATCTTCTTCGCCATCGTCTAGGTCATCATCATCCCCCAGTTCCTGGGCGATCTCCGCATCCATATCGGCCCAGTCAACATCATTAAGCTCGAGCTGAACGCCCTCGCCCGTCACCAACAACTCCTCATCGCTCTCCGGCGTATCCCCCAACGCCTCCATATCCGTATCCGGTGGCGTGGCGCCCTGCGATGTCGGTGTCGGGTCCAGCAAATATCTGGACTCCGGTTGCCTCTGCCACATATTCACCGAGTCCTTGAACCACATCGGTGTCACCACCTTGATATTTCCGCGCCGCCTTGCCTCGTCGACCTTCGCCGTGCCCTGCTTCCCGGCGACAACGTGCGTGACCTCGGGCGCGAGTGTGGCGTGACAGCGCGCGCCAAACATGTTGGCGATGCGCCAGCACTCGTGCGATTCGGGCTGAATGTCGAGGGGAATGACGCTGGAGAAGCAGATGTGGCAGCCTTGGAATACGGAGGCGCGGATGGACGGAATGATGCGCTTGACGTCGTAGGGAACGTTGTGGCGCTCGGGCTCTTGACTGCCCAGCTTGCGCTTCTTCGGCGACGCGGGTTTGCGTGCATCGTATTCGATGAAGAAGCGCGTGTGCACTTCGTCGAGGAGCTTGCGGGCACAGGCGCGTCAAGACCTCTGCTAAACCTTCCAAACAACACGCGCACCTTGCCAACACGGACGAGCTCATGATCGTTGTTAGTGAGCAAAGGTGGGATCTTCTTGCCCGACTTTGACGACGTCGACGAGTGCTCATCGTCAGATGCAGCTGCGTCCCCGCCTTCGGCAGCCTCTTCATGCTCCTGCAAGGCTTCCTGTTTCTTCGCCAGAGGACGCTCCTCCATTTGCGCCTCTAATGTCTGGGCACGAAGTTCGACGTCGGCATCCTTCAGGTTTTCCTCCGGCTTGCCGGGTGTCGGGATTGGAGGTTTATCGCGAGGCGCTTTGCCTGCATGAACTGTGAGTGTGGTGCATATAGGGAGCGATAGGCGCCGTACCTGGTGGTGTTGCTTGTGGCATGAGGGGTGGTATCTTTGGCAAGAAGGAAGAGTTGATATCGCCAATGCCAACAAAGAAGTCGTCTACAGGCTATTAGCTAAGAAAAATAAGGAAATTGTGACGCACAAGGTACGACTTTGATGAGATTGGGGCTCCAGAACTGCAAGCCCCCGGACCAGACGTCGGCTCGGTCGTCGATGATGACCACCATAGATTGATCGGTGGGGAAGAGTCGGTCGAGACTCTTCTGTGTTAGGCCTGTATAGGTGTAAGTCATTGTTCTCTTCAGAGAGCGGACAATACGCACTTCCGCTCTCGTCTCGACTGAGTATCCTCTCGCCAAACAGACGCCCATCCGGATCGAGGACATTGCAGACCGCCATCGCGTACGCTCGCGTGCCCATCGTGTAGACGTGCATCTCGTACTTTGCCGACATGTTGTTCATAAACTCCTGCCACCCTGGTCTAAAAGACCATGAGTACGACACCCTTTCATAACCGAACACGAGGCGCACCTTGGCTTGATGTAGTACACGCAGCCTTCGTCCAGGGCTATATGCCGTCCCCTCATGTTCGTGGGCGCAAGGAGCTCAGGGCCGAGCCGGAACTTCTTGACGTCTTTGAGGGCGTCCCAGTTAGGGTTGCATTCTTCCAGCTCTTCCTCTGGATCTGAGTCGTCGATGTCCTCTCCGGATTCCTCTGCTGCTGCACGGGCAGCCGCTTTCTCCTCAAGACGCGCGCGCTTAGCCTCCCAAGCCTGGCCCTCGGCGATCCACTCCCCCACAGTCGGATCGACGGTAGCATGCACTATGGTTTGATCGAGGTCAACGATGAGTTTGAGACGGCGCGCCTTGAGCAGGGCTTCGTTTGCTTCTCGTTCGATGCGCTCGGCCACTTCTCGGGATACTGTTGGTCCATTCTTGGAGTGGGTCATTTGGATCGACGCTCGTGAGGTGTCTGATACTCCTAGGTAATCCACGCTGAGGGGGTAGCGCCGTCAGCATCGCTGCAGCTATCCTAGAGCCAGTATACGCACTTGGTCATGTCTTTGCCACAGAGCGCACACATGCCGGCAATCTGCTCCCCGTGCGTGCACTCCTCCGTCACCAGAACCGCTGGGCGGTCGCGCGCCTTCGGACGCGAGATGACCTCGCCGGGCTTGACGTTCCAGGCAGTGAGCTCGCCATCGACGGGGCAGTCCCACGTGCCGAAGCGCGTCTCGGGCTGGGCGTCCGGGGACGGGTTCGCGGGGAGGTAGGCGAAGGAGTAGGTGAGGAGGCGGTCGCCGCGGGTGACGTTGCCGACATCGGCGTCGAGGGAGACGATGCGGACGGGGTAGCTGAGGGACTCGGGCAGGAAAAGCTTGGTCGGACTGGAATCCATGGCGCCTCTTCGCGCGCCGCACCAAATAAGAGTGAGCAACAACAATTACCGGCCAACAGATCCGGCCCCGGCTCGTCCGCCACGCGCGCCTTGTTTCCTAATCAGGAAGGTCTTTCTTGTCCGTGACCGACAACAAAGGGAATTGTCACGGTCTTTCAGAATGCCTTGTTAAAGTACTCTGACACATCTACGTCTTCCCTGCACATCATCTCCACGCCCTCCATGACTACCCCCCTTGTCGTCTCCTTCCCTCCCCACGGAACGCGGGGCGTCCACGCGATCAAGTGCACGCCACAGTGTTTTGTCACTGCCCGCCGATCAATCGCGTGCATGTTCCGGTACGCATGCCAGAATGCACGCGCGGTCTCAGCAGCAGCAACCCTCGCATCCGTGTCGAAGCGGCAGATCAAGTAAAACTCGGCGAGGAACTGTCCAATGTCCAGCTCAGGAATGCCGGTCTTTGCCAACTCCCAATCCACCACCTGAATGGACTTGATATCTTCACCATCCAAGGTGACCAGAACGTTTCCTGGCCAAAAGTCGCCCATGACGAACTGAGTGGCTGGTAAGCCATTGTAAGACCGAATCACGAAGACGCACCTTCTCCTCGGCATGCTTCAATTTCTCTATGACCGCTTCGGCGACAGCGCCGACCTTATCCAACTTCCCCTTCTCGATGTGAAGCGGCTGATCTGCAAGCACGGCTAGTCCCGCGCTTCCGTCCAGCGTCTCTCGCGCTCGCCCATACGTAGCCCAGGCCGAGATGCTCAGCGCTTGCTCGTTGCTGGCGAACAAACGCAGGAATTCATGCGATTGCTCTGCCCCGCGACTATGCACGAATGCGATGAACTCGCCTAAAGCACGACCGATGTGTTCAGCAACATGAGGAAGTATGTTCCTTGCCCGTATGAGTGCCTTCAGCGTAACGGAAGTTTCTCCGCAATCGTCCATGATGAGGACGTGGTTCGCGTCGTCGAAGAGGTGAACGGTGGGCACGGTGACGAGGCTGTCAGACGGAACCCATTCTCGAATGGCTTCCAAAGCTTCGGCTTCGAACCGCTGCACGGGAAGTCAGCGACAGAGATGGCAGCTGATGCAGAGCCGCTTCACCTGCCGCGCGATATCGAAAGGTACCCATTGGCCCTCGATCTCAAGGAAAGACCGGCCATACTTGAGTACCAGAGTGCTTTTTCTTTCGTACGGCGCATTCAAGTGGATGCGGTAGACGAAGTTAGCAGTACCGCCAGAAAGGCGCGTCGCAGATCGAGAAGCGAAAGACGTGTTCGAGAGGTACTGAAGCACGCCGTCAGGGGTCGTGAGATCGAGATCGAGAAGCGCCATAGTCACAGAGATTGTCAGCAGATATTGAACTTCGAACGGGCCTCCAAAGTAGCCTGAGAGGCGTGTCTAGGACAAGGAGGGTGCTTTTGAAGGAAAGCGCGATGACAAGGGTTGACTCAGTCTGATTCTTGCATCCAGTGGAGGGGGTAGAGCGCAGAGCAGCCTATGGATCTGAAACTATGCAAAAGAAATGAGAACGTCGTAGCTCAAAGTCTAGGAAGCGACAAGGTGATGACGGTGCAAGATGAGCAAAGCAAGGTCCGGAAAATGCCGCCGAACTTGAACAAGTGGCCACAAATTACCAAGTTGAACTGGTGGCAATGTGCGGCCCCGCCTCGGACCCGTGCCAGATTAACTTCTGCTCCCGTTGATCCGCTGGTCGGCCTTCGCCGACGTCTATTCGACTTCGCCATGGGGATGTAGTAGCGACGCCCTCGAATAAGGGCGCAAAGTGGAGGTGGCAGTAGGGCGCTGTCCCTGAGCTCAACTTCGCCTCCGCTCCAGCGCACACTCAGGGTCCATAGGCTGGTCTCTGCAGACTACAGATGTCATGCGTCCGTCTTGCTTCGTCCAGGCAGCACAAATACAATTAGATTACTGTTAGAATACGATGTGGCGACATATGAGCATAACATAACATAAGTAGTAATTTTCTTAGAGGCAAGCGACGTCGAGTCCTTTACGCCTCGACGATGCCGAGCTCGCCCCGCTTCATCTTCAGGTAAAATCCTTCCAGAACCTCGGAGGCGAAATATTGTTCGTACCCGTCCGAGCTGTACATCGCGAAGACCGCCTTCTGGGTGTGGACGCGCAGCAGCGCGGTGCGGGCCTGGTCGTCCTCCTTTCGCTCGGGTAGCTTATGCGACCCAGCGGGACCGTGACCATTGCCAGCGCGCGCTTCCTGGCGAGAGGCGCCCTCTTGCGATTGCAGGGCGCTCATGTCGTGTACCTGCATCAGCGGCGCGTAGTCATCTTCGTGCGAAGCTGCCATGGGAGAAAATGCCGTTTCGCAGAAGTCCATGGCGTCGTTGAGATCGCTCGAATTAAGGCCATGATTGGCGTCAGCGCCTTGGATCACTAGAGCGGTCTGAGCGCTGGCGCTAATCTGAATAAGCGGAGCACATACCGGGTCGTAAGAAGTCGATCGCGCGGTCGAAGTTGTCCTCATCCACCTTTGACAGCACGGGAGCAGACTGGCTGCGGATCTGCTTGTAGGTCGCTAGCACGACAAGCAGGAATCTTCAGAGATGGTCAGCGTGAGATACGCAATACAGCAGGCCATGCTACTGACCTTGTGTAAGACGTGCCAATCTTTGCATTATGGAATTTCATGGACTGCTCTGCGGTGCACTGGCCACGTAACACGGATGCAATGGTAGCTGCTGCGCTGAGGCCGCCGGTCAGAGCGAGATGGATGCCCGAGGAGAAGAAGGGGTCGATGAAGGCTTGGGTCAGCCGGTCAGTACGAGACTCGGTGATCATCGCTGCTCACGCACCTCCCGCGTCGCCGGCGAGCCGCCAGTTCTGGCCGGCGTAGGTACTGGACGAGTAGCTGTAGTCACCCGCAGTCCGTACGGTATCCCGGCCATTGTCGACCTGTGTAGCGTCCGCAAGGAGCTTCTGAACACCAGGCGCGCGCTCAAGCTGACGAGCGTAGAACTCCCGCTGCAGGGTAGGCGTATCAAGCTCTGGTCGCTCGGCACGCATCTGTGTCTTGAGCTGCCGCGTGACGTCCTCGGCGACCACAACACCAACGGACGTCGTCCCGTTGTGTAACGGGATGAACCACGCCCATCCGGACTGGTCTGCAAGGCCGCGTCAGCAAACGTCCCCCGCGGCTATAGCGCAGCTGACATACCCGTCAACGCCTCAAACCAGGGCGCGCCCTCACGCTTCGTGCCTGGTGCGTACTTGCCAGCGCCCCTCCAGTAGCTCCAGTGGGCTGAGTTACGCAGAGCAGGGTTGAAGGTCCGGCTTTTGAGGTACTTGTTAGAGAGGATGCCGTTACGGCCGGAAGCATCGACGAGCCAATCGAAGGCGATACGACCGCGACTACCATCGACCGATCGGATCCAGTTCGCAGCGACGGGGCGGAGGGAGGCAGGTGTGGTAGAAGCGTCGTGCGGTGGGTCGAATTCAAGGGACTCTATGCGAATGCCCTCGATCACATTCGCACCGCTGGTCGAGGCATGGCGAAGGAGAATTTCGTCGAACTCGGAACGGACCTGGTAATTTCGTCAGCGTTGCTCGGGTGGCTGAAGGAGGGTACGTACGACATTCCAGGCCGCGTTTTCCGGATTATGAGAGACGAAGCTGTGGATCGCTGATGAGAAATAGGTAGAAAATCCACTAGGTAGAGGATCGTACTCCGTGTCTAAGATCAAACTCAGCAAAGAGCGTAGAAATTATCAACAAGAGAGACGTACATCCTTCGCGCTTGTACTGGTTCAGCTTTAATGCTGCGCCTTTCTAAAATTAATTGTGAGCCGTCTGTCGCTCGATCTGCGTCGTAGACTCACTTTGACGTTGAAGCCACGAGCCTTGACCTTCTCCTCGACGTCAATAAATCGCAGGAATGGCCGACATGAAGGTATCATGCTTTCGCCGATGTGATAGCGAGGGAAGTATGCCTGCTCGAGCACGGTGACTTCGACACCCTCTGGATAACTTGATTAGTGAAATTGAGAGCGCGCACGATGGCGAAGCTTACCTCTGGCCAAGGCAGAGGCGGCGTACGAGCCAGCCGGACCGCCGCCTATGACCAGGACCTTGGTGTGCTCGGGCTGTATAAGGTCATTAGAGCGCAACGCGAGTGAAAGTGGTTCTGGCGTACCACAGAAAGAGGCATTTCGCTTGAGAGAGAGAAGGGGGAGGAAGGGGTATGGTATGGGCATGTCGCTTGGTCCTTTTATACTGCGATCTATCTTGCGAGCGCCCGAGATACATACCCTACAAATAAGCGTACCCATGGTGTGACGCCCATAACAGCTCCATTGCGCCGCCTCTTCTGGCTAGCGTTATGTCAGATCTGCAATGAGTGGCGGCGCTTGAGCAGGGCCAGACTCACGGATCCCGCGGTATGCCGCCTACCACTATGGATAGATTTCATCTCGAGGTGAGCAAGCGTGTCGCTTGCCATCGAAGAAGGTACCGGTATTGCGATACTGCCTTCAGAGCCGTGGATCGCGCCGTGATAAAGCGGACCACTGTTGGTCAGTCGTGGGGACGACTTTGGAATGCGATACTGCGCCGGACCATCATCTGTGCAGATGTTTAGTGGCTCAACGAGCGCTCCAGAAATATCGGGGGATGACCATACCTGAAGCACCTGTGCAGTACGAGCGCCGTATGTTTGCCCATTCCTATCCGACAAATGCCTCTCCGTCACGGAGATCTTGACCAGCGAATCTATACAGCGGGAATGATAGCGAGGTAAGCTTGGTGGATCATGGGCTGGTGGCGCGTCAAGCGCCCACCAGCAGAAACGGAGGAACTACGAAGAACAACATGCAATCGCTCCCATGTGGGCCCATAATTCCTAGTTCAGAAGTGTCAAGCAAACCTTCAGTCGGCATCGGCACATTGAGGGCTGGTCGGGTGGTATGTACGGCTGCTGAGATTTGATGCCCGGCACCATTCACAGGTCGACTAGTCCATTCATCAAGTCCAGGACAAAAGAGGTATAGGCTGAGGGGGACACGTAAGAGTGAGCAGCACAGGAGCAGGGCAGTGTTATGCGTACCTAGTTCTCCCAGGCTAGGGCGCACCACCCACCTCCTCACAATATATTTTCCATAGCTTCTCGACCCTCCTCCCTGTTACCTCCTTGAAGATATGACTGTCGTACTGCCTGTCAAGCATCGCCTCGTTGATCTCGCGGACGGTGCCGTCGCCGTAACGCTGCTCCATCCAGTCGAGGAAGTAGCCTGTCGTCTGGTAGCCTGCATCCCACTTGCCATCCGTCGTAGGGTCGCGTTTCCAGTGTGGAGGTGCGTACTTCGCATTCAGACGCACGAAGTCTGTTTGTAGAGTGAGCAAGTATGGGCGGTGACGCGTGATATATCCCGACTGACCGGCTATCCCTTCAATCAAACCTCCCGGTGCTGTGCCCTTGGCGTTATACTGGAAGCAATGGACGACTTCATGAACGAGAACTCCCATGATTTCCCCCCTCGCCCGCGCGGCTGAGCGGGCAATGTGATCCAGAGACAGGTGGATCTCCTTGTCTGTATTGGAGCCATGCGTATACGCAACACCCGGCATAGGTCGTAGTATGAGATTGATACATTCCACGCTAGTGTGAGCAGGCGCATGAGCGTCGCATGCAATGACGAGATGATTACTGACTTGCTAGGGTGCTTCTCTTTCGTATATAGCCAGGTGAAACTGGCGGCCACGGCCTCTCTTAAGGCCGCTAACGGATCGACGACATCGAAGAATATGACAGCACCTTCATGGGCGAGATCGTCTACTCGGATGCTGAGTCTGGGGATCGGCCAACCAGTCTTATCGTCTGGTGGTACCGGTGCCATGGGAATAGATAACTGGCGGAGCAATAACAAGACGGTGGCAAGCCGCAAGTGCAACAGGGGCGTGACGTCGTGACGACGAGCGCACACGTGCTGGAGCGGCACTTGCCGATCACTAAAAGAGCGTCAACGAGTTTGATGCAGACCTCTGCAACGTCCTTCATGCGAAGAAAATAGCAATACGTATAAGTACATTGGGGAACGGAAACTTGCCGCTGATTTATTATTTCTGCGCCTTCTCCTCTCGACTTCAAATCCACTCCCCAATCAGTGGCTTTGCAGGGAATCTTTCCAAGTGCAATCCCAGTTCAGAGAAGACCTCGTTGACGGCTTCCTTCGACTCCTTCTTCTCTGCCTCAGATAACGCTGATATCGGCCATCAGCACTCTGACATGATAACTCGCCAGCAAAGCTCACCTTCACCGCGTCCCTCGCCCAAGGATTCCTCCAGACCGGCTTCTCCATCGCGGGCGGCGATGAACAGCAGTTGCGCACCCTCGTAATTGAGGAGCTCTGGGCGCTCGCAGGGCGCAAAACGGAGCCCATAGTTCTCCCTTCCCTTCCTACCTCCTTTACCGAAGACATCAACCATGATATCCTCGGGATACTCCGCGCCCTTCTGATTCCGCATAGCCGGGTTCGTTGACGGCGCCAGGGGATTCTTGACCTGGATGACGAACGAGTTCGCTGGGTGTATACCCAGCTCGGCTTGTACAGAATCCGGTGTAAATTCCTCAGCGGACGGGTGTGAGAGGTGATAACCGAAGTGAGTCTCCCGCCCGCTAGGGATGCGAGGGTTGTTGTTGACGATGGCGTAGGCGCCACGAGCGACGAGGCGAGCAGGGGCCTGATGCCTCGTACCTGCGCTCGTTCAGCGGCGTCGACGCACAAGCGGGTCGAACAACCCACCGCGCGTCTTCGTCTCGTATGTCTTCTCGTCGAGACCCTTCTCGAGTGACTCAAGGTCGTCTCCGACATCGGTTACAGTAGCCCAAAACGTTTCCTTTCTCCCGCCGGTGGCGTGCTCCGGATCCGGAAGCTGCTTCTTGCCCAAGGTGATAAGGCGGTAGAATTTCTTCTTCGTATGAGTGGGCTCTGCAGGGACCGCGTCCGCGCCGGACTGCAGCATCTGCATTTCCTGCGCCTGTCCTGGCTCCTCTGGCTTGCTCGCGCCCTCATTTCCTGACGCGAACTCGGGAGGACGGGGCACGAGAAGCATGTGGAAGTTCTTCACGTCGTCGATGCTTGCTGCTTCCTCGAGCTGCACCTTCGGACGATAGAAGAAGTATATGTGACCGCGTTCGATAGTACCTGGATATTTATTCATTCTGAGATCTTGAAAAGCGTAAACTATGTCTTACCGGCATGCCATGGTCCTGCAGATTTAGAGCCAGTAGCAGGCTTCTCTTCAGCCTCCACTGCTTGCCCCTTTTGGTCTTCATGTTCTTTGTCCTGGTCTTCCTTTGGCTCCGCCTTCGCCTTCGTTGCTTTCCCTCCTTTAGGTTTGGAGGCCGGCTTAGCTTTTTTGGCCGGCGGCTCCTCCGCGCTCTTGGTCTCCTTCCGCGACGTTGGTGGACGTTTGCTACCTGCATGGGCAGGCTTCTCCTCGTGCTTTTCAGCTTCCGCAGCTTGGCGACGAGTCGTAGGCATCCTGAAGTGAGCGTAGAAGGATGGAGGTCAAGTACAAGAAAATACGCCCCGCATTTCGCGCAGCCGAATATGAACTATTGATGACATCACACTGTGGCCATTGTTCTCCAGAACGCGCCCATTGTTCTTCGAACGCGGTGACGTCGATCATAGGACGCGTCCATCATCTTGAACCGTCTCGAACAGCAACCACTAACCCGAAACCTCGAGGTCTACCAAGAATCAAAATTGCTTGTGCAGCGTACAGATAGAGCAAGGCCATAAGTTATACACATCTTCCGCCATCTCACATCGTACCAAACATGATCTTCAGGTTCTCTACGCTGTCAGGATCGGTGCCCTTGTCGCGCGCAGTCCCGCGGAAGGCCTCCTTGACGATAGCAGTCTTGCGTTTCTGTATCTGCAAGATGCGACCCTCGATGGTGTCCGAGATCTGACAACGAGCCGGCATGAGCGCTAAGCGTCGGTACCGCGAGGTTCAAACGTACTATGAAGTGCTTCACGAAGACAGGCTTCTCCTGCCCAAGACGATGGACCCGGTCGATAGCTGGTCGCGATTGTCAACAGAAGTTTCATCTTAGCGCGAATATGAGCACCTTGGTTCTCAGTAGCTGCATTCCACCAGCAGTCCATCTGCGCAGCCGTTAGCCCAGATATTACATCGCAAACAGCGGCACTAACCATAAAGACATAGTTCGCGTTGGTCAGCTGGGCGCCCGTCTCAGCCATGCGTAAGTGACAAGCGGACGGATGTTGCTCACATTTAGGCCGACACCGCCAGCCTTCAAGCTGACGACCATGATCTTGGGCGCGTCCGAGGGAGCTTTGAACTCGGATATGGCATGATTGCGCTTCTTGACATCCATCGAGCCGTCGAAGCGGTACTGGTCGAACCCCTCGCGCTTGAGCGTGATCTCGATGAGGTCCATGAAGCTGGTGAACTGCGAGAACACGACAGCGCGGAAGCCCGGGTCCTCCTTCTTCAGGCGCACTGGATAAGTGATGCCAGGTCAGCAAGCCGAGATCGTTATGGAAGATAGATCCGCTGGCTTACGGAGATTGTCCATGAGGGCTTTGAGCTTGGTCGATGTGCGGAAATCGTTACGGCGTAGTACGACTTCAGACTGGGTCTGCTCCGAGTCCGGTGACTGAGCGGGATTCTTGTTCAATACGACCTCCACTAGCTCGTCCTCCTGCGCACTGAGATGAGTACCCTTACTCTGGTAAGACGCGACGCCAATCACCTTGAAGGGCCCCTTGTTACATTTAGGGCATTTCGTCTGCGTGCCCTTCTGCTCGCAGTTCGTGATGTACATGATGATGCAGTCCTTGCAGCTTTGCCTTTATTCAGCCTTCAACGCGTCCCCAGTCACATAAGAGCACGTACCACTTGTGAAAGCACCCCGGCAGCAACATCGGCCGCTCCATGACATCGAGGCAGATGGGGCACTCGTCAAAGTCCTCTTCGGATAGGTGGGCAAGCACGTTCTCGGCGAAAGCCTTGCTCCCGTCGTCTTCGCCTCCACCGTCCGCAAATTGCTTGATCATGTCGCCCGCGCTCATCTCCCCGTTGTCGTCCGGGTCTTTGGCGTCCGCGGCCACCGCGGCAGCGACAAGGCTCGGGTGCAGCACCGCGCGACGCAGCCTGTGCGCAGCAAGGCAGGTAAGCGGCGGAACAACGTGCCAGAATCAGCCAACGAACGTACTTCATAAGCATAGCCAGGATGTGCGTGTAGTTCTGGCTGACAAGGCCCTTGGCGTTGAGTCGGTCGAAGTCCTTCTTGACGGTCGAGAAGATGGAGTCGTAGATTTTGCGCTCCATGGCGGAGAAGAGTAGCTCCTCGACGACGACCTCCTTCGGTGGCAGCTCGACGATCTGCTTCCCATCTGCGTCGCGCATGTTCTTCTCTCGGCGGAGCAGGACGCTCTCGAGGATCGTCTGCACGACCTCGATGGCTTTGGGATCGTGCGCGAGGAAGGGGATGGTGATGAAGCTGGTGCGGGAGTGTCAGGGCGGGTGCGGGGTAGTGTGCTGGCGGAGATGCTTACGAGCGGAAGAAGGAGAACTCAGACCAGGGCCTGAAGCCAAGGAACTTTCTGAAAGGACGTGAGTGCTGGTCAAGTGTATCACCCAGCTAGACTCACAGAAGGGAGTACAGGTCCTCGAGCTTGTTGACAATGGGTGTTCCTGATGGCGGCTATCAGCGAGAGAAAGCAGAGTATGTAGTGATATTGACCTGTAACCGCCCATCTTCGTCTGGCACGTAAAGCATAAACGGCTTTCGCCGTCTTGCTAGTTCGAGATCTACAAGTGGAAGGTCAGACATCCCTCTCCTTCATCGTGGATACTCTCACGTACTTGCACGAATGCGCCTCGTCCAGCACGACCCTTAGCCAATCGACTATCCGCCCATCAGAGCTGATACCCAATCAAGCCACGCCCACTCACTCTCAAACACCCCCGACCCCACCTTCGACTTCTCCCACTTCGCATGCTCGCTCGCCAGCGTCCCATACGACGTCACCACCACCCTCAGCGCCCGATCCTCCTCATCATCCGGCTGCACCGCCCCCTCCAAATCCAGCCGATTCGACCCGTGCCACACCAGCACCTTCATCGTGCCCTCCGTGCTTGACCGCTCGAGTTCCTCCGCCCATTGGTTGAGCAGGGACGTGGGGGCGACGATGAGGGTGGCGTGCGCGGCGTGGGGGGATTTCTTGGAGGCGGAGCCTTTGAGGGCGGTGTTGAGCTTGAGCTGGCGGGATTTGGAGGTGGTGGGGTGGCCGTCGGCGTTGGGCGTGGTGTCGGGGGCGGAGTTGGTCTGGATGAGGGCGGAGAGCATGATGGTTTTGCCCATGCCCATCTCTGAAGGGTTGAGGGTCAGTAAGATAAGATTGGCTTTCCTCTGTGTGACCCACCGTCTCTGTGAATTATATATACGTTAGCATGAGGTCAGACGCGACTTTGCAAGCACTCACGCTAAGATCCCGCCTCGACATGTCCGCTCTGTTTTAGGAAACTCGAGACTGAGCTCGCCGGAATAGGGATTGAAGTAGAAAGGTCGCTCGTCTGCCGTGAGGTCGATGACCTCGCCGGGCGCCGTACGAACGGGAAAATTGTATCTGAAGTCCATGTCAATGGTGGCTCTGACTTTACAATGTCGACGAGCACGAACTGGCACCATAGTGGATGCATGGCGCTGGCTTGCCGGGCGTCCATACTTCCTGATTCCTGCGCATGCATCCAGCTAACGCATCGTGAGCCTCGCGACCGCGCAGAAAGTGTGAGAGTACACACTGCAAAGCTTGCCGCTGGTAAGGACGAAGTTTCAGGGTGAATGATGGAGCAGGATCCATCTCGCCCATGGTGCGGTCATTCTTTTGGGCTCTAAGAGGCTGTTAGAACACGGATTGGAGCATGCTATACCACCTTCATACCTAGTGTAGATCATCGCAATATCATTGCCGTCGATGACCTCGCTGTCGTCCACCTCGATCTCTTCGCCATCACCCACAATCTCCGTAACCTTATTCCCGGAACGCTTCTTCCCCTCCGCCTTCTTCGCTTCGCCGTCCTGGTCTCCTGTCTGTGCCCCAGCGACGGGCCGCAGTCCGACGATCTCGAAGAGTTTGCCCAGGGCAGTCTTCCGCTCGCGTAGCATGTGCTCGTCCTCGGTCTCCATACCCTCGTTCCAGGCGAACTTGGTCGCGAGCTCATCGTTGCCGGAGGTTTCGGCCTTTTTGAAGGCGGAGGGGAGGAGGAAGGCTTGGACGAGGATGCAGACGTCCATGCCGGTGCGCAGGCGCTCGGGGATGTCGACGACGATGCCGCGGAATTCGACGATTTCTGGGGGATGTTAGAGTCTGGGGGGAGTGGCGTAGAGTGAAGAAACTTACCATAGTCAAGGAGTCTAGCCATCCAAGTGGCGTACTCTTGAGGAAGGCGCGCGAATTCTGCATGCCAGTTATATGAAGCAGACAGACAAATGGTACGTGGACTCACTGGATCCTCGTTTGTTCGCGATGCGCACGATACTGTCGACCTTCTTCTTGTTTGGCTTCGCGGGTTGTCCCTTGAACATGGCAGCGATAGACATTTGCTTCTTCCCGTCATCTTTCTTCTTTCCCTTCGCAGCGGCCTTGGAGGGGGCCGGCGCTTCAAGGTCCTCCCTGAAGATGCTGACCTCCTCGTTTATTGCGGCACACTTCCCGCTAGACGTGCTCCAGGCATTCGGCACAATGAACTCTCCAAGATACATGGGCCCGTCGACGGCAGACGCGCTGTTCGGTTCAGAGGTAGCGCGACGGACGCGTTTGGAGGGACGTTCAGAGGACTGTGATGGGGGAGGATGTTTTGAGGAGGACGCGACGGGCTTCTCTGAGGAAAGCGCACTGTCTGCCTCGGGTTGGTTCTTCCCCACAAGCCCCTCTACGTCTAGTATATCGAAGTCATCTGGCGTCTGGCGTCTTTTGAGCGACTCGGGGCCTTTGCTAGGTCCAGCCACGGGCTGTTCGTCCTCATCCTCGTCTCCACCGTCGAGAAATAAGGGCTCAGAGTGCGAAGACAGCGGAGAGGACGGCGGTTTAGGCGCTTCGACTTCCATGATTTCGTCCTCGTCGTCGTCAGACTCGGCGAAGAACTGCCCGCTGGGCTCTGGGGGTATCATCTCGTCGTCGCTGCCGGACATGATTGCTGTGGTCAAGATGAGTAATGTTCGTCGCGCCCGACGCGTCCGTGTCGAATTGACGCGACGCGTCTGAAGCGCCTGAAAAACAAAGACAAATTCAGCTGATCGCGCGCGAAGGCTGGCCGCGTTTCTTATTCCTCACCAAAATGCAGCGCGGACTCCCTATGGTGCGTAGCCAAATGTACATATCCTGGAATATATATCTGACCCCTTGCAAAGCAACCTACGGTGGTCCTCCTGCGGGAGGGCACCGACACCTCACAGGGCAAGCCGCAGTTGCTCTCTAACATCTCAGCATGCCTGGCGATCGCGGAGACGCTCTCTAGCACCCTGGGCCCCCGCGGCATGGACAAGCTGATCGTGTCCGAGCGCGGGGAGGCGCAGATAACAAACGATGGGGCGACGATACTTAAGCTCCTCGAGATCGTGCACCCCGCGGCCAGGACACTGGTGGACATCGCGCGCGCTCAGGATGCTGAGGTCGGCGATGGAACCACGGGTGTTGTTCTCTTCGCGTGCCAGCTTCTCAAGGAAATTCGCGGGTACATCGAGGAGGGCGTTAGCCCGCACATCATCATGAAGGGCTTTAGACAGGCTTCGCAGATCGTACGTGACTTGCACCTATTTCATTGGCAGTACACTGATTACCGTAGGCTCTGGACAGGATCAAGGAGATTCAGGTCTCGGTGGACAAGTCGGATCCTGAGTGCGTGGTCTTTTCATCGTCGTAGGACGCGTCATCCTCATCGCTACTTCCAGGCGCTTCCGTTCCCTCCTGCTCAAGTGTGCCTCGACCTCGATGTCCTCCAAACTCATCCACTCCGAAAAGCCCTTCTTCTCGAACATGGTCGTCGACGCGGTGCAGTGTTTGGACCAGGACGATCTCGACGAGTCCTTGATCGGTGTCAAGAAGATCGCTGGTGGCGGCATGCAAGACTCGATGCTCGTTAAGGGTGTCGCCTTCAAGAAGACGTTCACCTACGCCGGTGCCGAGCAGCAGCCCAAGTCCTTCCGCGATCCCTTGATTCTCTGCCTCAACGTCGAGCTCGAGTTGAAGGCCGAGAAGGACAACGCGGAGGTTCGGGTAGACGCCGTATCGGAATACCAGGCGATCGTCGACGCGGAGTGGGAGATTATCTACCGCAAGCTGGAGGCTATCGAGAAGACGGGTGCGAAGGTCGTTCTCAGCAAGCTACCAATCGGCGATCTCGCGACGCAGTGGTTCGCCGACCGCGACATCTTCTGCGCGGGTCGCGTTGCTGCTGGTGACCTGCGTCGCGTTGTTCAGGCTACTGGTGGTGCTATCCAATCTACCTGCTCTGATATCTCCCGCGAGCATCTTGGCACTTGCGGAAGGTTCGAGGAGCGCCAGATTGGTGGCGAGCGGTACAACCTCTTCGAGGACTGCCCCAACGCCAAAACTTGCACCTTGATTCTGCGTGGTGGCGCGGAGCAGTTCATCGAGGAGGTTGAGAGGAGTCTGCATGATGCGATCATGGTGGTCAAGCGCGCTGTGAAGAACGGTGAGGTGGTAGCTGGCGGTGGCGCGATCGAGGTAGGGTTTAGCGAGCTCGTTCTGGTACCTGGTACTGACATCCCGGCAGATGGATCTGTCCGCGCACATCCGCAAGCACGCCCTCTCCATCCCCGGCAAACTTCAGGCCGTCCACATTGCCTTTGCCAAGGCTTTGGAGATTATTCCACGCCAAATCTGCGATAACGCTGGCCTCGACTCCACCGACATTCTGAATAAGCTGCGGATGAGGCATCACAACGGCGACATGTGGTATGGCGTTGACGTCGACGGTGCATCGGGCGTGCGCGACAACATGGCTGCGTTCGTCTGGGAGCCCAGCTTGGTGAAGCTGAACGCGATCGCCAGTGCGGCGGAGGCGGCTTGCCTCATTTTGAGCGTGGACGAGACCGTTCGCAACCCCCAGAGCGAGCAGGTGCGTTTAGAGTTTCCGCCCAGCTAGTCAAGCGCTAACCTCACTATGTGTTTAGGCAAAAGCAGGTCCGAAGATGCCACCTGGAGCGGCGCAGCGTGCTTTGCGTGGCCGGGGCCGTGGAATGCCTCGCCGATGAGAGGCTCTGCTTGAAGAAAGTACCATATCCGTGTAATATTTGCTCCCACGTGTCTTACCTTGATAGAGAACTACTCACACGTCACCTTGTTGCGAACTTGTTGAACTTGAAGTGCCTCACTTTTGAGTCCGACGAGTCCTATCTTCCCCTTTGCACTCAAGCGCCAATGTTATGTTGCGCCATCGCACGTCAATTACTAACCGCTCCGACGGCCAGGAACGGGTGAACGGCAGAGCGCTGTGCGCCCTGCTTGTGATCTGCATTGTCTAACTGGGCATTCGGATCGCGCCATACTCCCAGCATACAATCCGCGTCTTCGAATGCGCCATACCCCGGTATCCGGATACAATGCGTGCCCAGCTACTTAAGAGATGACCGCAGAGTACATGGTACGCTCCCCCTCCGCTGATCCTGCTTATCACCCCTCGGGACACCGCGACGATGGCCACCGTGCTCAACTATGGCGGCAGCGACGCTAAGAAGGACGCAGACATCACAACGACCGTGTCGGAGGACACGAGAAGCGATATCAAGGACACCGGGGCCCCTCCGCTAGGCGCGCCGATCGACAAGAGCGGCGGGATCTGGCGAAGGGGGAAGCCTCGTCTGGACTTAGACGCTGTGGCGACGCAGCTGTCTGTCTTCGACGATCCCGCTGGGTTGGAGGCGTATCGCCCACCTGCCCAGTACGAGAACGCGCATCGCTTCGACCCCGATGCGCGCTGGACATGGCGCGAAGAGAAGGTATGAACGGGTCTACTCACTGCGTCGTACGCCCACTCAACGTCCCCCTCCCTTCCAGCGCCTCGTCCGCAAGATCGACATCAAGATCTTGCTGTGGACGCTCGTCATGTTCTTCAGTCTCGACCTCGACCGGAGCAACCTGACGCAGGCGAACACGGACAACTTCCTCGAGGACCTCAACATGACCACCAACGACTTCAACATGGGGAACACCGTGTTCCGTCTGGCCTTCCTCTGCGCAGGTGCGTCCGTTTCCCCATTCAGAAACTCCGCCACATACCGACCGTTCGTACAGAGCTCCCTTCGCAGTTGTTGTCGAAGCGTATCGGGCCGGATATCTGGATTCCTTCCCAGGTGAGCTCTACGGCTGCTAAGTGTTGCGCCTATCTGACGTACATGCCATAGATGTCCCTCTGGAGTATTGTCGCCTGCAGCCAGTTCTGGCTGACGGGGCGAAAGTCATTCCTGGCGACTCGCTTCCTTCTGGGCTTCTTGCAGGGTGGCTTCATTCCCGACGCCGTTCTCTACCTCAGCTACTTCTACACGAAGTATGAGTGTAGGTGGCCCTTCCTCCGCTCTCCTCTCCCCTTTCCTGAATTTTTCGCTAGTGCCCATCCGTCTTGCCTGGTTTTGGATCTCCAACTACGTCTCGCACATCGTCAGCGCCCTCCTTGCCACTGGCTTGCTGCAGCTTCGTGGCGTCGCTGGGCGCGCAGGATGGCGGTGGTTGTTCTTGATCGAGGGCTTGATTACTCTTGCTGTCGGCATTTTCTCCTTTGCCATGATGCCTGCAGGCCCGACGCAGACGAAGAAGTGGTACCGTCCGAAGGGCTGGTTCACCGAGAGGTAAGCCTTATCCAGGTCGCGCCCGCTCTCCAGCTGACGCGATAACTCAGGGAGGAGGTCATCATGGTCAACCGTGTGCTTCGCGACGACCCATCGAAGGCGGACATGCACAATCGCGAGGGCTTGAGCATTAAAATGCTGCTCACCTCCCTCTCCGACTGGCGCCTTTACCCCTTGTACGCCCTCGGCATCACCCACATGAGTAAGTCTTCACACACCTATCTATACCCTGCGACTTCCCGCTGACCCTTACTCAGTGCCCTCCGGCCCGCCGCAGACCTACCTCACCCTGTCCCTCCGCAACCTTGGGTTCAGCACAACCGAGAGCTCCCTCCTCACGATCCCCTCGACTGTCATCGGCGGCATCGGCCTTGTACTCACGGCCATCATGAGCGAGGTCGTCGACAGCCGCGTCGCCGCGACGATTACTGCACAGATCTGGACGCTGCCGCTGCTCATCGCGCTGTACACATTTGACCAGAGTACTTCGCAATGGGTGTACTTTGCGGTCGTGACGTTGATTGCGGGATTCCCATACGTGCATCCTATCCAGGTCGCGTGGGCGTCGAGGAACTCGTATTCAGTCAAGACGAGAACCGTGTCCGCAAGCGTGTACAACATCTGTGTACAGGCCGGATCTATTATCTACGTGAGTCCTTTCTGCACTGTTTATCTCGCTCGCATACTCAACAATCCCGTTTATAGTCCAACATCTATAGGAATGATGATAAGCCTCTTTGTGAGTCGCATTGTCCTTCGTACTTACACTCAAGATCCTGACCTCTTTACCAGACAAACGGGGCAACCGTGCCCTCATCGGCATCAACGTCATGAACATCTTCCTCTATATCGGCGTCCACTTCTTCTACAAGTTCCTTAACGCTCGTCGAGACAGGATCTGGAACGCCATGACGCCTGAGGTATGCACCGTCGTCCTTCCCTGCCAATGAACTTCGACTGACACACTTTACAGGAGCGTGAAAAGTACCTCGAGACCACGACGGACGTCGGAAACGCGAGGCTGGATTTCCGGTTCGCGTACTAAAGGAGCTGGCTTTGTTACACATTTATATGCGGATTTTTTGTTTTATACTTGTACACCCTGTACTTCATTAGAGGTTGCCGATAGGCAACCAGGCAACTTACCATGCACGAATATACGTGTAGCATTCTCATCATCTGTATTGACTTGACGCCTGAGCCTACAAGAACAATAGGACGAGCTGCCTTCTCATGCGCACCTTCCAGAGTCTGCCTGAACTTCAAAAATGCATGCGGGAATTATACCCAGCGATCTTGGACGCTCCACAGGTATGATCCCATTTCAAACGCGCATGAGTCGAGAGAACGACAGCATCCCATTAACCATGGACAAGGTGCACAGCAAGTATAAGTAGTATAGATCAACGTCGAGCAGACTACGACAGGTTCGCCCGTGGCGGGACAGCCGTGTTGACCGCCTGCGCGACGCTCGCGCGCTTCCTCCGCTTCGTCTGGCTCGTCTTGAGGCGCTGGAGCTCGCGCTCGACGTCGAGGAACTTGGCCCCGACGTCCTTGAACTCGAGGGGCGCCTTCTCGCGCGCCTGGATGACCTGCACCTTCTCGGGCCGGCGAAGCTCGAAGGTCTCGGGGATCTTGGGGACGAGCTTCTCCTTTGCGCGCTCGGCGTTCCGGGAGTGCCGGATGGCGTCCTCCTGGGCGTGCTTGAGGGCGGCGGGAACGACGGGTTCCTAGAAGCACGCATGAGTATGTGTCATGGACGAAAAGGTGGGGACCACATACCCTTCCATCCTCGGGGATAGACTCCCAGTACATGCGCACGTAACGTTGCCGTTGTGCGTCACGGTTCTCCTCCAACTCGAGCTGATCGGCCTCGCTCTGGTTGTAGTACGTCGGGTCTGGTTGGCTCTGCAACGCGTACTTGTTCGCGTTGATCTGTGCCTGCTCCGAACCCAGCAGCACCTCCATGCCTTTCTGGAAACCGGTCTGCACGAGAGGTGTCTGAACCTTGTCGCCAGTCTGGGTGTTTGGTTTAGTAAGTTGTTACCAAGAGGATGAGGGGACGGGGATCAGCGTGAATAATGTAAGTTGTAACCATGTAGGTGTCTTAAAGACTAATCGTTTGAAACATCATGTCGGTGAGGGATTGTTGGAGACACGAACCTCCTTCTCTTGCGACTTCAGGTCATGCTCGAGCCCCTTCAACCTGAGGATAGCATCCACGCGCTTCAGACTGACACCGAACTTCCGCGAAAGATTCAGCTGGCTGTTGGCGTCGGGGTCTTGCTGGAAGAGAGTCCACATGAGCTCCTTCTTCGCGTCGGAGATTGGCGGCGGCGGACGGAATGAGGGGTTCATAGGGAAGGGCTGGAGATACGTCAGTAGGAACCTAACAGGGGATACGGGAAGGACGCACGGAAAGCCTGTCCGCGCTCAGCCAGTTGTTCTTCTTGTTGATGTCGACGTCGCGGTATTTCTGGCCGACCGTCTGCATAAACTCCTTATACGTCCTCGGGATGTGCTGCTCTCCGTCGTCGTCCTTGGGTAACTCCCGTGGTGCCTCGGCAACCGCCTCTGGGGGCTCCGAGTCGACAATGGCAGGCTCATTCTGCACGGGCGGAGGCGCGTCCTCCGCACGACGCACGGCGGTGGTGCATATTCTGCGTCCTGCGCGCACTGGGCGCGAGGAAGACTGGGAGGCCGACCGGAGCGCCCGAGAGCAGACCTGCACACGAGAGAGCATTGGCACGAAAATCTCCGCGCGCTCAAGTGACAGTGACAACTAGGATCACATCACGTGCGATCGCGTACCGCGTCACGGAATTCGAACTTGCTTGCGTCCCGCCGTCATCATCGTCTCATGGATCCGCAAGTGTTCGAACTCGTACGAGGGTACGCGTCCCTCGTACCGCCAAGTAAACTGAGCTTCCCGAATGTATCTCCTCTGTCTACGCTCATGGAGGCAATCGTGGCACACCTTCTCGAGTCGGATCACTTTCAGCAATACGCTCCGTCCGCTCAATATCAGAAAACGTTTTGGAAATGGGCTATCGACCATCTGGAAAGACTTGTCTCGCAGACAGAGGAAGTGAGTCTCGCAGACTGATGTCCTACTCCGAACGGGTGCCCCCTCGTTTCTTGTGTGTAACCGCCTGCCACCAGGAAGTGGAGTTGGACGACCGAATATATGATCACTACCTGAGCTTCATCCAGCAGCCGTATGTCTTCTCAGTCTCTGCGCCGCTGTCTGACCTTTCAATTACTCACAGGTCGGCCGCGCCGGACTTCGCTATAGCCTGCCCTCGTGCACCTCCGAGCGATTCCTACATAACGCACTATTGGTGTTTGAGTGGGAATGACAAATTTTCATCAGATGGCCTAATCCATCTTGAGAACTACCAGACCGTCACCTTGCGCGAATCACGCACGACCATCCAAGATGGGACGACTGGCCTCCGTACCTGGCTCGCTAGCCTGGTCCTCTCCAAATACCTGATTAATGAACCAGGTATGATCGCCAATCTGCCGGTCGCTCAGCGCCTACCACTGATCTACATTTTGTCTCTCCACTCGAAGATCTCATCGCCAACAAGCGCATTCTGGAGCTTGGCTCTGGGATTGGCTTCCTAGGCATAATTTGCGCCAGCGTGCAACTGCTAAACCAGATCACGGAGAATGCCCCGGCGCCGCATTTGTGGCTGACGGATGTTAATGACGATGTGCTGGCGAGATGTAAGGCCAATGTACAGTTGCCATGCAGTACGTCTATTGTCCATCCGGGGAGGGCAAACGAATTCATCACCTTCCAGATCTCTCCTCCGACCACCCAAACGTCCATTACCGTAACCTCGACTGGGTCGAATTCGACCAGTCGACGTCGAGAACGGCCGCTCTAGCAGATATGGACGTCCTTGACGAGGATGTTATACTGGGCGCAGACATCGTGCGAGGGCTACCTTCGTCCAATTGTCGGGTTAGCACTGAACCAGGGCCCCTCTAGGTTTTCGACCCCAGCCTCATTGAGCCGCTCGTGACAGTTCTTGCCCTGCGTCTCATGAAGCTACGACAAAATGGACGACGTATGGCGCTCATCGCGCTCACAGTGCGGAACCCGGAGACCTTCCAGGCCTTCGTGGAAGCAGTGGAGAGTGAGTTTGTTCATCTCCTATCTCTGTCCTTCTTCCTGTTGAGCACCACTTCTCTTCCTCATGTTGTTGCTGAAACTTACATTTTGTCTGATCCGTAGGAGCTGCACTCACCATCGAATACGTCGACTATACAACCAGCGGAAAGACCTTCCTCGAGACGAGCGAAAGCCGCCAAGATGGGTCTTCAACGGTCAAAATCCTTCGCATAAGTTATAAAGCAGGGTAGCGCGATAGCATGTACAAAGCCGAGACGAGAAGAATTGTAGCATAGGAATGAACAGTGTAGCATAGTAGTGTGGTCAAAGAACGACTACTACAGAACATGTAGCCCATACGGCGACGCGCCAGGGTGAAGATGATATGCCATACACGCACACCGAACGCACTGTCAGCTCTTCGTCTTCACGAACCCACAGAACCTACAAGACCAGAAGTCATTCGGTATCGGCGTCTCCCCGCACCGCAAGCACGTCCAGTGGTCCGCTTTCGGTGGTGCGGGTCGGAGGGCAGCACACGCGTCGCACTGTGAGGCATTCTCATCGTTGACGAGGGTGCATATGGCGCAGGTCCACTGGCGGGGAGGACTGTTCTTCTCGTTTGGTCGACCAAAAGGGTTGTTTGGCGATGCAGGAACTTTTTGTCTTGGATGACCAGGTCGCGCTACATTTGTGGCAAACTTCTGCTTCACCGTCCCGTCGAAGACGATCTCGATGTCGTCGTCATCCTCATCGACCGCAGGCTTTGGAGCTGGCCTATTACTCGGTCCGGCCTCATCCTCAACGATCATGATGTCGTCCTCGTCGAAAATGAAGTCGTCGTAGTTGATTTTGCCAACGTCAACAGAAGACCGCTGAGCTGTCGTATTGCTGGGTCCTGCCTCGTTCTCGCTGACCTCGGTACTGCCACCAACGATCATAGGATTGCCATCGTTGACGATCATGATATCGTCGTCGTCGAAGACGAAGTCGTTGTAGTCGAACTTATCGTCTTCGAGCGTCAAGTCGATGACTTCGCTCGCCTGCGTGGCTTTCTGCGCCTCTTGTTGCGCCTGACCCTGCGCGGCGGATGCGCAGGAGTGGGAGTCACGGACCCGGCGGATGGCGGCCTATAGAAGTAATTAGTTGACTTTTGCATATCTGCGGGAGAAGAAGGGATCCATACTGGAAACAGTCACATACCTGCGCTGCCGCTTCCCTTGGTGACAAAGGTGCCCGCGTCTGCCCACCCAGAACACGGGCGCCTTGCCGTCGCTTCTCCGCCGCCTCCGCTGCGCGCCGCTTGTCCGAAGCGCTTGCGCCTGCGGGGCCACCAAGTACGCGTCCCGTGCCCCCTGCACCGCTGCCGACTGTTCTTCCTTCGCTCCCAGTCGCGTACCCTGGCCCACCCGCTCTCCCACCCAGCCTCGTACCCGCACCTGCTCCTCCCCCCGCTCTGCTTCCTCCCGCGCCCACTCCACCTAACCTCACACCCCTCCCCATCCCCACTCCTGGCCCACCCAACTTCCTCCCCGGCACCCCACCCAACACCCTCCCCCTCGAATAGAACCCCTCCCCCGCATACCCCGAGCGCTTCAGCGCCGCGTACTCGTCCTCCAGCCCATCCAGGTACTTGTAGAATACCTCGTCGTGCGGCCCGCGGTGGTTATGCGTGAGCTCGTGGAGCATGGTTCCCATCACGAACTCGAGGTCGTAGAAGGTGGACGGGTTGGCGGCGGGGCGGAGGCGGAGGAAGATCTGGTGGCCGCGGTTGACGTCTAGAGAGGGGGTTAGTGGAATGGGGGTGGGAAGTGGGTAGGGAAACGTACTGATGCCTGGAGTAAGAGAATAAATACGGGTAAGTATCCAGGAGAAGGATGGCCCCACGAATGAAAGGAACACGCACCTAGTAAATTAGGATCGTCGGGCAGGAACTCGCCCAGCGTCGGCAGATGCCAGCTTCTCTTGCGCATGATGGGTTTCGCAAGCGACGCAACGCGCTTCAGCATATCGAGCGCCTCATCGCCGCGAGGCTGGTCCTTCAAGTGAGTGATGGTCCGGACGTAGCTGTCTGTGGACGCGGAGAGGTTGGGTATGCGAGCCATGACAGGCGCGCACTAGGATGCAGCTCGAAGGATGTGCAAAGAGACGATAGAGTCAGAGCGAAGCAAGAGGCAGTAGGGAGAGGTTGATCAACGACTGCAAAGGCTTCAAATGTGCAGCGGATGCGTAGCTGGGCTGCCGTGCAGCTGGGCGCCTAAAGCGCCTTTGCGGACGGAGACAGACGCGCTCATTTCGGACCGCGACGCGCGTGCCCCTAAATCCGCGCACTTCCCACGGTTGTTGCCACAAAGCATACAGTTCTTTTGCGCTCTGGCTGCACGTAAGTATGTACAAAGAAAGACGCAGATACAGTGTGGTTTATCTCAAGGAAGAGGGGACTGGGCCCACGCCTTCCGTCAGCGGGATCTAGACATGAGTATAGGCAACCGCGCTACACAACTCTTGTGCATCGGCATTTCTCAAGGCTAGGGAGCTACATTCTCGGAAGTACAGGTAGCATTGCAGTTAGGCGAAGATCAGTCATCCTCCTTCTTCGGCGGCGGTCCGCAGGGCTGCAGCATGCGCTGTAGATATGTTGTTAGCACTGCACTTTTCTCCCTAGGCTCGCTCAGCCGCTTACCTCAGTCATCTCGAACTTGATGCGCGCAATGGGCTCCCCATCCGCGATGGCGAGGTAGGACGTCAGAGGCGGGTGACCGACGATGGAGGCGAGTGTGTCGCGGTGTTGGTGCGTCAGCCACTCGCTGTGAGAAGGGTGAGGTCTACTGGAAGAGAAGGGAGGTGAAGATGAAAAGCACACGCACTACTTTGAGATGTCCGCATGTCCTTGATGCATGGTTGTCAGTACAAGGAAGGCAAGGACAGGGATGACGCTTACCAGTCCCCGTATACCGAGCATGCACTGCGAAGAATCGTCAGCCTCATTTGCCAGACAGAAGGTGCGTTACTCACAGTGTTCAAGCTGCGTGTTCGCCGTGTACCTGAGCTCCGATGACTGTGGACTCCCGTGTTAGCACACAGCTCTCTTCGGTGTGGACGACATGACTGACCATGTTGAAGTGGCGCTGTTTACAGGTGTTGCTCGCGCGCTTATTTGGGCCGATCGCCATCACTTGGTTTGGTTCCCCCGCGTCCAAGGGGCGCTCGATCGCGTCTGCCGAGCTCTACAATAGCTCCTTCACCTCCCTTCCCGCACTCACCTCTGCACTACCGCGCTCGTTGTCTTCGCTCGTCTGCTAGACTATCCACCATGTCCACCGAGACCACCAAAGTCCGGGCGAAAGTCGCTGCTTTGAACGCTTCCCTCGACAAGCTCGAGACTGAGCTCGCTCCCTTGCTTGACAGACCCTTAGCGGAGACTCTTGCTGGGCTGGAGCCGATTGAGAAGGCTCGCCTGCAAACATTACTGCCGTACATCATCTACGACTTGTCATTCAGTGAGTGAGATTCCGAGGCTGATGTTCGCACAGGCAGGCAGGCATGCTGATACGAGGTAGTCCAGCTCAAAGTGAATGGAGAGGATCCGAGGACACATGCAGTAATTCCGGAGCTTGTGCGTGGCTTGCAAGCGTATGGACGAGTCGCTGAGCTTACATATCTCTCAGGACCGCGTCCGCCAATACTTCGAGAAGATCAAGAAGGTTGAGGAAAGCGCGCCCAGTGCGTATACACGCTCCCACTTCGTCCACTCCCTGTCTTCACATTCCCTCCCTTACATTCACTGCATCATAGCTTTACCAACACTGACCTCCGTCCCACAGAACCCCCCACCGTCGACAAAGACGCCGCCGCCCGCTTCATCAAGCACGCCATAAACTCCATCCAATACAAGAAAAGCGACCCGCCCCAAGACGCGCCATCCTCCAGCTCCAACGCCGCACCCGTCCCCGCGAAGGTGACGGACAAAATGCGCGAGCGCGAGGAGTACTTGCGCGAGCTGAAGGAGCGAGAGGGCGAGGAGAGCAGTGAAGGAGAGGAATTGGAGATCTTTGGGGAGGGAGCTATGGAGGTGGATGAACCCGTGAAGCCCGTGGTGAAGGATAGGAAAGGCAAGGGAAAAGCAACGGAGACGACTGCGGACCAAGCAGCAGTGGATGCGCTGAGGAAGAAGAGGAAGAAGACGGATCCGTTCGGCAGTGAGTCCATACTTTACTTTGAATCCTCTCAGTAACAACTTTTCACAGACGATGGCAGCCAGACGAACACACTCAGTATGGACGTGGATGGCTTGGAAGAGGTATCAAGGCCGACCACTCCTAGCGCAGATGCCTCTGCCAAGAGCAAGAAGAAAAGGCGAAAGAGCGCTGCCGATGCGGACGTCAACAAGTCCATCGTAGCGGACGGTGCAGAGGATGCGCCCAAGAAAAAGAAGAAAAAGAAGGCGAAGAAGGAGTAGACGGGGCTGATGACATCTCAGTATCCTTCTGCCACGTCTGCTGTACTCTCACTCTCCCTGTACGCCCTCCTGTTATTCTTTGCGATGCAAACGAGCCTCTGGGTCACCAACTCTGGGCGTGCCTTCGGCCTTTGCCGGTGATCCGGAAGATCGGACCGCGGGACCCGCTCCTTATTTTTGCGCTCGATCGCGTCGAACCTCAACCGATCTTCCCTCTTCCCTCCATGCGTCGAGTTTCCTCCCCATGAACAAGGTGAGCGTTGCGCCCAAGTATCTCCTTCACATGATGCTCTGTTCAAACTTATCTACATTGTCTGAGCCTTCGCCTCGGCGCTGGCTATGGCGATCTCTCAACGACCCTGATCCCTTACCCTCGTACCCTGTATACGACTTTATACTGACTCTCCCTCAGATCCTTCTTTCTCTTCAACTCCGTCATCTTACATAGTACTTTGCTTTTGCCCTTGTCCCAATGAATTTCTACTTCTCTGCCGCAAAGACCCTGGACCGTCTTGACTCCAAGCAAGGCTCCATCAAGGGCGTTCTCGCCACCCTCCCCGAAAAAGACCGTAAGCGGACCGCCGCACTGGTCATCGAGACCCTCAAATGTGCGCCCTCTCGGCTAGTGAGAGAAGCGCGCGCTACATAAGAGTTGTTCGACAGACAAGGCCGCGTTAGCGGACGTGATCAAGGCGTGCGGCCTCCTCGCCGCTGAGAAGAAGATCACGTCGCTGAATCTGGCGCTGGTGCTGGTGCATGATCTGTTGTTGGCGAAGGGGATTCAGGCTGGGGATGGGCCAGTGAAGCAGGCGGTGTTGAGGCATAAGACGCGGCTGCAGGGGCAGTGGACGAAGATGAAGATTAAGAGGGGGGCGAAGAACAATGAGGATCTGGCGCAGGTGGGCGATCAGAGAGCAGGTGCGTTCGAGATGTGAGCGGGCGATAGCCTTGCTGAGCTCACCCAGCTCTCATACCGCGCTACGCACGCGTCAACACCAACCTCTGGTCTGTCGATGAAGCGGTCAAATCGCTGCAAGCCAGCGGCTCCAAGCTTGCAGATCCCTTCGCCTCGACGTATGTCTTTCTCCTTCCCACAGTCGACAGCATTCTCACTCTGCATCAGCTCCAACTTCACACAAGACGCCCACGTCCCCGAGCTCCTCCTCTTCTCCCCCAAAAAAGCTTTCCACAACGATGCCGCCTACAAGTCCGGCAAGCTCATCCTCCAGGACAAGGCCTCCTGCTTCCCGCCCCTTGTCCTCAACCCGCCAGCTTCGAATAAGGCTACGGTCATCGACGCGACGGCTGCGCCGGGGAATAAGACGACGTACCTGAGTGCGCTCATGGGGAATAATGGGAAGGTATGCGGGTTTTCTGCAGGCAGGATGAGGAAGTGATTGACAGTAATCTTAGCTGTTTGCTTTCGAGCGTGACAAGCGGCGATTCCAGACGCTCAAGACTATGGTCACCAAAGCTGCCTGCAAAAACGTACTGCCTGTGAATGCGGACTTTCTGACTATCGACCCCAACGACGAGACGTATAGCGGCGTTACGCACATGTGAGTACCGGTGGTTTCGTCCCTTCCCCTTCACTTCTCAAGATTAACTATAAGCCTGTCTCACGTCCACCCTCCTCAGTCTCCTCGACCCCTCCTGTAGCGGCTCAGGCATCGTCAACCGCCTCGACTACCTTCTCGAGACGGAGGAAGAGAACGACTCTCAGGACGAGCGCCTCGCAAAGCTGGCTTCCTTCCAGCTCATGATGATTAAGCATGCGATGAAGTGTACGTGTTTGGCCCTTCCTCCCTCCCGCTGCCTCTTGGTCTCGCCCGCTAAGTCCCGGATTTGACTATCTTACACCTTTCTCCAGTCCCCTCCGTCTGCCGCATCGTCTACTCCACCTGCAGCATCCACGCCGCCGAGAACGAGCACGTCGTCCGCGAAGCGCTCGCCTCGGACGAGTGTCGCACAGGAAACTTCACGCTGGCATCAAGAGACTCGGTCCTTCCGACGTGGCCGCGGAGGGGGATGAGGGAGGAGATGGGGGAGTGCAGGGGTGAGTATTTCGTTTGCACCCTTGCGATCTGGTGGGGAAGTGTGCATACGTGCAGAGGCTGACATAGCTAACACAGCCGACGCCGAGGGTCTGATACGTTGCTTGCCTGGCGAGGATGCGACGAACGGGTTCTTCGTGTCGTGCTTTGTGCGACGGGCGGACGGTGAGATGGAGGCTGTGAAGGAGTCAGAGGGGAAGAAGGTCGGCGCGCAACCACCCAGCAAGAAGCGGAAAGCGGATGACGCCGATCCTTCTTCATTGGAAGCCGGCACAGTCCCGCAAGCGGACGGCACTACCACCCCAGCTAAGCGCCGCAAGAAGAAGAAAAAGAAGGCGAAGGTCGAGTAACCTCGCTTCAATGTCCCCTGTACGACAGGGCCTCGGACCTTCACATCCAATATACGCAAACAAATACATTGTATATCACGACGAGATGAATAGCTAGAAGGTCTGTCTATCGTACATAGTATACATATATCGTACAAAGGTCAATTCATGGTCAACAAATAAGTACAGAGGCAAAGGTCTAGAGGCCAAAAAATTCCATCCGAATAAAATACAGGTTAGTCTTGTCGAGTGTCGAGCTTGCCGTTAGTCTTGTGAGCCTTGAGCTCGCCGTTGGTGTTACATGATCACACAACTGTCCCCACTGCTCATCGCAGTCATATTCCCCGCCCCATTCCCATTCGCCGTCGACCCCGCATAACTCACCGGCCGACTCCTCCCACCAGGCGACCACCACCGCATGCCGCCGCTTCGGCCCCCATCCCCCTCGCTAGAGGCGGACGAGTTGTGGTTCCGACGCTGGCTGCGCCGTACCTTCTCCCTCGCCGCCGCCATCGAATCCACCGCCAGCCACGCGTGGAACGTCTGCAGCACCACGCGCCCCTCGTCGCACTCGTCTTGCGCGTCCTTGCCAAGCTCGCTATAGATCTCGTCTCGCGAGTCGAGGTACTTGAGCTTCCTGGCCCCATACGCACGCCACCCTGCCCGCGGACGCGTCTGCGGTGCGAGCTCCTTCACGACGCCCTCGCCGATGCCGCGGCAGTCGATGGCGACAATCTTCGCGTGGGTGAGCTGTCGTTCGCGGGTCTTGGCGACGAACTCGCGGAGGGTGGTAGGCGTGATGGAGGTACCGTCGGCTTCGAGGACGCGGAGGTTGGGGCAGCCGCGGATGAGGGCGCGGAGTGCGGCGTCGCTGAGCTCGCCGGCGTTCGAGACGACGAGGTGCTCCAAGGCGTGGCCCGGCTGCTTCCCCAATTCTTCATCTCCATCCTCCTCCGGCGTCAATGCCTGCAGCACATCGTCCGTGATCTCCGTCGCATCCTCCAAATCCAGACGCCGGATGTTGGGCGTCGTCCTCAACAAGCGAATCAAGCCTTCATCCTCCAGCGAGCTCCCAATCCCCGCCAACTCCAACATCTCCAACTGCGGCACGCTATACGCCAAATTCGCGCACGCCACATCGGTGAGTAGGGGGCACGCCGACAGCGCGAGGCGCCGCAGGCGGGTCACACGACGGCGGTAGCGATCCCCGCCCTCGCGGCCAAGCTCCCTGGCGTATACGTGCACGGTGTCGACACCATCCTCCTCGTCCGCACACGCGACGAAGGCGTCGAGGGCGCTGTTGCGCAGCTGGCGCGCAGAGCTGAGGTCGAGGACCTCAAGCAGGGGCGCCGCGCGGCCGAGCGCGAGCATCATATCCTCGTCGACGTGCTTCAGGCCCGAGAGCTTTAAGCGCACGATCTCGAGGTGCGTACCGCGCACAATAGCGCTCCTCGCCCACACAGACACGCCCGAGGCGTCCGCATTGGCGCACCGGCTGGCGTCGAGGTCCTGCAGTCGCGGGCAGCACGCAGCGAGGGTCTTGTACGTGAGGTTCGTCACAGCGGGGAGCCCCTTGACGCAAAGGCGCCGCAGGAGCGGGGTGTGCTCGAGGAGGTAGTGGAGGGAGCGGCTGTCGAGGGAGGTGCAGCCTTGGAGGTTGACGCTGCTCAGCTGGGTCGCGGCGGGGAACTGGCCCAGGCAGAGGTCGTCGGTGAGGGTGTGCAGGTCGGTGGAGGAGCATTGGGTATGTCCTGAGAGGTCTAGGGTCTGCACGAATTTGCCACCGTGCTCGGCGATGCGGAGGCCGGAGGCTAAGGAGGCGCCACCGAAGGCGTGCAGGTCGAGCGTCCCCCAAAGCTGACCGTCGAGGATCATGGACCGCCACTGCTTCGACACCTGAAGAGGGTTAAGTTCCGCGGAAGACACCAAGACTCCACCGACACCGCTTACCCTGCTCAGCTTCACCAGCTCCCTCACAGCACGGTCGCGCCCTACCCACTTATTCCTGCTCTGCGTTGCCTTCGACACAGACCACTGACCTTCGTCGATGGCTCGCTGATGTTCATCTACTATGACCGAGACAAGACTCGCGAAGACGTGGAGCCGCAGCTCTCTAGGCAGGACATCGTCGAAATAGTTGCGCGGCTCGACAGGAATGGGCGTGAATATGTCGTTAGACGTCGCCGGCACCAAGTCCAGCGCGGAAAGCGGGAAAGGAGACGAGTAGGACCGAACCTTGTGCTGTGCGCGGAATGGCGACTCTATAGTAGGAGTGACTGGCGTCGGCGGCAATTGCGTTACATTGGGCGTGGGCGGCGGGGATGCAGCCATAAACGAATCATAGTAATTGCCCAGCCCGTGCGACGTGGGGGACGCATCGCCGCGTTGCCTGAACAAGAGTTTGCGCGCCACATTGCTGGGAACGCGCGCGCTGTCGAGCTTCGACCTGAGCTTGCGCAAGGAGCGTGATGAAGATGCGGTGGACTTCAAGCTGGCCATGGAACGCGGCCGGGACGGGATGTCACGAGTGTCCCCCTCCGTCTCCGTCGGTGAGCTGGGCTCCGCCTGAGGCGGACTGGATACCGGGCGCTCCTCCCGTGCCGAGGAAGGGTTATACGAGCTGGTCGAGCCATACGATGATGGACCAGGTGTGTTGTCCGAGGAGGACGATGGACTGGAGGACGCCCAGCTGCACGTTTCGTAGCAGAAGGTCGTGGGGGTGAACGTCAAAGGGGGGAGCGTGGGAGGTGCTTCACGCCCCTTGCCCTTGTCGGTGGTTGGCTGAATCCAAGGGACGTCGTACCCTTCACTCGTGTAATCGTATGAAGTGGTAGAGGGGTCGAAGTACGACTCGCGCGGTGACGCCGACGATGGGGACGATCCTACATGGCTCGAGAAGCCGGTCGGCGAGAAGGAGAAGATCGCACTGGTCGGATCTTCACCGTTGTTCGACGAGGGGGACGGTATGGAGATGGATTCAAGGGCTTGCCTGCCCTTGCCCTTCCCGGTGTTGCGCGCCACCGTACTGCTGTCCACCTCCGCCGACGAGCAGGCTTGCCCCCGATCCCGATCCTCGCTGAGCAGCATCTCCAGGTCGAAAGGGTCAAACTGGAAGAAAGGTTCGACGCCGTCCATGCTGGCCTGAGGAAAGCCTGCAGCCGACAGATCGATATGGATGAGGCTGGCTGCCCTCCGCACACAGTTCGATAAGATTAAGAAGCTATGGTGCCAGATGGCGAGAGAGAGCAAGTAGGACGAAGATAAGGCAGGACACCGCAAATGGGCTGCTGGCGCTGGGGGCTAGGAACGTGGAATGGAGAGTATTACATGCCCCTCCTGCTCAGCCGCAACATGCGTTTGTCGTGACGACAAGACATCGCAAGACATTCCCGCCACGGGCGCCCGGGTCCGGATCCCGCCCGTGCACGTGACAATGTTCGATTTCCCTGGCGACGCTCGAGGCGCGCGCGAGCCGTCGGCTTCCATTTCCTGCACATCCCACCGTTCGTTTCGGTGGGCAACTGCGAAACGACGACGGGGAAAATATGCAAAGGTGAATGGTGATTGTCGAGGGAACAGGAAAAATGCATGTCACGCGAACAATTCAAGGATGGGTCCCGGTGGTTCGACCTCACCTACAGCCCCGTGTATTGCGCCTGAAGACTAGAACCGCTGTCCGCTAGCTTCGCCGATGCTGAAGAAGTCCTACACCCGCCGTAAGGACGCCGGAGGCGAGACATCCAAGGCACGATACGTCGCCCGCCCGCCCTAGCGAAGCCCACCCGAGTGAGGATCAGGACAGAACGCGTACATTAGCTACAGACAATCCGTGACATGTAGAAGACGAAGGACGAATGAACATAGCGAACGAGCGCATTACAAGAGTACATGTAGCAGTAAATGTGGTATCAGATGGTGCGAGATGAATAGCAAGCGGAGGTAGCAGGGGGAACGGACACTAGAGCACGTAGAGGAAACCATGATCCCACAGATCGACAAGAAACGAATTTACGGATGACACTGACAGAGAAGACGAGGCGGCCCATACGGCTCGTCTGGAGGCAAGGGTTCGTCTGGTTGACACCATTGCACGTTGTGGGCTCGCCTAAGTGTCCTTTTTGGGCTTGGCGTTCTTCCAGTTCGCTGTCGCCAGTTTGAACCTGAAGATCCGGTGAGCGACTAGCGCATCGTGGGGGGATCGATACACACCGCTCCTGGTGCGTAATATCAGGCTCAGCCTCCTTGAGACGAGACAATTCCTGCTTCTATAACGTGCCACCGTTAGCCGCGCAGGGGGGAAGGGTAGGGACGAGTTCCCCCGCACCATGAATTTGTTGAACTCGCTAAGTTTCTTCTTGCCGCCTCCCGATCGCGTCTCTGAGCACATATTCACGTCAGTTGGCTGTATTTCCCCAGTGGCGAATTACGCACTTTTGGCTGGCTTAGCGTCCGCCGACGCTGCGCCCTTCTTCGCAGGTGGTGCCATAAGCAGTTCGGGAATGGACGGCTGGAAACCTAGAAACGTGGAAAGACCTCAGGCCGTACCAGGAACGATCCAGACACTATCTGTCTCTGTCAGCATCATATCCCCCCACGCAGAAGTCCCTCACCTACCGTCGCTGGATAGCAAGCAAGAGGGCGGCGCAGGGGACGTACTGCGCAAATTCAACACGGGCGGGAAGAGAGAAAAGAACGCAACGCGCCAGCCCCCCGGATCTTTATACTCACGATTGCGGGCAAATCGTATACAACAACTTACGGTATTCGATGCACGCCCCACCGCTTTTAGCGGCGGGGGGACCCCCTGTCAGCTGATGCAGCGCAGCGCGTGCCGGGCGACGACGGGCTGGGGGGTACCCACGCTGTCAGGATGTTCGCAGGCGTTGCTGCCGTCGCACGCGGTGGGCGTCGGGAGGCTGGCAGAGGCGCGCCACGGCTGCGCACGGCATCAGGCGGGTCGGGCGCGTTTGGATAAATGGGCAAAACGAACCTAATCAGAATCTGATGGCGGACCCCGGGGCCTTCTCGCGCGGCGCCGACACGGAGGTGGGAGAGGCACACGCGGTCGCGCGGGATTAGCCGTCCCTGGGGACGCACAACTCGAAGTTCATTGTCCCCCAGTAGCGCCACCCAACCGACGCCCACACGAAGGCGCAGGCCCACCGCGTCCAGCCCTCCTACCCGCATTAGCGAGCCCTTACGTGAACCCCACGCGTGATGCTGGGAACCCAGGAACCTTGCTAACATGCCGCTCGCAACTTGCGCAGGAGATGAATGGCCACGGAGTCTGCCAGCGTTCGCACGGTTTATATACGCCTTACACACCTCCTCATGTGCTTGCCGGTGCCCAATGCCGACCGCAACGTCCCGCGCGAAGAGCTGCATCCCATGCCACTCTGGACCTTCTTAGAGCCCCGCATCCTTCGGGCCAGAAACCTTGCCCACTCCCGCCACACTGTCGACGACGCTGTTTCCGTTCACAATCCCCGTCGTCGCGATGAGGAACTTGCGGCCTACGAGGTAGACGAAGCCATCAGCCAGCGCCCCAAACCTCGCCCTCACGCATCGCCACTCACCGCGGTTCTGTCTCCCGACCCACCGCAGGGCAGCGATTTCCGTATACGTGCAGCCACCCAGGAAAAATACGACCGTGGTCATCGGTCGCTCCCTCGGGAGAACTAGCCCAGCGCCTTGTCAGTCAATCACAAATTTTCACCACCCAGAAAAACTGCTGCGAGACTTACGCGATCCTATGTATGGCGCGGGCGTTTCTGTGCCCCCGCGCGGTGGCTTCTGCGCGATGTCGAAGGTCTCGCCCGGGATCAGCTCCAGCACGTCCTCAAAGCCCTTCCACCCGACGATGGGGTGCGCCTGCACCATGCCCGCCCCGCTGCTGCTCGCAGTCGCGGTGTCGGCGGGCTTCTCCTTCTCAGCGGGGTTGCTGAGCACGCCGCCCTTCTGCGCGACGCACTGGACAAGGCGGATGCTGAGCGGGGCGTAGCCGGAGTAGGTGAAGCTGATGTCGTTCTCGACCTCCTCGAGCGCGGCGGGGTCGTCGTCGATGAGCAAGCGGAGCGATTTGCGCACGGCTGGGAAGGGCAGCTTAGAGGCGGCGACGGCTGGAGGAGTGTTAGAGGGAAGGGGGTTGGGCACGAGAGCGGCCAGCGGTGGCGCGGCCAGAGATAGGAGCAAAGGCAGGTAATTATAGCCATAGGACTATGCCGATAGTCAGTACGCTCACGCTCACTCTAGTAGAAGCCTGGCACTACCTGTAAAATCTCCCGCTTCAAGTTCTCCAACGTCTTCGCCCTCACGCCACCAATGGTTATACTGGCCAAGCAAAGCAGCCGGATAACCGTCTCTAGACTCGCGCCTTGCGCAATCATCTCCTCGATAGCCGTGACCTGCGATGTCACTTCATACGAAGCGAGAAGGTCTGTGGCACATGATTAGCGACCACGCTCGCCGAACGAAGGAACGAACCCCAAGCGAAAGGGAAGACGCTCACTCTGCTGAATCTCGAGCGACTTGTTAAACTCCTCGGTCCTCGTCATAGGGATGATGAGCTCGGAGACGCCGGTGTCTGCGCGCGAATCAGCAAAAAAAAACCAAACGAGGGGATATATCACTCACGCAGTTGCAGCGACTGCCGCTCAGTTTGCAGCCCTCCCAGCTTGCCCACAAAATCGCGCAACTGCGGGACGGTCTTCACCTGGAGACGGGCCTGTAATTTGGCGCGGTTAGAATCTGACTACAGGCTGTCCCACTTTTGCCGAACTTGAGCCCCGCAGCAGCCCGTCGAGCAATGCAAGCATATCTTGCTGCCCTGTATCAACCAACCCCAACGTATTTGTCAACCCTGCCCATGAATCACCCCCGCCAACAGATCGACCCCACCAACCTACCACCCCAACCTCATCCCACCACCCAAACTCACCTTAATATCCTCATCCAGCCTCCTCGCCACCTTATTCAACTTCCTCCCCACCGACGAGAAGTTCAGATCCCGCAGTTCGCCAAACAGCGGATCCGCGGAGGAGAGCAGATATTTCTTCTTGTTTTCTTTCTTTAAGGTCGCGGTCGGGGGCGGTGGGGCGGTGGAGGGTCCGGCAGCGGGTTGGCCGGGCGGGGGCGGTGGTGAGACGAGGGAGGCGGGGAGTTCGACGTGAGCTGGTAGGTAGGGCGTGGTTAGCCAGTAGAAGGTAGCTGAGGGTGGCAAGGGTGTAGGGGAAGGGGAGAGGAAAGAGGAGGAAAGGGGGAAGGGAGATAAGGAAGGAAGGAGGAGGGGAAGACGCACAGTTCTTAATTCCCATAACCTCGTCAATAAGCCCCTCGTATGTGAGCTGGGTCAGCAGCGGGGTGATCATATCCACGCGACGGTCAAGCACAATCATGCCGTCGATCTTGTCAGACGCCGCCAAGAGGGTATCCGGGGTGGAAGAAGTCGCCGTTTTGGGCATGTTGCGGGTGAGGAGGGTAGCGAGCCTCTGCGAGGTGACATTAGACGGTTACAGTGGCGGGGTGAAGGGAAACTGGGAGTACGCACCGCCGCATAGTCGCCCTTCCCCACTATCCTGGGTATCCTGCCAAAGAGCTTCTGAATGGTCGTTAGGGCCTGCACGGAGTCGTAGATGATGCTTTCGTCGCCGTCCTAAACCCACGTCAGCAAACACCTTATGTTTCATCAGGAAACACACATACCACCCAAAGCTCCTTGAACGCAGACTCGCGCTCCAGCGAGATCACATCGTCCGCGATGGGGATGAACTGCAGATCGTATGACGAGATGTTGACATCTCCGAGCACGCCCTCTTCCTCGAGGATGCTTGACACGAGCGTGGAGGCGCGTGGTACGAGGAGGAGGGTGTAGAGGTGCTTCTGGCCTTCCTTGGTGTGGTGCTTGATCTGGTCTGGGGTGGGGGTCAGGGGAGGCTATAGGAGGGGCAGGGAAGGGTAAGAAGGGGGAGGGTCAGCGCACCTGCGATGATGCGGACGTATTTAATCAGAGGACGACAGAGGTAGACGATGTTTGTGGTGGTCGCGTTGAGGGGACCTGGCTCGAGCCAGAACATCTTGTCAACGCCATGGTGCTGGAATGGGTGAGTATACCTCTCAAGTACGGGTGTATGTTCGACGCACCTTCAGTAACGACACCTCCGTGATTAAACCTAGTGGTCCAGCAAGGGTAGGATCAAGCACAAGCGTCTTCGCGCCATTCACCTACAGATCGCGTCCAGCGCCAGCATGCCGCGTCGCGAGGACGTTCACTCACCGCATTGAGCGACTCGACGAGCTTGGTCTTCGACAGCTCCTTCAGCGAGCTGACATCGACGGGGTTCTCAGACACGGGAGACTGCTCGTCGGTGGACATCGAGAGACGCGCAGGAGCACGCGGCCCGCGTGGCGTGCATTCATCCGGTCCGCCGTCCGGGAGGACAATGGGATCCCCGAATGGAAGTTTGGTTGTTCAACTTGGCAGCCACTGTGACTTTGCTCGTGCATCACGCAGCTCTAAATCTGGGCCTCGTTCTCCGCAGTAGTCAAGGTGGATGGCGACTTTGTCCATTCCCAAGACCCACCCGTGAATATCGATGGGATCTACCAAGTGCTGCAGGCATACGAGCAGAATGGCAAGCGGGGGACTAACAATTAGGTCTATGCTCGGCCCCCGCTGCGAATCTTCCCATCGTTGTCGGGGGGAAAGACTTCTGCGTACGTTTGACGGTCTGAGCTCGACGTGCCACGGACAATAGGGAGCAGGGAAGCGAGTATGTAGGGTACAGGGTGGAATACATCGAGTCATTGTCTTCGCACTAGCCTGAGAGGGTGTGCACCAGCCCATAGAGTCTGCCGTCGTTGCGCAGACATCAGCAGCAGGGCGATCGTCCATCAGAATAGTATGCCTGTGCATCACGTAAAGACATGCGGCGTACGGCACGCTAGTGTGCGCTGCTGCCGATGGGTCCTGTGATGATGCGGCAAAATTTCACGAGCGCAGAGTTGGGGGAAGAGGGTGGTGGGGGAGGGCGAGGCGTCGGTCGAGGGCGACGAGGGAGGGCACGGATATTCGGATATTTCCTGTATTTTCGTGTATTTGGTGCACGGCATGGGCTGGGCCGGGAGTCCGATTGGTCGTTGTTTGTTGACTGCTAGTCGCGTTCTCTGTCTTCTCTCCCGCCCGCGCGTCGTCCTCGTCCGCCACTTGTCTTCACTTTGCGCAGCTTACGTCCTTTACGTCCCTCACGCCCTTCATGGATCCCAGACACAGCCAGGAGCATCTCCCACAGCCAGACCAGCATGCCATGAACGCAGGCTACGGCTACTACCAGCACGACCAGCAGCAGCCCCCGCCCCAGGACAGTCCGTACGCGATGTACTCCCAGCCGATGCACTCAGGCATGAGCGCGACGATGAGCCCGCAAATGAGCCCGCAGATGTCTTATCAGGGTGCGTGTCCTACTAATCTCGCTCCTGCCGACCTGCCTCGATGCCAACACGCGTTCGCCAGTCCCTCAGCACCAGCAGGCATATCAGCCCATCGGCATAATCCCTGCCCAGCAGTACCACCAATCGGCCGCATACGCCAGTCCGCCTCATGTTTCCGGCCAGCTTCCCGCGGGTAGCCCCCCTCCACCTTCCCCGGATATGTATGACCCCTTGTCTCCGCCCATTTCAGGATCAGAATCGGGCACCGACGCCTCCTCCCGCGGAACGTCCCTCGTTCACCGTCACCACATCAGATATCATCCCACGCCCTCGCCCTCTTCATCCTCCGGCCGTCGCAGCCTCCGTCGCTCTCACGACTCCGACGAAGACGATAACATGGGCGTCTCTTTCCCCATCGAAAATCTCGCTCACACTCGCAAGGAAGCCACTCGCAGGCAACGGATAGAGGCTGAGCAGAGACGTCGTGATGACCTCCGGGATGGCTACGCGAGGCTCAAGGACTCCCTGCCCGTCTCGAACCAGAAAAGTAGCAAGGTTATGCTCCTCGAGCGCGGTACGTCCCCTGTGGCGCTAGTCTTTTAAGCGCCCCCTCATCGTGTCTCACAGCTGTAAATCGCATCCGTGAATTGGAGACGGAGAACCAAGAGTACCAGAGACGCCTGGCCCTTGCGGAGAACGAAGTGACCCGTCTTCGCGCCTTGAACGAAAAGATCACGCTTGGTTCGCAAGACACCCCATCCCCGACACCCGCGAACGCTATGCATGATGCAAGGCCTCTCTCGCCGCCGCCAGATGCACCCCCTATTCAGACCATGGCGCCTACCAACATGCGCCCGCCGCCGTCGGAGGGGTCCACCTCGTCCATGTCGGATAACGGCTATTGAGGCGCCATCACCGTGCATCTCGCCCGTCTCCACTCTCTCCCTCTCCTCCTCAACCTAAAGACGAACTACCCGACTCTCATTTATTCCCCTTCATTTTTCATGGACCCTGTGGCGTGCGGTGGTGGTGGGCGCGAGCGCCCGCCTTCGCGCTATCGACTCGACGTCGGTAGTCGGTCTCGAAGCCGACTGGATGCGAGCCACCGTCGTAGAACGCGCTGGGACACACGACCGCCCTCGTACTCGCGCGCCCGCGCGCGACGACGCGTCCGATCCTCACGACACGGTCTCCAAGCGAGGCTTCGACGATTCTTGACGAATTGATGATGATGCGAGGCATGCGGGGGCGAGCGCTGGGCGGACGGGGTTCGGAGATCGGGCGGATGGCGGGCGGTGGCCCTTTTCTTTGATGGGACGGAGGCCATCGCTGGTGCGGGAGCAGCGCGTGTGTGCGAACTTCCTCGACGGGAGATCGCGCCGCCTGTACCTGTGCCGCAACGTCGTTCCGCCGTATTCCCCGACCCACCGATCCAGCATGGACAATTCGTCGCGTCTAGTGGCTCGCTCGCCATATGCCTCTATGGACATGAACCCAGAACTAAACTCATCTTGCTATCGATTTTTCCTCCATCTAAATACTGGTTTCTGTACTTACGTTCCCGGGTGTGTTAGATACTAACTATGGTCTGCTTTCTTCCTCAAGTGCATCACAGTCTTGTGCCAGAACACGCTACCTCTGCTAGTGTACGTACGCTCTCGAGTGCAAAATTCCAGGAAGAGAATTCCCCTTTTGACATGAAGATGCTCGACCGCGCGTTGACGATACCCTGGACTGCAGCGAGGCCTCCAGGGCAGTGCTAAAGTGCGCACAGATCCGTTTCATCGCTATATCGACGGCTGGAAAGGCGTGCACTCCGCATGTAATTGTGACAAGGCCTCGAGGACCGAGAAATTCCTCGAGCACAATGAGGCAGAATGAGGCGTGTCCGCAGCCGACGAAGTTCAGCCCATTGTTTCGGAAGACAATGGCGGCAGGTACGACCAATTGTTCGCCCGATTTGTACAATGGACGCTGGAATAATGGAAATGGACAGCACGTGAAAGCAAACGTAGAGCGAATGGGAAGACGCACGGGGCTGAGGGTCAACAGGGACGTCCATTGGCTTTACGCCCGACGGAAATGCACAACGAGGCGAGGCCCTGAAGTCCGCGTTATCCGATGGCGCGTCCGATGGAGCACACGAAACGAAGAAGTCGGTACACGGTGCATAGAGTGAGGGTTAAAGTCGAGAAGCTTCGTCCAGACGTCCACCGTGTTCTGCCGCGAGATGTTACTACGCGTCGGACATAGGTTGCTGGATCTGCTACAGCGCCAGGTCTTCTCGAGAGCCACAGACGGTGCTAGGTTTAAATCCGACGCCAAAGACCTTCGAGGGCGGTCTCGCTTCTGCATTCGGGGCCAGTACGAAGGGGCGTCCCCTGCGGCTTACCTTCCAAGGATGTGGCGCGCACTTGGCTAGACGTATTCTCAATCCGATGGATTTCCCGCAGACGCGTGCGAGTGTATTCAGCGACACTGCTCGTCGATCTCCCACGTTCATCATGACGTCCTCGCATGACCGCGACATACGTCGCAGCACTGATGGGGACGGATAAATGTCGATGGCGCTCGATAATGGCCTGGTCAGGACAAAGGGCTGATGGCGGCGCAAGGAAATGAGCGCATGCCTGGGGCAGAAAGCGAGATGTCAGCACACGAGGCAGGGTCCGAAGCAGAAAACGAGGCGCGAGTGTGGGCGCACCAGACGATGATTTCCCCTGTGGCGGAAAACGAGAAGGAGTTACCGTGGGAGGGCACGCGGCGGGCACGATGCATAGCGTCGCTGGGTAGGTCATCTGGGATCTTCGCCCTAAGGCAGGACATGGATGCGTGAGGTAGAATAAAGCTACAGAAAAGCTGCATACTTGCGCCGCCTATGCGGAACGAGTGGCGGCTACCTGCCTCGGCTATCGTTGAAGTGAGCCTGGGATTTGGGGACTTCGTAAAGCAGAAATTTACAGGCCAAATCGGATGAGCCTATGGTCACTGAATGATGGCGAGTGCGAAATGACCGTGCGAGGAGCCATACGCAGCACGAAGAAGTGTTCTCCGTATCGAAATAACAGAGTTGACCCCAAAGAAGTTCTCTTAGCATCGATGGACTTGAGCAGCTGCTCTTTCTCGACCTGCAAAGCCTTCAACCGCGTTAATATCAGGGACTACGAGCTCCGCACGAAATCACAGAAGAGCCTTCCTCCACAAGGTAGCGAACGCGTGTACTTGCTGTCCCGGGTGGATCAACATACGCAGACAGCCGTCCATGGGAGCGGGAGCTGGAGCACTAGCCGCCCATTTGAAAGGGAGGTACAAGGGTCGGTGGCGCATGAAGCCGCCGGCATGAGCCAGAAGTGGAGGCATTTTTGGGGCCACGTTGCAGAAGGTACGTTCAAGAAGCACCAAAGTTCAAGAGGGCCTAGACGTTTGCGGTTCGGAGGTCGAAGTACATCCGTCCGAGAGAAGGCACCAGAGATCATAGGCAATCCAAATTCGCTGAGTGCCAAAGTGGCCCGAGGCTACGAAGCGTGTACATTCGGAGGACGCGCAATGGCGAGTATGAGGGAGCTTTGACGATTATCGGGAAGGCGAGGAGTCTTGGTGCACAAAAATTGAGCTAGTTGCAGCAGAATAGGCAAGATGGATCATACCTTGACCCTGGTTTTAGGCGAACCCGCCTGAGACGAAGCACAGTGAAAACGAGACGTGGAGAGGGCAAAGAAACGTCCCGCGAAGCGTTGCGATAGCAGAGATGGACCAGCTCGCTCACCAGACATCAAGAGGATAGCACATATGAACAGATTGCCACAAAGGCGAACTTGCTCTCGCTGTCGGCGATGACCGTCGGAGGAAAAAGGGCGCCTATCACAAGGGTTACCCTTTTGGGCCATTCTTTGTGGCCGATCCACGTGCGTCGTCCCTGTAACGCGTCGGCGTAACGGCGTAACGTCTGTGACGTCGTACGTTCCCTGGCGTCGAGTCGCACGTTCCCTGTCCCGCTCCCCTCACGGCCAACCTCTCCCATAACGTCCCCCCTCTTCCGCCCCCTCCCTCTTACCTTTCCCCGCGAGACACATTCCCTCTTTTGAAGACCCGTACGATCTTGAGTAGTCAGATCGACTCTACGACTTTTTGAAGAGGTCTTCTATCGTCACTGCAAACCAAGTACACAATGTGGTGCGTAGCCCGCTCGTCTCCTCATTGCTATCTAACTTACTTGGTACTCAGGTGTGACAACTGCTTGCTCCTATTCCCCTTGGTATGCTGATCCCCCGCTTGCCGATATGGAGCATTAATGACTCTGGATATAGAGGGCAGGCTCCATGGCTTGGGCACTGTTCGTCGCGGTGCGTACTCGCTTCCCCACTCTTATCCATCGATACTCAATTTCATTTCCCACAGGCCTACAGCTTGGCAGGCAGCCTCTTCCTCTTGATCTACGGACAATACCTGTTCTTCGTCTATCCGGAATGGTGAGTATCACTTCATGCTTCCCGTATGCTGGGCCTCTGATCCCCTCCACAGGTTTATCTACGGTGGTATCGGTATGGCGGTTACCGCGATTGCACTCATCAACACAATTGCTCTGTCCAATGTACGTAGCACGGCTCCTGTACCCCGCATCCTCGCGCTCATTTTACGCAGCGGTCATACGTTTGGACCAGGGTCTGCAAGTTCCTCTGGCCCTTCCTCATCGTCATTTGTGGAGTCAGAGCCGTCTTGATGATTGTGCAGCTCCAGCGCGGGTGAGAATGGCTCTGCGTCCGCCGAACATTATCCCAACTGACCCCGCTTCGCGTCGCTAGCAAGGACAAGATCACATGGGAGTGTGAGAACGGTGGCATGCTGTGGGACGACGACTACGAGACGACCGTGTCAATGCCGTCTGGGTTCTGTACGACGGGGTTCTCGAGTATCAACGTCGCGTTCATAATCTCGCTACTTGTGGACCTCGGCTGCCAGGTTGGTGCTCTTGCGGGTTTCAGTAGACGTCCGTAGCTGACGGTACTTCCAGATGTACATGTTCTTCTTGACATGGCGTTTCCAGAAGCGCCTGGAGCACTACCGCGAAATGAAGGGGCCCTACATGGGCGGTAAGTATCTGGTTTCGCTACACTGAAGTTGCTTGCTCATGGCGTCGCAGGCTACTACAACGCATAGTCGAACTGCGCTTGGGTTCGAACACTGTCGCTGCTCTGCTTCTTTCCCCTCTTCTTTCACTGTCCGACCTTCTCTATCTCACGACCCTACTCACGACCTATCACTAATGACCCTGTAATGACCCTCTTAACGAACAGTGTTGTATCCTTCTGGATGTTTGTTCTACCATCTGCGTTGCGCGTACTTTATTCCTACTATTGTCCTCCCCGCATCGCCGGACGGTACTGTCTGCGGGCTAGCTTCGCCTCTAATGACCCGAGATCAGCTTGCAAGACGTACTATCGCCTATCGCTGTGCCACAGAAGGAACTGAGCTCGTGATAGCGGGGAGAATATGACGTGGATTACGGCGTACATTGGATTGGATCTTTCGCGTACGCCTGATCGAGAATGGAAGAGCTATGAGTATGCGACTGCAGCGGAGTACCAGGAGCTAGGGCCCTCTCCAGGAGCGGCTAGTCGAGCACTGACAAAGGGATCCTTGCGGCAACGGACCGAGCGCGGGAGGGCGGCTGTGAGAATGAGCGGCGACGGTGACTTGAGACGTTCATTCATAACCTCGAGGTCGGAGTGACAACGGGCTGGCAGTCACAATGGGACGCGTCTAATTAGGAAAGTGAGCGGGCGACTCGATTGGTGGCTAACGAACGGGCACAGCGTCGGATTGACATGAACCCCGAAGAGGCGTCCTGTGGGATGGGCCAGCCCGGGCAGGCTCAAGTTCGTCCTGGCATGAGGGTCCCATTTACCCAAGGTGAAAGTGCGGGCCAGCCCGGATCATGATTGGACGATAAGTACCATAATCGATGCAGTTCGCCGGCTAGGCGGAGAGGAAGCCCTGGAGAAGCCTGAGAGCGACATACAGAGAAGCGAGCTCTTGCACAAATGACGACCTCCGTGGCGGGGCGAGCGAGCGTAGGTGGATAGCGCTCCGTCTTGACTCCTTGGACAAGGGCCTTTGGCGCAGGCGGACGTAGACGGATAGGTTTAATGAAACAGATTTGAAATGAAGGGGGCGGGTGAAAGAGAGAGAGACGTAGAGCAGCGCCCAGCGGTAGAGGGCATTCGGTGAAGCTGAGAGACGTCGGGAGAGGCGGGCCAGACGGCGGCGAGAAGGTACCGGGAAATGGGCCTCCTTGTACCTCGTCTGACACGGGCACACGGAGTCCAGGTCAGAGGAGCTGCCATAGGGCGCTATAGGACCGACGGTGCCGGCTGCGAATGAGGCAGCCCATTTCCGGTGGACAGGTCGGTCAAGTGGCGGCGCCTGCGGGCTGAGCATGGGTTCCTCCATCTGGCGCTAATGACCCGTCTGGAGGGTGAACTTAGTTCATTTCCGCCTCGTGCCATCCCCAGATGGTTCTCTGCGATGCGGGTCAGCCACTTTCGCGGGCCTTCGAGCTGGTCCAGTCGAAGATATGTTTGAATTACGTAATAGCCTATTGAGTCCGCTGATGGCCGTCGATTTCGAGACGGGATAAAAAGGAAGCTAAGCGGAAGCATTCACAACTCCTTTCTCCTCGTCCTCCCGCGCTCTCCTCCCCGCCGCGCCCGCCCTCATCCTCCCCCGCCTCCCCCCTCCCCTCCGACTATACACCCCTCCGTTCCAGGCAGTGCCTGCAGCGAAAGTCCAGAGTGAGCAGCGTCTTATCGGCCTGACGCGGCCTCCCCATTGACGCGCCACACTTCAGGTCCAGCTCGCTGCTCCCGCCTACTTCCTCTCCATCCTCTTCCCCTTCGCCCCTCGTCAAACCCCGCCTCCTCTTCTTCTGGCTATAATGGACTCGTACGACCACTCGAAGCCCTACTCGGTCGACACCATGGACCCATCCCAGCTCAACTACAGCGCTGACATGGGCCTATCCGAGTACATCCACTTCCCCCACGAGTCCCCCATGCAATACGCGGACATGTCCCGTCAGTCCCCTTTGTTTTCCGCCTCCCCGATAGTTCCCGCTCACAATCCGACAGTTCCCCCCGTCGCGTCGTCCGAGCCCATGGATTTTCAGACTCTGAACATGAGCAACTACGACACCAACTACGCGTCGTCTGCTACATACTCCCCTGCGCGCCCCATCACGCCCCTCGACGGTGCCAGCATCTCGCCCCACGCACTCGCTTACCCGCCCAGCGCGGGTGAGCTGTCCTCGGACGGAATGACCTCAGGCCGCCGGAGCCGTGGGAGTGGGTCGCCAGCGCCCTACTCTACCGCTCAGCGCGCCGCACATCGGTACACCCCGATGGGCAACCCGGCCACCCGTCCCCGCGTAAGGGCGCAGCGCAAGGGCTCTCTCAAGAGCAACGACGACCGTGACAGCGACGAGGACGACGACGACTTCCAGCCGATCGGCCCGGCCACTGGCGGCGTCGACTCGTACGTACTTTCCGATTACCTCGCTGAAACCTCTCGCTTACGCTCCCACAGAAAGCGCGAGACCATTCGTCGCCAGCGCATCGAGTCGGAGCAGCGTCGTCGCGATGAGCTCCGTGAAGGCTACGCTCGTCTCAAGGACACCCTCCCGCGTACTCCCCAGAAGTCGAGCAAGGTCGTGCTTCTTGACCGCGGTAAGTGCGCCTATTGTTGCACGGGATGAGTCATTAATCGGGTAATACCAGCTGTGTGCCGCATCAAGCACCTCGAGGTCGAGAACGCCAGTTTGCACGATAAGGCGATGGAGGTTCAGCGTGAACTTCAGCGCCAGCGCGCCATCAACGAGCAGCTGTTGATGCGCGTCGCGGGGACCGCCCTGCCGTCCGGCATGCCCCAGGCTATGCCGATGGCCCATTGAAGCGCTCTGCCCGAGCGACTTCGGTCCTCCAAAAGTGCGAACCACGTTCGACGTCCCTGCCTGGGAAGAAGGCAGCCTACGCTGATTTATGGAACGGACTATTATTCGGTATCTATTTGTCGCCACATCATCCATCCCCCATCCCCCCGGTGTCTCGTCGCCTGCGGCTCAGCTTTCGAGGCTAGCCGTTCACGATGTCACCTTTCCGCCGACACGCCCCCGCCGAACGATTCGCGCCTCGCGCCGCACATCTCTGGACGATGTGGAGGGCGACCGAGCGCGTTGACGATGGACCCCGAGCTGCTGCGACGCATGCTGCTGGACACGACACCGACGCAAGACCCGGCGGAGCGCTTGAGGCGCTATATCGCCCTCTCCAGTAGAGGGCGTGCGTGCCTCGCCTCCCCGTGCGCTTTCTTGTTCTCTCATCCTTACCCCGTCGTTTGTCCCCTGCAGCTATCGACCTCAGCTCTTACCACCCATCAACACGTCGAGATGTACGACCACTTAACTGGGGTTCCGTATCTCACGTGTGCCGACACACTGGCGTCAACGCTCTCAACCGACCTCATCGCTTTTCGACCGTGTCTGCGGATAGGCCCTCGCCTCGCGCCCACTGCGCGCGCCGCACCGACGACCACCGCATCCGCCTGCATTGTGTTTATTGAACGTACTTTATGTGTATCACGACCACGCTATCAACACCACCACCTCCTATTCCGCTACCTACTCACATCCTCGCCCCCGCTCTCGCCCCGATCCCTTCGACATCGAACCCGCACCGCCTCTCTGGAACGTAGAGCGCGGTGGCCCACTCGTCGGCCGGGCAGACGGACGCTTACGACAACGGGAGGCCCAGCGCCTCGCCGACCAGGCAACGACATCGCCGACAAGACCGCCGCCATCATCGTCAAGGACCCCGCTGCCCTCGTCCACTCCACCTCGCCCAGCGTCTTCCCCACCGGATCACGCAGTATCCCGCCGCGACCGCCCCGCCGCCGCCTGCTCGCGATCCTGCCGCCCGGCGCTAGCCGCTGTAGGCACGCAGTCGATCCGCAGGGCCCGCGCGCGCCGTGTGTGCGCAACCGGCGTTGAGCGTGGAGGGCTGACCGCTGGTGCCAGCTGGAGTGCGAGTGCGCGGTTGTCTGACGCAGCCTGTGGCTGCCTCCACGCCCGCGCCCGCGAGTCGGCCGGTCGGCGGAGTCCGCGCCCAGACGACGATGGCCCTTGAACACGATGTCGCCGTAGCTGAGGTATCCCGGTTCTTACCTTGCTACATCCTACTATGCCTGTATGACCCTGCCTATGCCCCTATGCCCCCTCAGCGTCGACTCCGTGGGACTGCCTTGTAGTGTGGCGCACTGTGCGAGTGCTGCCCCTCGGCAGCTGCTTCGATGGACTCCCTTATTTCCGTAGCTACCCCCGGTGTTGTCAATGTATCTAACGCCCCTACGATGTTGTATGTACATCACGAAAGCGATGCTTTACTCGCTCTACCCTGTGTGAAGAATGGAGACTAAGCCACTGACTCACTCACAAGCAGTGGGCGGCGGGACGGAATTCGGAAAGCGCGATTGCCGATGCACGCAGGCGTATAGAGTCAGTTTGGTTCACGGGAAGTAAGGTTAGACGTTACGAACACTGCTCAAGGCAGCTGCGAGCTAATCCATATCTGCAGATTAGAGAGGCCGAGGCCGTCGTGAGGGTGGCATCTTACGTCGGTCTGCCCTCAGCCGTGCTTCATTTCTGCCTCCAGGACCTGAAGCGCATGAAATGGGCTTGGGCTCTGCCTGGAAGGACGCACACGCCCTCCCGCAGTAGCCGGCGGAAACTCTAAAACGAACATATGGGCGCGTGTGGGTCCGCTTCCGTCCCTTATCGATGACGAAAGCGCCTGGTGCTCGCCCGATCGCGTAAAGGCGCGTCGTCGACGTCGCGGTCGGCTGCACTTTCTCGCTCTGCACGCTCACGACCGCTCACGACCATGTCCGACGATATCCCCTCCATCAAGCGCCAGCTGAAGATCAAGACCGGGGCCGTGTCCAGGTGCGTTCGCTTACCTCGTCTGCGCGCTTTATCAGCCTCTCCCCGCGTGCCGTCACCGCGCGATGCACCTTTCCCAAAGGACGAACCTCCCCGCATGCGAGGCTAATGAATCGTTACGCTAGGCTCTGGAAGGAGTACAACATGTACCGCAAGGAGGCGGAAGAGCAGAAGGTTAAGGTGGACAAGATGATCGCGGACGCAGGGGACGAGTACGAGATCAGGAACGCGGTGCGTGAAGCCTCCTTCCTCCAGTTCTGGCCTGAGCAAGAGCTCAAGCGAGAGCCGCTCAACCAACCTTGTCCAACCAGAAGCTGACTGATTGTTGCAGCAACGCATCCTGGCGGAGTCGGAGAAGATGATCGAGGACACTTCGTCGCGTGTTGGGAAGGCTGCCGTCGACCTAAGGGAGATCGTGGTGCGTACTAGCACCATCGAGCTATTTCGAAGGCCGCTGAGAACCTTCGCAGGTTGTCGCAAAGCAGCACCCCGAGATTCTGGACGACGAGGAGTATTTGAAGGCGCAGGAGGTGCTGCAGGAGAGCAACCTGTAACGCACGAAGGTTTCCCTAGCAGTGCTGGACGGAGGATAGCTTGTATAACATGAACATTTGTGCTTCACCATATGAATCAGTCACGCACCTCTGCTATACTTGCATCGCATCCTCCTTCCCAGGGGATTCCGCCTTCTCACCCCCATTCGCCATAGCCGCATCCTCGCCCTCTCCCGCCCCCTCCTCATCCCTCGCCTTCTTCAACTTCATCAGCGCGTCCAAAATCCCCTTCCACGCATCCCTCTCAATCCTCGCCTCCTGCAACCCCCGCTCATTCCTCCTCTTCGCATCATCCTCGTCGTACGGCAGCCCCACACCGAAGGCAGGTGGCGTGAACGGCTGAGGAGGTTGTCCCGGACCTTTTGGTGGCGAGATCGCGTCGGGGGCGATGATGGAGGACGGCGTCATGCGCGCGTGCCGGATGTGTGCGAGGGAGGAGCGGATTTCGTGTGAGATTTCCTGAGGGTGCGAGATGTTAGGCAGGAGAATGTGGAAGGGAGAACGTGCACGTACCAGTAGCACGTCGAAGTACGATTGAATCTCTGCAGCCAGTTGCTCATTGCGCATTTCATCCTTACGGAGGACGTCGCGCGGGAGACCATCTTCTGCAGGTTCATCCGCGTTGGGAGCGTCGGGTTGGACGATGAGTTTATCGTCTGGGCCGTCCGTTTGGGGCAGCGACAGACAGAGCATGGCATTTGAGGCGCGTTGAAGCAGGACTGTTATTTTCTACAAAGAAGAGATGGATTATCTCCCCGGGTCCAAAAGCAAGCAAGGACGTTCGCACCTTCTCTACATTGCAGAGGTAGTAGATCTGGCGCGCCGTACGGCTCGTCGTCCAAACGGGGTCTACCGCAGACGCATCGTCCTCAGGCGGATGATGTGGTTGCGTAGAAGGTCCCGCCTCGGCATTGGTGGGTTCCATCTCGTGTATTACTAGTGGACGGGATGGCAAGCAGCGTGTCGAAGAGATGCCAGTGAAGTTCAAGAACAAGGGCCGGTTCAGTGCGGCCCGGCTCCCGAGATGTGATCTCGGAGGCAAATAGTAGCTTTCGAGTTCGAGTTCGACTCGGCGCAGAGCCACTGCCCCATGCGCTAGCGTCTTCATCTGAATCATGCAACATCTTCCGGGAACCATTCACATAGCTACCAAGGAGCGTATATGGGTCAGTACCGTACATAAGTTATCAAGGAGCGTTATCTTATATTGTACAAGTGAGGGTGGCAGTACGTACATATGCACGGACGGATAGGGTGTACAGCAAGTGTACAGGGATTGTAAGTATAGTAGTGGGCTGGAAGAATGAGGCTGTAGTGAAATTCAAAAAGGGGAACTCACTAGACACCGGGGAAAGGAGGCTAGAGAGGATGATCTCCAGAAGAGAATGCGAAGGGGTGGAGATCAGAGGGGAGGGGGACTGAAGGTCGAAGAGGGATGATGATGACGAAGCCTTCAGAGGATACGACTAGACTGCAGAAGAAGGAGACTATACTTCAGAGTTCAGGTATATCTAGACTTCAGATGACGATGGCGAGGGAAGACATGAGATGGGAGAGATGTAGGGTACATGGGCTGTGTGAGTATGGGCAGTGGATGGTGGGAGGGATCAGTGTACAGGCAGTCAGTTGGTTGTTCTATGGCGGATGAGGGTGAGGGGAAAGGAACATAGTGCAAGCGGTAGTCCCAGGCATGGTAAGTCCATCTCTTGGCCCAAGCATAAGTGCACGCGGCAGCACGCTATGCGCACGGCAGCACGCAAAAGAAAGCGAAAGCAGGCCACGGGCCAGCCGGAGTCCATGAGAGGTAGCACTACGCGTTCGACCGCCACGACACCGGCCGTGAATCAGTCCCGCGCGGCTGCGTGGACGCAGAGGGCACGCGCAGGTACTGCGTCGTGGGGCTGACTTCAGCCCACGAGGGCTGGATGCCGTCGTCAACAGAGAGCTCGTCGACAGACGGGAGTGCGGGCAGGGGACACGACGGCGGGCGGAAGGCGATACCGAGCGGTGAAGGGCTTCGCGAGCGGTAGTCCATACCGAGGGGCGATGGGCTGCGGGAGCGATATGAGGCGCCAAGAGGTGAGGAGCTGCGTCCCAGCGGAGAGGGACTGCGCGAGCGGGTGGACAGCACCTCGAGCGCGGGGGCCGTGAAGCGGCGTGCGGCTCGAGGGAGCAGACTTCCGTACGTCGACGTGCTGGCCATAAAGGCCTTGTACGAGCAGTCATCGACAGGCGTGTCTAGGTGGTCCACGCTAGCGAGCGTACCGTCCTCCTGCGACGGCCCGCAATCGTCGTCCTCCAGCAGCTCCTCCGGCCCCTCGTCGTGCGAGTTGCGCGACGCCAGCCACTCCTCGAGCGAGGCAGAGTCGACGGACTCGAGCGACATTGTAGAGCCATCGGACCAGGTCGGGACCGTGACATGTTGGTCTGCCACCCCGGCCTTGCGCCACTGGTCAGCGCGGCTGCGGCGTAGCTTCTTCGCCGCGCCCCTCATTTTGCGCTGCATGGAGCTTTGCAGGGCTTTCAGACCCCACGACAAGCGCGCTGTGACGAGCTTGCGCCTCGGTGGCGTGAAGGTCGGCTCGGGCGCGCGTGCGCCGCTGCGTGTGCGTGTTGATACAGAGACCGATGGTCGGGGGTCGACGGACTCGGAGGAGAAGAAAGGGCGGCATATTTGGCGGCGGATGGGAGAAGACCAAGGGACATACGGGCTATTGGGGTGGGTGAAGGCGGGCATGTTCAGCGTGTCCGGGGTGTTGCGGCCGGACGCGTAGCCCGCGACGGAGGACTGGAAGAGGATGGACTGACATGGCGTGGGCGAGACGTTGCGGGATTCGACATGGACGACGGCGGGCGGCGACCGAGGGGGGGGGAAGTTCGGGGGGAGGGGGGCCTGTGTACGAGCAGCCTGCGGGGGGAGGGGATGTTGGGTGGCTTTTGGTGAGAGTTTCTATCAAGGGGATGAAGTCTGGGAGGGAGGGCCAATTGAGGACGGGTGGACAACGCGGTGAGGAAGGGGGATGCCCACTGGTTTTCCTCGTCCGCTGCGGCGTCGGGGTGACGAGGTGCGTGTTCCTGTTCGTCTTGCGCTTCGGAGGATGCTCGAGCGAACTGGGTTGCTGTGGGTCCGCGTTAGTGATGAACGACGGAAAGATGAAGGCCATCGCACTCACCGTATTCAGGGCACGCGATTCGTCCCCAAGGAGCGTGCAAGGAGAGTACTTTCTCTCGACGCGTCGCTGTGGCCCAACATTCTCTCTCTCACCCTCTTCTTTCTGCTTCTTCTTCGGGACTAGACGCGAGGGCTTCGCCATATCAAGTTGGAGATGGAAAGTATCGTTTCAAAGTCCCATTCGGAAGCTGCAACGGCGCTCAGTGCTGCTCTTCGCGCGTGGGTGGCGAGAGATGGGTCGTGCAGCACCAAGGCCTGCGTCGCGAGGGGAGATTCGAGCAGATGGACCAAACCAAGCCGCGCTGCCCTGTCGGTGTCCATCGCGCGCCTCGTGGCGTCCTCGTAGCAGTCAACATACACGGGACGGAGCAGCGACGCGGGTCGTCTTCTTGAGAGGCTAGCTGAAGGGTCGGTCCTGCTCACAGGACACGGCCGTGTGGCAGATGAGCGTAGTGATTCTCGCCTCGGCTCCGACCTGTCAGTCGCCTCTCCGCGGTTGGGTCTGCATCGCGTCGTCGGTCGTCGGTCGCAGGGCAAGAGGCAGAGAAGAGCAGAGGCATGCCGGCAGCTGTCAAGGATGCGCGCGACGTCATCGCCGCTTCCGTGTCCACGTTCGAGTCCCGCGCTACTTATCGAGTGCACGGCGGCCAGGCGGCGAGTCCAGCTGGAATCGAGGTGACCGCACTCGGCAGGTCTGCGCAGGGTCCGCGATGGTTCTCCCTGCGCGCCCCGCGTGACGTGACAAGAGTTGAACCGTCGCGTTTCCTTTTTGGTCAAAAGTGAAAAGTTTCGCATCTACGACCTCCTCACAGTCCTATCTCGCGATCCGCCGCACCTAGCGCTATCGGGTAAAGTGCGTTGGGATCGTATTTACTAAACTAAGAGGTTCCCGAAGCTAGAAGTTCCTGCTATCATCCCTTCCTCTCTTATTTCCTCCGAACTCGGCCAGGAAGCGTGACAGTGGCCGTCTAACAATTGTGCAGACACCACCTCTTCTCCGTTCCTTGCCGCTTAAAGGAGTAGTTGGAGGGTGTGGTCTGGCCTACCTCTCTTCCAAGCAGCTACTGTTCTCTTGCCTCTCCTCTCCTCCCACTGATTTTACTCCTCCAGTCACTCTCCTCTGCCACCAGCGCCCACCATCATAGACCCCGCTCCAGCCATCCCCACACATCACAAGTCATCCGTTAATGTTCCGTGAGCTCGGTCAATAGTCGTTCGACGGCGCTTCACTGCCGTCTGATGGCTGTGCTGCTTCAGTCGAGGGCCCGGCAATTCAGGTCCATAGCCCTGTTCTGTCGTACGACCACTTCAAGTGCTCTGATTTGCCTTCTGCAAGCTGATCCGAGGGCTCGAGGCCAGTTGGTGGTGGGTATATATAAGGAAGCACTGCGAGGCAGGTTCTCCTGTGCTCTCGAGCAAGAGCAACTCCTCCTTGTGTTCTCAAGCAAACCTCACACAACAAGTTACAAGTACACCAACAAGCTACGAGCTACGTGTGACAAAAGGTAGGAGAATAAGTAGGAGAGAATGGATGGAGCGCAAGGGGATAGAAAAATGAGGAGATTGGGAAGCACCAAGTGAAGCCAATGCCTTGACTGAGGTTAACGAGCACCCAACAGAGGTCGACGGATGAGACGAGATGGTCGAATGACCCGCGGTCGAGATTGACAGGATGCTGGGAAGATGCTCGTTGGGTTACTGTTACCGCTGCAGGGATGAAAACACTGAGACGGGATGCAAAGGCCCTGTTGAAAGGGCCAGTGTTCGAGACTACATTGAGGGTCGAGAATTGAAGACTTGCTGAAGAGATGGCGGGCGAGGCTCGGACGAGTTGTGAGCAAGGCTGGGGGGACTTGTGAGCAAGACTTGGATGAGTTGCGAGTGAACAGAGGAGTTACGGGTAAACAGGCAAGTTACGAGTGAACAGACAAGTTACGAGTGAGCAGACGAGATACGGGTGAACAGACAAGTTACGAGTGAGTTGGATGGGTCGACAGCAAAGCAGACGAGATGAAAGAAAAGCAGACGAGTTGACAGCGAGCAAACAAGTTAGAAGCAAAAAAGTAAATGAAGGGATACATGACGAGAGGTACAGTACGGTACAGAGAGCTCAACGAGGCGAGTGGAGGTGCCCAGGAGGTCAGTGAGGTGCTCAGGAGGTCAGTGAGGTGTGCAATAAACCACAGAGGCGTTCGACATGTCAGGAGAGCACTCGAGGATGCGCCGAAGCGTCCGAGGCATCGGGCAAGACATTGAGGGGACGGGTTGACTCTAAAATAACAACCCAGGCCTCATTAGGTCGCTCGGCGGGCGGAGATACATTGCTATATTGATTGGAAGGCGCTAGGGTGGCGGGGTATTGTCTGGAACGTGTCGGAGAGGTTTCGGGAGTGTAAGGAAGTCTGGGGCGAAGGGAGATGAGAGGGCAGTGAATATGAGGCGAGAGGCGAGGCGAGGTGATGGAGGGAAGGAGACTCGAAGCAGAGGCGGGAGGACAGTCTTGAGAGCGAGGGTGAATGGTGTGCTCGCGAGGAACAGCGAAGAACGCGCTTGAGAGCGCCGGCGAGGGAGCCAGCTCGAAGGAGAAGACAAGGAATCAGCGCTCAACTCACACGCAGGAAGCGGAGCACGTACCTGATATGCCCGCTCGGCGGACGGAAATCCATTGCTTCAGCGCTTGATTCGATGCGAGGACGATGCGAGGGGTAGGGAGACTCGGCAAGGTCGAGCGCGAGTTGTTGAGCCTTCGTACGCGTTGACGAGTCTGTGTCGTTGCTTGCAGGAAGAAAAGCCGCACATGAGCGCGAGAGTTTGTTGATGGTGCGAGAGACAGCACGGGCGAGATGATGGAGAAGATGTTGACGACCTGGACGCGTCGACGACGAGGATGCAGCTGATTGGATGTGACGGCCTCGCTCGCCTGGCGGCTATTCGTTGTCCCGCAGGCTGACGCGAGAGTCTAGAGCGTCGTAAGTCTTCCGCATGAGCTCGAGAGAGAAGTATCACACACCTTGAATATCACCCAACGCATCCTACCGTCCCGCTAGGCGAGTTGCCTTATTCTGCCCAGTGGATGAACTTTTGTTACTTCGGTGCTTGACTCGAGTGATGAGCATGGAGTGCGACAATGAGGAATGGAGCGCGGCGATGAGGCCTGGTCGTGGGGAGCGCGCGAGTGCTGTTGAGCAGTGAGGGAGGTCCATCAAAGGAGGAGAGCGATGCGTGAAGCCGGTGCGCACGAGAAGGCGAGATCTTTTCTCGGAGGACAAAAATTCCGGGCCCGTTCCGTGCAGGAGATCCGGCGTTCGAGGTCTGGACACTTGTGAGCGCAGGACTCGGTAGCTGAAGTCGTACCACGCACCATTGTGCGCCGCTCAGCGGACGACGATCTGTTGCTTCAGCAATGGATTCGCTTGAGAGGGTGGCGTGCGGCGATGATGACAATTATCCGTGAGTTTCGAGGACTCGGGCAGCGCCGCCAATGTTGGCAAGCGACAAGGAGGACTTTGACATTATGGAGAAGGTCTGGATCGAGGTGAGCGCACGACTTTAGTGTCAAGGAACGTATCACGTACTATATATTCCCGCTCGCTGAATGAAAAACCGTCTGCTCATCGCCTGAGCCGGCCTGCGCTTGATGAGCTGAAGCTGATAGAAGAGGCCGATGAGCGAGGCATGAGGGAGTGGAATAAGATTGCCGATTGCGCACTCCCATTGTTGTCGCGACGTCGACAGGGCAGCGGGAAGGAGGACTCGCGGCGCTCTCGACGAGATGCTCAAGCGAAGTGGAGAGCGACGGCCCGAGAGCACGAGACTCGCCGACTAGACTGGGCGACCGATCGAAATTTCGGTGTTCAGGGTCGCGGAGAGGCGGGAAGACCTACCAAAGTCGGAAGGTTTTGACGAGAAGGACATCGGGGTCAACAAATCAACAATTCGCCCCGCGCGGGGACTCGCCTAGATTGCCCTGCGCGGGTGCCTGAGTCGAGGCGGCCTTGTTCTCGCCCGTACACGTGTTTCGAGCAGCGCGCAGCTCAGCGAGCAGACTGCCGCGCGCGGGCTCTTCCTCGTGTCTGCCGCATTCCTCGCGGGATCTGAATCGTGAGGAAACTGGTTGTGTTATTGCATAAGAGAGACAAATTGAGCGCAAAGAAGGGTTCCCCGACGTCGCCAAAGTCGCCCTCGCAGTGCAGAGACGGTCGACGGGGCGGCGCGCAGACACGGGGAACGACGATGACGGCCGAGAACAAGGAGCGCGCCGTAAGCGCCGGGCGCTTACCGGCTTCCGCCCCGCTGCCGGTCGGCAAGTGCCGACCGCACTTCCCCCGCCGCTCCTCTTGCGCTCTCCGTCCATCGCCGCCGCCCCCTGCAGTTCTGACGACGGCTTCAACGTCCTTAGGTGTGCACCTCACCATCACCGACGACTGGCATGAACACTACGTCGGGATCCTTTAGAACTCCTTGAACCACGCATGCAGCGCTCGACTACGCGATCTCAGGAAACGGCACCTATTCCCCATTACCCCCAGCACCCACGATGAGTACAGACACGTCCCAAACACACCTCTGTAACATCTGGAAAGGTCTACACCGCCTTGATCTGGAAGGAACGCGTCTTCTCTTATCGTATCTGAAGGTCGAAGTGGGATGTATGCACAACCGACCCGGGTACCCTTGGTAGGTGGTCGTGTTGGCGGACATAGCTGACCTTCAACGATCGGAGGGGGGCACCTGGCCAAGCATATATCTGTAGGCGCGACGCGCATCAGCAGCCGTGCGATGTCAGTAGGACCTCGGGAAGGTGGATTCGAATATGTGGCGTCGTTTTTGGTGCGTTCGTACATCCACCGTCTGGGCTTACGCTGACCAAATAACCATAGCTATCTAGTCTCCAGGTAGTATACACGTACTTTTGGAAGTTTGGGAGGCCCCAGGGCATGCCCTCACTCACAATACACAACCGCTTTCCCCTCAACCTACTTGATTCCCATCACCTACGCGTTGACTACCGACGACAAACCCACATGTACGTCATCGAAAATTCACTCCCAACATTCACAGAATATCCTTCCGCTCACTGGCCTCGATGCGTACCTCCAAATCGGCGAATATCCGCATGCCGCCCTTACTGTACCCTACGAGCCTTTCCACTGGTCTGTAGGTGAATACTCTCCAACGCGACAGTCTGGACACTAATATATCGGATCAGAATTCTGGAAGTATGATGCGCGCCGGCGGCGGCCTCGGCGCGTCCGCGCCCACTTCGCTATCATCACCGGGGCGAGAACAATGGAACACCCCCATTTCCCCTCCCCGACGACCACACAACATGTCGACACGACGGCATACACGTTCCGCGTAATCACTGGGACTTTGGGGAAGTGAGCGAGGGAGGAGGACGCGGCGCACCGCGCGCCGCCCTTCGCCCAGCTCAAGGCCTGCTAAAAGGAGATACAGCGTGATGGCAGCAAGTTCGAGTTCCTCCTCCTCAGTCTTGCGCTCATCCAGTGCCACGTCAGCATCGACACGTGCCACGCGACGGTCCGCGTCCTCTGCACGACGTTTCTGACGCTGTTCTGCAGATGACGCGGACAAAAAGACGATATACATCGGTCGGCAACCTGCGCGCCACCGAGCGGGAGGTCGCGTAAACCTTCGCTCTTCCCCGCTGGACGCCACGTGTACGGCATCTACTGACCGGGTCAGCAAGTCTCGATGCCTTTTTCTTGCGCTCTGGCTGACATTCGCCCAGGGATGCGGCGGAAGATTGAATGCGCGCTGTCCGCGCTCATCCCCCAATCTTCCGACTTTTCGGTGGGCGGGTCTCGGTCGCGGACCGCCGAGGTCTGATCCGGAAATATGCGACGCCGGTCTGGAAAACTGGGCGGCGACTGGGCGCGGCGTTGGGCCGTTTGCGAAGTATAAAGAGTAGGGCATCTGGCCGCTTGAATCAGCATTCTACTGCCTTCCTCCTTGTTTCCTACCTTCCCTTGCATCCTCTACTTCTGTAGTGCTATGCTGTAATGTATCATCCGGGGTGAGTGCCTTCCTTCTTCCCCTGCTTTGACTCTTCTGACCTTTCGTCCTCTCAGGTTAAACCTCTACTACAAGCTCGGCTTTGGTCAGTCTTTTTCCTTACTCTTCAAAGGCTTCATACTGATTATCCTTCTTACTTTGATTGCCACTACCTACCTACTAGGGCGATCTTTTTACCCCTTTAGACACTCACTGATCGCTTTCACAGCTTTCCTTCCACACGCATCATCAATCGACACCGAACGCACTCATTGCGCTTTGTGTTTCTCAGGTACGTCTTCTACTTTATTCTCACTTCAATCCGCATATCAATGCATTGGACAGCGCTGGTACTACGCATCGCTGTCTGGCCCTTGCTCATCGGGTAACGACGGGCTGAATTTTCGACGCCGCGCCACCCTGACCAGCCTTGCTCTAGGCCATCACGCCGAATGCTCGCGACCGTCACCTCCCTCTCACCACTGTCGATCCCGACGTCGCGCTTGACTCGCGCGCCTCATTGCGCGCTCTGCAGGCTTGCGACTCGAGAACGAGACCTTCCGCAACCGCGGCGGGTAACTCCCGCGACTCCCGCCCGCGCCGCCCGCCTGCGCTTCTCCATGAACCGCACAACGAGCACGCCGAACGACGAGGTTTTGCGACGTGGAAGACGTTAAGCACGCGCTCGTTCGTCATGTTTGCTTTTCTTGACGGTCTTGAGGGAGATCGGTCGTCGCAGCCTTCGACGTCGACTAGGCCCTGCAATTTCTATCGCCGCTTCGGACGAGGACCATTCTGGTCTTGCGATCGTGTTCCTCGGTGAGTTCGTGCTCTTTCTCAACACCAGCTGTACCCTTCTGAACGGAGCCACGAAACGCAGGGCTACTCCAAACACACCACCCCCTTTTCCCTGCTCCCGACGCGACTTCGAAGGCGTGCGAGCGTCTTCAAAGTCAGTGAGCTAACGTCCTCTCCGTCGCGCCTCGTGGTCCACCTTAGCATCCGTGATACGCGCAGCGCTCGGCACGCCGTCTCACTCTTCTTCTACATCCACGTCGGCGCCTTGGCCATCCTCGGCAGTCGCCTCACCTCGCCAAACGATTTACACCATCTCTCCTCCGTGTGAACCCCTTGGCCCGCCTCATTCTTACAGCACGCGACGATGGAGGAGGGCCTCTGTTCCGGCTCCCGCAGGCGCCAGGAACCCAGTCCGGCCGTGATACCGTACGAGTGGCGAAGGGGTCTAGTGAGTCGACGAACACACGGGCCAGGCTCGGCTCTGAATGGCGGTTCATTGCTGCTCCCCCGCCCTCACGTTGTGCTGACTCGGCTGTAGATGTTATTTGGTGGGACCCGCAGGTCGTCAGAGGCACCTACGGCCTCCCTCGAGCTCAAAACGCGACAAGGGTGATCTACCCTCGGTCTTGATAAACACTGGTAGGTTATGCTCGCCCCCCCTAAAGCATCCGGAATCGCAAAGCTGACCTCCTTTCAAAGTGAGTTATTGACATCTCCCGGGCAGCTCGACGCATGCGCCAACTCCCTCCGCCGATTCAAATGAGGAAAGGGGTGTACCCGGCGTCGAGAAGTAGGGGAGAGGGGCGACACTGCCCGCCGGTGAGTTATCCTCATCATATACCAACTTCACCGACCCCTTTCCTCGACGACTTTTCGCAGACCCCCCTACCGCCGGAGGCATGCGTGCGCTCCCTCGGGTGAGCTATGCGATGGGGGTGGGACTCTCCCCGTCTTTGGGGGAGAGGAACGCGCTGGGAGGGGGTGGGACAACGGGTGAGTGATGCGCTTTATTCAAATTTCAACAAAACGTGCTCATTGAACCCAGTTTCTGGCCAGGACGAACCACCGGAGGCACGTGCGCGCTACCTCGGGCGAAATAACCGGTGGGGGGAGGGTCTCCCCCTCATCTTTCCAAGCGAGAGCGACATACGGAGGCACTCAGACGCGGGAGGGGGGTGAGATTTTTGGTGAGCTGCACCCTTTTCCTTGTTTTCGACCAAGCGTGCTGACCTTCTCTCCCCTCCTGCTAGGTAAACCTACCGGACTCACGCGTGCGGTCCGTCGGTGAAGAGTTCAGGGACAGTGGGGTACCCTCCCTCCCTTACTCGTTTGTCAAAATCGTCCTGACCCCCTTTTTTGAAGGTTTTTGAGCGACTTTTCGCTGACCCCGAGCCGCCGGAGGCACGCGTGGGGTCCCTCGGCAAAGAGCGCGACGAGAGCAGGGGGCCCTCACTCCCCCTTCCGCTGTTACAAATATACTGACCCCATTCTAAGCGATTATTGGCCAAATTTTGGGCAAGGTCGAGCCGCCGGAGGCGCGCGCAAGCCTTCTCGGTGAAGGCTGCGAAGAGGGTAGGGGACCCTCCCCCTCTCCTACGATATTATCTGAGCCTCTGCCGCCGGAGGCACGCATTAGCGTCCCTCGGTGAAGGCTGCGACGAGGGTGGGACACCCTCCCCTCGCCCTCACTTGTCATAAGGGTACCGAACCCCTTTCGAGCCATTTTCAGATGATTTTCTTGGTGAGGCAGAGCCGCCGGAGGCGAGCGCGTGCGCCCTCAGTCATTGAGGAATGTGAAGACGGTGGAACAACCCTCCACCCCCCTACCTTGTCATGAGCGTATCGACCCCCCTTGTACGAAGTTTCGGCGACATTTCGGCAAGGGGGAACCGCAGCGCGCGTTGGGTGACTAGATGAGGTAAGCAACGAGGGTGGGTTACCCTCACTCCCTCATTTCTATCTGAAAGCGTACTGACCCCTTTGCAGAATTTTGGGGTGACTTTTTGACGAGGCTGAGCCACCGGAGGCGCGCGCGGTGCCCCCTCGGTGAAGATCTCGAAGGGGGTGGGGGACCCTCCTCCTCTTTCTCCACGTCTCGCGGGATGGGAGCGCTGCGATAGTTGAGAGCCCATGTCCTCGCCGAGACCAAGCTGCCGAAGGCGAGCGTGGGTTGATAAATAAAGAATGCGCTGAGGGTGAGGTACCCTCCCTCTTTCATTTCAAGCGTACTGACACGCTGTTAGACCACTTCCAAATGCCCCCCACCACAGGAGGCCCGCGCGCCCTCCCTAGGCGTTGTGTGCGAAGGGTTGGATACCTTCCCCACCCCCTTCCCATCAATGACTGATCCCTCCATCTAGTATTATCGTGCTCGCTGTCGGGTCGAAGAATGTGATGATGGAGGGGGCGCCCTTCCCCCCTCCCCCCAAAGGCGTGTGCCATTTCAAAACGACGGTGAGTTGTCGTCTCTCTTCGACGCGCTCCTCTCCCTCTCCCTCCCCCCCCTCCCCCCTTCCCCCCTCGCTCTCTTCGATGTGCTCCTCTCCCTTACCCTTATTTTCCACCCTTTCTCTCAACGCGCGCCGTCAAAACGCGATTCTCAAGCCTGAAAAACCGTCAGGCAGTGCGCGGCGGCAAAGGAGGAGGGCTCAAATTGGGATAGAGCGCCCGAGGAGTGCGCTCTCCTTCGTTTGCTCACTCCTTCTCAGTGCTGAACACGACGGAGTATCTCGACGACTACTTCGACGCGCGCCTCCTGTCGAATCCCCCGCCATTCTGCTGTGAGTTTCTTGACCTCAGCGAGGGAGGGAGGGGGAGGGGGAGGGAAATGGAGGGGCAGACTGAACGATGTGCCATGATTTCGCGAGGGGGGAGGGAGTATCTCATGAGGGGGAAAGGAGTTGCAGGGGTGGACCTTGGTGGGGGGAAGGCGAGGTAAGCGTGGTTTATCTTTTCATGGGCTACGAGGGGCGGAGTTGTTTCGACGACGCGAGCGTCGGGTGAAGTGCGCTCAGCGAATTCACCCGATTCTGACTCTATTCTGTAGGTGAAGAGATGCACAACACTCAGAACAAGCGGACGGGCTTGCCCGTGGTCGTCTTGATGTGCAGCGACCTGACGTCCTGCCAGTTCTTCTTGAGCAGGGAGACCAGGAAGTAGGCTTCGGCGACGTTGAAGAGAGGTAGGGAAGGGGGTGTCGCTCTCATACACGCTTCGGGATCGAGCTGGGAGCGAGGTACGGCTGGTATTAAGCGCGAGCTGGAACGCCGCTGACTGTGCCTCCAGGTCCCCCTCCCTCAACCCTTCTCCGCTGCGAGCTCGGTAACATCTGCGCGCACGCGGCGCTCGGAACCGACGACACGTGCGTGTTCGACTTTCGCGGCGACGAGGCGAGAGCTGTGCAGGTCAAGAGGGAAGGTGGGGGGATGAGGTGGGAGGGTAGGAGCGGTCGAAGGGGGGTTTTCGACACCGAAGGGGGGGAGTAAGGAGAGGGGGCTCTCGTGCTAAGTCGCGCTTTTCAGGCTTTGCGGCGAAGATTGAGTGGCCGCGACGCGGGAAGGGGGCGCGGTGAAGTGGTGGGAGGTGCGGCGAAGGGGCGCGAAGTGCGGCTGGTAGTGAGCGGCGGGTCGGTGGGGTCGAAAGGCTCGCGCTTTCGGGGGGTGAAGGGGCTGGGGGTGAGGAGCGACGCGCGGGAGGCAGCGTTAGCTGCCTTCTCCCTCGCTCGCACTCGCCTTCTCGCTCCCCCGCACCTGCACTCTCGCTCCCTCGCCCTCACGCGCTCCGGCCTTCCCGACCAGCCCCCCACCCTCACGCACCGTCGTTCAAAACATTTCACATAGCTACCAAGGAGCGTATATGGGTCAGTACCGTACATAAGTTATCAAGGAGCGTTATCTTATATTGTACAAGTGAGGGTGGCAGTACGTACATATGCACGGACGGATAGGGTGTACAGGGATTGTATAGTAGTGGGCTGGAAGAATGAGGCTGTAGTGGACTTCAAAAAGGGGGGCTCACTAGACACCGGGAAAGGAGGCTAGCGAGAATGATCTCCTGGGGAAAGCGAAGGGGTGGAGATCAGAGGGGAGGGGGACTGAAGGTCAAAGAGGGAGATTGATGACGAGGCCTTCAGGAAGATACGACTAGACTGCAGAAGAAGGAGACTATACTTCAGAGTTCAGGTATATCTAGACTTCAGATGAGGATGGTGATGATGAGGGAAGACATGAGATGGGAGAGATGTAGGGTACATGGGATGTGTGAGTATGGGCAGTGGATGGATGGAGGGATCAGTGTACAGGCAGTCAGTTGGTTGTTCTATGGCGGATGAGGGCGAGAGGAAAGAGACATAGTGCAAGCGGTAGTCCCAGGCATGGTAAGTCCATCTCTTGGCCCAAGCATAAGTGCACGCGGCAGCACGCTATACGCACGGCAGCGCGCGAAAGAAAGCGAAAGCAGGCCACGGGCCAGCCGGAGTCCATAAGTGTCAGCACTACGCGTTGGACCGCCACGACACCGGCCGCGAATCGGTCCCGCGCGGCTGCGTGGACGCGGAGGGCACGCGCAGGTACTGCGTTGTGGGGCTGACCTCGGCCCACGAGGGCTGGATGCCATCGTCAACCGAGAGCTCGTCGACGGACGGGAGTGCGTGCAGCGGACACGACGGCGGGCGGAAGGCGATACCGAGCGGTGAAGGGCTTCGCGAGCGATAGTCCATGCCTAGGGGTGAGGGGCTGCGGGAGCGATACGAGGCGCCAAGAGGTGAGGAGCTGCGTCCCAGCGGTGAGGGGCTACGCGAGCGAGTGGACAGCACCTCGAGCGCAGGGGTCGTGAAGCGCCGTGCGGCTCGAGGGAGCAAACTCCCGTACGTCGACGTGCTGGCCATGAAGGCCTTGTACGAGCAATCATCGACGGGCGTGTCCAGGTGGTCCACGCTCGCAAGTGTACCATCCTCCTGCGACGGCCCGCAATCGTCCTCCAGTAGCTCCTCCGGCCCCTCGTCGTGCGAGTTCCGCGACGCCAACCACTCCTCGAGCGAGGCAGAGTCGACGGACTCGAGCGACATTGTCGAGCCGTCGGACCAGGTCGGGACCGCGACGTGCTGGTCTGCCACCCCGGCCTTGCGCCACTGGTCGGCGCGGCTGCGGCGTAGTTTCTTCGCCGCGCCCTTCATCTTGCGCTGCATAGAGCTTTGCAGGGCTTTCAGACCCCACGACAAGCGTGCTGTGACGAGCTTGCGCCTCGGTGGCGTGAACGTCGGCTCGGGCGCGCGTGCGCCGCTGCGTGTGCGTGTGGATACAGAGACTGATGGTCGAGGGTCGACGGACTCGGAGGAGAAGAAAGGGCGGCATATTTGGCGGCGGATGGGAGAAGACCAAGGGACATACGGGCTATTGGGGTGGGTGAAGGCGGGCATGTTCAGCGTGTCCGGGGTGTTGCGGCCGGACGCGTAGCCCGCGACGGAGGACTGGAAGAGGATGGACTGACATGGCGTGGGCGAGACGTTTCGGGACTCGACATGGGCGACGGCGGTGCTGGAGACAACCGGAGATCCCAGGAGAATGGGATTGAAGTCGGGGAGGGAGGGCAGGTTGAGTATGGTGGGCAGGGTGGTGGGGAAGAACTGGGAGGTCGGGGATGTTGGTCGACTGTCGGTGGAGGTGGGGACGGTCTGTATTGAGTGCGGTGTCGCGCGGCCAGATGAAGGGGTGACGATGCGCGAGTTCTTGCTCTTCTTGCGCTTCGGATGCTGATCGAGCGAGCTGGGTTGCTGTGGGTCCACGTTAGTAGGAACAACGGAACGGTGATCGCCATCACACCCACAGTATTCAGGGCACGCGATTTGTCCCCAAGGGGCGCGCGGGGAGAGTACTTTCTCTCGACGCGTCGCTGTGGCCCGACATTCTCTCTCTCTCCCTCTTCTGCCTGCTTCTTCTTCGGGACTAGACGCGAGGGCTTCGCCATATGAAGTTGAAGATGGAAAGTGTCGTTTCGAAGTCCCGTTCAGAAGTTGCGACGGCGCTCAGTGCTGCTCTTCGCGCGTGGGTGGCGGAGAGATGGGTCGTGCAGCACCAAGGCCTGCGTCGCGAGGGAAATATCGAGCAGATGGACCGAACCAAGCCGCGCTGCCCTGCCTGTGTCCATCGCGCGCCTCGTGTCATCCTCGTGGCAATCAACATACACGTGACCCAGAATCTTGCCTCGTGATCGCGGTTTGCCTGACGTCACTTGCGCTGGACCAACAACGGGCGCTTATCTTGTCTCTGTCAACCACCGCCATGAGCAAACGGAGGAAGACAGGCTCGCGCGCGGTCCCAACCTTCGGTGCTCCCAACGAAGACGACGACGAGATGACTGCTATGGCTTCGTCTGACTCAGTGTCGACCCGAACTTTGCCAGCAACTAGTGTGCCCTCCCTGCTTACACTGTGCATGCGCCGCTTCGTCGACAAGTATACATACATCAGGCAGAATCCTGAGGGAAGGCTCTGGCGACACACCTCGCAGTCTCTGCGTATGCTACCTGAACCTCTGCTGCCTAGGCTCTTCGCTATGTTGAGTCAGCGCTGGCCGACCTTCTTGCCTGACAACGTTATTCAACCTGTATGCAGAACAATCACTTAGTCTTTAGAATACCGTTGATGTAGGGATTACAGTACTTCATGCGCGACGCCCGCACCATAGTCTTGTCGGATGCTCTGACCGGTGTCAAGAAGCAGACCATAAACTCCCTGAAAATATGCGCACCGCACCTCAATCACCTCGAGCTATCAGGCTTCTCGAAATTCGAAGACAACCTGTTTGCCGGAATTCTGTCTCATCTGCCCGAGCTCAAGACGTTGAACCTGCGGTACGCCCTAGTGGTGCAAGGGTCTCGTTGGCCGAAGTTCACATGCCTTTGCCCAGCGGATGCAAAGAAGTCGGACATGCTACTGTAGAAGCTGCCGCCCAGCATTGCCCCGGTCTGGAGGTCGCCAACTTCAACTACACCTCTGTCACGCCTATATCTCTACAGGGTCTGCTCGTCAACTGCAAGAATTTGAAAGTCCTGAAAGTTGCCGGAATATCCAGTTGGGTCCGCATCCAAACCATGCACTGCCGTCGCCTCGTCCTCCTAACCCCATACTCCAGTCCGACGGCACCCTCCAAAAGCTCCTCGCCGCCCTCGCTGCCTCCACCATCACCTCCCTCCCCGCCCTCCACAACCTCAAACTACGGCAACTCTCCATAACAAACACCTCCGCCACCCCCTTCGTCGCCCTCTTCCCCAACCTCCGTCGCCTCGATATCTCGTTCACCAACATCCAGCACATTCCAACCTCGAGCCCACATATCGAGAAGTTGGCGATGTCGTCGACGCCGTTGGCCGTGTCTTCGAAAAGTTTTCAATTTCCTGCGGAATTCCTGCAGCTGAGGACCCTCAGCATTGGCGCCCTGGGGCAGTCGGCGAAATCGTCGGGGGCGCTGGTGTTGACGGAGGTATTGTTGTTGGAACTGACGGATATTCTGGCTCCGCTGGATCATTTGGAACATGTCAATATGGCGAGCAATACAAAGCTGACGAGCAAGTCGATCAGTGAGTTCATGAGCTTGGTAGGGAGGCGGTGCAAGGTAGACGCTGGTTTTCGCGTTCATCATGCGGAATTGAGGGCTCATTGTACGACAGATAGTGAACCTATCTGCCATACCTCGTCTCCGTTCAGACGGACTCGCCGGCCTCGTCGCGGAAGACGGAACAGACTGCTCTATCGAGGTTCTCACCCTCAATAACACCGCCATCGACGACGATGCTGCGCCTTATATCGCCTGTTGCAAGCAGTTGAGCCGATTGGGGCTGGCGTCTACGCGGATCACTAGTACGTCTTGACCGACCTTGCTAAGCGGAGCATTTGCCGATATCACCTTTTTCTTTGCAGAGGATGGGCTGTTCATCATCATCGACGCTTGTGCCCGGCTTGAGAATATCAAGCTTACGTCTTGTCGAGGCGTCAAGTTGCAGGATCGCAAGCGTATCTTTGAGGTGGGTACTTCGACGTCAAACACATTCCAACCCACTGACAAGAGGGCATAGCTTCGGGAGGAAGAGAAACAGTCCAGATAAAGCAATCCAACGAATGTTACAGTATTTAGCCCAATATACCCTATACAATCATTCTCTTGTGCTTCAAGCGATGTCACCATAGAAGATCCCGCGGCCGTTCGTGCCGATGTAGACCCTATACCCTCGTCAGCAAGATATTCCCCTCACCTTCGAAATTCAACGCACCTCCCATAAATCCTCGGATCCCCCGTCAACACATTCGACCCCGGCGCCCCAAACCCATGCTTCGCATCATCTATCTGCACCCAAGTGGCCCCTTCGTCGTCCGAGCGATAGTACCCCGACACCCCGCCCAACGTCGCCGCGACGAACACCGCCGGGTACGCGCCCTCCTCCTTCGCTGCGCCCAGCCCCAGCGCCCACGCTTGCGAGATTCCATCGATCGCGGTGAACGTCGCCCCGTTGTCGTTCGAGTGGAACAACCCCTTATCCGTCGACACCCACACATCGCCCACCGTGTTGAAGTTCACCGCAATGTCGAAGGGCGCGGTCGAGTCCCCGAGCGTGGCGGTCTCATTGAAGGAGGCGCCGCCGTCGGTGGAGGCGTAGAACGAGGAACCGGAGGCGGCGTAGAAGGCGGAATCGTTGACTTTGTCAGAAGCGATGACGGCGCCGGAGGGCACGCTGGAGACGGCGGTGAAGGAGGCGGAATTCTTCGAGACGAGGACCTGCGGGTGGGGTGAGCTTCAAGTAGCAAGGTGTAAGGCGAAGTGAGGTGACAAGAGGGAAGGAGAAGGGACGAGGGAGGTGCGAAGACGTACCCCGTTACTAGATGAGCTCCAGACGATGCTGGTGGCGTTAGCGCTGATGGCGACTTTGCCGCCCTGGACGTCCGTGCTGGATGCGTAGCTGGGGTTCCAATTGGCGCCGGAATCAGTGGAGAGCGCGATCAGCTGCTGGGGGTCGCTGAAGGGCGGTCAAGATGCGAGCTTCTGATGCCTGGTAATATACTTACTCTCCCGCGTTCCCAACACGTACGATGGTGGTAGGTACGTTGCCGGCATAGTCGATGTCGACCGACGTGCTCCACTCCGGGTTCTGGAAGCGGGTGGACGGTGCCGTGTCGAGGTCTTCGTGGACGAAGCCTGCGATTGCTGGTCAGCCAATGCACAAACGGATGACCTTTGGACTGACCAGTGTTGTCACCCACGGCGGAAAGCAACGAAGGTCCAGTAGGCGGCGAGATGAGCCCCAAGATCGCATCCTCCTCGATCCCGTCTGCCAACGAGCTAATCGACACGTTGTGCTTCGAGTCCCACTACACTCTCCTCAGCCACACATCCCTCAAAACCTCTCAAACCACCACTCACCGCCGTCAAATCATGCCCCCCATAAATCGTCGCCCCCGTCCCATACAACCAATGGTCCGAGTCAAAGGGATCAATCACCAGCGCCTCCATCATCCACCCAATCTGCAGCGTCCCGAGCTCCGTCACGACGTAGTTCGGCCCGAGCCACGGCGCGAGGTCGTTGTGGTAGCTGTAGTACTTGTGAATCTCGGGGTATGCCCCCCAGTCCCAGAGGGGGGACCAGGTGGCGCCGCTGTCGGTGGAGCGGTAGATTTGGCCTGAAGGGGGGAATATGTGAGAAGGGTTAGGAAGGTAAGGGGTGTGAAGGGCAAGGTGGGGAGGTAAGGGAGAGTTGGAGAGGACGCACCATCGGGCCACCACGCGTTGAGGGCGGCGACGAGGATGGTGCCGGGGTTCTGGAGGTCGACGGCGACGCCACCGAAGCCGAAGAAGAGGTCATCGCCAGAAGCGGGGGTAATCTCCGTCCCTGATAAGAGTTGGCTGCTCAGATATGACAACGTCAACAGTCGAGCGCGCTACTCACAGTTGCTGCTCGCGATATCATACTTCCAAACCCTAAGTACCGGTCAGCCAAGATCGACCAGGCGAAATGAATGCACTTACGAGCCCAATGTGCCATCATACGGTCCAGCGCCGTTGCTGTATGAGATGTAGAGCAGCCCCTCAGACGGCGAAAGAACGCCCTTGTGGGGTATGAACGTGTTGTTTTGTCCAGCGACCGCGTCCCCTGCGCGCAAGATGATCAGCTTCAAAGCAAGTGGCCATACGAGGCAATAATTTACACGTAGCACCAGCATCTTCAGACACGAAGATGTTGTCTTCGCCCGCGCTCGCAACGCCGACGAAGATGCGAGGAGTGGGACTCCCAGAGCTACCGGAGGTCGAGTCGAAGGTGACCCACGAGACGCCTGCTCCACGGTCAGGCCAGACTCGCAGACGAAGCAACCTTAAGCGAACATACCAATGATATCGCTGTTGTAGCCCGTGGCATCGCTGGGGTCGGCTACGTACGTTCCCGCGCTGGGAAGCCCAGAGACTGCCTCCCACGTCGCGCCATAGTCGGTCGACTTGAGCAGCCCATTACCACTTCGCGCGCCGAAGTAAAGTACACTGTTGTCGTTAGGGTCGACAACTAGACGCTCGCCCCTAGCAAACTGTCGTCAGCTCAGCTCGATTCGCGACCTCAAATACTGATACTCACATTCCACGCCCTGGCATGTTACCTCCGACCTTGAAGTCCAGCTCGACAGCGGTAAACGTTTCGCCATAATCCTCCGAAATCAGGATATGCCCGTTGTTGGGGTCCCAGTCATTTGTGTACTCGCCCGTGGCGAGGTAGAGGCGGTTGGGTTCAACGGGGTCCGTCGCAAGCGCATCGACGCCCCAGTAGTTCCAGGTTTCGCTGTTGGCGAAGTCGAGGAGGGGTGTCCACGTGTCGTCGGAGTTGAGCTTGTAAGCGCCTCCGATGTCGGTGCGAGCGTAGGCCAGACCCTACAGGTGATAGATGAGAGCAACCCAAAGAGAGTATGAGGGCCTAGGACTGACCTTCTCGCTCGGGTTGAACACAATGCCGGGCACGAAGCCACCGCCACCGCCGATCTGCGGCTCCGTCATTCACTGAAGGCTCGGCAGTATGTCCGTGTGAACGCACCTTCACGTTCTTCCAGGAGTATGCTTGCGCATCAGCAGCAAGAGACAGTAAAGGAGAGTAAGCAAGTGCCGCCGCAAACGATGCGAGAGACGGCGAGGACCGCATGTCGAAAGAGGGAAAGACGGAGGTACCTTGTACAGCTGGTTGCACGAGAACTGGCCCTTATAAACGTCAACGAGACCGTCGAATCGCATGCAACGCCATCCGAAGAATATGCGGGGACCGCACGGGTTAAGCAAGTGTTCCCGAGTTATATGCGCTGGGAATCTGATTTCCAGGCGCGAAGACGGGGGCACACCAGGACCAGAGCTGCAGAACAGGGCGTGCCTGTCGACCTTAGGTGACAAGAATGTCATGATCGCGACTGACCAACAGTCAGAAGCGGATTATATCAGGTCAGAAAGAAAATGGAGTGGGCGCATCTTCCTTGGGAAGACGAGCGAACACATGACGGTCCTTCGACAGGTCCTGGCCGACGGATCAAGTATGGATAATGAACAATTCATGGGCCTAGGTTCGCCTTGGTCCTGGTCGACTTGCGTGCTTCTTGGCGAGATGAAGCTTCATGTAAAGCATGGAGAGCAACAAGCGGTGCCCAGAGTCTTGAATGAACTTCGTGATTACTTGTGCAGCATATGACACGGAGGTGATGGAAAGGCTACGAATGGCGACATTAGTTGAGGGCCAAGGAAAGAGCAACATGAGACCTACCTTCTCCTATCCGCATCTCGGGAATCAACAAGATACGTCAAACAATATAGTTGGACATTGAAAGGAGAGTCAGATTACACGACGTACGGCAATATATGGCATCAGTATTAATTAGGGTTCCTCATATTCTTTGTGATTCGCCCAATCCGGATGGGAAAGTGTAGGCGTAGGAGATAATTGCGGATCGTCGTCCGTCCATTTATACGTCGGTGTCGATGGCTCGGACGATAGATGCCCTGGCACGAAGCCCGCTTGCCCGCCAGAAGGCCGCAGAGATGCACGAACATCAGGCTGCATGACGAACATGCCCACAAGACGGAGGTCGTCCTCGTTCGGGTCCTCAACGCGACCGATTGTGCTCAGCACCTCCGGGCGACCACGGACGAACCAGATGATCTGCAGAAGACCGAGCGAATCTAGGACGTCGACTGCCCCGACGGTACGTGAATCGCGCGGGCGTACGAGAAGCGCGTTTGTCATCATTAGGAAGAGGGAGACAATGAGACCAGCGAGGACGGGTACGGGACTTAGCTGAGAAGGAGTGAGCGCCTTGTGCGCACAGTGTAAAGAGGAAGACGTACGTGCAATCGTAGGACGACCTCAGGACGAGTGATTGGTGTCTGCTTCTCACGTCGAATAGAGTATCGATCTTGTTTGTTGACCTGATTGACTGCACAATAACTTAGCAACGTCATAGGCCCACAAGTAGAGGCAACACAAAACTTACAAGACCAGAAGTAAGATGCTGCGAGCCGGCTCAGGGAATTCTCAACGTCGGAAAGTCGAACACGGCCACGCGCAGCCTGCCCACTCTTGTCCAAGTCCAGATCCAGACAGGTGATGAGATACCTGCGTAAATGTTGCCGATAATGTAGCGCACGAAGAAAACGTGGATAATGCAGTGCACGTACTTTTCCATAAAGCCAAGCCGGTTACTTCCTCCGTAATAGTCGCTGGTCGTATACTGGCTCTGAACACCTGTGCTCCACTGAGAGGCGATGAGTCCAGCTTCCTCGAGGAGTGAGCCGACGACATACCAAGTCCAAGATGTTGAGATCCTCTGGCGCAGTGGCGCCCTGGGGCTGCCATGGCGAGAGCGTCGAGCTTGTGCGCAATGAAGGGATCTGGCCGTCTAGGGCCAGACGCGTTGTGCGTGAGACCTCGACAGTGTGGTTGTAACTATAGAGGTCACAGCCAATGACCGACACGTTCGTCGAGAGGCGCCTATACGGTAGTGTGAAAGTGGGAAGCAGAGTACCCGCAGAATCCTCCAGATCGAAGGTGCCGTACAGATAGAAAGTGCGGTTGAGTCCCGGAGTCGGGTTGTAGGCATCCTTGTTGCGAAAGCCCAGCACCATAGTGTTGTTCGCTGGAACATGTCTATCAACACAACGACGGCCATAAAGGAATTGTCTGAAACTTACTATATACATACTTGAGCACAACATTTGTCTGCTCCGTACCGTTTGGATACACATGGGAGACGTTGTATGCTGGTATTGCACTTTCGTCCCCATGTCTTCCGTCGTCCAAAAGCGTCAAATCTTGGAGCGTACCGCAGGTCGCGTTGAACGTCGTGGCTTCAAGAAACACAGTACCGTTGCCGTCATTGACCATCAGCTGGTCATACATTGTGGCCTCATCTAGGCCGACGGTCTGGTGTGCATCAGAAAGCGCAACGTAGGAGAGCAAACTGGTGGCGTCGCTAAGCAGATAGGCAAGCAGGTGACCTTCTGGATTTCTCCAGTCAGCCATAGCGCTATAAGGGAATGAGCCAACAGCCGACGGACGACGTAGCAGCGAAAAACATACTTGAAAATATGGTCTATCCGTGGATACGCAGCTAAGCTGGTCACCTCAGCCGCATGAGTCTGAGTGCCGACCTGCAACGAGAACATGGCGGGGATCGTGACATGCAGAATAGCAGCGTTAACGAGATAGCTTGTTATGAGCGAAATGGAGCCGATCGTGCTGCGGATCCTCGATTGTCCGTAGAGGGTCATGAGCGCGGAGCCAAGGCCAATCCAGGAGTTGTACTCGTCGTGCATGGCGGTCAGTGTTTGCTGACTGGTAAGAAGACGGCGCAAAGCGAGGCGCTGGGTCATCCATATGAGCAATGCGCCATAGACCTAATTGAGCATTCAGCATCAATGCATCATACTCCATGAAGAAGACACTGACTTACCGTCGCAAACATCGTCGCCGAGACGGTGATCGCAGTGGACGTCAAGTCGCCGAATGCATCGTCGGACAGTTGGACTACGACATTCTCCTCTAGGTGGAGGATACAGATGACGAGCAGCGTAACGTGCATCAGAACAAGAAATGCATGCATAGCATACGACAACCGTCGTAGAAAACGAGCTTGACGGAAGTTGTCACTGAGGGAGGCCACTAAAGTGCCCGCCTTGGCTTTGATCGCGTCGTGTTAAGAAATGCATACGACAGACGCCGAAAGGCGTACCTTGTATAGAGTCCCAGCTGGACTGCGGTCGGGGTGCGCGCGAAGCGCGGGGGTCCAAAGGCATGTCCCAAGTGTGATGAACGGACTCACAACCTTTCTCTGGAGCTACGCCCGCGCGGCATGGAGGCGACGCGGATTAAGACCTATTCCTTCTATTCGCGAGGTGGATCGCAAATGACGGTATAGAACGACGAACGCGTCGCAGACCCTGCATAAACGGGCTTTATCACCGACGTGAGAGCATATACAGAGCGCCCATAGCGCCTGCTCAACACCTCAACAAGATGTCGAGGGTGCGTATGCAGTCACTCGAGGGCACCTCGGAGCGCTCGCGAGGACCCCCAGCGCTGGTAAATCCCACATCAAACTATGTCTCTGAGTCGAAGGAGCTGATGCAAGTTGAGCCTGAGGACATGAAGGTTGTGAGCAAAGAGAGCAGCGTGAGAGCTTGACGCGGATCCTTTGTTTTCGCCTTGCTCCATACGGTCATCGGCGCCTGTTGGCGTCCGGGTCGCAGACTCGCCACCGTCCCCGCCGTCATCGAGCTGTATCCCTCCCTCCATCATTCAAGCGCTGTAATCCTCCCTCCTGCTAGCGCTGGACCCCCTGCCCCTTCCTCCACCATGTCCGCCCTTACCCGCCTCCTCTCCCAACTCGCCTACTTCCTCCTCGTCCTCGTAATGCTCATGCTCACCGGCCTCTCCTGCGTCGCGCTTCTTAGCCAGGCGTTCCGGCAGTCGGCGGACAGGAAGCGCGGGTCGGACGCGTTGATGATCTTGGCGGCGTATGTGATTGTGGTGAGTACAGGGAGGTCCTGCTCGCCCGCAGAGGCCTCCCTTCGCTTTTATCTCGAGCAAACGCAGGCTAGATGATATTTGGCATGCTCATGCTCCCCCTCAGGTCGTCGTATCCTTGGTTCTGTGCTTCCAGCGCCGGATCGCCGTTCGAATGCGGCTCGCGCGAATCTCGAAGGTGCATAGGATGCTGAGGAAGGGGGATGTGCCGAGGGTGCGTCTAATGCTTCATTTGCTAGCTGGCGCGAAGCTTATGCATTCATCTTCTGCGTGTATCACGATACTCCGGGCCAACCCACTCTGCACGCCATCCCCTCCGTGCGCCGATCAACTATATGCGCCATCCTGCCCTACGATCACCTATCCAAACATATAGCCAGTCTACCGCTACATGACCGAAGAATATGTTCGGACATGTCTTATTGCACATGAATCCCTTCCCAAGGACGTCGTGCATCCAGGATGGGGACAACCAGGTGCGCATACCTCTCATATCATGAAGCCCTTCGACTTACTTTCATTCCTCCTCAGGCGGCCCATACGAAGGCATCAACTTCCGCCGCGCACTCCTCGACACCATACCTCGACTAGGTACGTCTTCTACCCTCTTTCTCTTCCCCAATATTTCTCCTCAACCGCCTCTTCACCTCACCGCCTGACCCCCTCCCAGACGCCCTCGCACGCGTCGTCATCCCCGCCCTGCCGCCCCTCCGCCCGCACAGCCGGATGCTGCACCACTTCCGGTTCCTCCTCCCCCTGCTCACGAACCCGCGCGAGCCGAGCATCCGCGTGGGGCCCGACGGGGCGGTCGAGTATGGGGAGGTCGCCGAGGAGGAGCTGGTGACGGCGCTGCATTGGTATGATGCGGCGGTGCAGGTGAGCCTTGTTCTTGCAATCTTTGCACAACGTGAAAGCCGTCGAAGACGGGTGTGGGCGGAATCATGGGAGCATGCTTACTCAATCCTTCTGTTCAGATTGCACGGCATTCCGCACGCGAACCTACGCAAGAGGAGTTCGAGTCTGGGATTCAGGCATTAGAGGAGATCATGACGACGTGCGTGGGCTGTTTCTCTTGTTCGTACTTCCTGTTTGAGGTCAATTGACGTGCATCGTCATCCCTCACTGCCGCTTTACAAACTCACGGCCTTAACGGGCCTCATTCAGTCTTGGTCATCTTGCACCTTCGTTGTTGTTCTTCCTTCATGGTCATCTCTACTCTCCTTGTCAATGCTGTGCTTCTGACAGCATCAACTCGAGGCTCAAGAGATGCTCCGATACGAGTTGAGGTGACACGACACTGACATACCCTGGTCTCTAGATTGCACGAATGCGAGATGGAGATGTTTGAGGCTTCGGAGACGCAGTTGGTCGCGCCATCGACGGTCGAATCAATGCCCTCGCGATGAAAGGCAATAGGTTGTGCAATGGAGCAACAGGTTTTTCGCGATGGACGACAACAGGTTCTGCAACGAGGCGGTCTGACCATAGGCCCGGTAACAGCGCAGTGCAACAGCAACGTCCCGTTCCATGCATCGGCAACAGCTCGGGCAGTCAAGGACATGTTCAAAGGCGCCTTCTCTGCCAGTCACTGTCTATAGCCGCTGGCGGTGAGCCGCTATGACCTCCCGCAATGCTGCCGAGTCTATTCACAGGCCCGCGTGCGATGCACATACCATCGATGGCAACTGGTACTTATAGGCGGGCCACGTCGCATCTTGGTCACGCATGGTGAGCCGCAGCGCGCATGGCAAGCCGCAAACACAGCGCGCGTTGGGTTGGGATCACGGTGGCACACCCTTGCACATACGGCCACAGCACGGTCCTACACTTCTCGGTGGAGTGTTGTTGGTAGTCCGTGGTACTCGCAGTCGCGCCATACATAGTTTTGTGGTCAATATGAAGGTCTTCTTCGCCTTGTCTGTAAAATGAAGTTTGGGGTGCCTGGTTGGCGCCGGTTTTGACGGACCGAGCGGGGTGTTGCCAGATCAGTCAACATCAACAAAGCCCAGCGCAACTCTCCCCTAACGACGAACGCGGTGGCTGGAAATTGCTCTGCGCTGTGGCCAGAGGTTGCTGCTGCGACCGCCCCGAGTTCATAATCCCAAAAAGAGAAGACGCAGACGAGGCTCGCTCCATTTCGCTCTTTATCCGACCCACCAACGGCCAGCCAGCTCCCAACGCCTTGCTCTTCACACGCTGCGCGTGCATAAAATCCACAAAAACCTACATATATACGCAAAAACGACCCCGCAGCAGCCCCCACCATGCTTCAGAACCCACCACCACGGCTCAGCGCCCCGCCGAAGAGGAGAGGCCCGCCCGCGCCCTTGTTCATCGAGACCCCCTCCCGCAATCCGGCCATCTCCCGCCCGCCGAGCGAGTCCTCCGCCTCCGCCCTCACCTCCGACTCCGACAGCCACCCCTTCGGCGCCACCGGTACCGCCAGGAAGAGTAGCCGCAACATGAAGGGCCTCAGCCTCGCGCTCCCCTCCGCTCAGTCATCGTCGAACTCCCTCCAGTTGCCCGACGCCGGCGGCCTCAAGTCCGCCATCCCTGACTTTGGGAGGGACAAACAGCGCCGGCCGTCGGTTATATCCCTGCCATCCACCGCGAATCCCCTCGCGCGCAACTACCGCCGGGAAGAGGACGGGTCGCCCACAGTCCCGTATGCGGACGGGCCCATACAGATCCTCCCGGGCCTATGGCTCGGCTCCGAGGACAATGCGCGGGATTGGAAAGGCCTTCTCGAGCGTGGCATTCGCTCGATCCTCAACGTCGCCAAGGAAGTCTCCACTCCCTTCGAAGACTCTGCCGTTACCCAAACCCTCCGCTCGACCGCCTCAACGCCCAACTTCGGCGAGACGAAGTTCAACCGAGACCCCAACTCGACGTACTACCCCGCGCACATCCCCAGCGGGCGCCCGAGCATGCACTACCTGAAGCTGCAGTGGAGCCACGGCGAGAAGGACCTCGTGGAGACTGGGTTCCCCACCGCCATGGCCTTCGCGGACGCTGCGCGCGCGCGTGGAGAGGGGCTTCTAGTCCAGTGAGTAGCCGGCCCTGTTTCGCCCGTCCCTATCTGCCTCATTGTTGACGCCCTGCAGCTGCCAATGCGGCGTCTCCCGCTCTGCGACCGTCATTATCGCCATGGTCATGCGCGCGGCGTCCGAACGCTTGCACTGGGTGCCCGCGGACGTGTGGGCCCTGAAAGATATGAACAGCGCGTACGACTACGTCAAGTCTAAGAGCCGCTGGGCAGGACCGAATATGTCGTATGTGGCACGTCTACTCTATCCCTGTATCGATTGTCTGACGCGCGCGATAGGCTCATCTTCCAGCTGCGTGAATACGAGAAGCAGCTTTCGAAAGAAGCTGGCAACATCTCGCCCTGCTCCGTATCCTCCCGGTCATCTGCTTTGGCAGATGAGGAATGGGGAAGGCGCCGTGCGCTGCTCGACCTTGAGGAGCCGGAAGCACCTAAAAAGCAGGAGGTTATCACGCCGGCGGTTCGCGCAAGTATGTCCGAGGAAGCTGCGGCGCTCGACAAAGCCATGGAGGATCGCATAATCGCGCGCAAGTCCTCCCAATCGTCGGTCGCCTCTTCTACTGGTGCCGGTCCCTGGCGCAGCCGCTATGGGTCTGGCTCCCAGCTCGGAAGCTTTGGCTTCCCTCGCAAGCATAAGCGCGCCTCGTCGATAGCAAGCACAACCAATGGCAGTATCCTCAGTGAGGACCTCGTGGAGGAAGACGAAGAAGCGGAGCTTCTTGGCGTCGGCGGACGGTTCGACTCGATCAATTTCGAGCGCGGCAGGACACCGAGCAATAGCGGGGACGAGCACACAAGTGCAACGAACTCGCCGGACGACGACGACCATGAGGACCAACGTGGCTTCCCTTCTGGATCCAACGTTCACCTTGCACCGCCACCTGCTGGCAAGCGCCGCATGGGTCGGCAGCCGCCGTCGCTCAGCGTGCCCCCTTCGGCACCTGCCTGGAAGAGCAACTTCAGCTTCGCTGCGGGACCCCCTCCCAGCGCGACCCGCTCGACCTTCGACCTCACCCCCGTCCCGCCGCACGTCATCCCGGAGCGTGATGCGCCGCGTATGCAGGCTGCTCCCGCTACCCGGCACAAGCGTCGCCCGCCTTCCCTCAGCATCCTCCCGCCCGTCCCTTCCTCCCCAGTACACGTCGACGTCATCATCAATCCCCCTTCAGCGAACGCAGAGCAGACCGAAACGCCACAAAAGGCGAGGAAGTCGCGGCCCACGTCCTCGCAGACGATCACCGCGCATACCTACTCCGCCTCGCAGCCGGTCACCCCATCGCGCTCTGAGCCCCCATCGAGGAGCCCGTCGCGCAGTCGCGCGCCATCGACACCGATGCCGCCCCTGCGTCTGCGTAAGCGCACGTTGTCGCGCAAGCCTGCACCGCCGCCGTTGCATCTCCGCGCCCAAGTCCCCGAGACGCCCGGACGCGTCCGCCGTCCCTCGCAGCACTCGCCCGAGCACTCGCAGACGCTCTTCCTGTTCCCGCCATCGCCTGGATGCGGCACAACGCCGAGCGCGATGACGCTTACCATGATGCAGGGCACGCCCACACCGCGCCCAGGACCGGACAGCGTGCCGTTCCCGGTCATGATGAGCGGGACGCCGCGTGTGGAGACCTTCCGCGGCAAGCACGGTCGCACGCACAGCTTCATCGGCATCGGGGTACCCCCAACGCCCACCACTGCATTCTCCAAGGTCGACGTGCGCGGCATCGTCGGCTGAGCCCGGACACCACCACCGCCGACGGTGTCGCTATCATATGGTATGATCTATGGTCCCTCAGATCTATTATGCACGTCTTTATGCCTTCCTTCTTTTATGCAGTCTCACCCTATGGCGCAGTACCCTCTGCCTCTCGTCGCTCGCTTTCTTCGTCGTCTTCGTGCTGTCAGCCTTCCTTCCCACCTCCACCTCCCATACCTTCCTCCGATCACCGTTCACGCATGCTCTCCGCGCTCCATAGAGCCACGAATCATCATCGCGCTTCCTGATCCAACGATCCCGTCTTCCCGCTTCCCACTTCTTTCGTCTTCCTCCGTATTATGAGTATCTGTGATGCTTCTTCTTTTCTTCTGCGTTCCATACACCACTTTCTTATGTGTCTACACACCGTTCTGCCGTGTTTACACGACCTTCCGTTGTGTTTACACCTTTTTTTTCTACTTCTTTTCTTTCTATTTTCGCCTCTTCATCTCCCCTCACCTTCAATGTATTAGTACCCATCGGCCTCAACGGACCACCCTATCTATCATCAGCATCCGCACCGCACCGCTGGCTTGCTAGCTTTGGACATCGCCGGCTTTCGATCACATCGCTCGCGGGTTAGCGGCCCATACCGCTGGCCTTCGTCACGCGCTGTCTACCCTATCGCGCACCGCGTCGACGCGCTCGTGCATCACGTTCGTCGCTCGCCCTCTGCATCGACCTCGTTCGCGCAGTCGACGCGGCCAGACTCGCAACGCCCTCGACGCCCGTGCCGCGACAGGCTCGTTCATGACGCTGTGACGAAGTGCTTTCCCGTCTTTATTGGTTGTCTGTCTTTATTATCGCATCGCTTCGGACCTTCTACTTAAGACTTTGCATTTGCTTCTTCTGTGCATCCACTTGCCTATTTGTTTAGTAACTCGCGAGGTGGGAAGGCCTCATGAATATATAAGAGCTTGAAATAAATAAGGCGGAGTGGGCCAGACTGGAGTGCATAGCGAAGACGTTGCGAGTGCACGACGTCGAAGACAATGCGAGTGCACAACGTCGAGGACATGATTGATGCGAATTACTTGCAGTGGAGGACAGCAGCCTAACGCCCCCCGAAGACTCTCCCAACGCTCGACTTGACAGCGCCGGTGAGGATCTGGCCGCCGATGCCACCCAGACCGCCAAGGCTGAAGCCGCCCATGTTGTCCTTGGCCCAGCGCTGCTTCGCATCTCGGTCGCTGAGGGGGTTGAGTGAGTGAGGAAAGAGGTGGAGTGTGCGATGATTGAGTAGCGGTGTGCGATAGTCAAGTAGCGGTGTGCGATGATTGAGCAGCGCGAAGGGGAGAGTCGAGTCGTGTCGAGTCGGGTGAATCGAGTCGGGTGAAGGGCAAGTGCATATAGCCGAGGAAGAAATGGATGGATCAGTGGGTGGTCGGACGGGTAAGGATTATGCACTCACGCATAGGTAAAGCCGATGACGTTCGTGAAGTTGAAGACGAGGGCGAGGACCACGACGGGAATGAAGCTGTAGAAAAGCATGCGGGTTAGAACTTTGTCGAAAGCGGAGAAGGGGCGGAGGTTGGACGAAGAGCAGGAGCGCAGTTTGTACGAAGAGAAGAAGCGGGGAAGTCGAGGGATGCATCTCGTGAGATTGAGATTGGGAAGAGGAACGAATCTCGCGGGACGGAGATCGCAGAAGATGGGTGACTCTTGAGAGGACAAGTAATGCAGGAGACGGAGCACTCACGATGCATTGAGCGTGAGGATAGCGACGATAAGCAGGACTACCCATAATGCGGGGAAGACGTAAAGCGCGGTCTGCATCCTGATGTCAACATGACACGTTCGCAAGCGCGGAGGGCAGGGTAGGGACGCGTACCCAGAACATTCTGTGGTAAGATAGAGAGATCAGCAGGATAGTAATGCATGCGATACGATGGACGTACTTGGAATCAATAGGGTTCGCTGGACGAGAGGGCTAGAGGAAGATATGAGTGATATCGACTTGCTTGAGGAAGCAGTCGAGCATACGTCTCGGCTTTCGAAAACCCAATAACTCTCTCCATCGTCGTCAACCTGGAGTCACAAACATCAGGGGGGTTTTCAGTAGCCGAGTCGCAAAATGGACTCGCCTGATTCCAAAACCGCAAGCCGACCAGGGTTCGGCCAGCAACGTTCTACAGCATACGCTCAGCAAGGAATGGAGGTGACTCACTGTGGCTCATTGTACGTACCCTGCAGTTCCAGAAGTCCATTGCGAGAAGGACGACGACGATTACGTTCTATCAGAGGGTGTGAATTCAATTATGGGTGGGTGGCGAAGCCCCGGAATATGGCGGGGACCCGGTAGGAAGACGTACCGCAAGCACATAGTTCGTGGTGACGATGCCGCAGAAGAGGTAGACCACGATGGCTGCTATTCGGAAGGCGTAAAGGAAGGCGAGGGCGAGGGGGTGGGCGGACTGTCGCGCAATGGAGGTTCGTTCATCGAGATCGCGTTTGAGGGATGGGGTGGGGGAGGATGATGGATGCGTACCTGTCTGAATATTCCAGAGATACCTGCAGACCCCGTGTAAGCATTCTTTCGTCAGACGCATAGCAAGCGGTGGCGCACCAGACTCTGCATCACTCGGATTCGTAGCCATCGCGCCTCCCTGCGCCCTCTCCGTCGGTGTTAGGACTACCGGCGCCCGCGCATTTCTCGGCTTATTCTGCTCGATGTTCCCCTGCGGCGCAGATGGCTCATCGGGCTCGATGGTGTTGTCCAGCAGCGGCTGCGTCGTCGACATGGTCGAGGAGGACGGGGTATAATGCGCTCACGTGCGCCGCCGGCCACGACGCGTCGAAACGGCCCGGATGCGCCGGATCGCGCTTGACACCATCCTTCCCACAAACGACCAATGACCATGCTTGAAGTTGCTTCCGTCTCTCATCAGAAAATCCCTGAAACGGTTGGAGGGCCTGCTTCAAGGGCTGCTCTCTTTCTAAGCACGAAGGTGGTGACCAGCTTTGTAATCGCGAGGTGGCTTCGTCGTCAGCCTAGCAGCATCGCGCACTGCTTGAACCGCAGACCCGGGCACCGCCTCTTCTAGCCACAATGGCGCGATTGAGAAGTCCCGCTCAGTCGCCTCCCGCGACGTGTCTAATCCTGCACATGCTAATGAACCAACGATTACCGATGGCGCCCAAGTAGACCCGCCTCTAATCGGGGAGGGATGGGGGTATATAAGCGACATATCACGATCCAGTAGAACCATCGACCATCTCCTTCCCCATCTCCCTCGCTCAACAACATCGATATGTCCAAGTACACGCTTCATACCTTCGGCGGGTCTGTGTGGGCGGCTGGTGAGTATCTTCTCTTCCCTCGCCTTTATTGACGTTGACCTGGTTCTCCAGCACCGGGCCTTGCAGTGTAAGTTGCCACCGAAAGGGCGTCAGAGTACGGTAGCTCATGAACTCCAGACTTGAACTTGGCCTCGGCGACGCGGTCGAGCTCAAGACCGTCAACCTCGTCGAGGGCGAGAACTTCCGCCCTGAATTCCTCGCCAAGGTTGGCTTCTATCGATATCACTGGTACCTTCTCATCTCGCCGCTTTGATCAGAACCCACACGGCACCCTCCCCACTCTTGAGACACCCGGCAAGAATTTGACAAGCACGGCGGAAGTTATCAAGTTCTTCGTCGAGAACGCTCCCAACAAGGTCAAGGCCGGCAACACCGAGTTTATCACGGAGATCCACGAGGACAAGTACGACCCGAACTTCGCGTTCCTCTTGGCCGTGAGTGTCACATACTACTTTCTCGACCTTTGCTCAGATATTTCCTTCAGCGTTCCGATGCCGAGCTCGCAGCCAAAGCCGGCGGTTTCCCGGGCCTCTTCCTCGCCAACCGCCAGCGCGCCCTCGAGGAGCAGTCCGCCCGCCCCGAAGCCGCCCCCTACAAGACCTTCTACGAAGAGAAGAAGAAGGCGAACGGCGGTCTACTGGCAATCTTCCAGGGCAAGGTCCCCGCGGAGGTCAAGGAGGGCTTTTTCAAGACCTCGCAGGCGCACTTTGAGAACGTAAAGAAGTACCTGTATGAGGTATTGCCGAAGGTGAGTTTGCTAGGCCTATCGTCCATACCCGTCCCTTCCTTCTGCCCCCTCCCTACCCCCTGACGTTGATACTAACCCCTATCCTAGCACCTCTCCTCCGCAAGCCCCTTCCTCGGCGGCGCCCAGCCCGGCGAGGACGACTTCCACCTCGGCGCGTGGCTCACGCGCATCGCGGCGGTCAGCGGCGCGCAGAAGCCCGAGGAGGCCGCGGAGAAGCTCGCGGCCAACTTTGGCGCGCCTGTCCCGGAGAAGGTGCTGGCGTACTGGGACGCGTGGGTGGTGCGGCCGAGCTGGAAGGAGGTGTATGATGGGAAGTGTCATTGAGGGAGGCTGGGAAGGGAGTGAACGAAGGAGAATGCTTTGAGAAAGAGGAGATAGAGAGAGAAGAGAGAAGGAGAATGGATACTAGAGGACAATGTACTTTCATGACGAACGATGTGAGTGTAGGATTTGATTCCGAGCCCCATATGATCACAATGGCAGCATGCCAAACAACCTTCCTGGTGCGTGACGCGAGCTCGACGCGCCTGCGTGAGCGCGAGGCCATCGTTCTCTCCAGTCACCCTACCCACCCAATACCAAGCTCGCGATGTCTACGCTCGTCCTGTACACCATCCCGCCATCCGTTTGGGCATCTGGTAAGTGCCTTGTTTGAGTTTGAGCTGAACAAGTTCTGACACCCATGATTCCTCAGCGGCGAGGCTTGCTATGTACGACTGGTCGTCGTGTGCTTGCGCCGCTCAGCTGATCGAGTCACCAGCTACGAGCTCGGGTACGAAGACGACGTCAAATTCAAGGACGTCAATCTTGCCCAAGGCGAGAACTTCCATCCTGAGTTTTTAGCAAAGGTAAGTCCAGTATCATAACTCGGCGGCGCTCGGCTCTTCGCCCCCTTCACCCTTTCTGAAAATTTGAGAGGTTGATAATACCCTTCAGAACCCCAACGGCACCCTACCCACGCTCGAGACACCCGAGGGTACGCTCACCAACACCACCGATGTGATCAAGTACCTCGTTGAGCATGCGTCGAAGGAGGTGAAGACCAGCGACGTGACCCTCATCGAGAGCCTTCACAGCGACGCGCTGGACCCCAATTTTGCGAAGCAGATGGCAGTCAGTGATCCCTGCCTACCCCCAGTATACAGCAGCCTTACACGCTTGCAGCGCACCGAAGAAGAGCTCGCCGCTAAGTCCCACGCCTTCCTCCTGGCTTTCCTTGAGGGCCGCCAGCGCGCTCTCGAAGAGCAATCCGCTCGCCCCGAAGGCGCACCCTATAAGGACTTCTACGACGCGAAGAAAGCATCCAACGGAGACTTTCTTGCCATCGTCAACGGCAGCGCTCCCTCGGACGTCAAGCAGGTGCTATTCGACAAGGCCAAAGCGCTCCACGAAAACCTCCGGTCGTTCATCTACGACGAGCTGCCCAGGATACTCCCAAACCCCTGCAGCGGCAGCGACATGCTATGCGAGACCAGCAGCGACATGCCATGGGAGACAAACAGCGGCAGCGATCATTTTCTCGGCGGCGATCTTCCGGGCGAGGCTGATTTCCATCTCGCTGCATGGCTCGCGCGCATTTTCTCGACATGCGGTGCCGACGCAGCGGGGGACGCGTCGGAGAAGTCAAAGGCCGCCTTCGGAGGACAGCTGCCGCCGAGCGTTCTGGAGTACTGGAATGCTTGGGTGGCGCGACCGAGTTGGGGAAAGGTATATGGCCAGGGTCTACACTGAGTGCATGGTCCTATGGAAGGTGCAGGGTCCATTGGCAGGGGTCTCCATTCAGCAATGACATTGTAAGGTTTTTCATCAGGTGGGCGCAAACGCCCCTGGCTTGCAATGAACGTTCGTCTTTGGCTAGAGTTCAACTTGAAGTTTACAAGTCTTCATTCCGCCACAAGCGATCCCAAGGTCGCGAATCGTTCCTCGCCCGGCTTAACTTGACCCAGCTTTCGAAGACCGGCAATCGCTCGCTCTCAGCGATCCGGTACCTCTTCGAGCCCTTTGGCAGTCCCCCCAAGTCGATCCGGCGACCGATCTTCCCTCCCAAATCGCGACAACTCTTCATTTTGCCACATGTTCCATTTGACACTTTTACGTGCACTCCCTATACACAGCGCGCAGGTGAGACCCTTGTTTCCGGTGTGGGGGAGAATTGAAGATAACGGATTTGTAGATCGCGCGCGTATTCAGAACCCCGTGAGTGTTCAGGACCCCGTGAGAGGCAAGATGGGGATCGAGGCTCGCAAGAAGCGCCGTGGTAGCACGCGTGTGACGGGCGATCTGTGATCATCGCATGTGTGGGGACAGGTGAGCACAGGCAATTACGCGCGTGGGAGGGCCGATCCCGCTCGGGGGAAGGAAGGAAGCTGAGGTCAATACCCCTCGTAAGAGAGCGGCGAACTCACGCGGTGGCGTCGAGGGCCACTTCTTCCATATCATCACGACGAATGTGACCCGTGGGCGAGGAGGACAGGGACTTCGGAGTCTGGCATTTTCTGCCGCCGGGAGAAGCGGGGGTATTTAAGGAAGTAGGCGGAGGCTTTTGAGATCGCCGCCACCGTCCCCTGTTATCTGTGATACAGTGGTCTACATTAGACGTGCGGTGCGAGCTGTCTACCCTTTCCCCCCTTTCCCCCCTCGTCCATCCACCCATCTTCCCTAACACCGCGATGTCGTCTCCTCCCTGCGTCCATTGTGCTGCTCCCGCCCCCACTCGCGCGGAGGACGTGTACAACTTCAATTCCTTCGTGAACTGGGAGTACGACTATACCCCATCCCCGGAGGGAAGAATACATATGCAGCACGGTCTCCCCACCAGCGCATACCCAGCTATGGTGAGCGCGCATTCCCTTTGAAGTACACATGTACTGAACTCATCCTCAGCAAGCCGCATTGGCTAACTCGGCGTGCGAGGAGGTTGATGTCTGGTCGAATCCCTTCCTGGATTTCAGACAAACGGATCTCTCGCAAACTCCCGAGCTCGATATCACTCCGACAACCTCCACCAACGAGCCTCGGGTAGTCTCTACCGCCTTCAACGCGCAGACCACCCCCAACCTCGACTACCCAGCCGACATACAGCTCGTCTCCACAGACGACGTCTACTTCTACGTCAGCACCGCCGTCTTGAATGCTTCATCCTTCAACCGCTTCACCGAAGCGCTCACCGGTCCTACCATTCCCTGTCGCGGTTTTCCTTGCAAGCGCGTCCCCGAGCGCGCGGAGGTGCTCAATGTCCTGCTGCACACTGCATACGGCGTGTCCCCCTCTGCCTTCGTACCCTCTCTGACGACGCTCACCGACGCCATTGGGCGGTTACCAACGTACGGCCTAAACCCGAAGGCCCACGTAGCGCCAGGAGGACCCATCTTCGAGCTAGTGCGCGCGCAAGCTGCGCTTTCCCCGCTGCATGTCTACACAGTGGCTGCCATGCACGACCTCTTCCCCCTTGCGCAGATGGTCTCACCCCATCTCCTCTCGTACCCCATCTCGTCCATGACCGACGCGCAGGCAAGCGGGATTGGTGCGGTATATCTCAAACACCTCTTCCTTCTACACCGCCGGAGGGTGGACGCGCTCAGGGACCTGCTCGCCCAGCCGCCACAATTTCATCCGGCGACGGACGCCTGCGATTATGGGGCGCAAAGAGGTCTCGCGCGCTCTTGGTCCGCCGCCGCGGCGACGGTGCTTTCGGAGGCACGCCCAGGTGAGTGCTATTGTCTATATTGCCGGGCATACCGCCTGTAGATCACTTGCCAGACTGCTGACCCTCGTCCCCTTGCCACTCAGACACCTCAGTTGGCGCCATCGAGGACGCGTTCAGGGGGCTGAAAGCCAGTTTGACCTGCGCTGAATGCAGGAAGGGTTTGGAGATCCGGGTTAGGAGGGCAGTAGTTGAGTGGACGATGACTTCGGTATGTATTGGCACAAGCCTATGTTCGAGGTTCTGTCGTGCTAACGAGCTCTTTAGACGTCCATCTGACCGGAGCTAAGACGGGCGATCCCCGCTGAGCTCGGGCGCTTGGTGAAGATCGGTGGCGCTAGACAGGACATTGGGTGAACTTGGTGTAATGGACGTATTTGTTTATCGGTATATTCTGACTCGGCAGACGGACGCCACTGTAGCACCGCGCGTGTAGCTGAATCCTAACTCAGGAGACGAATGCATTCTTGTCGCGTAAGGATGCTCGTGACCCTATGTTTAGTCGAATTGCCCGAGTGGGATGAACGGACATCAACCACCCAGAAGGGGAGAAAGAAGCAGCAGTATCACGTTCCCTCAATCTCCGAACTTCTTCGGAGCTCCGTGCTAGCAGTATGCTGTACCACGCTGTACAGGTCCAATGGAAGCTACACCTTTCATTTTGCGTGGGTGCGGGGAACTGAGCTCTGAAGACCGTCGAGTTCACCCTCGGACACAAGACAACCCGAAAGGCTCTGATCATGCTCACACAAAATGTAGCATCCACCACATGAATTAATCCAAATATTCGTGAGTCCGTACAATATATGACCTATGCACGAACCCCAGAACGTCCGTAGCTAGCCAATAACGTTAGATAAATAGTATCGTGAGTCGTTTAAGGGCAGAAAGTGTGGGTGTAGGTCGCGCCGAGGGCGGACTGGCGGACGGCCGCGTGGTCGTCGGGGTTCTGGTAGGCCTGGTCGGTCGGGCAGCCGTCCGCCGCGCAGGAGACGCTCTTGCCGTCCGAAGACGAGAGGCTGGTGGGGATGTTGACGTGGCCACCGACGTAGGAGAGGTCCCAGGAGGTGAGCTCGCCGCCCCACTGGCCCTGGTCGCCGTAGCCGTACTCGGAGTAGATGGCCGCGGCAGTGATACCAGCGTCGTTGCAGACGAGGCCGCCGTTGCAGGCACCTAAGAGAGAGTTAGTCGAAAGGTTCAGTCAGATAATGGTTGGTGCATACCAGTCTGGCAGTTAGCGCCGTTGCCGTCACAGCCGGTACGGCCCCAAGCGCGGACACCCTATGAATCGTAAGCAAATGGTAAAAGCTTAGTGCAGTGTTTGACTCACGAGAGCGTGGTCGTCGACACCAGTGCTGGCAGTGGCACCAGCGCCGAGCTTCTGGCCCCAGGCAATGGAGGGGTCAGGCTGGCCGTTGGGGGCAGCGCCGACAGCCGCCCAGACATCTATCGGGTCCTCGTCAGACTCGTTCCCCAGTACCAACGATGCGAAAACGCACCGTAAGAGCACTTGTTGACGAAGTTGATCGTGAACGCCGAGGCGGACGCCATGACGGAGACAGCAGTGAGAGCGAAGACGGCCTTCATCTTGTTTGACTGAAAGTGCTGAAGATACGATGCGACGTGAAAGAAAGTAGTGAAGGTGAGTGGATGGAGAACATTGGTCGTCGAGTCCGCTCTTATATCCTCGTCGCAGACCTACGGCGAGCGAACAGTGAAACGCACCACCGTCGCTAGATGTCTGATGAGACGGGCCGCAACTGCGCATATGCGACGGTCCAGTGCTGGCGGCCGCACGGCGGCATTGGGCTCGCTGCGTCGTCGAGGGTGCGTACAATGGCAGTCACTCCACCGCCGTGGGGTGAACGGACGCGCCCTGCGGCGAGGTGGACGGAGCGTACCGAGGTGCGCCACGGCGCACATATGCCCTTCATGACAATGCAGATCGTTAACCTCCCGTGACGTCCGAGCCTCCCGTCGAAGACCGCGTCCGGACGTAAAGGCTGTTCATGAAAAGGCAAGACGGCAAAAAACCAGCGAGCATCATCGCGTATCATTCACCTCGTCTCGAAAGTCGCGGGCAATAGTTGCTTCTCTGCCGACATGCGCGGATGATATACCTCGGACTGTGAAAACACGATGTGTTCTAGAGCATCAATATACAGCCCTTTTAAGACCTCGGATCCCGAACGTTGGGATGGTCGGGCTAGGTGTGGCACTGGCCAATGGAGGAAAAGACCAAGAGGTGCCACGTCACGAAAACGTGACAAGTTCAACTTCGGAGATTGCCGGGCTAGTAGCGGTCGGGCCTGTCGCGCCGAAAGGCTTCCTCCCGAACTTTCATGCCCCATCCTGCCGAGTGGACTCACATCTGCCAACAAGGGCTGTCAAGGGAAACATAGAAAATTGTGTGCCGTTCGCGAGCGTACTCACAGCTCAGAACGGAGCCATTCTGCTACCTCTGGTACGGATAATAACTGGACCAGATCACACACCTTCGTCCTTACATGGAGACCCATCAGGCTATACGTACTCTAACACCCACAATGACAACCTCGCGACCGCTCGTCGTTGGTCCCTCGTCGGGCCCCGAACCACCATATCCCTTGCGAATGGAAGGCAAGGTCATCAAGGGATTCGGAAGGGGCTCCAAAGAACTAGGCATTCCCACCGCCAACCTCCCTGTCGATGAAAGCTCGACACCGTGGATTGCTGACGTCAAGTCCGGGGTATACTTTGGCTGGGCCTCCCTTCGCCTACCCTCGTCTCATCCGAACCATCCGATGCCATCATCAGAGGCGCCTTCCGGATTCAGCATTTATCCCATGGTGATGTCGATTGGGTACAACCCAGTCTACAAGAACAAGGAGCGTTCAGCTGAAGTGCACGTCCTGCATGACTTTAGCGCCGACTTCTATGGCGTCGAGATGCGGCTTTTGATCATGGGGTTCATCAGAGAGGAGAAGGACTACCCGTCCCTAGATGCGTTAATCGAGGATATCCACACAGACTGCGATGTAGCGCGCAATAGCCTGAATCGCGAGGCGTGGACACTGCGGGAAACGGGGAACGGGACGCTAGATGGGAGCTGGCTGGTACGAGACGATAGTCGGCTTTAGCGCGCCGTGACCGGCGACGAAAGTGATCCGCGCAGTCCTTACATGCTTCCTTCGCGGCGTCTTCCATGTCAACTTCGCTCAAGAGCGGCTTGCCAATGATATCCTGTGATGATGGAAAAGCAGCTCCCCTCCTACCTCTATCAGCTCCACGACTATGCAGGTAAGTCGTGCTGGATGCGCGCATAATCGCACTGATCGTTCGCCGCTTGGAGTTGTCCCAGCTGAAGAAGATCGACGTGCATCATCACTACTTTTCGTCTGCTTTGTCTTCTGACAAGAAGGACGCCGCAGCTCGCCTCGGATGGCGGCCACCTGCTGCCAACCTACCCGGATGTCAGCCTCGCTTTCATGGACAAGGCAGGAATTGACATGGCAATCCTCTCCTTTCCCGAACTTCCCAGCAACGACAGCAACAAGGAGCTAATCTCTGCGCGTAATCAAGAGATGGCGGCGATCTGCGACCTTCATCCGACACGTTTTGCCTTCTTTGCCAGTCTGCCACATCTGGCCGATACTGAAGGTATGGAAGGGCGTCCAAGTGCAGGTAAAGCCTGTTGAAAACTTGCTACGCAAGGATGTCTTCAGGTCATCGCGCACGCCTTCGACTGCTTGCACGCACAGGGTGTTGCTCTGCCATCGTCGTGCGGCGTAGGACCTGATGCTCGTGTGTTTTCCTCGATAGACGTCCTCGATATCGAGGCCTAATCCATGCACAGTATACATCGCTGACAAGGCGTTCGCTCCCGTGTGGGAAGAGCTCGATAGGCGACGCGCTGTCGTTCACCTTCATGGTACCCAGACGCCATCTTCGACACCTTACCCAGGACCGTTCCTTGGTATACCCATCACGGAGGTCCGTCGTAAACGTAGACGTGTCGCTCCTCATTCTGATAGACCATCTTTAGGTCCCCAACGAGACATACAAGGCTGCCGCCCATCTAGTCGTCACCGGCTTCAAGCGCAAGTATCCCAACGTCAAGATCATCCTAGCCCACCTTGGCGGAAGCATGCCTTATCTCGCTGCCCGCGTCGCCGCGCTGTCGCCTTACATGGGCTGCCCTTTGACGCCAGACGAGATTACAGAGGACTTCAAGAGCTTCTACTTCGACACGGCCCTCAGCGCGTCCTATGTCAATCTCCAGGCGATTGAAACATTCGCGGGATGGGACCGTGTCGTGTACGGGTCCGATTTCCCTGGTACGTCTACAGAATTTTGGCACTGATTTGGGCTCAAACTGACCTCGTCTTCGCCAGCGGTACCGTCCGAAACCATCCAGTGGTACGATGACCATCTCGATTCCTTCGCCGAGACAAAGGAAAGGAAGCCGGGCGAGTCATTGCATGCCGTACACGCCGGCAATATCGCGAGGATACTGCAGAAATAATGCATCGGATTTTCCTTTCAATTGCGACCTTAAAGTACTACTACCACATAAATACCCTACTAGTAGTAGTCCGTCGATTAGCCCAATCGTTACACTTCAAGCCCTTTATATGCTCGCTTTAGTCCCAGTGCGTATGTGAATAATTTAAGGGCAGAAGGTGTGCGTGAAGCTCTCCGAGATGGAGGAAGAGCGCATCGCCGCGTTGTCGCCGTCCTGGTGGTACGCCTGGTCGGTCGGGCACGAGTTCGACGTGCAGGTGACGGAGACACCGTCGGTCGAGGAGAGGCGGGCGGGGATGTTGACGCTGCCACCGACGAAGGAGAGGTCCCAGTAGGTGCGCTCGCCGCCCCACTGGCCGGCGTCGCCGTAGCCGAACTCGGAGTAGATGGCGTGGGCGGTGATGCCTGCGTCGTTGCAGACGAGACCGCCGTTGCAGGCGCCTAGGTGGAGAGTGAGCGCCAGTACAAGAACAGAGGAGAGATAGCCTCACCCGTCGCGCAGTTGGCGCCGTTGCCGTCACAGCCGGTGCGGCCCCAGCCACGGATACCCTAAATCGCAGGTCAGTGCACGAAAACGCACGCAGCAGCGTCTGCACGTACGAGCTGGTGGTTGTCGATACCCCAGGAGACGCTCTGGCCCGGGCTGAGCTTGGCGCCAAAGCTGACCGAGGTGTCGACCTGCCCGTTGGGGGCCTTTCCGACAGCGGGCCAGACATCTATACCGTCGTCGTCAGCAAGTCTTGCCATCGCGCTGAAGCCGGCACGAATCACCATAGCCGCACTGGTTCTTGAAGGTGATTGTGTACGCAGACGCGGTCATGGACGCGGCGAGCGCGACGAGAGCGGCGGAGGTCTTCATATTTGAGGTAAATGAGGTGTTGTGAGATGTGGAGGTCTTGAGTAGTCGACTGAGCCGATGAACTCCTCAACCCACTCCTCTGCCTTTTATACCGGCATTCCGGGGGTTGAACGCGTCGAGCTAGGCCCTGTAAGAGAGCGCATGACCGCAGGCACCACGAAGGTCGGCGTGCAGTAAGGGACAGCGCGGGGGAGGCGCGCGCCCGGATATACCAGGCAGGAGGGCCAGATCGGCAGCAGCTCGAATATGCCAGTACGTATGCCGGCGCTACGGTGCCGTGCGGGTAGATGCCAGGCGCCGCGTAATTGAGTTGTGGTAGGCGGTAAGTGGTCGTGGTCGACGTCGGTGATGCGGCCGTGGTGGGGTTGCGTGCTCGGGGTACCGAGGCTGGTTTCAGTCCCCGTTGTGGCTGTTAGGATTTGCGGGCACTATTCAGTCAAGAACTGTATGTCGATCCGTACCTGCCGCTGTTGGTTTGACTGTGCATGGTCTCTTGATGACCTCGGCCAGCACGATCGAGCAGGTGGAGATAAATTGGCTGTCGTCTAGAGACTCGGAGAGGCAGCACCTATTGGCCGCTGGTAGAGCAAGCTTATAGTTGGAATGCCCTAGCATTACCTTGTGCAAGAATGAGAGTGCAGGCATACAATGATCATCGCTGAGGTGGAGAAAATCAGCGCCGAAGAGGGGCAGACCGCGGCCGCTTCAAGGGTTGCGGGCGTCAGTCCAGACGATGGCAAGGTACAAGTATAGCCGTCGAGATCATCCCAAATACAGTCGAGGGTGGTGTCGAACGTTGCGGCACGCGTTGTTCCTGTCAAGCCGGCCATGCCAGAGCACATACGTTTCGAGAGGTGGAAGGAGCTCCGGAGAGATGTCTGCTGACTCCCAGTGTAGAATGGAGTTCCAGCTGTCTCGGGTTGGTAAAATCAAGCAGTACTGTTGTCTGGCTGGTGTACAGTGGCTGTATTCGCGCGTCCCTAGCACTGAGAGGCTGACCTTTGCATGGAGGTTCTGGCTGAGGTGCAGCGGCAAAATCCGCACGGAACCCCACATTATTCAAGTAACCGAGGGCACGTGGCCAGTGCTCACCGCGGCACAGCCACTACCATCCGCGCCGAAGGTCTTGATTCTTCCCTTCATCTCGACGCGGATGCAAATGCGCCTTCAAGCTCATTATCTGTCTATAGGTGCTCTTCGACAGTATAGACACCTTTCTTGAAAACTGCGCACGACTTTCGTTTCGTACCACACACCCATTCCTCGCGAATATTCACCGTTTTGGACCTTACTGTGTTCGACCAGCAAGGACGATGCTATCCCCACGACTCACAACGGTTTCGGAGAGCCTCGCACCGGTACTCGGAAACTCGCCAAAGTCTCGCTGGCTTCTCAGCTTTTCTGAGATGTCTAGCGATGCTGCGCCTCAAGCTGACTGTAACCACGGCGAAAACGGGCGTAGGTAGGCAGACGCCCCTTCGGAGGAGTGAAACTGCTTCCTAGTATCCGTGTCTTACTCACTTATGTTTCTCGGAGGGCCTTTCCCCGGAGGGGGTATATAAGCAGGCCCTCCTTGCCCTTCTTCCTCACCAATTACGTGCTCTCATTCATCCACCGAGCATCACTCGACTATCAGCTATCAGCTACAGCGCATAACCACCACTTCACCCTGCGCATAAATCACCAATCAGCATTTCATCAACCGACTTAACCAACCAAACCAACCTTTACGGCCAGCGACTTAAACCTTCTGCTTCATCCACCACAATGCGTTTTTCTACGCCCCTCTTTGTCGCCGCCGCCCTCGCTAGCGTCGTTGTCGCCTCTCCGGTACCCATTACACCGGAGCTCGAGATTCGAGTGCACGACTGTGGTCCCGGCACCAGTTGTTTTACGGTGCCCGGGCTGCTGGTCCAGCTGCGCAACGACCTTACTACGCCGTTCCAGAAGCTGCGTACGTACCCTCTCCTCCAGCGTGTTCGCCATTGTATTGACAGAACCGCAGGTTATATCAATGCCAACAACGCCACGGCGGAAAACGTTGACTCGGTCCACGACGACGTCAGAAGCTCTCTGGTCAACGCCATCGAGACGCTCACTTCCTATGTCGGCGCGAATGCGCCCACCCTCGGTTCAATCGACGGTGGTGGTATCATGACCGTAGACACCCTTGCTAAGCTCGTCGCTGGTGATCTCCACGTACGTTCTTCTCCCTTTCTTACCTGCGAATCTCGCTGACGACGTTTCGCAGTACTACTCTGGTGACCTCGCCAGACTCGAGGATTACTATGATCACGACGACGAAGCTGCTCAGAGCCTCATTCAGGACACTGGGTACGCAATCTTCCCCACACTATCGCTTTCCATTTGCTGACCCCTTCTCAGTGATAAGCTCGGTGACCTGCTCCTCGCCATCTCCGCCCAATGCGAAGCCGTCGACCAGGCGAATAACTTTCTCGCTGGCGTCCGCATCAACACCAAGGATATTAAGCAAACTATTCTTGACCTTGGCACCACCACCCTCGGAAACATCCTCAGCGAGGACACGTCTAACGACTCCGATGCGAATTACGAGCAGTGAGCTCTGACGGGCCGCGCCGTACGCACTGGATGTCTACGGACCTCACAACCACGGACATATTCTGAGAATATGCAATGTATCATCACATAGACGTGCCAGCTGCTGCTTGGACAGCCTGGCCTCATACCACCCTAGATTATATACCTCCTGCAATGAATAACTTTGAAACAACGATTCTGACATGTATACCTCAGCGATTTGAAGGGAGCCCTCTTTGAACATCATCTCTCTCTGGTAGCCTCGTCGATGCTCAAGTATCCTAAGCTAATTTCGCATCCCTCAGTCTATCTTCCCTCAGTTTCCTGACTCGAAGTTGAACTTCCACTCGTCACGTACTCTCCACGTGCGAGTGACTGGAATGCTCGGTGCCGGCCCGAGCGCCCCTGTCTCTCCCTCGGACATACGTTCGCGGCAGTCTCCTTTGGTTCGCGGCGAATACAGTATGTCGAACGCTCAAAGGAGCGAGAGGACGCCTCTGCTGTCGTCCTCCTCATCTAGTCGACGCCCCTCGTCTTCCCGTTCTCGCCGGCCGAGCAATGCTAGTCGCAATGGAACACCCCCAACACCGACGCCCAGACCCCAAGCCAGAGCCGCTCTCCCTCGTCCGCGCCCATTATCCATCGCCGCACTAGTCGAAGCACAGGAGCCTTCTCACACCAGCTTCCTCGACTATGTCCGCGGTCGCTTCGACCTCGACAGCGAGACGCCTGCAGTGCGCTTGTCGCTTACCTTGCTTTTGCTCTTGCAGTACCGGCGCTCGCTGAAGAAGACGCTGGCAAAGGGGAGGGAAGATATCTTAGGAAGTGCATCCACCGTCCGGCAAGCGAAAGCGGACCTGGAGTCCGTCGAGCAGCAGGATATACCAGCGGTGCTGGAACGGCTGGGGCAAGATATTGCGCGAGACAGCGAGCTTTGGGATGTGTTGACGACCAGTTGGCTGAGGGAGGATGACCGCGAGGGAAGGGTCAGAGGTGCGTACTTGCGCGTCGGTGTCGTTGTAGCATACTGAACGACCTCGCAGTGATCGACTTTCTGTGCATAGATGACGGCGTCCCAGACTCAATGCTGCGCCATGAACTGATCTCGTACGCACTCGAGAAGCGCTGGGACCAAGCAGAGCGCGGGCAGTCTGACGCGCGGCGGTCCATCTGGGCGCGATACGATTCTCTGTGCACGCCGAGGTCCGTTAGCACTCATGCTCGCATATGACCATGCTGACGTTCTACAGGATTAACCTCCTTCTACACAACCTATCCCTATGGATATATTTTGCCTTGTTGGCTAGCTACCTCATCTATCCGCCTCGACACCATCGCATCCTCCCCGACTCACCCGTGGAAACTTACCATGCCCGGGAATGCTTCCTCGTCTTCACTTCCCTCGGCATCGGCCTTAATCCCCTCTATCGAGGAACGCTACATACGATCTCGGCCATCATCACGTTCATCCAGTTTGTTGCTACCCTTCCGGACGTGCCGTATCCGTCGGAGGGATCGTTCTTCTACCTGTCGCTGGCCCTAGTCCTCACTTTCGTCGCTTTCCACTCGCCATCGTCGATCACCTCACCTATGCTGCTCATCTCAAGAACATCTCGAACCTGGCCGCTAGCGCTCTTCCTGTGGAACGACTTCAGCAATATCCTCATGCCGTCTATCACGGTGCTCGTCCCATCTCTACTCGTTATCTCGGTCCTTCTCAGTATCGCCCTGAGCACAACACCCTACGAAGGACCGGACACCGCACTTCTCGAGACCATTGGGAACGCTTTTGGCATGTCCTTCAGTGACAGGACGAACATGACACCAATGGAGACGCGGGAAATGCTCTTCACGGTGCTCCTTGTTGTCATCGCGTGCATGGCGGGGGCCATATTCCTAGCTTGTACGCGGGTCCCAGCGAAGGCAGCCGACACCTCTCTCAACGCTTGGGACCGATATGGACCGCTCATCGCCGTACGGACCAGGCAGTCGTTTGCTCAAGCAGTGGCGGTGTACTCAACTGCGCCCACGACGGAGGGGACCATCACGGAGAGACGGATAGAGACAAGGACGTCGCGGCCGCGGTACATGTTCCCTCCGCCTCTCAACCTCATCCACTTGCTGCTCGTTGCCTACCCTCGCGCGTTCGCATTCTTGATGACCTGGCGCGGTCGGGCGACACCACTTGAGGAGAATGCCTTTACGAGGTTTTTAGATAGCGCGGAGGTCGTCCTTTGGAGGTCTTTGGTAGGACCGTTTGCGGCTATACTATGGACATTATCTTGGATACTAGGACGTATAGTACGATAGTAGGGCTAATTCTGAGTATCATCGCACGTACGCGTACACGGCACTGCTGCTGCCGAGTTCCGTTAGTTTCGAGTTAGAGCGGCGTAAGCGACAGTGCTTCTACCTAGGTCAAGTTCATACAACCTCTCCTTGACCTTTGCCAAGTAGCGGCGGCTAGCCCTTCGCTTGAACCTCCCCGGATCACCCACGGTCGTTCCAGACTCCGCAAACCTGCGGGGGAAAGGAATTCTGCGCGCAAATTACATATGCCGAACCTCGCGCAGACTGCGTTCTTGCTCTCGTTCTTCATCACCTTCGCCGCCCTCTACGCCCTCTCCCAGTGGGCGAACGGTCTCCTCCTCGCCCGCGGCTACGACGTACGCGACCTCATCCTCCTCGGCCTGCCCAAAGACGCGCCCAAACGACCCCTGCGCTTCACGCACCCCATCAACCCCAACGAACCGTACGACATGAGCTCAGTGAACATCCCCGGCGTCGGCGAGGTCGACACGACCGCGGCGGCAGAGTATGTGCAGGGCCTGCACTCGGTGCAGATACCGGGTGTGGGTACGGTGGACCTGTTGCAATTGGTGTCGACGCCAGCGTTCGCGCTTAGCATGACGGTTGCGACCGCCGCGTTCTTCTATGCGCTCTCGAACAAGGGTGCGTGGGGTGTATGTTTGCCATGGCCTAGGCTGACCTTGGGATCCATAGGCGGCAAGAAGGCGCTCGACCCGACAAAATGGCAGGAGTACCCGCTGGCGAAGATCACCAAAATCTCCCCGAACACGGCCATGTACGTGGCGCGCACTGGAAAGTATACGAGCGGACTCATTCCCCCTCAGCTACACGTTCGCCCTCCCCAACAAAAATGACATCCTCGGCCTGCCAATAGGCCAGCACATCTCCGTGTCCGCCGAGATCAACGGGAAGGACATCATGCGCTCGTACACCCCTATCTCAAGCGACGACGACCGTGGCCGCTTCGACCTGCTCATCAAGGTGCGTGTCTGCTGCATGTTCACTGGTGCACATGAGGCTAATCATTACACCAGGCGTACGAGAAGGGCAACGTGTCGCGGTACTTCTCCCTCCTCAAGGTCGGCGACAAGGTTCGCATCAAGGGCCCCAAGGGCGCATTCACCTACTCCCCCGGCCTCGCCTCGCACGTCGGCATGATCGCTGGCGGTACCGGCATCACCCCCATGCTGCAGGTCGTCAAGGCCGCACTGAAGGACGCGAACGACAAGACGAAGCTCACGCTCATCTACGCGAACGTCAACTACGAGGACATCCTGCTCAAGAAGGAGATTGACGCGCTCGCGGAGGCGCACCCTGACCAGTTCAGCGTGTACTACGTGCTGAACAACCCGCCAGAGGGCTGGTTGGGCGGTGTCGGGTTTGTGACGAAGGACATGATTGAGAAGCACATGCCGCCGAGCTCGATGAAGGACGCGAAGGTCCTGATGTGCGGCCCGCCACCTATGCTCACTGCGATGAAGTGAGTGTTCCCCGCTTGTCTTCGCCTTACTCCCCTATTGTCCACCTCGTCGATGAACTGAACTGACTTTTGCTGCAGGGGCCACCTTGCCGAGCTGAACTACCCGGCACCAAGGACGATCAGCAAGCTCGCTGACCAGGTCTTCTGCTTCTGAGCGTACTCATTTACGACTGTTGATCTAGGGATGAAAGTATTGTACTGCTTTGCTTGCCTATAACAATGTTTAGACGATGCTTTCTAATAGTGGGTCATACTCTGCGACCTTTCTCAGGCTAGGGCAAGCAGCTGTGCCCTGTCAAAGACGGCGAGAAACCTTGTGTAGTTCAATGATGCTGTGAACGTGCGGTGCTGAACGCTAAGCGCTGAGCGCTGAATACTCGGTATCCAAAAGGGGATGAAGTCAACTCCACCTTCCCATGGAACCATGCGATGTCCTTGTACGCATCTGGTAAGTTGTCAGTATGCTGGCAATGGGAAGTTCATAACTTGTCGGGATAGATACCAGCGATATAAGTTAATACTGCCCATCCTCAGGGCCCAAGACGGTGGCACGCAAGATACTTCCGTTTGATGATCGTCAAATTTAAGTGCAGGATCTCCTCTGTTCTTGTTTGCAACCAGGACGGAGGCTCATAGGTCAAGTCTTCCCGGCCTGTGACAGTGGACGAGGTGAGTTTTATGGACGCATACCTCATCCTCCTTACTCACCATTGGGTTGGCAGTCCAGCAATCAAGCCGTTGCTGCGGCCATGGCAGAGCCCACGCTGCCGCTCGACATCCTCACCCGCATCGCAGACGATCTACTTGCCTTCAGAACCGAGCGCAATAGCGACATCATCAAGTACGGCGATATGAACAAGGACATCAAGCAGTCTCAGGCTGCCGCTGCAGCGCTTGCGACTTCGGGTTCGCGGGTACTGCGAGACCGGATCAACCCTATGCTCTATCAGAGCCCGCGCTTCTGGACGACCTACGAGATGTACTTGTTCCGCAGAACACTGGGAAGGGAACAGGCTTACCGTTATCCCCGTAACACGGAAGCCCACGGTCTGGCGTTCATGGTCCGTCGTCTGGTCCTCGGAACTTGGGGTTCAGAGGAGCGGCGAAGTGATCTTCGTCTGTCCTCTCTGGAGAGCGATGAAATCTATCATCACTTCAGGCAGTGCATCTTGCTCTGCCCCCGGGTGACCAGTCTCATTGTCCCTTTCTCCGCAAGCCGCGGCGAGACCTACAACAAGATCACGTACCGCGGCTCGCTCGCCGAGCTGAGCCTCTGCGGAGTGAATAATATGGATTCCAGCGCATTCCTTACCCTCGACTCGCTCGAAACCTACATGACCGGGCGGTACGCCTGCACTTTCGACCAGGATCAAAGATTTGTCAATGGAGAACTTCAGCTACTCGCCCGTTGAGGAGAGCATGCCACGTCTCGCTCCTGTCGACATCTCGCTCGAGTCTCTATCCCTTTATCGAGGAAACCTGGCCAAGACGTCGTTCGAAGGCCTACTCGCATCCTCGCGCGACAGCCTGACGCGTCTTTCCGTCGACTTTGCGGGAGAATATCCCGGTAATCACATCACGGTCCACGACTTCAAAACCAGTATTCTATCCGTCGTCCACCTTCAGCATCTCACAGTCTTCACCAAAGGGTATCGGCCTAGTGGGTTCGGAGGCAGCCGATCATTCCGTTTGACAGGGTTGATAGACGAAGTTGCACCGTACTTATGGCAGCTGCAGTCGCTGGAGTTCGATGAGGACCTTGGCACGACAGCACTGTTCGACAACATGCCTGCCACTCTAAAGGTCCTTCGTCTAGTGCATCCCGCCTGCATCCACCCGTCCGACCTCCCACTGCTGGCCGCACAGGCAGTTCGTCGCCTCCAACTCGCCCTCCGCAGGGTGGTCGTGATATGGAAGGACGGCGATCATGACAATTGGAGGCGAGTCGGAGGCGTTACGACCGACCTCCTCGCCGTACAGGGAATAACCTTGCGCTCATTCACTGACTGGTACGTCCGTGGGACCTTCATTTGAGCATCCAGCTCACCACACCTCAGACGAAGACGCCTCCGATACCCTACTTATTCACACAACTTTGCTTCATCTACAGGAGGTTCGCATTGTCATCACAGAACTGCCCTACTAGTACCGGGCATGCCAATTACAACAATAAGCAGACAAAATAATACATGAAGGATTCCAGCAGCGAAAAATCCAAGGAGCCAAAAGCGAAGAGATTAGAGGGCAAGTACGTGTATATACCGCCCAGGCGGGCAGCGGCGTAACGTGAGCATGAGTGGAGGGGGCGTAAATGGTGAGAGCAAGGCGAGGAAGGTATACAATCAGTCAAGAAAGGTCGGTACCGGTCATGTTTGGGGTAACAGCAAAAAGATTGGGGTTCTTTGGTATACATGGATGCATGGAAGTCGAAATCTTGGTTCTGGGTGGACGGTCAGCATCATCGCGGTACGGACCACTTTAAAAGCCGCTCACCTACAGCGCTGCTTCTAACGGGCCACCCGCCCCTCAATCCTGCTCTATCCCACCCACGTTCTTCACCTGCTTATCCCGCGCCCGATCAATATCCGCACGCCCATACTCATACACCTCCGCATCCTCATCCTCCGACGACGTGTCCGTCACGCCCTCGAACTGCGAGCGCTCGCCCGAGATCGTGTCCTCGCTCGGGTTCGGGTGATCCTTCGACGCCTGCTGCGCCAGCGCGTAGTTGCCTGCGACGTCCGTCGGTTTCGGCGTGGGGCCCTTGCTGCTCGAGCCCGCCTTACCGTTTGGTGGGCTGGCGGCGCCGCCGTTGGCGAGGGCCTTGGCCTTCTTGCCCTCGCCCTTGTCGGACTCTTCGCCGCCCTGGAAGAAGGAGACGAGCGCGCGGATGCCGCGGGGGCCGAGGCTGCGTTTGGGGAAGCACAACCAGACCGGGTCCTCAGTGGCGCCCATCTTGCGGCTGCGAAAGGGATCAACATAGGCTTTTCAGAGTCAACATCCATACGACGTACCGGAATTCGCTCTTGTTGAGCAGCTTCAACTCCGTCGCGATGGTGTGGTACGTATGCTGGAGCATCTTGATAAGAAGGCGCTTCCCAGCGAGGCCGTGCTTTGAGTCGATCTCGACGTGGGCAGTAGCACCCGTGCCGAAGGTGACGCTCTCCGCGCCGTGCTCGGCTGCATAGTCAAGGGCCTCAAGGACGGTCGCCTGAAAGATGTTATCAGCAACAGGCAATGGTCAAACATTGAGCTCGCGAACGCACCTCCACCGTCCCCGAAATCGCGTCCGGGAACTCCATCGCCCACTTGATCTGGTACCCGTGCTTCCTCGACAGCTGCGCCAGAACCACCAACCCATGCACCACCTCGTCCGCATTCACCTGATTCTCCTTCCCCTCCTCCTTCACCCCGCCCGCCTTCTCCGCCTTCGCTGCATTCTGCGCCGACGGGCCCAGCGCGACGAAGTACGTCCGGTGCTCGTAGTCAACCCACGGCGCGACGTCCGTCAGGTGCACCTGCTTGCCCGACGTGTTGCGGCTCGCTTTCCAGTCCTCGATCCGCTTGTTCACCTTCTCGATGAGCTCGGGTGCGGGGAGCTGGCCCTGCTGCGTAGAGACGACATGCACGGCGGAGCGCTTGGCGTGGCGCGCCTTGCGCATGACAACGGCGTCGTCGTGGCCGCGGTTGACCTTGGGGTCGATGCGGTCCTCGGCGACGCAGGAGATGCAGCGCCAGTCGTAGCTCTCAGCGAGGATGCGCTCAACCTCACTCGACACCAGGATCCAAATCGGCTTGCCGACGTTCTTCTTGAGCCACGGCAAGAACTCGTCGATCGTCTCCTTGTACTGGCTCTCGTCGCACAGCGGGTTGCCGACGACAATGACATAGCCACCCTTGCCCTTCGAGTACCCAATTGCCGCGCCATTCGTGTGCGACCGCCAGACACGGTAGCGCGCGTCGAGCGCGCTGGTGTTGGACGCATCGCCGTAGTTGGCGATGAGGTGCGTGAGCGGCATCAGGCGCTCGATCTCCTCATCAGTGAGTTCCTCGGGGGACGGGATGAATGCACTCTTTGTAGACTCGGAGGCGGGGGTGGAGACTTCGCTGGTGGCGACTGACCCTGTCTGTGCCTCAGTCAAGGGCTTCTTGAACCATGGCGGGCGCGTTGTGTCGCAGTCAGGATGGAAGAGTGGTGGTGGGGGCATGATCTGCAGGACATGATCAGCATTGGTCCAGGATCAAGGATGTGAGGGAAACATACCTTCTCTGGCAAGCTCTTCGGGTCGCGCGGGAACATGCTCGCGAACCTGATGTTGCCGAGCTTGAACATGAGCATGAGGATACGCTCAAGGCCGACACCTGCACCAGCGTGCGGCGGGCAGCCCCATTCGAAGGCCTTCATATACTCCTCCAGCGACCCTGCAGGGACGACGCCTGCATCGCGCATTCGCCTGAGCAGAGCAGCCGGCTCATGAATACGCTGACCGCCCGTCATGATCTCTGCATGGGTATCGATTAGCTGCAATCAACGTCGAGCTATCGCTGGCTCACCCTGCCCACGGATGAACATATCGAAGCTGTTGGTGAAGCGCTTATCCTTCGGGTCAAGCATAGCGTAGAACGGTCTCGCGGCCACAGGGAACTTGTCAAGGACGTAGAAGTCGGTCTACGCAATTGTCAGCAAGGTACTTCCACAAGTAGAGCGCATGGATGCGTACGTGGTATTTCTCCTTAACGAGCTCACCCAGGCGAATCTCATCGCGAGTGCCCAAGTCATCGTCCTCGCTGACCTACATGATGTCAGTCGAAGACACCGGACGTCGGGAAGATGACACTCACGTCACCCTCCCATCCGCTCTCCTTCAACATCCGAATGCCTTCCTTAAAGGGTATAACCGGTGTCTCCTCCGTCCACACCAGGTCGTCGTGCGGGAAGGCCTGCTTAAGCACCTCGATCTGCGGCCGGTTGTGCTCGTACACATTCTTGAAGATGTTCTTGAGCAGGTCGATCATGAGATACATAGTCTCATGGTAGTGGTGCTGGAACGCCATCTCTATGTCGAGGCCGGTATACTCTGTCAGATGCCGATGCGTGTTCGAGTTCTCCGCGCGGAAGACGGGACCAATCTCGAAGACGCGCCCCATGTCGGCAGAGATCGCCATCTGCTTCGCGAGCTGTGGGCTCTGCGCGAGGAAGGCCTTGCGGCCGAAGTACTCGACGGGGAAGACGCTGGAGCCGGACTCAGTAGCAGAGCCCTGGAGCTTGGGGCTGTGGATCTCGATGAAGCCGTGGTCGTCAAGGTAGTTGCGGAAGTAGCGGCAGACGGCGGCGTTGAGGCGGAAGAGGGCGTTGGAGGGAGGCGTGCGGAGGTCGATGACGCGGTGCTCGAGGCGCGTGTGGTCGCTCGCGTTAACCTGGTATGGGCGGAAGGGGAGGCTGACGGTCGGCTCCGAGACGATGTGCATCTCCTTGATCTGCAGCTCGACGTCATGCAGGGACGCGTACTTGACGGTCACCTTGGGCGTCTTGAGCGTGCCGGTCACCTGGAGGATGGCCTCGGGCTGGATGTGTTCTGACCAAGCAATGAAGAGCGGCTCGGTTTCCGACTCGCGCTCCTCGAGGACGCCCTGCAGCGTGGTCATGCCCTGCCGGAAGACGAAGAACGCGAGGTGGGAGCTCATGTTGCGGCGCGCGTGAAGACGCGCGCGGAAGGTGATGTCCTGGCCGATCGACTGGGATGAGACCGTGTCGAGGGGAGTGAGGGTCACGTCCCTCAGGTTGATGTCGCCCTCGCTCATGACGAGGGGGAGCCTTCCGAAGCGGTCCGGGTAGTCGAGCGTCTTCTTCTTCTCGATAGCGACGCGCTCGAGCTCCTCGATCTTGCGGGGACGCGACACGTCGCGCGAGGCATCCCGACTGTGGGAGGAGCCCTTCTTGCGCGGGTGGTGGATGGAGTTGCGCGGAGTCACCGACTTCGGGCTGGTGGGCGCCGAGGACTCCTTCGAGGAGGGCAGCGACGAGCGCCTGAGGCTCTTCACTTTCTCGAGGATGCGCGACATGGACGGAGGGAAGAGAGATGCCGAGCGCTGGGGACGGCGGCGACGGCACGTTAAGAGGTACTGATCTTGCTCATGCAAGCCGCGCTACGTCATCCCGGACCCAGTGACGCAACCCGACTTCTCGTCATCCGGCCCACGCGTCATCCAGCTCACCACGGACGCCGGTCGGTCCTCGGTATCCTCACCAGCGCGCTATACGTCGTCTAAGCTGACCCGCACACCCACCCTATTCGCGTCCTAGGCTAGCAGCTGAAACTCATCTCGTAGCAATAAATATTGGCGTACTAGCGCTAGCTGAACGTATACATCACATCGCATACAATTCAATGAACACGACGATAACTTGCCGGAACCCTTCCGCGGAAAGAATAAAGCCGTGGCTGGCACGGACGACGAAAGAGTCCCTTCATCTTCTCGAAATGAGCTGCTTAGGGCTGGACGTTCTCGCCGAACTCGCCAATGTAGTTGCCGGGCGGGTTGTACGAGCAGACGTAGAGGCTGGCGTTCTGCGGAGGATCATCAATCAGTACGAAACAGACTAGTGAACGAGGTTGGACGCACGTCCATCCCGGCGACGCTCGGGCACACCGTCACGCCACAGCCGAGCTGTGTCGTGCCCTTCCACACCACCTGCGTCCAGTGCGAGTACTGCGGGTTCGCCGGGTCGTAGTCCTTCGACTCAGCGTTCCACATGTTCACCGCGCCCTCGATGGTAAGGCCCGTACCCGCGGCGAGGTTCTCGCCGTACTGCCCGCCCGAGTGCTCCCAAACGCACTTCGCGCTGTAGTCCTGCGCGTACTTCGCAACCTCGTCCGACCACGTCAGCGGGTCCGCGCCGTGCTTCGCGCGCTCGGCGTTGTGCAGGTCGAGCCACTGCTGCACGTCGTCGTTGACGGCGGCAGCGACGGGGGAAGCCGACGAGGCGGGAGCAGAGGTCGCCGCAGAGGCAGGCGCAGAGGACGCAGACGCCGTCGGCAGGTCCGAAGGGATCGAGGTGGGGAACTGGGAGAAGCTCTCCGTAGGGAGGGCGCCGCTCTGGGACAGATCCGAGGGTATCGACGTGGGGAACTGGCTGAAGCTCTCCGTGGGGAGACCCACAGACGGAAGGTCCGAAGGGATCGACGTAGGGAACTGGCTGAAGCTATCCGTCGGGAAGGGCGGGAGGTCCGACGGGTTGGCGGTCGGGAACTGGCTGAAGCTCTCCGTGGGCAAGCCGACGGAGGGCGCTCCGCTGCCGCTCGCGCCGGCGAGGAGCGACGAGCACCAGGCGGGCATGTTCCAGTTGCCCCAGTTGCCCCACTGGCCAAAGCTGGCCCTGGAGTCACTGTAGTGGACGTCAGCTTCGGCAATATTGTGTATGCTGACGATCAGCAACTCACCCATCCTGAGGCGCCGGAGCCGCCGCCGCGCTGAGCGCGAGCGACGCCGCAACAAGCGCAACGTTCAACTTGAACATACTGAATGAATAGATAGAGAGCGAACGTGGAGGGGTAGCGAATGAACAGGCAGTCGAGTGTGTCGATGAGCCAAGAAGGTATTCAAGTTCAAGCAAGAGCACTCGGGTGATGCACAGGCTCGAAGATGAGATAGGACAGAGAATGAGATGAACAGAACCGAGACGGGGCAAACTTATGTAGGGGATCGCCTCCCCGCGCGGCCGCTACTTATATACACTACCTCCCGCCGCGGGTTGCTAGGGCGGCGGGCGCAGCGGGGTGGGCGGGCTAGCGAAGCCATGCACCTTGACAGGCCTGTTCCGGGCGCGTTTGGGGGCATGCGGGCGTGACGGTCGTTCGGAGGGTGGTGAGGGTGGTGAGAGGGCAAAATGCCTCAAATGACGTGCCAGACTCAAGCCTCACCGACTCTGGGCCCTGATCGTCTCCAGGAAAGACTGAGTGTTGCCAGGAAAGGCATACAGTCGTCAGGCCATGCGGAGGTCACCAGGGGAGGGTGCATAATGAAGCGATCGAGCAGGAACAGTCACGTCGAACGAGGCTCAAGTTCGGAGGGTGGTTGCGAGGGCGGAGGTGGGCTGGTGACAAATTCTGCCAAGACGGAGTTGTGACAGGTCAATTGAAGGGTTGCCATTTGGGGACGTCGCGGAGTTTGCCGAAGCATAGTTGAACTTCAGGCGTATGCGCACTAACACGGGCTAAACGGCTTCTGAACTTTGGAATCAGCGGGGGGCGGGAGACCGTGTATCGGGATGGCACCGAGGCAGCATCGCGCTGATGCACTGAAGGCCAATGCTGCCCTTAAGATGCTAGTCAACGCACAGAAGTAGCTGCGAGTCCATTAGCCGGGCGCTATGCAACGCCCGCATGAAGTTCAACTTGAGGAGTGGAGCGACGGAACACAACGAGAAGGCGAACACGGCGAGGCAAGTCATCTGGAGGACGTCGCCTGCAACTTGCAAATGGCTTGGCGGCGTCTGGCTCGACACCGAGGCTGTTTCCGAGATTGAAACGTTCATCTCACTTAGAAGTTTAGCGTGCGTCCATGGGCGCAGTGTCATTGTTACAGATGGTACACTTCTCGCCAAAGGTGATGAGCAGAACACATAGAGGCATACTTGGACAACCTCTCCAGCGACCTCGACAGGTCCTACAGACTATTGTTGATTCCTCCTTCGCCGCAAATCCGCCAGCGATTGGCGCTTCCTCAAGGGTACTGTCGTCGTTGGAACGGGCTCATCCTCTGCCTTGCGCTTCTTAGACTCTGGCTCGACGTTCGCCAGCGCGCGAAGCTCCTTCTCCATCAGAAGCGGCTCTTTCTCGGACAGCGATTCGATGTCACCAAGGTCGGGAAGTCCGCTGAGAGGAATAACATCTATGCCGATGCCAGTGTATGCCTTGCTGATGACGAAAAAGACGGACTCCATAAGGTCGTAGATCTTCATGTTGAAGTTGTCTTCCCCTTGTTTGAAGCCCTTGACCTTGTTCTCCAGTATCACGTAGGCATCCCCCAGGGACACGATCAGGTCAGCCAGCATAGGAATCGGAGAGTTAACGCCGTAAGATCGCTTGAGCATGCCGCGAATCAATCGAATCTCGCGCATGTCGCCGAGCATCAGTTTTCGCCGATACCTATTCTCCTTGGAGCGATCGGCGAAGAGACGCTGGGCATATTGACGCTGTAGAAGCAATGCCGGGCGAAGCTCGTCCCAGTCCTTGAGAGGCAGCAGGATATCGCGCGAGACGTGTTCCATGGCAAACTCGAATGCGATCCAGAAGACGGCCTCAAGGTCGTGAAAGAAGTTCATCGTGAAGGGGCGGCGGGAGAGAGCTGAGAGCGGCATGTTCTCGCGGCGAAATAGGTGCTCGCCAGCCTGTACTTCGACGGCCATGTATGGAGGAGTCCCCTAAAAAGTGATGAATCGAAAGGTCTCTCACATAAAGGTGGGCATACGTACAACGTAACTGTCTTCCGGCGTCACTTTACTGTAGGCCTTCGTGTGCTCGAAGTCCGCGACCTTGACGGTGTACGCTGCCCTCAAGTCCCGATGCCAGGGTTCGTCGCAGAGTGATTTGCCAGACCTGGGATGGACGAATATGTTACCCGGGGAGATATCGCAGTGTATGCGATTAATGAAGCGCATCATTTGTAAAACTGGGGAAATGGTCAATACACATCGCCCAACAAGTGGGCTAGGCTTACTTACATATGCAAGTCTCTGCCAAAGCGAAGAAGAACAACCGCGGGTCCTTGATGTTGGCAAGGGGAGTATAGAGCTCCCCGTACAGCACTCGATAATGAACTCGTGGCATCCAATCTGGTGCCTCGCCGTCATGATGTCCTGTCCGCGTAGTCTCAGCAGCAATCGTCGACTCCGCCAGGATAGTGAGAAAGAAATCATCGATACGACGCCTCTCTTCCTTTGTTCTAGCGCGGCCCTTCATAAGATTGACGATCTCGCGTTGGGTGTCTTGCTCGCTGACGGCGTCCTTTTGCCAGAAGTCGCGCATGACGAGGGGCGGGGCATCCATCTCAACGGTGAGACCATTGCCCTTGATCGCTGGCCGTACACCGTAGACCACCATCCCACGCCTATAAAGGCGCTCGTCGGCAAGCTTTTCGCAGAGGAGTGAAGTGGTTTGGTATGTGCGGTAGAAGGGCTCGCCCTCGTGCTTCATGTCGAACTGGTATTGTAGAAGGCCGTCTGCGTCGATGACACGGTCGACCGAAGGGTCGATGCCGAGCTGGGAGGGCGTGGCGAAGGAGGCAAACAGGACAAGCTGAATAAGCTCTTCGTAATCCTGCGAAGGCGTCAATGAGAAGGCTCAGGGTAGCAGGGCGCAGCACGCACCTCGTTCATGTCAAAAGAGTAAGCAATGGTCGAGTGCGATCGCGTATGGTGCCACAGTGACACATGCGTGTCCTCGATGGTGAGGGAGAACTGGAACCTGCGCCGACGGTCGTTGTCCATCATGAAGCTTGCAGACGCCAATGCGTGGTATTCGTTCTGATAACCATGATTAGCCAACGAAGTGGACGCACAAGCATTCGACTCCAATCACCCGAGCCATCATATCGCATCGGTCGCGAGGGCGCCAGTGTATGGTAATTGCAGCGTCAGATGCCTTCACCGCGCCCTTAACACCTGTCGTTGTCTTGCCAAAGATGAACCGGTCCTTGGCGCAGCCTCGCTTGCCAACTGTGCTATGCGGACTGCGTTCGATGAACCGCATTACAGCGTCGATGTAGACCCGCCCCTCTTTCTTGTCGATCGGCTTCTCCTCCTTGTCCGAGAAGAGCGCGTAGCCCTCATTGACGTAGATGAACTGGGTGGTCATATCGTCAAGGGCGAAGCGCTCGGGGAGTGCCTTGGAAGCGACCTCCGCTATCATATTGAAAGCCTTCTTCATTCTATCCCATGCGTATCGCCCGCCCAAGATCTCCGCTTCCAAGTCATTCAACGGCTCTACCCACCCATGCGATGGGATAAGTATACCCCGCGCAGTCAGTCCTGCCACTACGATATTGATGTCGACGTCGTCGAGCCGATTCCAGTTGGCAACGCAGTATTGGTAGAATTTCTCGACGGGAGCTAGGCATATGCGAGGGTTCATCCGCTTCACTTGAGTGGAGGTAGGACACTCGTTTCGCATGCGCGAAGTCATGGTGGTGACAAGCCTTAGCAGACGGAATCGACGCCACCGAAGTCGAGGGCGGCTGGTGGAGGTCGAGATAATGGTCGAAGGAGAGAGAGTGAGAAATCCGGGTGCTGGGCCCGGGGGATGATCGGCGAGAACGTGGCGGTCACGGGTGGCAAACGGCGTGGCCACATAGTGATTTTTTCTCAGAAAACAATGTCAGGCGGGGGACGTCGAGGGTAGCGCGGATGTTGCCGAGCGGCGGTCCCACGCCCCAAGGGTCGCGAGCGTTCGGACCAAAGGCATGTCAGCTTTTAACCTGCAGGATCGGACCCTGGAGGCAACTGCGAAGATTGGCCAGCCAGACATAGCGCGCGCATACATTTCTTTACACACGACAATCAACAACATACTCATCACAAAGCTAACGGCACATACATTCACGCTGCCTCCACTGCTTCTCCCTCGCCTCCGCCGGCCTGCGCACCGCCTGTCTTCCGCTTTCTCTTGCGCTTGCGACCTGATGACTGACCTGCCTCTCCGTCGCCGCCTGTGATAATGTCGACCTTCGCATGCCCACCCTCCGTATGGCCGTCGTCCTCTTGGCTGCGTTTGCGCTTTTCGCCCGCCTTTGCACTCTCCTCAGGCTTCTTCCCTTTTGACGCTGCGTCCGTACCCTTCTGTTTCTTCTTAACGCTGAGTGGATTCGGGCCCTTCGGTCCCTTCTGTTTCTTCTTCGGCGGCTCTTCTTTCGAGGTGGACGGCTTGCTCGCCAACGATGCGTCTTGCGCAAAAGGCTTAAGCGAAGTGGCAACGAGCTGTGGATAAGATGAGCATACATACAGAGGGGTAAGCTATGACACAAAGGGTACGCACGAGTTCTTTCTGTCGTAAGGTAGCATCGCTTGGTGGCTCAAGGATCATGACAGCGCGGTTGATGTGGACAAGGGGTACGGCGGGGATGGCGCGCAGCTTCACTCGCAGGGGCTGGGACTGAGTGGCGACTGCATATCGGTGCTTATTTGTGGGTCCTGGAAAGATGGATTAGCGATGGATTACAAGATGGATAAGGAGGTAAACGTACCGATGACCGCTGCAAGGCATTCATCCGCCGCAATTGCCTCACGATGATTGCACTTCCTCCGCTCAAACGTCTTTGCCAGGTCCACCGCCGGCTGCACGGCCTTTCCCTCCAAGTACAGCGAGTGTATACAACACTGCGTGATCACTGGCAAGTCCCCCATATCCGTCAGCATTCCCTCGAGCCTTCACACAGATGATCACCACTCACTCGGCTTGACATCACCCTGCAGCACCATTTCCAACTGCTTGTGCAGGTCCATCTTGTTGTCGATCGCTGCCTTGCACATGTCGGCGTCGACGAGGATCTGGTACGGCTGCCTGAAGCCGAAGTTGATGTGGTACAGGCTCATGAGCTTGCGGTAGCTCTTGGCGCGCTTTTGACGCATTCTGGCTGATTATGAGGGGCGAGGATGATGATGTGTGTGTCGAGTATTGGGATAGATGGAAAGAGGGCGCACACAAGGATGCCGGAGGGGAAGGGGGAGGAGGGGGAATGACAACTTGCTCAAGACGGAACGAAAACGACACGATCAGCGGGCCGAGCGCGCCGAAGCGCCATAGCCACCCTTTCGTCCCTCCACCATGAAGCTGAGCGCTTTCGTGGCTGCCGCCTTCGCGGGCGCCGCCCTCGCCGCGGATATCACAGGCGGGATTATGTGGAATAGTGTTTGTCAGGGTGAGTGAGGGTGTAGGACGTTCAGTCGGGCAGGGATTGACGCGCAAGGTAGACATCAAGCAGCTCGGACAGGCGAAGGTGTTGCTCGATAATGCGGCGTACTCTGCGAATGTGCTTAGGAGCGGGAAGTTCTCAATGTGCGTGCTTCTGAGACAATTAAGGGGAAAGTGCTGACTGGTCTGCAGCCCGGACGTTCCTGCTGGCACGTACTTGCTGAGTGTACGCGCGCACGACTACATGTTCGATACCGTGCGTCCCCTTCCATGTGACAACATGCCTCACAACACTCACACTCAGCCGATAGCTTCGCGTCGATGTCCCCGAACCCGACGAGAATGGCACATACGCCGACCCCATCGTTCGTCCTTACGTGCCGGGCACACCTCTCGACCCTCCCACCCAAGTCACGCTCCCTTACCCGATCGTTCTTACTGCAAGGTGCGTTTTCTACAGGACCTCTATATGCTGCAAAGCCTAATATTGGTGTAGGGGGAAGTACAACTACTACACCGCGCCTACGTCCTTCAATGCCCTCGGCATGCTGCAGAACCCCATGATGCTCATTATGGGCGCGGGTTTCCTCATGGTGCTCGCCATGCCCTACCTAATGGTACGCCATCGCTTCTGTATCTACGTGAACATCGCTGATACCCTTTGCAGAAGAGCGTCGACCCTGAAGCCCTGCAAGAAATCAACGCAAATCAGGCCAAGCTCGGTGATATTCAGAGCGCGTTCGCGAGTGGGGACTTCAAGTCGGGGTGCGTTCTAATTAGTGTCCTGCATGCCCTTTTCGGCTCAACTGATACCTTACGCAGCCTGTCTGCTCTCATGAATCAGGGCGAACCGGAGGCTGCGCCTGCTCAGGCTGCCTCTCCCGCGCGTGGTAACGCTGGCAAGAAGGGCAAGCGGAGGTAGCCCCATATCCCATGTATATGTATACACATTAATAGAGGAACAATGGGTGGATATTGATACAAGGTGCGAGCAGTATGGTGAATGTCATGTCGTAGCGGAGGTGAGGAATGGGGAGAACGGTCGCCCAGCGCGCTGTCATAATGACGTATAGTCGAGCACTTGCTGAAGAGCAGCATTTCTGATGGACAAGGAATGTACGATGAGCAAGACTTCTCGTTCGAATGCAGTACGTACCTCTGCTTGAACGTGGCTACAAGCGCCTCTGCGCTCATGTCCGCTGATGGCGCGCACCTACATAGATCTTCAGCGAATGCATATATATCTGGACCTCGGACACGCACCCTGCCCCATCCGTCGTCTCCACCACATACATCCGATGACTCTGTACGTCCTCCACGCGCACGCCTGTCACCGCCAACGAAGGCGACAGCGATTGAGCAGTGACCCTCTCCCCCATCACCAGATCGTCCGGCTTGATGGTCGATTCCGAATGTGCTATTCGTGCGCTAGGTGTACTTGCAGAGGGACTAACAAGGGGCGTCGCACTCGACGCCGTCGCCGCGCCCGATGTCGATCCAGCAGTCGTAGCGCCTGATGTTGACCCAGCCGTAGCGCCAGACGGCGACGCGTTTGCGGTTCCCGTCACCTCAGTCAACGTCCAGTCTAGCAGCACGACATGTTCTCCCGGACTTTCCGGTAGCAATGCTAGTGCTGGGTCGTCCGCATAGTGATAGGTAATCGGCGCGTGCGCGAGGACGCCAGAGTGCGAAAGGAGGATGTAGTATGGGGGAGTGGGAGCGGAATGTGTAGATGCAGAGGCAGAAGGAGGCGACGTGGGTGCTGGCGGACGCGCGCCATCGAGAGAACGACGTGGGGAACCGATTGAGGGTCGTCGGGCGTCGGCTGTCATGATGGTGGCGCGCAACAAGATGTGGGGTCCGGTCCGATGTCCGAGCAGGGCCTGATGAACTGATTGAATCAGATTGATGAAACTCCGGCCATAAAGTTGCCTCAAATGTGCGTTAACAAACATTGCTCGCTCCCTCGCCACGGTCTCGTCGTTCAAAAAACATGACTCAAAACTTTGGGACGCAAAGACAGGGCCTGACCGGGAATTGAACCCGGGACCTCCTCGAAACGATGCTCGCACCCTAACAAGGAATCATACTACTAGACCATCAGGCCGTTCAAAAGCACTTCCCTTCGATCAGACCAAACTCGCACGAGCATTCAGAAGTTTACCTTGACTCTTCACGAACCTCGAAAGTGCACAGTAGGGGCGTCGAGTTATGCAGTAGCATCGAGTTGACCTCTTCGAAGAAAGGCAGTGTCTACATGGAATCGACAAAAGTACTACAGATGATGAACGATGGTAAAGCGATGGATAGGTGGGATGGGTACAAACAACACGATGAGCACAACCTATGAAGCAACCTTCTTCGACATCGTCTGCTGCTTCTTTTGCTTGATCAGATCGAGCTTTCGCTGCTCGAGTTTTGTTTTCTGCGAGGCAGAGACGTCAGCGTCCATATCTCCTCGCACAAATAAATACGAGTGCTTACCTCGGCCTCCCGCTTCTTCTGGCTGTGCTTGACCTTCTCGTACAACTTGCGCTGCTTGTTGCTCATCATCATCTTGTTCATGTCCTGCTCGGCGTCATCCGTCGTGTTCGTCTTCGCCGGCGCCTTCGCCTTCTTCTGCGACTTTGCGACCTGTTTCTCGAACGCGCCGTAGTCGATGCCAGCCGCCTCTGCCGCGAGCTCGGCGGCGCGCAGGGCTTCGGGATCGGCGCCGGCAGAGACGGCGGCCTTGAGGGCGATGGCTTCCGGCGCCTCTTCCTCGGCGGACTCCTCGTCTTCCTCCTCGCCCTTCTCCGCATCGTCAGCCTCCATGTCTTCGTCCTCGTCCTCGCTCTCCTGCACCGCGCCCTGCTGTGCATCGAGCGGCTTCGCCGGGTCGTACGCTCCCTCGTAGTACTCGCCGAAGGGGCTCAGATGCGGCGGGAGCACCGCACCCTGCGCATACGAGTCCTCGAGCAGGATCTTGCCGGCATTGATACAGTCCACGACCCACTGCGGCTGCACGTACTTCCGCCGCGCGCGCCTCTCGCGCTCCTCCGGCGTCTCGTTCGCCTTCCGCGGGGGCGGCCGGTCGATAATGACGTGCGTGATCGCCTCGTCGGACTCGCTGATGGGCGACCCGCCCCCTGAGGACTCGGGCCACCCGACGCGCCCGCCAAAGGAGCGGATGAGGAACTCGAAGATGGGGCGGGAGATCTCGCGGGAGAGGTAAAAGGTGTAGGGAGCGAAGAGGGTGGTGGAGAGGGAGGGCGGGAGGGCGGATATGGATTGGAGCGTGGGGAGGGACGCGGCGGTCTCGGTGTCTTTTGTGGAGGGGTGGGGGACGAATTCTTCCTCCTCCTCTGCGGGCGCGGGCTCGGCGGAGGTCATTTCGACGTCGCCGTCGGTTGCGGCGGCCTCGGCGGAGGTGAGGCTCTTGATTGCCTGCTTGACGTCTTTGGTGGTGACCTTGTGGCCGTCGACCTCGACTTCCTTCGCCTTGGGTTTGCTGGGGACGACGGGCTTTGTTGCCTCTTGCAAACTGTATGCGCCAACGCCGGCAGCACCCTCGTCCTTCTTGATGTCAAGAGGCGGCGGGTAGACAAGGCCGGCATCAGTGTAGAGCTTGAAGAAGACGAAGCCGAGCATAGTCTGATAGAGCTCCAAGAAGGTGAGCATCACTCGCACGTCGACGTCAGAGGGGACCTAAGCACACTGTCAGTAATACGATTCAAGTTCTGATGATCGGTACGCACGTTCTGTGTGAATTGATACGGCACCAGCCATGTTATTGTCTGATCCATAACCTCAGCCTGGTAGTAGACGCCCTTGATCGACAGGAAAGCCTTCCGCAAGCTTTTCGAGTGCATCACGTAGAGCTGCCATTCCGCGGCGAGTCTTGAGCAGTTTTCTGTCAGGGAAGGGGGGATACGATCGCCGGAGGGGAGGGATGCAAAGAGGAAGATCATGCAGAGGGCGTCGTCGATATCACGGAGGGCATCAATGAAGGTCGGATACCTAACCTGATCGTTAGCTTGCGATGGCCAAGCAGCAACTTTCTAACGCACCTCTCCTTGATGATGTGGTCTATCCGGTAAACAGGCTTGTTCTCCTCAAGATGCTTCGCATCGCCCCACTCCCCCCGACCGAGCGCGCGAGAGAGCTTCTTCGCAAACGCCTTGTGCTCTCGTAGCCGCTTCAGTACAGGCTCATGGGCGAGGAAAGCAATGTCTTTGGTGTAGTAGAAGGAGGTGGGGACAGAGGAGCCCTTGTTGGCCTTCTTCTTGTTGCGAGGCTCGCGAGGGAAGATGCCTATAAGTCCTGTGAATACCCGCGCAACCCAGAAGTAGCCCATCACGCACCCTTCAAGATACAGAGTCTCCTGAAATCCGCCAGAGACACTTGCAGCTTTTTGACGGCAGATGAGCGGGTGATGTATGCCTTCGCGGCGCCAGCCTTGCCCTTCCTATGTATTCGTCCCATGCTTGCGGTGTCGGTGGGGGAAGTGATGAACGAAAACAATGCCGATCATAGACGCCACATGCCCGAAAAGTACAGGAAACAAACAATTGCACACAGACGCGCCTTGTTCTTCGCCATGAGGTCCGTATCCCTGCTATACGCGTTTGCATATTGTTGATCATGTTCGCAGTCAATACGTCCACGTCCCCAAGTCCGAGCTCGACGAGGCCCAGCTCAGGCAGCTTGAGGAGCACGAAATCTCCCAGGGCCCGTTGTCCGTCCTCCAGCAGGCGGTCCGCAACCACACCCAGGTCCTCATCTCCTTGAGAAACGACAAGAAGCTCCTTGCACGCGTCAAGGCGTTTGACAGACATAGCAACATGGTGCGCGATTACGTCCACCCCCTACCCTTAGATGTACTGATCGCTTCCCCTCAGGTGCTCGAGAATGTGAAGGAGGCGCGTCAATTCACCTTCTCCCTTCCCCTCAACGCTTACACCCAGCAGATGTGGACTGAGATACCAAAAGGGAAGAACAAGAAGCCCGTCAACAAGGACCGCTTCATCAGCAAGATGTTCCTTCGGTACTTCTCCATGAAATATCCCTCCTCTTTTGCTGACTTTTTATCATCGCAGTGGGGACTCTGTCATCTTGAGTGAGTATTTCAGAATCTCCCACTATCGCTCTGACTGACTATTCCTCTAGTCTTGCGAAACTCCGCATAGTGTATGCCATCGACTCGGCGGACTTCTCATCTTTTGCATCTTCTGTATGTTCATGTTGTTTTTGTACGATAATGCTGCTCAAAACACTGCCCTGTACTCTTGGAAGAAGATGATGGATGGGATGTCATCGTCGTACTGTTCAGTAGGAGTATGCATGTAAGTACAGATGTCGCTCGTGGTAAGTCAAGTCCAAGTTAGTAAAACCTAAACGCCTGCTCCTCCTTCATTCTATCCTCGATCTCCTTCACCGCCTCAAAGATAGCACCCATCGCCACCCACCCGAAGCTCTGCGCCCCAAACAACTTCTGCTTCTGCTTCTGATACGCCAGCTGCCACGCCAGCCACGCCCTATGCAGCGGCACCTCCGGGATATCATCGTCGTCCCCCGCCATCTCCTCCCTGATCCCCCTCACCAAAAAGTCCGTCTGCTCCCTGAGCTTCGCCATCTGATCCTTGCGCTTCCTTGGCTGCGACGTCTTCTGCACGATCGTGCCGACGGTCGCCTCCTCCTCCGTGAGCATCGCGGCGCGCGACTGCGAGAGCGTGTTCGTGGCGCAAATGCTGCGCAGCTCGTTCACGTAGCGCTGGAAGAGCTGGCCGGTGGACTCAACCTCCTCCAGCGTGGCCTCTTCGTTGACCTTCATGTCGTAGGCGGCGACGCGGTCGTAGAGGGCGTCGAACAGGGGGTCGTCGATGTCGTCCATGCTCAGGCCGGAGAGGGACTCGGCGACATCGTCGCGGGTTGTTCGGCGTTGGCGTCGTCTACGCCCTTGGGCGCGAGAGGTTTGGTTGACAGTGCGGACAGCGGTGAGCTCGATGGCGCGGAAGAGTTTCCCAATGGCCCTCTGGCTCTCGTAATACCTCGCCGAGTCAGGATTGACTGTCTCCGGCGCGTTCCAGTCGGGCTGTGAGGTGTGTGGTAACGCGCTATAAACTACCTTCTGATGTACATACCTTCGCCTTGAACTTGAGCTTGGGGATCTTGGTAATTTCTACCGGTTGTCCCGACTTCGGAAAGTCAACCGCATCGCTATGCAGTTGCGACAGCGTCAGGCAGTCGTTATCGAAAATATTCTCCTGACTCTGGTCTGCGATGACCAGCCAGTTGATGGCGATGATGCCCAGGACCTGTGAGGGCGAACTTGAGGACCCAATCCTCTACAGAGATAACCAAAATCGGTTCCACGCACATCGAAACTCATGAAGTCCAAAACGAAGTCGGCTACGTCGTCCATGTTGGCTGGTCGGTCCAGTACTTTCCTGGGGGCCGCAGCGTAGGATGCGGGGTCGCAGGTTCGTGCGGGACGGAATTCTGGATGTGTCGTATCCAGGCAAATCAGGTTGTACACGTCCCCATCGAGGTCGCCGCCTCCAAGCATCGATGGCAAAGGTCTTGAACCTGAGTGAGAAACAGTCAGATGCTGCTCATGCCGGGCTTGAAAAGGACCTAACAACATACCTTTGACCGAAAACACGACAGTATTCGCCAACGGCTCCTGCGCAAACGGCGACCCCGCCGGCGGCCGCCCGATCGCCCTCACCACCTGCACATCCCCCGGATGTATGGTCGGTGACCTCGAGATTAAGATATCCCCCTCCAGATACTCAATCCTATTACTATCCACCTCCTTCACGCACGCGAACACCTCCCCTTCCGCTAGATACCGATGCACATCTGCTACGCCCACCAGCGTGTATGCGCCCGGGATCGGGATGCGCGCGTGGTTCTTGAGCACTCGCAGGACGTGGTTGATCGCGAATTCGAGCATGCGGTCGTAGAAGGCATCCCCGGGGAGATGGTCGATGCCGAGTTTTTCGAGGTTAAGGAGGACGGAGGGGAGGCGGAAGGAGGTGCCGAGGCCGAAGGCTTCGAGCATACGGGCGGCGTGCTCAAGGGATTCGGTGGCACGGTGGGCATCGCGGACAGCGAGGTCCTGGTATTTGAGGAAGGTCTCGTAGGGGACGCCGAGGCCCTCGAGGAGCATGATGAGCGGGCGGTTGAGGTAGTATCTGGAGATTCGTCAGTGAGAAGGTAAGGAGGAATTCAAGCCGAAGTGTAGCACGTACTTCCCCGGCCTGTCAAACGCCCTCGCGATCTCCAAGTTCAAACTATCCGGCGCCTCAAACTTGATCATCGACGGCCTCAAGCAAACCGCCCTCCCCCTTAGCTTATAATCCACGCTCAACATCCCCTTCGACCCCATCAGCCGAACCTGAAAACTCGCCGGCGTCCCCTTGCTCTTCCGCGCCCTCTTCCTCGTCCGACGCAGCTCCGTCCACGTATCCCTCGCCATCTCCTTCGACATCGTCCCCACGCCGTCGGTGAAGTGGTATGCTCCATCGCTGGTGGATATGTCGTCGTGGTAACCGATCTCCTCCGCCTCGACAAAGACGGAGGCGTCGGTGGCGGTGAAGGCCTGCGAGAGACGGGCGGCGTAGCGCGCTGGGCAGAAGCGGTCCTTGCTGGTGCTGAAATCACCGATACCGGCGATGATGGTGGCGGCGTTCACGTCGGCGCGTTGGCCGTCAGGGCGGAAAGGTTTGACGAACCTATATAGAGGTGAGGATGGACGTAGGTCGATGAAGGGGATGTAGGCACACCAAACAGCATGCTCCTTCAGCGCCGACTGCGAATACGCAAGGAACTCGAACTTGTGTCCAGCGATGTGAAGGCCCTTTTTCAGCAAAGGCCCAATGCGCTCGCGAATGAACGTTCGTCCATCGACCTCCCTGTCGAACCGATACTGCAGCCGCCCCTCTTCCACGAAGCTCACGCGCAGGAAGCAATCATGATACTTCGCGTCGTACATCCGGATGATACGATTCGACCGCTCGGGGAACGGGCCCTCCAGAATCATCGTCGTCGGCGTTACGATCACATGCAGTGAGTCGAAGACGCTACCGTCGGTCGGTTTGACCACCTCGTTCAGCCCCTGCTTCGCGAACTCCTTCGTCGCGCGCTGGAAGCACTCGTCGATCGACTCCGACTCGTCCTCGTACTGCACCCAAGCAACCAGCCGACTCTGGAAGTACTTGAGGAATAGAGCGGTATATGAGGTGCCATGGCGCCGGTGTATGGCATGGACCCTAGGCATGAAGGTCAAAAGCTCGTCAGGGCCCATGTGTAGGCAGCGGAGTAAGCCCTCGATCTGGAAGGAGACGGCCCAAGGGAAGTGGCGCTGCCACTCTTGTATGCGGCCCATAACGATGGGACCGAAGATATTTCGACGGACAGCGGGGTAGTCGCAGTCGTCGAGGTGGTGTACGTCTGCAACGGCAGCGACCTCGTGGAATCGTCGGAGGGATTCCTGCGATGGCAGGACGAGGCGCAGGGCAAGTGACGTGAAAGCAACGACGTCTTCATGATGCCCGAACGGGAGGTGGGGTAGGCGAACGCGGCGATCGTCCTGCGAGGGGTTGGGTACCTCAGACTCGAAGAAAGGCGCGACGGAGAGGCTGATCGTGATGGCAGGATTGTCAGAATGGCGGGGCGCGGATATAATCATGATTTGCGTGTAGCGCATCGCAATAGCGAGCAGTCTCCCAGGCGAGTCGGGGTGGCGCATACGGACCCGTATCTCTCGCCGCTCGTCGTCGAACATGACATACGCGTCGTTCCACTGGAATGTCTCCTCCCATTCGATGGAAAACACAGCGTCGCGACAGTCCCACCCAAACTGGACGGCGCTGACGGCGATTTGATTTCGTTGCAGGTAGTTAGTGCGCTCGTTTTGCTGTCGTACTGCCTGCGGGTCCTGATATGGGAGGCGGCGTATATCCTCCAAGATGCTGGGATCAGGCGGCTGGCGATTAGCTTTCTGAAATTGGATCGCGCGACCTTGGCCACTGCGAGGAGTGCATCGCTTCGTAGTGAATGGGCCGCCGTATTCGTGTAGAAAGAGGTTTCCGATGTCCAGAGTGGGGACAGTCAAGATGCCTATGCCGCGATGTTGGCGAACCCCGCCGTTCTTGTCCTTGAATAGCCGTACATTGAAGTTGATAGGCAAGCCCGATAGCCGAGTGTAGGGCTCATGGTGGAGAATATCGGCCAGACATTGCGTGAGCTCATACTGAGTCGTATTAAAGCCTATATTTTTCATGAAGATATCCATCGTGGCGAGGGTGGTGGGGGGACACAAGGAGTGGAGGAGCTAAGGAGGGCTTAGGTACGATGGGCAATCAGATAGGCGCGCTAGGGTCCCGTGTCAACTGCTAAGTACGGATGAGACTCAGGGGACAAAGGCAGTCACCTAAAGACCGATTGATGGGTGCGTGTACCGGACAGGAGTTGTTTTGGGGCCCGCGGAGACCGCGCCGGCAAAGTGCGCCGCACGTGACTGGTTCAAGTGGCGCCTGCACGCATTGGTATCTGCACAAAGGCGTGTTTATCGACTATCAAACGGGCAGAAAACAGCAAGATAGCGACTCTGTAGCGGGAACGGTCACTTTCCACGACCTGGAGAGCGCAGGGTGACTGCAGCGGGCAGCAGCTGCTTGACCTCGCGTCGAATTATCCTCAACTTGTCTTCAATCAATTCCTGCGCGAGGATAAGCTACACGTATCAGGTGCAAGTAGACGACCATACCGTGTCACTGAGGTGGCGATTCCTTTCAATTTCTGAGCGAATCCATGCAACGGTCTCTACGCGTGCTTGCGGGTGGGGTATTCCTGCCCACCTATCAGAGTCTGCCATCTCATTCGACTATTCTCTCTACCTCGTGTACAGCGAATAGCATAGCGATAAAAGTTGAGGACTTCTTGCCTCAGAATAAAATGCTTGAGTGTCGGCTGTTTGGAATGAAGGAAGGCCATGGGCGTTGCCGGATTGAGCGACGATCGACTGGTCACAAGCCACGCCGGACCCTCTGCCGCGTCGACGGACTTGCACTCGACCAAGTCCTGCCCGCCGTCTCGCCTCCTCCCTTCATCGCCGTCATCATCGCCGAACGCCATGGCCGCCGTCGGAACTGCCATTGCCCCAGCTGATATCCCGAAAACCACTGAAAATGGGTCTCCAGACCAGCTTGCCGACGCTGTCGCCGGTCTCGCCATACACGACGACCAGCGTTCGCCAGAGCAGGCCCAGGGGACCCAGCAGCCTGTCGCTCAGCGTCCGCTGCGAATATACACCAGGAAACAGCTTCTGTATCTCCACGCATCACCACTCGTGCAGCTGCCGCCAGGCATGCCCGAGCTCAAAGACTGGTTTGGGTAAGGTCTTTGTTTATGCACAACGCAGCTGCTTGAACGATGCTTCAGAACGGAAAACGAACAGAGCCTCACAAAGAAGGAGGAAGCCTCGAGTCCACCGCGAGAACGCAGGTGCGCAAACGCGGTTATCGTCTACACGTCCTGTCGAGCGCTAACGACACTTGGCAGATTCAGGCGGGATCCTGAAGACGGAGGTGTGTCGTGCATCGCTCATATACACGCATGCGCTCAATTGTACGCTAGATACCCCCACGAGACCCTCCTTCCGAGCCACGGTCTCACAACCCTCGCAAATGGGCAACTTCAAGCACCAGTCCCTGCGCAGCGACAGAGACAGAGACGAACGTGACAGAGAAGGAATACGCAACGTCAGCTCTCGTTTCCTCGCGTCGCCGACCTCCTCTCAACTCGCCATGCCCAGATGTCTGAGAGATACGACCGCGACCGCATGGGTCTCGGCCTGAACGGCAGGAACAAGGATCGCGATGTCGCCCCTCACCTCTCCTCGGCGTCCTCCACGCGCCTGGCCAGTACGGGCCCGATAGCCACCCTCACGACGCGCCGCGGTGAAACAGGCAGGAAGAAGGCCGGTGATGACGACTGGCGAAGAGGTTCGTGCCGCACGCACTTAATCTCATCTGTCCGTTAATAACTCATGATCGCAGGAGGAGAGCGTGGCGGCAGAGAAGACAGTGAGTTCATTGACACGACTAGAAGCCTACAACCTCATCCATTCATGATCAGACGGCGGCCGCCGCGACGACCGCGAGCGCAATCGTTCCCGTGCGCGCGACTCGTCCCGCCCTCGGCGCGAGCAGTCCTCCACCCGCCGCGAGCGCGACGACCGCAGAGGCAAGGAGGACTACGACGATCCCCGCAATCACCGACGCCCGCGAGACGATGACGACCCGGATGATCCCCGTCGCTGGCGCGACGATGGCAAGCGCGATGAGCGGATTGCGTCCCGGCGCGACCGCGACCGCTATCGCGAAGAACGTGGGTGGGACGAGCGCCGTGATCGGGGCGATCGGTGGCAGGTCGTGGAGGAGCGGGAGGCGCGCACGAAGCGTGGCACTGAGCGCGGTGGAGGGCGCGATCGGCGGAATGGGGACGATGGGAAGGAGCGGGATGAGCCCAAGGGCAATGGGAGGGACCGTGATCGCGAGAGGGAGAAGGAGCCTGCGTGGATGGACACTTATATCCCGCCTGCAACATCTGGCACCGGCATTTTGGGTGGAAAGGGTGCGGATGGCGAGCTCGATGGCATACAGGCGTGGAAGAAGGGCATGAAAGAGAAGGAGGCGAAGGAGAAGGGCGTTGCAGCTGCCCAGGAAGCCGCCGCAGCTGCTCCGTCCGGCGGCGGAGGCGGCGGCCTCGACGAGATTCAGCTCTTCCGCATGATGATGAAGAAAGAGGACGACAAGAAGAAGGCAGACGGCCCGTCAGCCGAGGCGTCGCCAACCATAGCGTCCGTCGCGCCCGGTCGCGTCTCGGAGGCTATCTCCTGTATGTTCACATCCAGCGTGGGCAAACATGATGCTCATTTTGCTCCCAGCTTCATCCGTGTCCGCCTCTGCCATGGCCGAGTCAAAATCGAGCGGTCAGCCTCCGTCTTCCTCTGCCGTCACCTCATCTACCGCGGACAACGCCGCGCCTGCCTTGTCTGGCCTGGCGTCCCTCCCTCCCAAGCCCGAAGTCCATCTCGAAGACGTTCTCCCGGCAACTTCCAGGTTATTCCCCAGACCCAGCCAGCCGACGTCCGCGGAAGCTTCCCCACTGGACTCTACAGCCAACTCGCCCACGTCTGCCCTTAGTGCAGCCGCAGGATCACGTTTGCTCTCGCTGGGTCGCGGTCCCGCCCAGGCTAAGGCTGCTCCCGCTGCTCCTGGTTCCCCTGCGAACGGCGCTCAGGCGCCGCAAGTCCCTGCTCAACCGAACATCGCCTTGGAAGCCATCAGACGCGACCCCGCTATCGTGCAGCTACCATCCAAACCAGGATCAGCGCACGGCTCCGCATATTCACCTTTCGAGGACACATCGCGTACCTCTTACGGCTTCGAGGACGCGCGCCGCGCGCCGAACTCGCTGGAGCAACCTATGCGTGTTCCAGGGAACAACAGCCCGTCGTTTAATGAGTCGCTGTCGCCGGATGGATCCGTGCCGGGTATGAGGGGCAGTCGCTTTGCGAAGTTCTTCGATGGAAAGACGAGGGACGGCGCCGCGAAGATGCAATCTGGCGGGGAGTCGCCTGTTGGGCTAAGGCAGGAGCCGTCGCCCATGAACGTCCCTGGTAGTGGGCCCGATGGACGCGCCATGGACGAGATCTTTGCCATGCTGAACAATTCGGCGACGCACGTAAGTTTACCTTTCTTTCTGATGTTGTGTACGAGATGTACTAACAACAATCAGAATCCTCGCGCTCCAAACCCGCCTACTGTTGTTCCGCCCGCTAGGGATATTCAACTCCAGCAACAGGCCCAGCTAGCGCTCCTGCAGCAACAAGGTATCCATCCCAGCCGCCTCGAATCCTTCTACGACAGCCACTTCGACGACCGCAGCTTCGTACCTGACGGCATGGTCCCGGGCCTCCGCACGGCGCCTCCTCCCCGCGAGAAAGGTCCTATGTTCGCCGACCCTATCGACGATCCCCACTTCAGTGTGCAACGCCCACCCCCGCATCAGCGCGGTGCGGACCCGGCGTTCTGGAACCAGCCAGCCCCGCGCCAGCCTCCTCCCCAGCAGCTGTACGGGCAGCAACTTGGTGGGCGTGGTGGTGTTGGGCTGTCTGCGGCGGCGTTGCAGCAGCAGCAGTTCCGTGGTGGCCCGTCGCCGCTCACTGCGCAGGCGCAGGCCACTCTTCTGCAGCAGCAGCAGCGTCTGCCGCCAGGGCTTGCAAACCTCGGTGGCCGTCCGCCTCACGACCCTTCGCAGTTTATTGGTCTTCAAGGTCTGCAGAATGGGGGTCTGCATGCCAATGCACCTCTTCAGACGAACTTCAACGGTATTCCTGGTGGTGGCAATGTTCCCTTCGGCGGTCCTCAGATCCGCGGCATACCTGCCGCTCAGCAGCTACAGAACGCTCATCTCGGCGGGTTCACACCTCAGGAGCTTGAGCTACGCGCTGCTCAGGCTCATATCATGAGCATGCGCAATGGCGGCGCGGCTGGGCTAGGCGGCCTTGGAGGACTGCCCCAGCACCAGCTTTCGCAGCAAGCTGCTCTCCTCAACCTGCGCGCTCAGCAGCAACAACAGCAACAGCAACAGCAGCACCTCGCGCACGGTCTGCCTCCCCACCTCCCTCAGCATGGGCAGCCGTCGCCCGAGGACCTCATGCAGCTCCTTCTCGCGGGCCGTGGCGGCGGCCCCGACCTCGACTCCTTCAACCGCTACCGCTGAGTTTCAACGCTCCAACCTATCCCCGACGCGCGGACTACACCTTCCATAACCCGACTATCATGCGCTGGTCTCTCGTTCTGTTCCCACCACTGCTCGCGCCGCACCTCCCTCGTCGTCCACTATCTTGCATCGCTCATATACTTTACAATCGTTGTACATTTCCTTTTTCCTTTGTTCATGCTTATACGATGCTCTTGGACCCACGGACGTTCTTCTCCGTCGGCTACCGCAATAATCAACGCCCAAAGTGTTCTTCGGTGCGTACGCTTGCCGACGCTTCCTCTCGCTGATCTTCGCAGAACAATACCTCCACTCCGCCGCATGGCATGATGACCATACGCTTCTTGTTTGCTCCTTGTCTTCGCCGACGATCCCAGGTTCCAGGGACCGCGAATAAAATGTGAAACGAGGAAGAATAGCCGATAGTTTGCGATGGGCGCCTACGAGGTCATGCCAAGCTGCGCAGCTGGCGAGGGAGTCGTGTGCATCAGTGGTCGCCCTGATTCGCCTGGTTTACCCAGCTGCTGCATACGTATCACCGTCTAGAAGCCCGTGCTATTGGGACCGGGTGTCAAGGTGAGAGGGCCTCATGTCTATGCACATGCGCCCGCCATAGGCCGTTTATTACTGACCGACTACTGTCTCCGAGTGCGCACTTTGAAAGACCGAATGGCGACAGCGGGAATTGGAGGCAATAGAGACTGACATTGCAATGATGGGCCTTTATTAGCAGGGTCAGTAAGTCATTTCGTGATAGATGGACGTCTGTCTAGTACTGCCAGGATTGGCGCTGATGTTGAATAAAAGGCGAACGGTGCGCTGGCAATCGGACGTGGGATAGGCCGACCATCCCATGTGTCTTATTGACAAGTAAGCGCGTCCAGCAATTACAGTATCCGTGGTAGCCGAGCTGATAACTCCTCAGTTAGCACGCCTTCGGTGTGGGAATACGAGAAGACGGGGCTGTATACCCGCAATGCAGAGAAGTTGCGGCGTGGGTGACCCCTCCGGGAAGAGCGGCGCGTCTCTCAGCGATGCGGAAGCGCCCAAAAGCCGCGCCGAGAGGGCCTGCCGCTGCGTCTACTCGCTGCTTACCGCCGTCGCGCGCGACACGAGCTGTCGCGCTCAGACAAGGAAGCAGGGCGCGGTGGGCTCGCGGATGACGTCCTGCGCGCGCGGATCTGCACCGTCGTCGCCTCGCCTCGCCGGCAATCCACCACCTCCTCGCGGCAGCCCTGGACCTGCACGCTGCTCTCGATACGCATCGGGGGGCCTGGGGATCGGGCTCGCGCGGTGCGGCTGGGTCCCACGGCACGGGCTTTCTTGATGTGCGCTGGAGCGGGGAGGGGTCGCGCGTATCTGCTGCCGCGACCGGGGCCCCTCGGCTGGGCAGGTCAAGTGCGCGCGCACATTCAAGGCGATGGCGCGGACTTTGCCGCGCGAAGTTTGGAGGGTACGTTGCCTGCAGGAAGGGCTGCTCGGTCCCGCGCGAGGGGCGACAGGTCGGGCGGGCGCTAGCGCGAGTGCAATGTCGGAGCTTGGCCACGAGGAGGCGGTGGAGATGAGGGAGGATGCGAGGATGAAGCAGCCGCTGCGATTCGCGCGTTTGAGTCGTCGCAAGAACGACGCTGGGAGCTACTAGCTCGTCGAACGCGCCCCCCAGCCAGCTCCCAACTGGGTGCGATGGGCGCGATTGATGGACGATAAGGGGGGTACCTCAGAATTCAGATGAGGAAGAGCATCAGTGATGGGCTTGTGCATTACGATTCTGTGTTTCCAGGTCTTCAGTCTAGTGAAGGGCTCGGCAATCGGCCGCTTTCCATCGATGCATACGTCAAGGAAAAGGAAAGTGCGAGAAGTGGTGTTGTCGCCGACCGTCATCCGGCCGGGCGCGTGCAGAGGGCGCGAGGTGGTGGAAATTCGGACTCGGAGATTGATGAAGGCTGCGAGGGACCTGTCAGCCGCTGCTCGTCCTGGAATGCAGACGAGGGGTCGAGGGGGAGGGGGTCAGATTCATAATGTAGATTGCTAGATACCGGAAGCCAAAGAGGCTTCCCTTACGGCGGAAGGACGATAGCAGAGGGGACCTCGAAACCCTTGGGAAATGAACTGAATTTCGATGTGGAAGCATGCCTGCAGGATGTGTGTACAAGGTTGATATCCCCGGCGTCGCACCGCACAAGCGCCTCAAGGCTGACGGGACCCGAGGCATCAAACACGCCCCCAGCAAACTGAAAACCAGCGCTCACCGCGACCGACACACCCTTTGCTCTCCTCACCCAGAGAACCACATTCCCTGCCGCCTACCGACGCGTGATTCAGTTCAGCGCGTCGAGCGAGCCCGCCTACAATCCCCTACGCTACCTACTAGACTCGGAGCACGCTGCCAGCGCTACCGCCTGCAGCTCGTTCCATTCACTCTTTTTGGGCTCCTGTCGTCGTATCCTTACCCAACCGTCTTTAATCCCCCGGTCCCCGCTGTTGTTGGCTCGGACTTGTTCTGGTGCGTGACCTGCGTTGGACAAAGGACTGGGGCTGAGGCAGCCGTTGCAGAGCGCCGATAGAAGAACACGAGGAGGCGACCATCTTGTGCGAGATTCTTGTCCTCCGTGCGTTCCCTTGTCCATTTCTCTTGTTATGACGCGCTGACGGTCGGCTGCAGAGTTGCAAGGTGAGACAACGTCCATACGTCATCGTTCCTGCTCGCGGGAAAACGTGGCCCGCGTTGTTGTGTCCCTTTTTGGCGATAATTCCGGATTAATTAGTGGGATTTGTGGGTGGGCGGTGGATGGGCTATGCGTATGCGCGAGGACGAGGGGCGTCCTGTGCGATGGGTGGCAGGCTGTGGCCTTTATTCGACCATCCGGGGAAAGGACGGGGCGCCGGGCGGCCAGTGCACAAGGCGCTGATTCCGCCCATTTTCATTCGTGCGATGCGGCGTTGATATCAGGGCCGGGCCGGGATCAGACGGCAGACGATTTTAGAGGCCGGCGTGACCGCTCACTTTCTTTTCTTGCCCTCGTCGTCGACTCCCAATCGTCGGCGGGCTCCTCTTTCTTCTGTACCACTACCATCTCACGAACCGCACGCTGACCTGAACGACATTCTCTCACAGCACGCAAGTGCGCCCCCGCCCTCTCCCACCCACCTCCACCGCACGCCACGCGCGTCCAGAACCAGTGAGTCGCTTTGCTCTTGCTCCCGCCCCCTCGACGCGTCCTATCGTGATCACCGCCCTCCCCCTATGTTTTCCGCCGTCTATGTTGCTTCCGCGTCCCCGCTGTCACACATACCCCCGCCTTGTTTGGCCCAAACATTGTGTCGCGCTTGCTCTCCATCTACCATGTCGTCCACCTCGGCGCCCACGACCGTCGCTACAGCCGCTGACCCCGCCCGCTGTAGCTCTCAGTCGATCTCCGTATCCTGCGCATCGATATCCGACGACATGAAGGACATCACCGCCACGGCTTCCAACCGCCAAGCGCGCGCCTCCCAGATCTACACCCGGAAGCGACCCTCTCCCCATGGCGTCCACAAGTCCTCATCCACCAAGACGCCCATGCTCTACCCCACCAGCGCCTACCTCAGCCGCAAATCGCCCCGCTCGCTCAAGCGCACGCGCGAGTCACAGCGGGAAGCCCACCTTGCCGCGCTCCGGCGGGAAGGCATCTTCATTGAGGACGAGTACCGAGAGGAGATTCGCCAGTACATGCACTATATGGAGGTACGACATCGTATCATCGCTCATATGCACCCTCTTCATCTCGCCTTTGCAGCGCTACACGGCATGCTCAGCGCAGTCCATGGACCAACAACCGGAGATCCGGTGGCATATGCGCCCCTGCCTTGTCGACTTCCTGGTCGAAGTTCACTTCACCTTCCGCCTGCGCCCCGAGACTCTCTACCTCACGCTCAACATCGTCGACCGCTACGTCTCTCGCCGTATCGTGTATATCAAGCATTACCAACTGGTCGGCTGCGCGGCGCTCTGGATCGCCGCCAAGTTCGAGGATGCCAAGGAGCGCGTGCCCACGGTACAAGATCTCGTTCAGGTCTGCCGGGAAGCATACGACGAGTCGCACTTTATCCAGATGGAGGGCCATGTCCTTTCCACCATCGACTGGACGCTCGGCCACCCGACCGCGGAGGCGTGGTTGCGGGTCATGTGCTGCGACCCATACCCGGAGGATACCCGCGTACAGCACATCGCCCGCTTCCTCATGGAGATTACGCTTTTCTACCGCGAGTTCGTCCCCTACGCGCCGTCGACTATCGCGCTCGCTGCCCTGACGCTCGCGCGCTTCATCTGCGACAAGCGGCCACAACTCTGGGAGTCGACGTGGGACGAGACGCCCGAGTGCTTGGAAGTCGTCGAGTTCCTCGACATCCGGTTGGCGAAGCACGTCAACGACTTGTCCGAGACGGTCATCAAGAAGTACTCGTATGCGTTCTACTCGAAGGCGGCGACGCACGTCGTGCAGTGGTACTTGCAGGGTGGGCGGTATCAAAGACCGTTGGCGTCCTTGCCGACGAGCCCCGTTACTCCGCTGCGCTCGCCAGCATCGTGCAGCGGGACGCCCATGAGCGTGGCGACGTCAGTCTCCGACGACGACATGCCCATGACGCCTGTGACGCCTGCTCCGTCAGCCGACGACCCGTTCGGGCGCATCGACGACAAGGAGAACGTGCCCTCCACGTTCGAGCCGGTCCTGACATCGAAGCATCGCATGGAGCAGCCTGCCGAGCAGTACCTCCCTCACGACTTCGTCTCGTTCGGCCGCAACGTCCTCCACAGCCTGAACGTTGGCTCTCCGAACGCGATGGTCTCATAGCATCCGGCTCAAAAGTGTACACCCCCTCGCATCCAGCATCCGACTCTCGCACGCATCGTCCAAAAGTTCATCAGCCGCAAAATGTAATACCATACACGTCGCATCCGACACCAGCAATTCTGTCTCGCACGCCAATCATCCATGCATCACACTTTCATCCGCATCTCTTGCAACATCGTAACATTATTCTATCCCGGTATCCGGCAGGGCACATCCTAGATCGTCGAGCGGCGGGAAGCATCGCAGAGGGCGCGCACACACCCTCCAAAATGCGTCGCAACTTCATGGACAGTTCCATCTGCCCGCCTCGAGCCCTCTGTGTATACTCTGCACGCGCTCCCCTTCATCTTCTGGTGTACCCTTCACTCATTTTCCACTTGTCACATTATGCATCATCATCCCCCGCGCATCCTCATTCATTCACGTACATACTTGACCAGGGTCGACAGCCATTCTTAATCTTCCTTGCCCTCACTTTTGCCCCAACCATTACAACCTCCCTCGCCTTCGTTCAGTGTCTTACTTTATTGTTTCTTTATGGTAGTCTACCCCCACGCCAGATCCGGTCGGTCGCGCGCCTCACCAGCGCGCGGTTTGCCGGCGTCTTTGTTGACGTTGGTGCTTGCGCTTCTACTACTATCGTTTGGTGGGTCCATCGGCTTGTTACAGTAGTTGTTACATACCGCTCTCCGTGCGCATTACCTACGTATCCTTTCATTTTACTGCACTGTTGCATAATTGACTGTCGACCGCTACACAATCGAGAGAGCCGTGCTGTAGAATTTCGGGGTGATTTCCCAGTGGGCTAGTCCTTCATGATAGCTCGGCGCGTTTATGCAAGGTCTGGTTCGTCAGGTGGGGGAGGATAGGCGAGCGGGTGCTGTAGCATCAGGATCGTCCATTGCAGCGCGGGGGCAAACCGTGTGCGTGCGCCACCACGTCATAGGGAGGGCCTGGAGGTTGCGGGCGCGCGTTCGGGAAGGCATCAGGCGACGACGCGCGCAGCAGCGCCGTCGACACCGGGCACGGGGAGGCACGAGGGCCGTTGCTGACACGGGGGCGTATTGGGGGTTCTCGGGTGGTTCTCGAGGACACATGAGCTGACATGAGGACCCGCGAGGGCGTTCGAGGCGAGCAAGACGCGTTTCTGGCCTCATAGTAGGGTGGTGGAAGCTTTTTGGGCTTTGTCAAATGTGGAGGCGAGGGGGTTGGCGGGATGCGCGTTGCCGCTGGTGGTAGGCGGGGCTTGCTTACTACTGCCACCCGAGTTACTTGCGTCCGCCCCTCTTTGGAATTACTGTTCAGGAGCGTCGGAGGGTTCAGGACAGTCAGAAGGCTTGGAAGATTGGAAGGGTTAGGAAGGTTGGAAGGACCGGGAAGATCAGAAGGGGGTTGGTATCGCCGGTAGGGCACTTGACAGATGGGAATGGACGTTTCGACCTGGGCCCAGCTTTCGGAGATGCGTGCCAAGTCCACAATCTTTGCGGTGAACATAGCTATCCCTCAGCAGAGCATACAATATGTTTTGAAGTTCGCTGAGAGCTCTCGTACGTTGCTTCTATGCCCCTCCCAGCACACACAAGTCCAACAACGGAGACGGCGAGGGGAATTATCACTGAAAGGCACGTTTGGGCACGCCATGACGCGTGTTCAGCTGTGTTCAGGGGGTTCGTTTTTGTCATGTGACCGCGGTTGAACTTCTTTGATGGCCTCGGAGATACTTCTAAATACGGACACAAGGCGGAACCAGATAGGCATAAAAGGGACTTTGCGGGGAACGGAGTCGTTTAGAAGATAGCGCAATGCCTCCTGCACTTTGTCAACATTGGTGATGGGTATTTCTGAAGCCGAAGAATACCTGGATAATTTTGTGGTGGTAAATAAGGAGCGCGTACGGCCGGAGGACGTTGCACATGCGTTGCTGGCGCCACCATAATGGGAACCTTCCATTGTTCCCATCTGGCAAAAGAATGAGTGGCGGCCTACGTGCCGTAACGATATAGCATCCCAAGGCGCAATTTACACGAGGAATTTGCTGAGGTATTCATCCGGACTGCGGTGGGCTCCACGTACATGAATGCCGGAATAGTTGGACTTCCAAGGCGGTGCGCCGACGTGCCGGCGTCGCGAGGGACGGCAAGCAGCCTTGTGAGGCCGCACACCCGCGCAGTGAGGGCGCGATAGGAAGGATAGGATCTGTGAGGGGTCGGCCGACCGTCGCCGTGCTCCTCAAAGGCATGCTCATGGTTCTCGACGTCGACGACATAGTCGCGTCAGTTGATAGTTGTCTTCACTTGCACGAGTTTCGTGGTCGCCATTTCTGAAGTACCGATACAGGAGTTCTAATCCTCGCCTACAACTCCGCTATCCGATAACAATACAGATGGAGCCTTCCGCGAGACACAGTAGCCATTAGACAGGTCGCTGATAGATAGAAATATGATACACTGGGCGCTGCTTACAGGTACACGGTTTTCTCCTTCTATGCGCTCTCCAGGGTCGAAGCCATTCATTCGACGAGGCCACCGACGTTCCCGCGTCTGAAGTCGGCCCTTCAAGCAGCCGTGAGCTCGTTCCCGCGGATTCATGGGCCCCATGAACCCCTTCCCTCAAACATATGAACCCCTCACACAGACGCCGGCGTTCACTCGGGCGCCCACACTCACTCGAGCGCCCACACGTCGCCCTTCTTCACGATATTCACGCTCCGCTTCTCGTCGAGGCTGATACGGCCCGCGTTCAGGATCGCCGTCGTGAGCACCGTATTCTTGATCGTCGGCAGCCCGTGCCCGTCGAACTCGTCTGGCGTCGCGAGGCCGGCGTTCACCGCGCGCGCGGCGTCGATGAACTTTTCGATGGAAACGTAGCCGTAGCCGCGCTGGCCGTCGAAGTGCCCGCTCTCGGAGGGGGAGTACTTCATGCTATAGAGGGGGAGAGTGTTTGGTCAGTGAGTGTGTACATGCATATGGGAAGAGCGTATAGACGGCAACGCCGCCATACAACTTACTAGAATGGGTTATACCACGCCTTGCCGGTCTCGTCGTTCGTGGAGTCGTATCCTCGGTGCGCTTGGTCGACCGTGATGTCGCCCTGGATGGACACGCGGGTCAGCTTCGAAACCCCGATACGCCGTGGTCTCGTCCACGATAGAGTCGGCCACCGTCCGCAATAGGGTTGGCCATCACATGCTCCCGTGAGCAGTATGTCGTACCCCCGTGAGCAGTATGCCGCACCATCGTGAGTAGTATGCCGTACCACGAATACAACGCGAACACGCCCGCTCCCTGCGAAGACGTGCCGGTAGCACCTCCGTTGCTGCGGTAAGACCCCCTCATCTCTTCGAGGCCCCTCATTCCTCCGACCCCCCACCGCACGCACTCTCACAGAAACCCTGATAAATGTCAACCCGCTCACCTTCTCAGCCATATAATACCAGTGCTGCGCCGAATGCACCCCCGCCTTCAACGGCGCGGTCCAGCTCGCCGTATACACCCCCGTCCCGCGGTGCGTCGGGCTCTTCACGGATTGCCAGTCAACCAGCAGCGTGATCGTGTCCTCGGTCTGCGGGACGCAGTTGTAAGGTGCGGAGGTCGCGATGCCGGCGGCGGCGCTCGCGGTGACGCGCGTAGGGATGGCGAGGTCCTGTAGGATCCAGCAGCAGATGTCGATGTGGTGGGAGGAGAGGTAGTAGCTGGGGAGGGGGAGGGGTTAGTAAAGGTGGCGAAGGTGGGGGTGAGGGCGGTATGGGTGGTATAGGCGGTAAGAGGGTGGCAATGGTGGTAGGAGATGTACGCATTCACCTGATGTCTGAGTCCTTGCCGGCCCAGGCGCGGAAGGTTTCCAACTGGCTCTTCGGCTGGCTCATCCAGGCGCTAAAGAAGTTGAACTCGCCGAGGGTCTTGGCGCGCGCCTTTGCGTCGCTGTAGACTGGGTCGAAGCTAGAAACTGGATATTGAGATGTATTTCGTGCGTCCAGAAAGACAAGTTCGCACCGCTTGTGATGCTCGACGAAGCATATAACACCATTCTTCTCCGCCAGCTCGATGAGGTCGATGTGGTGCGAGAGCAACTGAGTAGCTGGCTTGGTGACGAGGACGTGCAGTTTCCTCTCGAGGGCGTATTTTGCGATGGGGTAGTGGGTGCCTGTGAAGCTAGTAGTCAGTTACGCAGAACGTGTATCTGGTGAGCGAACGTACTGTCAGGCGTGAAAATGATGACAGCCTCGCCTGGCTTCATTTTTTCCATCGCAGCCTTGTCTGCATGAATGTCAGTACCTGTCGTCGACATATCAAGAGGTATACCTACAGGCTTCGGGGTCCGACTTGTCCACCTCCGGGTAGTTGTCGAAGCTGTATATCAATTAGTACACATTGAAAGCTCCGGTCAGAAATCAAGACGCACGAAAGGTCCATATCCTTGTAGACCTCGCCAATGTTCTTCGCGAGATGTTCGCGAATGGCAGGGAATTTACTGCCGCTGACACCGGCCATTCCGAGCTTGTCGACCTTACCCAGTCGCCTCAGATCGAAGCATGTTAGGCCAACGACCTGTTTATTCTGAGCAAGAGTCGCGCCGATGAGGGATAGTAACATACGCCGATCTGTTAAGCACTTGCATTAATTGAAGCTATGTAGCAATGCGCGCCACTCCTCACCTTCTTGTCCGACTTCGACGCCCCGGATCCCGTCCATCCAGTCGTGTATTCACCCTATCTTCCAATCAATACAGTGCTGATCATTCGCTCTTCGACACTCACGGTACCGCCTGGAGGTGAGCAGTTAGTGTCCGTGCTGTTTAATCAAGCTAGCACGACGTACACATCAAGACATTCAACTTCTCCATGTTGGCGGACATCTCTGCGAGCTACGTGCAAGTCTGAGGGACGAGTTCAAAGGGTCCCGAGGTTTCTGCCCGCCGCTCTTTATAGAGCCCTGCGATCCGGGGAAAGCTAGGCGGGAGCGGGGAGCGGTCCGAGGTCGAAGGTACAGGTGGCGAGAATAGGGCGACTGGGCGGCCCGACGGTCCGTTGAGGCCAAAAATACAGCTGAAGAGTAACTCAAGAGTTGCTCGGGCTTCAGAAGTGGGAGTCAGAGAAGGAGAGGCATTAACAGAGAGTGAAGTCTTCATGGCGATAGAATCTCATGAGGGGAGCCTCAGACGAAGGAGTAGAGCAGGGAGGGAAATTTGCTGCAGATGAACCTGCTGCGGCGGAGGAATCCGTCCTTCAGTTCAGCCGGCCTTGTATGACTGCATTGAAGACAAAAGCAAGGGATAGGTAGAATGCCCGTCATACAGGCGAACTTGAATAACTATCAAAAAGGAAGGACTGGACACAAGTCAGCTGGTGACGGTTTACAGTAGGTCGCGGAAGATTCGGATGACCTGTCACAAGATCACCGGACGGATCAATTGCCTCCCGATCACATCACAACAAAGGATTCCTCCTTCCGAACTGTCACCTCCTCGATCGATGTTCTTGAAGACGTGCTCTCATGCCCTCTGCTCTCGGCGAATATGAAACTTTCCCACCATCAATCAGAATTAAGATGATAGACTGTACGTATAATCTGCGAGGTCACGGTACAACTTGTCAACGAGAAATCGTCGCCCGGCATTTCTGCCTTACATAGTCAGGGCATGGGCAGTCTGCAAAGCATCGGCAACCTGCTTCCCAGATTCAAGAAGCCATCGGAAGATATCAGCAGGCGTAATTGCGCCACTGAAAGCACGCTGAAGGACAGCCGGTACGCGAATCGTGATCGTGCCGTCGCTGACCTCAATCAGGCTTCCGCCGGCTATATTCGAAGTCTCCGCGTGGGCGTTCGCGCTGCAGTTGCACTTGGTCTTGACAGACGCTTCGTCTTCCCCCTCACTCTCGACGCACTTTGTCGCTATATAGGCCTCCGCAAAGGCTTTCAGGGCGAGGATTTTGAGGTTCGTGGTCGTGATAGATCCATCGTCGCACGCGTCGATCTGCTTCTGGGTGGCGTCGCGAGGAAGTAGAACTTTGGCATCGAGGTCGATGAGCTCTTGGAGGACGTCGTCGGAGACGCGTACAAGATCCTTGACCTCCAGCTCCGCGTCACCGAGGCAGGGCAGAGCCGGCTTGCGATGGCTGAGGAAATCGCTGTTAGTGAATCCGAATATAGCACGAAGTAATGGGAGACTCACAGGCCAAAGCGACGAGCTCTGTTGACGCTCAACATCTGATCGCGAGTGAGCCATTGGCCAGGCGCGACGAGGTACATGCGCCCACTGATCTCTTTCAGCACGCGTCACAGAACAAAGGCGTATGCGCTTACTCGACAGCTGGCTGCTTGCGCACCTTGGGAGTGCGGGGCTCCCAAGTGGCATCTTCAATCTCGGAGTCTGACGAGTCCTGCTCGACGGCTTTGGTGCACTTGCGGTCCGGTGGGCTGCGATAAGGGCTGGAGTCGAGCTTCCAGTGGCCAGAAACCTTAGGCTTCGTTGGCGTCTTTGGCATCTTGGCCGTCGGGTTGGGAGGTAGATGCAGAAGAGAGAAGTACAGGGACTTGGCCATTCAATGTGTGCTTTTGTACTTGTCAAGCTCAGGAGTGGGTCAGTGCAAACGGTTCTTTGTGCAACCTCCTTGCTTTGGCGTTCAAAGGAGCCAATAACGAGCCTCGGGTTCCGCATGTTCACGATGTTGCTGACCGTGTCGAGGATAGGCGGTAAGCAAGCAGGTCCAGTGAGTAAGAGGCGCCATATCGTTTATGTGCCTTTAGCACATGATGGATGCTGGCCCAAGCAAAGAGCTGTAGCACCAATGCGCTCCTGTTCACGTTACTCATTGTGTGTACTTGTATGCTGCAACTTTTTCTATACTTCCCGCTTGGGGGGATTTTCTGCTTGCTTCTTCCCGTCATGTACGACGCGCTGTTCCGCGTTTTGTTCAAGCAACCCCAAGTCCCATTTCCCCGCTCAGCTGAATGCCTGACGAGTACACGTCGCTCGCGTCGCAAGAAATTGTACAGCGTATGGAAGTGAATGATACATTCAAGTACTACAACGACACGCAATCGCTTTCAACGAAAGATCGGTCGGTCGCAGTCAGAGGTCGAACATCGTTTACCTCGCTGATCCAGGTCATGTGCAGGATTCGAACTCGACACCGACAGGCACGACACGCGGATACCACGCGTTATGAGGTCACAGCGGTCAATTCTTGCCTCGCCCCACTGCTGCGAGGCGCGGTTCCTTTTTACGAACATTTACGCCCATTCACGCGCCGCAGCGACGATCGGCTGGAGGCCTTCGCTTGTTCCTTCCCACCTCCATCATCTCTGCACTCCCAATGCAGCCGTCGTCGTCGCAGCCCGCGGCGGCGCAGGCCACTCTCGCCGCCCCGGACGTACTCCAACCTTCGGCGTCCCAGGACACCTCCTTCACCCCACGCAAGGAGTTCATCCGCTCGCCCAAGCCCGTCCCCAACATCTTCTTCCTCCTCGCCATCTCTGCCTCCAATTGCATCCGTCTCTACTCGTTTCCCCTCTCCTTCATCGTCGCCCTCCGCCGTCTCCTCGAGCAGCAGACCTCGATCATCGAGTACCGCGAGGATGTCCAGAACAGCATGTGCGAGTTCGTGCTCGAGGGAAAGCCCTGGGCCAATCCGAAGAGCGTCACCGCCGAGCGCCTGCTCGTGCACATCCTTGCCGCCATCTACCAGCAAGGATACACCTTTCTCTCCGTGATCGACTACGGCCGGGAGACGGACGACAAGCTCGCGATGGCCTTCTCGAAACCCTCCCCCTCCTCCGTGTCTCGAACCGACTCGCCCCGTCCATCGCAGGATGCCGCCGCCGCCGCCCCCAGCCTGTCCTCGCACAGCGCGCGCGAGCGCCGCGTGCCGTTCGCGCTCTCCTTCGCGTCCGCGACATGCATGCGAGTCATCGCGCCCCCGCTCCACTCCACCCCCGCCATCCTCCAGGCCGTTCGCGCCTCCTGGCCTCGTGGCGTCGTGTCAGAGAAGAAGGTGTCTGATGACTGTTTTGAGTTCAAGCTAAAGGGCTATCGATGTAGGATCATCATCCCGCCTCGACGCGCGCGAAGCTGACCGCCTATCACACAGGGTTCCAGGAGGACACATTCGCCACGGACTCGTTGCGGCATATTTTGTCGCTGCTGTCCGCGCTGGATGCGAACCAGTTCACGCTCCTCGCCTCGCTCTCGCTTACGAACCGTTCGCGCGTCAAGGACCTGTGGGTCTTCACTGGTCCACCGTCACCCTCAGCGATCTATGAGTCTCCTAACGCCTCGATGCTCGGCTCGAATATGGACATGCGTCGTGCGCCAGATCAATCGTACCAGCATTTGCCAATGCATCATCGCATGGCCACAGAGCCAATGGTGGCGCCTCTGCCTCACCCCGCGCATCAGCGCGCGGCGACAGAATCGACGCCGCGCCGTACGTTGTCCAAGAATCGACGCCCCAACACGCCGCCTCGTAACGGGACGCCGCCTGGGCAGCAGCCTGAAACTTCGCCCAACACGTTACGCAAGCCTGCGCCTCGTGCACAGGTGCCCGTGTCTGTCGCCTCCATCACAGACGTGGAGGATGAAGGTTTCCGCGCGCAGCTGCCCAGCACCGTGCCCTCTGGTGTGGAGAACATGACTGGTGTGGGCGCAGGGCCCCCTCACTCCGGTGGCCCTCTACCACCGCAGGTCGCGATGCCAATGCCACCAGCGGAGCAGACGCCGGATGTGTTCTACGCGACATCTCCTTTCACTACGGGTGCTCCGCCTCAGCCGTCGCCCGTTAGGAGCACGCACGAGCAGTCCAGTGCGCCAAAGTCGCGTGTGCCCTCCGATGAAGTTCCCGTCCAGACTATCGAGGAACTTTCTGCCGGGTCGCTGACACCGCCCTATCAGCCGGGTAGTCAAGTTAACACGCCTGGAACGCAGGCGGGTACGCCGCCGCTCCTCCCCTCTGGCGTCTTCCGCGACTCAGCCTTCTCGTCTAACACGGAAGAGAGCGCGGAGGTGCCGATCAAGTGGACAGGGCTCGCTGCGCGCCTACAAGAGGGCGAGCCGCGCCCTGGGATGGGCGAGCGTGTGCGCTCCGACCCCGACCCTCCTCTGCCTGGCGCGTGGCAACCTACGCCTGCGGAGGAGAAGCCTGCAGAGCTTCGCCCAGACTCGGGTGTGGGGCGGGAGGAGAGTCCGCCGAGGGAGGTGCAGGAGGTTTCTGGCCGAGTGCAATCGCCCGAGCTTACCGAGCCAGACGTTCTGCGGAGAAGTGAAGCGGGGCTCATCGAGCAGGCAAGTCGGAGACAGACGGGGCAGGCGGCGGAGATGGGGGTTTTGCGGTCGTCGCCCGAAGGATCTCCTAGCGTTCCCAGCTCCCCGACTTCGGCTACTGCTCGACCTGGTGGGCCGAAGACGAAATCTGGGCACACCTCCGTGCGCGGGTGGGTTCTTGTCAATGTCGAGCCCGTGTCGCCGAGGAGCGAAGCGGCGAAGGAGCTCGGTAGGTCGGCGAACGGCAAGGAGAACGAGACCAGTTCTGAGAAGAAAGACGTCGGCAAGGAGAAGGACCCGCATAAGGAGAAGGGCAGCGTCGCCAGCCTGAAGGGCAAGGGTCGCGACGCTGACTCCGCAGCGAGCAGCACGCGCTCGTCGCCGACCTCCTCAAAGCACAAGCGCGAAGGATCAGGCTCGGGCGCCCGCAGGTTCTTCTCCCTTACGCGGCGCGGGTCGAAGTCGGTGAGTCGCCGCCGCCAGTCGGCGCTCTTGCCGTTTTCCTCCCTGCTAACGCGAGGGTCGAAGAAACAGGAAGACGCGAGCAAGTCGAAGACGAGCTTCCGGAACCGGCTGAGGTCGGTTGGTACGGAGAAGGTGGACGACCGGGATGGTGCATAAGTTGCCGTCGTGCGGTCGTTCTCTGGACTCTTCCCTGAGGACACATCTTGTTTCTGGGACTGTTCGTTGTTTCTTTTCCGCGTCGCGTCTCTCCTTCGTCGTCCATGCTTGTCGTTTGGTCCTTGTTCATTTACTGTACCCTAATCCCCTGTCACTTGCTTGTTCCCTACCCCACTTGCTCATGCCTCACCCTTTTGCTGGTTCATCACAATTGTTCTATGCTGGTTCTTTTGTTACGTTTTCCCCCTCGACTCACGACCTACTTGCTACTCGCCCTTACTCCTTCTACTGACGATCATCTCCTGCGCACGTTGCACACCTTAATCCACCTACTCGCCCTTACGGTACGTCTACTGTACAAAGCCTTTCCTTTGAGCTACCCTTGGCCCTTATTTAATTACTGTAATCTTAGGTGTTGGCTATCTATCTACTAGAACAGTTGCTTGTTGGTAGATCCTCATGCATACTTTTGCATTGGCGCTTGATGCCCATATACACTTGCCTTCTCGTTCGGGAGAGTTTTTCTAAGTCTTGGGTGAACCAAGCAGGCTCGCCGTTCTTCTTAGGGGACCTCCACTTTGTACCAGGACGGTGCCAAATCTCAGCTACGGTGGACAAGCGAAGGTCAGATGGTGAAGGGGGGCTACAAAAAGAGAAAAAGGGCCTGACCGGGAATTGAACCCGGGACCTCCTCGAAACGATGCTCACACCCTAACAAGGAATCATACTACTAGACCATCAGGCCATTGGAAGTGGGTCATCCATTGTGCTACACAATCTCTACATTGTCAGAGTCCTCCTTTATAGCCTAACATCTGTTGTTTCATTCACCTTGCAGCAGTAGTAAGTGACCCACAGTGGAGATTGAGTGCTTCTCCGGCTAATGTCCCACAGCTGCCTGCAAGCGGAGTACCGGGCCGGCCTGCTGAAGAAGTATGTCATGGAGTCGCGTCCATCTCACGTCTTGACCAGACCCACGTTGAACATGGGTACAGACGAGGAGCATCGCAGGCTCCTACCTTTCTCTGCGACTCCGAAGAAGGTCTCGAAGGACTCTTGCCCGGAGATCTCTTCTCGCCGACACGGCACGACAACGCTCAGGTCACGGTTGCGCTTCTGGCTTCCAATCGTTCTTGCAACTGCTCTCTGTGCCGCTACCTGGTGCTACAATAGATGCAACCCCCAGGAGGATGTTTTGCCCATTGAACACCACTCTTCTGGCACCGAAAGGCCCAACTTGAGTTCCCAGTGGACCGATGAGGTTGCATACGATAATTACAGCTTGATCCTTCGAGGTCAAAGGATATTCTTGCAGTAAGCAACGCCCCTCTTTTACATATCGCCTACTCCTCAACGCTTCCAGCTCCGGAGAGTTCCACCCCTGGCGCCTTCCGGTGCCCGACCTCTGGCCCGACATCCTCGAGAAGGCGAAAGCCGCAGGTATGCCCGTTGCTTCACTCGCATGCTTCTTCGGTTCACCTATTCTCAGGATTGAATGCCGTGAGCATCTACACACACATGGGCTTGCAGAACCCTGCGCCCGGCGTCGTTGACTTCGACGGGTATCGCGCCCTCAAACCGTTCTTCGAGGCTTGCAAGGCCGCTGGTCTGTGGGTCGTTATCCGACCAGGTACGCTTAAGTGCCCATGAATTTCATGGTGATAGCGCTGATTTACCAACTACAAGGACCCGTACGTATCATGCGCGGTGAAGTGAGGCCGTTGAAGCTTATATTGACCCATGCAGTACATCAATGCGGAGACGACTGCCGGTGGCATCGCTCACTGGGCTACGAGTGAAGTCGCTGGAAAGCTACGGACGAACGCGACCGACTGGCGTGCGGCGTACCAGGACTACATGCAGGCAATCATCGCTGAAACTGCCCCGTACCAAATTACCGAGGGCGGTCCGGTTATCGCGATCCAGATAGGTAAGTTCGTGTCTTTGTGTGGGCTCCTCATGGTGGCCAGCCTGCGCTGACTTGAACGCTGAAACTATCGCTCCAGACAATGAATACGATCAGCACGTTCCCGAGCAGGCGGAGTACTTCCAGGACCTCATCGACTTGCTGCATGATTCGCCCATCGTCGTACCCATCACGTACAATGACCCAAATCAGGGCGAGAACTTCATCAATGGGACGGTAAGTTGCTCCTTAGGTCTTCGCCTTCATCACCTGAAGCAGCGCGAAAGGGCGCGGTAGACTTGTACGGGTTGGACTCGTACCCTGCTCGCTTCGACTGCTCGAATCCAACGGTTTGGAACAATGTGACGACGAATTACCATTCGTATCATGAAAGGGTAAATCCGTGGCAGCCCTTCTACTGTCCTGGTATGAGCTTATATTCTGTATGGCGACGGTGAAATGTAGACCATCTTTACAGAGTTCCAGGGTGGCGCCTTCGACCCTTGGGGTCCCAATGCTCCTGGTACGCCGAGCATATCTTTGCACCGCAACAAAGACTCATCTCGGCCCATCAGGTTACGAGAAATGCCACCAACTGACAGGCCCCGACTTTCAGTCTGTCTTCAACTTGAACCTCTGGGCGCAGAACTTCAAGCTGATCAATTACTACATGCTCTATGGGTACGTGCAATTCACCCGTCGCCTCGATCAGCAGGCTCAAATCTCTATCAAGTGGCACGTCCTGGGGTGCTCTTCCATTCGGCGCGGTTTACACGTCCTACGACTACGGCGCTCCTGTACGTCCGCTAGCTGTTCCTCCACTACGAGAGCCTAACTCCAGCTCCAGATCGCCGAAAACCGCATGCTAACGTCGAAGTACGACGAGCTGAAGCGGCAGGCGATGTTCCTTCGTAGCACGCCCGATTTCTACAAAACAGACTGGGTAGCAGACTCCGGCACGGGGCTTGCGGTGACGAGCAACTCGACGGTGTACGCGACGTTGTTGGAGGATCCGGATAGTCATGCAAGGTACTATGTGCTGAGGCATAATGATTCAACGACGACGTGAGCTGGATACGTTGTTCTCCGCAACGAAGACGTTAGAAGCTGACGATCCTCTCAGCGCCGTCACAGACTTCACCCTCGCTATTCAGACCTCAGGCGGTAGCCTCAAGCTGCCCCTCGTCGCCTCTGCCGTCACTCTCGGCGGCCGCCAGTCCAAGCTCGTCGTTACCGACTACGCATTCGGTGACTCAAAGGTCCTATACTCGACCGCACGGGTTTTCTTCGCTGGCAAGATCGACGGGCGCGACGTCCTCTTCCTCCACGGCGACGCAGCGCAGGAACACGAGCTTGCGCTGCAGCTTACCGGCACGCCAAACAAGATGCATGCGGAGGCGTCTTCGTTGATCGTTTGGACGCCGCTTGCCTCGCTCCCCCACGTCGGCGACGAGGGTGCCACAGGCTCAGATGCAACGGCCACCTCAGCCACCACCATCATCACCTTCCTCCGCGGCATCTCCGGCCTCATCACCGTCTACGACTCCGACACACAGCTCGTCCTCTTCGCCGATTCGCCCACCGCTGCGACATTCTGGGTCCCCACGCTCGCTGGCCCCAAGGACGACCCCTTCCGCCACTTCTGGTCGTTCGGGACGAATGACACGGTACTCGTCGGCGGGCCGTACTTGGTTCGGGAGGCGACGTTGGAGAGCGGGACGCTGGCATTGCGAGGCGACTTGAAGGAGAGCGCGTTCCTGACGGTGATAGGGCCGAAGGATGTGGTGGAGGTGACGTGGAATGGAGAGGTGGTGGAGAGTGTGAAGGAGGTCGACGAGGTGGAGGGAGAGGAAGAGAGCCGGTGGACGTTCGTCGGATGCCTTGAGATGAAGCTGCGCGCAAGCGATATCTCGGTGCCGGTTCTGGAGGGTTGGAAGTACAAGGATAGTCTGCCGGAGGTTCAAAACACGTTCGACGATAGCAAGTGGACACTCGCGGATCACACGGAGACGAATATTCCGTTCAAGATGCGGTATGGGGACGGGAGGGTGCTGTATGGGTGTGATTATGGCTTGTGAGTGCAATGCTTTCGGCTCATGTGGATGAAGCTGATCTGTGGCCCGAAGCTGCGAGAACATCGTGCTCTGGAGGGGGCACTTCACCCCTGAAGACACGCACAATCTCAGCATGAACTTGACGATAAACGGCGGTGAAGGTATGGAGTGGCAGGCTTGAAGCAGATTTGGGCGACTAACCCTACTTGCAGCCTACGCGGCATCAGTCTGGCTGAATGATATCTTCTTGAAGACGTCTTATGGGAAGTGGGTGCAATTCTCGAAGTCGTTGAGTGACATGCTGACCATCCGCAGCTCGTCCAACAACAATAATGTCGTCGATGAGACTGATTTGGTCTACGAGCTGCCCGAGGACGTTCTCCGTGCAGGTGAAGACAACGTCATTACAGTCGTCCAGGATAACATGGGTCTTGACGAGACCGGCGAGAATCCGGAGACGGGTGAAGGTACGAGCATCGAGAATCCAGAAGAGCGAGAGTTGACGTGAATCCAGAGGATCCGAACCTTTCCAAGGGACCCCGTGGTATCAGAGGATTCGGCCTATCCTCTGGGAAATTCGGCGATTGGAAAGTCCAGGGCAAGGTCGGCGGGTATAACGAGTACGTGTAATCTCCACTGATTTTCGTCGCCTGACCCTCTATGCAGCTACCCGGACAAGGTTCGGGGGATCATGAACGAAGGAGGGCTGTACGGCGAGCGGGTAGGGTGGCACCTTCCTGGCTTCGATACGTCCAGCTGGACGGAGCGTGAGCTCTCCGCGGGCTTGCCGAACGATGTCGCGGGCGTTGGATTCTTCGTGACCACCTTCGACCTCGACCTGCCTGAGGGTTACGACATACCCCTATCCTTTGAGTTCGAGGAGCCTCTCGGCTTGCCGTACCGCGCCTACCTCTTCGTGAATGGGTGGATGATGGGCAAGCGTGTTGGGAATCTCGGGTACGTCCTATGCTCCGGCGCGTCGGGAGCTGTAGCGCAATTTTCTGAATGAGTGGGCCCCTTTCAGTCCGCAGGCCAAGTTCCCAGTACACGAAGGGATCCTCGATTATCGTGGCTCGAAGTGGGTGATCGGGACTTTAGTTCGTCGGACCTTCAGCTGATGGAACCTGTCTAGCACCGTGGCTGTGGCGCTCTGGGCGATGGAAAATGAGACTATGGGCCCGAAGTTGAACTTGGTCGTCGACGGGTATGTTGAGGGCGGCGTTGGCAAGGTGGGAACGAACAATCCAGCGTGGTCACCGCAAGGGAGGGAGGCAGCTGTGGCCTGAGATTTCTCGAATGTACTCGTATGCGATCGAAATTTGATGCAGTTCTCTTGTTCCGTTCGTCCATTGTTCCATTGTTCTACCGGCGGGATGCGCTGCGTCACTGCATCGCTTGCCTTGATGCGCTCGGATCTAGCACTTCTGAGCGCGAAGAGGCCCAACATGAAATTTCGCGACTTGTCTCCAACTTAAATAGCATCCGCGCCTTGGCGGGAGCCACCACGGTGAAGTTTTCCTGACCCTCACACCCCTCTGAGTCGCATACCGCGTCCACTCCATGTCTCTGCCCACGGCGACCTCGTTCGTACCGCCGGGTACCTCTGCGTCGAGCGGGACGAGCTTCAGAGACGCCATAGAATCTTGTGCGTAGTGGACGATGTCGAGGGCGTACCCTGTACTCATGCTCGCACTCCAGATCGCCGCGCTCAGTACCTGAAAGCTGGTTCCAGCGTTGCGTCGGACTATGAGGACAGCGATGTCGATGAGGAAGAGGAGGACGAGGACGACCTCGAGACCCCCCGCCCGATCTCGCACCCGGACGAGGTCGTCGACCAGTTTGACTGGGATGGCATTGAGAGGCGACCTACGCCGCCGCCCCAGTTGACGGTACCAGTCACCTACACTGATCCTGCGACGTCGCGCCAACATCCTCCGCCGAATGCGTCGAATCAGGCCCGTGAAGTCACGCCTCTTCTCAACAAGCCCAGCATCGCGTTCGACCAGCGTCAACACCCGCGCCATGCGCCGATTCCCCCTCCCATTGATACCCATGCCCATGTTCACCATCATGCGCACCATCCGAACCTCGAGCGCCGTACCTCTACCGCGTCGATGAAGTCTATGCGGCACGTCGGGCACAGCACGTTCGGGCAGACCCTCTTTAACTCGATCGCCATTCTGCTCGGTATCGGCATGCTTTCTGAGCCTTTGGCCTTCCACTACGCAGGATGGATAGGCGGGACCATCTTGAATGTTATGTACGGCGCGATTACATGCTATACGTGAGTAGACGCGCAAATTCACTTCGACGCGATCGCTGACACGACAATTTAGCGCCAAGATTCTTGGGAGAATTATCCTTGCTGACCCACGTTTGCGCTCGTACTCGGATATCGGGCGCAAGGCCTTTGGTCCTAAGGCCACCCTGCTCATCAGTCTGCTCTTCTGCTTGGAGCTGTTCTCTGTCGCTGTTATTCTGGTCACTCTGTACGCCGATTCCTTGCACTCGATCATCCCAGAGATGTCTTCCAATGCGTACAAGGTCTGGGGTCTTCTCATGTAAGTTTATCACCCCTTGACTATCATCGCCTTACCTTGCTGATCTTGCTTCCTAGCCTCATTCCCACCGTATTCCTCCCGCTCTCTCTCCTGTCCTATACCTCCATCCTCGGCATCCTCTCCACCATCTTCCTCGTTATTGTCCTCTTCGTTGATGGCTTTACCAAGAAGGAAGCTCCCGGCAGTCTCTGGGATCCCGCTCATACTGAGCTCGGCGTGGGAAACTTCCGCCAGCTCGGGGTCGCCTTCGGGCTGTTCATGGCTGGCTTCTCTGGCCATGCAGTCATACCGTCGCTCGTTCGCGATATGCAGGATCCGACGGAGTTCGAGAGCATGCTGAACTACGCGTTTGTGGTGGCGACGGCGATTTATACGATCATCGGGTACGCTGGTTACTTGATGTTCGGTGCGGATGTCAGCGAGGAGGTAGGCTTTCCTGTCCTTGATTTTCTTTCGTTCATAGTGCTCACCTGTTCACCTAGATCTCCCTCGACCTCCTCCGCACCCCTGGGTATCCCAAACAGCTCAACCAAATTGCCCTTTGGTCTCTTGTCATCGCCCCCCTCTCGAAATTCGCCCTGACCACTCAACCTCTCAACGCCACCATCGAGATGCTCCTCGGCATCACCCCGCACATTGCCTCCCCCGAGACCGTCGCCAACAAGCCCCGCACCCTCGCCGGCGCCCTACCGCGCACCAAACACCTCCGCGCCATGGACTTCCTCCGCGCCAAGCACCTCCTCTCGCGCCCCGCCGCGCGCCACTTCTACGCGATCGTCCAGCGTGTCGTCGTCACCTGCCTCGCCGTGCTCGTCTCAGTGGTCGTCCCCGAGTTCAGCGCGATGATGGCGTTCTTGGGCGCGTTTAGTGCGTTCATGCTATGTGTGATTGGCCCGGTGGCGGCGAAGATCGCGTTGACGAGGACGGGGAAGATGCCCTTGCCGGTGGCGCAGCGGAAGGGGGAGGGGAGGAGCTGGTTGAGGGTGGAGGGCGCGATGGATGTGGGGTTGATTTTGATGGCGGTGGCGATGGCGAGTTGGGGGACGGCGGCGGCGTTTATGGAGAACAAGGCATAGGCGGGATGGATGTTCTGTGTTTTACTGGATACCCCACCAAAAGCCGCGCGTACTCACTCTCGCGCTGCGGCACTGGCGTGTATTGCGCCCCTTCTTCACATTGTAGTTCTTCACGATTCTCTGACCCTTAGTCGACGACGATTACTGACTTCACCTTTTGACGACTCTTCGACGATACTTACGATAGTCAACGCGTGCGTAGAAAGCATCACCTAGCATTAGTCCTTGTAGTGTATCTCTAGCATGAAAGCTATGTACAACCTGTGGTTCAGAATGTGCTTGACGGCGAGCCCAACACGTATGAGTGCCGTGGGTGCCAGGGGAGAAGTCACAAAGCTGGGCCAGTCGTGAAGTCAAGAGATCGGGTGCAGATGGTACAACAATGCAGGTACAACAGAGTACAGTAGCACTATGGCTTGGCAGCGCCGTGAGCAATGACCTTGGTCAGTTCTATGATCGAAGTAAGTATGCGCTTGTGCGAAGACGGATGTAGGGGTATACTTACGCGGCAACTTAATGCTTTCTTGCACCACGGTAGCCTCGATGTGGTTGTCCGGGTTTGGTGGGACGGCGACAACGTCCCCAGTCGTTGTCCAGCCCAGCTTCTCAACATACGCGTCAAGCTCGGCACCTGCAGTGATGATCAGTATGACGGAAGCGTATATCGAGGGGACCGCGGACCGCTCAGATCGAGGTACGTCGCTAGCCTGTCCTTCGAGATCTTCGTAAACGTCGCCTTCACCGCGCGGATCGCCACCTCCCGGATGGCATCCTCAAATCCGACGCACTCGACGGTGTAGTTATCGCGCAGCGCCTCGCACTCCGAGGACCGGTACGCCTTCCAGAAGGCCGGGAAGCGGCAGCGGTAAAGGAAGTCGTGGAGGCCCTTGAGCACAGGAAGTAGGGTGGGAAGGGGATCGGGCTCGTCGAGCGAGGCATTGGGGGGTCGCTCGTCAAGGAGGGAGATGCAGAGGTTGAAGTCGGGCCCGGGCACGGCGGTGAGGGCCTTGAGAAGGACGTTTACGACGACGTCGGGGTTGTAGAGCTCGGGGTTAAATTGGTAGCTGGATAACAGAATGAGATGGGTAGATAAGTGTGAGGGGGAGAAACGCACAGCTTCAAGATCGCCAAATTGGCCATGCAGTCATACTCCTGCGACCGGATCTGGTGGTAGAGGTAGTCCTCAAGGATGCCGACATTGGAGGGGTTGTACCGGTCTGCATTGTCCAGGTTTAAACTCCCAGATGGGCGCGATGGATATCAAAGTGCTCACCAACGCCGGAGACGAGGTTCTCGATGAGCTCTGTGCGCGTCGCGGGGGTGTGCCAGGTCGACATTTTGATTGCGGAGGGAGGGAAGGAGGACCGAAAATTTGGCACAGCCACCGGCGGGCTCCCTTTGTTTTCCTTTTACGCGCACCGACGCGACGCGTCTTCTTGATCTCGACCATGGTCGACGCGATGGACGTCGACGGCGGCGCGACGACGAATGCCAGTGAGGACGTGGTGAAGGAGGAGCCTGTGCCATCGCCGGTGCCCCCGCCAGCGGCGAAGACGGTGGTCACTCGTTCGCTTATGCCCATTGCTGCAACGATCATCACAACTGAGGAGGCTGGGCCTAGCAAGGCTCCTCAACCTAAGGAAGAGGAAGAGGAGGAAGGTCCGAAACCCATCCCCTACGACCCCAACAAGCCCCACTACACGACGCGCTACATCTTGACTGGGCACGCGCGCTCGATCTCGGCGGTCAAGTTCAGTCCGGACGGAAAGCTGCTGGCGTCCTGTGGTGAGTGTTGCTGCTCGCCGCTCTACGCATGTCCTTGACACGGGAAACTCAAGCAAGCCGCCGACAAGACAATCAAGATATGGGATCCCGAGATTGGAGAGATCGTGCATACCTTGAAGGGCCACGAGGAGGGCATCTCGGACATAGCGTGGTCCAACGATGGTCAGTACATCGCAAGCGCGTCGGATGACAAGACGGTCAGGATATGGAGCGTCGCGGATGTGAGTGGTATAATGAACTATCAAAGGCGCGTCTGACGCGGTTCGCAGGCCAAGGAAGTGAAGCGCTTGATAGGGCATACGAACTTCGTGTTCTGTGTCGCTTACAACCCGGCGGGCAACCTTATTGTCTCCGGAGGGTTTGACGAGACCATACGGATATGGGACGCGTCTAAGGGTGAGTATGGTCGGCTCTGTACGTGCCGGGAGGCTGACGACTTGTACGCAGGCAAATTCGTTCGCTTCATGCCTGCACATTCCGACCCCGTTACCTCGGTCGGATTCAGCCACGACGGGACTATGATTGTATCCTGCGCTATGGATGGCTTGATGTATGTCTTCTTTTCTGTAGCCCTGCTTCGTTCTGACCAGCCGACAGACGCATATGGGACACCGAGTCCCGGCCAGTGTCTCAAGACCCTCGTCGACGATGACAATCCCATCTGGTACGATTCTCTGCCCCCTCGTGTGCCTCCCTCACACCTACATGCTCATACCGCGCCCAGCTCGCACGTCCGCTTCACGCCAAATTCGAAATTTGTTCTCGCCTCGACGCAGGACTCGACGGTGCGGCTATGGAACTACCACGCCTCGCGGCCGGCGAAGACGTACACCGGGCATGTGAACCGCACATACTGCATTCCGTCCTGTTTCGCGACCAGCAGGACGGGCGAGCGGTTGGTGTTGAGCGGCAGTGAGGATGCGAGGGTGTACATCTGGGATCTGCAGTCGAGGCAGTTGGTGCAGGTGCTTGAAGGGCACAAGGATGTCGTGTTGGGTGTTTCGGTAAGTCATTCTTGACATTCCTGCTTGATACGGCTCGTTGACATGTTTTGTCCAGGTGCACCCAACGAAATGTATGCTGGCTACCGCCGCGATGGAGAAGGATCTGACGATTCGGATATGGGAGGATACTTTGACGTGACATCGAGCGATTCTTTCGAGTTGTACGGCCAGGATGAGCCATCGTTGTTCCCTACTAGTCTTGTTCAATTGTATATCTGTGCTCTTGCGCCTGAAAGTGGAACCTCTGCCACAACAGCGTCCGAATGACAAAGCCAGAGTCAAGTTCGGCGCGCCGGTTCCAGGATCTTCTGGTGCTGTCCACGTGCTGCGCGTCACATGTGCGGGGTTATATAAGGCGGTACCCCGCAGCCAACCTGCTTATCTCTCACTTTCATCTCGTACCACACCCACCGAACTCGCATATCCTCAGTTACCATGCAGATCTTCGTGAAGACGCTCACCGGCAAGACCATCACTCTCGAGGTCGAGTCCAGCGACACCATCGACAATGTCAAGGCCAAGATCCAGGACAAGGAGGGGTGCGTCGGCGCTTTTGTTCGTGGCGATGAGTAAGGATGTACTGACTCGCCTTGCAGCATCCCGCCCGACCAGCAGCGCCTGATCTTTGCGGGCAAGCAGCTCGAGGATGGCCGCACGCTGTCCGACTACAACATCCAGAAGGAGTCGACGTTGCACCTCGTCCTCCGTCTGCGTGGCGGCATGCAGATCTTCGTCAAGACCCTCACGGGCAAGACCATTACCCTCGAGGTCGAGTCGTCGGACACCATCGATAACGTGAAGGCGAAGATCCAGGACAAGGAGGGGTGAGTGGCGACGATGGCTGTCGCGATGACGACATGTGGCTGACCAATGCCTGCAGGATCCCGCCCGACCAGCAGCGTCTCATCTTCGCCGGCAAGCAGCTCGAGGATGGTCGCACGCTCTCGGACTACAACATTCAGAAGGAGTCCACCCTCCACCTGGTGCTCCGCCTCCGTGGTGGTATGCAGATCTTCGTGAAGACGCTCACGGGGAAGACGATTACGCTTGAGGTCGAGTCTTCCGACACCATCGACAACGTCAAGGCGAAGATTCAGGACAAGGAGGGCATTCCGCCTGACCAGCAGCGCCTCATCTTCGCGGGCAAGCAGCTTGAGGACGGCCGTACCCTTTCGGATTACAACATCCAGAAGGAGTCGACCCTCCATCTCGTGCTCCGTCTGCGCGGTGGGATGCAGATCTTCGTCAAGACGTTGACCGGCAAGACGATCACGTTGGAGGTCGAGTCGTCCGACACGATCGACAATGTGAAGGCCAAGATCCAGGACAAGGAGGGCATCCCGCCTGACCAGCAGCGCCTGATCTTCGCCGGGAAGCAGTTGGAGGACGGTCGCACGCTTTCTGACTACAACATTCAGAAGGAGTCGACGCTTCACTTGGTCCTTCGTCTCCGTGGGGGTAACTGAGGATGTTGCTTGACATAGACCCGTATATTGTACACTACCTACACGTCGTATAACGCATCGTCATGATTTTGGGAAGGACCTTGTTGTGTGAGCTTCGCAATTAGTCGAGCTTCAAGTATGAGATGAGTGTTGTGGTGTATGCATGAACATTGGAAGAGCAAGAGAGCGTAGCTCGTCAGTTCCGATCTCTCCCTTTACGGTGTGCCAGTCAAGTGATGTTGAACGAGGTCCTATGACATCTGATATCGTGGCTACCTGCGTACGGCCGTTCAGAAGCTGTCTACGTATAGCTTAGAGTGCGTTCAGCACGCAGGGCGCAAAAAAGATGGACTTGCTGGGAATTGAACCCAGGACCTTTCGCATGCACGTGGATCAATGCTAAGCGAACGTGCTACCACTGTACCACAAGCCCTTGAGGTAAGACACTGATGGTAAACTATATATCAGCCTGCAGAGTTGAATCTCTCGACGCGTCAAGTATGGCCTCCAGATGTCGTATCTAGCCCTGAGCAGACTGCCGGGTACGTCTAGAGTAAGATGATTATGGATGTGTATAATACAGCGACATGAGGACGGCCTAGTAGTGACCAGGCTCGTCGTATTCTTTGTGAGGTGTCCATTCTGTCGAAGGGGACGGCAATGGTGATAGCTGCGTATCCTCTTCTCGCCACTTGTATGTAGGGGTCGACGGCTCGGACGACATAGGCGAAAGCGTCAGCACGGCTTCTCCACCAGGTGGGCAAAGCGATGCTCGTACGTCGGGTTGTATGACAAACATGCCCGCGAGACGCAGGTCGTCCTCGTTCGGATGCTCGACACGACCAATCCTTCTGAGAACTTCTGGTCGGCCGCGCACGAACCAGATAAGTTGGAGAAGGCCGAGCGAGTCTAGGACATCGACGGCGCCCACGGTTCGAGACTCGCGCGGGCGTACCAGGAGCGCGTTTGTGGCCATGAGAAGCAACGATACGGCCAGACCGACGGCCACAGGCGTCAGGTTGAGCTGGGACTATGTTCAGCTAAGGTTCAGAAGGTATCGAAGCGCACGCACATGAAGTCGTTGCACGGCCTCTGGTACCACAACCGTCTTGATAGTCGAGCGCTGTATCGAGTATTGGTCTTGGTTATTAACCTGATTGACTGCACAAATCGCAGTCAGTGGATCGAACCGGAACACGAGAGCAGGTAAGTACAAGACCAAAAATACGAAGCCACGAGACGACTCAAAGCATTCTCGACGTTGTGTAATTGTACGCGACCACGCGAGGCGTGTATCTCCGACCAGCCTGGTAGCTTCAGACCCAGAAACGAGATGATGTACCTGTAATTTAGTGAGCGTGGTAGGATGGCGGAAACTAGACCAACGTACTTTTCCATGAAGCCCAACTTGTCTTGATCCGCCCCACCAAGAGTGAATGTTGTCTGGAACTGATTAGAGACGGCTGTACTCCACTGCACATTTTCGTGAGCTCGCATCGTACACATGGTTTGAGACAGCATACCAGGTCTAGAATATTCAAGTCGCCCGGCGCTGGTGGGTCTTGAGGCTGCCAAGCCGACAGACTCGAACTGATGGACAGGTTTGGAATCTGCCCGTCCAAGGGCAGACGCGTTGAGACCGAGATGTCGATAGTATGGTTGTAAGCATACAGATCGCAGCCCAGTATGGTCATGTTAATCGGCGTGCCCTGCTTGGTTGGCAGTGTAACATTGGGCAAGACGGTCCCGGCGGAGTCTTCGACGTCAAAAGTGCCGTATAGGTAAAAGCTGCGATTCGTTGCGGGGCCCATGTCGTCGGAGGCACGGCCAGGAAAGCCGAGAGCCATAGTATTGTTGGCTATGAGAGTGAGCAAAGTCCATAAAAATACAAGGAACTCGACCTACGTAGGATGAACTTGACCTTGACGTTGTTCTGCTGTGTACCGTTGGGGTACACATGCGAGATGTTGTAGAACGCTATCTGGTCGCCCATGAAGATGCTCTGGCTTTCTACATTGAAGTCATTGAGTGAGCCGCAGGTCACGTTGAAGGTCGTCGCGTTGACGTTGACGGTATTGTTGCCCTCATTGAGCACCAGCTGGTCGTACATGGTTGATTGCGCCAGCCCGACTGTCTTGTCCGAGTCGAGAAGAACGACGTAAGGCAGCAAACTTGACGCGTCACTGAAGAGCGCCCTCGCCAGCGCCGATGCATCGTCGTGTGAGTTCTCGGTCTGCGTGCTAAACGTGGCGTCTCAGTGGCGAAGGTGCGAGGAGCTGTAAGTAGACAACGTACTGCAACAAGCCATTGACGTGGGGATACGCAGCTATGCTACTCACATCGGCCGGGTGGGGATAAGTCCCGACCTGGAGTGTGAACATAGCGGGAATCGTCACATGAAGGATCGCGGCGTTGACCAAGTAGCTCGCTATGCAAGCAATCGATCCCAGGGCACTGCGTATCCTGCTCTGACCGTAGAGCGTCATGAGCGCCGATCCGAGACCGATCCACGAGTTATACTCGTCGTGCATCGCAGTTAACGTCTGCTTGCTTGTCAACAGTCGCCGCAGAGCAAGTCGCTGGGTAAGCCAGATGAGCAGGGCGCCATAGACCTGAAGGTGGGGGTTCAGTGATCGGATGATGGGAGATGAAGCGCAGCGCGCACCGTGGCGAAGACAGTCCCAGAGACAGTGATCGCAGTCGAGGTAAGGTCGTCAAACGTGCTGCTGGACAGTGGGATCACGACCTCCTCCTCCAGATGGTAGACGCAAATGATGAGCAACGCAAGGTGCATCCCGACGAGGAATCCATGCATCGCGTACGACAATCTCCGCAGGAAACGAACTTGGCTGATCGTGTTATTGAGCGAGGTCAGAAAGCGCTCGGCCGCAGCTAGGTGTATAAGTATTCATGTTCTTCAGGCAAGCACAGAACGCGCACCTTGGAAGGAGCTCCAGCTCGACTGGGATCGTGGTGCGCGGGTCGGGCCCGCCGCATTAGTGGTGGAAATCATGGAGTTAGCTAGCGCCTCTGCATAGAAACAAACGAATGACTGGGTGCTCGTCGCGTGAAGCGAGGAGGAAGGAGTGACGGTCTGAGACACGACGGAGTAACCCTGAACGGTCTATCCATCGCCGAGCTGAGGAAGTCGGAGAAGCAATCAAGGCGTGTTTCCAACACTTCGACATCAAGTTCGTTTGCCTCAAGCAGGGTAGTGGCCGTGGGAAGGCTAGTCGTATGCCCGTTTTGCCGTTGATCTTCAGGCTTCAAAATAGGCAAGTTCCTACTCGTGCAGGTGTACGCGAAGGAGGATGTTGTCGAATAGTGAGTATACTGCGGATCTTATAGCAGCTTCGAGTATGTACGACGTTGTTGTTAGCGAGGTACTGCTAGTGACGACCTGTATCTTCGTCCATCTCGGACTTGCTTGGCCCCCAGTCGGAGGCAGGCGAGTGTAATGGTACAGGCTGAAATACAAAGTCCCCTTGCCATTTGTACGAGGGCGTCGTCCGCTCGGACGTGTGTGGCAGCACGAACGCTGGACTATCCGACGCGTGTACCTTCGGCTGCACCGCGAACAGGCCTGCTAGACGCAGCTCATCCTCAGTCGGATTTTCGACGCGGCCTACGGTGTCGAGGACTTCTGGGCGGTCACGCAAGAACCAAATGATTTGCAGCAGGCCGAGGGAGTCGAGGACGTCGACGGCGCCTTTCAAGCGCGATTCGCGGGGGCGCACAAGCAGCACGTTGGTCACCATGAGAAAGAAGGACGTGACGAGTCCCACCGCGACCGACGTTAGATTAAGCTAGAAGAATTACACCGTCAGGAGGTCGATCTCATGTGAAGAGCAAAAACGCACATGCAATCGTTGAACGGGCTCATACACCCAAATTTGTGAATATTCCGTGAGTTGGCCACCGAGTTGCGATCCTCGGTGGTAGTTGTGTTGGTTCGCTGCGCAGGAGGTGAGCGTATTCCTTGGATATGTGGCACGGTGACCCACCGGACCAGAAGTATGAGGCAGCCAACTTGCTGAGGGCATTCTCAACTTCATGCAGTTGCACACGTGCCCTTAAAGGATTCAACGAAGTCCGACCAGGAAGTTCCATGCCAAGGGTCGAAACGATGTAACTGGAATTTGAGATCAGAAAAAGCGCTATAGCGGCAAGACGAACAGCGCGTACTTCTCCATGAAGCCCAGATATTTCGTACCCGGGCCTCCTAGACTGTACGTCGTAGAGCACTGTGTTGACACTGCTGTACTCCACTGATACCAGTGAGCGTCAGGGCAGCATGTGAAGGAAAAGGTCAAGTACTTACCAGGTCTAGGAGGTCTAAGGCTTCTGGGTCGACGGGGCTTTGGGGCTGCCATACAGACCAGATCGAGCTTGCGCGCAGCGGTGGAACCGCAGATTCGTCGACCACGCGCGATGAGACATCTACCGGGACCGTATGATTGTAGCTGTACAGATCGCAGCCAATGAGCGACATGTTCGCGGGCAAGCCACGTCTGTTGCTGAGAGTAAGGTTCGGGAGGAGTGTGCCCGCCGAGTCTTCGATGTCGAAATTGCCGTACAAGTAGAAGCTGCGATTAGACGCCATTTCTTCAGCGAAGCCAAGCGCCATGGCGTTGGTGGCTGATCGCCAATGTTCAATGAGCATAACATACTTTTGGAGCAGATAGACACGTACGTTGGATGTAGTTGACTGCGACATTGTGTTGCTTCGAGCCATCGGGATAGACGTGCGAAATGTTATACCAGACCACTTGATCGCCATTCTGGACAATGTCGTTCACTACCTCCACTCCATCCAGCGACCCGCAGGTGACATTGAAGGTTGTCGCGTTTACGATGGCGGTGCCCTCGCCATCGCGAGATTGAAGTTGACCATACAATGTGCTCTTGGCCAGACCGATCGTGTTCTCCGGCTGCAAATCACCGACATATGGCAGCAAGCTAGACGCGTCGCTGAATAGAGTGTGCAACAACGGGGCTACCTCGTCATTGGGACTACAGCTTTGGTCAGAGTTCTGGCTCACGGCAAGAAGCTAGGCACTCACTACAACCAATTATACGCGTTCGGATACGCCGGTATAATCGACGCCTCTTCGCTGCGCCCTCGAGAGGCGACCACCAGCGTGAACATGGCGGGAATCGTAATATGAAGGATTGCCGCCTCGACGAGATAGCTCGTGATGCAGATGACGGGGAACAGTGCACTACGGAGCCTCGTTTGGCAGTAAAGGGACATCAAGGCGGATCCAAGACCGATCCAGGAGTTGTACTCGTCGTGCATCGCGGTCAGGGTTTGCTGACTGGTGAGCAGGCGCCGTAGGGCGAGTCCTTGCGTGAGCCAGATGAGCAGGGCGCCGTACACCTGTCCGCGAGAGCGTCAAGTATTGTGCATGCTGCAGAAGGGAATGACACGAACCGTCGCGAAAACCGTCCCGGCCATCGTAATCGCAGTGGCCGTCAGGTCCTTGAAGGTATCGCCGTTGATTGGGATCTCCACTCTCTCCTCGAGGCGGAGCAGAGCGATGACGACAAGCGCTACATGGATCCCGAAAAGAAAGCTGTGGACAGCATACGACGCTCGTCGGAGAAAACGACCTTGCCCAACCGTCTCATTGATTGAAGTTATAACGCGTGACACGCCGCCTGGTAAGTACTATATGAGTATTTCGATTCCCACAGAGAGAAAAAAAGGCGTACCTCCCCAACTAGCTTGAGTACGAGATGAGCGCGTGGGAGAATCATCGATATCAGGAGACATGGGATAAGGAAAATGAGAGGAGAAAAAGAGTGAATGTTGAGCAGACCTCGAAGCGATGGTGGTGGAACGAGACACAAAAAGTCCGAAGCATACATACTAGGAGTTCTGAATCTTACCCAGTTCACTCCGAATCCCGAGACCGTGAGGCCGATGGATGGAGCCCGAACTTCCCAGCAGTTCAACATGTCGGCTCCGCAGAATCACGTTACAAGGGTCGCGGCACGTGAGCTTTCGGCGTTTGCCGACGCCGGCCCATGATGTTGATCTTGAAGGTCGGCCTCACAGGCGACTTGAGGTTGTGGAAAGCGACTGTACTCACTCACCCTGTAGCTGCTAAGCCTACAAGTGTTGTATATTGGCATCATATAGTAGCTCTGGCATGAGTGGAAGAGGCAGGATGTTGAACCTTGCTGGATGAGGAGAGCCCACCACTGTCGCGTAAGGCCATCGCAAAGAAGGGTGATGAGGATGTGCAACCTACATCGGCGGCACTGGCGGTCCAAGGAGGGCTCACCAATTCCCATGCTCCCTCCCCGACCCGAGGTCAACGCCAAAGACCGCTCGTAAAGGCCCCGATGAGGCTCACACGAAGCCTCCCCGCCTCGCTGGCATCCCGCAGTCGGTATAGGGCCCAAAGTAAAATTTCGTGGGCACGGTGGGAGACTTCGCGACCGCGGTCAAAGTCATCGTGAGCGCGGTGGGAGACATCGATGACGGGATGGGAGGCGTCGTTGGCTTGGCGCGGCGGCAGTAAGGCGGCGTGGCGAACGGCAAGGCGATGCGGTGGACGGCGAGAAGATGCGGGCCAGGAGACGCGGTGAGTCAAGGCGAGGGAATGCGGCAAGCGGCGAGGCGATGCAGCAGATGGATTGAATGCGAGGAATGTGGCGAGGCGTTTGCCGCAGTCGAAAGAAGGCCGACACGAGAAGCTATCGCAGAACTTCGCAGCTATCGGGGCGTCCGGGATTTTCGTGCTGTGTGTGATGCGCTTCGACGGTGATAGCCCCGAGGGTATCAATACCGTGTGCGCCAAAGCTTCGGATGGCTTGTAGGTGGTGGTAGGTTGGGCGCAGTAGGGTAGTAGGTTGGGTGCCAGGGTGGTAGAGGGAGCAGTAGGGTAGAGAATTGGGCATTACGGCCTACCCGGGCAGTCATCCTTACAAGGCAGCGCCGCGGCTAGCGATGAGGGCGCTGTTGAGAGTATGAGGGACTTGCTAATAGACTTCGACGACCATATGCCTCTGGAGTGGGGGCTAGAGCGTCGCGCACGACGAGTGGTGGATAGCCGACTCCCAGTATGTTGGTCCAGGTCGTCGTCGTTTGGTCCCGGTAGACGATAACTCCGTATCACTTCAGCACTCCAATCGTCCGCGCTGCGCATTTCGGAGGGACTCTCGTTCATGGAGCCATTCCGCGTCCATGGAGCCATCCGCGGGACGGGCTCGGCGCCGATAATGGAAGGGGCGGAGGAGGACGTCGGTCATCATTGGTCGAGAGGGAGCGAATGCATTGTGCATATGCATGATCGATAGGTAGATTTACAGGGGACCATCTCGGTCGAGGGCAGCAATCAACCGCGTTCGTCGTGGTGCCGATACGCGCCATCGTGCGCGCGCGCGGTGGCGAGTCGAGGATATACAAATTCGGTGCGCGAACTGCGGGTGAAGAACGTGCGCCACTGTGTTGTGTTATTGTCGTGCGTTTGAGGATGGCGAGCGGGATACGGGGATCTCGGAATGGGTTGTGAGAACAGATGGGGGCTCGGGCGTGAGGTGAGCAGAGCTACGAAACGATAGGCCGCCCTGACGACTCACGGCTAACGTTTCGGCGGCGCAGGACGACAATGGCGCCGAAATTGCGGGTCTTTGGTGCTTCCCGCGGCTGGCGAAGAAGTTCGATCCCGCAGGCAATCTTCCTTTTCTCCACATCCCCAACGACTGTAGATTAGCCTTCCTGGGTGAGAGATATGCACGCCCCTGCGCGATCGTCGTATTTACGACGATTTCTATCCCGCAGAGTCGGAGAGATATGGTGAGATCTCTTATCGGGACATCTTCGTTCGGCTAGCAGTGCTGTCAGTGTGCGGACTGGCAGCGCGCATGTGCAGCAAGTCGCAACAATAGAGAAGAGGCTGGGGGAGGAGGAGACGGTTGATAGCAGCCATTTGAGGAGAAGGAAGGGAGAAACAAAGAGACGCGCGCGGCCATGCTGCCTGCATATGTAACAACGTGCTCGGTGACTTCTACTGAACGCTATCGCTCCGACAGCGTCAGCATCACGTGACTGATATGGACCTACAAACATACATACCCTTCTCATACTCCGTCTCCCTTACATTCCGCACCTCAAAAAGAACATCCAAATGCCTTTGAAAATCGGCAATATCTTAATTCACTCTATCTTACACCGAAAGCTGTCGTAGGTACGAGATGCGGTATACAAAGGCATTTTCCCCGTCAGCATCACGTGACACCCGCACGCCACACAACATCAGCACTCCAAGCGCGAGACTTTGTCCGTGCGCGTAGCATCGTGCTTACAGGGTATCCACCACTAAAATACCTGACTGTAAGGGTACAAGGAGCTGATATTGTTTATTGCCCCGAATATAATAGTATCAGATGAAAGTAATCAGTTTCAAGGCCTCTATGTGAGCATATTCAAGGATATGTGCCTTAAGGATGCTCCTTTATGACTTTATGATCAATGAGAACATTTGACACGAAAAAAGTGTGTCCTGAAAGGCTGTGATGGGGTCGAAGCGGCACGGCTGAGGCACAAAAGTCAAAAACACACAGGGATTCGAACGACATGCCCCCGCCTGAGCGTGCGAACACTTTTGACGCTTGACCACTGCAGCATGCCGCCTTTACTTTGGCCTTTACGGCACAAGATATAACAGCAGAGGCGGCCTCAGGCACCCCTCGCTGACGACATTCTGCGTCCCTTCCTGTGTCACAACAAGCTGTTCTCAGATGATATGACTTTGCTTAGTCTATTCCATGATAGTAGGTAATTACTATGGGGTTCCCCTCTACGTAGAGCGCTGGCAGGCGCGAGCTCGCGGACCGCGGACCGAATCACGTGATGCTGACGCCGTCGGAGCGATAGCGTTTCCTGTGACTTCTGGCGTGTAGGGAGGCAACATATCGCTTGCCTCGCTTCCGGCGAATATGTAACGTGTTCGGGGAGATTGAGGAAAGGAAGTGTTGCCTATTATGTAGGAAAGAGGGCGGGTATCAGGTCTGAACGGCAGGCTGTTCGGCTGGGTTGTAGGGCCAGCCTCAATTCAGGCTTCTGCGGCGTGCCTGCGCCTCGCAAGAACCGCACGCTGTCGCACACGTCCGCGGCGGGCACGCCTGGAATACGGGGGCTGGCCGGGACCGGGAGAAGGAGCGTTCGGCGGGGGGAGGGGATGGGGTAAATAGAACATTGATGGGCGTCCGCCGTCCGGGACGAAGGCTTGGCGGGCGAGTGACGCCACGGGAGCGCGACGCGTGCTAGCATAATCTTAGCTCACTCTTATATCTCGCACCTGATGGCCCCGATCCCTCTGACGCTGCCCTTTTGCGACCCCAGGCGCGAGCCACACACCGCCGCCCATCCACCACCATGGGCATAGGCATCCCCCAGTCCGACGTCTTCCGTCCCCGCCTCCCGCTAGATCCGTTCGATGGCGTCGACCTCAGCGAGCCCTGGGTCCTCGACCCCGCCGCGCTAGCAGTCCATGCACTGCGTCTGCGCCGCGATGTCATCCTCGCCCTCGGCGGTGCGTCCGCCCTGCAGTCTGCCTGTATACAAAACTGACGTCCCGGCCAGCGCCGAAGACGGAGGAGCTGCTCGCGCTACTCACCGCGCAGACCCTCTCCTGTTCGCTTCTCCTCGTCGTCACGCACGAACCACCTGACATCGACTTTGACGCCCCCTTCGGCCCGACGGTGCGCGTACTGCGCCTCGGGCGCGCCCTCTCCTCGGAGGACGCGGGCGAGCTCTGCCTAGTCAGCGTCCTCGAGCACGCCGAGACGATCGCCCGCCAATGGCGCGCACAACCAGATTGCATACCGGCCGGTACGCGGCGATATGCTGTCCTTAGCGCGGACGAGGACGGCGAGTTTTCGGTAGTCGAAGAGCACGCGGACAGCCCAGCTTCATCTCTATACCATGGTCAGGCGCCACACTCTGTATCCGCGGCCCCAGCGCGCCGGCACTCCCTCCTCACCGCCCTGAGTGACAGGACCTCAATCCCGCGCAACAAGGCCAAGGCGTTCAAGGAGGCAGCATGTGGCCGCTCTTTCGACGTCGTTGTCAACTACCTGTCTGCCGCGCTCGCGGAGAAGCTTGTGCTCAAGCAAGTAACCGTGATCACGAACGTTTCGCAGCCTTTCCTAAACTCTCCCGCCGCCGCACATCGCCCACCTGACGACAAGGGCAGGCATAGCCCGCGCCACCTTACCACCATACTAGCCGAACCCGGAGGCGTGCCGGCAGCTCACCACTCCAGCGCACCACCTTCCCCGCCAATTCGACGTCGTACCATCTTCAGATCCGGGTCGGCTGGCCCCATTATCGATCCCCACGTATTCGCCCCACCAACCCCTGCAGCACACATCATCCACGTTATCCATCCCGGCTGCGCTGCAAATCGTCCATCCCCCATCGTGCAGAGTGTATCCCAGTTCCTGCATTCCCTGTCGGACCGGCGATGCCCTGTCATGTCATACCTTGTCTCTGGCGGCCTTCTTGGGTACTCACCACCCGGTGCAGAACTCAATGTGGCAGACATCGCCCTCGCAGGGTTGCTTGACCGACCAGAAAGTGACGACGATGAAGATGATGTGCCCGTCAGTGCAGGCTTCCTCCGCCGATACGCGCAGAAGTACAAGCTGCGTCCCAAGGCCGTTATCGAGAACTTGGGAGATATCTCGGTGGCAGGTGTCGACTCGGAAAACGCCCATCATCAGCATTACCAAGATGGGATGATCTACGTGTACACGAAGGACGGCGTGCGCCAGTACGATTGCGACCCAGTAGCGCGGCCAGCTGCGCTTGCAAACATGCTACGCCGTCGCGCATCGGCACGACCACCGCTCAGCGAAGTCTCCGCCAACGCGCCAGTTGCCGCAAAATCCAAGCGGACAACGTCGCGCTCGCAGAAGACGACGCCGCCCTTATCAACCTCCGCCACTTCCGTTCCCTTCCCCTCCGCCAACCCACCCTCGCCCATCCGCTCCGCCTCCCCCGACGACATCCTCAGCAAAAAGCGCAAGATATCCAAGGTCGGCGACAAGATCCTCCGCCGCTCGACCATCAGCGACCACCACCCGCGCGTCGCGAAGCGCCCGAGCCTCAAGCACGGCAAGAGCCTGAAGCGCGGGCAGAGCCTTGGCTCCGCGCACGGGCTCGACGTCGTAGAGGCACAGCGCGCGGACAAGAAGCAGCGCGTGCACAGCGGGAAGGGCCGGAAGCGCGCGGACAGCCTGAAGATCGCGCGCAAGCACGCGGACAGCAAGAAGCGCGCGCCGGACTGGGACGGCGCGACAAAGAAGCGGCCGGATAGCTGGGGGCAGGCGAAGCGGGGGGAGAGCCGGGTCGGTGCGGCGGGCGGCGCGACGGTGCAGCGCTCCGGGAGCACGCGCCTGCGGAGGAAGATGATGTTCTGGCTGGCTTGAGCTTGTGGGCTGCTGCGATTGGGCTTGTGGTTGAGGGTCCCTCGTTCCATGCGGTTTGTGTATCGTATCATCTATCCCTTCTATTGACACCATTTCGCCTCATAGTTACCTTACCTCTCCTCCGACGGACCTGGTCATAGACGTGGTTTCCCATTTGTTGTACAACTTGTACCTCCACCCCCGTGTATATCTCGACCGTCTCCATTCCCCTTCCCCATTGTCCGCTCTCCTGCATTCACACCCTAGACACTTGCGACCGGCTGGCTCTTGTTGCAACACCCATGCACTCACGATCCCTAACTTACTTGTCAGCACTCCTTCTGTCCTCATCCAGCTGTCGTTTTGTGTCTTGTATATACATGCAACCACCGTAGCTATCGATCTCGCTACCGCTGCTGATCTTCTAGGGATTTAGTAGACTATCGTACATATTTATGCAATGTTGTCTTGCACACGCGTCGCTCGTCCGAGGCTTAGAGGTTCAGCCTGAACATAGGCTATCCTGCTGATATTGGATAACCGTCCAAACTGGTAGCGGGGGCCACACTCGCGGCTGACAGGACGCAGCGGACCCACCAAGTTGATGTTCGTTTTGGGTGTAACAATAGCCTCGGGCCGGCGCACCGAACCTTGCTCTTGCCTATCATCTTGTGCCTCCCTCTCGATTTAGATTCAATTATCGCGCCCTCTCTACCCTATGGCGACAACCGGCGGCCCGCGGTATGATTATGCGCTTGTTCACGAGCCAAAAGGCACCTCCTATCGGGGAAAACCCCACCGAAATGGCTTCTCCCGGCTGGGCGAGTACAAGGACAAACACGACGAGCGGACCGCGCACGAGAGCGCGATGTTTATCTTGAGTAGGAAGAATAGGGCGTTGCCTGCCAGGTAATGCAGTCTTACATGATACGGCCGATGAGTGGCTCATAACGCAAGTCGATGTTAGCCTGGATGCCATGAAAGCAGCCGCGCAGAAATACCGGCGGTTGGACAAGCCTATACAGCAGGCTTCGCTGGAGGAGGTTTCCGCGAGGTTGGGCGCGGTCATGGAGACGATCCAGAAGCGCAAGAAGCAGCATGCGCGCGATATGCGAAGTTTGTACGAGTGGCACGCGACGGTGTATAGGGATGAGATGGAGGACATGCGCCGCTGCAAAGACGAATACAGTCCGAATGCAACGAAGGTGGGCTTGCCACTTGTAAATGAACTTTACGGGTGCTTACTGAGCTTGCGACTCGCGCAGGAGACTGGCCGACTGTATGCGCATAGCCGCTTGCCGCGGGTGAACCCTACGGTCCGCTCGTTCAATAGCGTCGTCGCACAACATCGCTGGGCCTACTTGAAGTCTATGATTCCGCTTCAGCGCGAAGTCAAAGACCTCGAGGAAGCCCGCATCAGGAAAGAGGAGGCGCGCGTTGCGGATGAGCAGCGGAGACGAAACGAACTCGAGCGTCAGCGTATAATGAAGGAGAAGGCCTTCCCGACGAGTATCGATGACTATCACGCGAAGTCGCCCGCCGTACAGAAGCTAGTGCGGGAGTACTTGACGGAGACATATCCTCTGCGCAGGACGCGGATGATCCAGCAGCATATGTGGGACAAGGAGGCGGCCGAGAAAATGTTGGCCATGATGCAGAATAATGTGAGTACAAGCGACTATGATGATGGGACGATGAGTTGACGCCGTGCTATAGCCAGCTTTTGCAGCGGTCATCGCGGCCGCGAAGATACAGGACGAGTATGCAGCATCTTCCAACGTTACGAGGGATCCGAGGCTTGCGCGTCGATAGAATCGAAGGGCTCTTAGGGAGTACAATATGTATACCTTATGTCTGAATATGTGATCTCGCGTAGATAATGTATGTCTGCTGTTTCCCGAGCGCGGTGTGCGAGGAAGACACTGGTGCAAGCCCTTCCATCGGCCTGATGGTCTAGTAGTATGATTCCTTGTTAGGGTGTGAGCATCGTTTCGAGGAGGTCCCGGGTTCAATTCCCGGTCAGGCCCTTTTTCAATCTCCTTTCTTATGCAACGCAAACTCAGTCGCAGAGGAGGGAGCAACACTCCATCTCTCGTCGTTGTGTCGAAGAGCTCAGGCAGCATTCACAGGCCGGCCTCATATAGAGACCCCCGCTGGACGAGGAGGCTATATTCACAGCGAAGTAGAAAGCGTGTAAGTACGTGGCTGCTGCTATGTAGAGTAAGTGATATCTAAAGAACATGGCTGAATAAAGTTACAGATGCGCGAGTTGTACACTATGACCTGACGAATTCCGTCGAAGGCGAACATAGGATGCAGGTATCAGTTGAGTGCACAGGAAGATGGGGGCGAGAATTCGGAGGAACCAACTAGCGGAGGAACCAACTAGTGGTCGTATCACCAACAAGAGGCAGGCAGGGATGAGGGCGGAGGGCCATTGACAGGAGTCATATGCGCCAATGCTTACGGTCATGCACCGTTGGTGGCAAGACGGTTTGTCCAGAGCAGGTACGGCTCCTTGCCAGGGTCGGACGCTGCGTTGACTTTGCGTGAGCTACGGCGCGCTTCGGGCGCGAGCTGCTTCGCGTTGAGATCCTGGGCGGAAGATGAGTCTGAAGGTCACTCATGAGAAAGAATATACGTACCGCATAGCGCTTGCGCATGCCACCGGTGATATGGGGCCACCACTTCGTCAACGTGTTCTTGAGCGCCAGCTCGCGATGTCCCTTGACATTGAGCCACTGCATGTAGCGTTCCAGCTCCTCAACCTCCGAGTATACCGCCCAGTCCCCAGAGCCCAGCATTCCCTCACTCGTCTCTTCCTCCAGCCTCCGCGCCTCAACGTCCTCCTCCCTCCGCTGCAGTATATCGCTATCGAACTCGCTTGGGCCCTGCAAGAATATCCGCCCCGTCCCGTACTGCACCGCACCACCAGGGCCCAGCAACGCCACCGAGCCCAGCCCATCGAACCACCACACCCGGTTGTAGAACCTATCCCTTCCAAGCGGCTTCACGCGCACCCCGCCGAGCAGTCTTCGGAAATCGCGCTCGATGCCCTCCAGCCTGCGCTCGATCTTGTTGACCTCTTCGTCGAGGCGGCGGTGCTCGGCGAGCGCTTGCTTAGCCGACGCCTGCTTGGCGCGCGCGGCCTGGCGCTGGGTCGCATGGGCTTGCATTTGCGCCTTCTTCTGCAGGCCCTTGCCCTTGCCGCGCTTCGTGCTGCTGGTGCTGGTGGGTGTATCGCCACCTTCGGAGACGGGCGTTTCGGAGGTCTCGCTCGCGACGTCGGCCATGGTGACATCCTCGTCGGGGATACCGTTCTTCGCGTTCTCCTCCTTGATCTCCGCCATGAGATTGTTCATCTCCTCAATGCTACGGAAGTTACAGGTCAGCGTCATCCACTCCGCATGCAAACGAGCACTCACTAAGACTTTTTCTGCCTGTTGACCTCAATCTTCTCCTTCCTCAGCGCGGTGAGCTGCTCCTCGCACTGCTCCATGTGCTGGTGCACGGCCTTGCTTGAAATGGCGACGTCGCACATGAAAGTCAGGATAGCGATCCGGTCCTCCGGAGGCAAGTAAGGGTACGACACTTCCGGCACGGTAGGGTTGTTGTTCTCGTCGAAGAGCAGTCGTGTCAGGACTTCTCTTAGGCGAGGGAAGTTCTGCAAGTTTGCATGCTAGAGCGAGTGTCAGTACAGTTAACATGACAGCAACAAGACAGACGAACATCTTTCAGACAGCCCACCATGGCATCTTCCCAGCCTGCGCGCCCTTCATTCACTCTCAACGCGACTCGCTCCCAGTTGCCGCCGACCTCCGCCATTGCATCGACGAGTTCTTGCAGAGATATACCCCACAGGGAGTCGTCCACGTTCCGTGCCTCATACCGATCCTTGAGTTGCAGCAACGACAAGAGCGCGCTATGGCGATGGAAGGGTATTGTGCGCAGATTGTAGATCAGCACGGCGTGCACTTCTGCTAACAGCGCGCAAGGTTCTTCGGGGTCACTGTGTCTTAGCGCGTGCTCGAATTCATCCAGCGTGAATGGTGATATGTGTAAGGCGGACCTATAGTGCGATGAGTAAGTTCTCAGAAAGGTCGAAGAGTAAACTTACCCATGACCGTTAATGAAGTTCCATGCCAAAAGGAAAGACTCGAAAGTACCGGGGGTATCGTTGAAGGGCAGGGCTGTCCGAGAGGCTAGCGGTCGCTCTAAGCGCAAGCCGGCAGCCTTGTCCTTGTCTGTCAAGTGCACGTCGAGATCCTCGGTAGGGTACCGAATCGGCTTCTTCTTTTTCTTCTCTGCCGCCAGCCGCTCGGCCTCCTCCTTCGCCTTCTGCGCCTCTGCCTTCTCGCGCTCCTTCTTCTCGGCCAGCGCGGCAGCAGCGCGAGCTACGAGCAGATGAGTTCGGAGGTCCGTACCAAGAGCTGGAGTTAGCGGAACTTACCCTTCTCCTCCTGCGCGGCGGTCATCTTCTTCTGCTTCTTCGCCGGAGGCCCGTCCTTGTCTTCCCAGTGCTTCTTGCGCTTGTCCATCTCGCCCTTCTTCGCGGCGTTCACGCCCTCGCGCGTCTTGTCGGGCATGTTCGAGGAGACGCCATAGTGCGCGGCGATGGCGGGCTTGACGATCCATGGGGAGGCGACGGCGGGATCGCGGTCGACGCAGTCGCGGATGAATCGTCGGAGGATAGACTTGGAAAACGAGAGGCGGTCGCGGCTGGTGTGGCATGAGTATTCCATGTTAGAGATCAAGTTGAAGCCGGAGAAAGCATACCTCATCATGCCGCACTGCACCTCCATGACGCTGCCGATCATCTGGTCGTCCTTCTGGGGAGGAGGCGCCTTCGATCGGCGGTTGTTGGGGTCCCTCTCGAGTTCTAGCAGGGTAACCCAATAGAAGTAGGAACACGGGTCATCCTTCGCTACGGAGTCCTTGACGGGTATCGAGAGGTCGCCTCCGATCGTGTGGGGCGGGCCCTCTTCTTCCAAGGCAGACGAGGATGTTTCGCCCTTGCCGATAGCGTCGCGGGCATCGACATTGCTGCTGTATTTGGGTGGGAACACCTTTTCGATTCGGGCGTGGTATCTGGAGCAGGTGAGTAAGAGAGGGAAGAGGAGGGGAAAGGCTACGGACTTAGTGCCAGAAATGTCAACGAGAATACCTGAGGGGATGATCAATAGATGCACGGGATGTGGCATTGGGTATACGCACGTTCGTCCTTAAAGTAGCGGTCCTTGAACCTCTCGTACACAGCTTCAACAAGGTGGTCCAGGCGACCGACAACCTCTGGTATGTGCGTGAGCAAGGGATGGTGGGATATAGTTGCGCAACACTCACGCCACTGGACGGATTGGAGAACCGCAGGCTTGAGAGGGGCCGAGAAGCGCGCGTGCAGGGTGCGCGCCTCTTGTCGCTCGCTCTCCACGGCCTGAAAGTAGTCGAGTCCGCTCTTGCCAGTCACTTCGCACTGGAACTGCTTGAGGCGGTAGAAGGACATGCGCGCGGCATAGGCCCTGCGCAGGCGTTAGTCACTGCTGACGACACGGGATGACGGGGTGGCCACGCACTCGTATGTCTCGAATATCTCGCCGGTCTGCTTGAGGAAGAAGACCTGCTTGGACGGGTCGGACTTGGCTGCCTTGAGGAGGGCGGGCGAGGGCTGGGTGAGGAGCACCCGCTTGCGTCGGCAGGTAGGCATTTGCTGGCAGTCCGTGGGGGACGGGGACGGGAGCTCTGATGTTGCTAGACGAGCAGCCTGGTGGTATCAGGGTGGTAGGTGCGGCGAGGAGAGACGGTGGGGTGAGGGCGTCGTCGGCGACGTCGAGAGCAGCGAGGACGACGGCGGCGATGGCGAGAGACAAGGGGAGCACGGGGATATGATGGGCCGAAAAAAGGAACGACCCAGGTTTTGGCAGCCGGGGAGCAGCCAAAGCGGCAGTGTCCTCGTCCCGCCGAACTCCTCGCGCTCAGTCCGCCCGGCGCGTGCGTCGCAAATTCTCTCAGCGTCCCTCGCCACCGTCGTCATGCGTATTCCCCGTAATGGTTCTCTTATTATCGTCTGCCACGTCCGCCAGCGCCTTGTTCCCGCGGCGGCGCCTTTGGTCCCCCAACGGTGCTTCCGCGTCTGAAGAGACCGAGACTTAGGTAATGAATTCCCCATCAGTCGCGACCGCAATTCGTTTGCCACCCCGTCGACGCTGCCCTCCTCGCCACACCAGTGGGCTGTACGCCTGCCCGGGTGTGTCCTTGTGCCGTCGGGACCTTTGTGCGGCCTGCGGACGGGTGCGGTGGATAGGGTTCACGTGGATGCCGAGACGCGTCGATGGGCGCGATTCGACGCGTCTTTCTGCCCGAAATCCGCTCAAACTCGGCCGCAAATATTCTCAAAGACAGTCAAGAAGTTACATTGGCGGGGGAGGAACTCCGGAAGCGCGTATGCACCCCGGACCGTCAGCAGTTGCGAATAAAGACACGGGCGGCCCGCCAAGTTCAACTTTTGATCGTGATCGTGCGCCACTTATTCCTGTTTTGAGCCGACGCGCTCAACACCGAGGCCGGAAGCGCGGCCCACTTCACGCTCTTGTCTTCGCCTCCACCCTTCACGAACGAAAATGCAGAGCTCAGGGTTCCAGCAGCCGAGTCTTTTCAGCTCTACGAGTGGACATCACTCCCAGTCCAACTTTCGCGCATGGGGTGGCAGCAGTCAGGCAGCGCCCGCGACGGCTCCTCCTTTAAACGACTCCCTTGTACAGTCACGAAGCCAGTATCAGACTGGGTATCTCATTGTGCGTACGGATTGACTCTTGGCCGACGCTTCATACTAAACGCGTCTCTAGTCTTCACAGCCGAACGTAAGTCGGGGAACGCGGATCCAATCGCACTGCTCACCCGCCCATAGAACCCGCCTCAGGGCAGCCCCCGCAACGATGAACCACCTATCATCCAGACCAAAGCGAAAATGAGCCACGTCCTTACGCGTGGCTCGAACTCCGAATTTGGCATGGAGTCCATGTTCCAAAGCTCGAGGTGCGTAGCAGGAAACTTCACAAATCCCCTCAATTGACCTCGCGATGCAGGTCAAGGCAGACCATCGCAGATGAGGATGCACCTCCCACCGCATCCATTAACGACCTTCCCAACGAAATGCACGCCACACCCACGTCCTCTAATTTCCAGCCTCGCGTGCGTGCCCATTACGGTCACGTCATTTACTCTGCTTGACAAGCCTGCTCAGAATTCCGCCTTCGGCTTCGACATGCCCCCCTCCCGACGCACTCCCAAGCCCACACAGACCCAGTCTTCCTCCGCGACACCTCTCTTCGTCCTCGTCTTTGGCTACCCGCCAGAGGGCTACAACACGACCGCGCAGTACTTCCAAGACCTTGGCGACGCGACAGACCCAGAGGAAACAGGCGTGCAGAACTGCTTCCGCATTGGGTACCGGAACCCCACCGACGCCCTGCGCGCGGTGCGCAAGAACGGCGAGGTTCTCGGCAATTGGATGGTCGGCGCGATGTGGGCGGTGAGTGTCTATTCTGTCGGTCTCTTATCCAGCCTTTCATCGCTACCATCTCCCTCCTTCGCCCACGCCCTCTTTTTCCACCGCCCTCCCCTGCCCCCGTCTCTTCCCGTAATGCCTCTCATGACTCAGTTCCCCTGCCTCTTCAGGATCCAGCCGTAGCGCAAGCCCAGCTCGGCCCCGCGCTCCTCCAGTCCTCCGCCCTCGCCGCAGACGTCGCCCTCTCCTCCCCGCCGCGCACCAGCATGGGCATGGAGGTCGACCGGCCGCTTTCGAACGCGAACGGCTCCGGCTTCGGCACGCCCAACCCGAACTCCAACCTCCCCGCCTTCGGCACGCCGATCAAGCTGGGCTCGTCGGCGTCGGTGTTCAAGAAGAACAACCCGGGCGCGGCGCCGGCGACTCCGGTCGCCCCCGTGCAGGCGAACAGGGCGCCGATGGCACAGGCGACGCCTGCGCAGGCGTCGCCGAGCAAGGGTGTGGTTGCGCAGGTGTCGGATATGTTGTTTGGATGGTAGATGGGGTGTGGTAGGTTATGAGAGTAGGAGGTTGTCCTGTCAGTCGCGTAGCAGAGCTGTTCGATGCCACTGAGTGTACGATGTGTTGTTCGAGTTGATTGTCGTTATCTACCACTGTCAAAGAGCTGTCTGCAGCTCCTCAAGGTGCGAATTTCTACGGTCGATATATGAAAATGTGCCCAGATAATGTGGCCGATGCATACGCTCCTTGGTGAGGCGTCCTATAATAATACTTTCACTCTGCAGCTGGATCATTACAACATCAAGGAAACCCCCGTTCCTATGCTGATTGCTGATTATAATGTGTGACCGTACTCAGGCCATCTCTTCTTCTCCCTCGCGTCCATCATCCACCGCGGTGCTGTACCAAACATGCGGGTAAGCCTCGCCATGTGGTCCTTCGTAGGCCGCTTGGTGAAGTAGCGTGGGCTACAGTCAGAGACCACCATGAGGAACGTCGACGCCTTCTCGTCAGCGTCCGCGAATGGGCTCTGCGACGGCGCGAATTCCACATCAGGTTCGACGAGGACGAGAAACAGCCGAGTGGAGCGGATATAGAACTTCGTCAAGCACATGAACCTGCCGTACTTGACCGGAGTAGGGCGGTCGCCGTCGAGGAAGCCAGGAATGTACATGTCTAGGAAGTTGTTAACGAACTGGTCTGACAGTGGCCAGCCGAAATGCCAGTAGCGATGTTTCGCTGTGTCGCGCGCTGCAGGTATAAATGGTATGTCGGCGTGAGATGGATGGAGACACTGTGCAGCATTGTTACATGAAGCTACATACCCTGCAGTCAAGATATCGCTCACCTTGTGAAACTGTGGGCGTTGACGGCGCCGCGTCTGTGCCATCTGTGGCTCAGCCGTTGACGGGGTTGACTCTGTACCATTCGAAGCGTCTGTAGCGCCGGTCACGTTGAGGCCCTGCGTACCAGATTCGCTTGACGCTTCCATAATTTGTCGTCAAATCACAGATAGAGGTGAAGGGGAAGCCAAGGTGACAGCGGTCAGCAACCTCGTGTGAATTGCTTTTACGATGTTGTCCTCGACCTTCGGAGCGAGTAGAAGCCGGCGGTAGCGGTGAGGATTAGCGTCCGATTCGTCCAGTCGCGTGGTAAGAGCTAAGATGGTTGTTGCAGTTCAGCAAACACGGGCAATGCCGGTCACACCCAGATCAACAGTGACAGCACGTGCAGCCAGATATGACTCGGACGTTGAACAAGCGCCGACATCCAACAACGATTGTAGTGGCGATCTCAAGCAGATAGCATTTTACATCCTCCCACACAGCGACAGAAACGATATACACTACGAAACATTGCGAAGAATATAGTACAACCACGCTATCAAGTGGTAATTTACATTTTTGGACTGCACTTCCACCTGCGCTACAAAGGAATCCGAAGGCCATGATAACAAGTCTCCCGTTCATGCACTTCTCTAGCGTCCATCGCCCACCAAGGCTCGGCACCGAAGAACTTTTCGAGCCTCTCCATATGCTTCTCGGATGGCAGCTTTTCGAGGGAGTTGCGAGCGACCGCGTAAAACGCGACTGCCTTCTCCCCTGGTCTCGTGATATCCTCCGAAGTCTTTGGATTATGCGATGTAAGCTCGGTGAGGACGAGCCGCACGGTGCGGCACTTCGTCTCGCGCTTGATGTGGTGCGCGAGGCGCTCATATCGAACGGTGGTGGAATAGTCTCTCGCCCAATTGCCGTCAAAGAGGGTCAGCCATATGTCGATGAGCTCATCTGGCATCGCCCAGCCAAAGTACCAATCCCGGTCATAAGGGGAGACGACGGGGTTCTCGACTCGGAGGATGAGTGGCGTATGACGGACGGGCACGACGATGCGACACTGTAGTTGCCTATGAGACACTCGGCGCGCAGTGTGTGTTGTGCACGCACCTTCTTTGGTTTGTGTTGGGTATGATGACGCGTCTTGTCAAGGCTTTTCGCGTGCTGCGACTCAGGCTCCTGGGTCTGTAAGCCATCCGCGATGCAGTGTTGGCGAGAGGGCTGCAGAGAGTGCGCGATGGTAGATGGGATAACGCAAGAGAGGGCCATATTTTGTCGTCAAAAGTGATCCTGCGCGGTGGCGGGTTGACGGATGGTGGTTGTCGGAGCAATGAAGCGCGATAGTCACGGTCACGCCTCGTAAACAAACACAGATGGCACATGGCGAACATGTGATCCATGTTGAACTTTCGTTACCTGCCGCTGAAATCATGGGCTTGCTTGATGCTGTATTGCAGGGAAGTTACCGTGTTTCCGCTTCCTGGACCCACCTGACAACAAACCTCCTGCGCAAGCGTCGCCCCACCAGCCAAATCCCAGAAACATCAACGTACTGGATACACCGACAGATTACAACACATACATCATCGCACCGGTAGCTAACAGGGTAGTATGCACTCTATAATATGGTGTGTGCGCTCTCTGTATATCTTCCTCGGCTAACAGTATAAATCCACCTTGGCCGACAATATAAATCCGCCTTTTGGGTAGCGCGCGATATGCGCTGTGTGCAAATTCGTCCATCATGCTCACCCGCCCACATCCCCACCTCGTCCACCCAACGATCGTTGAATAATGATCCCACCTCATACCTCTGGCTGGCCATGCCTCGCGCCGGCCGTCACGAAGCCCTCGGTCGCCTTCTCCTCTATCACTGAGCTCCCGCTGGCCGAAGCACCGTGTCCGTTCTCCTCTCTCCGCGTCGCCGCACCGTCGAGCACAGGATGCCGCTGGTGCAAGCCCGTCTCCGGAACACCGTGCCGGTCGCCCGCAGCGACAGGCGCCTTCTCCGACTGCACCGTCGGTGAAGGGAAGTAGCCGTCGAGATAGTGCCGCGCGACCTCCACATAGTCGGTCGCGAACTCGCCAATCTGTTGACGGTTAACAAGAAGCTCTACTTGTGAATGCCACCCCACGTTTCAACGCACCTGACTCTCATCCATCCCCAGCACCTCGCTCTCCTCTGAACTCCTCAGCTGCAGGCCCGGAATCATATCCAGCACCTTCGCCAAAAACGCGGTGACAACGAAGGTGTACGCCGTTGCCGCCACCACATACGCGATCTGAATGTACAGCTGCTTCCAATTATGGTCGAGCCAGCCTCCGGGCATCGACGTGTTGACCTCGTCGAGAGCGATGATGGAGCCCGCGCCAAAGAGGGCGTTAAAGATGAGGCCGATGATGCCGCCCATGGCGTGCTCAGCGAAGAGGTCGAGCGCGTCGTCCATGCGAAAGAGGAATTTGACTGAGGCGGGGTGAGGCCTGGATGATGGTAGGGAAAAGGGGAAGGGAAGACGTACGCTTGGTGCTCAAGTTACAGATCGCGCCGGACAAGACACCAAGGATGAGGGCGCCCCAGGGGTGGATAAACCCCGAGGCAGGGGTGGCAGCGACGAGGCCCGCGATGGTACCTGCGATGCGCCATTAGTTCGACGACTACAATGTGGGAAGGACCTAGCTACTCACCTGAGCAGAAGCCCACCATGCTCCAACTATACATCGCGACAGCAGTCAGTCGTACTGCTAACCAATCCATACAAAGATTGCTCACCTGCGCGACGCCCTGTAATCCATCAAGCACCAGACCGCCCCGCTGAACGCTGCGCTGATCACTATATGGTCATCAGTCTGCTGCCTTCATTCACCGTCCAATCCATCAACATACTAGTATTCCAAATCGCCATGATCGCGCGCAAGTTCGCGCCGAACGCGCTACCACCACTGAAGAGGGAAGCATTAGCATATTGGTTCGGTGGTTATTGGTTGTTGGGTTATTGCTGGTCATTGGCCGTCGATCGGGGCAGGTCGGCCGAGGCACTAACACTCACTTGAATCCGAGCCACCCGAACCAGAGGATGAAGGTGCCTAGACCGACGAAGGAGACGTTGTGCGGACGGAAGTTGATCAACTCGGATTCCCGGCGGCGTCCGAGGACCCTGGTGAAGGAGAGGGAAGGTGAGCGAGGATTCATATGAGGGGAGTGCTACGAAGGGAGAAGGGCGGGATGAAGGGGGGACGAGAGCAAGCGCACCATGAATACGCGAGACCACCGACACCTGAGCCGATTTCGACGGGCCCACCACCAGCAAAGTCTAGCACGCCGTACTTGAATGCCCAGCTGATCGAGGGTTAGCAGGTGCGCGGGACGGCATGAAGGGACGCGATCGCGATCGCCCGTCTCACCCGTTCGGATTCCATATCCAGCATGTAAGCGGGCAGTAAACGATCGTGAGCCACAGGAAGGCGAAGAGCATAGCGGGTAGCACACGCCCACGCTCGGCGACCGCGCCCATAAGGATGGCGACGGTGACGCAGGCAAACTCCATCTGGAAAAAGCTGTATAGGAGCTCGGGGAGGAGGGGCGAGCCGGGGGAGGCTCCGTCGAGGACCTCCATGAGAGCGAAGGAGCGGAGGTTGCCGATGAAGCCGTTCGTCGCGGTGGGGGAGAAGGCGAGGGAGTAACCCCAGAAGTACCACTGGAAGATGGTGATCGCGTTGCTCGCAGCGACACACCACATGAGGTGGACTGGGGAAGGGAGATCACATGAATGGATGATGGACGCTAGGTACTGAGGGGAGACTCACGGGCGCTTTTCCTCCGGGAGAGCCCGCCATAGAGGAAGGCTACGGAGAGGGGAGATGTCAGGAGAGGGGGAAGTCGCAGTGAGCGTACAAGACGCACCCAGTCCCGGCACCATCAGCGAGACCATCCCACCAGCGACGATGATGAAGGCCATGTCGCCACGATCATAGCTAGTTGCGCCATAAGCGACGCCCACAACGTCCGTGCGGGGGGGCTCACCTGCTAGTGTCCGCGCCTGATCGAGAGCGTCAGTACTCAGGACCCTGCACAAAATCGATGGACGCACGCCTCGCAAGGGCAGCGGCCGCCAACTTTGATATGTCGCTCATGGATGGTGCACCGTAAGAGGCAGGAGACGAGAGGCGCGGTCTGTAAACGAGCAGGCGGAAGGGGGGATATTCCGCCCGTCGGCCGACGCTGCTCCTGGAGTGAAAGTGGACCCGGTGGCGTCATCCGCGCTAAGTCGCGAGTTCGACACTCCAGGCAGGCGCGGGGTCGTTCGCGAACATGTTCCCCCACTGGAGAGATAAGGAATGCATACAGCCAGGCGCGATATCAGGAGAAAGGGCTGGGCGCCGGCAGTCTTCTCTGATCCTGTCAGTCTTCTGTGGTCGGCTGACCCGGTGACTCACTGATCGTGGACGGACAAGAATAGGTCAGACAGGCGGAGGCAAGGCGAGGGAGGACGGAGAGCGGGAAAAGAAGTTCATTGTGAGCAGGCGCGGTATGCTACGCGGGCAAAGATGGTGGTAGGAAGCAAGAAGGACGATGAGATAACCTTCAGATAGCAGTCCGAGAATAAGTCCCAAGTCGAAAGCCGCCCCATTGCCGCCGTGACAAGAAGTTCACGTGCATGTGACGAGCGCGACAAGCGCCACCAGCACCGAACCCCGGAGGCGCGAGGCGACTCAACCGCGACGACGATGGACGACGATCTAAAGAGGTGCGTGGCGGAGTTCCTCGCAGCGTGCACCAAGTCTTACTCCTTGTCTAGAGCAATTGCGCTGAGCTTACAAGACTCACAACCCTCACGACCACGTTCACCTCCCATTGTGATCGACGACGATGATGACGAACCAGACGAAGAGACCAAGTTTCAGGACGAACTTCAACGGGCAATAGAGGCCTCCAAGGCTGACTCGGCCGCCCGAAAACCCGGCTCACTTGCTGCATCCACGTCACAAACACCCGAACCGCCCGCATCCGCAATGAAGGACCTGAAGATCGCTCCAACTGCTGCTCCAGTTGCCGGACCCTCTTCATGGCTATCGGAGCGCGCAAAACTCGAGAAGGAGCGCATTGAGAGACAAAAGAAGCGACGGAGAGATCAAGGGCAGGCGAGTGAAGACGAAGACGCCTCGAACGACGTCGACGTGGAGGAGCCGATCGCTAAGCGTCAGCGCCCGACGCCACCGGCTCAGGCTGTCCCGACTGTCTCCACTACATCCTCCGAAGAGTACTTCTGGGAGGGCGCATATCGCCCCATTGCTACGAAACACTGCGTGCCGCGTAAGGACGGCAAGCCGACGTTCAGGCTTAGCGAGATCATCGGTAATGTACGCTGGCCACAATGTCTTTCTCTTCTTCGGTATCACTCACATTTCCTTCTTCGATGTCATCAGAAATCCGAGATAGAATTTGCCATTCTCTCCAGCTATGCCCTCGACGCCGAGTGGACGTACTCTTTCTTCGAACGCGACACGCCTGTCATCATCGTTCAGCAAACCAAGGACGGAGATGCCTCAATCAAGAATTGGGCTACCCAATTGGATACGCGCATCTCCATTCTTGCGGAATGGGTATGGATGCATGCATATGAAGGTACTTGCTCGATCCTTCAGCTTTGATAAGTCTTGTACTGAGTGCTTCACAATCTAGTTCATGTTGGTACGTATGACCTTCAACTCAAAGGCTTTTTTTCTAATCTTATGGTTCTCGATGCAGCTTTTCTACAAGACCGGGCGCCTACGCGTCTATATACCCACAGCGAACCTCGTACAATATGACTATAGAGACATAGAGAACGTAAGCGACAAGCCTCTCCTCTGGTCCTTCCAGCTTCACAATCAGCCCTCCCAAAATCACTCACCTTCTCCCCAGTTCGCCTGGCTGCAAGACATTCCCCGCCGCCCCGCCCACAAGCCCGAGCCTAAACCAAACCCGGAGGACTTCCCCTCCATCATGCAGCGCGTGCTCGAAGCGCTGAACATCAGGCCCGCGTTGCAGGCGATGATTATGCAGGATGTGCGTGTGGTCTTCTCCCGCATGTCTTCTCATGATCGTCCCACCTTCATGCCCTGCCTTTCACCTTCGATATATATCAGTCAACTCGAGACTAACACCATCCCCCAGCACCCCAATCTTCCCCTCCAGTCCATCTCGGACTTGCGCCGGCTTTGGGACTGGTCCCTCGTCAAGGTCCACCTAGTTGCGTCCCTGCACGGCAAATACGAAGGTTGGCCTTCAGTCTTACAGGTGGGGCACCCCCGGTTGATGAAGGCGGTGCGGAATATGGGGCTCGCGGTGGATAAGGAGAGGGAGGTGGAGGTAGAGTGCCAGGTGAGTGAAGTCGGTTATTATTTCCCGGTTATTATTTTTTCTAGCCCATCAGGACGGCGGTCTGGGGCGAGGATGAAAGGAAGAAAAGACAACGGCGCTAACCACTCCTCAGGGCTCCTCCATCGGGCGCTGCACCTCGGTGTGGATCAACGAGATGTACGGGTCGATGCGCGGGCAGTCGGCAAGGGAGTGGCTGGATGCGACCAAGAAGCGGCGCGAGGCGACGCCGCTGCCGCTGGTGAAGATCGTGTACCCGACGAAGGCGACGGTGCATGCGACGGCGTGGGGGGTGAACGGCGGTGGTACGATCTTCTGCCGTCGCGCGACATGGGAGGCGAAGAACTTCCCTCGGCAGTTATTTCACGACTCGAAGAGTACGGGTGGACCTGTGCTCATGCATACGAAGGTATGCGGGACTGCGAGACTATGGGTGCGGGGGGATTGATATTGACACAGATGATCCTCGCGCTTATCAAGGATAAGAAGACGGTGTCTTCCAGCCGACTAGGGTCGGGTAGCGCGACGGCGAAGTCGAGCAGCGCGAAGTCGAAGGCGAGCGGTGGCAAAGCCAAGGCCTCCAAGCCCGCCGACGACTCCGACTCCGACATCGAGCTCATCGAGGCCAAGACATCCGCCAAACCCTCCACGACTTCTACTAACAACAACGACATCAACTCCACCATCGACGACATCGAAGTCGTCCACCCGGCCCTCGGCTGGGTCTACGTCGGCTCGCACAACTTTACGCAAAGCGCCTGGGGCACGCTCTCCGGCAGCGGCTTCAACCCCGTGCTGAACGTCACGAACTACGAGCTGGGTGTGGTGTTCCCGATCAAGGATGAGGAGCAGCTGAAGAGCGTGCAGTTATGGGAGAGGCCGCCGAGGAGGTATGGGAGGGAGGATGAGCCGTGGGTAAGTGGGTTTTCAGTGTGGCCACATGCTGGGCGTGGTCGATGGTGGTGTCGCGATAAGTTTGGTCACTGACGCAAACCTCACAGATACAGGAGGAGTGCCCTTTGTACCAAAGCTAGGTTTGAGCATAATGAGCACGCCCTGGTAACGAGATTCCTGAGCTGGTGTGATCCGCGGAAGCAGAATTTGGTCCCGAGTCTCAAGCAACCCTTTATGGTCGATGTTCAGCTAAGTCTCACTGGTCGCTCTCGACACTCATTGCGCGACTTCAGGCTCTCGTACGAGCATCACTCAACATCCTACCTCATGTCGGAACGTCTGCCACAGGAACTCAAGGAGCACGTTCTGGACTGTCTAGACGGTGCCACACCGGATGGCAGGCGAGCGCTGCAAGCCTGCGCGCTCGTCGGCAGCTCTTTACTACCCCGGAGTCAGTCACTCCTATTCCACGACATTACCATACGCAATCCTCAGGACGTCCAGAACCTCTCGAGGGTCCCACATCGTCTTCAAGCCCAAGTGCACGTCCTCCGCGTCGCGGCCACCTTCCACTTCGAACGACAACATCGGTCCGCCCCCTCTCCCACTCCAGACATCACGGCTTTGGCAAAGCTCCTGATGCGACTGCCCGCCGTATACGACCTGCGTATTGACAACAGCCATCACGCCGTCTACTACGTCTTCCTCCCCATCGCCATGTGCCGCGCCCTCCTCGCCAAATTGCCGCTGTTGCGCTCCCTGACGCTCAACCGCTGGACTGTCCCCACGTCCATCCTCAACCACCTTGGCAACATCCAGGAGCTGCACCTCACCGACGTCCGGTTCAGCGCTGGCTTCATGCCGAAGGTGCGGCCGCGGGAGCAGGCGACGAGGACGGCGAAGCTGGTGCACTTCGCCTTTGAAGTGAAGGAGCGCGACTCGCTGCTGGAGCTCTCGAACACGATCGCCCGGCTGGGGGTGGGCGGCAGTTCGGCATTGAATGGCTTGAGGACGCCGATTGACCTAACTTCGCTGCGCAGTCTGCGCTTGCAGGTGGCGGGTGTGCCGAAAGTGCAGGGGCTTATTCTCGACGCGTGCAAAGATACGCTGGAAGCACTCGAGTATGGCCGCACCAAGAGCATCGTAGGCGCGTCTCGCGCTTACCCCCCTGGTGAGAGCTCTCACATGCAACGTGTGTTCTTTGGCTAACGACCTTGTCAGTGAACTTCGTAACCATGCCCCGTCTACGAACTCTGGCCATCCGCGACGTGAACCCCAACGAGGCGTCGGAACGCGATTTTCTCGAGAAGCTGATACGCAGCGCGCCCACCATGCAACGACTGGTCCTCAACGTCAATCCTACGTTATTTCCATTGCACGAGCAGCCGCTTTGGGCGTGGCTCGACGGAGCCTTGACTGCGGATGATGCGACGTCGACCGGTCTACGCGGCCTCACACTGGTCATCGGCCCCGCGCGCGGACAGCCGAATTATCCCTCGTTCTACGAGGGCAAACGAGAGTTCCTGGACAATGCTTTGCGGAAGGTGCAGTTGCGCATGCCGGTGCAGGTCAAACGTGAGTGCATCAAATATATAGGTCAACGAGCTAGCTGACACGAATACAGGTTATGCTGCATGGCAAGAGCGACCATCCCTACTCGAATTCTCCGCGTGAATAAATGTATGATGCCCTCTGATCGAATATGATTTTGTCTCTTCGCATGATGCTCGCCCCTAATAGCGCAGCGAAACACAGATCACATAACAAGGGGCACTGCGCGACGTCTGAAAGCAACGGTCTGACTCGCATTTGAGTCGAACTCTTGCCTCCGTGAGTCTCACTCGATGAATATAAGGCGAACCCCAATGAACGTTGTCATAAGACTATCCCTTCAGTCCCCTACTCCTGCGTCACCGAGCATGCCTGAACGCCTACCGCCAGAGCTTGTCGATATCATCCTTGACTACTTTTGCGAAGCGGAAACAGGGGACGATCTCGTCCAGGGCCTGAAAGCCTGCGTCCGCGCACACAGCTCCTTTCATCACCGATGCCAGTCTACCCTCTTCCGCGACATCACCATTCGCGGACGTCAAGATGTCCACAACCTGCTGGGCGTCTCTCCCCGCATCTTTGCGTACGTACACGTCCTACGGATCGCCCCAAGTTTCACCTTCAGCAAGCGTGCTAGCGAGGCTAGGTTGCATATTGTATCCCCTGACCTGGCGGCCTTCAACAGACTTGTGCGCCTTCTAACGAATGTGCACGACCTGCGGGTGGACTCCTCCAGCAACGGCGTCGAGTACACAGCCCTTCCTGCCGACACTTGCCTTGCACTACTTGAGAGGGTACCACGACTGAAAGCTCTAACGCTGAAGGGTTGGACTTTGCCGCCGGACTTCCTCAATTACTTCGTCGAGATACGAAGCTTGGACTTGACATACGTCAGATTCATCCCCGGTCACACACCTACCCTTCGGACGTCCGCCGTGACAAGTGCTGCGCTGCACCACCTTTCCTTGGAAGCGTCTTCGCTGCTGACTCAAACGCTCGCATACTTCGGGGTGGCATCGCCGACTATTTCGCCTATTCCTACCCCACCGCTCGACCTCCGCTCATTGCGTAGCTTGCACATGTCTGGCACGCTCTATCCAGACCCACAAAGACTTGTCCTCGACGCATGTAGAAGCTCACTCGAAACTCTTGAGTATGGATGGAACCAAGTTCGTCCAGTCGGTGCGCAGCTTATTCCTTCCCTTCGTCTGGTCTAATCATTCTGACAGTGGACTTTTCAATCATGCCTCGCACGCGCACCCTGGCCATCCGCGATATTACTTTCCAGACCGGTGCAGCTCCTGGGCTTCTCGAGCAAATCATTTTAAAGGTTCCCGCCCTCGTCCACCTCGTTCTCAATGTCGATCAAGCGACATATCCACTCCACATAGAACCATTCTGGAGATGGCTTGATACCTTTCTTTCGACGCCAAATGTGGCTATCGCCTTGCAGACGGTAATTTTGGTTATCGGGCCTACGAGCCGCGATACGCTCCTTCCGCCCTTCGAGGGCGCACAAGAGTTTGTGCAGACGGCGTTACCTAGAATTCAATCTAGCGTGCGAGTAGTTGGTGAGTGATTCTGGCATGGACGAATTCTGCAGGATAATGACGAAACACATAGAATATTTCGCCTGGGATCAGCGACCGTCATTACTCGACTTGTGAGCCAGTCTTTGTGGACAAGTGTCTGTAAAGCCCTTGTAGAATACCGTGACTGGCCTTGTTGCTCATTTTGTCTGCTCAAGTAGCTCATGCGCGCTACCTATGCGCCGTCCCAGTAGCGAAGACTGATTTCCCACGGGAATTTAGAATACGTGGTTGAACTATCGTCACATGATCGTGAGGTTGTTGATCGGCACGTGTCGAGTTTGTTCAAACCGCAACGACCATCTCGTTTTTTGCCCCTGGTCTATACGGGTCGAACGCTCCGCTATACCGTTTTTTTTGGACTTGATTCTCACCGAAGGTGTATAACAACGTCGGCAAAGCAGCTCACGCAACGCTTCTGACCGCTGCCACCCGAGTCTTGGACTAGCGCCTTGCATTTCACCTCTTCTCGTAACTCGACGGCAAACGATAGAAGCCTCAAGCGAATCTATTATGCAGCACCTCGTCGTGACTGGCACTGAGACTGCTTTGGACTCGTCGAAGCCAGACGCGGCGACGGCTGAGCCACAGGTGGCACCGACGCGACGCCGTCAGCGCCCACAATTTCACAAGGTGCGCAATATCTCGACCATAGAGGGATATAGCTTCATGATGTAATGCTGAACAGCGTCTAAAACCATCTCATGCCGACATACCATTTGTCCCTGTAGCCCGCGATACAGCAAAGCATCGGTACTGGCATTTCGGCTGGCCACTATCAGACCAGTGTGTGGACAATTTCCTGGACAAGTATATTCCTGGATTCCTCGACAGCGACCGCGCTACCGTCATCAAATATGGCCAATTCATGTGCGTGGCCAACACCCTCGCAGGCACCGACCGGATGTACCTCGTCTTGGTCGAACCTGATGCGGAGTTCGCGCCGTCTCAGAGCCCTCTCGCAGACCCAGGCGAGAAGGCGTCTACGTTCCTCATGGTGGTGTCGGACTGCAGCACGCGGTACTTCACCAAGAGGCCCACCAAGAGGCAGATGGCGCGGCTATTCCGCATGTTTGGTTCAGCGCCCCGGTGGATGATGGATGCGAGAGAGAAGGAGAGATGGCCCGAGTACGGTAATGAATTATAATTCAGCAGCCGACGTGCGCAGGATGGGGCCGGGCAGCCTTCCTCACGCCGTCTTCGAAGATTCGTACCATACCTCACTGATCCTCGCAACGACCGGGACATTTTGTTGCTTTGAATTAGGGGGGATAAGCTGATAGCATGTATAACGATGAATGATTCAGAAAACAGGTTCCAACTACTTTTGTACCACGAGCACTACACGCAAACATTGTCTACATCGCGTATTCGTGAGGGTATACAACTGGAAAGCAAGCAAGAGCGGCCCCAGCTGAGTTCTGTGGATTCTGAAGTCACGCCCGTCGGCCCTGCCAACAAATCAGCATACATCGATACTCACACTGTAAGAAGAAGCAGAAAGATGTCATAGACAGACCTTTCTGCACAGCGCGTGTGAGCCCGAATCACTGCTGGCTCTGCCGACCCCAGATCCTAGGGAATAGCTCGTGCGAACGAGAATTAATCAGCTTAAGGTACGCCTTTCCTTCAGCGTCATGCGCGTTGATGAATACGCGTCCCCCCTCAAACCTGTCGTTCAGCGCTTTCTCGAGGGCCGTAGGGACATGTCGTCGATGCATCGGTTGGGTCTGCACACGAACCGTCGGCGGACGGTATGCCTGGTCGTCGAAGCGCTGCAGGCTCTCCTGGGCCAGGTGACTCCGTCCAATTTCTTTGTACGTGTATTTGTTGCCGAGAGCAAGGATACCGCCGATGACATTCTCCTTGACACCACTGGCGAAGAAGTGTGCTGCTTGGTTGTCGAGTTGTTCGTTATGCCTGATTTTCGCCAATTCGCTGTCATCATCTTCGAGTTTAATCTCGATGAGCAACGTGACCTGCGGCCAGAGATACCGCATTCCGTCCTTTTCAGCGTCGAGGTAAGCGGAGGGATCGAAGCCAATTTCTCTGATGTAGGCAAATATGTCTTCTTGCGTCGCCCTGAGGTCGAAGATGTGGGAGACCTGCACAAAATCCGGAATGCGGATTGATAAGGTGCGCAGAGAAATCTCGTCCGAGGCTTTCGGCGGGGACGTGGTGTGCCGGGACTTGTCTTCGGCCTGACTGGTTGATGTTCCGGGCTGAGCGTTCGCGGCGGTCTTGTTGTCTGACTCGGCACTCGCTTTACCCTCTTTGGAGCTAAGTTCGTCGCCAATGAGGTCGCTGGGATCTTCGTCGTCCTCTAGAGCTGCGACCGGCAATTGAGGACAGATGGTACTGATGACGACCTTCATCCCATCCTTCACGACATCAGAGCTGGTGAGATACTCGTTGGCAAGCAGGAACCAGGTGGCATAGTGAGCTGCTTCTCTGCCTGACAGGCGCGCAAACAAAATCGAAGCAAGCATTTGAAAGAAGGCAAACTGATTGAAGCTCAGGTTCCTCTCCGCTCGATCCAGGAACCATTGAGGTGCATGCGCATAGAACTGTGCAGGTGGTATCGGGGTTGACGGAGCTGTTGCAGGCTGAGGGAGCGAAACAGGGATTGAGATGGTCGACGTCGGCTGTTCTTCCGCAGTGAGGCCGGCCTGGACGCCTATGGTCGCCGGGCTGGCTATGGCATGCGCGGATGGAGGGTTCACCGCACCACAACGCTCGGCCGCGAGGGAGGCTTCACCTCCCTCTGCAGGCGAGGCCTGTCTAGCGCAATTATCCGACCCCGCAGACGCTGCCACTCCGCGATGACCAGCGTTCGAGGTCAATGGCAATGTCGACGAGTTGTTGGTGGATGAAGTTGCCCTTGGGGGAGGGGATGGTGAAGGAGAGTATAGCTTTCGTTTCTTGTTGGGTGGCTTGATCGGATAGCGTGCAGGAGAGCGTGCCATGGTGGTAGGAAGAGACAAGCAGAAAGGCAATATTGGATCAACAAACGCAGCGCGATGTCGTGCGGGTCACGTGATTACCACGAGGCTTGCTTACGCGTCATCATTGATGGAGACACATGTATTTGCAAATGATCTTCACCGTTCTTGGTTCCAACCACGACCAAACCACATACACGCCACTCTCACTCTCAGGCCGCCATGTCCGTCATGCTGGAAAGCCGAATGCAAACACTATCGATACACGACAGGCCGTCAAAGCTGACGCACGAGACGCCGTCTACGAAGGAAGCTCAGCGCCCCCAGTTCCACAAGGTGCGTGTATCTGCGCGGCGATTGATACCAGTATCTGACGACTCATATAGCGCTTGCATCCCTCTCACGCTGACATTCCATTTGTACCGGAAGAGCGCGATCGGACTCCTCACCGCTTCTGGCACTTCGGATGGCCCGTCTCGGACAACTTCGCCAACGACATCCTCGACACGTATATCCCTGGATTCCTGGAATACGACCCTCCTCCATCCGTCAAATACGCGCGTTTCATGGCTCTCGTCAAGGGTATCTCCAAGTGTGACGCAATTCGGATCGTGCTGGTAGCACCCGACGCATACACGCCCTTGAGAGAGTACCAGAGCCCCTTTGCGGAAGGCGAAGAGAAGGCCGTGACTTTTTGCATGGTGGTCTCCGACGCACGCAAACGCTTCTTCACGGAGAGGCCAACCAAGGAGCAGATGGCGAAACTCGTCTCTTTCTTCGGTGCAGAGCCAAGTTGGAAGATGGACGCGAGGGAGAAGAGCCTGTGGCGCAGATATGGGCATAATGACTGATTCGCTACTCAATATACTATTTATCCTTCTCTCAGCGCTCAACGCCTTATGATGCCTAGTAGGGATAGACGTTACCAGGTAATAATGGATTACGATATGGATGGATGGTTTATCGGAACACCGGGATCCTCTTCAGCTCTGACTATATAACGAATCACGAAAGATACAGGGGATGTGTGGCGCGGCGCCTCGATGATCAATGCGCGAGGGCCAAAAAGCGATAGCCATCAGGATACATCATGTACACTGCGCGGCGCCTATCGCGAGGACCAGCAGCCCGCCATGTGGCATACGGGAAGACGCGTGATGTGACGCGTCGCGAACTTGCCACCCACGCTCATCCAACTCTAACCCGACGGGCTTCATTAACTCCCTCTCTCGCGTCCTCGCACAATGGGAACCGACTCCTCGACGATCTCATCAACAAATTATCAATCATCTCTTCTAGCTACCGGCTCGCCATGACTGGCACTAGAAACAAGGGTGTTCAAACTCTTCCTAAGCATGGAGCTCCCCATAGGCCAAAGCATCAGGCTCGGAAGGAGTCGGCACAGAGAAAAGTGGAACGTCCGGGGCGACCCAAATTCCACAAGGTGCGTTGCACATTCGTTCGCGCCGATGTATCCTCACCCGCGCTCACAGCGTCTGCACCCAGCCCATGCCGACATCCCCTTTGTTCCCGAAGCCCACGACACCGACGCCACCAAGTACTGGCACTTTGGCTGGCCCGTGTCTGACATGTTCGTTGACAGCATCCTGAAGAAATACATTCCTCGAACTCTCGCCGAAGAACGACCTCCACCCGAAGCCAAGTACGCGTCGTTCATGCACATTGCCTCGCGCATCTGTCACTGTAACACACTGCGTCTCGTTCTTGTCCAGCCTGACGACTCGGCACCGTGGCAGAGTCCGTTGGCGGAAGACGGTGAACGAGGCGTGACCTTCTGCATGACTGTGTCCGACTGCAGCAAGTACTACTTCACGAAGCGCCCCACGAAGGAACAGATGGGGCGTATGGTTGGCCTTTTTGGCGCCGAGCCTAGATGGATGATAGACGCAAGGGAGAAGAACAAGTGGCACACTTATGGGCATACAAGTTGATGTGCCAGAAGAATCGGATCTATTCTAGACGTACAGAAGAGTAGTTCATCCAATGTCTATGTACATTGCACGTTTGTGTTGGTCGTAATCAATGCCACCACAAAATCGTTCAAGTTAAAGGTCGGTACCGATGGGTCAGGTGATGGCCTCGTGTCATTTGCAACTGGCGCGGCTCTGTTGATTTCGACCACAACCGTCATCATTCTCGCCACTTCTTTTGATCTGTTCCGCAATTCACTTTGATGGCAGCCGTTCTGGAGGAGCAACCTTGTAAACTGTCGACGCACGAAGGGTCGCTCGAAGAAACAGCCGACCGACCGAGCTCGAAGAAAACTCGTCGTCCGCGCCCGAAGTATCATAGGGTGCGTATATTGTATAGAAACGCACTGTCCAGTGACTGAAGCCATCTACAGCGCCTTCACCCCTCTCACGCTGACATCCCGTTTGTCCCGGAAGAGCGGGGTCGGTCGAGCAGCCGCTACTGGCACTTCGGGTGGCCAATCTCGGATACCTTCGTCACCAATATCATCGACTTTTATGCGCCCGGATACCTCGACAAAGACCGCCCGTCATACGTCAGATACGGGCGATTTCTGACTATCGCCGAGAGAATGTCCAGAACCACCATCCGGCTTGTTCGGGTAGAGCCAGACGCCTTCACTGCCCTTGCACAGTATCAGAGTGCATTTGCGCAAGATGGAGAGGAGGCAGTCACGTTCTGTATGGTGGTCTCTGATGCGCGCAAGAGTCTCTTCACTCAACGTCCCACTAAGGAGCAGATGGCTAGGCTCATCTCCTTCTTCGGAGCGGAACCGCAGTGGAAGATGGACGCGAGGGACAAGGATTCATTCTACAAATACGGGCATGACAACTGATGTGGTGCATACGGAATGAATATACACCTACTTGCCAAAACACTGTATGTAGACAGAGGACCGCCTGAATAAACCTTCCGTGTCCGCAGCGTGTATTTCCTGATGAGTCATATACGAACGGACGGCCGACGAGCTGTCCTTGAACGTACATAAGCAAGCATGGTACGTATGCTTAGGCTTACTTCGACGCTGTATGAACAATAGTGAAGGTCGGCCCAGACTTCAGTCAAGTCGAACTATACACGCTACGCGGGATCGCATCTGCGCACACCCGAACGAAGCCTTGAGGATCCAGCATTTAAAGATTAGTCCATTATCTACGATACATGGGAGAGCGAGATTGTAGGCAATGGAAGTAGTCCACGCAAATAAGGGTATTGTGCATGTCCACAAGGGACCGGTAGGTATGCAGGCCATCATAGCCCAACGGAAACATCTAGGTCAAGGTCAAGCCCAATCGACAAAATCGAACCCGGATCCGAGCAGATATCCGGGTACTTCAACTCGTTCGGGTCCTTCGGGATCCAGCCGTATTTCAGGCCGTCCTGGTATGACCACTCCGCCGCCTCTTCCGCCTTCCACGTCCAGAAGAAGTAGCCCTGGCCCTGGAGCCACGTGCTCACCTGCGCGTCGCGGAACGCGCGCAGCTGCTCGCGGTACTTGTCGTCGAACTTGTCGCCCGTGCCGGTCCACTTGTCACACGAGCCGAGGCGATGGGTGTCGGGGTACGTGCCGTCCCAGCGCGCGCCGACGCCGAGACCGTTGAGGTACTTGGCGCAGTCGGTGAGCGCGAGCGTCCACTCGCCGACGACGGTGGGCAGCGCGGTGGCGGTGACGTTGGAGGCGCGCTCGCAGACGTGCTCGATGTGCTGGCGGAAGTTCCACTTGAGTTGCTAAGTGGGGGTGAGTAGGGCTTTGATCGTATGCGAGGAGGGTACTCACGTCGACGACGAAGACCTGGTAGAAGTGGGTGTCGATCATGGCGCTGCCGTACGTCTTGTCAGCCCAATAGTCGGCCCAGTAGTCGCTGGTGTTGAAGACATCGTGAATCATGACGGTCTTCTGCGGGGCCGTCTTGCTGACAATGTCGTAGCTGTCTTGCCAGTACTTGAATCGCAGAATGAGCCCGAGACCAGCATATCCCAAGCACCTCTCGTACCTGCTTCGCGACGCCCATGATCATGTCCGGGGAGGTCCAAGGCGCGATCCTTTCCCAGCGATCAGTACCTGATCTGCGGGTATGGGAAAGGTGCACTCACTCATTCAGAGGAGCGATGATAGATGCGGCTTCGAAGTCCTTGACGAGTTCCGTCATGTTCTGGAGGACGGCCTCCGTGCGGGCGACGTTGGTCTCGTTGTACGCCCAGCCCCTGCATATTTGATCAGACTGGAAGCGCACGGGCACAGGAAAAGAACTTACGGCTTGTCCATCTTCTGGCCGGAGTTGTCGAAGCTGAGGATAGGTTAGCAAAGGTCAAGGTCAAATGCGAAGGCTCGCACCCATTCTGGCTACCCGGGGCGCCGTGGAGGTCGACGTTGACCTTGAGACCGTACTTCGCCGCCCAGTCAAGTGCCTTCTGAAGGTACGGAATTTGGCCAGAGATGTAAGGCTCTCCGGGCCCCGTCTCAAACGCCCAGTAACCAATAGGCAGACGGACATGGGTGAGGCTATTGTGCAAGTCAGCAGTCGAGCATCGGCATCTGGTGGGGACCCACGTACCCAGCTTCGGCAATCTGCCTGAAGTCGTCCTCGGTGATCCACGAATCCCAATGGGCCTTCAGTGCCGCAGTGGCCGCCTCACGGTCCTGCAGCTCGCCAAAGGTCCACTCGTCGATGATCTTGTCGTTGCCAGTCGCCTCAAAGAGCGAGGGAGTAATCCAAGGCTAGCTCGCATATTAGTCGTGCTTGCTCGCTTCTAGCGTAAACAAAATGCGCACCTCGAGAACGAGCCAACCACCGAGGTTGACACCATGGATTTTGTCCTGCGTGTCCCACTGCCGCTTCTGCAGAGCCGCAGAGCGCAAAAAGAGCGACAGACCGAGGACGGTCAAAGAGAGTAAGGAGCGCGGCATGGCTGTGGGAGACGAAGAACCTAAACGAAAGGAAGGGGCGGGGTCTGACTAAAGAGGGTTTTCGTCGTCGCCAGGCTTATATATTCGCTCGGCGTCCGCCTGATGGGGGACCGCACCTCCTCCGACGTCCGCACCGAAGCACGAAAGCCTCGCTCGTCATCATCAAACCCTGTCGTCACCCTGAGCCTCGGGATGCTTCACGTACAGGCTGCCCGAGGGACCGAGACCTTGTAACTCGCGACGCGAAGCTCTGGCCCGCAGATGGAGGCCATACAATGCACCTCGCATGTATATCGAGAGTTTTGAGACCGTCGCGAGCCAGGAAGTCGTATGTTCAGCTTGGGCGCCTATTCGGTCGTCGGTAGATCCTGCGACGCGTCGTCCATAACGCGTCGGTGCAATCTCGGACTTACGCGCAGATCACCACGTGTTCGTTATGTACAGCACCCCAACACGCGTCAACAAATCGCAACTTCAAGTTCGAAGAACCCGGCCCCGTTGCTACTCGCATACGACCTCCACTAGCGCATGCGCTTGGTGTCATTCGTAGTACACTCGTCAACACCATGGACAACCTCGTTGATGAACACCCCGAGCTAGCGCTCGAGATGGTAAAATTGCTTGGAAACGAGCTGAAGTCAGTAAAGACCCAGCTACGCGAATTGCAGGTCAGTCTTTTCGCGTGTTTATCACTTTGTCCCACCAGGCTATTATGAACATACGTTGGCTGTGGTTAGAGCCAGCGTGCCACATCCGCGTTGTCCTCAAACAGCGCCGACGCCGGGCCTACTTCCGTGGAAAATGCCGAATTACGAAGACGTCTTCGTGAGCTACAGGCAGAGAACGAGCGGCTAGCCGAGTCGCAAGGCATTGTAAAGCAGGAGGCTTATGATGTACGCTAGGAGGTTTCTCCGGAGATGCTGCTCTAACGTCATCCCAAGGAAAACGATCTGCTACAGCAGAAGGCAGTGATCATAGACCGCCAGGTCAATACGCTCGGCGGCTGTCCTATCCATTACTGAATCTCGTGTAGTCGGAGGACTTGACCAGAGCATATAGGGACATACAGAAGCTGAAGAAAGAGAACGAACAGTTGAAGGAGGTGCGTGTACTCGCTCGGGGTCGCCGCTGTAGCCTGACGCATTTTTGCAGAATGTAGCGTCCTTACAAGCCGCTATTGATGCGACCAAGGACCGTCGCGCCAATGTCGAAAAAGTCGTGAGTCTTTGCGCTCCTCATTCGACGAATCCCGCTGAGCGAGGACCGTCTTGTAGACTGCCAGTGTGCGCCGTCAAGCAGAAGAGCTCCAGGCAGAGCTTATATCCCTGAGCGAAGTAAACAATCTCATGCTCGCTTCTCCGCGTTGACTAATGTCGCTCAGCGGGAAAGGGCCCTTGCCACCGAGATACAGGCCTCAAAAAAGCCGGTGAGCAAATACCCTTCGCCGTCGTAGCTCTACGCGCTGAGCCATGTTTTAGTACACCCCCGCAAAATTCCTCGAGCAAAGCCGACGTCCCTCGAACAGCAGACAGCCTGCTGCCGCCAGTCTCAAGGCATACCGACAGTACATGGGGTCATTCCGTTTGGGCAAGGTAAACTTCTCACCTTCGCCGGGATCGTTGATTTACTCACGGTATTATAAGGTATACAGAGACTTATGGTAAAGCATCGGGATCTTCCACGACCTTGCGCCGAATTTGACGCGCTCTCTAGCCGGCACGAAGTCGCGGCTTTCAGCGCCCACGAGGTCCTCTGGCCGACGAGTCCCGCCGACGGACTCAGCCGCGCCGTCGTGATCTACCCAACGCACGAGGGCCGCATGCCCATTACCAGTGCGAGCAGCGTTTACACTTGGACGACGCAACCCGCGTCCGTCGGACAGGCCTTCGAACTCTTTTATCAAGGCGATCAGGGTTGGTGGCTATACACAGGCGTCTTTGAGTGCCGTGCGGTCGTAAAGACGACTTTGCCCGCACTTGCACTCGGCCAGGAGAAATCGGTGCGTCCGTCTTGCTTGCACAGGGTGTGCAGAGCTCCAGCCATCGAATATGCTTGCTGCGCTCGCACGCGCACTATGCTCGTCTATCATGCATTGATCGTCCACCATATACATACTAATCCCTCTCAGACCACCGCCAAGCTCGCGGACGCAGTGGTGGAGCGCGCGCTGGACAAGAACCTCGTGCCGCCCATACTCTTCAACAACATGAAGAAGATGCTGAAGGAGGGGATGCTGCAGGTGTGCTGCGTGGAGCTGGAGTGCGTCGGGTTCAATCGGGCGCTGTACGCCTCATTGCTGTCTGAGGCGGGAGGGTCGGCGTCCTCGGTTAGCTCTCGTGAGCCGGTGGGAGGGCGCAAACGAGATCAGAGGAATGGCGAGCCGTCATATCGCCGACGAGAGGAGAAGAGGCGTCGAACGGACAATGAGCAGCACTAGGGTATCCTCTGCTGGACGAGACTGCTGTCCTATCATCGTTAACCCTGCGTATTTTCTTGTAGCGGCAGCTGGTCAGCCTGCCGCCCCCTACGATTCGAAAGGAAACACGCGCAGCGTACATGGCTCAGTGTGACGAATAATCGTGTAATCCTCTGAATCACATATAACGTTCGAGCAAGTATATGTTCATCTCGTGCGCCATCTCAGTCGTCACGCCCGTATCTGCAAAACAGACTCTTCTGCCTAGCATCCATTCGCCACTGGGGCTTCCCGCTGAAGAACGAGACGAGCCTAACTTAGATCATGGACTGATTGCCAGATTCTAACCCCTCAAGGCTTCCTTGGTCTGTACATGTCCGAACCCTTGATGTCTTCTCCCTCCATGCAACGTCGAAACAGCATACACAGATGTACTAATTACCATGCCCGTATCTGCGCCACAAATCCTTCTCTCTCGCGTCCATCTTCCAACTTGGCTCCGCACCGAAGAAAGAGATGAGCTTTTTCATCTGCTCCTTGGTAGGCCGCTGCATAAACAAGCTCTTGCGAGCGTCGGAAACCACCATGCAGAACGTCGCCGCCTGCTCCCCGATGTCCGCTAACGAGCTCTGATACTGCTCAATGGGCGTGTATGCGTCTGGTACCACCAATACGAGCCGGAATGGACTGTACTTGGTAATGCCTTCGGCGATATCCAGGAAGCGGGCGAATCTAACCGAGGGTGGGTGATCGTCGTTGAGGAAGTCGGGAATGTAGCTGTCGATGATGTCGTTCACAAAGTCTTCTGAGACTGGCCACCCAAAGTGCCAGAAGCGGTGGCGCGACTGAGCCCGCTCGTCGGGAACAAACGGAAGGTCTGCATGCGATGGATGCAGGCGCTTTTGGAGAAGTTAATAAGGTCTATGACACGCTCCGCAAAGGCTTAGGTACGCACTTTGTGACACTTCTGGCGGCGTGGACGACGAGCTTTCTTCGTGGTCTGTGGCTCTGTTGTCCCCACCGACGGGTTTTCGGATACTGCTTCCAAAAGCGCTTGGTTCTCTCGAGTGGCTGGCATTGTAATCAGTTGTTAGTCAGGCGCAGATGGGGCGATGGCGATGACGGTTGTGGTTGAGATCAACAGAGGCGTGTCAATTGCAAATGACACGAGACCAGCACGTGATTGTCGGTACCGAAGTTCGACGATTTCTGTGATGGCAAGCTTCTCTGACTCCGGTTGGAGGGAGTTCTGGGATAACCTGCAGGAGAACGAGCAGCGCGTCTACGAGAATAATATCTGCACAAGATGCTTGCTTTGTCAGTCTTGCTGACGATGCTGGTCTTGCCGACGACGAGGAAGAACCGCCATAGAATTCGTACAACCACATATTTACAATGAGTAAGCTGATATCAACCGCTGAACGAAAGCCGGAAGAAGGAACGTACACTACTCTACACATACATCTCAGGCATCTCAATCATCAAGCTCGTCCGATTCCTCAAGACCTTAAAGGCATTGATAGTAACTAGAGCAAAGGTGAGTAAAGTGAAAGATTCAGCAAATGCGGTACTCACTAGTCGTTGATGCGCGTGCAAGTGTAGCCCGCGACGCAGGCGGTGGCGCCAGTCCACTGTAAAGAAGGGATCAATCTCTGATTACTCGAAAGCAGAAGTCAACGTACACCCTGACCACCGCACTGGCCGTACTGCGCGACGGTCCCGGCACCAGTGGTGGGGGCAGCGGGACCGCCGGTGGTCGTCGCACCTCCACCCGGGTTGGTGGGCTGCGAAGGCGGGATGGACACGGCAGTGCCGCTGTTGTACACCGCAACACGGCTCGCGGCACCACAGAACTCGCCACCGTCACCCGGGCACGGAACGTTGCACGCGTAGCTGCTGGAGACCTTGCTCGTATCGAGGGAGCTGCCGCAGGAGCAGGTGGTGCCGGCCTTGAGGCCCGCGAACTGGAGGCCCTTGCTCGCGCAGCTGGACAGGCACTTCTCGATGGTCATCATGGCGTCGGTGGAGGAGCCGCCGGTGAGGAGGGTCTGGCCTTGGGCTTCGGCGGCGCAGCCAACGGGCTCCCAGCCGTCGATGTCCTTCTTGAACCAGCTGACCTCGTCGACCGACTGCGTCGTGGTGGGAGCACCGCAGCCGGAAACGGGCGTGGCGGGGCCGGGACCTTCGACAACGGGGTTGCAGCCGGGGAGCTCCTCAAGCCCTAGACGATGTTAGCGCTCGCGACGGACACGAAAAGATCTGGGGATCTTACAGCCATCGAACACCTCTTCGACACGCGGAGGAACGGCACAGTCGTTCATCTCTTCCTCGGAGCGAGTGTGGAGGACACCGCAAGACGAGACCTGCCCGCTAGCATCCGTGCACTGAGACATGGCCTGAGCAAGAACGTCTTCGGGCCAGCCCATCATGTAGTCGGCGTGGTATCCGTAGCCAGTGCTATGTAGAGATCAGCAGCAGTCTTCGCGAGAGATACGCAACACATACGGGTCTCCCATACTCCAGATGAAGGGCTGCTTGCCGTTGTCGAACGCGCCGGGCTCGTTGTTGAACGGCGTCGTGTCCCAGTACGTCTCGAGGAAGAGCAGGGGAATCGTCACGGGGTGAGTGGACGGGCAGCCAGTACCGAAGTTACCGAAGCTGGCGTTGATGGCGTAGGAGACATGGTCCCTGTGGTTCGGCGAGTCGACGTTCTTGCCGTCCCAGCAGCTGAGTACCGATTGAGCGTGATAGTCGAGTCAATGTGGAGGAACAACGTACGTGGGGAAGTTGATCTGGCTACGAACGCCACCGTTGCAGGGCTTCGTGGGCAGGCCGTTCGTGTCCTGGCCGGTACCGGAGGAGTCCTCGGATTCGAGGCAGCGGAAGGTGATGGAGCGCGAGTCGTCGATGGACTGATCGTACTTGCGGAGCATCGGGTCACCGGCGACCATGCGGAAGCCCTGCAACGAGGGTCAGAAGCAATCGAAAGACTCGACGCACAAAGAACTCACCTTGGGGAACGCGGTGACGTTGCCGACCTGGATGTAGTAGACAACCATGCCCCCGTTGGGGCTGCCGGTGATAGGACCGGGCCTCTGCTTGACCTATGGAACTCTTCAGTCGGCTATTCTCGACAAAAGGAAGAATTGGACATACACGAGTGAAAGTGCCGTTGCTCGGGGACTGGAAGTAGAGCGTCGGCGTCCAGTAGTTCGACTTGTTCTCCAAGATCGAGCAGGAGCTGCAAGTCGATTTTCCTTGAAGGTCATAACCGTCGGGCATGTTGAAGTCGAAGCTGTTCTATTGGGCAGGAAACCGTGATTAGGCCTTCTCCCGATAGTCTGAAGAACAAGATCGCGTACCCCACCAACGACCTGGTGCAGATGCTGACCGACCGAGTCAGGGTTGACCAGTCTAGCGAAGAATGAGCATAGGAATGGCTGCACAAGGACGAAGACTCACGGGTCCGAACGAACCACCGTCGTCTGCGCGCATGGGAAGCGCAGGAGACCCTGGGCGAGCTGGGGAGCCGCGAGAGCAAGTGCCAGAAGAGTCGACCACATCTTGCTTGACTAGCAGAGCACGACGCAGAACCCAGGCCCTCCTCCCTCCACCCTATATACCCTCACCGCTTGCCTGCGCCGGCCCCGCCGACCCGGGGCACTCAATGTCTGCAGAACCTCGGGTCTCATCTCGCTGCCGTGTATGCAGACTCACCGCCATGTGTGCGCCCGTGGCTTCCATCACCTCGTCCAACATACGCATCGAATAGGCACGGAGTATTTGACGCTGTTTGCGTCGAGGCAGGATCGACGCGGGGCGCTCACCTGATGCCCCGCAGACGCGCCCGGCGAAAAGAGAAGCGTCGAGGGGCGAAGCAGGTGCGGGAAGCATACGTGGGTTTTCTCTTCCCATTGAATGTTAACCTCTTTGCAACTGAATATCTTGATGGGCGCGCACGTTGCCGAAGCGAGACGGGGTTCCGCGCGGGCAGCGTCGAAGGGTGTCGGTCCCAGTGTACCTCGCCCCGACTGTACTAGAGGCTGCGAGAGGGTCAGCCGCGGAGAATCTCTGGATGTCTGAGACGCGTACCAGGTCGCCTCGAGCACGGTCCCGGATGTCTAAAGCCAAAATCTCATTCGACGAGGGGCACAACGTACCAGCATCGCGCCCGGCTATTCTTCGCTACGAGGCAAAATCGCTGGAGGCATTTCGCTATGAATTCTTGTAGCTATCATGGTAAGTGCAATATAGATGTCGGTAGACGTCACTGGAGAAATAGACTTGAGCCCTCCGCCCTTGCCCTGGCCATTCATAAATATTCCTGTCCATCTGCAACGCCATCCCGAATTCCATAGTGGCAAGATTCTGGTCGGGTTAAGGACCGCGCCAGTACTGCCTGACGGTTCTTCCCTTATCTCGCAGCAGCCCCTTCTGAGTATCACGGTGTGGCACGGGTCTGAGATTCTGAGGGTCCGACCGTCCGCCAATCGGTAGGCCTCTCAGCAGTCCCATCCGTAAGTGTATTTCGGGTCTTGCGTTCGGCTGGAGTCGGGGCCAGTAAGGCTACGGCCACAAATGCTGGCACCAAAGGCCTCGTTGAGGAGCAAGTCGACGACGTTGCGTGCCGCAACTGTCTCGGTCTCCATCGTCGAAATGAACCTATGCGAGCGTAACGTCAGCGCATTATACACAGCACGCAAAGCGCAAGAGTGCCTCCTGTGCTTCATTGAAGAAAGATACGCACGGTTCAAAGGCGTTGACGTAGTAGAAGTTCGTATCGAGCTTGACGGGTGGCATCGGCGAATTGGGTAGAAGCTTCGGGTAGGCGTCCCACTGTAGGAGAGGTATCAGTATACAGAAATCAAGATAGACGCCGTTTGTCAGCCTCAAGCGTGACTTTGGACTCTCTTGGCGAACGTCAGATGCACGAGGCTTACGAGGCTGCGCACAACCTTACGAGCCGCGCGCAGCTACCGAATGCGCGCACAGCAATTGAGTCCGTGCACAAACAAGTGCCAACGAGTCCATGTACAGGGTCAAACTCCGACTCACCTGTTTCCGATACACCCACCCCACCTGCCCCAAGAACATCTCGCTCAGCCACTCGTCGGAAATCTCCTGCTGCGAGAATATCTTCACGACCCACTCTCCCTCACGGATAGCGCCATGATACGAGAGCGAGTTGAATTCGGGGACGCTACCGTTGTTGCGCGCGCCGTCGTAGGTGGTGAGGATCATCGACGGGACCTCCTCCACTTTCGCGTTGAAGTATGTCGGATTCGGGCGAGGGGAGGTCGTGGAGAGGAGGGTGACCTATGTAAGCAGTTAACGGCTGCGTCGGGGAAACCATATATTTGCTCAACGTACATGCAGTCGCACGTAGGGCACATCGGGGACTTCGACAGCGTTCGGCGCGTTGATAGCAATCCCGGACGAGTGGATAGGCGCAGCGAAGATGACAGCCTTGTACGCCTTGGCAGAGCCCGCGGTGCGCACGGTCCAGAACGTCTGCGAGTCGCTGATGCTCGTGACGGGCGTGTTGAGGTAGACGTTCGCGCCAGAGTAGTTCAAGAAGTGCTCAAAGATCTGGTAGTTACCGCCCTGGATTCCCGTGGCGCCGTTCGTGGCCATGGATACAGTCGCCCCGAAAGCGTGCAGGTCGTCGACGTTCTGGGATGTGGTGAGTGCAAGATCTTGCTGCGACGACGTGTAAGCCGTGTAGACTCTTATGCTTACCTGCCCGTAGTTAACGCGCGTGGCGGCCTCAATCAACTCGAACACGAATTTCTCTGACACGCCCTTGCCGCGGAAGAAGTCCTCCCCCGTATCCTCGACGAGTTGTGCGACGCCGAGCTGTCCGGCGAGGTCCCGTATGTTGTCCCACTTGGGGTGGTCGTATGAGTACAGGCGAAGGAACTTCTTGACTATGTCGTCCGTGCTGTAATCCAATCAGCTCCTTGATGATCACCGCAGACTAGGAAGTCACGTACATCCACTTTGCCTTGAGCGGTGCCATCCCGAACCTCCAAAGTAGTTTGGCGTTATCCCACCAGCCGTCACCGGCCTAAAGTGGTGATATGTATCAGTATCAGACCAACAGGGCATGCGCTTAAGTCTTGAAAAAGGTGATGATGGCTAACTCAGAAGGCAGAGGGCGGTAGAGGTGTGAGGTCAATGTGGTCGAAGACAACTCAGAAAACAGTTTATTGACGAGGTAACAGCGCAATGCGCGGAAAGAAACACGATGTATAATACACCTAGGGTTGCAGATCGATACAGATGCAAGGAAGGCAGACTCACGGAGAATAGGATCGACGTGCCGTCCCATACCCCCATAGTGCTGTCCTTGTCATTGAAGTCTTTAAGGGTCAGGTTGAATTCCTGTGAGGCCCTCCACATGTTCTTGTTCGCTTCGACGAATATAGATCCGCCGAGCTCTACAGCAGGTAATGTCGTATCATTGTAGGGGTAGACTGTCGTGCTCCCTGCGGCGCGATTTCCCCGTGTCAGTGTCTGCTAAAGGAGCGAAGGGTGATGAACGCACGTCCTCCAACGTAAGAGTCCTTCTCATACACGTCGACCTCAACGTCGAGACCGAAGCGCTCCTTTGCCTTCGCGATCCAGAATGCCGCAGAGCTTCCGCCAGCGCCAGCGCCGATGATTGCGATCCTTGGTGTCCCCGATGGCGCCTCCGGTTCCACAAGCGAGTTCGAAGATAGAAAGGGGACCTTGAAGGGGAGCTGGAAAGCAGAGCAAGCAAGGGGAAGCAGCAAGAGTCCACAACACGCCTTCATGGTGAACTTGCGGTGAGCGCGCGCGTCAAGGACTCGCTCACAGCCCGTTGCCGTCATTACCGTCGACGCGTTCGTGCTTTGATCCGAACCCGGGGATCAAACCTTGGGACCGGAGCCTCAAGTTCAACTTCGACATCGTCGCGTTCAAAGGTACATATGGCTTTCTTGCACACGAAATTGCCTCGAAATATACCCAAGTAGATCAAATACTCATAGCTACCTCCTATGCCCATACTTGTGCCACTGGCTTTTCTCTAGCGCATCCATCATCCAGCATGGCTGTTTGCCGAAGATGCGAACCAGCCTCGCCATCTGCTTTTGCGTAGGCCGCTTCCTGAAGAAGTAACCACCGCAATCCGACACTACCATAAAGAAGGTGACGGCCCTCCTGCCATGAGTAACGAGCGGGCTCTGCCACGAGACATCTTCCGTAGGCTCAACGAGGACCAGCCGGATCCGCTTCAATCCTGACAGTCCTTCGATGAGGTCGTTGAAGTGCGGGTATTTGTCAGTGACATCTCGATCCTCGTCGAGGTAGTCGGGGGTATATCTGTCGATGATCTCGTTCACGGCCTCGTCAGAGACTGGCCACCCGAAGTGCCAGTAGCGGTGAGTGGCGGTGTCGTGTGCCTCAGGCACGAAGGGTATGTCGGCATGCGAGGGATCGAGACGCTTGAGGGGATATTGAGACGCGGACGACAGAGGGAATTAACAGTGTTCGCACCTTGTGAAATTCTGGCCGTGGACGTCGCCGCTTGCCATTCTTCTCAGCGTTGCTTGCTGTATTGTTCGAGTCGTCATTGATCGTGAGATTCTGCATACCGTTTTCCAAGTTAGTTGCCATGTCTAACAGAGCTTTTGGAATGCGGTGATCAGCTGGTCGAAGAGACGATGGTGGTCGCGTATGTTCAACTCCAAGAGCGGTCAAAGCGGTAACGCATGCCATCGAATTATCACGTGACTTTACCACAGTCGAACTGTGACGAGTGTGACTTACAACACAAGTTCACCGCCCGGCTGGCGACACCTACCCCATAAGAAGCTCTGCAACCCACCTCACAATCCATTATATAGCTTAAAATAATGATACAGGCCAGATAGCAAAGCTACGGGTGCTCGATTAAAAGGAAAGCAAGTCAAGACTGCAGGCAGATACCGAGACGATATAAACAACGTCCGTCCAGAATCTGAATAGACAACAATCCACCCTCGGGAACGAACTATACTATACTTAAGCCGCTCATCTCGCAAACGGCGTACGCATCAACCAAGCGACGAACTCATCATCCAGGCGACGCCCTCGTCTCCTCGCGCATTGACTCGCCTTCCTCCAACACCTCGCCCTCCTGCAGCCGCTCAAACCGCGAGCCCAGGTTGAACGTCGACGGCAGGCGCACGAGCGACACTCGCTTCGCGCACCGCGTCTTGTCCCACTCTTCAGCCTCCTCGTCAATGGGCGTCTCCTGCGCCGTGTAGAACTTCTCGTGCGTAAAGTCCTGACTGTCGTCCGGCGAGTGCGATGGCCGATCCACATACGAAGATGGTCGGCCATCAAAGGGCGACGGCGCACCCTCAAAGGATGACGGCGCGCCTGGCGAAGGTTCCACGGAGGACGAGGGACCAGCAGAGAACGTGGGCTCCACAGACGACGGCGGTCCGTCGAACGACTGCACCGAGTTCGAGCTGCTGTGGCGAGCAGAAACCGACGGACGTGACGCCGACAACAACGACATGGGCCGCTCCTCGACCGGCGACGTCGGCCAGTCGCTCGAGTAGTCCAACGCTGAATGGAACGACTCGCAGATCGAGGACGGCGGTCGCCTGCGCGCAGATGATGGCGGGCGGGACGCTGAGGGCGGCGAAACCGACGCCGACGTGGGCTCCACCGGCAGGCTCTGCGTACTCTCGTTCGAGATACCAAATGGCGTCGGGGTATGATGCTGTTGGGTCGAGTGCGACGTATCCGGCCTGCGACTCTGCAACGTCTCCGTCGCCGCTTTCAGGGCCAGCGCCTTCGCTCTGTACCAGTCCCGGCTCTCAGCGATCAGGTCGTTCGCCAGCACTTCGCGGTGGCACACCAGCTTCGCCACCTCCAGCCGCAACATCGCGACTCGCTTGGCAAGCGCATGTGCGGCCTGTAACAGCCTTTCCCGCGTCGAGCGTTGGAACGGGGTCATGATGCCCAGATTGCGCGCAAAGCGGAGGTCAGCCTCGAGTTGCGTCGTCGTCGCCGACAACTTCTCCTTGATCTCGTGCACCTTCGACTGGATGACCTGCGAGCGACCAGGTAGACGGGCCATCTCCATCTGCGCAAATGTAGGGGACCCAGGCGACGCCGGCATCGAGTTGAGTCTCGCACGCTGCTGCTTCACATCATTTGCGTCTGGAATATGGAAAATACCCGCGGCGAGATCGGCCTTGACCTGGTCGAATGTCGCCTTGAACTGGTCGGCGCCCTCGACCTCCGGCGCCTGAGGTGCATCGTCGCTGCGAACGCTTGACATCGTCATATGCCGCCTCACATTGGCGCGCAACTGGCTCTGTGAACGATCGACAACAATCCCAGCGTCCGAAGGACGCCTAGATCCTGGCCTTGACCCTGACCCATTCGTGGCAGGCATCGCGCTTGGCTCGGTGAACTTGTGCACGCGGGAGCCCTGTACCCTGCTCGCCGCCTGCATATCGTGCAAGTGCGAGGTCGCCGCCGCAACGCCAGTCAGCTGTACGTCCTTGCCAGACATGCCCATCGGACGCATGCGTACGCCAGCCGTCTTGAATGCGCTGGCGTAGTTGATACGGGCAATCCATTCGTTCAGCTCGCGCTCGGTCTCGGTCTGGAGGAGGTAGTGACGGCCGTCTGGGAGAACGAAGCGGAAGGTGTTCTCATGCTGGACGTATATTTTATCAGCATGCTCAACTTTTCGACTTTCGCTACTCACCTTCGTGTACGACCGATCATAGACAGCCACCGCATCCTTGACCGACACCCACTCATCCGGCTGGTTGACGCCCGGCGGCGGCAGCATCTGACTGTTGCTCCCCAACTCAGCATAGTCCTTCAGCGTCTCCGCCCACGACGCGTCCCGGAAGAAGAACAATTGGCTCCCCGTTAGCATCACGCTCCACGATCGCCACTTCCGATTCGTCGACTTTCGCCCGCCCTCCAAAAGATCCTCCTTGCGGTTCAAAAGGTCGACCTTCGTGAGCTTGAGCGTGTACACCCTCTCCTGCGGCGGCGACCTGGATATTTCGCCGAGCGGGCTGGCGATCATGGGCGTCGGCTGTGCGGTGGCAGCCATGGTGAAGAACGGGTTCACCCGCTGCAGCGCCGTCGGGTCGACCGCGCCCACTTCTATCATCCCCGCCTGCGCGAACACGCGATGCAGCTCGTCCGCATCCCATGGGCCTGCAGTGCCTTGGTACAGGAAGGGACTCCGGTTGGGTATGATGCTGCCAATATCGATGCGCAGGTGGCCGAGCTGGTTCTGCGAAATGACATGTGAGCCTACGGGTAAGAAGCCGACCGGTAAGCATACCCTTGTGATTAGGTAGTAAGGGTCAACCCTGCTTGCCTTGCCCGAGAACATCGAGCCGGACCCATTGTTCGCGGTGGCAGCACCCGCACTGTTCGCTAACGAGGACAGCGTGCGGGAGGAGGGGACTTCAGGGATGACGCTCCTCTGCCCATTGACATCGACTGGGTCCTCGATGAAAATGAAGGGCGCAAAGACGATGTTGTCGTAGAAACACTGGCACAGCCATGTCAACCCGAGGCCTGCTGAGGCGAGATCGCACTCACATCGAGGACCTCCGGCGCGACGCCAGGCAAACGAGTGTTCCTGATGTAATCGGGCTTCGTCATCTTCCGCTTGTTGGATTTGTTGAACGCGTCGGTATGCAGCATGATGAGACTAAAGGCTAGGATGTAAGGATGGTCTGCCGTCTTCCGTGAGCATCTTGTCAGAACATGAAGGCCTGTGCGTACCGTTGGAGGTGAATAGGGAAGGGTTACACACGACGTAGCGCTGAGCAAAGGCTTCTATGACCCTGTCTATTTGCTGAGTTTCGCGTGGGAGACCGACGTCCATAAGCAGCTTTCGAAGCGCAACATCGAGGGGGTCATCCGAAAAGTCAAACTGGCTGATGTACGCGCGCAAGGCCTGAACGTGAAATGAACTCGCGCTGCCGAAACGCGTAAGCCAGCAGTAAGCGACACAAAAGCGCCATTAGTCACCTGGAAGCAAGGACGGTCGCAATTTCCGCCTTGCTGACCACCTCGGATAACCGGTGCAGGTATACCTCCGGGCTCTCCTCGTTCGTTCGGGGCTTCGGAATCTCGATGGATGGTTTGCGGTGGGGGCGGGTGAGGGATGGGCGAGGGGAGTTCGCGGGACTATGTCCATGACCAGAAGCAGAGCCAATGTTGTTGGGAAACGAGGGAACGGATGAGGGGAAGAGTGACATAGACAGGCGATGGAGGATGGGAGGGTTCGTTTGCGAGCGCGGTCGCGCTACTGCGACACCCTCTTCGGATGCCGGTGCAGAGGGCGTTAGGCGGCTTTGCGGAGCAGTGGAAGGCAACACAGGAGAGGTAGGTGGAGACGCGGACATCGGGCTTGGAGAGTCGAGGAAGGCTGAGGTTGCTTTATACCTTGCATCGCTGTCCGCCGTCATGGGCCGCTTCTGTTGCCGTCGCTTCGGTGGCGAGAGCAGACGAGGGCTGGATGAGCTAGCAGAGGCACCTGTAGGCGTTCCCGCAGAGGTCGCTGGTCGTAATGGTACGCGCTCAGAGTGACTTCTCGAAAGACCGCGATGGTGCGATCCCACGCTAAGTGACGACGAGGAATGTGATAGCATACCCTGCCGAGGCGGAGAAGTACCAATCCCAAAGGGCGAGAAAGGGCGAAGGGAGGGAATTTGAGGGCTGAGGGATGAGTCCTTGCTTGGCGAGGGGACGGGGACGGGAGGTATAGGCTCATCTGCCGGCGTGATCGACTTCTTGCGATTCCAAAACGACGCCCGCCGACTTAGTGGCCTTGGCGAGTCTGGCGCATGCTCCTTTTCCTTACCCTTCCCGGATGGCGAGGGATCGCTATTGCCGAATAGGTTGAGCGAAAGTCCGCGCGACCGCCGCCGGTTCAGATCGCTCTCGGTGGTTGACACAGCTCGCATTTTTCCCGAGCTCTTGACGCGCCGAACGACATTCTGGACGGGGGATTCGGGTATGGGCGGGGGAGGGGTATTGAACGCGACGCTGTTGATCTCGGTCGACGGTCGCGAAGGGGATGCCTGGGGCATTACGTGCGGGAGGCCAAGCCCAAGCGCGGCCTGTGCGAGTGCGGCGGTCGAGGAGGATGCGGTAGCAGAGCAATCGCTGGGGGTCGCGGAGCCAGGCGCGGGAGGGAGGGTGGTAGAGGCGGCGTTGGCCGCGAACGGCTGCTCGTGCCCCGACGCGACGCTCTCCGTCTGCGTGTACTCCCTTGGTGGCGTCGGCGGGAGGTCCTTGTCATGCAGGAACATCGTATGTGGCCTGATCATGCCATCCTCGGTCGCCGGCGCCGGCGCCCCGCCTCCACCAAACGTCGAATGCCGTGCGGGCGGGGCCCCGGAAGTCGTGCGCTTCCTCGTCCAGAGCGGGAGGGAGAAGAAATGCGTGGTCGTCTGCGTCGTGGTAACCACCGTCGTCGTCGTCTCCGAGGCGACGAGGACGGCGGACTGGGCGCTGTCGTTGTAGGAGGGCGGGGCGCCGGCAGCGACGTGATCTGACGACTGGGCGGCCTGCTTGTTGCCTCGGGAAAACCTGCCGACCATGAAATTTTGCGGGAAGGAGGAGGGCCCGCGCAGATTTCAGCGAAGAAATCCCAGGTGCGAATAGCGGGTACGCCTCTCGCTCTCGGAGGGTGCTCAGCGTAGACGGGGGCGGGAGGGGAACGGCGTCAGGGGCATTCTTACCACCGCGCCCGTCACGTGCACTCCTGCCTTTCGCGGTTCAACCTGAATTCTCAAGTCCGCGCCGAGTTCGCGCGCAGCGCTTGCACTGCCTTCCGATACGGCACACAGTCCGACGAGCGGCATACAGTAATCTGCTGAGGATAATGTGGGCCGATTCTTGTCGTCCGCGGACGCGCAGACAACGCCGGCTGTTTTGCAGGAGAAATACGGGTAACTTCTTGGCTTGGTGTGAAGAACGGTGTCTCCTCGCGTCATGGACTGCGCATTAGCTGGCATGAGGTCAACAGGACCACTGCTTCGCGTGTAGTGTCATACGTCCTCCACAGGAAGACCGAATGGCCACTAGCGTACACTAGTACTCGTCCGTCTACGGTCGCGAATTGAGCAAGCTAGTACTTGCAGAGATTTGCACCGCGGATGACAAGATAGGCTGATGCAGTCATTTGTGCTCGATAAATAGCAACAGAGAGAGTCAGTTTGAGAGCATACGAGGAAGGCCGATGCACTCGGAGCGCATCCTTCGAGCAATACAGCCCAGAAGAGCCCTGGTGTATAGGACAGTCAGCAGATCGTCTTCTGGAGCATCGAGAGCAGAAGTGCGCTCATAGGTGGAGGTATTTCTCCAATATGAAGGGGGGATCAGTTTCATAGATATGCGCAGCTCTGCGAAGAGCTGTTCACTTTCCTATCGGGGTAGGCGCTGGTAGGCGCCTCTGAAGGCGCCGATCCCGCTACTGGCTCTGTGAACGGGTCTGGTGCGGAGGAGAAGAGCTGGCGCGAGAGATAACACTTCCTCCCCTTCTACTTAGCCGTATAAGCCAGAAGACTCGAGTAGAGAAAAGTAGGGGGATGGAAGGCCCTCTTTGTGGTGGTCAAGTTGAAGTCCACAGCGTGACGAGTAACGGGTGACCATCGGCATCGGTCGGCCCGGGCGCTTTTGGGACTTCGTCGTTTGCAGCTTGAGCCGTCTCCAACGAGCCTTCAACCACTTGTTCCTCCTCATTCCTCGGGCTCGAGCTCTTCCTTACACTCTGTTTGAGTCATAGAGACTGATATAACTGCTATCGTAGTCGATCCCACGACGAAGCCGCCGAAGGCTTCGAGGAGGAGATTCAGCGGGCATCGTCTGAATGGAGGACGAAGCGGGGACTTCTCATCCTCTCCATACCCTCTTCCCTGTTTTACGAGCGTACACGTCATTGGAGAGGACGGAGTGCACCTCGTTCCTATTGTCCTCCCTCCAGGATCAGCACGTTGACGGAACTTGTGGGATTCCAGCGCGCGCGGACGGGTTCCAAACACTCATCTCGAGGGAAGGACCAGGCAGTTGCTACCCATCCACGCCTCATACACGTCTTCATGAAGGGGAAGGCACCGCCCGCACCGGCATCTAGCACTCATTCTCAAGCTGATAGACATGACCCCGCAACGTGTTCGCTGCGAACACCCTACCGCCTCGTGCGGTTATCATATCCATCCGCTTCATCAACGCCTCATTGCAGCCTGCCTCGACGATGCCTCCTGGTGGACCCCTGCATATATAAACCCCGCCCGCACCCCGAAAATTTCTCATCTTTACCTACTTCTCCTCACCCGCACTACGCACACTACACAAGCCCAAGATGGCCTCCCCTAGCCCATCCAAAGGCGGCCTGCGCTCGCGCATGGGCACCATGCTGCGCCGCACGTCCTCCGTCTTCTCTAAGGACAAGGAGGGCTCCCGTTCCTCATCTCCCGTACCGGGGCAGCTCCCGTAGGTCTCTGGGAAGCTCACGCAGGTCGTCAGCATCCCAAGAGTCGCTCAGGAAACTCGATACGAAGGCGCAGCCGCCCGCGGCAGCGCCGGAGCACCACCAACCCAGCCCGATCGCAGAGTCGCCTGCGCGCGAGGCGGCGTCGCTCACTGCGGAGCCCACCGCCCCCGCGGCGGCGCATGGGCCGTCGCCGCTCGCGAATGCTATCGCGGCGGAGTCTTCGCAGAGCGTGGGCGCGGCGAGCAGCGTGGGGCAGCCCATCCTCACTGACGGCGCCGGCCCGGGCGGCTTCACCGAGGAGCCCGAGGGCATGTCGACGCTCGGCTCGCACGATGGCCACGCGCCATCGCACCATGAGGCGCAGCCTGTAGAGCCCGCCGTCGAGGCGCCCAAGGAGCCCGAGCCTGCCCCTGCCCCCGCTGCTGAGCCGACGCGTCAAGATGCCTCCACGTCGCCCATCCAGGCTGCTCCCCAGACGCCTGTCCCCGCGCCTGCCCTCGAGGTCCCCGCTCCCCAGCCTCAAGTGATCACCCCGGAGACGTCTCCTGGCTACTTCGAGATCCCAGTTTCTGCAGTCACTCAGCCTGGTCCCACGCTCTCGAGCACCTCCATGGACGACGACATCAACGAGGCGGACATCGTCATCGGCCAGGCGCCTCAGAAGCAGGTCGAGGTCACGCGTCCTTCTTCTCCTGCCGCTGGCGCCGACAACGCTACCGACGCGTGGAAGGCGGCTGCTGATGCTAACAGCCCCCTCGCGCAGGATGAGGCTCAAGCCAAGTGCGTCGCGCAGTGTACTTCCTATGCTTCGGCTGACTGAGATAATCTGTAGGTCCCCAGCGCCTTATGGCGATCCGTTCACGGACCCCGACGCTCATGACTATGAGGTGGTGGAACCGGCGGGCATGCCCATGTGAGTATCACCATCGTCGTACATCGACCTCTCGCTCATCACAATCTTTCAGCCCTCAGCATGAGAACGGCAACGGCTACCACGTCGAAGCTGCTTCCCCCGTCCAGGTGCCTGTCCCGCAGAGTGCTGCTCCCCCTACCGAGACACAGCCCCTTCTCGCTGGCGGCGCTGCCTCCCTCTACGGCGAACCCTCCTTCGCTCAGCACGAGTGGATCCGCTACACGCTCCCCGACCCCGGCAGCACCGCGTACTACGTGCACCCCGGCCGCGCCATCACGACCGACATCGATCTCACCCTCCCCGAGAACCTCGCCGCGGTGCAAGCCTTCCTCACGAGCACGCACCGCCAGCGCGACGGTGCGGAGATGTGGCTCGTGCGCAAGGAGGAGCAGGGAAGTGACGCCGCGCGTAAGCATGACAAGCACGACAAGCGCCGGTCGTCAGACCACGGCTTCAAGCTGCTGTGGGTCGACCACGGCCGTCGTCGCTGCCTCACGCAAGAGTCGTACTCGCGTGGTGACAAAGACGCGGAGGCGCGCTACTGGGCCTTCATGGAGGCGCATCCCGCGCACACCACCCTGCCCACAAATGCTCGCAACGAGGCCATCGAGGCGCTCATGTGGATCTACAGTGGTAAGTCACATCCATACTCTGGTGCGACCAACCTTTACTGAACTCTCAGATATAGACAACGTGATCCCAGAGCAACCCGGCACCCGTGCCTCCGCTCCCTTCTCCCGCGAGGAGTGCCAGTCCATCCTCCGCGTGTTGCGTGGTGAGCACAAAGCAAGCAAGCGCTTATCGCATCACCTTCTGACGTCCCCGCAGATCAGACGCACGAAGAGTTCGGCGACTCAATCATCCAAATCCGCCTCATCGCCCGGATCATGCGGCGAGTTGGTGAGTGCCCGATTGGCCGCCCTTTCTGCGTCCCCGGCTAACCCCAAAGCAGCACAGTGGCGCGCGCACGGCGGCGCGGGCATCCCCCAGCACTCCTCCGTCGCGGACGTTGCGATCTCGATGGTGTCCGCGCTCTGCCTCGGCCTGCCCTACCTCTTCCTCGCGAACGACCGCTCGCACGCGGTGAACGCGCTGCGCGACCTCGAGGGCAGCTTCTCGCACGTCGTGAGCCTCTCGCCCGCAGTTTATCTTGCTGGCGCGTGCACGTGCATCATGGTGAGTTTTTTCGTTTATATCGCCGCTGCTGCCCAACGTTGCTGCAGGGCGCGGTCGTGTTGAGCGCATCTGTGACGCTGCTTTCTCTTCCAGGGCTGGACAGCGTCGCGCGCGTGGCTGGCTTCGTCGCCGCACTCGTCTCGGCCTTCTCGATGGTTTCTGCCGTTGTGGCCCTTGTTCGGTTCCAGTCGGACCTAACGACGGTCTCGCTCGGTGAGGGGATGATTGTCCTCTCCGTAAGTGCACTACTGCTATTCTCGAGCTTTACATTCTGACCTATATTCATAGCGCCGTCACGTCCTCATGTCGGTCCCGGTTGCCCTCCTCATATACTCAGTGATCGCGCTAGTCGTGGCACTCGTTGTATATGCCTTTCGAGGCGCCGTGGTAAATCCGTCCATGCACATCGAGCGCCACTTTGGATCGTACACGACGTGGTCTACCCTCGCTGTCCTTGGTGGCCTCCTTGGCATGCTGACCATGTCCTTCATGTCCCTTCGCCGTTACTGAACGGCGTACGACTCTCATGGTTCCCTCTATGTACTCTTCTGGAATTCACCCAAGCTAACTTATTGTACGACTGCACATCACCATGACTAGATATGCCACACTACTATCTGCGTTCTTTTGAGAACTGTATCACTGCTGTACTACCTATGTCTGTTGTACCATCGCTCTTTGTGTCTGTGGTGTTGTGCATAACGAGCTGTTTTCTGGGATCTGCATGGTTTGAAGCTTGAGCCTTGGCACTAATGGAAGAAAGATGAGCTCCGTGAGTATCGGTGGATATTCTGTCTTCCTTTCCCTCCCTAGTGTGGAAGATAACGGGAAAATAACGGCGCTTTAGAAGAGCCCAGAATGATTGATGAGGGCGAGACAAAACCTTGATCGCCCGAAAAGGAAGGTATTGAACTTCAAACGTGCGCGTTTGCTTCCTTGCTTTCTTCCTCCGTTGCTCCGGGAGGAGTGCCCCGCCTCTCCGGTCTCCAACAGCGCACCCACTGGCCCCGAGCGCTGCCCCACCGTGGCGAGCGGCCGTCGTCCTCGAGCAGCGAGGGCCGTTTGAGACGACCCCGACGTGGGAGGATATAGAGGGCTTACGTACGGCGTCGGTACCGCGCATTCAAAGTTCGGCGGTCCTTGACGACCGCTGAGAAAGTCTGCAGGGCGTCCGCGCTTGTTTGGGGCCAGGGCGGCCAATCGGCAGGGCGCTCGCGCCGGCGGCAGGCCCGGCAAGGTCCGCAGGAACATTCAACAAGGAGACCATCATTCACGTGTATTTCTTGTTGGAAGATCAGCAAGATCTCCCTCCGTCGGATCACCCCGAAGCGGCAGGTCGAACCAGCCGTTCGTCTCTCGAGCTCGTGGGTGATTGCAGATTCCCCGCGCATCATGTGTGCAATGAAATTTCGCCGGACGCTGGCGCGATCCCTGCGCGCGCCGCTGCTTGCTTCCCACCACATCGGTGGTCCACAAAGGCCAGCAAGGAGCGTACCCGTACGCCCCACACTCACTTCCCCCTCACGCTCCGGCCTCGTCTCCGACCCCTTCACGCCCTCCGAGTCCCGCGCGCCGTGCAGGCGGCCCGCGCACAACCCACTCATTCCCCACCGTCCGTGTTCCGTTATCGCCGCGTATGAATCCCTCCCAGGATGCGGGTCAGAAGCGCCCGCGCAACAAGCTCTCTATCATGGTCCAGCTCGCCTCTGCAGTCAAGCGCAGCAGCTCCAGCCCTGCCTCCCCTACGTCCGGCGTCAAGGCCTTCACGTCCCCCTCGTCGACGCCCTGCGCAACGCCTCGCACGGCAACCCACCCAAGCGAAGCCGGACCCGCGTCCAGTAACCCTTCCCTCAACCCTTCTCCTACCGGCATGCACTCTTCTCCCCTCACCCGCCCACCTACCCTCAACGAGTTAGACGGGGCGGAGAAATCACGGCTTCTGAAGAAGGCGCGCAAGCTCTCGAAGGTCTTTGGGGAAGTAGCGGTGCTCCGCGACCTGGACGACGCCAGTATGCCACCTCCACCCCCGTTGCCCAAAGGTCCCGGAAGCTCCCCCTCCACCCCTATGCGTCCCAGCTTCAATCTCTCACGAGCGGATGTTGAAAAGAGCCTACCCGACCCACCCCGCCCATCCATCGCGGACTCAGCCATGAGCATCTCATCATTCACGCACGAGACTAGCGCCATCGCCGAGATCAACGTCGAGCCGCCCTCCGAGGAGGCCTCGCGCGAGTCGATGGACCTCGATATCGAAAGTCCTCCGCCCAAGCACTCGGAGGACCAGCTCCGCCGCATACGCATGGCCAAGCTCTCGCGCCACTTCGGCGAGAACATCCCCCTCGAGATCCTAAATGACGCCTACGCCTCCAGCCGGCGGCCCTCCACGCCCGACGGCGGGCCCCGCAGGAAGCGGATGAAGCGCATCGGGCGGCAGGCCAGTGTCGACGGGCTGTACAGCGCCGTGGTCGGCGCGCGCCCAAAGCTTTCGACGAAGCGGTCGACCCCCTATCTGCGACGCAGCCGGTCGCTCTGGGGACAGAAGCAATCGATGGACATCCCGCGGCCTCTTGCGCATGGCGGGGTTGAGCTTGTGAGCGAGGACTTCCAGGCACGGTACGAGGAGAATTTCGGTGGCGACAACCGCCCACCGTTGCCGGATGGGCGACGAGCGATGGATGTGCGTCGGGCGAAGAAGATGCGCGAGGTATGTGACCGAGGGTCTCCTATGTGCGACCTTGTGCTGACCGCATAAAGCTTTTTGGCCAGGATCCACCGCCACAGCTTATACGCGTCCTCGACAACAAGGAGAATCAGCTAGACGTGCCAGATATGACAACAGAGGAGCGCCGCGCATCCCTAGCCACTCTGCTGTCGCTGTCGACATTATCCGCTACAGACCTTCCACGTAGCGGATCAGCTATGTCGCAGCGTTCTGACGGCAAGGACCTCCCGCCAAGACCGCGTACGGCTCCATCGCGTGGCGGGTCGCCAGAGCTGCCCTCCTTTGCCACAACCCGAGAGCGAGACCTCGCATTCGCTGCGCTCTATCCGCGGAACGTCAAGTCCTTCGACGAGACCGTCAGGAGTATACGCGCCAGCCTCGATTCCCAGGAAGACCCCGTCGCATTCCAAGAGCGGCGGCGGCGCGCAGCCAAGCTCTCGCGCTTCTTCGGCGTCGGGTATCAGGACCTTACACCCACGCTGGTCTCCATGCCCTCACCGACATCCTCCACCCCCACTTCGCCCATCAGCGCTGCGCCCCCGCTCGTCAACCAGCCCGAGACGCACCCCGCGCACCCCACCGCGAACGTCGACGTGCGCGTCACGGGGCGCGCCCGCTTCTGGAACTTCTACAACCACGAGACGAAATCGAAATCAACGAACGTTCACGACGTGCTCGACAAGCTGCGCAAGCTCTAACCCTTCCCTTTCGCTTGTTGTTGTAGCTTGCTTGCTATTGCCTGCTGTCACAGGTCCACACAAAGCGGGATAGAGGGCACCCGTTTCTCGGACGGTCTTTACATTCACGCGTGTACATATTCCTTCCCCACGAAACGACACCGGTACGCCTGGATCACGGATGCACTTACCTTGCTTTCCCCTCGGAACCCACTCTACTCTATCACGCCAAGCCAATGTACTCTAGTATACCTTTCCCCCACCCCCCTTATTCGCTATACTTATGAACCTCACGCTACCCACTATACTATCGGGATTGTTGTGCTACTAGACTTTTGACACTCGCCCACCCGCCCACGCATTACCTACCTATCCCTGCCTGCTTCATATTCGTACATTCGTTGCGCTTGCTTCTAGTGTGTATATAGGTTTGCTTGCTTGTCTGTTTGCCTTGCTCTTGGTCCCTTCGGTCGTACGTACCCTCATGTCAATTCTGTCCTTTCTGTTCTTATGGATACCTGTTCACGATCAGGGACTAGATACCAGCTGAACGCGCGGAAAGCAGAATGTATACCCAACGAACAATAGAAGATACGTGGAAATGGATGGCGTCCGTACGTCTCGAAATGGATGGTATGGTCTACTTGCGAAGTAGGATGTACACCGACTCGCCGAGAGTGAGGTTCTGCAGATGTCGGTTGTTCCCCGTCAAGGCCATCAACAGTCCACCAAATGACGCGTATACGGTCCTGAGTGATAGTCAGCATATGTTGATTGAAACGCAGGAGTAACGCACGATCTCTCCCCCGTACTCTCGTCGTACTTGTAGATCTGGGTAGCGCGTCAATGGAATGTGGCGCCTGCGTATGCGGCCCACGCACCTTCCCAAACATCACGTAGTCATAGTCCTCTTCCAAGCCCGGGTTCGCGCTGATGCCTGGTCTCCAGGTGTTCTTGTTGTCCGCCTCCTCCCCCTCAGCCGCAACACCAACAGGTTCCCTCGAAAGCGACGACGCGAGCGCTACTGCGACATGGTCCCCCTTTGACAACGGAAACAGCTCAATATTGTAGTCGAGCTCGAGCTCCATCTCGTAGTTCTTCGACTTCGACCATAGGCGCGATACTAGCAGGATTGAGCGCGTGCGCACTGGACATACGCGATGAACGAACCTCGGTCGAACTTCTTGCCCGCGCGGTCGATGTCCTCGACGGCAAAGATGTCGTCGAAGATAATGTTGGAGGACGCGGAGGCCATGATGGGGGGTGATGAGGGGTGAAATGTGCTAAATCGTGACGAAGGCGCGGGGGAAGTTCATGGCCCGATCAGAGATCACGAAAACAATGGGCGCGGAGAACGGGCCGGCATGCCGAGCCTCTCAAGCACGCGCTCGCGACAAAGGACATGAACGGCATTGATGCACGTCAGGACGTTATGAACCTCATTACTGTACATTATATAGGGTACTTATAGGTATATCACGTCATAACTTATCCGCAAGCATCTCCTTCCGCATCTCCTGCTTCACCTCCGCCACCGTGTGCCCCAGGCCGGGGAGGACGACGTTCCAGGTGGCGCGCGCCGCGAGAACGCGTCGGACTTGGTGTTGGATGAGCTCGTGGAGCTTGGGGACGTTGGCGAGTTTGGCGCGGCTGCCCATGAGGGAGTTTGTCTTGAGGTCGAGCGTGAATGTTGGGTGGATCGTGAGCGTGAGGACGGGGGCGTGTGCTTTGGGGGATGGTGGGGCTATAGATATCTGAATGTACAGATATGTTAGGCGGGCCGAGGATATCAGTAACAGGAGGCGCACCGTAGACTTAAAGACAGCAAGCGAGACTGTCAACTCGATCGGTAGTCGTGCAAATGATGGTGCAGGGTAGTTGAAAAGGTATGAGGTTGCTAGAGACACGGAGACCGTGTCGGTATATTCAACGTCAAATTCAGTTATCTTAAGCGGGCGTCAGATCGTTTGAGGGTTGTATTGCATGACACACACATTTATCCCGTCCGCGTCGCGTCGTACCCGCGGGTTGGAGAATCGTGGTGCACGAACGCCTAGGTCCACGGAGTGTATAGTGACATGGTCCTAGATGAGTGTCAGTATAGGCACTGCAAGGAATAAGCGCGACGCACCAGGAAACTCGAGGGCAATACCCTATTCGCGTACGCTTCCACGCGTGCTCGCGCGATCTCGTCCCCGTCCATACCATCCAAGTCATCCCTCAACTTGGACCGGTACACGTTCAAGATCTGTTCCGTGCTGTGAGCATATTTCTCCCGAGCCAAGTTCTGCAAACGCACCTGCTTCACCAGCGAGTTCAGCCACTCTGCCGAAATAGGCGCCTTCCCATCCACCCCGTCCAGTTCCCCCAGGTCCAAAGGCGTGTTTCCCCCTTGCCTCGTATGCCGCTCCACCCCCGGATGGTACGAGGTCGTCTCATAGGGATACTGCGTCGAGTCGAGGAACAGGTACTTCAGAATGACTATGAGCAGCACAAGGATTGACAGCTGTCCGAGTACGAGGCCCTGCGTGAAGGTGGGCGTCAGGGAAAACAGGTAGTTCCCCGACATATCAGAGGCGCGGTGGGTGTTGGAGACGTCCAGAGCGGGAGGGGAAGCAGAGCGGGAGGGGTCAGAGGGCCTTGGTAGTGAGCGGAGTCTGGAGACGGTGGTGACGGCGGGGAACGGCAGCTCGGCGGCGCCTCGATCGTGATCTCCAAGGAGGCATTCACATGTGTGATGAACGAACATGATTTCCCACGCATCGACTTCCGGTCGTTATGCTCGTCTTCCCTCGGCGCCCCGTGCAGAGGTCAAGTAGGGTCAACTGCCACGATAGCCCACATGGACACCGGCGAAGGGCAGAACCATGCGGCACGGAGCGATACTGAGCGAATAAATTACTGATAGATGCGATGTACATACCACCCCTCGTTCACCCCTCGCCAAAGCACATGCCCACCAATACCTACTGACCCCCCTTCTCCTTCTGCCACTCCAAAAACGCCTGATGCAGCTTCTCCTGCGCCGCCCACTCCTTCTGCACCTTCTTCACCTGATTCTTGCTCAGCTCCTTCCCCTCCCCATCGTGCGTCGGCAGCCCGTTCTCAGCCCACCGGCTGTACGTACCCTCCGGCACCTGCGGCGGGCGGAACAGTTCACTCGGCGGCAGGCGGCCCTTCTCGAGCTTTTGGATACGCTTCTGCTCCTCTGCTGCTTGTGCGGCGGCCTTCTTGGCTGCCTTGGCCTCGGCAGCGGCGCGCTTGGCCTCGCGAGCGGCGATGAGCTCTTCGGCGGGGACGAGCTTGACGAGGGCTTTGCCGTCTGTGGACGGGTGTTAGTGAGCAGGGTAAGAACAGATATGAAGACGGACCCTCTTGGTCATCGAGCGCTACGCCCAAAGGAACGAGATCGACATCCCGCAACCGGTCGGATAGCGCGAGGATGTCCTTGAGCGCAGACGGCGACTTCTCAATCGCCACCTTCCGTACCGCATCACGGAATGCGGACATGGCGCGCAGGTAGGGCATGAGGACCTCCTCCTTCTGCTCAGACGTTTGGTCAGCATTCCTTCCGCGCCGCACATGAACAAACGAGACTGACGTTGACCGCCCCCGCCCCCTGGCTATCCTGCCCCCACCCAATCTCATCGACCTCACCCTCACCCAAACCGAACATCCGCAACATCTTACCCACCCAGCGCGCGACCTGCTCGACGACGGCGAGGTTGACGAGCTTGCCGCGCGAATTGACGTAGACGTTTGTGCGAGAGACGAGGTCGCGAAGGACGTTGAGCGCGACGGGAGTGTTGAAGGAGTCGCAGAGGGCGGCGCGGAAGGCGGCTTGGGCCTCGTATAGGCTGGAGCAAGAGAGTCAATCATGATGGCTGAAGAGAAGGAGGAAGCTCATAGAACGTACGCCTTGGTCAGCTCGGCCTCCTGTGCTTCGTAGTGGTGGTAGCCGTCGGACTTCTGTCCGCTGGCTTTGGCATCGCTGATGAGGGCCTTGACCAGGGTGAAGAAGTTCTGCGAGATGAGATTCAGTACAGATCGTATCCCCTGCCTGAACATGCATACGTTGAACTGCGCCTCGATGCCCCGGACCTCACCCTGCATCAGGGCCTCCGAGAAGTCAAGCTTCGCGTTCCAAAGCTGCGAGAGGAAGGATAATCGTAATTGTCGTGCAGTGAAGCGCTCGAGGATTTCCTATGTTTCAGTGTCAGCGGCGACAGCACGGGAATGGTGGTTGATGTGCTCACGTCGATAGTGATGAAGTTCTTCAATGACTTGCTCATCTTCAGACCCTCTATATGCAAGTGACCAGTATGCAGGAAGTAGTTGACCCATGCGGAGCAGTCGTGGTAAGCCTAAATAAACGTACCATCAGCTTTCCTCTTGCCCTTCATCCAACGAAATCACCCCGTACCTCGGACTGCGCCATCTCATTATCATGATGCGGGAATGCCAGATCGACGCCACCGCTGTGGATGTCCATGTTGTCGCCCAGAATGGCGCTGGCCATGACCGAGCACTCAATGTGCCAGCCGGGACGCCCGTGACCCCAGGGCGATTCCCAGTAGGGCTCGCCAGGTTTTGAGGCTTTCCAGAGCGCAAAGTCGGATGCCGAGCGTTGTCCTGCTGCGCGAGAGCCGCCGTCTGCATGGGATGTCAATGATCACTCGAATGTCATTCACAGAGTCTTGTACTGACCATCCTCCCGGTTCCCCTTGCTATAAGGCTCAAGCTTCGCATAGAAGTGGTTCGGCGCGGCGTCAAAGGCCTGGGTATCGAAGTATACACTACCCGCGCTCTCGTATGCGTACCCGTTGTCGATGACCTTCTGTACGAAGGCAACGATCTCGGGGACGTACTCGGTGACGCGGGTGACCGTGTCTGGTCGGCGGACACGGAGGCGGGCCATGTCATCAAAGAAGCGGCCCTCCCAGTAGGCGGCGAGGTTTCTTGATAGGGAGGGGTCGGTCACAGTGGATTTATACTGGGAAAGCGTATTCAGACGAGGCATATATTCAATAGTCGAACTGCCGGCACACCTTTTGGTCGAGCAGCTCCTCGAGCACCTCGTTCGCAGCATTGATGAGTGTGTGCGCCGCCTTCTCAGACGTGTCTCCCTGCGCGAGCTGTTCCTTCGCAAGCGCAATCGCTGCCAAACTGCGTCGCTAGCCCAATATCAGCGGCGATGGCGTGCTCGCAGGAGAAGTGTCACGCACTGCAGCGGTGGCATGCATGTCGAACGGCTCGGAGCGCTTCAGAGCCTCGGCTTTCCATGCTGGGTCGGTGATGGACTCGGATATGCGCTTCCACGTTGCGTCTTCCTGACCCTCCGCTGGCCGTTCGGATTCGGGGAGGCCCTTCGCGACCTTGGTGCGGATGTAGAGGCGCCAGGCATCCTCGGTTTGTGCGATGAGTTCGGGGGTAAGTTGAGTGCTTTCTTTGAGGAAGGTTTCGAGGAGGTGGGTTTTGCGTGCACGGTCGATGATCTGGGGGAGCTCGTTATGGGGGGAAGGGGAGATCGCGCGCCACCACGCACCTTGTTGTCAATGTCGGTGATGTTCATGACAAAGTGCACGTCGTAGCCAAAGTAATCAGACATGATTCGCCGCAGGATGTCCTGCGAGACGTAGTTCCTGCGTATGGTCTATAAGCCGGTAGTTCCCCCAGCCTGTGCGCCACGTACCTTGCGTGCCCCATATGCGACGCGTCGTAGACGGTCGGACCGCAGTTGTACCACTTGACGAGCCTTCCATTGCTGGGGATGAACTCGTTCTGGTTGTCAATGAGCTACCGATCCCCTTCCCCCTCAAGTAGCTCACGCACCTTCGCCTTCGTGAGGGTATTGTAGACCTTCAGGACCGGCTCGTCCGTCTTTCTCGTCGGGGGAATCCACGTTGGTAGCGCGGTCATTGTAGCGCAGAGTCTAATTCTTGGACCTCGTTGTACGTGGCTTATATGGCGGGAAACAACAGATGTAAGGCGAATCATGCGTGCGCTTGACTCGATGATTGGCCCCGATTGCAATCCGGATTCGGCGGGAAAGACGGACCAAGTTCGATCTCAATTGCTCGTTGGAAATTAGGCACTGAGGTGATAGTGAGGTCAATGGTTCGAACCCGGAGTCCACATAGGTGAACGTGCTGGGTTCTGCAGCGTGTTTGTTGAGTGACAGGTAGGGAAAACCCGGTTTCTTGGTCGTGTCACTGCTTAGAACATCAGCGCTCAGGACAAGAGACTCAGAGCTGAGGAAAGTGGACCGGCGTCTGAATCTGCCGCGTCACTTCGGGATTTGCCGGTGTTTCCCCTTCAGTCAACGTTCAAATTTCGCTCTCTCAATCGCAAGTTGCAGTCAGACAATGTTGGGGACAGACTCAACCATAGTGGCTTTCGTGTCTTGGCCGACAGCACCATTCACAGGGTCACTGGTCCTCAGGGCGATTCAGAAGCTGTCACCGCCTCCCAAGGTTATTTCATCGTTGCCTCAAATCGGCCCTCAAACCAAGTTGCTGCAATGGTCTACCTACGATGATATGGATCACGAGCTTACCCATCTCCGTCGTCCCTCTGTTCTGGCATCTAGCTATGTCATCCGCAAGGCTCTCATACGAAAACACTTTCTGTCGAGGACCATTCATGCATACCTCACGAAACATCCTGATTCGATACTCAAGGAAGCGTCACCTCGGACCTATGAGATAGAGATATCTTACGCGGACGAACTCGACGAGATCTTTGCTGACGAGCTATACGACCTCGAGCAAGATCTAGAGCAAGGCCGCTGGTGGATTCTGAAGCCGTCAGTAATTTTCCTCCCTTCAATATTAGCGTACTTACCCTGCGCAACAGTGGAATGGCCGACCGAGGGAATGGGATCAGGCTGTTCAACAGTAGGGAAGCCTTGACAAAGATCTTCGAGGATTTCGAAGACGACTCCGAGGATGAAGATGAGGAAAAGGATGTAGGCACCGGTGTCGTGACATCGCAGCTTCGCCATTTCGTAGTACAGGTACTATTCTCAGTTCACACTCGATTCTTCATGGCCCCTTACTATGACAATAGGAATATATCGACCGTCCACTACTCCTCGATCCGCGCGAACGACCCATCAATACATCGCCCATCCCAGATAAACTCGAAGGACATAAAGTCAGATAGCCTCCATTTCTGTTGCCAGAATCTTTTCCTCACACCCAGCACCAGTTCCACCTCCGCGCCTATTGCGTCGCATCCGGTGCCCTCACCCTCTATCTCTACGACCGCATCCTGGCCCTCTTCTCCTCCGTCCCCTACGCCCCACCTGAATCCAGCCCTGACGACGCCGACATCGACCTCGCCCCGCACCTCACCAACACATCGCTGCAAACGCATAGAGGCGAAGAAGGCGTACGCCTTCTCGATGAGCTAGTGGGCTGCACCATCTTCGACTCGGGTGATGGCTCAGCATCAATCGAGGCAACGTTCACCAAAGAGCACATCGCCGACATCGTCTCGCAGATGACACAGACCCTGAGCGAGACATTCAAAGCTGCGATGGCAAATCCAGTGCATTTCCAGGTCAGCCATGCCCTCCACATCCTTACCCTGCAAGGCTGGCATTGACCATTTCTAGCCCATACCCAACGCATTCGAGCTCTTCGGTGTGGACTTCCTCGTGCAGCACAATCCTACTTCGGATCCAGTGTCGGGAACCCAGCCATTCCTTGTCAAGGTCCTCGAAATCAACGCCGAGCCTGCCATCGAGCTCACCGGCCCGCGGTTGGCGTGGATCTTGGAGGATCTGTTCGTGGCGATTGGGAAGCAATGCGTGCAGCCTTTCTTGGATAGTTGGCGAGAGGGCGGGGATGGCGAGGCCAAAAACATACAAAAGGAGGGTACCACGGAGGAGGAGAATTCTAGCAAGGCCGACGAGACGAGCCATTTGATTACATGTTTACAAGAAATTCGGGGAGCATAGGTTGGTATATACAGAGGGTGTGGTATAATCAGGATTGCAACCAAGAGAGGTGTACGCACTACAGACAGAGCCTTACGTTGAAGGAAAACATTTGAGGGTACAAACAATCAAAAAGATCTCATGAAACCAAGATTCGCCTCAACCCGTCCTCTCCTCACCTAATCCCCGAACCTTGCCCTCAACACCTCCCGCATCCCCTGGAACCGCATCCGCACCCGCGCGAGGTCGTGACATCTGTCGTAGTACTCCTTCACCTCCTCGTACGTGAAGCGGAAGGACTTGGCGATGTCGCGCAGCGCACGCTCGGTGGCGTGGATGTTGTCGAGGATGGTAGTAGAGGATTGGGTGCCAGTGGAGGGTTGTGAGGATTGGGAGTCATTGGCGGGTTGGGACTCAAAAGCGGGGAATTTAGACTGGGAGTCGGCGGCGGGTTGGGAATTGATAGCAGATGCTTGCGACTCGACGCCCACACCTTGAGAATCCTGTTCACCGTTGCCGAGCGCTTGAGTCGCGGGGAAGGAAGGCCAGGAGTACTGGGAGTCGTCGCGAGGCTGAGCGCCAACGAGATCAGACTGCGTCTCGAGGTACACGCCATCTGCGAGGGGCTGGCTCTGTGAATACTGACTCTCATCAAAGGCCCGCTGACTTTCGCCGAAGGGGCGCTGGCTCCCGGCGAAGGGCTTTTGACTCTCGTCCAAGGGCCTCTGACTCTCGTCGAAGGGCACTTGGCTTTCTTTGGTAGGCCCTTGACTCTCCTGGATGCGCTGACTCTCGTTGACGGACGCTTGGCTGTCGGGCACAAGCACCTGACTCTCATCACCGGCGCTCTGACTGTCAGCTACGAACGCGTCGTTCTTGATCTCGCCGTTCTCGAGCGGAGGGAGACTGGCGCTGGCAGGCTTCTGAGAATCCCTAGATGATTGTCTCTCGCCCTTGTATGGGCTTCGAGGCTCTGACTCTCTCCGAGAAGGCGAGGGTTCCCTGCAGAGATTTGTCAGCCTGCAACGGAGGTCTCGATCAGTCAAATACCCACCTGATACGCTGGCGCTTAGTAGGACTCTGCTCTTTCGCGAGCTCATCGTCGTCCTCGTCCCTAGGCCGCGCCCATGTCGGAGGCGGCTCATCCCCGATGCGTATCTGCCACTGGCTTTCCGAGTCGAGCTCGTCCACGATATCGGTAGCTTTGCGCTTAGGCGGCTGGACGGCTGCACGCGGCGCTGGCTGGGTGGCCGCACGCGGAGCTGGCTGGGTAGCTGCATGGTGTGCTGGCCCCGGCTGCGAAGGAGGCGGCTGCGGAGGAGCAGGCGCAGGCTGTGACCGCGGTGGTCCTGACGGAGCTCGCGTCGGACCAGACGGCGGGCGCGATGCCATCCTCGCGTTCGGCGGCGACAACATCACCGGCCCGCCATACGCGCCATCGTTCTGCGACGGCTCAGGCGTCGAGTCCTTCCTCGCGCGCTTGCGTTTCGATCTGGGCTTCGGTGTGGGCTTAGGCTCCTTCGGCTCGTCGACGCGCACGTAGCCGTACTGGCCCTTCTCGCCGAGCATGGGCTTCTTGTGCTCGACGATGCTCTCGATGACGCGGTCGAGGCGGTGGGCGTGCTTCTTGTAGCGCTCGCGCCAGGACTGCCAGGTGTGGCGGGTGACCCAGGCGTATTGGGGGTCGTGCTCGGCCTGACGATTGAGTCAGGTAGATTCATAAGGCAATGCGATTTGAGCGTACCAGATCGAAGAGTTGTTGATATATCTTGTTTCCTGTTCGTCCTCCGGCCTCCTTATAGGGTATCTTGAATGCGAGCCACTCGCAGAGATGGCGCTCGTCTTCTTCAGTAAAGTTGGTTCGTCTACAAGCCTGTCAGATGACACAATCGGGAGGATGCCCTGAGGACTTACTCGTCGCCAGGCTTTCTGCCGCCAGGATTCTTGTACGCCGTGGGGCTATAGTAGATTGCACCCATTTCCACGCATTTTTGCACCCAGAAGAAAGCCTCGATATACTTCGCTGGGTCGCCCTCATATTTCCTGATGAGCTCCTTGAACGACTCATCGCCAGGATCTGCTAGAATCACACGCGCCGTCTCCGGCGGCGAATCTGGAACCCCGCCCGAGTGCTAAATGGCGATCAGCCCCCAAGTCAACAAACACCCCACGTGCTGGTCACGCACCCGAATTCGTTCAGAGATAACCTCCCGCATGTTGACGTTCAGGATCGACGAGTGCAGGTGAAACTGCATCGGCTCGCCCTGCTCGATGAAGAGCTGGGGTATGAGCTTGCGCGACGTCTTGCACGCGTCAACGTAGGTGTGTGGCACAAAGAAACGCTCGGGCCGGTCGGGCTGCTTCCAGCAATAGCGCAAGCGCTGTTCTTCTGGCGTGCCGGGCGCAGTGAGGACATAGCCGGAGATTGGCACCTTGGTGTGTACTCTGCCACCCAGAGCCTACGAACGATCAGCGCTTGAGACCGGGACAAAGGCACAAATCGACTTACTACAATGTCCTCTTGTAAACGCCGTTGGATGTCATCTGGAAGGTCTTTCTGTATGAAGAACTTGATAGCGTTTCCATTCTCGTCCTGGAATATGGGCTGGGGAATTGTCAATGTCCATAAAGTGGATGCGGGGACGGGATCAACGCACGCGGGGAGCCTCCATGATGCCCAACCCTAATCCTAACGACACAAAACAGGAAGAGTTGTCAACGTGGGAAAATAACCAAAACTGTCATGATATCAAATGCACGTGGCCAAAACTCGTGGGAATGTAGACTGCCATTTATGGGAACAGAAGGGTTGAACTTCGACTCACGCTGGCCAATCTGAAGCCCATGTATGTCCAAAGGAATGCCTAAAGATTATATAACTTATTCATACGTCGTTTGTAAGGCTACAGCATGTACCCGTCGCAGTAAGTATTGCAGGGAAAGGCGCAGGTTCAAAAAGTGTAAGGAGTCGGACAATAGAGTAGGAAGAGGAAGAGTCAACAAGCTAGCCAGAATAATGCAGGGGTCGTCTGCGACGGGTTCACGTACAATTAGTGCGATAGCGGCGCGTATGTACATCGTATATCTGCGGGACGGTGCGGTGGCGATCCAATGTCTGTGTCGTGCGCGTTCGTACATACCAAACCACGTACCGGTCGGTCAAGGTCATGCGGAGGTAGAGGGCTGGCTGGGGCGGAGGTGCAGGATACGGAACGAGCCTGCGCTGCGCTCGCACATGTACATGTTGTCGCCGCGCCGGCCGAGGAAGAGAACCTCCTCCGTAGGGTCCGTGTCGGTTGCCTGCTCGCCGTTAAGCTCCGTCCTGACCAGGTTCCTGGCAGACGCAGAGCCAGGCTTCCGCCCAGTCAGGTAGGAGCTCCCCTTGCCAGCCTTGGGAGTGAGCGGCGGAGGCACGTCCGAGCTGCCCATATCCACGGGCGTACCGATCCGCCACACGAAGGGCGACCGACGGTTGATATTCGATGGCGGCGGCTCGAACTGCGGCAGCACCGTGCGCGACGCGTCTGCGGGCTTGAGCAGCGCATCCGAGAAGTCGACCGCTTCCAGGCCTCCCTGGCGCATCGCGACGAGCACAGCACCGTCCTCAACATCGAACGCCTCCAGCCGCTTAACATCGCCCAGGCGGTTCAGCCCATGCTTGTCCTCGTCCGGGTCGGACGAGCTCCACAGGAAGCGACCCTTCAATACCGAACGACCACGGGCATCGACGATGGCCGTGCTGTGCCCACCTCGCGAAGAGAAGAACAGAGCCGGAGGACCGAAGTGCTTCGGCTGCGCCAGAAGTGAGATAGGCGGGAGAAGAGGCTTGCCAGCGTCCGGAACGAAGGGCGGTGGCGGTGTCGCGGTCTGCACCGCTGAGCGGAATGGACGAGTGGGATCAACACACTGCAGACGCAGATCCTTCAGTAGGATGTATTCGGTGTCTTCCTCCCGACGAACAGGAAGGTCGAGCGGCAGTAGCCCATCCTTGAACCACGCCTGCATCAACGACGCTTTCCACGGACCTGCGAGCGATGTCAGTGATGTCCAGTGAGGCAAGGGTAAACTGGATACCCACCATGCACCACACCCTTCGGATCCCTATAGAACCACTTGCACGGCGCGCTCGGCGTCGGTACTGGCAGTCCAGGCGGCGAAAACTGTATGCGCGTCAAGTCCGCCCCATTGCTATCCGACTCATGGTGGTTCCGGTAGTCAATGAAGTCGGGGTACGTCGGCGGAATGATGTAGTCGTCCGCGATCGCAGCCAACGGAAACCTTGGCGCGAAGGACAGTTGCTGGAACGTCGTGTACGGACCCATCTGGGCAGAGGCCAGCGCAAGCAGCTCGTCAGCATGCGACGCCGCTGAGGGCTGCGCGCCCGTCGGCTCTGCGGCAGGCGTGACTGGCTGATCGTCGGGGTGCTGGTCGGCGATGAGAGGAGGCGTGCCGGGCCCGTTGACATCCGCGGGCGTTGCATTGGTAACCGCGACAGAGACGCTGACATTGACATTCGTCTCTTCATCCGCCGCATTATCATCAGTCTGCGTCTCGCCAGTGCGGATCTCGCGCGCACGACGCCGTGCCGCACGTCGTTCTGCCCGGCCGATGCGAACCTCGCGCACCCTGACGGTGGCGGGCTCGAGGCCAAAGACGTTCTGCGAGAAGACTAGGAAGACCTCGACGAGATCGTCGCCCTGCAGTTGCAACTCCAACATCCTTGGTGAATCCGGCAAGATGAAGGTGCGCGACAGACCCAGTGCGGTGCGGTATGTCCCAGCAAAGAGCTCAACCTTCTCGCCGTTGTCACCGCAAAGAATGGCCAGGAAGCTAAAGAGGAATGTCAATACCCAGTTAGGTAGTAATCCAGATTCAATCACCTCTTCTTCGCTGTCTCGACCGCCTTCACCATCAACGCCCCCTTCGTACCCGGCAACTTCACATACTCTAGCTTCGGCGGCGGAGCATGGGGCGTGACTTGATTATTTCCCAGCGTTCGCTTGATATCCGTTTCTGTCGCCCGCTGTGAGGACGGCAAGGGTGTACGCTCGTCACTTCGTCTCCCGCCAAACGCATTGCTGATCAAACGTGGTATGAAGCGCGACGATCGACTGGACATCATCGACGATGCACTGTCCGGAAGAGGAGGTACCGGCGAACTTGGTGGCGGCATGGATGCTGACGGCACGAGCCCCGACAGCGCATTCGATGGAGAGGGAGCTGTGGGTGGACGATTGGCCGGAGGCAGCGGGGAGCGGGCTGACCGATGAGAACGTGTCTGCGACAATGCCCGGGAGCCTGGGCGAGTGGGCGAAGGCCCTCTGCCCCTACGAGACGAAGCGGGCGAAGTCGGCGTACTAGCGGACGTCGAGAGTGGCTGAGTGGGAGGGCTGAGCATGACCGACCAGCGGCGACGGCGATTCGATGAAGTCTGCGACTGCTGACCACCACTCTCTTGGCTGTTCCTCGTAGTCGTATTGAAGCCATCCGTAGTTCGTGGGCTCGATGGTTCCGTCTCGGACTCCCCAGGCTGATTCGACAGGAGTATAGGCTCTTGCGCTCGTCGGGTGCCAGCAGGAGGTAGTTCAGGCAACCGACTTTCCATGAGCATCTCAGCGAGGCTCAACCCATTATCATCATCGTCGTCGTCGGCGTCAGGGTCATTTGGCGTGTCCGGCCCGTTAGGCGAGTGGACATTACGCTCCGTCGACGACATGTGCGACAGCGTCTGCCGCAAGGTGATGAGTGTAGGCGCCGGTGACGGCTCCGGGTCTGGAATGGCCCCGTTTGCCCGTGACATGCTGAGATCAAGGTTGGCGGGGCGATTACGCCGAGGTGCGGAGCCCGTTGACGGGCGGCTCGCTGTTGACGAAGCGTTGGATAAATGCGCCGCGTGGGACGTGGAAGCCGCCACTGCGCTGGTGCGCTCGTCCAAAGCCTGACTGCCGCCAGCGGCGGCGACGATGTTGATCGCCTCGTCGTCGCTAGAGTCTTCCGCCCAGTCCGCCTTTGAATCACGTTCATGTATGGATGGTCGACGAGAAGTGCTTGGCACGGCGGCAAGGACATTGCTGACAGAATTGCCGCGAGAGCGCGAGTGAGTGTGCACAAGTGCTGGTTCACTGTCGCTAGGAGGTATTGGTGGGCGGTCCTCCGCGTCAAATTGCCGGCTGTACGGCGGTGGCTGTTCTGAAGGCTCGGGTATTGAGACGGGCATGATGGTATTCCGGTTGTTCCGTGTCCGTCGAGTGATAGTCGGTTTGCGAGGGATGAGCTGCTGGGGAGGGTTCGTGGTGGCGTGGGTGGGAGTATTCGAGGGCGTAGGTGTGTTCGGGCGCGACTGTCGTAAGGATTGGTGAGACGGTTTTCGTGGTATTTCGTGTTTGTTTGCCTCCTCAGCCTGAAGCGGAGAAGACAGGCTACCCTTCCGGGCCTTTTCGGTCGAGTCTCGGGGGCTGCCAGTATCGAGCGGAGACATGAGCGTCTTCTTGAACGCGTCCCTTTTTGACCTGTCGCGCTCCCGCCGAACTTCGACTTCAATTCGCCATTCGACGGCCTTGCGGATTTCCTCTAACGCATAGACCCGCACCCCATCCCTCCTACCCGCGATCGCGACCAGCACACCGCGCTGCTCCATGACCACGACGCTCTTGAACGGGACCCGACGTACCAGCGCGTACGGCTGCGGTGTCGGGGGAGATACGAGGGGCAGAACGTCGAGGCCTTGGGCGTGACATAGGAGCAGATAATGTGGGGCAAGGAAGGCGCCGCTGGTAGGAGGGGTGCTGAAGTGAGAGGGGGAGAGATCTTGCGTAAGGACAGACAGTGAAAGACCGAGTTCTTGTAATGTAGGAGCCGGGAGCTGTGGTGGTGGTGTGACAGGCCGACCGGAATGCGGAGATGAGGAGCGGGAGGGATCGTCCTTGGCCGCTTCCTCGCGAATGGTACTTCGAGAGGTCGAAGGCTGCGGATCGCGACGGTGTATCAGGTTGGTGAAGAAACCAGAGAGCCGGTTTGTCGCCCTCTGCTGCTGTTCATATGTGCGTAAGCCGGGCCGTGTCATACAGCGTGCCTCCACGACGTACCTCTGCGGTGGCTGGACGATGTCTGTGCCTTCTATCGCTTCTATTGTGGGATACGGGCTGCGCGGACGACCTGCGTTCAACGGATCGGTGCTCCGCAGGCTGGCGAACGGACGCGGACTGGGACGCGCGCACGGGCGCATTCTGAACGGTGCGGGCTGTCGCTGGCCGAGGCGGCACAGCAGCAGCTGGCGGCGCGACGGGGGTGTCTGGCATGCTGCGTATGCTGTGGGCGTCGGTCGCGTCTCCGCCAACAGCCGCGTCCGCGTTCGGCTGCCCAACATCGGGGGACTGGTCGGCTTGGTCCTTTACGATCTTGACGGCGTCCTGGACAACGTGCTGAGCGGCGGGCACAGAGATGCCGCGCGGCTGGCCGCTGTACTCCTCGATGGAGTACGCGCTCACGTCGTCGTTGTCGTCGTCCATGGCGGAAGACAACCAGCGTACGGCTTGACGAGCTCGTCCCGTTTCGTCACGTCACTCGTCACACGCCTATAAATCCATCGCCGATCCCGGATTCGCAAAGTCCGGCGCGAACACAAGACGCGCGCATCAATCATGCTTGCCCTCCGCCTCTCTCGCCGCCTCGTCGTCCCCCGCGCCATCCCCCGCACTCGATGGGCAAGCACAGCGGCGTCGGGCGCCGCACTTCGCGGGCTCAAGTCCCTCAACGCGGACGACCTCGCGCACTTCTCCAAGATCCTCCCAGCGTCCTCGATCATCTCCACACTTCCCCCAGTCCAGAGCGCGGCCTCTGAACTTGACATCTACAACGATGACTGGATGGGAAAGTACCACGGACAGTCCACGACCGTTCTCAAGCCCAAAACGACGCAGCAGGTCGCAGACATCGTCAGGTGGTGCAACGAGAAGCGCATAGGGCTGGTTCCCCAGGGCGGAAACACCGGTCTTGTTGGCGGTAGCATCCCCCTCAAGGATGAGTTGATCATCTCGCTGGCCAACATGAACCAAGTCCGCTCGTTCGATCCCATCTCGGGTGTGTAGCGTGTCAAGTCGCTATATACTATGCTAACCTATTCTCAGGTATTCTCGTGGCGGACGCTGGCTGCATCCTACAGTCCCTGTCAGACTACATTGCCCCCCATGGACACATCATGCCACTTGACCTAGGCGCGAAGGGCAGGTATGTCACATTCCCCATCCTCCTACCCTTCGCGTCTCACGATTGCCAGCTGTCAGATAGGGGGGAACGTCTCCACTAACGCTGGTGGCTTGCGACTCCTCCGCTATGGCTCCCTACATGGCTCTGTGCTCGGCCTTGAAGTCGTACTACCAGACGGTACCATCCTCGACCAGCTGTCGACGCTACGGAAGGACAACACAGGTGGGTAGCGCACGTAGTCGGCGTTAGCGCATGAGCTAATGTGCTCTCACAGGGTACGACCTCAAGCAGCTGTTCATCGGCGCCGAGGGTACACTTGGTATCGTCACCGGCGTTTCCATCCTCACCGCTGCCGCGCCCCAATCCACCAACAATGTCATACTTGCCCTCCCCAGCTTCGACAACGTCCAGCCTCTTTTCAAGGCCGTCAAGCAGCAGCTCTCCGAGATCCTTTCCGCCTTCGAGTTCATCGACCGCACCGCGTACGACCTCGCCGTCAAGCACGGCCAGGGTCGTGCACTCAGCGATGAGGATATCGAGGGCGCCGAGTGCTTCGTCCTGGTCGAGACGAGCGGCGGTAAGCGGGAACACGACGAAGAGGTGCGATTACCGCCGACTGTCGCGCGTCGGCTTCTAACCCCTTGCAGAAATTGAACTCGTTGTTGGAATCCCTCCTCGAAGCCGACGAGCCCCTGATCAACACTGGTGTGCTTTCCCAAAATCCAACGCAGTTCGCGTCGTTATGGGCGTTGCGCGAGGGTGTTACGGAGGCCGTGTCGAAGGAGGGCAAGGCGTACAAGTATGACATCTCGATCCCGCTGTCGAAGTTCGAGGAGTGCGTCAACTTGACGAGGGAACACTTACGGGAGAAGGGTGTATTGCGCGACGATGCAGTTACGCACGTGTTGGGGTACGGGCACGTCGGAGACGGTGAGGATGGTCTGGTCATTGTATACTTGCCTGCGTACTGACACATCTTCAGGCAACCTCCACCTCAACATCGTCGCGAAGGAATACTCTGACGAGGTGACGAACGCTCTGGAGCCATTCGTCTATGAGCTTGTCGGTGAGTGGCATCTCGCATCTCTCACAGCAACACCTGCTCAATCTCCCATTAGCAAAATACCGTGGGTCGGTCTCCGCAGAGCACGGCATCGGCTCGATGAAGACGCACGCGCTGCCGTACACGAAGGATGCCATTAGCATCGGTCTCATGAAGCGGATCAAGAACTTGTTCGACCCCAATGGGATCATGAACCCAGGGAAGGTGCTCGAGTGAGCGAGTGCCTACGTTTACGCTATGTGTGGAGTAACAGAGTACTTATTTATCTATCGTGCTGTCTCCGTTGACGCCAAACTGTGTTGCGAGGTTGACGTGCATGGTAAGGTCAACGCCACCATGAGCTTTTGAATGCGGATTCAAGCATCATTTTAGTTGTTTTGCCTGCGTACACCTCATCTGCAATCAATCGTTGATCGCTCGATTTCGCTAAGCCGTTCAACACCAGGCGCTTTTTCTTCAGCCGGCGCTCGCAGGCCTTTCTGTTCCCTTTCTGTTCCTCCGAAGGCGCGTACTCACTACTGACATATACGACATTTGTGGTCATGTCCGATCATCGAGCGTTGTTCTGCTTGCACCTGATGATTTCGATTTTATAAAGGGTGTAGCGACGTTGAGAACCAGCGCCTTTCGGGCAGACTGACCAACTTCTTTGGAGAAAATCAGCCATATACAGGAACTCTCTTTGATGTTACAAGCTGATACCTTAGATCACGATTGTCCTCGGAGTAACACCTTCCGGCAGTCAGTCTCTTACCCCAATCATCTTGTGGCAAGTAAAATGTCCTTCACACCGTAGGTTCCCTCAAACGGTAATACTAACGACGATAGTCTCGAGCGTGGCTGCATGTTGAATGAATAGATCAAGTGATATGACTCAATGTGACATAAGTATATAGGAGAGCCAGTTGGGAATCATCGAAGGCGAACTAAGGCGAACCGTGACTATCACTGTAACGGTGATCCGATCTTTCTAAGTCACGTGCTTGATTACTTAATGCGGTTGAAACGGGACATTGATGACTAATTAGGCAGGTAGCTCTCGTTCCGACTACCATCGCGTCGACGAACTTACACGAACTGGTCAACGACCCCCCCCCCCCCCCCCAAGGTCTCTCAGCAGGCATAACCGGCAAGATCAGACTTCTATCAACTGCTTTCGATTGCCAACATCTCGACGCTGGAGTCTCAGCCTGCATACCCACCAACTCCCCCAAGCAGAGGCTTCCGCGAACCCAGTCGTCGAGTTCAACGTAAAGAGCCTTGACCAGATGCGCAACTTTTCTTTCGACCAAGCGCGAAGGAACACGTACGAGACGAACGTACTTGATTTCTACCGGACCTATACGGCTGGTTGGCAGCGTCTGGCGGGCGACGATATCAAAGTGATAGTCAAGACGCTCAAGCGGCGCAAGGTTCTCGGAGTCAAGCAATGGATCCCCCTTCCGAAGAATAAACCCAAGTCCGTGTTAGAAAACGTCCACTATAGTGCCTTGGAGAGAATCTTTGCAATAGTTCTCGAAGCCGCCGAGGAGAACGGCCTTTTCTCCAAGGAGCAGCGTACCACTACCTTCGAATGTCGTCCCGATCATACAATATGCTCGGAAGCTCGCGGGGGCTCCTTCCGCGTCGATGCTTATGGTCGCCTCCTCGAGAGTACGTTTCCGGCAAAGGCCCGGAAGATGCGCTTGCCGCGTAGCGCACATTTGCGCCCTGGATCTTACCGCTCGGGAGGTCCCCCTATTTACACGTGCGACCTCGCCCTGACAGCCAAATTCATGCCCGTAAACGTGAGGAGGATGGTGTGCGAGGTATCCGATGCTCCCCTCGTCTTGTAGTTCAAGCTAACGACCTGCAGGACGAACGTCAGATGCTCGGGGGCAGCGGGCACATCATGTTCAATGATCCCTGCCGGACACGGCATTTCAGTCTTACCATTGAGGGGAACATGGCTCGTCTCTGGATCCACACGCGCTCACACTCGGCCGTGACGTACGCTTTTGACATTCAGTCGGTATGTACGGCGGCATGGATGTCTGCGTGAAACCAACCTGTTTCCAGAAACCGCAGGAGCTCATACAATTTTTCTTGTTCATTGGGTATGCATCAAAGGAGCAACTCGGTTTCGATCCGTCCGTTCGTCGCGTCTACAACTCTTCGGGCGGGCTGCAGTACCAATACAAGGTTACCGACCGTGAAGGCGTCGATCGCTATTACGAGACGATCAGCATCATCTATCAGAAGTCTGCAACTCGCCTTCACTCCCGCGGAATGCGCGTTCTCGAAGTACGCGAGGTCACGAAAGACGGACGAGATGCCGCGGACCAGTATTCGAGGGTCTTGCGGGATTTCTGGGCGTATGAAGACGCTCGGCCCGAAACAGAAATCCTGGGGGATATAATCAGTCGCCTGAAGGAGGAGGAGTCTGAGCTTGTTCAGGGCGATGATTTGGGCGATATTGAGCAGCACTTCATGGAGTTCATCTGCGACGTGTGCGTTGGTGAACCCGCGCCGGCACCTCCTCCGAAATCGCGCGTCTACCAGTTTCCCGAGGATGATGCAAACGTCGACGGGAAGGAGTCGTCTTCTGCGATGGTCAAGAGTCACCTTCAAAACACAGTTGTAGGCTTGGATCCTACTCCTCATGGTACCGGAATGGAACTCCCTAGTGCATTGCATGCGCGCAAACATTGTCGAACCGTGCATATGCACCTCTGCCAGGACCTCTACAAGATTTCGGATCCGGCCGAGTTCTTCTTCGCTCTTGGCCAGTGCATCGCTAGTGAGTGCTTGTCCCCTGATCCTCCTCCACACGTTGACGAGACCACAGTCCTCAAACGCTTCCGCCGCATCGGCTATTTGCATCGGGATGTCAGCCCCGGCAACTTCCTTCTTTACTGCCTACCCCAGTCATGCGGTAACCCTCCTCCCGACGGCGATCTGGCGAAGAAGTTCATGGTGAAGGTTTCTGATTTGGAGTATTCGAAGCCCTACTCGGTCGTTTCGCAGCACGATCCCCTTACGGTACGTGTGGCCGTACTCCCCGACGTCGTGGGTCACTTATCGTTGTCCGCTAGGGTACCGCATACTACACTGCAGTCGAAGTGCAGCACCGCATGCATCTCTTCCATTATTCGGCAGATTTCGATGAGTCCAAGAAGCACCTTGCCACCCTCTTCTTCGCGTTCAACTTCTATCACGACGTTGAGTCTGTCTTATGGATGGCCATAGACTTTATCTTGCGCCGATTCCCAGACACGACGACCAAGACGTACCGTACAAGATGCGAAATTGCGGAGAAACTGTCCGCATATGCTGCGCGCGTCTTCCGGCCGGAGATGAGGCCAGTTGATGCAAGGGAGGCCTTGATCTGGGGAAGAGATAGCATCATTGACCTGTCCGCGTTGCTGACTCAAGCCTACGGCAAGGACTCTATCGTCGCACAGGGGATCAAAAGCATCGTCATAGCCCTCAGCCAAGCATACCAGCAAGTGGAGAGCGTGCAGGTTCGCCTGGAGGATGTGCCGACCGCGCGCCTCCGCTTCGAAGCCTCCGCCTTCACCGACACCATCTACGATGTGATGTACAGGGGGTTTCGCGACATCAGCCTTCACTTCCAGCAACCCTCTGTGAAGTTCTTGTTGACGAAGGACTTTGTCGAAGCGACGAAGGCGGGTATGGCGCGAAAGCGCGCCCGGCGCGACGACGACGTCCAAGGGAAGGGTTCGGCCTCTAAGGCCGTCGGTTCTTTGCCGCGTCTGCGGCAGCGCACCCGTCAGGCGACGAGAGATTGTACATAGATTTCCAGCTTTGCAAGGCTTTGTCTTATCTCAAAATTTAGTTGTAATATCGAGAACACAGCCGTTGGCTCCAAATTCATACGTGTGGTGCTCTTTGACTCGAATTCCATGGCATCGTTGACACGTCTCATGCCCTACTATATGATGATTCTCTGCGAGGTATGCAATAGTCGGGGAACAATTGCTTGTAGCTACGTAAGGCGGATAGGGCCGTTCCTGCTTAGGGTCCTCTGGCGAATGAACTCCAGAGTACTTGTACGTACGAAGACGGCTGCGCTTTACTTACGCGCCCATGTCATTGGGATAGCGAGAGAGTATAGAGTGTTCTGCATCTCAGCCATCTGCATTATCATCTGACAGGATCCTCGTGGCGAGAAATCAGGCAGTAAACTACCTCCATGCAGGCACTTGCACTCCGGAAATGATGGCAGATATATAGTCGAGCGCAGCTCTGTCCATTCTAGCGAGTCCATTGTACGTGCGGTACTAGTAATTACAGTGTGCTCTATTCGTCCGCTTCCATCCCTTACTCCAGGATTTCCACCGCCTCCTTACTCCGGGACCTGCAATTCGGGCAGCTCGTAGTACGGCTCCAGCGTCTCACACGTCACGTACAACCCATCGTCCACCTCCACCTCCGTCTCCTGCAACAGCGCGAACACCTGCGGACACTCAAACGGCACATCCATCGTGCCGTCCCTCTTCACCTCCCCATTCCTCAAGCTCTTCTCCACATTGCCATCACCCGCCCCAACCGCCAACTCCTCCCCCCTACCCACCGCCACCTCCCTCCTCGCCTTCCGCACCCCCACCGCCCCCGCCTGGTCATAGAACCAGTACGGCGCCTTCTCCGCCTGCAGCCCGCCCTGCCCATCATGCGCCGCGATCCAGCGCGCATAAACGCCCCGCGGGTCGCCGTACGCCGCCGCGACCGCCGCGACGTGCGGTAAGAGTTCCTCCACGTCCTCCTTCCCGGGCTTCACGTTCATCGCGAAATTGACCGCGTCCTGGATGGTGCGGCCGTATTTGGAGGGGAAGGAGTAGTAGTCGACACCGAGCTGGGCACCGAGTTTGGCGTTGGTGATGAGGGCTTCGAGGTTGAAGGCTCTGAGGGAAAAGTTAGTGGAGGAGAGAGACATGACGCGCATATACTCGCCTGTAGTGGAAGGGTCGCGTGCGCACGCTCTCGAACGGCTGCTCTCCACTCTTCGCGATCTGGTCTTTGAATGCGCCGTGGAAGAACCCATCCAAGACCTTCTTCGAACCCGCTGTATCCCCTTGGAACAGCAACAACGAAGCCAGCTGCGACACAAAGAACGATGCATGGTTGTTCGGCCGAGTCGCGGTCTTGTGGCCGATCTCGCTCGTCTGCAGCCAATTTGTGTAGTCCTTGACCCATCCTACGAACGCCTTGTCAAACGCAGACGTATACGCAGGATGATTAGCGGCGCGAAGAATCATGCAGGCGTTCACAATCTTCACCATCCCGCGAAGGTCGAGCACGCCGGTGAAAGTGCCCTCGCGGCCGGAGGGGCCGGGTCCGCGAACGATCTGGCCAAAGTTCATGTTCGGGTTCATGCGCGTCTTCGGGTCGAGGAAGAAGGTAGTGACGAAGGAGACGAGCTTGGAAGCGGAGTCGGATCCAGACTGGAGGATGGCGGTGATGCCGAGGTAGATGGAGGTCTCGGAGATGGCGTTGATGGCGGAGACGCCGTTGAGGGTGCGGACGTCGGGATTGACCTTGCCATCGCGGACGACGTAAGGGCAGGTCGTCCAGGCTATATGCAGCAATTAGATGGCGCTCATTAAGGAAACGAAGAAATATGCTTACTTGCGCTTGGGGCGAGGCTCTTCGTCGGAGACGGAGTACATTTGGACTTCGCAGATGTATGAGCAGCAGCCTGAGGCATGTCCGAAAAAGACGCTGTTCCGGTTGGAGTCTCCTCAGACGTCGAAGCCGAGGTCGCAAAAGGATCCATAGTGGTCGTCGGCAGCGAGGAAGTCGCAGTAAAGATCGCTTGAGGGTCACCACCTAGAGCAGGGTCGGCGGTGGTTGTTGGCAGTGTCGCGTCAGACGAGATCGTAGACGAAGGCAGCAGGTCGCCGGTTGGCAGCGTCGTAGATTCGGAGGCAGGCAGATCGAGAGAGACGCCGAGATCCTGGCGGACACGGTTCATGCGATTCTTGTGGTACTTGAGCTCGCGGCGTTCTTCCAGATAGTTTTGATTGCCGTCGACGTCTTCGGCAGGAGGGCCAGTGATGTCGCCGCCAGGAGGTGGAGGCACGCCTGGTTCGGGTGTGTCCGTACTGTTGCTAGAGCTAGTGTCGTTGCCAGTATGGCTCAGATGGGTTCGCCCGTTTGAGCACCAGTTGCAGTCCGGCCAGTGATAAGGAGCCCAAGAAAGGTAGTCGTGCGGGTCATTCGACGGAGGGAGCACGCCCTTGGCATTCGTGACGCCTAAATGGATAAAGGTATGGGTTATGGAAAGTGGGTATATGATTCGCTACGCACTCCAGGGACCTTTCTGCGAGTACTGCCGAGCTCGCGACATGATGGTCTGCCGCGAATCTGAAGTCTTGAACGACGGATTATGGGCCTGCTGAAGCACATATTCGATCTGAACCCAGTCATTCGGATCGGCTAACGAAGGTCAGGTGTTGCCCCAAATTCACCAACTGATTGATGCTGACCTTGCGCTACCCCAGCAAGAGCGATAAAGGACACCAGAGCGAGTCCATGGAAGCGCGAGAGCATATAAGATAGCAATTAAGAGAGTAGGATAGTAATGTGTGACCGAGGACCAGCCTGGGATGATGGTGGGAGGAAGAGAGAAGGAAATGCCCGATTCGCGTTGTTTGTTGTCGCCCGAAAGGGGAATCAATGAAGCACGTGCTGATTCCCCGCACAATCCCCACTCGCCCCGGTCCAGCTGATCTGGTCCCGTGACTGTGGAGGCCCGAACAAAGTCGGCGCTTACGGGTACGTTGTGTCACCGTGAGCCGGAGGTCGACGTGTGCACTGTCCTGAGCGCTGACCACGATGAGCTTCGCCCCGACGCCTGCTAGCCTTCCCCCGAAGCACGTCGTCTATCGGTTCAACGAGCCCAAGGGACTCCCGGTCAACTACCATCCGCTGAACCCTGTTCAATTCCTTCTCAAGGCGGCCCTCCTCCACCCGGACAAGCTCGCGCTCGCATCTCCAGATGGTCCCCATCCGGTGTACTACTCCTTTGCCGTCTGGGCACAGAGGGTGCAGAACCTCGCGTACGCGCTCATCCAGGCTAGGATACGTCCAGGCGATCGCGTCGCTGTCATCGCGCCCAACTCGCCCATGATCGCAGGTACGATACAAGCTGTCCTGTTGAAAGCGCCACCTGATAGTGGGACTCTGCAGATAGTTATTTTGGCGTCCTGGCAGCGCGTGCAATCGTCTGCGCTGTCAATACGAGGCTCCGGCCGGACGACGTCAAGTACATCATTGAGCATTCCGGCTCGCGGTTCATACTCGTCGACCATGAGTTCACCCACCTCCTCAAAGGGATCAACCTCCCCCACTATCGTCTGTCACGATACCGGACGAGCCGGAGACCCATACGAGGACTTCTTGACCAGTGGACGGGCGTTCAGCCGTGAACGTGGCTGGTTGGGTCTTGATGTCGAGGCAGACGAAAATGCAGCAGCAGTTCTTTGTTATACGTGCGTTGATTTGGTCGTCTGCATCGAGCATTGCTTGACACATCTCTAGCTCTGGCACGACAGGAAGGGTGAGCACGGTGCATCCGTCTGTTAGCCAACTTCATAACAACTTCCCTGCAGCCCAAAGGTGTCCTCACGACATACCGAGGCTCCTACCTCGCCGCAATCGCCAACGCTGTCGAAGCCGAGTAAGCATTCCTCCCACTAATCTCACGTTCTTCCAAGCTCACCTTTACACAGAATGAACTACGACTCCGTCTACCTCTGGTGCGTCATCCTCAAATCCTTCCTAAACCCACCCTAACTGACCACCCCACAGGATCGTCCCCCTCTTCCACGCCGCCGGCTGGTGCTACGCCTGGAGTGCCGCATTCGCCTTCTCCACCCAAGTCACCCTTCGCACTGCTGCCCCAGGTCCGATATGGCAGCGGCTCCTTGCGCCGCCTTCAGGTGGCATCGAAACTGTACCTGGGCAACTACTCTCGCACATCCCCGCAGCGACACATTACTGCGCTGCCCCGACCGTGCAGATCTCGCTCGTGAACGCGACGGAGGCGAGAAGGGTAGCGCACAGCGTGCGGACGATTGTAGCTGGGAGCGCGCCGACGTCGAGCTTGATTGCCAGTTTGGAGAGTTTGGGGATTAGGGTGGTGCATGTGTATGGGTTGACGGAGGTGCGTTGGAGCGTACTCCTTGCGTTGGGGGAACATTTGCGTGGGTGACAAGCTGACGGGCCCATCTCATTGAATAGACCTACGGTCCCTTCGTTCGGAGCTACGCAAGACCGCATTGGAAAGACCTGTCCTTAGAAGAGCGTGCGAAGCTGATGGCGCGCCAAGGGCACGCCTTTGCGACAGCGCTTGAGGCCCGCGTCGTGTACCCGCCAAAGGACGGCGAAAGCGACGACGGCGAGCTCGTCGACGTGCCGAAGGACGGGAAGACGATAGGCGAGATCGTGACGAGAGGGAATATTGTGATGAAGGAGGTGCGTTCGGTCTCTGGCTGTCAGTGTATTGGAAGCGTTGCATCGGAGGAGACAGAACGACAACGAGGAGCTGACGTTCGGCACAGTACCTCAACGACCCGAAAGCGACTCGCAAAGCATTCCGCGGCAATCACTTCAACACGGGCGACCTTGCCGTCTGGTTTGAGGATGGTAGCATCCAGGTGATGGACCGGTCGAAGGATATCATTATATCTGGCGGAGAGGTAAGCGGACGTTCTTCACAATCTACTCAAACCCTTTGCACGCCCTCTGTCACACATAAGGTCATACTCACTCACCTCACCGCAGAACGCCTCAAGCCTTGCAATCGAGCAAGAGCTTGCGACGCACCCTGCTCTCCAAGAGGTTTCCGTCATCGCGCGCACGCACCCTAAGTGGGGCGAGCGGCCCATGGCGTTCGTGATCCTACGCCCGGGAGCAAGGAAGCAGTGGGGCGCGGATTGTGGCGCAAAGGGTAAAGACACGAACGGAAAGCAGCAGCCCAGCGCGTTCGAGCGCGAGCTCAAGGCCTACGCGAAGGGGCGCTTGCCTGGGTTCGCGTGCCCAGAGTGGGTGGAGGTGGTAGATGAGTTGCCGGTGAGTATATCCGAGAGTTTTCGAGAGGTAGTGCGGCAGAGAGACTGACCTTCACCATAGAAAACCTCGACCGGGAAGATTCAGAAGCACGAGCTGCGGAAGGTGGTGGCGAAGTTGTGAATGGAGGGCAAGTGTGATGAGAGAGTGATCTAGCGGACGTGTATATTTGTGACCATGCAATGTACTATATACAAGCCAACAGAGCAGACGGAATTCTGAGTGGATGGTCGAAGGGATTTCAAGTTCAGGACGGGCAACACTGCGGAGGTCGAGGCCGAGTTGTTGGTCCGGCAAGTTCCCCCTCCGGCCCGCACTTCCGTCTAGTCACGGAGCGCTGAGCGCCTCACGAGAGGAGGTTGAGTAGAACCCCAATGTCCTCGACGCTATCTCCCCCGACGTTGCGCTGGCTGCAGCAGACAGCAGGCTCGCTGCCATACGCCCAACGCCCCCTTGTTATCCAGCACGTCGCAGGTGAGGATCAGTCATCAATGCACACGACGACGTGCTTATGGACAGACGCGCTCGGTCGATACGCGACGCTTCACATCAAGTCCGATGTGTATACCTACGATGACGGACGGAGCCATCTGCTGCTATGTGTGCATGGCCTGCTCCCAGTGACCTTTAGGTGAGGGCAGGGGACCAGATGTGTAGGATGAATGCTCACAAGGTGCAGAGGCGCGACGTACAACATCCCGCTCTCAGTGTGGATCCCCCTTGACTATGGCTCGGCGCCGCCGCTCGTATATGTCGTTCCCACTACTGGGATGCTGGTCCGGTGCGTCATCATGTGGTCTATAAACATTGGTCGCCCTGACCGCTGTCCAGGAAGAGTAGAGATGTGGATCCAAGCGGACTAGTCGAGGGCGATTACGCCCGAAATTGGATGAGGAAGAGTGAGGTACGTCTTCCAATCTTACATTATTCCCTCGGTGTCTCACACAGGGCCCAGGGTTGCACGCTGGTCGGACTGCTAGAAAGCCTGCAACACCAGTTTGGCCTTGAGCCGCCAGTATACGCGAAGCCGCCCAGCCATCCCACGACACCCCAGGACCAACAACGATCCCCGCATGCAACACCTCCCCCGCCTCCGCCTCGTCCGACACACGCTCTGCACCCGTCTCTCGGACATATACACGCCCGTACCAACTCGACCTCGATACCCCTACAATCGTATCAGCCCGTCCCGCCATACTCTGCCTCACCATCTACCATCAGTCCAGTGAACACCGGAGGACCACCCGTACCAGTTTATCGCGATGGACCACCTCCCGTACCGCCAGTTCCGCAGGGCGCGAACCCGATACAGAGGATCGCGTCCCCCGCGCAGTCACGGCCATCGTCCATGTATGATCCCCGATCTCCGCCTCCTCCCGCTGTCTACGCTCCTCCGCAAGCTGGCTCGTCGCCTCCCCCACCACCTCCGCGACCCCATCCGCCATCGCAATTGCATCCTTCCCCTCCGCCACCACCACCCAGTGCGCACCCGGACTATGCTCAGCAGGTGCCGCCATATGTGCCCTCGCCTCCACATCTGGCACCAGCACCTGCATTATCCCCCGGGCCTCCGCCGCCTCCCTTACCGCCTCAGCAGTACGTTTCAGGGGCTCCACAGCAATACACCCCAGCGCCCGGCCCCTCGCAGCAGTATCCGCCACCGCCAGCACCTCCGTTGCCCTCCTACTCTGCTCCACCTCCGACCCCTACACCCGCCACACCAGCACCCCATATACCCCCTCCAGACCTTTTAGACGAAGACGACGACGGGCCATCGCCATCAACGCCGGTTCAACCCGCCGCTCCTGCGCCTCCGCGCCCACCCAACCCACAGTTGCTTGCGCTGCACGCGTCCGTGCATCAGGCGCTGCAGAACGGGCTGGCGGGACTGGAAGCGCAACACGCAGGCGAAATGGAGCGCATGCGTAGGGCGAAGGAGGGGCTGGAAAGGTAGGGATCATTCATATCTACTGAAAGCTTGAAGCTCATGCAACAACTCCCAGAGGTGCAGCCGCCATCGCCGACGAGCGAGGTCGATTGATCGCGGTCAAGTCGGTATGCGACGGTGTTCGCGAGCGGTATGCAGGTGTCGTTGCGGAGGCCGAGCGACGGCTCGCGACGGCGAAGGCCAAGGAGGTCGGCGTTGACGAGATGGTGTGTGGGGCGGGGATACTGTGGAACCAGTCAGTGTCTGCTTTTGCGTATAGGAACGAGTTGCTAATTCGCTGCTTGTGGCATCCATAGATTGATCACGCTCATCGCGGAAGACATGGCAATAGAGGACACTATATATCATCTCCACCGTGCGCTGGCGGCGGGGAGGATGGGCGTGAGCGAGTGGATGAGGGTGAGTGCTTCAGCTTTCTGCGTCCAGTTACGCGATGATGTACTGACGCTCGCTTCTTGCAAGACGACTCGCGTGCTCGCAGAGGAGCAGTTTATGAAGCGCGCGCTAGTAGAGAAGATCCTGGCGGGCGTGTAGATAACATAACTACCACTCTTAGATGAATACCAGAGTCGGCATCGTGTGACTGCTTTCATCGTTGCTAACGGGTGTGAGATTGCAAGTCGAATATGGCATCCCACGCTTCCTGAATGAGCGGACCCTGTGCCTCCGCAACCTTAGCTGTGGCTTTCTTGTGCGTCTCCGCTATCATATCTTCCTCGACCAGCAAGCTGATGTCTGCCATTCATCTAGGCATGAAATGTTCTGACACAAAACGGAGGTCCATCAGTTGAATCTGTTGCATCCTTCATCAGCAAACCGACACCATCCTTTTGATGCCCAGGGCCTTTTTGATGTGTCCTTTGTCCTTTGAAGGGCGTCCTTTCGCATCCTTTTCTTTTTCAGGAGTTCCTTTTCATCCTTTCGTAAAAGACGCACATCCTGCGTCAAGTCCGACGAAAAAATACTCATTCTAGCTAAACTCATCATACTATTATCGTACGTGAGGTCTCGTATGTTCAAAACCAATGTGCACGCCTCTCCAAAAGAGGCGGGGGTTGTTACTCTCGCGTATGGCGTACTAGATACGTGCCACGAGCAAGCAGAAGGGGTTGGGGAAGTACGCACGTCAAGGTCGATGAGGCGAGTGTTATGATGGGTCGCTTCAGGACAGGAGATAAAGTGACAGCGGGAGGCGGGAGGGGCGCAGGAGTTGCATGATATAGTACAGTCTGCGAAGTTTTGGAACACGGGAATGGGCATCGTCTTCGGCGTGATCGGCAACGAGTAGCGATAAGTCAGCGATAAGAGGGCAGGTGAAGGCACTGGGAGCTGAGAGACCAAGGGCCCCAACTCTTTCCCCGCAGCGAGGATAGAGCAGCCGCGGATGGTGCGAACTCAGCGCGACCCGCGACGGCGGTCAGATTCAGGTTCGAGCGCTGCGGTAATTGCGCCCGAAGTCACGATCAGCCGGCCCTCAAGCTACCTGAGGTGACTGCCAAACAAACACAATCTTATCAGCAAAGTCACGAGCTGCAACCTGTCGGTAGTCCCTTCGTCTCTCCCTTGCGCTTTCGGCCCTCCTGCTGGTACGTACCACTTGCCTGATTGGTCCGGCTCACCAATGCCAGACAATACTGTAGCTTCGCCCGCGCCCGCACGTTGTGTAGGTAAGTTGCGCGTCGTCAGTCTGGACTCGCTTGCTCATATCCTCCCAGATACATGGGGGGTCCTGAAGGAGGTATTTTGTGGTATGTAATGAAGCGCACACTCGCACACGCCGCGCTGACGCGAACGGATAGTATAGCCTTGGCTACGGAAGCACGCACAGGACCCCCACACCGCCTTCCCCCATCGTTGCTACGCATGCGACATGAGCACTAGCGACAGAACCCCTTCCCCTTCCAAGTTGTGCTGCCATGCCCCTCGTGCTCTCTGCCCCACCACTTCCGGCCGTCTCTGGGATGATCATGTACACCACGACAGAGTGTAGTATGATATAACGTAGCACGATGTAGCGTAGTGTTGCGTAGTAGATAGTATCAATATACGATTTTTTTGCTACCTCTCGCGATGCGATCCCGAAACGTCCCGCAAAAGTATTTGAAAATTATGCGATATACGGCTCAACGGAACCCGAGGTCTGGCAAGGACGTCGTCCTTCAGCAGGATCCAGTAGCCTGTACAGGCCAAAAAGTCCTGCCAAGGACGACCCCACCTTTCCTGGGCAGGATGCCGCATCCTTGCGTCCTTTAGGTCCTTTTCGTCCTGTCAAAGGACGAAAAGGACGCAAAGGACGGGGGTGTCGCTTTCCTGATGTTTTCTTTCGATCAACGCCTCTATCATCACCAGGGACGTCGAGTAACGACTATGGGACCCGGGCGCCTCGACATCATATAAGGTGCGGACGATTGAGTGGTGCAGTAGCTCTCAACTTGCACCCTCGCTGCACTGGCAAGCTTCTGTCAGCACGATGGTTGGCTATGTGACCCTCGACGACCAATCGACGAATGCCAGCTATTCTGGCGACTGGGGCGTGGTGCTCAACGACAGCCCATCATATGAAAATACAGAGATACGTCCGGAACGTGATGGAGCGAGCTTCAGTCTTCAGTTCTACGGTATGTAAAATCGGGGCGCAGGTGTCAATGGATGACTAAGGACCCCTCAGGCCATAAGGTAGCTGTGAGAGGTGTACGTCTCGGCCGCTGTTCGATATCGCCTTGACCAAGTACTCATTGAGAACGCAGGTCAGAACGAACCTTTCCGGCGGCATTCAGATTGCCTTCTCCGTTGACGGCGGTGAGAATGACACCGTCACCTTCGAGGCCTTTGAGTCCACCGAATCGCGCCTTCTGTATGACAATGAACTTTGGAAGTCGGAGACCCTTGGCGACATCGATGAGATGCAGTGCGTCACTTCAGTCGTGTATAGCAGCTCACTAATGCTTACCTTGGCATAAAGCGTGCTTACCGGTCAGGTCTCCTCCACGTCCGATGAGAAGGCGTTGTTCCTGGACAGCTTCAGGATTTATCAGGCCAGTCTGGACCAGCAAACCATCTCCAGTGGGTCGCCCTCCACTGGCATCTCTACTGGCACCTCTGGCACTTCTACTGGCACATCATACTCATTGCCGCCTGGGATGGAACCGACGGTTTCGGGCCCGTATGTGCCACCGCCATCGAATTCAGCATCGCGCGCGACAGAAGCCTTTGACGTTGGAGCCTGGGCGGGCATTGTGGTCCTCATCGCGGCTCTTTCCCGATTGCTCTAGTCTGGTTGCACTCCTGTCGTTTTCATAGGTCTGCGTCACTCGGTTGTCAGACCGAAATCGCTGAACCCTTCGCAGTGTAACTCGTGCAATATGATCGGTGCTACGTGAAGTGTTTTACATTGGTGCGGACGGCTGAATGAGAAGCGACAGAGTGCTACCGTACGGTGGGGATCTCGCATCTCAGCTACGTCGTCGCGTGGCCATCCGTTTGTCCATCTGTGACTGCTTGAATTTGGCCCATATCTGGTGCGTGCACTTCGTTCGTCGCCGGCTTCGCAACGTCCATTAATACAAGGGCGCCGTCCCGAGTACCCTGTAAATCCTCGTTTCCAGCAGCTTGCGTTAAGTCTGGCTCCACCAGCGGCTTGACAGCAGTTTGCAAAACGCTAGAGGACTCGCCCAAACGACGATAGGTGACGTTGTTGTCCCACGCCACCACGGGGCCGCTTCAGCGCCGCCCTCAGGTGCAGCTCAGCGGCGGTTCAGGGTTCGGCGACGACGCACAGAGCGATGCGCACGCCTTCACGCATACCGAGGACAATCTGTCTGGTCTCCAATGCGCATAGGAGGCCTGTAGCCAGCATGCGCTCGTTCCCCGTGCCCTACCTAGACGAGCTGAACGTCCAAGGGCAATTTGGGGCGTTATGACCTCATAGATCTCCCAGAACTGAAGTACTCTACCGTTTTGCACACTGCTGGAACACCAAAGGCGCGCCCGTATCCTGATCCACGTCGTCCACTCTGATCAGTTGGACTTGGGCATTCGTCAGATATGCGCAAACTGCCTTGAGAGCCTCGTGTATGCGACCGTATATGCCAGCGTGCTCTTCGAAGAGGGCGGGGTCGATGCGCGTGTTCGCAGGTAGCTCCGAGCCTCGGTCTTCACAGCTGTGGGCGAAATTCGCTGCGCCCTCGACCTTTCTATACGCCCAAACAAGGTCGTCGAAGAGATCGATGAGCTTCAGCACCGGAGACGATTCACCATACACCTGTCCCAGCAGTGTCTTGAGGCCGTCCCTGTACTTGCCCCGCTTCAGGAAGACCTCGCGACAGTCAAAGTCTATGCTGTTGTGGTGCCGCCTGACCTGAGGAAAGAGCCTTTGCATCCTTGCGCGCACATTCCCCAGTAGGCTGCGGTAGCTGTCCCAGTCCTTTGCGCCGACAGGCCTGAGGGGCGTGAAGGGAAGGAGGGTGTGCAACGCGATCCAGAGAATGGACTCCAGGTCGTGGAAGGGGTTGCGCGCGAAGAATCTTGAGGTGAAGGTGGCGTCAGACTTGTTCTTGACGAACTGATGCCGGCAGGTTGCTACTTCGAGCGGCATGAAATATGGGTGGCCTTGCGTGCGTAAATGCTGGGCTGTTTCATGCGCGCTGGGGACGTATCGGTTACAACCGTCTATCGCGATCTCCACTGTATATCTTGAAGCAAAATCCCCAAGGTCAGAAGGTTCGTTGACGGTTTTCGCGCGGAGCATGATGCTATCCCTGCCGACAGCCTGGAGTACATAGCCATCGCGGCGTAAGTAATTGAGGACTGAAGACGCCTTAGTGCCGAAGGGGACATATCTAACGGATGATAAGCTTACTCTTGGTGCACTCGCTCAAGGCATAGAAAACTAGTGCGGGGTCCTTGACATCAAGGAGGTAGACCTCCGGCTGGCAGACTTGTAGGATTGTGAGAGGACGCTCAGGCTCGCCCGTTGGCCTAGCGCCGTTGAAGGTACGCAGGCCATTCATAACGACGTGACGGTCAGATTCAAGGTGAAAGGCCGGCTGCGCACCTTCGAGTTACAGCGTTACATGCATAAGGCCGCTTTTCAGAGTGCGCCACCGGATCCTTTGAGACAAGGTCCTCTATGGTTCTGAATTCTAACAGCCCTGGGCACATTTATGATCAGCTAGAAGAGATAGTCTACATCATCAGAATAGTCCATGCTTATTGACACAAGTCCGTCAACAGGGTCCGAGGAATCTAATGGTCATCGAGGTTCCGACGCAACAAACGCCTGTCGCTTAGCTTCGCGGGGCTGGTCCGCCTCAGGCTCCTCCTCTGCCTTCCGCTTCCCTAGTTTGACTGCATCCTCCGTCGTGGGCGTCTCCGCTACCAGTGTCTCTTCCTCCAACGCCGCATCGTCCGTGGTATCGGTCTGAGCAGTCATGTCTCCGGTACCGGTGCTAGGCATTGGTGCGGCCTCTTGCGCTCTTTGCCCAAGCGCTGCCGTTGCGGATGACCCAAATTCAGGGTCGGATTCGAATTCGGAATCCGCTTTCGGAGGCGGCTCGCACTGCAGCGGCGCCCCCGTGTCCCAATTCATATTTGCCCACTTGACCAACGAATCGTTCCCGCTCGCGAAGTGCGCACTGACCTCCTTGAGCACATCCCGCACGCGGTCGTAGACCCCAACGTGCTGCTCGAACAACGACGGGTCGAAGCGCGTGCTCTTGGGCAGCTGCAGGCGTTCCCTGCCGCAAAGTAAAATGTGGTTCGGGGCCTCCTCGATCTTCCCGTAGGCTTCCGCGAGGTCTTGGAAGAGATCTGCGATTCTGAGTACCGGGGAGTTTTCCCCGTACACCTGCGCCAGTGCTCGATTCACAGAATCCCGGTTTTCGCGATACTTCAATAGATTGACGCGAGGCCGAAAATCGAGGTCACTGTGGATAGTCAAGAACCCCGAGCAGGGGAATAGCTTGTGCGCCCAAGTGGCTACGTCCATGAGTGCGTCCTTGTAGACGGGCCAACGCTCCATGCCTTCGGGAGGGCGAAGCGGGGTATGTCGATGGAAGAACTTGAGCGCGATCCATAAGAGAGGTTCGAGATCGTGCAAGAAGTTGTACGCGAAGAAGCCAGAGGACAGCGATTTCTGTCTGTAATCATCTGCCTCGCCAAAGAGATGCCTCATCTGGCTTACTTCGACAGGTGTGAAGCTTGTAGGACCGTAGCGATTGGGCCCATCGTCCTTTTGTAGCAGGGATAGTAGCCAGTCTGTCGCTGCCTTGTACGGTTTGCTGAACTCCATGCTGGCAATTTCGACAGTGACTTGTGAGGCAGTGTTTGCGTCCTCAGTCGACGCAGGAGCAGTCGGTTGCCGGTAATGCACCATGATGTTCTCCGGATAAAAACCGTGATGGACAAGGCCTGCGCTGCGCAGATGGTTAGCGGCTGCAGACAAGAGTGAGTATATAGATGAACTGGACGCAAATCAACACGCACCTGAGGCGCACAGGCTCAGGGCCTGGAAATACACTGTTGGGTCGTCGACGTGGGGCAGATTCTCGCCAGACGGCGCGCGGATCTTCACAAGGTTCATACGAGGATTGATTATGTTCGTCGGGCCTCTGTTGTAGTGATAGCCGTGCTGCCATGAGCCCGAGAGCTGTTCAATCATATCACAAGACGAAAGTTTATCGTCTCCATAGATCCCTGCGACTTCCATGAGAGTGTCAACGATGAGGTCTTGCCGCGATTTGAGATCTGGAACGTTGAGGTTTGCGTCACACAGAGTGTAGTCGCGAAGAACGTAATCGGCGCCATCGGGTCGAGCAAATTTTGTGAGACCTTCGAGGGGTCCACCGGCTTCAACAGCGCGCAAACAGCCTGGATGGAGGGGTCCCTTCGAGATGACTTCCGCTAGTTCAGAAATAGGCAGGTGCGCTTGCGTCGAAGTATTCGAGAGCGCGTCCAAAGATGAATCGCAACCAAGTTGCTCAGGGATAGCGAAGGTCGCAAACAGCATGAGTTGCACGAGCTCCTTTGCATCCTGAATATAGACGAGATCAATGCAGGACCTCATGATGCTGCCGCGACGCGCACCTTATACATATTGAACGGTTTCGCGGTAGAGATGAAAATGCGTGAGTGACAGGAGACTGTGACACGATCGAGGTTCTTGGCAGTGTTGGAGACGGTGAAATGGAACTTGCGCCGAATGTCACCTTGAAGGATGCGTTCGGCGACCGCGACACCGAGACGGTGAGCCTGAGAGCACATTAGTATGCATGTACGTCGTCTACGGCTAACAGCTTCTCACCTCGTCCTTATCTATGCCCCAAATGTGCGTGATACCAACGTCGGAGAGGCGGACGCGGGCAATCTCCTTGTCAATGGCCGACTCGGTCTTGGCTACATCGCAGCTTCTGCTGGCATTGCCGCTTGTTCCTTCGCCGTATTTGACATGAAATGCCCGAACCACAGCTCCATCTTGCGAGTCGTCATCCTGACCCGTAGCGACGGGCACGAATGCGAAGGATGTACTGAGCACTTGTTGCGGAAATCTTTCGGGAAGCACAGACTGCGCAACCTGTGGCAATGCAGCCACGAGATTTTTCAAATACTGCTCCGGATTCGTGCCACCCGTATTAGCGGAGGATTGCAGTAAACCGCGTTCACGCAGCGCCTTCGTGACCGCCTTCACATCCTTGGCCGACAGCCGTTTCCACCCGCTTGCGAAGCGCCCAAAGAGCCCATCTAGCGAGTATTGAATCGTTTTCTTGGAGTTGATTTTGTTGCTGGCAGGCGACATGGTGGCAAGAGACAAGGCGAGACGCGACCCGTCGAGACCAGCGATCAAAATAGCCGCATTGTTGTCACGTGAGCGTCGCGTGTAGATGGCTCCATTGTTCTTTGACGGCGCCTTTGCGGCCGTCGTTCACATACACACAGGCCGTACAGGGGATCGAAGGACATTATTTCAGGCAACATCGATGGCTTAGCGAGTTATGCGACTTCAACATGGCAGGCAGACCTGGAGTGGGCGAACAAGTCGTGGCCCATGCTGACAGGCGTACCATTATACCCTGAACACTGCCCTCACGCGCAGTTGTAGCGTTTCGAATCGGCCTATTGGATCGCTGTATAAGATATTGCGCCGAAGTATCGCGCGCTCATGGAGTCCAGTAGCGCGTCTCGCGTTTGAGGGCTGAATAATCGGGCCTCCATCCTGTTGTTGGTGGAGTGTATACGAGGCCTTCCGTCATGTCTATACATATCTTTCGGTAACGAAGAAAAATCAGGGTACCATCCACGAGCGAAGGTGCAAAGGAGTCTGAATGTTGTCGGGACGGAGATGGAAAAGGTCAAGGTATGACGGTGGCGCAGTGATGATGCATCAGGCTCTCGGCGATCTCGACTACTAATTACAGCTTGGCTCTCGCCTCCATCTTACCAGCCCATGTCCGATCTCCCTCCCATATATTCAAGACAGGATCCAGATGCAGCGGACGACGTCTACGGCGCCGGACGGCCCACGAGCCCGCCGCCGCCGATTGAGAGCGAACCACAAATCCTGATCATCCCTCCAGCGGGCGCCATAAACTTCCAGAAAGGCTTCCTCGGCGCGGACAATGAGAAGGCCGCCGTCGAGGGCGAACTGCAGATTAAGGGCGCGCAGCCAGGTGCTTGGGACAAGGTGTACGTTCATCGACCTCGGGCCGAGCATGGGCGCTTACATGGACCACAAGGACGATAACGCTGCGCAGCGCTGAGGCGGCGTACGCTCGCGAGATCGAGCTGTCGAGGCAGGAGATCGTTGTGTTCGAGCGCACCCCCAAGATCGATGCTCTACCGTCTTCCATCCCCTTCGCACTCCCCCTCACGGACGACACAGCTCAGTCCATCATGACACCTCGCTCCTCCCTATCCCATCGACTATCTGTCACCCTGCACCCGACTGACGCGAGCAGGCCGCCTGTCATTCAGTCCCTCCTCGTGCACACTCGCCGCTACACCTCGCACTCCCACTCTGTCGCCATTGCGCCCGAGACGCACTGCTTACAAGAGCCTACGCGTGTGGAGGTGCAGGTTCCCCGCACGACCTTCTTCGCCGGCGAGCCCATCCCTGTGTACGTGACTGTACCTCCACCATCTAGGGAACTCGTCATGGACCGCGGTCTGCGACTACGCAATGTACGCGCTGAGCTTGTGCGGGTGATCAAGGTCAAACGCGAAGAAGACGATCCAGAGGACGAGGGCAACGAGGACATGATGGGCTTCGATGATCTCGGCGTCTCCAAAGATGCAGAGGCATCTTCCCTCGTCGTGCATGAACCATCGACCTCGACGTCCCATAATCCGGTCTCGCCGCTATTCATGGGTTCCTCACATCGCACAACCCTCGCACGGTCAGGCGCCTCCTGCCGCTTCCACTCCTCGCGAAAAGTACAGCTGCGCTTCGTTCTCCACCAACAGTCCTTCCAGGGCTCTCCCTCCGACTTCCCCGTCTCCCTACCTCCCGCTGAACAGCAGCACAGCGACGCAGACTGCCCACCCATCACGCAACACACCCTCCTGCACAGCATCACCTTCAAGATCAACACCCACATCTCCTTCGTCGACGTCGCGGACCCGGACCACCGCAGGGAGCGCATCAGCACGGTGTCCATTCCCGTGCTCATCTTGCCCCCGCCTGCGCCGCTGCCGGAGGTCTCGCAGGACGTGGACACGGCGTACCACAAGAAGCACGATCGGCCACCGACGCATACGGTGCGCGCGGAAGAAGATAGCACGGTGCCGCATTATTCGGAGGGGGAAGCGGGGCCGAGCGCCATACCTATCGGCGCGCCGCCACCCTTCGAGGAGCGCGAGGCCCCGCCGCCGTTCTCCATCTCGGAGGCGTCGACGTCTTCTGGCAATCGCTTGCCCACCTTCCTGGAGTCGGAGAATGAAATTATCATGCCTCCGACTGATGAAAGCACCCTCGACCCGCATTATCCGGATGCTTTCCCCGGCGAAGGTGTTGAGTACGGCTTCATGCCCACGGAGCAGTTCGACGGACATTCCGAGGACATGCAGCGACCGACCACGCCGCCTCCGACGCTGGAGATGGCCACTCGCGACGCAGACTTGACCCAGATTGCCGACATTCGCGAGCCCGAGCGCGCCATTGAAGCACTTGGGCACGTCCTCGACCAGCACGAAGAGAATACGCGCGGCGGAGAGCCCCCACCGCCGCCACCTGCGATGGACGACCCCTCAGATCCGCCGCCGTCTATCGACTCGGATTTCCGCTCGCCAGATGCCACGACGCGGGGCTCGCCAGCCTCATCGTCGCCGCCGCCTGTAGCGTACGCAGAGGTGGAAGCAGTGCACGGCCCACCTGCGAGCCCGCCACCGCCACCGCAGCAGCAGCCTCACGTGCACGATCCGCCACCTTATCTGGGCCCGGAGAGCCACCGCGAGCAGGAGGAGCATGTCACCCGGCCGCCGCCCTACATGGGCTGAGACTCTAGCATAGGCACCAACCACCCGTGTACAGATCCACGTCATATCAATAAACTAGAAATGTAAAGATTACAGCGGAGAGTAGGTGCTATCGAAGAAGGGGGAAGGGGAAGAAGAGGATCGAGAGTGAGCATGTAATCCGAGAAAAGGGTAGGATCCGTCGCAGGGGCGTGTATGTGAGCAAGTCTAGCAGTTGCAGGCCTCCTTGGGCTTTGCGGCCTCTGAGAGGTTGACATCGCCTTCCGGGCGCCCGCCTGGCCGCGAGGAAGCGCCAGGACGCCCTGCGCCGCCACGGGTGGATGCGAGTATGTGCTCGATGGGTATCTTCTTGGCTATGTGGCGGGTCAGCAAATCCCGCTGCGACATGATAGGGATAGCATGACGCACCGATTTCCGTGAAGACCGTGTTGACGTTCTCGCCCGTCTTGGCACTCGTCTCGAAAAACAGCAAGCCCGCCTCCGTTGCGTACGCCTGCGCCTCCTCCCTGGGCACCTGGCGCAGGCTCTCGGGCGAGCCGTCCGGTGCCGCAGCCTCGCCAGGCGTTGCGGTTGCGTCGTCGGCCTCGTCCTCCGACTCCGACGAGTTGCCGCCGCCAGATGAGGAGCCGGCAGACTGGACGAGATCGACTTTGTTGCCCGCAAGGGCGATAACGATGTTCGGGTTCGCCTGCCGTTGGAGCTCCTTCACCCAGGACTTGGCCTTCTCTAAGCTCGCAGCCTTTGTGATATCGTAGACAACGACGGCGGCCTGGGCATTGCGGTAGTACATGGGCTAAGGGAGCGTCAATGGCTGCACAAATTACAGAGACAAGCGAGGCGCACGGCAAGGGAGTGGAAGCGTTCCTGGCCGGCCGTATCCCAGATTTCATAGCGCAGGACACGATCCTCAAGTCGGCATTTCTGAGTGAGGAAGGCAGCGCCGATGGTAGGCTCCTTGTTCGGCTGGAACTCGTCGGAGACCTGCAGCGACGTCAAGCGATCTGGGGGTCGGGCGGAAAGCGTGGGGACGCACGAAGCGGAGGACGACTGATGATTTTCCGACGGCAGCTTCGCCTGGGGAAAGGGTCAGCACGGCCGGGTTGTGTGGTCACGAATACTCACCAAGGAGAACGAGCTTGACCTGAACGCTCTTGTCGGCAGCACCAGCAGCGGAGTCGGCCATTGCAATATGAGATGAGGGTCGGAGACAAGCTGGTTGATACCGTGACGCCCGTCACGCCGCCACCTTGCCTCTGACCGCACAGCTGCTTGATTGAACAATTCAGAGGGCTTATATTCGTCCAGGTGTGTGTGTCCATTCACTGTCTTTGTGCTATGTAACTGACAATGTGCAGCATGAACACAGATCCATCATCCTCCAGGAAACGATCCAAGTGGGACGTAGACGATCCCGAAGACGAAAAGCCCGCAACTCCAGAACCACAGACCAAGCGCCGTGTCTTGAAGGCACAGTCCGAACAACGTAGCTTAGAGCCGTCCCCCGCACCCAAATCTGCTCCCCCACGCCCTGCACACAGCTACTACGTTCCCCCTCGCACCCACCACCCGCCGATCGTGCCCTCGCGCTCCGTCTACTGCTACGAGCGCCTAAATCAGATCGAGGAAGGCTCCTACGGCGTCGTCTTCCGCGCCCGCGACAAGCAGACGGGGGACATCGTCGCGCTCAAGAAGCTCAAGCTCGAGGAGGAAAAGCACGGTTTCCCCATCACCGCCCTGCGCGAGGTCGCCTCGCTCATGGCGTGCCGGCACGAGAACGTCGTGCGCGTGCGCGAGGTCGTCGTCGGCGACACCCTGACCCAGTACGTCGCCCGCCCCCGGTGCGCCTGCCTTCAGCGTTTCATTCACCCGGCGCGTTGCAAGAGTCTTCGTCGTGATGGACTTCATCGAGCACGACCTCAAGTCGCTGCTCACCCTCATGCCGCAGCCGTTCCTGCAAAGTGAGATCAAGACACTGATGCTGCAGTTGCTTTCGGCTGTTGCACATTGCCATGACAATTGGATACTTCACCGCGACCTGAAGACAAGCAACTTGCTCATGAACAACCGGGGGACGATCAAGGTCGCCGACTTCGGCCTTGCACGACGATACGGCGACCCCGTCGGCGTTGGCGGACTGACACAGCTCGTCGTAACCTTGTGGTATAGGTTCGTGGCGTGTTTTTCCTCCGCAGACGCATTTTCTAACCTTGACAGGGCGCCAGAAATCCTGATGGGAGCCACTACCTACTCAACCGCCGTTGACATGTGGTCCGTCGGCTGCATCTTCGCCGAACTCCTCCTCAAAGAGCCGCTGTTCCAAGCCAAGAACGAGCTCGAGATGCTCTCCATGATTTTCAAGCTCCTGGGCCCGCCTACCACGAATACCTGGCCAGGATATTTCTCTCTGCCATTGGCCAAGACGATCGCACTCCCCTCGCCTCAACCTCACCAGTTCCGGCAGAAGTTTCCCTACTTATCGACGAGTGGCCTCGACCTACTAATGGCGCTGTTAACCTACGACCCGGAGATGCGCATAACGGCTGAGGACGCGCTGCAGCACCCGTACTTCACGTATGTCACATCGTCCCCTCTACTATTGGTGCTAACTTATGCGATAGAGAATCACCGTTACCCAAGCATCCTGATTTGTTTGGCTCGTTCCCATCAGCTGCTGCAGGCGAAAAGTACGTGTGCAATCTCTCCTATGGAGATAGGTGTTTACCGTACGTAGGAAGCGGCGTCTGTTCGATAGTCCGTCTGCCCCAGCAAGGGCTGCAGACTACAAACTTATCACGGAGTTCGATCAACCATAGAACATATTACGCTGCACGCTGTTGAGTCTTAGACAGACATACGCAGTATTATATGATACATGAACTGGATTACTTGCTGTGATTTCTGGGAGCGTGATTATTGTGCAGCACGAACCAAACATGCACTTCGCTGGTCACGCATCCGCGGCCTTTTGCAGGGCAAAACACGAACACCTTTGAGTAAAATTGTCATGTAATAGGACGTATTAGTAGAGAGAATTATCAAGTTCTGCACTTAAAGAATGGAGCTCCACTTGATGAAGCAGCAAATTCAGAACTTACGATGACTGATGAATTTCCTTGCGATGCAAGTGCGTAGAGTACCGACAAGGGTGCAGCCTTGGCGGGGGGTTCGGCGAATGGCAGGCAGCGCAGGGAGGAGCTTTGAGGTATGTTGGAGCACACATTGTTGGGGAGTGCGGGCGAGGTCCTTGCGCGTCCGTTGGCGCAGACTCACGCTACGCGAGGGTCATCCGAGTCGGCTTGCCGTCCAGTGCAGACTCTGAGTCCTTCCTGCATTTCATCGTTCTGCCTCTTCATTTAATCAACGAATTTACTTGACTTTTCACTGACCTTCTCGTTAGTGAATTCTCTGATAATTATCGAGACTAATACGTCCTAATAGGGTGTGATATGCATAGAGAAGCGCTAACACTTGCCCAAAAGGACATTCTTGAGCACGCAGTGCGCAGCCGATAATGGTGGCGGCTGGCCTCCTCAAATGTTAGCAACCCCATATGGGATCTGATGGCGTTGATGGAAGCACGCGGGGAGTGCCGAAAGTGCACGTGTTTGATTGTTCGAAACCGTGACCTTGGCCTGACTCTGGCCATCATCTCTGCCACCGAGAACAAACGCGCGGTCGCAAACGAGCACTCACGTGAGGAGAGCGTGGCAGCCGCAGCTATAAGATGTGAGTTTCCATTGTTCTCCCCCTCTTGCACTTCATCCACATCCACTACCACCGCTCGTCCTCGCCACTCAACCCCGCCGCGTGGCATCGTTGCTGACAATGGCCAAGAAGAAGCACATCGACACACCGTACAAGGCGGCATCAGCTCGCACGTCCAAATCGAACAAGAAGAATCTCGCTCAGAACCGCGACAGACACATGAGGTCGGCACAGAACCACACGCGCGCGTCGCCGCTGTCTTCGTGGTTCAAGGCATACGCCAAGGAGTGGACGATCGTCGACGGCGCAGACATGGACAGCATCGTCGATCACCTGGTGAAGGCCAAGCACCTCAGCGTCGGCACAGAGGGCCAGTGGACGGCAGTGCCGCGCAAGCGCCGGGATGGTACGAACGAGAACTCGCACTTCGCCGGCATGGAGAAGATCTGGGAATCCGTGCTCAACGCCGCCGAGGAGGTTTTGCCAGACCGCTTCTCGCGCGACAAGCGCACGCTCAAGTTCTCCTGTCGGCCCAACAACGAGACCTACTCGGAGGTCAAGGGCGGGTCGGCGCGCGTCGATGCGATCAGCCAGCTCTGCGAATCGTCGTACCCGACGAATACGCAGTATGCGCTCCCGGGAAGCGCAAAGAAGGCGCCGCTCAGGTACAACGCGGACGCCGCGACCGCCGGGGACGACGCCGACCTTGGCCAGCAGGCGGTCGTCTTCACGGCCGACGTGGCCGTCACATACGAGTGGAAGTTGGAGCAGAATGCCGAGGCGATCGCGAACGTGCGTACGAGCCCATCCACCCGCTTCTGACCTTTTTGTACTCACATGCCCCGTCTCCCGCAGAACGACGCACAGACGATAGGCGCGACCGGCCACATCATGTTCAACGACGTAACGAGAGCCTGGCATTACTCTGTCACCATAGAGAAGGCGAGCGTGCGGCTGTGGTGCCACTCGCGCGGGCATACTGGCATGTCGAAGCGCTTCGACATGCATACGGTGCGTTGTCATACTCACGCTCGCCTGGACATCGCGGTGCTCACGGAGATCCTCTAGGCGCCTCGAGAGCTCATCCACTTCATCCTCTTCTCGACGTACTCTACCAAAAAGCAGCTCGGCTTCGATCCTAGGACGACGCGTGTCATCGACGACAAGGGCCAGCTGCAGTATCGGTTCACGGTCAGGAGAATCGACTCCGATGACCCGGACGACCAGTACCTCGTCTGGCAGACGACAAGAATCCTCGACGAACGGAGCGCAGGCGAGCTTTACTCCCGCGCGATGCGCGTCTACGCCATCAAACCCGTCGGGGAGGACGGCAAGGTAGTCCAAGGTGCTCGGGAGCGCGTCAAGCGCGATTTCTGGGTCTTCGCGCACACGAAGCAGGAGAAGGTCATCCAGCAGGATATCCTCAAGAAGATCGCTGCAAGTCTCGAGCCCGGCGAGGATCTCCACGACATCGAGCAGCACTTCATGCGGTTCCTGACGGACGAAATCGTCGCTGAGGCCCCGCCTCCCCCCGCGGATTCCGAACGGTACTGGTTCGCTGATAGGCGCAACCCTGCGGGGAAGCAGTCGTCCAAAGCCCGCATCACGAACAACTCTCTGCGTTCCGAGGCGGGCGAGGGCGGCCCCTCCGGATCCGAGGATGAGGACGAGGATGAGGATGAGGAGCTCGAGCTGCACGGCAAAGTTCGCATTGAATCCATATACGACGAGCTATGCGAGGATATGTACCACGTGGACGATCCGGCCGAGTACTTCTATGCGCTCAGCATATGCGTCAAGAGTGAGTGCACCATCTGCAGCGCTATACGACTCGCTGATCGTCTGCCTACAGTCCTCTCTTATCTGCGCCGCGCTGGGTATCTTCACCGAGACATCAGTCCGGGGAATTTTCTGCTCTATTTCCTCGCGCGCCAGGCGACGGCCGTCTCGAAGCGCTTTGTCATCAAGATTGCCGATCTGGAGTATGCGAAGGAGTATTTGACTGTCTCTCGGCACGACCCCATCACTGTAAGTCATTCGACATGTTTGCAGCACGCGCCTTCTGAATATCCCTGATCATAGGGAACCGCACAATACATGGCCGTCGAGGTTCAGGCCCGCCGCCACCTTCACTGCGATGCCACGGCCCTGAAGCAATACCTCGCCCACAAATTCTTCTCCTACAATCCATACCACGATCTTGAATCGCTGGTGTGGATGGCCATAGATTTCGTCATCTTGCGCGCGTCTCCTAGCATCGTGCAGGGCCGACCACGGCAGGAGATCGCTGCGTTGCTAGACCCTCTGACCGAGTACGCTGGAGAGGTCTTGGTGTCGAAAATCCGTGGAACAGAGTCGCGCAGAGCCCTTTTCGTGAAAGGAGCTGTTGCTGCGAAGTTGGTCGTCATGCTCATGACCACTCACGGGCCGGCGTCGCCCGTTCCCTCCTCCATCGCTAAGCTCATTGAGCTCATCCGCTCGGCAATGGCAACTATCGAAAACGAAGTCCTGTACAGCAAAAGGGACAGGCTCAAGCCAAACTTCGCATCTCACGCCCGATTCCCACTGTCCTTGTTCAAAGGCAATATCTACTCGGAGATGCAGTCGACCTTTCTCAGGATCAGCCAATACTACTCCGCAACAGGCGAAAAGCTCGTCAAATTCTGCGACATTGATAGGCCATCGGAGGCTGGATCTACCGTAGCGTCGGAGGTGCCCATGCTACCGAGTCCTACGGATGGACGGTCGAAGCGTAAAGCCGACGAAAACCCAATCTCGGCTGGACCCCCGGAGACGAAGCGCTCTCGTCCTGTACAGCCATCACCGGCAGACCTTTAGACATAACAATAGTCACTGCGTAGAGCATGAGTACATACTTTACCCAAGCATCATGCAATATGTTCTTTTGATGTACAGGCATATGGATTTGGTGATACTTGTATATTACTCCACATGAAGTGCATCAAGCCCTGTTCCGAGATGAGAAAGAGGGAAAAATACGCCGCAAAAGGAGTTCGCTAGTCAACGTGCTGCTGCGAATGCAGTCGTGGCCCGAATTTTCTGCATCTCATTCGCTTCGAATTTGAGGACGCGGAGTCTTTGTCTTGCTGCCTCTGGTCTTTACGGGGTAGATCTAGCTGTGGTACGGTGCTCTACATGCGTGCACGGTGCTTGTCCCCCCTCTCTCTCGCTCAACCCCTGTCAATCTCGTATACCCTTTCATGGTGGATAACTTTCGTTCGAAGCATACTTACCTTTCCATCACCCCTTTCTCCTCGCGTATTCAGGTAGTTATGGTAGTCTCGTTGACCAGCTTCCATACTGGAGTCTGAAACTGCCCCGCCGGAGGATAAGGGAATGACATCTGAGTTTGAATTCCAAAGCCTGCGTCTGCTGGGCTGCTCCCGGAGATAATGCCACAAAGCGCCCGCCAAACTGGCCTTCCAGGCTTCCCCCGCCTCTCGCTACATATTCTCAAACTCCGATGTGAACCCTTGACCCTCCCGCAACGGTCAGCCGGGACTAACTCATGGCGTAGACAGTCAATGTACCTTCCGTTCGCAAGGGATTCGCTACGGCGGCCGCGTGACGGCAGGCGGGCGACGTGGCACCCGTAAGTTATATAGAGTAGTAAAGTGCGGTGAATGATACTATGCGCTTGACGGGCCTTGACAACATAGCCATTTGGCATCAGCCGCCCCCGAGCGTTTGGTCGTGCTCACAACTGGCTATCTTGATTCTTGAATGCCTTCTGCACGATCCAACGATCCAAGACCCCTTTACCTGATCTGATGTCAGCAGTGACTGCACTTGTTCCGGTCATCGGAGTCGCGCCAGTACCGCCAGAGCGCTTCTGCCACCCTGCGTTTCTCGGTGGAGGTGTTGACTGGGGTCCTTAACATATGTCGGGATCATCAGCAGGGCAGAGACATAGGTGTGTCAATGGTGCCTTCCCTATCATCTTTCCGTCTGAAGACAGGACACATTCTTACGCGGAACGCACTGAGGGTGACCTTCCTATTATCAATCGCAAGTAGAAAATAAATGCGAGCAGTAAACAAGTATACAATTAGGAGACCAGGATGTATCTGAACAAGGACTCGAAGTCTGTTACACACATGGTGAGAGATATTCGTGGCCATGTCAACGAGATCGAGAACGTTTGGCTTCGGAAGGCTGCGCAGTAGCAGGCGGCTCGTCGGCCTTGCGCTTCGTCGCAAATGATACCGTACAAGCCTGGGAAGCCACCTTCGCTTTACCACCTTTCTTGAGTGTCCCATGATCAGGGATCAAGTTACCGGTAGTGCGATCGATCTGTGACAGCAGCACAAGAGGCTCTGCGCTTTCGACGAAGTGGTTGCTGATAGTCTCGAAGCCGACGCGCAGCTTGCGATACAGTCGGTCGTCGAAGCAGCTGAGGTTGTATCGATTATTGGTGACATGCTTCGCGGATTTGCTCTGAAGCGCGGAATACGCAAGCCAGATATCTTGAAGAAGATTTGGCAGCGTGGTGACCGGTGAGGCCTCGCCATATAGAGACTCTAGATTCTCCTGCAAATCCACTTTTGGGCCAGATTCGGTGACGAGTGCGTTGCGGGCCGATGATCCACAAATGTTATTCACGAAGACACGTGCGGCATCCGAGGCCATGCCAGCCACAGCGTCCGCGAGATCTTGCCAATTCTCCTCGCGAAGAATTGTCAGAGACATACGGGACATAACGAATGCCAACGCCATCCACATGACAGATTCCAGGTCATGATATGGGTTGTACGAGAAGAAATCTGTCGCGGGGACAAGGACTTGCTCGAGCGGTACAAGGAGGTGCGAACGCGATTGAACCTCGACGGCCATGTATTGTGCGGTTCCCTATGATCAGGGATATTCAGAAGGCGCGTGCTGCAAACATGTCGAATGACTTACAGTGATGGGGTCGTGCCGAGAGACAGTCAAATACTCCTTCGCATACTCCAGATCGGCAATCTTGATGACAAAGCGCTTCGAGACGGCCGTCGCCTGGCGCGCGAGGAAATAGAGCAGAAAATTCCCCGGACTGATGTCTCGGTGAAGATACCCAGCGCGGCGCAGATAAGAGAGGACTGTAGGCAGACGATCAGCGAGTCGTATAGCGCTGCAGATGGTGCACTCACTCTTGACGCATATGCTGAGCGCATAGAAGTACTCGGCCGGATCGTCCACGTGGTACATATCCTCGCATAGCTCGTCGTATATGGATTCAATGCGAACTTTGCCGTGCAGCTCGAGCTCCTCATCCTCATCCTCGTCCTCATCCTCGGATCCGGAGGGGCCGCCCTCGCCCGCCTCGGAACGCAGAGAGTTGTTCGTGATGCGGGCTTTGGACGACTGCTTCCCCGCAGGGTTGCGCCTATCAGCGAACCAGTACCGTTCGGAATCCGCGGGGGGAGGCGGGGCCTCAGCGACGATTTCGTCCGTCAGGAACCGCATGAAGTGCTGCTCGATGTCGTGGAGATCCTCGCCGGGCTCGAGACTTGCAGCGATCTTCTTGAGGATATCCTGCTGGATGACCTTCTCCTGCTTCGTGTGCGCGAAGACCCAGAAATCGCGCTTGACGCGCTCCCGAGCACCTTGGACTACCTTGCCGTCCTCCCCGACGGGTTTGATGGCGTAGACGCGCATCGCGCGGGAGTAAAGCTCGCCTGCGCTCCGTTCGTCGAGGATTCTTGTCGTCTGCCAGACGAGGTACTGGTCGTCCGGGTCATCGGAGTCGATTCTCCTGACCGTGAACCGATACTGCAGCTGGCCCTTGTCGTCGATGACACGCGTCGTCCTAGGATCGAAGCCGAGCTGCTTTTTGGTAGAGTACGTCGAGAAGAGGATGAAGTGGATGAGCTCTCGAGGCGCCTAGAGGATCTCCGTGAGCACCGCGATGTCCAGGCGAGCGTGAGTATGACAACGCACCGTATGCATGTCGAAGCGCTTCGACATGCCAGTATGCCCGCGCGAGTGGCACCACAGCCGCACGCTCGCCTTCTCTATGGTGACAGAGTAATGCCAGGCTCTCGTTACGTCGTTGAACATGATGTGGCCGGTCGCGCCTATCGTCTGTGCGTCGTTCTGCGGGAGACGGGGCATGTGAGTACAAAAAGGTCAGAAGCGGGTGGATGGGCTCGTACGCACGTTCGCGATCGCCTCGGCATTCTGCTCCAACTTCCACTCGTATGTGACGGCCACGTCGGCCGTGAAGACGACCGCCTGCTGGCCAAGGTCGGCGTCGTCCCCGGCGGTCGCGGCGTCCGCGTTGTACCTGAGCGGCGCCTTCTTTGCGCTTCCCGGGAGCGCATACTGCGTATTCGTCGGGTACGACGATTCGCAGAGCTGGCTGATCGCATCGACGCGCGCCGACCCGCCCTTGACCTCCGAGTAGGTCTCGTTGTTGGGCCGACAGGAGAACTTGAGCGTGCGCTTGTCGCGCGAGAAGCGGTCTGGCAAAACCTCCTCGGCGGCGTTGAGCACGGATTCCCAGATCTTCTCCATGCCGGCGAAGTGCGAGTTCTCGTTCGTACCATCCCGGCGCTTGCGCGGCACTGCCGTCCACTGGCCCTCTGTGCCGACGCTGAGGTGCTTGGCCTTCACCAGGTGATCGACGATGCTGTCCATGTCTGCGCCGTCGACGATCGTCCACTCCTTGGCGTATGCCTTGAACCACGAAGACAGCGGCGACGCGCGCGTGTGGTTCTGTGCCGACCTCATGTGTCTGTCGCGGTTCTGAGCGAGATTCTTCTTGTTCGATTTGGACGTGCGAGCTGATGCCGCCTTGTACGGTGTGTCGATGTGCTTCTTCTTGGCCATTGTCAGCAACGATGCCACGCGGCGGGGTTGAGTGGCGAGGACGAGCGGTGGTAGTGGATGTGGATGAAGTGCAAGAGGGGGAGAACAATGGAAACTCACATCTTATAGCTGCGGCTGCCACGCTCTCCTCACGTGAGTGCTCGTTTGCGACCGCGCGTTTGTTCTCGGTGGCAGAGATGATGGCCAGAGTCAGGCCAAGGTCACGGTTTCGAACAATCAAACACGTGCACTTTCGGCACTCCCCGCGTGCTTCCATCAACGCCATCAGATCCCATATGGGGTTTCCATTGTTCTGTCGACGGAGTCCACTGCACTCGGTTGGTGGTTATATGTCTATACACCAGACAGTAAATTCAATATCAACAGACCTTATCGTGCACACGCACGCTTTTCTGTTAGGTATGCCCATCGCATTTGGTAGATGGCCGCTGGGCTCGGATCTCACACTCCTCATAGATGGAAAGGGAATCCCTCTTACAATGCCAATACATACTACGTAGTACAGAACTTGTCCATCACACCTCTACCCGAATCAAGCTATCCAGCTCATTGAACGGCACACTCTCCTGCGCCTGCATCGCCAGCAGCACCTCCAGCCCATGCTCCCGATACGCCGCCAGCAGCCCATGCCCCTCCTCATCCGTACTCTCCCCACCCTGCCCAAAGCCCATCCCGAACGACAACGTCGGCGCCGCCGTATCCTCCGCCACCACGAACGGATCCGCCGCGTCCTCCAGCACCTTCAGCGTCTCGATCGCCCGGCGCACGGGCGCGGTGAACCACTGCCGCATCTCCGGCGCGTCGACGCCGCGCGTGAGCTTGTGCACAACGCGCATCAGCACCGCGCGCACGGCGAGGGAGCGGTCGCGCGCGAGCTTCGCCTTTGTCGCGGGTGGGGCAAAGAAGGCGAGGGAGTAGAGCGCGAGGAGCAGCTTCTCGGTGTAGGCGTACCACACGTCGCGCGAGACGAGCTGGAAGTCGGCTTCGGCGACGGGTAGACGGTGCACTAGCGCGGTAAACGTTCGCCAGAGCGACGTATTCGGGAGCGCCTTGGCGAGCACCTGCCGGTTGCTGTCGGGCTGACAGACGGATGTCAGGGCTTCGAGGGCGATATCCGTGAGGCCTGAAGGGCGGTAATGCTGCGGCGGGGTGTTCGTCCACAGTTGCGCATGCTGCAGCGGGGGCACAGATTCCGTGTCGTCGATGATGAACGACGCCAACAACTGGAATACATGCTTCGCCCGGCGAAGGGCCACCTTCGGCGGGTTTGCGGGATCCTTCTTCGTGAACCTCGTATATGGCGCGAGGTTACATAACATGTACAGCGCCTCTTTCCGCGTCGCAATCAGGTTGGTCAACGACAACGCAGGCGACGCGGCGTTGGGAGAGCCGTCAGCTTCCCGCCTGAACGAGCATAGTCTCAAGACGCAGTCGTACAAACGCGTTTGGCCGGCCAGGAACTCGCAATTCGCCTCGAACGCGCAGAGATTGCGGAGGATGCCCATAATGATTTGTATGGCGTGCGATGGCGGCGGAAGCGGGCCACGTCCGCTCGGTTTGCCAGCTTGCTTGGGTTTCAGAACGGCGAACGGCTGATCCTCCTCGTCGTAGACGTGGCTCATGAGTTCCCGATGGGTGAAGGTATCGTCGTCAAGGGTGTCCGCGTCCGTATCCATCGCGCCTTCAAACGCGGTGTCTTCAAGGAGATCCAGCAACTCGTCGAGTAGGTCTGGGCACAAGGATATCTGGAAGCCAGAGTTTGGGCCCGATATGCGCATTGCTGAAAGCATCGAAAGCGTGGTGAGGGCGTATGAGAGCTCGGTCGCGACTCGCGAGCGCAGAGACATGATGAGGTGATCGACGTCGATGTTGCCCCAATCGTTGAAGTCTCGGATGGGCCGCCGTCGTGCCTCCTCCGCATACTTTTCCAAGGCGGCAAGGTCGCGTCCGCCAAAGGTGTCAACCTCGCGGGCAAAGGGAACATATTCGATCTTCCTGCGCATCGGGCGAGCGCGAGCGCGGCTGCCCTGTACGCTGCCAGACGCAGATGGCGGGGCTGCGGTGACGGCCTGGGCAAACATGAGCGTCGGAAGCGAGAAGAGCAGGGATGCTGTAACTCACGGATGCGGCATCGGGAGTTGGTTCTGTTCGGACATCGTATCAAAGAGTTTTGCGAGCACAAAGGATCACGGACCTGTCTTCTGGCGGCTTCGTTTCATCTCCGCCTCTTCCAACTCCAACTTCCTCTTTAACCCAGAATCGACGTTGGGGGCATTGTCCACCATGGTGTCCGCTGGCAGGTCGAGTGGGGCGGGTCCAGAGGCTTGAGGGGTACTCGGCGGAAGAGAGGCATTTGCACGGCCTCGAGAAGCGGACGGCGACATGGCGGCATCGGGGAAGCTGTTCGGTACCTGCGCGCCCCCGATCGCCCCCATGGGGTCGGGAACGGCGGGCTGGACAGCTTGGGCTAGTTGCTGCTGCGCGTTCTTGTTGTTACGATGCAATTCCTCAAACGGGGCGAGGATCCCGTTGTAGTACGACTTGAGGACCATGGCAGCGGACTCTCTGGTGCCAGGCATTTCCGGAGGAATGTCAAACACTTGGATGACGCGGGGCCATAAATTCTGCGCGCTGACCTACAGACTGTCAGACGGCAATTACTATACAGTGCTAGCGACGCACATGGTTGAAACCGCCTGCTTGTGAGATGATCTGCCAAAGGCGGAGGAGGGGAACGTCCTTGCCCGCAACTCGGAACGCGCCGTGCTCGGTGGGACATAGCTCCACTTGCTTCCAGATCGTTGTCTGGGGGTTGAAAGTAGGCGATGGAATGCCGGTAAGCTGAGGGGGAAGGGGATTGCCGCGGTTTATGTGGAATTGGTGGAGGGTCATAAGGAAGCGCTTGTGCTGCTGGGCCATCATGATCTGTCGGGCGAGCGCTGGGTTCTGCTGCGCTGCCGCTGCCGCGTCTGGCGGGAAGTTGTTGGCGTGCATACTGCTACCCGACTGAAGGGGGGTGCTGGAAGAGGACAAGTCGTGCGCGGCTGATGGACCGGGGCTGCCAAATGCTGCCGAATTTGTTCCGCCGCCTGGCCCTGCAAACGAACGAGTACTGGCGTGCCGGAGCTGTCCAGCTGCGGTAAGCGCCGCCATCTGCTTTGCCGTTGCGGCGTCCATGTTGCCGAAGTATGGGCCCTCGCCGGGGAAGCCGCCACCTGGGGTCTGTTGAGGACTGACGCGCGCGCACCGTCAGCGCAATGAAAGGAGCTGGAGAGATATGCGCGACGCACAGCATTTTGGGGTGCAGACTGTTGTTTCCCCGGTACCTGGTTCAAGAAATCCGTCCGTTCGGCAGTCCAGTCCCGCCTGACCTCACTGGCCGGTAAATGAACCGTGTGGAAGAAACGAGGCGCGGTGTGACGCTCTCGTCACGCGTTACCGTCTTTTCCAGGCAATTTTTGCGTTTTGGCAAGTCCCCTCACCTCCCCCTCGATGGCCAAGGCCGACGACATCGAGGCCATCTTCGCCTCCTCCAAGGGAAAGGGGAAGGGGAAAGCACCAGCACCTGCCGCTCCTCCACCATCTGCGCCGGCAAAGAAGAAGAAAAAGGATAAGAAGCGCAAGCGAGAGGCAACACCAGATGAGACGCCTGCTCCCGCGCCGCCTACCAAGAAACGCGTGGTCGAGACTGTCGTAGATCCTTCGTCTACGAAGCCTTCGACTACAACAGCCAAACCAGGTGCGAGCGCGCCGCCCAAACCTAAGAAGAAGTCCAAGCCTTCCGCCGACGATGAAAAATTCAAGGATTCGAAGGGAACCCGCTCTCGTATGTTCATACTTATACTTGCCTCGATCTATACTGATCAGCTCTATAGGTCGACAAACGGAAGAAGGCTGGGCCGTGTACAAGGTCGACGAATTGGGGATCGATGAAACCGCCGGAGGTGCATACTTCTGCCCTCTATCTCCACGCGTGAGCTTACACTGTACAGATACCCCGTTATGTCCCTTCGATTGTCAATGCTGTATGTATGAGCCCTATTCTTCCTTCTCACCGTTGCTGATATCACTCGCAGGCTTCTGATACCCGTCAATGTATTCCTAGTTCACTGTATTTCTATGCAAGATCAACGCCCTTCACCGACCATCTCCTCGTACCCAACCAAATGCAAGACCCCTCTGGCTCATAGGTATACTCCGACGATCGGTCTCATAGGATCTTGGAGTTCATAAGCGAGCCAAAATTGACATAGCCCAGCTGTCCCTTACCGATCATCTATCGCACGGGTGATCGCCTGGACTTCGCAAGTGAGGCGCACATGCGACGTATGTATAGTCTACTCAATGTGTACGTCCAATTTCTCTCACTTGCCGACGTTCGCTGACGCCCCTCACAGATTCTAGATCACCGAAAATATACCTTTTTTGCTCGTCTTAAGCGCATCTTCCTTCATACGGCTCTTTCGAAGCCTCTCGGATAGCCTTTGGCGATGCTCCGTGGAGGTCAATGTGTAGCCAACATCGATTTTCTCTTGTCCGCGTATCTCGAGCTTTCCTACTCGAGTGCGAATCGGTGCCGTTCTCCATACACGGATACATTCTCTTCTCGACTCATATACTCGTAGTGCATGTCTTGTCTTCTATACCTCTGCAATGATTTTCATGAACTCTCGTCCATCGTTCTCTGCATCGCTAGAAGTTGGAACTGCTCTCGCATAATGCGGGGCATTCCCCGCCCACCGACGTTGCCACATATTCCATCTGCGCCTTTGCCTCTGTTGACCTGCAACACCACCCAAGAATCTCCCTCGCCCCACGAAACCGCGCAGACCATTCATCCCGGCTTACACCTGGCGACCATCACCGGATACGGCCTGCCAGCGCTCGACGGTCAAGGCGAAGCTGCAACGTGCGCGCAACATGCATCTGCCCATTGTCGCCCAGGAAGGAAATGATTCGCGCGCAGACCCTCTGGGAGAGTATTTAATGAGGCCTGGCGGGCGGTAGGAAAGCAGGCTCCTCCATCCTCTTCACTCTCCTTGACGACTTCCACGATTCTCTCCTTCTAATTTTCTCTTCATCCTTTCCTTCCACTTCTATCCCACTCACTCCTTAATCATGATCACGATCAACGCCCTCCCCAACGAACTCCTCGGCGAGATCCTCGGGCACGCCATGCACATCCCTGACGAGCTGTTCACCAGCAACGCCGCTCGCTCCCCCTTCGGCACCTACGCCCACCCCCACGCGGCGCGCCGGTACCTCCTCGTTAACAAGCGGTGGCGCGATGCTGGCCTTCGCCCACTGTACCACGACATCGTGCTTCGCTCGCGCGCGCAGGCGACAGCGCTTGCGAGTACGCTCAGGCAGGACCTCAATCTGGCTCTCATGGTCCACAAGCTGCGCGTCGAGGGTGGCTTCGGCGTGTCCATGGCGGTGATCATGGCTGCGTGCACGAACATCACGGATTTGTGTTTGCTGGTCAACATAGATTCGCATGACAGCTCGAGCGGGATTTGCCTGGGGCTCAGGTACCTCAGTCCGACGAGGCTTGTTTTGCTGGACATGCAAGTCAGTCGGCCGCTGAGCGAGAACGGGGCGGGACTGCTCGTGGCACTTCAGAGAGCTCTGCCACAGTGGGGCGATCTGGTACGTACGCCTCTGTTGCTGGGGTTTTCGGGAACAGCTAACGACATACGAGCAGACGACCGTGATGTGCGCTGTTCCGTATGGCATGGATGGGCGGATGCTTGCGCATCTCCTCCAGCATGCGCCCAATCTGCGGACCGTCATCCTCACGCGCGGCTGGCGCAAGGGTTTCATGAAGCCGATTTGCGAGCTAAGCACAGTGCATGAGGTTGTCTTTCGGTCTATCGTGCCCTGCAAGCCTCACTGGCTGGACGCCGAGAAAGCGGAGTGCACGCAGTCAGTACGTGACAAGCACCGGATGGACCCTCCCGTTAACAGGCCTCCATCGTTAGTCGAGATGCTGCGCGCTGCCGTCGGATATCAGGCTGAATGCCGTTAATCTCATAGGGCTCACGCTATTGTCAATGCATCTACGCCCGAGCAGGATTTCAAGTATCTTGACCGTGCCCCACCGGGAGTTACTGTTCAAGAGTTCCGACGCGTCGTCGGCTACCATTGGAGAACTGGGGATCAGCTAGTCGCTGAACTTCGCAGCGATCCCCGTGTTGTCGACTATGTGCAGGAAATCGTTCTCCACCCGCTCTGGAATTGGGGTGGCACGCAGGTCCACGACCTCAGGCCCCTCCTGGAGGTCGTACACAACTTGAAGAGCATCAGGCGTGGATCACGGGTGCAGAGTCCCGCGTACGTGCCTTGGGATGCGTACGAGCTCCTGATCGAGCAAAACGGATGTACATTGGAGACTTTGGAGGGAATCTGCCTCGAGAGTGCTCCGTCGGACCACCTAGTCCCCATACCGTCGCTCTGGGATCTCTCCTGCCTGCGCCACCTTTCATGGGACTGCACGACGGTGTTCAACGACTTGCAGCAGTTGCCAGAGGACGCGCTTGCTATGCTCGAGTCCATTACAATTGCTGCTTGCCATCCTACGTTCGCGCGCATCCTGAGCAAGACATGGTGAGTGTGATACCTTTCCCGTATAAGATTGGGCGTTACGCTGACAAGCATTGACTGTCTTTTAGCCTTTCATCCCTCAAGAAGATCTATCTTCACGCTCCAGCACCAGGCAATAGGCACATCTGCTATGAGTCGCATGGCATTCTTTTGCATAGCCATGGCTGGAAACTGGATGAAGTCGAACTCGACGGTTTCTTCGATCTCAACATCCTCCGCGCCTCGCCGAACGTCCAGTGCTTGACGCTTCATGGAGAAGAGCTTGTGCGTTGATTTAACTTTTGCATGCTTTGAGGTTAGCGCTCATCGACTATTCCAGATCTTGCGTGGTGAGCCCAAAGCACACGGAACACTCGCGAAGATATTTCTTCCAGACATGGACTGCTCGCAATGCATCGAGTTCATTCCGCGTCTGCATCTCGACTCGTATCCTGCGCTGCGCGAGATACACTGGCGAGGAGACTGGCCCTGGACCGAGTGAGCGCGTCATCCCTTCCCAACCCCAGATTCGTCCATATAACTGACTCACCAGACACGCAATCGCGAGCAATGGGCTCATTCCGGTTGTAGACCACATTCTCTCGCCGCGCGGCGTGAAGTTCTATGATAAGGAGGGAGTGGCTTGGGTGCCTCGATTGAGGGTGGATGACGCATGAATTTCACGACAATAACGAAAGTAGAAACGTACCTTAGACCTTACAATACTAGAATCCATTAAAGTCAGGCGCTGGCGCCTTTAAGTCGAACCGTGACTATGTGACTGCGTGATTCATTGTCATCCCGGCAGATTGCGACATATTCCCACCCCCTCCCTTTGCCGGACCTTTCACGCAGCCGAAGCTCTTTGTCCAAGACCTGCGGCTTTTTCTTCGAAAAACACAATTTAGCGCACGTATTGTATGGTACGAAGGGCCGTGGACTCCCTAACGCTACCCTTTGCATCCCGGCTGCTATCTCTGTCGATTTCGAGGGTCGTGCTCACAGCAGCCTTTCGGCCCCATGTTCCTCGATGTTGACCATATAGTGGCACCGAACCAAGAATTCAAGATGGCTGGGCCCTCGATGGAGGGAGAATGGAAGTCGGCTCAAACCTTCGTTAGCAAATATATACAGCCCGCTGTTTGGTGGCACGCAAGCTCTGCGCTTTCGCCGCTCCCGCCATGGCCTCCTTGCATACCTTACCAGAGGAGCTTCTGGTGGAGATCCTGAACGCTGCGATGGGGATTTCCGACGCGCTCTTCACCGACAACTCATCTCGGTCCCCCTTCGCCGCATACACCAACAACTACTGGACAAGCCGGCTGCTCCTCGTGAGCAAGACTTGGTACCGTATCGGCTTACCGGAGCTTTACCATGATGTCGTCCTCCGATCTGAGGCCCAGGTCAATGCGCTCGCAAGGTCGCTGGATCAAAACCATGACCGCGCATGCTGGGTACGGAAGCTACGCTTGGAAGGTTGCTTCGGGTGGCGCACGGAGACGATCCTTCGAGCTTGCACTGGCATCACCGACCTCTGCCTCCTGACCAATCCGTACCAGAACGATCCCTCGTACGGAGTAATTACGGCCCTGCCGCTCATCAACCCAGTCCGGTTGATCTTGTTGAATATGAACACCCGGAAGACGCAAGGCAGCAATGCAAGGGCGCTCGCACGAGCATTGTGCAGATGTGCACCAACATGGACGAACCTTGTACGCTAGTTCTTCTTCAGGATGAGGAGTAGACTGACCATCGGACCGACAGAGGACTGTACTTTACGCTGTACCCCATAGGAAAACCCAAGACGAACTGGCGACTTCGCTCGCTCGTGCTCCAGGGCTGACAACTGTGATGTTCTATTCTTTCCTGGGAATCATGCCGTACCATCGCGACCTATGCGCCAGTAACTCCGTCAAGAAGGTCGTCATACGTATTGGACGTACGACCTTGCCGGATTGCTTGAGGAAAGCGCTCCAGAAGCAGCCTTTGCATCTTCGTGGCAAACTGGAATTCGAACTTGATACCCTGTACGATCCTCAGCCTATCTCGTGAGTCTCGCCGTTCTACTTTGTCAGAGATGAACTTAAGGCGATATACCTTTCGTAGCGCGGCGCCCACCCCCAAGTATCTCATCAGAAGCAAACGTAGACTATCATTCAAGCCCTTGCGCGCTGCTTCTGCCGAGACTTGGATCTATGTACTGAGGTTGGTGATGGCCAGCAACTCGCCTTTACGCACCCACACGGCAAACGAGAACAATCTGCACGTCTTACTGGCCTGCAAGGACTTCTTCGTGAGCCTTCCTGTCCGATACTGGGCCCCCTCATTGACTATCTTCGCAGCGTATCGGATTGCCTGAATTTTTGCGAAGCGTGCTAGTGTATCGTCGCAATGTGGACGGCTTCGTGTCGTTCCTCCGAATCCACCCACAATATTCCAGGCATGTTCGTCACTTGACGATCCAGCATCCCTTCGGCAGTAGCAAGAGCATCCTCGATGCGCTTCTCTGTCTTCTCAACAGCCTTGAAAGCCTGAGGGCTGAGACTAACGGCTGCACCCCCATCAACTGGGAGGAATTCTGTCTGCTTTCCGCGAAGAATAAGCTGTCCCTCGAGTGTATCGATGCCGTCTACTTGGACGTTCGGCAGAGTCCTATGGAAGGAGTACCGCTCCCCCTACAGCCGTTATGCCAACTTGCCCACCTACGCCATCTGAGCTTAGCGTCTAATGCCGTCTTCGACACCAGCAGAGGGGTTTCCTTGGACGCACTCTATTCCCTGGAGAGTCTGAGCATCGGCCAATGCGATATTTCCCTTGCATGGGCGTTTTACATGATGCGGTAAGCTGTTCTCCATAGCTCTAAGTCGCAATGCTGATGTGCTGCAAATACAGTCTACCATCCCTGCGCGCGATGACGATATACTGGGCAGGGACTCAGGTCAGTCACGCGCACAACGCGGTCCTACGTCGCCACGGGCTCAAGCTGCGAGAGCTTGAACTATATGGCTTCCTCGACTTAGCCGTCGTTTGCGCCTGCCCCTACGTCCGCTGTCTTACTGTCAGGGGATCGTCTGTCATATCAGTCAGTCGCAAATGGATGTGATGGCACTTCCTGCTGATATTATCTTAGCCCCGCCTCTTCCAAGACGCCGTCAACGGTCAAGACGAACTCACCAGCGTGATCTTCACCGACGTTGAGGGTACCGACATAGTCGCTGATCTCGTGGACTATGTATGCGACCTGAGCACGTTTCCCTCCTTGCGCGAGGTCCGTTGGCTACAATGCGAGTGGCCGCGTAACCAGTGAGGACTTCGACTCGCTGCATATCTCACAAACTGACATGGGATCAGGCACGAAATACAGGCTAGTCGGTTGATACCCGTTGTAGAAGAGGTTTTCGAAGATGTGGGCGTGCGAGTGTACGATGGGAAGGGAGCATTCTGGACACCTAGGTTAAAGTGACGCCACGATGTCGAGTAGTCAGTTGAACCATGCTGCAGTATACTACAGGCCTCTCGATCCTTGAATCTGAAGTACACCTAGCTTATTCATTGAACGGATGCCTGAAGCAGGAGCGTGTGTCAAAGGTCCAAGGCGGGGCGCTTACCACAAATGGTAGATTGCCTCGAGGCACCCACAACGCAATCACCCATAGTCACCCATCTGTCACCCGGTGATCTCCGTGAACGGCCGCAAACACGCTGCTAACTTGCTTTCTGCTTCCATTCGTCGGCATCATGGGGACCGAAAAAACCCTCTCCGTGCTCCTCTGCGAGCAATGCTCACACGAGTACGTTGTCACCGACACCGCGCCTCCCTCAGCTCTTGAGAAGCTGCGAAATCACTGGCTACCAAATGTTGACGAAGCAGAAATCATCCGTCTGGAGGCTTCGGCGACTCGCATGAGCGTCTCCGCCATCGAGAAGGAGATAGCGAGCTTGTTGGGAAAGGTCAAGAAGATTCAAGGCCTGCAAGCTCTCCTCGTCAACACTCTGAACGCCCAGGAAGCGCTGGTCGCCCCCCTACGCCGCTTGCCTATCGAAGTCCTGCAGCCGATATTTGTCTTCGCATGCGAAGATGATGGGTCCGATTGCATGGAACGATGGCCAATGGCTCTCGTACTTAGCAGCGTGTCCAAGTTCTATCGTGGTCAGTGCCTGATAAGCGACTGTGCTCCTTCATCGTGCTGAATTCGTCCCAGACGTCGCGCTCAGCACTCCTGAGATTTGGGCGCGTATTCCGGTCGAAAGCATGCAAATTCTAGCTGGCGAGTGGCCGCCTGCATCAAGGTCCCTCATCGTACGACGCCTTCGTCTCTACCTGTCGCGCATAAGCAACGCAAGTTTGCCGAATGCGGTCCGATTCCCGACCACGCTCTCCTGCCACTCACCCACGACCGTCATCAATGGTATCGCGCTCCAGTACAGCGATGCGTGGACGGACTTGAAGATCACCGGCTACGGATTCTTCTCTGTTCTCGGGGAACGCTCGCTGAACCGGCTGGAAAAGCTTCAGACCGACGTAGGCTTCCTCCTCACGTCCTCGGGTGAACGCGACAAGAGCGAGGTATTCGCGCGCGCGTCCAGACTTCGCCACCTTGAGATCACGAACTTCACCAACGTCAACGTGCAGAGCCTGTGCCTCCCTTGGGCACAGATCACCACGCTCAAGACGAGGTGCTCCGACGCCTTCGCAATCGATGCATTAGCCGTACATTGCAAGCAGCTCGTATCTTGGTCGCACTGCAGCACAAGCAGGTCATTCTCCCAAGGCCGCTCGCCTACATCGCGGATCGTGTTCGAACATCTTCGCCACCTCGTCGTCGAGTCAATCAACGTGCGCGATACTCGGCACGCATGGCACTTCGACCATCTCACAGCCCCGCGCCTCGAGACATTGTCGGTAAACTGGCCATACTCCCCGGACGTCAACGGCGGCTCCATCGGCGCCTTCCTCACGCGTTCGGGTTGCAAGCTGCGAAGCATGTCCCTGAAAAGACCATCCGTGTTGGAATGCGTCTTCGTAGCCTCCAGCCACCGCATGCCACACAAGCTGTTCATCGACAGGGTGTCCCTCAGCGCCATTGATGCACCGTGCGATGCTGCTGCTGGCGCGGCGTCCGAGGCGACCGTCTTCACGCCTCTGCTGAAGATGGCCTTGCGCTGCTTCGGGACGTTGGAGGGCCAGTTCCTCATCGATCTCGTAACGCGCGAAGATGGCTGCCGCACGGGGCGCCTGGAGGTCACTATGTGCGAGGAGCGGTCGGTTATGCGCGTCTCCAAGGAGGAGATGGAGCAGCTCGAGCGCCTCCTACCACACGGGGTTTCCATCCGCAAAGTGCATCGCATGCTATACGAGGCTGACGAGGACTAGATGCGCAACGTCATCGGATGTACGGTAGACGAGAAGGTGTGGCGACTGAACAGTAGACATCTGCGTACGCCTTGGTCAACGAGATAGACACCACTACACGTGAGGGCATACCTCTTCGGGGGCTGAAGTGCCCTCCGCCTTGCTACGCAGCTATGAACATTGACTTTACATCCAGATACATACATAGTTGTAGCACTTACCAGCTCCAATAATGTTTTTCCAGGACTACGGCATTGCTCTCGTAGGACACTCGTATAGTCGTCCAAAGTCGGGCCATCTAGTAATTGCTGCAGCTCCTGTACAAGTGTGATGGTCCAAGGCGAAGACAGCATATAGTACGCTGCGTGCCGTCAGGACCAGAGTGCTGCCAACAGAACAAAGACCACTCACACATTGCCATGCTACTATTCGTAAGCCGCATCAGCGCCGCGCAGAGGGCGGGCGCGAGCAACAGCGCGAGCGGCTCTTCAATGTCCAAGAAGTGTCTTCGCATGACCAGCAGAAGGGCATCCCGTATGGCATCCGCGGCCTGCGCACAAACTAGCGGCGCGGGCAATCGCTTCGTGGCCAGTATGTACTGCGCAAAAGCGCCTGCTACATCGATGGCTTCATGCCCTATTCGCGCGCCTAGAGTCCACGCCGCCGTATCTGCCTCGTCGTCGCGAGGCTCGGCGCGCTCAGCAGCAGCGAGCGCCGTGAACACAGCATCGGCAAGAGAGATCACGATAGGTGCGGCTGGCGGCGCGGAAGACAGGCGCTCGACAAGCAAGGCCAGCAAGTGCGCAGCCGTATAGCGTATGAGACAACCACGAGCTCCACTATGCCAGATGAGAGTCAAGAGCTGGACCGTAGTGATGACCGGCCGGAGATTGATGTTGTCGTCCAGTATCGAGGAATCGAGAGGCGGCAAAAGACTAGCATGTCAAGTGAGTTGGCGGGCAACAGAAGGAAAGGAAATACTCACCGGCGAGAACGGCTTACAGCTAGAAGTTTCTGTGAGCTCATCGTCTAAGGAATTTTATGTTGAGTACTACGCACCTTCGTCCACGCTATTGGGAAATCGCAGTATAGGATCATCGCGCGCCTGCTCAAGCGCTACACGGAGAACGTCCACGTCCGCGAGCGCTAGCATCTCTATGGCTGCGTCCTTCACTACAAGCAGCCATGTCAGCACGCGGGAGGTAGCCAGAGTCACGAGCGTCATACCTCGTAGCTCATCCTCATCGTCTTTTAGCGCCACCAACATACGCAAGCCCACGCGGCACATCTCCGGCGCTTGCGTCGGAAGAAGACCTGGTGGGCGGCAGACGTGGTTTACGATGTACATTGCCCTGTAGGCAATGTGCAGAAGGTCTGTTGCATCCCCTCGGATCAAGGGCACAAGATGATGGAGAACGTGCTGTACGCCGGGACTGGTGAGGCGCTTTACCGCTGCTATGAGGTACTGTTCACCCACCAGCATCGCCGCGCAGCAGACCTCTGGCTGCTCCTCTACCTTGCGCATAGTGTCCTCGCTGAGCTGCGCGACATGCCTTAGCCATGCGGCGGTCTGTTCGTTAAATGAGGCCACAGGCTGACCCGAGTCAACACAGTCTACTTGCCATCGCTACCACTGTCTCGAAGTCCGCCACCCTGTTATCCTGCCACGTCCTCCAACACCACAGAATGATCTGATCTCGGAGAAGCAGCTTCGTTGCTTGATCCTGAACCTGACAAGGTTGGAAGATCGACTCAACGATCGTCTCACCATGCAACACTGTTCGCGCGAGCTGGAGCATCCGCCCGAGAGTTCGAGGACGCATCAGTTTGTGACCGCCGTCGGCGTTGTGAGAATCGGCGACCTGAACAAAGCGTGAACTTTTGTGAAGGTTGGTATCTCGCGCATATACTGACAGCATACAGTGCAAAAACCATTGCCGAGGTTAAGCGCCATTGCAGCCCTTGCTCATTGGCGCGCTCGTGCTCGCTATAATCGAGGAAGGCAGACAGGGCTGGCAGAAGGTCGGCCGGCTGTGCGTTGTCCTCGCAAAGGTTTTCCCTTTCTCCAGATAGCACGAATGCCCCATATAGCAGTCGTATTGCTAACCGCCGCGCGGCCGGCGACATCGCGGCGGACACTAGCGCCTGCGGAATATCATCCCAGGATTCTGCACACTGTCGGCTTCGAGTCGTGGAAGACGCGAGGAAAATCTACCTGGCAGTTGTGCCGCTGCTCGGAGGCTGTCCGAGTACCTCTGCGACTGCAGGAAGTTGCTTGTCGAGTTTGCAGGAGCGCGTTCGCCTGTAATAATCGGCGCGAGCTTGGCCAGCAGCACATCGACCCAGCATACAACCATCGACGGGGGTGCGTTGGACGGCTGCGCGCTTGCGGCTATTCGGTGAAACACCGCGCGGTGGGCGAAGAGTAGACGGAGAGATGAGAGGCTATCTGTGGGGGTCGGCGGTCAGCTAGGGGAAGAAGATCTGATGAAAGATGTACACAGTGCAGCGAGGTCGCTCTGTGGCACGCTCGTATCTTCAAGTGCATTTTCGAGCGTGGAAGACGCGCGAGCAATTGCACTATGCGCGGAAGCGTCCTGTAAGGGGGGCACGTCAACTTTAAATGTTGGAATATATGCGCTCGCAGTGTTACATCCTCCACGGTGTCGAGATTGACGTTCACGATGGTCTGAATAGCGACAAGGATCTCCGCAAGACCAATGCGATTGCCATCTGAGCCTGGCTGGATATCCTCCCCATCGCGTCGTTCGTGCTCGACCCGGGCTTCTAGATCGGGGCTGCCGGAGCAGTGGAAGGACTCTGCGAGTGCCTGAGTGGCGACCAGGTCGAAAGAGCGCTCCGAAGCGGTGTCCGACTCGGTCTCGCTGTCCATCATGGCCACAGCTGGAGTCAGTATACAGGAGTTGCGGTTAGTAGGCGGAGATGGTGGTCAAGAGCAAGAGAGCAGGACGCGTCGCACCTCCACGGCAGCCGAGGAAGGTAGACACCGACATGTTGCTGCTTGTTTTGACAGCGAAGTCCTGGACGAAGGCGGCAAACTCCGGTCGAAGCAGATATATTGCCTTCTCAGGCAGGAATGAGTACAGCAGACGACGATGCAGAATACAATAAGGCTACACGTCTTGCTGAATGTCGCGCATGAGTTCGGTCAGCTCGCTCTTGAACTGCAAGGGGCCAGGCTTTTGCGAGAATAACTTCTCGAAAGTATCCTCCGCGGCAGCGCTCTGCGATACCAATCAGTCAGATTTGTAGACCCTCCCCGCACGAGATGCGACTTACATTCTCATCCTGGAAGTCCAGACCCGTCCACTCTTCGTCCTCTTCCGCATGCATCTGCTGCAGCATCTCGCGTCGCCAGGCGGTGATATTCCCCTGCATGAGAACGCCGTTGCGCTCCTCATTCTTGCGCGCGCTGACCTGCACCTCGCGCGTCTCGCCACCGGTCTTCTTCTTTTCCTTCTTCGGTGGTGGGGGAGGTGCGGGCTCGTCTGGATCGGGGGGAGGGCCGTCGTCTTCTGAGTCGGAGTCCCCTCCCCCGCGTTTCTTCGATTTTCGCGAGAGGTAATCCAGGTAGGTGAGGGTTGGGCGGAATTGGTGCGTCTGGCTGATCGGGTGGAGGTGCAGCTCGCCTGCTCGGGCGTCAGTGGTTAGGCATGGAAGGGAACGAGGTGCGCACCTTCCCTGACTACGCCTAGCATGTACACCCCCTTGTGCGGGACTTCCTCGCTGCGAAGGCGTACCTCGCTCAGTCGAGGTTCGGCGTTACTTCTGCTGCTCTCCTCCTGATTCTTCTCGCGGTCGTCCTCAACGCGCGCCGCCCCCAGATCACGTCCACGCTCTGCATTCCAGACTTCTGGCCTCGTATCCGCAGGGACGTGTATCTCCATCCTTCGCGCATTGGGCTTCACGCGCGCACGGATCCGCTTGCCGCTACTCCTCGCTGCAGGCGGCGGCTGCAGGGGCCTGGTCATGAGGGGGAATTGGTGAATCTGCACATTCGGTGCGAGCGCATTGCTGAAGCGAATGGGGAGCCTCTGGACGACCGGATCGGCGTCGTCGTCGATATCCATCTTCACTGTTCGCGGAGCAGAAAATCCCAACAAGCGCCCGGCGCCACAAAATGCCTTATCCATCACGCATCGGCAGGCGTCCGGCACCGGATGCCGGAGATACTCGGGCCGGTAGATTGCGGCACGTCCCGGCGAAAATCCATATGCTTGTTCCCGGCCTCCTCCTCGTTCCCCTCATCGTCGTATCTTCCTCCCAAAATGCTGGCATCCAAGTCCTTCGCGGGAGCAGTCCACCGTGCTGCTCGCCACTCTCTTGTGCGTCGCGAGCGGTGGTGTCAATGAAGACCACACTGACGACATGTCAATAGCAGTCTCGCACCTACGCCTCCGCGGCCCCCACCGCCGCCTTCGCTGGCCAGAAGGCGAGCAACGTACGTGCCCAAGAATATCTACGATGCGTCTGCTCACTTACTGTAGGGCAAATACACCGTCACTCTCATCCCTGGTGATGGTATCGGTCCCGAAATTAGCGAGGCCGTGAAGGACATCTATACCGCGGCTAATGTACGCGCTATCCATCCCCTCACCCCTTCTATCGCGCCTCACGCGTCGCGCAGGTCCCGATTCAATGGGAGGAGGTCAGCGTCACCCCGATCCTCAAGGGCGGCAAGACCGTCATCCCCGACGCGGCCATCCAGTCCGTTAGGAAGAACACGGTTGCACTGAAGGGTGCGTCTACCTCTTCGAATTATACTTCTCACCTCGCTGACGCTCTGCACAGGTCCCCTTGCTACTCCCAGTATGTCATGACGTCCGCTCCCGCTCCCTCCTTCCTAACAGCGCGCTTCAGTCGGCAAGGGTCACGTCTCGCTTAACCTTACCCTCCGCCGCACCTTCAACCTCTTCGCGAACGTCCGTCCCTGTGTGTCCGTCAAGGGCTTCAAGACTCCCTACGACGACGTCAACACCGTCCTCATTCGCGAGAATACCGAGGGCGAGTACTCCGGTATTGAGCATGAGGTACGCCTCAGCGCCAAGAAATCCTTGCAGTACAGCTGAACACGCTATCAGGTCGTCGACGGCGTCGTTCAGTCGATCAAGCTCATCACCTGGGACGCCTCCGAGCGCGTCGCGCGCTACGCGTTCCATTACGCTCAGTCCAGCGGCCGCAACCGTGTTACTGCTGTCCACAAGGCGAACATCATGAAGATGTCCGACGGCATGTTCCTCGCCGCCTGCCGTGAGGTCTCCAAGGACTTCCCGAACGTGCAGTACGACGAGGACCTCCTGGACCGCGCATGCTTGCAGGTGCGCTACCTTGCTGCATACGCGAAGTCTGGATAGGTATCGATGACATCACTTGTAGATCGTCCAAAATCCGAAGCCGTACGCGGACCGCGTGATGGTGATGCCCAACTTGTACGGTGACATTCTCTCCGACATGTGCGCTGGCCTCATCGGTGGTCTCGGCTTGACGCCCTCGGGCAACATTGGTCGCGTAAGTGCATGCTCTACGTCCACCACCAAGCTCTCGCTCACCTTTCGCAGGACGCCTCCATCTTCGAGGCCGTGCACGGCTCCGCGCCGGACATCGCCGGCAAGGGCCTCGCCAACCCGACCGCGCTCCTGCTCTCTTCGCTCATGATGCTCCGGCACATGAACCTGTACGAGCATGCGGAGAAGATCGAGAAGGCGGCGCTCACGACGATTGCCGAGGGCAAGGCGATCACCGGTGACCTTGGCGGCAAGGCGTCGACGAAGGAGTACACGGAGGCGATCATTAAGAAGCTCTGAAGGGGTATAGCCTAGTTCTGGAGCTTTGATGGCCTTGGGGAGCGCGCCTTCGTGGTCGGCCCTCTGCGAGTTGAGTGCGAGAGGGACTATATCCGGACGATGTATCGTCGTCTACTGTAGAGCCAATAGATGGTTGCCATTGTATGACAATGTTGTATTCGAGCGACGGCCTGTGTGGGACAAGGTAAACACATCTCCGTAGTAGGCTGTGTGTCGTATACTGTCCAGTACCTCACATAGCGATAAGTATGGGAGATATTCCCGGTGCCACAAATTCCGTCAGATCTCCAATCCGTCAAGCAAGGCTCGCGCTTGATCATTCCGAGGCGTGAACGCACACTCGTAGTCTGCGGGTTGCCTGTCCAATCATGAGCTCGTCTGCTCCCTTCGCGCGAGAGCAACGTACATAATAACGCCCAACGATACTATGTCTGATGACGGCTCAATCACACTGCAATCTGGTCGCTTCGTCTTGCTGATAGTGTACATGCGAAGCGTGCAGGCTACGGTCAGCCACAATGTCGTGTACGCCAGATGGACACCTGGGCACACCCGCCGACCGAACTGAGAACAGTCAGAAGGGAATGCGTATGCGAAGGAAGGAGTGTGCGTACCCCGAATACTATATCACGCGGGTTTCGTACAGTTGGGTCGAGCGCCCCGCTAGCGGTCAGGAAGCGTTCGGGCTTGAAAGAGTCAGGATCGGGATAAGTGGTCTGCAGTGATAGGCAATCAGTTGTTGCCAACGAAGAGGAGGGGCTGCGGGTACCTCGTCCCGGGTCATCGACCTCAAGAGCGGCAAATAATTGAGCGTTTCGGTCGTCTGCAAAAGTATGTAAAGTACACACCAGACGTACCGCATGACGATAGTGCCTTTGGGTATTGTGTATCCATTATACAGGTCAGCTTCCGCTCCCGTGTATAAATGCGGAAAGCCCTGCGTAATCTCGCGATCAGCGCCTTGCACTTCGGAAGGAAAGAAACGAGGTGCCAGCGGGACTCACCTGCGGCGCGATAGGTCGATATCTCAGGCTTTCGAGGACAACAGCAGTCGTATAGGGCAAACGTTGTTCGTTGTCTAGTGTTGGCAGTTGCCCAGGCGCGAGCGCGTTCTGCAGTTCTGCTACAACGCGCGCCTGCACGTCCGGATGGTCCAGGATAGTGCGGAAGAAGAACAGCAGAGCATTGACAGTCTAAGGAGAACAACATTCAGCAGACTGAGTACAAGATCATCCTAAAGAAACTCACCGTGTCTAATCCGGCGCCATATAGAGTCGCTAGAGTATCTCGTATGTCGCCTTCCTCGGCCGCCGTTGCCTTGGATAATGCGTTTGTAGCCAACGACGGGGGAGCGGTTCCTCGGGCCTTGACGGAAATACTGTGCTTAGTACTGCTCATTGGTATCGAAGCAATTGAGCGCACGATCTTGGCCTTCACATGTGTAAACGGGTTCTGAACTAATGCTCGGGCAAGGTTACGCCACTCGTGGGCCTGGCACTTAAACCCAGCTCCTGTGGTGAAAGTCAGTTGGGGCGCTGAGAGACACACAAACATTCAGCCGCGCACCTGGAAACCATTCTGGAAGGTGCTTAAGTGCTGGAAATATGTTGACAAGATAGGCGCCTGGCTGTGTAGCGCGGACAAGCGAATTTGCGGCGGCGTCACCGACAGTGATGTATGGATCGTTTGCCGGCTTGGGTACGATACCGTACGTGGTTTCGAGAATGACCCTTCCGACCATGCTATTGACAAATGGATCAGTCTGTCGATTCCACACGCCCATCACTGACTAGTGAAGTTCCGCCTTTAGCCCATCAGATTTTGCATGCAGCATTCGACGTAGGAAAGTGCGAACGCTGCGAGCGACTTGTGAATGGATTTGAGCGTTCGCGGCCGGCTGGTGCCCAATGTACTCTTGCAGAAGGCGGCGACAGCGGCGCCTATCACGTGCTGGTCAGTCGACTACAGAATGCCCCACCGTATGCTGCACCAGGTTACCCACCACTTACTACCTTAGGTGAGATTGAGCACCGACATGAGGAAGACTCAGGATGGGCTAACTCACCGTAAGGCATCAATGCGACGCTGAAGTCCCAACCCATCAGCTCAACCATGGTGAGCTGAGGCCCTGACACATCGCTACCTTAGTGGATGTACCGATGGAACGTCAATATGACGAACCGATCAGAGTATAGGGCAGACCGCTTCTCCAGTAGCTCTGTGCATGCGTCGTACGTATCCACCACGAGCATTGATTGGCCAAAGACATTCAAGTACAGAACGTCAGTGTCTAGGTACGATCTGTTAGAGCGATATCAACGAGGGACCAGCTTTTTGACTCACGATACTGTTTTGCCCATTGCATGTACGTTAGCCAATCCAGTCGCGAAGGCATGGATAGGAAATTGCCAAGTAAAGGAAGCGGTCGAGGTCCAGGAGGAAGAGGGGGTGACGCATAGCGGAGGCGAAAATAGGTGTAGATCACCGCAGAAATTATGAGAGTCATCATGACGCTCTGAAGCGCCTCCATGGCAGTGGCTTGAGGAGAGCAAGCAAGGAATTGGTGTGAGGTCAAGGAAGTCCTTGCTTATAAGGCGACCATTCGGTTCACTCCCACGCCGCGTCATACTTTGAGGCGTGCGAGCGACCGAGCAGTGGAACCAGCGGACTAGACTATCATATTCGACTAGGGGGGCGGACAGTGCACCGCGAACGGCCGTCGTCATTTAGCAACACAGTCAATTCACGATAGCAGCATCTATGTGCATTCAAGTTCACCTAACGTCGTCAAACAACCTCGCCATTCACTAGGCGCACGATAATTGTGCATGGGCGTCACGAATGAGAGTCTGCAGATATCAGGCAAGTTATGATTATCGTGAACCCATCGAGACGAAACTGATATAACAGATCATTAATTGAAAATATGCCACTTCGTGCCAATCGCGACGCACCTTTCATCGGCGAACGCACAAAACTGCAGCTTCCGCCGAACGGAGGGAGACCATTCCACTTTCAACGCCTGTTCGAAGCGAGCCTGGTTCCGAGGACTGTCACGTATGATGACCGACTTGATGGTCGGCCGCGAGCACAGTATCCAAAGTATGCGGCGCATACTGATGAAGGGCCTCGTGAGAATCACGGTGAGCAGATTCGGCGTACGCAAAAGCGCCATCAGAAGATCGTGGTCCAAATCGAGACAACGCGAGACGTGTAGTACAACTGTCTATACGGGCCGTAAGGGTGAGCCTTGTTCACTGACAGAGGACGAGGCATGCGTACCAGCTTGTCCCATTTCGGGACGGAACGACGCAAGGCGACTAACAACGGATGTCGATCCCTTTTCCGCCGTTGGCTCGCCGGCGTCACGACGACGAGCCTCTCGGGATTGAGGTCTACCAGGGCAGGATACGGTATCGTCACGTCCCTTTGGCGGAAGTTGAGCACGATGCAGAAGTCCGTGACATTCCTGCAAGCCCCTAGGATAACATGCATCGCCCGTTCGCTGAATGCGTTCTCAAGACGAAGTTTTCGAATCCATTGACCAAGTTCTGGACAGGTGTGTAGCGCATTCGCCAAGGCATCCGCCTGTCCCTGCGAGCGGAGGAGCACGTCGTGATAGAGCAGCGGTGTGCCAACTCGACACCACGCCTTGCAGACGAGCAATGCCGACGATCGCCTGTGATGATGGAGATAGGAACTTGAGGTTGAGGTTGAGATTCCAGTGAAGACGCCATCTGGGATCAGGAGAAGCCGCCGGAGGATGTCGTCGGCGAGTTCATCGGGCAGATGCGCCATCTCATTGAGGTTCGAGGAGGTAAGTGTGCAAAGACTCCGCTCTTTGGAAGTCGTGGTTATATAGGCGGTCACATTCAAGAATGAAGGGGTTTCACCGCCTACTTTAGGTGGCGCATCGCCGGAACTTGTGAGGTCTGACCTTTTTTGCATGTATCAAAGACTCGCGCAACGACCACCCTGCATAAAATTGATAAATTGCAGCCTGGTAATAATCAGAGAGAAGTAGACTACCTAGTTGTTCTCCGCACCTATCATGGTTCACTGCTGGTAGCAGCAGCAGCAGCAGAGAGCGCTGGAATCACTGCAGCGCGCTTGCGCGCGATCATAAACACCGAGACCATAGCAGCTATCAATCATCGTCGTCGTCTAACCCCTCCTCCACTAATGTCTCGCCGAAAGGGTCCGATCCCATGGTCGCCGCTTTGAGCTTTCGCTGCCGTTTTTCTTCCGCTTTCCGTTCTTCTTCTGCTTTCCGTGCTAGATAGGCCTTTGTTCCGGGTATCTTCTCCGGGTTTTTGCATAGTCGTAGTCGACGGTCTACCTCCCGGACAGCCTCAATCGGCGGTGCTTGCCCCTCAGTCGTGATGAGGGCCCGGAGGGTTGCGATGACATCACGTAGCATGGTAGCAGATGCAGCTTTCTCCGGAGAGGTCTTCAAGGCGGACGTCAATTGAGCGAGGCTTTCACGGCCAAGCCGAGATACGCACCGAGGGGAACTTGGCCTCCAACCACTGCTCGGCGAGGTTGGGTGCTGCGAGGGAAAGGCATGCGTGCGCGATTTGTGATGGTGTGTATATCAACTCTGCGTCGGTCAAGCGGGATTGTGCGACATGAGAGAGGGCTTTCTGGTAGATGTTGTGGTCTGGGGGAGGCGCGTCCGGTACCGTCTGCAAGGGAGTTCGTCGTTAACGATCAACGGCTGGCGCAGAACATCGTCGTACCTGCAAGTCTAGCCAGATACCCCACAGTGCGCGGTGCGCGTGCCATACGGAGAACTCAAAGCCGAGGCTTTGCGCCACGAGGAACTCGATGTCGAGGACGTCGGAAACTTCGACGCGAGGAATGACTTTGGTGTAGTGTTCGATGGAAATGGGGTTGTTGGTCGTCTTTGTGGCGAGGAACAGTGCGGTCAGCCTATGGGACCCTCGTCAGCTGGGCGTAGACCCCTCGATCACAGTGCGCGCTCGTACATGACGTTCTTGGGATGCCAGTCCATCACAGTGTTCTTGAGGTAGAAGCGCTTCAAGTAGGTGATCGCCGTCGCTTCGACCTCCTCCGGAAATCGGAAGAGCTGGCACATTTGGGGAATCTTGGACGCGTAAAGCTTGACGAGCAGCAGCTCCTCGTCCGCGGTAAGGAATTGCACTCGAGACGATGAGCCTGGCTGATCGTGCTTGTGAGAACAGAGGATACCATAGCATGCATATGCACGCACCTCGTCCGTCTCGAACGCCACGCGTATCGCGTCCACCGCACCCGCATTCAGACGCGCTCGTGTATGCGCGAGACGCTCGGGGGAGAAACGCCAGTTGCGAAATTGGGTGCTGCCCTCGTATATGGGCTTTCCGCGCGCGCTAGACGGTCCCGGATCACCATTCGCCGTAGGCTGCGCGCTATTGTGGGTAGGATTCATGATTGAGGAAGAGAGTCTTGAACAAGGCCTTCTGCGTCAAGCGCGCAGGAACTTGACCGGCATATTCCGGCTAACTGCAGGTTCAATTCCACGCTCCGGCTGGCCTTGCAGACACCCATTAGGCCACCCATTCTGCATACAGAGTCGCTAAGTGCATTGATATACTCAAAGACGGTCACGAAAAGGAATAGAAGCGTTGAATGGTATCATCACGTAGCTAAGTAATCGACACCTGCGAATTCCACTAGCGGCATATTCTCTAACAAATGTCGAGGCAATCGCCCTCTTCCGTGCCTGTGCGAGCCGTACTCATATATCAGTATAAGTTCAAGAATCACCTCCAGAGAACGTATCGAATATATATCGCCGACCAGCAAGGCCTCCACCCGCTCTTCTCCTCTGCCGAATATTTACATCACGGCGGTACCAAGTCCAACGGCCCATTGACATCGACGAGAAACAACGGAGAGTCGTTGGGCGCACGCTCCGCATTTATCTTGCGCACAATGTCCCACACTCCCTCAACGTCCTCTACGTCTTTCACGAACAGCTGCAACAAGGCAGGCAACACACCCCTTGCGCGTAGATTAACCACAGAGGACGTCGCGAGGGGTGCACCCAGCGCGCCAGACACGCTAAGCTCTACGATACTTGTAGGGGCGTTCCGAGAGAAGATGTACTCCTGTTCCTGTTTGTTGGAGTTCTTGAGCGACAAAGTACGCAGACGCGTGGTGCGCGCAAGGAATGTTGAGAGGGGGCAGGGATGCGGGTAAAGGGCGTGGCCCTCTTCCGGCCTTGGAACGGAGTCTTCAGCCCATTCGATGAAGAGCTTGTTGAGGGATGGCGTCGTGAGACGATCAAGCAGCCACGTGTGTTGCCGGTCGTTGGGATCATCCAAAGTCACGACAAGGGTGCGAAGCCGCTCTAGCCTGAGGTGCGATGTGATGGGGGAGCTCGGAATCTGCATCGTGTCATCGTTGTCGAAATCATCGCCATCGTCCTGATCATGTTTCCACCTTCTCAAATTCGAACACTTCGCGACCAGGGCATCGAAGGCGTAGGCGTTTGTGCATCGCGTCGTAAGACTCTTGATCTGCGACCACGGGAATTGGAGGTTGTGCTCCTTGGGCAGATTATATAGGTTGGTGACGGACAGGTTCCACAGCCGAGGCGCGCGCATAAACACGCAATGTTCGTCGGTTTCGGGAGGCGAAAGGACGCCGACGTCGCCCTGCACCTTCTCCAGGCGCGCGAGTGAGCGGTTCCCAAACGTCTTGAAGAACCCATACTCGAGTACTTTGAGCACTTGGAAGGAGTCACTGAACTCCATCGCGACCTGGAAGAGCTCGAGAGTAGGCGGGGAGCGTATGATGAAGAGCAGAGGGTCGGTCACGGTTGCATTCCCAACCCGCGAGAGATATACTTGCACGCGGTTGATGACCGCGCGCTGCATTGGCTTCGACCAGAGGTCGAGCATCCTCTGGGCCCAACTGACAGGAAGCGCTGCCCAGATTTCCGACATACCGATCGCGATGTCTGCGAGGGAAACTGTAAGCCAAAGTCGGATGATCGCCGTAACACTCACCTCGCCAGAGCTTGGACACAGAGCTGAGAGACAATATCATCGGTAGTTTCTGCTTGAAGTCTTTGTGCGTATCCACACAGGCGAAATCGAATATTTGCATGACGAGCTCGACCGGCAGGCGCCGGATCGGTGCAAGGAGACCCTGCTGGTGGTCTAGTTTGCGTCGAAGAGCCGCTTTGGTATCGGTGAGACGAGAGACTCTGTCCAAGAGGGCGACGACTTCTTCGTCAATGGCCGAGATACGTCGACGCGCTTTGGACATCGTGGCCTCTACCTCGGCATTGCACGATGGCCGCCATCCGCTGCGTAAGCTGTCCCAGGCAGAGGTAGAGACCTCAAGAGTGTCGCGGCATCGAGCGCATGAGCCGGCTAGGAAGCTTTCGTCGCGGTCCATGATGGGAAGAGGAAAGAAACGAAACGACTGAAGCGGCGATCGGGCCGCTTACGCTGATACGCGATCACATGACAGCCACGCGTACTTACGCACGTTTCTCCCGGTGACAATGCAACTGCCTTTAGGTGATCGATCGTTCAAAGCAGACCTGTCTACATGAGTCGTGTATCCCAAGTGCCAGAGCATAACATTCCACAGGATGATCAGCAATGCATAAGACCATGCATCAAGTAATTTCGTAGTAGCCTGTAATGGACCTACGAGCATTGTCCCGGACGACCACACCTAACCGACTTTACCGTTCAGCCAGGTCCAGATCTCCGTTCACGTCGAGAGTGGCCAACGGCGCATTTTTACGCGCACGTTCTGCGCCCATCTCGGCGATGATGTCGCGAGGTCCCTTGTCAAGCTTGACACCTTTCAGGATCAGCCGTCGCAAGGCAGGCAGCACCTCCGTCGCGCGTAGCGAGGTCACGGAGGACGGCACAAGAGGCACGTTCTCCGCGCCGGATATGCTGAGGTTAACGATGCTCGAAGGGGCCTCCCGGGAGAGTACGTATTCCTGCTCGAGCTTCGACGAGTTCTTCAGCAACAACGTACGCACTCCGTTCGAGCGCGCGAGGAATTTTGCAAGGGGGCAGGAACTTGGAGAACGGGCAACACCATCCTTCGGTGTGTTGACGGGCCAGTCCACCCAATTGACGAAGAGTCTGCCGAGTTTTGGCGTCGTGAGATGGTCGAACAGCCATTTGTGCTGCCAGTCGCAGATGTCGTCCGAATCGACACGCAGTACTTGCAGCTGCTCTAGCCTGAGGTGCGATGTCGTGGGAGAGCTGGGACCGTCCAAGGAATCGTCATCGTATTCTCGATGCCTCCAACTCCTCAGATTTGGACACTTTGCGACAATGGCATCCAAGGCGTAGGCATTCGTCATGGTTTTTGTGCTGAGAACATGGATCTGGGACCACGGCAGCTGAAGTTTGTGCTCCTGGGGTAGTTCGCGTACGTTCGTAAGATGGAGTCGGCTGAGACGAGGTACACGCATGAAGACGCAATGTTCATCTGGTCCGGAAGATGAAAGAGCGCGAACGTCGCCAAACACTGTTACCAGACGCGGTAATGAGCGATTACCGAATATCTCGAAGAAGCCACACTCTCGTATGTGGAGAGCCCGAATTGCATCACTGTTAACCATGGCTTCCTTGAAGAGCTCGAGAGCAGATGCGGGTCGAGTAGTGAAGACCAAAGAATCGCTCAGGGTTGCGTTGCCGATTCGGGATAGGTATATTCGTGCGCGGCTTACGGCCGAGCCTTGTCGGGGTACGGACCAGCGACGGAGTGCGCCCTGGATCGAATTGAGAGGAAGTGCAGCCCATATCCTTGACATGCTAATTGCGATGTCTACGTCTGATAGTGAGCTAACGTCGTCGCCACAGGGGGTCATACTCACCTCGCCAAACCTTGGTCACTGAGCTGACGGACAATATCGTTGGCCACCTCTGCATAAAGTCCTTCGCATCTTGACTCGCGAAGCGAAAGATTTCCATCACGATCTCGACCGGCAAGCGACGAATGGGTGCAAGCAGGGCTTGATGAGCGTCCAAGTTGCGCTGCAGTGCCGCTTTGACATCGCCAAGACGCGCGAGCCTGACCGAAAGGGCAGCGAGCTCTTCATCAACGGCCAATATGCGTCGACGTGTGTCGGACACGGTTGCTCGGAAGGTCTCTACCTCGACGTGCGACGATGGCAGCCATCCACTGCGTAACTGTGTCCACACGGAGGGAGGGGTCTCAACAGAGTCAGGGAGCGGACGAAGGCAGCGAGCGCATAGAGTCGAGTGGGCCTTGGTGTGGTCCATGATGGTAAGAAGACATAGCCGAAACGCGAACTGGTGATCGGGCCATTCGCCACATAAACGCGATCACATGACAGGCCGGACTCAAGGCATTACGGCAATTCCGAGGCGCCACAAGGCCGTTCCTCGTCACGTCCGCATATTCCAAGATATATGTTATGCATCCCTCGCTGTTCTTCCGAAATCTCCCGCGCTGGTTGAGCTTCAATACCTTGTTGACGCGTCCCTGACTGTTGACAAGACGCGTGATGTCACACCGCGACGGTCACCTCCCCCCTGCGTATAAATTCCCCGCGCACTGATAAGCTTTTCCCTCCCACCATAGACGCAAGAAACTTTGATCGTTCTCACCAGCCCTTACTTGCCTCGTATAGCTTGATATTCGAGTCCCCTCATCATCCACGATGCCCCCCAGAGCAGCGAAGCGCAAGTCCGACGTCGTGGACTCCGACTCCGATTACGACGGCATCGAGGTCGTAGAGGAAGCCGCAGCCCCTCCTGCGAAGAAGAGGGCGCGCAAGACGAAGGAGAAGGACGCGGAAGACGGTGGGGACAAGCCCAAGCGCTGGCAGGACGTGAAGCTGGAGGGCGAGGATGTACGTGGATACGGCTTGTTGACGCGTCAAGCTCCACGGCTAACGCGTATCATTGCAGGAGGACATGGTCCCCGTGTACGACGACTGCGCTGAGGTGCGCCGCAAGATCAGGCTGCTCGAGAAGACTCCCGGTTTCGTGGTGCGTATCCGTGGTCCCCTTAAGCGCGTAAGGATCCGAGCTCACGGAGTTCAGAGGGCCCAATGGCTGAGGGAGATTGGTAACGTCAACAGCAACTCATTCGGCCGCTTCAGTGAGTATCGTATGCACTTCGCCCTCAACTTGACTGACGCACCGCTCCTAGTGGCCTCGAAGGAGCGCGACGCCGGTGGAGGCAACTCGACTTACCCCAAAGGTACGTCCTAGCACGCATTTCTTGGTGTTCTTCGTTGACATGCGACCTTCCTTGACAGCCTACATCGTACGTGGACCTTGAGGCAGAATTTGTCTAAACTCACCGTGTTGCGCAGTACTTCGAGAAGATGCGCATCCTGGAGGGGAAGAAGAAGACCGCGAGCCGCCTCCGCAACGAGGAGACGCATCCCAACGGCTTCCCTCTCGAGAACCGCCGCACCCACATGTGGGTCTTCACTGGCAAGCCTGGTCCGAGTCGCCGTCGCCGCTGAGCGCGTCGACCATCTTGCTATATCCGCTTGCTTCTTGCTTTATGGTCGACCGTACGCTGCTAAGTTCCTTGCGCGTATAATCCTGTCCCATTACCTGTACTACTACCCATCGACTAATGCTATGTCGCCTGCGCCTTATTGCTCTGCCACGCCTCTATCCACTGGATGATGCGCGAGACGTTCGACTCCATGTCATCCGTGGTCTCGCTCTGCAGCTCGACGACGATCTCTGGCGGGTATGAGTCGCGCGCTTCTTGGAGCACGGTCTGCATGATTTCGGCCTCATTGTTCTCTTGAATCTTCTTGAGGGGGTAATTTCTGGGAAGGTGGTTAGTACGGAGAGCGGGGGAGTGAGAGGAGAGTGGGGGTGGGGAGAGGAGACGCAAGGAAAGATATCGCGACGCACCGCTTTTCCAACCGTTCCCAAAGCTTGGAGTGGTCGCAAGTGAGGACGACTACGAGGTCTGCCCATCGCTCTGGATACGCTTCGCAGGAATGCCAGTCAAGAATGACCCCGCCCTCTGCGACGATGGGTTCGAGCGCGTCCAGTAACTGGAGGAGGCACACGTTCAACATGGTACTCCGTGAACATAGCAGGGCAACGCACCCGATCCTCGTCCGGCAGGTAACTCTGCCACTCCTCATCGTACTCCTCATACAAGTTGTTCTCCTTCACAAAGTCCCCGACATTGATGTGCTTGAGCGGTACGGGGGATTCTTGCGCGAGGAGCTGGGATGTTGTAGTTTTGCCGGTCCCTGGAGTGCCAGTGATAACGATGACAGGTCCCTTGCTTGATGTTGCGGCCATGTATCGAATGTTGAAGGGCGTCCGAGGGGGTGTCAAGGATGTGAGGGGGAAGGATATAGCCAGTCAAGATGATGAGGGCGGGAAAGTGAGGGGAAGTGATCGGGCTGATCTGATCGGTCGGTATAATGAGATCTTGCCTTTTCGGGGGTTCATTGTACTTTGGGTCTTCGCCATTGTTCATTTCTGAACATCGCCACCATTACAGCTGTTTGCATAAATGATGGCTGATCCGCACGTTCGAAAAAAAAATGAACTTAAATCGAAAATTCGACTCGGTTGCCCAAAGTGCCGCCAGACACGGTCAATCATTCACATACATGATGTAATCCCCTGACCTATGCAGAGGCCGAGCATAGAGCAGGCGGAATTGAGCTTGGACGCCGCGCGCTCGTGTGGCGGGCGACTTCCGGGGTATCGGACCGGATTTTTTCTTTAAGTTCAATGTTTTTGGTCGACGTGCGGATCAGCCATCATTTATGCAAACGGCTGTAAGAAGAGTTTCTCTGTATACTTACAGCTAGCGGGCTGCTCTCCGATAACTTTCCGCTTGACCTTCCCCACCTCTAAATTGCCTTGATTACGCGGAACAATAGCCTGGCAACGAGTTCACTTCTCAACAACGGCCCGTCACAACGGGACCGGTGCCTGCCGACAAGCGACATCAGCGAGCGACATTTCCCCACCGAAGTGCCTGAGCCTCCCTCTTGAGCTCGTCACGGTCGAGCCCTGGCGGCTCTCACATCTTTCCCTCGTTTCCCTTTACTCGACTGCACCGACCGCCGCGAATCACTCCTTTTCGCGCCCGGGCACAGCGATGCAGGCTCATCGTGTTCTCGAGGCTCATTGCGTTCCCAAGGCGCATCGCGTTCCCATGCTCCTGCTGCGCACGCTGCTGGGGCTGCTGCTGCTAAGCCTGGCCAGCCCGGCCGCGGCCTTCTCGCAGCTTGTGAACGGACAGAGCTTCACGTTCGGCCTGTCGATCATAGACGCTCCTTTCCCTAACAGGTATGTGGATTATACCCTGAGTTGTGAAGTACGACTGACGAACGTTCTACCGTCCCATCGCCTATTCTCTTTGGACCAACCCTATGATCGTCAACACAGTCCCTACACAGTCGGCAGCCAACTCCCCATCGCCATTGAGGTTCGCGTCCCCTCCATGATCCTCTCATCCTCATCCGCACCGCACAATCCCCGTATCCTCACATCAGACATTGACCTTACCGTAAGTAGGTCTCGGGCAATGGTCGCATCCCCCTCGACGGCACCTTCCCCGGCTCCGACCAGCCCACTCGCTTCGACCTCCTCGAGATCTACATGGTATCCGCGGAAACAGGAATGAACTATACCGTGTCCAGCGGACCTGGCCTGCTGGAGAACGAGGACGGCAGCGTGCGCCACCTGAACTGGCCGATCCCTACGTGCACGAAGGGCGGGAACTATAATGTGCGTGGTGCAACCGGATATGCGTATACAAGGGGCTAATGATGAACGGCTATGATAGCTCACGTTCTACGAGTCGTCGCACGTCAATGACACAGCGTACTTCATTATCACGCCCATCGGCGTGACTATCAACGAGGGGGATAAGCACTCGGACAGTGAGTACCTCCAGGCCACGGCTAGTCAAATGGTTGATTGACCCCGCGCAGGCGACGACGAGAAGTGCAAGGCCATGACGAACGATCTGCAGCCTCAGCCGCAGGACGATGCGCCACTGCCACAGATCCCCTTCCTGCCGGACGATCCTATGCCTATCGAGACGAAGGTTCCCGACTCGACGAGAGCTCAGGTGCGTTGCGATGTCGTCCTCGATAAGTCCCGGACTGTGCTCCCCTGTTCCGGACTGTGCCCCCTCAGTAGCGCCGTGGCTTATGAAGTGATTGGCCGAAGTCGCAATACTGGTATTTACTCTCCCACAGCCCACACCGACCATCTACACCGTCACCGTCGTCGAGTCAGGCGCGACCATCACCTTCCCGACCGTGACGGAGACTCCGATGCCCGTCACGGTCGTCGTCGTGCAGGAAACTACGATCACGACGACGCAGAATGGCGAGCCGGTGACCTCGACGTGCGTATTCTATGGCATGCTTCTCTCTGCATTCGTCTCGAGGCCTCTAGTGATGCGCCCACACCTCCCTCGATGCTGACTTCCCTCCCCAGGGTCACCGCGATGTATACCACAACCGGCATGGCGGGCGACGGCGGAGACCTTGAGGGCTTCTTCCCGGTCAATGGCGCGCTAGGTGATGTACGAACATGGACAGGCTGGAGCGGTTCGGTGTGTATGGCTATACTTGTAGGAGCGCTACTCACTGTTTGAAATCGTATGGACGCTCGCCTTACACATTATCTTTGACCCCCAGGTCGTGTTCGTCCAGGGCGACGCTTCAGTTAGTGCGGATGAGGATCAACGTCGTATTCCACTCAGGCAATTTCAACCGAGTGCAAGCCAAGGATCACAAGAACACAAGTTACAGCTCAGATCAGGCTAAGAGCGGACGTTGAGTACGCGGGCCCATGCAACTTCAAGTCTTCGACTTTTTGGGTCGTCCACCAGTTCCCCGCGTCACCCCTTTCAGCCTCGGTGTCCAAGGTACCCCCTTGCAGTCGGTAATCTTCACGCCATGCTCCAGCAAGCGCTCGGCGACCTTGACAACCTTGCTCTTCTTGATCTCGCGCCTAACGAAGTGATCCAGCATGAGACGGTTAAGGATGACAGTCGGACGGACGCACTCAGTGGCGGGCCAGGAGAGAAAAGTAAAGTTGATTTCTTGCAGGGCGGGGTACAGCGAATAGTCCAGACCTTCGAAGAAATCCGTGCAAACATCGTGACTTAGTGTGTGTCAGTGCGTAGGTAGGATATTGCGGAACGAACGGGACGCACTGTGCTCGATTCGCACAGATGATCTTCGCAAGCTTGCGATGTGGCGTCCGGCTGCCGGCGGTCGTTGAGAACTACGATCATGTCAGAGGAGTGGCGACGAGTAAAGTAGGCCCGCACAGTCATGATATAACCATTCAGTCGCAGTAAGGTCGCATTAGGGCAAAACGAGACTACGCGCGCATCGAATATGCCATGAAGCTCAAGCTCCTGGACCCGGCCCCCGATTGCCTCCACGAGAAGCCTTCGAGCTCTCTGCTCGGAAGGGTCTCCCCGTAAGTCCACTGTAATTTTGCGCAAGTTATCGAAGCTGCTTGCGATTCAGCGTCGACTCTGTAGTACTCATGGACGCTGTAAGCTTACCGCATCTTTCGAGCGACCTTTATAAACGATTCTCCGCAATGGGTTACGTCGAGCATTGTTAGCGCGGGCATAGACGCGTTCCTTGGCATCTTCTGAACATCGAAATCGGCCGAAGACCTGAACCGGAGGGTATGCAGACGGGTGAAGCGCGCAAGGGGAGAGAGATCAAAAGCTCCTGTCCCCGAGAACTCGACACCCACGAGTTCACGCAGAGTAGACTGGCTAGCATCTGCTAGCTGTGCGAGCTCGCTTGAATGAATAGGAAGACTGCCCCATCCGCCTTTGAGACGTTCGAGGTTTTTGAGACGACGCAAAATGGGACCCAGCTCCATTGGACTTTCCACATCTTCATCTGTCTCATCGTCATCGTCGTCGATTTCGCAGATCACCAGCGTCTTGACATAGTCGGCATGCTCTGGAAACGCCTGTAGATGGCATGCAAATTTTCGAATTCGGTCCTGGCCATACAGGCGCACTTCCTCATACACCACTGGAAGCCCGGCATTCTGACGTTTATTGTCAGCTACAGTTTCCCAGGCGCACCAAGCACTCACATAGAATGCCTTGCAGACAAGCAGCAGATTGCGTTTTGTCTCCCCTGACACATCGCCATAGCTAGACGCGTATATGTGCATGACATATCTCAAAATTTGGGCCCATATCTTGTCAGCGACGTCGTTCGGAGCTGATGCTAGGGGCCTGAAGAACGGATCCGCAGGCATGGCAGCCAGTCGTCGCCGTTCAGGTTTTGCGCAGCCGCTATATAGTTTCGCCGGTCAGCGTCAGACGACACGATCGAGGAGCAACGCTTACTACCTTCCCCCATCATCCTCAAGTTTCCGCTTCAACTTCAGCTTCTCACGCACGTGCGCAGGCTGTTGCTCTAACTGCTTCTGCAAGGTGCCCCATGCATAAGTGCCCCATGCATAGGTGCCCCATGCAGAGCTGGAACCATCGAATGCAAGTATGACCTCCTGCACAGAGGCTATATCACAAAAAGTACGGTGGGTGTGGGTTATGATTGATGCTGCCTGTAACAAGACGATTTCGACGCTCTTCGACCCCGTCCGAAGAGCTTTGGCGAGCTCGTGGAGGTATTCTTCGCGGAGGTATCGACAATCGATGCTACGCTGCATGAAGTCATTAGACATCGACAAGCGATAGCACCATATCCACTAACCAGTTTATCCCAAGTGGGAACCGCGGTGAACAAAGCTGCAAGGAGCTTCGCCATGTTGCTGTTCACCTTCGCGCGAACTTCGGGAGAGTGCAGGAACACAAGAGTCGTTGGATTCAGGAGACTGAGGCAGGACACAATTCCGCTGGCGCTGTCGTCGCTGTACAGAACTGTCGTCAGACAGACGTCCGTGAGGTTTGGCCCGCACTTCTCCAGAATCTGTTGCATGCAAGGTCCGAAGCCACCCTCGACCCGCAGCTTTCTGACCCAGCGTGCGAGGTCTGGATTGGACTTGAAGGCCGCTGCCAATGCTCGAGCCTGAGCCTTCGAGCGAAGGATGACATCGTGGTAGAGAAGTGGCGTGCCGACGCGACACCAGTTCTTGCTGACGAGCAGCAGCGACGAGGTCTTGTAGTTGTTCACATAAGTGGAGAAAGGCGAGCGGCCTGAGGGGTTGCGAAAGAGAGCGTCAGGAATAGCGAAAGCTGGCTCGAGGATCTCTTTGAGCAATTCATCTGGCAGTTCGGACATGGTGGGAGGGAGGAGGTGGCGTTCCGGCCACCGGTGGCACCAACGCTTTTTCGGAATATCGGTGCGGGGGTCCGATTGTGGGCCGGCCGCGCGTTCGACTGCGACTTGCTGGGCAGAAATGGTGCATGATTCAGTGCGCTTGTACATTCGCTTGGACTATAGGTAAAACTCAACGACAACTACTGCGTACATGGTTTGCAAATAAGAAAGAAAGATGAATGCAGCGAGTCCCAACAACCAACATCTAACCTAGAGAGCCTAAAACCTTCATCGCAAGGGCACGCAGAATCTCAGCCTTCTGCTGACCACCGAGCTGACCAAATACAGCGGCGACGCTCTTGCCCTTGGCGTCTCGAATGGCGCCTAGTCGATTGCCCGCAACGGCGCCGAGACCCATACCAGGAAGGTTGGCGACGATGAAGCCAATACCGCCCCCGCAGACGGTGCCTACGTAGGTCCACCATGGTACTCTCTTCTGAACCTCCGGACGCAGAAGCTGTGACGGTGTCAGGCGACTTCTTGTGAGAACGCGGGGCGACGCACCTCCTCGAACACGTCCGCAAAGGTGCCCTCTGCGTCTGGCCGCTCTGGCTGTGGAGCCGCACGCTCAGAGCCTCCGCCAAACATATTCGAAAACTGAGCGAAGAAGTTGTTCGACGAGGATGGGTCCTCCGTCTTCTCGTCGAATGATCGTGACGAGTACAGCGCGTCGTACTCCCTGCGGCGTGACGCGTCGGACAACACGTAGTATGCGTCTGCAACTGCTTGGAAGCGCTCTGTTGCACGCCTCCTCTCCGTGTCCGTTGCATTCGCCAAGCGGTCTGGGTGAGTCCTACGGATGCATGGTCAGAAAGGTCGGGAGAGGGGAATGTTGACACGTACTTCAAAGACTCCTTCTTGTACGCTTGTCTTATCTCATCTGCTGTAGCAGACTTCTGTATGTTCAGGATCCTGTAGTAATCGGGGAAAGAGGTCATGGTGGTTGGGAAGAAGATGGGCGTTGTCGAGCAAGGAGCGACGCCCCTTGGCCACGGTGGCGCGCAGCCAGGCACTGACGTCACGCAAAGGCCGGTCCGACGACCCGTACACGTGCGCACGGGATTAAACAGGCTATGCCCGGCCATTATTTCTGAACTGAACCATCACCATCGGTATCGTGCACGGAATGTACTGCAATCCTCCTTACTCATCTATCCTCGCGCAACCGCCTTTTCGTAAAACGGATGGTGCGCGATCATGCATGCGAACAATTACACCCGCGAGACCTCCGTCAAGCTTTTCTGGTTCACGTACTTCAGGCCCCTAGTCACGAACGTGTCTCTTCTCAATATATGGAAGTGATATCCTCTGTGCTCTCCCCTACCAGCATCGTCCAGGTCGACCGTCTGCAAAGATGAACACACAGCACGTGAGATGCACGTGAGAGTCACGCAAATGGCTGTTGAATTCTTGTGTCTGAGGCCTGGGAAAGCTCTGTCTTTATCGCCAAAGCGTCGTCTCCATTCATGACTTTCCAGCAACTACCACCAAGAAACTCATTCGATGTGTAATTTACAATAGTTTTTTCAAGCCTTCCCTTGAGGTCATCGGACCTCGGGCCGTAATGACATGCACGATGCATGATCGGGCTTCCGTACCTCTTGCATTCACCCGTCTTCTCAACGCCTTCCCGACAATTCTCACTTACCTCACTCGGGACCCAAGGGAAACACGTCGGAGGACGAATCCCATGGACGAAAGCGCGAGCAAACGACGCGCGTCCAGCGTCCCCGCTCCGCGGAGCAAGCGGAAGCTTTCCCTCGTACTCGGTGAGCGCTAGCGAGCACGGATCCTCCCGAGGTATCTAATCTTCCCGCATAGACTATGTCGAGGTCCCCCCTCTACCAGCGCGAAAGCGGCAGAGTGCGTAGGTCTTCGCTAGCTCGTGGTGCACGACTGAGCGATCGTCTGCAGAATATGAGGCGGCGGCCTCTGTAGAGCCCAGGCAGACGAGATCGAGGACAGAAAAGTCGCCTGCGAGGGCTGCGAAGAACAATGGGGCAACGGGCAGAGTGTCGACTCCGTCAAAAGCCGCGTCAAGAAATGTGGAGAAGGACGTGCAGAGACCGCCCCCAAAGCGCGGGCGGCGTGCATGTGAGTGATCACCCCTTACCTCCATGAACGCCGTCTGAACGACTCCGCGCTACGCATAGCCGTATCCGGCCCCGCACCTAACACTCGCCTTGCGCAACTCGACATCGCTCCCAAACCAAAGTGCCTCCCACCACGCAGTCGATTCCAGAGCGTCAGTCCATTGGATAAACAACCTTCCTTATGTGCGGCGTCCAGTCTCCAAGGGGCTGTGGAGACCATTTCTCCAGATACAGCAGAGGGCGCCCAATCCGATCAAGAACGAGAACAGAACGCCAGCGATAACCTGGAATCGAGGGGAAGCCGATTCTCACCTGAATCGACCAGTGCAGCGGCTGAACAGCAAGAACCAGCTATACACGAAGACGAAGGGATCGAAACTACGAACCAACCATCGATGACTTCCCCCCGCATATCTCTGGCTGCGCAGATTGACTTGACGCCTACGCAAGACACGAGCTTGACCGAGGACGATGAGCGGCTTTGTGGGACATCCGCCGGCCCAGACCCTGACGGCGCACCCCCACCTACTGACCAGGAGATTGCCCGTCTGCCTCCACCGCCTGTCCTGCCTCCGACTCCCCCTGCAAGCAGTCATGCCGAGTACCCGCGAACTCAGCCGCCGGCCCCTGCGTCACTCGCACCAATCCCCATGAACCCTGCGGTCGCACAATATCCTTCGATTGCACATATTCCCAGGGTCCCGCTACCTCCACCGCTCGAGGAATACGTGCCATCACGCCCGTCGAAAGCAAAGACGCGCACCCCTGCTCGTCCTTTGCAGAAGGCCAAAACGGAAAGCAGCCTCGACAGCGTCCACCTGAACGACTTCGCGCTCGACTTTGCAATGCTCCTCCCCGAATATGACGGCTTCCTCACCTCCGGTGCGCGGCATATCATCCATCGTGAGCATTCGCGTGCCATTCTCTCTCTTCGCTCGCTCATCTTCGCCCCAGACATGCACCACACCCTCGCGCTCGAATCCATCGCCCGCCGGCGGCTCGAAGACCAGCTCTCGACCGAGATCTCCCTTCGCTGCGCCGTCGAGCGCGAGGCCGAGCGCCTGCGCGCCGAGCTGGCGGAGCTGCAGGAGGAGGCGGAGGAGCGGAGGGCGCGCAAGCAGGCGAGGCGCGAGCGGAGGGCGGCCGGAATTGCTGCGTCCCAGAGGTCAGAGGCGACGTCGGAGGGGTGAGAACGTCCCAGGGGTGAAATGGAGGAGGCGGGAGCCGATGGAGGACTTGGTGAAGATGGCCGATGCTTCCTGGACAACCTACCTCCACATTTCTTGATGACATACTTACGAATCTTGGACGCCCCACACTACTACCACATCGCATCGCATTTCTTGCACCTTATATCATCGCAAATCAAGCACCAACAACCACCTCCTTCTCCCAATTCTTTCTACCCCAAACGTACCGTACGACAACGACGAGAACAAGACATTACACCGAGCAGGTAGGTACAGTAAAGACGGCGGCGCATAGAGGCCCGTCGACAGGATTGACGCGAGACGTAGCGCGTCCACATGATGAATGCGAAACGTAGCGCGTCGACAACGATGAACACAATATGTATGTATGCAATAAGTTTGTCTGGATGCATGGATGAATGGCAGAAGCAGTGTTCCGTATGTATGTGCGCGTCGTCGCAAGAGGGCGGCGCAGGTTATGTGTATGTAGGTATGGATGCGATGCAACCCGGTACGTCCGCGTAAGATGCAAGCGGCGGGCTCATGAGATGCAAGCGACGGGCTCATATGAGATGCAAGCGACGGCTCGTATGATATGCAGACGATGGGCTCGCATGAGATGCAAGCAAGCAAACAAGCAATTTTCCGGTGATACAGGGCACGAAACACGGGATCGCCGAAGTGAATGAGAAACTGGGAGCAGTATCCTTTTCCGGGCAGTGTCTATCCACGCCAAATGTTTTCCACAGATCAGAGACCAGGGCAGGGAGCAGTGGCGCATGCGTGCAACCACCTTCACCTAGAGCGAGAAAGTTGGTACAAGGGAGAGCGGGGGGAGGCATTGCTCTCAGTGCGCGCGTTCGGCTACAGGGGGCACGTCCACCCTAGGAAGCGCCCACACATCCCTACGAGGCGGGCTCACCCCCAGTAGCTGTCACCGTAGGGATCGCGCTCGCCCTCAGAGATATCGCGCAGCGCCGCGTAGTCCGCGACGCCGATGCCGTGCTCCATGGCGAGTGTGAGCGCGGCCAGCGCCTTCTCCGAGCGCGTGGAGGGGAGGGGCTGACATTCGACGGGCGGGGACGATCGGATCGACGACGCTGAGGAGCGGAGGGATGGCGTAGAAGATCGCAGCGACGAGGACGCCGATGAGTCCGTCTCGCCGTCCGCGCTAGGCAGTCCGGGCATCGTCTCCGCATTATATAGACCAGGGAGGGTCGAGCACGCCGTGCCGACGTCGATTTCGATATCGTCGTCCTCTTCGTCGGATGGAAAGGCGGACGACGAGTCGCACGAGGGCGCGGCCGGCGAGGAGTATCCGCTGCTCCTCTCCGGGAATGTGCCACTGGGAGAAGCGGCGCGCATGCGCTTGCGCCGCGGGTTTCCGCCGAACGGGTCCGCTCTCTCGCCGCTGGATACATACACGTCGTCGTCATCGTCGTCAGAGGGATCCGCAGAGAAGGTATGACGCGACGAGGAATGGCAGGCGCGTTTGCGTCCGCGGTGACGGGGCTCGACGACGGGCGATGTGTTGAGAGAAGGGAGCGCACGCAGCTGCTCGAGCTCGCGCATGCGCTGCACAAAGCGCTCGTTGCTCTCGGCGACACTGCGGTGGAGGTCGGAGTATGCCTCGGATCGGAGGCGGCTAAGATCCGGCTCGCTGAGCATCTCGCACTCGCTGTCCATGGACACCGACCCATTCGTGCGCGTGCGCGATCGCGCCGCCGACGATCCTCCCAGCTGGAAGTCGGCAGCTGAAGTCGCTAGCGAGGGCCTAATAAAGCGCCCGGACGATGCTGGCGATGGAGGCGGGGCTCCCGAGTCTGGGGTCGGGCTCTGAAGTGGAAATCAGTACATCCCGCCAGTGGGAGGGAGCAGGGGACGTACCGGGAGGCCCTGCTTGCGCTTTGTCCCCTTGCGCCACGAGTTCACGTTCCACTTGCCCGATACCATGGATGCACGGTCGAATCGCCCTGGCGCCAGCGATGGCTGCTCGGCATTTTTGTGTGCAGCGAGATGGCCAGATGGCGAGGCCGATTGGGATCTCCTGCGAGAGCTTTCGGCGAATAGCAGTGAATCCATCGATGCGAACAGATCTCGACGGTAGTGGGATCTTTGCGACAAGTGCAGCGGCGAAGGCAAGAAGCAAGGGAAAGCGCGACTCTTATGGGAAGAGGCAAGCTACCGAATGTCACTGCTTCGTGACATAAGTTTGTCATTTCACGTGCGCTAATGTGGGGCTCCGAGCTTGATTGCTGTTTCCCCGCCATGTTTTGCGCCTGGATATTCGGCCTCGTCTCACCTGGGTCTCGCCAATTCACCTTAGCGCTTGAATCTACCGATCCGGTCTGCGCCGTCGTATGCGGCAGTTGGCACGCGTCAACGTCTGTCACACGCGCTCAACAATGATCATTCCACGATCACGGGATCGTGTTATGTGGTCACGCGCGGTTGAACTTCAGGATGAGAGCGGGTAAGCGCTTAGATCTGGCTGGAGGATCCAGTCAACACGTCCTTGGGTATAGTACAAAAATAGTCTATCTACGATGTGTGCCTACCAATACTATTGCTCAGCGATACTTTCTCGCCATCTCCAGCATTACAGTAGTCAGTTCATCTATTGTTTCGTGCCACTAAACGCGCGGACCGACGAAGCGCCTGCCGGCCGCTTTCCGCTTGGTGGACCTTTGTCCGCTTATGCGTTTGGAGCGGGGTGTCAGGCGGGGCCCTAGTCCGCAAGCGCTTCGGGCGACGTGGCAAAGCCGCTTCCTCATCTGGCGCTTTGCGCTTGGTCGTCCTCGGCTGATGGTTGTCCTGCTCATCCCGATCCTCGTCTTGCTCTTCCTCGTCAACGTTCATAGCCTCGCATGCGGAGCCCTCGGAAGGCGTTATGTCAGGCTCTGCAAATATTTTGCCCGTGCAAAGGTCGACTCGCCCGAGCGGCACGAAGGCGTCCTGACCCTCGACGTCGGCGTAGTACCGCGATATCGTCTGGAAGACCGCACGCACGTCGTCGTAGATCTTCGCATGCTCGTCGAACAGTTCCTTCGGCATGCGCTTCTGAGCACCATCGTCGTCGAACTGATAACCATCATAGTCAATCCGCTTCTCCACGGCCTCATGGACGCCCGTGAGATCGATGAGGAGGCTCGGAAGTCTGGTCAGAGGGGAGTCGTCACCATGAATTTTGCGAAGCAGCGACTCGACCTCCTTCCATGAGGGAGCCTTCAACAGAAACATGGTCCGTTCCCATGTCGCTGGCGTCGAATGGGGGAACAGATCATTGCATCGGCGCTCCAACGACACCAACGTCGAGGAGGGGTCCTCACAAAACTTCGTCGAGAGCAATCGGCGAGGCACGTAGCACATAGCGAACTCGAGGGCCATCCAGAGGGTAGACTCGAGATCATGGAGAGGGTTTTGCACGAAATACGTGTCGGCCAGCTTGATCTTCTTGCTTCCCTGTGTGAACATGTGCCTGTCATTCAGTGCTTCGAAGGCCATGTATCTCATTGTTCCCTGTTTTGTTGCAATGAGTACATGGAGCATAGCGAGCGATGGGGGATGTATGGCGCACCGCTACAAACTCCTGCGGAGAGATCTTGGAGTATTCTCGACACCACTCGAGGTCAGCGAGATGCGCCATGTAGCGCTCACACAAGGGCCCGGTGGACGTCTCAGAGAGGCGTCGTACCATGATATTGCCTGGGCTGATATCGCGATGCATCCAGCCGATGCGACGGAACCAATCGAGCACTGCGAGCCATCAGCCTTTGCGATTGTTGCCAGAGAGTGAAGACAAGTACCAAATACGGCCTTGTCGAGGGCGAAAAAGAAGACCGCAGGATCGCGAATCTTGTACAGATCGACACAGACATGTCGGAAGAGTGTTCGACGGTGCTTGCGACCCAGTAGCTTGAGCTCTTCCCTTTCGACGACGCCTTCGGCTTCGATTTGCATGAAATGTCGCGAGACTTCGTCCAGCTCCTCCTTCGACTGTGTACATGCCTGAAGAGCGCGCTTCAAAGCCTGTTGGTCTTCCGTTTCCAGATTGATGCCCTCGTCGTCCAGAAGCCAGCAGTCGCGCAGAACATACACCTGCTTGTCCTCTCTGGAGAATGTGTCGGCTTTGCCCTTCTCCGTCACGCGCTTGACCTTGTAGACACGCAGGGCGCCATGCCCGAGCGACGCGGTGCAGCTCTCATACAATGTGTCGATCGTCTGATACGTGCGGACAGTGTTGTCGCTTTGAGGAATGTCAAACTGGTATTGCCACCGCTTCGTCTTGTCGGCGACGCGGGCGACGGTCTGATCGAAGCCGAGTTGGTGTTCGGTGGCGAAGGAGACGAACAAGATCCATTGGATGAGCTCTTCTTTACTCTGGCGGCCGTCAGTCAACGAAGATGCGCTGGGGAGAAAGCCGCGCACCGTATGAATGTCGAACATCTCGGTGACGACCGAGAGCGAACGAGAGTGGCACCAGAGGCGCGCCTGCGTGCCCTCGATGGTGATCGCAAAGTGGAACTTCCGACGGATGTCGGCGTAGAGATACTGTCCCGCAGCGGCGCAGGTCTTGTACTGTAGTTTCCGAACGTCAGGATCAAAGAGGCCCACCATCGTTTCCCCCACTCACGCTTGGGTCGAGGTACGTGCTTCCGCACTTGGCTTTGATCTGCCATGAAGACACCACGTCGGCCGTGTTGATGAGGCGCTTGTGCCTCCGAGATTGAATGCGGTTGCAACAGGCATTGCCCGAGCGAGCGCCGGGCACGTACGTGGACTCACGTAGATGGTGAAGGGCATCAACATGAAAGGACTCGGGGTCATGGGTACCGGCGCCGGGTACCTCGCGCAACTCCTCATACTGAGATCGGCTTTCGAACAGAGTCGTCCTTTTGTCCGTTGAGAAGCGACCGGAGGGGCATGTAGCAGCGGCCTTGAGCACAGCATTGACGACCTTGACGAGAGAAGTCTTGTATGCGCTATCGGCCATGAGCCCCTCTTGTGGCTTCAGACTGCTCCATTTCCCGCATTTTATATGACCTTCACTTCTCAGGCGCTTGAGTATGTCCCTCATGTCTCGAGAGGAGACGCGTTGGTAGCCAAGAGGTCCGACGTAGGTCTGCCAGAAGTCCTCGACGGAGGTTTCGTGGGTTGGTGTGCGCATGGTGCCGATGTGGTTGTCTTCTGGCTGTGGGGAGAGCGCAAAGGGGAAGCAGAGCAAACAGAGGGCACTGTGGAGGATAGGAAAGGTCTATGAAAGTTGAGGACAAGAACAATGGACGCGCAAGGGCCCGCCGCCCCGGCCCATTTATTGTCTGCGGAAGTCGGCCCGGATGGCGCGCGAGCGGGCCATGCACGATGGCGCGGGATCCCTCTTGGTCTGACAGCAGTTTGAGGACATTCGATGCGATATTTAGGTTGCGTGAGTCTCGAGATCTACAGAAGAGCAGATGCATGCGCCGCCGCGAGGGCGCAGCAATTATTGTCAATGCTCCAGCGCCTGGCTGCAACTCTGTACTGGACCTACAGTCAGCGTAGATAAAGCCAAGGAAGAGCAATGCAATCCTACCCAGGCCCTTGACACGATCTGCCATTCATGCTTCAAAGCTTTGGTACAGCGCATTCAGTTGCATACCGACGGCGAACAAGTTTGGAACAAGCGGTCGAATGTCGCCACTTTCATTGGTCCGGGATCGGAGCGGGCCGACAAGCAATGGCGGACCGCGGGTCCGGGGCTTGTTCCCCAACCATGCGGGGAGATGCAGCGGATGCCGCACCTTCGTCGGCCCCTTCTCTTTCCCAGACTGCTCGCCGCTCCCTGGACTGCTTTTTCGAGGCTGCTTTCTTGAGACCGCTGGCTAGATAGGCTGGCGCGACTGCTTCTTGGATTTCTGCACTTCTTGAATCTTTGCACGAAACGACGACACGACCATCATGAACTGGACGCTAGAGGAAGTGAAGAAACATAACACGCGGGAGTGCGTGTGGATTGCTTCCTTGTGAGGGACGCTGAGCTGACACGTCCCCCTTCCCCTCCCATGCAGGTCGTGCTGGGTGATCATCAAGAATAAGGTCTACGATGTCACCTCCTTCCTAAACGTGCGTCCTACTCCCTCCTCATCAGCCCCCACGTCTCGCCCCTGCCCCTCTCCCGCGTTCGCGTTATACCTTATTGTGCCCCCTCTCCTTCGACCCCTCACACCACCGTCAGGACCACCCCGGTGGCGCCGCCATCATCCTAAAGTACGCCGGCCGCGACGCCACCGCCGCCTACGAGCCCATCCACCCCGCCGACGCCCTCGAGAAGAACCTCCCCGCATCCGCACATCTTGGGCCCGTCAACACCGACGCGGCCAGCACCCTCGAGGCCGCGGTGCGCAACCGCAGGAAGACGAAGGACGAGATCCGGATCGAGGAGGCGCATAAGTATAAACCGGCGCTGAGCCATGTTTTGAGTCTGAGGGATATGGAGGTGAGTGTTCAATCGAGGGTTCCGCGTGAGGGGGATGGTGTGAATATTGATGCTGACACGCGAGCTGTAGGACGTGGCGAAGAAGGTGCTGCCCCATAAGGCGTATGCGTACTATTCGTCGTCTACGGAGGATACTATCTGTGAGTATCAGTCTAGGGGTGCAGCCCTGTCGCTGATGGGGCACTCGCAGCCAAGAACGAGAACGCTCATGCGTTCAGTCGATTCTTTTTCCACGCCCGCGTAATGCGGCCTGTATCTCGATGCGATCCGTCTACGACCATTCTTGGATTCAAGTCGTCGATCCCTGTCTTTGTGAGCGGGGCAGCTATGGCCAAGCTCGCACACCCTGACGGCTAGTAAACTCCTCTGTGCAAACAAAGCTATCCCGCTGATCCTTCTCTGCAGGCGAACTCAACATCACCCGCGGCTGTGCCGCCCAAGGCATCATCCAAATGGTCTCCTCCAACGCCTCCTACTCCTACGCCGAAATCGCACACGCCGCCACCCCCACCCAGCCCCTCTTCTTCCAGCTCTACAAGCACAAGGACGACGCGCTCGCCCTCCAGCGCATCCGCGAGGTCGAGGCGCTCGGGTACAAAGCGCTCTTCCTCACCGTCGACGCCGTCGTGCCCTCCAAGCGCGAGTTCGACATCCGCGCGCCGTGGTATTTGGAGGAGTTGGAGCGGGGCGGGCCGATGGAGTTCGTGGAGGAGCAGGCGGACGCGCTGCAGGGGCAGTCGTTTGGGACGGCGGGTGGGCTGATTGTGAATGATGATAGGGACATGACTTGGGAGAGGACGATTCCGTGGTTGAGGAGCGTGACGAGGTTGCCGATTGTGCTGAAGGGTGAGTTGGGGTGTGATAGGAAAGGCATATCTCAGGCTGATCCTTCTCCGTAGGCATTCAGTGTGTAGAGGATGCGCTCCTTGCTGCTGAGGCAGGAGTGGACGGGATCCTGATCTCGAACCACGGTGGCCGGCAGCTAGATTAGTACGTCTCGTAGGCGAGGATTTCGTTTGGTGCCGCCTGCTAACGCACGTCAGTTCCTTGCCTCCCATAGAGGTTCTTTACCGACTACGCAAGCATCACCCGGAAGTATTCGGGAAGATGGAAATATACATTGATGGTGGTATCACTCGCGGTAGCGGTAAGTGCCTGCTACTTCTCAATCCGAGCGTGAGCTGCAGCTGAACATCTCTTCAGACGTGCTCAAAGCGGTTTGCTTGGGTGCGACTGCGGTTGGTCTTGGTCGCCCGTATCTCTATGCGCAAGGGGTAAGTTGATGCTCGTTATTATACTATAGTGAAGCGAGCTCATAACTACTTCTTAGGCGTACGGCGTGGCTGGCGTGAAGAGAATCACCCACATTCTAGAGACGGAAATCGTCACGGCGATGCGTCTTATGGGCGCGTCAAGGATCAAAGACTTGACGCCTGAACTGGTGAGCTATTGCTTTCTCCCTCTTGTCTGCCATCATCTGACGCATGGGTGTCTGCAGGTTGAACGAGTGGACTGGCAGGTCGGCCTTAAGGCTCGGCTCTGATAAGCTGGATGATGACTTGTATGATCTATCTGGAGGATATATGTATATGTGTATAGAGAATGGCTATACAAGCCTATCTTCTGCGACCACATCGTGACGCGACAGGCGGCACGGTCTGAGTATGACGCCACGTGACCGCGAATGTTGGAATCGAAGTTGCGGTGTGCGTCTTTGACTGAGCCACCAGCATTCGTTTTGGTGACCTGTGCACGGACATACTTTCCTCTTTTCTCTCTTTCCTTCTCACGCAACTCATTTCTTCACGACTAACATGGGATTCTGCCGACGATGTGGTGATATAGTAGTTGGGCCTCGCTGCCGCTGCGGAGGAGCACCCGTTGGTGCGTCGCCAATCGTGCCTCTGCTCGCATCTGACATTGCTCGCAGCGCCCTCTGTGCCGTGGAACCAGTCAGACTCGGAGACGGACGTCAAGGATCGATGGTCGCAGACCTATGTGGTCAACCGCGATCGCGCTCAAACGTTACCCTCACGACCTCTCAGCCGTGGCCCTCCTTCCAACCCGTCCCTCAGCTCACAAGCAACTGGAGACCGCGCACCCCAAACCAAACGCTTCCCCAAACCTGCAAACAGCTATGCCTCCTCCAGCGTCAGCCTCGGCGACCGCGTCTCACGCCACATCGCCAACACCACCTCGGAACTGAACAACCGTCCCCCCTCGCCGCTCAAGCATGCCATCACAGGTCCGTCCCCCGAAGCCGATATCCTGCCCTCCATCCACACCCGCGACCCCACGCTCTCCAAGGTCTACGGCTCCGTCCTCCAACCAAAGGAGTCCCTCGCGACGCACTGCTGCTCCGTCTGCTCAGACGCCTTCCTCCCCGACTCCACCATCTACCCCGACCCCTCCGCGCCCAACCCGGACGACCCCACCTTCGTCTGCCGCGACTGCTACACGATGCGCGGCGGGTGCAAGGGCCTGTGCCCCACGTGCAGCAAGGAGGTGCTCACGCTCAAGTCCGAGGGCGGTTTCGTGCACGCGGCGGGCGCGTACTACCACAAGAAGTGCTTCCTGTGCGACGGGTGCGGGAAGAGCATCGGGGACAAGCCGATGGTCGACCTGCTCGGGCGGCCGTGCTGCCCAGACTGCTTCGACACGTGCTTGAAGCGCGAGAGCACGCCGAAGAAGGCGCGCGAGAGCGTGTTGCCGGCGTCACCACCAGCGAAGGTCACCAATCTCGGTGGCCTGAATGCGGACGCTGCGCCAGGGCGAATGTCATTCCCGAAGAGCCGCGAAAGTAGCCCTGCGCTGCAAGAGTTGGAGCAGCGTTTGGGTATCGCATCTCGGCGAGATAGCAACGCGACGCTTGAGGAGCTGTCCCAACGCCTCAACAAGATCGGGCGCGAGAGTCCAACTCGGCCGTCGCGGTACTCGGCCACTGGTAGTGCGGCAGGTAGCCCACGTCTCGCCTCAGGTCGCGTAGGTAGCCCCGCTGTCGAATCACGCTCCCAACCGGACACTCCTCGCCGCCGCTACGACCGCTTGAAGAGCATGGACTTCGACTCCCCCGACGAGAGTCCCATCCGGCGCCAGCGCACGGGGAGCATGGTCACCGACGAGGCCGTCGAGGAGATGAAGCGGCGGTTCATCAAGGCGAATACGCCGGCTGCGTTGGTCGCTACGCTCACGGGCACGGGCAGCCCGGCGATGCCCCCACGAAGCGATGCCATGTCGCCCCCGCGCAGCGAAGCGATGTCGCCCCCGCGCAGCGATGTCATGTCGCCCACGCCCGACCTTATCTCAGACGTATCCGACACGGCGACGTCGACATCTGGCATCGACACGCCCCCGCGGTCGGACTACCGCTCGCTGACATCGGAGAGAGAAGAATCCTCGCTATCCAAGCTACTTGGCTCGGCTTATACCTCGCGGTACAATCGCGACCAGTACACCAACCGCGACCAGTACAACAACCGGGACCAGTACAGCGACGTCCTCGACGATGTTATTGTGGAGGAGACGCGTAGTCAGTTGAACACGCCGAATCGCACGCCACAGCGCGGTACCGCGGCTGCCTCCTTTATTACTTCACCGCGCGCGTCTATCACCTCGCCTCGCGCGTCTATCACATCGCCTCGCGCATCGCTCACCTCCCCAATTACCTCACCCCGCGCCTCGTTGACCTCTCCGCGGAGCTCTATGACTTCGCCGAGCAACTCGTTCTCTTCGCCGAGCAACTCGTTCACTTCGCCGAGCAACTCGTTTACTTCTCCGAGTAACTCGCTCACTTCGCCGATCACCACCAGCACTTCACCAGCGCTACCACCACAGGGCACGTCGACGCCACCCTTGCGCATTCGCAAGTCGGTGGACCGAGGTCTGAGGACGAGTCTTTCGTCGACGTCGCTGAGGTCGTCGTACGCTAGGTCGCAGGTGTCCAGGCCTGCGTCGCCGGAAGAGGAGGAGCGACCGCGTGAAGCTAGGGAGCCACGCGTAGAAGCCAGGGACCCACGGCGAGAAACTAGGGAGGAGCCACCGTGCGAGGCTACGCCGCCTGCGTTGTCTTCCGGGCGCTCAATGTCGTCTGCGCGTTCGATGTCGTCCCTGCGCTCGACGTCGCCACCACGTTCGAAGACGCCCCGGCTGTTCTCCCCCACACCCGACGAAAGCAGGACGACTGATCACAACAAAACTCTCCGAGGTTCCTCGACCTGCGATCGGTGCAAGGGCCCACTGTTCGGTGTCGGGCGGGACGGGCAGTACGTGACGGTGCAGGGGGACGCGGGCAATGCGCCGCGGGTATACCACAGGAAGTGCTTCTTATGTACGGTGTGCGATGAGCCGTTCGTCGAGGCCGGCGATGGGGTTGCGACGTATGTAAGGGGCAAGGATGGGCCGTGTCATGTTGAGGTGCGAGTTGATGCTTGTGTAAAGCTAGGTATGGTGCTGACAGGTTTCCCTAGTGCTCTCCTCCCGAGACAATCCGCATCCGCACTATCCACCCCGAGCCCCTCAAGACCGACATCTTCTCCCACCGCGCATCTCATTCCACGCCACCACCCAACCTGCAGAAGTCCAAGACCGCGCCAGTGCACTCCTCCAGCCGGTACGAAGTCCAGCCGCGCACGGCGCCGTCCACCCAGACCTCCTTCCCGCGCTTCGGCGGCTCGTTGTCGTGCCCGGGGTGCCAGAAGACGGTGTCGCCTATGGAGCGCGGCGTCGTCGCGGGGCCGCAGAACACGAAGTGGCACGGGGCGTGTCTGGTGTGTGGCGGGAAGAAGGAGACGGGCAAGGGCGGCTGGCTGTCGCGCGGGAGGGACGAGAGGAAGAAGGGCGAGCCGGGATGCGGGAAGAAGCTGGATAGTGCGGCGAAGGTGGATGCGAACGGCGGTGTTTGGTGCAGGGAGTGTTCGGTGAGTGGAACTTGGATCAGGTAGTAGCATGATCTTGCTGACCTCACCCCAGCTCCTGCTGAACGCCGCCCTGCGCGCTTCGCCGCAGTCCTCGCCTACGCGCGTGTCGCCGAACGTTCCACTGCCGTCAGGCTCAGGGTCCAGCCCCTTCCCGAAGGTGATCCAGCAGACGACGGGGACGACGACGCTTGCGCGGCAGTTCACGGGTATGGGGGGCGGCAGCGATCCGCTTGCGCGCCAAACGACGGGAGGTGGGGGCACGCTGCCGCCGACGCGGAGCATCAGCCCGACGAAGCAGATGCGCAGTGTAAGCCCTTCGAAGCCGACTGTTGGGCTGCGTCCGAGGCCGAAGAGTGCGCTGGGTATGCGTACGTTGAGGAATAGCAAGAGCGTCGATGAGGGGAGGGGAATGTTTTTGGTGCGACAGTTGACGGGGACGTCTGCGGCGGGGGCGTAAGGACCATGCATGGATTACGGACATCTTACGAACGATATAACGTCGCACATCTGCGTACAAATACTGTAGGGTATAGAACTGTCAAGTGTTGAACTTGAGAGCGCACGTGGTGATACGGACCCGGTCGCCGGGTTCATTGTGGTCGTTACGGGGACCGGGTGGCGGATGATGCTCGTCGCTGAGAAGCGTGACCTCCTCTCTTTCTTTCCCGCCGCTGACGGTGGCTTGCGGGCGCCTCCTTGGGATCCCCCACTCACTCTCCCTCGGCTGGTCTCCCCACCCCCTTCGTTCCCGGGACAGTTCTGCTTGGTGCTGGTCGCGAAGTCAGACTGCCTTACGACCGCCGCCTCGACCGACGTTCCCCCCCCCCCCCTCTTCGCCTTCTTGCATATATTCGTTCTTGATACTGCTCTTCAGCGCTGGCTTCGTCCGTTCACTCCTTATCTTTGCGTATTCGCCTTCTGTTCGCTGTCGCGCTGCAGCTTGTTTCCTTGTCATGTTCGACGTGCTATCCTCGATCTTGCCAGACCTTGACTCGCGAGCTATCAAGACCATCCCTCACAGATTCAGCCTCAGTGATGATGCTGCGGTGCGTAACATACTCAACCGGAATGCGCATGGTGCTTACCTGTTCCCCCAGATCGAGACGGTCCTCACCGAGATCCCACTGTTCTGCGTTGGCATCATGGCATTCGGAGTGTTCACCTTCTTTCTGATCCAGAGGAGGTTCAGCCTGTGCGTCGCAGCGTTATTGTAACTGTACCCCGCTAAACTATCCTTCAGTCTCGCCACCTACCTCTTCCTCTCCTCAGCCTTTGGTTTTGGTGCCGGCATATTCGATCTCAGCCAGGTCCTCGAGCGCGGTGTCAATGAGATGGCCGAGGGCAAAGGCACAGACACCGTCACCGCCCTCCTCAACACGCGCGAGATCTTCCTTGCCATATCCACCGGCCTCCGCTTCATCTTCATGTGGGAGTTCGCTGCGACGCGCCCCCGCTGGGATCCAGTACCGCGGGCTGCGGACAGCATCCAGGCGCTCATGAACCAGCCTCTCATCATGCTGCACAGCGCCAGCTGGGATCGCTGGGGACTGACAGGATATGTCCTCAAGTGGAGTACCCTGGGCATGACCATTGTGATCCCCGTCCTGCAGATCGTCTGGCGCATAACGACGGATCACCCTACCGCGATCTACGTTGCGGAGGGCACACTGGAGATTACTGCCTCGTCTATCTTCATCCTGAAGCTGCTTCTGAATACCGCGTTCGCGCCACCGAACCAGACTGGCACGGCATTTCTGTGGTACATGGTCCCCCTCGCCGCCTTCTTTCTCTTCATGACGATTGGTGTTATCAATCTGATTTACTGTGAGTTACGTTGTTTTGCATATTGACATTGTACTGACGCCAAAGCAGTTGCTTTCACGGAGACTTTGCTTGGTCGCTTCTTGCTGGCTATTGGCATGTACACCCTCATCCTCTACGTCCTCGTCTTCGCCTTCTTCAACAGCTCCTCGCGAAGCCGCCCGGGGTCCATCGCATCCACCCGTCGCAGCAACAGAGACACTGAACTCTGGGGATCCGCCAACGAGAAGAACCCAAACCCAATCATCAGGCAGCCTTCTGTGATCCCCTACGTTGCTCCGCCTCCGCCCCCTCGGCCGTCGCGCAATTCAACGATGTCGCGCATAGCATCCTACCTTTCTCCGCGTCGTCCCTCGCGACCGCAGAGTCTGTACTCAACGGCGTCATCCATGCGATACTTCGACATGGACCCGGAGCGCGGCGGTGGCGGCGGACCTCCGTCATCAAACAGCGGGTCGAAGCTTTCTGATACTGTGGAGGTGCTCAGTCCGCATGTATCAGAGCTGAAGCGCGATGGACAGGGCCCGTGGGGAGGGTCGCAGTATACAGCTGACAGCGCAGCGCCGTCTCCCTCGACGGCTGCTAGCCAAAGTCGTATGCCCGCTAGGCCCGAGACGTCCGAGGTCGTCATCTTCCCGACGATCTCAGAGAAGAGTTCGAGTGAGGAGGTGAGAGGTAACAGCCCGGACAGGGATCGCAACGACTCGTCGAGCAACGCAACTCGTCCGGCCACGGAGATCTCGTTGGGCTCGTACTACATGCCGTACACGAACTCTGCTGCTGCGTCTTCATACTTGATGCCGCAGATGCCAGCGGCTCGTCCACGGACGCCCGAGTCACCTATCTATGGTCTAGAGGGCCTCATCGACCCCCGAGACCGACGCGTCATCCCGTTCACACCGATGACCATGGCCAGCAGCACGGCGGACCCAATGACTGCGAGGGGAGACTTCCGCATGCCGTCGACGGATTTCTCACTGCCGTATTCCTCTCGGCATGGCAGTGGCACGTCCATCGACGAGCTCCTCCGGCAGCAGAACGAGCTCGACAAGAGTATCGCAGCGCTCCGGCTCTTCTCTCCGCGCTCGTCTTTCGCGACCACCATGCAGGACAACCGACCGGAGAGCGGGACGGTGGACCCCATGCCGAGCGGCGCGCCGAGCGACACGAATTCGGTCGTAGTCAAGGTCATTCCCTCGCGCGGTACGAGCACGAGCGATATGAGCGGGAAGATGACCGCGGCGTCTGGAGAGTCCAGCTTCTCGCTGAGCGTCTTCCCCGCTCCTCCGCCTAATGGAGGTGTGAGTGCATCGCCGTCGCCACTGCCGTCTGCTGTTCCTAGGTCCCCGCTGCTAGCGCAGCAGCAGTACTCTTCGGAGCCCAAGCGATCATCTTTGATCCTGCAAGCGCCGTTGGGTGTGACCACGTCTTCGATGGCCTTGTCTCCGCTTCCGATGGGCTTGTCACTGTCCCCGATGGGCGGCATATCGCCAACGCTCTCAAATTCGGCCTCGCCTACGCGTGGACGGACTGAGGACTTCCCGCAGAGCGTCACCCTGCAGCCACCACAACCAGGCGGCAGCGCCCTCTCCAGCCCTACCACGCCCTCCTCGCGCGGCGGGCGGATACAGAGCGGGGGCACGCAGTACGACGTGACCTCGTTCATCGTGCCGCGCTCGTTTGAGGCGGCCAGCAAGTTAGCGGGGCTGGCGAGCCCGGCGAGGGAGAGCCCCATGATGCCTGTGACGCCCGTCGCGGAGCAGGTGTTGTACAACACGCCGGTGACGCCGCAGGTCATGCCCAGTACGCCGACAACGGCAGGTATGCCCATGCCGGTCACACCCAGCCAGCCCATGCCTACGAGCCCGGTGACGCCGATGCCCAACTCGGGGAGGATGCAGTCGGAGATGACGCAGTTTGATGTGACTTCGTTTATTGGGAGTGAGTGCAGTCGACTGGTTATCTGACTGTCTGATTATTGACGCCCTGTCATAGACCTGACATCGCCAAGGAATGAGACCACTGCCAGCCCGTTGCAAGTCAATGTTGAGCGCACGGTCATTCCCTCTCAGGCTTTCCCGTCTTCCGTCAGCTCGCGGCCAAGTACGGGTGAGGAATCGATAGCGAGAGGCCCTACGTTGCCATCGAACCCTTCTCCGACATATCGTTCTCGGTCACCGCCAAGATCGAATAGTCTACCCGAGGAAGGTTCTACAGTAGGCGTGATAGAAACAGCACCCAGTGGTCCAATACTGCGACCACTCCGCCTGACCTCCGGAGGGCCGCCAGTGACCACTGCACCACCTGTCGAAGTTCGTCCGACACGGCACGTTCGCATATCCTCCGTCACTAAGGAAGTTGCGCCGCTCAAGCCGCTCATCCTGGGCAGCGGTCCCGGACCTGGCCTCCCACCGCGGTCTGCTATCAAGCCAACAGTGCATAACCGCTCGAGCAGCTTCAATATGCCACCAACTAGCTACGCGATGCCACCCGGTCCGCGACGACAAGGCTCGAACAACTCTTTGCGGCCAGCCAAGCCGCTCATGATCAGCGTCCCGCGTCCTCTGGCACAGGATAGCGTGGAGGATTCGGGCGCGTACGAGCGGCCGAGGGCGGTGCCTGTCATATCCCAGGAGGATATTGGACCTTTATGATCTACTACGCTCGGTTTGGGTATACATTTAGGGTTCCTTGGCGCTCTTCGGACTCTTCAACTACTCACAAACCCGAGTCCTCCCCCTTTGGTCGCGTTCTCACCGCTTACCCAGTACTTAGCGTACCTGTGTATTATACTGCTTTTCTTCGGTTTTGTCTTCGCTATCTGCAGATCCACGACCATGTACGTAGTTGCAAGCTTTCGGGTACTTATTGCTGCGATCTCGCGGCGCTTTCCTCTACTCTATTGTACATTTTCACCTCTGCAACGTGGATTTTGCACACTCTCTGGTCGTCTACTGGGTGTATGATGACTATCAGGAGGTCCGAACCCGCTCAAACTCGGCAATCGGCTGCTGAACACTGCAGGTTGGCGCTACACCATGCCACATGGGCATCACGTGTTAATCGGGCCGGGCTGTCCGCTGAGTCAGCCAAGATCAGCACGCGGCAATTCGCGGTCATTGTTCTTGAACCGAACCCTCACCCGCCTCTCAACAAACGAGAGCCTGGCCCGGCTCGCGCATTTTGCTCGCTCACGTGACAGCTCATAGACAAAAAACCTGTGAGTGCAATGTTAACATTTGTCCTCGTTCACCCTCATCTCTCCCTCATCCTCTCCTGCGCGCCACCTGCTAACTATGCCATTCTCAGAGTATCCCAAGTGCAGCGCCCTCAGCGACTCTCCGCGTAAGGACTCTGCTAGACCCCCGGACGCTCGAAAGGAGGAGAACACCAAACAAGCCCGCGTCATGCATGCCACCGCCGCCGAAGGCCACTCCGTACGATGCTCCATCGACGACTTCTGGTCGACGTATGTCGAGCCCCATGGCTACTACCGCCTCTCGAAGGAAGACCATGCTGCCATTATTGGCCAGCTGACGGACGACCGTCAGTTCTATGGTGGCAAGTGGAAAGAATTGCTGCCCCGGAAAACCCTCAAAACCGAGAACGCACACTTCGGCCGTCTAGTCAAAGTCGTCGAAGCCGTGGTGAATGCTGCTGCCACATGCCCATCTGGTCGCTTCGCGCTGGACGGGCGGTCGTCCCTTTTCGAGAGTCGACCGAACGAGGAGACTCTTTCCGAAGTGCCCGGCTCTTCTTTCCACGTCGATGCCCTGCACTACCTATCCCAGTCCACCTACGCGCAAAACACTCGCTCCGGGAGCGCACACTCCCAAATCATTGAGTCCCTCAGCGACAACTCGAAGCGTATCATCAACACGGCAGACGTCGTGGCGTCGATGGAAGTCAAGATCAAGCTTACAGCGGCTACTATGCGTGATGTGAGTCCATCTTGCGCTGGCATTTCTTGACGTTGACCTCGACATCTCACAGGACGAAGACAAGACCATTGGTGCTGCGGGTCACTACCTCTACGCCGACATCCGTCGGAGATTTCACTTTGCCATCACCATCGAGGGCACAACAGCGCGTCTGTGGTGCCACTCTCGCTCGCATTCCATCGTCACCGATGCGTTCGACATCCATGAGGTGTGTGACCTTATTGCTGGCCAATTTTCCTTTGCTAATATTGCGTAGGACAAGGAACAACTAATAGAATGGATCGTGTTCGTGTCCTTCGCGAAAGAGTACTCGCTTGGCTTCGATCCGACCGTCATTCGCGTCGTCGATGGGACGAATCAGTGGCAATACCAGTTTGATGTCCGCCACGAGGATGGCGTCGTGCGCACGTACCAGACGGTCGCCATACTGCACGAGAACTGCGCAGCGTCGCTCTACAGGCGCGCCATGCGGGTCTTCAAGGTCAAGCGCGTTACGGAAAAGGGCAAGGCCGACACCTTCTCCGAGGAAGACACGCAGGAGTACGCGCTGCGCGATTACTGGCTCTTCGACGACAAGCAAACCAAACTGGAATTCCAGATCCAGAGCGATCTCAAGGACGCTTTGAAGGCTTCTACGCAGTCGCCGGAGGAACTGGAGGAGGTGTGGCAGCACTTCCTGCAGATTGTAGCCGACGGTGTGGTGGACTGGGAGACCTTTGTCGACACCGTTCCCGCCCCTCCGGAGAATGCCGAAGCCTACGAGTACGTAGACGAGCAGAACCCGAAGGGCAGGAAGGCCACCAAGCCTAAGGTCAAGGGCAGCAGTCTTCGTGACAGCGCAGGCTACATCGGTCCTCAGGTTGTTGCGCCGAAGAAGCCCGAAGCACTGCAACTTCTAGGTCGCAAGCACTGTCGGACGTTGTACCGCCATGTCTGCACTGACCTCTACAAAATCAACGATCCCGCTGTCTTCTTCTTCGCCCTCGATCAGGCTGTGTACGGTGAGCCCCTTTATTCCAACGACGTTCTGCGCGAAGGCTGATTTGTCTCTAGTCCTGACCTGGTTTCGTCGCATCGGCTGGATGCATCGAGACATCAGCCCAGGCAACATCATGATTCGAAGCTTGAGATCCGCGGCGCCCTCTGAACCCCTGTGCAAGCGCTACATGGTCCAAGTCGCTGACCTCGAGTATTGTCGAGAGTACACCAGGATATCTCGGCACGACCCCCTGACGGTATGTCGTGTATCCCTCGCTTTGCTCCTAAGCTCATGAATCGTATCGCAGGGTACGGGCGACTACATGGCTGTCGAGACGCAACTTCGCAAGCATATGTTCCATGGAGGACTGCGGGTCACAAAGCTGGCAGCCGTCTATTTTTCCCACAATTTCCTCCACGACCTTGAGTCTACAATATGGATGGCCCTCGAATTCGCTATGCGCCATGTACCTCGCGAGCTGCTCACGACTAAGCGCTGGCAAGACATCGGACCGATCTTGTCAGCCCTGAAGACATGGGCTGATGATATATTCCCCAACAGCACTCAGGCGTCGGCGAAGCGAATCGATCTCCTGCAGGACAACGCCGCCCAGGCAGAGGTTAAGCACTTGCTTCGGTCGGTCTACGGCGACGCATCCCCAATGGCCAGCCTTCCAGGCCTTCTCCCCGATCTCGTGGAGGTATACATGGCTGTTGAGGGACGCCTCGACTTGGATGACGCTCCGAAGGACAAGGACGGCAATCCCCAGCGCATGCCGAAGGAGCTCTTCGACGAGCACGCGAAGATCTACGATACTATCCGCGCTTCCTTCCAAAAAGTCTCAAAGTACTACACCGACCTTGAGGGCCAGGACGCCTTTATACCGTTCAGGCGAATCGACCTCGAGTCGGGTAAATTCATCGAAAAGCCCTCTCCGTCGCCATCCGAGGGCACCGCACCCAAAGCCATGGACGTCGACGAGACAGGACAGGGGGAGGCCGACCAAGACCCCGAGGCCAAGGTGGCACTCGGCCAGAAGCGGAAGAAGTCGACGAAGCGCAAGGTGCAGGACGGGGCCGCACCTCGCTCGAAACGCTCGCGGACTATAGCACCGGCAGCACCGCCTGCACCGCCTGCAGCCCCACGCCGCTCGCGTAACCGAACGAGGAGCAACGACTCGCAGCAGCCCCTCCGTCGATCAAGCCGGCTCGCAGAGCGGTCTAGGAGTCGTAGATAGACAAGCGGTGGAAGGTTTGCGGATGGACGGACGGTGCACTTCAGCATGGACTTATATTAAAATGGGGCACAGAGGCGCCAAAGGATGTGGTGCATATGTATTTCGTAGATATATCCGTTTCTGTACTATACCCAACGATAGACACATCCGACTGCACTCTCTCCGCTGGACTTAGACACGTTGTGAAAGAGAAAGCATCCTACGCGGTCGTCATTCGATTAGGAGTAAACTACATCTCACCATTACTTGAGCCTGAAGGGGACGGAAGTCTTCCCTAACCACCCTGTTTTCAGAAGCGAGTTCCTTGCAAAGTTATCCAGCTCCTCACTCAATGAAAGCATTATCTCTGAGGACAGGACCATGCGAATAATATATCGTCTGCAAGGCGAGATTAGAACCAACGACTCCGGAGCTGCCCGAGTCCGAAAGCCTGCACAATTGAGGCCGCTTCACTTGCCTATACCTCGTTCCTAGTTGAAGTTCATCGCACCAGCTCATTCTCATACCAGACAGCTGCCCCCGGACACATCACGAACACACAAGTTACACAATTGGAAAGAGCGCGACAAGCATAACACCATAACACGACAACAGACAAGTAGGCTGGCATGGGAGACGGCTCGACGACGCGCGAAGGGACGCTGCTTCATCGAGCCGTCTGCATAGCTGCATAGGGTTAAAGACATAGATACCTCATGCATTGAGTCCTTCATGCACCTCTCTTCGAGCTCAACCATCCTTCTTCAAAGCCCCGACCCTCCTCTACATCCCCGACGGCTCCCAAAACCCCCGCGAACTCGTCACAATATGGCTCATCCCAAAATCCGCAAACCGCGTATCATTCTCAATCTCCGTCCCATACATCGTCCTGCTCTCCGGATCCGTCGGCGACGGCGGGCTCGTCTCCATCAGCTCCGCCAGCGTCGGCAGGCCCGACCCCTCCCCGCCGCCGCCCTTCCTCAGCAGCGCCGTCGGGTCCACCGGCGCCTGCCCGGACATGCGCCGCACCGCGGTCGGCGTGCGCAGCGTCGGGCGCGTCGGCGACGGCAGGCCGAACATCGAGTACATGTCGTCGCGCGCGGGGCTGCGGCGCTGCTGCCCGAAGTAGCCCTGCGCGGGGTGCCCGCTCTCGGGCGTCGGCGAGACGGGCGTCTCGGGCATGGGGAAGTGGTGGTTGCCGCTGTACTGGGGGGCGGGGCCCGCGGCGGGCGTGATGTTCTGGGGTGCGGGCTCGTCCTCTGTTTCGATAATGGAGAAGGCCTCGCGGAAGGCGTCCTGTGATGAGGCCGGAGCGAGCCAGGAATTGATTGAGTTCGTTGGCGGCGCGTTCTGGTCATAGATTGGCTCCTCGTCTTCGTCTGAACGCTGCGTAGGGCTAGGGTCCCGGAATACAGTGAAAGGCTGAAGCTGATGCGGCGCAGGTACGACGATAGAGTCATCGTTGGGCAATTCCTCATCCGCAGATGTGTCCTCGACCTCGATGTCCGGGATCGTCCTGGCACGCTTCCTGTCCGGGCGGACCGCCTGCTGGGACAGTTCCTCCTCAGTGAGCTGGGAAGCCTGGCTCTGCTCGAGCACATCCGCGGTTGAGCTGGCGGCAGAATCACGATGGCGCTTGCCTAGGGTCCTCGGCGCGTAACCTGGGTGACCGGCTGGGACCGAGCTTGGCCCAGGCGTAGGAGCCGGAGAAGGCTGGGAGTCCATACGAGCACGGCGACCAGGCGATGACGAAGCTGTCTGTTGCTGAGCTAGAGCGCGCTGCGCCGGAGAACTACGACATGTTAGATATCATACCACCCTCGGCGACCAGTAATGGACTCACATCGCGCGAACAGATCCCCCTGGAGATGCAGAACGAGACGAGGATGCGCCAGACGGCACCGCCCTCGATAGGATAGCGACCTTATCCTTCAGTTGCTGGATATCGAAAGCATGCGCGTGAAGTTGGCCGTTATGCGCGACAGAGATCGCCGCATCTCCCCGGATCTTCGTGATCTGCGGCTTAAGCTCATCCAGCTGGGTGGTCAAAGACGTGATCGTGGTCTGTGCTTGGGCGAGTTGGCCTTTGAGAGCAGCGACTTCGGCAGCGTAGGTGGACCGTATTGAGAACATCTCGCTCTGCAGGGATTTCAGTTGCTCTTGGATGGGCTGGATCTACAAGAAGGGTCGGTCAGTGCTCTCAGACGCATGTGTGGATACATACGGCGGCAGTGATAGCTGGCTGGGGGTCCATCGACGAGAAGAGCTCAGTTGCTTGTTGTGAGTTCAGAAGGTTCGCCCACTCGTGCGAGTCCTGCGATGGCTGCGCAAAGAGAGCGGACATTGTTGTATCCTGGGTCGACGGTTCGCCAGACTGCTGAGTGCCTGCAACTATGTTAGATAGCGTACGCTACTCAAGTGCTGCTCCCTACCCGAAGGTCCTGCGCCGGTGTCCATGTCAAAGCGGAACTCAAAGTTGGCTTGAGGGACAGGAGAGATGATGGTGGGTTCCTCGGGTATTGTTGCTTCGGTCGGCTTGACCGTCCTGCTGGCACCCTTGCCTCGCTTCGATGTGCTGAAGGTCTTGGTAACGGCCCTCGCACCGGCGCCTCCGGCAACCTTGGGCCGACCGACTCCAAGTCTTGTCTGTTGCTTGGCCTTGCTGGCACGGGCGGGGGATGGGACGGGTGGAGGGAGCGGCTGGTGGTTCTCGACGTTGGACTGGGGCTTGCCGATGCTGTTGTCGGTGACGCTACCTACCGACCGACTTGTAGCGCGACTCAGCGCGCGGCGGGATGATGTCCTTTGCAGAGGTACGGGGGCGGGGGCAGGGGTGGGCGGGGCAGTATCTGGGGCTGCATCGGATTCGGCGCCATCTCTACAAGCAACAAAGGCGATGAACAAGGAGGTCGATGCATGCATGGTGACAGAAGACGGACCTGTCGTTGTCAACGTAGTGGATGAGCGAAGCGATGAGTTCGACGTTCGATAGATTGGCTCGCAATTGGTGCTCCTGCGGGAGGAAGACCGATCAGTGGCGTGGAAACGGAGAGGTTGAGAGGCGCCGCACCTTGCAGAGCCGCTGAAGCTCTGGGCGCTTCATGTCCATCAACGTCTGCCTGTCTGGTATATCTGCCATGGCGGCGGCGGGTGAGGAAGGATTGGAATGAGTTGAGCGTGGTCTTTGCACAGGCGCCGGTGGCAGTTCAGTTCAAGTCGCCCAATAAACGCGTTGCAACCATGACGCGCCATGTCATGTGATTTACATTACTTCCCACGCTCACTCAGTTGAACTTTCTGGTGGCTTCCGTCCACCATCTCGGGTGTATGCCACCTTTTGGTCAACTTAGCGACACAGACAGTATTTCTGACGGTTCTCGAGGCGCAAGACATGCTCGCGTACGACACTGTTCTCATGTCTTTTAGATTCGAAGCAGGTCGCTCCAGTTCTCCACTCTTTCGGCGAAAACAAGGCATTCGGTACAGTGCACGCGGTCATTGGGAGTAATAGGTTGGGAAGGATAGGCACGTCGTCGTGCAGAGGAACTGGGAAACACGAGTTCGTATACGTCCAAATCGGGAAGTCGCTAACGCCGAGGCATCTCACGCCGATATCACGCAACATCACACTGGCCATAGATTCAAGGTTGGCGACATGGTCCTACTACATGCCAACTTAGAACCTTGACACACAAGCGTACTACGTTGACAACATAATCGACCGCTGCCCCTCCTCCTCAAACTTTACCTTCCCCAGCACCATCATCGCCAGCTCCTGCCACTGCGGCTGCGTCCCCTCCAACCTCTTGCCCTTGAGCTGCTGGGACAAGTTGGCCGCGAGCTGGTTGCGGAGGATCTTGAGCGCGATGTTCACTTTGGGGTCGACGCGGAAGCGGATCTTGCGGTCGATGGAGAGGGAGTTGGCGATCAACTGATGGGGAGGAGGGTGAGTGAATATCGTCGATAGGCAGAAAGAAAGCTGACACACACCTTGAAGTCCTGGTCACCACACAGCAAGGCGATTGCCATATCATCGACCGGGCTAGTCTCCCAAGCGTACAGCTTCTTCGAATGCCTGCAAATACACCACACATCAGCCCCGCATCCATCTCCCCAACACGCAAACCGAAAACCCACATCAGAGTAAAGTACGCCAGATGATTGACGCCAAAGTCAAGAGGCCGGCGACCGAAATTGACAGACGACGGGTGGAAGAAGGCCGTCTGGTTGTTCGTGATGGTGCGCATGGCCCCGCTGCTGCGGTCGACGGAGAGGAGCTTGGGGTAAAGGCCGGCGGCGAGCGCGGCGTTGACGAGGAACGCGTTGTCGGAGTTGACGTCGAATTGGGCGGGCACGTTGACGAAGCGGGTGCGGCTGCGGGTGTACCGTGAACTATGCAAGACTCAGATGACGTGCGGATGGCTTCGAAGGAAGATAGCCGTACCGTTGCAATTCGCGAATAAAGCCGCGGTCAACGTGAATAAACGAAGAGTCCACCAGATACCCAAGGAACTGCTGGCGGAGGTCCTCGATCTGCTGCAGATTCTGCAGAGATCGTTAGAAAACACGCGCAAATCTCACGCACGGTACCGACCTGGTGACTCAAGAAGCTGTCGCGGCAGAACCTCTTGACGAACCCAGAATTGTTGTTTGGGTTGTTAATCACTCGGCGCCAAGTCGCAAAGGCGTTATGAATGGTCAGAAAATCCGAGTTCTCCACGCGGAACGACGCCTTCGCCCGGTCCGCCTCCTGCTCCAGCCCGAAGGGCGAGACAAACGGCGACTTCGCATTGAGCGTCGCCGCGATAGTGAGCGCGGGATCCAAGCACCGGAACAGCGCCGCCGTCAACAAGAACTTCCCCAGATGCACATCCGTCGGCAGCTTGCTGAGCAGCCTGCCCATCGGCGTGATCTCCTCCGCCGGCGTCAGCGCGCGCACCTCCACCAGCATCGACACCGCGCGCTGGATGTTGACCGGCTGCGGCGGGTCGAGTGCCTGCAGGAGGACCTCCTCGATGGAGTTGCCGAGCTGGATCTTCATGATCTTGATGCGGAGCGCGAGGTCGGAGAGGCTGAGGCGCATCATCTCGGGCAACGGGTGGTCAGCCATCTTATCGTGGCGGAACTTGGTGAAGAGGTGGAAGCAGAGACCGCGTTGGACACGGCCGGCGCGACCGCGTCGCTGGGCAGCGTTACTCTTGGCAATGAAGGTTTCGATGAGGCGGCTGATCTGGCGCTTCTCGTCGAATCTGGGCGAGGCGTCAGTGCAGGAAAGAGGCCTGTGAGCAGTCAACCTACCTCATCTCGCGATGCTTGCCAGTGTCGATAACGCAGGTAATATCCGGGATGGTGATACCAGTCTCAGCGATGTTGGTCGCTAGAAGAGTTGCAATTCAGCCAGATGTAACTCCAAGGCCACCAATTCACGTACCGATCACAATCTTCCGCTGCCCCGGCGGCGGCACATTGAACACCGAGCTTTGCGCCTCACTCGACAAGGTCGAATGCAACGGGTAGATGATGAAGTCATCACTCCCAAGCATCCTGTGCTCCGTCAACATATCGTTGAGGCGCCGTATTTCGTTGATGCCAGGCATGAAGATCAGAATGGCGGCCGAGTACGACTGCAACTCGTAGTCCTCGAAGCAGATGCGCTCGAGGAGGCGGACAATCAAGTCGTACGCAATGAACCTATCGTCGAAAAGATTGATCGTATCCGCCGTACTCTGCGAGTACTTCTTCTCAAGGCGGACCTTCGCGTCCTCAGTCGCGTCAGACGACTCGTCCTCGTCCTCGTCGCGGATGCCGAGCTCTTCGGTCCAGTCGATCTTGTTCTTGCCCTTGTAGAACTTGTCGTGACTGCGCCTGGCATACGGCGACTTCTCGTCGACCTTCCATTTGGTGGTCTCCACGGCGTCTTCGAGGAAGCGGACATCAACTGGGAAAGTACGCCCAGGAACCTGCAGGGTGGGGCAGCCGCCAAAGTACTCGGCGATCTTTTCCGCGTCCACGGTGGCGGACATGAGAATGACCTTGAGGTCGGAGCGCTGAGCCAACAGCCTTCGCAGTGTCAGCAGCAAGAAGTCTGACTGAAAAGTAATCAGCGTCGAGCAGAGGGCATAGTTAGTAGACATACCTCGATGGTGCGTTCATGCACTTCGTCGATAATGATGTGCTGTAGATTTCGCGTGAGCGCCATATAGCACGACAGACAGAGGATACGCACCGTAATCTCATCGAACGCCGTCCCACTCCCGCTCTGACCCGACCCGCTCTCCAGCATGCGCAGCGCAATACCGTTTGTCACAAACGTCAAGCGCGTATTCTTCGACGTATTGCTCTCCAAGCGGATGCTGTAGCCCACTAGCGAGGCATTCGTGCCAACAGCGTTCGGTGCGTCGCCGAGCTCGCGCGAGACGCGTTGAGCGAGAGAGATCGCCGATATACGACGCGGCTCCGTGCAGAAAATCTTGCACGGCTTGCCATGGGAGAGCTGGTCCTCCAGGATGAAGGTGGGCACTTGGGTAGACTTGCCGCTGTTTAACGATGAGCGCGGGGACGGAGGTGAGACGAAAGGAAGGAGACCTACCATCCTGTCTCGCCGCTGAGCACAAGAACCTGTGAAGCGTCGAGCGCGCTGAGGATCTCGTGGCGATAGTTCGCAATCGGCAGTTGGTTGCGGTAGGTCTAGTCGACAATGTGAGCACAGGTAGAGTCGCGGGGGCATTGTATTCCGTACCAGCATCTCCTGATAGCTTGAGCTCGCCTGTCGAACGCGGAAGGACTCCTGAAGCTGCTCGGAGAACGCGTCGTTGCTCGACGCAGGCGCATCCACAATGGGTGCTTCCTTCACATCCGCCGTCGACTTCGCAGCCTTGAGCGTCTGCTGCTCAGCGCGTCAGTTCAATCTCATCCCTGCGTACATTTGGCACGAACCTTATTCGTCCTCTGCACCTTCTCGTCAAGTATGCCCCTCAATTTCGCCCATGTCTCCCGATTCGCCGCGTCCTCCCTTCTCCTTCGCTCCGCGTCTAGCTCATCCCACAGGTCCCGGAAATCCGGCGGTAGCAGCCTGAAGAACGTCTGACTGCCCACCGCGCTCGTCATCGCGCCCGCCGCGAAGCCCGCAGAGGCCGGGAACGACAGTCCGTGAAGCGCAACTAGGGCGACGTACTGCTCCGCCTGCCCCATGTCTACGCACGCGGTCTCTTCCATCGCCCACTCATCTGGGCGTCCGCCCGCCCAACGGATGCTGAGCCGCGCGCGCGCCGCGCGACTGCTGCCGGAGATGCCGCTGTAGGAGATCGCCGCGTATCGATCGAGCTTCTTCACCGTCTCGCTGAGGATGGTCTTCGGCGTGCGCCCGGACCAGTGCTTGGGAAGCGCCATGTCGCGGACGGGGATCGTCTTGCCTTGTGTGTTTGTGCCGGAGGTGGCGGGGCCGTCGAGGAGCGCAAGCATGCCGCCTTCATCAGAGTCGCCGTCGTCTGTTGGTGCTTCGCCCTTAGTATTGATATCCGGTGGCGGCTTCTTCTTGTCGGCCTTCTTGGCCTTTGGCGCGGGCGACTCGTCAATGTGAAGGCCGCGCAATTTGGCTTGCAGGAGCTCCTCGTCAGCCTTCTTCCGCGCCACAGTGTACATTTCCTCTGCTTCACGGAAGTCGAAGAAATAGTTCTGCTTCACGTCTTCCAGCTGCTTGCGCAAAGCGGGTAACTTGGCCATCCCCTGCGGTTTGCCGTTGACCTTCTGGTAGTTGATCTCGTCAATGTGCAGGCGGATCTTCACGTAGTCTTCGTGCGGCTCGTCAGAAGACGACAGGTCTTGGGTTGAGGGAGTGAAGCGGAGGTCGGGCTGCGGCGGAATGCTCTCGCTAGTTGGCGGAGTGTCGAGGTCGGACATTTCCGAAGCAGGTGTTTCCGGGGTAGAAGCGGATGGTGTAGACGACAGGGAGCGAGGGATGAACGGAGGGGCTTGCGCATCCAGACGTGGCTTGTTACCAAGGGACGCCTTCGTTGGTTTGGTAGATTTCCGGGTGGGTGTGGACTGCTGCGCTAGGAATTGCGCAGGAGTTCGAGGCGTGCGCGGGGTGCCCTTGTCATGCGCGTTAGGCGTCTTTGGCTCAGACGGGTCGGGAGCTGCTTCTGGTACGGGATAAGAAGATGACTGAGCGAATGTGATGAGAGGGCGTACCCTTGTTGAACTGAAGCTCAGCCTCGTCGCAGTGAAGATAGAGCTGGGTTATGACATGAGGCGAGGCTGACGCAGATGAGATTCACACATACCCAGTCGTACGCCTCCTCGATGTCGATGCCGCTGATGCTCCGAAGGCACTCCTCCACTCGTTCCTCTGAGAAACCAAGTCTGCGCAGAACACCGTAGGTTGTCCCGAGTTTCGATATGGCCTTGTCATCCGCATCGTCGACTGTTTTCTTGCCTGGAGCAGAGCAACATGAGCGATAGTCCTCAGTTACATGCTGTGAACTGACCATCCAGCCGAACATCTGAGGTCAAGGCAAGATCCAAGATGCGCTTTGTAGCGATGCTATCCAGTTCAAGGGTTGGGAACGTCTTGGCGAATGACCTGTCAGTTTCGATGGTCTATCGGAGGGTGTGAACAGGTGCATCATGTACGCAGCAATTTCTATACCTTGACAGTCCTGCAAAGCCCCAGTCAGAGCATAATCATCTTCAGAAGCATACATACGCACCTTGTGATCTCCTTCTCCACCTTGTCCTGCAGCCGCTCGACCAGCCCTTGCAGCGCCTGATCCTCCTCACTGAGCGCAGCCGTCGCCGCATCCTTTGCATCCTTCCCGGCATCGCCCTCTTCGCCCCTCGACGCGTCCGCCTCCGCCTCTGGACTCGCACGCGCCGACGACGCGGGCTCCTCTACAGGTTCTGGCGCTGGCGCAACCTTCTTGGGCACGGACGTCGTCGCGAAACCGCGCGCCACCGGCTTGAGGGCCGTCTTCTTCTTCTTGGCCATTCCCAGAACGCCAATAAACCAAAGCCCTGCTGCTGGTTTCTTCTTCTACTCGTACGACTTCCTCGTCGTCTAGCTCCTTCCTTCGTCCGTCCTGCTCCTCTACTGCGTCGGTGCGGAGTTCCTCCTCGGATTAGTCGGTGTCTTCAGTAGGGATTCGTGTGTCGGATAAGGTACAGATATGCGGGTGTGGGTACAAATATGTGAACAGGTGGTGTGCGCGAAAACTAGTGCGCAAGGGTGAGGGCGAGGCGGCGAGGTGGCGCACGCCAGTCAGTTGCAGGTGTCGCGATGGTGGTGTTGGGTACAGCAGCAATTAATGAAGAGTATGTTCTGTGAATGAGCATGAGAAGGGCAGGGTGCGTTCAAGCTGGCGAGCATCAATAGCCAGTCACCGTCGTGGTCAACTCGATCTCGCGCGCGCCGACTCATTGCATCTCACACCACGCAGTAATCTTATCTTATCGTCAAATTTCCCGCGACGTCTTGGGCTAACAATTCAACTTCTTTCTTTCCTCCAACGAAACACAATGAAGGAGCGCGGGCAAGGATAACACCATGGCACCAGAATACGAGTCACAGGGGCAAGAGGGCGGGAGAACGACGTCGAGGGAACCAGTAGTTGTAGAGTACGGCTCATTATGGTCTGGCACGTGTGTGTGCAGCGGGCCCGACGGTAGGCATCGAATCGTTCATTCATTTTGGGCCATTACCGCGACGACGTACTCTTCTGTACTAGAGCGGTTACCAATGATTCAAAATTTCGACGACGCGGCTTGCACAGAGCGCTATAGTCTAGCGCGCATGGGCTGCCAGTCCACCCTCTCGACCTGCAGAGAGAATCAGAATCGTCTTTGACACACCTGGTTAGCACCGGCCAAACACAGATATCACTCACCATCGCAGGAGACAGACCCTTCAGACTCGACACACCCATCAAGCGCATTGCGGTGACAATCTCGCTCTCGAGGATGTGGATGATGCGCTTCACACCAGCAGCGCCGTAAGCCTGAACGGCCAAGGTCAGCTTCCACTCCAATCCGACCATATGAAGTAGGTACTGACGCTTTGCGCATACAAGAACGGCCGCCCAAGCCCAACGGCTGTGGTGCCAAGGCAGACAGCTTTGATCACGTCCGTCCCTCTGCGCACGCCTCCGTCGAGATAGACTGCGAAGGTAAGATGAGTGAGTTACGAGCAAAAATAGTCCAAGAGGAGGTTGCGCTTACCTTCGACCTTGCTGAAGACCTCTGGATGCCGCGTTCGCAGCCTATAGAGGACTTCTAGGGGCGGAAGGGCATAGTCCAATTGCCGCCCCCCGTGGTTGGAGAGGAGGATGCCATCGACGCCGGCCTCAACCGCGAGGAGAGCATCTTCTACGCACTGGATACCCTTGACGACCACAGGCAGCCTCGTGACGCTCCTCAACCACGGTATAGTCTGCAGACAAGTGAGCATTACTTACACCCACAGAGTGCGACCCTACCTTCTCCCAAGTCATATCCTTGTCATCATTCAGCACCAACGCACCTCCCGCCCCCCATCCATGCGCCGTCCCATCCTGCGGCTCCTCCACATACTCAATCGGCCCGCCCCTCTCTTCCTCCTCCAAATCCCACGCACTCCCAATATCCCTCTCCCTCTTGCTGGGCACGACCGCATCCACAGTCAGAAATATCGCCTTATACCCCAACCTCTCCACCTCCCTCACCCTCTGCTCAGCAATGGCATCGTCCTTGTTCTTGTACAACTGGAAGAACAGTGTCTGCCCCGGCGCCGCCGCGTCCATGATCTCGGCGTATGAGAGCGAGGGCGAGGAGGAGACCATTTGGATAATGCCGCCTGCAGCGCATCCGCGAGTGATGTTGGCCTCGCCGAGAGGGTGGCCCAGGCGGGCGAGGCCTGCGCCGGAGACGAAGATGGGTAGCGCAGAGGGGTGGCCGAGGATGGTGGTGGAGGGGTCGCAGTGAGAGACGGGGCGAAGGACGCGGGCGTGGAAGAAGAAGCGAGTGAAGGCTTGGGCATTGGAGTAATAGGCTGGGAGGAGGTGGGTCAGTTCGAGCGAAATTGTCCGAGGGGGAAGAAACTCACAGACTTCGTCCTCTGCGGAGGAAGAGTAGTAGGTGCGGGCCTTGTGAGAAAGGACCTTCAGTGCTACTTCCTGGAGGAAGACATGAGCATCACGAGCAGTTACAACCATGCACGGCACGCTTACCTCCATATCATGCAAACTCAGAATATGCGAAAGCGGTGGCTTCCACCTGTGCGCTTCCGCTGACCGAATCTCGTCCTTGGTCTGCTTCCTCGACGCCTTCGCATCCTTGAGCACATCAGCAGATTGCGCGTCCACGGGCCCTAAGTGCTTTGACGGTGGTAGGTTCTTGTCAAGTGCATCGCGAGGGTGGATGGGCTCGTACACCTGCGTCGCGTCGCGTCCGGCGTACTTGAGGATAATGTCAGGTCCGCCCGGGTGTTCCTTCGGAAAGAGTTAGTGGAGGAGGCGTCACGATGGGTAGAAGTAGAGTAGAGCACGCACCTGCAAGAATTCTGTGACGTCGTAGACCTTGTTATTGATGATCACCCAACACGATCTGGGGAAGCGTGAGCACGAAACCATAGCGTCGAAAGGCCTGTCTACTTCGCTGAGTTATGCTCAGCCACCTGCTGCAGCGTCAAGGGCATGATCGTCGTGAGTAGAAGTGAGGGATATGGGGAACGAAACGCATTCGTGGGGTATGCGCCCCGCGCACGTATATGCAGCGGGGATCGGAGGGGCGGGCCGCGGGGGGACTGTGCTTCCGCTCGACTCACCGCTCCGGGACGGTCAGCTGAGCAGAAGCGCGCCTATACTTACGTCGGGGTGGTATCTGTGTATGAAAAGCGACGTTTGAGGTGCTTCAGAAGAATTGGGGCTGAGGCTATTTAGACCCATGCAGATGTATAAATTAGACATAAATGGTACAACAAGAAACGAACGATGGATATGTGCGCAGGTACTCGAGATCTACTCGTCGGCCTTGATCTCATCCTCGTCCTCCTCATCTGAGAGGTCATTGCTACGGGCAAGATGGACAGTAAGCGCAAGATTTTGAACAGTGAAGTATCAACGTACGTGATGTTATAGAACCGGAGTTCATAGTTATCTTTTGTGGTCGCGACAATGCTACGCGAAGGATGAGCGGCCGTTCGAGTAACAAGTACACATGCGCGTACCGAACCCAATCCCTCAAGCCTGCCTTCTTCAAGAACTTCTTGGTGAGGTACTTGAGGTAGCGTTTGGAGAATACCACATTCGAGGACACGGTGATCTTGTTCTGACCTGCTCGATCATCAATGGATGTACAGCGTGGGGGGACTGATCGGGCGCACCATCCCTGACGATCTTCACGTTCGTACCAAGAGCGCCAGCCTTCCCCTCGACCTTGATGCGGTCGTGCAGATAGTTCTCAAAGTCTGCGCCGTCAAAGACGCCATCCGCTGCAGGCTTCGAATAGTCGATCACATAGTTGTGCTTGGCGATAGAGCCTTTTGTGGAGCTGGAGGTGGCCTTGGGCTATCGGAGGGAAGGAATGGAGGGTATTAGCCTACTGATGATAGCCAGCATAGCAGTTAACCACACCATTTTAGAGGGAACAAGGGGGGACGGGTGGGGGAATGGGAAGACAGACGGATGAAAACAAGCGCCCGATCGGTAGAGGGCTCGGCAGCCGCCGACAGTGCTCGGACCGGAGTTGCCGAGGGGGACAGAAATTTTGAACTTTTGTTTTTCGACGTCCATCGCCGCCACCGCCATGTCGGGACTCACAAAAGCGCAAGTCGCGTCCGCGCAGCTCGAGGGCGACTACAAGATCAAGCCAGAAAATGCGCAGCCCAAGCTCGACACGTCGCAGTGGCCGCTCCTCCTCAAAAACTACGACAAGCTGCTTGTCCGTTCCTCTCATTTCACCCCCATCCCCGCTGGCTGTAGCCCCCTGAAGCGTGATATTACCACGTATATCAAGTGAGCGCGATGGATCTCGGCAGCCCAGTACGATGCTGACGCTGGCAGATCTGGCGTCATAAACCTCGACAAGCCATCGAACCCGTCCTCGCACGAAGTCGTCGCCTGGCTTCGCAGGATACTACGCGTGGAGAAGACGGGTCACAGTGGGACGCTTGACCCGAAGGTCACTGGATGCTTGATCGTCTGCATTGACCGCGCTACGCGTCTTGTAAAATCCCAGCAGGGTGCAGGTATGTGCATTCATGATCACTATCGTTCCCTCAGCTAAGATTATTTTAGGTAAGGAGTACGTTTGCGTGCTTCGCCTGCACAACAGCCTCCCCGACCCTGCCGCCCTCCCCCGCGCCCTCCAGACCCTTACTGGTGCCCTCTTCCAACGCCCACCCCTCATCTCCGCCGTCAAGCGTCAGCTCCGTATACGCACAATTTACGAGTCCAAGCTCTTCGAGTTCGACGAGAAGCGCAATCTTGCCGTCTTCTGGGTGTCTTGTGAGGCTGGTACCTACATCCGTACGCTATGCGTGCACTTGGGCTTGCTACTCGGTGTCGGCGGCCACATGCAGGAGCTTCGCCGTGTGCGCAGTGGTGCTATGTCCGAGAACGATGAGATCGTGACCATGCATGATGTGCTCGACGCGCAATGGATGTACGACAACACGCGCGATGGTATGCAACCCCTTCATACCTCATGAGCCTTGCTGACCAGCTCTCTAGAGTCGTACCTCCGCCGCGTAATTCGCCCCCTCGAGTGCCTTCTCGTAGGCTACAAGCGCATCGTCGTCAAGGACAGCGCCGTCAACGCCGTTTGCTACGGCGCAAAACTCATGATCCCTGGTCTCCTCCGCTACGAGGCCGACATCAACCTTAACGAGGAGGTCGTGCTGATGACGACCAAGGGCGAGGCCATCGCAATTGGCATCGCGCAGATGTCCACTGTCGAGCTCGCCACTTGCGACCACGGTGTCGTCGCCAAGGTCAAGCGCTGCATCATGGAGCGCGACACCTACCCGCGCCGCTGGGGCCTTGGGCCCGTCGCGCTCAAGAAGAAGAAGATGGTCAAGGAGGGCCAGCTCGGCAAGCACGGCGAGAAGCTTCCAGGTGTCACCCCGCAGGAGTGGTCGAAGGACTACGTCGACTACAACCGCGACGAGCAGCAGCCGACGGCGTCTATCCAGGTCGTCTCGGAGACGATGACGGCGAAGGTGGAGGTGACTGAGACCTCCAAGAAGGAGGAGAAGAAGCGCAAGCGCAAGTCGGAGGTGCCCGAGGTGGACCCCGACGTGACGATGGCGACGGAGAACGGGGAGGACGAGAGCGAGGAGGCGAAGGCGGAGCGCAAGCGGAAACGCAAGGAGGAGAAGGCTGCGAAGAAGGCGGCGGAGGCGGCCGGCGGTGAGGATGATGAGGCGAAGCGGGAGAAGAAGCGGTTAAAGAAGGAGAAGAAGGCAAGGGAGTCATTAGGGGGAGAGGCATGATCTAGCCAGCCATCTATGTAGCCGTCGATGTAGCTTTATCTTATTGTATGTTGTTGGGACTCTTGTTATACTACCTCTTGGACTCCTTTACGTTGGGCTCACGCAGACGGCGTCAACCTCCTACATGTGACATCAACCGTGACGCATCACGCTCGTTTGCTGTCTAGGATTCCTAGTGAGATATCGAGGTTCGATGGCTTGGCAATTCCCTTCAAGAACAGTTTCGCTGAACATGGATTGGATCGTAACTATCTTCAATCACAGCGGCTGCTTCAGATCCCGGTAATGGACCCTAAACCGACACGCTCGGACTTCCACGGTAGTTCTCCAAAGAGGACCTCATTCAACAGCTAGAAACAGTTCGCGCCACGGCAGGAGATAGTCAATCTTTCCAGCCCGCTTCGCCAAAATTCGGAGTAATGGAACAGCTTGTTCGTCCGCAAAGACAATACCGTGGCCACCACGGAGCTCTACCGAGAGGTCAATCGAGAGGTCAATACCTACATGCTAGAGAAGCTTGCCCCTGACCATTTTCACTGCTCTCCTTATGTACCACAGTGCAGAGTAAATCAAGGCTATCTGAAGCGACCACAAATTGTTGTCGCTCTGTGGCCGCGAATATTGAGGCGGTGTAAACACCGCCTAGCACAAGGAGAGTTCAATTCATGAAGGATACAAGATGATATCGAAGGTAACAGGGTATACGAGCAACGAGAGTCCATGAAGTCCTTTGCGCCTGCGCAACCCAGAGTCCGAGTAGCATGCCGTCGTAATGCACTTCAAGTCCACATCATGTCAAATCCACTACGGAACAAATGCGTGTCCTCTACAAGGCCAGGGCAAAGACACCCATAACGACCGACAGCACAGTCGCCGCGGCGCCCATGGGCATGCTCATGGCGCCGTTGTTGTCGTCCGTGGTGGTGGTGTCCGAGTTGCTCGCGGCGCTGGAGGTGTTGGTTTGCTTCGCGAGGGCTTGGAAGGCGGCAAAGTCGCGCGCGGAGCTCTCGTCGGAGTTGATGGCCCTAGGGGAGGGGTCAGTATGATAGTCGAACGACGACGAGGAAAGGTGAGGTCAGTGGAGAATCATATACTCACATGACCATACCCGCCGCGCAGTGGTCCGCGGGAGTCTTCTGCGAGCAGTAGACCCAGATGGGCGCGGTGTCGTTGACGGTGACGTTGAAGGTCGGCCACTCGGTGGTGTCGTTCGCGACGGGGTGGCTAGAAAAATGGTGTGAGCAACGACGTTCTTGCGAAGGAGGGCAACGCCGGAAGGTTGGGGAGAAGAGAGGAAGCAACTCACAAGCCAGAAGAGAAGCCCGTCACATCATCCTTGGCGAGCTTGCTGCACGGGTTGTCGAAAGAGCTCTGGACGACGGAGTGGTTCTTCGATTGGCTGAAATATGTTGGTGAGAAAAGGGTTCATGGCAGATCAAGAGACCATATACGCACAACTCGAACACAATCGTATCCCTCGGTGCCGCCTGGACGAACGGCGGGTCGAACGCAAGCGTGCCGTTCGCACCGACGATAACCTTGTGCACCGCGCCCTCCAAGCTTACCGGCGTCGCCTTCGGGGACCCGTAGTACGAGCTGTACGTCGTCGTCCACGTCGACTGCTCGACCGTCACTGTCTCAGTGACGACGGACGGCGCCACAGCGGGCGGAAGCGTGATCGAGGCATTGAAGGCAGCGGTGTACGTCGCGGTGGCGGCAGCGGCAGAAGTCGCGGACGCGCCGGCCTCGAGAGAGGCACCGAAGGCGAGCGCGGCATTCTTGAAGTTGGTGAACGAGTTCGGGCCGTCGGCGGGGCAGTTGACGGCGAAGACCATGCCTATGCACGGATGACGTTCAGTGAGCTGGTATGAGGCGGAGAGATGTGCAAAGACTTACCCTTCCCGCAGTGGTTAGCCGGGGCCTTCTGCTTGCAGTAGACCCAGATCGGGTTCGTGTCGTTGACGGTGATGGTGTAGGTGGGGCGCTCGGAGACGTCCTGGTCCTCGGTCACGGGCTCGAAGCCCGAGTCGAAGCCGCCCTCCTTCAGCCCGCAGGGGTTGGCGAAGGAGGACTGGGTGACGGTGTGGTTCTTGGGGTTGAAGTGGAAGGTGACTTGGTCACCGACGGCGGCGTACTACAAGGACCAAGGTCAGCAAGACACGTCGCAGATGAGGGTAGAGATAAGAAGTACGCACAATAGCTTCGGGCTCAAAGGTCAGGCTGCCGTTCGACCCTCCGACCTGCACATCGAACATCGCGGCGGACGCGAGCGCAGGTAGGATCGCCGAAGCGGCAAAGAACTTTGTAAAGGAGAACATCGTTGTCGTATGCGTTAGACTTCGCTTAGTAGAAAGTAAAGACTATAAAGAGGATGTCGTCAAGACGCGGAGAACGAGTGAACAGCGCGCCGGGCGAGGAAGTTGAAGGGTAAGGAAAAACACACAAGTCCTCCGCTGAAGGGAGGAGAAGGTAAGGGGAAGAAGGGTGAGAGGAATGCAATCCGAGCCATTTTCGCGGGCCTTATAAAGGTCAGGGGCCGGGGACGCATGACAACGAGAACAATTGGGTGCCTGCATGTCGATGCGGGGGCATCCCATTGTGTTGGGCCGGCACGACAGGAGCTGTACCCGGCACTGCAGAAGCGGGCCCGGCACTGAATGGGTCGGCTGACAATTGGGCGGCGCCGTGACACGCGGTGTGCGGCCCATGATACTGGGAAATGGGCGCCCTTCTTGTGAACGCGACGTGGTGGCAACGCAAGACGTGAATTGAGCCCGGGGCTATTTAGTGTGTGTATTTTGATTGGTTATCGATGCAGCCTTGGAAACGTAGAATTTCTGAGTGATCTCTTGTCTTCGGAGCGGACCCTTTGCCGCGGAGCCAGAGGAAGATAAGAAGAGCAACTGATTGCAGACGGGAGATGGAGGTGGGAAGCAGCCAATCAGAAGTTGAACCGTGGGAGAAGGACTGCACGTGCCGATATCGCGTGTCTCGCGCACGCGTCTCGATCCGAGGCCTTTGCGCTGCAACTCCAACCATCGTACACGGCTAGCTACTCTCCGCGCGTGTTCCTCGCTGTCTGACGCGTTCTGCGACGAGAGAAAGAAGTGCCTCCTTTACTGTGCTGTGGTTACGCGTCGGAATTGCTCTCTTCCCCTCTCAAAGACCTCTACATCTGCCATCCACTCGGTGTGAAAACGACCATGTCCCAACAAACATCAGCATCGCCAGTCAAGCGAGTGACTGCGTCCATCACGCCTCACCGCTCGGAGGCGATTGTGCGCGTACGCGCCAACGCTATGGCCTTCTCGGCGCTTCTGATATTGACGTGGTTGCTCCCTGTGCGTACACTATCCCAAGTGCACTTCGAGTACTTTACCGACGCGCTTCTCAGGTCCCCTCGCTTACTGTGGCAACAAGTCGACTGGCGCAACACTGGTATGAAGGAGGGGGCCTGCTACAGCTGGGAGAACCGCAGTTGTTGCTATGTACTCTTGGTGAGTGTCATGCCTGTTCGAGTCGAACTGGTACTGACTTATACCTCCTTCCTCGGGAATCTTTGCATCATCACAGAATCACTCGCTGCTACCATCTTTGCGGTGAACCTGCTACAAGGGTTCTACGCGATCAAGTTCCCCCGCAAAGCCCCTCCTCCACCTCCAGAATCGGCAAGGAAGCAGATGCCTTTCAAATCCCCTCCACCAAGTGTGAAGCGCCCTTTCAAGGACCTCACACCGAAGGTATGCTGGATGTATCTTTGCTAAGGTCCTCCCTGATGCTCGCCACAGTCTACCCCGCAAAAGCAACGCCCATTTTCCGCCAGCGCAAATGGCACACCATTAGGGGCAAGTTCGTCGCTCGCATCGCTGTCGGTGACGTCGCCAAGCAAATACCCTCCCTCGCCGGTGTCGACGCCATCGCGAGTGCTGCAATACTCGGTCCCAGAGTCGCTGTCTTCGACTTCGTCGACGTTGCCACCGACACCGAGCCCGATCATGAGCGAGTATAGGAATAAGCAGCGTTCTGTGTACGGACGTAAGTTATTTCTCTCGAGACCTTCTCCACATGCCTAACCTTTTTGCAGGTCCTATCGACGCATCGTTCTTGCTTTCGCAGGTCGCGCCAGACGATGATTAGCCTGCCTGGATGCAGGTTCTGTTACGCCTCATTATGATTATTGCTACGTTGCATATGCTGTTGCTATCTCGGTCTGTCTCGGGCGTATATGTAGAAAGTAATGCATCGAACGATCTCTCCTGAACATGCTGTACCCTTCTCTCAAACGTAACCGTCAGTAGTGGAGATCAATTGTGGCCACAACCGTGACGCACGGACAAAAGGGATCACGACCGTCACAATCACGTCCGAATTTGGCAATCGTGTTTGTTGTGTCTTCTTTCTCTTTTGGACGCGTTCACGCGAAGAAGATGGCGCGTTTCCGGGCATATACCACCGACAGCAGCGACGACGAGGAAGAGGAGAAGCCCACGACCCCCGCACCTCAGCCACGCCCCGCCACGAAATCTAATGCCCGTCCTACAGTCGACACGAACATGGAGAGCGACGAGGAAGACGAAAGCGAGGAAGCCGTGAGCAGCGGCGCAGAAGAAACGGAAGAGGACGAAGATGAAGACGAGGACGAGAAGACAGAGTCTGACGACTCAGAAGAAAGCAGTTCTTCATCTATGCGCGAAGCCGAGCTTCTGCTCACCAAAAAGCCAACGAGAAACGCGCTCGTACCCGGCGAGGACGGCGAGTTCGCATTCGCGCATGAGGTGAATGGCAATGGTCATATGCCCCCCGGCGTTGACGCGCGCAAGGTGGAGGTCATGCGCGCGTCATTCTTCGAGACCGAGCGCGAGCGCGCGGCGATGCGTGCAGCGGAAGAGCAGACGGCGCGCGGGGTCCCGCGCCTATCCCCCCAGTCGCTGAATCGCAAGCATAGCCGGGACTCGGAGGGGGATGGGCTGAGAGGGGATCCGAGGGAGGTGCGTGGAGTGATTCCTGGTCGTTGTTCGATCGCTAAGTGGATTGCAGCGCGCGTCGTTCGGCCACGACGTTGATTTGGTGCCGCAAAGACCGTCACGCAAATATGCGCGTGTGTCCAGTGCGGCTTCCGCTGTAGCCGGGTGCGAGGGGTACTACGCAGATGCGGGTCTTGCTATGGGGAGATCATTCCGCGTTAGCTGGGGACCAGGGGGTAGGCTGGTGCACCTCGGTTCATTATGCGCACCCTCCTCACGACCGTAAGCGCCGCGCTACCACCGCTCTTGTGTGAATTCTAACATTCTATAGATCGCAATCTGCCAACTCCTCCGTCGTCACGATCACCAAAGTCCCCATGTCCTCCTCCATCGAACACAACGCACTCTTCTCCGAATCCCTCCTCAGCCACCAGCTCACCCACACGACCGTCGCACCCGATGAAGACGAGGTCCCCTTCGCCAACCCGAAGAAGAGCGAACTCAAATTCTCCACGTTTGCGTCCCTCTTCGGCGCGACGGACCGCTCCTATGAGGCGAACCTCTTCCGCTTGGGCCAGGCGCTCTTCGACAGCTTGGAAGAGCGGCTGGGCGCGAGCGTGCCCGCCGAGATGCGCTTCCGTATAGCGAACTTGCATAGGAAAGCTGCTTTGTCCGAATGGCTGCAAGAAGCCGTTGCACCCACAGTCGCCGCCGGCATCACCGAGGGCTCGCCCACCGACCCCAAAACGGCCATCACGAACGCCTTCACGCTCCTCACCGGCAACCAGGTCGAGCAGGCTTGCGACGAGGCTGTCAACGCGGGCTTCTTCAACCTTGCCACGCTGATTGCGCAAGCTGGCGGCGACGATACGTTCCGCGCGGACCTGCAGCACCAACTGCAAATCTGGCGCGAGCAGAACATCCCCATTGACGCTGCTGTGAAGCGAATATACACCCTGCTAGCTGGTAGCGAAACCCTGGGCGATGGCCTCGACGTCACGGACGGCTTGGACTGGAAACGCGTGCTTGGGTTGCATCTGTGGTATTTTCACCCGCCGGGCGACTCTGTGACGGACGTGTTCCGCGAGTTCAGCACCCTCAACTTACAGCGCCCGCCACATTACCTCGAAGACACCGACCACGCCGCCTGGACCGGCGTCTGGAGCGTGCGGCGCGATGTGCCAGCACCACCGGACGGCATGTACCAGCTCATCCAGCTTTACGCGGATCAGTCGGTTTCGCTATCTCAAGCGCTCGAGCCGCTTAGCTTCTCTCCTTCACCACTTGATGTCGGCCTGCTATGGCACCTCTACATCATCATCTCAAGGTGCCTACGGCAACGAGACCTCGAAGACCGCGAGGAGGTCGACCTTCCAAGCGATCACTCCGTGGACGAGGATAATGAGGTTGAGGGGCACAGCCCTTCGGCGGACCTGCTCGCGAGCAGCTATGCGCACCAGCTCGAGTCCGAGGGGATGCTGCAAGAGGCGGCGTTCGTGCTGTTGCACTTGGAGGGGTCGCGTGGGTGGGTGATTTGCAAAAGTGGACGAAAAGTTGCTAATATATTGTGCAGACGCGAACGCGCTTTGCGGGACCTCTTGATGCGGTCAGCGCCAGCACTGGACGAGTGGGCGCAGAGGGGACTCATCGGCAGCTTGCATCTGCCTCAAGCATGGGTCCACGAAGCATTGGTTAGTGCTTTCCTGCCTTCGTGCTTGCACTTCGCTCATCGAGTATATTGCAGGCAACGTATGCGTACTACAACGACGATATGTTTACTGCATACGAGCTGTACCTCTCCGCAAACTGCCGCGATCCTGCGCACGATATTGCTGTCCGGTATCTTGCTCCCGACGCAATCTTGCGGAAAGATCACGTCCTGCTTAACGAACTGCTCGAGCCCTTCGTCGGCAAGCCGGTCGAGGACTGGGCAATACGTGGCAAGGTATCTATTCATGATAACCTTCTTGGCCTTGAGGCTCATCATTTCTTCGCAGATCCTCATGGACTACGCCCACATCATGCAACGCCTCCCCCAACTCGCCGCACGCCAAGCCCGCGACGCCATCCCCGATGCCACAGAAGCCCTCGAGCTTGAGGACCTCTGCCGCAGCGTGCCCAAGATTCTCGGCCTCCTCCCCGACGTCTTCCGCGCGCGCGAGCCGCGGCATCGCGCCGCGCTCGCGGAGATTACGGCGGGCCTGCTCGGCGTGGTCGACAGGGTGCGCCCGGCGGCGCTCGCGCAGGTGCAGTCGAAGTTCATCGCGGAGGGCGCGCGGTTGGGACATGTGAGGTCGATGGCGCACGATCGATTTACGAGAAGTTTGAAGGCGGTGGAGGGGGCGAGTGCGTGAGGGTAGATGTTTGTAGTATGAAACGTGTATACTTCTGCGCGCTGTCAGCGTATGCTATGAGCATGTGAGGCTGCTTTCGAATTTCGAGAAGGACGATGCTGCAGTCCGAACGTCTGCCATGCAAGAATAGTCATTCGTTGAATAGATCAGCGTTCGGCGCGATTTGCGATTGACCGTGACATTCCGTATGTTCCCTTTCGCAGCTCGTATATTATGTAGATCGTCTTCTTGTGTGGCTGCCGACACGGACGATGGCATGGGTAGAATCATCTATAGCATCCATAGGGTATGCAATTGCCAAGAACTTCTTGCCTGAAGGTTGGAAAGTACAATCAGTCACGTCAGTCTTGAGGAGGGACACGTCGACGAACCCAGATATCAGGCTATGTCGAAGTCTTTGAGGTCCTTCCATGCGGGCAACCCGAACGCTGCAGGCAGTTGGTCCCACGCCTTCTTTTTCATGGTGGCCAACAGTGTGCCATACTCCGCACGGCATATATTGGCGCAACACCCTTCAGGCGTGGTATGAACCCACGAACCCAGAGGATATTGACCGTCTATGTTCGTAAGGTAGAAACGGTGACGCGCGTAACCGCAATTGATAGAATTCGGTGAATTGTTGCCATGAGGATTCGTTTTCGTACCCCATGGCTTCAGACATTCGATGGTGATGTTCATGAGCTTTGCGCGTCCACCTAAAAGAACACAGTGCGCTCTGTCGCTGATATCGGTATTTCTGATAATCGTGTCCTATTCAACAGATAGTGGTGGGTTAGTTTTGCGCAACATGGAGCAGGCGAACGTACCACAGTGTCCGAATAGATGATTCTATAGTACAAACCTGGTAGTATGGTTTGCAAACCGACCTCAGCAACAACATCGACAAGAGGTAGTAAGCCTCTGCGACTCGTCAAGCGTATCGCGGTTGCGTCATCATTTCGGCTGATAACTTTCGCATACATGGTCAAGGTTGCAAGCATCTTCGCCTCGTCTGTCGGGAAGGCACGACGTTGACTGGTGACAGCGTCGTTCCACAAGTGCGGTATGAGGTACTTGTGACCCATGCGAAGGGATGCTATAAGTTCGGACACGGTAGGGGCCTTCCAAGGGTTTTCTGGAGCAGCTCTAAAGAGCATCAGTACAATCAACTATATGCTCGCTGTAATTCCATTCGAAGCAAGTAGAACTCACAGGTTGAACAGCTTCGTCAACATGAATTGCACGTGGGAGGCCTTGTCCGTCAGGTGTACAACGGGGCATCCTTCTACGAGCGCTTCTGTGGTATTGGCAGGTTGTGGGATACCGAAGATATCCTTAAATGCGGGCGAGTGTCGGGCGAGGAGACTGCGGTGCACACGAAACTGGAGTTTCTCGGCCTGAAGGATGATATTCCTGTCGTCGAACCAGATGTCAGATCGCTTGACGGGTGGTGCGTTGTCCTCGTCTACGCGCTGTCTTTTGGCGGGCCTGTCGGCCTCCATGTCGAGTGAGGCCCAAGTGTCGCGCCCAGATGGTTGTCGGAGACAGGGAAGGTCCCACAGGCGACCGCCGACCGGGGATCAATCGGCATTTTCCGTCTTCCCGCGGTCCGCTCATGTCCCAAAAGAGAGCAAGGTCCGGTCGGCGTACTTATGCTGATCAGTGCAGACGACCGCAAACTCGCCGACATGTACAGAATGGCATTAACTCTACTTGCGTGTCTTCTGCTCATCGAGACGCGTAGAGGCTCGCAAAATTGCTATAACTCGCGTTATGGGTGCTTATCGGCAATTGCCGTTCCTGTATGGACTTGCCCCATATTCAAGCGACTCTCAAAGCTTGTTGGGATCACGCACCTGGGAAAGGATTTGTACCATAATGCTGACACAGGACGTGCCATTTGCGGTGGACTAGGATTCAACTCGATATCATACGTGTATTACGGAGCTATAGCTCCGACCATGATTAAAAGTGAGGATCAACCACCAGCTCGCTCAGCTCGGGAATTCGAACGGGCAGGCACATGACTGACTATTTTATATCTCGAAGTCGTGTAGGTCAGCCCAGGGAGGCAGCCCAGATACGGTCGGCAACTCCGTCCACGCCTTGGAGCGCATGAGCGACAGCGCCACTCTGAGATGGACACAGCACGCAGAGCACATGTTGAGCGGGAGGGTCGCTGTCCACGGACCAATAGGGAACCTGGCGCTCGCATCTTCCAGCAAGAAGTCGTAGCGTGCTTTCCAGCAGTGAGAGTCCACTGTGGTCACGTGTACATCGTGTCTGCCCCAGGTCCGCAATACGCTGGCTACGCTGCTGAGAAGCCGGGCGCGACCACCTAGGAGGGCGGCGCGCGCTCGATCGCTGAGTCCAAAGTCGCCACCGATGATAGTATCCTACGAGACAAAATCAGTGACTACCAATATGCAGGGGAGAAGAAGCCATACCAACGTCTCGCGCACGACAATCCTATAGTAAAGGACCGGCAACACGGTCTGAAGCCCGACTTGCTCAACCACATGGACGAGCTGGAGGAGGTTCTCTGAAGCTGGGACGCGTATTTCGGTGGCACGTCTTGACGCTGAGATATCATTATCCTCTTTCAGACGATACATCATGAGGTCAAGATCTGCCGGAAACGCGCGGCGTAGGCGATTGACGGGGTCGTTCCATAGTCGTGCAATGAAATATTTGTGTCCCATACGAAGGGAAGCTATGAGGTCGGAGATGTCGAGAGCTTGGCGACGGTCATCCTCAGTGTCTGATCTGGTTCGTAGTCAATGAAAGGTATACTGCGATTACAAGTCATGCACGCACATATTAAACAGCTTCGCGAGCATGAAGTGTACGTCGTCCGCCGAGTCCGCGAGATGGATGACAGGACAGTCCTCGGCCTGAGATGGAGGACTGGAGGCGCTAGTGGGTTGTGGCATGGCAAACATGTCCTTGAAGACAGGCGAATGCCTGGCAAGCAGGCCGCGGTAGACGCGGAACTGATAGCCTCCAGCTTGGAGGATGATATTGCCATCGTCGAACCAAACGTCCGAGCGCACAGCATCAGAAGAACCTTCGTCCGTCCTCTGGCGCTTCTCCGGACGCTCGGCCTCCATGGCGCGCGACCACCACGAACGCGCGAGAGAGGAAGGACGACGCGCGAGTTAGGGGCAAATCAGAACGCGAGCATTGCCGCGGAGCATCGGGCCGGACGCCGCCCAGATCACCCGACCATTGTCATCAAATCATCCCCTCCTTGTCCGAGACCACAACAATGGCGTCCTTGGTTTGCCGTCGTCTGCAGCGCCCAGTAGCATCGCAAGTGCGGTGTCTTGCTACACCAGCCTCCTCTGGGACTGCTTCACGCGGCAACTTCAAGCAGGCACTCGCGGACGGCCCGTCGTTCGACGACTTCGTCAGCGGCAATGTACCTGAGCGGGTTACTTTGGGAAACACGAGCGCGTATGTTCAGAGAGTGTGCTAGATAGTTGCAATGCTCATGAATCATAGCCCTCGCCTGCCAAAGTTCTTGAAGACGTCGATCCCTTCGGGCAAGAACTACAAGCGTCTGAAGAATGACTTGCGCGGGTTGGGTTTGCACACCGTCTGCGAGGAAGCACGGTGTCCGAACATTGGGGAGTGCTGGGGAGGGAAGGAGGGAGCTACAGACGCAGAGAACAGGAGCGCAGCGACAGCCACGATCATGGTGCGCGAGACCGAGGTCGCGATTCATTCGCCTCGCTGATAGACACCTTCCCAGCTCATGGGTGACACCTGCACACGCGGATGCCGCTTCTGCTCTGTGAAGACGTCTCGTGCACCACCTCCCCTTGACCCGCACGAGCCAGAGCATACAGCCGAGGCCATAAGCCGATGGGGCCTCGGCTACGTCGTGCTCACCAGCGTGGACCGAGATGGTGTGCTCCCTCTAGCTTTCATTCATCGTACATCTAAACACAATTACCACCAGACCTCGCTGATGGCGGCGCACACCACTTCGCCGAGACCATCCGCAAAATCAAGCAGAAGGCCCCCCACATCCTCGTCGAGGCCCTGACGGGCGACTACGCAGGCTCGATGGAGCATGTTGCGCTGGTAGCGAAGTCAGGGCTTGACGTCTACGCGCACAACGTCGAGACGTCGGAGGAGATGACGCCGTTCGTGCGCGACCGGCGGGCGACTTTCCGCCAGAGTCTGCAGGTGTTGAAGCATGCGAAGGAGCAGGGTGTGCGCATCACGAAGACGAGTATTATGCTTGGTGTGGGCGAGACAGAGGACCAGATAATGCGCGCTTTGCAGGGTATGTATCACAGTTTAGTTTGAGATTAACGGAGGCTGACCATTCACCAGAGCTGCGCAAGGTCGATGTCGATGTGGTGACGTTCGGGCAGTACATGCGGCCCACGAAGCGCCACATGAAGGTCGACCGCTACGTTGAGCCGGTCGAGTTCGAGCGCTGGCAGAAGATTGCAGAGGACATGGGCTTCCTGTATGTGGCCAGCGGGCCGTTGGTGCGCAGCAGCTACAAGGTCAGTCTCCCTTTTTTCTTGCAATCATCTTTGACCTGACCGACCCTCTCAGGCTGGCGAGTTCTTTATCGAGAACGTATTGCGCAAGGGCGAGAAGGAGGCGAGGAAGTTGGCGGCTGATGCAGCTGCACTGACGCCTGAGGCGCCAGCGGTCTCCGCTGCACGATTTGGCCCTGCCTCTGCCACTGCTCTGGCGACTTCAACGTCGCTGGGCGATTATATAGATAATTAGCTACCTCATAATATCCTCTGACATACAATCAGGAAATGTAAATGCTGTATCGCTCGACTCACAACGCAGTAAAGACGTCGAGGAGAGGACCGGAGCGTTCACTTTGGGTCCGACTTGTGGGTCCAGTCTCGAACCGTGATCATCCCGGTCCGCTCCTCCGCACGCGATCGCCGCCGCCGCCCCAGACTCCAGTCCACCGAACTCGTCCACAACCATGAACGCGCTATCACGACGTGAGGAAGATACTGTCGTCAAGACCGCCAAGGGGCGCGCTCTGAAGCTATGTGATCCGGTGGTGAAAGGTGCGTAGCGGTGGTTCACTTGCTCGAAGGGATGGAACCCTTGCGGGACTGTCCACCCAGTCCTCCTTACTGCATGTCTAACACGGTATACAGAATTCGCCGAGTGCGCCACCGGACGCACTGTATCTGTGGCGTGGGCATGCAGGCAGCAATTGCACGCTGTTGAGGATTGCATGAGGCAGTAGTGCGTATGCACCTCTTCCTGAAGACGATCAGCGAGCTGACGGGCTTTCCTCCTTCCCAATCTCTCCCCCCCCCCCTTGTACATCCTCATGCTCTCGCTGTTGCATTTCCCTGTTCTTCCAAACACCATGAACCCCCTGCAGCACGAGCCCAGCAAACCTCGACAAGGTCCGCGCGGAGTACCTGCGCCTTCGCAATGCACAGAACGAATACCATGGATTACAAGGGGAAATCGAAGTTCACCATCCGGCGTAGCGTAGGCACGCTGTACTTGTACTGTATAATGGATCGCACGACCTCAGCTCATCATCACCATCCATGGTTATGTGTGACTTGTCTGATTGGGTTACAGCAGGGTATACATAACATCTCATGAGCAGTAAAGGACATAACGATGGTGATTGGTACTGTACATTGCGACCTAGGAGATCGTGCAAGGGCTTACTAAGACGAAGCACCCGCGGCGGCCCATGCCTTGCGAAGAGCGAGGACGGAGGTGGTGAATCTGCGAGAAGCATGAGGATACCGCAATGTAGACGCATGTAAGACACATACCCAGCGAGGCCCAGGAAGCCGTCGTTGACGGTGGTGAGGCCCAGGGCAGCCGCAGGGATCCAAGCATCGAGAGCGTCGATGTAGATCTGCTCCCGGGTGGCGGCGCGAGCGCTGCAAAGGGAGTGTGAGCATGCTTGATAGGACGATGAAGAATTAGTACATACGCTTCAGCAGCCACGACCTGCTGCGCGAGCGCTTGCGCCTCACCGACGTCCTTCTCACTCATGTGCCGTGACTTGAGGGCCTTCGTCTCCTTCGTCAGGCGCGTGATCTGCACATCGTCGGTCAGTCTCACCCCTCCCTCTTCAATGACTATCACCCACCTTGACCGCTCCATGCGCCAAGCTGACCAGGATACCCGCGAGCCAGAATCGGTTCGAAATGCGGGAGACCCTCTGCGCCGTTGCCGGCTGGAGGTTAAGGAACTTGATGCTGTTGGCCCAGACCAAGGCATCAAACGACAAGTACCCGAAGTACGCGAGCTGGCGCGCGATGGTGGTGAGTTGTTCGGCCGGTGGCGCGTTGGCAAACGCGGCCTTCAGCGCGGCTTGCAGGTGCTCGACAGGCTTGCCGAGGCGCAGGACTGGGGGTGGGGGTACATGTGAATATCGGGGAGAGGGAATGCGGGGAAGGGATGCACGAACGCTTGCGGGCCAGCGCGAGGTGGGATTTCAGTGCACTCCAGCGCGCCGCGTCGAGCTTGTTCCCCTTTGAGAGAAGATACCACGCAATGAAGCGGGCGAGGTACTGGACTGCACGGTAGGCCTGCAAGCTTCGCGTCAATACACCGAGGGGATGCATTCATGTCAAGTGCACCTTGTCGCGGCCGAGCGTAGTGTTCCCGACTTTCAAGCTCTGAGAGACGAGGGGATGGAAAACGACTTGAGACGCGACACTGGCCATGCTGAGGGTCGAGGAGGGGGATGGTGGTGGTCGAGAAGCAAGTGACTCTGGGAGGCGGGGAGATCACAAGCGCCGGCATCCCGATGAGCGAATGCGGTCTCCGGGCCGGTGGATGCATGTGATTCTGACATTCGGAACCACCCGAAAGTTGAACTGGATGGACCCACAACTTGGACTTCGTTGTTGACTGCATCAGGCAGCTGCGCGAAAGTCTGCGCGGGACACGTAACGAAATGGATCATTCGAACGGCCTCTTCCTTTGGAACCTATTTCGTTGCTCGTAAGTTCTATGGGCCAAGTCGTCCACCTGTCATCGCGCCGTCTGCAGTGCACATTTGGAGACTTTCAAGTCGAGGGTGAATGGATAGAGGTCAAAAGCCCCTCGAGACCACGCTGCGGGTGATAACAGCTATTGTAGTGCAGCCGTCCAATCATCCTTCTCGAGCTATTCGTCGGGAATACTCGTAGAAGCCCTTGGCAAGCGACGGAATGCACGTCCCGTCGTCATTCGGAGCAATCCGGACCCGCCACGCGAGCGACGCAGAGATCGCTGCTCACAGGCGCCCGTCCACTTGTCTCTTGCCACCGTCGCCAACCTACGCCTCGAGTTCCACCACAAAATGTCCACCCTCCACCTCTCCCGCAGAGTACGCCCACCGCTGTCACCGGTTTGCGCGTTAACACGTGCTTAAACAACGTCACCAGATCCTATGCCGCGCACCTATAAGGCGGGCCGTGCCCAGCCAGCGCCTATTTTCGACTACTTTCATGGTGCGTTGTTTGCGGTGTCGCAGAGATGTGGGGGCTGATGGGAATGCGTTCAGGCTGCTCAACAACACCGCATTGAAAGGGATACGTTCGGCGAGCTCCAGGTACCCTCGGACCGGTACTGGGGCGCGCAGACCCAGCGGTGCGCGAGACAAGAGTCTCTCCCCAAGGATCCTAATCTGATTGCGGACTGTAGCTCTTTGCAGAACTTTGACATTGGTGGTCCCACCGAGCGCCTCCCACCGCCCCTCATCAAGGCCTTTGGTGTCCTGAAGAAGGCGGCGGCGACTGTGAACATGACCTATGGCATGGACCCCAAGCTCGGGAAGGCCATCCAGCAGGCGGCGGATGATGTGCGTGCTATCATTAAGGAAGGGGTCAGTCACTGACGAGATATGCAGGTCATCTCGGGGAAGCTGATCGACCACTTCCCCCTCGTCGTGTTCCAGACTGGTAGCGGTACGCAGTCGAACATGAACGCGAATGAGGTGCGCGAACTCCCCACAGTGCAAGGCGGTATCTGATCACATATGTAGGTCATCTCGAACCGCGCCATCGAGATCCTCGGTGGCGAGCTTGGATCCAAGAAGCCCGTCCACCCTAATGACCATGTCAACATGAGCCAGAGCAGCAACGACACGTACGTCCACCCCCTCGCACTTCCCCACTGCATACTCATCCGCTTTTCTCCCAGCTTCCCCACCGTCATGCACATCGCTGCCGTCACCGAGATCACCAACAACCTCCTCCCCGCCCTGACTGAGCTGCGCGACGCGCTCGACCAGAAGGCCAATGCCTTCGAGAAGATCATCAAGATCGGCCGCACACACTTGCAGGACGCGACGCCCTTGACGCTCGGGCAGGAGTTCAGCGGCTACGTGCAGCAGCTCACCTTCGGGATTGAGCGTATCAAGGGCACGCTGCCGCGCTTGAGCTTGTTGGCGCAGGGTGGTACTGCTGTTGGGACGGGGTTGAACACGAAGAGGGGCTTTGATGCTTTGGTCGCTGCGGAGGTGTCGAAGTTGACGGGGATTGAGTTCAAGACGGCGCCGAACAAGGTATGTGGTAGACTGTGGTACTGGAATATAATGCTCACCATCCGTAGTTTGAAGCCCTTGCCGCTCATGATGCACTCGTTGAGGCGCACGGCGCATTGAACACGGTCGCTGTCTCGTTGATGAAGATCGCCAACGACATCCGTTTCCTGGGCTCTGGCCCTCGTTGTGGTCTCGGCGAGCTTGCCCTGCCGGAGAACGAGCCGGGTAGCTCTATCATGCCTGGTATGCGCTCAAGCATGCGACAATTATCGACTGCTAACTTTTGTGTAGGCAAGGTTAACCCGACCCAGTGCGAGGCGTTGACGATGGTCGCTGCCCAGGTCATGGGTAACAACACGACCGTCAGCATTGCAGGCTCGAACGGTCACTTTGAGGTATGTTCCTATGGTTATGAAGTTGTAAGGTTGTGGCTGACACAGTTTCACAGTTGAACGTCTTCAAGCCAGTCATCATCAAGAACGTTTTGCAGAGCATCCGCTTGCTGGCAGATGGTCAGTTTCTATCTATGTTTACTACCTTCGGTACATCGCTCTTTGCGACGGGGCGCAAATTTGGCTGTCTCTCGTGTACCGAGGCCGTCTTACCTTCGGTCTTGATATTGAATGGGGTGCTAACCTGTCTCATATAGGTTCGCGCTCGTTCACCAAGAACTGCGTGGTCGGTATTCAGGCAAACGAGAAGCGCATTAGCTCGCTCTTGCATGAATCCCTGATGTTGGCTACGATTCTCAACAGCCATCTCGGCTACGACAGTACGTGTCAATTCATCTTCTCGCTTGTCCGTGCGTCGACTGCGTGTACCTTCCCACGCTTTCACGACATGGGACCTCGGTTTAGCCTGGCTTCTATGGCCCCCCTTTGGCCGTGCTTCCCCACGCCTGCAATTTTCCGTTCGATGGGGTGCTAACTGTATGCGCAGACGTTGCCAAGTGTGCGAAGAAGGCCCACAAGGAGCACACCACTCTCAAGGAGGCCACCGTTGCGCTGGGCTTCCTCACCCCGGAGGAGTTCGACGAGAAGGTCCGCCCTGAGCTGATGCTGTACCCCGACGAGCCCTAGATGGCGTGCCGAGTACGGTGGTGGTAGCGCGGTGACGCGAAGCAGTTTACATTCCGGCTGTGCGGCGAGCTGCCAACAGAAACGCCGGTGTGAGAAGCAGGATCTCTACCGTGCGCCTGTTCGTGCATGTCTTCGGTCTCTGGGAGGAGTGGTGGTCCGTTTTGTACCATAATTGCCCAATTTTACGCAGTTTGGCCATCTGAGCGATTTCTGATCTCGATAGCGGGTTGACAAGCCGCTTGGACCCTGTGATGGGTCTCGGAGGAGTGCCGGATTTGGGAAGTTCTCGTATGTAATAATCAATCACCCCAACTTCAACAATGGCGGCTCCGACTCGTGACGACAGCAAGGCTGCACAGGGCGCGAGAGATAGATAACAGCACTTTGACTGCAAAAGCATCGGCAGGAGGAGGCATTCTGGTGTCGTTCCAGCGCGCCGAGCACGAGTTGGAGGAGTCGAATAAGCGGGCACATCGAAGCTCGGAATCGGAACTTTCCCAATTCGGAGCGAATTGAGCATAAAATTCCCTGTAATAAGGCACTCCCGAGAGGGACGTGCAGTCTGTAACACTTTCTCATCGTCGTCTCGTGGCCACAACGACGAGCAGAGAACGCCGCGCAGCATCGGGCACGACGGCGAAATCGAGTGCGAACATCCCGGTGGTGTACGCGTTCCGTCCGACCTGGGTGCTGTTTCCGCTGTCGTTTTCTCCCACGAGGCCGCCGCTTTTCTCCACATCTTGGTTTAGACGGTCATGTCGCTGAGCCGCATCCTCAACGACGACCCGGCGCCCGGTGGAGGTCCCTCGACACCCTACGGGCAACCGCCGAGTTACCCCAGAGAGGACCCTCAGCCAGAGCGCCAACAAAGAGCGCCTCCTCCGCAACCGAATACATATCGCGTTGAGCCAGAGAGGGCGAATTATTCATACGCAGCGCACCCATATCCGCCGCCACCGCCTCCTCCGGCCGACCAGCGCGACCCTTATGCTCCGTACACCCAGCCCTATGTTCCACCAGATCAGCAGCCAGCTCAGCCCCCGCCACCTCAGCAGCGTTCCTACTATCGAACCCACGTCGAGTACCAGGCGCCTGGGCCCTCTGCCAACAATTCAGCGTCGCGCGCCGGTTCCCCTCCGCGCAAGCGGCACAAGCCTGGCGAGGATGAGGCCCGCCATCCTGCTGCCTATGTCAGCCACCTGCATCACAGCTCACTGGCCACCGCGTGCTGACTCATAATTCGCAGGCACCGCGTTCAAGCTCGCGATCGCTGCGCCTGCCGCCCGACGCGGACGAGGCCGTACGCGCCCCATCGCCTGATCTGGCGGAAACAGAGGAGGTTTGGCTCGGTGAACTTGGTGGTTATATTCGTGAGACTCAAGACCGACAGCGCGCGGTGGAGCACTTTTACCAGGCGAACATCTCGGTGCGTGGTGCTCTCTAAGTGTAGCTGGCTGTGCTGACTCGCGCTCCTGCAGGGCCAGATTGGCGAAACGGCGCGGCGCCTATCGCACCAGTATGCTCACAAGGTCGCCAAGGTCCCTCAACCATCCTCCCCTCCTCATATGCCCTACGGACACTCGACAACGCGGCTAGAGGAAGAATGGGAGCGACGTCAGAAGCAAGAGCAAATGTCTGCAGAGGCGTGGGGCCGCCCCCGTGATCAGTCGCCGTACGCAGAATATACGCAAGCTACAAGCCCATCGTCCCGGCGGCAGTACTCCCCAGCCGAAGGCTCGTTGTACTCGCGGCACTCGCCACCCGTGCCTCCTCCCGTGCACGCAGGGATCAAGCGCAAAACCCTGGATGGTACTCCCTCTGATGCAGGTCGCGCTGACGTGTCGTCCCAGAGCTCATACTACCGCGAAAGATCCATACCGCAGCCGCCCGTCCCGCCCGTACCCTCCGCGAGCGCCCCGCGACCCAACGACAAGGGCAAGGAGCGTGAGGCACCGCAGCGAACGCTCAAGCTCCCGCCTCCGCCACCTTCCCTGCTTCGCGGGCCGGACAGCGTGACCTCGGACAGCGACACGGAGGAGGAGTCTTTAAACGAGCAGGGGAAGCGGGCAATCAAGCGGCGAAAGGTGGATGAGTTCGACGCACCGCCGCCGCCGCCTATGGACGAGTCGGCCTCCGCTTCCCCTGCCCCATCCCGACTCACCGTGGGGCGCGCGAAGGCCGCGCCCAGGCCGCCCGCGCCGGTGATGGAGAGCGTGTCTGCGCCGGTGCCACCGCCGGCGAAGCCTCCGCGCAAGAGGGCTGCTCCACGAAAGAAGCGAGGATCGGCGTTGTCAACGCCTCAGCCGCACGAGGCTTATAACCATACGGCTGTCCCGCCTGTGCCTCCTGCCACCACCGGGTACCCCACCGCGGACGTGGATGATGCGAGGTCTTTGTCCACGGCTACCTCGCCTCCCCCGCTGCCCGTGCCTCACCACCCATACTACAGACCGAGTGTGATGGAGAAGGCGGCCTTGGAAGCGGCGGCGGCGGCTACGGCACCTCCGGCTGCATCTATCCCATTGGACTCGAGGCCGGCATCACCGAGTACTCAGAGCACAGCGGGGGCGTTCATCTACGAGCTCGATGACGTGCCGCCTACGCTGAGGAAAGCGAAGAGGGTGGATCAAAATGGGCAAATTAAGCGCGTTCGGACCGTAGAGGAGGCGCAGAAGAAGGTCTGGACGACGATCGCTAGGAGGGACGTGGTCAAGGTGAGTTTTTCGTAAAGTCGTGCTCACACCTCCCCTCACACGTGGGATAGGTGTACAAGTACCAAACCCAAGGATATCAACAACGTCAGAGCCAGCTAGAGCGCCTCGCTACCCTCGCCTCCCGCCAGGCGCGCAAGCCCTTCACGAAGACGCCCAAGTCGACGAAGGATGCGCAGACGCGCGCCAAGCGGCTCATGCGCGAGATGATGGGCTTCTGGAAGAAGAACGAGAAGGAGGAGCGTGACGTGCGCCGGCGTGAGCAGAAGGAGGCCGTGGATCGCATGAAGGTGGAGGATGAGAAGCGCGAAGCGGCGCGGCAGGCGCGCAAGCTGGAGTTCCTGATCAGCCAGACGGAGCTGTATAGTCATTTCGTCGGGAACAAGATCAAGAGTGAGTGGTTTGGGGGATTGTGTGTGAGTGTGCTGACGAAAATGTAGCGGACGAGATAGAGCGGAGCGAGGGTCAGGAAGGGCAGCCAAACGCGGATTACGTACCTACTGGGGCTACCCTACAGTCCGTCGACGCTGATCAGCTTCGGGAGATCGACTTCGACGATGGTCAGTCCTGGTGTCCGAAGGATATATACTTCTTGCTGACGCTCAATGCAGAGGACACCACCAATCTTCATCAGACCGCGAGGCACAATGCCGAGCAAGCGATCGCCGCCGCCAAGGAGCGCGCTGCCGAGTTTGACAAGCAGGCGGGTCGTCAACCATTCAACGGGAGCAGAGCACAGAGCGGCGAGAAGGAGGACGTCGAGACGGGCGGGGAGGGCGGTCTCACCGAGCAGCGTAAGTTTACTTGCGTGTCGTCAAAGAGATTCTCGCTAACCTTGGTGTAGTGGACGATGAGCTCAACTTTAACGATCCTACCACGCTGGATGGACCGATGCTTGTGCAGCAGCCGAAATATCTTACGACGCCTCTGAAGGACTATCAGCTCAAGGGCTTGAACTGGCTTGCGACGCTGTACGAGCAGGGCATCAACGGCATTCTGGCCGACGAGATGGGTCTCGGCAAGGTAAGAGACCCATCTGACTGGTTGTGCGGGACGTGCTAACCATCGCATAGACCATCCAGTCGATCTCATTGCTCGCCTACCTGGCAGAGAAGCATAACATCTGGGGCCCCTTCCTCGTCGTCGCGCCTGCATCGACCCTGCACAACTGGGACGCTGAGCTGACACGCTTCGTACCGAAGCTGAAGGCGAAGCCGTACTGGGGCCAGGTCAAGGACCGAGCGACGATGCGCAAGTATTGGAGCAAGAAAGACCTGACGTACGATGAGGACACCGATCACCATATCATCGTAACCAGCTACCAGATGGTGAGTCCTCAGCCCACTTTGGATCGGGCGTTGTTGACGACGCCTTCTGCAATAGATCTTGCAGGACCAACAGTACTTCCAGCGCGTGAAGTGGCAGTATATGATTTTGGACGAGGCGCAGAACATCAAGAACTCGGCTAGTGCCCGTTGGAAGGTGTTGCTCGGCCTGCAATGTCGCAACCGACTCTTGCTCACTGGTACACCTATTCAAAACTCCATGCAAGGTAAACGCTCTGCTTCTCAATTTCAATGCGTAAGCTGATAGGTTTTCCAGAGTTGTGGGCCCTGCTGCACTTCATCATGCCCAGCTTGTTCGATAGCCACGACGAGTTCAACGAGTGGTTCTCCAAGGACATCGAAAGCGGCGTGGGCAAGAAGGGCGGGAACCGACTCAATGAGCACCAGCTTCGTCGACTTCATATGATCTTGAAGCCGTTCATGCTTAGGCGATTGAAGAAGCATGTCCAGATGGAGTTGGGCGAGAAGGTGCGTTCGCTTGTTTCCGTACCTGCACTGTCGCTCATGCATAGTCGTGCAGATCGAGAAGGACGTCTATGTCGAGATGAGCGGTCGCCAGGGCATTCAATACTGGGATACCGTCAAGTCCGTCTCGAAGTCCGACGTCAAGAGTGCGCTTGCGCCGAGCACTGGGCAGGAGAGTAGTTACCGCTACCTCTACAACATCATCATGCACCTTCGCAAGGTATGTCACTTACTTCGAAGGCACGTCAACGACGCTAATGGTCTGTATAGATCATCAACCACCCTGAGCTCATGGGACGTACGGCGGTGCAGATGCCCTTCTCGTTTTCGCCTTGTCGGCCGCCCGTCTCCTTTGCACGGGAGGCGGACACGCTGATGGTGCCATACTCCGCCCGCAACCTCATTGAGTACACGGTACCGAACCTGCTCTGGCAAGATGGTGGATTCATGTCCCTGCCATATGAGGAGTCCAAGGCTCCGTCGCGCAGTAGCGTTCTGACGAAGCTCATGAACATCTGGTCGACGGACTGGATCGAGAAGTCTCTGGCTGAAGATGGTGAGTAGCATTGGAGTCCACTCCGTTCCCTTCATTGACCATGATATCAGCGGCATCGTCTTTCTCCTTCCTGCGGCTGTTGGGCTTGACATCAAGCGACGCGCATCGGATATCCGAATCGTCACTCTTGTATCGTAGATTGCTCGGCCTTCAACAGGAGAGGAAGATGATCGAGAATGGACCTTACTCTACGTGGGCATGAATTACCATATCTTCGTGACGGTTTGCTGACACCTCTGACAGGGATTCCGACTTCGTTGCCTGCACTGCGCAACCACGCTTGCGCTTCAGCTTGTACCATCCTGTTCATGACCTCGAAGTCGCTCATGGCCAACCGGCGCTGACGGAAATCTCGCGCACATCATGGGCCACATCCGTTCTATCTCTTCCTTCTGTCCGCTTCTACAGGCCTGCTGCTGTTGCTCCACCCGTCTCCGTCCACTGCAATGACCGCGCCTTCCTTGACTCTCGCAACAACTGGCTCGAGGCGCCGTTCGAGACCCTCGTCCTCTACGGTCTTCCACCTGCTCTTCGACAGTCGGAACGCGCTTGCACGTTGTACGAGGAGCGCATACCTGCGCTTCCTCCGACTGGTCTCTTGAGCATGACGCACCGATCTCAGATACCGCCGACGTTCATTCACACCCCCGCCGCCAACCGTCTCATCTACGATTCGGGCAAGCTCTCGGGATTGGACACGTTGCTGCAGCAGTTGAAGGCCGATGGTCATCGCGTGCTGCTGTACTCCCAGATGACCAAGCTCATGGATATCTTGGAGGAGTACTTGATCTATAGGCAGTACAAGTACTTGCGGTTGGATGGATCGTGCAAGGTGGAGACGCGCCGTGACCTTGTCAATGACTGGCAGACCAAGTGAGTGCTGTTATACTTACGGTTGGCGTTGTGATGCTTACAACGTGACAGGCCCGAGTACTTCGTCTTTCTGCTTAGTACGAAGGCAGGTGGTGTGGGCATCAACCTTACTGCTGCGGACACAGTGGTGTTCTACGATCATGACTGGAATCCGTCCAATGATGCGCAGGCTATGGATCGTGCCCATCGACTTGGTCAAACCCGCCAGGTCACGGTCTACCGGTTGATCTGTCGCAACACCGTCGATGAGCGTGTTCTGAAGATGGCTCGTAGAAAGAAAGATGTGCGTCTCCGTCCAAACGACTGATTGTCTGTTTGCTGACCTGCATACTCAGGTGCAAGACGTGGTCGTCGGTAACAAGTCGTTCGCGGAAGCCATCAAGGCGAACGAGGTTGTCGAACTGCTGCTCGGCGACGAGAACGTCGACAACTTGGGCGACACTGGCAAGCGTATCTCGTTCCAGAACGATGATGACGACGAATTCGGTCAGTCTGGTCCGGCGAAGGGTGAAGGCGAAGCGGATGACGAAGACACGAACGGCACGCCTGTTCCAAGCACGTCTGGGCGTGGACGTGGGCGCGGTAGAGGTCGTGGTGGGGGCCGTGGCCGTGGTGGTGCACCGGGCAAGCGGGGGCGTAAGAAGCAGTCCGACGACTGAACAGCGAACTATGGGATATCTAGGTAGATGTACGTTGATTATGGGATTCCGCCATGACACATGCACTGCTATGTTGTCTTTTTACCGAGTACTTATCCATAAATTCCCTTGATTTTACGCTATGTGTTTCTGTTTCCTGGAATGCTAACGTTGCTTGTATGTACGTGAAGGTGGATGCAGTATAAAACCTGGTCTGCGTGGCGCAGGAACCGAGCGACGCCTCCAGACTGTCCAAAAGAAAGAGATTGAACATGTCACGTGTACTGATCACGGCAAATGCCGTGGCTTCCGTGGACGGAAGCAACTCTTTCTCACCCTTGCTCTTTTCAGTCATTCCTCTTTAGACGTTCTTCTATCTAGGCCAAGTCAGAACGATAGCGTGAATGGTGCCTGAGCTATACGACCCACAGCAAGAAGGACCTTCCAAGCCAGCGGCAAGCTTCAAGTCGCTGTCAATGCCGTTGAAGCTTGACGTGTTGTGTCATTGAGCCCTCTCACACATGGAAAATGCTTATGCTCCGCGTCTCCGGGATCCAGAGCCTTTTCATAAACACAGTTAACCATTGACCATCCCTTGGACTGCTGGACTTTCGGTAGGTAGGCCTATCGTGGATTCCGACGGTGCCACTTACAGTCCGCCTAGCGTCGATACGTGATAAGCCGGGCGGGAATGGCACCCTTATCAACCTAAAGCTCTATAGAATGCCTTTGACCCATCACATGGACGCGCATAAGAAGCCACTGAAGGGCCGTGGGGGACCACGGCAGGTCGACCTTGACCTCCATCCACTCTCGCCATGGCCATCCTGCAGTCCATCGCGGCGCAGTTTCGACCTTCTCCAGAGCATCAGTCGCCAGAACCGTCCGTCAAGGAGAAGGACTCCGATGTCGAGGACAAGGCGCCTGCTGCCGTGCCCGTCCATGTCGCAGATAGCAACACTGCGGCGGGTGTGGCGGGAATTGAGGCCATGCAGGCGATCTGGGGGACCAAGGGAAGATGGATTCTCATCTCTGGGTGAGCGCGATGCCTGCGTATTCGGACGCTCGTATTGAAATCATCTCGATCTCTAGTCTGGCTCTTATGATGATTATCTTGTGAGTACAAGAATCATTGCGTGACTGTGCTTCGACCGAGCGCCTCCTCGCAGTGAACTCGACAATACCACGGTGTACAACTATCAGACCTTTGCGACGTCCTCCTTCTCTCAGCTTAGCAAATTGTCCGCCATTTCCACCGCGCAAACACTCGTTTCAGCGGTCATCAAGCCGCCTATAGCGAAGCTATCGGATGTGATTGGCCGTGGTGAGCATCGGTGCAATGAACAAATATTCGATGCTCACGTACTCTTCCAAGGCGAAACGTACCTGCTGACGATCTCATGCTACCTCCTCTCGTACATCCTCTGCGCATCGTCAGCCACTGTCGATGTATACGCGGGAGGCGCCATGTTTTACGCAGTCGGTCAATCTGGGACGCAAATCCTCGACCAGATCATCATTGCCGACATCTCAAACCAGAGGTGGCGCGGGTTCGCGATCGGGGTTCGTCTGCTTCTCTACAACCCTTTTGTCTTCCTGTTGATTTCTTGCCGTCATAGTTCTCGTACTTCCCCTTCCTAATCACGCCCTGGGTCTCCGCCTTCATCGTCGACTCTGTCGTCAACGGCATCGGCTGGCGCTGGGGCATCGGGATGTTCGCCATCCTCATGCCCTTCTGCGCCTCCTTCATCGTCGTCACCCTCATCTACTTCGGGCGCAAGTCGCGCAAGGCGGGTCTCGTGGTCAAGAAGCGCCTCACTCTCTACGATTATTGCTCCCTCATCGACCTGGGTGGCATGGTCCTGCTGTTGGGCGGTTTCGTGATGCTGCTTTTACCCTTTTGCTTGGCGGCGACGACGCCGAGTCAGTGGAAAACCGCGTATTTGGATGCTCTGATAGGCGTCGGCGCGGTATTCTTGGTAAGTCTGGACGAAGACGCCAACTTCATTTGCTTGACTCAATTTCTCAGATTGCGCTCGTCCCTTACGAAAAATACTACGCAAAGCATCCCGTCGTGCCGCTGCGGTACTTCAAGAACATGACGATCGTGATGTCCTGTCTGCTCAGCGCGTTCGATGCTGTATGCCATGTCTTCAGTGTTCATGATCACGTACTGACATCAGCATTCCAGGTTGGCTTCGCGTGCACACATACGTAGTACGTAGCCATCTGTCTTTACTAGCGGACAGGAGCTCACCACCACGCAGCCTATACGCCTGGTCCATCGTTACGCACAACTACAGCGTGCGCAATGCCACGTTCCTCGTCTATCTCAACGGTGTCACGCAATGCCTCGTCGGCATCGGCGCCGGTTGGATCATGTACAAGATGCGCCGCTACAAGTGGATGCTTGTCGTTGGATGTGCGATCCGGTTTGTGGGCTATGGGGTGCGTATAGAACACTTGCTTCCTTTCCGACCGTATCGAATTTAGTTTGCGACTCTGACCCGCTCCTCTGGCAGGTCATGATGCGCCTCCGAGGTCAAGAAAACTCTATGGCGGAGCTGTTTGTCGTACAGGCTGTGCAAGGTATCGGTAGCGGCATAGTGGAGACCATTGTCCTGGTCTCTGCTCAGATCGTCGTCCCACACGCCGAGCTGGCCCAAATTTCCTCACTCGTACTGCTCATCGGCTTCCTTGGCTCGGCTGTCGGGCAATCGATCGCGGGTGGTGAGTCTCACGCCTATACCTGATGCGGAGGTGATTAAATGAGCTTCCCTTCAGGAATCTATACCAACACATTCCCCGCACGCCTACACGAGCGACTTCCCAACGCGTCGGACGAAGAGGTCAAGGCTCTCATCAACTCCATTACTGGCGTGCTTCCAGAATGGGGCTCGGCGGATCGCATCGCGGTCAATTACGCCTACTCCGACGTTATGCGGTATATCACCATTGTCGCCCTCGCGGTGTCTGTGCCAATCATGATCTTTGGCCTCTTGCTACCTGACAAGCGACTTGGGTACGTGCTTGAGTGGCGAAGGAACGCTGCTGGCTAAAATGCTTGATAGGGATGCGCATAATGCGGCGGAGGGCACCGATGTTGCGGGGCGCCTAGTGGAAGCACCAACTGAGAAGTGAAGAAAGGCGTAATACTGCCCTCCTTGAATCTGAAGGATAGGGTCACAAATACTTCTGTACGACGACTTGGTATGATTTGGAAGCTGTGATGTGAATTTATGAATGCCAGACTACGTATCTGCCTCTTCGTACAAGAGATCACCTCGCATCGTGTACTTCGTCCCTCCTACGACCTTCTCTCCGCTGTGTACAAGCATACGCTGTTGGAATATAAGCACTCGTCCAACGCGAGGCTCAACATCCAGATAGTGCTTCTTGTTTGGCGTCCAAAAGCGTGTTGCTCCTCCCGATAGCGGCGGATCCCCTTCGCCACCTTCTACCGGCGACGACGCGTTGTCGCTCAGGTAGAGGTGTATCGTAACGAAGGACTTGTACGAACGCTCATCCTCCTCCACTATAGACAGCCCGTCACAGTGCGGCTGGAAGTATTGCCCAGGAGTATAACGCAGGAAGCTGAGTCGCGACTTCAGACGCGCGAGGTGCCAGGCCGGACCCTGCGCCCGCCCGGGGCGGTGCGCGATGGTCGCCCACTTGCTTCCGGGTCGTAGGTCCCGAATGTCCTCGATGAAGGGTAGCAAACGCGCGAAGACGGCAGCAGAGACCTCGGAGTCGGTGAGGTAGGTGCGATCCCCGACGCGGTACGTGTCGCGCGCCTCGGGCGGGACGTCACCGCGAGCAGACGACCACTCCCCGCTAGCGGTAGCGCGCGCAAGGAGTGCAGCGCACTCCGCGGGAGTGAAGGCGTTTTCGACTATGGCGGCGTAGAAGCCAGTGTACGCATCGGCGAGCGGGGTTTGTGAGAAGTCGATGAGTTTGGCTATCGCATTCGCAGGAACAGCTGGCGCTAGAAGCGGCGGTGCATTCTGTGGCGACGCGCTTTGCAGCGGTTGAGTTGAGGAAGCCATGGGCAGCGTCTTCACCTCGCGCACTTTTATGTGGTTGTCGATGTCCAGAACTTGTCAGCATGACTCAATGCAGTCCTGTGTGCAGTCACGGAGACCGCGACGAAACGCAGGTTGGTGGTCTGATACCCGAGAGTCCATGTCTAAATTCTCCTGCAGGATCTTGCGGTGACGACTATGAAGGAAGAGGGAGAACACGGGCGTTCAGGTCAAGCTGAATGCACGAGTGATCCATCACGTTGTCACAATCGGCAAACGCCGAAGCGGGGACAACTTCGACTTTACCGATTCCTCAACTCGACAGATCCTAGTATCCACCAACTAATACCCATCCTCAGCTGGCATTGTCTTTCGTTCTTGATATGCTTGCGTGTGCGTGGCTGTGGCGTCCTCCTTGCTCTATATATCCGCGCGTTTTGGTCTCCTGCGCGCCCAAATACCTGTCTCTGCTCAGCGCAAGCCCATTCGTCGAGCAACGCCGTCCCAAACCTCTCCGTCTTCAGAGATATTTTTCAGCCATGACTTCTTCCTCTCAGCCCAAAAAGCTTGTCGTTCTTGACCTCAATGGGACCCTCGTCGTGCGCTCGAAGTTCGAGGGATCGAAGGGACCCCGTATGCGCGGAGCATATGTGAGTTGCCTGCAGATGCTATTCAATACCTCTTCTTGCGAGCCACACCCCCCTGCTTTGTTTGAGAGCACCGTTGGCTTTACACGAGGCCGATTTTCATACTTACCCCATACTAGGTTCCTCCCGCTCCACGCGTCGTCTACTCCCGGCCCTACTTGCGCACGTTCCGCAAATTCTTGACACACCCTTCGACGCGCGCCTGGCTCGACTCCATGGTCTGGAGCTCAGCGCAGCCGAAGAGCATAGAGAGCATGGTCGCGCACGCCTTCCCGGGGGATGCGCGTCAGGCGTTGACCGCCGTCTGGACGCGGGACGATATGGGGTTGACCCAGCAGGAGTACTGTGAGTGGCTTACCCTGCCAGTGCGGAATTCTGGATAGGAAGATGGCTAACGCAGCGTGATAGACTCGAAGACGCAAACGACAAAAGACCTGGAGAAGGTGTGGCAAGCTATGCGCAGGCACTCGGGCAAGACGACGGTCCTGGTCGACGACTCCGTGCTCAAGGCACACACGCAGCCGTTCAATCACCTCTGTCTTCCAGAATACACACTCGAGGTGGGTATGCTATACTCGCGCCAATGCCCGCACACTCGTCTGACAGTCTATTGGCAGACTCGCGACGCCGACATAGCGGCCATTGCGCGCGGGAAACATAGGAAGACGAAGGACAAGACCACACGTGCAGTGACCAAGGACGCCCTGGACGAACTGGTCTCGAGCATGCAAGCGGCCACAATTTCCGGAAATCACAACGTCGACGCCCCCGGGAAAGACGGGCGCGTGCCGGCCGGTGTCGATGCGGCGCTCCTCGCTGTGGTCGGCATCATCAGTCGCCTGAAGGACGTCCGGGATGTGGCGGCGTGGATCGAAGGGGGCAATATCATGCGCCCTGCAGGGCTGAAGGCCGACAAGGGGGGAAGCGCGGGCTCTATCGATCATGGGCAGGCGATGTGGTTCCACAACACGGAGATCGTGCAGGCATGGGCTCAGGAAGGCGTGCGCGTGCTGGACGAGATGGGCATCACGGTGGCACAAGGAATCGAGGCGCAAGCTCGCGCGTGAGAGTCGCTGTTGTTCGTTTTAGGAAACTATTGTACCACCGATGCGGATGCGACATGCGGTCCATGAGGCTCGAATTCACATGTAAACCTAGTGTACACCTCTTGTTGATTATGGCATGCCTTCTGGCTTTGCGCACTTGCGCTTTTCGATTTTTCCTGTTTTCGGACAGCGCATTTCTTGCCAGGAGACGGGTTGCATGGTGGCACCTGCGGACGGTCAGCCACCGATCGTGAGCGGGAGAGCGGACTGACCTGCTTCGCTCGTAGCGAATACAACACCGAGATCGTTTCTCGCGGTCGTGATGAAATAGCTGCGCGCATCGCCAAGGGAGATCTACACGCACGTTATAGACCGAACGAAAACACAACTCAACGACGTACAACAACACCACGGACGACATCGCCCCCACGAAAGCAGTCGCCGATCTTGACTTTGTCCTTCTCTGTCGCGCGCACGTCCTGCGTCCGGATAACACCCGTAAACTCCTCGCCAGGAGGGAGGGGAACGCCGTCGACGACCGAGATCGCGATAATAGCCTGTAGCGGCGTGAGGCGGATGACGGACCCCAGGACAACGGTGTTTGGGGAGGGGGGATGTGGTCTGATGCGTGAGATGGTGATTTTCTGGGGCGGTTGGTAATTGTGAGCCTGCGAAGGTCGAGAAGGGTGGCGGGTCGATGCGTACCGGACCATCGTGGCGGGGGACACCGATGAGACTTGCGCGGACGTCGCTTCCCCTCGCATATACGCCCGTACCGAGTTGGGGGACTGGTCCGCGGGGGAGCACGAGCGGCTGACCAGGGAGCACAATTTCGGACATGGCGGAATGGTGAAAGGTTCAATCTTCAACTTGCGGAGTAATGCAAATGTGATCGGAGCTTGGGAGTCCCTCGTTCCACAGTGAACTGCAGCGATTCCAATAAACCCTCGCTGTATGGAGCCCGAGTAGAAAGAGTTATGCACTGTCGGGACGCGCTTGATCGTAGCCAGCGGTATGCAGGCATCATGACATGTCAAATACCGACGGTCGATCGGTCCGAACTTCGGACGAAGCCGGTCCCTCTTCCGTTTCGCCGCGTCGCGCGAGTTCGAGTTTTCGATCCTGAACCACCACCATGTCCGCCTCCGTTGCCCGCGTTTTCGCAAGACGTGAGTAGTATGCTCTGTCACCGGAAGCCAACTCATATCCCCCAGGTCTCCATGCCTCGTCATACCGCAGGGCGCTGGCGCAATTCAATATGCCCGCCATGAGCCCGACCATGACTGAGGGTGGTATCGCGTCCTGGAAAAAGAAGGAGGGCGAGACCTTCGCGGCGGGTGACGTGCTCCTTGAGATTGTGCGTTGCACGCGATTACCTGCAGGCGGGGCGCTGACGGGAAGTACAGGAAACCGACAAGGCGACAATCGACGTGGAGGCTCAGGACGACGGTGTTCTCGCGAAGATTATCGTGCGTGGTGTGCTCCGCGTGTCAGGACATGATCTAACACTACATAGGTCAACGACGGTGCCAAGGGCGTCAAGGTCGGCGCGCCTATCGCCATCGTCGGTGAGGAGGGTGACGACCTGTCGAAAGCTGCGGACATGGCGAAGGCTGCTGAAGCGCCGGAGCCCCCCAAGAAGGAGGAGAAGGCACCCGAGCCCCCCAAGTCCGAAGCACCCCCTCCCTCCGAGTCCAAGTCTGCCCCGCCGAAGACCGAGTCCAAGGCCGACCTCCCCGCGGGCGACCGCATATTCGCGTCCCCCATCGCGAAGAAGATTGCGCTCGAGAAGGGCATCCCCCTCGCCAAGGTGAAGGGCTCGGGTCCGGAGGGCCGCATCCTGCGTGAGGACGTTGAGAAGTTCAAGCCTGAGGCTGCTGCCAGTGCCCCGGCTGGCGTGTCTGGCGGCGCGCCCGCCGCGTCCCCGGAGGAGTACACGGACACGCCTCTGTCGAACATGCGCCGCGTGATCGGCCAGCGCCTGCTCCAGTCCAAGGTCGAGGTCCCGCACTACTACCTTACCGTCGACATCAACATGGACAAGGTGCTCAAGCTGCGCGAGGTGTTCAACAAGACGCTTGCGGAGAAGGATAAGGGCGCGAAGCTCAGCGTGAACGACTTTGTCGTCAAGGCTGTCGGCTGCGCGCTCGCGGACGTGCCAGAGGCGAACTCGGCGTTCTTCGGTGACTACATCCGGACGTGAGTGGGCAGTGTACATTCATACCAGCTCTTGCTAACTCGTACCACAGATACAAGAAGGCAGACATCTCCGTCGCCGTGGCCACCCCAACCGGCTTGATCACCCCCATCATCAAGGACGTCGGCGGCAAGGGCCTCGCAACCATTTCCGCGGAGGCTAAGTCGCTCGCGAAGAAGGCGCGCGACGGCAAGTTGCAGCCGCAGGAGTACCAGGGCGGCACCTTCACCATCTCGAACCTCGGCATGTTCGACATCTCGCACTTCACCGCGATCATCAACCCGCCGCAGTCGTGCATCCTCGCCGTCGGGTCGACGCAGCCGACGCTCGTGCCTGCGCCGGAGGAGGAGCGCGGGTTCAAGACGGCGAACATCATGAAGGTGACGCTGAGCTCGGACCACAGGACGGTGGACGGCGCGATCGGCGCGCGGTGGTTGTCGGCGTTCAAGGGCTACCTCGAGAACCCCTTGACGTTCATGCTCTAGGGGACTGGTCTCGCGACAACCTCTTTCATCCTCTCGGTCATGGAGTGACTGCTGAGGGCGTAGGGCTGTGAGCCGGTGGTGTGCATGCGCTTCGTCGGTGGGAGTGTACTACGCGATAGTGCGGGTGGTGGCTACGCTAAAAGTACGGGTCAATACATGTGCCAGAGGCGCCTATGGTCTGCGTTTATATCTTAGGATTCACATTTAGATGCTCTTTAGAGGGACGACGCCCGAGTGGGAACAAGACAATAGTTGCAGCTCTCCCTCTGAAGATGATGCCACCCCTCGGCTACTGCTATAGCAATAGAAATTAACCCGGACCGCGTCGCGACGCGTCAATGTCACGTGGATGTGACGGAATCAATCCGTCGCGATGGCGGATGCACAATTGTCGCCAAGTTCGACTCCTTCTTTCCAGCTCATTCTTGCCTTCAGCGTCAATCTCCGCAGTCTCTTTGCGTACTGGGAACGCGTGAAGTATCCGAGGGAGCGCGCAAAAGACTCAAGGGAGCGCTCGAAGCGCGAAAGTCTCGTAATCAGCGACCTCCCCGCTTCCCTCACCGCCTTCCCCGCTTCTCTCGGCGAACATGGCAGCCCCAAGCGCCGCGGACGGCACCGCACTTATGCACCTGCCGACTGTGATGACGCTCCTGCGGGAGATGACGCTGAAGACGCAGGATGCGGAGGCCGTCAAGCAGGAGAATAAGGAGCTTAAGCGGGAGGTGCGTGATGGTAAACCTATGAGTGAAGGGAAGATGTTGATAAACCCTGCAGCTCGAGCGTCTACGCAATGGTCATTCCGTCACAAGTATGGTGGTCCAGTCGAAGTGTGAGGGGGGAAGTATCTCGCAGCCAACCGGTGCATTGAACGCGTCCAATGGACCTGCGCCTCCTCCGGTCAGCTCGTCGAGTTTGGGCGCTGATAGCACGCGTCTTCACGCGCTCGGTATGGCCCAGGAGCGCGGACATGCAGAGTACGAAGAGATGAAGCGCGAACTGGAGGAGTACAAGCAGAAGGTGTGCACATCAACCAAGCATTGACTTCAGTTCTGACGCGTTCGCGAAGTACCACCGCGAATTACATGCGAACGAGGAGCGCGTTCAGCGCGTGGTGAAGTTGGATGCCGATCGCGTTAGGTTGGAGGACGAGGTGAAGCGCCTGCGCGCGGATGCTGAGGGACTGAAGCTGCAGGTGAGTGGAGAAACAGGGTCGCTCAGTATGATGGCTGATTGCCTGTCCAGTTGAAGGGCTTCGAAGACGTTCGCCAGAAGAATGAGGAGCTGAGTAAGGTCAGGATATCCGACAACGACGCGAGATTATATCGCTAACGGTGTTCATCGCAGTCTATCGAAAAGCTCATCCGCGAGAAAGACGCCCTCGTCCTCGAGCTTGCCATCTCCCAGCAAGAGGTCGAGGACCTCGCCCGCCTCACCGACGCCGGCCTCCGCGAGGAGAACGACCGGCTCAAGCACGATCTCAACGCGAAGGACGCTCAGCTCAAGCACTTCCGCGAGCGCATCGAGAGCATGCAGCAGTCCGTGCACCGCAGGCGGGACTCCATGTCATCCACCACCACCGCCCGGCACCGCTCGCAGCCGCCCGTGGGGCGCGTGCCCGCGCCCGACGTCCCTCCGCCTGTCCCCCCGTTACCGCGCCCGGCGAGCATGATGGTCGCGGGGTCGTCGGAGGCGCAGAAGCTGCCGAGGCCGTCGTCGATGTCGGCGATCCCGGGCGTGGTGACGCCGCGGCGGGCGGGGCACCGCTCGACGAAGTCGCAACACTCGCCTGGGAGTATCGTAACGCAGACCCGGACGACGCACGGGCATGGGGCGCGGCCTCTGGCGGATGTGTTGGGGTTTGGGAACGAGCGGGTGAAAGGGAAGGGGAAAGAGAAGGCCGTATCGGTGAAGGAGGAAGACGAGGTTATCGAGATTCCGGACGGCGAGGTGGTGACGCCGACTCAGGGTACGTGGGTTTCCTTGTTCGCTGGGTGGTTTGTGTCGAGCTGATAGCGCAGGACCTCGCAGCGTAATGCCCGAGGAGCGTAGGAAAGCGCTGGACGAGTTTCCGCAGATTGTCGTGGACTTGTCAGAGGAGACGATGCAGCAGAATGCGTTTTCGCGCACGCAACTGCAGTCGGTTCTCGGCGGGAACAAACAGGCGCTCATCGCTAGGTGTGTATTGCGCTATTGTCGCTCAGGCGGATCGCTAACAGAACAGCGTGTACAGAATCGCAGCGGAACGGCGAGGAGACAAGAAGGTGGCAGCGAAGCATGGGGTGGTAGTCTACCTCTGCCCAGGGCTTGAGCTGAATCCCTGGTGTCCGGATACGCCGGGGAAGCATGGGTACATGTTCGTGGGCCTGGGGCAGGATGCGGGCACATTCACGCAGGAGGAGACGTGCCCGCTGTTTGTGACGGTGGCGCCGCAGAGGTGCATGTATATGGGGACGTACCAAGCCAAGCGTGTTCAAGACCTGACGCCTGAGGAATGGTGGGCTATGGACGCGAATGTGCGTATGACCAGGCTCTCAGCGTGCTGTGTTGCTGACGACGCTCATGCTTGCTCCTAGTTCAAGGAAAGCTACGTTCTCGTGACCGCGAAGAAAACGGGACAACCGCAGTCCAGCGCAAAGCAGATCCGCGCGGACTACGACAGCGGCGTCCTCCGCGTACCCTGCGTGCGGCTCATCTGCGTCGGCTTCGAGAACGACTTTGTCCAAGACATCCTCAACGCCCTGCAGCTGCAGCTCCCCACTCCTACCTCCACACCGAGTGCCAAGGTGAGGGGAAAGCGGCGCAGGGACGCGGTCGAAGACGATGACGCCTATGAGGGCGACGTCGGCGAGCCTGTTACCCCTCTCCCTTTGCGCAAATCCCCCCGGAAACACGTATGATATTTCTGCTTTCTCGACTGCTTTCTTGGATCACTGTACATGCCGCGCGTGTTTCGGATTTCTTGTTGATAGCTCTATATACTCTTCCTTCAAGGACTGATTTATGCGTATTTATTCATACCATCGTTTACTCCCTTGCTTTGCGCCTTATCTTACTCACTTACCCCTCTCATATAGTCCTTCTTGCATGTTCTACGTACGTATATGCCTTCTTGACGCTGTATACATCGTCGCCTTGGTGCCGCCCTCGCACAGGCCTGCAACTGTGACTCACAGACGCCACACGCCACCGGAGAGTGCCGGCGCTCGGTGCTCGCCGAAACCTTATTTTCTCTCGCATCCATCAACGAAAAGAATCGATCGCCGCATCACCGTTGCACTCGCGCTCGTCGACCAAAAGACCCCACGATGGTGAGCGGCACGATTGGGAGAATGACCATACCCGTTACTGAACTCGATGTCAGGATTCCTCCTCAAAAGCCCCCGTCAAGCTCGCTAAAGTCATCAAGGTCTATATCAATCCCCCACCCCACCCTACCATCCCCTTCCCCATCACATACCATGAGCGCTGAACACTCCCTCAGGTCCTCGGCCGCACGGGGTCTCGTGGTGGTGTGACGCAGGTGCGCGTCGAGTTCATGGACGACACCTCCCGGTCGATCGTCCGCAACGTCAAGGGCCCGGTCCGTGAGGAGGACATCCTCGCTCTGCTCGAGTCTGAGCGTGAGGCACGGTGCGTACCCGCCATCCACCATCCCCATCGCGCAATCACTGACATCGCCGCCCATCCAGCCGCTTGAGGTGATTGCGCCCCGCTCCTGGCCTGATGCATCCATCTCTTCTACACGTCTCTGTCGCATACACTGTATCGCATATGCTCGAACCATGCCTATGATATGAGCTGCCCACTGCCCCCTTCGTGTGTGATTTGTTCCGCTGAAAGTGCTCTAGTATGAGAACGGAGGCGATAACGTGGAACGCTGCGCCCAACGGGCGCCCCAGATGCCGTATTTGAGGCTATGTCAAATTTCGTGGACTGCCCCTTGCCAGCTGCTATCACCATGGTGCGCGCGTACGCGACGCTGCTCACGAAGGAGGCCTACCTCGCCGGCGTGCTCGTCCTCGAGCAGGGCCTGCGCGCTGTGGGTAGCAAGTACCCCTTAGTGGTGATGGTCACGCCGGCACTTCCCGCCGCCGCCCGCAGGGTCCTCACGAAGCGGGGGATCCCCATGAGGGACATAGAAGGCCTATACCCAGCCGTGGCCAGGCATACCCTCGCTGACGCGCGGTTCGAGGAGACATGGACGAAGCTGAAGTGGGTGATCGGACGACATTATACGCAGGGGGGAATGCTGACAAACGCAGGGTTTTCGAGCTAGAAGAATACGATGTACGCACAAATATCCTGTGCTCAAGCAAGTCAGAAGCTGACTCGCGTGATTAGCGCCTAGTCCTTCTGGACGCAGACATGGCGGTCGTGAAAAACATGGACGATCTGTTTGACATTGATCTACCCGCGGACGAGATCGCCGCCGCGCACGCCTGCGCCTGCAACCCGCGCAAGATACCCCACTATCCCAAAGATTGGTTCGTGCGAACAAGACAATGTTGATCTTCATGAAAGCCTTACCACGGTCACAGGATCCCTGCTAACTGCGCCTTTACGGCTCTCAAACACCCCCTCGACAAGCCCGTGACACCCACGAGCGGTCCCAGACCGTACACGTTGTTGAACTCTGGCACCGTCGTCCTGAATCCCTCCCGCAAACTAGCCGACGCTATTTATGACTTCCTGGCCACCACCCCGCGTATATCGGAATTCAAGTTCCCCGATCAGGACCTCCTCGCCGCTTTCTTCCATGGACGCTGGCGCCCCCTACCTTGGTACTACAACGCGCTGCGGACGTTGCGGACGGTGCACACCAATTGTTGGCGGGACGACATAGTGCGATGCGTGCACTACATACTCACTGGAAAGCCGTGGGAGGTGCCACGCCCGAAGGGCGAGAGCGAAGCGGACCTCTTGGAGAGATGGTGGTGGGGTTACTATGACGCGGTGGCGAAGGAGTTGAGGGAAAAGGATCCAGAGGGATATAACCTCGTTGCGAGGTATGTATCGGGATAGATGCGTAAGGTTACAGGGAGATGGTCTACATACTATACAATTAGGGCAACATTTTTTCTATGCGCGCCATGAGACGTGCACTTCGTCAGTTCGGAACCTTGGAAGTGCGTCAATATACGACTTGAAGTTGGCCAACCTTCGATACGTTACCTCTGCGTGCAGCTGCTCTTGCTCAGCGGCGTTCTCTGGCCCATCCGGAAAGCCAGCAGGCCTGCCTGAGCGATCATGATACCGTTGTCGATGCAGAAGCTGGTCAAATTCGTGAGATCCTGATCCAACCCTGGGCTGATTACGCACCGCTCGTCTGTGGCAAAGACCCTGCCTCCACGCTCTTCAGCCATCGTACCCATCATACCTTGCAGTCGCTCGTTTGCTATGAATCAGATGAGTCATCGTACAAGGGAAACGGGCAGCAAGTGATGACTGACACCCGACACCCCCTACTACAAGCACCTCCTTGCTCCCAATGTGCGCCATCGCGCGCTCAGTGATCTCGACGAGCATCGCAAAAACAGTCTCCTGCAATGAGAAGCACAGATCTGCGGGAGTGATGATGTCGTCGTCTGTAGAAAGCTGGTCAGCATTGATACACCATAGCAGCGCTATGTCGAGAAATTCACCTGGACCGTATTCCTTTCCATCATCGCGGTATCGCTTGTCCGTTGTATACTGCTCGATGGCGGTCAGAATGCCCGAGAAGCTCACATCCATCCCCTTCGTCGTGTACGGCAGCGGGACCAAGCGTTTTCCCCTAAAATTCAGACACGATCAATAAGTCATCGTTCAGTCGTAGCGGCAAGTCAAGCACCCACTTCTTCGCCTCCTGCTCGATGTTATAGCCCGGGAACGGGTCGTTGGGCAAGTTTATCACCCGCGCAAAGCGGTCGAGGCAGTTGCCGACCGCGATGTCAAGCGTCTCGCCGAAGATGCGATAGCACTGGCGTGAGTAGGCAATGACCTGGGTGTTCCCGCCGGAGACATACAGGACGACCGGGTTTTGGGCGCCGGTAATCTCGCGGCCCATCTCAATATCTTGAAGAAGAGCGCCATCATAGGTACAGTTAGGAATGAAGGTAGAGAAAGATCACTCACGGCCAACACAGTGGTTCACACCAACCAAGGGCTTGTCAAAGAGCAACGATAGCGTGCGGGCGACAAGCGCAACAGACTGCAACGGGGCCCCCATTCCTGGACCTGCAGTCCAAATTCAACAGTCAGTCCCTGGCCCCTCTCTAGTGATTCCAGCAGAGATATACTAACCCTGCGTGAAGCATATACAATCGAGCTCGCTCATCAAGACCCCCGCATCACGCAATGAGTCGCGGATGACCTTCAGAGCCCATTCGCGGTGGTGCAGAGCGGTATCCCGGGGCTGGAAGCCCTCGCCAGGCGGTGTAATATATGTGTGTCGTACGTTTGAGAGGACGCTGACGGAGCCATCTTCTGAGTGCTTGATCACGCCAGCACCGATTTTGTTCGCAGAGCCCTCAAGGCCGAGGGCGTAGTAGGGTCGATCTGGTCAGAATTCAGTGATGAGATGCCATGAAGATAATATTGAGCTGGATCATACCTGGGTTCCTCAACGGACATGGCTTGCGGGTGCGTGCAGGCATGATGTTGGTCCAAAGGAAGTTGCGTTCGGAGATTGCCGAGTTTCACTTCACCCTTTCAGATCCCGCTGCGATATCCGCTCTACAGCGTACGAATATCTCATCCTTGGCTGTAGCACATATATCCTCTAAGGACAGCTAGAGAGGAATACACGACAGTCTAGCGCATCTACGTGGGGCCATGACGGTGTCCTAGTTGTTCATAAGCTGGGTTGTTGTCCAGATGGTTCAATACCGTGCACGATCTCGATCCCTAATTCATCGAGAACGCGTATTCCCTCCTGCACCCACGCCCTCACTACACCAGCGTCGTGGAACCACATGCCCTGCCCGTGATCTATGTTGCCTTGCACAGATGATTCAGACTCGCCAGCCTTCAGTCCATCGGTTCTTGCAACATGCCCCTCCTTGAACCACTCGGCTACATCTTCCACCTCCTTGAGCTTGTATATGATGCCCACGACAGCAAGCAACGCAGCATCGACGCCCGCGGGAGCGCGTGGATCTGTGGTCCCAGCAGCGACGCTGTCGTGCACGACCTCTGCAGGCGTTGTCGTGTCCAGCGGAGAAGGCGTAGCCGACATCGAGTCAAGAGCTCGAGCAGGCTCGATTACTTCTGTGGCAGGCGGCTCGCGCTTTAATTCGGTTACCGCGACGGCCTGCAGGCGCGAGGACAACGCTTCTGCGTCGTTGGCGTTGTCCGCTTCAGGTGGTGCAGAGCCAGCGATCTTTTTCTTCTTATTCCTATTTCTCTTCTTCTTGCCTCCAGGCGGCGCGGGTTCTGCGACAAGTGCCAGATCTGTAGCGCGTGCCTACGAAGCAGGGACGTTGGCATGCCAGTATAGAAGGAAGGATGAACCACAGGAAATTTTACCTTGAGCGTGTACTCCGGCAAACATAGGTGGTTGAAAGGTTGCAGATGCGCCTTGAGTATGGAATCGTCTACAAGGACCGTTGATTTGCCCGAGTGCTCGGGGATGACTTTCCAGATCTTCGCCAGGTCCTTCGTCGTTGGCGTCTTCTTGACTGTCATGCGCCAATCAGTATCATGCACATCGTCCGCGCACTATAATCAAAATTACTTACAATACTCCTTCTCGCTCAAGCCCAAATCCTTCCGCGTCCACACAGCGCATAGCACATTCCGCGCCTCACCCGGAAAGGCGTGCGAGACCATGCTTTCGATGCTATGTGGCTGAGCTGAGCTCCAGACCATCGCATCAAGCCATGCGCGCGTCGAGGGATGCGTCAAGAACTGCTGAAAAGGCCGCAGAAAGGGCCGGGAGTACACGATGCGTGGAGGGAGCGGGACCTATAGACGCGTGAGCAGGCTAATCAGAAGGAATTAGAAGGGCCGTGGGATAGTAAGGAGACCCCCATGGCTAAATTGGTTTGTTGGGTGAAAAGGAGTGGGTGCGAACGTTGGGTAATTGAGTGACTTACCTTGATCGCTTGCGCACCAGGCGCGAAGGAGATATATGGATCCGAAGGAGGTGGTACGTGCGCACCACGCCCGGCCTTAGAGCGGACAACAAGAGTGCCATTCAGGTCGAGGACCACGAGTTTGCGCGGTGGGGAGGCCATGGCAGGCAGAGCACGAGAAAACTCCCGTCGAAGAAGGATGCGAGGCAGTTGAATACCTATTGATGAATTTAGCCAATGAGAGAAGGTACGGTGCAACATGCGCTCGCGCTGCCGCGGGACGATGAGGGAAGACGGCTAGAGAGAGCTCTCCGGTCGTGATGTTCGACTTCAAGCTGGATGGATTTCGTGTGCGCAGCCCCTACGCGAGTCGGCCATTTCCGAATATCCATGTTCCAAGTTCAAATTCCGCTACCGACAGCAAGGATAAACACAGATGAGCGTAGAGTAGAGCAATGAGCACAGTGTGGTGGTATATGGTACAGATGATCCGGCGATGCAATGAGCACAGTGTGGTGGTATATGGTACAGATGATCCGGCGATGCAATGATGAGCAGTACATGCAAAATGCGTAAGGGGTATAAATATTTCAAGATGCATCCTGCGTCGAGTTCCTCTTCGACAGCCTCCCCGAACTCCTGCCCGAACTCCTCTTCCCCGCCGCAGCGGGCTTCGTGTTGCTCCTGGCGCGCGTCTTCCCACGAGTCACCGGTTGGCTGCCACTGGGACCCGCAGTGCCGGCTTTCGGGGCAGAGGCGTCCGCGCCCGACCGCTTAGCAGAGGCGCGCTTCTTGTCCCTCGCCTCGTCCTCAGCATCCTTCTTGCGCTTGCCAGTCAACTTCTTCGGCGCACCGGTCGCCTGGCCATCAACAGCCTCGGCCGCTGCACCGTCGACCATGGTTGCAACAGGTGCAGCCACGGGCTTCGGGGCAGCTGGCTTCACGATGACCTTGCCGGTGGAGAAGTCGATGTCCGAGAACTGGACGAGCGCGTCCGCGTTGTCCGCAGAGTAGAAGTGCTGACTGATCTCGTCGAAGACCTTCGCCATCGTGTCGTAGATCTGAGCGTTCTTCTCGTAGACGGACTCCGCCAAGCGAGGCGCCTCCGGATCGCCACTGCGAACCTGGGCACCGGTGGGGAGTCGAACGGTTGTGTCATCCTCGACAACCTCGTAAGTCTCGCGAAGGGAGTCAATGAGGCCCGCAAGCTTGGTCATCGGGGAGTTGTCGCCATAAAGGGCCCGAAGGTGAGGAAGAACGATGTTCTCAGCGTTATACGGTTCGGTGAACACGTTGTCGCGTTGCTGGCTGCCGTAGAGGCTGTCAACGAAGATCTGCGACGCGTAGACCTTGGCGGCTTTCAGACGGGGTTCCAGTTCCTCCCACGGCGTACTCTCGAGGATGGCACGGCTGCACCGCCGGTAGGCAAAGTATAGGGCCATCCATAGCACGGACTCGACGTCATGCAAGAAGCTGTACGCGAAGTAGCCGCTGGTCAGGAGTCCCTTGATCTTCTTGTTGCGGAATTGGTGCGCGCGCGCCTGCAACTCGACAGACATAAACAAGCTGGTACCCTGTATCCCATGAGCATGTGAACATACGTATGAGAAAATGATACACACCGTTATGGGATCGTGCTGGCTTGTCCGGGAATAAGCCCTGGCGTACTCAAGGTCTGCGATCTTGGTGATGTACTTCTCCGCCAAGCAGGTGGCCTCGGAGGCGGTGGAGAGCAACTGGAGCATGACGTTCCCCAAGCTCACATCACGGTGCATGTAGCCTGCCCGGCGAAGCATGTCCAGGACTGTGGCAAGGATATCAGCGCAAATATCAGAAGAGATAGGTGCGACTCACTGTACATAAGCTGGTACAACGCAAAGAAGAACTTGGCCGGGTCCTTCACCTGCCACAGATCCTGGCAGTGTTCGAGATAGACAGTACGGCAGTGCTTGCGACCATGAAGGTTCAGCGGTTTCGCAGGCGGCGTTTCCGTCGGTTCCTCGGGGCCAGCGAAAGCGGCACCCTCGCCTCGATTAGCCATCGAGACGGTGGGCTTCTTCGCGGCAGTGCTCTTGGGGTTGAGCTCATTGGCATACTCGTAGACTTCGGCACTTTCGGGGGGAGACGGAACCGCGTCTCGACCGCCCCTGTGATGGACGACGCCGTCGGCGATGATAGTCATGAAGTGCCGCTGTACTTTCTCATACTCCTCCTTCGGTAGCTTGGCCGCCAGATGCTTGAGGATCTCGCGTTGGATCTTCCACTCCTCGCTGGTGAGATCGTCGTCGAAGAGCCAGTAGTCGCGAAGGACATAGTCATGCTCGACGCCGCACTCCACGACCTTGAAGACGCGCATGGCACGGCTGTACAACTCGGCGGCGGGGTTCTCGTGCTCGATCATCACGGTGCGATATATGCGGCGCTTAAATTTGAGATCGATGACCTCAAACTCATAGTGGAGCATGTCGTCCACGACCACGCGACGGACGGTCGGGTCGAAGCCAAGTTGGAAGGGGGTGGCGAATGTCGAGAAGAGAATGAACTGGACGAGCTGCTCCGATGCCTGCGAAGGGGTCAGCTCGCTTGGACGAACGACGAGTAAGAATTACCCACGGTGTGGATATCAAAGCCTTTGGTGACGATGGTGTGCGACCGCGTATGGTACCAGATCCTAGCGGTGGTTCTCTCAATGGTGACAGAGAAATGACACGTCCGACGGATATCGTTGTAGAGCATGTGCTGCGCCGTGTTCAAGGTCTGCTGCTCGTTCTAAGAACAATCGTTAGATTTCGGTCGAGTACAGAGAAGTCCCATGACATACTCGTAAGACGCTCGACTCATCTTCCCACATCTTGAATTCCCAGGTGGCGCCCGAGTCCGCGGTGTAGATGAAGCTGAGTTGTCCGGGAACTGCAGCGGTGTAGTTGTGTGCAGTCCCTGCAGTAGCATTGCGCGGATACGATGACACGCAAAGGTAATTCAACGCGTCAACACGGAATGAGGCGCCCGGGACTTCGGACGCCGTCTGGCAATCGGGACGACAAGCAAAGTCGGTGATCTTCTTGGATGTGGCGTAACGAGCAGGGCATACTTCGGCAGCAGCCGCCAGTACATGCGCGAAGACGACCTCCATATTCTTGAAGTGCTTGTTCTCACCGACAGACACCCGGTCATCGTTGTCGTCCCTGTGCAGGTCTATCCACTCCCCACCGACGATGGCGCGACGATCACGCAGTACGCTCATGATACGCCCCATGGTCTTGCCGGCGACGCGAGCATATTTTTTCGTCTCGACGTATGCCTTGTAGAACTCGTCCACGGGGCATTCGCGAGTGTAGTTGCGCGCGGCACGCAGCTGCATGACGCCGGACTCGTTGGCGTTCTGCTGGGCACGTTGGGAGGGATGCTGAGACCCTGTCTTGCGGGGCGTGTCGGTGTTCTCGAGGAGCTGCGCGTTCATGGTGAGTATGGGCGGATATGAGTGGCGAGCAGGAAGTGGGGGGAGAAGGCAAGAGGGGAGATGAGATCGAACGCATACCTTATTGCAGTTTTCCTATCAACAGAGGTCACGTTATCACTTTGGACAGGCCTCAAGGCGTCGCTGCGCGGTGTTGGTCGGTTTGAGATGACGGTTGGGGTCAAGACGAACAATGGAACGCAATGTGTTTGCCATCACTCCCATCACGGATCACACCGAACAGGCACATGGACACCCTCGACGGGCAAGGTCGATTCCCTTTTTGGTAATGCAGTAATAGATGGCACTGATTACACGCCACCGCGAGGCGAGAACGAGTCAAGGTCAGCCATTTCGATGCTTCGCTCGGGGCCGCTCTGATGGCAAGCAGCACGGCCTCCCTCAGGGTTCACCACAGTTGGCTATTTTTACCTACACGCAGACACCGGGATGCCCGACTGGCTCGTATGCGTTTCTCTGTCCTGGGCTGAATAGCCTCTCCGCATGGGTGCATGGGCCCGGAGATATAGAAAATCCCTCGACGCAGTACATAGCCTCTCTTGATTTGACAGTATGCGAACCCCGAGAGACATGCTACGCAGTATGTTCAGAGTCGTCACCCTTCCGATGGGTCGGTCCGTTCGGTACTGTCATGGTCAATGCCAAGGACCATGGACGCCGCGCCTGAGGTATACAGTGACATACACGGCCAAGGTCTCAGGAAGATAGCCACACTGAACTGAATGCATTCAAGCGACGGCGCATTTGGTCTACCTCATGAAAGTCTCATAAGAACGCATATTCTATGGGAGTGTTGGAAGCGAGAGACTCGGAGTCAATGAGGGCGGCTTATATACTCATATACTCTCTGAAGAGGCCACAGAACAGGTACACGAACAAAGGTATGAAGCGAAACGAACTGAATCCTTCCATTTTACTACTGGAACATGACAGTGTCATTGGAGCCTAGCGCGCTCGAACATGAGCTTCCATCATTTAAGCTGCCACATGACCGTCGTTTCATCCTGCTTCGATGGCGAAACACACATATGTTCTGCCAGAAGGTGGACTTCTTGTGCCCCGGCTCGTCACCAGCAGCTGTCCGACGCTATCGTCCCCCAAATTTACAATCTGATCTCTGATTTACTTGATAGCCAAGCACTTCAACATAACAGACACATCCCGTATTGTCCCCTTAAAATATATTTCTCGGCAGGAAAGTCGTCGTTATAGCGGCACTCATCTCTCAATACCGGGTATGCGAGTATCTCACACATTATTTTGATCAATCATGAATAATCAACGCTCAAGTCTCTGGCTCAGGTAGTGAGATAAGAGAAGAGGGACAAGTTCAAGCAGGTCTGTCAAGCACCCGATATTACGAACGGGACATTCGAAACCACGTGTCTGTCAGGTGAGCATCAATGGTCTCTCGCCGGTACACTACTAGTCCCAGATGCTGACGAACCGTCGAGCCGACTACACTCAGCGTTGCGCCAACAAGCAACCCTCATTCTCTATAAGAATCTACTCTACAGTCTAGATACAAGGGCCTCAGAACACATCCTAGCTTCAAGTCGTTCATGCGTTTCCTCGTCCGGTGCATCCCTCTTCGACAGATCACTCAGGAGTCGCTTGAGTTATTCGCGCTGCACACCGTCCTAGCAGTCACCGAGTTATTGCCGCTCAGTCCCCTGCAGCAGGCACCTTCGCGCAATGCCGCTTGAAGACGCGCCCCTCGTCCCCTGCCTCAACCTCGCCCTCGTCTGTGTTTTTTCGCTTCCCCGTCAGCTTCTTCGGCGCACATCCCACCTTGTCCTGCGGTACCTCGTCACCTCCCTCCGACGCAGCGTCGTCAACCACCGTGACAGGAGGGGCTTCTGGCTCAGCGGGTCTGGACACAATCCCACCCGTGGCGAGGTCGATATCCGAGATTTTGATGAGCGGATCGGAGTCCTCCCCGCCGACGAAGTGCTGGCTGATATCACCGAATATCTGCCGCAACGTCTCGTAGACGCCCGCATGCTGGTGGAAAACGTTGATAGAGAGACGCGGCGCATTGACTTTGTCGTCCTCGAGTTGCGATCGCTCCTCAGGGGTGGCCTTCCTGGAGTTCTCAACAGCCTTGTAGGTAGCGCGAAGGGCTCCTATGGCGTCTATGAGTTTGACGAAGACCGTGTTGTCGCCGTGTAGACGTTTGAGTTTTTCGCCAAGTTTCTGGCAATCGCGAGCGTAGGAGATGAGGTTCTTGCGCTCGACGCTGCCATGGGTGCTGTGTACGAAAATCGTCGCGGAGTAAGCCTCGACGTCCTGCAAGATCTCCCGCATGACCGTCCATTCGGTAGCTTCGAGCACTCGGCGGCTACAACGGCGGATAGCAAAGTAGATGGCCATCCAGATGACTGACTCGACGTCGTGCAGAGGATTGTGCACGAGATAGTGCAGCGTCAGCGTATCTTCTTCCAAGGGACTGGCCCATAGATGTTTCTTCGCCTGCAATTCGACGGCCATGAAGAGGCTCGTTCCCTGGAAACGGTGGATAAGCATACGCTCCAATGTGAGGATTGATACACGTACGACAGTTGGTTCGAGCGTGGACAGACGCTCGTAAGGACGAGCATACTCGAGATCGGCAATCTTCGTAATGTAACGGTCCAAACCCGAAGTCTTCTCATCGAAGAGGTGCAGCATTACATTGCCCATGCTGATGTCGCGATGCAGATAGCCAGCCTCGCGAAACTTGCCCAATACTGCGAGACCGAGGTCAGTAAGATCCACGACGAAAAGGCGGTGTGAGACGCACTGGAGATGAGCTGGCACAAGGCGAAGTAGAACTTCGCCGGATCGTCAACCTTCCATAGATCCTCGCAATACTCATCGTGAACACTGCGGCAGTGCTTTCTGCGATGAAGTTGAGGCCGAATTGGCTGAGGTGGTGTCTCGGGCTCAGGACTAGCTCTTTTGCGAGCGCAAGGAATATTCCCGGCGGCACACTCGTGCGCGACCACATCCTCCGCGACGATAGTCAAGAAATGCCGCCTGAGTGCTTCATATTCACCTGGCTGCATGGAGTCCTTGAGCTGGCCAAGTAGCTCATCCTGGATCTCTGCCTCTCTGCGCGCGTCCTCAGATAACCAGTAATCGCGGAGTGCGACGTAGTGGGTATCCTTGCCCTTGCATGGGAATTGGACGGCCTCGCCGACGCCCCGAACAGCCTTGTCGTCACATCGGACGGCCTTAAAGACGCGCATAGCTCGGGAGTATAGCCCCGCGTCCGGATTCTCGTACTCAATGCCGACGGTTCGATACACGTGGTGTGTTCCGTCGCGATGGGCAACATCGACTTCGTAGTGCAGCTGGCAACCCACGACGACGCGGCGGACAGTCGGGTCGAAACCAAGTTGGTGGGGAGTGGCGAAAGTAGAAAAGAGGATGAGCTGGACGAGTTCTCTGGCGTCCTGCAAAGGAGATGTCAGACGACTTGAACAGAATGACAAAGCATGGGATGGCTCACAGCATGGATGTCGAACCCCTGGGTAACGAAGGTGCCCGACCTCGTATGGCACCAGATCCTGGCAGTGGTTTCCTCGATAGTACACGAGAAATGACACGTGCGACGAAGGTCGTTGTAGAGCATGTGCTGCGCAGTGCTCAGCACATGCTGATCGTTCTTAGAGAGATCATCAGCTTGTAGCTTGCGGGAGGTGAATGCAAGGACATACTCGTCGGACGCTCGACCCGTCATCCCACAACTTGAATCCCCAGGTGACTCCCACATCTGCCGTATAGACGGGAGCTGCCTGCCCTGACGCGGAGGCTTTGCAATTGTGTGCGGAACCTGCCTCAGCCTCGCGCGTATACGTGGCATTGCGAAGGTAGCTTAACGCGTCAACATGGAATAGGGTACCCGGGACGTCCGGCGCGGTTTGGCAGTCGGATCGACACGAGAAATCGGCAGTCTGACTGCAAGGAGCAAAGAGAGTTGGACATGCTTCAGCTGCAGCAGCCAGTACGCGCTCGAAGATGGTCTCCATGTTCTTGAAGTGCTTGTTCTCTCGCCACCCATCGGTTTCGTCTTCATCGTTTTCGTCCTCATTGGTATCGTCCTCATACACTGGCATGTCGGTCCATTGTCCGCTAGAGCGGTCAATAACACCGCGGTCATGCAGTGGTTCCATGATGCACGACATAGCACAGTCGGGGACCCGAGCGTATCCCCTCGTCTCCACGCAGGCCTCGTAGAACTCGACCACGGAACACTCGACGCGGTTACAAGAGGCGAAGAGCTGCATATCGTCAACCAGGTAGCTCAGAAAGCCACAGCGGCGGACGGGGCGAGTCACTGAAGCGGAGTGATTGCCAGCGGAGGGTCGAGGTGAAGGTCAAGCTGCTCTTCGGAAATTAGCTCATTGTCCCCGCAGCGGATCAGTCCGACGACACGTGGGCATCAGGTGAGAAATGCCCAAACGGAGAAATGATGCCTTGCGATACACCATCGCGGGCCCACAAGTTCACTGTCCGTCGGCTTCCTACTGACACCGTCTGACTCCCTCTATCGGTCTATCACCACCTACTTTGTCTGATTCACCACATTTTGATCCTTGACTGCCTCCCATGCCCTCCTCATCAGCCCTCCTCATTCGCGCACCCGACGCCGAGAAGCCCGACCGGTACGAGAGTGCATTCGCAGAGGCAGGATTCGCTGCAGCTTCCGTCGCTGCACTCGATACGGGCTTCGTCAACGATGACAGTCTGGACGCTGCTATCCGCGAGCGGGCGTCCGAGTTTGACGGCGTCATCGTAACGAGCTCACGCGCGTGCGAGGCGTGGAAGCGTTCGGTGCAGCGACTGTATCCGAGCCAGGAGCACTCACCAACAAATGAGAGTGAGTAGTCAAGGTCACAGCTCATAGCTTACGAAGCATGCTGATAGCTCTCACATAGATGGCTGGGCGACCACCCCCTTCTACGCGGTTGGGCGTGCTACTGCCGTCGCGTTACGCACCATCGCTGACTCCCCCGCCGCACCGCGCGACATCCGCGGCGAGGAGTCTGGAACTGGAGAGCAGCTCGCTCGCTTCATTGTCGAGGACATTCGCAAGGATGATGCGGAGCGGGGCCATCCAGCGCGCTTGCTATACCTCACTGGAGACAAGAATCGAGATACTGTGCCCAGCATCCTGACTGAGGCGGGCATCTCGTTCGAGCCGCTGCAAGTGTATGGAACTTGTGGGGCACCGGATTTCGAGCAAAGGCTGGACGAGGCGCTGGCAGATCTTCCGTCAGGTGATTGCTTCGTCAGAAATCAGAGCGATTGTCAGACTGACCCGCACATCTCTTTGAGACACGACAGAGCAATGGGTCGTCTTCTTCGCTCCCTCCTCGACCGACTTCGCCTTGCCGTATCTTCATGAGCGCTTCGAGCTCAGACGAGAGGTTGCCTCATTATCGGGTACACAGAAGGCAGCACGTATCGCCGCCATTGGGCCTATGTCCTCTGAACATATATCTCGCGAACGTCATCTACATGTAGACGCAGTCGCGTCGAAGCCATCCCCTGCACAGCTGGTCGAGGCGATACGTACCGCTGCTGCGATGTCTCCCTAGATACAACATTTCTATTTCCACTTCCTGTATCAACTAATCTCGTACAAACTTGCTGTACCAGTTCTTATGGCACCTAGCTCTGCCATACGATCTCTCGAAGTCACCGCTGGTGAACCCAGAGACGAGTCTGTCCATGCACCGGCGTCCGCCGCTTCCACGCGTCGCGTCTTCGGTGCGAAAATCCGGAATTCGAGTGATCGGCGGGCGCGTCGCGTCGTCAACACTTGTCCTCGACCCGGCATGTCGTCTGCCCTCCTCGCTCGTTCTCTTCGTATCTCAGCATGCGCATGTCCTCGGAGAATAGCCAGCAGGCTTTACTCGTCCGGCCTCTCGGGCTCTGAGGTCGCAAGTCCGAGCGCATCAGCCGCAGACGCAGCAGAGGGAGCCGAAGCGCCTCGCAGGCGACGACGGACAAAGGCGTCTGCGGTTGGGGACGAGGCCCCCAAGAAACCCAAGAAGCGGGGTCGGAAGAAGGACTCCGAGAAGGACCTTACGCCAGAGGAGGAGTACATCGCCGGCAAGGTCGTGCACGGCTACCTCGACCAGATCGCCTCCGCCGGCCCGCCCTCCGTTGAGGACCTCGAGCAGATGCGGGTGAAGCCCTGCGCGCGCACAGATCAGCGCTACGAGCGCAAGTACCTCGAGCTCCTGGAGCGCCTGACGCGATCGTTCAACGTGAAGCAACTGCAGCACTTTGCGGAGGAGTGCTATGGGCTGGACGGGCGTGTGAAGGGGAAGAGTAGGCGGAATAAGGCGGAGTGGGCCGCTCTCATTATGGAGGGGAAGTGGGGGTGGCCGTCATTGGGGGAGGTGCAGAAGGAGCGCAGAGATTGGTCGGAGGTCGTGACAGAATGTGCGTGCTCTGGGCGCGAAACGGAATATACAGGTCTAATTCATTCCATCCCTGCAGCATACCCTCTCGACGCGCGTGAGGCCTTCCTATTGCTGGGACCCAATGGGTCCAACCTCAAGAGTCTCTCCGTCCGACATAAAGTGCACCTGTCCTTTTCGTCACGACCTCTCTCCGTCAAGGCCGAGGGCTTCCGCGGCTCTATTGCACACCTTCGCGAGGCGATCAAGCATTTCCGCCATGTAAGTCTCGTGCTGATGAAGTAACGAGCTTCTGCTGACATTGGGTAGGGAATCCTAGAGGATACCTTCGAGCTACCAGTCAATGAACCCATCAGTGATGATCTCTTGCATCGCATCTCCAGACGCGTCGGCGCATACCTCCAGAACGAGCGCCCAGGCGTAGTGGGTTCAACCTAAATCATCTCCGAATATACCTGACTATATCCCCCAGGTACGCATATCCTACCGCAAGGGCCACGAAGCCGCATTCGCTCAGGCGCAACGCCTCGTCGCGCGCAGTCTTTGCGAAACCGACACCACTCTCCACACCCCCGTCCTGGCCTACGCCCCCGCCGATATCAACAGCCTCAAGCCGCTGACCATGTTCCCGCAAGCCTACTCCCTCTACCCCTTCCTCTCCCCGCGCTCCATTCCCTGGACGCTCAACGTCTCCGGCGCGTTCCGCGTGCGGAAGGTGGGAGACTGGCTGCGTGTGCATGGAGCGGAGGAGGTAGAGCGCACGGGGGGCTTGAGCGGGAGGCAGGGGAGGAATATTGGGCTGGATGGGTGAGCGTGCCAAGTTGCCGTTTGAAAGGGCGGAATGCTGATGCGATTGGATAGGGAACATCATGACATTCGGGAGGCGCTCTTGCAAGCACTGCCGGGGGATGTGCCAGAGGGGTTCCGGAGGACTGTTTGCGCGTCGTATGTATGCAGCCTTTACCTGCTTGGAACGACGCTGACCACGATGCTATCACCTAAGCACTGGCCACGTCCTCTTCACCCGACCACCGGCAAAGACAAGTACCCTGCTCCCACCTCTCGCGGGCACCTGGTCCTTGAACGACTTCGCCAAATGGGCCGCGGAGAACGATGCGGCGCACGTGTTCTCGTCTGAGTACGTCTCCCTATTGGCCACTGTACAGTGCAGCTTTGCTGACCTGAGCGTCTATGAAGTCTCCCCTCCCTGCTCCAAACCGCAGTACCGCAGAAGCAAGATCAGCTGCACCGTCTTGTCTACCGCGCCGTGGACGATGATGCCGAGGGACACTTCATTATCGTCGAAGCACTCATGGAGAAGGTTGAGCCTGTCAAGAAGGAGACCGAGCCCGTGAAGGGGATCGAGCCTGAGGCTGTCGAGCAGGAACACGCAGATGCTGAGGTAGCAATCAAGGCGGACAATGCCCAGAAACTGTCTGTACAGGAGGGCGCTGAGGCGACAGAGGCGGAGGATGCTAAGGTGAATGAGTCGGAAGACGTCAAAGCGACTGGGCTGAATGACGTCGAGGCGAGGGAGGAGGCGAAAGAGGCTGAGGTCGGAGAGGCTCCGCCTGCGCCAAAACTGCATGTCGCTTGCACCGTTGGCGTTGAGCGGCAGTTGCAGGTTTTGTTACCTGACCGGTAAGCTTGCAATCTCGGGTTCTGGTGAGCTGGGCACTTATGCTTTCTAGACCCCTCGACTTGCAGTTCAGCGTCACCGACAGCCGTACTTTGGACACCGAGCATATTCCTGGACCCCTGAAGCGTTACCTGGATGATCTGAATGCTTTGTAAGTCTATATTCCATGCATTGTGCATCCCTATCGGAGACAAGGTGCTCAATTACTTTCAGCATCTCCGAAGGCGGCGATCGTACGCGGCCTATCACGCCAGTGATGGTCAAGCACGACGGTCGGACCTACGTCGTGCACTCCAGTCAGAGCGTCGGGCGCAGCACGGTGCCGCTCACGCATCGGGTGTTCAGCACGGACACTATCCATGCTTCCGCGTTGGAGGAACCCGCCTCTGCCTCCGAGGGCGCACCTTCAGGCATCAAGGACACACCAACAGCCACCAAGGAGCGGGTCCTCGACCTCGAGGGCGGCGAGCGGACGAATATCTGCCGCGTCGAGGTGCCAGTAGGCGAGTCGGACGCAGAGTGGGAGACGTTTTTGCGGACGTGCGATCGCCTGACGTGCCCTGCATTGCCGGAGCAGGCGCCGAAGGCGAAGTTGGACTTCGCTGGGTCGTCTGTAACGGATGGTGCAGGGAAGGAGGCAGAGGGGGAGAGTAGCTGAAGACGACTACCAATACACTACTCACTAATTGGCCTGCACGCACTTACATCCCAATTCATCCTCACAAGGCAGTCGACGCGCGGATGGAATTCGTCAAGGCATTCATTGTGTGCATTCCGGATGTAAGTCAGTAAGTACAGAAGATCCTTTGATCCTGGTACAAAGCGCGAAGAAGGTAGGTTGTACAAGTTTATGTCAGTAAATCGTGAAGGCGAACGAAGTAGTAAGGTCCACGGTACATGGGTTAGTCGTGAGACGTTGGTATCGGCGAGAGAGGATGCAGGCATAATGATACAGTGGAGAATAGAAACCCCATATTCCCAGAGAAGCGAGGATAGATGGACGATGAGGATGGTGGGTAGGAGGGAATAGCGCTAAGCCCAACTACCAGGAAGGAATGGTCTCGCCGTCTGCAAGCTCTAGTCGAGCGGCGCCATCCGCGTCCATAGTGTTTGCCCAGCCGCTGCAAGCTCGTCAGCAAAAATCGTATCAGGAGACGCCAATATCAACTTACGAATTCCCCCACCAATCCAGCTCGATGGTGCCGCCCTTCGGCAGCTGCACCGAGAAGAACACGATGACCATCGCGACCGCCACACCAGCATCCAGCCCCGCGCTGATGATGTAGTTGTACCGCATCCAGAAGCCCGTCCTATACTTCCTAATGAAGTAGTTGAAGACGAAGCCCACGAGCGCCCAGCTCGCAAAGTTCGACCCCGTCGCGGGCGGCATCGCGCCCACGCCCGCGAAGAACACGGGGATGTTGATGTAGCGCCAGAAGGAGAGCGGGTAGCGGCGCGCGAGGAAGTAGAAGGGGATGGGGAGGACGCCGCCGATGAGGAAGAACCAGAGGAGGCCGGAGTAGGGCGCGCCTGGGGAGAACATGCGCTGCGGGCCGACGCCGCCCCAGATGAGGGAGGCGGTGGCGAAGGTGCGGGAGGAGGTGCAGGTGTAGCCGTTGCTCTGTTCGTCCGTGCAGACGTCGGGGATATTATTATAGACCCAGTCTTGGACGGCGACGGAGACGACGGTGCCTACGGCGGCAGCGACGCACTGGACCTTGAACATGACACGGGGCGGGACCTATGCAAGGGTCAGTTTCATAGCATGGCATATGAACGCATCTTCTCACCTTCATATAGTGGCCTAACTTCAGATCCCCAGCAAACGACACCGCCTGACTGGTCCCAATGTGCGCCACGCACTTGAACACCATATTCGCAATCGGCATCCCCGGCAACATATACCCCACCACCAGCTCGTCGAACACCTGCAGCGGCACCGTCTGGTTCGTGATCGCCTGCAGCATCGCGACCGGGACCGCCAGCACCGCCGCGAGCGCACACGCGATCAGGGTCGCCCAGATGGGCAGCTGCGTTGCGCCAATCTCGACGCCGACGAAGAGGAAGACGAGGGAGATGAGGCCGACGCCGATGTACCAGGTCTGCTTGACCTCGGGGTAGACGGACATGAGGCGCGAGTGCACGTCGCGCTCGTCGCGAAGGGAGGAGCGCCAGCGGCGGGCGATGTCGCGGCGGAACCAGACTGAGGGGTTGGTAAGTTTAAATGAGCTAAAGGAAAAGAGAGAGGCGACATACGGAAAGTATGCACGAACACCGCGGTAAGGGCGGCGAACTGCATGCCGTAGGCGATGGCGAGCGTCGCCGGCATGTAGAGGCGGGAGTAGTTGTTGTACTTCTCCTCGTCGAAGCGCAGCCCAGTCAGGATAGCGCTCGGATCGTACTTCGACGCAGTATTGTCAAAGGACTTGGAGGAGTTGATGGGGAAGTAGCCCGTCTGCCAGGTGTTGGTGACTGAGAGCCAGGTCAGCATGCAGACGTGGGTGAAGGACAGAGGCAAATACGCACAGTACATCGCCGGCACAACTCCCCACATGATGATCACGAGCGCCGCCACGACATTCAACTCCGTCCACCACGGCGTCACCAGCGGACTCCCCACATACGCAATCATACTCCAATCGAACGACCAAAAGCTCATCCCCAAGCCCGACTGCGTCCCAAACAGCGCATTCACCGCCTGGTTCTGCGGCGCAATCCAGCACACCCAGTTGAACACGCTCAGGCCCGTGAAGAAGAAGCCGGGCACCCAGTACCACAGGAAGCTGCCCACGAAGACGTAGAGGAAGAAGCGCTCGCGGGACATGTGGCGCCCCTCGCGCTGCCCGTAGTTCTTGTGCAGGGTGTTGAAGAGGGCGGAGTTGACGAGCGCGCCTGGCCAGATCATCGAGGTGGGCCAGACGACGAGCGGGCGGAGGAGGCCGCCGATGGAGAAGCCGACGAGCTGGGTGCCGAGGGCGATGCAGTACTGGAGAAGGCTCTGATTAAGAAGAAGGGAAGAGGTGGAAGACGCTCGACACCAACCTGGTACGCATAGCTAACCTCCTGTTCGTAGAAGAACTTCTGGCTTGCAATCACGTCGTTGGCGTACACCCCGCTGGACACAATGTTGGCCATAACCGTGATGCAGACGTGCTCTTTGATCGTGAATGGCCCCGGGTTGAGCGTGAAGCGCCAGTTCGAGACGCCACAGGTGAGGCGGGGGGCGGAGAGGTACTTCTTGAGGCCAGACTTCACGTCAGAAGGATATTCATCCACGCCTGGCGCCTTCTCGTCCGTGCGATCCACACCATCTTCCCGAGGAGCGCCCCAAGTGAGGCCGACCCAAGGGTAGGGCACGACGAAGATGTAGGTTGGGAGGATGTACTGGAGCGCCTTGCCAAGAGGGAGAGTCAAGAGCTGTACGACGATGCCAGTGATGTAAAGGTTGGGGTCTAATGGGCCATCAGAAAAATATGACGATGTAGAATGTAGTATACCTACAGCGCATTTCGTAGAGCTGATTGAGTCCTGCAACGACGATGGTTGCCAGCAGGCCCAGAAACCACATACGGAAGGTGTTCACGGGCATAGTGGGACTGGATTCAGATTAGCCAGCGATTGTGTAGAAGGCACACGGCTAACTCACATATCGGTACTCGCGACGGATGCGCGTACTTCTGGGTATGGCGACTCGCTAGAAGGCTTATAAGCCAGGATAATAAGAAGGGACAGCTCGATAACGCACTCATCGAACTCGATGTCCGTCGAATTCCTCGACTCCGCCCGATCCGTCGAATACCGGTCGCTCTCATACTCGGAATCCGACCCAGTCCACTTTCCCTCCGGCTTGCTGCTGCCAGCACCCCACTGCGCCCCGCTCGCGCTCGCACCACCACTCCCACTCGCCGCATTCGGATCGAACGCCGCGACCGCGCCCGGCCGCGCATGCAAGCCACCCCTCGCATCGCGCAGACCCAGCTCAAAGTCCACCGACGCGACGCTGCTGCTGAAGAACGAGCGGCGGAGGTCGTAATTAGGGTCGTTCAAGTGCTCGAGCATGTCGTCGATGTCCTCTGGCACATCGGGGCGGGAGGCCTTGGGCGGGGCGTTGGGGGAGGTGGTGATGGGGCCGTCGTAGGGGATGATGACGGCTTCACCGAGGGCGTGGTCGCGCACGGCTTGATCGGGGTCGTACTGGGTCATCGTGGCGCGTACTTGCTATGTGTCGCGCGCGATGGATGGGGGGAGATGGGACCCTCTGACCTACGAGGGGGTTGGGGAAGGGAGGGGAGGGGAGGGGAATGTGTAGGAGGGCGGGGGAATGTGAGGGAGGGGAGGGCGGGCGGGAAGGTGGGGGAACAGCCTCATACGCGATCTGCGAGCTTAAAGTAGTGTGCGCACTTGATAGTGAGTGAGAATTCACCGGGCTCATAACAATAGTAAGACAATAAGAGCACCCGTCGCGCGCATATCAATCACAGATGGCGTTGCTTCTTGCATGACTGCGTGCTGGCTCATAGTCCACATCTAGGTCTCCTTCCATTGCACGCATTACCTTCCACCGTATCCAAGGTGCAAGGTTCGTATACGAAAGTTGAGGAGCATGGGGAGTACGAGGGTCATCGCGCAGTCCCCCTCGCCGACTCGATCTCGGCGCGCCTCTTTCCCCTTGAAGGCGTTCCGCGGCGTTTCGTCCGGGTGGCTTATTGTCTTTCCGGCACGAGACAGCGATAACATCGACGGATGAAGGCGGGGAACAAGAGAACATGAGAGACGGAGAGACTCAGGGCGCATTCTTATTGTCTTTCGGACCTGACACCGGAAGCAGAACCGGAATGCCGATGTCACAATGATATGTCACGGTTCAACTTGGCAGGCGACTGTTTCGCGCAATTGAGCACTGTGCATACGGATTTCAAGCAGGACGACATCTGCAGACAGGCGATACACGCAACAGTATCGCACAGAATTCTGTCCGAAATCTCACCAAGCATTACAAGAGAATCAATACAGCTAGCAACTCTAGCCCGGCAAGCCCCAAATCCTGACTTCCCTGCCAGTCGCACCCCACGCCTCCTTGCCATCCTTCGCGAGCGTGAACGCCGACACCTCACCGCCCTCCTCAAATCGCACGAGTTCCTCCCACGACTTGTGCGCAAACAACCGCGCCCCAGTGCTCCCCGCGACACCGAAGAACTGCGCGCCAAGGTCGTACACGACCTGGTTCACCTTGAAGTCGTCGCCCAGCGGTATGTTCTGCGTCATCTTCGACTTGCGCAGGTCCCATACCGCGACGCTCGACAGCCCGCTCGGGGCTAACAGGTGGTACCCGTTCTCCGAGAACGACAGCGAGTTCACGGTGAAAGGCACGGCGTCCGAGGGCGTGAGCGCGGCGACAGGCGCGCCGGTACGGATGTCGTAGATGTGGATGGCGGACCCCGGCGTGCCCAAACCAAGGAGCGCGCCATCGGGGTGAATGGCAAGCGCGGAGAACGCGTCGTCCGCAGGCGCGGAGCGGAAGATCTCCTTCTGGTCCAGGCGGCTCAAGTCATGCAACGAGTACGTCTTGTCCGCGGACGCGAGCGCAAGCACTGCTTTCGACGGGTGCACCGCGAGACCCGTCACCTCGCCCTTGTGCGTGCGCAGCGTCCCGCGCGGGGCCCACTCGCCCGACGCCGCGTCCTCGCCCCAGGCCTTCGCGATCTTGTCCGCGCCCGCGGAGAGGATTAGGCGGGGCTCGCTGTCCTTCTCGCGGAACGCGACATGCGTGATCTTCTTCTGGTGGCCCTTGAGTGTCGCGAGCACCTTGTCCGTCGCGCGGTCGTAAAGCTGTACGACCTTGTCGTTGCCGCCTGTGAGGAACTGGGTGGGCTTCGTGGCGGAGAGCGCGAGCGCGGTGATGCCGGCGGGTGAGGAGGCGTGCAGGGAGGGGATGGTATGCTTGGAGGTGAAGGTCTTGGCTTCAGCGGCAGTCGTGCCCCCCTTGGTATTCTTCTTCTCGCGACGAAGAGCGGAAAGCTCGGCCTGTGTTGCGTCGATTTTCTCGGCAATCTCTTTGGGGAGAACCTGTCCCGACTCTTCCTCCTGGTCGCCCATCTCCACATCTTCGCCCTCGGGGCGCGACGTGACGGCGCCAGTGCCGGCCTGAATGTTGTTGAGCGCCCTAGGAGGAAGCAAGTCAGTGGGGACAGGGGAAGAGCGCAAATGATGACATACTCTCTTGCCGCGTCACGCTCCTTGATGAGACGCGCGACTACACGGTTGGCGGCATCCTGCGCGTAGAGCGCGTAGCTCAGCTCCTGACGCGTCGAGTTGTACTGCTGACGCAACGTGTACGTCTCGAGCACGAGCGCATCCCACTCGTTCTGCAGGCTATGCAGAAGCGCCGGGATGGAAGTATGCGTGGGGGGACGAGGGGGAGCGGTTTCTGGGCCTACAAAACCATATTGTCAGCTGCGTCCATACCTTCAGCACTTCATACGCACTAGCTTTTATCGCAATCAGGTCCGACTCCTCTAGCTTGTCGCCCGTGACGGGGTCGGTGCCATTTTCGTTGATGTACTTCACAATGAGCCGGCGCTCGTACACCTTCCCCGACTTCGCAGAGACAACGGGCTCCTGGGGCGGCTCGCCCGAGATGGCGCAGAAGAACATGACGGCGGCGGCGACAGTTGGTGCTCGCCTCGGGGGTCAACGACGCGGACGTTGAGGACAACTTGTTCGAGGAAAAACGGCGCCCGAAAAGGCAATTCTTGTGCCGCTTGGACGCGCCGCGCCGCCCACAAGCGCCAACCGCGCATCTTCGGCTTGTTATACGCGCCCGCGATGTCGAACTCTCAGCGTTTGGTGCTCGCGATCATCGACTTTCTCAACCAGTCTATCGACGATGGGACGGTGAAGGCGGACGACAAGGAGTCCCTCGAGGTCGCCAGTGCGTGTGATCTTCGCTGCATCGCCAGAACGTTCGATCTCACTGACTACGTGTCCCCTCCCCAGTCCAGTGCATCGGCGAGGCCTTTGGCGTCGACCCGACGAATGAGTCGCAGCAGAAGGAACTCAGCATTAAGCCTGCGACGCTGCAGACCATCTTCGATGTGTTCATGAAGACGCGCTCCCGCGTGAACGCCGCGTCCGAGCCCGAGGTCAAGAAGGCCGCCACGGCGGAGGAGAAGGCGCAGGCGGACAAGCTGAAGGCGGAAGGAAACTCCCTCATGAGCGCGAAGAAGTACGACGATGCAATCGAGGCGTACACGAAAGCGATTGCGCTCGACCCGAGCAACCCTGTCTACTACTCGAACCGTGCGGCGGCGTACTCGAGCAAACAGGACCATCTTTCGGCTGTGGGCGACGCCGAGATGGCCATCTCGGTTGACCCCAAGTTTATCAAGGCGTACCACAGGCTGGGGTGCGTATGCTGTGTGCTCGATCATTGGAGGGGGAACTGAACTCCAGGCAGCCACGCACAATTCTGCCTGGGCGACTTCCAGCAGGCCGCTGATGCTTTCGAGCGTGGCCTCAAGCTCGATCCATCGAACGCAAGCCTCAAGTCCGGCCTCCAGAACGCCAAGGCCCGCATCGCCGAGGAGCCCGCCGCGTCCACCTCCGCTGTCCCCGAAGCAGGCGGCAGCGGCGGCATGCCCGACCTCAGCTCCATGGCGAACATGATGCGCGGAATGGGCGGCGGCGGTGGCGGCGCTGGTGCGGGACCTGACGCGGGCGGCGCCCCCGGTATGCCCGACATCGCGGCGATGATGCAGAACCCGCAGATGCGCAAGATGGCGGAGGACATGATGAAGAACGGGACGCTGCAGCAGCTGATGAGCAACCCGGCGATCATGAACATGGTGCGTCTCGGTCTCTGCCTGCTTGATGTCCGGCTACTGACTTTTGAATGCAGATGAGCGGTCTCACCGGCGGTGCAGGCGGCGCTGGGGGCAGCGGTGGTGGCATGCCCGACATGGCTGAGCTCATGAACAACCCGATGCTCAGGAATCTGTAAGCCCTGGCCTGTATGCTCTCCCATCCTTGATGCTAACTCATTCATCAGTGCCAGCCAGTTCGGTGGTGGTGGTGCGGGCAGGTAGAGACGGATGATCTCTTGCCACGAATAGCTCCTTGTATCTTTACTGTACTTTGCCCGATTTACACTTACCTTGATCATACTGTGATCAACTTCTAGCTTGGACTTCTGCAGGACGCAAACAAAGGTATCAAGCGTGTATAATTATGGGGTGAGTACGGCATACATAGCGGAAAATCAGTACATGGTGTTACAAGGCTAGTTGCCGTGAGTAAAGGCGAGCAAGCTCCCCAATGCTGATAGGGTATGCGCAAGATAGCCTGCTATGCGTACAACAAAGCGTTGGTAAGGACTGGACGCGCGCGGCCAAGATGCGCGCGCAAGGCGAGTCTATGAAGGATGCATGCGATGGGTGGTGGTGTTGGATGCGCTTGTCTGGTAGGCTTCGACGACAGTTGTGTCGTGACCGCGCAGACCGTTGCTACCTACTCACTCCCCACTCCCCGGAATGACATTCCCTCCCGATCCTCGCTCATCACCCTCGCATGCTCCAGCAGCAGCCGCACAAAGTACGCCTTCAGGTCCTCTTTGCGCCAGAAGTCGGACGCCCACCGCTGCCCAGCGAGGGCGATCTTGTGTGCGAGGTCTTCGTGCGCACCTCGGCCGGCGCCGTCACCGCGGAAGAAGAGGAGCGTGTCGTGGAGGTCGGTGAGGTCGATCTGAAGGTAGGTGTGTAAGCGAGTAGTGACAAAGAGTAACATAGAGGCAAGGGAAGAAGGGACATACGCACCTGAACGGGGACGTAGTGCACCCACGGCTGGATACGGTCGGCGTACCATTCTGGGTAGACGGTTGCCTTGAAGATGAGCGAGTTGGATGCCATGAGGCGCTTGAAGCGGCCACTCCATGCATTGCCGTCCATCTGGATCGGTCATCTCGTTGTAAGAAACGCACTTCAGCAGCAAGAGATCCACTCACATCCAGCACATACTTATAATCCGCCGCCTGCTCCGCCGTCTGATACGGCCGCCACTTGAACTCCCTCTCCACCTCACTGCACGTTCCCGCTGCCTCGTCGCACGAATGGGGCGTCCCCGCGAACGCGACGTCCATCACCGACGGGTTCAACAACGCCTTCCGCAGCTTGAGTGGTTCGCCCACGGGTTCGTCCGCCCCCTTCTCCGCATCCAGCACCTCCGCGACGCCGTGGATCTCGTTCGCCACACGCACCAGCCGGATGCGCTGGCTCCGCCTCCAAGCGCGTTCAGGCGCTTGCCAAATGCCGGTGTTGCTCCCGCGCCAGAGCAGGCGCTCGTTCCGCTTGTCCTCCCATGGCAAGTCACCTTCGAGGGGCGAGGCCACCCACCCGTACGGGGATGCCATGCGCACGTCGCCGTGCAGGGGTGTCGCGCAGTATGCGAGCTGGGGTGCGGTTGGCGGCTGGGGTGTGGGGCCGCCGCCAAAGGAGACGAACTGGCCGTGCGCGAGGAGGATGTGGGGCGAGTAGCAGGGGTCCATGCTGCGGGGGTGGTCATGTATGAGGGTCTTGGGGCGGATGGGGTCGGGGGCGTGGAAGATATCTTGGGAGGGCGCGGCGCCGGGGGAGTCGGGAGGGCATGCGCCAGACCAGCCGTGGCGGGCTGTTCGTGGGAGGTCGGTGGCGCGGAGCACTGAACGCGAAAATGAGCAACACATCAGAGCGCCACATTTGGAGAGCACATACCCGTCCCCCTTGCAGCCGCATCCCGCGCCGCCTGCTCAGCCTCATAGTCGCGCGCCTGCCTCGGATTATCCTGCATCGATACCACGACGCGGAAGTCCGTCGGTAGTATATCCGTCACGTCCCGCAACAAGTTCAGCAGCATTTCTGCCTCCGGACGATGCTGGTTCTCGCCGGGGAAGACGACGAGGGGGCCACCGGCCTCTCTCCCCAATGTGAATCCGTAGGACGCGGCCTCGTTCTCGCGCTGGGCAGCGGCGAGGTCGGTGGGGTGGAGTCCGTAGAAGGGCTCGAGATCCTCAAAGATCTGGTCGTATTCGTCGGGGAGGCGCACGTTGTTTTGTTGGGCGTACTTCCACCTGAAGGAACAGACAGGTCAACAAGGGAGGGGGACGGGCAGCTGAGCACATACCACGCGTCAAAGCCTTTGGGAGGAGAGCGGTGGTATCGTCTTCTGTACTCCCGCACGGCTTGCTCGAGCGTCGTACTTGCACGCGCCAGCTTCGCCTCCCACTCCGCCTCCGCGTTCGCAATGAGCTCGTAGATGGGATGGGGGCCATCCGGATTGACGCGCACAAGACCATTCGGCAGATATTCGTGCTTCCCTAGCGCGCGCGTCGTGTTCACGGCGATCACGTCCAAGACCAGTTCAGCGTCCGTCCCCTCCAGCGTATCGTGTGTGTGATCGTGGGTGTCCAGAAAGCTGAAGAACGAGCTCTGGCAGATGACGAAGATAGAGTAGTACGCCGCCGCTGCGACGACTACCGCGCGGAATGCGCGTCGCGCGCGCGATGCGTCCGACATGACGCCCGTGCCGAGTCGATAAGAGTGCCGAGGGTCTACTTTTCTTGATTGGAATCGTCCTCTGGCCCTTCCACAGGACTACCAGAGCTGCCAGAACGAGTGTGGGGAAATGAAGGTGAAAGCAAGTCGGCGCTGTCCTCTCCACCTCAACCCCGCTAATTTTGTGTGCAAGCCGGGGTTTCCCCTCCGTGCCGCAAAACGCGTTTTGATGCGAGGGATCTTCGCAGCCCGACGATCGTGCTCCGGGAGCAAATCATTGAATTGGAAACTGCCGATAAGATATTGAACTCAAGGGCAAGGCAGGGGCTGAGAGGGACGAGGCTTGCGGGCATTCAGAGAGCTCATAGCCTTTCGACCTTCCATGGCCTCCACAAGCAAAGATAGGGCAGGAGACAAGGCAAGCGAGCTCTTTGCTTGTCCGCAGCGGAAGAAGTCCCGAAACTTCCAAATACGGCAGTCCTTGTTCTTAACCACCATCATCCACTCAAGATTCACCGTAGCCTTGCCTTCTAGTGCGTTGTGACTGCGGATCTCCAGAGAACTTGGCTGTTTGCTGTACTTCTCGGCATTCACGATAGTCTAAAGCCGTCCTTCATCGAACGCGCCTCTGCAGGATATGATCTCTTTCGGCCTTTTATCCTACCGTACCTGGCACTCTGCAGCTCTCGGCCGTCGATGCTTCGACCCTCTACGAACGTGTTGCCTACAGGACGCAAATCAGGTCCTCCCGTCGCACTTATCGATACCGACTCCCCACCCTTCACCCGCAAAGTCGCTTAGGATGGCGCACGTGTGCCCGTTTGCCGCTCAAACGCCTGCAGCGACTGGCTATTTTTGAGCTCTCTCGAGGTAACGGGTGCTACTATAAAGACCACCGGAGCATCAGACTGTCCTTGAAGGCTTTCTCTGCACCATCCCACTTCCTTGTTGACTTCGTCGCTGTCGTCAACTTCAGTAATGGCGGACAGCAGCAAACTAGACAAGGCCTTCGGGGATGATTCTTCTCTTCCCGAGGCGCGCTATGCGGCAGATGAAGAGACGCAGGAGCTATCGTCGAAGCAGCAGAAGAGCTCCTTCTTCACCATCCTCGCTTCTGCGTTTGGGCTGATCAGTGACGGGTGTGAGTCCTACCTGCCCCGTTGCCTTTACTAGTCGTGTGACCTGACTACTCTTGGGGGCCAATCAGACCAGAATAACCTCATGACCATGTCCAATGTGAGTCCCATGCCACCCCACCCCTTCCCTCTTTCGTTTCCCATCTGAGTCCCCCACCCACTCATCCAACCCCCCAGGTCGTCTTCACCACCCTCTACCCACAAGATTACACATCATCTGTCAAAACGCGCGTGTCCAATGCCCTTCTCGTCGGCGCCGTCCTCGGCCAAGTCATCGTCGGAGTGGTCTGCGACCGCCTCGGGCGCAAGTTTGCGCTGGTCGGCACGACGTTGATGATTGTGCTGGGCGGGATTTTGGGCACGGCGGCGCATGGGGCGGGTGGGAGTGTAGAGGGCTTGTTTTGGTTCTTGACGATTGCGAGGTGAGTTTTGCGTTATGAGAGCGTGGAGCAAGAGAAATGTTTGAGGTGATTTTTTGACGCTGGCTTTAGAGGGATCACTGGTGTTGTGAGTGGACTGAACCCGATGAATATACTTCGTACTGAACGAACTTGCAGGGCGTCGGTGGGGAATACCCAGCCTCCTCCACAAGTGCCTCCGAAGCAGCGAACGAAAGGAGCATCTCCCAACGTGGGCCCCTCTTCATCATGGTCACGAATTTTGTACTTTCGGTGCGCATTTGTCCTTTCTTCCCTTCCTTGTCCCCTTTTCTACTCATCCCTCCCTTGTGCCTTCCAATCACGCTCATGTATAAACCAACAATCTGACTCGCACCACCAGTTCGGCGGCCCCCTCGCCGTCGCCGTCTTTCTTATCGTCCTCTCCGCCGCAGGGGAGGACCACCTCCCTACCGTCTGGCGCGTCTGCTTCGGGATCGGTGTCCTGTTACCCTTGACGGTGTTCTATTTTCGCGTGCGCATGCTGACGACGAAGTTGTATCGGGATGGGGCGATCAAGCGTGAGTGGGTTAATTCTCATTCGTTGTAGTCCAAAGTGTCATTCAAACAGAATCGATGACTACAAGGGGTGTTGGTCTGTAGCAGCAAGAGCTGATGCTCATCTCGCCCAGATCGCGTCCCATACGTCCTGTCTATCAAGCGGTATTGGAAGTCACTCATCGGAACCTGCGGGGCATGGTTCTTGTACGACTTCGTAAGTCGACGCTCTGCCTTCTCAATAACTTGCTTGTCGACGCTCTCACCGTCGTCCACCAACTTACACTGTTCCCTCACCAGGTGACCTTTCCCAACGGCGTCTTCTCCGGGACAATCATTTCGAGCGTCGTGCACGACGCCGATATCAAGAAAACGGCGGAGTGGCAGTTGTTGCTGGGTACGATCGCGCTGCCGGGGGTGTTTGTGTGAGTAGCCTCGAGTCTGTTCTATACCATCCACTAGCTCGAATACTGAGTGCATACACAGCGGCGCGCTCCTTTGCAATCGACTTGGGAGGCGGAATACGGTGCGTTGCTGGACGTTCTTCTCACTGTGGTGGAGGACTGACGAATTTTCCCATAGATGATGCTGGGCTTCAGCGGATATCTTATTTTCGGCCTCATCATCGGCTGCGCGTACGAGAAAATCACGGGCATTATTCCCTTGTTTATCGTCTTGTGCGTCCGCTTTCGAGCTTATTTCATGCACTGAGCGTGCCTGTCTGACGAACCCCGATTTCCTTAGCTACGGCCTCATGCAATCCTTCGGCAACCTGGGTCCGGGCAACATGCTCGGGCTTGTAAGCGCTGAGTGAGTCGCGCGCTTATTTTCTGAACTTCTTCGGCGATGACTGGACGACTTCTTCTGGCATGATTGGCCTTCTTGTTCGGGCATGACTGGACTGCTGACTACAGTGGGCGCCTATTGCTTCTATAGTGCTTCCTACCTTCTTGACGGCGCTTAAATAACCCTCACTGCCTCTGTCCCCCTTCTCAATGGCCAAGGCGTCTACTCAATTGACTGACTCACTGACTCACCCGACGCAGATCCTACCCAACGCCCATCCGAGGCACCTTCTATGGCTTCTCCGCCGCGATCGGGAAGGTCGGCGCTGCGGTGGGAACGCAGGCCTTTACCCCCATTCAGGACAACCTTGGGAAAAAGTGAGTTGTGGATCTGAGCGCTCGTGGCACAGCATTCCTCGCGCTCGTCGTGCAAATCGCCGATGAGCGTTGCGCCCTCCGCCGATGGTCGTGTTTGGATCTAATGGACGATTGCAGGTGGACGTTCATCATTGCCGCGATCTGCGGTGTTACGGGTATTCTGGTCACCTATTTCTTCGTCCCGGATATGACGGGGGTGGACCTTGGCGACGAGGATGCTGCATTTGTGCAGTACCTGAACGAACAGGGGTGGAATGGAGAGGTCGGCGAGAAGGAATCGGTGGTGAGCATAGATATGGTGGCCGTGAAACAGTAGCATAGGTGACAGTGAATTTTGGAACTTACGACATTGCGCGTATGAGGTGGCGCAAATCACCTATCGCAGATGTTCAAGTTGAAAGTTCAACTTCAGCGGTGTATCTCTGGATGTTCATGTTTGTCGATGTGGGCGCAGGCCCAGACCCGGCTGCACGGATCGGCCGAACGCCGGACACGGCCGAAGCCGGGATGTGATAAGATTTGATAAAGTCAGCCGATAAGATTGCACACTTGCCTCCTCCTCCCTTGAACTCCTGGGGCTGCCGCCATCTGAGCAATGTCGTCCGCCGTGGCACCCGGCTCTGCATCGTCTTCGACGACACTCTGGGCGACAGGTAGGCCCAGAGCGCGCCCCCGCAAAGCACGTGCTGAGTTTCGCAGCCTCCAAGGAATGGGTCATTCCTTCGAAACCAAAGCCGGGCAGGAAGCCCAAGAAAGAGACCATCCAGGCGAAGGACGGCGACAACCAGGTGAGCACCCATCGATGAGCGCTAGTAGGCGCGATGGGGGAAGCGTTGACCTAATGCTCGTTGCAGGTGGATGACAAGGGTCGTCGCGTGCAGAACAGGTGCGTGCGATCGGTGATGTGCGGCTTACACGGTTGATAACATTCCTTTAGGGCCGCCCAGCGCGCCTTTCGGGAGAGGAAGCAATCGCAGCTCGCAGAGCTGCAGGCTCGCCTCCAAGCATACGAACAGGGCGAGATTGAGCGCAATGTCGCGCTGCAGAATATTGCGAAGCGATTGAAGGAGGAGAACGAGGCACTGCGCCAGGAAAATATCGCGCTGAAGGAGAAGCTGAGCAAGTATGAGGACCAACAGCAACAGCAGCCGACGGCGTCGACGTCGGCGCTGCCACCCGAGAACGAGAAAAAGCGAGGGCGTGCTGCATCTGCGTGTACTTCACGCAAGAAGTCCAAGGTTGACCCGCCACCTGCTGAACCTCAGGTGACGTCGCCCTACGCCCCCATAGCCTCCCCGCCAGAGCTCGTCTCGTCGCCCGAGTCCGTCGACACACCCGAGGACCTGCGCTACTCACCCCCACTCACCGTCGACCCGCCCCAAACCTGCTACTCCTCATCCTCCAAGCCCAGCACATACGCCCAGGCCATCTCTGAGCCCGCCTTCGACTGTGGCTTCTGCTCTGAGGACACACCCTGCGTCTGCCGCATCGCGTTCCAGCAGGCGAGCGAGGGCCTGGCCGCGGAGGCGCAGAAGTTGAGCGCGCCCTCGCTCCCGACGCTCATCGCATTCGACGACCCGGACAAGTCGTCCATCCTCGACAACCTGCCGACGTACCAGCCGCCCGTGCCCCTGCGTCGCCGCGCGGCAGCCGCCCCGGTCAACTCGATCTTCGCCGTTGCACCGGTCAACTCCTCCGCCTCAGCCGAGCCTATGTGCTCCGGCGACCCCTCTAACTGCGCCGCGTGCGCCAGCGACACGTTCGGCAAGGCCTTCTGCGAGGCGCTCGTCGAGTCGAGCGAGGCGGAACCCGCCCCAGCTGCCCGCTGCGCGGACTGTCCGGGCGATTGCGACCGCATGCGTGGTGGTGGCAGTAGCTCGTATGCGCCTCGTACTAGCTATAGCGGGTACTCAACAGCACCCGATTTCCCAGCACCCGAGCCGGGAACATCGACCTTGCCTAATACCTCGCACACGATCCCCACTCACGAAGCGTGGCAGCAGCTCAAGTCGCACCCCAACGTCGCGTTCGAGGACCTCGCGATGCTCGCCGACGTCGTCTCGCGCCGGTCCAAGTGCACGGGCCCGCGCGTTGTGATCGAGCCCGCGCCCGGGAGCATCACGCCCGAGAGGTCCAGCACGCCCGAGCCGGCGAGTGCACCGATCTCTAGCACACCCGTCGCGCCCAATCGACGCACTCCCATCGCGTCCAATCATTCCACTATGCCACTCGATCGGTCCCCGACACCCACCGCGCCACCACTCAAGCAGGAGGAGGACGACCGCCCCATGCTGGTGCCCCAGCACGTCCTCAAGACGTGTGGCCGGCGCGGCATGCGGGAGGTCGAGGTGACGGCGGTCCAGGAGGCGCTGCGTCTGCTGGATGCGAAGTTCCGGTTGTAGGGTGGGGTTGGTCGGTTTTAGTGGCAGTCGTTGCTTGGTTCGGCTGCACGCAGGTGTGCAGTGCCGCTGATCTTAGGTATCGCACGCCGTAGCTCTCTAGCACACCCCACGCGATCACATCTTGTACTCTACTTAGCTCTGGAATGGGGCCTTACTTATCATCGCTATGCTAGCTTCTTGAACCCACGTTTCTTGATGATCTCGCTGTCAGGCTCTCAGTCTTGCCCACTCTTACCTAACCTCTTCAACCCGGGGCTGCCTACTCTGACACGCATAATCCACCATGTACATCTGATTAGCTGGGGTCTGCGTCTGATTGCGGTCTCTGCGCTACTGTGGCCTTCGACTCTACTCGCCCCGTAGTCTTCGACTCTATCCTCCGCCACTCGTTCACCAAGTCCCGCACCTCCCGCCTCAGCGCCCGAATTTCCTCCCACGACAGCTTCCCCCGCGGTGTTTTCCTATGCAAGCCGCGGAAATGCGTCGCCAGCTCCATCAGCGACGCCTCCCTCAGCTCCTCCGGGAACGGCCCTACGTGCCCCCACAAGCCCACGAGCACCCTCCTCGCCATGCGCACCTCGCCCACCGCGAAGAACGCGCCCGCGACGGCGTCGATCGCAGGCACATCCGCGCGCACGCCCGAGTCCACCATCTGCTCAAACACGCGCAGCGCGCCGCGCGGGTCGCCCGCGCGCGCGTGGCCGTAGATGAGGATCGTGTACATGACGACGTTCGGCGGGACCCACGCGAGGCGCGCGGCCTCGAGCACGGCGCGCGCGGCAGTGAGGTCCCCGGCCGCCGCGTAGCCCTCCATGAGGGCGGCGAAGTGGTGCTGGGTGGGCTGCATGCCGCGCACGAGGAGCGCTTGGAAGACCTGGCGGGCGGCGTCGAGGTCGGCCTTCGTGAGCCCTTCGTGCCGCATGCGGAGCGCGAAGGTCGCGGCGTCGGCGCGGACGCCCCGTTTGCGGAGCGAGTCAATCATCGCGCTGGTGGCGCTCCGCGACTCTGGGGTGGTCATCTGGTCCAAGCCGGCGATGGGGTCCAGGGTTTCCTTCGACTCCATGAGCGTGTTGGGTTTCCCCAGCTGGCCATGCTGGACGCGTTTGTACAAGCTCGCCCATCCGTGACCATGGATGCGCTTCTTCTCCTCTCGCAATATAGCATTGAGGATGATGTGCACCTGCTTGAGTGTGGGGCGTAGGTCCGTGTCGGCGGCGACACTGCGAATGAGTCGTATGAGCGAGCGTGGTGGGGCGGCCTCCTCGTGGTGAAGGTAGCTCATAAGGATTTCGAGGGTGGTCTCATTTGGGATAACGCCGTTGGCGCGCATGAGATTCAGCACGTCATAGAAGACGTCTACGCCGTGCAGCTTCAAGAGCCCTCGGAGTAAGGCATTGAAGACCTTCACCGTAGGCGTTATGCCTGTGGTGTCTAGGGGAATGGTAGTTGATGGCTGAGCGAAGAACTCGGATACCCCATGCTTGCACATGCGTCGGACCATCTCCAGCGCTACATCGGCGCACCCCGAGGTCAAGTGTACATGCAGCAGCGAGACCACGAGATCGACATCGGGCTCGATACCGGTCCTACGCAGCCCCTCGAATATTAGTAGGCCGCGCTCGAGATCGCATCGAGCAGCGGCCTGGTTGATGTAAATGATGAAGGTCTGAATGTCTGGTGGATATGCTTTGTGGTTGAGAGGGGGGTCCGGAAGGGTGCTTTCGCCGGTTATGGCGGCGTAGAGGGGAGCGACGAGATCGTGATCGAAGTAGACCAGGAGTTTGGCGGCGCCGGCGAGGTCTCGTACATCGAGGCGGACTTGCATGCAGGTGTTGAGGACCGTCACTGCAAGAGAGGCTGGTAGGTCCGCTAGCGAGTCTAGCACCTTGTCCTGGAGTCGAGCATCGTAGCCCAAAGAGCGATAGGCCGTCAATATGACAGCGTGAGTGGAGGGGTCGGCAGCGATGCCGTAGTCTTCCATGCGTTGGAGGACATAGGATGCGCTCTCCAAATCGTGATTCTGTACATGCGCGACGATGAGGAGATGGAATGTGCGAGGGGTGGGTTTGACGTTGTATTGATCGAATTCGTCGAGTATGGTGGCCAGCGCTGCATATTTGCGCAGCCCCGAGCATGCTGCGATCTTCCAGTTCAAAAGACGGGAAGTAGTCTTCCCGGTATACTTCATCCCGAGCGCGACGACGTCCAACACAAGCTTCCACTGCTTCCAGGATGCATGCGCGTGGGCGGCGCCCTCGTAGACGTTTTGCTTGAGATTCGCGCCCATCTGCTGCGCTAACGTGATAGCGCGATTGGCCTGCTCCGGCTCGTCCGTATTTGCGAGTGCGGCTACAACCCGTCGCGCCTTGGCCTGTTGGAGGAAGACATCCGAGAGCGGCTCGGAGCCCTGCACCCGCCGCATCAGGTACTGCATGTTCTGATTGTCCTCCAGCATGAACTGGATCTCGGACATCACTTTCACGGATACATCCTCGGGGATGGTGCTCCTTGCGGGGGCGGCGTCGGGTGCGGGGCGCGCTCGGCGTACGACAGCGGGGTCTTGGGGTCCGGAGGAGAACCAGGTGACATCGCGACGCAGGGCGGCAGCCGTCGCGCATCTGACTGAGACGGCGAGACGCTCGCTGGCAAGGAGCGGACCGGAGAGTAGCTGGCTGCAGCCGGCGAGTATGCCAGACGCGTGGGTCGGGGAATGCTGCCTTGGAACAAGACGGAGCCTCTTCAGCATCGACACCAGCCGTCCTGGACTGGCGTCTGCTCTGCAACGCGGCGGTCAGGATAGCGGCGGGCACGGGGGAAGCGGGGAACGCACATTGGAGCCTGGGCTACTCGACTGCGAACGATACGTGCCCCTGCTGGGCATCAGACGTGCGCGCCGTTATGTCGCTGCTCGCTGTCGCGCCCCTTGTGCGCCGTCGTCGTCGTCTTTGTCGCCTCGTCGTTGTCGGCGGCGAGCAGCGTGCGCGAAGTTGGCGCGGAACAAGCCTCTCCAAAAATTCGACACGTGATGCCATCCCGCGAGCCCAGACTTGGCAGTGGTTGATGGGATTTTCACACTCTTTGAACACGACCGCCAATTGTCCTTCATTGCGGCGGGCCAGACCCGCCTATTGCTGGCGTATAACACCGTCCGTGCTTCGACGTCTTCTCCGTTGAGACCCGTTCAAGAACTGTCCCATCATCATACGCACGTAGCTGATAACTCTCTTCTTCCCTCTGGCAGGTACAGAGTCTGTACCCTACTGCTTGCACGGCCCTAACGGCCAGGGCGATCTTCCGACAATGAAGTTGAACTCTGTAGGATTCGCACAGTGCCCAGGAGAGTGGTGTGGCAGACGATACGGACCACCATTCACTCATGACGTGCGACATCTGCTTGGGATAACTTGGCCAGTGTCCAATGGATAGACCAACTCAAGACCCTGGCTTTCCATGCAGATTTCGTCGAGCATGCGCGAGGAAATCGCAGTTCCCTCGAGCTCTCCTCTGCAATGCGCCTTAGTGCGAGTTTCGTGGACTGAGATGTACGTTTCGACGCCGCCATCGCCACCCGCCCTCCACCATGCCCCGGTCTATCGCTGATCGAATGGTTTATTGATTCCCAGAGGGCACCACTGCCCGAGACGGAGACGCGCGATCCATCCGATGGTGAGTGCCCGACCCTGCGCGGCGTCTTCCACCACCAGCATATGACTCCGTGCGTCACTCGCGTACAGACGCTGATTACGGCCATCCGCCACAGATTTCTGAACAGCAATGGTGGTCCTCTACGTGTTTGGTGACTCACCTCTGTACTTTTTGCAAAGTGATCTCTGCAAGACAGGCTGCCTTGATGCTGTGTAGCGATATATCGCTGACTCGACAGACCTACCGACTCAGCGGCTGCGGTATTGGACCTTCCCTGACGCATGTTCACCTTCGTTCATTTCCAGCCGGTGTTCAACAGTCGGCCACGCGATCAATTTAGCCCAAAAAGGAACAAGGCATCAGTTGTTCTGAACTTCAACAAAATGGCAGTGCACATGCGTCCGGTATAGACGGAGGTTGGCTAAGGGACGAAATGTGCGCCGAGGGAGTGTCGTATGTCCAATGTATCCTTGTCGTGACTAATATTGACTGATCACAGCCTTCATTGGCTCCTCCAAGGCGACAGTCTTCCGCCAATTACAGCTTTGGCAAGCCAGCGGCAGGCGATCCATCCCATTTCGCCTCCCGGGCGTCTGTCAAAACTATCCTATCTCCCGGTTCACATACGGCCGACAGGCCTCGCAGCTCGGCTTACCTGCTCCTTTCCGGCATCAAGGCACTCGACGCTACTCTACCTTCTCCGGCTCTGTCGCTATCCCAAAAATGATGTCTACACAAGCCGCGTTTCACCAGATCTCTGCCGCAGTGGCGGTTCGAAACTATCGCTCATGACGGCGTTTTCGTCAATCTCGGCACTGTATTGGGCGGTTCCGATTGATTGACTGCACTGTCAGCCTGCGCCAGAAACAGCTCGGTGCGCCATACATCGTCGTATAAAGGTGAGCGATGGGTCACTCCAGCTCACTCACTCTACTCATCACAACCTCTCCTCCCCGCCGCTCCGTTTTCTACCATGTCTAGGACGCATCTTTCAGTACTCGAGTCAAGCGCGTCCCGCTTTGCCAACCGACCGGCCTTCAAGATCCCCCGCGTCGATTCGTCCACGCAGGAGGTCGTCGAATGGACATCGATAACCTACTCGCAGTTCCTGCACGATGTCGAGCACTTCGCGAAGTACTGGAGTCGGACATTACATCGGGATGGCATTCCCCAGCGATCTATCATCGGCATGTGGTATGCCTGCATCCCCTTCTTTTCCCACTTCGATGCTTACACGTGCGAAGGATCGGCGGGTTCACGTACACCGACGCGCTACACATCTACGGGATGTGCCGCGCAGGATACATCCCTCAGCTCTTCAGCTTGCGCCTGCCCAACCCGGACGTCGTCTTCGAGCTGCTCGGCCGATCAGGTGCCCGGGCGCTGGTCTACGACGCGTCCTTCGCCCATAGTGTCCACGACGCGCCCGTCCCAACTCATCTCGCAGTTGATGCGAGCGGAGAGGACCTGGCGGGACTAGCGCTCCCAACCCAGCTCCGAGTGATGGCTGATGATGTCGCTTTTTACTACCACACGAGCGGATCGACGTCCGGTAGACCAAAGCTCGTTCCTTACGACTATCGCTGGCTAGAGTCCGCTGTCCACAAGTCGGAGCAGGTTTCCCGCCCGCGTGATCCTGCCAGGCAGGACGTTAGCGTCTGGATGTAAGTCACTTTCCGCGCCGCCTTTAGATCTGGAGGGCTGATCTTCATTTGTTTCTAGGGGAAGCATGTGCCATGTTGGCCAGTCCTTTAGTGAGTTATTACTGCGTTGATAACGCGGGATTGTACTGACATATCTGCTAGTGCTTATCGGCAGTCTCCAGCACGGGTCGTGTACTATCCAGCCGACGGCTATTGCGTTCTCTTCCGATGAGCTCGTAGACATGATCTCGCGTTGCGGCTTGAATCGCCTCAATCAATTCGCGGGCTTCCTCGTCGCCCATCTCCGTCACGCGCAGGCCGACCCAAAGTTCCACTCCATCCTCCAAGGCCTCGAAGAGATCCTCTACTCCGGCATGCCCCTTCCGCAAGCTGACGAGCGATGGGCCTTGCAAAATGGCATCCCTCTTATCGTACGTCGGCTTCCTTGAGAATTAGAGCACACATTAACGTCACTCCAGAACCTCCTTGGTAGCACGGAATGCGGCGCTATGATGCGCGGCGCGGATGGCATCCTCAAGCCCTTACATGGCACGCGCTATGAGTTCGTGCCCATTGAGGGCGGAGCGGACACCGGATACGAGTCGTCCGCGCGCCTGTTGGAAATGATCATCCGCGGAGACTCGCCAGATTGCCCTAAGGGGCGCCGGGCGGCGGATGGGCACTTCCACACCGGCGATCTCTTCTTGGAAGTCATCCCGGGAGGCTACGTCTACCGCGGTCGCGACGATGACTGGATCAAGTCGCAGACGAGCTTGCGATGTGACACTCGGTACGCCTGTTGCCTTGCCAGACTCGGAATATTTTCTCATATTTCCTCCAGCGCAATCGAGGATAACGCGCGCCAGACCTGCGGGCATCTCATCGCTGAGTGCATCGTCGTCGGCTCTGGTCGCCCATCGCCCGCCATGTTCATCGAGCCCGTCGACTCGAGCATGAATGCGGACAAGATCAAGCGCGAGGTCATTCGCAAGACGCGCGCGTTCCACTCGCGCCGCTACCTCCACGAACGCATCACCTCGACGAAGATGATCATCGTCGTACCTCGCGGGACCCTGCCGCGCACAGCAACGAAGGGCAACGTGCGCCGCGCTGCCGTCGAGGAGACGTACAGCTCGCTCCTCGACGAGATCTACGCATGAAGCATCCGGCTTGCAACCTCGCTCGGTCTACAATGTACAACACACGTCGCAAGGTGCTGACACCATGGACCCAGAACACACCCCACTGTACACCGCACTGCTATGTATCATTATCTATTCTGTCACTCACCGCATTCTCCTCCCTCATCGCATTCATCCCTCATCTAATTTATCTACTACTTACTTACTGCTTCCGTCGGACTCCGTCTACCTTCTACCTTCGCCCTAGTGTACATACTGTATTCCGTCATCTTAATCGCTCGTGTAGTTTACACATAGTAATTTCCACTGTAGCGCTAGACTGCAATCGAGAACGACTTCGTAAGGCAACGTGGGCGTTTGACGGCATCGCGCGACAAGACTTGTCACATCATGGGGAAATGACCTCGTCTGTTCTGGGCGATGGGGTAGGCATTCGTCGGATCCTCGGCGACATTTCGTAGTGGTCATGATAGTTGAGCTTGCCAGGACGTAGGTGGGTCTTGGGCCTGCGAATCCCCTCGCATAGTGTGATCAGAGTCTTAGGCAAACCGAGGCGAGCTGAAGTCCATTCTGGTAAGGACTCAGTCCGAGGCAGTTCCCGCTTGCCTCGCCGCCATACAATGTCATTGGGGACAGGACGTAGTATCATTCCTGGAAACCCGGCACAGCGATACCGATGGTTAACACCGCGAAAGCAATACCTCAGATCGTTTGAGGGTGATGTGCGCCTGGCACGACATCTTCATTGCCCAGTGCGCTGAGCAGGCCAAATGGCAGGCACTCTCATGATGGAGGACAGGTTTCGGTGCCACCACGACAAGTCGCAGTCAGTCCAGTCAATGCACATCAGGGCCCAGCCCTCCGCATCTCCTTCAATGAATTCCTACTACGCAATGTATACAATCCGACGCGCCCCTGCAAGCTGTACAGCACCCATCATCAAGAACCCTGGCTGCATGATGCACACAATGACCGTCCTAATGGGGATCAGTGCCACAAACGATGGCTTCCCATGGTGGCGTTTGTTGTCCATTATACTCTCCAGATCAGCCACATGGGCGGCAGCGGCACTGGCGGCGGATCAGCGACCGCGTTCTCTGCCGCTGTTCCTGGCCGGTCTGAGCCGTGCGCAAGCTTCAGGCGCGACGCGGTAGATGAACACCGGGCGGGCCTCGGGAGCGGCGCAGCATGGGGTGTGGACGTGAGGTGGCAGCGGTTCAATGGGATGGAGCGTGGACTGGGCGTCAAGGTCGAATTGTACCCGCCCGCCGGAGACGCTGTCGAACACTGCATTTCCTCGGAGCAGAGCCATGTGCGGGACTGTCGGGCGAGACATCGCCGTCGCGGCTTGCGGGTGGGCAGGCCGTCGAAGGCATCCGTCGCAACTGAAGTGGAGAGAGCATGTGCTGTGGGCCAAAATCGAGCGTCCGTCGAGGATAGGTATAGACTTTCGGACGAGCTAGTAGGCTGAACAGAGCCCCAGAACGCCGGCTCGTCCTGGAGTCGGGCGCATTCTGCACGACAAGCTTACTCGATCGCGGCGTTCTCCCCATCCTGGTTGACATGAACCCCGTCGGAACCGATGCGCAGCGTGAAGTGTCCGACACCGCTCTGCCCTGGGATGCGCACGAGGCCGGTAATTTCGCCTTTCTCGATGACGGGCCGTCGCAGCGCGCGCTCCTGCTCCGCTGCCTCCTCCAGTACGATACCCTCGCGTAGCTGCTTCGGTGTGCGCCGAGACAACGTAATGTGGTGCGTCAGTGGCAGCACGACGGACTCGGGAGGTGGCGGCGGATTGGCGAACGGCGAGGGGAACGATCGGAGGTGCTGCTCGAAAAACGGCGTGTGTGGGATGCGGCTGAGCCCCCAGTTCGTTAGAAGGATTATGGGACGGTGGGAATCGCGAAAGCGGCGGAGGGCTTTGACAACATTCCGTAGAGGGCTGGTGACGGGCGTGCCACGTTCGGAGGCGGCGCGCAGTTGCTCCACGGTGAACCGATCCGACCAGTGGAAAGCGCTCAGAGAGTCTATAGCAAGTATTCCGATCTCGTCATTTGGAAGCTTGAACGAATTATACGCGGGAAGGTATGCCAGCGTTATCGCCAACTGATTGGACGTAGAGGGCCGGAAAACATGAATACGTTGCAAAGAAGCCTGCAGTGTCTTGTCTGTCGCGTCCGAGGCTCCAGAAAGCCGCGGAAGTAGGCGCTCGACAAGAACTTGTCGAAAGCGAAGTGGATCGAAAGTCCCGTCAGTATCGCACAAGACCGCGGCTTTTCCCCAGCCACCAAGATCAGTTGGGATGATGCAGTTGGCAAGCAGAAAGTAGAGCAGTTGCGTCTTTCCACAAGCCGGAGGACCTTGAACTTCGATAACGTTGCCCCATTCCCATGTCGACCCGATAATTGCGTCGAGCTCTGGAATATGCGTTGACCTCGGACCGTTATCTGCAGTAGAAATAAGCCTCGGAGATTGTCGTCCCTTGGTTCTCACCTTCACAGGCGACATCGACGAGAAGCTATGTGGCATTGAATTGAATTCGGCAACTATTTCGGGTCGAACTGAAGAGCTCACGTCACTAAGGGCGTAGGTCTCTGTCGTGTATGTCTCCACCAGTATCTGAGTAGAAGACTTGAGACCTTCCATAGGGCAGGTATGTAGCGGGCTACAGACTGCGTAGTCTGCGAAAAATGGGCAGTGGTGGTTCTGGCGAAGTTCAGAAGACCCGCACGTGCATCGGAATCAAAACGAACTAATCATGTGACAAAACCGGAATATGCCGAAACTGCTCAATGCATTCATTAGACCCAAAGTATACCCCAAATATTCAGTGCTAAGCTTCTAAAAGTGATTGAAAAGGAGACGTTGCGCTGTAATGGTGAGCAGGACGAGGGTGGCGCCACGAAGTGTGGTCAGGCGCGGAGAATGCCGATGCCCACGTGCGCTGATGGTGCCAGCTGCGGCGCGACGACGGGCACTGGACTTGGACTGACAAGTGAGGATCGCGTTTCCGTTTCGCCGTCGACGTGGCCAACGTCTTCCAGCGCTTTCCTTCTTCTTCTCTTTCATTGTGTTTTCTTATTTCTCGGCCTGAGGCCGGTTGTCATCGTCAGGAGGCAAACGAAAAGCGGAAGACAGGCGGCGAGACAACGGACGAGTACGAGCCGCTCCGAATTCGAAACCACCACCATTCGCACACGAAATGGCCATGTCAGCCCCAGTACCACGTCCGACGCCGCCCAGTGGGCGCAGGAACACGCTCAGCTCCCCGACAAGCGCGTCCATAGCCCGGGGAGCGACGGCACGCGCCGCCGCCTCTCCGCGTGTCTCCTCGGCTCTCGGAAACGGTGCAGCCCGAAGGAATTCCCTCAGAGCACCCACACCACCAACGGCAGGACAGGATACCAAAGAATCACTTGCGACGGCGTTGAAGCAAGAAGTAGAGCAGAAGGAGCATGTGCGTTGCCAGCCTTCATTGCATCGTACGTCGACTAACATATCACAGCTCTTGGTTCAAGTACAGGACAAAGAGCAGACCATCTCCACCCTTGCTTCCGACAATGACAAACTCACGTCGTCCCTACACGCTGCCGAGACGCGGTTGAACGAGCTCTACGCTGACCAGGAGAGGTCCGAAAGGGAGCTCGCCCAGCGCATTGAGGTCGCAGAGAAGCTCCGCACGCAGGTGCGCGAGCTCGAAAAGGAGAAACGGGACCTCCAGCGGAGGTACAATGAGCAGGTATGGCGAGCTGCGACCTCCCTGCGCCGCGCACTGACCGCGATCAGACTGCGACGTTCGAGGCTGAACGGCAGGCGTTCTACGACAACGAGCAGCACCTCAAGTCCCGGATACAGACGCTTAGCCAGGCGAAGAAGGCGGATCGCGAGTCGGCGCCCACGGAGGAGCCCGAGACGGACGTCGATGAGGAGCCGGATACGGTCTCCAAGATATCTGTCCGCCCGCCGACGCCGAAGCAGGAGACCATCGAGGTCGAGGAGGAGCCCGCCGAGATGACTTCCCTTCGCCTGGAGCTCTCCACACTGTCCACATCCTACTCGTCCATGCAGAGCACCCTCGTCCTCCTACAGGGCCAACTCAACGACCTCAAGCGGGTCAACAACGAGCTGCAGGAGGAGAACGAGAGCTACATGATCCTGCTCCGCGAGCGTACACTCAACGGCCAGTTCAACGTCATGAACTCGATGGGTGTCGCTTCGTCGAGTGTTGACTCCGAAAGCGAGGAGGAAGAGTCCAACAGCGGCGGCGACCGTGGCAGCCTTCGCAGTGCCGGCCGCAGCACCCTGGAGAAGGTCGAGGAGGAAGACCACGTCCCCGAGACTCTCGACCAGCAGCTCGAGCGCAGCTTGGCCGCCAACCGCTCTGACTCCCCCGCATCCCGCGGCGGTCGCAAGAATCGTAGACGCGGTCAGTCCACTTCGCAGTCTCCTGCCCCTCGCGGCGAGACCCTCGCCGACCTGCCAATCACCGGCCCCGGCCTCGACCTTGCCGCCGAGCTCGGCCGCGCCGAGAACAAGGACTTCCTCGATGGCAGTACCAACCTCGACAATGACCAGTCCGTTGTTAACGCTAACAAGAAGCGCGGGAAGAAGGGCTCAGATACGCGCGCGCAGAACGCTGGCACCCTGGAGCCCAGCGGCTCGCTCAACGACATCGACTCCCTGCGGAACGAGGTCAAGGCGCTCAAGGATGCTAACAAGGCACTGTCTTTGTACGCCTCCAAGATCGTCGACCGCATCCTCGCGCAGGAGGGCTTCGAGCACGTTCTCGCCGTCGACTACGACAAGCAGCCGACGACGCCCAAGACGCCCGCGCCCACCACGTTCGAGAACTTCAAGATGCCCGCGAAGCCGCGCCCACAATCTGCCTTCGTCGGCCGGTCGTCCACTAACCCGACGCCCGACGCCAAGAGCTCCGGCAACAGTTTCCTCAGCCCGAAGCTCGATGGCCCGTCGAACCCTTCGCCCTCCGCGCGCGCGAGTCGGCGCTCGATGTCTTTCGACTGGCGCTCGCTCAACCCATTCGGCGGGGAAAAGAAGCCCGAAGCGCCAACGCTGCGCCCGTTGCAGCTCAAGTCTGGGCAGGCTGTGAACGCGCGTAAGCTGGATACGGAGGAGGATGAAGAAGACCGGAAGGAGCGCGAGCGGCTGCAGGCGACCATGAAGCTCATGGGCTATGAGCCTGCTCCCGCGCCGTCGCCCGTCATCACCTCCAACCCCGCGGGCGTGCAGCGCTCGCACTCGACGTCGTCTGCGACGCCCACTGCCTCAGCCGCGCGCCGCTGGTCACTCTTTGGGCCGAAGTCTCCCAATCCGAATGACACCCATTCCGCGTTGTCGTCGCCAGGGCTGGGCAATGGTGCAGATAACCCAGGGCTGACGCAGGAGGCGCTAGAGCATGTCGAGGCTCAGAACTCGCTGGCGGCGCTGGATGCGCGAGAGCGACAGCTGAGCGCGGAGCTCGCGAAGGGTGGCAGCAGCGGCTTCACCGAGATTCAGAGGCGTAGTCCAGGGAGCCGGCGCGGGAGGCGTAGCGCGGGGAGTGGGTCGACCGTGTGGTCCGCTGGCATGAGCGGCACGGGGGAGGATGAGTAGACATCCGTCTCGATGAGGACGCGCGTAGAGGCGAAGAAGTAGAAGAAGGAAGGTGGACCTGCGATACCACAGTCCGACCGACGACCGACGAACAAAGGAAATGGAACGGAACGGAAGGATTCACGGTTGCGTGCCAAAGCATTGCGACTTGCAAGCCATGGCATTGTAACGACTGACGATATATGATAACGACCATTTATGTTGATAGTATCGACTGCTCATGTCGGTATGTCGACGTTCATGTGGATATGTATACCCTCACGATACTTATGTCCCCCGGTACTGGGCTTTCGGTGTTCATGTTTTTACTTGTAGATGCTTCTCTAATGAGACGACCGATCTTTCTCGCTTTCATGACTTGAACATGTCTAGGACGGCGCTAAGTGGACTGCGAGGTATATTGAATGTGAAGGTTAGTGTTAACCCAGTCGAAGTTCGTGAAGACCTGGGGGGAAGTTATTTTGAAGACTGACTCGGAAGCAGCTGCACGGCGTTTAGATCTAATCCACAGATAGAGCACAGAGAATACGAGATAGAATACAAGAGCAGACAATATCGACGAGATGTTGCTCATGAACCCGCCGCCGGCGCCTGGTGCTTCTCGAGCGTATTCTCTGCATGCGTGCGGATCGTTTTAAACGGGTTCGCGGCGAAGCTGGGGTTCGAGAGGATAAGGGGGTGGCGCATTTTTTCCGCTTGTCTGGGAGGGAGAAGGGATTAGCGCTTGCGTGAGATGAGCAGGGACGAAGGGGAAGAGCATAAGATGGGATGGCGAGCACGAGGTGAGAGAGGAGGAGGAGAGCGGGGGAAAAGAACGAGGGCGCCGCGAGAGGGCGGAAAGACGAGACGGTCGCAGAGGTAAATGGGTAGAAGAAGTGAAGGAGGAGACACTCACAATGCCCTTTTCCTCTGCGCCTTACTCAGCGGCTCCTTGCGCCCCTCCCCGATGATCCCCGCCTTCGCCTTCCGCTTCTTCTTCGGCTCGTCTGATGTTGTGGTGTTCATCGCTGTCGAGTCTTGGTCCCCGTTCTTGCCACTTTTCGGTCGTGATTGTTGCTCGTCCGCGCCTGCTTCCCCTATTGTTTGCACCTCCGACTGCTCACCCTCCAGCGCGTCAACCACTGCCTGGATCTCGCCCATGCCACTGGCGAGCTGCTCGCGGGCTTTGCGCTTGAGGCGGCGCTCGTGGGATTTGGAGTAGGGCGAGTGGGAGGAGGAGAGGCCTATAAGAAGGATGTCGTGTTAGTCGATGTGGAGAGAGTCGAGGGGAGGATAGGGGCTGAGGGTTAGTTGGGTATGCGGGAGAAGGTAAGGGAGCAAGGGTGAAGAGCGAGGGTGATGGTGGGAGGAAAGATGTAGGGTAGGAAGTCAGTGGAGGATGCAAAGGGTAGAGAGGGATTGTAAGGTGTGAAATGGAACTGACGCTGCAGGAAAGCTTCCTTCTTCGCCTGCAGTTTCTCCTTCTTCTTAACGAGGTTTGTGGGTGCGGGCTCGTTCATAGATGCGAGGATCTCTTCGGCCTAGGTAGGTTTCTCAGTTGTGTAGCACATAGATTGATTGACTGTATCCCGTGCTCACCGATGCATCAGGTGTCGCGCCAATCTCGACATGTTCGACCGCGTTGTCCTGGACCGCGAAAGGACGCTGGGCAAGGGAGAATTTGGCAGAAGGGTCGTGCGCGGCGGTTCTTCTTCTCGAGGCTTTGGGCTGCAGTAGGTCAGCCATATACCTCGAGACATGTCGTCTGATTGCTCTCACCATGGTGATCTATGGATGTGACGATCCTCGCCGGAAGGAAAGGTCGAGGGGGAGAGTGTCCGGCACGTCGGGCCGATTCGATCGATCACGTCACTGCGCAAGCGGGAGCCCACAAGTTCCCACGAGGCGTGTTTTTGTTCTTGCCTTTGCCCATCATGCCATCCGGAACGCAGAAATCGCGTCGCTCGTTGCATTTTCCTGGTCTTCATGGGATACAGCGTCGACAGCGGCTCGACGATGCGCCATCGCGAAGGCTGGCGAAGCCGCGTCTCCGTGGCTGAGGATACGATGGAGGTGGCCTACCAGGCCCACCACGGGCACGAGGCGATGGTCTGAGCACCGGCACTGCTTGCCTGCCTGCCGGTGCATGACCGCATTCAATATAGCAAACTCTGGTATTTGGTTCGGTTCGCCACTCTGACTACCACCACCATGGTTTCTGTACCTGCAAACACTATTCGTTCGTCCGCCGCGGCTGCGCCGCCGCAGGACGCTACAAAGCACGAAAGCCACTTAGAAGGTGCGCCGCGCCACTCGCTTGACGCGACGCGCGACGCGACCGACGCGATCTGCCACTCGGCGGACGCGCCGCGGCTCCCAAGCCACCCGCCTCGCAAGATCGACGACGCGCCTCGCCCCTCGATCGACGCGACGCGCGAAGCCACCGTCCATGTCCCCTATCCGCCGCGTCCCCGGGGCCCGAGGCCTGTCGCCATCCGCCACCCAAGCCACTCCCCCGCCTCACCGCGCCCCGCGGCCACCAAGCCACCCACGATCACCAAGCCACTCACGGCCACCAAGCCACCCGCCACCTCCGCACGCCACCCACTCTCATCCACCTCTCAACCCGCCGACCCCGACCCCGTCATCACCGCCTTCCTCAGGCGCGCCCACTTCGACGACGTCTACTACGACGCCCAGTGGCACACGAACACGCCCCGCGCCGCCGCGCGGCCCCTCTTGCGCGTGCCGTCGCCGCTCGGGTTTCAGGGCACGAACGCAGAGCTCGAGTACTCGATCGCGGTGCTCGAGAAGAAAGACCTACTGCGGCGGCGGCCCAACTTCCGGAGCAAGACCCAGAAGACTCAGGCGTTGGTTGGCATACGGGGCCAGACGTGGTTCGAGGTAGAGAAGGGGGATGAGGAGGCGGTGAAGAGGTGCAAGTTGAAGGGAGGAGTCGAGCCGGAACCAAAGGCCAACCCCGGGAAGCTGCCGTCCAAGTACCAGCCGGAGCTAGCGAAGCAAAGCGCCGACCGTGCGAGGCAAAGCCCTCCCCCCGCGAAGCCGAGCACCGACCATACCAAGCATGCCTCCGACCTCTCAAAGCAAAGCCCCGCAAAGCCGAGCGGCACGCCCAAGGTCCTCGCAAAGCCGGGCCCTTTGCCGAAGACCCACACGCCGAAGCAAAGCCCGGTGGAGGACATCGGCGAGTACGAGGCGCTGCTGAAGGGGCGAGATATGACCGCCGCGGCGGGGATGGGAGGAAGGGCCGAGGACGGCGCTGTTCAGGAGCATGCATCGGCTGCAGCTCAGGAGCATGCACCGGCCGCAGCTCAGGAGCATGCACCGGCTGCAGCTCACGACAAGGTCACTCCGGCTGGTCGCGAGAATGTCGCGGTCGCCCAAGCGCCTGGCAGCGTCGCCGAAGAACGCGCCTCGACTGAGCTCTCCGCACCCGTGCGCGCCTTCGGGAGGGACAGGGCCAATGTGCCCGCGGTTGCTGGGCTCGACCTGCCCGCGGCTGGCACGGCGAACGACTCCGACGGTCAGCCGTCCAGCGCTGCCTCCGGCTCGCAGTCGTCGAGCAGTGGTACCGGATCGCAGTCGCCCGCCCACCCTCCCCAGTCGGTCGAAGACGCGTTTATGCAGGAGATGCGGGCTTGGAAGGTGCGCCAAACCTCGCCTTCACATACACAGCCTGATCTGACTTCGTTCAAGACCCAGCGCATGAGATACGTACTTGAGGATAGGCGCCGTCAGTTGATGTTGTCAAAGAGGCCGAACTTGGTGCAACCCTTTGAGGTGAGTGGGATGTTTTCTATCAGCATATACTGTGATATATGGGCATATATTGTGTGCTATCGGCACATAACTTGCACCGCGCGTTCGATGATGAATAGGACGTTAACATCTTTTTCCTCTAGCTCGGGCGGTACACTCACCCACAGCACATCATCATCGAGCCGCCCCTGCAGTCTACGGCGCCGCGGAAGAGGGAGGTGGGGCCGAGTCTGCGCATGGTGATTCTGTCGCTGTTGGTGAAGGAGAAACCGGTGGTCACCGACGACGAGGACGATCACATGGATGCGCACGATGAGGAGGACGGAGACGATTTCGACGAGGGAGTCGACACGGAGGAGGAAGACGACATGCAGTGGGCGAATGAGATGACTGACGAGGAAGCGGCGCAGGTGGACTGGGACGCTGTACTGGCGCAGAAGGAGCGGGAGGCGTGGGCGAAGAAGAGGAAGGCCTTCCTGGACGCCTACGACCCCAAGCCGCCCGCCAAAGTCGATTTGGCGGAGCGCGTGCGGCTATTGAAGCTGCTGGGCAACCCCCTGACAGAATTGGCCGTTAACCGGCATAATTATGCGATGAACAAGCGGTGTGCGATGGTGAGCCCATCCTAATTACCGCATTATCTACCGCCATGCTGACTCAACCTTCCCAGTACATCGACGACGCGAAGAGGGCGTACTACGCCAGAGGCACCCCTCGCAAGGCCACCGTGTACTCCTTCCTCGTGCACCGCAGCCCGTTCTACGTGTACCCGCCCACCCTCCGATGGCCCGCCGAGCATATTTTCGCCTGGTTCGCCGCGCGCCCCACGCACGACGACGTGGACATCATCAGGGCCTTCGCGGCGTACGTCGTCGGCAGGGGCAAGCGCGTCCAAGCCGAGGTCTGGCTCGACGTCTTCCGGCACGTCCGCAAGTGCTACGGCGGCGGCGGCCCGAAGGACGGCTTTGCCGGGCCGGACTTCCTCGACGAGTTCCGCTGGGAGCTGGAGGGCGAGGACGGGCCGGATGGAGAGACCTTTGAGGACCTGCTCGTGGCGGCGTTCGAGGGACGCGGGGCCGGGTACGGGCTGATGTGTGGGGATATCGAGAAGTATACGTTTGCGAATGAGCAGAAGGACACTGTCGTGGGGGAGGACGATCTGGACGACGATGACGACAACGACAATGACGACGACGACGACGACTGGGACGAAGACGGGGACGTCAAGATGTACCCGTTCGACGCCAGGATCAAGACTCCGGGTGCGCGGCGCGAAGTGGTCCATTAGGATCTCGGGGAAGGTGCTTTTGTAGACGTTTCTCCAGGATTTCTGTATAGGTTTGTTTTCCCAGGATCACTGTATCATCATCATCGCTTTCGAAGCTACTGATACGTAGCACTACCCAATTATCTACACGCCATCTAGTACCTACTTACTCACCTGGACTCTTGTCCAGTAATATTGTATCCACCCTCAAGTTCTGTATTCGTATGAGCGGCCATGCTATCTGCGTTTGACCGCTTCACTTGCGAGACCGACTCTGATAAAGCTCTCTGACAAACTGAAGACCATCCTCCATTGTTCTGCAGTCCAGCATGAAGAAAATTCCAAAAATTGCGCGTCCGATACCACTCGCTTGGGGTGGCATCGTCGCTCCCATAGGGAGTCGGCCCTATGGCGGAGCAGACGCGTCCAGGATGAGACCACCACTCAGTTGTTCCAACAGCCGCCCAGTGGTCAGTCGGTCTCCCGTACTGATCACTGGGTAATGGCCGCCGGATCCGGGATGCCAACGCCCACGGTGCAGGTGCCAGGAGGACAGTGCCACTAGCGTGGAGCCCACCTATAGCATCGCCGTGCAGGCGGCGTCAACGCGGTGGCCAGTCGAGAAGAGCCGCCTCCGAAAGTGATCGTCTCCAAAGGCGGCCATCAAGACCGGCATCCACCTTGGTCTCGTGAAGCATCCTTCGCCTTCACAAACGACCACTCTCGAAGGCAACCCTCCCGAAGGCAACCGCGCGAGCTGAGCATCTCCCCTCTCCCCTCACGCCGCGCGGGCCTGTCCCGCGCGGCGCCACAGACCGGTCCCCGCCCACCAACCTCTCGGAGCGCTGAATCAAGGACTGCGGGGGCCGCGCAGGAGCCAGATTGTGTGCCGCGCGGACTCAGCTGTGTGCCGACGCAGAGCCTGGGTTATGCAGCAACCCAGGAGGCTGGGCTGTGGCAACCCAGGAAGCTGGGCTGTGGCAACCCGAGGGCCTAAGCTTGACCACTCAGACGCCCGAGCTACGCGCACCCCAGGAGCCTAAGCTACACGCAACCCAAACCCTGTGTGGCAACCCAGAGCCCACGTGGCAATTCAACCCAGAAGCTGCACGACCACTCGCATCCGATCCTCGGGAGGCGTGCTGGCAGAGCGCACAGGCGCCGGTCTGTAAGGGAGCGAGTGGGGAGTGGTGGTCAAGAGCAAGGGCCAGTGATGGCACCGGCCAATTTTATGTGCTCGGTAGTCGGCACGTGGCTCGGGCCGGTGGAGGGTCCGCTAGCTATTGTTCCCTTTTTGGACGTCCGCTGTGGCCGTCATCGGACCCGCTTGGTATCGCGCTTCGTATACGAATTGCGAGGGATCATACATAGTCATCGCAAACTGAAATTATTCTACTGTGTTAAGACGCAGTACATACAATTACAACGTAAGAACCTCATGATCCTCATACCTGGGGACCTCTCGACGCCAGCCTCGCAGAACGCCTAGTCACTTTGGCGGCGCGAGGGATCTCCGGGTTCAAAGACTGGGGGCTGCGCTTCCTCTTCCCACCCCCCTCTGCCTCCCCGTTCCTCTTCCGCTTCCGTGTCGACTGCGTAAAATTAAGCTTCTCTGCAGTAGCCTTGTCCTCTTGCGCTGCATCCTTTCCCTTTTTCAGCGCCGCTTCCGCGGTAGGTGCATCGTCAACAATAAAAGGACCATCTGCGGTGACTGCAGGCGCATTCTCAGCGTCGATAGGACCATCCTCCGCAACTTCCGGCATCGGCGCCTCTTCCTCACCTTCGATCTTGCCCGTCGCAAAGTCGATGTCCGATATGTTGACCAGCGAGTCCGAGTTCTTGACGAAGTACTCGCTGATCTCGCGAAAGACATCCCGCGCTTCATCCCAGAGACCCGCATGTTCCTCAAAGACAGCCAGCGAAAGGCGGCGCGCGACCCGTCTTGGATCGCGCGCCATGCGCTGTTCTATCTCCTCCTCCGACATCCTCTCCGCCTCAACGGCGAGGTAAGTTCTCCTCAAACGCTCGAGCACACTACTCAGCTTCAGCATCACCGTTTCCGGCCCGTACAGCTGTTCCATATGCTCCCGGAACGGCAGGAATGTAGAGCCAGCGATTAAAACGAAGAGCTCCCGCTCTCTAGTACCTGCGGTGAATATGCTTTCCCTGTAGGATGCGATCTCGTCTAGGTAGCCGCGCATGGTCTCCCAGGGTGTGTTCTTGAGAACGCGGAGGCTGCAGTGGTGGTATACGAAGTGAACGGCGAGCCAGAGGGCGGACTCGAGGTCGTGCAGGGGGTTGGGGACGAAGTATTGGAAGACCACCAGGTGCTTCCATTCGTTTGGGTCGCCGAGGAAGATGTGGCGGCGCATGTGGACTTCGATAGCCATGAACGCTCGGGTGCCCTAGAGTGCGACTGAGCAAGCAAGCGCGTGCGATATAAGCGAACATACTACTGAGAAATCTTCCTTCGCTACTTTGTCGCAGGCGATAGCCAATTCGAGGTCAGCGAGTTTGGTGATGTAGCGTTCTGAGAGCTCGGTGGCTCGTGCATCGATACAGTGCAGCATGACATTGCCCAAGCTTATGTCACGGTGCAGGTAGCCCGCACGGCGCAGCTTGTCTAAAACTGGACCGACATTGTCAGCTGGCATGTAAAGATTGAGCCATGGAATACTCACTGTATATGAGCTGGGATAACCCGAAGAAAAACGTGGCTGGGTCTTGCACTTGATGCAGAGTCTCACAGTGCTCCTTGCAAACGGTTCGGAAGCGCCTGCGGTAATTGAGGTGCGGCAGTGCTTTCGTCTGATGTGTATCGTGATTCTTGTGCATCACAGCGCCGTCCGCGAGTATTGTCATGAAGTGCCGCCGCACTGCGGCGAACTCATCTTCCGGCAAGGCCTTCTCCAGCGCGCCGAAGATCGCGTCCTGACTCTTCGCCTCCTCGGACGAGTACTCGTCGTCGAAGCGCCAGTAGTCTTGGACGACGTGAAAAGGTCCGTTCTCGACGCCGCATTCGACGACCTTGTAGACACGCATCGCTCGACCGTACAGCCTGGCCTTCGAGTCTTCATGCTCGACCGATACTGACCGATACTCGTGGTGCGTCCCATCGCGGAGGACGACGTCGAACTGGTAGTGAACCATGCCATCCACGACGATACGATGGATAGTAGGATCGAATCCAAGCTGGAAGGGGGAGGCGAAGGACGTGAACAAAATGAGCTGAATGAACTCCTCCGGATTCTGTTGAACAATCAGTGATGAACGGGGCGTAGCGATGCGTAACCTCCTCACCTTGTCAATGTCAAAGCGCTCCGTAACGACCGAATGTGCCCGCGTGTGGCACCAGATCCTCGCAGTTCGACCCTCGAAGGTCACCGAGATATGGCCCATACGCCGAAGGTCGTTGAAGAACATATGCTCCGCAGACTTGAGAATCAAGTATTCGCTCTGAAGGTGGAACATCAGCGACGCGGTGCATCTTGCAAATGCGCTACGTACGTGATCGTTCTCCGAGTAGTGATCCCAGCACCGGAGCTCCCAAGTGACGCCCACATCTCCCGTGTATATCGCCGCAGATTTCCTTGGTACCGTAGCAATGTAGTTGCTCGCCGTTCCCGGCACAGCTTCGCGCGAGTAGGAGGGCTTGGCGAGGTAGTTCAGTTCACCGCGTCGACGCAGAACTTCGTGCCAGGGCCCTCCTCCGTGGTCTGACATTCCGGAAGGAAGAGGAAGTTGGTGGTCCTCTTGGCCAAGAAGAACCGGATAGGACAAACTTCCGCCGCCACAGACAGAACGTCACTCAAGAGGTCCTTCATGGTTCTGAAGTCGGTGCCGCCTTGTGGATGAGGCCTAAGCGACTTCCACTGACCGGTGCGACGGTCAAAGCTATTGCATTTACAAAGCAAATGCATCATGCGTGCCATGGTCTTCGGTGCGAGACGCTTGTATCCTTTCTGTTCGATAAAGGCCTGGTAGAACTCGGGCACATTGCATTTGTGCTTGTCGCCTGGACGCGGAATTATGTGCATGATTCGCCCAGTGCTTGTCAGGTCTGTCCGGGTGGCGAGAAATCAGCAGTGTCGCCCGAGTTTCGGATTTTTACGCAAAGCCGTGCGCTATGGTTGACTCGGATTCGGAAGCAACGGACTGCGACGTGCGGAGTGTGATGAGTCAAGGCTGAACACGGCTGGTATCGTATGGAAGAAGTTCGATGGGCACGAACGCGCGGTGGAGTGTGTTCGCTAGTCTAGGATGATGGAAGGTCAAGAGAAAGTGCAAGCTCAGGGTTCCCACCGCGAGGATCACGGAACATACCGATATCACATGACTGCCATGCATCACGGTCACTTGATCCAGCGTTCAACTTTGCGATAAAACACTGAACTGGTCCGGCGGGCCCATCGAGCTGTCAGCAATGACAGACCATCAACATGATAGTGACGGGAAACATGGTAGATAAATTATGCTACATACACTGATCGCTCTAGTATCATAAGAGCATGAAGCCTGCTCTACATAATAGTCTACTCTCGTCAATCCATTAGATCTACACTATAGCCCATTAGTCGTACTGTAAGCGTGTCCTCATTATATTGTCACTGCTTCGATGTAAGAAGCCTCTACTCAGTCCCCGGCCCATGGTACGACATCGCCTCCCGGTCGACGCTCATCAAGCGTGCGTATTCGAGCAGCGAGCTGGAAGAACGCGTAAGCACAAACAGCTCAGGAGAGGCCGGAGCTATGCAATCACCGAATGAAGTACGCCTGCAGGTCCTCTATCCTCCAGTACTCCTTGCTCCACTTCCGCCCTTGGACGGCAATCTTGCGCGCTAGGTTGTCATGCGCACCGACGCCGTTCTCGTCTCCACGGAAGAAGACAAGCGCATCGTACAGGTCGCTGTAGTCCATCTGGACCGGCACGTAATGTAGCCACGGCTGTATGCGGTCGGTGTACCTGCAAACCCGTCAGCCTCACCATCACAGTCATTGTGCCAATCAACCCAACTCACCACTCCGGATACACCGTCGCCTTAAAGATCACCGAATTCGCCAGCATCAACCGCTTGAACCGCCCACTCCACGCATTCCCATCCACATCCATCACATACTTGTAGTTCGCCGACTCCGCGAGCGTCTGGAAGCTCCTGAACTCGAACCTCTCCTCGATCGCGTCGCAGATCTGCTGCGTCGTGCACTGGTGCGCGCGCCCCGCGAACGCGACGTCCATCAGCTTCGGGTTCAGCGCGCCCGACCAGTGAGGCTTGGGCTGCCCCACGCGCTCGCCGGGCGCGCGCGACTCGAGCACGGACAGGACGGACGAGTTGTCGTTCGTGAGCCCGACCATCCGCAGCCGATGGTTCTTCTCCCAGTGAAAAACCGGGTCGTGCAGCATCCCCGTCGTCGACCCGCGCCACAGCAGCCGATTATCGGTCTTCTCCTCCCACTCCGGCTCGCCCGGGATATCCTCGATCCAGTCGTAGGGCGCGGGCATGCGGATGTCGTGGTGGATCGCGGTCGCGGCGTAGGCGAACTGGGCGACCATGACGGGCTGCGGGTTGGGGCCCGCTTCGTGGGAGACGAACTGGCCGTGGTGGTGGAAGAGGTAGGTGTGCTGGCAGGGGGACATGCTCTTGTAGTGGTCGTGGATGAAGGACTTGCCCGTGCGGGGTGGGGGGTCGTGGTTGAGGTCGATCGGGTAGTGGCGGCCGGGAGAGGAGGGGTGGCAGGCGGTGGGCCAGCCGACGCCGTTCTTGACGGGTGGGAGTTCGTGGCGACGGAGGTCTATAAGGTCTTGTCAGTATCGAAGAGGTGGTACAGCGGACTTTTGAATCCGTACATGTCTTATGCCGCGCAGCCTCGCGCAACACTCGTCGATGGTCGTAATCCGTATGTCGTTGCGGTGCGTCATGGGGCGAGACCATGATGGAAAAGTCTTGCGGGAGGTAATCCTCGACCGCTTGAAGCATGTCAAGTACAGGGACGACGGACGCGATAAGGTGCTCGTTCCCCGGCATAAATTCTTTGCGCACGACATCGATATGTCCCATGCGATTTCTGCCTAGCGCAAACCAGTCGTCGGGGTATTCGTCTTGCGCTTGCTCTTGCATTGCGATAAGATCTGGAGGGTATACGCCCCACATGTGCTCGTAGTCCCAGTAAATCTGGTCATACTCGTCGGGGAGCTTGATGTTGTGTTTCTGCACGAAGTCCCACCTGTTCACGATCAGCAAGCGCACTTCAGCCAGACGAACTGGACGTACCAAATATCAAATCCCTTCGGTGGATTTCTCTTATACCGTCGCCTGTACTCCCTCACCGCCTGTTCCAGCGTGCGGCTGGCGCGGGCCTGCTTCTTCTTCCACTGCTTCTCCGCCTTCTCCATCAACTCATAGATTGGGTGCGCGCCCATCGGGTTGACCTCCAGCAGCCCATTCTGCTGGTACTTATGCTTCCCCGTCGCAGGTAGCCCGCCGTTCTCCGCCTTCAGCTTGTCGTACCGCCCTCGTATCCTCCGCCGCGGGGCCGGCGACTGCTGCTGCCCCCGCGCGTACGACGTGATCCTGCGCACGGTCGACGCCGCGGTCTCACGAAGGCGATGACTATGCGTGATGGGCGCGTCGCCATGGTCGATATGTGAGCCCAGTGAGAAGGTGAGGAGCGCGTAGATACTCGCGATAACGAGGACCACGCGCAGCACGCGCCGCGTCTTGGGCGCGCCCAGGATGCGCAGGAAACGCTGCGAGCGCCTGATCATCACGGGCGGGACGATAAGGCGGATGGTGGGGCGGGGGAGGGGCATCTCGCGCTGCTATCGCGCGCCTTTTGTACTTCCGCGTCCTCGCCCTTTTTTGCGGAAATTTCGTGCGCGCGGGTGGTATTGGCTGGCTGAGCGCCCAGGACGAGGCGTGCATTCCATTCCGGATGCCCGAGGCACCGCGATCGCACAGAGAAAACGTGGAACATTCAAGGTTGGACAGCACCGGCTCCTAAACGGAAGCGATTTAGACAGACGCTACACCCCAGCATGGAAGTCTTGGAGCCGTCTTCTCTTCGATACAGCCGGCGCTAGGAGAGACATTGGGCACTCCATGACGACAAGCGGCTGTGGGACTGGGGATGGAGACTTTGGAGAGGGAAGGAGGCTGAAGTTGATGTTGAGTGCGCCATCGGAAGTGCGGAGATGGTGGCGCGCCGATCGCTGTCGATCAGGGCCATAAAATAGTTAGGTGGGGGACCCACGATAGCTCACGCAGGGGCTTACAGCGCGCCTTCGGCGCTGGCCGCGCCTCGGCCCGATGGCCCGCGCCATACGCCACCGCGGCTTGAAAGGCAGCTCAGGACGTCGAGCGCTGTCCTTCGGTCACAAAATGTACTTGCCATTGTCTACCTATAGTGCATACGAGAATGACGTCGCTCACCGCTGCCAACAGCGCTCAAGAAGGAGAGCTCTGCTCATCGTTGACGCTCAGAGAGAGGCCCGACGCTGGACGGTAACGCGACGTTCGAATTTTCTCACGAAAATCGGTATGCGTGTGCATAGCGGGGTACGGAGTGCTCTTGCAAAGTTTCACACAGATCCGCGAAGAGAGGCGCGCGCTGCGCGCGCCAGAGCTCGCGGAGCTCTTTTCGAGTAATACCCGGAAAAAGATTTGTACTTGTTTACACGGCAACTCTAGGGCAGCCATCACGAACTCACGATTGCTCACGCAGGGGCCCCGCCGAGGTACGAGGCAGGGGAAGCGTGAGCAATAATTTATTACTTCACACGATCACGGGCAAGGGCGAAGTTGAACATTCGAATCGGTTTCTGTGTTGTTGTTGGTGGTCGAGACTGTCATCAGAAGCATTGAAAGACGTGCATCTCATTGTGCAAGAGAGTCGGACATAGCCGCAGACAATGAGTCAGTTGTCCTAATGAGCAGTATACTCGTACAGAGGGGGAAAGAGTACGCGCGTTGATGGTCGATAGGTATTGTAAAAGTTACACAGCCCATCCAACGCTTCTCCCGCAGTGTGGTACCACACTACCAGCTCTATAGGGCACTTACACCCCATTCCTATTACGCTTTGCCCAACTCCACCTGGTGAAGAAACGTCGGTCGGGATTTGGGAAATTCACTTCAATACTGGCAAGACAGGCAAGGCAGGCGGTCAAGATGCGCCTGAATTGGCCGCAATGCCTGACGACGGGAAGGGTCTGAAGAAGGTGAGAGACTTCAAGACGGCACAGCAGCGCGAGAGGCCGAAGGAGGGTGTCCAGAACGGTGTCGGTAATCAAGCGCAAACGTACGAGCGTTCTTGCAGCGAAGCTAATCTGGAATGCGGATATACTCAGTGACTCTGGACGCGCATCTCGACACGAGTCACACACTTCGGACTCGGCAAAGGCAACTAGTCAATACATAAGACGATCTTCAAGTCCTCGGACGGAGAGAGTGTGTATGAGACTCTCTTTCTGCCATATGCATTCGTCCCTTTCAATCATTTTACACCCTCTGCTGTTTTCTATGTTACAAAGCTCGTCAAGGGACTGATATTCCTTCCTGAGGGGGTGTTGTGAGATATGGTGATGGAACTCGAAAGTCGAACATCAAGTTCGACCGTGGGATGATTGCGGGGCTCCCCGCTCGGCCCGCGATAAGATAACGGGGAGAGGCCGCTATCGGGGCTCGCTGAGTTGCGTTCCGCTTGCGTGCTCGTTTCCAAACCGGCATCAGGCGCCCATGCAGCCTCCGAGCTTCATCTAACGCACTTTGCTCCCGTCCCCCACCTCCAGCAGCGTACCCCTCGTCGCCGGGCGCATCCCTTTGGCCCTCCCTATAACTACCAGCGGCGCATCGCGATGGACGGTCTGCGGTCGCGATCAGCATCGCCCCCTCCCCCGGCGGCATACCTCAAGAAGCGGGACTACATAATCGGCATACTGCTCCTGCTCGTCGTCGTCTTCCTCTGGACAAGCAGCAACTTTGTCACGCAGGTGCTTGAGATTGTGTGCTGCCGGGCTGTGGCGCTGTGAGGCTCAATGATTGGTGCATAGGGCCTGTTCGAGGATGGGTTCGAGAAGCCATTTATGTGCGTTGGCGTGCGTTTTCTGAGTGCCGAGAATGTGCTGACGGTTGGGGCGCAGGGTGACCTACCTGAATACGGCCTCGTTCGCGCTGTACCTCCTCCCTTCACTCGTGCGAAGAGTGCTGGCAGGCAAGCCGATCCACTGGCGGTGGAAGGATGTGGTCAAGGAGGATCTCGAGAGGTGCGTGTCCTGCGCTCACTTTCCTCCTCCCGCGTCCTTACACTATCTCAGAACAAGAGACGCCGACGCCTACCAGCCCCTTGCAGCGGACGACACCCGGGTCCTCGACGACGATGTATGTTCCGCCCCCTCCCACCTATCCACGCTCATCATCTCAAGCTCGCTAAACCCACGCAGGGGCGTCCGCACCCTCATTTTACGCACCCAGAACCCCATGTGGTCCTAGACGAGGACATTCTGCCGCCATTGACCACGCAGGAGACGGCCAAGCTGGCGTCCGTGTTCTGCTTCTTCTGGTGAGGGCTTTCAGCTGAGTCGGAAGGAACTTGCATCGGCTGACTGTGTTGGCTCAGGTTCGTGGCGAATTGGGCGGTGAATGCGTCGTTGGACTATACCAGTGTGGCTAGCACGACGATCCTGTCGAGTATGAGCGGTGCGTGGCCGAGTAAGCGCACGAGGCCGGATGGGACTGAAACGGGAATAGGTTTCTTTACCCTCGGTATAGGACGCATATTCCAGGTCGAGATCTTGACGTACGCCAAACTTGGCGCCGTATTCACCAGGTAAGGGACGCTTTGGCACTCACTCTCCACGCTCAACCCGCTCATCATTTACCAACATATTTTCGTAGCTTCTCTGGCGTCGTCCTCGTCTCGCTTTCCGACCAACGCTCCGGCGCTGCCGAGCACGCCCCGCGGCCCATGCTCGGTGACACGCTCGCCCTGCTGTCCGCGCTTTTCTACGCGCTCTACGTCACGCTGCTCAAGGTTCGCATCGGCGCCGAGTCGCGGATCGACATGCAGCTCTTCTTTGGGTTCGTGGGGCTGTTTAATATCGTCACGCTGTGGCCGGTTGCGGTCATCCTGCACTTCACGGGCGCGGAGCCGTTCGAGTTTCCGCATACGGGGTCGGCGGTGGGGGCGATCCTGGCCAACGTGAGTTGTCTGTTGACACCCCTTTCCTTCTATTCACCTATGCTTTCAGATGGCGATCACCCTTTCCTCCGACTACATCTACGTCCTCGCGATGCTCAAGACCACGCCGCTCGTCGTCACCGTCGGCCTCAGCCTCACCATCCCCCTCGCGGTCGTCGGGGACCTCATCCTCGGGCGCGCAGTGCGCATACAGGTCATGCTCGGGGCGGTCCTCGTCCTCGCGAGCTTCGTCGCCATGGGCGTCGACGACGCGCGGGTGCAGGAGAAGGAGCACACGGTGTGGTACGTCGGGGAAGAAGAGGGGCTAATAGGTGGTGGTGGCGAGGGCAGGATAGACGGCAGTGTGAGCCGGAGAAGTATGGGGAGGAGAAGTGTGGGTGGGAGGAGTGGGAGCCGGGCGAGCGCAAATATGACGCGGGCGAGGCAGAGCTTGACGAGGGGACGGGACAGCCTGACGAGGGGACGGGAAAGCTTGGCTGGGCGGGAGAGTTTGACGAGAACGAGGGAGAGCCTGACGCGGGGGAATCTGGCGCGAGAGAGGAGAAGCGAGCAGGTGGAGTTGGGAGGGACATAGCAGGGTCTCAATGCAGGAGGGGATGAGCAGGAGGAAGGTAAGGTGTGGATTATTTATTGTCATTGTGGCAGCCTCAACGTGCGGAGCCCATCTATTCCTGTACTCACTACTAGAATGCGCCATTCAACTTTGAATGCTCTCTCGCTGTTGCGTCTGTTCGGATCTTCTGCTTTCGAAGGTCGGGGAGGTGCAAGTAGTACCCATCCAGATAGCGCGCGTGAAGACAGAAGCTATGCCACTGTGTGCACCCGCGCCCACTGCCATACACAGCGTAGTGATTTAGCTTCTTCCTTACACTGCTGTTGTATTTCTCAGCTGAAGTATGACCAGACACATATGATGCATTGTGCATATCCTACTCTACAACTTTTCGGCAGAAGACACGACTCAGTCCGACGCGTCAGTAGTAAGCATGAGCTCTACCAGCGCAATACCGTTTGATGGAGGCACGCTTTCTGCTGACCGATTCAGATAATGTCGCCTGCTTTTCGCTCGCCCTGCGTCTGGCGAGGGACTTGCTCTCGAGGAGCATACATAAGCTTGAACGAAGTTATCATGGTGACATCCTCGGCGTCTTCCGACGTTGGATCTTCTTGGACGCCCTTAACGGTCTTGTCATGAGTACGTCGTCGATGGCGAAGCGCGGGACGAAAGGGCTAAGATCCCAGGCGTCGACGAAGTGCTGGGCTCTTTCTAGGAAGATCGAGTCGTAGATGACCGCGCTTGCCTTAAGACGAGCGAGCAAGCCAAGGAAAGGCTTCGGAGAAGTCGAATTTCTGCTGTTTCTGTGTGATTTCCATCGCTTGCTCAAGAGCATTTTATGTGTCACGAAGGTAATCGATAGCATTGGGGAGTTTTCGTCGTTAGAGTTGGCAAAGGTTTTCACGAAGTTGATGATCATCCTTGCTCCTCTTGAAGGGGCTCGACGCTGCGTGCTATCGTGAGGAAGGGAAGTGCGATCAACTGCAAGCAAGCGTATGAGAATGCCGTTCCGTTTGGTGTCGTCAATAACCAGTACGAGATGAGTGTTCCCTTCGACGAGAGCGAAAAGAAATGGTCCGGCAGACCGCTGATTAACCTCGGATCCTCAACGATAATCTCGCAGACCGTCTTGTCGGTTCAGCCATTGACTTCGCGTCGCGTTTGGTGCGGGCCCCATCTGCATTTCGTTGTTTCCTGGTGCCAGTGGTAGGTGACGTCGTGCCAACCTTGACATGTGTGGTGGCGTCTTTGCAAGCGATAGGAACACACGTCCGTTGGTCTGCTTCGCCATCGTCCGCCCTCTTGCGCTTCGTTCTTGCGTTCTTCGCCGCTAGCGACTGCCCATGCGCAGCACCGACGTTATTTTCAGACAGCCCTTCGTCAGGCATAGGCGCATTCTGGGTGGTGCCTGCGATCGCGACCTGCGCCTGGTCGATCCTGCCGGTGTTGAAGTCGATATCTGCGATTCTGACGAGCGACGGCGGTCCCTCTTGTCCCTGGAAGTGCTCGCTAATACATCCGGATATCTCGCGCAGCTCGTCGTAGACCCCCGCGTGCTCGTTGAAGATGGACAAGGGTAGTCGAGGGGCATCCGGGGAGTTATATAAGAAAAACTTGTCTTGATCTTCTTCCGATAACAACGTCGAGTTCTCGACGGCGTCGTGAGCCTTCCGCAGGCACGCAACCGCGTCAACAAGCCTGAGCATGACGGATTCATCCCCGTACAGGTGGCTGAGTTGTTTGCGAAATAGGTCGATGCCGTAGTGACGAAGGATCAGCGCACGGCGTTGGGGGCTGCCGCAGGTGCAGGGGGCGCAAACCGCACGCTCAGCTCTCGGCTTTCAGCAAGAGGTCGCGCATGACTTTCCAGTCGGTATTTTCGAGGACCCGACGACTGCAACGACGGAGAGTGAAGTAGATGGCGCCCCATAGAGTGGATTCGACGTCATGTAGAGGGTTGTGGGCGAAGTAGTTGTGCGTCAGCAACTCCTCTTCGCGACAGTTGGCGAATATATGCTCTTGGGCTTGTACCTCGACGGCCATAAACACGGATGTGCCCTATCCTCGAGATGAGTATGTGACAAGAGGCATTGAGCGGGAAAGAACATACCACGCCCCGGTCATCCGCGATCTTATCATAAGCCCTAGCGTATTCGAGGTCAGCGAGCTTAGTGATGTACCGCTCCGATAGAATCGTAGACGATGTGTCCATGCATTGTAGCATGATATTACCCAAGCTAACGTCGCGATGTACGTAGCCTGCACGGCGCATCTTGTCCAGAACTGCAAAGACGTTAGGATAAGCGATCGAGGAATGCGAGCGACGCACCCTGAATAACCTGGTACAGGGCAAAAAAGAATGTAGCAGGGTCATCTACCCGCCAGAGGGTTTCGCAGTACTCCCCGTGGAGGGTACGACAGTGCTTGCGACCCGAGGCGATGCGTGCGAGCCGCGATCCTGACACCATAGATCCCGAAACAGGAGGGCCAGATGCTTCCCGGGGTCGATCCGCACAAGCCACGACGCCATCGGCGAGTAAAGTCATGAAGTGCCGCCGGATATCGATGAGCTCGTCCTCTGTCATAGTCTTTTCCATCGCGCAGAAGATGGCGTCCTGAATCTTGCCCTCCACGGACACCTCAGCGTCATTGGAACGCCAATAGTCTTGTAGGACGCGACAGGGACCGCTCAGATTGCCGCAGTCGACGACCTTGAAGACGCGCATCGCTTGACAGTGCAGATTGCTTGCTGCGTCCTCGTACTCGATCTCCACGCTCTGGTATTGGTGGCATGTTCCATCGCGATGGACGACGTCGAACTGGTAATGGAGTTCGTTCCCAACGACGACGCGATGAACAGCCGGGTCAAAGCCAAGTTGCGCGGGGGAGGCGAAGGATGAGAAGAGAATGATCTGGATAAGCTCGTCCGACTGCTACAAAGTCATGAGCAAGGCTGGTGGCGAAGTCAGAACGGCTTTCCTCACCTTATGCATATCGAACCGCTCGGTAAAGATGGTCCTGGAACGCGTGTGGTACCAGAGTCTCACACTAGATCCTTCGATGGTCACCGCGAATTGACAGGTATGGCGAATGTCATTGTAGAGGATATGCTGGGCCGCATACAAGGTCTGGTCTTCGTTCTGCAAGGCATCGTCAAATCCTTCTCGGTCCTCAACCGATAGCTCAACGTACACGTTGGATGTGAGAAGAGTCCGCAAATGGCGTGAGCCCCCACGTCATACCGACATCCGCCGTATAGACGATGCGCGACTGTCCCTGTGCAGTGGCAACGTGGTTGTGCGCGGTTCCAGGCGTAGCTTCGCGCGTATACGACGGCTGGGCAAGATAGCTCACAGCGTCGGCATAATACGTTGCGCCCGGAATATCTGCGGCCGTCTCAAGGCCGGAAGAGCAGGTATACGTAGTAGTCTTCTTGTCGGCGGAGAAGCGACGAGGGCATACTTCTGCCGCTGCGCCCAAGACGTGATCGTGAAGGGCCTTCATGCGACCGTCGTTCGACGCCACACCTTTGCCATGCAGATCAGTCCACTCTCCGGTAGAGCGATCAATAGAGCCGCGTCGACGGAGAACAGAGAGAATGCGGGCCAGAGTCCTGGCTGGGACGCGCTTGTAGTTGGTTGATTCCACGTAGATCTCGTAGAACTCGGGCACGGAGCACTGGAGCGAGTAGGGTTGCGCCGTCAGGCTTTCCATGTTGGTGAGCTGAGTGAGTTGGTGTATACTGAAGAAGGTGTAGCTGGGGTTTCAGGTGCTAAAGCAGCGATGTAGCTGGCTTTGATGATGGTGGTCAAGTTCAAGTCGCGAACGCGTCCGCCACCGGCATTACGGAGCGTCGATCCGATGCAATCAAGCACAAGCAAATGACATAAGCACACACGTGATTGCAACGTGGTTCAGACCTGCATCTCTGGGCGCTGAATGATTCAGAATGTGACGAGCAACCCTGCGATGTTGTATCTAAGCCTTGTCTTACCCACAGAGCTTCTGCTGTAGACCGTGAGCCCCATCTCCGAAATCTACCCCGACCTGCCGTTATCCCGCATCTCTTGTGGGCGCCTACCGTGCTGGTCACCTTCGAACTGCCTGATTAGGCACCCGATATAGGCGCCCACCTCTTCGGTCTCGAGCGGCTCTACCGACGAGCACTGCCCTTTCACCTGCTGCCTTCACCCACCTTCGCACCCTCTTACCTTACTTCCAGCGCCTGGGTCATCTGGTAGGGTGTGTGCTCCTGACTCAATGGCTATTGTGTTTGAAACCGCGATCATCGCGCAATCATCGCGCGTCTAGAAGCGATCCAAGGTCATCATGCGTGGACCTTCCCCCGCTCAGAAGCCCTTGCATTCTTCTCTCAACAGCTTTGGACAATGGAGTGTACAGCCTCAGTCCGTACTTCCTCGCGCGCCGCGAACGAGGTTGCTTGCTTTTTCTCAGCGATAGGGCCTTTTAGTGGGCGAGGAACCTGCGTACTTTTCTACCGCTCGCTCTCCCCACTTTCTCCTGGTCACTCGAAACGGCCTTTGGGACCAACCGGTAGCCAAACACACCTTCGTGCGCCATCAACCTACAGCCACGCCCCATCACCTATCCCAGTTCCTCTTTCACCACTTGGCATCTTACAACATCAGCTCGACGACGCCTCCCCCAATGTCCACATTCTCCCAACTCCTGCCTCTCATCGCAGCCTTCTACGGCTTCCTCTGGCTCTACGTGCGCCAGAAACGGAAGGAAGAGTGGGCGGAGATTCGCGCAAACATGCGGAGGAATGGGCTCGAGATGGATGAGTTTGGGAGGTTGGTGGACAGGGACGGCATGCCGCTGTTGGATAGCGAGGGAAGGGTGGTGGATGTCTGTGGCTGCGGTATGCCGGTGGCGCGCCCGAAGAGGAGGGCGTTTACGCCGGAAGGAGAGAGGGAGGGGTCGAAGGAGATGTGAATGGGAATGGAGAGTAAGGTGTGTAAGGGCTTGGAAGATGGAAAGGGGGGTTAGGTGAAGATGCTGATGCTGAACAGCAGGAACCGGCCGAACTGGAGATCGCGCCACAAGCGACAGACCAAGAGATGCCGAGACCATGAACGACGTCGCTTGAGAGGACAACATAGGTAATCTTGCTGCAGGTCGGCAAGCTTATGCGAGGATGGCGAAGGAGTCAAGCAAGTGATGGAGCTGGGTCGATAAATACACCATGGATCCCATTAGACCGACATGTACCAATACAGTGGAGGTTGAGGTAGGAGCAATCATGAAGCTGATGTCTTCCTCCTTTTTGCGGATGGCTCGTCGCCATCATCGTCTGCTGGTCGGGTCGAGGTGTCCTTCGCAGAGGTGGAGGAGGCGTCTTTAGAGGCGGAAGTAGGTTCCTTAGTTGTTGAAGTAGGCTCTGCCTTGGCTTGTGGCGCAGCAGGTTTGCTAGCTGCGGGCTTGGCCTTCTTCTTCACCACGATACCCTTGAGGCTGCCCTTCTTCGCGGGCTCTTTCTTGGGTGCGGGCGGTTTTGAGGGAGCTGGCGGCTTTGCGGCGGCCGGGGTGCTGCCTGGTAAAGCTGGAGGGGGTTTGGCTGCTATCTTGGCTGCGACGGCTCTGCGAGACGTGTGAGAGATTGGAGGAAAGCGAGGCAGGGCACGCACTCTCGATAAGACTTGAGCTCTTCACCATCCTCTAGCTTGCGCATACGTTCCTCCTCTTCGCGCTTCTCGCGTAGGGTGTCCAGGTATGCAGTCTCATCTTCGGTTAGTGCGCGAAACTGGTTTGCTGCGGTAAGATGAGTACGAGTTGGTCTATCATAGCTTGCAACGCACCTAGCTTCGTCCTCTCTTCGTATTCTTCTTGTTTAGCAGCCTTCAGGGATGTTCATTACGAGGGCGCCGATATTGAATGCAAACATACCCGGTTCGCGGCGAGTTTCTGTTTCTGTTAGCTTCTCAAACTACATAGCGTGATCACTGCACACCTCAGCAAGACTCCGTCCATCGTAAGCCTCTTCTTGTTGCTGCGGGGGCGGCTCCTGGCCGAGCCTGATAGCGGCGCATCAGCGGGGGAACGATCAAGTGGTTGGACGAGGTCGGACCTGGCATACGCCGCGCGCCACTGCTCCTCCCTGCGAGTGCGGGCTGCCTGGATGTCATCGGCAGTGATGAAGCGTGCGCCGACGCCGGTGGAGGTCGAGGAAAGCGAGGGAACGACGGCCTCGTCTGCCATTGGGTCGGTGGTGGGCCGTGGCGGCTGACGAGAAGGTGCTGATGGCGCGCGCTTGGACCGGCCGGTTCGCAATCCCCGCAGCCCGCGATGTCAGCGCCCTCTTCCTTCTGCCCTCATCATCATCGTCGCCGACCGCGAGCGTGCCGCGACCTCGTTGTGAATGGCGGGCCCGTCGGGCTCACTCGATCCACCGAAGAGTGTCTCCCCGCCGTCAGTCCTATCGACCTCGACCCTGAACCACTCCGTGTCGACCAAGAGCAACACCGGACCTCGCGTAAATGCGAGCAAGGTAGTCACAGCACCTCGTACGTGGTGGCGTTCATCCAGTGGCTGTCTAATCATCTTCTTCACAGCATGGGCCCGAGACGAACCACCGTCACCCTCGTCGTCGGTGACCAACTTCGATGTCTCCCAACCGCTGCAGAACTCAGCCTCCCGCCCCTCTTTCGATGTCGTCTCTTTCAATTCTGCAAAGGACGCATCGAGGTGGTGGACCTTCACCCTTCCCCGCCCACGCGACCAGCACCCCTCACCGCAGCCCAAGCCGAAATTGTCCATCGACACCGCTGTCGGCGATTCCGAGAAGGGAACCCACACACCTCCGCGCCGACCATGGCTACCCAACACTGCATCGCTCAATGCCGTGCGCAGAGGTGACAAGGGCAAGGAGATGGCGCACACCGGGAGCCTTAGCGAGCGCAAAAACGTTAGATTAAACGTGGAACTCCCGCCCCCACCTGCAGCCCCTTTTACCCTATCGCATAACCCGACGCCAGGTTGGGATACGCCTTGGACAGCCCGAGCGCGCGACGACTCGTTCGGTCTTGCAGGCGACAGTACTGATGAGGACCTTCCCCGTCGAGGAGGCAAGCGACCGAAACGATGGCGCACGTTCTTACTGAATAATGTCTACGTTCCCCTCGTAAGTCGATGTCTCTCATGGTCCCTTCATTCGCCTGTTAACTCTCCGCAGCTTTTCCGCTTCATTAATGTATCCTTCACCTCCGCCGCCCTCGCTTTCGCCATCCGAATACGACAGTTGGAAAAGCAGAATCACGCTCTGGGTGCATTGGGAAGCTCACCGTACGCGATCTCCGATAACATCTGTCCCCCATGCTAACCGACCGTCCTAGAACACTGGTCATCATCTTCTCCCCGCTCACCATCGTGCACGTGCTTATAGCCGTCTACGTACGTGCTCGCCCCCCTTTCACATTTCCCGATCCACACCTGACATGACATCTGGCAGCTGGAATACTTCGGGCGCCCGCTCGGGCTCTGGCGCACATCGGGCAAGCTCTTCCACACGCTCACAGAGGTCGTGTTTATCTGCGCGTGGTCCGGCGCGCTCTCTCTCTGCTTCGACAACTTTTTCACCTCCCTTATACCCTGTGCATCCGCTTCCTCCTCCGACTGGTACAATGAGCTTCCGCGACCAGCCTCGCCGCTCCCGAATTTCGAGGGCAGCGCAGGCGACCGGCTATGCGAAGAACAGCTGACACTGATCATCCTCGTCGGCGTCGGGCTCATCATGTACTGCATCAACCTCGTCATCAGCCTTTTCCGGATATTTGAGAAGGTGAAGGTGCACTCGGGGGCGGGCGCACTGGGGTTCACCTAGGCGCGTGCGCTGCGCGCGTATACTCCGTAACGCGTCTCACGCATCGCCTCGCGACGTGATGCAGGCGGCAAGCAGGGTCGTGCACCGCCCCCGCCCCACCTGCCAGTCGCATCCTCCTCGCGCCCCGCTTATAGCAACCCCACACGCTCTCTGGCACCCCCACGAGCCGACCTGACGAGTCACGACGCCGCACGCGCATATCAGGCGCACCAACACCTACCTATTGGAGGCCCACGACACCTACCTATGGAGGCCCGTGCGGACTAGGATCACTACAATTGTACGACTATTTTACATCGCTATCGTTATAGGCACGGACGCTCCGATACTTCACTTCACTCCTGGACCAGCCCTGCTGCTTCCGACCTGCTGATACCGGCTCGCATTCATTCGCGCTCATTGATTGGCGCGTCGTTCTCACCTGCCCCAGTGTCGTTGCTGCATGACTTGCTACCCCCGTGGCTCGCGCCGCGCATGTCGAGGAACTGGCCCTGTCCGTCAGGCTGATCATCGCTATCGCTTCATGTAGCTGTCGCATAGGCCATGGTTAGCAAGTACCAGATGGGGGCAACTGCGTTCAACCCCAGTGCACTCATGTACATATCGCCCCAGCTCTGCTCTGAATACTCGTCACTCGTTCTACAGTACCCTAATCGCTTTGAAGCCTATTTGCCATGTGTTGTACTTGTAGATACGCTAGTAACGAAATTTAGCTGGAGTGGAAATACGCAGGAGGGTGGGTGCGTTGAGCAAGCGAGCTCAGGGGAGGGAGTCTGAGGGTGCGATGAGAGAGTGCAGGGATAGTGCAATGGAAGGCAGATCAGTTGACTCGAGAATACAACAGCGTTCGGTGGCATGCCAACGCATATGAATGAGGTATTATATAACACCGATGCAACAGTCCACTCTAGCACTCCCTGTATGAAGGGCTGCGGTGGCTGCCGACAACACATTCCAGAGATTGGCCTCACTTCTAAAGTAATGTACATGGTCCTGCACCCAAGTCCAAGTGATGATCACAAGAAAAGGAGAAAAAGTACTGCTTGCGAAGCATGCTAATGACCGCGCCTGTGACGGGTAGCATCGTCGTAGTCCGGCGGTAGCACATCTTCCAGTACCTCGTCATCGGCTGGTCCAACGTCGATCTCGCGTCGAGGCACCACGAATGGGCGGCGACTGGATGAGGCGTTCTCGGACGGTGTTTGGGTGCGGACATCTTGGACGCTGAAGTTGAAGGGTTCCGGGTTGGTTGCAGCTAGCGGAGGCTTGCGGACGGGTGGGCGGCGAGTTGAAGTGGCTGACGAAGTCGAAGGCGATTGAGAATCCGATTCTGCACACTTTCTACCATTCGAAGGAGGGTGATCGCGGCCTGCGTGAAGGTTGGTACCCTTTTGCGAAAAGTCTTTCGATCTGCTTACCCACGAACGGTGACAACCCAGGTGTGAGTGATCTGGTGGTCAATGAGGGTTGTCTGCCCTTCATATATGGCAGGGGTTGAGTGGGGCTGGATGGACGGTCCTCCGGAGGGGTCGAGCGGCTTTGGTGACGGCGGCGACAGCACCACCAGAGGAGTACGATGGTGATGACAAGGAAGATCACGCCTCCGGCCGCAGCGCCAGCAATTGCGCCAATAGGGACATGACTTGGTGCTGATGAAGGCGGCGCAGACGGCGTGGACGAAAGGGAGGAAAGCGATGAGAATGTAGACGAGGGCACGAAAGTGCTAGACTCTGAGTTTGCCGACGTCGAGCTGGATGTCGTGGTCGAGCTGTCCCCATCTGCGCCATCTACAAGATATCATGAGTGAGGCGAGCGAGTCAATCGACGAGAGATCTGACCGTCGTCAACGGTCAGGATGAACCTGTCGAGCGTGATCTGCGTGTTAATCCGTCCAAAGCGGGTGTCGTTGGTATTCTGCAGGATCACTTCGTGAACGCCGGGATTTTCCCAGGTTTTGCTGTATAGCAAGGACTGCAACGGTGTTGAGCGCTCATAAGGCGAGAGAAATCAGGTAGTAGATACTGGTGGATTACGACCGTCGTCAGATGCGTTGTGAGCGTCAATTCGGTCCCAAAGTCGGTCGTTGGGATCACAGTCGATGCATATGAGATACAGGCCTCCTCCAGACCGCTGTGTATATCAGTTGTCAGAACAATGAACAGTCATCGATAAAAATGCCACGTACCAGCATGCCATAGTAGTAAAAGCCTGTGGCGGGTTCTGACGAAGTGCTCAGTCATCGGTACACGAGCGTACATGAGTGGAGAGTTGCGATACTCACCAGGGAATGTGAAAGTCAGGGCAGCGTCAGGGGACAGCGAAGACGATAGAGTACCGGTCTCCCCCACCGAAGTTGCGTTGTAGGACCCTGTTATAAACCAGTACTCGTTGTAGTGGATGTTGGTCGTGTCGCGGTCGTCATAGGTGATATTTTTGTACACCATGGCTCGTCGACGCTGGACGGCATGAAGCAGAAAGAAGGGTTGCGAAGCCAACCCGTGCATCAGCCCACGATTGACCTAACAGGCGGCCTTTGGGTGGCGAACAGGCCACGGTGACGCTCTCCGAGGACGGACCATTCAGACCACCGTGCCAAGCGTGGCCAGTTGGCTCATCAGATGTTCAGCTCACGTCCAGAACCGTGAATGCGGAAGAAGATCATCGGGATGAAAGAACTGGAAAGCGACTGATGAGTCACAGGAGATGCCACGTCACGTCCAGGATTGACAGAGACTCATAAACGTTTTATCAACAGAGATCTAGGTCGCCAGAGAGCAAGCTCGCCCAAGGCATGGGGATCCCGGACGTATCAAGTCCGTCCACCAGCTGAAGCTACAGAAAAGGGGAATACCTGCTGCGATGATGAAGACGCACAGTCCGGTACGATATCCGCCCTCTTGCAGCCCCGAATCAGACGGAGTCGTGGAAGAATAGATGGGCCATAGTCAGATGCCTCGAGCCTCGTATGAGGGTGAGAAGACGTGGCCATTCCGACATCTGCAACAGATCATTTCACGAATGCGAATCCGCCCTCGAGCAATATTTATAGAAGCAAAGACGTAGCGATCTCTTGGGCGCTTTGGACTGAGCAGTTTGAGGTGCAATATAAGCACTTTGGTCGAGGATGATTGTTCTGCAGAGGAACAGTTCGACTCCGGCATCTCCCGGAGTCGAACTTCGGCGGCCGGTCACGAAGCGTCACGCTTGTCACAACAGGCTTAAGCGCGCAGCGCTCAGCAGGCGCCCTCATCATATTTATCTGGTAGTACATTCATCATAGCTAACGCACTCAATGCTAGCACCATAAGCTAAGAGACCCCAAGCAAAGTCCAAATGAAATAACAGACGACCGGTACGACTAGACGGCCGGAACGTCGGTGTCCGCGACGTATCAAGATGGCTGGAAAAAACACGCAAAGCTGCCACCTGTAGGGGTATGCAGAACAACACGAATACAACAGAAGGACTATCGAAGGGGGGTGGTGGCCTGCGCCGAGGAGGGGGGCCGACTCTATCAGTATGAGGGCCTGCCTTGACGGTTAGGACCAGGAAGGTGTCACGAAATCAGAGATTTATCGCGCGCTCCTGTCACCGACCCTGCCGGTACCGTGTCGCATCGTCGTAGTCTGGCGGAAGCAAATCCTCCTCGAATGGCTCCTCTGTCGGGGCAGGCCCAGCGTCCACCTCCCGCCGCGGGGCAGAGCTGCCCGCACGCGTGCGCGCGCTGGACGCCTGGTCGACGGGTGATGTTGCGCTCGATATCTCGTGGCTTGACCCGCGAGCGAAGCTGGACCCTTGCGTACGCGTCGGGGAGCTGCGCAGCTCGGGTTGCGATGACAGCGCTGGCGCGACGACCGATGGCAGCTGCTTCTCCGTGAGGTAGCCAGCAGGCAGTGCACGAGCTAAACGTCAGACAAAAGGTATCAGCAAACGTCCCTTACAACACCCGGTGCCAATCAAGAGGGGGCGTAAGAGAAAAGGAGAAAGGTCCGAGACGAGCTGTGTCTATGGAGACACCAAATAGATATGGAGTCGAGGCCTCCGAAGGCGATACAACACGATGCATAGAGGATCCACTCACCATCAAACGGTACTGTCGCCATGGCTGGGTGGTGCGGGAGATATGGAGCAGGGTACGTCAAGGGTGCTTGCGGGGGCTGGACGAAGGGCTCTGGATGCAGTATGCCGCTCTCTGACCCCCGCGCGGACGTCCGTCGCCGCCCACGGAAGAACCACCAGAGTAGCGCAGACCCGATGGCGAGGAAAGCGATCGAGCCTACGACAGATCCGGCGATGACACCAGCGTCGTTGCTCTTGCCAGCCGCCGCGGCCGTATTTGTCGGCTGTGCAGAGCTGGTGGAAGATGACCTTGATGTCGATGAAGCGCCAGCAGAAGAGCTCGTCGGATCTTGGACATCATCTGAAGGTGTTCAGTTTAGTGATCGGGTACGGACAGACGAGGACGTACCATCAAGGATGGTGAGCACAAAGCGATCGACAGTGATTTGGGTGGCGTTGCCGTACCGGTCGTCTTCTGTGTTCTGGAGAATGACCTCGTGCGTAGTTGGCGTATCCCATTCTCGCGAGTACAAGACAGTCTACAAATGGTCAGCAGGCTTCTCTTGAATCACCACACGAAGACGCACAGGAGGATTATGACCGTCATCCGTCGCATTGTACGCATCCACGTCGGTAAACACGCGGTCGTTGGGATCGCAGTCGATGCATATCTTGTACAAGCCGCCACCAGATCGCTGCGATTCCTCTTGAGCACATAAAGAACTTCTCTCAACATGTGAAGCCGCCGAACCTTCATGCCAAAGTAATAGAAAGCGACGGCGGGTTCTGGAGACAAGCATCTGGCCTGAGTACGCGTGCACGCGGTGACATAGATTAGAAGCAGGACTCACGCGGGAAGACGAAGGTGAGGTTCGCGTTGGGGTCATCTGTCGACGACAGCGTGCCGCTCTCCCCCGTCGAGCTGGCATTGTACGTGCCGGTGATGAACCAGGTGTTCGAGTACTGGATGATAGTCGTGTTGCGGTCGTCGATGGTGATATTCCGGTGTCCCATTTTGCGTCGTCGAAGGCGTGGATGAAGGAGAAGGAGAAGCGAGATGAAGCAGAGAGGTGAAACAAATGTGGGCCCCGACGAAAAGGGACAATTAGGTGGAGGTAATCAAGGGGGGAGCGCTAAGGTGGAGTGGGAATGCGAGAACTAGCAGAGCTTGACCAAATAGAGGGCAAGGAGTGTAGAGGGGACGGTGTTTCCAGAACCCGTTGGCTTAGGTAATGGGGTCAAAGTCAGGGCTTAGTTAGGCCGCGGACGAAGAGCTAAGGGGAGAACGGATGGGTCAGTAAATGGTAGGCAAATGATTATCGGGTAACGCGCCTGATCGCCGGCCGGAGGGGACACCTGTGCAGGAGCAAGCGAGCAGAGGTAGACTGGCGCAGGAGTAGCGACTGTGGCGAGGTCCGCCACCAGAACGCATTCGCGGCTGGAGAGTCAGAGGTGATGGGGGCGGCTGAAAAGGACGAGCGAGCCCATTTGATATCGCGGCACTGGGCGTAGCGACGCGCCGTTGCTCCCACAGCACGTGTGCGACCGACTTCCCGCGCTTGCTCACCCGCAAGAGACGGCCGAGGCCCCGGAGATTCAGAACAAAAGCATCAACACGATATGTCGAGGCACCACACAGGTTATAAACAGATCTGTGGGAAGGCCCCGAGCTCGAGGGAGGACGCGTTCTTGAGGTTAGGAGAGGAGGCCTTACTGCCTGCTCTTCAGCACTTCCATTCGGAAGTAACTCCAGATAAGCGACACAGAACGGGTGCACGAATGTCCTGAGCGATGTGCTGCAGACTTTGGACAGGCACAATGGAGTGGAGCCAACCTTTTAGGCGATGCCATGCGAGAAGTCGAACCGCCACAAATTACCTCTTCCTCGTCTCTCTGTCAGGAGGCTGGTAAACTTCAAGTGAGCTTCTGAATCGTGCATATAGTCTGGGTGTCCTCCGTAGATATATATAGCATGTGCAAAATTCTCATATACTGACAGCTGGCTATGAGTAGTTGCACGAGTTCATCCACGTCCAGGAGTCGGTGTCCACCGCATCGAAGCGATATCCTTCTGCTTCGCCCTATTCCACCCACTTTCTCGCTCCATCGCATCTGCCCGCCTCTGCGCGCCAACCGTCCGATCCAACAACCTTCGCGCCGCAGGCGTCAAGTTCCCCTCGCGCTCTCTTCGGGTCGTCCAGCTCGGCGGCGGCATAGCCTCCTTCTTGACCCCGCGCATGATCCCGTCGCGCTCGCGGATGCTCTTGCTGGCGCTCTGGCTGAGCTTGCGCGAAATGACCTCGCGCTGCGTGGGTTCGGCGATGCGAAACGGGGTGGGCGGTTCGTCGATGGCGTCGGAGGAGAGGATACGTGGTGTACCAGCAAGAGTGCCCCAGGTCATGAGCTCTTTCATGCGTGCCGAGCCAAGTTGATCAGGAGTTGGAGTAGGAAGGTTGGGGACGAGGTTGAAGGAGTCGGACGAGTTGAGAGAGGTGTTACTATCTGCGAAGATAGTCAGCGACAGGTCGTATCAAAGACGGAAAGGTGAACTGACATGCAGTACCCATAATGGCGGCGTCTATGCGACTTCGTGTAGGGCTGGGTGGCTCGGATCTCGACTTCTCGGCCTCCTCTTGCTCTGGTAAACGCGTATTGGTATGCTTTATGACCCTCTCCTTCGGTTTCGGCTCGGTAGGCTTGGGATGGTATGGGCTCTCGTCCGCATCCGGAGGAAACATGAGCTGGTTTCGCGCCTACAAACTAGTTAGCTATATGTTGTGTATGAGGGCATATAAACGCACCTTGAACCTCCATGCTTGCACGCCGGGATCTCGCTCATCCTTCTTCTGCGTAAGGACCTTCTCGTCGTGATCGCCCTCGCTCTCGCCATACTTTGCGAGTGTCAGGGCCAACGCTTGCTCCTGCTCCTTAGCATCGCCCTCCTTATCTTCCTCTGCAACCGCCTTTCCTCCATCCTCGGCCTTCTTTCCCTCGATCAGGCCGCGCACCGTGGCATCGGGGTACTCAATCCTCAGCTTCCCCCGCACGCCCGCGCCCTCGATCCCCTCCGCCTCCGTCGCCTTCCCCTCCAACAGCAGTTGCCGCTTCCGATACCCATCCTCAATCGCCTTCACCGCCTTCCGCTGCGCCTCGAACGCCCACCCATGCGCCTCCCTCCGCTTCTCGTTCTCGTCGTCCAGAATCCGCGTAAAGCTTGAGTTATCCTCCGACGTGAACCTTGCTTGGAACTCGTCCAGACTCAAATTCAGCCCCTTCGCCTGCTCGTCGCGCTCGAGGCGCGCGCGCTTGGCGGGCCGCGGGGTGTCCTCGACGTCGCCCGGGCGGTATCGCGGGGTCGCGCCGGTGAATGGGGTGGCGCTGAGGTCCTCGAGGCGCCGAACGGTGTTCTGTATTCGAGTTTCATCGCCGGATTCTACGGCGGAGAGCCAATCGTTTGTCGCATCGAGGTGGTGGAGGGAGGGGAAGAAGTCGCGGGCGATGATGTGGGAAAGCGCGGCGGTGTACTCGTCTTCTTCAAGAACGATTTGGCGGTTCAAAGAGCGCTCAGCGGCTGCATACTTGGTCTGTATGAGTGCTGTGGAGGAGGAAGAGGGTGTTTGCCGCGGAGTTGCCATGACGGGAGGAGGTAAACGATGAAGGCCATTGACGCTGACGCCACATGGGTTCTGCACCTGACATTCACGTGTCGCATGCTCAAATTCAACTTCGCGCATGCACACCGAAACTATACAGGTAGTACCATCACATTCGGAAGCGTCAAGATATTCTACGAGTACGTAGTAGAGAAGGCGTAATATTCATAACAATCGTCATCATGAGGACCGTCAATGGCAAGAGAGTCGCCCTAGTGGTTGTAGATGATCTTCGCTCTGCTCCTAGGTTAGAGTCAGCGACGAGATTACCTCGACAAAGGCTTTTTTCGGTAATTGAATTACCTTTTCTCTTTTCCCTGTGCGCACACTGAATGAGCTGACGAGGCGAAGATTGAATTTTGAACACGCACGTTCTCGTCAGGCCACGCTAGTTGAGCTTGAAGTTCGGTGAGGCCGAACAGCAATACGACATCGAACTCCAGAGTCCAATATGTTTGTCCGTCAGGACCTTGTTCCTGCGTCGCTCGCGGTGTCGTATGATCATCCCCTTCGATGTAGCAGAGATCTGCGAATTTCTCTATGCCGAAGTCAGCACGACAACAAGATAGGGATACGGCGAAAACATACCCTCGTCGACGTCCACCCAGTCAGGAATGCTTCCCGTTCCCCTGTATATCCGTAGCGTGGCACCTCGAATATGCGTGGGTGGTTCTCTGAAGTCCCTGTACAGCGTGTACCTGAACTCTTGCTCCTGCGTTACTTGGGTGTTCTGGGCGCACATGTTAAATCCGACTGTCTGCCCCAAAAGGGCTGCTTACCACAGGTAGTACACAAGCGAAGGCATCGGGAAGATATTCTTCTCCCGATAATTCGCATATGTAGGAGGAATTTTTGCGCCGGCGATGTTCGCCCAGGTCCGGGCAATATGGAATGCAGCAATCGACGCCATACGTATAGCGAGATACGCGGGTTGTCACACTCCCCTTCAGGAGGAAAAGAACGCCGCCATCCGCCACGGCCTTGTTTCTGTTTGCTACATGAGAAGCGACTCCTCGAACGACCTGGCACGAAGCGACTTACACGTGAGTATCAGGTCGGCATACGTCGATCTCGAGCTTTCCTAAGAGCTCCTTGAGCTTAGCGAAGAGGAGCGGAGACGCGCCAAATCCTCCGACGATGTAGACCGACTGAAAGAGTCAGCACTCATGTTCAGAAGACCGAAGTTTGCCGCGCACGTACCGTCACCCTTTTACCACGCCCTTGAACCACTGCCATCTGCTCCAAAATAGCGTTGTAGATGGCATCCACAGAAGGCTTGAAGAAGCCCGCGGCGGTTGCGCTGGTGTATGATGAAAACGCCAGTAGCAATAGCATTATAGTCAAAACTCACCCCGTAATCTTGTGCGTCCCAAGGCGCACCTTGAGCTTCGGGTCCGTCGCAGAAGCGCTGCCGAACTTGACGCTGGCGGTATCCGTGTCGTTCTTGATCGTAAGTTTCGTGTGCTTGTCGAACGTGTTTGTCATATGGTCCACGTCGGCTTCCCATTTGCTGCCTTTGAAGGTCGCTGTAGCTATGTCAGGATCATACGAGATGCGACGAACGACATAGGACAGACATTCGAAGTATTCCCTTGCGCGACTCGTGACGAAGGTAGATCCTTGGAAGATACCTATCGAAGCGATCTTGTTAGATCGTCTATTCCCACAAGCGGTCGAAATGACTACGTGCACTTGGACGCCGCTACCTCTGAGAATGTGCCTCCGGAGTCCTTGCCATTGGCCGCGTAAGCGCTCAAATCGACTGTCCCACCACCAGCATCAAGCAGTATGAGCCCATTGCCGTCCTAGAATTCAGTGTCAGAAGCAGGACTATCCGACAAACGCACGTCCAGCTCACTTGCATAGACTCCGTCGCTAGACCGTGGTGACCGCAAAAGTGTAAGCCCGCCTCGCCCTCAGTAACGAAGTGTACACGTTTGCGCGCTTCGGCGGCGTCCTTGACTAGTCCCGCGTCGACCGCCATCTGCCGCATAGCCTGCTGCTGAGGCCCACCCCAAGCATTTGGGTGTGTTAGTGTATACTCCGCGGTCTGCGCAAGCTGCGCCCACAAGGCGACGCCGGCAGGATTACCATCCTGAATGAAGGATTGTAGACAGGCATGTAGGTGCTTGAGGAAGTCCGTGAAGACGTCGTGTACGCTCTTCCCCAGCGGGAGGGGTGGTAATTTGTGAACCTCCGCCGGGGACCCATCGTACTTGGGCGCCAAGTGCAGTTTGAACCTTCGTTGGCAGAGTTCAATGGTTCGTACAAGCTCGCGAATGGGTAACGCACCATTCAGCCTTCGTCCATTCGCCGATCATAACATTTTCGCTCATCTCGTCCAGCAGTGTCTCCGCTCCAGCGGCTTGTACAATGCCGTCCTCGTCGTAAAACAGAACACTGGGTATCTTGGCATTGCCTCCGACAAGCTCTTGACCGGGAAACCTGCAGAGCGCGTCAAGGGATCTATGCACCATCAAGTTGGGGAGTACGGTACCGAGTGACGCCCATGATTTCGGGCGCGACTCCAGGCTCAGCAATGCTGTGATTCCTTGAGTGAATCGTGAATGGCATGGTAGGACATGGCACACACCAGTATGATATACCGCTGTACGTGGTCCCGATGTCGATGCAGGCGTACAGCTTCCTTGCTTTACCGGCGTAGGGCTTGAGCTTGGAAGTCGACATGGCGGAAGAAGCGAGCGGCTCGCAGGGAGATGCGTCGTCGCGCGGCGTACAGTCGACGAAGGTCTGGAAGAAGAGAGCTTACTTTCGCCTAACGGCACGTCCGAACAGGGCGAGCAGCCTCCTTGATCTCGAGCGCCACAAGAAGCGGATGTAAGGGAACAATTGCGCAAAGGGACATCAAGAGAAGCGGCGCATAACGAAACGTGGTCTTCGCGGCCCAGTCCTTACCTCTCCAGCTTCCGCTCAGCCTGCGTGGTCGTTCGTCGTCGATGAATCCGGTCTTGTTGGGCTTTGCAAAGCTGTACAATCTTGTCCCGGGGATGGGGAGCATAATCGAGTGAGTGTCATCGCAGTCAACGAGCGCTTAGCTTATGCGACGTAGGTACTTAGCCCCCGCAGCCGAGCCGACACTAGTACCTGGGCAATGCGAGAAGGAGTCTGCTGAGCCGCACCCAGCACAGTACAAGCGCGCGCTTGATGATGGCGCAGGCCAGGCTACCTCCAACGACATACCGAAAAGCCCCATTCTCGATCACAGGCCTGCACCAACTATCGTGCACGATCGGCAGCACATCTTGACGCCGCCGCCGGCTATAGAGCCGTTCACCAACGTCTATCATTGCGCCGCGTGCACGAAGGAAGCGAGCGAGCGCCGTGCTTGCGTTTGCGGCCATGCCAACCCTCTGGCCGAACGATTAATCGCAAGCCAGCGAGAGATCGAAGACTTGTTCAGCCAGCTGAAGGAAAGACATATCTGGATCGACAAGCTTCAGGTGCAACTTCGAAGCGCGCAATGGCAAAATGAGGACCAACTGCACCTTATAGCAAATCTGGATCGAACGTTGCATGACACGCAGGTGATGCTATATGAGCAACAGGAGCACTCTCGCCGCGAGAACGATCTTCAGAGGCAGGAGTTGGAGATCGCTCGCCGCTTCTTGCAGCGCTCGGATACACTGTCGGAGGCAGACGTGAAAGGTCAGGTCATGAAGCTGAACGAGGAGGTCTTCCAGATCGCTACGAGCCTCGTGGACGAAATACTGGACGGCGGCGGCAGCGATATCGGAGACAGCACATCCGTAGATGGACCAGACGCGCTGACCATCGAGCGCCTTGTCGGGAGTCCTGTCGTTCGCGCACTGGAGGAGAGCCGCATCGGCGAAGGTGCTTACGATGCTGCCCTGCAAAGCGCAGTCATCATTTGCCTTATTCGGCATGTAGCGTCTGTCGTTCAGTCTTGGTGTCCATCGAGCTCTGGGAACGCTATACACTGCGAGACAGCCTATCGGCGACTGCTTCAGGAGGGTAGGCAACGTCTTCAGTCGGTCTGGAGGTGTTATGCGAACTCACCATTCTCTATAGAGGGAGCCAACGTTGCAAGACAGTGGCGAGCGATGACCAGGCGCAGCTTGCGGGTGGCGGAACAGGAAAAGCGCGAGCTCTGCGCCCAATTTGCTGGTTCAGTCTGTCGCGACTTGGTCACGCTGCTGGGTTTTTGCCAGCAACTGGGCATCAGGGGCGACCGCATTGACTTCGAGCCCTATCGAGAGCGCCTTGCCTATGTTGCGGAACTGGCGATCGAGCTCAATGAAAGCGTGGGGTTTGGCGTGTCCTCGGTGGATCTCACCGTCTTCACAGTGCAGATGGGTCAGAACTTCGACCGACCGAGCATGCGCGACTTCTGGAGCGACCCTGTGGAGTCTACTAGCGCTTGCGACCAGCCGAAGGAGGATACCGTGGTGGGAACCTGTGCGTTGGGATTGAAGAGAGAGGGTAGTTCTGGGGACGGCGAGAAGGCGGCTAGTGTCGGGCTGGTCCTCCTGCCAGCGAGTATCGTGCTCCAGTCAGCGCTGCATCCGGACCCCCACGCGTAACATGCCTTATGGACGTGGGGCGAGTAATAATCCAGCCGATGAGGTGGTAATTGGAACCAAGCCAAGCCAGAATGGGACTATCTGTGTGACGGTGAAGATCATCTGACGCCTAGGATTACTATTGGCGCAGATCCCAACCAACTCACCTTCTTCCTATCTCCCTCGCTCTCATCCCCCCTCATCCGTATAAACACAGACTCGAATTAGAATCATACATAATGCGTCGTGCGTACGCGACGCATGCAGTCGTCGCAGGGTATGCATGCGCCGTCGTACGAAGGATACGTAGTGGACACGCGTCGTCATCGTAGTACTGGCTACAAGCAAATCATAAGCAGTGCGCGCCGGGGGCTTGCAGGGGGACAATGTGTGGGGTTTCGTAAGCTATAGGGAGTGACTGGGCGCCCGTCGTCAGTACTGCTGCTGCGGGGAGACGACTGTGTGCGCGGGATGGATGGGTGGCAGGGCAGGGCCGTCTGGGGCGAAGAGGACCCTGCGGGGTGGGGGCGGCCCGAGCTGCAGCGTGTCGGTGGCAGCGAAACCGACAGCTGCAGCCACCCAACCACGCCACGCGCACGCACAACTGTCTGGGCGAGCAATGTTGTAATGGAACGGGGGAAAGGGTGGATAATACTTAATAGAGGAAGAATGTAGAAAAAAAGAGATGGTGGGCATATAATGTATAAAGATGTCGCAAGGGGTACGTATAGCGGGTACAGAACACACAAACCGTTTCCCGAGAGTTGGCGAAAAAATCAGGAGGGCGCCACCGAGGGCGCCGCAATCTCATTGCGCGGGTTCGACATCCACTTCCGACGACGCGACATCCACTTCGACGATGCGAACTCAACTTGCCTCTGGGGTATGCGCGCTCACCAGCGCGACGACGCGAGCAGCGGCTCCTACTTCGACAGCACCGCGGCCGAGCTCCCAGAACGCGGCCGCAGCTCCCGGATGTCGAGGTCGCTGTCCGCGCCCGCGCTCCGCCTGCCGCTTCCGCCCCCACTTGGCCGCCCGATCCGGCTCTTCGACAGCGACGCGTTCGACGCGCTGTTCGGCAGCCGCGTCCGCACGGTCACGTTTGAATGACCCAAACCCGCCAACGAGGGCTTGTTGTCCATCGAAGAGTTCGGGCGCGGCGGTGGTGGTATGCCCGTGCTTGCTCCCAAAGAGGACCGCTTGCTCGCGCCGAGGTGACTCGTGCTGAGCGGCCCCGTCGAGCGCTTGAGGCCGCCAGAGGAAGGCGCATACAAGCCGGACGTGGGCACGGGGAGCAATGTTGGTGTGGTTGGGCGTGAGGTTGGGGTGGGAATGGAAGTGGAGGTGGCGGTCGTGGCGCTAAGGCTGGAGGTTGTCGTGCTCATGCTGCCACCGGAAAGGCGGGATTGCGGGCGCTTCATGCCCGAGCCGATGCTACTCTGGCCCAGGCCGGCGAGTCTTGAAGGTCTTGTAGGAGACCCGCGCATAGCACCAGGACGTTGAGGGCTCGAGGCTCGCCGACGTTCCCTGTCCGGATTCTTTGGTGGCGACGGTGAGTCCTCCATAATCAGCACCCAACCACTCGAATCAGCGCTCTTCTTGGGCTTGTCCGAGCCGCTGTCGATGCTGCGCTTGACCTCCGCGCTCCGCTTGACTTCGGTGCTTCGCCGGGACATGCCTTCCCAGCTAGACTTGGCCAAACCAGCGCGGCTCGACGCAGATGTCGACATCGACTGGTAGTTGCTGATGGACGTAGTCCCAAGTGGCGCAGGACTCGGCTTCCCAGAAACGCTGCCCATCCTGAGCCTCGGCACTCGTGTGTGAATCTTCTGCTCGAGGTTCTTGACGCGAGCACGCATCTCGGACACCATCTGCACACCCTTGTTGCGTGTGGCGGTTGTATTAGTGGATGCGTTGCTGGTTGTGGAGGTCGTACGGTAAGCGGCGGGGCGAGTAGGGCTGCGCGTGGGAGTGCGGTAATTCGTAGGAGAGCCATTGAAAGTGGGGAGGGTGGAGGCGCGCGCGATACCAGAGGAAGAGGGCGGCGTCGTGAAGGTGCGGCCAGGTTGGAAGCCGGCGCGATGGAGGAGTGCAGACTGGCCTGAGCTGACGGAGGATGTGGAGGTCGTGTGCGTAGAGCGGCCCTTGGGCGTCATGTTCAGCGAGTTCAGGCTATCCGACGAGCTCGGTTCTGAGCTGGGGGATAGGTCGGATAGCGTCATATCCGAGGGAGGTGCCGTGTGAAGCAGGTCATCTTCGGAAGGCAGCCTGGCCGGTTCTGGCTTCGTGGGCGAACGAGGGGCGGAAGGAGGCTGAGATGCGGCGACTTGGTCCTTGAGGACGGCAATCTCGACGTTGGCATCTATGGCACGTTAGTTACTGATGTGGGCTGAGGGCAAGTAGCGCGCACCTCGTAATTCATCCTTGAGTCTCTGGAATTCCTCCTCCATGCTGGCCTTGTCCAACAATTCGTGTTCGAGGAGAATCTTCTCCTCCAGCACCCTCGAATACTTGTTCTCCACGTCCGCCAGATTAGACGAGACGGCGCGTTCGTTACGCTCCAGGTCGTCGTTCCCCATCTCGAGCTCTCGCAACTGAACCTTGATCTGCTGGTGCTCCTTTCGTAGCTTATCAAGCTCGCGTTGCAATGAGGCGGTCGTGTGGTTGTGTGTGGTTTGCAGGGACATGAACTTGGACTGGGACATGGTCAGATTCGCACTGGGAGGGGAGCAGGCCACGTACCTTCCATTCGTCACGCTCATTCTCCGCTCTGGCCGCCTTAATCTTCAGATCCTGCTGGGCCTTCTCCGTGCGCTGCAGTTCGTTCTCAAGTTCGGTTTCGAGTTCCTTGCTCGATTGGTGGAAGTCGTCCAGTTCGGCGCGCGTCTGTTCCAGCATATCGCACACCTGCTCGCGCGTCAGTCGGTCTCACGGAGTCGCTTGCCACTGCAGACACCTCATTGTACTTGGCCCGCCAGTCGGTGGACCCGGAACTGTAGCTTGGGAACGGTGAGCACGGTAGTTCTTGGGTGGCAGCAGGCGACGCACTTGATGGTGGTGTCGTCGAGAGACATGGTGTCCCTCCTCAGAGCGTCAGTCGGAGTCAACACGGCGGTCATCGACGTGCACAACGACGACAACGTCGGCGTCGCCAACGTTCAGCTCAAGTAGCGCCCAAACAGCAAACAACAACCTGCACGTGTTCACAATTGCCCTTGTTATCAAATTGATGGCCGACTTCCCTTGTTTGAGGCGCTTCACTTCGTGGCCTTGCATGGAGGTCAAACCCAAACAGACCAGATAGTCCGGGCCTCAACTTATCGTGCTCCAGCTTCACGTAGCGCAGAGGGTGAAGCCTTGCCGTTGAGAATATTTCACCTAAGAAACTCAGCCATCACTTTTGATCGCAAGGAAGTCCGCTCGGTCCGCGGAGATAGCTCGATCAGTCTCGCTTACTTCTCGAACAAACCATCGTCTGCTAGTCGGATTCACCAACATACAAAAGGCGTCGCACCGCTACGACAAACACTCACCTTTCACCATGCCAGAAGACAAGAAAGACGCATTCTTCCCAGCCATTGGCGACGTCGCCGACAAGACCGACAAGCGCGATGAGGAGAAGCAGGAGGACGAGGAGAGGGTGACCGAGGAGATCGAGTCCCTCTGCATGAAGTGCGGCGAGCAGGTCAGATTTAGTCTTCTCAATGCACGTACCATCGCTCATTGCTTTCAGTAGGGCAAGACACGAATGCTGCTCACCTCGATACCCTTCTTCCGCGAAGTCATCGTCATGTCCTTCCACTGTGATCACTGTGGCTTCTCCAACAACGAGATTCAATCCGCAGGAACAATACGACGTGCGTCCTCCTTCTCATCCCCTCAATTTGCTTGCTGACCTCACCCAGCCGAGGGCACCGTCTACACCGCGCGCATCCTCGACCGATCCGATCTCGATCGCCAAATAGTCCGCTCCGCATCCTGCGAAATCATCATCCCCGAACTCCAGCTCACCCTCCCCGCCTCCGGCAACGGCCAGCTCACCACCGTCGAAGGCCTCCTCCGCGACATCGTCGCCGACCTCTCCTTCGATCAGCCGCTTCGCCGCATCCAGGACGAGGCGAGCTACAACAAGATCGAGGAACTGCTCACCAACCTGCGCGCCATCCTCGGCGACGAGGAGGACGAGTCAGGGGAGGTCGTGGTCGGGAAGGCGAGCGAGGCGGAGAAGCCAATGCAGCCCTTCACTCTGAAGCTGGACGATCCGGCAGGCAACTCGTTCATCGAGTTCATTGGCGACATCAGCGACCCGAAATGGAATCTGCGCACATACCCCCGGACCCTCGAGCAGAACGTGCAGCTCGGTCTTGTCTCGCCGGACGAGGCTGCCTCCTTGCAGAGCGAGACAAAGCAGGCACCGGAGGGCGTGACACCACAGGAGATCTCCGAGGACGAGGTCTTCGTCTTTCCCGGCGTCTGCTCAAGTTGTGGCAAGCGCGTAGAGACGAAGATGAAGCGCGTCAACATCCCTTACTTCAAGGTACGTTTCTGGTACCAGGTTTGCCTGCGAATGATGCTCATCGTCTGTGCAGGAATGCCTAATCATGTCCACCAACTGCGAGCATTGCGGCTACCGCGACAACGAGGTCAAGTCTGGCTCGGCAATATCCGAGAAGGGCAAGCGCATAACACTGAAGGTCGAGGACAAGGAGGACCTCAGCCGCGACATCCTGAAGGTACGTCCGACCCCCCTCCCCTACCCTTCCTCCCATTGATTTCCCGTCCTTTGCAGTCCGAAACCGCGGGCCTCCAGATCCCCGAAATCGACCTTGTCCTCACGCACGGCACCCTTGGCGGCCGCTTTACCACCATCGAGGGCATCCTCGACCAGGTCTACGAGGAGCTCTCCGAGCGCCTCTTCCACGACTCCGGCGACCCCCAGGCGCGCCAGAAGTTCGAGACCTTCCTCAAGAACCTCAAGGCAGTCAAGTCCGCCGAGAAGCCCTTCACCCTCATCCTCGACGACCCGCTGGCGAACTCGTACCTGCAGAACCTGTACGCGCCGGACCCGGATCCGAATATGGTGATCGAGAACTATGAGCGGAGTTGGGAGCAGAATGAGGAGCTAGGGTTGAATGATATGAAGGTGGAGGGATATCAGGAGGAGGAGGGGAAGGCGAAGGAGGAGGGTGAGAAGAAGGATGAGAAGGAGACCGCGGCCGAGGTGAAGGCCTCTGGATAGTGCGTTGTTGGGCTGCTATAGAATGTAATAGTAGGAAGGGCGATGCACGTGTATACTACTAAACTGTACATTAGTCGGTAATGTATCCTTAGTGTCATACTCGCACTCAGGAGTGGCAAATCCGCCAGCGGCGCAAGTCAACTGCCTAATTCGGCCAACGCAGAGGAGGAGCGCGAAAATCAACATCACACGTGATCATCTACGAACAAACCCGCGAATTTCCTTGAGAATTGATGGCTTCATGAGTCCTGTGCGTACCTCACGAATTCAGCGCGTATATAAGTGAGTACAAGGTCTTCCTCAGTGTTGTAATCATGTTAGCGCCTCGAAGCGTTATCGAGCTATCTCTCCCAAAAATTGGCCGCCACCAGCCTCTCATCTTCTATCTCACTCCATTCACTTTGTGCTTCCAGTGGAAGGCGCTATCTCCGTGAGCCCCTGCGCAACGGGTTGAGGTGGACAGCGAGCGAGTATCGTAGGAGGTGGCCTGGCTCATCTCGAATAAAGTCGGCACGCGCGACCGGCTCGCCTCATGGATAATGATCAACAAGCGCATTAAACTCCCGGAGCCCCTGAGCATGGTTCAACCGAACCAGCGTCCACGCAGAACCGCATTTCCGATTCCCTTTGCCAAGGAGTTGAGGAGGTCGCCATTGATCTATCATCTCATCGCGCCTGCCATCGCGCCGGGTAGGCCAGTCCGCTGCATATGTCCTCCGTGCCGCTGCCGCCATCGCGCCGGGTGATTGCTGTCCGCGCACCCCATCGCTGTCAGCGCACCTCATTGCTGTTAGAGTCCGCCGCCTCATCGCATTGACACCCGGCGATCGTTGGCTTCACCGCGCCGGACAATCGCGCTAGGAGAGGGTTGTTCCCGGAGGCGCTTTCGAGAAGCTGATCGTTATATTCGATGCCCAATCGTGCTCAACGTCGCGCGGTGAGGGTTCCCGCCGTCCACGCGCCTCTGGGGGCTAGTGAGGGTCCGCCATGCGTACGCTCCAAAAACTGTAGGAAAATCAGACAAAAGGGACGTCGAATAAATGGTAGAAATTGGACTCACCGAAAGGATCAGATCTTAGAAGCGTTCGACGAGGAAGGAAGTGGGACGAGGCACCGACGACGAGGACAGGAACAAACAGGAGCGACGGCGGGCACTGACAGTCAGACAGTGGCACGAATGGGCGGGACCGACGATGGAGGGCGGGCAGGGCGGACGATAGCGGCGCCGGGAGTTGAGAGGGTAGGTATTACGTAGGGCCCTGCAGGGCGAGGTACAGTGGTGAATAGAGTATACAGTCGTATAGGGTGGTACAGTAGACAAATTCAAAAATGGGTGATAGGTAGGCAGGGCAGGAATGATATGTTGGGCAGGGAGATGCGCGAGACCAGATAGATAAGTATCACCTTCTATGTCAAGTAGAAAGAGGTTGGCGAGGTGACTGTCTCGAGGAACGCGGCGGGAGTCTCAAGAAGTGAGTGAGGACGCACTCGGGTAATGACGAAGCCTGGCCGATGTGGCGGGCGATACAGTAGATTCCGACGGGCGCACAACGTAGTCGGTGGGTGTGGGGCACTGGATGTGGCTGGCGGTAAGTGTGGCGCGCGCGACTCAAGCCTCGCGTTCGACACCGTGGACGAGCGGGATACCAAGCTCTGCGAGTGCCTTAACGCCCCGGTCCACCCAGTACGCCATCACCTCCTCGTTCTCGAACCAAAGCGGGACGTCGGCGCTGTCAGAGTCGCCTGCGTCCGCGCCAGTGACTTGAGCAGGTTGGTCCGTGTCCGTGCCTTTGTCACTGACAGGCGGGTCGCGGGGGTTGTTGGTAGGTTTCCGCTCGAACACGGATACGAGGGAGTCGTCGGTGGCGCTGTCGAGCTGTTCCAGAGATGACTGACCCTCGTTACCGCCCGTGTCTGCGGCTGCAGCGTGTTTACTCGCGTCTAGGCCCGCATCCAGATTTGCAGCGTCCAAGACTCCCGTAGGTGCGTCGCTAGGTTCAGCCTGCGTATTGAAAGTCCCCGCATGGTCCACCGCTATTGATGCGTCTGTGCTGTCCCGTTCATGCTCTGGAGTCTGCGACAGGGGATTTGAGGCGTCCAGTGGTATTGACGAGCTGGCTGCAGAGATATCCTGCGCCCTCGCGCCGGGGCCCGTCCTTTGCGCAGGCCGCCCCGCCCACAGCGCCCCTCCTCGCATCCACCCAGCAACGTTGTCCTCCCGCTTGATCGCATCCAGCACGCCTACAACGGCCAGTAACGTCGCATCGACGCCGGCCACCGGTGCGTATATAGGCGATGACGGCGGGGGCGAAGGCGAGCGCCCATTGGTGTCCTTGGGTCCTTTCTTCGAGTTCGCCGACGCCCTCCTGCGCTCCCGCTTTGTCCGCTTGCGCTCCTTCCGAGCCAGCTCCTTGCGCTGCTTTTTCGAGAGCGGCGGTCCGCCGAGGCCCGGCACCGCAGACGAGTTGTCGGGCTGCTCGGACTCAGGCGCAGGCGTTGGCTCGCCCTCGTCCTCGGAGCTTTCAGCCTCCTCGTCGCCCTCATCGTCAGATGACCGCTTGCGCTTCGTCGTAGAAGGCGCGCTTGTCTCGCCCTCATGCGGCTGCTCGCGTCTATCGTCACTCTCGTGTGCATCGACCGCGCGCCGTGCCTTCGACCGGACCGCGTCCTTGAGCACGGCCAGACGATCCCGCCTCAGCGTATCGGCATCGTACTCGCGAATGGCCATGTGGTTGTACGGCTGCAGGCGGGCCTTGAGCGGGGAATCGTCGACGAGGAGCGTCGTGGACGCGGAGTGCGCCTTCCCACCATATCCAGGGTTTAACCGCAATTTCTTCCACGGGACTGCGAGGTCCTTCGTCGTCTGCGTCTTCTGGTCTGGGTATGCATGTGGTCAGGACGGGGGCGAAGGAGTACGGATATGGCATTGGCATAGTGGGATTACGGAAAGGGATAACAAAGGTACTAACGATATTCGTAGTGCTTCAGCCCGAGCGTGTCGCGCGCCCATATTGCGGCGAAGTTCTCCTGCGCGCGCCCGAAGCACTTTTCGACCATGTCGTGGACACTGTGTGGTTGGGCGGAGCTCCAGATCATGGTATCGAGCCACGTGCGGGTCTTGGGATGGAAGATGTAGTCCTGGAAAGACTGCAAGTACGGTCGCCGATGTACTTTGCGTACAAATCGTTGCCCTGGTTCAGCTGGTGCTGTGCCACTGAAGCGGGCGCGGACGAGAAGGGACCCATTGAGATCGAGGATGAGGAGTTTTCGCGAGGAACTTGGATCGAGAATGGGGGAGGATGGGCGATTGGCATGGATAAGATATTCCTGAGAGGGTGCCGACTGGCGAGCAGGCGACCTGTGGCGGCGAGCATGGGGTGGGGAGAAGGGCGGGGGAAGAGGATAATCGAGGTTTTGAGGGGCATTCAGCCTTTCCTGTTGCTCCCAGTGCTCCCAAGAATAAGGGGGTAGAGGTCCTCCTGAGCGTCCGAAGTGGTTAGATTCGCCTGGTTGACGTCGCTCCCAGTCGTCGTCATAGCTGTAGGAATCCCGGAAACTGGAAGAGCGCAGGTGTGCATGTTGCCTGTGTCTATGTCGTGGACGATATTCCAGGTCTTCTTCATGCAGCTGGGTAATTGACCCGAAATCGGAAGGTTCGAAGTGGGTGAAGTGATCGGGCTGCTCCTCCGGAGGTACAGGTAGATCTTCGTAAGGATCGATGTCACTGGCTCGGTTTCTGGGTATATTCAAGCTGAACGCGGGGTTGATGTCGTAGGAATCCATCCGAGCGTAGGGGGAGCGCGTCGAGGAGGAGGACAAGACGTATGTCCGCCATCGTGTATTCACGAACGCGACAAGGAAGTCCGGCCCGCCACCCGGCCGTCAAATTTCCCGGAACGGCAAATTCGGCCGGACACATACAAGCGTCAACACCTTTTGGCACAGACAGACAGGAACAGAATCAGACTGCAGTCTAAGGTCACTCAGGACGCAAGTTCGAACGCTGTCCTTCGTTCGAAACGTCTATCTTTCCCACTCATACAACAAACTTTGCCGCAGGGGAAGATTAGAGGCCAGCAGAGTCTGTTGATCTCCTTATTCACCCTTTCGTATGGCGTGCTGGATCTCTCAACCTCGTGTCCAGCGGAGTTGTGCTGATTCCCACCGTGTCGCATGTCGGTATGTACTTCCTGGATCTCTCACCTGCGAAGAGCTGGTGAACAGATCTCGAGGTGCATCAACTTCCTCGTCACGCGTATCGCGAAGGACCGCTGGCGACTTGAGCTGCATTGGAGGCTCCGACGCGGCCGCGACGTCCCGCTACTCACTCCGTCATCGCTCGCGCTCTGCGCGACCTCGCACTTGTGGAGATCTGAGGACCTCGATAGACTCTCTCCAGAATACACGCTACCGCGGCCGCCTGCTGCAGCGCGAGGTCTCGCGAGCCGCGACCATGGCCCGCCTTCCTTTTTAGATCAACGGTTGATCGGTACCCTGCTCAAAGCGAGGGATAAACCGGGATCAAGACCCACCACGCCACTGGGAAAGTCTGGCCTGCCTCTCACACGGCAACGTCCCCTATTGTACCTGGTTGGCACACACCCAAATTCAACAAACCAGGGCGTACCGCGGTCTATCGGAGTACTTTCCGCGTACCCTCTGCGCGTCCTGCACTCAGGTGGGCTTGCCAGCTGAGGTGAAGCTCACCCGTGTCCCCTAACGCGCAACAACAGGCAACATCTGGCATCCTCGCCAAGCAGCTCCGACATCATGCTGCGAACCGGTTTGAACTGCGTCGTCCGAAAAGATTCCGCCCGTCGCGCTTATTTGCCTCCGGAGCTAGCAAGTCAGGCCCATGTGTCATGCATTCGTTCCCCTCGATCGAGATCTGCACCTTCGGACTTCTTATAGCGGCCCACAGGGTTGATACGGAGGCTTCGCTCTCCGCCTATGTCGACCATGACACCCGAGGAACACCACGACGCCGTCTTCCTGCTTGGACCATGGGTGAGTCCGTCAGAGTCTTCGTCACCGACTTGACCTCATCGCGTCGAAAGCTGGTCGGGTGTTACCTGGAGATATTCTTCCAGGGTGTGCTGATGGCGCAGGTATGTGTTGCCCAATCGTCCAACGAACGCGTGCTCAGCATCTCCAGTTCACCAACTACTTCAACTGGTATTCCGACGATAAGTTGTCGTTGAGGCTAGTGGTCGGTGGACTGCTCTTCGGCACGGTCCTGAAGTCCGTGCAGTCATTGTGAGTTTCCCTTGCCGCGTCCTGACATCTACTCATCGCGCTCGACAGTGCTCTCATCTGGATACAGTTGATTGAGTACTTCACGGATCTTCCTGGCGCGATCTTGTTAAATTATACGTCTTGGTGGCAATCGGGCAATCCTCTTATGGTGCGTCTTCCTTGCTATGCGCGAAGACCTCGGACTCAACTCGCACAGGTGGCTTGCATCGGCTTCTACGTGCAGATGTACTTCGTATATCGCCTCTGGGTCATCTCCAAAAGCTGCTATGTTGTCATCCCGCTCTTCGCGATCTTCCTGTTCAGTCTGCTATCCATCGCCGTCGCGGTATGTGGTCGGCTTTTCCCCGGGTGAACGCAATCGCTTACATTTGGCGCAGACGTACTACATCGCCCAAGCGGTTAGCCCGCCCATCGCAATGTGGTGTAAGTTCATGGATATCTCGCTCTAGACCGCCTCTGACGCGCTCCCCAGTCGCTATGCACCTCTCGGCTACATTCGCCGGAGACTTGATTATGACTCTCACGACCGCCTACTTTCTCATACGCTCGAAGGCCAATGTCTTGCCGCAGTACGCTGTTTTGTTCTCTGTTCCGGTGGGGCCTTCTGATACGAACGTGGCAGAACCGTGGGCATGATCAACGCTCTCGTTCGCCTCACCTTCTCAACAGCGGCACCTGCGGCTGTTTGGTGCGTGCTTTACCTAAGTTGACGGGAGTTCCAGCTAACTGGCTCGCTCCGTAGCGCGATGTTCAACTTGATCTTCTCGCAAGTCTTTGATGGTCACGTCGCCCTCATCTCCTCGGCATTCAACCAGATCCTGCCCAAGTTGTACGCCATCAGCATGATGTGGACGCTCAATTCGCGACGGACCATCCGCGTCGCGCATAGCAGTGGGCCATTCAGTGGTAGCGGGAGTGAGCAGCTCTCCGGGACACGCGCACGAGCATATAGCGGCGCCCGCTCGAGGGTCAGTAAAGTATACGACGAAGAGCATTCAGCAAATTGAACGGATGTCCCTATAGGTGCAGGATCACGAGTTGACGAACATACAAGTGCACACGCATGTCGAGACCGTGCGCGCGATCGACGTGAGTGGATGTGGGGAGCGGGCTCGTCGGAGTTGGGCTGACCGTGCTTCTTTGCCCGCAGGTGATGCTCGACGGCGACGACTCGACGCGGTCGGCGGACCTCAAGGACGCCCACCACTCGCACGATGTCGACACCAAAAGGGAGTACGGCGTCTGATCACACACGGCGCCGCGATGCGCCTCGTCCAGACCTGGACGACCGACTGCGCCCTTCCTCCCGGTGGCCCCGGGCCCTGTGAATTTCTGTACGGCGTCCGCTCTGCAGCGCCTGTGTATATGTCACGGACACCTTCCTCCCACTCCCTAGAAACCGGGGCTCGCGACACGTTGACCCTTCGTCGACGCCCGCTCCTCATCCTTTCGTTCCCCTCGCGTCTTCGCTGAGCGGTTACATTTATTGGGCCACTTGTCGCAAATGTTGTATTACCTCCCCCCATACCACCCCGCCTGTATTACCCGGCTTCCACCGATTTATTTATCTGACCACGACCGCTTTTGTCTTCTTCCTCAGGATGTAAGCCTTTGGGTACCGTGCTGGACGATGTTATGCAAACCGCTAGGGAAAGCCTACATGGTTGAATAGGTGTGAACTTCTTGCGTCCCGCGCATGCATCGGTGGGTCGGCCGCAGCCTGTGACCCGCCCCGAAAGATAGCCGCATTCACACCGCAAAGGTCGCAGCTGGTCGAAGTTCCGTCGAAGATCGCCCATCCGCGAGGCGCATCTGTGATGGGGGCACATGCCGGTGGCCTCCCCGCAGGACGCACGCGCTAGCGCCAGATCTGAAGTGCCTTTCAGGCATCCCTCGAACGCGTGGCACCGCCGTCGAAGCACCATGCTTGCACGGTTCCTCGAGCCTCCGTGTCCCTTGTCCGGAGCGCGTTGGAGGGAAAGCGCGGCATGTTTCCCGAGTTGGGTGCGCGGGGGATCGACAGCCACGTGCCACGGCTGGTTCGACTTTGGCGGTAGCGCGCCGCTGATTGCCGAGGCATGTTGAACTTCGGCGGCTCGCTCAAACGGGTGCCGAACGCCGTCTTATCAGGCTTCATCGTGGCGCGGTGAGGGCCTGCGCGAGCGGTAGTTGCCATGGTGCTGCAATGAAGTGGTCAGTGTCATTGTGCGACACAAGTTCATGGCGGTGAGCTCGCGTTACCAAATCACCGGAAGATGTTTATCTTTATCTCGCTCGTGGGACTTTAGAAGGCCAATCATCCTTTCCAGAGCAAATCAGGTCTTGCTTGCCATGTTGATCAACCACCATCTCCCTGACCCCGAAGCTTATCGAACTGCCTATCTTGAAAAAGGACAATTTCGGGATCATTGAACTTTGAGGCCACAACGACAGAAGTTGAGGTCCTCGTGCGAGAGACAACGAAGAGACGCAGGTAAGGGATGAAATGCGAGATGTTGAGCATGCATGTCCAAGACTCAGAGGAAGAATGATAGGTAAAGTATTTGCGAGAGACAAGCTCTTCTGAAGGGACACGGCGCAAAATCCGTCGAAGTCGGGGATACCAATGTTTGGAGTGGCTCTTTTTCAAAGGCCTAAGGCTTCTTGGCCCGGAAGAATGTGCGAATAGAAAGACTTGGTGGCGAATGACGATGCGAGGCTCAGAGTTCAAAGTTCGCGTTGTCGTCATGTGCCATCAGTGATGCACGTGCTCGCAACCTCGTGGGCGTCATCAATTGTGGGCGTGGCCCTTGCGTGCGCTCTTGACCTTGTCTTCAACCGCCACCGACCAAAGCGACAGTGGGCCGCAGCGCGACGTCACTCAGAGGAAACTCAAGAACGCTCTGCGCTTGCTTCATCTTCCTAAACTCTGAAACGCTACCAATCTGCATATACAAGGGCAAGACAATCTGCGGCTCGAACACTCGACATACGATGATCGAACACACCAGCGCGTTCTCTTTTTCTGACTTCTATGAGAGAACTGTCGGCGAAGAAGGCTGGCAACGAGTCTCCGATGGAGACATGGAGCACCTAATGGACGCCCTGTTCGCTGAAAGGTTATTCGATCGCAGAAGCAGGCAGTGGAAGGCGCTCAGAAAGAAACCCTTCATTGAATACGCTGCAGATGGCATGGCAGATATCTCGCGTCGCCTAGCATCCGTCGCACCTACTGTCTGCAAAGCGCACTTTGCCACAGGCAAGCCGACCGCGGAGATTATCAAACTGCGTTCAGCGCATCGGATCTTTGGACAAGATGACACCCCACTGGCTTGTGCGGCTATCGTAAACTACCTCTCTGACCCTACGTATCAGCGCGAGGCTCGAGCTGGCTCTGCTTACAATCATACGCTATCGAGGGACCAGTCGGGTGGCTCGGACTTGATCTACTCGGCCGATGTGGCTGTACTCTGGCATCTCGAGAGCTTCCAAGATCGTGAATCTATCGAAGAGGTATATTCATATGCTATGGAACGACATTCACTTCGCTAATCCATCACATAGAACGAAATGAAGTCCGCGAACGCTGCACGGTACATGCTCTACAATGATGTCCGTCGCACGCACGTCTTCGCTGTCACGATGGAAGGCACTAGCGCGAGACTTTGGTGTCATTCGCGTTCGGGCTCTGTCGTCACATCACGCTTCGACATACACAAGGTGAGCGACCTTCTCAAGTTTGCCATGCAGGCTCACTCATAACTCGTTTCAGGACGCTCGAGAGCTCGTTCAATTCCTTCTCTTCTCCACCTTTGCCACCCCTAGTCAGCTTGGTTTCGATCCTACCGTCCGTCGCGTGGTAGACAGCTCAGGCAAGCTCCACTACCAGTTTGACGTCCTCTGCTGCGACGGCGCGATGCACACCTTTCAATCCGTGAAGATCGAGCACGATAGACTCGAGGCACCCCTGCATAGTCGTGCCACCAGCGTCTTCAAGGTCTTTGACATAGGTGCTGAGACTGACTCTTACAAGGCGCTTCGCGATTACTGGCCATCTGAGGACGACTTTGCATCGCAGGAATCAGTCATCCAACAGGAGGTCCTCGACGCTCTGAAGGCGAGACTACCAAAAGAGGAATATGAGAAGTTACGACCCCACTTCATGACGATACTCGCTGACGGCCCGGTGCATCGTCGCTCTGGTTCTCGTGGCGGCGAGTCTGAGCGCGAGACTGGGCTAGATGATTCTGCTGAACCTGAGCGCAAGCGCTGTCGGACCGTTTATGAGGAGCATTGTCAGGCTCTCTGGTATGTAGACGATCCCGCGGTGTTCTTCTTCGCGTTGGCGCAGGTCATGTACGGTTCGTATTCTCACGATGCATTACTGCCTAGTATCCTACGTGATTGCTGACAATGCTTTTAGTCCTGAACAATCTGCGCCGCGCGGGCTACGTATACCGCGATGTTAGCTCGGGAAATATCCTGGTGCAGACCCTTGCATCCGCAACGGACTCCGCGGCTCTTTCCGACTGCTACATAACGAAGGTCTCCGACCTCGAGTACGCTAAGGCCTACGACCAGCTGACTTTGGAAGAGCCCAGATTGGTGCGTCTTCGTATGAAGGTCTGACAATCATACGTTACTGATCAACAAGCGCAGGGAACGTGTCTTTTCATGGCGGTTGAGGTGCAGGCTCAAGCGCACCTATTCTGCGATCCGGACGACATGGACCTCGTGGCCAACGGATATTTCCACCACAACTTCCTCCACGACGTCGAGTCGGTCATCTGGATGGCGCTCTACTTCATTACTGGACGCTGCAGCCGCGAAGTCTACGAGACCTTGGAATGGTACGAATTGCGCGAACACATCAAGGAAGTCAAGACGTATGAGAAGCAAATCCTTCCCTTCGACTCTAACGGCAGTCACGTACGCGAGGAAGTCGTGACTGGGTTGCGTCAACGGCGAAAGCTGCTCTCGCATCTCAAGCGTCTATACGGAGACGATACGCCCTTGACGAAGATCGTCGATGCTCTGGACTGCCTCCGCGATACCTATCGCGCTGTCGAGAATGACCGGACGATCAACTGCGAGCATAGGACGGCGTGTACCAAAACAGACCCTCTCACACCGCGCTTGCCAGAATCTGTCTTCGAGAAGAACGCGCAGATCTACGAGACCCTTCGGGAAATCTTCGAGGACATCAGCCAATACTTCGTGGACACGAAGCACTCGCTCGTCAAGTTCTCTGATCTCGACTATCTGACTGGGAAGTTCCTCGTTCAGGATCGATACTCAAGCTCGACGGTTTTGAAGGGCGGAAAGGACGCAGCTGCGCCGAACGTTGAGGCGAATTCGGGGATGGACGGCGCGTCGGCGAAGGCGATAAAGAAACGGAAAAGGACAGACGCGAAAGAGGAAGGAACGAGCGCCAAGCGAATCCACGCGGACCCTTCGACCTTAATCACTGCAGGCTGTGCCAGCGCGTCGACGCGCAGCAGCAGGGTGACGGCGGTGCGCGGTAGTCGTAGTCGGTAAGGGCGGTGCAAACCCCGTGCGAGAACCCACACGACGATCGGCAAGGCTCGCAAGTCGGACGCTTCATGGAGCTTGAAGGATGGCGTCTTTAACGTCTCGGAATTCGAGCTTTGGAAGGAAGCGGGACGAAGGAAGGGGCAGCGCCGGCGCGCGAGTGTGATGAAGGTGGTGAACGTGTATTTTATTCAGAATAGAACAGCTTGAGACAACGATACGGGCGAAGGACAACATCAAAGAGACCTTATGAACTGTAAATGGGTATGAGGGCGAGCTCGACCGATCGAAAGTGTCACGCACTTTGATGTTTCCACATGTTCTTGTCCAGCAAGACCGCAATATAGAGCGACGAGGACACATATAAACCGAGAGAAAAAGAGGCGTGTATGTGATACGAAAAGCGAATGAGATGATAGAAGAGGCGTATGTGGAGGAAGGCACGAGCGTAGAGGCGGAACATCAATGTCGACTGTCCGTTGAGTGACTTGTGGCCCCAGCGACGAGTTATGCAAAGTGAAGGCGAAAGGCGAAGACAAATCAGGATTTACACGCCGCGAGCGGAAGCACGGATGGGCCAGCAAGGCGGTGAGGGTGGAAGTATGCGGCCAGTGGTAGAATACGAGAAGGCGGAGGCGGGTAGTAATGGCGATGACACAGGCCGTAGGGTCGTATGTCGGGGGGGGGGACGCCTTTACTTCCGCGAGCTCGACTTAGCCTGGGGGCTGCTCGACGCGCCCGACTCGCTGAGCAGGGGCGACTTCTCGTCCGCGAGCTTCTTCGGGCGAGCCTGTCGGGCGTCCTGCGCGCGACCGCCGTACCCAAGCTTTTCGGCCTCTCCGACCGGTGGTGGGGACTCTTCCTCCATTTTCTTGTCCGCCAAGAATCCCGGCGAGCTCTTGCCCTTCTCGCGCTTCGACGTCGTCCCAAACCGGCGGCGTATGTCCTGTACCACGCCCTGCACCTTGGGCATCACCGTCTCGACGACGTCGGCTATCTGCTTGCTGCTGCTGGGCTCCTCTGCGGGGGGCGCCGCGGCGCCGATGTGATGGGAGGGTAGAATGTCGTGGAAGCTAGACGAGGACTTGGTCGTCGGGCGGGAGAGTTGAGGGCGGTCCTGGCCGTCTATGTATTTGTAAGTTACGGTGTAAAAGAGGGCGCGGGTCGTCCTAGGCGTTCGACCCGCTGGAAAACTAGGTGCGCACCTTCTGCAAAAGCTCCTGGGCGCGACGACTCCAAGTCCGCCTTGGGAGTCATTGGACCGTATTCCTCGTCGGGATTGCTGACATACGCAACACCCTTGGAGTCGACGAAAGTATAGCGCTTGGTCTCGGTGTCGTAGGCGACGCGCTTGAAGCCCTCGGAGAGGCGGTAGGAGTCCTGTCCTGCTGGTCAATAAATTATTCATGAGCGTTAGAAGGCCACGCACCTCGTCGAACTGCGTCCAGCGGCCCATTGTACGGCAGTGAAATATATGGGACGGATGGGCAACGAGAAGGATGGGGACCCTGGCGATTTTTGAGCGGTTGGAATAGGGCGCCGTTCGAATAAAACCATATAGGACTTATAGTTCGAGATGTAGCACAGGTTCCGCCAAAGCCATGGCTTCCCATAAGGGCCGCCGTCGGCCGTTTCCACCTTCAAGAAAGGCAGGAGGCAGGAAAGATCCCGCGGCTATGGCGATGCGGGCCAAGTTCGCGCCTGGTACCTGGGTACCAGCATGCGGCGGCCAATGAAAAGTACGGAGGGGGCTGTTCCCAGTGACGGATGTTTTGTTGACTTTGTCGGAAGGGTCCACATCACGAGCGCCAAACAATGGCACACCCGGTGGAGTTTTCTGCCAGCGCCGCGTGGGAGGACAATTGGCTTGCGAGGCTGCATAATTCTGTGATTATCAGCTCTATTTGGCGACCTCTGAGCAATAAGTTGGATAGTCCAGCACAGAAAATACGAGCAGGAGCATTTCCGGCAACAAGAGATCCCCGGTCATAAACTGGACCGTGGACCCACCCGCGCACGCCTTCGAATCCCCTACATTCACTCGTGCCTCCCTTCGCGGCGGCCGCTCTCACCACAGCCCATCTAGAGTGTTAGTCGCGGGTGCTTCTTCGGGATTTTACGCATTTGCTGTACGCTACTAAGGTTCATGTACATGCTCCCGAATGCGTCCAAAGTTCGTCAACTGCTGTCTTCTTTGAGTAATGGGTAGAAGCCGTCAGCTAAAGAAGCACACAAAAGAGAAATTCTGGCTCAAGCTTGCGCCACTCGGTCCGTTGCGTTGCATGTCGTAGTCAGCCTCTCAAGCTGACGTGCTCGGAGGCTGCGCAGGTATCGTGTGCACCGTCTGGAAAGGAAATCGCCATAGCAAAAAGCAGTGCTGAGATCTCAACGTCAGCAAGGTAGAAGGCAGTCCTCCTGGTCTGGTCCAAGACTTGCGGTGTGACGAAAACGTGACGAGTTAATTTGGTGAGCATGGGAACCGGATCAATGCACGCGAGCAAATGTGATGATCGCCATCCCCTTTGTCTCTCCTCGCATCTCTGCTTCAACAGACGTACAATCCCTTTCACCTGTGAGGCATGGTAGTCGTCTTCTCAAGCATCACTCGTCTGACACCTCTGCGTCGATTACCAGCCTCAATATAAGTATCACGATGATGATCACTATCCCCAGAAGTGCCTAAAGGGATTAATCATCCGAACCGCCTCGGGGTCGAACCGGTCCTCACACAAGCAATCCCTCCTAGAGGACATGGCGGCAGCGGCGGTCATATACCCCTTCGCCGAACTTCGACAATAATCCCATCGGCGAGGGTGTGCCTCGTGTCGATTGAGTTTTAGCCGTAACTCCCGCCCGCTTCCCATACAACACAGCTCTCTTGTACCGGCGGCGCAAAAGAATGTCCGCCGAGAAATTGCCATCCGTGACTTGGCCGCAAGCTTGCCAGCCGCGAAGAGCCTTGGTAACGTCTATCCAACTCTCAAGGCTATGAGATGCGCGGGGCTTCCCCCATTGGGAGCCCCTTCTCACTCCGCCTCTTTCCCATAGATTGGGTGAGGATCATCACTGGCTTGACAACGGAAAAGGTTTGAATTACTTTGCGCAAAGGAATGAAAGTGATTGGGTCAAGCATTCTGACGGGACTCAAAAGTTCAACTGTGACTGTAACGCGAGACGACACGAGGTCCTGGTCATTGCTCAGACGCGACGGGATCTCCAGAGCGCCCCCAGCGGGATATACTGCGAGATCGAGACAATTCCTACTCACTTTTTTCGCTTCAGTACGAATTGGTTCTAGCCAATCCGGCGAGGGGCCTGCCAATATTTACAGCGGGGTGTTGAGTGCAAAGAATGCGCAACGCGTCCTTGGGCGATTCGAACCATGTTACAGCATAGGATACAACACCGAATCGTACAAGGACCGCTCACTCGATCACCTCTTCCGTCTGCTCGATGACCTCCTCGATCCACACCTCGATCTCCTCCTTCGCCTCCTCCTCCTTGCCCTCCTCCTTCGCGCCGAGCGCCTTCAGCTCCGCCTTGCACTGCTGCCGCCACGCGTTCCACTCGTCGACCAGCCGCCTGCGCTGCGCGATGAGCTCCGCCGACACGTTGCTGCGCGCCTCCGCGTCCTCCTGCTCGAACTGCGCGCTGTACTCGCGCAGGTTCCGGCGGATCTGCTTCTGCTGCTCGCGCGTGAGCAGCGTGCGCGGGCGCGGGCGCCAGATGAACTGCTTGAAGCGGTCGAGGATGTGCTTCTCGAGCTCCTGCCCGCGGAAGTCCCAGATCGCGTACCCGTTCTCGAGCGTGTGCGACCAGGCGGAGGCGCTCGTGGCGAGGTAGCGACCGCTGGGATCCCACTCGACGTCGGTGACGCCGTAGTGGTCGGCGGTGCCGAGCAGCTGGATGCCGGAGCCCCACTCGTTTGACGAACCCGCGGGGCGGTCCTCGTTGTTGAAGTCGAGGTCCCAGAACTCGAGCTCGGACTTGGTGGAGGAGCCGACGGTGGCAAGGACGACGTGGCGACCGCGCGGTGACCAGCGGATGGCGTTGCTGGTGCGGCCGGAGAGCGTCTTGAGCAGCTTGAAGTCATTCTTTGTGCGGTCGAGCTGGTAGAACGAGACGTCGGTCTTGATGGTGACACCCGGGCCCGGGTTGCCAAGGTTGGGGTCGGAGGTGGAGATGATGGCGAAGCGCTCGCCCTTCGGCTCCCAGGAGAAGTCAGTGACAGTGTCCTTGAGCTCGACGACCTCGACAGGGTAGTCCTTCTCGCGTACGCGGAAGATCTCGAGGTTGCAAAAGATCGACTTTTTGGTCTTCGTATGCCTATCGACCTTGACGCAAAGGAAGTCGCCCTGATTTTGCCAGTAAAGTTTACACTACAGAGCGTTAGTTCAGGCGATTAAGAAAATGGTATCACTCTTACCTCGGACACGTTAAACAAGTTCTTTTGCCGCAATATGGTCCGGCTCGGGAAGCTGATCAAAGTTACGCGTGCGGGCTGATTCTGCACTTCAGGCGTCCAGTACACGAGCATGTTGTCCCGTGCCTTCTTCGCGCCCGTCTTTCCACCCGACGCCGCCGCCTTCGCGTCCTTGTCCGCATCCTCCTTGTCCTTGTCACCCTGCGGACACCACTCGAAGTCGACGACACCCTCGATCTTCATGCTCTTCTTTCCGTGAAGACCCATACTCGGCAATTCGTAGACACTGATCATCTGCCCAGGTGTTACACGGCCGACGAACTTGTCGTCGGGACTCCACTTCAGAATCGGCCACGGCATCTGCTTCTTGCCAGCGGCATCGGCCTCGACGGAGGGGAAGGTGCGGAGGAGGTGGCCGGACTTGATGTCCCAGACGGCGATGTTGTTGCCCTCGTCGTCGGGCGAGAGGAACTGCGGGCCCTGAGGTGCGCCCTCGGGAATGGTGATCGGCTCGTTCGACCAGGTGACGAGGTAGTTTTCGCAAGGTGAGAAGTCGATGAGCTTGACGAGCGGGTGGGCGAAACGCTGCTGCGGCTTCCAAGAGTTGCCGCCCCACAACCGCACGCCGGGGCGATGAAGGGTGACGAGGAAGGTGCCGAGGGGGGACCAGGCAACGTAGAGGAAGGGTTCTTTAAACATCTAAGAGACGTTAGCATTGGAATAGCAACGCAAGAGGGCGAATGGAGGTACAGGCTTGTGCGCAATCTCGCATTGCTCCCGCTTGCCGTGCCAGTGAATTTCGACATCGTCGCCGCGGTTTGTCACGTATTGATCGCGTCCGTCAGCAAGCCAGGCGCGCAGGTGTTCCTAGGCATCCGATCAGCAAGCGCGTCGTTAACGAATGTTGTCTGCGCACTCTTGGTTGGTACTCCTCCGTCTTCGGCTCGACGTACGTCTCATCAAGGTTCGCGAAGCGCTCGATGTCGGTGAAGAGGTTGAGCTTGAAAGTATGCTTCGAATCGAATGCGTGGTTGTTCAGGATCGCGATGGCCATCGCGGCCTCCTCGGCGTTGCGGAACTCGATGAAGATGTAGCTGCAGACGATGAGAATGTGGTGGGGTAATGGGGGAGCGACACGCACCCTTTGCTCTTGCCCGCCTTGTCGTCCCATGGCATGAAGATGTTGTCGGCCTTAACGTGCACGCCCTTTTTACCAAAATCCTTGCATATCTTGGTCACTAGACGCTCCTTCTTGGAGGCGTCGATCACGGGGGCGCCATCGACGACGACGATGTTATCCAAGCCCTCGTCGTACTCGACCTGGTACCTGATGGATGGTCAGCACCAATTCAGCTCCACTGAGTTGCCACACACTTGGCCTCGATGTCCGAGTAATCGATGTCGTCGTCGTTTATATCTTTTGTAAGGCCTGGCATTTTGGGTACGGCGTCGGGAACAGTGTCGGGGAAGTGCAGGACGCGGTGATCTCAAACTTTTCCCGCCACGTGCTAGCCGTGTTCCACGTGGTCACACGCGCCACCGTGATTTACTGCTTGAAGTCGCGCTCATCGTCCGCAACGATGTCGGCGCTGTACGCGACGTTCTGCGCAGCGGCAGTCTCGGTGCTGAAGGAGGTCAACAAGCATGTTACGGAACCGTATATGGTGTGCCTCACAGCGATATGCGCACGAAGCTACGACTGACACTTGATCAGGACGAGCCATTCCACGTCCCGCAAGCGCAGGCGTATTGCGCGGGCAACTTTTCCCATTGGGACCCCAAGATTACGACTCCACCCGGACTGTGCGCACATCTCGTTTCCTTACAATGTCTCCTTCTTGATCAATCCTTCTTAGCTACGTCGTCAGCGTCATCCTCAAGCGCTTCTTCATTGTTAAATGTGCCCTCCCCACCCTCCGCCTTACCCCCTTGCTCGCACTTCTCATCCTCCCCCTAATCTTGACACGCTTTCTTGCGTACCAGAAGCGCGTCCATTCACCCTCGATCCTCTCCCCCTCCCCCGCGGCCGTCATCCTTGCGCTGCATCCCCTCGTCTTCTTCTATGGCTTCCTATATTACACGGACGTCCCGAGCTTGCTCGCTGTCGTCACCACAATTGTCCTCGCGCAAGAAGAAAGTCACTGGCTAGCTGCGTTGGTGCGTTCCTCGTCAGTTACTACACGCCACACCCACACCTGACTAGGCCGAATGATAGGCTGGCGCTATCAGCTGCACGTTTCGCCAGACGAACATTATTTGGGTACTGTACGCATACGCTGTAAGTCAAATCGCGTACCTGCGCTATCGACGCGACGGGGTACGGCTGCACGACCCGCTTGCAAGGAAAGCTACCTTCGGTGGGTGTGTTGTCCTCTAAGAGCACACTAGCATAGTAGACGTGTGATGTCTGCATTGCGACCTTTCGGCAGAGTCGAACTTATGTCTGACTTCATCCCTTAGGCGACATTCCTTGGAGCACATTCTCCCTCGCTTCACTACTGCCTGACATCTTACCTGCGTTCTTCCCTTACGCGTTGGTGCTCGCTGGATTCGGTGGCTTCTTGGTATGGAATGGAGGAATAGTGTTAGGTGAGCGGCCTTGTCTGCGTCTCTATGCATTGCGCTCAGTACACATGCTTACCCACCTCACCTCTCAGGCGACAAGTCAAATCACGTCCCAGCCTTCCATGTGCCCCAGCTGTACTACCTCATCTCTTGCGCGACCGCCTTCTCTTGGCCTGCCCTACTTCGAGTGCCCAATCTACCGAGCCGCGTCCTGCGCAAGATGTTTGGCGGCAAGCTGCGCACGACGTGCACAATCCTGCTCATCACCGCGATCTGCGTGACGATCAACCGGTATACGTGCGTGATGTTCTCGCCTCCCGCGACTGGTCGCGGCGTATCTCTTCGTTGCTGACGCTACACCTTCACAGCATCCACCACCCGTTCCTCCTCGCGGACAACCGGCACTACACGTTCTACCTGTGGAGACGCGTCATCCTCGTACATCCCGCTGTCAAGTACCTCTTAGCGCCGATATACATTGCATGCGGATGGGCATGGTGGGTGGCTGTTGGTGGTGAGTTTCATTATCCCTTTCTCCGCATTACCCTGGCTTGTGTATCCTTCGCATCGCGTCGCGAACTCACATTCCCCTCCAGCCTCCGACAACTCTCTTCTCCAGGTCCTCCTTATTCCACTTACCGCCGCGCCGACGCTGCTGCCAGCCCCGCTCCTGGAACCGAGATACTTTGTCGTGCCTCTGGTCCTCATGCGCGGGCTGTTGGAGGGTGACATGGACGAGGCATCCTCGGACGATGCGAAGGAGAAGGTGAAGAGCGTGCCGCACCCATCCGGCTTCCGACTATCGCCCAACGTCTCTCTCTCCCTCGAGTTTGCATGGTACGCAGTCATCAACGCGGTGACGCTATACGTGTTCGTGTACTGCCCGAGGGGAGAAACAAGGTTCATGTGGTAGCATGATCGCGATTGTGGTTTATAAGTACACCCCATATCTGACCGTGCATGTTACGCGAACACAAGAGGAAAATGTTTGATCTCAGTCAACGCTAGGCATAGCTCGGTTGCTGCTCAGACAACATGCGATGGCGCGACTTGCACGCCTTGACAGACATCCACGATCAAGAGTTGGTGGCAACAGGCCTTAGGGCCGGAAGCCGTCCAGGCCACATGCATCAACATCATTCTACCGAATCCTGCGTGAACCGACGGAACTCATACATTTGCTGCTTCATCGGAAGCATACATTCCAAAAGATACAAAAGATGAATTCACTAATATTCGAACTGATACAACCTCCACGCCTCTCTCTTCGGCATTACATCCTTCATCCACAGGGGCTCCTTCTCAAACAATCTCGTGAGCTCGTCAAGTTGCTCCTGCCACGGCTTATGCGCCATGAACCAGGTTGCGATCGTCGAGCATATCATAAGGAAAGTCACTTCTCGCTTCCCGTCAACACGATGCAATGAAAATTCGGTTTGCCACTCCGGTCCTGTCATGTCCCCGATGCCAGGCACGTCCTTCACGCCTTCAACGAAGACGTGCCGAATTCCTGGCCACCCAGTTTTGCAAGAGGCGTAGGCGGCGACGTGCTCGGGCCACATATCAGGGTAGCTTCCGAAACGCTCGCGACCTCCACGATAGCGATCCAGAAATTCCCCGATCTCGCGCGGGGTCATGGGATATCCGAAGTGCCAAACATCGGACGCCTCGGCTGCCTCAGGCGGTTCGGGAATATGCGCCAAACACCTGAGGCTTGCAGGCTACGATAGCCCGAATTAGTCTCCTGTTGTGATGCGACTGAAGGTCGACTCCGGTGTGCATACCTTGGCTACAGGTGTTCCAGCCCGCGAGCGCACATCTGAGGTTGCTTGTGGCTCTGCCTCATCGTCTTCGTCTCGATTGGCGTCGCTCATTGCTAGGCGTGTCGAAGAAAGAAAGTAAGACTCTTCAAAACTAGTCAGAAGCGAAGGACGAGTGATAGGTAGACAAGCGACGATGACCTCCCTTTATATATTCGACGAATTGTAACAGGTTGCGATGTCGCAGCTTTAGTCGCGCTGATCTGGTCTACTTCAGACTCCGAAAACATGCTGTGGCGCGCGGCAAATGTCAACTGTGGCCATGAAGTCTAGGAGTAGCCGCATGAGAGTCGGCTGTGAAGGGCGCGAATACCAGCAGGCTTGCTCATTGCAAGGGGTAGGTACCTGCTTCTGACTTGTCGCTGGAGTTTCTTTGAGTCGACGTGGTGTACCGGGGTCCTCGAATTCTCGATAAGATGGAGGCTCCTATGACTGTAGATACCTTGAGGAGAGAACAGGTAAAGAAGCAACCCTATGGCCAGCCCGTAGAGATTAAAAGAGAGCGAGAGGAGAACGAGTAGGGTGACGATGATACCTAGTTGAGGTCAAGAGTTCAACGTCGGCGTTGCATTGATTGCGGGCACGTGGAGGAGCACGTGGGGTGCCTTTGAGTTCGAACATGTCGCCGTCGGGCTTGTTCCCGGTCGATCAGCGCGACGGCAACGACAACGACGGCTGCGCCCGATTGTGTGGTCCCTTTTGGTGCTTCTTGCTCCCCTCTAGCCACTCCAAGCGCGTCTCCGCGCCACAGATCCTAACGCAAGGGGGACAGGTGCATTCCACCCGCGACCCACGAGTGTCCTGCGCTCGCATACCACCATCCGGCCGTACCGCATCCCATACCCATCTGCCACCATCCCGACTCTGGTAACCTTCTCGCAACCATCTATACCCACTCGCTAGCCATCGCAATGCCGCCAGAGACGACGACGCGAAGCCACTCGCTCCGGCAGTCCTTCGGGCGCTTCTTCCCCAAGGACTCGGACAAGGAGAAGCTGTCAAAGATCAAGACGAAGGAAAAGGACCTTTCCAAGGACTGGAGCGACGTGCGGGACGTGTCGAAGGAGATACCCAAGGACTTGGGCGCGAAGGAGTTCGGCGGGCTCGACAGCCTGACCGCGAAGCAGGCGAAACAGGCGCGCCGCTCCACGCTGGGTGCGCGCCCGAGCGGCGGCCGGCCCTCGCTCGGCGACCTCGCCCAAGACAAGACCGTCACCCGCCGTCGCGTGTCCTCGGGCCAGACGCGCAACATGTCCCTCGACGAGGGCTCACCCATGAAGCCGCACGCTGCGGCGGCACCCCCGCCCACCACCGCGTCCTCCTCCACATCCACCGATCCCCCGCTCAAGCGCGCGACCTCCCTCCGCCCGCGGCCCGCAGCGTCCGCGCTCCCGAAATACCGCCCTCGCTCTGGTCTCTTTGATCCCTCGCGCGTGCCCAAGATCTCCCTCGAGCCAAAGGGCTCTCCGCGCAAGCCCAAGGTCTCGCGCGAGCCGCCCAGCACAGATGACGAAAAGATCCAGGAGACCTCCACGAGCAGCAGCTGCGCCGATGGGAAACCCCTCGAGGTGAACCTCACTGGCGCCATCCACGTGTCGGGCTCGCCCAAGGGCAAGAGCAAGGCCCCCGTGCCTGCAGCGGCGGCGACGGCGGCCAAACCGACACCCACCCGCAAACTCCACAAGTCAGCGTCGCCCGCGCCCAAGCCATCGCCCGTGCGGCAGGGATCAGCGTCTCCGGCCCCGAAGCCGAGTGCACCCTCCCCTGCGCCGAAAGCACCGGCGACACGACCCGGCAGCGCCGCGTCAACGAACAGCGCGCGCGGCCCAGTGACGCCGGCCGCAGCTGCGAAGGCGGCGGCGACGACGCGCACCGAGTCTCCTTTGGCGCGCAAGGCTCGTGCTTCGCCAGCACCCGCACCCGCCCCTGCCCCTGCCCCTACCCCGCCACCGAAGGCGAAGCAGGACAACGGCAACATGTCCGACATCTCAGAAACCTCAGAGGACGAGAGTGAGGACGAGGACGACGTCGCAGCGTTGCTCGCGCCCGTTGCTTCACCCGGCGCGCCCACGCCCGCCATGCCTCGCGTCTACCGCACGCGCAAAACATCGAAGGTCTCGCCCTCGCCGCGGCCCTCTCCCCAGACGCCATCCCGCACTCGACGTGTCTCCACTGGCCTCAGCAAGCGCCGCTCCTTCCTCGCGCCTTCCACCCCGGCGCATCGCAAGCGCTCCGCGGGCTCCCTTCGCACTCCGAGCAAAAGCGGCGAGAAGAATGCGCCGCGCGGTTCCATCCTCACCTGGGAGGAGCTCGCGCAGGAATCGCGCACTCTGGACGAGGATGACATTGCGATGCTCGCAGACATTCAGGCGCCGTTCCGCGCGTCGATGGCCAGCCCGCCGGGCTCGCCCTCGCTGTCTCCGGTGACGCTGGACACGCCACTGCCACCTGAGAGCCCGGCGCTGAGCACGATGGGCTTGACTCCTGGGACGCCAGGTGGTGGGTATGGCTCGATATCCCAGGTGCTCCTACCGGACGTGACGCCCTCGCCTGCGCCGTTTGCAGCGTCTGCCGCGCGATACGACGAAGCGGCGCGCAGCCCGCCCGGCGACGGCGCCCTGACCACCCTCCTCCGCCTCCAGCTCGCGAGTTCGGAGAACACCGCGCGCGAGCGCCTCATGCGCCTGCAGGAGCTCGAGGAGGAGCTGCACAGCGTGAAGGCCGCGCGCCGCGCGGAGGCCACCGAGCTCGGGGCGCAGCTCGAGGCGCTCGAGGCGGAGCTGCGGCGCGCGATGGACAGCCGCGAGCGCGGGGAGGAGGAGCGGCATCAGTATGTCATGGCGCTCGAAGCCCAGGCCGCGCGCGCGAAGGAGGAGGCGGGTGCGCGGGCGGCGGAGGCGGCGAAGCGTGCCAAGGTCGAGCAGGGCACCGCGGTCGAGCGCGCGCGTGCGGCGTGGCAGGTCGGCTGCGTCGCGGAGGTGGCGTGCGCGCGGTGGGGCGCGGTGAAGGATATGGCGGAGGGAGACTTGGGCGATGTGAAGAGCGACCTGCAGGTGCTGGCGACGCTGCTGGGCCAGTTGGACGGCGAGCGGGCGCGGTTGCAGTCTGTCCTGCGACGATGAGTCGATCTTGCTGCATTCGGTGCATGTTAGTGTGCTTGGTGCCATATATCTCTTGCTATTGTGCGTCCTTTCTCTTCCCCTGCCCTCTTCGCAACCAACTGACTCCTCTCACAGTATACTCGGATCCGGATCTATCATCTTGGCCTCGTTCCATCTCATCCATCTTGCGTCTCCCTTTCCGCGTGCGGACATCCCATCCACCCTCATCTGTACTACCATGTTCCCCACACACGTACATACACTATATATGTAATCCCGCACTCGTTTGTTCCCTCTCAACTCTTCCTCTCGTCTTGTTTCCTGTCCTCTATCATCGTATTTCTGGACTCCTATCACGCATCGTATCTTGCGCTGTTCGTTCTCTCTCCCCCTATTCCATTTCTCATGCTATGTCTCACCGAATGCTACTCTATGCTTCCATCTCTCGACTTATGTTCCCTTTTCCTCGCTCAACGCACAAGCAATGCAACTCCACTCAAGCAAACACTCGAGAAAACGTTGAAATCAAGGACTGCCACGCTATACTGATCTACTCGAAGAGGTCGAAGGGCAGACCCCAGGACTTGCTCGGGTTGAGCGTGCGCTGCGGCTTCTTGCCCACAGCAGCAGCCTCCAGCTTATCGAATAGCGCATCCGGCAGGCGGGTCACTATATGCGTCTCGTCAGCATGCCATACCCTCTCCCCTCTCCTAACCCCCCACTCACCCTGCAAATTCTCCTCAATGCGGCTCGGCGTGACGCTCTTCGGCAACACGACCGTCCCGCGCTGGACGTGCCACGAGATGATGACCTGCGCGGGCGTGATGGCGAGCTCGTTCGCGATCTCCTGCACGACGGGCTCGTTGAGGGTCTTGCCGACCTGGCCGTCGCCGCCGAGGGGCGAGTAGGCCTCGAGGAGGACGTTGTGCGCCTTGGCCCAGGCGAGGAGGCCCGGCTGGGGGTTCCAGAAGTTGAGCTCGACCTGGTTGATGGCGGGCGGGATGGTGATGTTGGGGTGGGAGAGGAGCTTGGAGAGGCGCCAGATGTTGAAGCTGGTGGGGTGGGTTAGTTTGATCAGGTGCGAAGACTGAATAGGGATGTTAGGGGAACGCACTTGCTGACGCCGATGTTGCGGATCTTGCCCTTCTTGACGAGCTCCTCGAGCTTCTGCCAGGTGGGGAAGGGGTCGTCGGTGAGCTCCTTGTTGTACACGGACCCATCGCGGTTGAACGCGATCGGCCAGTGGATCAGGAACAGGTCGAGGTACGTCGTGTTGAGCGCCTCCAGGCTCGCGTCCAGCGACTTCTCCACATCGCGCGGGTCGTGGTGGTCGTTCCATAGCTACAGTGCAGTCCTTCAGTCAGCTTTCACGTCCTTCGACACATATGGCGCCATGCGAAGTGCACCTTGCTCGTAATCCACAAGTCCTCGCGCTTATAGCCGCTCTCGCTCCAGGCAGCGCCGACCTCCTCTTCGTTGCGGTAGATGCGCGCGTCGTCGATGTGACGGTAACCGGCATCGAGTGCGACCTTGACCGCTTGACCGACCTCGCCGCGGCCGGCCTTCCAGACACCGAGTGCGACAGAGGGAATGCGATCCCCGGAGGGAAGCGTGTAGTGGCTGGGGAGTGACGCCGACGCGCTCGAAGCCGCGCGATGGCAGCCCCAGATACGCGGGAGGGGAAGAGCGCTCCGTGCGCTCGACGCAAGCATGTACACCATCGCGACCGCAACGAAGATCGGGAGAACGACACGGTGCTTCCTGGAGCACCTGGATCGAGGCGCGCGAGCGTTCACTTCCTGAGTAGGCTGAGGGATGTCGACCTTCTCGTCGGCGAGGACGTGCTCGCCGGCGGTCGCGTACTGGGGCAAGGACATGGTGGGCGTGGGCTGGATGATATCAGGATCGTCCCCATGATATACCCTTGCGTCAACTCCTTATCGCTCGCGCCAACTTCCCGCCCGATTCCCCTACGAAATCGCGACACACGGTCACATGTCTATGCCCTGGCGTTCGTACGACGCGCTGAGTGACTTGGTGAAGATGCATCCGCGCGCTATCCAGGACTCAGCAGAGATGGAAAGAGGAGAAAATGGCATGAAAGGTCAGAAGATGCGACCTTGACGCGCTACGTTGACGCCACATAAATTCTCGGCAATATCCGAGCGAAGGCAATTTCGACTGCTTTCATCCCAATGCTGCTCCAAAACATTCACCCTCTGACAAGTGAAATTCCTTGCCTTTTCGCGAATGGGAGAGTTCAGGCGTGCTATCTATATAGACTTCTTTCGCTCACACTCGCGTGCATCTTTTGTTTCTAACTATATACAATTTGCCAGTGGCCTTACTAGCCGGGGAGAAGCCATGATCGCTCCGAGTGCGGTCAACCGTCACGAGATGAGCATCTTGGAGGGTATTCTATGAGCTTCTCATGGCGGCACTCATCAGCGCTTTCTTGCCTTCGCCCACCATCGATGCAGCCGAATGACGCTGCTCGTTGTGCCACCCGGCACGGCACCCACTATCTGGACGACGGAGATGTTGTCGTGCGCGTACGTCCTTTCTTCCCATACGTACGGCGCCTCCTGATCATCGCTAACCCTCGCTACAGGTGGAGCACACGCTATATCGACTTCATTCCTTCCACCTCCGGCGGTCAACCACTTACTTCAATGGGATGCTCGCGACCGACGACTCGGACGCTACCAAGGACGGCGGTAGCGATGAGCATCCACTTGTCCTTGAAGGAGTGGAGTCGCTCGATTTCGAACACTTGCTCTGGTTCTTCTACGAATCTGCTTACAAGTGGTGCGTCGACCACAATGTTGTGACCGAGTCCCTTCGACATGCTCATTTGCGGCAGGTCGGGCATTATTGATCACCACCTAACGCCCAAGTGGGAGTCAGTCTTGCTGTTGGCAGAGAAGTTCAACATGACCCAAGTCGCAAAAGTGGCATGCTACGCGCTAGGACGAGCCGGAGTACTCAGCGACGTGCGCAAAATTGCCCTCGGTGTGAAGCATGGTCTAGGAGAAGACTGGATACTTGAAGAGCTCAAGCGTATTCTGACACGCGACTCTCCTTTCTCAATCGAAGAAGGTCGGGAGCTTGGTTTAGATACGGTCGTCATTCTCGCCGCTTCCCGCGAGACGAGAGCTCTCCAGGCGGGAGGACTTTGCGCGACGGGTCATTGCCCAGAGTGTCAAGATATGATGGCCATCAGCTGTGCCAATGGCTGGCACACGTGCCAAAATGGCTGTATGATGATTGAATGCCCACGACAAGGAACCGTGACTCTGGACGTTGCTCCTCTAGTCCAAGATACAGTGCTCCCCTCTTTGCCGTGTTCGCTCCAGCACTCACCGACTGGCGCCGAGGAGGTGCTCACTTACCGCAAGAACTTGAGATACGATTTCTTTGTAAAGGTGCGTTATCGTGGTTGGCTTACTACGGCATGTAAACTCGATCATCGCAGCTGGAGTCCACAGTCCTTGGCGTCCACTCGTATCATCTGGAGAGGGCGTCCTCGGTCTTTGCAGACATGCTCGCTCTACCGACTGACGGCGTGTCGCGGGAAGGGAAAACTCGAGATCACCCGCTGGTCCTTGATACTAAGCTTCGTTACTTCGAAAGCCTCCTCTGGTTCCTGTACGATTCACCATACCAATGGTAGGCACGCCTTGATGGAAATGATTTTTGACTGCTAACCAATCTCTTGATAGGTCCTCCAAACCGAACACCTCCGTATCTCCCAGATGGGAAGACGTCCTCATTGTGGCCGATATGTTCAACATGGAGGAGGTTTGCCGCGTCGCTACATACGCCCTGGACCACAACGGCATGCTTCCCGACATCCGAAGAATATCTCGCTGTGTCCGTCACAACATCGATAAAGCATGGGCTCTCGACGCCATCAGACGCGTCTGTATACGCGAGCAGGCCTTGAACAAAGATGAGGCGCGCGAAGTGGGGCTAGACATGGCTATGCTTATTGCGTCGGCACGAGAGGCTGCGTATAAAGCCTCTGGTGGCAGGGTGAGTCAAGGCGAGTAACCACAACGCTAGGCTAAATCGATGCCAGATCTCTGCGTTTGTCCCTGTCATTGGCGATGTTATCAAGAATGCACTTCTCGAAGGTCGAGAACAGCAAGATATGTAGGCGACGTGTACAGTGCTGGTCTTGAACATCTGTACGGCACGCCGGATGGAATGTGACGCCGATTGAAAGACCCTCACAACGCTTGATACGAGTGCACAGAGCGATATAGTATTAGGTCCGGTTATACTGGACAAGAAGGGCTATGATAGTACGCTAATGACTGACGCGGCTCTTCAATGAATGTCCGTTGACCTCCGATGTTCGAGATGGCGTATCATGGGAACACCCTGGTATATAATCGTCAGGATCGACTCGGGAAAGGTGCAGGAAAGCATAGAACCCACTTAGCACTGGACGTCCTTGGAGTCGTCGAGAACGATGTACCACGGGCGAGTAGCAGGGGTACCCGACTCCTCCCTGTTGACGTAGACGATGGCGCTGACGCCGCTCGTGTGGTCGCGCTCAACGTCGAAGGCGCCCTTGTTGCCGTCAATCTGTATATCCCATTGTCAGCGCACATACACCTGCACAACCGTCAAAGTCACGTACCTCGTTCACGACCATGGTCAAGTTGTCGTTCGTGAGACCGGTGCGGTCGTCGGAAATGCTCCAGCCGCCGAAGACGGAGCCCTTGGGCAGCTCGTCCTGAGACGAGGTGATGAACTCGAGCGTGTACACGCCCGGCTCCGTGGCCGCGCTGAGCGGGACGAGGGCGGCCTTGAGGCCCTTCGTTGGGCAGACCATCGTCAGCTCGCCGTTCTCGACGGTGGCGGAGATGGTGGTCTCGGCCTCGGCGGAGCCGACGACGAAGTCCTTGCCCAGCTGCTTGAGGACGAGGTCACCCTCAGCAGAGCCGTACTGGGAGACGGCGGCAGAGCGGAGGCCGGCAGCGCTGACGAGCGCAGCACCCGAAAGGAGAGTGAGAGCGGTGGCGGCGAACATCGTGGAGGATGTGAGTGGTAGCTGTAAGTCTGAAGTCGGAGGAGAGGAGACCGAGAGCTGATGTTCTGTGGTCAACTCAGCCTGGGATTTATAGAGCTACACTTCCGGTGTTTGTTGATCCTCGGTGTCCACGACTGTCCAGCAGCGAGCTATATGGAGCGTACCACAAGAACACAGCATCTCGAGACTTCTTCGTGCATTCTCGTCTTCATACCTCCATTCGCATGAGCATGTTTTGAAACGCGAGGTAGTACTAACCTGCTTGGATAGCACCGTATGCCCGTGGCTGTTAGATGGTCAGATATTCGCTGGCTTATCCTTCTGAAGCCAAAGAGATCATTGAAGCTATCTTGTCGAGTTCACAGAAAAACGTGGGCAGTCGCGGGACTCACTATGAGTTTGAACAGCGAACCTGGACAAAGTCACGAAGCGGTTCAAAATATACAGGAACAACGCACATACATACCTTTCTCCGCTGCTGAGAAAGGCGCGTCCGCAGACATCAACATTCGAAGGCCGGAGTGAAGCGCGAAGAAGACGTCTGAGCGGGTCGAACTCACCGCGCGGCGAGGTGGAGCTGCAGTCGCACGGCCGTTATGCCGAGGCCATGAGCAACTTCCCTGTGAGCACGAGCGAGCACGGTGGTAGCGCGGGCGTCGTACAGGCACCAATGTCCATGTTGCCGTGGCACTAGATGGATGTCGTGCGTAGAAGCCCGAGAGGTGGCCATCAAGCGGTCGAAGACAGAGGCAGCAGCGCTTAACGCAGGTAGAGCCAAGAACAACGAATAACTCGATCTATGATACCTAGATACAATACAAGAGTCAATCACAACCTAGATCTGACAAGGAGATACAAAAACAAGACCGAGTGAGGCCAGATAGGTCGACACCCGGGAAAATAATGAGACTCAAGTCTCCATAGCGGTCGAATCGGCAGCCGGATACTGCTCCTGGGCCTGTATGCAGGCGTCGAGGAGGCAAGCATAGTTATCCTGCAGAGTGGCCTCCGCTAGTCGGCTGGTCACCGCCATGGACAGCAGTTCCGGGCTGCATCGCAAAATCAGTCGTTGTACGCTGGGTTGATGCCGAAGAAAACTCACTCAATCTGCCCATACGCCACGTCCACCTTCACCCTCACGCCCTTGATGCTATGGGGCCACGTCGCAAACACTTCGTCCGCGAAGATGAAGCTGACAAACGCCTTCGCCTTGACGGGCTTGAAGAGCACAATTGCCGTCGCCATGAGCGCCTCGCCTTGATCGTGTAGAACGCTCAGCTCGACCGGGTATTTGACGGTGATCAGTCCCAGCTGCGACCGCAATTCTTTGCAAGAGAAGAAGTAATCCCGAAGTTCTTGAACGATCTTGAAACGAAAACAAGAAAGCGCGCCGGTCAGTAAGGATCCAGGGATATGAGTTGTTATCAGTGCACCTTTGGAATGGTCCTCTTCGGCCCCTCTGCGATGCGTCGCTTCGCCGTCTGCAGAACGAGTGCCGTATACTTGGGGAAGTCGTCCCGCACGATAGGTCGCCCAGGCAGATAAGTGATGTTGATCCCCTGATTGACCGGCTGAAAGGCGCGGCAGGGCAAGGACACCAAGTACTTCTCCAAGAATTCGTACTCGAACAAGTCCGGCCTGATTGTTCGCATCCTGAACTGGTGCAAGTCCTCGAGGGCATCGAGTTCGGCTGTAAAGTACACAAATAAGCAACGGCGAGGATTGGCTACTGGGCTGGACAGCTCACCTTGCAACCTTCGCACTTCCGAGTGTGTACGCCGCTCCCGAACATCGAGCATGCGATTTGCGTTCGCAATAGCAGCCATATGCTCTTGCTTTTCCGCCTCATACTCGTCGATGCGCGCCTGCACATGTTGCTTGCCCGAGCGCACTTGCGCGAGTTCAGTCTCGAAGGAACGAATTTCAGTGCTATAGGGTCAGGTCAATACAGCGTAAAGGACGAAAATGATGGTTGAACACACCTTTGATCCGCAATCGTGCCCTTGAGTTCGTTCAACCAGTCCTGGTTGCAAGCCTCGACCTCAGCGATCTCAGTGCGCTCCTTCTCGAGCTGCGCAGTGACTTCCGCATGCTGGCGTTCCAGCTCCGGGAGCGCAGTCTCCAATTGCGCGTTGAGTTCCGCGATGGTCTTGGTGTCCTATTGTCGAATATGAGTAAACTGAGTGAGACGATGGGGCTGAAGGCGCTTACCGCTTCCATCGCCTCCAGCTCTGACTGCGCGATGCCCGTGAGCTCCTCTACCCAGGTACTCTTCCACGAGTACCAAGCCGACTTCGCCTGCATCCGCGCGTTCGCCTTGATGAGCGTTAGGTAGTGCTGTCATCGCCTCGTCAGCCTCAGCTATCCTCCCGACCTGAAGAATTTCACGCTTACCCTAAACCCTTCCTGATCCTCCGGCTCCGCCAGCATGTACTCTTGGAATAGCTCTGGCGTATCCAGTGCCGCCTCCCGCTCCATCTCCTCGAAGTTCTCCTTGTACTTTGTGTTCGAGCGTGCCAGGTCATCGGCGACGCGACCGTACAAGTCAAGCTGCGGCAGATCGACCGCGAGCGCGACGAGGTACTCTGACAAGGGGATGCTGTCCGCAGGACGCGCTTGTCGAGGCGCGATGGATCGCCGTGGCGCAATCATCTCGTCGATAAACTTGATGCCGGTGATCTCAAAGAACTCTTGAATGGAAACTTGGGGCTGTGAACGATAGTAGGTGAGTGTGCGGGTCGAGCAAGATATGGAAGATTTAACTCACAACTTCCTCTGGTTCCTCTGGATTCTCCTGGTCAACACCGTCTACCCACGCCTGCATCCGCTGCGTATCCACACCCGCCTCACCACCGCTGGGTTGTACTTGTCCGTCCCCTGCTTCCTCCTTGTCTCGCTCATCTTCATCCACCTCCATGTCTTCACCCACGTGCTCGTCCTCATGCCCAGGCTCCTGCACCACTGCTCTCCCCTTTCCCTTCCCTTTCCCATTCTCCAACACCGGCACCGGTGGCTGCAGCGACGTACGCCTGTGCGTCGACGGCATCCGCTCCGAGCCTGCCACGCCCATGCTCGCCCTACCCATTCCGATGCTCGCCTTCTTTCGCGGTGGGGAGCCAGTTCCAGCGGCGGACGGTATCTGACTTTCATTGCCAGTGGTGCTCGCCGGCTCTGCTTGCTTGCCTGAAGCTGAGGGCGGCGGTGGCACGCCACCAACACTCTTCCTCCCCGCGATCGACGGCCTGCGAATCATCGACGTCCGCCGGCGCACGACCGGGTTCGCCGTCACGCTTTCAAAGGGGGCGACGCGGCTTGGTGAGAGCGGGCGTGGTTGGGGCGATGTCGAAGGACCAGCAGGACCGGCGGTCGAATTCGCCAGAGCTTGAGGAGAAGTCTTCGACGAGCCGCCCTGAGGAGATACGTGTGCACCACTTTGTGCAGCATTCTGCGAAGCCCCCTTCTCCCCCAGCGGCCTCTTCCCCGCCTCGTTCTCATTCCTCGCCCGCTTCTCCGGCACCATCGCACTCTCCTGCTGCTGTTGCCCAAACTTCCTCGGTGACGGTTTCACCGTCGGCGGCGCGAACGCTGCAGAGAACCCCTTGCCAGGCGACGCGGGGCGAACCGGGGCAGAGGGCCTGCCGTGGATGGGGTGCGCAGGGCCGTGGCCGTGTGCATTGCTGCCAGTACCAGCGGAGCCATGCCCATGCGTACCCCCCATACTCGCTGGTGCCTCCTTACTCGCCTGCGCCTGTCCCTCCTTACTCGCTGCCGCCTTCGCACCCCCTTTCGCAGGGGAGCTCACCGCGCGCGGCGTGAACGTGAACGGCCGCGGGATCGTCGAGGGCCGCACGGCCGAGCTAGGCTGTCCCTGGCCCATTGGCTTGGGCTTGGGCGTAGAGAATACAGACGAGGGGATGCTGGAGGGTGCTGAGGTACCTGAGGTAGTGGTCGCAGAGGTCGAGGACGTGCTAGCAGAAAAGACACTGCTAGACCCAGGCGCGGAAAAGATGCTGGATCCAGGAGCAGAGAAGACAGGCTTGGGCGTACCCGTGATGGAGTTGAGGGGCGGGGGACGGAAGACGGGGGGTTTGTTAGAGGAGATGGCGAGGGGTTGAGTGGTAGAGGCGTTGAACGTCTGTGTGGTAGAGGCGGCGAGGGTTTGAGTCTGCTGTTGTTGCTGTTGTGGAGGAGCAGACGCTGGCTGCTGAGGCTGCGAATTTGGCGGTGACTGAGTCGCGGGCAGCTCCGGCTCAACACCGACGCGTCCATAGACCCCCGACTCGTCCATCGCGGACTCCCCACCCATGCTCATGCGCGCTAGATTCGTGTTGCCGCCCATGCTGACGCGCCCTAACGCACGGCTGATGTTCATTGTCTCCTCGCCGTCAGGGTTAAAGCTATCCTCCGTCGATGCGAACGAGTCCTCCGAGATCTCACCGGATGTTTGTGGCAGAAAAGCGGAAGCGCGCCGCAGACGTTGAATAGCATCCTCCAGATCATCGTCCTCGTCGTTCCCGGGTGAGACATTCTCGTTCGCTGCCTGTTCCAGCGCGTCCCACGCGTCATTCGACACAGGCGGGTTCAAAGCCTGACCGAGGGGCACTTCACACTCGAGGGGTTCAGTGTCGGACTGCATTGTGGACTCGTCCATATATGAGCCCGTCTGATCGGGGTCGACGGACATGTTTGACGCGTCGGACGCGTCGGCGGGGTCCTGAAAGGCGACGGAGGACTTGCGCCGGGCGAGGTTGTTGGGCATGCTCTGCGTGACATCCATGTCGCCGTCGTCGCCGTCTTCGACGTAGCTATCTTCAGAATCGTCGAGGGCGCTGCCACCGTTGCCCTGGGGCTGCTGCGCAAAGTCGAACACGCCCGTCACGTCCATGTCGGAGGGGGCCATGGACGGGCGACCGACCGAGCTGCGCCGCCGATTGCTCGTACTGCCCGGGTACGCGTTCTCGTCGTTCGTGGGGCGTGGAGGAGGTGGAGGGGGGGCCCTCTCCGGCGAGCCGTCCATCGAGCCCGTTTCGGAGGATGCTGCGTCTGAGGGGCGGGGTTGCTTCTTGAAGTAGCGTATGTGCGCCGTGCTGGAGAAGCTGACACGGCGGCCCAAGGACTTGCGCCTGTTGAAGTCGTTCGTAAAGTCGCGGGTCTCGCTGGTATCGGGGGAGGGGGTGAAGCTGGGGTCATCGCCGTGAAGGATCGCCACAGGGACCTTGAGAATGCTCTTGCGAGGGACCTTGCGAATGATCAGAAAGCGGTCAACGATGCTGGACGCGTCACTCACCAGGTCTCTGCGCGCCTTCGCGAGGGGGCTCAAAGCAGAGCCTGGCGCGATACTGTATGCGCGTCGTCGCCCTTTGTTCCCAAGGGAGGACCTGCTGCTCGTCCCCGCAATGGATTTCCGTCGCTTGGAGGACTCTTCGCGCACGCCCATAGCTGGAGACTGCGTAAGTCAAGATATAGATGTAAAAGAGGTCCCAGATGCGCGCGTGCTCAATACAATGGAAGGTTGTCCTGACGGTTCGGGACAAGAGCGAGCAGGCGGTGGCGCGCTCATTCCCCGACTCTCGTTTCGGCAAAGTCCGAATGCACGTGACCGAGTGTTGAGCTTTGCGCCCAATCCTTGACACTGGCAGCGGTACGCCGCCATGGACTCCGAAAATATCAAAGTCTATAAGTGAGAAGCACCTAAAGATCACCGTCTTACTCTCAATGCAGACCATTGTGCGTAGGGACCGGATTATCGTCAGAGACGGCGTGCGAGTTTAATGCGCTGGCGTCGTCTTCGAGCGTCTCCCTCGCACCTTCGTCACCGTAGAGCATCTCATTAAATGTTGTTCAAGTCCCTTTATTACAGCGAGCTCTGCGACTTGGCACATCAAACAGTCAAACGTGCACATTCTACAGCTGCCGCCGCTGAGTCCGCGAGAGGCTCCCAGACCAGACATATAGGCCCGAGCGGCACAACATCGGGAGCTACGAGCACTGCAATACATTGAGATATACCTCTTGAGAGACGCGAACGTCGTGATTCTGCCCACCCATGGGCGAAGACGGCGTCAAGTGTGGCAACTTTCCATCACCGAGATGGCTGGCAATTTCCTTAGCCCGAATGCGGGGCGCGTCCACCTTATATGCCTTTCCGAGGGCCCCCACAACGATGCCTTCCTCCTCCCACATGCGGATGCCTAGGGTAATGCAATCACTTTGACGAAGTCGGACTTCGTGTTGGCTATCGATTGTACGCACTCTTCGGTTGAGCTACTACCAGATCTTCCCTTACCATGATTGCAGGTGTTATCCTGGCTACCAGATTCAAATCTATTTTGGACAAAGCCTGCGCATCGGCTGGAGCCCGAGCCACCTTTTTGAAGATACCTCTATTGAGCACGTCATAGGGCTTGGTGGTTGAAACCGGTCTGCTTCCTCTATCGGTGTTGCTGCAAAGAGGTCGCGCGTGAGTGTGTCTCTGACGCGCTGTATGAGGGCGAGACGGAAGAATTGGCTGGGCTTTATCTCGTGCAGAAGTCGCAGGGCTGACTTATTACTCATAATACTCAAATCCCTCCTAGTCCCCCCTCCCCCCTCTTACACAACATCAGCAATATTATATACATGTCTGCCGCACAAATCTTCTCTGAGATCGTGACCGTATAGCTAAGTATGACAGGCAGGCCACCGTACACGCACCTCTTCTTTTGGGTCAAAGGCCTTTACCGATCTCGTCGTCCTCAGGTGCCTTCACCTGCATGCGTGGGATGTCTTGATACTACACAACGGCTCTGCTCCTCTGCTAGCGGGAGCGCCAACATTTCTCGTAGTGTACTGCCGGCATGGCTTGATGGCATTGGCAATGGTGAAGTTCAACATGTCAGCTGACCGTGGGCTTCCCCCTGTTCGGGCTTGTCGACTCCGCTGACTTAAAGAAGGCCTTTTGTTCCTCCTCCTCCTCCTCCTCCTCCTCCTCCTCCTCCTCCTCCTTTAGAAGGCGTAGACCACCAGTCAATAAGTACAGTATCATCTACGTCAGTAATTTCTCTCATTGCCCTTCTCGCTAACAGACATCAGTTCCAGTCCTCGACGCGCCGTCGGCGTCTGCCGAGATTGCATCAACGTGCCGTCACGTGTCTGCACGCGTGTGCGGGCCGAGGCGCGTCGCGTCTACTAACTTGACTTTCACTTCGAACATAGCACTCACGATGGCCACACGCCCGACGACACGAGCTCGAACGAAGACCGGGACGCCGGCAGAACCTGTAAATCCAAATCCGCCAGCGCGCGCGACGAGATCAAAGGCAGCAACACCGGCGTCTGGCACGTCGGGCACCACCACGACTACGAGAACGACCGCGACGAGAACAACTGCTGCGAAACCTGCACCCGCACAGACACGGACTCTCCCTGCCAGAAAGCCTCTGCTGAACCGTAATCGCGACGATGGCAAGTCTGCATCTCCATCACCTCCGCCAAGCAAGACCGCAGCGACCAAGGCCACCACCGCTGCGAAGGGCAAGAAGACGACCAAGGCATCCCCGGAGCCGCAGAAAGAGTCGATCATGGTGCGCAATGAACCGTTCTCTTGAGCTGTACTGACCCCGAAGACAGGCATATCTGCGGATCCGGCCCCATCTGAACGATGAGCAGCCAACGTCGAAACCCTACCTTACCCCGTTGTCGGACACATCCGTCCAGATGTGCGATCCGAATCAAGAACTTACTGGACCATCCCACTTCCGACCATCCAGCCTGCCGCAATCGTGCAACTATACGTTTTCGCACGTCTTCAAGCCCGAGACGACACAGGCAGAGTTCTTCCAAAGCACCACCCTCCCGCTCGTCAAAGGCGTGCTGGAAGGCCAGAATGGCTTGTGCTTCGCATACGGACACACCAACTCGGGGAAGACAGTGCGTATTGTCTTTGATGCTATGGTTCCGTACTGAAAGACGTTCAGTACACCGTGCAAGGTGGTACCCAACCCGGTACTGCGGGAATCCTCCCTCGTGCCGTCGACGTCATCTTCAACAGTATTGAGGGTCGTCAGGGGGAGGGGAAGGTCAGTCGTTGCTTCTTCTCCTGTCCGTGTATGTTCTGACGCGTCCTAGTACCGCCCTCTGCGCCTCAACAGCGTCGAACTTGCGGATCCCAAGGACAATCGGCCATTCCAATTCAAAGCCGAACCAGCGCTAGCCCAAGCTCTCGGTCAAGCTTCTCCCAGCAGCACGGACCCCGACTTCGATGTCGATTCCACTGTGCTCGAGGTCGACCGCAACTACGAGTACAACGTCTGGGTCTCTTACGTCGAGGTCTACAATGAGAAGGTGTACGACCTGCTCGAATCTGTCAACGAAGGCAGCGGCATACCGCGCCCGAATTCGGTTGTGACGCGGCGTGCGCTGCAGTTGAAGGCGTGCCCGCCATCGGACGGGGACGAGGCGACTTCACCGGGCAAGTACATTCATGATCTGCGGCAGTTCAGGGTGTCGAGCGCGGCGGAGGCCAAGTCGGTCATTCGGCTTGGGCAACTGCATCGTCGCGTCTTTGGTACACTAGCCAATCGTCAGAGCAGCCGTAGCCATGGCATGGTCATTATCAAGATTGTGCGCGGTCATCGTGGCGAGCGCAATGTGAGTTTGATCTTCCTCGTCCAACTTCCTGTCGCTGACCTCCCTGAAGGACCCTACCTCCCTCCAAGTCTCCCGCCTCACTTTCGTCGACCTCGCCGGCTCCGAGCGCACCAAGAACACCCAAACCCAAGGCGACCGCCTCAAAGAAGCCGGCAACATCAACAAAAGCCTCATGGTCCTCGGCCAATGCCTCGAGGTCATGCGCGCCAACCAGCGCCGCCTCGCCTCCTCCCTCGCCAACCCTGTTAATTCCGACTCGCGCCTGGACACGCGCGAGGTCAGGAAGCACCTTGCCTTGGTCCCCTTCCGCTACAGCAAGCTCACGGAGGCGCTCATGGACTATTTCGTCGGCGACGGGCGCACGGTGATGATCGTGAACATCAACCCGTACGACACGGGCTTCGACGAGAACGCGCATGTGATGCGGTTCGCGGCGCTGGCGAGGGAGGTGTATATCACGCCCGCGCCTGCGCCGGTGCAGAAGCTGCCGCCGACGCCGGAGGAGCCGGCGCGAGGGGCGAAGGGAGCGAGGGACGTGCACCCGGGGAAGGCTAGCGGGAAAACGATCAAGGAGCTTGGCCCGATGACGCTGAAGGGCGAGGATGTCGCGCCGCGGCCGTACACGCGGAAGGTGACGATCTCGATGGGTGGGGATGGAAAGAATGCGCGGCCAGTGGAGTCGACGTACGAGGTGCTCGAGGAGGACGCGCCGAACGATGGCGAGGTGGAGGACGAGGCGGAGGATGATTACATCTACCCGCTCGTGCAGAGCCTGTTTGACCAGATCGAGGATCTGCAGGCGCAGGTGTTCGCGCTTAACGTGAAGTGCTATGAGATCGAGGCGGATACGCGGGACGAGGTGATGCGGGAAATGGAGCAGAGGATGGCAGAGATGGAGAAGATGTACAAGCGGCAGCTGCTCATGGAGGTGCGTTTTTTCCTTGGGGTACATCGGGAGGCTGGAGGCTGACATTTTTTTTTGCAGCGAGAGCAGAATGAGCTCAAGACGGACGCGAAGATCGACATGATGCGCAACGCAGGCATCTTCGGCAGTCCCACCAAGAGCACCTTTGGCAGCCCCGTGAAGCGCGTATTCGGTAGCCCCGTGCGCAAGGCATTCCCGGCCCCTCGCACACCGAGCGAGGCCGAAGAGGAGGATGTCGAGATGAGCTTGGTGTGTGGACCTGTCTCATGTATATCGTCCTATGCTGATACGTTGCGCAGATGGAGGAAGAGGAGGAGGAAGGATCATCCGAGGACGAGAGCCTGCGCTCGCGCTCCGAATCCCCTCTCGCCCGCAAGAGCCGCGGCTCGCGCATCGTCCGCGAGTCCGGGACCACCTTCCTCCACACGCCCATCAAGGAGCCGCCCGCGCCACCCATGGTCGCCTCCGACACCGAAGACGCGGAGTTCTCCGACGGTGAGGCGCCGACGGAGGAAACCGCGAGCGTGCAGGGCGAGGACGACGAGGATGACGAAGAGGAGAGTGCGTATGGCGAGGAAGACGAGGAGGAGGAAGAAGACGATGATTACAATGAGGACGAGGAAACGGAGGAGGAAGAAGAGGAGTGGGAGCCGGCGAAGACGCCGAAGGCGAAGGCGAAGGGGTTGCCTGCGAAGGGCACGACGTCGACGGGCAAGGGCAAGGCGGCGGCGAAGCCAAAAGGCAGGGTGACAAAGCTCGCTGAGGACCTCGATACTTTGAGCATCGCCGGCGATGCGGATGAGGATATGGACGATATCCTGCCGCTTCCTCCCAAAAAGGGTCGTGGGTCTGGCGCGACGCAGGATAGTGTTGACGAGCTGGACACGTTCTCGTCGGCAGGGAAGAAGAAGCGGTGAGTAACGGTGGTCGTGAATTGGCGAGGTGCTGACTGGCGGTCGCAGGCAATTGGGCAAGAACCGCGTGCTGACTGAGGACGAGATCGAGCAGGCCTCGTGGGCGGCAGAGCACCAACCCCCCGCTAGGGGCAACATTCGACGTCTGACGATGCCGAGAGAGGGCTCGTAGCTTCACTGGCATCACAAGTGACTAACACGGCGACTGACATGTGGATCTTCTTTTAAGATGGGCTCCTATAGCTTCTGTTTGACCGGAATGCAGACTTTCCTTTGACTGTAGGGATGGATGTGCAGTGCATGTTGACCACTGTCTCCGCGCATGTCTCACTGCTTCATGATCTCGCCTAGGTGCGCTGTTCAAACTCCCGCAACTCATGTCAGATTCAATGTCCATTCTAACTCGACAATGTTACTTCAATGGCTCTCTTGTGATGAGGAGTTCATGTCACTCTTGACCACCCGACAGCCCCTGCGCCAACTGAACGGCTACGGCCTCGCGTTTCACGCATTCTTGAGGCGGATGAAGTCTGAATGCGGGTTGCAAGAAGAAGTTACAAAGTGCCGTGTACTTGTGGCGCGCTTCAAATAGCTCGCTGCTGGACAGTCGCGGCCACTGTGACACAACAAGCAACAGGCGCAGCTCTAACAAATTCAGGCCGAGCCGCCCACAGCACCCCAGCTTTCATTCCCCTCTCCTCCGACTTTAGACTAACATGTATCTGCACTTACATCCTCGACGATGTTCGCCGCCACCGCTCTCAATCTCCTGTCCGGCGCCGCCCTGGTCGGCGCTGCTGGACTCCGCTCCACCGCAGTACGGCTCGTCTGAGGGCGACCTCGTCTCGTGCTTAAACAGCTGGGCAAGGACTTCGTCGGCTCCGCCGAGTCCGCGTCATCGCAACCTGCAACAACCGAGCCTCCAACACATCTGCATGGGACCCATCTTCCGCGAGAGTATTGGCTTCTTCCAAGGCCGTCTCAACCCTCTCAAAAAGATCCACTGCCCCCGACAGGTTGGCGACCTTGCAAGCGGCAGCGCGGAGTTCGAAGTATTTCGGGAAGGGGAGAGGGTACTGTGGCGATTTGGATGAGGAGGGTTGCGCTGACGGCTCGGATGATAAGATCTGCGCTGACGACTCGGATGTGAAGCTCTGCACTGACGCCTCCAATGGTGAGGGCTGCGCTTGGGCTTCCTCATACGAATACGTCCTCCGCGAGAGAAACTCGACGATGCCGTCTGCGGAATACAACCGGCTCCCGATAAAGAGCTTGTGGGGCAAAACTCCGTCGATCTGGTACTTGTTGTGGCCCTTTGGGACTGATGAGCCTGGGGAGCTGAACGGACGTGGTAAACCCCTCGGGGGCACTGCAACGCACCACAGGCTCTATCCACACGCGCATTGATTCAAGCCAAATCTGCGGAGAAGTCGTGACCGAGAACAAGTTTTCGAGACGATGTAAACGAGGCCCTTCGAGCTCTTCGCGGATCTCGGGATAGCCAAAGGCGGCCAAAAGGTCCCAAGGGGATGAAGGCAAGGCCTGCTTCAGCTGGTTGTCAGTCATTTGATCCTGTAAAGCGTGCGTGTATTGCTCTGACCTTCTGGTTCTCCTCGTCATCTGTCCTTGGCGAGCCATAATCACGTTTGAAAACGTCGCCCAATATATGGGCGACATGGACACAATCGTTTGCAATGATGGGTTCTTGTTCCACCGCCTCGCGGGTCATGTCCCGCGGGAACGCAGTTGCTGCATCTATGATGGCCTTCTGAGCTGAAGGATTGGTAGGCATGGCATACAACGGCGAGCAATAGGAGAATCTCTTGGTGAGGACACATTGATAATTGTCGCGTTCGAGGGCCTGTAATGAATTGTTCAGTACGCAAAGATGATGTTTCCTGCAAAGGGCGACGTACGCGCTGTTTAGCCTCTGTTTGATTCCTTGAAGAAGACATCTCTGCACTCTCGCTTTCGCAATTCAAGTCGAAAGAGTCATGCGAGCTCGAAGATTGAGAATCGCTGGGATAAGGCACTCCATTGCGTCTATGCTGCCGGACTGCGTGGATGAGTATGCGCCTTGGCAGGTTCAACGATACGGTGCTCACAAAGCCTAAGGTATGAATTACACAGATATCTTCCCAAGTGCACGATTGCCGTCGTATCGTTCTCGCACGCAGTAATCCAGCGAGACAGTGCCGAGTGGCATTCTGGCCGAAGAGCGAAGACGTAGGACCATCCTATGACGCGAAGGTAGACTCTTTCAGTAGCTAGTCGCCTGATCGTCAATGGAGGAAGCGCATCCGGCGCCTCGAGCTTTGCATTGCAAATTCGTTCGGCTTCAAAGACTGTGGTGTAAACGCTCAGAAAAGGGGGTTGGAGTTGCAGCTGTTCAATGATTGTGCTATCTGGTGGGGGTGGCGATCTCGGAGACCAGTCCATACTGCTAGACACGGTCGGAGCGATGAGAGGCAGTTTGTGATGATGGTGGTTGGGGACAACCTCTGACTGGAACTCGAACTCGGATTTGATCAGGATCGGCAATTTGCGGTCGGTACCGACCCGCGTGTCGAACACGGCGTTGCATGGACGCTACCTAAAGCTGACATTGTCTCCTTTTCTTGCTATCATGTATGCGCTGTGACATACTTCACGAACTTCCCTCCTCTACACTACATCCGCCCACGACCTCCAACAGCTTCCAGTCGATCTCGACGCCCTTCTCGCGGAAAATCTTCCGCGCGCCCTCGGCGATGGCTTCGAAGCCGCCTGTGGCGAGAGCGAGGATCGTGGGACCAGCGCCAGAGAGGCAGATGCCCAGCAGCCCGGCGTGTGTTGATGGTGTTATTGATGAGGTAACTTCTGGTAGGCCAGGGATCTGAGGGCGGCGTCAGTGGGATAGTGCATATCCACTCTACAAGTCGGCCTACCAATGCTTTACGGTAAGGTTGGTGCACCCTATCTTTCATAGCCTCGTAAATGAGGTCAGGGTCGGGCGGCTCCTGACCAAGAGCGGTCGTAAGCACCGCTAGCCGTTGCATGTTGAAGACCTGGTATTTGGGTCGACAAGGAGCAGCAGCATTCGATGGGACAAGCATACCAGATCTTTCCGCGAATATTCCGACGGCAGCGCTTCTCGCGCCTTCGCTGTACTCAATTCGAAGCGCGGAATGATGGCCACGGCCTTGATGCTCTTTGACCATCCGAAGCGGATGTAGTGGCCAATCCCATTCGGCGGCACAGGCGGATCCCTGCCCCAGTCCTCGCCCGCGTCCGGAGGATACTCCGGAAGCACCTCACTGAGAGGGACGCTCGCAGCCTGCGTATCCCTCTCGTCCAGCTCCTTCAGATACGACCCAACGAAACCGCCGACGAGCGCAGCAGTGACATTGTCGGGATGCCGCTCAACCATCAGCGCGAAGTCGAGTAAGCGCACCGTAGGCAGCTTGAGCTGGCCTAGCTCGTTCCCGAGCAGGACGCCAGCGATGACCGCTGCGCCCGAAGAGCCGAGACCACGGCCGAAGGGGATCTCGTTGTTGCAGTGAATTTTCAGCGAGGAGGGGAAGGAGGAGATGCCATGGCAGCGCAAGACATAGAGCGCGACACGCGTCGTGAGGTTCTTGTACGCATCCAAGGGCACCTCGTCTGCGCCTTCGCCAGAATAGGTGATGGCGGGGGGAACAAAATGCGTGTCAGGTGATTGCGCCGGGACGGTGACCGTCAGGGTGAGATAGAGCGACAGCGAGAGGCCCACGACGTCGAAACCAGGGCCGATGTTCGCCGATGTGGCTGGCACGCGTATTGTGAAGGTGCGCGACATGGTGGTCGCTGTCAAGACGGACGTACAGCCGCTAATGACTCGCAACAAGGAACTTGATTTTTGGGGATAACCCCGGGAGTCGGCCGCGTGTCCAAGCGCGGCATATGCCACGTGGGCTGTCAGGCGCTGGAACAAGTTCCCGAATTGGGCGAGTCTAAATTGTCCTCTTCTCCGACGCTCTCGAGACGCGTGCAGCGCGACGCGTCCTTTGTTGATTAGGCGCCCGTGCCCGCGCCGCATCACCCCCAGCACTCCCCACAATGGCGCGCGCAACACGCTCGGCGGTCGACCCCGAAAAGGTCGAAGACGACGGCGCGGCGTTACCGCCGCAAAAATCGACGAAATCGGCAGGCAAGAAGCGCAAGCGCGTCGCTGGCGAGGATGAGGCGCCCGCGGCGAAGCAGCAGCGGTCTGAGAGCGCGGACGTGGATGCGGCGAAGGCCCCCACGCCTGTCGCGCTCCCGTACGCAGGCGACGCGCATATGCCGCAGGAGGATGCGCAGAAGATGTTGGACGTTCTAGAAGCGTACGCAGACTACCATTGTCGCTTCTCTACTCCCACTAACTCCCCCTAGTATTGACGATCAATGTCTGCTGGATCGAGTCTTTCCCCTTCCCATCGAGCCAACATCGTCAGAACCGGCATCCCACTCCCTGCGCAACCTCCTTCAAAATCCGTCCCAATACCCTCTATCAGCCTTCCGAGTGCGTTCCACATCCATATGTACATCCCTCTCATACTCAACTTGGCCCCCACAGCACGCCATCCGCAGTTTGCGACCCATATCTGCCCACTTCAGCAGCCGCACCGAGTCCCCAGCCGCTAGACAAGAGTACTTCTGCGACCGTGCCTCAGCGCTCCTAGAGGACATATCACGCCATGTAGTGCCCCTGCCCCTAGACCAGGACATTGCAGGTCTCCTACCCGACGAATCTGGGCCCTCCGAAGAACCCTCTTTTGACTTCCCGCGGCCGCCCACTCGCTTCGCGCTAGTGCAGCACCTCCCCACCGGCGACCTCTGGACTTCGCTCAACTCCGACTTGGTAGATGAGAAAGACATCAAGGACCTCTCCACGGGCTACGCCGAGCTCGTCGCCGTCATCCCCGAAGCCGCGCCCGAGCCCGCATCTCCCAAGAATGTCCCGACGCTTGGTTCGTATTGCACGCGCACATATCCGAAGACGCGGGTGCCCATGGAGCCGCGGGTGTGGACATGCGGCTCGTTCATTGACTACGGGCCGTATACGAGCTTCGCGCCGGAGTTCGAGCAGGACGCAATGGAGATCGGTCGCGAGCAGCTGGGAGAGGTCATCTGGTACGAAGAAGAAAGGAGGAGAATACGAAAGTTGCAGAATGCGCAACGGAAGGCGCGTGCGTTGCGGGCGAAGATGCAAGCGGATGCGTCGGCGTCAAATGGAGAGGGTTCGAGCACGGATGTTGTCATGGGAGAAACGGCCGAGGCTGAGCCCGTCGACTGGCGAAAACAGCTGGAAGGGTTGCTACCGGAGGATGCTATCGAGGGCGTGATGGAAGCGCTACAGACCGCCGAGCTGGAGGCGACGGTGCAGGAGCTATTGGAGCGCAACCTGCGCGCTATCGAGCGACTAGAGGACTTGCAGCGAGCCCGCTTGACAGCACGCGGTGGCGACAAGAGCACAGTGGAAGAAGGATCGGAAGAATGGGAACTTGGTGCGTGTCATCGCGTCGAATTTTCGTTCGCCAACTCACAAAGGCCGCAGCCCAAAATATCACGAACTCCCTCACTCTCCTCATGTCCCTCCGACCTCGCAAATCCGGCTCTTCCACTGACGAGGCGCCCCTCATACCCCCCGATCATGTATTGCACAAACTCACCGCGACCCTGCCAACAAACGCGACCCCTGGCTGGCGCGGCACCCTACCCGCCGGCAAGTCTGCCGCGCGCGACAACTCGACCCTCAAGGTCCGCCCTGTCGTCGTGCCCGTCGCGAACGGCGCGTCAGCAACTCCCTCTACCCCTCAAGCCCCGAATCAGTACTACTCATCATCGTATGGCGGGTACCAGCCGAAGCAGCCGGCGTATCAGCCACAGCAGCCAGCATATGCGGCTACGCAGCCCGCGTACCATCAGCAGCCGGCGTCGGCGTACACGTATACGCCCTTGCAAGCTGGCCAGTCGTACGCGACGTCGTATGGGCAGCCGGCGGCGCAGCAGCAGCAGACACAACAGCAACCGACACCATACTACGGCGGGCAGTATGCATATGCCGGCCAACAGCCCGCCTATCAGGCCCAGCCTCAGCAGCCCGCGTACGCACAGCCCCAGCAGCAGTACGCGCAACCGCAACAAGGTTATTGGCAGCAGCCCGCGTATGGCCAGCAGCAACAGCAATCGCAAGCGGCCTACGGGCAGCAACCGGCAGCTTATGGACAGCAACCGGCGTACGGGCAGCAGTACGGGCAGCCGGGCTACTACGCGAACGGCGCGAGCTGGTACAACGCTACGCAGGCGCAGGCCGCGCAACCGGGGTCGGGGAGGGGGACGCCGGTGGCGGGTGCGACGGCGTATGGCGCGGCGGCGTACAGCCCGGTCGCGGTAGCGAATACGGTGACGGGTGGCGGGTATCAGGGGCAGCAGCAGGGTGAGTTGGGTGTGTAGATGGTGGGGAAGATGGTGGCTGACGGGACTTTATAGGCGTGGCACCGACACTACCGGCACATTTGCAGCGTACGGCGACGACGACGTATCAGCCATGAGCGTGTCCATGAAATGTGCACATGCCCATATCCGCGAGAGACGTGCACGAGCGTGCTCGCGAGGTGTACAGTCGTGCTCTTGCCCCCCCCGCTTGTGCAGTACAGTGTCTCCTATGCTTACATTATTCGCTCTCGAATAGCTCATACTTTACCATCTTTTGGCGGACGCATAACCCGCTTAGTACCTAGAACGAATGTTCACATTTGGTTGTATTCTTGATGCAGGAGGGCTATCGCTCCCGTGCTAGCTCTGAAGCAGGGCATCCGTGCAAAGGAGCTTTCACTCTCACCGCCAGTTTTGAAGTCGAACTTCGAACTTTTGTTCGAAGTCCCACGTGATCCTGACGCACTGTGGCGCGTCTGCTCGCTGTCTCCCACGTCCTCAAACTAGCCTTGACCCAAGCTACGTCCCGCCATGCGCTACTTTTTGCGCTCGCACCCCTCGCTGGACCCCGCTCAACAACAGCAACCGACAAGCGCCTCTCAGCCTGCTCATAATGCTCATGAAGTCTGCGAAATGCCCGAGCTCAACTACGAAGAACATGGCTATCTACGATCGCCGCCTGCCTCTGCGACTCCCGGAGCTTCATCTAGTCGACACGACACGTCTTCTGCGCCTACGCATACACCACACGGAACTGCCAGTCGCCGAACCTTAGCTCACTATCAGTCGGCGATCCGTTTGAAAGCCAATGTGGAGAAGTCTCTGAAGGAAGCACGCGCGACGATGAACTTTTGGCGGAAGAAAGCGCGCGAGGATATGGAGTATGTCATGACGCCCTCGACGTCGAAAGCCTCGTCCGTGGGGAGTGATGGGGGCGCGCAGGACCATTTGACGCCTGCGCGGCGTGCGGCGGTGGAGGCGTTGCTGGAGCGGTATCGAGCGCATGCGGCGGGGGGATCGGCCCATAGCTCGACGGACGATGACTCGGAGGTGCGCTGGACGAGCACAACGGTCGATATATGCGCTCATGCAAACCATCTAGAGCTTCAGCGATGGCCTCACGCTCGACTCCATTCGTTTTGTCGCAGGCGCGACCCCGGACGAGCTCGCTTCCATCTTCACCTCGGAAACTGCAGTCTCTGGCGCCCTCTCCGCCATCTGTGACATCCTGTCCTCCGACGGCGTCATACCCTCCGTTGAAGGCGAGAACGGGTCGCGCACGCCTTCACCTACTCTGTCCAGCTCTTCGTCTACGCCGACGGTTCCTGCGGCCGAACCTGTGTCAAGAATACCCCAACTGGCTCGACCTCGCGGCTTGTCTCTGAGCTCTACGGCTACCTCGACGCCAACCAAGCAAGTCCCTGCTTCAACCGTCAAGCTCGTCCAAGCTCGATCTCGCACGCAAGGCGATCAGTCCATCGACTCTGCCATCAGCTCGCCGTCTCGATTTCGTTCTCTCGCTGCGCTTCGGAGTGCCCGTTCGTCGATCTCGTCAAGTCCGCGAACTTCGATTGGCCATCGGGCTATGACGCCGCCTCCTGCTCCCGCTCTGCACTCGACGCCTCCGAAGCCGCTCTCCTCTCGGCTCCGCCGACCTACGGTGTCCTCCGCGCTTAAGGCTGTCGATAGCCCGACGTCGACTTCAATGACGCATCAAATTGACTCACCTCTGCAACCGCGCAAGAGTAGTATATCTGCGTCCCAAGACGAACACCATACGCCATACAAGTCACCTTACGCGAGCACCTCCTTGCCTGCCCGATCACGAATTAAGATTGGCCCGACGCCGCTCAGTCCTATACGCTTTGCCGACGCGCCAAGTCCACCGCGCGCCGTAACCTCGCTCGGCAAGCCCAGCTCGTTGCTCAAGAAACCGGATTCTCTGCTTAACAAGCCCGCGCCTTCGCCCGCTCGATCTGCCGCTGCACCCGTACGACCTACTTCGCTCGCACGACCTTCACCTGTACGACCCGCGAGACCTGCTTCCTCGCTCAACAGTCGCGCACGAGCACTGTCCTTTACCTCCACTCCGCCTCCTGCGCGCCCGCACACCTCGCTCGCATCGCACGCGACTACTTTGCCCGCCTCGCATGCGACTACTTCGCCCACCTCGCATGCGACTACTTCGCCCGCCTCGCATGCGATTAACTCGCGCGTACAGACCTCCCTGGCCACGCACGCGCATGCCTCGCTCGCTTCGCACACTCGCTGGCCCATCCGCGAGACGCCGCCGCTGGTCATCAAGAAGAAGAAGTCGGCGGGGGCGGTGGGTGGTGGGGCGGATGCATTGTCGTTGCCGATGGCGAGTGTTGCACCGCGACCGGCTATCAGTTCTGCTTCGCGAACAACGGTCGGATCTGCACCGCGAACCACAAATGGTTCTGCTCTGCGACCAGCAATCGACGTTGCTCCGCGAACTACAACTTACGTTGCTCCGCGGCAGACATCGCGCTCTACGGTGTTGCGAAATACAACGGGTACTGAGAAGACTACATCGTCCGGTGGGACCTCGCAGTCGGCACCAACAACGCTTACGAGGACGCCTGCGATCTCGAGGGCGGGCATGAAGGCGTCTTATGCGGAGAAGGAGAGTGGACGTGGCGTTCGCGGCGAGGAGATTGGTCGCAAAGAAGGTTTGCGGACGCTCGACCAGGATGCGCTCGTGGTCATGTCGCCCGAGCGCGAGCATGGGTCGGTGCAGAGGATGGATGCGGAGCTGGCGGTGAATCGGGCGCGGGACGGGGGGCAGGTGAGGGTGTCTACTTTGAGGCGGCCGGGCGGGTCGTGGAGGTATAGGACATGAGGGAGTGGTATAGCTACCGCAACCCTGCGGGATTCATGGATTCACTACAACTGATATGCCTTCGTCCACCATGCTAGTCATGTTCAATCACTGTAAGTACACCGGTGTCAAGTTTCGACATCATCTACTTGTGCGTAACAGATTGCCGCAATGAACTAGTGCTGCTCTTGGCAGACAGTGAGTTTCTGAGAACGGAAAGCGGTGGTTTTCTGGCTCTGGAGAAGTTCCCGTACGTGTGAGCCAGTGGTAGGTCAGCCAAGACATGCAAGACGTACTTAGCAATAATCGAACGCAACCTCCCTTCCCTGACCTTGGTGATTTGCACTGTCAATGTGGCCCCCAATTCATCGACCTCCTGGACTGTTAAGCTCTCGTTGCGCGTGCAGATGGACGCAAAGGAAGCTTGAGCCCAGGCTCCGCCAATTCTATGCCTGATGCATAGACTGATCTTGCGGACGTCGGAAAGAGCACCATGGTGGTCGAGGGCACAAGACGCAACCTTGCAAATGTCTTCCATGGCATATTTCGTTGCGAAATTGAGAATTGACTCCCATCTTCGAACGAGTTTACGATCAATGCGCTCCGACCTGGTGTGGGCATGGTTAGTCGGCAGAAATACGCAAAGGCCACATGAAAAAAGAGCACACACCATTCGTATGGGGCGTCATAGAAGAACCACAACATATCTGCGAAAGTCTCCGCAGTCTCTCCTTCAAGTGCAATAGGATAAGCTGCAGTTCTCCCTTCTTCGAAGGCCGTTGAATTAGGACCCGGCTGCGGCAGGGTCAGCATGTTGGCGAATACGGGACTGGTTCGGGACAGATGATAGCGGTGTATGCAGAAGATTGCATCCTCGGCCTTATGACGACGGTCAACTCTGTTCGACTAGTCAAATGGAAGCGCACCTTTAAGTAAAGATCCCCTTGTGTGGAACCCCAGACGGGAGGGCGTATATCGAGAGTCTGCTTCGAATGCGTCTCTGGGGAGATGTGTCATCAAGGCTTTACGACTTTTAAGAGTTGAGTGCGTACTATTCGGTTTTGGGATGGCGTCGCATATGGAATCCAGGAATGGCGATAGTTGTACCTCGGCAGTGCATTCCCAATGGTGCGTGGCGTCCTCGTTGCAGATATGAACGCCGTGAAAGCAAGTCACGGTCGATGCCGGTGTGGTGCTCCAGGTAATGCATTTCGTGCATGAGTCAGGCGACCGACAGGTGCGAGTCCTTCTCGCACGCTCGACCTCCTCGCGATATCTAGCCAACAGGGCCGTCATCTCGAAACCAAGCTGAGAGCATTCCTGTGGTGACAGAGGGTCCTGGCGCGACAGCACACACTTGATCTGAGGCCCCATCCAATCGTTCGGTAAGTCGTACCGCACGCAAAGCGATATCTTGCGGACATCGCCAAGCTCGGCTCCAGCTCTATGGAGCGCGTAGCAAGCGACCTTTGCGACATCTTCCATCGAGAACTGTTCTGCAAGTGCGAGGACAGACTTCCATGTCTCGTTCATCGATGATGTGGCCGTTCCGAACCTGCATATGATCGGTTCTGTCTATTCGCCGCGCAAATGGGTCACAATACCAATTACACCCCGACTCGTAGTAGAACCAGAGTAGAGCCTCGAAGTCCGATGCTTTCACGTCATCGAGACTGATCGAGCAGTCGTCGGCGCCATCGTCCTCGAGTGGAGGGGGTGGGGTCATCGCCAGCAAGTCGTCGAAGTACGCGGTAGATCGCTGAAGATGGTAGGCGTGGAAGCGGAATAACGTGTTCTCCACCTGGCGAGCGAGGGTGAGCACCGTCAAGCAGTTCTCGGACAAACGTATCCTACTTACTTTGACGATGACATCCCCTTCTCCCATGTAGTACTTGCTGCTACGAGTAGGCGGTAGAGCTGACTCTCGGGATTCCTCCATGATGGTGGTCGATGAGAAGAAGCAGATAGGCGCCGTGATATCCTGAGGCCAGGTGTTCGACACGAGGCCCGCACTATTCCCTGCAGCGTCAGCGTAAATTTATGTGTTCGCGAAGAGTCAGAGAGTGGTGATACGCCTAGAATAGCTGGCAGAATACGCTCAGACTGGGTCAGACTGACCCGCCTTCATCTTCGTTTCAAACGAGCCGATGACTAGGTATTGATACGCCAGCAAGCTCCAATGAACCATCACCACCACATCGTTCAGCTCATGTAAGATCAGAAGAGATACAATGTTGGCAGCTGTCACAGGTGCCGCAAGGCGGAGGGACGTCGACTTTAAGGTCGGGTCACAGGCCATTAGCTGGACTCTATAATCGTTTCGCGCACAATTCCTTCCAACGCGTCCATCTGAAAGCCAGCACCGTCAGCATGCGGTCGAGGCGGCTGACTTGAAGAACTCACCTGACTCCCACTCCTGAAGAACCTCTCTCGCGCCAGCGCCAGGAGCGCAATCATGTCGGCACCAACTTCCCTCGCCTCCGCGACGCTCAGCCCTTGCTCCCTCCCGCAAACGTTCTTCAATGCTTCCAAAGCCCACTCGAGTCGGATGTTGTGACGAACGCAAAGAGCTATCTTGCGCACGTCACCAAGCGCGTTGCAGCGATCCAAGGCGTATGTAGCGACTTGAGCAGCTTCTTCCATGTCGAACAGGTCGGCGAGGCGCAGGACGGACTCCCATTTTGCTTGGGAAACAGAGGGATCCGGGACGGTTGGAGTCCTTCAGAAGGTTTAGCAACGGGGCCTGATCAATGGCAGTTGGGCATACCACTCATAAGGCGATTCATAGAAATACCAAATCAGATTCATGAAGTCCTCGGCTTTGACGTCGAGAGGTGTGGCGCCTTCTACGTGCTTCTTGGCGCGGGTAGACTTCGGAAGAAGATACATGTCCGAGAAGACCTTAGACGCCCTTTTGAGGTGGTAGGAATGTAAGCGATACGATTTGCCCTCAACCTACATCTGCGCATGAGCGAATGCAAACGAAGAGCGCATCGGCGACTCACCAGGAATAGCGAGTCACCTTGAGTGGGCGCCCGGGCTATATTTCTCTTCTTTTCTTCTCTGTTGTTCTCGGGCGTCGCAACAGCTAGAAGCGATCAGAGAATCGGTATAAGTAGAAGCTTGGAGCGATCTTACCGAAGAGATCCTCGTCAGTGAGCATGTCGTCCACAGCGTCGCGTGCTGACACCTCGCTCAGCATAGGGCAAGCCTTCTGGTGGAGCTTGTTGCAGGTGTGGACGCCGAGAAAGCATACAACATCGGGATCGTCGTCGTCGTGCCCTGATTCCCAACACTTGCCCGTCGACGAGCACTTCTCAGCTGCCAGCGGCAACCTTGACTCCATTAGAGCGTGCCGAGCTGCCGTTATGGCGATCGTCATCTCGATATCAAGCTGTTTGCCTTCTGCGAGATTCAACGGCTCCTTGCGGTCGACGGTTCGAACGAGTTCCTCGAGAACCCAGTTTTGGTCTCGGACGTGCTTTGCGCACAGCGAGATTTTACGGATGTCATCGAGCGCGCCCATACGGTCGAGTGCGTGGCTGGCGACGATCGCAACTTGCCGCATCTTGAGTTGCTCGGCGACGAGCAGCACGGACTCCCATTGTTCCCTGTATGTCTGGTCGACGAGGCCGAACCTCAATGCCACATCAGTCAGACTCGGAGATCACTTGCTGAGTATAGCGTTCGAACGACTCACCATTTGTACGCAGACTCGTAGAAGAACCAAAGGAGGTTCTCAAAATCGGCACGTTTAACGTCCGGCAGCACGATGGAGCCAGTGCGACCCTCCTGACGCGCCTGGATTTCTTCATCGAAGACATCCGTGGCTCGGTACAAGTGGAAAGAGTGGATTCTGTACGGCCATGTTTCGACCTGCAACGACGTGTCAGACGGTTTTCGATGTCACGACTGAAGGCCTCGTGCTGACCTCGAGGACAATATCACCATCTTCGTAAGAGTATATGGGCTCTACAAACCTAACCATGCCGTTGGATATTGATGAAGACTGTAATCTTCAACAAGCGATGTTCGCGAGCCAGCAAAAATCTGGCAGATATCAGGCTTCGAGTCGCCTTCGGTAATTCGAGTCGCGACGGAACAAGGTCGACACACCCTGGACGGCATTGGAAGCAGCTCAGATGCTGATCAAGGAGGAGCTGAACGTACCTAATGCGCGTACCAGTTTCAAGTCAATGGCTAATGGACGGTGAAGTTCAAGACAGGTAAATACGAGAAAGCCGCCGCCCCCGGCTTTTGCCGAACCGGCACACCGGCATTACAAGCGTGGACCCACAGTTGGCAGCAGTTGATGCCGTCCAAACAACGATGACCATACCTCTGTACGCAAGCCACTCTGACTGACAACTAATCCGAAACAATGCACTTTCTGATACCAAGGCGAATAGGAGCAGAATTTGTGCATCACGCTGGAACAGTGGACTACGTGCGTGCTCACAGGTTTGCAGAGCGTCGTAATATATTCTCTATCTGCTGTGGCGAGATCAGCCGAGGTCGCTAAGGGGCGAAGCAAGTTCAGCGCGCGCGCCTTCGAAAGTTGCGATCTCACGCACCTTGCTGCATTCTATGCAACCTGACCTCCCCCGATTGACCATTTCCCTTGCCTCTGCAATGGCGATTGCCAGGTTTAGTCCCAAAGTACAGGCCTCCGCTCTACTTAAAGGTGCATCGCGTAGACAAACGTGCTTAACAGACTCTGTCGCCCAGGTCATATCGAGGCCGTGACGAACAGTTAGGGATATTCTGCGTATGTCCGCAAGACCGATGTTGTGGTCCAATGCGTATGCTGCCACTTGCGCGACTTCGTCCATGGAGAACTTGTCAGCGATCAAAAGTATATCCTCCCAACGATTTGCAGTTTCGAGATTCGCGGTATGCGACCTGGCGATGGCGTGAGGACGATGTAGATATGCGTCTAATATACCGACGACGCACCACCCGTATCCGGAGTCATAGAGGAACCAGAGGAAGCTTCGAAACTGCTCCGCCTTGGCGTCGATGACGATCGGGTTGACCTCTGTCGTTCCCTCGGTAGTGTTGTGGGACTTCGGGATACTCAGCATCCCTGCAAAGACTCTAGACGCTCTTCCGAGACTGTATGGGTCGACAGAGCAGACAAGATCCTCTATCTGCGGCAGAATCAAAAGCTATGATGGACACTGGCAAAAAATGATCTTACCTTGAGGTAGAGGTCGCCCGTCCAGCGCGGCCGTGGACGTAAGTTGGCCATCGTGACTATTTCTGCAAGCACTCGCCGATTAGAATCGAGGTAGGACACCGATCTTCCCAGGTACCTTTCGAGAATATGTCGGGGTCTATGGAGTTGCTGACGACCGTCTGCACATTCGGACGTAGACCCTGGATGTAAGACACGTCCCTCTTGGGACAGGGAGTGTTGTGATGCCCCCATGATGCACAAGTGTGTACTCCCCCGTGACAACTCTTCATGCGACTACACGGCATGCATTCTAGATCCTGAGGAGAGCAAGGCGAAGGTTCCGCAACGGGAAGGGTTCGTAACTCCTCACGAGCAGCAGCCAAAGCAGCGACGGCGATGGGGGACCCGATCTCGGCCGCCTCGCTCGGAGTCAGAGGCGCGTCGCGCGAGATTAAGCGCTTCAACTCTTCAATGATCCAGTCCTTGCCCATGCCGTGAATGGCGCAAAGCGCGATCTTGCGTACATCGGAGAGGGCGCCTGCACAGTCTAGGGCGTAGCAAGCGACCTTCGCCGACCGCTTCATGCCAAACAGATCCGCCAACCTCAAGGTGGACTCCCACTTGGGCGTGAGGGTGGGATCGGCTGTGCTAGACCTTGCATGACTGTGAGTACATACGCATCGTCAGCGTTGGAGGGCGGGCACACCATTTATACGCCGACTCGTAGAAGAACCACAACAAGTGCTCGAAGTCGCTCGCCTTGACGTCGTCAACTGCAAGCGGATTTGCATCAATGGAGCCGACGTGACCCTCGCCAGGGTTGGCACTCTGGCTGGCAATTGAATCATCAAAGTATGTCGTGTCGCGCTGCAGATGGAACGAGTGAAAGCGAAACAACGTGTTCTCTGCCTGTCGAAACCGTGAGTAATGAATTCGGTACTTTCATCGTAGTCCACTCACGCGCACAATGATGTCTCCCTCGTCGATGTAGTATGTGTCATGACGAGTCACGGATGCGGAGATGTCGGCAGACTGCATCGATGGTGGTAGCTCGTAGAAGAGAGGTAATAGGCGCCGCGATGGCCAGGAGCATCCTGCCGACTACCGAAGCGCGCGCGATGCCGAAAGAGAAGACCATGAGGTTACCCTTGTGACGAGGCCATCGTCCGCTCAATGGGCCCAGTCGCGTGGTGGACTGCATTATCGCGGATGGACAGATAAGCAAACAGAAGCGCGATAGTGGGCAGACGCCCATTTTGTGTCATCTTACACGGCTGCCAAAGTTGTACTTCATCACATCTACTGCAGCATTACATTGCGTACAATCTCTTCCAGGGTACTTTCCTTTCCGAAGGACAGCATGAGCTTGGAGGCCACACATCCAGGGCAGACGCACTCACCTCTCGCCCATTGCAGATAAATCTTTCCCTCACCTGCGCAACTAGCGCCGTCATCTCCGCGCCCATGCCCTTCGCCTCTTCCACGCTCACCGCCTGCGCCCTGCTACACACGTTTTTGAGCGCCTCGAGTGCCCACTCGCGCGAGAGCGCATGCCGAACGCAGAGCGCGATTTTACGCATGTCGGACAGCACCCCGCAGCGGTCCAATGCATATGTGGCGACCCGCGCGACCTCCTCCATGTCGAACATGTCGGCGAGCGCGAGCACAGACTCCCATTTTGTGGACGTGGCGGGGGCATCAGGGATGGTTGGCGTCCTGTGTGAAGTTAGTCAAGAAGTGCGGCAAGCCATGAAGGATGTAGAAGGGATCAGGCGAGGAGGATGAGATAGTGTGACAAGTGGATGGCAACTCCCACCATTCATAGTGCGACTGGTAGAAGAACCAAATCAGGTTTTCGAAGTCTTCGGCCTTCACGTCGAGAGTGATCGCAGTGTCTGCCACGGGTTCGCCTGAGACTGCGCCCTCACTGGTCGATTGCGGCAGGAGATACATGTCCGCAAACACCCTCGATGCTCTTTTAAGGTGGTATGAATGCAGGCGATATTGCGAGTTTCCTATCTTTGCGAGCGTCAATCATCGTTTCTTCCATCGACGCATTGCAAACCATCTATGACCGACCTTGAAGACGGCATCGCCTTGTCCTGGACCCAAGGCTTCACTGGCATGCAAATCATTTCCGTTGGGAAGAGGGGCTAGGATGAGGGATTGGGTGAGCTCAGACGATTATATGTCAAAAGCGTACAAAAAAGTTCGTTCTCTATCAGGACGTAATCCTGCACTGATTGGCGTGCTGTGACGCTGGCCACAGCGGGGCACTCGGTTGCGATATGGCCCGATTCGCCGCACACATGCATACCGCGTACGCAACGAATCGTCCTTTGAACAGCATAATTATGACCTCGCGGGCAGAGTCCAGGATACTGGCATGGGATGGGCATATACTCCAACCTATGGTAATGTTCACGTGCAGCCGCCAGTGCAATTGAAGCGCGAGGTCCGATCTGGCAGGATTCCTCGTGGGTGAGAGGCTGCTCTCGTTCGACGACTCGTATGAGTTCTTCCATAACCCATTCCTTGCCTCGGACATGCTTGATACACAGGAGAATTTTGCCAATGTCGGATAACGCCTTAGCGCAGTCGAGAGCGTGGCTCGCGACAATCGCCACCTGCCGCATCTCGAATTTGTCTGCGAGGAGCAGGGCCGATTCCCACTGATCTTTAAGTGAGTCGTCTACGAGGCCGTGCCTTGCCGCCGTAATCCGAAAAGATCAAATGTACATCCCAGGCGGGATTGCGCGCGGCTCACCATTGATACGAGGACTCGTAGAAGAACCAGAGGAGGTTTTCGAAGTCCGCGCGCTTGGCGTCTTCTAGGATGATGGGCTTAGTATCGCCCTCGTTTCTCTCCTGGATGTCCCTGTCGAAGTAGCGCGTAGCTCGTTGCAGGTGGAATGAATGAATTCGGTAGGGCGTAGACTCGACCTGCATCAGCTAGATGTCAGACAGCTCGATGCAGCGCATAGCGTTAACAGAGTCTTGTGCTCGTTACTCACCTCAAAGACAACATCGCCGTCTCCAAATGAGTACTTGGGCTCCGCGGCTTCAGCCATGATACTGAATATAGCTCGAGACCAAGCAGAGCTACAACGGCGCAGATCACGGAATATGGGTGGATCTCAAGTCCCCTTCGGCAGTCTGGGAAGCAGTCGCCAAGGGCGTGTTTAGCGCGCGCCTGAGATGCACCAGTTGCAGAGATGGCAATTTTCAGGAATATTGGGGGAGCGTAGCGTGAAGCGGCCTCAAGGCGGGTCAAGTTGCTTGAAAGAACGTCAAAGCGAGCAAATCCTACAGTTGCGGATGAGAGGTAAGGTCACCGCTATGGAGCTATGAGCGATGGTTCTATCAGGACGCAAGTGAGGGTAGCGGGCAAGAGTCAAGACCGTGCGCGCTGGCGCGCCGGCAATCGGGATTTGCCGAAACACGTGAGCTGGACCCACAGCGTCAAATTAGATACAACAAAACACAATGATGCTTGCATAGGCGACCATGCATGGCATCGGAGTTACCATGGCATGCCACCTGTGAAACATGGGATATATTAGACATATTGTCGAAGGAGGACTGCTGCACAGCTGAGCGTCGATTTTGCCTTCTTCATATCACTTGCGTGTGTGGGCACAGCGGTTCGAAGATAGTAGTGCTCGTTTAAAACATGCTTTGAAGCAAAGAGCGTCTTGAAGCAGGTCAAAGCCAAGTCACTCGATGAAGTTGAGGTCGCAGATGAGATGGAAAGCGCACAACTGTATTCAGATGCAAAACGTCTCTGCTGTACGAAAAAGCCAGTGAAAATTAGTATCAGGTGGTCAAGATGAATTGAACTCGAGGGAGAATAGACCGTATTTGCACCAGGTTATACAGGCTTTGTATTGACCTTAGTCTACGGCGACAAACATTGAGAATCTGGTCCCTCTTGATTTCCGCGTCGGTCTTGTATTCCGTACATACAAACCCTATTCGGCTCAATGCTATATTGAGCGGCTCGTACAGCGACTCTCCGAGCCAGCGAAGGAAGAGCGCTCTCAATGGATGACAGCTTTGCAGCCCATCATGCAGGACTTTCGCCGCGCATGCCTACGACCTCATTGCGCCTTTCCCGCCGCAAAGAGCAGTCGTAGCGGCCTGCTTGGGCGTGCGACGATGAGGTGTGATATCGAAGACGTACGCTGATTCAACACCGAGCTCTTCAATATTCGTGCAAATACTAATTGAGCACTGAACCAGGAGTGGAGCTGTATCGTCGATACGGAAGTGGGTATAAACCGGTGCAAATACGGTCTAATGAAAGAGTATTTCTCAGGTCTACCAGGTACTCTGAGAACCGATACTTGCTCTCTTCTGAGCAATTATGGAAAATGCCACTCAAGCTCTGAAGAAACCCTGCTTCCTTCCAAAACAGATCCCGCTGGCGCTGTCAATAAGGTTCCGCGATGTACTTGTCCCCAACCACCACCATCGCTGCTCACCGCCGCCGCCGCCGCCTCGAGCTGGTGTCTGAATGACGACCACGAAGTACAAGAATGAAGGCACCTGCTACACGTGTTGATCGAAACATGTGGCCGGTGCGGTAGCGCCGTGCCATTGTCTTCTGCCGAGCCAGTGCTTGTGTTCCTTGGCCTTACATTTTTCGCCTTGTGCGCTCTTTCAACGACCTCCCGAGCCTTTCACGACCCCAACACACCTCCACTCCTTGCGGCTGGCCGCATCACAGACTTTCGTTCTCCCACGACGACGTCCAGGCTTTTTCCGCGAACAATTTGAGCCACCGGCGCTCCCGTTGCTGCGTTCCCATCCCCTCCCATCATGCTTCCTACTCTGCTCCCCCTCGGCCTTGTCCTGCTCTCCCTGCAGCCCGCCCCAGCGCAGGCCGGGGTACTCCACAATGTCCATAGCTTCGCGAAGCGGCACACGAAGCAGTTCGCGCGCGATCTCCGTGTGGCGTTCGGCGGGATGGTGCTGCCGCGCGACTCATCGGAAGCGCAGCATGTGCTGTACTGCAAGGTGTCCAGCGGGAGCTCGTTGACCTCGGACGGCGACGGCGATGATTCGGATAGCGGGACCTCCCCCAGTGGGAGCGGCCATCACTCGGGCTCGACGACGAAGACGGGGACCGCGAGCAGCGCTTCGGCGACTGCAACCTCATCCTACAATTCCCCATGGAAGCTCAAGACGGAGAAGGTGAGATGAGCTCCCTCATTCCGGCCCTGTCCTGATCAATTAAAAGTCCGGCGACTCGTTCTTCGACGGTTGGGATTTCTGGTCGACCACTGATCCCACAAACGGCAAGGTGACTTATGTGGACGAGGATACAGCGGTCCGTGTCCCTTCCATCTTCCCCACCTCACACGCTCATCTTTTGCAGCGCAAGAACAACCTCATCTCGGTGAACGACGACGGGAACGTCATCATGCGCGTCGACACCACAGAGCAAGTCTCCGATGGCCGCATGAGTGTTCGCATCCACTCCCAAGACGTCTTTACCGGTGGCCTCCTCATCCTCGACGCTGTCCACCTCCCCACCGGCTGCGGGTCTTGGCCGTAAGCGTCCCTCTCTCACCACCCTCCCCCGCTAACGCCCCACCAGCGCCTTCTGGACTAACGGCCCCAACTGGCCCACGGGTGGCGAGATCGACATCGTCGAGTACGTGCACGACTACACGAATGACCAGGCAACCGTGCACACCGCGCCGGGCTGCAGCCTCCCGACCGACAGCGCGAAGGAGCTCAATATTACCGGAAGCATTGTTGGCGGGACGAACTGCGCCGCCGCCGAGACCGGCAACCAGGGCTGCGGCGTGCGCTCCCCTGACAAGCACAGCGCGGGTGCTGCGTTCAACTCCATCGGCGGTGGGGTTTACACGAGTGCGTTCATACCCCACTTTATCCCCTAAACTCCATCAACTAACGCACGCTCCTTCCAGTGGTCTGGGACGACGATGGCATCGCTGTCTACTTCTTCCGCCGCGACTCGATTCCCGACGACATCACTGCAGGCGAGCCGCGGCCTGACCTCTGGGGCACCGCCGCCGCGCGCTGGCCAGCGAGTACATGCGATCCGTACAAGTACTTCTACGACAACATCGCGATCTTCGACACCACGTTCTGGTGAGTGTGCAGGTTAATTTTCGCAGGGGAGGGGGAGGGGGGACAAGGGGGAGAAGGGGCGAGAGCGCCGCGCCGTCGGCGCGCGCGAGGGGGGAGGAAGGAGGGAGGAAGGAGGGAAGAAGGGGGAGGGGGGAGGGGGAGGAGGGGGCGATGCACGCGCGAGAGCGGAGGGTGCGCGAGGGCGAAGGGAGCGGCGCTCGCGCAATGGTGAGTAGGGGAGGGGGGCATCTACGAAGGGGGAGGGGGGCATGCACGGAGGTGGAGGGGGGCATGCACGAAGGGGGCATCACGAAGGTGGAGGGGGGTGCACGACAGTGAGGAGGGCAACTCACAAGCGATGGCCCCCACGAGAAGGGTGGCAGGGAGGGCCACCCAACGCGCGTAGTTTAGCTTTAGTTACGACACCTGTAGTAGATAGTAGAATGAATAGAATCTGTTGTGCTATGCTACGACGAAGCCCCCCTTTTCTCCGAGGACGTGTGCCCTCCCTTAGGAGAACGCGCGCCCGCGTCGATTGAGCACGAGCCCCCTCGAGGAGAAGGGGCGAAGGGAATTGTACGAAGGGGTGCGACAGTGTTAATGAGTGAGGGACGATGGCGAGCGGTGGAGGGGGTGGCGCAGGAGGGTGACGGACGAATTAAGGGCCGAAACACGTTGACAGAGTAAGTACGCACGAAGGGGAGGGCGAGAAAGTGCGTAAGGGAGAGGTAAGAAGGTGAGCAAAAGCGGGGTGAGCAGGTGAGCAAAAGCGTGGTGAGAAGGTGGGTAAGGGCGAGATGGGGTGATGGGGGAGGGCAGTTGCTCGAGGAAGCGCTCGAGGGATAATAAACGATGCGAGAAAGGAGGGGGTGGGGGAGGGCAGTTGCGCGAGGGATGGGCAGAAAGGCAACGGGTAGGGAGGGAGACGAGCTAAGCGAAGGAGTTGCGAGGGAGGGAAAGACAAGGCGAGGGGGGAAGGGGGGAAGGGGGGTGAAGGCGATGAGGTAGGCATGAAGGGGACGGAAAAGGGGTGAAAACGAAGGGGGAGGGAGGAGGGAGAGGGAGGGGGAAAGGGGACGATGCGAAGGAAAGGGAGAGGGGGGCACGAGAGACAGGAAAAGCTATAGTAGAGGGGTACTTACCTTGCGTCGGGGTAGGTCTTGTGCGATTTAGCTACCGTTCTCGGTCAACATGTAAACGAAAGCGTTATATTCGAGGTTAGGGAGATAGTAACTACACCCTTGTAAATCTATGTACCGGACCCTTCTTCATCGCACCACGCTCCCCTTTCCCACCGAGATGCCCCCTCGCGTCCTTCGATAGGGCCCTCCCCCTTCGCTCATGGACAAGTCGCGCCCTCACGCGACAAGCACCCTCTCCTCTCAACTCAAGCCTCATCGCTCCTGCACTCCTTCACCCCTCTGAGCAGCTTCCCACCCGACGGAGGGCCACGCGCGGCGGGTCAGAAAGCGACCTCCAACCTCATCGCACACTCCTCTCCCTATCAAATCCGCACCCCCCAGGATGGAGAACTTGAATGCGCACCTTTGATGCGTCTACGCTTCCCTTCTCGCGCTCGGAAAATCCACCCCCTCCTTTCTAAGACGAGAGTCAGACTCAGGCGACCCCCTTGCTTATTGCCGCGCGCACAAAGAGAATCCCCTCTCCAAGTTGCACGCGCACCGCCATGAGCATCAGACAGACCCCCTTCCCTTCCGCTCCCGTCGTTCGACACCCCCTCATCGTCGAGCCGACAGGGCCCCAAACCCCTACCCTCGTCGACTCGGCGGGGCCCCTTCGCCGTTTTACCGGAAGCACCACCGGCCAAGGCCTGCGGAACAGGAAAGGCGCACCTGTCTAAGGCGCAGGGGTACCCGCGCCACCGCCCCTTCGCGCGGGAATGGGGGCGCCGTCGATTTGCAAAGCACGCGTTCAATACTGTCGGCCTGTCAGCGCATCCGTAAAGCCTTCCTCCGCTAACAAAAATGAATCTCACCGTGCGAAGGTGAGTGACGCGACGCCTTCGAAAGGAGACCCCCCTCCCCACTCGCGAGGGGGGCGCCAAAGGGGCCTCCCCACCTTCCCCAACCCCCCTTCCACCAAGCCTTTCGGCGCTCGAAACGCCCCTTCAGCCGACCGAGGGTGAATAGGCATGTAATCACGTCGCCTGCGCGCGAGGGGGCGTAAGTAGGAATATTCTGAAAGGAGGTCAGTACTGTAAAAATGTGGAGGGGGGAGGGGTGCGGGAAATATATGTATCACGGTGAGTTACTAGAGCACGGCGAGGCGCTCAGGGAGTAAGTATCAAGTCGGAAGGGGTAGGTGACGAAATATTAGGAAGGGGGCGATCAGCGAAGACGTGTCAGTGAGAACATCAGTAAACTGAGGAAAGCGTAGGTAGGGGTACAAGATAGGTCGGTAGGGGAAGTAAACGAAGGTAATGGGGGTGAGCAAAGGGTAATGAGATGGTGCATCAGTAGTAGGTGGATAGTGAAGCGGGTCAGTAAGTTGTGAGAGGGGGTTAGGTTACTATCTAATCAAATCGAAAGCGGGGAGGGACGTGGGGCAATCCTGACGGAGAATGTCGGGGACTCACTTCAAATGTGTAGTGGATGAGCCCAGGGAGCCCGCCGTCGCGTCGCGCCGTCGTCGGGGCCGATGGGCGCGCGCCGTCGTCGAGGTCGACGCGTCGGGGACGGCGAGCGGCCGTTGAGCAAACTCGTCCGAAACTCGTCCTGTCGGCTGGATCTTCGCGCTCGGCATCGCGCTCGCTGCCCACGGTCAGCGCATGGCGCACGGACTCCGCTGCCTGTCGTCGAGGTCGCTGCGCACGATGAGCAAAGAAGGAGCAAAAAGGTCAAAACTCACCTCGGTCGGCGTCCCGCCGTCTCAAATGCGATGCACTCGCTGTTCGTAACCTGCTTTCCTGCGCATCGGCCGTCTTCAATGCCCTCGCGCCGCCGCCACTGTCGTCGCCGTCGTCGTCGCCGTCGTGGTCGAGCGCAAGTAGCCTCTGCGGGGGAGAAGCGGCGCGGAAGAAGCGAGGGGAAGAAGACGTTAGAGGTTGACATTGACAGGCGCCCACAAGATGCAACTCACGTCATATGTGGGCGCGAATGGGCGCGAGTGTGAGCCCAATGGTGTCGGTGAGCGTGCAGATGGCTGGGGAAGGCGCACGAAATCTGAGGCAGCGTGGACCAGTCTCTGTATGAGTGATCAGAGCGACGAAGAAGCAGATTAGTAGGCAAAGAAGTGTCATGAAGCCCATCGAGACTGCGGCATTGCAAAGAAACACTCACCGTCAGGTAGAACCAGATCAGTAGGGCGTGTAACCAGCGCGAGCAAAGAGCGCGTCGTCGCAAGGTCGGTTGGCCAGCGCTCCGAAAGACCTGGATACAAGGTGAAATCAGCAAAAGGCCTGAACGCGTTCTGTATGAGCTAGACTTACCAGGAATATCAGCTACGCTTGCGTCGTCGAAAGCGCTAGGCATAGCGAATTAGCGAAAGCGATGGAGCCTTGGTCACGCTTACCTTTGCAGCGAGTGAACGACCTGGTAGACGGGTCTCGAAGGCGCGGTCAGCATAGGTGCCGAGAGTGATAGCAAGAGAGAGGACGTACAAGGATGTGAAGGGATGAGCGAGGGATAGGTGGAGGTCGCTACCAGTGAAGGCGCTTCGGATAGGCAGAGGGAGAAGGAAATCATGCTGGCTGATGTCGCTACTGACCTCCGCGCCCGCCTTAAATACTCAATCCCCCTGCCGTCCTCCGTCTTCCCCCGAGCTGGGCTCCTCGGCGAGCGCTCCCATCGCCCATTCCACGCATCCAACGCGCATCCTAAATCCATTCAAATGTACGCGAGCGGCAACCGATTAGCTCACCGCGGTCGCCACCGAAGATTGCGCGCGCCAGAGTGGAAGATTGGGGTCCAATGCTCCCCGGGGCGGCATACATCCTACGAGCTTTACGGCGCGATGAGTGCCCAGGTCGCGTCGAATACACGTACCGCGGTACCTCCGCAGTCAGGGGGCGGCGTCAGTGGGCGACGGGGTCGGGGATGTCAGTGCTGCTGGCTGAACTTTGCCGGGCGCATTTCCCAGCGCAAAGGACGCCTCCTTCGACGTCTACCGGTCGCAGTGCTCGCCAGAAAGCAGAAAACGAGTTCAAGAACGTACATAAAGTGACTCGTGACGCGTCACAAACCCGAGGTGCCCGTCGAAAAAAGCCAGGAAATTCGAGGTGGTGGTCAAGCGGAACGCGATCAAGCCCTTTCTCCTTCAGGAAGGCCTTCAGCTGCTGCGAAGGATGCGCGCCTAAAGGCGCCCCGCGTCCTGCGTCGTCTCCGTCCGTCCCACCGCTTTCGAGCCTCGGGAGTTACCGAAGCCGTTGCCGCTCTCGAAGCCACGATCCGTCCGCGAATCTGTGCGGAATACAATCCCATTACCTTCCATGAGCTATTGAGCTCGCAGAAAATCGCCTGCGAGAGCGCGCCCACCGCGCCCGCTGTCACCGCACCACGTCAAAATAAGCTCCGAGTATCAGGGTGCGTCCCTCGGAAGAATTCCGAGCCCGGAAACGTACGAGACAGAGCGGAAGATGAGGAGAGGATTTGGGGCATGGGCACTCAAAGCTTCCTCCTTGCGATTAGGTGCGGCGGAGGCACAGCACGTCATCGTAATTCGTATAGCAGCAATCTGGAAGCGGAGATGAATTGGAGTCCGAACTTGCGGCATGTGGGAGATGGGAGGGGTGGCAGAATGAGGGGGAGGAGGAGAGGGTCGCGCATATGGCTGTCTGTGGTTAGGGAAGGCACTCTGCGCGCTCAGTACATGCATGAGCATACTTCCTTACCGTGTTTATGTACTTTACCAGCCAAAATATCGTGAACAGAACATATAACGAGCGCGCAGAAAGCGACGCCACAAATTCAAACCACCACCTTTCGCGTCGTCCATAGCGCCCGCATGCTCGGGCAGCGATTTTGACTGCAGAAGCTTAGTCTTGAACATCAGTCAGTTCGATTTAAGCAGTAATAGTTATCACCCAATATATTTTTCTGCAAGGTGACGGTTTTGGGTGGTGAAGAGGTCGGGCTCCGCATGCAAACCTTCTCGACCTTCAGAAACGATAACGCGGAACGCAGATCTCGCCCATCGACGTCCCGGCGCGGTGTCATCATGCGTGAGAGACAGCCTTCTGAGTGTGGGCGACCCATCGCAGCTCCTCTTTCGGTGGCGGACGTCGTCCGAATGGTTCTCGAGGCTGACTGCGCGCCACTGCGCGAGTCTTTGGGGTGTTGTGAGCGTGATGATGATCGGGCGTGGTTGAGTCGTTCGAGATGGGTATTGATCGAGTTCAACATCCATTTCGCGCCATCTCCGACGTCGCGAGAGCATGCGATGGGTGAGAATTGCGAGTGGCGGCGCGAGACAAGAGAGTTCGGCAAAAGCCGCGGAGGCTCGTTCCGGTGGGCCGGCCGTTGTACTTCTTCGACCATACTTCGACTCTGACCCTCACCTTGGTTCCAGCGGGCTCTATGTTTCTAATTTTGAATATGTAGAACGAGCCAAGAGCCTCTCTTCTTTGCACCTGCATCGGACCTCAATGCGTTTCCTGTAGCCCAGAGGACTGCGCTCTCGACCAAAGTCCTTCAACTGATCACCACGTCGAATGGGGATCCCACACAATCACCTCTTCGCAAAAACGTCCAACTAGCACACCAGACACCATGCGGCACAGACAGACACCGTCTCTCCATTCGAGGGTCCCGTCGCACGCCCGAACAGGCGCCGGCAACATTTCAGCATACTGATAGGCTCGCCCCCGCACGGGATCGGTCGCCGGCCGAGTTTGTGCATGCTTGCTTGTTGACAGTCTCTCAGCGGCTCGTTTGTAACTCCGCCGCACAGTGTTTCCTTATATATACCCATCCTCGGCTGTTTCGTAGTACCCTCAACACCCCCCGCGCGCGGCTTCCCGTCATCTTGCTGGTCTCCCCAATGCCTGTCTCCTCGTTCTCGCCGTCCATTCTCTTGCGCCACCGTCGATGCCTACACCGTCTACGTTGCCGACTCTCGACCACCCATCCACGAGCGCTCGATATCGCGCCGAGCAGTCTGCCTGCAGTGCTGAGGTGAGTGTACATCCCTCTTCTCCAACTTCTTCGAGTCGAGTCGAGGCCCTCCACTTCCCCTCCATGTTCTCCTCGTCGTCCCCGCGTCTTTGCCTTCCACTTCCCTTCCATGTTCCTATCTCTTCTCTACGTTCCTGCATCCGTTAACATTTGCTCTCCCATCGTGTTTTGACCTCTCATGAACTCACATTCTGTCATTCTCCTACCCTGGCCATGTACTGACGCGTTCACAATAGGAATCAATCCCCGGTCTATTCGATTTGCCCCAGGGCCTTGGACTACGCAGGTACCAGCTCACACTCGCGCTTCTCGAGGGGTAGGCGCTTGCAGGGTGTATCGGTGAGTCTTGATATCTTATTTTCTCACAACTACGCCTACGCGATGTTTCTAGACCATACGGGAAGCGCACAACGATCCATTCACAACTCAGAGAGACCGAACACCTCGCGACGTCGACTCCGGACTCGGCGAGGTAGCGGTGGTAGCTACCCGGAGCAAGGCTGAGTCGGGCGAGGATGAGAGGTCTCGTCAAAGATGACCATGGGGGCCTCGTAGGTGGATGAGCACGCTTGGTGAGTTTTGATCGACACAGCTCTGAAATCTTGCACTCATTCTTCCCTCCTAGTGTTATCCTCTCGTAGTGTTTTCCTCCCGGCGGCGGCAAGCCCTCGACGAGCTGCGAGTCCTCTCCGGCACCTCCCCTCCACCATCTCAAGCCTCCGCGATGTTCGAATGAAGTCGTGAAGCGACGTGTCGCCGTCAGCCGAGCAGCCCGAGGTCGTTTCCTGCGCCGAGACAGGTTACTTTGCCTTGCTCGCACGTCGCGATCGATGGTGACCTTCATTCCGGCAGATACCGTACCGTTATACTCGTGGGGCAACAGATCGTTGTCCGGCGAGGGCGTGCCCGCAACCTCAAGCTACCGACTACTTCCATGGCTACAAGCCAGCCTCGACGCCATCTCGTCCTGGACGGCGCACCCATCACCGTAATGCCGCGACCGACGCTCTCTGCAGTCAACTCACGCGCCAAAGCCACAGATCTTCGTCCACCGAGTGGTGTTCTTTGCGCTTGCCTCCGTGGGGTCCTCGCATTGAGTATCTGCGTTCCTCACGTTTGAGTATTTGTGTTCCTTACATTGAGTATCTGCGTGCGCTTCCAAGCTGATCTGGCTCGCAGATGACTTTGCGAACGAGGGAGGTGACTTGAAGCTTCCTACTCAGTGGTGATTTGAAGCTTCCTATTCGAGCTGCCCGCTCGTACGTACTTACTGAGCATTACATTCACTGAACATGACTCCGATGCTACCCATTCGACTCCAGAAGCAATGGATCGCCGTCCGGCGAGAGGGGTGATGCACGATGCAAGCCTGCCAATGGATGTCGCTCGCTCGCCGCCATCAAATCACAGTTTGCAACCGCACGCCGCCAACTCAATTGGCTCGCCCGCGACCGAATCAAGCCGTGAAGCAATACAACTTTGTCCGGCGAGCAAGCCTAGCTGATCTCTACGCTGCCAGGATTTCAATCGCAACGACCCTGTCAGTGAGTCTGCCTTATTCCACTGCCTGAGCGCGCTGAACTCAAAAGTACTAAGATCATTGTAGATCACATTGTATCTTGTAGTTTACTTTGTTTCTTGTACGCTACCTTCCCGACACTCTCAACTCGTCCCGATGTGCTCAACTCGTCTCGACGCGCTCACCTAGCCTCCCGCCGCACTCGCCAATCTCTTCTTACGCCCCTCGGCAGATGCCGACGCTTCGGCCCCGAAAGTTGAACATGTCACGTGACCTTTGGCTAGTCGTTGAGAGGCAACGTATCGACGTCCGGCGAGCGGCGTGAGATGGTTTCGCCGAGGGTCGTGAGATGGTCTCGCTGAGGGTTGTATACTTCTGTAGAAGTCGGTGGGCTCCTGTACACGGTTGTACGCTCCTGTAACAAGTCTTGTGTACTCCTCGAGTGCGTTTATCAAGGGAGATCATGCTCAGATGAGTTATCAGGGTTTAGGCGAGTTGATGTAGTGTGGTTGGTAGAATAAGCTTGCGGTGGTACGATGGACTTGCTGAGCCTGTTCAGTTGTAGATAAGCTGTACGTGCACTGAACCTTCATTCCGCTTTTTGAGATTTGTTTGTACCTGCAGAATGAATTGCCAAGGAGCAATTTTCCTTCCGACGAGCAAGGAGAACTCTCGTAACACTGTCAAGCAAGCATCAGGAGACAGGGTGCTTGTTTATCAATTGTAGCAAGCGTAACCGGCTACTCAGGCGAGTTACGGAAGGGTGCAGAGGTGTGACAGACCAAAGAGGGAGCTCCGAGGGAGGAGAGGTCGATGAGAGGGAGAGAGAAGGGGTGGGGGTTAGCGGAGAGAGAGTTGGGCTGGTACGAGTGCCACGATTGAGAATGTGCAGTGACGAACGGTGAGCTGCAGTGGGTGCGGAGGAGTCAGCACCTACAGTGCCCGGATATATGGTCACAGCACCGGTGAGCAGAGACGTAATGCGGAGAGCGGAAGAGGAGAGCGGGGAGGGGATAGCAGACGGGGAGAGGAGAGGATGAGATGGGTGTATAAACAGAAAGTGAAGGACAAGTACAGCCCTAATGACCAGTCTCTATCCAAAGTCAAGCGGACGCTCCCGACGGCGCCCTGAGAGCACGAAAAAGAGAAAGTTCGCGACGAACGACCAAACAGACAGCGCACGCTCACGCTCTCAATCAGGAAGGTAAGCGGGCGGGCGAGCGTGACGCGCGACGAGACCGGCGTCACCGGTGCGGATCCCGAAGCCAGCGATGACGGCACGCGACGTTTGGCGGAGGACGCTCGATCGAGATGGCGAGCGACGGGCGAGCGACGGGCTGTCAGGTAGGGAGAGTGTGCTCAAGCCCGAGCTCTGATGACAGTCTTTGCTCGGAAACCAACAACTGTGCCTCAGTGGAAAACGATGGGCAACGCCACTTAAGCAGAAAACCTGTTGCCTTCGAGAATAGTTTCCGATGGCGCCAAAAAGGTTCCGCGATGTCCTTGTCCTCAACCACCACCATCGCTCCTCCTGCCACCGCACTCGCCGCCGCCTCGAGCTGGTGCTCAAATGAGGGCCACGAAGTACAAGAATGAAGGCACCTGCTACACGTGTTGATCGAACATGTGGCCGGTGCGGTAGCACCGTGCCATTGTCTTCTGCCGAGCCAGTGCTTGTGTTCCTTGGCCTTACATTTTTCGCCTTGTGCGCTCTTTCAACGACCTCCCGAGCCTTTCACGACCCCAACACACCTCCACTCCTTGCGGCTGGCCGCATCACAGACTTTCGTTCCCCCACGACGACGTCCAGGCTTTTTCCGCGAGCAATTTGAGCCACCGGCGCTTCTGTTGCTGCGTTCCCATCCCCTCCCATCATGCTTCCTACTCTGCTCCCCCTCGGTCTCGTCCTGCTCTCCCTGCAGCCCGCTCCAGCGCAGGCCGGCGTACTCCACAATGTCCACAGCTTCGCGAAGCGGCACACGAAGCAGTTCGCGCGCGATCTCCGTGTGGCGTTCGGCGGGATGGTGCTGCCGCGCGACTCATCGGAGGCGCAGCATGTGCTGTACTGCAAGGTGTCCAGCGGGAGCTCGTTGACCTCGGACGGCGATGATTCGGATAGCGGGACCTCCCCCAGTGGGAGCGGCCATCACTCGGGCTCGACTACGAAGACGGGGACCGCGAGCAGCGCTTCGGCGACTGCGACGTCTTCCTACAATTCTCCATGGAAACTCAAGACAGAGAAGGTGAGATGAGCTCCCTCATCCTGGCCCTGTCCTGATCATTCAAAAGTCGGGCGACTCATTCTTCGACGGTTGGGATTTCTGGTCGACCACTGATCCTACAAACGGCAAGGTGACTTATGTGGACGAGGATACAGCGGTGCGTGTCCCTTCCATCTTCCCCACCTCACAAGCTCATCTTTTGCAGCGCAAGAACAACCTCATCTCGGTGAACGACGACGGGAACGTCATCATGCGCGTCGACACCACAGAGCAAGTGTCCGATGGCCGCATGAGTGTCCGCATCCACTCTCAAGACGTCTTCACCGGCGGCCTTCTCATCCTCGATGCCGTCCACCTCCCCACCGGCTGTGGGTCCTGGCCGTAAGCGTCCCTCTCTCACCACCCTCCCCCGCTAACGCCCCACCAGCGCCTTTTGGACTAACGGCCCCAACTGGCCCACGGGTGGCGAGATCGACATCGTCGAGTACGTGCACGACTACACGAACGACCAGGCGACCGTACACACCGCGCCGGGCTGCAGCCTCCCGACCGACAGCGCGAAGGAGCTTAACATCACCGGAAGCATCGTCGGCGGCACGAATTGCGCGGCGGCAGAGACCGGCAACCAGGGCTGCGGCGTGCGCTCCCCTGACAAGCACAGTGCGGGTGCCGCGTTCAACTCCATCGGCGGTGGAGTGTACACGAGTGAGTACATAGTCTATCTCTTGGCTGACACCTACGCCTCCCCCTTCATCCCCATAAGCTCCATCAACTAACGCATGCTCCTTACAGTGGTTTGGGACGACGATGGCATCGCTGTCTACTTCTTCCGTCGCGACTCGATTCCCGACGACATCACTGCAGGCGAGCCGCGGCCTGACCTCTGGGGCACCGCCGCCGCGCGCTGGCCAGCGAGTACATGCGATCCGTACAAGTACTTCTACGACAACATCGCGATCTTCGACACCACTTTCTGGTGAGTGCATTAATCTCAGTTCGCCTCGCTTTCGCCTTTCCCATGCTCTCCTCCTGCTTGGCGCCGTGCTGTCGGTGCTCTTCTATATCCCTGCTTGGCTCCCCCTGCCCTCCCCTGCTGCCCATTTTCATCTCGCTTCCAATCGTTCTTGGCGCCATGCTCCGTGCTAACTTACTTCTAGCGGCGACTGGGCGGGCTCCGCATGGACCACCTCCGGCATCCTCGGCCAGGACACGTCGTGCGCCGACCGCACGGGCGTCAGCACCTGCGAGGAGTACGTCCTGAACCACGGATCGTCGTTCAAGGAGACTTGTGAGTGGCCTTAAATTGATCTGCTTTCGTAGTGCTCACAAAGAATGCAGACTGGGAGATCAAGAGCTACAAGCTGTACCAGCAGTCCAAGTAGAGTAGATAGAGGGTGCGGAGCGCGCTGCCATCGAAGTGCGCGCAACTCAGAGGATATATATACCTGGACGTACATTGTGGAACACACTAGCCATCCTCACGCGGGCTACGTACATACGTGGGACCCGTTCTGCGAGCGGCACTAACGACGAGTCATGATGCTGTCTAGACGCTATCGTTTTTATCTGTATTTTTGGGCGTAATATAAGTTCTGGTGGATCGAATACGCGCGACTTCGAGCTGAAGTTGAGGCTTTCTTCTTTGCAAGGCCGCGCGAGAGCGGTCGAATGGCTTTGAACGTCGACATCACCCATTCCTGAAGTCGACATCGATATCATTTACGTTCGCACAATTCAACGAGAACAGATGCAAGTAATCATTATCATGCGTAGGTAGTCGTAAGTAAAGCGCGTGAGACATCATCATAGGGTATACAAACACGGTCAACGAGAGCATCTCCAACAAAGCAGTATCCGAATCTTCTAACCGATACAGTAATTATCCACGTCTATGCCAAATCATCTCCATGCGTCAAGGACCACTTTATGCGCCAGCCGTCAAGCACACAGCACGCATCGCGACCAGTGCGCCGGCGCTCTCGTCGAACGGCAAGTCGACCGTGAAGAGCACGTCTCGCCTGTCGTTGTTGAGGTACACCGGCAAGTTGACCAGGTTCTCGCTCGACGCCTCGTCGGTTTGCACCCAGCGGATCTGCGACGGATTGAGGCGGACGGACTGGCCATCATTGAGCACCAGCTTGTCCGTGCTCCAGGACGCGCCCTCGAGGACGAGGCCTAGTATACATGTCAATCAAGAAGCTCACTGAGGGGTAGCAAGTTGACACACCATCGACAACGAACGCGCTCGGGTCGTTCACCCGCTCGATGTCCAGCCGCAGGTTCAGCGTCTCCAGACTCCACTTCTTGCGATGCGCAACAGCCTGCCGGGTCGCCGTGATGTAGGCCTCGGGGAAGAACAGCCCACCGAGCCAAACTTCGACGTTGGTCAAGTTGTCCAGACCCGCGATGTGGTCGAGCTGCGCGAGGCGCCGGCTGAAGTCGGCGATCCACCCGGACACGGCCATGGTGTGGTGAACCTTGTAGCGGCGCCAATGGTCGGGGATAGTACCTAATGCATCATTAGCACTAGTCAGAGTGAGTATGAGGACCCAAACTCACCCTTGGTCAAAGCGCTCATCAGGGTACGCAAGTGGTTGGTCTGCTTAAGCTCGCCGAGGCAAACCTTGACGACGTCCGACAGGTCCCTGCGCACTTGCGTGAGCAGGTTGCGGCCGATATTGCCCTCGCGACTGAAGAGACGGTGCAGCGGATCCTGGTTGTCACCAGTAGGCCTCTCCAAGACGTTGAATTTCTGAGGAAATTGTCATTGAAATGTAGAACTCGAGACCTACAACAACGTACCTCGGGAAGATGGCCAAGCCATTCGCGGCAGCGATCGAGTAGTGTCCGCATCCATGCTGGCTGCGCAGACGTCTGCACCTTAGACGACGAAGCAGCAACATCATCGTCATCATCCGCCAGCATGCGCATCTTGCGAAGCTTGCCCAGTAACTCATCACCTGTGCAAGTTATTGGGGCCAAGTCAAAACGATGTGAAGGAGCTTCGTACCCTGAGCGATCGCAATAACACGTTCGGCAGTGGGAGGCAAGCTCAGCCACGATGGCGGCTCCCGGTCAGGAAGGCCTTGCACCCAAGTCAAGAAGTGCTCCATTTTCGTCCCCTCCGGCACACCCAAAGGCTGATCGTTGCCCGTGCTTGGGACCAGCTCGAAGTCGATGTTGTACGCCGCGGGAGTGAACAGGCCGTCGACGAACGAATTCACGATGCGCTGGTCGAAATCGCTGTCGACACGACCACCATACACCGATTCCTTGACAAGAGTGCGGAGTGCGTCCCACGGGATGGTTGCGGGGTCGACGTTGGCCTTGCCCTTCGACGCAGCGACCAGCCAAGCGTCGATCGTGCCGAACGCGGCGGCCATATCGGAGTCGTTGAAGTCGTACGTCTTGCTCCATCCGAGGGGAACATAGCGCAGACGCTCCTGGACGATGGCATGGAACCAGGCCAGCAAGAAGTAGAGGCGAATCTTCTCTGCGGGACCCTGGGATAGACGCGTCGGGGCAATGGACCGCAAGGAGTCGAGTAAGTTGGCCTTGATACCCGGGGGCGGCTCGTTCATGATGAGCCTCGACTGACGCAGGATGTTCGTCGGAATAGAGGGGTTCGCTTCCATGGTGAGGAAGAGACGGAAATTGCGGTGCGGGTTCAGCGTCTGCAACTTCTTCTCTAACTGTCCCAGCCATGACGGCGCGAGATGGACGTTCTTGAGCAGGACCCATGTACCTTGGCGAGACGCCGCAGCAATGGCTTGATCGGCAAGGGAGAAACCTTCCTGGGAGCCCATTGCGACGGATGAGGAGCGAGTGCCGGTGTTCTTGATCAGGTTCTCGACTCTGTAGCTGGCGTCGTATCCGGGTACAGACACAAGGCCCAACGGCGTCGAAGCCGGCACTTCATCCGCAACAACGTCACCAAGATCGTAACGAGCGACTTCGCTAAGGTCTGTTTGGAATACGACGCGCACGAAGGAAGCGGTGGCTTGTAGAAGGCGGTCGGGACGGAAGCATTTGATGATGAGCATCTTGCGAAGCTCCTCGACGGCGGCTATGGATGCGTGAGCAGCGGTAGCAATTAAATAAGCGAGAAAACTTACGAGTGCTGGCCTCCCATGGCGTAGGCACGACGCTCTCCGGTGCAGGCGCGTTCAAGAAGGCAGCCCACTGGTTCTCGTTCTCGATGAAGTGGTTCTGCACGGGCTTGAAGATGGAGCTCTTGGCGTAAGCCTCCAGTCGCTGCTGTTGATCAGTCGACAGGATGGAGTTCGACTCTGTAGAAACAGCTGCGGCCACCCCCTCTCCACTCTCCAACAAGAACTCGGCCTCGTCGGCGATCTCCTCAACGCCGCGCAGCTTCACCTGGGCCAGCAATACTGCCAACATGATCTGGTCGCGGTACAGCAGCGCCCGGGACGTCCGCTTGTACACGATGAGGAACAGGTCGTTCATCAGGATTTCGCGGCGCTGGGCATAGTCGGTGACGCCTTTCAGATGCGGGTTGTGGTGGAGAATGTAGTCGAAGATGTCGAGGAAGAACCGAAGGGAGAATTGGTAGAAGTGATTGACGAGGTTGAGCTGCTCCAGAACGAAGAAGACGGCACTGCAGGCCTGCGCGAGCGGAAGATACTCGACCGTCACCTCCTCCACCTCTTTCATGACGACGTCCGTCTCTTCCACCTTGCGCGTAATATCGGCCGCTTCGCGTTTGAGCGTCTCGAGAGTGTCGATGACTTTATCGTCGTCGAGGATGTTCCCAGTAGATTCGTTGAGCGCTTGGAGAAGGAGCTTCTCGAGCGTCCGCAGGCGCAGACGGAACTCGCCTTGCACCTTCATGAGATCTGTCCGCTTGCGCTCAGTATCAGGACGTTCGACCTTGAGGACCTGATCCAAGGACTGGCTCTGCAGACTGCTGCGAGTCATGGTGAAGTTGACGAACGTGACACGACTGCAAATGTCCGGAGAAAACTCGACGGATGGATCGCGCGTTGACAAGAACATGGTGAAGGCCGGCGAGAAGTCGATGTCTTGGCTGCCCAGACGAATAAGGACTCGTCCACCTGTCCTGCGCAATTCCTTGTTCAGGACGGCGTTAAGGATTGGATCGAGGTGTTCGACATCCTGGATGAGGAGTGGGTTGCCGAAACGCAGAGCACTTTCGAGGACCTTGAGGAAGGCCTCATCCAAGAAACTGGTCACGGTAATCTTCCGGTCCTTGTATTCATTCATCAGGAATGTCGTGGCCTGACCGGTAGGGTCGATCATTAGAGGATAGCGGTTGAAGCGCTTGAGCATGATGGCGTTCTCCGTGGTAAGCGTATCCGACGGAAGCGACTTCTCCTGCCAGCTGAGGCGATCGTCGGCGGTGGACAAGTACTCGGTGAAAGACAATTCCGGCTTGAACTTGATGTTGGCCTCGGACAGATGGTTCGACCATCCTTGCCACATAACTTCTCGGTAGTGCTGGTCGAAGAAGCCACCGTATGCCAAGAAGGCGGCGGATAGGAGTACATCGCCAACTATTGTGCTCATCTCGGCGTCAAAGGTGCGGCTGCCAGACTCCCAACGACCGCGCTCGGACGACAAACTCTCGAGGAGCTTCATGCTGCGGTCGACCTTGCTCTGTACGCGCTCCATCTCGGACTTGATGGCCTGCGTCTCGCTGATGAGAAGTGCGTATTCCTCCTTGTACTTGGCAATCTTCCCCTCCAGCTCCGCGATCAGGTTGATAGCAACCTGTGCCTGCTGCTTGGTCGCCTCGGCCTGTTCCTCGAGGGATTGGACCTCGTTACGCAAAGGCTCGACTTTGTCGAGGATCTCTGAGAACCTAACTTGCGCGATAGCCCACTTGACCAGCGGTCCGCAAGCCCTACTGGCGCGCTGCACGGTCTCAAAGTTGTAGGACGGACGACTCAAGAAGTCACGCTTCATGATGTCGCGAAGGTGCTTGGTCATCTGTGTGGTCGTGTCGAAGTTGACGATGCGCTGAATGAAGTCATCGCGACGGATGATACCCTGCACAGTGCGCCAACTGTCGATCTTGTGGCCCAGAATCGTGCAAACGGACTCCATTGCAAGCTTCACGGCCTCGGGAGGGTTGGCCATGGTACGCACTTCCTGCAGGTGCTGCCTCTTGATGTTGCTGACAGCTGACTGGGCGTCGAGCACAGCTGGCTCTGCGTCGGCGAGATCGGCCATGACAACAGCCCGACGCTGTTCGATGTGCTTGTCTTGCTCGACGAGTGCAGCTTGCAGCTCGATAGAAGCCGCCTTCTTCTGCTCGGCCTCCTGCTGGTCCGATACCATACGCTTCAACTTCTCGTTCGCCTCTGCGTCCTTCGCTTCCAACTGCGTCCGCTTGATAGCGAGGCTCTTGCGCAGTTCCTCGACCTGCGTCACAGTATCGCGTAGCTTGTCGAGCCCAACGTGGAGATGGCGTTGTTGCTCCTCTAGCTCGTCGCGCTTCTCGGAGTACAGGCGAACATAGTGATTGATGCTACCACGGCGTCAGCGGGAAGGATACGGGACATAAACCTCACTCACAAGTCGAGGTAATGACGCGGAGTCACATAGTTGTAACGACCTTGTCGTCTGCTGAGACGCTGGTTGATAGCATGAAGGCTCAGATGGACGTGCACCAAAGCGTTGACGACCGCCGTTCTGTGCACAGGAGGCGTCTCCAAGCTGCGATATGCGATAGGGAAGATAGCCGGAGGGCTGTACGATGGCAGATCCAGGTCGAGGGCGTGTGTGAACTCCATGCCAACCTGGTAGAATGCCTGGTCGGACCAGTCTCCGAACCAGTCGAGCACGCAACGGTTGAACAAGGCCGGAGATGTAGCAGCACGAGAAGCGAGACCATTCTCCGGAGGGTTCATGGTGAAGACGACGTGCAGGTTCTTGGCTACTTGCTGGGTGAACCATCGATAGAGCTCTTCGTGGGAGTCGAGCATAAGCCCATCGCGTTGCGAGCCCTCCTTACAAGCCGTCATGAGAGATGCATGCTCGTCACCCTCGAACAGACCGGGAACTTCGGCATTGGCAAGCAGAGTGTTCATGCGCTCCAGGAAACCGGAGTCGAGGACGTTGGATTCATCCATGATGAAGCAGATCTTCTCGCCTTTGCATCCTGCTCTGCGAAGCACAGTACGCAGATCCTCGTCGAAGTCGTCACCAGTATACTTGTTCGAGACCTTGATTTGGAAAATGCTTAAGCCATTCATCCAGGCGACGAAACGAGATAGCGTTGTCTTTCGTACGGTCGTTAATCATCAGCGACCCTTTGTAAAGCTTGCACGTACCTTTCCACTCCCGCTGACACCGATCAATAGCAAGTGACCTTGAATCTGCCGGAATACACGGTCGATACGAAGGACGTGGTCGAGGACATCATTAAACAAGACAAGAGGGACATCCAGCTCTTCCTCATAGAAGACGCGAAGGCGGGCCTTCGTGTACTCGCGGAGGGTCTCGCGGTCGACAGGGATGTAGTTTTTGGACGTCCAATTCGAGAAGAGGATAGGACGTCCCAACGCCTCGTCGCGGTTGATAGTCGGGAAGTACTCCATGGCCGCGTTGTCGATATGCTCGTCGGTCCATTGCCTCTCATCTTCTGACACAAGACGATCTTGGAACAAGCGAAGGGCTTCGTGAGCCCAGACGCGTACAAGACCCTCCACAGACAGCACTTCCATCGGCCTGATGGCCTCATAGATACCACGCACCCAACGCGTCAGTTCACGAGGACTGTACACGTAGTGCGCCTGGATATCTGTCGTAAAGCGCTTCTGCGAGGCCAGATAGAAAGCAACCATCGCATCGGTGAGGGGTTCCGCGTACGTCCGTAGGTTGGGAACGACCTTGAGAGCGGCCCTGTTGTACGTTCCGTAAATTTGCTTGAGCGAGACCTCGCCGGGGTAATCGACCATGACAAGTGGCGCGTGACGCAGGAAGCGATGGCTGAGAGGTACACGACCGGGATCGGTGGGAGGGTTGCAAGCGCCGACAAACTGGATACGCTCAAGCTTAACCCATGCCATGTCTGACGTGCGCCAATAGCCACCGTGTTCGACGAGTTGACGGAGGAAGGATATGACGCGCTGGGTGCCGTACTTGTCCGCAGCTGGAAGGTTGATCTCGTCGCAGAACACGACGAGCCAACGGCCAATTTGAACCGGGGCGAGGATAATGCCCTTCGGCGTCTTCCGATACTCGCAGTACTGCTCGAAGGTCTTGAGAATGAGCTCGGGTGTAGTCGCACTGGAGAAGTTAAGGCCGACGACCTCCATGTCCGGCAGCTTGCGCAGCGCACTGAACAAGGTCATCGTCTTTCCTGAACCCGGGGGACCGCACAACATCAGCGGCTTGTGCTCTGAGAGCCACGAGTACAAGACCTCCTCGTGACGAACGGTATCCATGGTCGGCACGACGACATCAGATGCAGTGACTGCCTGCGCCTCGATTTCGATGACGGGGACCTTAGATTGCCATTGAATCCATTCGCCGTTTGCGACCTGCACGTCGTAGTCGAGCAGAGAGCTACCGGGTGTCATGGGCGGAAGGTCGACACCAGTCTGCTTGCGCAAGAATTCGCCCATCTCCGCGCGCAGGTCGAGTTTCGCATCTCCAGAGAACGCCCAGATGATGCTGAGGAGCAGTCGCTTGGTCACGTACTGCTCAACTCGCTCGGAGGACAGCGGGAAGTCGGGGTGCTGCAGGTTGTACTCGATGACATTGCGGGCAGTCTTGTTGATCAATGAGAACAGGGTATTGAGCGCTCGAGTCTTCGTGAAGTCCATGATGTGCTCGATCGACTCGGCGAACTTGAGCGCAGAGCTGACGACGTCCCCGTCCTCGAAGAACTTTTCCAGCATATCTGCCATCTGTTGCTGCGTCGCCAGGTTGGCGGTGATCGTGTCGGTTGGTGTAACATCAGCGCGAGCGGCCAGGACATCGGTGACGTCCTCATCGTCTGCGTCGAGAGCCACGGAGCGAAGGGTGGTTAGATAGTTTCGGTAGACCATAGGCGGCTCCACGACGTCCTCGCTGAACCAGATCATACCGCAGCGACTGACTGTAGCAAGCGTTGCGTACTTCAGGTGCTCGACCTCGAACATAATGCGTACGTTCGACGGAAGGTTAAGACGCTCGCCGTTGGGAAGGGTGAGCAACTTGTTGTCGTCGAGCACACTGTCAAGCATCAGCACTCGTTGCAGCTACGTGACAGTTTAGACATACCTGTTCAGGTTCTCAACCCACTCCGGATCGACATCACCATCGAAGATGATCCAGTGCCTCTTGCCGCTCTCGCCACGAACGTCGTCAACGATCTTGCGGAGCACATGCGTGAAGAGACCGTCGTTCCACTCGCGCGTCGTCTGATCCAAAGTACCGTATAACGCATCCTTGTGGATAGCCTTGGGGTCGATAACATACGAAACGCCTTCGACGCCGTCGAGGCGCTCGAGCGCTTTGAGAAGGACTCGCCATGCGTTCGTCTTGCCGCTACCAGAGGGTCCGACCATCATGAGACCGTGCTGGATCTTCTGGATCTGGTACAGCTGCAGGATCTTGGCGATCCAGATCTCGCCGTCGACGAGGCGCCATTCAGCGCAGACCTTGAGGATTTCCTCGCGCAGGGCATCAAGGTTGACAGGCATGTAGTCGACACCAGGGAACACGTCCGCAAGCAAGCTAGGAAATAATAAGTCAGCGGCAGTGGTAGCCAATGATCGATACTGACCTAGTGAGCAGCGGCACGTCGTCCGCCACCAACTTGGGAACGATCGTCTCCGTGACACTCTGGATGACGATGATCTGCTCCGAGACCGCGTCCGAAAGGCCTCCGACGCTATCTTGATCCTCGCGCGCCTGCTGCATGCGTTCACGCTTGAGGATACCTGCACTAGCCAGGACAGCCTTGAGCGCACGAAGACCGAAATCATAATGAGGCTGTGGCGATAGTTGCTCGTCGCATAAGTTGAAGAAGGGAACGATCTTGGATGCAAGCGACTCGGCGGTACGGAAACCCTGCGAGAACAACATGACCTGGGCAATGAGCTCGCGATCGGGACGGGTCATGGCCATCCTACATGATTGTCAACACACACTCTGAGCGATGAGAATAATACCTACGGTCGGAAGAGCTTTGTCAAGTTCGGTGGCAGCTGCGAACGACCCGCGTAGTTCGGGTTGGTCGTGATGAAGATGCCGACGTTCCGGTCGAGCTTCAGGTTCTTGCCGACCAGCTCGATCTCCGTGTTCGGGTTCTTGACAAGCAAGGCAAGACCCTGCTGAATTGTCTGAACCTGCTGCGAGACGGCACTAAGGATACGCTCTTCGAGACGGTTGAATTCGTCGAAGCAGCCCCAGGCGCCGACTTGGCACAGCCCGACGAAGATGCGGCCCATGGCTTGGAAATCGAACGTCTCGTCACAGCAGAAGACGAGGACAAAGCGACCGAGCTGCACTCCGAGAGCCTTCACGGACTCGGTCTTGCCTAAGGGAAGCCGTCAGGGCACATATTAGTGTAGATGTGAAAGGCAACGTACCTGTGCCAGCAGGACCGAACGGCGAGCCTCCCAATTGGTTATCCAACGCCTGCGTCAAGGTCAAGTATACGCGGTCCGTCAATGGCGTCTGGACCAGGCGATCTGGCACACCCAAGTACTCCCAGCCGTACGGGAACTGCGCATCCGCGACGCAGATCCGCAACCTCTGGAGGGGATCGTCCGCCCCCTTGTCGAGATAGAAGCGCATCTGATACAGCCAGGTAAAGTTCTTGTTGTCCGTGACGCGCTGGCCGATGAGCGTGCGCGTAACATCGCGCTGATGCACCAGCTCCGTGATGAGGTGCTCGCACTTCCGACGCGTGACAGGAGGGAGCTCCTGCAAAACGATGTCGGCGAGGAGGTCCAAAGCCTCGTGTACGGTCTCCAGAGGGGCTTCCGGCAGTTGCTGCGATTCCAGGCATTGTTCGACGGATGTTGTCCAGGCGACTTGGATAGCGAGCGTGACGAGTTGCGCTGGATACTTTGTCATCCATTCCATGAGCTGGTCGACGGCGACCTTCTCGCCAGTGCCGTAGAAGGTCTGCAATTCGGTAACCGCATCCGAGAGCAAGTTTGCAAGTGATAGTCGCATCATCGTTTCGATGCGCGCTAGCCAGTCGTTGATCTTCGGGTACTCCTTGAGCAAGATTGGTTCCGTGAAGTACACCTCTTCGCCCTCGCGTGACGCCATACCGCGGATCTCCGTGAGCTCCTCGTCCAACATGACCGTCGAGATACCCGCAAACATCTTTTTAAGATGCTTCATGATGCGCAGGATATCCTTGCTGTTACCGATGATCTCGAGCAAGTCTTCGTCACCGACGAAGTAGAAGCGAGGGAAGGAGGAACGCTCGCGTTCAAGGTATTCACCAAGCGCCTTCTGGATCTTGTTGAGCATCTCCGCCAGACGCTCAAGGCTCTTCTGAATGCCAGGAATATTCATGACATCGAGGACGAACGGTGACTTGTACACCTTCTTCATCGCAGCAAGGAACTCCGCGTTGATGTTCTGGAAGCGGGCACTCTCGACGGGGAGAAGGTGCTTGATGTCGGCGCTGCCGGAAAAGATGCCCTCGAGGTACACCCACTGGCGCTGCACGTCAATCCAAACATCTGGAAATAGGGTTGGTACATGATGACACACGCAAGGCTAAGCATACCGAAGAGAACATGGATGCGGTTCAGCTTCTCTTCCCAAGATCCGGCCTCCTCCTCGAATACTAGGAAATTGTTAGCTTGAAATGTCGGCAAGTATGTCGTTCAAAGCAATACCTTTGTAGTACGGAGACATCTTCATCGCAGTGAGCGAGTTCAGATTCTCGCTGCACTTGTTGAAGAGGTCGTCCCAACCACGGATGAGGCGGCACTTGTTCTGGTAGTTGACGAGGTCCAGGGTATAGTTGCTCCAGATCTCCTTAACCTGCTTAATGTACTCCTCGAGCGCCATCTACCCTGCGTTCAGCAACATTCGTATGGCAGAGGATATCAGGAGTACGTACCTCTCCTTGCGCTTGCACGATAACCTCCTTAATGAGCGCCTCATTGCGCTTCAGGTCCATGTCGTAGACGTTGCCCAACGTAAGCCTGAATTGGCGGGTCAGAACGGTAGAAATGACTGCACGAGAAGCACGCACAGCGTCAAACTGATGGACGACGGCATTTTGAGCGTCTTGAACAGCTGTTTCCAATGCCGGTCCTTCAGCGCTTCACTCTTCAATTCGCCGACGATGATGTTGCTCTTGAGCAAGCCTCGCAACACCTCCTGCACATACTCAAACGCTGCATACTGCCTCATGCGCGTCGGCATTTCCTTCGTGCTCGCCAGGAGCTGGTCGATCTGTTGCCGAAGCTTGCGTGGCTGGACAGTTGCCCACGATAACTCCCTGAGCTCGCCAATCGCGCTCCAAATACCCGTGAGCGCCGTCCAGACGGCCTTCAGGTCGCGAAGCTCCTCGAAGACTGGGTCGAGGCGCGTGTGGCGGGTCAGCTCGAGGTCGAGAGCCTCCTTGGCGCGGCAGACGAGATCGTAGTCCTCCTGGACGCGGTTCAGCTTCTTCTCGAAGATGTTGATCGTGTTCATGGCCGTGTCCGCGGCCATGTTGCCCTGCACCGGGCGCGTCGTCTCCCACTCGGCGATGATGTCGTTAATCTTGTTGTCCACAATCTTGTCCTCCGCGACGATCTTGAGCTGCAGGCCGGCTGGATTGGCGTGGTCAGTCGAGAGACGCGTCGCGATGCGGCACACGCACCGAGCTGCTCCTGGATGGAGTCGTTCTTCCGCTTGAGAATCTCATTGTACGCGCTCCACTCGCCGCGCAGCTGGTCACTGTACAGCCAATCGTCCGGGAATTGGTATCTGAAGCGCTCCAGCGTCTTCTCGCCGTTCGCGCAGAGCTCGATCATGGGTCCCCATGCCTTGGTCTTCTTCTTGAGGTCCTGCACGAATGTGATGAATGTCACGGCCGCCGCCGTCGACGAGTTGGGTGAGGCAAAGGCCTGCGGCATCGTTAGCAACGGCGAGCAGGACGCCAGATGTACTGACCTCCATGCTCGACGCGTCGTGGTCGCGGTCAAGAACGAGTGATTTACGTAAGCGTCACTCTTGTTCTTCTCCCCTCATTGCGCTGCACGACCCCACGAATAATCGCCCAGTATGTCGCAACGCCAGCAGAGGGTGATGGTCCAGCCCATCGTGAGTTGCATATATGCGTGGGTCGGCCTATCTGACATCGTTCGGCAGAATGTCATCTTCAAAAATCTGCAGCAAGTATGGCGCGCGTCTATCATACAACAAACCCCTCACTGATCATCGCGACTTTCTCTTCAGAAATCGCACGTATGCATCTGGCTGTACGACAACATCGAAATGCGCATAGAAGGCAGGATAATTGTGCGTGGATCACTCGAGATGTATCGCGCCTACCCTTCAAGTCCCCCCTTCATCCGCACATTCGCATCTCCTTTCCCTCCGTCGCCTTTTTTGTCCTGCACCTTCGCCATGCGTCTCCCTGTCTGTTGACGCGTGACTGACAATCCAACCTGTAGGGGTTCGACGAATTCATGAACGTCGTGATCGACGAGGCCGTTGAGGTCTTCATCAAGGAGGCGAAGCCCCGCAGAGAGCTTGGTGCGTGGCATACTTCCCCTCCCGACTCACACGCTGATCCTCTTTTAGGACGCATTTTATTGAAGGGCGACAACATCACCTTAATTCAGCAAGTGCAGCAGTCATAGTCCCCTCCCCATCGCCCTCCTTCCCGCCTTCCCATCTTGCGCTTCCCTCTCTTGCAATCTGTTGTATCTCTCGACATGTATAATGCATTGCTCCTCGCAAAGAATCCACGCGCAAACGTGATTTGACAATCAATCCACTTGCGCCAGCCTCTGTCCTACGCTTTTCTTCCCGTCATCAAGAAAAATTCGACTGGCTGCCCCTTTCGCTTCGCTGCGATATCGTGCACACTATATCGAAGATTTGACAACCCCGCCTCTCCAAACACTCGACGGATGTCAGCCTCTGCAATGCCGCCCTGATGGCAGACCAACGATGCGTCGCCTGTCCATGTCAGTGCTTGAACGTCAAGTGTAGAGTGAGCGAGCGAGTTCGATAAATCCCACTCACCATGCTCAGGGTACAGGTCTTCCGTCCCATCCACCTTCACTAAGTCCGCGACCATCAGCACGCCGCCTGGTCGCATAGTGCGAGCGAGCTTGAGCGTGGTCTCCTCAATGGACGGAAAGTGATGATACGACGCAGCGCACTGAACCATTTTGTCAGCATCTGGGAGCTCGTTTTTTTCTTTTTCATTCACTGACCACAGCGACATCGAACGTTGCCTCAAACTCCCTCAGATCGTCATCGGGGTCGATGCAGATGGCCCGCATATTCTCTGGTTCCAAACCCTGGTTCTCCACTCGCTCGTTGTATCTGTTGGTCATTCCAGAGCTGATATCGAGCCCTGTGATTGACTTCGCGTATGCTGTGAGGTGCTGAGAGATGAGGCCTTCGCACTGCGTCAGAAAATTCATAAAAGTGAATGGCTACGTACACCCTACCGGTCCCGCAAGCGTAGTCTAGGACCTCCGTTGATTCTTCGTCGAATGGATAGACTTTGCGGAAAAGGGAAGACAGTCTGGAATTACTCAATGACATACAGCAAGCGCAAACCTCGCACTGGTACCTTCTCGCTAGCTCGATAGCTTGCGGCTTCGTATCGTAAGTGGCAGCGACCGAATCAAAGTATTTCTTGTTGCGTTCTATCACGTTCATCCCTTTCTGAGACGCGGTAATCACGGTCAGTCCAGGTATGCGGCCGAAGACAAGGATCGAGTGTTGAAGTTCAACCACGCGTGGCCTGGTATCGGCGTTTGCCGGGAGGCACTTCGACGTCATCGGTACGTCCCGGTCCAGCATCTGGGCCTGCGTATACGTATGTGGGGGAACTGCTGCCATGGGAGTTGTGCTCTACAGTAGTCGCAACAAGGCTGACGCTGACGGATGTAGTGGAGAGATGAACGAATATACTACAATATGCCATTAGGAGTTGAGATCAGAGCAGTTATGTACTCGAAAGTAGATGGGTAGGCGCCGTCGGAAGGCGTCAACAAGGTGAACAAGCACTGGTATGTTCAGGACCTGCTACGTCTGTCCTGTTCCCAGCGTTCCCGCATAATCGCTGCTGGGGAGATATGGACCGGCACGCGACCATGGACGGGGAAGTCGATAGCAGAGTCGTTCCGCAAAACCTGAAGGCCCATGAGCAAAGCTGAGAGACGGCGGCTACCTTCCGTCAGAAGGGTAAAAGGAGAGGGACCCACCGAGCCGACGGCCAGGAAGAAGGAGAACATGCCGCCACTAGCGAGCATGTACTGCGACAGCGTCGAGAGCGCACCGCGCGGGCCGGCACCACCTCTGCATTTCCTTCAATGACTTGCTAGACTAACGAACATTTCACGCACCGAAGGATAGTATACGACCCAAAGATGAACCCCGTCGTCAAACCCACACCTGCCCCCATGATGAAGCCCATCCTGGAAGGGGACCATTAGACTGAGGGAGCCACGACTTTACTCCGCTGTTCCTTACTTGACTGCAATATCATGTCAGGTCTATGGCACAGAGTCACAGTTACAGCGCTACTTACGCTTCTGCCATACGGAAGGTTCATGGCTGGCGCTGCGCTGCATGGCTCTGGTCCGCTGCACTTCGTCGCGATCGCGTTGAGGAGAAATGCAATGTCTGTTGACCCGTGTTTTCGAATATCGAACGCGGGTCCGGCCCGCTGCTGCCGGACCATGGCTTCGTCCCCGCCGTCATTCCCCCCAGCGCAACAGGCGCAGATTAGTGAGCATCGTGTACTTAGAGGTGTATGGAACGCTGAATACGTGCAGTTAGGGCAAACCAGAGGGACCTATACCATGTCGCCCTGCTCAGAGAGCAAACGGAGAACGTCACCCGATCGTGGCTAGGTACTGCCTAGACGTTGGGCGCGTGAACACACCTCCCCTTACCTGTGCATCGCAGGGAACCGCTTCATCTTGCGATGGGAGAAGGAACTTGAGCTCTTGGTGAAGCTCGCGTACTTTGGCTTGACTTCGGGTCGTGGTGAGTGTCGCTCGTGTTTCCCCGCGGGGTAAACTAACCCGCTCTCAGCCACGCAGACCCTCGGCGAGGAATATACCGACATATGGGCGGAAAGTGCTGGGTCCGTACCGCCTCCCACTCCCATACGTGCTCTGTCCGTCCTTCTACCTTCGTTGCCGCCATATCTCCTCGCCAAAGCATCTGCACACTGGCGAAGCAATACCCTGCTTCGACGAATTGTGACGAGTCTCGAGGTCCTAAATGAAGTCAATCTTGCGATATTTTACATCTGGGGACGCGGAGGATACTATGATCTATGGAAGCGCTTGCTGCGTGTTACCCATGTAGGCGTCCTGCTGAGCATGGTACATTCAGGCTAACGAAAGTTCTCAGATATCATCCATTCCTGAGAACCCACATATTCGACCTCCGTCTTATTCCCTTCTTGGCGTTGTCATTGGCATGCGGTTGATATACCGTGCAATCTCGGCCCTACGCGCTCGTCGCGTAGCCTCCCTGGAGGCCGCCTCGAACGAGAAAGGCAAGCAACGGCAGACCGTGTCCAACGATTGCTTCCTCGACGACCGTTCTGTCACTGAAATAGTGGCCAAGCAACCTTCAGGTAGACGTCTCTTGGCACAGCCGCTCGCACCGACTCACCCTTTCGTGTAGAGGACGACGAGCTTCCACGACCTGATGAAGACGAATGCACGGCGCTGGACCTGTCTGCCATACCGGATGATCTGCGTGCTTCGCGAAATTGCACGCTTTGCTTGGAGGAGCGCGTGAACAGCACAGTGACAGAGTGTGGCCATCTTTTCTGCTGGTCTTGCATCGTGGGTTGGGGAAGGGAAAAGGTAAGAGCTCCATGCCAGTCCCTTCTCCCGGGATCATGTACTAAGTGGGACCCCAGAATGAATGCCCGCTATGTCGACAGTCGTTGTCCTTGACCAAGCTGCTGCCGGTGTATAATTTATGATGTTCTTGCGCGTCTTCAATAGTGCATGCATGTCGCATGGTGATCCGCCGAGTACTTCTGAAAGCATGGCGCTTCTGGCTCGTACATCTAAGAGCCAAGCGATGCGACAACGTTGTCGCCCCCAAGGCAACCTCGTGATATCCATCTCAGCGCCTCGCGGTTTACCGGATGTGGCGCCCTGCGTATCTCTTGAGTCTTTACCTATCTACCCCCACCATCGATGCAGTCACCTCAATCTTCCAAACCTGTGGCCCCTCTTGGCATGTACTACCTTGACGAGGGGGACTGCGTCGCGCGGGTCAGTGCTACCAGGGTACTGATTGAGTAGCTGATGTAACCCGCGAGTCCGCCAGGCGGAGAACACGCTGTTCCGATTCCACTCCTCTCATTTGCAGCGCGACACAACATACTTCGACAGCGACATTGCCAAACTGAATGCTAGCTCTGGAGGAAGCCCTGTCGGCTCCACTAACGATAACCCACTCGCGCTCGACGATGTCCGGGCCCCGGATTTTGAGAACCTCCTATGGTTCTTCTACGAGTCCGCGTATAAGTGGTATGTCTGGATATGCATGCTGACGGTCTGTGTTTACTGACTTTCAGGTAAGGTCCGACCCCGTCGATGCCACCCTCACACCGAAGTGGGAATCCATTTTAGCGCTTGCTGAGAAATTCAGCATGCGGTGCGTAGCGAAGGTCGCCTGCCACGCCTTGGACAGTGCAAACGCTCTCGGAGATGTACGCAAGATTGCGCTTGCTGTCAAGCATGGGCTGGGTAAGGAATGGGTTCTTGAGGAGCTGAAGCACACTGTCTCGCGCGATGCGCCTCTGACCAGTGACGAGGTAGCCGAGATCGGGTCCCCGACTCTCGTGGCCTCTCTGGCCGCTGCGCATGGACTGCTACACCCTCTGCCCCCGGCGAAAGCCCCTGGTTGCGATCCGCTTGATCTGGATGCTCTGGAATGCCGGGCGTGCAATGGTCTGAAGACTTGTGATGGGAGGAATCACACTTGTCCACCCTTTAATCTACACACCACGCCCTGTCCTAAGCGAGATGGACAGCCGCTCCAAGCACCTCTGCCAAATGTAGAGACCGTCCTCTCGGACGTGGACCTTGGACCAACGCCGAAAGGTACGCTTGTAACTTTCCACGTCATGTAGGGATCTGTGACGATGACGACCCGACAGAAGCTGTAAAACGTCCGCGCGCGGCGGCTCGAGGGGATATATATCTCAAGGTTGGCACATCCGCAGCCGGGAATCCTAAAGTTCAAGTTACTGATCTGGCTGTTTCCAGGCTGAGGTCTCTGTCTTCTCTGTAGATCCGTATAGCTTGAGAAGGGCGTCTGAGGTCTTCGCTGGCATGATCAGTATCCCCAAGTCCAGCGACAGCGCCACGGAAGGCAGCAGTGCGGCTGAGCCTATCAATGTCGATGTCAAGGCGCACCTATTTCGCGGTTTTGTCTGGTTCATTTACGATTCGCCGTACGAATGGTGCGTCGTACTGATCGGCATACTCGCATGCCATTCATCTGACTTCGTTTCAAGGACGCATGAGGTGGATCCCACCTCTGCGGACCAGTGGGAGAATGTGCTTGCTTTTGCGGATATCTTCGGCATGGACGAGATCGCCCGCGTCGCTGTGTATGCACTGGACCGCCACTACAGCCTTTCCGATATACGGAAGATATCTCTGTGTATCCAGCACGACATCGGTATATCGTGGGCGATGGAGGCCATCAAGCGCGTCTGTCTTCGCAAAGATCCTCTCAGCAAAGCGGAGGCGCGCGCGTTGGGATTAGACGTGGCAGTCGACATCGCGGCCGCACGCGATGCGTACAAGACAAAAGTAAGTGACAGATGAATATCCCTCTATGCCCGTCTTCAGGACTGATCGTGGACTTAGTTATACATGAAAGGCCCACTTTTCGTCACGGAGGTGAACGAGATTATGGAGAGCATTTTTAAAGGCCAGACCTATCATTAGTACTGTGTCGTGTTACTTGGTGCTTCGTCTACATTGGAATGATTTTCTATCTCGCAACAAATTTTGGATCCTATCCTAGGGTATGTGCGCACTCACTGTACTCGACTCAATGCATTTTACTGCATTAACTTGAAGTTTGGCGTTGTGGGTCCAGCTTCGGCAAGTTCCGGTGGCCGCATCCCTCCGTTACTGACCTTGCGGTTGTCCATCACTGATCTTCAGAGCCTTCAGCAAAGAAGCACTCCTCTGCTACGGGCCACCGTTGGTCCTTTATCCTACTGCTTCTCTGCAATTTCTTGTGGCCGACTCGACTACGACCACTCACGCATGGGACATTGAACTTCGACATATCCCGTGTGGCACTACGAACTGAGCGTCGCCCCTGCACATGGATCTCGCTTGCACATACCACCCTCAGATACACCGGGCCTCACCCGTTATGCTAGTAAAGCGGATGAGGGTCTACTCACAAGAGCGGCCTCATGGCAGGCCAGCTCGGCATCGTAAGCTTCGCAGCAAGGCAGAGTCCGTCTTGCCATCGCGGTGCCCATCGCACCTCTTCGGGAAACCACCACCCTCGAAATTGATCCAGACCTCCGACGCCCTCGCCTCTGCGAGCCGCCACGCCACTTACTACATCGACGAAGAAGACATCGTGTATGTATTTATTTTCAGGAAGAATCCTTCATATGGAACCTGAGCTCTGTGTGTTTCCAACCCGTGCCAAAGTATTCCAAAACCGTGGGGGGGCCCAAGCCGAACATTGTGGGTCCACTCCCTCGGCGTTTGCCGAGTAACACGCCGTGACCTTCAGCGCCCTTCTTCCCTTCCACCACGATTTCAGGAACTCCGTCTCTCTCACGATATCTTCGGCGACGCCCAACATACTGACCCTCGCAAAAGTCTCTTTATAATGTCTACTCCTGATAACCGCGCTGTACACCACAAGACCTTTTACTTGCGCGACGGCGATGTGATCGCGTTGGTTAGCAGATACCGCTAGAATCAGAGGTATACGCTGACTGGCATGCGCTCTCTTTCAGGCAGAGAACATACTCTTCCGTTTCCACTTCTACCACCTTTACCGCGCCACATCATTCTTCGATAAATACATCGCCACTCTCGAATCTCCCGAAGGAGGCTACAGCGACGCCAAGCCGCTCTTACTCGATAAGGTGAAGGCTCGCGATTTCGAGCATCTGCTTTGGTTCTTCTATGAATCGGCGTATAAGTGGTACGTCTTCCCGCTATGCGCTCCTTCTGACGCGCTGAAGTGTATGTGTAGGTCTGGCATCGTCGACCAGCTGCCCTCAACTCAAGAAAAATGGGAGTCGATTCTACTGCTCGCTGAGCGGTACAAGATGAGGCAGGTAGCGAAGGTTGCCTGCTATGCGCTTGGCCGTGCTTCCGCGCTTGGGGACGTACGAAAGATAGCCCTCTGCGTAAAGCACGACATGGGCAAGGAGTGGATTACAGAAGAGTTGATGCGAGTGATATCCCGCGATGAGCCCATATCGGTGGACGAGGCGAGATACCTGTCTCCGATGACGATGGCGGTACTGTGCGCCGCTCGAGAGTCAATGCGCTACAAGCCCTCCTTGGTCGTCGCTCCCGCGTGCAAGACATACCAAAAATGTACGATTTGCGTCCGGGAGAGCAGGGCAACGTGCAAAAACGGCGTGCACGACTGCTCGTATACGGGTAGTCATATGACGGTGTGCCCAGCGAGAGACCGATTTACTCTCGCAGCGGAGCTACCAGAGGTCGCTACCATCGTGCAAGACCTCAACTTGGACGTACCACAGCCAGGTGCGTACGGAACAATCTCTTCCTGGCATCTAGAATAATTTCCGTCGCCATCCTTTCAGTGGCGAGCTCTTTGATCCCCCGCATACCGCTGAAGGACACGCGAGATACATTCTTTAAGGTGTGCATGATTGATATCATCGACCATTGGCGGTGGCTAATTTCGACGCCAGGTACAAGATGACATTCTCTCTGTTCATTCGTACCACCTGAAGAAGGCTTCGAAGACCTTTGCTGACATGTTTGGCCTACCAACCGATGACGCATCCAACGAGGGACGCCTTAAGGACAACCCGATCGTACTCAGCGTCAAAGCCCAGCAATTCGAACATTTCATTTGGTTCCTTTACGAATCGCCATACGCGTGGTGAGCCTCCATGTTCGTCGTGAAGGAATTGGATAATGAAACGGTCACGCAGGACCTACCAGTCTGACTCCGACTTGACAAAAACGTGGGAAGATGTCCTCGCTCTTGGGGACATGTTCAACATGCCCGAGGTCTGTAGCGTGGCTACGTATGCGTTAGACCATAACGGCGATCTTCCTGATATACGGAAGATATCCCTCTGTGTTCGGCACAATATTCCCGCATCATGGGCGCTAGAAGCGATCAAGCGTATCTGTCTGCGTCAAGGAGCACTCACTGTGGCGGAAGCCCGCGACATTGGGCTTGATATGACGGCAACCATCGCTTCGCTTCGCGAGTGGGCGTTTGAGACAACGTATGGCGGAGGGGTCAGTCCTTCGTACGCTTTCTTGCGCCCCCGATGTGGACTGACCAGCTTGATGCTTACAGATCGGAATCGCGCCTGCGAACATGCCGCTTATGGAGTTCAAGATTTCAACAGCCATAAACTCTCTGTTCTGGCAACAGATCTCGTCTTTCCATACAACATGACCTTGAATGATAAGCGCGAGGTCGTTGTACCTGTCTTTCCCGCATGGCCAATATGATAGCTAATATGTCGAACATACGCTCCTCGATGGGTCACGACTCGGTTTTCAACCCACAAGGCTCGCACGACGGCAAAGGATCGATCATGTGGGTCCACGGAATCAATGTGCTGATGGTCGACACGTGGGCACACGCGGGCGGAATCTCGATCGATCACATACTAGAATGTCTCATTCTTAACGCGTCCTTCACCAGTCCGTTCATCTCCCCGACCTCCTTTTCCGAGGCTCGTCAGAGCGGAGCAGACATATATACTCTCAGAATGGAGGCTTTTCAACTCCTATCCAGAGGGGGTGCCCAATTTGACAAGAAGCGATTCAAGGGGGATGTCGAGCTGTTCCAGGTGTGTATCTGCCGTTCCCCTGGCACTCTAACTAAAGTCTCTTCGTCGCAGCCTTCGAAAGCTGGCCAATCTGAAGGGAAGAAGAAGAAGACGCAGTCTACCTCAAATCTGCCTTCTGATCTCGACTTCTTCAAGTACGCCGAGTCCAGTTCGAGCAAGCGCAAGACGGACAGCACTGATCCGAACACACGCAAGAAACGACGCGTCGAAGCTGATGTAGCTGAAGGCGAGGGCTCTAACGACGAAGAAGAAGCACCCAGGCAGAAGCACCGAGTAACGGCGAAGGGAATCAACATTCCGGTTGCAGCACAGACGTTTGGGGAGATGAAGGAGCGCTATGACATGCCGTCCCTCCTGCTATCCAATCTCTCGAAGCACGGTTTTAAGCATCCAACGGGTATACAGTCGCACGGAATACCAATTCTTCTGGAGGTGCGTGCGCCCTCGTCCTTCCTCATTCCATATCGACTGATGCATATTACAGAAGCGCGACCTCGCCGCCATATCCCCCACTGGTACCGGAAAGACGCTTTCCTACCTCCTACCCATCATTGCAGCGCTGGAATCTCCCGCCACCTCAAATGAGTCCGCTGGAAAGGGCGTCCGTGCGGTCATCGTCGCACCGACGCGAGAACTAGCGCATCAAATACACAACGAGTGTCTGAAACTCGCGGAGGGTCGGAAATGGCGCATCATCCTGTTCAGCAAAGCGACAGCAAGTACGCTCTCAGACAAGGCCGTACGCGACAAAGTTGGTAAGTCGTTCGCGTGTGAGCGTCATAAGAACCCAGCTCATGCATGCTTAATACCAGATATCATAATCAGCACCCCGCTGCGGCTAGTAGCTTCGCTGCAAACAGGTGACCTGGAACTTCAGAAGTGAGTCCCTATCCTTACGCAAACTAGCATTCACTCAAAGAGACGTATAGCGTCCGCCACCTCATTTTGGACGAGGCAGACAGAATGCTGGACCCTGAATTTCTTTCGCAAGTGGAAGAGATCATCGCTTCTTGCACGCACCCGGATGTTCAGAAGGCCGTCTTCAGCGCGACACTGCCCGCTGGTGCGGAGAAGATCGCCATGGACATGCTCCGCAATCCTATCCGAATCGTCGTCGGCCTGAAGTCAGTCCTTCACTGACGCTTGCCATCATGGACTAACGCTGTTGCCTCAGGGACACGCCACTTCCTTTGATATCACAGAGCTTAACCTACGTTGCCGACGACGGGTCCAAGCTCCCGAGCTTGCTGCAGTACTTCGCGGAACCGTATAATCCACCCGTCCTCATCTTCACATCTACCCAACCGCGTGCGTCCTCGCTAGCCGAGGAGCTCATACTCAACGGGATCCCCAACGTGGACTGCCTCCACGCCGGCATGACCAAAAAGGAGCGTGATGATGCAGTCAGTCGCATGCGCAAGGGCGAGAGCTGGGTGATGGTCAGCACGGAGGTGATGGCGCGCGGTATGGACTTCAAGGGCGTTCGCGAAGTCATCAACTACGACTTCCCCACCAGCGTCCAGAGCTACATCCATCGAATTGGTGAGGTGCGGGCGGCATAACATGGCAGGCAGGCGCGCTGATGATGTACACAGGGCGAACGGGTCGCGCGGAGCGGGAGGGCAAAGCGGTCACGTACTTCACGGACGAGGACGCGCCGTACCTCAAAGCGTGCGTAAACGTCCCTCGGGGGTCACATACCAAATTAACTCCCCCCTAGGATCGCCAATGTTCTCCTCCAGTCCGGCTCGACGGTCCCTGATTGGATCCTCAAATTGCCGAAACCGTCGAAAATGAAGAGGAAACAGATGGGCAAAGTCAAGCGTGCGGAGATCGTCAACAGCGCACGGAAAATCGGAAAGGCGGATGCTATGAAGAAGAGGTATGTATGTGTGCTAGCGCCTACTACATGTACTCACCCACGAACAGGGATATGATCGCTGGCTCTAAGCGACGCAAGGCGAAGGCCGAAGCCGCTGACGCAGAGGGTTCTGACGATGCCGGGAGCGACGGCGCCTAGACGCGGCGGCGCTGTAGGTCTTCCCGTGACTGATTGATATCGATGGAATACGAGCAGTTGACCGCGCTTGACTTCGCTTCATGTTCGACGAGAGCCCGAGTATCAAAGTGCGCTCGCCGTCATTCGCTGCGGCGCACCTCTTCGATTTTTTCCAAGCTCATTTAACGAATCACATCTGCGTTCGATCAGCATCACATCGTCGACGGTGTCACGGCGGCGTCACGGCCAGCAAAGATATAAAGACCACCCCGCCTCGTTTTGATGCCTCATGGAAACCGCATGCCCCTCAACAGCCACTCGCCTCGAATTGACTTTATCATTTTACTGTGGGCTTTCCTCTTCCACCGTGCCTCTCTTCTGCCTACAGATGGAAGGGGACAATCCCAGACGGCCTTGCAAAATTATCCGATGCGGATCCGTGGAGAATTGCGCCCTCTGCTCGAGGGTCATGTCCTGTCTTTGACAGCTACAAGAGGCAAGTGATCTTATCGGCCCATTTAATGTGACGGAGGCTCCAGGAAAGCTCCGCGGAGGCGGCAAGTCAATACGGGCCGTTTGCAGACCCATTTCCTCGTGTATGTGATGAATGCCTTGAGGACCTGCTTCCTGTGCTTATAGACTAGTTCTGCCCTAGGTCGTTCATAACCGCCCGTATCCGCGATTCCCACAGCAACGAGGCGTCCAGGACATACAAAAGCCCAGCCGATGAGACGATGGAAGTCAGCAGCAGTGCCACTCCCACTTCCCCTCGACCTGACCACCATCTGCCCCGCTCTACATCCAACGATACCTTCACGATCCGCTCGAACGCCACTACCATCATGCCTGCCGATCGCAACCTTCCCGCCCGGCGCTCCGTGCGATTGTCCCAACAAGGACCGAGACACTATGGCATGTTGCATTGTACTCGTCCATTTGCGTCTGCTGACGACACCCGTTAGACGAGGACGCGTCCGACTTCGCCTCGGGTTGGCAGCTCGAGTTCCCTGAGGCGGAGACGCCCATTGAGCCTCCGTCGCCGGCATCCGACTCGGAGTCGTCCTACGTCGACGAGTCCTGCACCTATACCCCACCTACCCGCTCGACCTCGCACTCGCGCCGCCGCGGCGACAACCACATTCCCCGCCCCCCGAACGCCTTCATGATCTTCCGCTCCGAGTACTGGTCGCGTCAGAAGGCCAACCCCCAGGAGCGCGACCACCGCAACGTTAGTCGCAACGCGGGCGAGCTCTGGAACAACCTCACCGAGGCCGAGCGCGACAAGTACCGCCGCATCGCGAAGATGAAGAAGCAGATGCACGCGCGCATGTACCCCGACTACAAGTACACGCCCGTGTTCCGCAAGGACAAGGCGGAGGGTTCGTCGTCGGACGGCAAGCGGCGCACCAAGCGCGGCAAGCGTGACGAGGAGGCCGAGCAGAAGGAGCGCGAGGAACGCGAACGCCAGGAGCGCGAGCAGCAGGAGTACCGCGAGTACCGCACGCAGCGCCTGGCCGCTATGAAGCGCGCGAGGGAGCTACGTGACGATCCCAACGCGGATCCCAAGGACAAGGAGTACCCAAAAGGCAACTTCGCCAGCTACCTGAAGCAGCTACAGCGTGTACCGTCCCCGGGTCCCCTGCCTACTCCTGACTTCACGTCCGTTAAGGAGGAGCCAGACCTCTTTGTGCCGATCGCGGATATCCCCTCGTTGTCATTGACGCCCGACGCTCAGTCTCCTGCCTCTGAGGTGCGTTCTATGCCACCTATACCCTATCCCGCTGCTGACATTTTTCCTCAGAAATACTCCGAGCCTTACACTCCTCCGCAATCCATCGCACGCGACGAAGCCTACCCCGTCATGGAGCCCTACTACGCTCACGAGAAGGACCTCTCGATGTACCCGGCCTCGCCGTACGACGCCTACTCCCCTGCCAGCACGTCCTTCACCCCCGAGTACATGCCCTCGCCTAGCCCCCAGCTCTCCGACATGTCCTTCGACTCATCGGGCAACGTGTGTCCGTCGCCGTCCTTTGCCGACCAGCTGTTCACCGGTCCGATCGAGCCCATGGGCGGCCTCATGGACTCCGGCATCGATTTCGAGTCCGTGTATGCGGCCCCCATGCCAGGCGCTGGCCTGTACCCATCGGAAGACCTGCTGTTCTCCGACAACGGCATGGTCCAGTTCAACAACCCCTGGGACGAGCGCACCAGGGACATTCCCGTGCCGCCGCCCGAGGCGCCTGTCGACCCGCTGACTCCCGCCCCGCCGCCTGACGCGTACTTCTGGGGTACGCCCAACGACCAGCCATTCAACCTCTACTAGACGTTCCTCCCAAGCATGCATCCCCTTCATGTCCGTTTCACCCTTTCACGTGCCGTAGATACTTAGTCCATTTCTCTCTCCTCAGACTCTCACTCTCACTTATCGTCAACATCAGCATTCATCGTCATCTCTCCCACATGCATAACGCCCGCTAGCTCTTCTAGCATGTTCCCTCGTCGTCTCCTCTTTCACCTTCGCCTCCTTGTACTCTTACGCCGCACTGCAGCTGCTGTCTGCTTTCGTCATCGCATCGAGATCTACAAGCTATCATATGTAGCCCATCCACTCCTTGTACTCTGTACACGCCCCGGAATAGAGCTGGCCCTTCCAAACGCACCTCCGATCGCACACCTGCCTAATCGAACATCGCCCACCTGCTCGCGAACATCGCCGCTGAGTCCCAACTCGGCATCAAAGAGCCTTCCGTCTTCAAATTCGCCCTTCTCGCCACACTTCTCCGGCCGCCCCGGCCGGTCTTCCCCAAGCGACGCCGTTCCGAATCCCCATCCTGCCTACAATGAAGTCGACTTATATGCCCTTAGTGAATCGTTTACGCGCGTCCGTCTAACATATCCGTTCGCGTACGTATACAGTGCCGCCGTCCCTTCTGCGACCGCCGCCCCGCCCATGTTCAAAGATTCGGACCGGCCCGCGCCCAAGGCCTCGGACCCACCCGTCCTCATTGACACCCCGCTCTTAATGACTAGGACTCCCCGCCCTTTTTGACTCCCCACCCGCCCTCTATGACCTTCACTGACTCGTCCGCGCCTTCTTCGCAGGCGGCTCCGTCACAGTGGCGACCTCGAGCCGACCCGCCGCGTGCTCCTCCTTGAGCCACGCGACGCACGCGTCCTTCGTCCCGCCCGGGTGCTCGAGCTGCCAGTCGACGACGCGAGCGAGGACCTTGCCCGTCCAGGGCCCGGGGCGCGCCGCGCCGAGGACGGAGACGACTTCGCGGCCCTGGGAGATGGATGCAATGGTAGGGAAAGTACAAGGTGATGAGGAATACGGGGGAAAGATAACGTGTGAGCGCGGCGTACAATGCGAGAGGCTATATGAAGGCACGCACATCAAGGACGGGGCGCATATCGCCTGCACCGGCTAGATCGAGCTCGTGGACCAGGCGGGCGAACTCGTTGTACAGGGCGATGGTCGACGCGGCTTTGTCTGCTGGGGGTGGTGTTAGTATGTGGGACAAGGAACAGACAGATCCGAGGTTTGTTACCATCGAAGTCGTCCGTCTCCACGTCGTAGTGATTGGTGAGCTCGATAACGAGCGAGAACAATAGCGATTCCTGCCACGTTATGCCGAACCGACGATCGTGCACGGACGGATGGCGAAGCAGTTGGCCTGAAAATTCGAGGATAATCAGATGCAGCGCTCGAATATGACACAATTTTCAACGCACCTATAGCCAGCCTATCCGGCACCCGCGTCAACCGCTCGTTCTCCTTCAGTGCCGTGCTCAACAACTCCGCCGACGAAAATAGCAACGGAATCCCGTCCAAGAAATGGTTCTGCACGCCCAACTTGAGGCATTCCCGGATCACGCAATCCACCGCGGGGGCCTCCTTCTTTTTTGCTTGGTATGTCAGGCCGAGGTAGGGTGCGAGGGCGCAGGCGAGGTATAGGCGGGCGCGGGCAGTGGGATCGGTGGATACGAAGTCTGTAATGCTCGGGTTGACGGAGGGGAGGGAGGAGGACTTGGCGAACAGGCCGCGCAATATGAGTGCGCTGGATACGGCGCGGGAGGAGGGACCGAGGGTGCCAGACCATTTTGGAAGGGTCGCGGGAGGGACGACGGCGTTGAAGATGGCTGGGTACAAGCCGTAATCGTGGATGAGTTCGATGGCGTGGACGGGGTCGGGGCCTAGATGATGAACTATCAAGGTGAAATCCCGAGGAACGACTGAATATCATCTTACCTTTCATCATCTTGGTGAGCTCCTCGCCTACACGTTCGCGAGAGATTTTCGAGATCAAAGCCTCTTGTACGACGGTGTCTTTCGCAGCGTCGGATAGCTCCGGCACGATGTCGAAGCCGAAACGGGTGGCAAAACGGAGGCAGCGCAAGACGCGGAGAGGGTCATCAAGGAAGGTTTCTCTAGGAGGAAGAGGTGTCCGTACTATGCCGCTGCGCAGGTCGTCCAAGCCCTAGAGCAACGAGTCAGGAAGATACAGGCGAGGATATGATAAGTGAGTCCTACCTTTCCGGTGTGATCCTCAACGGCGCGGTCGTGAATATTATAGAACAGCGCATTGATGGTGATATCGCGACGTAATGCGTCTTGCAGTGGGGTTCCAAAAGCCTGTGTAGGATGAGCAACCTCCAAAATTTCCAGTCCTACATACATACCATTCCCGTAGGTATCCGACTGTCGGTCGCATACTGCTCGCTCCGCAGGTTGACCAAGTCAATTGCATAGCCATGAATTTTGCAAGTCGCGGTCGCCAGATGCTTCGACTGATTAGGATTTGCCTTGATCTCACCGATGGTCCCCACTGGCACGCCTCTTGACTTTGCAAACTCGGAGAGGTGCTCGGCGAAGGTGAGGCCTAGGACATCGCTCAGAGCCACGTCGATGTCATTGCTTTGTGACCCCAAGAGCTATGGCAGGATGCGTGTTGGTTTGCGTAGCAGAAGGGAATGAGGGAAGGAAGAATAACCTTGTCTCTAACCCAGCCGCCGGCAATGCGACAGGAAGTATTGATGCCCTTCTCATCTCGCAAATATTTTGTGCAGTCATCAAGGAGCGTGCAGAGTTTATCCTCATCCTCTGTCAGTCGAACGGAGAGCTCTTGCGGTATAGGAACACGTTGCCGAGGAGCAGAGCGCAGAGTCATGGTATGAGTGGGTCTAGCCAGTCGTCGAAGAGGTGAGAGTAGTCTGGGAGGCCTGAATAGCATGCAGTCGAAGTTGGTTGGAGGCAAGTGAAGGAACTTGCCGAACGGAGTCAATCCTTGTTTGGTGCGGCTTTGATGTCAACAGATACAAGCAGACGGATAAGGCAAGTCTTTGGTTCAACTCTTGAGAGGACAGCTCACCAAGTGAAGGCTAACCAGAAGGTTCCCGGTCTTCGCGGTTATGAAAGGGCTCGGTGATCCATACATGACTGCCATGCAGTTGGATGGCAGTTTTCTCTCTCGGCCCGGCCGATACCCCAAATTTCCGCGCGAGGCGGCGAGAGCGTGACTTTGCGATAGCACAGCACAATATGTATACTACGAGCGAGATAAATATATACGCTACTCATCGAGGTGGACAGCTGCTCTTCACTGCGAATGGCGGCGGACGAGCTCAGGACGGAGGTGTTTGAGTAATTTGCAACGAGGCGCAGGCCGTACGCGCGACAGGCTGACTAAGCGCCGCATTCAATAATTTCCTTGTTGTCGCCAGCCAGCGAAGTTCGAACATTGCCACCGACGACACTGGCGTTGCCGCCCGCCTGAGCGTTCCACCTCCTCTTCCTTTTTGCCGTCATGGGACAGATAACGAGCTGCTGCACGTCGTGCTGTACGTCGCCGCCCGCAGTCCCCGAGTAAATCACTCACCGTCGCCCGCAGTCTCTTCGAAGCGGTCACAGTCGTATGAGCCGCTGCTCTTGGAGAACGAGAGGGAGGCCGTCGCGGATCTGCTTCAGTACCTAGAGAGTGCGTGCTACGCTCATCTTCCCCCAGCAACCGGACTGACTCGCATACAGACCGCACGACGACCAACTTCTTCACCGGCGACCCGCTCTCGGCGTTGACCACCCTTTCATTTTCGGACAATGTCGACCTGCAGCGCAGTGCCGCCCTTGCATTCGCCGAGATTACGGAGAAGGAGGTCCGGCCTGTTGGTCGCGACACGCTCGACCCCATCCTTTTCCTTCTCAGTAGCCACGATACTGAGGTGCAGCGCGCTGCGAGCGCGGCTCTGGGGAACCTTGCCGTGAACAGTGCGTATGTCCGCCTATACCGCAGATAGTAGCTCATTCGCCATCTAGCCGACAACAAGCTGCTGATCGTGAAGCTTGGAGGCCTCGAGCCGCTGATCCGTCAAATGCTGAGCCCAAACGTGGAAGTACAGTGCAATGCTGTCGGCTGCGTTACCAACCTGGCCACGCATGGTGCGTGGCGAATGTCTACAGTCCTCGTCGCCTTCGTCTCATATCCTACTAGATGACAACAAGACCAAGATCGCCAAGTCCGGCGCCCTCGTCCCATTGACACGGCTTGCCCGCTCAAAGGACATGCGCGTTCAACGTAATGCGACCGGCGCGCTGTTGAACATGACGCACTCAGGTACGCTCCCTCTGTAACATGCCGCACATCCCCGTCTGACTCGCGCAGACGAGAACCGCCAACAGCTCGTCAACGCCGGCGCGATCCCCGTCCTGGTCAGCCTGCTCAACTCACCTGACACGGATGTACAGTACTACTGTACGACCGCCTTGAGCAACATCGCCGTTGACGGTACGTGAACCAAGTCGCTCGTTGAGCGCGATCGCTTACGGCGCCCCAGGTGCTAACCGCAAGAAGCTTGCCCAGAGCGAGCCCAAGCTCGTCGCAAGCTTGGTTGCCTTGATGGACAGCCCCAGCCTGAAGGTTCAGTGCCAGGCTGCCCTTGCGTTGCGAAATCTTGCGAGCGACGAGAAGTACCAACTCGAGATCGTCAAGTCTGATGGCTTGACCTCTCTTCTCCGCCTCTTGCAGTCTACCTACCTCCCCTTGATTCTTTCCTCCGCCGCCTGCGTCCGCAACGTCTCCATCCACCCGCAGAACGAGTCCCCTATCATCGAGTCCGGCTTCCTGCAACCCCTCATCAACCTCCTGTCGTTCAAGGACAACGAGGAGGTTCAGTGTCACGCTATCTCCACGCTCCGCAATCTGGCCGCCAGCTCTGAGAAGAACAAGACGGCTATCGTCAAGGCGGGCGCTGTACAGTCCATCAAGGACCTTGTCCTGGACGTCCCGACGAATGTGCAGAGCGAGATGACGGCGTGCGTGGCGGTGTTGGCTTTGAGCGACGAGCTTAAGGGCCAGCTCCTCGAGATGGGTATCTGCGAAGTGCTCATCCCGTTGACGGCTTCACCGAGCTCTGAGGTCCAGGGCAACAGTGCAGCCGCGCTTGGCAACTTGTCCTCTAAGGGTTCGTGGACCACTTGGGCGCATACATAGTAGCTGATTGTCTCGCAGAGAACAAGACCGCCAGCGATGATTACTCCGCATTCAACGAGGTTTGGGACCGACCCGAAGGTGGCATGCACCAATACCTCTACCGCTTCCTCACCAGTCCGGATGCCACCTTCCAGCACATCGCCGTCTGGACCATTGTGCAGCTGCTCGACTCCGGCGACCCCCAACTCGTCAGCAACATCGTCTCCTCCAATCTCCTCATCCCGAACATCAGCCAACTCGCACAGTCGCAGCCCTCGTCCCCGTCATCGTCGAACGGCACGCCGCGGTCACATAGCCCTTCGTACACCACCGAGACGGGCGACGGCCAGGGCGAGATCCAGCTGCTCGCGCGCAGGATCTTGGACCATGTGAACGGGGAGGCGGATATGGTGTCCGGCAGCGTCGCCGGGAGCCATATGCAGGCAGGATCGTACGTGCCGGGCTCGTCCGTGGCGAGCTCGGTAAGGGACCACGAGGAGCTTCGCCGGAGCGTGCGGGACGCGTTCGGCGCGCCCCGGCGCTAGCTGCTCTGACCGCGGGACGTGGACGCTGCGACGGACTTCTTGGATGGCTCAGCCGGACCGCGGCGAGGGCAAGGACCTGACCTGACTTGTGCATACTCTTATTCCGCGACCCCTTTCCCATCGCGGCGCGAGGTGACCCCTTCTTCTACCCCTCGCGTTTATTATGCGCTGCGCCACCTTCTACATAGAGCGCGGGGAGGCGCGCCGCTATCTCTTTATGGTGTATATTCGCTTTCGCGGAGTTCGCATACTCGCATTCGCAGTTCATAATTCGCCTATTCTCCTATCGTTGCGCTTACTTTATGTCCTTCCTTTCCATACCCCAGCGCGCGGCCGCACCCGTGTTGTAGGTCGCCCGCTGCGCGTCGGGTGTAGCTCGAGGCGCGTTGTAGCTTGCCTGGCGTCGCTGTCGCATCGCAGCCTGCTGTTGTATGTTTATGACGGACTCGGATGCGCAATGGCCGCCTCGTTATCGCGTTCAGCTGTGTGTTCGACGCCTGGCCGTGTACGTAGCTAGCTATGCCCATTATGCCCTTACGATGCGATGCGAGCGGTTTGAAGCAGCGTGCTGTCGCCTGAAACTGGGTCCAGCGTCACTGAAGTGGTGCATGATGTTTGTTGAACAAGAGTACAGTGAAAGGTAAATCTACGTATGGTGGCAACCGTGACTGTGGTGAAGATACGACTACGACCGTGACGGTTGCCTCCATACAGGTAGGTACAGTACGCGCCTGTTATAATTACCCTTCATAGGATCTCTTTCTGTACGAGTTTCTCGATCTCTGCTGACCCGATCGAGATCTTTTGAGGCGTCAGTAAAGCATAAAGGCAGAGGGGGCTAATCACTTACCTTTCCCCCGGAAGCCTTGTACGCAGCCTCGCGCACCGATGCAATGCTGGCGGTCATATCCAGGCCTATATCGCGGGCCTCCTCTTTGGTGAGCGCGTCTCGACGCGCACATACGCGCTTGATCGCTTCGACGGCCCAGCTTCTATCAACGTCGTGCCGAACACAGAGGGAGATTTTGCGGATGTCGGGCAGGCCACCCAGGAGATTCATGGGATTCCTTTAAAGGTCAAGGTCTACGACGATGGTCTTACCTTTTAAAGGTTCCTTTTTTCCATGTTGTCGCTGTGGCGCCCGCAGTCTTGCTGTTGCTCCAATTTCTCGTCCTGGGTAAGATTCATGTACAACGCGCAACATGTTAGATAATCAAAGCATGACACCTCGCTCGCCGACGTCGGCGTCAGCGTCAAGAAGGCTGAGGAGGCGCTTTGACATTCATCAACACGACCAAATATTCCCGGCCTCCCCGGCCCGCTGGCCAGCTGATCCGCAAGGCTCAAGCGCCGGCACCCACCACGCCTTCCATTGCTACGTTACTCTGTCTCTCACTCCTAGGCGCACTGTGGTATGCACGCGGTAACTCGCGCCAAGGTCATGCACCTGTCACTCATAGGGCCTTCGTAGTCCTATGACTTATGACTTTCCTATGGTTGCCTCGCGCGAGTGGCGCGTCCAAGGCGCGTTAGTGGCGCCTCTATTAGTAGAGTGGATATATTGCATTTGTGCGACGCGTGGTAGTATACAGGAGATATATTTCCTAGGTATAGGAAGTTATTTGAAGTGGCCATTACGAACTTACTGTACCACTCGGAGTGGCCTTCAGCTTTCGCCACCGTCTGTTAATAACAAAGCCTTTGATGTACACAGTACCCACAGTAGCACACACCTCGTATGTAACTTATAATAAGTAGCTTTCACCATAAAAACACGACTTTTGAGGAGCCCAGCTTTTAAAGCAAGACCTATCGTCGTCGACCTTGAACTTTTAAAGGAATCCCATGAAGCTTATGGGCCACCGTGATGATCCAAAGCATATGTCGCAACACGACAAACGTCCTCCATCTGGAACATATCTCCGACGTGCAGAATATCCTCCCATTTAGCGGATAGACCGGGGTCTGCCTCATAGGACCTAACAAGGAAGGCCATCAGGAAGGGTACGTGTCGGAGTCAGTAGCGAGCATACGAACCATTCGTAGGCTGAGCAATATAGAAACCACAGGAAGCTCTCGAATGCGTGCGGGCTGATATTGAGGATGATGGGGTGTTCTCGAGATCTGCCCTCGCTTGTGATGCCTTCGCGCGGCAAATCGAGCATATCACGAAACACTTGCGACGCTTTCTTCAGGTGATATGAATGGACAGCGAACACTGACGCTCCTAACTGTGAAAGTTGTCAAGTCCCCACTAGGCATGCCCAATCAAGAAGGAACGCGACCTTGACGAATAAATCTGCTTTTGCGGCGCCGTGTTCTAGACCAGCAGTCTCGAGCTTCGCAGGAATGGTGCCTGCAAATGATAGCGACGCAGTGGAACAGCGTAAAAGGGTCCACATACCAGGCTGGGGAAGCACCATTTCCTCGACAATTTTGTTAATCCTTGATCGCTGGAATTTCTCCGTGTAAAATCGATCTCGTTCAGGGCAAGTCGTCACTGAACGAGTGCAAGATGCACACTTATGTACGCCTCCGCCACAAGTCAAGTTGCGATAGCCACCACAGTTGCAGTATGTGGTTGGAAGGTTTTTGCATGATGCAGGCATGTTCGAAAGGTTGTACCGACATGCTTCGCGAGATGCAGCCAGAAGTATTGTAGTCTTGATGCCAAGTTCCTGGCCTTCTTCCTCTGTCAGGTGGGCGTCGCGCTCGATCATGCGCTTCAGCTCCTCGATTATCCAGTCTTTTCCTAGCCCATGCTTGACGCAGAGGGAAATCTTGCGCACGTCTCCAAGCACCCCAGCACGCCCTAGCGCATAGCATGCGACCTTCGCGATTTGCTTCATGTCGAACTTCTCAGCGAGGAGCATATCCGACTCCCATTTGACCGTCAGAGCGGGGTCAACGACGCCTGACCTGTGTGAAGTAAGTATACATGGAGAAGCGCAGAGCTACGATGACAAGACGCACCACTTGTACGCGGATTCGTAGAAGAACCACATTAAGTGCTCGAAATCCTGTGATTTCACATCGTCAAGGACGAGCGGGTTGTCGTCGCTGCCGCCTTCGTTGGCAGGCACATCGCTCAAGGCCAGTATTTTGGCATCGAAGTAGTTCGTCGCCCGCTGTAGGTGGAAGGAATGGAAGCGATATAAAGTGTCTTCTGCCTGCAACAATCACAGCGATGAGCGTGCGCACCAGGTTCCTCTGAAGGGAACGGACTTACGCGCACGACGAGGTCTCCCTCGTCGATGTAGTAGGTACCATGGCGCGTGGGCCGGTGAGAGGTGTCTGTGGTCTGCATCGATGGTGGGCGAAGACAAGCAAGAGCCGATAAGCGCCGCAATGAAGAGATGCCGTACGCCTGTGACCACTTCGGGCACGTTCAGGCGAACTTCGTTATCCTTTGTCGTCGTTTCGGGACAGACTACACAGATCCAATCCAAGATGAAATCAGTTGCATAGATTCGGCAGAGGAAAGACGGCACGAAATCGGGGGTCTGGTATATACATCCCGTAAGGTGACCGTCGAGGACAAGGAGCGTGAGATTTCGGCGTCAACCAAATGGGGTTCGGCAACTCCCGGACGTGGACCTACAACTCTAACGAGATTCGAATAGCAGTGAAAACGAAGACAGTATATTTGTCCTCCAGTAAATCACCCTATATGAGAGTATATTTGACTTTCAAACCCATCTCATGCCACCGTTCATAGTATATTTCCCCGCAAGAACCTCTCCACTTCCGCTGACCCGGCTGTGATCTTCGAAGGGGTCAGTAAGGCATTGCGACACAAGGACTGCAACGGAATATAGCTCACGCTACCGCCGGAAGATTTGTATGCTATCTCGCGCGCCGATGCGATGTTGATGGCCATCTTCAAACCCATGTCGCACGCCTCCTCTTCGGTGAGGGCTTCCTGACGAGCGCACACGCGCTTGATGGCTTCGAACGCCCAGGACTTATCAACTTCGTGTCGCACGCAGAGCGCTATTTTCCGGACGTCCGGAAGGCCGCCGTTGTGGTCCAGGGCGTATGTCGCGACGCGGCAGACCTCCTCCATGTTGAACATGTCGGCAACAACGAGGATATCCTCCCATTTGGAAGCCAACTCCGGGTCTGCCTTATAAGACCTGCCGAGATTGTAATTTATAGACTCAAGCACAGCTGTAGTACCCTTACCATTCATATGCCGAATCGTACAAAAACCAGAGGAAGCTTCGCAACTGGTGCGTCTTGAGGTCAAGGACAATGGGGCAATCTCGTGTTTGGCCTTCGTTGGAGGTACCAGTGAAAGGAGAGTTAAGCATATCCTGAAACGCCTGGGAGGCCCTTTTAAAGTGGTATGAATGCACAGAGAACACCTCGTTCTCGGTCTACCCTCATGAAAATCAGCTCGATCCGGCAATTGGTAAAGGAAATATCATAGAACCGACCTGAAGAAAAAGATCTCCCTTGCGGAACATATCAGGGACGGCAGCACGACTAATCGGTGCGGAAGCTGGGAGGCCATTATATGAGAGAAGGTTGCGATAGATAGAATTTCACGACTGACCTTCGGGCTCAGGTAGCACTAGAGCGCCGATAGTTGCCCCGCTGTCCGGCACGGGGCAATCGTCTGTTTTTCTGTCTCTCGCAGGGCATATGGAAGTGCGCCGGCAACCACTATAACTACAAGCGTGCACTCCTTCGTAGCAAGTGACTGCTATATTATAGCCGTATCCGCCGGAGTGAGCCCATTGACAAGTCCTTGTGCAGACGTCAGGACTTTTACGTTGCGGACGTAGCGCCTCTCGCGCAGCGGCCAAAAGTATCGTTGTATCAGACCCAAGGTCCCGACCCTCTTCTCGGGTCAAAGGCTCGTCGCGAGAGACAGTGCGCTTGAGTTCTTCGCGTACCCAGTCCTTTCCTAATCCGTGTTTCACGCAAAGGGCAATTTTGTGAACATCACTTAGGACCCCCGCGCGCCCAAGCGCGTAGCAGGCGACCTTCGCAGCCTGCTTCATACCGAATTTCTCGGCGAGGAGGAGGATAGACTCCCATTTCTCTGTGAGCGTTGGATCAACGATGCCGGACCTGTCGTCTACATCAGAATACTTGGGCATTCGTTATAACACGCCGTCGGACGTACCATCTGTAGGCTGACTCGTAGAAGAACCATAACAAGTGTTCGAAATCCAACGACTTCACTCCGTCGAGAACGAGTGGGCGATCATGGTGACTACCCTCTTGTGTAGCCTCGTTGCTCAGAGACTGGATGGAGGTATCGAAGTGCGTTGTCGCCCGCTGGAAATGGAAGGAGTGGAAGCGGTACAAAGTGTCTTCTGCCTAACCGATGAAAAGGTGAGCGCGCGTCGAGGATTCCAACAAGATACACTCACGCGCGCGACGAGATCTCCTTCGTCAAGGTAGAACGTGCCATGACGACTGGCGAGGTGAGTTGTCTGCGTGGGCTGCATCGATGATGGGTCAAGGCAAGTGCTTAAACGCCGATAAGCGCCGCGATAAGCAGCAAGAAGACGGCCCTTCATGAGGCAGATCTCGTGATGGTCGCCCGTATTAAGAGCTCATAGACTGAGTAAGGGGGATACCATAGGAAATTGCAGCTCTACCTCGCAGGAAGGATACTCACGCAGCCGCGTCGAAGGTTAGGTCACGTAGATCTATGTAAAGAGCGTCCTTGAAACGACTGTGCGTCAAAACGATTCAGTGACTTGACGTCGTCGTAGAAATAATTCCTGGTGACTATTGAAGATGGAAGTTCATAATGGGCCTGATCCTGAGAATTTCGTCCACGAGATATTCGGCCCGCTGGGCCACGTGCATGTTGAACTTTGACCGTGACGCTCATCATCGAGGCATGCGAAACGGCCCGACTGCGAGGACTCTTGGCTAGGTCACCCGCCTCCCCTGAGCAAGCGGACTGCCTTCTTCTAAATGAATAGATCTAAATAGACGAAGCGGCCCTCGGGCAACGCTACCTCTCACGGCGCGCGACCCGATGTCGGGCCGCCCTCGGCTGTCTCTGGTGCACCCTGATTGTCGCCCTCGATGCCGGTCGTAACGGGCTCGAGTACCCTCGTCCGAGGCTGGGGACGCCTTTTCTTGCGCCATCCTGTCAGAACGGCCCCCTGCAACTCCGCCTTGCTCGTCGGACCGTCTAACATCGACAAAATAGTCAGTTCTGGAGCCCGAAGGCGGGCTGCAGGCACCGCGTTCCCCATGCCTCGGACCACACATCATATGGAAGGCAGCCGGCTTCCTTCCCCAGGTGACGCCTTCGCTAGCCGTCGTCGCCGCCCGGCCCCCCGGACTCCGCAGTGTATATAAGATGAACGGCGACTGCGTACCTGGTCAGTGGTCATCAACACCATGTTTTCACTCTTAGCTGGTGTGCTATCCCTTGCCATCGCTGCGCAGGCGGCGGTCATTGTCCCAGGCGCTGCCTGGACGGACACTGACGGCAATGTAATTCAAGCTCACGGAGGCGGCTTCCTCAAGGTGAGTAACGCTGATGATGGCAGGCTCATTAGCAACTCACTTAACCCATGCCCTAGGTCGACTCGACGTGGTACTGGTGGGGTGAAGACAAAAGTCATAATAGCGGCTCCTTCAAGGCCGTGTCGTGCTACTCAGTATGTTGCCTAATCTCTGCTCAGAATGTGGTCGTTGAAGCTCTTTGCAGTCTCCCGACCTGATGACTTGGAAGCGCGAGACGGATGCACTGACTCCCGTTGCCGGGACCAACATCTCCGACTCGAACATCGTGGAGCGGCCCAAAGGTACGTACCATCATTGACGCGCTCGAGACAGCCCGAGTGACGATGCTTCCCACCAGTGATCTACAATAAGAAGGTAAGCACCACTTCACTTCGTTCGATGCAAACTCCTTTCTTTCTGACTGGATGTAAAGAACAACGAATACGTGATGTGGTTCCACGCCGACTCGTCCAACTACGGCGCAGCCCAGCAGGGCGTCGCGACCGCCTCCACACCTTGCGGTCCTTTCAAGTTCCGCGAGAGCTTCCAGCCTCTTGGTGCCCAGTCCCGCGACATGGGTATCTTCGTGGATGGTGAGCATGGTCAGGTACCTTGTACGCGACGCCCATGCTGACTTGAACTTTCCAAGACGATGGTATGTGAGAAGGCGACGACGTATCGGATAAGCCCTCATGCCCACTGCTAATCTACAGACACGGCGTATGTCCTCTATGCCAGCGACAACAACCAGAACTTCAAGATCTCGCGCCTCGATGACGATTACTACACGGTCACGGAGCAAGTCAACCAAATTTCCTGTACGCCTATCTGAGTGATGTTGGTTCGAGCTGCCGCTGATATCGATCCAAGCATCCACGCTCGAGTCTCCTGGTATCTTCAAGCGCGATGGGGTACGTGCTCTGCACTCGAGAATGACCCTGTATCTCATTCCTTGAAAAGACTTACTACCTCATCGCCAGCCACACTACCGGGTATGATTTCCTTTCGTCCCCGCCCTCTTTCGTCGCTCTTACATCGATAGGTGGGCGCCCAACCCCAACAAGTTCTTCACCGCCTCGGTGAGCTGTTCGTCCACTTTCTAGTCCTCCGCCCCACTGACCACATCTCGCAGTCCATCGACGGTACCTTCTCCTCCCAGGCCGACATCGCGCCCTCCAACACGCGCACGTACTACTCGCAGAACACCTTCGAGCTCCCCCTCGGCGACGACGTCCTCTACGCCGGCGACCGCTGGCGCCCCAGCCTCCTCGGCAGCAGCCGCTACATCTGGCTCCCGCTGACCTTCGACTCGGGCAAGCCGCAACTCGTGTGGGCGGATGTGTGGTCGGTGGATATCAATGCGGGTGAGTGGAAGAGGGCGATGTTTGGGAGGTTGTTTGTTGATTATGGGGATGGTAGGCACGTACACCATCGCTCAGGGTACGACCTACGAGGCGGAGAGCGCGACGAGGGCTGGGAACACGACTGTCATCTCTAACTCGGCGTTCTCTGAGGGCAAGGGCATCGGCTACATCGGTACGTCGAAGCCGATCTTCACAGTTTTTCCTAAGTACTGACGGATGACCATAGGCAAGGGCGGCACCGTCACCTTCGAGAACGTCGAGGGCACCGGTAAACCTCAGTGGGTCTCGATCTACTATGCGAACGGTATGTGGCAGATCTGCATCTTTGACGCTCCTTTGGCTCACTTCGATAATACAGGCGATTCCAGCTACCGCACGGTGTCCGTCAGCGTCAACGGCGGCGACTCCGTCAGCGTAGACCAGCCCGACAGCGGTATATAATCATCATCTCAGACACATCGTTTGTAACTGACTGGCCATTGATGCAGGAGGGAGCAGCGTCATCCTCTCCGTCCCCGTCCAGCTTACGCTTAAGTCTGGATCGAACACGCTCACCTTCGGTGATCAGGATTGTGGGTGCTTCGCGAATCGTATGATGCTTATAACTGACCCCTTGTAGCGTACGCTGGAGACCTCGACAAGATCATCGTCTACACGGATGCCTAGGTGGTTGGAGAGGCATTTCTAGTCTCGAATGTCATGACAAAAGTGTATCCCTGGGACTTTCACAAGGTTGAATCAAAGAATCGTTGTCTACCACTTCCTTGCGTTTGAACCGGCCACAGTGCACAGCTGAGAGGGCCTGTATTGTTACTATACCTGCACAGAAAGTAAACACCAATGACAGGCTAGGCGGTAAGCAGAGGCCACGAAGGAGCGACGGCGGATTCTATGTTGGTTGCATGCATTATAAATACATTAATGCGTAGAGGTTAGGCGCTGTATGCTACGGCAACAGTCAGATCGAACGACGACAGCAAACAGATATCGGTGACGATAGCAGCAGATATCGAACGTCGACAGCAGCAGATGCAGAATGTTCGTTAAGTAGACATTAAACACTTCGGAGAACACCTTGCCATATGGACCTAGTAGTAGGCGTATACGTATCAGCGGGAGCGATGCACAGACGTGGCAAAAGCGGTGAGCTGGGTGGATCCAGCTTCCCCGAACACTTGTTCGTACTTACGAGACGACGGTCGTTCGGGGGGCCGAAGGCGACCGCTCCGCTCACAAGGACCATATCTTGAGCATCGCGTCTCGCCCGCCGGACACCATGTACCGGTCCATGTACCGCACGCGCTGTGCTGGCTTGGTGTGTCCGTTCGTGCTCAACGTCGATTTCTGCATGCTGGTGCGGTTGTAGACCTAGACAATCGGGTTAGATGATCATCAAGAGGGTGAAGACGACTCAACGCACCTTCACCCCATTCTCCCCCGCGGCAGCAACGACCTTGCGCGTGTCGAACTGCAGCGCGGTGACCGGGTAGTCGTAGTGCAAGGTCTCGAACGTCCCGCCCGTGCGCAGGTCCCATATCTGCAACGATCACGCCATGTTAGCAATGCGCAAGATCATATAGGTTATAAGCTGCAGACGCACCCGAACGGTCTTATCCAAGCTACCACTGACGATGTGCAACTCGTCGAACTGCAAACATGTCACTGGCGCCGTGTGCCCTGCCAGTGTCCGATGTGCTTGACCCGTACGCACTATATACATTGTTAGTGATTGATCCTCTGGAGAGCAACCAGAACTTACTATCCCACATCCTCACCGCCCCATCGCCGCTCCCGCTCACCAACCCATACCCCCAGAACTGCACCCCGCCCACAAAGTCCTGGTACATATCCCACGACCCATCCGCCGACGGCGGCGTCGGCACCGCAAACGCACCCGCAGGCGAGCCGCTCGCGTACATGTAGTCCGGCACCGCGCCCCCCGCCTTCGGCGGATGCGACATCGCCCACAGGATGTCCATCGTCATCACGCACTGGCCCGTCGACAGGTCCCACTGGCGGAGCGTCTTGTCCGACGCACCCGTCACCAGGCACTCGTCCTCGAAGTAGAGCGCGGTGACCGCCTGCGAGTGGCCTTGCAGCACGCGCGCGCACGGGCCGTCCTCGTCTGCGTCCTTCTCTGTGGTCGTGAAGCCGTTGCGGATGGTACTGTTGCCGTTCGCCTTCCCTTTCCGCGGGGTCGTGTCGATGTCGGGCTCGATCTCGCTGACGCTAACGTCGCCCCACTCCTCGTCCTCGTCCACGCGGCGGAGGTCCCATAGCCGCACGTCGCCGTCCGCGCCGCCCGTAAGGCAGACATGATCTTCGACTTGCAAGCAGCGCACGGGTGCATCGTGCCCACGCAGTCGACCGATCTCCGAGCCCGTGAGCAGATCCCAGACGATGGGGTGCGGCTCTTCTTGCCCAGCACTGACGAGGGTGCCGTATGGCTCGGAGAAGTCGAGCGCGGATATAGGTCCCGCGTGGCCTTGAAGAGACTGGCATACGGGTCAATGGAAGCGTGGGGAATACGCACGGAGTGACGTACCATGAAGGCCACGCCTGGTGGCAAATCGTCATGTTCGGAGGGCAGGAAGGCAGGGCCTTTCCGTCTTCGTGAGCTGTGTGGTAGGTGTAGTTGTTGGGCAGAGGCAGAAGTTTGTCGACTCTGAGATTGCTCAAACTCTACGCGCTCCTTGACACCCTCCACTGCGGATGTATGTTCAGTGAGGTACACAGCTGCAGAAATATTGCACACGCACACTCGTCGTCTAGCTCCAATTCGTCTTCTTGCAGTTTGACTAGGTCATCCTCCAGCTTTAACCTGATGCTGTCCAGGGTAGCGATCTTCCGTGTAATTTCGTCGATCTCGTTGTGGATTAAGCTCTACGGCATGGGATTAGTGTCAGAAGCAGAGAGCACAATCCGCCACGCACTCGTCTAACATGCAAGTTCTCCTTGTCCCGCAAGATCTCATTCTTCTGCCGTGTCAACTCGTCCTGGCCGAGCACCTTCGTCGCCGCGAGACTCTCTCGTCCCCGCCTCCGCTTCTTCTTCCCCTTCCCCAGGCCACCGTGGCGCGCAACGACGACGACGTCATCGTCGCTCGCCAGGTCGTGCTCCTCCTCCTCCGCCGTGAGCAGGCCCCGCGCGTCCATGCCAAGGCGCTTGAGCCCCAGCTTCGGCGTGTCGACATTGCGCATCTGCCGGCGGCGCGTCTTGCCCTGCTCGGAGCTCGGGATCGTCGCGTTGAAGCCGCGGAGGAGCGAGATGTTCGACGCGACGCCGTCCGGCTCCGGGACGTCCACCTGCAGCAGCTCGTCCGTCGCCTCCACGATCTGCAGGTCGCGCGAGGTCAGGCGGCGCGAGCCCAGGCCGATACGCAATGAACCACGGCCTATCGTCGCGAAGTCGACCTTGCGCGAGTCCGAGGAGGTGAGCGCGGGGCGCTGGCCGGCCTGCTTGCTGCTCGCCGCGCTCACCGTCGCGGCCGTCATCTTCGGGGTCATGATCACGGGGGCTACTGGGGGCAAGGGCTATACGTCAACAGGGGTCTCGCAGGCGCGCGCGGAGCCACGCACGGTCAGAGAGGATGCGCGTCGACTCGTGTTTTTTGTGGAACGGGGAGAAGATGGCGCGCTGCATAATTTCGAGCTTGCTGGGTCCTGGGCGCTGCGGCTGCGCGTCCTCATTGCGCTTCGACGACGAGCTCGGCTCGGACGCCATGTTGGTACGGAGCAAGTTACGCGCGCGCGACCGTCCAGGACAACGGGCTGCCGCTCTACAAAGCTCTTTCCCACGCCATTGCGGCCGGCCCCGGGCGCCGCATCGTAGTCCCCTCGGCAAGTGCAAGTTCTCTCTGGAGCCGCGGTGCTCTTTGCTGCCACTTCATCTCTTGAATGCGAATATGGGAGGCGGCAGGTTTGTCTCAGGTTTCAGAAGTTCGACTCATTAACGCGCTTCAAGTGGCCTGTTCATATCAAGGAGCAGCCTTGTGCAAACCTGTAGTCATCCCTGAATCATATCTTGCGCTCAAGAGGCTCCGAAGGGGCGACAGCACCAAAACGTCAGCGAACTGAAGGACACTGACGAGGAGGCCGCTGGTCGGCACGTGAAAAGTTCAACTGTTTCGGTAGTTGCCGAGCCACGCTTTAGCGCTGCTCCCCATTTGAACTTCAACACAACCAAACTCGATAAGCGCTGGCTGCGCCAGCCGCACCCTAGCTTGTCCAGCTCAGCGTGGAAACCCGTATTGCAAGTACTATCTTCCTAGTCGCAGCGGCGCGCCGTTGGATTGGGATCGGCCTCGTCGCGCTTCGTGCAGAACTGGACGACTTAAACTTGAATCCTTACCAAGCTCGCCGCGGCGGCGCTCCTGATACATATACGTCGCCGAATAACCAGAGATTGCGTTGCGCACGCGCAGCGGCTTGTAAGCCTCGCATTATCTGATCCGATTTTGCCTGCAGTTTTGTGCAGCCTCCAGGCCGACTGCAAATAGTCGGCTTGACACACGCTGCTTCTCATATCTTCTCCTGCGCAGAGGCACTGCGAGAAATCCATCCGGCATTGCTAGCAGACCTGAGATCAGGAGCGAAGTGTCGACAAGACAGTAAAGTTCGATTGCGGACGGCCTTCGGCAATCTCCGGGCCGTCGTCGGTGTACTGTGCGTACCGCATCGTATCGTAGGCAAGACGCGGCCTGAAAAGCGTATCCTTAGTACGACTGCACTTTACATGCCTGTTCGTGCCTTTCCTGACATTGCGCACGAAAAGTGAGCATGAAGCACTTGAACACACCATCTGGAATTGAACTCGGGACCTTACAGGCCTTTGTTTGGCTATGTTTACTGTAGCACAGATTCTTCGTGACAATAAAGAGCGTGAGAGCCCTAGACAAGCTATAGGGAACGACTCATCTTCACGGTGAAGTTCACGAACATCTTCCCTAATGACTTTCAACGCAACGTCAACATTTGTCAGTATACAGATAGGTAGTTCACAACAACAGCAAGGTGAAGTCCAAGATGTAGCCTACATTCCCTGCTCAAAATACAAGATTCTCCTTCAGCGCTTGAGTCGCGAACCTCGCGGGGTCCGCGACATCCGCTGCGCCGGCTAAGCTCCCTCGTCTACTTCGCGGGCTCGGCTTCCTCGAGTGGCGGGGGGCCGTCGTCGTCCGAGTCGTCATCCTCATCATCGTCCGCGCTCGTGCCCGACGGGCCCGCGCCGCCCTGGCCCATCTGCGCCATCATCTGCAAGGTATCGTCAGTCTCTGCTCTCTCCCCCACTCAGCGCCAACCACCCTACTCACCTTCTGGATGTCCATCCCGCCCATACCACCCATGCCACCCATGTCGCCCATGCCGCCCATTCCACCCATGCCCGGCATGCCACCCATGAAGTCCTCGTCGTCCGCGGGGCCGGCGCCCTCGCCGTCCTGCTCGTCCTCGTCGACCCACTTGGAGAAGTCGGTCTTGATGAACTGCGAGCGGACCTTCTCCTTCGTGAGGCGCGGCCAGTACTCGGCCTTGGCCTCCTTCTTGCGCAGGTTGAGGACGAGGGAGCGAGAGGTGAGCTTGTGGGAGGAGGACTAGAACAAGACGGTTAGCATTGTGAAGTGAGAGATATAGAGGGGGTTGTGGGATAAAGGGGTGAGTGGGCATAAGTGAGGCGCGGATGAGTGAAGGATGTGAAAGGATGACGAAGGGATACTAGGACGCGCGATCGGGGGCCTTGGGAAGCGAAGAACGCACCTCTGGCACGATCTCTGCGAAAAAGTCGAGGTCGAACGCGTAGTCGCGCTCCTGGATGCCTTTTGCGGCGCTACACGACGCGTCCGTCAGTTTAAGGCGCGCGGGGAAGTACCGAAAGGCGAACGTACTCCCCGGCCTTGGCCTTGAACGAGATCTTCGTCGGCTGGAGATCCAGCTGGAGGGTGTTCTCCTGGATGTCCGGCAGGTTTATCGTCACATACAGCACATTCTGCGACGCGTCCGTCAGCGTTAAGCGCCCTCGATCGCGGGGTGGGGTGCCCGCGCCTACGCACCTTTGTCTCGTCCGTCTCTGAAGAGCGCTGGGCCCAGAGGACCTCAGGATGTAATGCTGAGGACATCGTTGTGGTGGGAGAGTTCAGGTCGAGTGCGCGATGGGGAGATCGCTTTTCAGAGAGGGAGGCGTGAAAGATCTGGAAGATGCGAGAGGCGGATGAACCGTGGGAACGCTGACGTCGCACGTGCGGCATTGTTTTTCGGGCGAGGCGCGCGTCGCTCGGCGCCCTTTGTTCTTCGCGTCGCGTGCGCAAGGCAGTCATGCTGTGAGTACAGCGTGGGGGAGGTCTTCGACGGTTGCTCATCATCAGCAGATGCACGAAATGGTTTCTGCCGCTGTTCTTCCTTCCCTTGCCGACCGCGCCGCCGCTGTTCTTGCTGCTCTTCATAATCTCGCTCGTCGCGCATGCTAAGCCGTGGTATGTGGCACTTCCCTCCCTCCCACACACCTACTCACCTCCCCAGCTTCTACTGCATCATCCTCATCTCCACCATCTTCCTCTCCTCCTGCTACTGGCAGCCCCTCCCCATCGACAGCCCGCTCACCGTGCCCTGGTCCGCCGAGATCACCACCTTCCGCGACGCGCTGCGCGCCGCGCTCGGGGACGACTACGACCCCGCGCTCCAGATACCCCAGTACATCCGCCCCCTCGACCGCTGTTGGTGCGACCTCACCGACGGCATGCTCGAGCCGTTCAACGTGTCGCAGTGGGAGCGCGACTCCGTCATGGCGCTGCGCTACGAGCTCGTGCCGCCGCCGCCTGAGCCCGTCGTCAGGGAGGAGCCGGAGCTCACGCCGGTGTGGAACTGGACGAGGGAGGCAGAGATGACGGCGACGGAGAAGCGGCCGCCACGCACGGAATCTGGCCTGCGGTATGCGACGAGCACGGCTGAGGCGACTCCTTCGTCGACAGTAGAGGCGAAGAAGGATGCTCCCAGCGAGACGCTATGGCGCTGGCTGGGACTCCCGCGGAAGATCGCAGCGTCTTTGCGACACACAGAGGCACCCGAGCCCTCGCAGTCCTCGCAACCGTCACATGCGGATGCTTCACAACCAGATACTCCACCACCTCGGCCTCCACACGACCTGCCTCCTAAGCACCTTCCTCCGCCCCCGGGGAATCTCCCTCCACCTTCAGAGGAACTCGAGCCCTCACCTCCACCCTCACAGCCCGACGCACCGCGACCGATGCTTCTGAAAGAAGACGGTGTGCTCGATCTACGACCGTACGGAATAACACTGTTGCTCGACTTTCGCTGGTCATACCAACCGATTTCATGATCATGGATACTCACATCGATAATAGATCATATCTGACAGAAGCGGCAGAAACAAGCATCTCGAAGTTTGTAAATCTCGTTTGTTAGAAACAAGCTGTGGATGTTCAGAAACTCGGCGAGCGGGCGTTCACACGGCGACGTCAGGGGATCCTTGGGCGCAGACAGTCGCTGCTGCCCGCCAACCCAGAGCTCCAACGCGAGTTTCAAACTCTTTACGAACGTCGCTGGTCGAGTTTCTAGACACCGCGGAGTGTTTTCTGTTTTGGATTTCGCCGCCTCAGATATGGTCTAGTGCCTAGGGACTGTATGATATACCTGTAATATATTGGGGTGGGCTTCGCTTCACTTCGCTGACTCGAATCCATGGGAGGGAATCTGCAATTGAGCGCTCTCAACTTTCCCCTCGTTCATTCCCAACAGAAAATCCAAAAAGCCCACGTTGCATTGCAAGGAAGGTGTGGTAGTACTGTATACAAACAAAAGATATACAGCGCTCGCCAGACTACTCTAACGACCGCAAACGGAGACCAGCCCCGCACTCAGCACCGTGGCGAATCTGAAGTACAGGATCGTCAATCTCCACACCCGCGTCGGCTGCCCGCGCAGCGAGGTCGGCGAGACGCCTCCTAGCGCGGGCCTGAGCGGCGTCGAGGGCGCTGGCGCGTAGGTTGATGCCTCCGCCCCTCGTGTGGCTAGTGGCCTCATCCCTCTTCACGCCCACGCCCTCACCCCTCCTCGCGCCCACATTCGCCGCGCCTTTCCGCGCATCTGCACCAGCGGCGCCCTTCCTGGCGCGCAGCTCGGCAGCGTCCTGCCTGGCGCGCAAGGCGATGGCGCTTGCCCTAGCACGGGTGTAGATGGCCTGCTCCGCGGCGTCGTTCTTCGCACGAGCTTCGAGGGCAGCGTTCGTGGCTCGCGCTTCGAGGGCAGCATTCTTCGCCCGAGCGTCGAGGGCGACCTTGCGTCCACGCGTCATGATTGGCTCTCGAGGACCGGCGACGCCCTGGTGCGCCTTCGTATCCTTCGTCCCAACACCGCCATGCTGGACGACCGGATGTCGAGCTCGAGGACCAGCCACCTTCTTCCCCTCCCCACCCGCAAACATCCTCCGGACCTCCTCTTCAAGGACCTCCGCAATGCCATCACCAGCGACGACCTGCGGGAGGTAGGGCGATTCGACTTGAAGGAGGGGCGATTCCGCTTGGAGGTAGGGCGAGTCTTGGAGCGGGTGGTCGAAATCGTCGGCCAGCGGGTGGTTCGCCACACCCTTGACCGTGACCGGCGCATCGAGCGGGTCATCGGGCACCGAGTCCTGCGGCATGACAGGGAACGTCTCGGGCGTTATAACACCCTCCGAGTCGTCGTCGGTGTCATCGTCCAACTCGCTCCCCTCATCACCACCCGACTCGCTCCCCACCACGGCGGGCGACATCGGCGCATGCACACACCCGTCCGCAATATCCACCTCGCCGTCCCCTACCTCTGCTCCAGGATCCCCCATCTCCAAAAACTCCCGCACCTCATGCCCCTCAACGTAGAGCGTATCCAGGTTCATAACCGCCTCCTTCAACTGCCCGATCGATATTCGTTTCTCCGGTCTAGTGCGGAATATGCGGCGCAAAATCGCGTTGACAGAGTTGGTGATCGGGAGCACCTCAACGAAGTAGAACGGGTTCGTGATGTAGGCCTCGAAGTTCGCGTCGGTGAGCTCGGCGCGGAGCCAGGGGAGGCGGCCGGAGGACATGGCGATGAGGATGACGCCGAGGGCCCAGACATCGGTGGGCCCGTTGGGGAAGGAGGCGACGCGGAAGGCTTTGCTGCCGAGGCATTCTAGGAGGGGTGGTCAGGATTATCGCTTTTTGGGTAAGATGTGGGAGGACGGCAGGACGTACCGGGACTCATGTAGTAGCCCGATCCACAGCCTATGGTTACGGAGTCCGGGTCGCGCGTAGCCAAGCCAAAGTCCGTCAAGTAGAGTCGGCGGAGATCAAGCGAGACGAGGATGTTCTCAGGCTTGAGATCGCGGTGGTAGATCCCGTTTTTGTGGCAGAAAGCGACAGCGTCGAGGATCTGAGCGTAGCCGTCCTGGATGAGTTCTGTGCGACCGACGAAGGCTTTAGACTCGATAGCAGCAAAGAGGTCGTGTCCATCGCAGAGGTCCATGACGAGGAAGAGATAGTCCGGTGTTTCGACAGTCTCGCGGAGAGTGACGATGTTCGGGTGGACGCTGACGATGGCGTGAAGCGTAGACTCGCGGCGTTGATAGAGAGCGCGGCGGGAGGTAGGGTCGGCCTTGACCTGGCATTTGACGGCGTAGAACTTGGGACGTTCCTTGGCGGAGAGAAGATCGAGCGCCTTGTAGACTGCACCGTAGCTGCCGCTGCCTAGGAGATCCTTCAGATAATAGCGGTCGTTCTTCACAGCGAGCCCGGAGAGAGCGTCCAGCGCGGGGCGGGTGGAAGTAGACTTCGAGTTCGCGGTCGCCGGCGACATTGTACTGAGCGAGAGAAGTTGAAAGTGGGGATAGTTTGTGAAGATAAGGATGAATGTGAAGGTGGGATCAACCCGATGAAGATGAAGGCAGGAAGCAAGAGGTGTTGGGCGGGATGGAAATGGATCGCGTGCTTTTGACAGGGGGACGCGTGACCGCGGATGCTGACTCATCCATGGCGGGGAAGACGCGACGCGCTCGCGGGGACGATCTTGTCCCGAACCATCATCAAGTTTGGACGCGCCTAGCCTCCTTCCTCAGCTTCCTCCTATCCGCACAATCACCAAGCTTAGGAGACATTGCACTTCCGCTCAACCGATCAAAGTCAGAACGAAACACACGAGCGCGATGGGAGGTGTAAATTACATGGGCGGTAAAAGGTGCGCAACCAGATCCCTATACCCCCACCTTTCGCTCACGCGTTTTGCTCAGAAACGCTGCACGCTTTCGTGCCAAAGATATGACCTCCCGCATTCAGAAGGGCTTCTTCCGCAAGCAGAAGCTCGCATCGCTCACCAAAGCTCAATCTGGACGTGCCTCAGCCGCGAGCAGGGAAGCAGAGTCGATCAGTCTTTCGCATGCCGTACATCGACGAGACTCTCGCGACGAGGCGCCCACCATTTCACTGCACGTCAAGCGGACGAACAGCACGTCGAGCCGGGTAGCTGAGAAGGAGGAGCCCAGTCGTGTCAAGACTGGTGGTAGATCAGAGTTCCTCGACGCGTTAGATACGACAGAACGTGCGTCATGTTCCTCGGGGACACGATACGTAGCTGATGAGCAATAGCGACCCTGCTTCGCGGCCTGTTAAATCGCGTACTTGCTACGCCAGATCTGGCTGGCTTGTCTACGCGCAAGCGCAAGCGGACCCCTCCTCCCCCTTACACGCCCGCGAAGAGACGCCGAGCCGACGTGCAGGAGGGTGTAATCCGGCGACGCGTATGCAGGCCTTCTCTCTCCGATGCCAATGAATGCTAACGGGAATCCTGTAGGACGATCGACATGTATCGCCCGATACTTCCTACATCATGGTCCCCGCGCACCAGCAGCATAAAAAATCTCCTGAAGAGCCGGTCAACCCCACTATCTCTGCTCGCACCAGTAACCCTTTTGACACCAGCGAAGACGAGTCCGAGCCCTCGCAGACCGACTTCGTGACGAACTATCGTACAAGCACCTGCTCGGATCATCAGCGTACTTCCTGTGAGTGCGCCTCACATGCCACGGTCCTTCTGCTTGATACCTTCGTAGCCACAAACCTTACGAGCCCCGTCTTCGCAGCGAACAACGCTATTCATTCCGCCCGCGTACAGGACTGGCCAGACAACATCTTCGAACACAAAGATCCGTGGAAGTCGATTGGGCGCATCATCGGCCTACATGAAGACGCCATCAAGGGTTCAAATATCAACTTCGCAGATGGACCCCTCGCTTCCGTTCCAGCTTGTCAACCCAATCTCATCGCGGACGACGAAGACGGATGGTTCGAAATCCCATCGACCCCATCTGCGCCATCTCGAGTTTCTCAGCTGCCGAATGCCTCTCGCCATCAAGGAATACATGAACGCCCCGATGACGACTCTCTCGACCCTTTCGAGCTACCTCTCCACCCTCTCGCAGAAGCTTTCCCACCTGGTGGCTCCTCCTATGTTCAAGACCTCTCGAGCCGACCGCCCTCTTCCCTAGCCTCAACCTCGTCGCACTCGCTTCATACGTCTATCTTCCGCGACTCCGTCGATATTGGCGAGCAAGATCGCTTGCGCTCCACAACCGCCGCTTCGACGTCCTCGCCTGCGAGCTTCGCTCTAAAGCAGCCGTCTTCCGATACACGACGCTCCGATGGCCTATCATCTCGATCCAACGCCTCTTCTTCACGACTGAACGGTTCGTCGTCTCGATCGAACGTCTCGTCATTTCGCCCGAACGCTGCCTCGTCCTCTCGAGTGAACGCGCCGTCCTCCCCACCGGACGTGATATCATCCCGAGACAACGAAGCAGGGACTTCTTCCTGCGATGGCAGAACAAGACTCTCCGCTCTCTCTGCTGGATCAAGACTCCTCGCTCTGTCCGATGGATCAAGTCTACTCACTCGACCTTCCGGCCTCACTCGCTCTCCGGCGGCGCGCCTTTTCCTGTCATCAGTGCACTCTGGTTCGAGTCGGCCGACTTCGCGATACGCTCAGTCCGCCGGTCGATACGCTCAGTCCGACGGTCGATACGCTGGATCCGACGGACGATACGCTGGATCCGACACTCAAATACAGCCCTCGACCACTCATGTCTTGACTTCCGACGGCAGCAGCGCCGCCTTTCGTATACAAAGCATATCTTCTCGCGGTCACGAAACCTCTCCCTCGACGCACACCCGCTTCGGCGTCATGTCGCAACTAATCTCTGAAGCGCCCAGTCCAGCTGAATTCCGCCCGAGGACCAGGAAGCCTTTCTACGGAGACCAGCATTCGACATCTACGTCTTCTCCGTTGCGTATCTCGACACGAACGTCCTCGCCTTTGCAACCTAGAGACGCCCCGAAATTTACGGAGACCATTCCTTCTCGAGACCAACTGGTGCACTACGCGTCATCTTCGCCCCATCGCTCGTCCGTACGGCTGGTCCCATCCTCTGTGCGGCTGGTACAGTCCTCGGAGCCTCCACCTGGCGAGTCTCTGCCTGCGCTTAGTCCGCTTCAACCTGCTTCAAGAAAGCCGCTTCGTCCCGCGTTAAGAAAGCCGCTTTCCGACCTTGGCGAACCTCTTCTCCTGTTTGGCAAGTCCTCTGGGAGCCCGCTTTCCGCGCATAGCAAGCCTCTCCTCCCTACATCCGCGCTACCATCCGCCCTGGTCCCACGCCCTCCACCGCTCCCGGCTTCTGACTTCGAACCTCTCACGTCTATTTCGTCTCCATTGCGACCTGCCCTGTACCAGCCGCGCATTAAGGGCACTCCGACTACTTCTAGGACCGGCGGGCTGGACGAAGCTGCGCGAGAACCCGCGCTAGTATACGATCTCTTCGTGCAATCTCCCGAAGGCGGTTTCGAGCCTTTGTGCCACAGCGAGCCCGGGTCTCCAGAGCTATCGCATGCGCCTGTAGAAGACGCGCTTGCAAAGGTTTCGAAACACGCCGACGACGCTGCGGTGGTGCGACGAGAGGAGGATACGGGGACCGCCGGTCGCGCCTCATCTGCCGCTGGGCGGATGACAACGTCTCCCGCTGAGCGCAGTACGCCATATGCCGACGATGCGAAGCCAGCTAAAGACGACGCTAAGCCAGCGAAGGACGCCGACCTATCATCGGCGTTGCTTGTTGCGGCAGGGATAGTGCCGATAGGCGCTGATCCGGGCGACGCGGGGGTCGACGCGGGCAATGGCCCGTGCTTGTTCTTTGGGGACGCCATGGAGGACGAGGTGGACAGTGATGAGTGAGGTATGTAATACTTTGATTCTAAAGGGTAGACATGGTCTCACTTTGATGTCAGATGAGGTTGCGCGCTTGCTGTACCGGAATCGCTGATAGCCCGCATTGTTTTCCTGTATTTGTGCTTGGCCTTGGGTGGCTGAATGTGATAATGGTACGGCCTTTTCTCGCCTCCTTGCCTATTTGCACTGAGCTAACGATCCAAACAGCTTCTGTATGATAGTGTTTCCCGGACTGTACTCTCATGCTTCGCTTCAAACGATATTGTGGATAGACAGGCCAGTCATGCCTTGTGCGCGTTAGTGGCTCCTCAAGGCTCCCGCCGAAAGGTATGCGACTCCGTCTGAGGCCTACGTTCCAACTTACTAGCGCGATGACTGCGATAGAACTTGCAATGTGAAAGGTATAAGAGCACCTTGTATCAGCTCTCCTGGTCAGTAGATTCCTGCCTCTTGCATTCCTGCGCTCCTCGGCGCGGCCTTTCATTCTTTTCGAACACGCTCCTTTTCTTTAACACTATGTTCTCGTTGTCGACCGGCTTGTTGTCCCTCGCCCTTGTCGCGCAGCTCGTGTGTGCAAAGGACGGTTTTGTGTACCGTTCTCGTCCACAGGAGCACCACAGCGGGAGCAACTCGACTATTCTACAGACGCGAAAGACGTGGACGCTCGCCGACAAGTATGAGGGTCAGGCGTTCTTCGAGTACGTGACACTTACAAGTTGAGATTATGAAGGTTGACGAATCGCCCAGCCAGTGGAACTTCTTTGAGTGGGGCGAGTACGTTGAGCTCATTCTGGACTTGGAACAGTATCTAACAATGACCCGTAGCCCTACTCACGGTAGAGTCAACTACCAGAACAAGGAAAACGCACAGAACAAGGGACTTGCATACGTGCAAGGCGATGGAAAATTCGTCATGGCCGTCGATGACAAGAATTGGGTTGGCGTGGGCTCCAACCGCGATTCGTGAGTAGAGTTATTCTCTATGCGGGTCGCGCTGATACATAGTCGGCAGGGTTCGCATCGGCTCGCAGAAGGCTTACACGCAAGGTCTCTTCATCGCAGACCTCCAAGCTATGCCTTTCGGTTGCAGGTACGAGTTATGGCTTCCAAATGCTCTTCGCAAACCTGACACGTGTGCAGCGTTTGGCCCGCCTGGTGGTCCGTGGGCCCCAACTGGCCCAACGGCGGCGAGATCGACGTCCTCGAAGGCGTTCACAACCAAAAAGTGAACCAATACACCCTGCACACCTCCCCAGGCTGCACCATCGACACCGGCGTCCAGGCTACCGGTCAGATCGGCAACCAGCAGTGCGCTGTCGGCGGGAACGACAACACCGGCTGCTTCTTCACGGACACGAACGACAACTCGTACGGGCAGCCGTTCAACGCTGCTGGCGGTGGGGTGTTTGCGCACACCTGGCAGGACGACGGGATCAAGATCTGGCACTTTGCGCGCGACAGCATTCCGGGCGATATCAGCAGTGGAAACCCGAACCCTGATGGCTGGGGCGAGCCCGTGGCGTACTTCAGCTCGAATACTTGCGATATTGGGAGTCACTTCTACGAGCACGGTCTGACGTTCGACATCACACTTTGGTGAGTTTGGACATTTTTCTGTGCGATGCATTGATGCTGATGCATCGTCTCCGTAGCGGTGACTGGGCTGGCGCGACCTACAGCCAAGCAGGCTGCCCCGGATCGTGCGACGAGCGCGTCGCTAACCCCGACAACTTCCACGGCAAGTCGTGGCTCACGCTATCGGTAATTCGAAATCTCATTAATGATTTTAACTAGATGCGAAGTTCATCGTTAACTACGTCGCTGTCTACCAGTGATTGGTCTTTGCAGGAATGAGGGAACTCCACCCGTAAAATACTTATGTCATATTTATTTCTTTATCTATTGCCAGTGGGGCCTACTAGCCAGCTTGTACTCTCCTCGACCATTCCCCCTTGCGAAGCGACATCGCGCAATCTTGCCTCGCGCTCGAACCTCCGGCATTCAAGGTAAGTGCCTCTGCACATGCCTAGTCCGCGTACTGAGATAATTTGCAGCTTCCCGTTGGCGGGCGGCGATCGGTAGTTGCCAACACGCAGTTGACGTCTGAGCGCTATACTGAAGCTTGGCCAAGGCGTTGGCTGTGACCGCCGCCCAAGTGAGTTCTTAATTCAGTCTCTCTTATTGATCCTTGTTGGGACCTTGCATTGGCGGTAACGCGGATCCCTGAACCTCCTTTCGCTGGACACTAGCGTCTGAAATATGGTTGGGGTGATGTGTGCGAATCCCGTACGGATATATCCTCTGGCGGGCGCAGGACGTGACGCACGAGCGCTTTCTGAGATATAAAGGTTCTTGGGCAGTCTTTTACCTTCATCCTGTCCCTTCTCTTCCCCCTTCCCTCTGGTCTTTGCCTGTCTGTATCTATCCCCCGTCTTTCCTTTTCAATCCTTTCTTTTCGTATTCTTGGCAAGATGCTAGCGTTCTCGCTTCGTCTCATCTCCCTTGCTCTTGTGTTGAACACCGTCGCTGCGAGGGACGGCTTCGAATACCGCGCAAAGCACCGTGCGCACGGCAACTCAACCTTGCAGACGAGGAAGACCTGGACACTTGCGGATAAATATCAGGGGCAGGACTTTCTCGAGTGCGTTGAGCATGCTGGCCGCTCCTCATACTTGTTGACATTCTCCACAGCAAGTGGGACTTCTTCTCACAAGCCGAGTGAGTCAGACATTGGATGAAGGCGGCGCGTTTCTTACAACGACTTCCAGTCCTACGCACGGCTCAGTCAACTACCAGGACAAGTCGTCCGCTCAGAGCAAGAACCTGGCTTATGTCCAGGACGATGGTGCTTTTGTGATGGCGGTCGACGACCAGACGCAGCTCAGCGTCGGAGACAAGCGTGATTCGTGAGTATCGCCCTTTGACCTTCTTTGCGCGATGGTTACCTTCGCAAAGGGTCCGCATAAGCTCGAAGAAGTCCTACACTCAGGGCCTGTTCATAGCAGACATCTGGGCTATGCCGCACGGCTGCAGGTACGACTCGGATACGATGGATATCGCCTCCTTACTTACTGTAACCCACTAGCGTCTGGCCTGCTTGGTGGACAGTCGGCCCGAACTGGCCCAACGGTGGCGAAATCGACGTCCTCGAGGGCGTACACGATCAGCACGTCAACCAATACACCCTTCACACCTCCCAAGGCTGCTCCATCGACACCAGCGTCGACGTCACGGGCACGCTCGGCAACCAGCAGTGCGCGGTCGGCGGTGGCGACAACACCGGTTGCGCATTCACTGACAGCGACCCGACCTCGTACGGAAATCCATTCAACGTCCTCGCCGGCGGTGTCTACGCCCACACCTGGACGGACGAGGGGATCAAGATCTGGCACTTTCCCAGGACGAGCATCCCCGCGGATATTACAAGCGGTTCGCCAAACCCGGATTCGTGGGGCGCGCCCGCGGCGTTCTTCAGCGCAAACAACTGCGACATGGGGAGCCACTTCTACGACCATGTACTAACGTTCGACATCACGCTTTGGTGAATTTCCCTGTCACCCTTATTCTGCAATGATGACTGACGATCGTGCAGCGGTGATTGGGCAGGCAGCACCTACGGCAGCGCTGGCTGCCCTGGGTCGTGCGCAGAGCGTGTCGCTAATCCCGCGAACTATAAGTGTAAGTCTGATACCATTTCATCGCAGGAGGCCTTTCTGACCCTCTTGCTCAGACGCCAAGTTCAAGATCAACTACGTCGCTGTCTACCAGTGATCGCAATCACTTTCTGCGCCAGAGGTTGTGGACCACCGTCCCCGTATTCTCCTGCAAACCTGCACTCCCTTCGCTTCATTTATTCTGCTATTTATGTAGGGCTTGTTGTTGCTTTATGTATTGTGTTGAGCGTTTGACGCCGAAAGTCTCTCAAGCAAGATCAAGCACCCGATTCTATAAAAACAATGAGGGGCGGCTACAAGCCAAGCCCAGAGCCGACACTCTATACCCGTATAGAATTACATCCCTAGAAGTATATGCTATGTATACAGGTCGTGAGCGTCGTCAAATAGATACAGCAATCCCGTCGCGCTAGGCGAGTTCATGAAACCTATCGCTCTAGGCGAATATGAAACCCATCGCGCTAGGCGAATGATTTGACCTCTCGCACCAGGCGAAGTCTGACCCGGACCCGGAAAAGAACGTCGAAGAGAGAGTACAATGTGTAAGGAGGGGCGCTTCCTATGTGTGGTTGCCTGAAGTGTCGTTGTATCGCCCGAGGGCGTCGTGAGGTAGTGAGTTTACTGGTAGACGGCGACGTAGTTGACCTTCCACTTGGCAGCTGGAAGGGAAATTAGAGAGGAAGACGATGTAAGCATGAGAGTAGACGTACTGGAGAAGTTGGTCGGGTCAGCAACGCGGTCAGCGCAAGTGCCAGGGCAGCCTGCGCTGCTGTAGGTCGCGCCAGCCCAGTCACCGCTACACAAACTGTCAGCATCCGTCCCGCCCATAATCAACAAGCGCGCTCACCAGAGCGTGATATCGAACGTCAACGTGTGGTCGTAGAAGTGGTTCGTCACATCGCACGAGCTGCTCGACCAGAACGCCGCGGGCGTGCCCCACGAGTCTGGGTTCGGCGCCTTGTTCGTGATGTCCTCCGGGATCGCCGTCCGCGGGAAGTGCCACACCTTGATGCCGTCCGAGTCCCACAAATGCGCGTACACGCCGCCGCCGATCAGGTTGAACCCCGCGCCATACGTCGTCGCGTCGCTGTCGATGTACGCGCAGCCGGTGTTGTCCGCGCCGCTGGACGCGCACTGCGTGGTGGACAGGGCGGCGGCGACCTTGAGGTTCGCGGAGGATGTGGTGCAGCCGTCGGCGGTGTGGAGGGTGTACTGGTTCGTGGTCTGATCGTGGACGCCCTCGAGGATGTCGATCTCGCCGCCGTTCGGCCAGTTGGGGCCGACGGACCACCAGGCGGGCCACAGGCTGCAGCCGTGCGGCATCGCGTAGATGTCAGCGATGAAAAGGCCCTGGTTGTAGGACTTCTGCGAGCTGATGCGGACGCTATATTAAGGGCGGGTTAGTATGTTTAGGGAGGTGATGAGGGAAGTGCGCTACGCACGAGTCGCGGTAGCCGCCCGATGCAAGCCAGGTCGAGTCGTCGACCTTCATGACGAACGTGCCATCGTCCTGGACGTACGCGAGGTTCTTCGCCTGCGCGTTCTCCTTGGTCTGGTAGTTCACCATGCCGTGCGTCGGACTAGAAAATCAACATCAGTACAGAGGCGATGCAAGGAACCATCGAGTACTCACTCGGTGTTCGAGTAGAAGTCCCACTGACTAAATGATTCGTCAGCATCGGGTTCAACTAGGAAGGAGCTGGAAAACGCACTCGAGGAAGGTCTGGCCCTGGTACCAGTCCGCCACGGTGAAGGTCCTGCGCGCAGTGATGTTCGACGCGGCATGACCGCGGTGAGCCCGAGAGCGAGGGAAGGTCTCGTGGCGCCCTTCGACGGCGCAGACCGCGAGCGCGAGTGCAAAAACGCGAAGAGTCGTGGTGTACATCTCGTGTGATAGGATGCTAGAATGGATGGACGGTCGGCTAAGTCTCTAGGACTGATACAACAGATGGAAGATGGAATGCGGCAGACAGGCAAACAACAGAAACAAGGGAAGCGCAGCCAAAGACAGGCAGGGTTACAAAGAAGGTAAGGGTGCGGGTGGGAGATCCTAGGCACGCAGGGATCACCGAAAGGGCGCAGAGAGGTGGGGAAGCAAGGTCAAGTTGAACGGCGCAGCGCCTCTGCTATTTATATGGGCTCGGCCGCGCTGTAACCAATGACAAATTTATCGCAATGTCCGGCCCTTGGCAACGGCCCAGCCAATGGTGCCTGCCCAAAGGCCGCGTGGGACAAAACGCTGCCGATGCATTGTGACCGTTTAGGCAAAGGCGCGTTGTCTGTGTCCAAAAGGTGGCACAACGACCACATTAGGCAGGTCGGATGGGCATCGGGGGAATGTACGTTGCCCGGGGGAATGCAGAGTGCGTCCCTCCCTCCGCTGCTAGCAAACAAAAGGACTTGAAGCAAGTCCGATAACAAGGAGTAAGAATAGGGCTGGCGCTGTGCGCAAACGTGCTCCAGCTATGCTCCTTCTGATGAGATGAGCTCTCCGCGTGATTGGATGCCTTCCGCCTGTGCGATAGCACGGGTCCGCAGCCAAAGGTGACGCGAAAAGCTCCCATTGACGCCGAAGGCTGCGTCAAGGCTCGCCAAGCGATGGGGTGGGCACCTACCCCCTTCTCTGTCGAAGGTTCGGCGGGCGCATACGCCCGTGGAGGAACATGTGTATATCTTGGGATCTTGGCGAACACGATGGGAGGAAGGAAGCAAGGAAACATGTGGAATCGCCTTTTTGGGACACAAAGGAGGAAACGCGTGGCAGGGCACGTGCACCGGTGCTTCTTTGGTTCCGTGGTCAAACAAAAGCAGACTTCAATTGTTGTCGGCTTCATTTTGACTTCATAATCGCTCATACACAACGGTGAGGTCCTTGACTCTGACTGAAGCGGCAGTGAAGCCTGTCAGTGAATAGAAGGCTTGGCTTTCCCTCTGAATGGCGCGGTTGTCGATCGTTCGACGCAAACAAAACAAAGCCCTTAATCCCAAACACTGTCATAACATAGCGAGCATACTAGCGCAATGACCTTGTGCCCTTGTGCATCCGACGCCAAGGTAGCCAATGCAGCCTACAGTGCCTCCCTCTCCTCCTTTGTCAACGGCCTTGACGAGCAATCCATGATCTGCATCCGCGCGGCGCTGACTGCTGTTTGAGTACCGGTCAGGGACACAGAGGCGATACGAGGGACTAACTATGCGTAGCATGCTAGCTTCTCGTCGAGGTACTCCTCCTCATCTACGGCTCGTAAGCATCGCTTGACTAAAGAGATAATGAGCAAGGAACTGTACCTTCGTCATTTGATGGCTGACTCCTGAGCACAAATGCGCAAGACCCGACAGCCGTAAGCATAGCGATGAGCTGGACACCAGCATATCCTGCGGCGGCGAACATGGCGATGGATAGAAGAGGGCGGGCAGATAGATGATTGCGTCGAGAGAGGGAGGCAGTCGCGAACAGCGAACGAAGGACGTGACGACGAGAAGGAAGGATGTCAAGAATTATCTATGCCCAGCAAGTCGTGCAACGCCACCCGCAAAATATAGGCAGGGTCAGGGTCCGAGTCGGGGAGGAAGGGAAATGAAAACGCTGCTGCTCGCCTGCCCCGTTGCTCTTATATCCCAGATGAGCCCCTCCGAGGTTCCGTAATAGTGGATCACAGTCGGCGTTATACTAGATCACTGTCGCCGCCCCATTCAGACTCGTTGACGACGCGACGCGAAAGAATCCAACTGGGACGCAGCCCTGTGGGGAGAGTCGCGTCTGATGTGGCCAACATGAACTCCGAGGTTGTTGAGTTGCGCCGATCGCTGCGAGTCGCCGGCCTCCGCAACTCCCCCCCTGCGGGGTAGGACGGTGTAAACAAACACAGAGACGCGGAGGAACGAGTAAACAGACCACGACTTGAGCTTGAAGCCCGCTTGGAAAGAGGGAGAAGCTCAAAGGAGTACCTTATGAAGCTTCCCGTCATTTTGACTGGGTGTAAAGCATCTACGGTGCAGGGTAGGGTACCGGTCGGCGGCCTCTGGTAAATGTCGAGCTCATTCAGCCGCAGGCCCTGACTTCCAGCACGGTAAACCGGTAGACGATTGTCTCGTAGCAAATACTGCCAGCCAACAGCCTCAAGCGACGCCACAACCGCAGTACCGAGATCGCCGTGGCGGTGGATGATCGTCGTCGTCGTGGACAAGTCGAGGTTCAGTTGCCCACAGGTTTCCCACATCATCCCCACGTGTTCCGATCGGACCGACATCACACTTCGCTTTCCACGTGCCAAATATCACTGATGCGCCATCAGTGGCTGTACGAACGCGCAAGCGCCCAAACCTGCTTTGTCAGGCAAGTGTTATGCTTGACTCGTGCGTTGTCAGCGATGCATGGACTAGGACCTGCTCGAATGTTCCCCATCTGGACGCGCGTCCCCGCATACGCGTCCACCACATACGCGTACGGCTGACAAAGACCAGCGCCATGGACTATAAAACCTGAGGGGCAGGGTCCGTCTCCCTCATTCAGATCCTCAGACGCATCGGCCTCGACGCGCTTCGATCGCAGAATAATCACCGCTACAACTAGTACACCGACCACAGCAAGTACAGAGACTATGTTCTCTTCGATGTATCAACCCTCGCCATACTACCCGCTCCAGGCGGCCTACCACCCCATTCAGCCCCTCAGCCCGCGCGACAAGTACCTGGCGGCCGTGGCAGAGGCCGAGGCAGCGCGCGCCAGCTACCTCGCCGATGAAGCTGCGCGACGGGAGGAGGCGGCCCTCCAGCAGCGGCTCGACGAGCTTCGCGCACGTAGGCAGCGCTTCTCTGCCCCCGGTTCTGTCGACCCCCGCGATCGGCGCCTCTACGAACTTCGCCGCGAGGTGGAGGAAGAAGAGCGCATTCAGCGGGAGTTGACGCTCGCTGCTGAGGCGGAGCGTCGCGAGCAGGAGCTTGCGCACGTCCGATGGGAGATAGAAGAGCAGGCCCGCAGGGAGGAGCGGCAGCGTCAGATCGTTGAAGGAGGTAGCAGGGTACGTCGCCTGCCGTTACATCCTCATCAAGATGCTCACCATCGTCTACAGTCATTTCGGTCCTCTCCATGCCACACGACACACCCGCATCAGAGCCCCTTCCACCGTCCGTATCCTCATCATCAGCCCGTCGCTCGCCAGAGCCATCCTGCGATACTCGAAGTCGTGATCGATGAGCCCTACCAGGCGCCTACTCCCGACGTCCGACCCTCGATTGAAGTCGACATACAGGAGCTCCTTGGCCAACTTTCTGGCTTCGGCAGTGTGAATGCGCAGGAGCCCCTTCAACATCCGCCGCAGACCTCAGCTTGTGCTCCCCCCTCTGCACTCGCGAAGGCTCGGGCTGAGGCTTGGAAGGCGGCTGCCGCTGCTCGCAGAGCGCCTGCTACGTCCGCCAAGGCCTCCCCTTTCGCGAACACGGTTTGTTCTCCCTCGAACAAGGCCTGCCTCACCACTAACAAGCCTTGCCACCCCTCGAGCAAGTCTAGCGAATCGAGTTCCAGCCCTACCGGTCCTACCGCCCCCCAGCTTGACCCCACTGTCCTCGCCGACCTCGCCGGCCAGTTCCTTGGCACCAAGGTCGACCCGGCGCAGGTGAAGAGCGCGATGGATATGTTCTCGGCATTCGTGCCGCAGGCTTCGGCTGCTCAGGCGTCGTTTGGCGCTCGTGCTGCTCCAGCACCGGCTCAGGCATCGTCTCATGCTGCTCACGCACCGACTCCGACTGCAGGCCCTGCAGAGTTTGGCGGTCTTGAAGGTCTCCTTTCGACTTTGTTCGGTGGTGCTCAGGTATGTTGCTTCTTCCCCTTGAATCGCACAAAGGTGCTGACTTGACTCCTCAGACCAACGCTCAACCCCAGGCGTCTTCGTCCTCTGCTCAGGCATCGTCCTCGAAGCCTGCGACCTCTTTTGTTCAGCCTTCTGCCTCTGCTGCCGCCCCATCCGCTAAGCCATCGACTACTGAGCCTTTCAAAGCCTCCCCCTTCGACCCCCTCGCGCCCCTCCGCGCGCAGCTCGCGAGCCGGCTGAACACCGAGGAGGAGGCCGAGATTCGCGACACGATGCACGCGATCATGCTCTCGCTGCAGGACCAGGAGGAGAAGTTTAAGGCTGGATCAGCGGCTGCTGGCGCTGGTGCTGCTGGGTCCAGCGGATCCAGCTCCGGCAACAAGGTCGACACCTCCAGTAAGCCCGACATCACCGTCGACACCACTCAGGCCAAAGGCAAAGGCCGCGCCTCCCCCGAGCCCCCGCGCACGCCGACCTCGCAGGACATCGCCGCCTCGCTCGACACGGTGCGCAACATCGACGCCGCCTTCGCTGCGCTCGCGGGCGACTTTGCGTGGCCCTCGGGGCTGGACTTTACGCCTGTGAGCTCGAGGGAGGCATCTCCCACACGTTCCTCCGGCGACTACGCCGCGCCGGTCGACGATGCCGCCTCCACTTCCACTTCTTCTACCTCCTCCCCCCTTTCCAAGCTCGCGTACACCGCGCGCAATCAGCCCGTCCGGTTCTACGAGCAGTCGCTGAGCGGTCTACTGTCGCAGCTCGATGCCGTGGAGAGCTGGGGGTCGGAGGAGGTGAGGAGGGTACGGAGGGAGGTGGTCGGACGCGTGGGGCGGGCGTTGGAGGAGGTGGAGGGCGAGGTGGAGGGGAGGTGGGGTGTGTGGGTGAGGAGGGAGATGAGGGCGGAGAAGGTGGAGAGGGGCAGGGAGGTGCCAGCGTCTATCACTGAGGAGACGAAGGCCAACGCCGACGCTGTCAAGGTCGATGCGAAGGCGAAGGAGGCGGACGCTGTCAAGGTCGAGGTCGAGGCAGCGCCGGAGCCCGAGTCCCAGGCTCCATCCGTTGCGGAGTCGGTCGTCACTATCCGTCCCGCCCCGGCTCCACAAGCCTCCGAGGAGTCCACCGAGACTGTCGATGCACCCGTTCCGGCCTACGACGACAAGGAAGATTCACCCACCGTCGACACCACTGCTACCTCTGATGCCTCACCTACCTCAACCGACGTCAAAGGCTACGAGGTCGAGTCCTCAGACGGTGCTGCTCAGGGCGCCAACTCTCCCGCCCACCCCGAGGACGCTACTGCCCCATCCGACGCCGACGTGCCAACTTCGCCTTCGTCGATGTCTTCACCCTCCGTCGACACTTTCCTACTCCCTGCGGAGCCCGAAGAGGCTCCTACGAAGAAGGTCGCGCATGCGGAGGGTACCGATAGCGACTGGTCGGAGGTGGAGGCTTAGGTTCGAAGAAGGAGTAGAGACTTGGAACGGACATAGACTGGATTATCTTGACCCTCTCGAACTCGTGTATCGTATCTTATTGTGTAACTAATCATGACTATCTTCCACTTATTCTTTGTGCGTGCGAGATGGGTCTCAACTTGTCCTCAACTTCCAGGTCAAGGATACCCAGGCCAATTACTGAGAGCCTTCAAGTCAGCAATCAGGCCTTCCGGAACGACCTAATTAGGCCCGTAACAAACAAGAATCAACATCTACAACGTCCTTCCCCCTCCATCAGCCTCGTTTGTCTTCTCCCCATCACCCCCATCTTCCCCGTCCACATTTCCCTATCTCATCGTCCATTCTCTCCCCTCACCTCCTCAACGGTCGCCTTCCCGCATTACTAACAGGTTTTCGCCCCGCACCTTACGCGCGTTCTGTTCACCGGAGACGCTTAGACCAGCGCACCCCGCATTTCCCCCACCCATTACTATGGTCGCAATGGGCGAATCAGTCGACAAGTATCCCCCGACGAAGCTAGGAGAGTATGTCGTTCTCGAAGACATTGCGGAGGGAACGTTTGGACGGGTGAAGAGTGCGTTACTCGACATTCACGAAGTTCCGCTGACGAGCCCCTTCCCCCTCAAAGTGGCTCGGCATGTCATCACGGGACACAAGGTCGCGATGAAGTACATCCCCAAGGAGGCTATCAACAAGGACAAGAACAAGACGCGCGTCCGCAAGGAGTTTGAGTACATGCGCGCCCTCCGACATCCTCACATCATCAAGCTGTGCGTCCTAGCCCTTCACCTTGCGCGCTAATTGCCTGACAGTAGACCCAGATACGAAGTCATCTCGACCCCAACGGACATCATCTTCGTCATGGAGTACGCAGGGGGCGAGCTCTTCAACTACCTCATCAACAACGGCCGATTACCCCTCGAGCAGGCCCGGCACTTCTTCCAGCAAATCATTTCCGGCATCGAATACTCTCACCGCCTCAAAATCGTCCATCGAGACTTGAAGCCAGAGAACATCTTGCTCGACGACGACTTGAACATCAAGATTGCCGACTTTGGTCTCTCCAACCAGATCTCTGACGGCGACTTCCTCAGCACGAGTTGCGGCAGCCCGAACTATGCTGCACCCGAGGTCATCATGGGGGCGGTGTACGCTGGGCCGGAGATCGATGTCTGGAGTGCAGGCGCTATCCTGTATGTCATGTTGTGTGGTCGTCTGCCGTTCGAGGAGTCGGACATGACCACGCTCTTCAACAAGATATGCCGTGCGTGCTCATACAATGTTCCTTCTCTATGAGTATGCTAACTCCCCACAGAGGGCAGCTACAGCATCCCCTCCTTCGTTCCTCCCGAAGCCCGCAATCTCATCACGCAAATGCTCACCGTCGACCCCGTCAAGCGCATATCTGTCCCCGATATCACCCAGCACCCCTTCTTCACTACCAACCTGCCGAAATACCTCATTCCCTTACCACCGCCACCGGGGCCTGTCCTTGGTACCCTCACCTCCCTCGTCACCCAACCCAAGACCCTTGACTTTGAGGTCATCGAAGGTTTGGGGAGGATAGAGGAGAACATCGTCGACGATCTGGCCTCGCGCATGATCGGCGTCGACAAGGATGATATTTGGGAAGCCTTACGGCGAGACGACGGCATCCAGGGCAATGCGGTCAAGGTCGCGTATCTGCTCCTACGAGACAAAGGCCGGATGGGCAAAGACAGTGAGTATATCCTACAGTCACCCGCGATCTCTACTGACGTCCCTCAGTCGCGCAGTTCGAGGAGCCCCAACGAGATGCTCAGCTGGCTGTCATGGATGTACGTACTTCCCGTTGCTTGCATCGTATGCATATGCATATCTAATATTCCATCAGCCGCGCAACCTCCTATCCCCCGCCGTCCTTAGTCCGAACGGCGGCGACGAGTCCAATCCCTTCGAGTCCGAGTTCGGGACCTACGACGACGAAGAAGAGGACGAAGACGACCAGGACGACCTCGAGTCCCTCATATCGCCCGCCCCCGAACCCCACCCCGATGTGAACAACTTCGCCGTCCTCAACTCCTCCCTCCCCCAGCCCCAGTCCGCCGCCTCCGATCCACACTCTGCCTCCGAGCCGCACCACCTCCAGTCGTACATGTCCGCGAAGCGCGCGGGCGCGGGCACGCGCGAGCGCGAGCGGCGGCACCGGACCAAGTGGCACTTCGGCATCCGCAGCCGGAGCCCGCCGATGGAGGTCATGCTCGAGATCTACCGCACGCTGAAGACGCTGGGGATGGAGTGGAAGGAGAAGAAGTCGCTGGGCGGGCTCGGGGGCGTCCCGCCGCGCACCTCGTCCGGCCGTGCGGAGCTCTCGCGTGCGCCCGAGCTGGACGGCGTGGACCTGAAGGCGGCGGCGCAGGTGTACTTTGTGGAGACGCGGGCGAGGGTGGGGGATGTGGTGGTGTTGATGAACTTGCAGCTGTACATGGTGGACTCGATCAACTACCTGGTCGATTTTCACCACAAGGGCTCGTATCGGGCGAGCACGGCGGAGGGCGCGGGGAAGTTCGATATGGCGCCGGTGGGCGAGCACCACCATGGGGAGGTGCGGCCGTGCACGATGCTGGATCGGAAGGACAAGGACCAGGGGGCGAAGGAGGACGAGGTGGTGTCGCCGTTTGTGTTTATGGATGTGGCGTGCCGGTTGATCTTGGAGTTGGCGGGTGGAGGCGAGTAGAGGAAGGGAGGCGGCGAGCAAGGATGGCGGGAAGCAGTGAGTGGAGTCAGCGGGAGGAGAGTGAGGAAGGGATGATCTATACTGTATCGTGTGCGACGGATGCTCTGTATTGCTTGCTTTCACATTTGCTGTGTATATTAGCCCACTACATCGATTGACTGTGCTTTCCCGGTCAATCGCTATCAAACAATACCATTCAAGTTTGTATCTGTTCTCGAGTTCGACGAAGGCGCGATTTGTGCGAGATAGAATGAGAGGCTGAAATGAGAAATTGAGAGACTGGGAAGGAGTGTCCGAAAGGCATGATTAGACTATGCAAGCGACTAGCTATAGTAGGGTAAGTAGAATATATACACCGATCAAAGGCATTCTGTGGGGAGTTGTTAGTGGCTGACTTGCTCGAAGGACAAGGAGACGACATACTGCGATGCACAATCCCCGGGCCCGACTCGTCATACTCCTGCTTCGAGCACCACATATTCTGGAACGTCGACAGCGACGCCAAAATCGAGCCGCCGATCCACACGCTGTACTTGCGCTCGGGCGGCGCGACGATCTTGACCTTCATGTTCGCGGGCGCCATATTAGAGAGCTCGCGCTGCATGCGGTCGGAGATGCCCGGGAACATGGTCGTGCCGCCGGACATGACGATATTGCCGTAGAGCTCGCGGCGGATGTCGAGGTCGCAGCGCTGGATGGAGGTGTAGCTAGGGTGGCGGTGAGTAAGGAAGGAGAGGGGGTAGCGGCTGGATAGGGACGTACACCAGGTCGGCGATGCCTCCGGATTCCATGCCGGCGAATGCGGGTTGGAAGAGGACTTCAGGAGCGCGGAAGCTGGTTGAAGACAGTAAGTCTTCGCAGTCAGCCCCGCAAGGCTTGTGCTTACCGTTCGTTTCCGACGGTGATGATCTGACCGTCTGGTAGTTCGTAGCTCTTCTCCAGTGCCGATGACTGCGCCGCGGTTACGAGCTCTTGGTCGAAATCGAGCGCAACGTAGCAGAGCCTCTCCTTGATATCGCGCACAACTTCCTTCTCCGCCGACGTCGTGAAGGTGTACCCGCGCTCCGTCAAGTGCAGCACCAATCGCTCCGTCAGGTCCCTTCCCGCCAAATCCAATCTCTGAATCGCATGCGGCAGCGAGAAGCCCTCGTAGATGGGCACCGTGTGCGTCACCCCGTCGCCCGAGTCGAGCACGATACCCGTCGTCCGCCCGGACGCGTAGAGCGATAGCACGGCCTGGATGGAGACGTGGAACGCGGGCACGTTGAACGTCTCAAACATGATCTGTGTCATCTTCTCCCGGTTCGTCTTCGGGTTGAGCGGCGCCTCGGTGAGGAGGACGGGGTGCTCCTCGGGCGCGACGCGCAGCTCGTTGTAGTAAGTGTGGTGCCAGATCTTCTCCATGTCGTCCCAGTTCGTGACCGTGCCGTGCTCGATGGGGTACTTGAGCGTGAGCACGCCGCGCTTGGCTTGCGCCTCGTCGCTGAGGACGATGAGTATAGAGGATGAGAGCTAGAACTTCCCCGGCTTACCCGACGTATGAGTCCTTGTTGGACAAGCCGACCATCACACCATGGTGTCGAGGGCGACCAACGATAGAACTGCAGCGGGGTCAGCGAGTGGCTTCGGGCGGTTCGCTTAGACACGTACGGGAACACAGCACGAGGGGCGTCGTCGCCTACGATTGTGAGCTGATGTGAAGCCCCTGTTCATGCTAGCACTCACCAGCAACTGTAGACATTATGAGTTTATTTATCAGAGGAGCTTGAATGAGAGGTACTCACATCCTGCTTTGCACATGCCAGAGCCATTGTCGATGACCTGCGCCCCGTTTAGCTTGTTTAAGGATGCCTTCAGGGCACATACCACTGCCTGAATCTCGTCGTCCATGATTGATAGAAAGTATCCGAGTGGTTAGTGTGTGGGCGGAGGGTGATTGTAGCGAGTAAACCCCCGGACCCAAAGCCGACTTTTATATGCATTCCCGCGACGCCGAGATCGTTGTGGGGCACTGCGGGGGGTGCTGCGAACATTAGGAACATCGCGAGCTGAGTACGCGCAGAAACGGGTCTCGGTTGGCGCAGTGGCGAGCAGGCATAGTGAAGGCAAGCGCAGAGATGTCATTCGGTTAGCCCTCGTACCGAGCGTCAAATCGTGATGACGGGGGCTGCGCGTGACTCACACGTTGTTCGACTCGCGTGGGCGCAGCCGTCCATGTCATGCGTTCTGGCAGGAGGGTGTGCGCTGTGCACGTTTCATGGTCTGGACGTGGATATCTGTCTGGCTGCGCGGACTGCGCGTGATTAATTTTTTCCGAAGTGCCCTTGCGTGGTCGGAGTCGAAATCACTTGCGCTTTCGTCGCTTCCTGGTCTTACCCTCTGCGACAAGCCGGGCAGTCCATGCACCACATCCAAAGTCCATTATAGCTCGTTTATAACGCACATAAGGTAGAGTAATATCGAGCAAGGCCGATACAAGAAAATCCGCCCAAAACATTACCTATCTCCCCAACGACTATAATCGCCCCCCTTCGAGCCCTCGGGCGTTTTCGCCGCTACCCCATCCGCAGAAACATCCTGAACGACATCAACGTCATCGAGCAGAGTACGAGATCCACACGGCACATCTCGAATTTCCGTCTGCATAGCAGCAAATTCGTGTGCGTCCATGTGGCCAGCATTTGTGCTCGTGTCGACGGTCTGTCCAAAGGAACGCGTCGTATCTCCTAGACCGGGAGTGAAGCGAAGAGTCTCCTTCGGCTCGCTGACGCTAAGGTAAGTCTCTGCGGTGGAGCGCTTGGTGGCGACGAGCAGGACGATGAATGTAGGATAGATACCCTTCGGAAAAGCGATCAGCGCGGAGGCTGCAGTCAGATAACCTTCGTAGAGACGTACCGCGATGGTGTGGTAAGCGGGCTGAATCACGCCGTATATGTTGATTTTGCCCTTGACTGGCTCTTGGAGACCAGTGACGAGGAAGAGTACCTGATACTGCTGCCTCAGTAAACTACAACGATGACAAACGTCCCCGACTCACCCAGAGCGCGCAGTACAGGAAGCTGGTCTCGACTAGCGCAAGAAGGGTGCCTTCTACCCTATTTAGGCGAGATTGGACGCCGAGGCTGGACTTGATGTTGCGGCGGTAAGTCCTGAGCAAGCGAAGACATCGGCCATTAGCAAGGTGATATGAGCTGAGATAGAGGATTAGGCTCACCAGAGACGTATTCCCATGAGTACTGTTGCCACAAAGTTCGTGGCAAGCAGCGGGACAGTAATGGTCAGAGTGCGCGTCAAGGCCGACTTTCCTTTGTCGCCCTGCAGTGTCCACTGCGCTTGCCATACACTGTTGATTATTGTTCCTGCTGCATGTTGGTCATCAATATGCTGCCCAAGTGGGCTGGGATCGGATAAAGGTACGCACCGACACTCCCGCAAATGCAGAGCACAAGCAAGAACCGCGCCGTCCGACTGTCCGGCCACACCACCCAAGCCCGCCACACGACGATCAAATCACCGACCAAGTACTGGCAGATCTCGTGAGTGGCCAAGTGAGTGGCCAAGGGACGGTTGTAGAACTGCTCCGACTTACGTTGAACCGATGGCTGACGTTCATGACGATGTTCATCCGGTGGAAGAGGGGAATTAGACGGGATGCATTACTGGCGTTGGTCGTGAACTGGATGACGAAGACTACGGTCTGGTCGACGACACCGATTAGGGAGGAAATGAACAGGGCCACAATGGCTACGGTCAGCCATCGAAATCGCGACTTCGAATAGCTATGTAGAGACCGTGAGTTGACTGATTAGTGTGAGAAATTCAAAGCTGCTTGCCTCAGCATAGAAACCGCAGCGATGAATAGAGCGGCTTGAACACCTAGATTGAGCGAGGTCAGAACGCGGTAAAAGATGATCTGCGTGCATCAAAACTTACCGAAGAAGCAAAGGTTGACCGCCGTCTGGATGGCAATCGTCTGCTCGTTAATGACTGCCTGCTGGTTCAAAGGCGCCATGGTGAGCTAGACCCTACGATGGGCGTCGGGACCGCTATGATGGGCGTCGAAAGCACCAAGCGCTTACCGCCCGTGCGACTGTTATACACGCTTCAGACGCACACTACCACCGCCACGCCGCGCTTCGCGTGCCAAGCCCCACGCCGAGGAGAGCAAGATCAGCGAGCAGAAACAGTCTTCCTCCTCATTGGCCGGTATCTGCGGCTGTGGCATCGCCGCGTATCAGGTGTGCTCCCCCGAGGTCTATTCGCCGCGGAGCGCGGATTGCTGTGGGCATACGAGTACTCATAGGGTATGTTAGCAGTCGCTCAGCCTTCTCGCTGCAGTCATGGGAAGAGGTCCTTAGGGGAGTCCAGCGCTTCGAGTTCAAGGAGAGTCAGGTCATGATCTGTGTGGGCAAACTGATGATGGGCGTTAGTTCTAAAGCGGTTCGGCGAATGCCGTGCCATCATCTGTGATACCGTCACTTGACATCAACGACCGTAACGTGCGCAGAACTCTGACCCTCGACAGCCGCCGGTCTTTCCTGCTCTGCAAACAATCAAACACTGTACCCCCTCGTACTTTACATGTTATGATCGTGCACGCAATTCCGCAGGATCCCCCCTCAGCGGCCGCCGTTGGAGACGCCTCAAATGTCTCTCAAAGGAGCCTGCATTACTACTTCGAGGACGGAGATTTGGCCATAAAGGTAACCGTCACGCCCTCATGAAGACTTCCGCTATGTCATGCTGAACGTAAGATACGTCTCACTAGGTTGAAAACACGCTATATCGGATTCACTCCTTTCACCTGCAAAGGTCAACCACGCGCCTTGACTGGCTCCTTGCAGCTTGGAGAAGCACTCCTACTAGATCAGCAGAGCACGGAGAACCAGATGTAAAGCCAATGCTTCTTCCCGACGTCAAATGCAAAGACTTCGATGGCTTGCTCTGGTTCTTCTATGAGTCTGGATACAGCTGGTAAGTGCCTCGTCGGTCGACTACTCGTATTCTGGAACGCTGAAAACCACTAGGAGCGATGAGGCGGACACATCCATGAACGAAATATGGAACAGCGTTCTGCTGCTCGCCGAGGAGTTTGAGATGGAGCAAGTCGCCAGGGTCGCCTGCCACGCTCTCGCTCGCGCCCGCGCCCTCAATGACATCCTGAAAATATCCCTCTACGTCAGGCACAAGATGCCAGACGACTGGGTTATGGAGGCTATCAAGCATACTATCTGCCGCAAGGAGCCCTTGACCTTGTCGGAGGCGCGCCTGGTGAAAGGCGACATGGCTGCGCTGCTCGCCCGGTCGCGCGAAGAATGTCTAATGGGGTCCCTCGACCCCGCCCCATGCTCCCAGCCGACCTGCTCCATCTGTTCGATAGTGACCCCGGGAGCGAAGGCCATCTGCCACAAGGGCATCCATATCTGCCGTAACACGGGCAACTTGATGCCGCACGCAATGCCGTGCACCTCGACGCCGACCCCGAGGGATATTGCGGCGAGATGCGCGAAGCGATTGATTGCCACATTCAAGGGTGTGTAGGACTCAACTCCGCTCGTGCGCCTTGTCCTGAGGCTCATCTACAGTGGAGAGCCCCAGGAAAATGGGTAATGCGATACTCGAATCGCGAAGCAGGCTATGGGGCTGTCAGAGCGGCGATATATTCTTGCAGGTCAGTTCATCGGTATCTGCCCTCAACTTGGCGCTCATGCTGTTACCAAAGGTTGAGGGTCATCTCTTCCGTATGCACTCGTATCATCTCAAGCGGGCTTCCCTCGTCTTCTCGGACATGTTCAGGCTACCTACATCGCCTGCAAACTCGGAAGAGGGCGCGACCGAGAACGACCCCGTCGTCCTCGACGTGAAGGCTGAGGACTTCGAAAACCTACTCTGGTTCTTCTACGACTCGCCATACGAATGGTATTTCCCTCCCCCCATCACCCTCTCCCCCTCTTCTTCCTCCCCACTCACTTACCTCTTCACCCAGGTCCCCCACCCCCGACCCCACTTCCCTCCCCAAATGGGAGTCTGTCCTCAAGCTCGCCGACATCTTCGACATGCGCGACGCCAGCGTCGTCGCCCTCCACGCCCTCGACCGCGCGGGCACGCTCTGCGACGTGCGCAAAATCGCCCTGAGCGTCAAATTGGGCCTCGGCCGCAACTGGGCGTGGGCGTCGATCAAGCGGCTCTGCACGCGCGAGGAGGCGGTCACGATTGAGGAGGCATGCGAGATGGGGCCGGCCATGACGGCGTCGATAGCGCTGGCGAGGGAGACATTGTTGAAGAAGGTGCGCAAGGTGGATTTTTTGTGAATTGCGCTGCTGATGGAGGTGGACAGGGCAAGAAGGGCAAGGTCGAGGAGACTCTGCGAAGTTGCATACCGGATATAGGCGTGGATAAATAATGCGCGTCCATGATCTACCTACGACACCACGCACACGAACATCCGTGCCGACCGAATCTATATTATAGGCCGTACCCAATCTACTGAACCGTGTATACAGTACGTATACTCCCTCTATTAAGGATTACGATCCCAATTATACAGCGCCATACCGCCGCGACCATCTCCATCTAATTAGTAGACAAATCTGCGTAATCTTAAGCAACCTGCGCGCAAGACAGCCAACCACAAACATACCTCACAAAACCATCGCCATCGCCGTGTAGATCGCCGCGTCGGCGGACGTCTTCACGATCGAGTCGGCCTCCCCGTCCCACAACCACTCCATCATCCATCTGAACATCGTCTGGCGAAAGCCGCCGGATGGCGCAGGTTTAGACTCCTCCGCGCTCTCGACAGCAGCGCTAGTCCTCGTGAACCCGGACAGACGCAGAGACCGCAGTCTAGGAGTGATCTCGCCGCGTACAATTTCGAGAGCGTTGCGCCCGGGAAGGTCGGCCTCCAGATCGCCTATATCCCTCTGCGGGTAGAAGTCGTTGACTTTGGCGACGACAGTGTCCCGCAGCGAGTGAAGGTGCCAGGCAAGTCGTTCGCGAGCGGTAGACCTGTTGAAGCGGTGCTTGAGACGCTGGACAAGCTGCCGGCGCAGACTTGCAACAGATACGGCGGTAGGAGGGGGAGCCACATCGGCCTTGGCGACAAGCGAGAGGGGTCGAAGGCCTCCTGAGAATCGAGGGCGGGAGCTCGCGGCGTCAGAGACAGTGCGCCGAACTTCCGGCCGCTTCGTCGCAAGGTCCAGGACGCGACCATGCTGATCATTCGAAACTTGCTGTGAGTAGCGATTGAACTCGAGCGTCTGCGAGTTTTTATATCCGATGCTACGACGAGCCTGCTGCCGGAGTGAGGGTGGTGCACATATCGTCGTAGGGCGAGGCTTTCGACCAGAGCGCGTGACAACCTGAGAAGCGGAGGGAGTCCAGGTTGGCTTTGGCGAGAAGGCTTCGAACTCGGAGCAGGTGGTCGCCGGCGAGGAGATGTCCGAGAACTCGGAGCAAGAGAACGCGGGCGAGTTTTCCGCGCTGGACAGAAAGCTTGAAGCGAGGGAAAGCCGACGAGAATTAAGGCGATCCGGTACGACGCGCTCGACGCCGTCGATCGATACGATGTGGACGCCGTGAGACAGCTGTTTGCCTGAGAGCCCGTGGTTTTCACGAAGGGCGGAGGCCTTGGAAAGCAGAACATCGGAGGTGTGCTGGAGGTACGTCAAGTTGCCGATGATCTACGAGTCTGAGCATCAGTACGGCGAAGACATCGACAATGTGTCTAACTGACCATGCTTGAGCGACGGATGTCATTAGGCGAGTAGATGGCCATTATAGTGTAAAGAGCGTATCGTAAAGATCGTGGAGAAATAGATATGTGCAAAGGCGAGATAGTCTGTCTTGAGGATAGCAATGTGGTGGCGGGAAGCAAGGAAGCGACTGGAGGGTGCGGAACAATCGTCCTCGCGGCGCGTCACACTCACGAGGGCGTGACATGGGCGTCAGTGCCGCTCCCCAACGTAGTCTTGAACGTCATCATCACCGTCATGGCCCTCCAACGTCCTGAATATAAAGGGCATGCCCATGAGCAACGACCCCTCATTCTCCTCTCCCCACTTTTGGCGACGTAACCTATCCCACTTGTTTTCAACGTCCATCATCATGTTCCAGTTCACTGCTACTGCTTCTCGCACTGTCGCGCGCTCTGCGCGCACCTTGCACACGACTCCCGTCGCCCGCAAGACCGTGACGGAGACGGTCAAGGAGACGGCTGACACAGTACGTCTTTAGTTCGTCCCCACTGCTCAGTAACTTACCCACATCCAGTTGAACAAGAAGGTCGGCCAGACCCTCGCGAAGGGCATTGAGAAGGGCGAGAAGGCCTCGCAAACAACCAAGGAAACCATCAGTACGTCTTGCATATGCTATTGCTTGCAATCGGAGTGCTTAATGTCCTTTTAGACTCCACCGCAGCCTCCACTAAGCAGAAGGCAGAGGAGACCAGTGAGCAGGCAAGCCACAAGGCAAATCAGGTGAGCAACTTGCTTGTCTGTCATGGCGTTCATCGTTGCTCACGAAGTCATGTAGGCCGCTGCTGGCGCCCGCGAAGCAAAGGAGGACTTCAAGAAGAACGTCAAGGAGTAAACGGCAGGCGCTATGAAGGAGCATCTGCATCATCATCCAATGTATTTATAGGCCTTTTGCAACACGGACTTGCTCCTCGTGCACCTTTGTCTGTATCCCTTCATCGTCTTGTCTAATCATGGGCCGTGTAAGAAGACTAGCGAACGAGCATCGCAAGAAAGCGTTGAACAGTGATGACGTCGCATGACGTCACGCGTCATCGTCTATTGTCCGGTTTAGGAAGCTCTTGTACTTCTTGATCCCAACCGTCATCATGTACTCGCGCCCCAACACTGGTCGCCCGACGACGGGCGCGTCGTACGCGCCAAACTCGAGGTCGCGCCCCGCAACGAGTCGCCCATATACTGGTTCCAATCGGCCGTGGACCGGGCAAAGCACCAGTGGACGCCCGCAGACGGGTACAGGTAGGCCATGGACAGGGCAGACGCGCCCGGGAACGGGGCGTCCTGGGACAGCGGCGTCGAACTACGTGAGGCACGAAGCTAGCTACATCGTTGCCGTTCTGGAGGGACGCGGCGTCGCCCGCGAGGTCGGGATGGCCGCTCTGGAGAAGGATACCGGCCAGGTCGTGCTCGTGCAGGTGAGTATATGCAGTGGGCCGGGGTATATGCGCCATCTGGGTGGGTATATGCGTGCTGAGAACCGTTTTGTAGATCTCCGACTGTCCGACATACGTGAAGACGCTGCACCAGATGCACCTGCATCGGCCGGCGCTGGTCCTTGTCCCGGACACGTTCGTCGCTTCGGCGGATGGACAAACTACGTCGGGCGGCAAGAGGGTGAACTCAACTTCTGTGCTGGTAGAAGCCATCGAGGACGAGTTCCCTGGTGTACCCGTAGAAGCGGTTGGCAGGAAGTACTGGAACGAGACCAGTGGTACGTGCAGCGCGCCCGATTTAACAGCACATACTGATCGGCCGAAGGACTGGACTTCATTCAGCAGCTTTGTGTCGAAGACGACGAGCGCGCGGGGATACTGCTCGCGGTCGTGAACAAGTGCGTGCCTTACGAGCTGCATACATGCGCCTTCTGACTTGGGGGACTCCAGATACTACACCCTCTCAGCAGCAAGCGCGCTCTTCAAGCATGCAGAGCTCAAGCTCAACATCCGCTTCTCTTCCGGCTCCCTGCGCATCCGCTATGCGCCAGTTGAGGGCACGATGATGATCGACCCGGAGACCGCTCGCAACCTCGAGTTGGTCGGCAATATGACGCACAAGAAGTCCACGCACACACTGTTTGGGTACGTGCGCGCATCTCGTACCTTGTCGTACAGTACACTGACCCATCGATGCCACAGAACTCTCAATCATACCTTCACCGCGATGGGCGCGCGACTGTTGAGGACGAACATCTTGTCACCGATCACGGTCCTTCCGTCTATCGACGCGCGTCTGGATGTTGTCGAGGGTATGCCTATCGAAGGCGCATTAATGAGCACATGTTCAACGTCATCCAGAGTTCGTGAAGACGGAGGACCGCTTCAATGAAGTCAAGGACGCTCTGCGGGTGCTCAACAAGATGGACTTCGACAAGCTCATCGCTTCGGTACATCCTGCTCTTCCCACGTTAGTCAAGCTCATACGAAGCCTCTGGCAGCTCGCAGCCTCGGAAGCGCGCCCGACCAACAACGCGAAGCCCGCATCGACGAGAGTCACGCAGATGCTGAGCCTGAGAAATGCAGTCAAGACGCTTCCGCTTTTGTACAAGGCGCTCGAGGGCAGCCAATCGCAACTCCTGAAGATCATCCGCGATGTGAGCCATGATCAACATGTCTCTGTTTTCTTCCCTCATGTTCTCCCCAGATGCTCGGCGACGAACGGTTGACCAAGATCCAAGAACTAGTCGACGAACGTCTGAACGAGGATAGCACTCCGTCCAAGGTGCGCTCTACCACTCCCCTCCTGCCATCCCGCCTTCCTTTCTCCGTGTCTCCACTACTAACACCCTACTTAGGGCGGTATCGCCGCCGTCAACGCCCGTGTCTATGCCGTGAAAGCGAACTGTAACCGTCTCCTCGACGTCGCGCGCGAGACGTACCGCGAGAACATAGGGGACATCTTCCACCTCAACCGCACGCTGAGCGACGCGCACACGCTGCCGCTCGCGCTTGTGTACCAGGAGAGCACGGGATTTGTATTTACGATGAAGAAGGACGATTTGGAGGGGGAGTTGCCGAGGGGGTTCTTGAATGTGGGGCTGAAGAAGGGGAAGTGGGTGTTTACGAGTATGGAGTTGGTGAGTGGAGGAAGGCGGCGGCGGTCTGGGGGAGTAGGCAGGGAGAGATGCTGACGAACTGTACAGAAGAAGATGAATGCGAGGATGAAGGATGCGCTGGATGAGACGCTGTTGTTGAGCGACAAGTAAGTCACTTTCTTATATCAATAGCGCTTAGCTGACTTGCTTTAGGATTATCCAAGACATGGTCGCGGAGATTATCGTCGACGTAGGCGCGCTTTACAAGGCGTCGGAAGCGGTATGCATATCGTTAGATCACTAGTGCTTGAGTCCTCTGATTCGTCTTAGGTTGCCTTGCTGGACATGCTGTGGTCGTTTGCGCATGCGTCGATCAGTAAGGCTTAATTGTATTCGTCATAGCGTATTGACGCTTACACCCTTTCAGTTCGCAGCTATAGTACGCTCTCGCCTACAGCATTCTCGCGATCGCGACTCATGTCCACGCAGTCAGACCTGAATTCACCGGCACGCTCGCCATCAAGTCTGGCAAGCATCCGATCTTGGAGACCATCCAGTCGGCAGGCTCGGTCGTGCCCAACGATGTGTATTGCGACGACTCGTCGTGCTTCCAGATCGTGCAGGGACCGAAGTGCGCTGAGCTTCGCTACTTTGCGCCGATTCAGGGGAGCTGAAGACGTGTACAGCATGTCGGGAAAGAGTACTTACTTGAGGCAAATTGCGCTCCTCTTGATTGTGGCGATGACGGGCTGCTTCGTGCCAGCGGAGTATGCAAGCTTTCGGTGAGCGCTGCAGTTGCTAGTCGTCTCCTCGTTTATTGATGACCTGAAAGCATTCACGACGCGCTGTTGACTCGATTGTCGAACGACGACGACATTGAACGTAGTCTGAGCACGTTCGCCAGCGAGATGGCCACTTCGGCTATGATACTTGGTGAGTTGGTATGCGTCCGTCTGTCGGACTTCTACCAATGAATGACCAGGCCTTGCGACTCCGAAGAGCCTCATTCTTTTGGACGAGCTCGGCAGAGGGACCTCGCCGAGGGAAGGCGTCGGTATTTCACATGCAATTGCGGAGGCGCTCGTACGCCTGAAGGTATGCTCGAGTTGCTCATTATGTTGTATTCTGTGAAGACGACGTCTGACACACAATACTCGTAGGCTTTTGTCTTCTTCGCCACGTAGTGTTTTCTCTTCTACCGCGGCGTCTAGGAACTGACGCAACGACAGGCACTTCGGCGAGCTTACAACGACGCTCTCGAGGCAGCCGTCGGTCGTCAAGTGCTTGACATGGCTCATGACGCGTTATGTCTGCTGAATACCCCTCTTTTAGTCTTCATTTGTCTGTGCAACGGAGCCGACGAACCACCACAAACTTCGGTGTAACTTTCCAGTATCGGTGCGCTCAGCTACTCGTTTTCAATATCCATGGCTAAGTAGTCTTCAGTATCGTCGACGGAGCCCCTGAAGACGATAGCCACTACGGTTCGTCCACAACCTTTGAATGCTTCACCCCTCCGAGCACGCTTCGCGTCCAGGTCTCGAACTCGCCAGGCTAGCTGATCTACCGAAGGACGTCCTTACCGAAGCGAAGCGCGTCGCTAGTCAGCTGGCCGCTCTGCATGCCCGCCACGAAGAGTCTAGCGAAAGCAACAAGATCGCCATTCGGCGGAAGGCTCTCCTGCGGGTACTTGACCCTTTCTCTGCGCTCGTTTTGGCTCAGTCTCACTGCTTGCCTTTCTTTTGCGCTCTGCCATGCTTACGAACTGGCTCGACTCACCGCTTTCTGGTCGACTCCTCTGGCTCTCCGGGTTCTGCTTTGCGACCTTCTTCGTCGCCTCTTCACCCTTGCTGTCTTTCCCTACCTTCGATCTGGCCCCCACTCGCAGCTCCGCACGCAACTGATACAAGCCTACGAACACTCCGCTCTTCCAGATCAAGAACTTCTGGAATATGTCGCTCGCTTCCAGCGGGATATCGCCAAAGCTTTCGTGACGGTGCAGTGATTTATGAAGGCTCGGAATGAACTGTAAGCTGGCTATGGGACCCTGTCGTACGCCATTGATGAAAGCTGGACGGTACCAGACTGATAAATGAGTTTAGGGCAGCGGCAAACGACATGAAACTCTTCTGTGCGAGAGTATCACTACGGCCACACATACAATGGTCTACATTCAATTCCTCCATCACCCTATTCTGTCGCGCATTCGGAAGACGAACACGTAAGTACGCGAGAGCAGGTGAGGTTGTTGCCTGTCGTCCATGTCTACAATTCTGCAGAACGAACAGGTCGACTGAGGCAATACGAAGTCGGGCATGACGGGCAATCGTCCTTCCCGTCGATCCCGTCCCCCTGATTCGACATGCCTATCGCTAGGCCCCATACGCCTCACGCAATCCCTGGTGTGACAACCTGGGGTGCCGTGGCAAGCCAGGGAGTCTTAGCGTGATTGAACGGGTTGGCGAGTGCAAGGGCACCGTCAACCCTAGCCCCGCGTCGTGCGCCGCCCGCGCTTGCCAGTGTTCCCATTTCCTCGCATCGATTCGCGTATCTTCTTCGCGCTTGCTTTTGGTTACGAGCGGGCCGCCGAAGGCTTCTCCGCAATTCGCTTCGAGCGGCGCGTCGGTTCAGTCTGCGGACCAGCAGTGCGAGAGCGCTTGACCGATCGCTGCTTGTTCTCAGGGGCGGACCGCTTGCGTGGCCGGGTGCGTGCCCCAGAGCCGCGTGCAGATACCTCGCTATCCTCGCCGTCGGGCGAGAGGTCCATAGCGGCAGTGTCCTCCTCCGGCTGCTCTTCGTTGGATTCAGGTCGTGTCCTGCGCTTCTTTCGGCTCTCCTTCCTTCGCTCTTCCTCTTCGCGGTCGAGTTCTGCGAAGATCGCAGCTGCCTCTTCGGATGTGAGCCCTCCTCCTACGGAGGAGCCGCGAAGTTTGCGACGGGGTCGCGGGGGCTCGTCGGGCACAGGTAGGAAGGTGTCGGGGTTCTGGACATAGTGATTGCTGATCTCGCAGAAGGTCTTCTCCATTTCGATATATATGTCATCCAGGAAGAGCTTTGGGTCGTACACGATACGCTTGCTCTCGAGGGTGATGAATGGGGTAGTCAAGTCGGACTAGAGCTTCTCGTCGGCGTCATTTAGGCTGCTCGCAAGTTTGACAACCTTAGCGATCGGTGCACCCTGGCCGTAAAGAGAGTATAGATCCCGCAATAATTGCGAGAGCCTGGCCACCATGGTGATCGTATATGTGCGATCAGGCGAGCCCTCAAGTACGCCAGGAAATAGCTCTATGGCTATACTGCGCAGTAAATTGAGACGAGCGTCCGAGAGATCCGGAATAGACGCAAGCAAGGTTTTGGAGATCTTGCAAAATGTGAAGTCCAAGGCCATCCAGATAACAGACTCGAGATCGTGATAGAAGTTGAATGCAAAGTTCTCGGCGCCTTGAAAGACATCACCGAATATTTTCGGAAGGAATAGATGGGTTTGGTGTTGCACCTCGACGGCGATGTAAGCGGAAGTGCCTGTGATGGGATCGTGTCCTGTACCACCTGTGTACGGGCGCGCGTATTCCAAGTCGGTGATGAAGGTAACCCACTCCTCGAGTGCGAGTTGACGCTGTTTAGACTCAGATGCTCCATCCAGGGCCTTCCGGTAAAGGAGGAAGTTACCGGGGCTAACATCCCTGTGCAGGTATCCGGCGCGCTTCAGGTAGCGTAAAACTGCAAGAACGCTGGTGTTAGTACACGGCCAGTCGAAGGATCTGATCGATAACACACTCTTGGAAATCTGGCTAAGGGCGTGAAAGAATAGCGCAGGATCATCAACAGCGTACAGGTCGATGCATATTTGCGAGTATATAGTCCGACAGTGCTTCTTGTCATGCAGTCGGAGTAGTTCATCTGCCAGCGCTTTCGGGGCATGGCGTGGAGTATTGCCGGAGTCGGGATTCCGCCCTGTGGTGGCCAACTTGATCCGCGCGCGACGTGGCTTCGAGCCTTCATAGTTCTCCTCGCTCTTGAAGTCGTAGCGCTCGGCACCCTTCGGGGGCGCCGGGACATAGCCGGGTCCTTTGCCCTTCTTGAAAGTACCGACGTTCGGGTAGTGCACCACGCCGTCCTCCTCGATGCCAATCATATGCTTCTCCGCGTCGGGCCAGATATCGGCGTGCTTCCTCATCTCGTCCTTGATCGCCTCCTGTATAGAGCTCTCATCTGGAACGTGGTCGTAGACCCAGTAGTCACGGAGCACCTGGGTCTCTGCGGAGTATAAACGCTTAGTCGGATCAGCGATGTCCTTTTCGACCCTGCGAACTGCAAAGACGCGCATGGCACGGTTGTAAAAGGTCTCCGCGAACCTCTCGTTCAGGAGACGCGTTGTCTCGTATACCCTCGGCGTGGGGTCATCCGGGCGGTAGATGTCAAATTGGTACTGCAGATTCCCAGCCTTGTCCATGACGCGCTTGACGGTAGGGTCGATGCCGAGCGTCGTCAGTGGGGCGTACGTGTTGAAGAGGACGAAGTGAATGAACCAGTTGTGGTCCTAAACGACGTTGATCAACGAAGTCGGACACGAGATTGGGGCGCACGTACCTTGTATATGTCGAATGGCTCCGTGACACCAGTATGGGAACGGCTGTGGTTCCACATCCGCATCTGTGAACTCTCGATGGTGAACGTCCAGACCGTCGTGCGCCCGACGTCGTGGTAGAACATGTGACCGGCTTGTCCGAGCACCTTCATCTCGTTCTGTGAAAGTCGTCAGCTAAAGTGTTACCAGATGATCCTAAGCATACGCACATCAACTATCTGGTTGGGGCCCAATTCCAGCTTGCCCTCGCCAGTGCAGGTGACGTCGGCCGTGAGTATCACATCGTCCTCGACTTTGACCGAAGAGTTGCCCACGGTCCCAGCAGTCTTCTCGGTGACAGCCGAGGGATACCCTGAGTGCACGCGAGCGAACAAGGCACCGGCGCGATAAGACGAGCCGTCCACCTCCGAAGTGGTCGTCTTGGTGGGGCGACACATAAACCTCGTCGTGCGCTTCTCGCGAGAGAACCGGCCGGGATACAGCTCCTCAGCAATATCGAGTATACTTTCCACGACAGATTCCATCTTGCGGAAGTGAGCGTCCTCCTTGATCAGAAAAGCTTTCGTGCCGCCCTTCAGCGTACGATGCTTGGGCTTGGGCATCTGCGCCCACTGCTTGTAGCGGTTAATGACGCCGGTTTTAAGTGCACGTCGTTCAATAGCCTCGACTTCCGCCTCTGGGAGTTTCCATTCGGATGCGTAAGTCGCGTAGAAAGAACGCATGCCGCAGAATTTGGTCTTGCCAGCTGCGGCAGCGTCGATATAGCGTTTGCAGCTAGGGTAGAGAGCGTCCATGTCGGTTGTTGCGTACTTGATTTCGGAGACGACGCGAGAGTCCGTTCTGGACTGGGGAGTTGCTTCCTGCTGCTGCGACATGGTGCGGGGAGAAATGATCTGAACGTGCATCGTGCTCGTGAATAGTTTCACTTTTTATGCAACCGTCACAAGAAGGCTGAGGTGTAAAGACCAGGTGGGCAGAGCACAGGCGTGGCCAATGCGTTGATGGTGGCGTAGAACAAGGGCAGCGCGCCTTGTTCTTACACGTGGCATCGGCGTCGGCAAGCTCCGGAAATGCCTCCATTTGGAAGTAGAATGGTTGAACTTTCGGCTGCAAGGTCCTAGCTGCTTTCAGGCGATGCTGATAGGACCTCTCGCCCCCCTTCATTTGGAGCTATGACAAGGCTATCGATGAGGCAGATGAGTTCCCCGACAAGGAGCACAATAAGGCAGAAACCAGCACTCCGTTACACCGCCATGAATCAAAGGGTCTGTGCGCTCTACTCGGCACTGAAGGTCTGGGTATGAGTATCGTCTGCCCTTGCCAGGTATCCAATGTGGGGAGCTGGCGAGATTTTCTATCCGGGTTTCTCAATCCTGCAATAATGCATATGTTTATTGCCCAGCTTGCTTACTCGAGACGAGACTCACGCAGTAGGCTACATGACCCAAGTGCCAGCTTCAATATAACCCAACACAGCGAGAGAAGTTGATAAACGACAGAAAGCGTCCGGCACATATTAGCACAGAAGTGAAAAGACCGCGGCCCAGAGCCCAAGGTATACGACGTCGCGCTGAGTCAACATAGCAGATTTGACACAGCAGCGCGACGCCGCGCCAGGGGATAAAGAAGGGTAATCTTTGCAAAAAAGCGCAGGTCGGTCGTAAAATGAGTATACACAGAAAGCCGTGACGATATATATTTTAAAGAAGGTGCGTAAGCTTAATATAGGGAGCAACACGAGACAGCAAGACACATCAAGAAGAAAATCAAGCGAAGCGACACGGGAACGATGGCTTGCCATTTACCTCTTCCTATCCGCATTCCGTCGCGCCTGAATCGCAGCTGCCGATGTTGATCCTGACGCATCGTCCTCGTATGCCGGTGGAGGGGCATCAAGGTCAGCGTGTTCGGCAGCCTGTTCGTGCGATTGATGCACTGGACCGGCAGACCCGCTAGCGCCCATTGCTTCTGTTGACGGCTGCGTCCGATGCGTCATTGAGTCCGTGCCCGACACCGCTGATCCTACCTCGATCTGCTTCCCATGATGTGGCAGATATCCGACCTGCGAGCCGTACGCCTGCGTCGCAGAGCCTGACGCGGAGCCGGAACCCGAGGACATAGCTTGGGAGCCTGCCTGCGATAGCGCCGCTTGTGATGGGTTTCTGTATAGTCCAGACGCGGACCAAGCGGAGTCAGCCTCGGACTGAGGCGGATGCGCTTGCGAGGGATGCGAGCTCGAGCTCGGCGGGTAGGTCATGACACCGCCCACCACCGCAGGTGGATAGTACGACGATGCGGCATCGGTCGGGGAGTACTGGTTCGCGTACGCGCCATAGGGCGCTTGCGCTTGCCCTTGAGGCGTGTAGCCTGCCTGCGTGGGGTACTGCTGCCCTGGCGATGGCTGTGCGTACTGTGCCTGCGACGCCGGCGCGTTGCCCGCCCAAGCAGGGTCGGTGAACGGTTCCGGGCTCGCCAAGCGCATGGGGGGCTTGTCCGCCTCCTGCTTCCGCTTGCGCCAGAAGAACACGCCGACCCCGATCAGTGCGAGCACGCAAACGACGGGCACGACGACGGCGACGATGACAGTTGTGTGATCGGTTGACGTCGAGTCCGAGGATGCCGACTGGTTGGCGGTGTCGCCGTCGGAACTGGTGGAATTGCTGCTGCCACTGCTAGTGTCATCGTCGTACCTGGGGTGGGGTCAATGAAGTCAGAACGCGCATCCGATGTTTGAGGACGGTCAGGTGGCGTGGGGTAGATGGCAAGGATGGCGACGGGGAGAAGGGGGAGGATACGCACGTATACACGATGTAGTCTAGCAGAATGAGCGACTTGACCCCGTCGACGTGCCCATTCTGAATGGTCAGGTTGTGCCGTCCATTTTCGAGCGAGTCGTGCGAGAATACGGACATGTTGTAGTCGTACCCCGCCTCCCCTGGCGCAATCTTGGCGAAGGTGCCGGCGATGTTGTCGTCGATCCAGAAGGTCATGTCCGAATTACCTGTCGGCGAACTTGATGACCTGGCGAGCACGCAGAACACGTATACCGCCGTCCCTGCGTGCGACATTAGCGCGGCTTATACCTCTACCATCTCTGTATACGCACCCGTGAACTGGAACGACGCGTAAAGCGGCTCATTAGGGAAGTCATTACTTCCTGGCTGCTTGTTGAACTGCGTTCTTGCGTTAGTCTCCGCCGATCGCACTAGCACCAGCCCACACACCGTGCTATCATGCCAGGTCCCGCCAACCAGATTCGTCTCCGCCGGGTGGGCGGTGCACCCGTCGCAGTCGCTCGCGTCGTTCCAGGCGCCGGTCGGGTAATACGTGATCTCGTTTCCGGTGAGCTCGTCCTTCCCGCTGTCGTCGACGGTCACATTCCGGACCGCGGCGTGCGCGCAGGACGCCACAGCGAGCCAGGCTAGAAACGAGTGACGGAGCATCGGCCCGCAGGTGTAAGTGTGGTAGAGGGGGGATGGAGGGGGAGGAGGAGAAGAGGCGAATGAGCGCTTGGGCGCTAGCGGGCGGTGCCGCTGGTAGTGAGCGCAATAACCAGGGTGGGCGATCGGTGATGTTGCTGTTCGAGGGCAGGGCATGTGCTTAGATAAGAGTGCGTTGAAACATCACCCCCTTCAGCGCCCTTCCCAAGCGCCTCCGCGCATGATTGCCTTGCTTGGACTCGGAAACGACGGAAGAAGGTCCACAAAGAGCAGATGGGCGTAGCCCCACTTGAATGAAGCCTGACAGTCCTGACCAGACGTTGCGCATACGGTACCTGTACGGTGCAGAGGGTCCGCAGGAATCAAGTTCAATCAAGTGATCATTCCGGTACTGTTGGCGTTTTAGCGTGTTTTGCATCTACGACGAGAAGAGCGCTCCTGGATGCCACATCCATCGGGTGAGTATCTCTGGTTCGTAGATCTGTCTTCGAGCCCGAGCAACGCTGAGCGCCGCTGGGCGACAAATGGATGACCATGCGGGGCACTGGGGTGCCGAAGTGATGTGTGACAGCTTTGTCACAATGAGTGATCTCAAAGGATTCCCACGGTTCAACTTTCCTTTTCCCACGATAACATTAGTTTGACTGCTTGAGGCTACTGTACGCTACGTGTACATAGGCAAATCGAGGAACAAGAAAGACTAGCTCGATCCTGTCCTACTGCTAATCCTCCAAGGGTCGCTACCCGTGACACTCCTGCTTCTAAAGAAATATCCTCCTCACGAAAAGGGGCTCAAAGCAACTGGTCCCGATTTCCCAAGATTTGCCGGACGTGATGACATGCACATGCAGGACAATTGGCGGGAGGAGGGCACGGTCTGCGATGAGGATGCGGCCGCCTCCGAAAGTTCAGCCTTTCTGCCGGTCGCCGCGTTCGCTCCCGCCGTTCCCCCTTCGTTCAGGCGACGGACGGCTGGCTCCCAGGCAACAGCCAGCTGCCAGGGCGGCCATAAATGAGCTCCGAGGCGCCGAAAGGACTGGACCAAGCGGGGTTTCATATGGGGCATGGGCGCCATCATGAGATGCATCCTCCCGTCATGGCCAGGCTATGCATTCGGCTGGGGAATCTCTCGCCATTGTCCTTGCTGAACGTCCTTCGCCGCGCTGCGGGTAGGAAAGGCGCGGCCGGGGGCGCTCTCGGCTGCCCATGACAAAGCCCGTTTGACCTCGGCAGTATCCACGTGCGAGAAATCAAAAGGCCGGTGGTTCGATAATTTTCGACGGTTGAAGAGGATATCAGCGAGCGCCTACTGGTCCCCACGGCATCTTGTCCTTGACCGCCACCCCACACTCGGCTCGTCATGGCAAATATCCGCTCGCCCGGCGTCGCTGTCCCTTCCGCCGCCGAAACGGCGTTGTACAACATGACCTCCCCCTCCCATTCCTTCCTCCCCAAGGCGCAGGGCGGCTCGACATGGCTCTTCACCACCGCGACCATCGTCGTCTCCCTACTCCTTCTCGAGCAGGCTGTGTACAAGTACAAGAAGCGCCATCTCCCGGGCGCGTCCTGGACAATACCCATCATCGGGAAGTTCATGGACTCATTACACCCGACGCTCGAGAACTACATGAAGCAATGGGCAATGGGCGATCTCAGCGTCGTTAGCGTGTTCAACATGTATGTGCTCGCCCTTTGTACGCGTCTTAGTCTGACAGCCTCTTGTCAGTTTCATCGTGATGGCGGCCTCAAACGACTATTCGCGGAAGATCCTCAACACGCCATGTGCAGAGCCTGCGGTTGTCAACTCTGCGAAGCACGTTCTCTGCCCCGAGAACTGGTGCGTGTACCCCTTACTCGCCTATACCATCTGCTGACCATTGCCTAGGGTGTTCTTGAATGGCAAGGCTCACGTCGAGTACCGTCGCGGTTTGAACGCGCTCTTCACCCGGAAGGCCCTCGGGTGGGATAATATTCACTAAACGCAATCACGTGACTGATTTTCTATAGCTCATACGTCGACATTCAGGACCGTATCGCCAAGGAGCACCTCCAGGACTGGGTTAAGAAGTGCCAGACGACCGGCAAATCGTTCCCCATCATGATGGACGCCCGCTTTATGAACATGGTCACCTCCATCCGCGTCTTCTGCGGCATGTACGTCCCCGACGACGCCATCGCGGAGATTTCGCAGAAGTACTGGGACATCACCGTCGCGCTCGAGCTCGTCAACTTCCCCCTCCCCATTCCCGGCACGAAGATCTACCGCGCGATCCAGGCGCGCAAGGTCGCGTTCAAGTGGCTCGAGCACGCCGCGCACGAGTCGAAGATTGCCATGGCTGCGGGCAAGACCGCGGGCTGCCTGCTCGACGAGTGGTGCCAGGTGCTGAACGACCCGACGTACAAGGGCCGCAAGGACTTTAGCGACCGCGAGATGGCGCTCGTCGTCTTCTCCTTCCTCTTCGCGTCGCAGGATGCGATGAGCAGCGGCCTCACGTACGGCTTCCAGCACCTCGTCGACCACCCGGATGTGTTTGCGAAGATTCGCGAGGAGCTTGACCGCGTCGTTGGCCGTGACCCGCACGCCGTCCTCACCCTTGACCTCCTCGACCAGCTCCCGTACTTGCAAGCCGCCGTCAAGGAGAGCATGCGCGTAAAGCCGCCCGTGACGATGGTAGGCGCCCCTTCTCTCTTTCATTCGACCTCGCTCACTCGCCCTCCTAGATCCCCTACAAGACCGTGAAGCCTTTCCAGATCCGCGAGGACTACACGGTCCCGACCGGCACCCTCCTCATCCCGACCTTCTACAACTCGCTGCACGACCCCGACGTATACCCTGAGCCCGAAGCGTTCAAGCCCGAGCGCTGGCTCGACCCCGAGGGCAGCGCGAACAAGAACCCGAAGAACTGGATCGGGTTCGGCAACGGCGCGCACCGGTGCATCGGGCAGGAGTACGCGCTCATGAACATTGCGCTTGTGCTGGCGAACGCGGTGATGCTGGCGGATTGGGAGCACGACATCACCGAGGATAGCTTCAAAGTCAAGTGAGTGCGGTTTGTTTACTGGGTGGGATGTGTGCTGACGGGTTTTGGCAGAATGATCGCGACCTTGTTCCCTGCGGACGAGTGCAAGATCAAGTTCACGCCGCGCGCGGTGGCATAAGTGTCGCGAGGCGACGCGGTCGTCTTGCGTACTCCGTCTGCATTGGCACACGTTTCTTGTCGCATGATCTTGTCCGTCTTGTGCCACTAGCATGGGTATCCTCGGTTGGGTGGAAAGCAGCAGTATAAACACAAATCATCTGTGGCGGCGCTAGCCACCACGCTCCCTTTGCACGACACTACTGTGCGCGTGCATCCCCCACGACTATGTTTCTTATCGTATAATTTAGAAGAGCGTTCGCATTAGAGTGGACCTTGGTCATACTTTCAGCTATGCGTGCTGTAATAGACAATCTATGAGTTGTCCTGCATCTTGGTTGTTCGTCTGCCTTCCTGATTGCTGGTTCGGAAAAGGTGGGCGGAGGAGTGAGATGAACGCAGGTAAGCACAGGCTTGGCGTATTCCCATTGTCATAAAGTAGGGAAGAAGACCTGCAAGCCTCTCTTAGCTCAGTTGGAAGAGCATCAGACTGTAATGGTTACCGTGTCATCTGGGGGTCGCCTGTTCGAACCAGGCAGAGAGGATTCTTTTGGTTCAGCTTCGTTTTTTGCAGAGCTGGAAAGTAAGCTGAGTTCTTGGTGTAGAAACAATGAAAGAGATCAGAATTCTGACGCATGCTTTGCAAATGTTAATGTTGATCTCAATCATTACCACCACCTCGTTCCTAATCCACTTGTGTTCAAGTCTTCGAGGATACATTCTACGCACAGCAGTGGCTAAGGCTGCCGCCGAATTACATCCCAATGGTGAGCATGTACCAGCTACCTACTGTAAGTACGCATCCGGCGCTAGAGTATCACGGCAAATGCCGAACCATTGTTGATCACCGACATACGCATGACACCCTTTGTTCGACCACCACCACCATCGCGGTGCACTCTACTTGACTCTTCCCCTCTTGTCTTTCATCATTTTCTGTTTGTTTCATTATTTTCTGTCCGCTCATAAGGAAAGGGTGCGCTGTCCATCTCGGCCAAATTATTGCCTGAACGTGGACGAGGCTGTGGCTCATGTTATTTTCCAGTCGCCACGCCATCGCATTCACGTCGCCACCGCGGACTGACAAAATTCAGCCAGCGGACAAATGGACGACGAGTGCCTTCAAGAAGTCCGAGAATGGCTTCGGGGGTGTGCCTCTCGCGCCAACAGAACGCGTGTCACACGCTTGAATTCGTTTTACGACACCTATCTCCCTCAGTGGCAACGACTCTCCGACGACGAATGGTTCAAGCTTCACAGTGCCCTCCTCCGCGATAAGACCCTCGACCGTAAGGGTCAATGGGCCGACCTCCCGCCACCGAAGAAAACTCGCGCGCAGACCGGCAGCAAGACGCGTCGGGCGAACGAAGCCAACCATTTCCGAAGACTCGAGAAGGTTATAGAGGGCGTTTTGGTGGCGGCCGAACGAGCACTCAAGGGACGCTTCGCGCCTGCGAAACGCACGACAAGATTCTCGTGCCGACCTGTGCGAGCGACGCATGGCAAGGCGACAGGCCCGGCCCAGCACGTTGATGCAATGTTCATGAGGAAAGAGTCCTGCTATTCAGGCGGACTCGTGAAGGGCATCAACGCTCAATACCCCTGGAGCGTTGACGACAGCGATGGGGCCGTGACTGCTGACATGACGACCGCCGGCCAACTGAAGCTGGCTTCAGCAGCGACCGATGTTGTTGATGTACGCTCCTCCGATCATCGGCCTCCCTCGTGCTCAGACAAGCTTTACAGAACGAAGAGAAAACATTGCAATACGCCGCTCACGCTATTCGATACGACGTCGGTCGTGCTTTCGTATTATCATTTACCATCGAAGGCTCCCTCATGCGACTCTGGCACCACAGCCGATCTCACTCTGGCGTTTCAGAGCTATTCGACATATACAATGTACGTTGCCCCCTCCACGAACATCCTCCCTCTTGATGCTGACTTTCCTCAGAAGCCGCGGTTGTTTGTCGAATTCATTCTCCTCAATACGTATGCGCCCCCATCGACGCTCGGCATCGATCCCACCGTTCGCCGCGTGCTCGACGATGCGGCGCATCCGCAACACCAGTTTGACATATACGCCAAGGACGGATGCTGCAGGACCTATCAAACCGTCGGCGTAATCGACGACGTCGACTCTTTGCTCCTCTATCCAACCTCCAAGCGAGTTTACAAGGTCAAGCAAGTCATTCAGAACGCCGATTCCCCGCACGAGCGCGTTCTCGACGCGACACCCAACGTCTTGCTCGACTACTGGGTCGACTTGGGCGTGCAGAACGAGAGCACCATTCAGAGGGGTATCATTCACAACCTGGAATCGTCGAACGACTGGCCCGACATCAAGGATCATTTCATGGACATCAAGCATGACGGCCTGGTCCGATATCCATCCTCGGGACCGTTGACGCAAAGCGGCGTCCCGCCCTCCCCTCCGGACTCCATATACTATCACTTCATGGATCAGGTCGACGCCGAAGATGAGCGTTATGCCACCGCGGCGGTCAAGGAGGACAACCTAAAGAAGCGCAATGGTGTCTTCCAACATAGGCCCGACGGGAGTCGCATACCCGTCCCCGAAATGCAGGGCATGAAGCATTGCCGTACCGTGTACGCGCAATATTGCGTGGATTTGGGCTCGATCTCCAGCCCTGCGCTGTTTTTCTTCGCCATGAGCCAGGTCGTCAAGAGTGTGTGTTCTGTTTCGTCGAGGTCGCGCGCGAGCTTAAGCCTTCTGCAGTTCTCAAGTACCTCAAGCGTGCTGGACACGTGCATAGGGATGTTAGTCCCGGCAATTTCTTGCTACACCACAAGAGCGGGACGCTACCCGAGCACGTAAACGCTGAGCTCGATAAATGGACGACTATCATCTCCGATCTCGAATACGCTAGACTTTACCGTGACCGAGGTGCCAACGAGATCCTTAGCGTATGTGCAGTAATAATCTCTTAGTCGGCGATTGACTGACGACGCAATACAGGGAACCCCGGGCTTTATCGCCGTCGAGGTACAAGACCAACGCCATATATTCACGACGGCTCATTACGACTCTGACTGGCGCAAGCCCCCTCCCGCCATCTGCCAGTTCTTCTCTTTCAATTACTACCACGATCTGGAGGGTGCGCTCTGGCTGGCTTTGCACTTCGCGTTCAAGAGGGTTCCCAAGAGCAAACTTGACGCGTCGACACCCTGGGGCCCTGCGGACGATGTCTTGCGCCACTACGCCGCCCGACTCTTCCCTCGCCAACTCGAGCGCACGAGTCATCGCACCCGCGCTCTCATGCACGGCGGTGATCTTGCTTTCTTCGGAGAGGCACTAGTCGCCATCCACGGTCCTGAGGCGCCCATCCTGAAGATCTTCCCCCTCATCACCGCACTCGGTCAAGCGTACGTTCGTGTTGAAGGCAGCACGGATGTACCGATGATCCAGCTGGACAATGGACACCAGGTTCTCGACGACTCGCTCTTCACGGACGAGATCTATGACACGATGGAGGCGACGTTTTGGGAGATCAGCAATGCCTACCTGCAGCAGGATGAGGAGTTCGTCCGGGTACCGCCGCCGCCGCCGTTCGAATACGGCAATGACCGCATGGCATCACCGCCTCAATTTGCTGATGAAGGGCTGGCGGAGGCGGAAGAGCCGGAGAAGATTACGCCGGCTGAAGACGAGAAGGAGGAAGTGTTGTCTCGACCGCCAACGCCCATCGCTGCCCCCGCGACGCGTCCTTGCTCAAAGGGCGCCGAAAATGGTGCTTCGGCCGCCGCCGTTCAAGATGACTCCTTTGAAACTCGAGAAAAGACGCGGAAGCGCACACGCGAGGAAGCTGTTGTAAGCTCAATGCCACCTCGGAAGCGGCTTTGTCCTGGCACTACTTGCCAGCCGACGCGGTGGTCCCGACGGCTAGCGGCCAAGGCTAAGAAAGCGTAGGGCATGAACGCGCAAGTAGGTCTCAAGACTCGGTTGAGCTGTAGCAAGCATCCCAAAACTGCGGGGTAAGGAGGTAGATAGGGAATATATGCCAACGCTAAATGTAACCCGACCTACGGGCGTGTGAGCAGCACACGCCTAGGGCCTTCTTGGATTGACTACACGCCAACTCGCGATTAGAAACTTGGGTTAGAAACTTGGGAATGAATACGAAGAAGGTGCAAGCTAAGCGTCCCTTCAAAATCCTGGCCAGCATGCGGCCGGCCCGGCTCTCGCGGCAAGCTTGAGGAAGCGGAAGCGCGGTGAAGCTATCCAGCCCGAGCTACCGATGCGTGAAGGCAAGCGCGCGCGCGCGCTAAGGGAGTGGCACCTACCAGATCGTCCGACCGCATACGGAGTAGACTGACCGAGAAAGCTCGTCAAGGAGAAGCGCAGGTCGGGATATCATTGCGGTCGAATTCAACCCGCACTACGCAATGCAAGAAGACCCTGGCTGGTGTAGCAATACATTAGATGATACCGGTACGATTACTATAGGGATTGTAGAACAACCGATCACCTTGTCTTTCGTTATGTGATGACATCGGCATGTGCGCGGGATACATTCGATGACCATACTATGCCGTTGATTCCGTAAATTTATTAATTTGCGTGTGAGTAGTCAGATGAATGGATGTTGCAAGTGTTTGCGTCGGTCCGCACGAGCAAGTGAGGGTGCCGCGCGAGCAAGTGAAAGGTTCGCGCGAGCAAGTCAGCACTCGGACTGAAGACGTCGGGGTGGAAGGCTGCTATGACATGGGCCTATATTGAAGCTTTGGGGTCGTCTCTTCTGATAACTCCCACAATTCTGTGGTCATCGGAGCCGGATAGAGTTGCTCGTCCGATGCCTTGAGATGACAGTCGCCGAGAAGTCGCTCCTTCCCGATTAGGCCATAGGGGTGTTCGAGACGCACGTGGCGGCTCAGGTAGATTCCTTGGGCTTTGACCCATTTCTCCCGCGAGAGGTGTCAACTATAGACTCACATATGCCTTTCACTGGGATCTGTGCAGTCTTTTAGTCTGAAACCAGTCGCTCAGCGACCTATACGAAGCTCCTTCGGCTATTTCCGAACAGTCACGCGTCTGGTAAGTCACGTGAATGATGCGGCACCGCGAAGCTGGTGTTGCATCTCGAACTCGACGTTATCGCAACTCAACGAAGGTCGCTTGTCTTCATCAGAGATGAATGCAATAACCGTGCATGACAAGGCCACATGTATTTCACAATCCCTTGAGTTGCTCCCGCGGATGTCCCACTTGCTCGCGCGGACATCCAACTTGCTCGCGCGACGCTCCCTCTTGGTTGCGCGGGACCTTCTCTCGCTCACGCGGAGCTGTTTCTTACTCAAGCGGCGTTGTGTCTTGCTCGCGCGGACCTACCTCTTGCTCGCGGGGACACTGAAATTAGTAGTGACTGAACATTTCTAGACTTGTAACACGCAAATTAATAAATTTACGGAATCAACGGCATAGATGACGGTAACTATTTGCACAGCCCACGTAGGATGCTCGGCATGCTGTAGATGTCGCACGTCTGTGAGATGGAATGGTCGCATCCTGCAGCTCTTGACCTCGCATGAGGCCCTCCGAGATTGTCGGACCCTTTTCTACCACAGATTGGGATGCGCTGCCACCGCCCGCGTGGTCAAAATGGCAAGCATAGTACCGGGATTATTGAAGGGACAGTACGAGCATAAACCAGTCGGAAGTCGACAATGTAATGATGCAGAGCAGACTCAATTGTATAGAAGGTGTGGGGATGATGGTACGGACGAGTACCACGGCTCAAAAGCAGGGAATACTAGATGGGAAGAGGGTAGCGACGTTGCGGATGACGACGGAGGGCCGGAGTAAAGTCGTTCACAGATGCTCAGGCGGAATGGCATATCAGCTTAATTTAGGGAAGCGGATGAGCGTGGCGCATGCGTCTGCATTCCTCAGGCGACCCTGGCTGGCCTTCAGGCTGGTGTGATCATTATCAGCAATATAAAGCCGATGGCGGTTCATTGTCCGAGTCAGAACGCGTCTCCGGCGGCCATGCTTCATGAAATGGAAGGCGTGGCCCCGGGCCACCGTGACCTCGCCGCAGTGCATGTGAATCAAATGTTGAACCGAAATTCTTCCAAAACGGGGAATGTGCCGGCCTCATGGCCATCACGTGACATCCTCGAGGCCTGCGAGACCATGCGGGTCGCGTTTGTTGAACCCGAACCATCAACATCTTCACAGGCCAAACGCGTTTGCCGCCTCCGTCGGGCCATCGCCACGCGCAAATTAACTGGCCTTGGACTCCCCCATAAATAGTGAGTTGTCCCGTCCTCTTTCCTTTCCAGAACGGCCCACATCAAGGCTCGCCACTCCCGGGCTCAACCCTTCCTATCCTCATCGTTCGTGCGCTCACCATGGCCGTCCAGTCTGCTGGCACCAAGGCTTCTTTCAAGCACAGCCCTCTCCGTGCAAGATACGACCTATTCTACGATATGGGCAAAGAAAACCTCGAATGCGATCGCAATCGCCTCCTCGCCAGCGCCCGCGACTCGGACAAAGTCCGTACTTGCTCCGTCGATCTCTTCTGGAAGACGTACGCCAAGTCCTGGAGGCCTTTGACGAGCAGTCAGATGAACGCTCTCACCGCCGCCCTGGACGAAGAGAACGTATATAGGAACAAACGATGGGTCGCGCTGCCAGACGCGAAGAAAGGCGTCGCGGAGGATGTGCATTTCAAGCGCCTCGAGAAGATCTTCTCTAAAGTCACTGCACTAGCAGAGAAGACACTCTCGGGGCGCTTTGAGCCCGCGAGGCGAACGACCAAGTTTCGATGCCGCCCACGGCAGACCACGAGCTCCGAGGTCATGGGCGCGTCGCACAAAGTCGACTCCGTCAACACGCGCACAGACTCTTCCTATCCGGAAGGCTCAAGAGGTCTCCTTGGCAGCGCACGCAACGCGAAGATCAAGATTCGGCGGACTGGCGAACTTGTGTTCACCGCAGACGCCTTGCTAACAGGCGAATTTAAGCTGTTCGACACGCGGGCAGATCAATTCGATGTGCGTACTATGACTTTCCTCTCCTTTCCGATGCTGACCAGATGCTTTTAGAACGCCAAAAAGACTTTTGGTCATGCTGGGCATGCATTCTATAACGACGTCGGCCGCATCGTGGTATTCGCGTACACGATCGAAGGCGCTAAAATGCGCCTCTGGTGTCACACTCGCTCTCACACAGGGATCTCGGAGGAGTTTGACATACACACGGTACGCCGCCCGTGTCTCATATCGACTATCGCTAACATGTTCCTCTAGAACCCTTCCATGTTCATCGACTTCATCCTCTTCAGCACCTACGCCTCTCTTCCCGTTCTTGGTGTCGACACCACTGTTCGCCGCGTCATCGATTCGGACAGGAATATCCAGTACCAATTCGACTTTTACGACCGGAAGACGAACGTCCGAACCACGTATGAGACCACCCGCAGCATCGACGAATCCTCCGCCATGGAGCTCTACTCCCGTTCCATGCGCGTCTTTGAGGTGCATCTGGTCCTCGGCGATCCTTTCGCGAAGAAGCGAGCTTTCGGCAAAGAAACCTTCGTACTGCGCGACTACTATGTTTTCTCCCATGTCAAAAGCGAGCGCGAGATCCAGGGCGGCATCCAGCATCAACTCGAGCTCAAGGGCGTCTGGGAGGAGGCCAAGCCTCACTTCATGCGCATCCGAGAGGACGGTGCCGTCTGGATCCCTCGCTCGGAAGGCGCCGTTCGCCAGACTGTACCCGCTCCTCACGAGAAATCGGAGCCCTACGAATTCATCGATGGCGACAATCCCGCCGGTTCGGGCCCTTCTACGGAGACAATCCGAACGGGCAGGTCCCACCGTACTGGGCAAAGCTCTCTGGCGTATCCGAACGCTGTTGAGAAGCCTCTGTCCAAGTTGCACGAGAAGCGACACATGCGCACTGTCTACGAGCAACTCTGTATCGACCTCTACAAAGTTAACGACCCAAAGCTCTTCTTCTTCGCCATGAGTCAAGTTGCCAAGAGTGAGTCTTCGCGTGCAAGAACGGTACACTGTAGATCTGACCCTTTGAATTTCAGTCCTGCGTTACATGAAGCTTGCGGGTTACGTTCATCGGGATGTAAGCCCCGGTAACTTCCTTCTGCACTATATCAAGGAGAACAGTGCTTGCCCCGACCTCGCCTCGATCTCGCAGACTCTCCGAGATGACTGGATCACGATCATCTCTGATCTCGAGTATGCGCGGCCTTTCCTTCACGGATCAGGACACGACGCAATCACGGTGAGTGGTTCGGCGTATCGGTGAGACCTCTTAGCTAAAGATTTCAAAGGGCACCTCGTACTATGTCGCAGTCGAAGTGCAGCATCAGTCGTACGAGTTTGGCCCCCAGCAGACGTACAAGCCCAACTTGCTTGGAGGCCCCAATGAGAGACAAAAGACGGTCTCCGCGAATCCTCATCACTTTTCCTTCAACTTCTTCCACGATGCTGAATCGGCGTTGTGGATGGCACTGGACTTCGTCTGCCGAAAGATCCCGTCGAAGAGGCGAGATTTGGTGACGCCATCCGGGCGGGCAGCTTTGGATGTTCTCAGAGAATACTCCGCCCTGATGTTCGTGCCCCAGATTGAAGGCTCTACGGAACGCTTGAAGTTCATCGAAGATGCCGTACACGCCAAAGCTCTGGAAGAGGCCCTGACCGAAGTGTACGGTGACGATTGCCCCGTCTGGAAGGTCGCTGGTCTCATTGGCCATCTCGCGGAGGCCTATCGCACCATCGAGAAAGCTCCGTTTGATCCCGACATGCTTCTCAAGAACGGTCGCAAGGCTTATGATCCCTCCCTCTTCGCTGACGAGATATACGACATCATGGAAGTTGTGTTCTCGGGCATCAGCGACTACTACGCGGACCCTGCCAACGCCGATGTCTTCGTGTCCATATACGACCCTCCTGCATCGGATCCCCAGCCTGCCGCCGCTGAGGCAGAGGCAGTCGCACCGCCCCAGGACTGCATCCACGACGACGACAATCATGGCGACGGGTATCACACCGACGAGGCGGGCGCTGGGAACTACAGCGATGATGATGAGGAGGACGAGGAAGAGGACCGGGCCACTGGCAGCGATCGCGACGCTCCGGCAGTGTCTGAAAGCTCCAGCGATAACTCTGACGCGACGACCGACGCTCCCGCGACCGGTGGCGACGCGACGGCCAACGTCGCTCCCACGACCGGCGGTGAAGCCCAGGGTACTGCGACCGTTCCTGCTAGTGACAGAGTTCTCAGGAGCAAGAGGAAGCGCGATGACGATCCTTCTCCTGGGCCTCCAGCTCTCGTGCGCACTGTCAGGCGATCGCGTACCAAAGGCGCGGAGCCGTCACGTCGGTCCCGGCGGCTTGCGGAAAGGCAGAACTCCCAGGAGGAAGTGGCGCAGCCCCAGCCTGCTGCCACGGGAGGGCCGGCGCGTCGGCCACGGACGACGCACCCTCCTCCGCCGCCGAAAAAGCAGCGCAGGATCCGTTCGAGATAGGCTAGTTATAGTAACCTCAATGGAGTTAAGCTACTACATTTCTGTTTGCTTTGTATCTTTACATCCGTTGTCTCCCGCATTTAGATGATTGAGAGGTTTCTTACTATCACACGATCTGAGCTCGTTTCCGTCTACGCCTTTAAAATATATGTCCGTGAACCCGAAAATGCCTACAAATTCGCTTTCAGGTCAAAGCTCCCTTAGCTCCCTTCGAAAACCCCGGCCACCCTCAGGACCATAGATCTGCTCTCGCGGAACCGCCGGATTCGCACCCGCCAGCGTCCCCCACACCGCATCGCGTACCCACCCATCGTTCTTCGTTGCAGCGTCGCGAAAGTAGGTCTGCCCTCGCGCGTCCTGGTACGCGAGCGTCTGCTCCGTCGCGCCAGTGCCGTTGATCGCATGTCGAAGTCCTGGCCAGTCGTCCATACCGATCTCCCCGACGGCTCTTTGTATGGATTGCAGGCGCTTGGTCGGGGTGAAGGGAGCGCTGAGCGCACGGGTGTGGGATTGGATCCGTAGGCGCCTGGCACACCCAGTCAGACGCGAATCTGCATGAGAAATGAGAATGCGCACCGTATTGCATCTCGTAAAGCGAGTAATTAGAGAATACCGCTAGGGGGTACTCGAATGCATCGCGTAGTCTTTGTATGCCACCATGCGTTGACGTGGTCGTGCCAATTGTGGACTGATTCGCCCACTGATGTTCGTCAGCGTCGAGCGATACTCGCACCTGCGAGTTTGTGGCAAAGTCGTACCTGCAACCAGCCTTGATCCGCGTAAAGTTGCGAATTGGAGTAACTGGCGCTCTGCTCGAATCGCACTGTCTTGTTTCCTCCCGGCGTCGCCAACTCCGCCTCGATGAGCAAAGAGCGCTTCGCCTCAACCTTCGTCCACACCGTCACATTGCCCTCACTCGCACCGCCAGTCGTCGTAATCTCAGCCCTTGCAGGTGCCTCGTACTTCGTAATCCTCCCACTCGTCGATCCGACACCCAGCCGCAAGTGCAGCCCTCCCGATACGAACCAATTCGAGTTGATGGTGGATCCCACCTCCCCCTGCCCCACCACCGCGAGTGTGATGTTATGCGTCCCATTCGCCGCCGCCGTCGAGCTGTCCAGCAACAATGGAAGCACCGGGGTCAAATCGACCCAGTACGTAGGCGCATCGTACGCCCCGTAGGAAGTCAGAGGGCGCCAGAGGGAGGGTGTGACGCCGCCGGTGTAGATTACTGGGTAGGGCCAGACGATGGCAGCGAGCGTGCCATCGACGAGCACCTGGACCTCGCGGAAGGGGCCTTTGGCGATGAGGCCGGTGCTTGAGGGGAAGTAGGGTGCGAATTCATCAGGCGTGTCTGGGGTGGATCGGGGTTTATCAGGGTGCTGTCTGAGAGGGAAAGGAGAGCTGCCACTTACTGAGGTACCAGAACTCCTCCGCTGAGTTACCAGAACAGTAGACCTCGACAAAGGCTTCCGTCGTGTTAGGCGGGACAGATACCGCCGTGGACCCTCCCGCATCGCTATCAAGGGTGAAGTAGTTCGCCGCATTGGAGACGCCCAGAGACAGCGGCACGATGATGTCTGCTGTCTCTGGCGTAGGAAAGAACCCGGTAGTTGCGTAGAATGTTGCGGTAAGGGTGACTAGAGGAAGATTAGTAGTCAGATCACAATAAAGAGTGGAATGCACCACTTGCCATCGAAGCCGCCATTGAGCAGCCTAAAGCAAATAATTCGAGCGAGCTTCAACGCGGAGACACGGCACGTACAAGCTCTCGTCGACGATGTTACCGAAGTCCATCAGTAGTTCGCCTTCTTGCGCGAATAGCGCAGTGTAATGTGTGACGTCCTTGATCCTATACCAAAAGTCTTGTAGTAGACGGGTGGGTGAGATACACCAACAGCTCACGTCGTCCAAATGGTCCCCGTCTTCGTGGGTTCCGCAGAGGAAGTTCGCCAGACTATATATGTCGATCAGCTGTCTGGTATGGGGGAAACCTCGATCTCACTTTCTGCATGGGATAGATATATGGACTGGCGGGAATTAGCTTCGACTTGTATAATCTGCTCCGGAAGCATCCACTTACGCCCAGTCTATCGTACTGCGTCCCTTTCCTGCATGTCAGTCAGTCAGGGGATAGTTCCATGGGCTGGCCCATCGAAGGAAGTTAGCTCACGAGTAGACAGTTAGATTCAGACTAATCGCCGCCCACTTGCCCACCTCCCCGCACGCTTCGTCCGTCGGCGGCGCGTATGCCACCACTGTGGGCGCGCCGTACGACCCGTCTCCGAAGGTGTGTTGCAGGAGTACCTGCGGAGTAGTCCCATGAGTTTTAACATTTCCTCAAATATTGGCGAGTGAGGGGTCACCTGCGAGCAACTCGTGCCATCGGAGGGAACGACCGGAGGCGCGAAGAGCTGGAGGTCGACGAGCGGGGCGATGGTGGGGTCGTCGGTCATGAGGGGGACGCGCTTGTCCAGGGCATAGGCAGAGTCGTCCGTGGGTCGGTGCGCGAGACCATCGAGGAGGGGCTGAAGTTCTTCTGGGGTGAGTTGGGCGGAGGACGGGAGTGTGGCAACAATGGCAAGCGTCAATAGCCATATGCATATTACTGCCCTCATCGTGGCCTATATCATGCGGGAAGGAAGGTGGGGAAGCATCAAGAGTTGTTCTGGTACCAGTATATATGCGCATGATAATGAAGGTCCGACGCAACACCGACCTGCACATGTGAACGACGGAAGATAGGCAAGTGAGCGCGTGCTATCAGCTAGCGAAGTACCCACGCCATATACGGGCGACCTTGAGAGCTTCTAGTACCCTACAAACCTTTCAGTGACTTCCAGTCGAGTTAAGACAACGTTGGGAGTTCGGGCAGGAACAACGACTTGAGGTTCGAGCAGATCGAAAGTAAATATAATACAAACATGCACGCTACTTAGCTTCACAAGCGCCGCGCCCAGTACCTTGGTTCATTACCCAAGCCGCCTACCATGACCCCAGTTGTGCCCGGACGTCGACCCGGACGCCGCCTGTGCCCGACGAGGGGGCACAACATGCACTCCTGTTCCGCCCAGCCTGAAGCCTCCTTGAGAGCCGCCGCGCGATCCTCTCTCGCCGAACAGATTCCTCAACCACCGCGGTGCTTCGCCAAACGCTAAGCATATCATCAGCATCCTCCTCATTTCACACAACCACCCACAACACGACACTCACCACTCAATGGACCCTGCCCGCCCAGCCCCGCGCCCCACACGCCCCACCACCACAAATGGCCAATCGCCGCGCCTACACAGGACTGCGCGGCCGCGCCCGGCCCGCCCATAAGCAGGTCGAGCCCGACCATGACGAAGGGCATGTAGCGTACGGGGAAGGTGATGAGGCCGAAGAGGCTGCTTTGGGCGCCTGGCGGCGCGAGTTGGGCGGAGAGGTAGGTGAGGCAGACGAGCATGGGGCGCGTGAAGATGAAGGGGTGGAGAGGGGTGGAGGCGATCTGGGAGGTGAGTTAGTCGGTTGGCCGGAGGAGCGGAGGAGGGGGACGAGTAGAGAAGAGGGGCAGGGGAGAGGGTAGGAGGAGGGAGAAGGAGGGCAGGGGAACGTACCACAGTGGCGAAGTTGGCTATGAAGAGTTGCCAGGCGAGGTCAGAGGATCGTCGTGCGTAGGGTCCTTCTTCGAGTTCGTTCGCGGTGCGGCTGTGAGGATGGATCAGCATTGTGTATGTGCTGTAAACGGGGGACGCACTAGAGCATCGCAAGCTCAAAGATGTAGTTGATTCCGCCCCCTGCAAGTTTCAAAGTGAGTTGACACGTCCTTTCATGCGCGCCGTCCGAGCTGACCTCCCAGGAAGAAACTGGTGTACAGTCGCCAAATCTGCTAGGGTGTCAGCGCATCCCCTTTCACCCAGAAAGACTTCCACGCACTTCAAATCTCCGCAACACCAGGTCCTGCACGTACAGCACCTTGTATGGGCTCACGAGGTTCATAAGGGTAGTCAAAGTCACCCCTAGCGAGGACATGCATAGGAAGCGGGTGACTGGGGGTATTTTCCTGATTTCTGCGACAAAGCCATCCATGTTGAAAGTCGTAGAGATGTCGTAAGTTGAGCTGAAGATGGTGGTAGAAGTACAAGTTGCGTTTATTGTGCTTAAGAAAGGCAGCGGAGGCAAGTCGCGCGAAGGTTCCAGTCCGGCCCGGTGCCGACTGACGTGTCGACGGTCGCACGATCACATGAGTGGTGAAGTTCAACTTTGGCTCGAAGTCTGAAATTGCTCGGGCGGGCTCAGTACTCGGTCCGTGTACAATCCAAATCCAAGGCTAAACTGAGTATACAGAGAAAGCTGTATACAAGTACATGGAAGCGGAATTCTAGCTGATCCTCTCTAGTAACTCTGTGAGTATTACTGCGAACCTGTTCCACGCGCTTTTCTAGGTCGAAGAGCTCGCGTCCGAGTCTCGGTAGGCTGTACCCCTCGCTTTCGACGAGCCGCCCTTCCAGCAGGCTGATTCTGTGTCGCAACCTGCTGAGACTGCAGCAAAGCCGCTATCCGTTTAGATCGACGCGTCGGTTCCGCTCCCTTGATACGCGTGCGCCTGACCTTGCGCGCAGGAGCTTGAGGTTCGGTGGACGCGTCGTCGCCGCGCTTCCTCTTCTTCTCAGAAGCTATATCGCAAGCGGCGGCTGAGGAGCCTGAAGTGCCGCTTCCAGCCGCGGTAGCCGCGTCGGTCGTCGTTTTGGCGTCCTCGCTGGTGGTCTTTAACGCCGCCGTACCGTTGTGAGGGCTGTGAGCACCCGAGACATCATCAGCACCAGTCTCATCGTCACTGTAGTTCCCGGCACCCGCTTCTACTGTGTGATAATCTCCGTCGTGGTTGAGATCGCAGTGGAAGTGATCGGAAGGCAGCGGCCGCGGCGCCACCTGCGCCGTCGGATCCGAATCGAGAGGGTCATAGATGGACACGAAGATATCTGCGTTGGCAGGTTCCGCATAGTAGTCGCTGATAGTCAGGAAGACAGTTTCCATAGCGTCGTAGAGCTCGTCAGTGAAGAGCTTGGGGTCGTATGCCGCATGCCCGCTCTTAAATTGAATCGAGGGATCCGATGGGTTGGTGGCTTCCAGAGTAGTATATGCACGTGCAAGCTTATTGACGAGGCCCGCTAGCTGCTTGACGGGACAGTCCGTGCCGTACACTTCCTTCAGAACGTTGTGCAACCGGTAAGTCTCGGCGCCATTCTTGCCCATCAGTTCGTAGCGGCCTGTGGAATCGTAGGAGAAGATCGTCGCGGCATAGTCCCAGAGGAAGTCTCGCGCTGTGAGCTTTCCGGAAGTGATCAGGGCTCGTCTCTTCGAGGAGATCCTTCGGCAGACGAAGTCCAGTGCCATCCACAAGGCCGCTTCGGCGTCGTGATAGAAGTTGTACGCAAAGTGAGGGGGTGGTGGGATAACCGGCCTTTCGTCGTCATCGGAGGAGTCAGGATTGTCGGTGATGATCAAGCGAGGTTCGAATTCATACTCTGGGAGGAAACTGTATCTCTGATAATACACTTCGACAGCAGCGTAGAACGGGGTACCCTGTGCATGTGTAAGTCAAGAAAGGCTGGGCGATGCATCGAGCTATAGCGCACCGGGTTCTGATCGTCCTTAGGGGCATCTAGGTAAGGCCGTGCGAATTCCAGATCGGAGATGATCGTCACCCAGTCCTCGCGGGCGGTTTGGGAGATCGAAGCGGGGTCGGGGAGGGCACCGTTGTTCTTGAGATAGTGCAGGAGGAAGTTACCGGGGCTCACGTCCCGATGAACATGGCCCGCGAGCTTCATGTATCGCAGGACTGCAAGATTTGGAGAATCAGCATGATATGATGACGCCGAAGTAATTGATTTACGCACTTTTGGGGACCTGGCTCATCGCATAGAAGAAGAGCTTGGGATCGTTGACCTTATAGAGGTCGATGCATAGCTGTTCGTAGACGGTGCGCATGTGCTGTTTCTCGTGCAGAGCGGGAGCGGGCACAGTAGTATCGGCCGAGGCAGGGATCCGGACGACGCCGTCCTCCTTGATGCGCATGAAGTGGGGAGCAGCCTCCGCCCAGACGCCTTTGCTCTCGAGTTTTCGTTTGATGCCGTCTTGGATGAAACGCTCCGGATTCTTTTCTTTGACATCGGCGCGGTCGTAGTAGTCACGCAGCACGTGAGGCTCTTTGGCAAGCGTCCGCTCGTTGGCTTGAGGATCGCCAAGAACCTGATGAACCTCGTAGACACGCGTGGAACGAGAGTAGAGCTCCATGGCGAAGGCTTCGTCGAGGCATCTTGTGGTCTCGTACGTCGTCCGGACGTTCGTCTGCGGGTCATAGCAGTCGAATTGGTACTGAAGATTATTGTTCGAATCTGCGACTCTGCGAACAGTGGTGTCGACACCGAGCACGGATAGCGGGGCGTAGGTGCTGAAGAGGATGAACTCGACAAGGTCAAGGAAGTTCTGGAGTAAACTGTCAGCTAGAGCAATATCTAACGGACGGATGGCGCACCGTGTGTATATCGAAAGCCTCAGTGAGCCCCGTGCGAGCGTGCGTATGGCACCAGATACGCATTCGGGTCTTCTCGATTGTGAAGGAGAACACCGCGATGCGCCCGACGTCGTTGTAGAATGCATGCCCAGCGTGCGCGTATTGTTTTTTGATATTCTGTGGACATCTTGTCAGCATTGAAGGGCAGAGAAAGAGCATAGCACGCACATCGAATTGATCTCCCGGCGTGTCGTCTGGCTTGAACTCGCCTGTGACCAGGGCGTCCGCGGTGAGCACAAGTTCGCCAGTTTGCCGGATCCTGATGTAGGAGTTATGCGCGCTTCCCCAGCGACTGCTTGCGCCTTTCGGGTCGGACGCTTCGATGCGCGTGTTGACAGCGTCGACTTTATGTGACGCGCTCGGGACGTCCGCGTCGGCATCAGAGCTGGTGGTAAGCCGTGCGCGACATCGAAAGTTGGTCGTTCGGTTCTCGAGCTTGAAGCGATCGGGAAGGGTCTTCTCTGCCAACATGACCACCTCGGAGAATACCTTCTCTAGCGGATTGAAGTGCACATCTTCTAACACCTTCGGCTTCGGGTCCGGGAGCGCGACCCATCGCCCGTTCCTATAGACGTTTGCCTCGTCTAGCGCGAGGGTGAGAGCGTGTCTTTGTTCTTCATTCAGAGGCTCCCAGCCCGTGGCATACGCAGCGTAGAAATCCTTGACAGAGTAGTAGCGTCGTGTTTTGTCGCAGGTGCGTACATTGATATTGAATCTGCATTCAGAGGGCACCCTACCCATGTTGCAAAGATGATGTTCGCAAGTCGCTCTCACAGAGAGCTGCTCTTGGTCAGTTTGCGGGGGATGATGATGGTTCAGGTTTGAAGTGCGACGAGGATTAAATAGACGCAACACGAGGCAATCATGTGACCGGAATTTGCCGCCATCAGCCATCATATGCCCATTCTGGCAGCCACTGGCACCCGGTTGAAGTCCAGGATCCCTTGCGCTGCCACCCTGCCACACAAGCCCACGATGCAAAATTTGAGGCGTTGCCATCGAAAACAATATAGTATGGAGCATCAAACCGTCATGGGCTGTATATTACTCGATAATGTGTACACGAAACCTGTGAACTAGTAGCCATGGTGGCCGGAGGAGCATGTTCACTCGCTCTCCTCGTCCTCTTCGCTATACTCTTCTGCCTCGTCATCGATGAACCCATTCAGCGCTGGTCCCTCGTCTGAATCATCGTCCTCATCCTCATCCTCATCCTCTCCATCCTCCTCTTCCTCACTATCCTCTGCGCTCTCCTCGTCATCTTCGTCCTCGTCACTGTCCCCGCCGAGAGCAACCTCCTCAATGTCGCCATCCTCTTCGTCGCCGACCTCAACCTCGACGTCCATGCGGGCGTCTTCCTCTTCGCTTTCGCCCTCGACGTAGCGCGCAACTTCGGCCTTCTTGCTGACGGTCTTCGTCTTCTTGCCGCGCGGGGCGACAGGTGCGGGTGCGGGTGCGCTGCGCATCTCGATCTGTGAGAGGACGAGGTCGAGACGGCCGCCGAGGGCGAGCAGGCTCTCGTGCAGGGCCAAGCGCTGCGTGAGCGTGCTGTGCAGGCCAGCAAGCCTCGCGACGAGGTCGGGGATCTGAAGATCGAGTCAGTCAAGGTATTGGGTACACTATGAGCAGATGCTTACTGTCATCAGATGCGCCCCATGCACCGCAAGCACAGTCCGTATCCACGTTACCAGCGCCGTCCCACGCTGCGCGCTCGCACCTCCCCCGCCACCCTTCGCATTCCCAGCCCTGCCACCCCGACCCAAACGCTCAACACACGCATTGATCAGCGGCACCGCCAGCTGAGGCGGCAGCCGCCTTACACTGTTGCGGATGAGGCCCGCATCCGAATGCGCCAAACACGTCTCCAGCAATCGCGCATCCGCCGAGTGCAGCGCCTGCACGAGCGTGCGCGTGAGCGAGGCCGCGGGGACGATACCGATGTCGTCGCGCTTCTTCTTCGAGGCGCCGGCGTGCTTGGGGGTGTCGGAGTCGGATTCGGACTCGGGAGGGGGAACGGCGAGGCGCTCGCCTAGGCTGGCTTCGGCGAGGTCGACGTTGAGATCGCCCTCGGGGGCGTCCTCGACGTCCTCGTCTTGCCCGAGGTCGAGGCCGGAGCGCACGGCGACGCCGGCGGACTCGCCGTATCGCTTTTGCGTACCAGTAGCCTGTGAGAGCCACGTCAGCCTGAGAGCAGTGACGACGTTGTAGATGGACTTACTGAGGTAGCAGACGCAACGAGTCCCGGGTCCACATCCTCCATGACGGTGTCCGAGATGAAGTCCGACGCATCGTCCAGGTATTTCTAAGATGATCATTCAGCTTCAGTGCAGACTGGACGAAAGATCAAACGCACTATAGTCGACAATACGGGCCGCACACCGCCTACAAGGCGTGCAACACATATCTGACCAGGCTGCGGCCCGAAGCATGCCTCCAGCACCTGTGCCGAGGCAGTCGATGCCGACTTCACAGGCGGTGTTATCCGCGTGCGAGGCGAGAGAGTAGGTGCGGATGCGCCAGCAAACTGCTCAGGAAGGAGGTACACGTATATCCTGCCAGCCGTATCGACGGCCAGCATATGTCGTGATGAGGATAGAGAAGCAGTGCGCGCATCGGCGTCGAGAGGTATTGAGGCTACCATCTTGCCCTCTGTACCACTGCTGGGCAGCTCCCACATAGAAACGACGCGATCGCGCTCAGCTACGGACACAAACCGCGTCGGTGGCTCCTGAGATGCGTCCCAACGCAAGATCTGGATCGGTGTAGCGTGACCGGTGAATATTGCGGTTTGGGCAGGCTTTTGAGGCTCGTCATCGGGCGTAGACGATAGGGCGCGTATAGTATGGCTTGCAGCGAGCACTTCAACGTCGGAAGTACCTGGGCGGGCACATAGGGCAGTGAGGGGAACGCGATCGCCCTTCCAATTTCCGACGATCTGGTTTTTGTGGGGGTTCCATATGTGGATCTCGCCATCCTCGCCAGACGTCCACAGGCTACCGTCAGCCGTTGGAGAAATGGCAAGTACAGGGGAGGTAGATGTTGGGCTGGATAGTGTGCGCACGATGCGACCGTGTGAGGGGGAGAAGAGGGAGACCGAGCCATCTGCTAGACCGAGCGCAACGACGTCGATCGCTGGATTCGTGAGGGCATCGGCAGGGGTGTTGGTGCTCTTTCTGCGCTTCTTCTTGGTGGGGGGCGCATCTGCCGGCGCTGCTGAGGTGTCGTCCGAGGTGCTGAGCTTCGCCCAGGCTAAGGAGGAGACGCGCACGGAGGGGACGAGGTACTCGGCAGTCGCCTTGCTTGTGAGGGCGTCGTATACGCGCAGCCGGTGCTTATCCACGACGGGGGTCACCAGCGCAAACAAGTTGCCGCCCGGTGAGAAGGCCGACATCGCGCTCGACAGGAACGCATCGTCTGCAGGGGGTTGGGAGACGGCGGCAGTAGACTTGGGGTGCGACTTGGGCGCCTTGGAGCGCGCCTTCTTCGATTTTGTTGTCGAGGACATGGGGAGAGGTCGTCACACCTTGATAGGCGTATATGACTACGAGTGTAGGGTGTTGATCGCTGTGCACGACGGCGTCGAGCGTTCGGGACAAAAATTTGGACGCCATTGTTTTTCGCCATCAATCACGCATCCGAATGGGGATGCGTGCTTGCAATTGTTTGCGGTCCGGCCCGGATGTTCAGGCACTTTACCAGAAAGTCAGCCATACAGCTTGTTCCTGACCCCCATCTCCTCCCCATCTCCCGTCTCTCGAGATCCGACTCTGCGAGTCTTGCACGCAGTACAGCGAAAGACAAATCTACCGACATTTCCCCCCCCCGTGCCGTACCTGCCTCGCACAGTCCAGAATCGACGAAGCCGGAGCTTATACGCGTTGACCATCGGGTCTTCTCTCATTTCTGCCTCTCATTTATAAGACCACACAATTGAGGATACGACCAGAACTACGACCACCATGTCATCGTCATCAGCAGCGGCAGCCAGCATGAACTATATCCAGGTACGTCTTAGGCGCCTTTCTGATGGATCTCGCTCATCGCACGCGTTCAGCTCGAGAAATTGGGTGAGTGTCTTTGTGGCAAGGTGAATACAGGAGCTCTGAAGCGTGTCTGCTAGGCGAGGGGACGTACGCCACTGTATACAAGGTGCGTTACATCGTCCATGCAGGCGAACGAATCTCATCCGCCACAGGGCCGTTCTCGAACCACGAATGAGATCGTGGCGCTCAAGGAGATACACCTCGACGCAGAAGAAGGAACGCCGTCTACCGCCATCCGCGAGATCTCCCTCATGAAGGAGCTTAAGCACGTCAACATTGTCCGCCTATACGACGTGATCCACACCGAGACCAAGCTCACGCTCATCTTCGAGTTTTGCGACGGCGATCTCAAGCGGCACATGGACCAGCACGGTGACCGCGGCGCGCTTCGCCCCGACGTTGTCCGTTCTTTCATGTACCAGCTCCTCAAGGGCACTGCCTTCTGCCACGAGAACCAAGTCTTACATCGCGATCTCAAGCCGCAAAACCTGCTCATCAACTCGAAGGGCGAGCTCAAGCTGGGTGACTTCGGTCTTGCCCGCGCGTTCGGTGTCCCAGTGAACACGTTTTCGAACGAGGTGCGCTGATCGGCTTTGTGGCGCGGGCGCGCACTGACTCATTCAGGTCGTGACGTTGTGGTACCGTGCGCCCGATGTGCTCTTGGGGTCAAGAACGTACAGCACGTCGATTGATGTGTGGTCGTGCGGGTGCATCTTTGCAGAGATGATCCAGGGCGTGCCGCTATTCCGAGGACGAGACAACCAAGACCAGCTCCTACACATCATGCGCATCATTGGGACCCCGTCGCACGAGCAGCTGCAGAAGATGCAGAAAGATTCGGTACGTGGTCAATTGACTGCTCAGTGCTTCTGCTCACTTTCATCGCAGCCCGAGATTCAGCTGAAGACCTTCCCCCGCTATCCCAAGCTTCCCTTCCAACAATTTGTGCCCAAAGCTTCCCCAGAAGGTGCGCTTTCTCCCGCCTTCGATAGTCGTGCACCTAACCCCTCCCAAGCAATCGACCTCCTGGAGCGTCTCCTCAAGTTTGATCCCGCCGAGCGCATCACCGCCGCCGACGCCCTCAGCCACCCCTACTTCACCAACGTCCAAGCGCCCGCCCAGTTCGCGCCCGCGGGCTCGATGGCGCCGCCCGCCTTCGCCTACCCGCATCCGCACCCGCAAATGCGGCCCCAGCAGCAGCACCAGTACGGCCAGCCGTTCGCGGTGCCAGCGCAGCAGGTGCCGGTGCATCCTCAGCATGTTGCCGCAGCGCAGGCGCAGATGCAGGCTCAGGCTCAGGCGGCGCAGCAGTACCAGGGCATGCCGTATGGTGCGTACCATAGGTGAAGGGGGTGTAACGGTGAAGGGGTAGGGTGTTGATGAAGGAATATCCGTCCGGAAAGGGATACCCACGACGTCGGACATAATGGCTTCATAGATTGCAAGGACCGGCAGGACGGGGATCCTTGTGTTGCTCTGTTTGCTCTCTTTTATTTCTTGGCTCGTATTCTCTTTTGCAACGTGTTGACTACCATGGCCGCTGTATCCTAGTACATCAGAGGATCGTATATGTATTTGTTCAACATGGATTGACTCGGTGGCTATCGCTACGTTGGTTGGGTTGTTCGAGGGCAAACGACAGGATCAAGTCCCATACGGACGGCTCACCAGGTGGGCAGTAATTGAAAGGTAGGTGTATGTAGAACGAGGTCTGGTGAGAGGGAGGTTCGTAGTTTGAAATGTATGTCATCTTCAGAACAATTTCCCTCTTTAGGGCAATCGTTGGGACTTACCTGACTATTGATGCCGTGTATAGTATAGTTGAGCGTCTATCAGGTGTATACTAGAATCTTTGAATGTATACGTCTAACTCTGGCAGAGGTCTGCCGTTGGTCTACATACTGTTTCCGGAAGTTGCGCCCATTGCATTCCAAAAGGGGAAGAAGGCAACATCGGATCGGCGATCAAACAACTGGCTTCTGTCCACGTGACCACCACGCGCGCTCTTTGCGCACAACCATCACCATCGTTATCGGCTCCGCCACAGTTTTTCCACTTCTTGTTCTCATCTCATAGCACTGGACATGGAGAGCCAGAACCTTCCCCCTCTAGCAGCCAAATTTGTACGCAATGCGAAGAAGAGGACTCGCGTCTCAGCTGTCGAAGACTTTTACGCAACGTACGCTCGAGATTGGCCACGTCTATCGACTACGGATGTGGACAAGCTTGTGAAGAAGCTCAAGGTCGCGGGGAACTTGCTGGATACTGAGTGGGCAGCCCTGCCTCTATCAAGGACAAGGACCGGTGGCGAAACTACTTGGTACAACATCGAAGACGAGCACTTTCGTGGTCTTGAGGATGTCTTCAAGAGCGTGATTCGGGCTGCGGAGGAAGAGTTCTCTACCAGGTTCTCTCGCGCTTCTCGGACAACGAACTTTATGTGTCTGCCCAGGCGAAGCATGCAGTTGGAGACCAATGGGACTTCGCCCAGAGTCGACGCTGTCAGCGTGCGCGTCAAGCCCTCTTGCCCTCAAGGAGCTCTGTCTGGTAGTGCGCGCAATGGATCATTCAAGCTCCGACGATCTCGAAGGACAGTCTTTGCCGCCGACACCCTTATAACGGCTGAGTTCAGAGGGCCCTGGGATTGGAGTCGGCGAGATCGCCACGAGGTGCGCTTTTCTTCTCTGCCCGCCCTCCAAGTCATACTAACTGTTTGCGCACAGAACGACGAGAAGATCTTTTGCCACGCTGCACATGCTCTGTTCAATGACGTCGCCCGCGTCGCCGCCTTCTCGTTCACCATCGAAGGAACATGGATGCGGGTTTGGTGCCATACTCGAACGCACACCGGACTCTCGAAGTATTTTAATATAAACAAGGTGCGTGGCTGCAGCTGTCTTGAAAACCGCGTCTCTGACATCCCTGTAGAACCCTGGCGAACTCATCCAATTCATCCTCTTCAGCACGTATGCGACCCCGACACAACTCGGGATAGACCCATCCGTTCACCGGGTCGTCGACGAGGACGGCCTTCTCCAATATCAGTTCGACGTCTGCAATCCAAAGACACTGGTCACTACCACCTATCAGACCGTGAACCTCATCGCAGAGCCCTCCGTCGCCGACATCTACTCACGGACCATGCGCGTCTTCGAGGTCCGTGAGGTCACGCATCCTGCGGAACTGGCCAATGTCAGACGCCTCGCTGCCAACTCCAACGTACTGCGCGACTTCTGGGTCTACGAGGACGCGGAGGAAGAATCCTGCAAGCAAAGTGTCATTATCCAGGGTCTGAAGGAAGCGAAAGTCTGGGCGAGCGCTGCGAAGCACTTCATGAACATCATCCAGGATGGTATTGTCCTAGGGCCATCTTCTACTGCCATTAGCTTCGTCCCTCCCACGGTCTTCCACGGCATAACACCCACCCCTCACGCTGATGCACAGTCCTACAAAATCATCGATGCTTCGAGGGTGGATCTCTTTGGCTCATCCGAGCGCAAGGCTACTGCAGCGGCTCCTCCGCCACCAGTGCCGGCGAATCCCCTACCTCTTCAAGCAAAAGTGCACGTCCGCACCGTGTATAAGCAGGTATGCAGAGACCTTTTCGAGGTCACGGACCCCGCGTTCTTCTTCTACGCGATGAGTGAGGTGGCGCAGAGTGAGTTTCCTTCTATGTGATACTCCACACTACGATTCCTAACCCTTTTTCTAGTCTTACGTTACTTGAAGCTCGCCGGCTATGTCCATAGAGACGTCAGCCCCGGTAACTTCCTCCTGCATTACCTGAAGGGGCCGCTTCCGTCCGTGGGGGATATGTCGAAGACGAAGCGCGAGGACTGGGTGACGATTGTCTCCGACCTCGAATACTCTCAGCCCTTCCTCACCGGCGAGGGCCATGATTCCATCGTCGTAAGTCAGCTCGGAACTGATACTCTCTGGCATTCATTGATGGCTTGCAGGGCACTTCGTACTACATCGCGGTGGAAGTTCAGACCAGCGGGTACTGGTTCAAGCCCGAAGTCGAATCCTTCCGCGTCCCCCGTTCGCTGGCACTGAAAAGCTTCGCTTTCAATCCCTATCACGATCTTGAGTCCTCCCTGTGGATGGCTTTGGACTTTGTCGTTCGTCGCGCGCCTCAGAAGGTCATCGATACCAATGTATCTGGGCGACCGGTGAAGGAAATCCTCCAGCAGCATGCGCAGAAGATGTTCATAGCACGAGCGGACGGTTCTCAGAGTCGCTGGAAGTACTTGACGAGCTTCCGGCCGATTAGGGAGCTGCGAGCGGACCTTCGTCTCATCTATGGGGAAGCGCATCCTATCCCCAAGCTGGCCGACTGCATTGTGGACATGCGCCAGGCGTACATTGCGCTGCAGGACAGCGTGGAGACTCCGACCGTGCCCCTGGCCAACGGGCGCCATGCGTTCGACCCTGCGCTATTCAAGGACGTCGTGTACGACAAGCTCGAGGCGGTATACACCGCAATCAGCGACCACTACGCATGCGCGAACAACGCGGACACCTTCGTGTGGGTGCCCAAACCTCCGGGACCCGTCTACTATACATTCTCAGGCGAGACGGACCCCGGATCTGACGTCGATGGCTCGTCAGACGAAGATTTGGGTGAAGAGACGGACGAAGAGGGGCTTCCGAAGGATGATCGGGCAGAGGCGCTCGTTGGGAAAGGCGGCGAAGTGGGCGACGACATGCACGTCGTCAACAACGGTTCGGTAGCGCGGAATGCGTCCGAGACAGGCGCAGGTGTGGATGGCATTGCTGCAGGACCGAATCGTGCGGCGCCCCCGCTCAAGCGGAAGCGCAACGATGACATTCAGCCCGATCCACCTATGCAGAAGGCTAAGCGCTCGCGCACAAAGGGATTGGCACCTACGCGAAGGTCTGACCGCATACGGAAAATGTTGGCAAAGAAAGATCGTCCGGAAGAAGCGCAGGTCCCAAGCGCATCGCGGTCGAAATTAATCCGCAGCACGCAACGCAAGAAGACGCGGACTGGTATAGCGATGCATTAGATATTTACGGTACATCACTCTAAGGATTGCAGCGCAGCCGGTTATGTGCCTTGTCTTTCATTTTGTGATGCGATCGGTGTGTGCGCGGGATACATTCGATGACAGTAACTATTTGCACAGCCCGCGTACGATGCTCGCCGTCCCGCAGATGCCACACGTCTGTCGGAATCGCACGGCAGGGTCCTGCTGCGTCTTACCTGGCCTCCATGGTTTCGGGGCTTGTCTTACCGCAGATCGAAATGCGCTGCCACCGCCCGTGTGGCAACGATAGCAAGCAATGTTACCGGGATCATCGAAGGGACTGGATGAGTTGAGATTCGACGGTGTGATAATGCATAGAAGAGACAGTAACATAGAAGGTATCTAGGTATAATGACAAGGACGAGTGGCACGGCTTCAAAGCAGGGAATAATAAATGGGAAGAGGGTAGCGACGTTGCGGATGACGACGGAGGGCCGGAGTAAAGTCGTTCACAGATGCTCAGGCGGAATGGCATATCAGCTTAATTTAGGGAAGCGGATGAGCGTAGCGCATGCGTCTGCATTCCTCAGGCGACCCTGGCTGGCCTTCAGGCTGGTGTGATCATTATCAGCAATATACAGCCGATGGCGGTTCATTGTCCGAGTCAGAACGCGTCTCCGGCGGCCATGCTTTATGAAATGGAAGGCGTGGCCCCGGGCCACCGTGACCTCGCCGCAGTGCATGTGAATCAAATGTTGAACCGAAATTCTTCCAAAACGGGGAATGTGACGGCTCATGGCCATCACGTGACATCCTCGAGGCCTGCGAGACCATGCGGGTCGCGTTTGTTGAACCCGAACCATCAACATCTTCACAGGCCAAACGCGTTTGCCGCCTCCGTCGGGCCATCGCCACGCGCAAATTAACTGGCCTTGGACTCCCCCATAAATAGTGAGTTGTCTCGTCCTCTTTCCTTTCCAGAACGGCCGCCCACATCGAGGCTCGCCACTCCCCTTCCCACCCCGCGCTCAACCCTTCCTATCTTCATTGTTCGTGCGCTTACCATGGCCGCCCAGTCTGCTGGCACCAAGGTTTCCTTTAAGCACAGCCCTCTCCGTGCAAGATACGACCTATTCTACGATATGGGCAAAGAAAACCTCGAATGCGATCGCAATCGCCTCCTCGCCAGCGCCCGCGACTCGGACAAAGTCCGTACTTGCTCCGTCGATCTCTTCTGGAAGACGTACGCCAAGTCCTGGAGGCCTTTGACGAGCAGTCAGATGAACGCTCTCACCGCCGCCCTGGACGAAGAGAACGTATATAGGAACAAACGATGGGTCGCGCTGCCAGACGCGAAGAAAGGCGTCGCGGAGGATGTGCATTTCAAGCGCCTCGAGAAGATCTTCTCTAAAGTCACTGCACTAGCAGAGAAGACACTCTCGGGGCGCTTTGAGCCCGCGAGGCGAACGACCAAGTTTCGATGCCGCCCACGGCAGACCACGAGCTCCGAGGTCATGGGCGCGTCGCACAAAGTCGACTCCGTCAACACGCGCATCGACTCTTCCTATCCGAAAGGCTCAAGAGGTCTCCTTGGCAGCGCACGCAACGCTAAGATCAAGATTCGACGGACTGGCGAACTTGTGTTCACCGCAGACGCCTTGCTAACAGGCGAATTTAAGCTGTTCGACACGCGGGCAGATCAATTCGATGTGCGTACTATGACTTTCCTCTCCTTTCCGATGCTGACCAGATGCTTTTAGAACGCCAAAAAGACTTTTGGTCATGCTGGGCATGCATTCTATAACGACGTCGGCCGCATCGTGGTATTCGCGTACACGATCGAAGGCGCTAAAATGCGCCTCTGGTGTCACACTCGCTCTCACACAGGGATCTCGGAGGAGTTTGACATACACACGGTACGCCGCCCGTGTCTCATATCGACTATCGCTAACATGTTCCTCTAGAACCCTTCCATGTTCATCGACTTCATCCTCTTCAGCACCTACGCCTCTCTTCCCGTTCTTGGTGTCGACACCACTGTTCGCCGCGTCATCGATTCGGACAGGAATATCCAGTACCAATTCGACTTTTACGACCGGAAGACGAACGTCCGAACCACGTATGAGACCACCCGCAGCATCGACGAATCCTCCGCCATGGAGCTCTACTCCCGTTCCATGCGCGTCTTTGAGGTGCATCTGGTCCTCGGCGATCCTTTCGCGAAGAAGCGAGCTTTCGGCAAAGAAACCTTCGTACTGCGCGACTACTATGTTTTCTCCCATGTCAAAAGCGAGCGCGAGATCCAGGGCGGCATCCAGCATCAACTCGAGCTCAAGGGCGTCTGGGAGGAGGCCAAGCCTCACTTCATGCGCATCCGAGAGGACGGTGCCGTCTGGATCCCTCGCTCGGAAGGCGCCGTTCGCCAGACTGTACCCGCTCCTCACGAGAAATCGGAGCCCTACGAATTCATCGATGACGACAATCCCGCCGGTTCGGGCCCTTCTACGGAGACAATCCGAACGGGCAGGTCCCACCGTACTGGGCAAAGCTCTCTGGCGTATCCGAACGCTGTTGAGAAGCCTCTGTCCAAGTTGCACGAGAAGCGACACATGCGCACTGTCTACGAGCAACTCTGTATCGACCTCTACAAAGTTAACGACCCAAAGCTCTTCTTCTTCGCCATGAGTCAAGTTGCCAAGAGTGAGTCTTCGCGTGCAAGAACGGTACACTGTAGATCTGACCCTTTGAATTTCAGTCCTGCGTTACATGAAGCTTGCGGGTTACGTTCACCGGGACGTCAGCCCCGGTAACTTCCTCCTCCACTATATCAAGGAGGGCGGTTCTCTCCCTGACCTTGCCACGATCTCGCAAACCTCTCGGGAAGATTGGGTGACGATCATCTCTGACCTGGAGTACGCGCGGCCTTTCCTAGAGGGCTCTGGACACGACGCGATCACGGTGAGTAGCATGTCATATCTCCCAATCCTTCTCACTTACGCTTGTGAAGGGCACCTCGTTCTACGTCGCTGTCGAAGTGCAGGGTCAGAGGTACAAGTTCGGTCCGAACGACAGGGCTGACGATGACAATGAGTCTGACGAAGAGGACTCTGACTGGAAGAACCCTCATCACTTCTCCTACAACCCATACCACGACGCCGAGTCGGCTTTGTGGATGGCCTTGGACTTCGTCTTTCGCAAGATCCCTTCCCAGAAGCTCGATCTTGTAACGGGTCGCAATCGTCGTGCTATCGAGGTGCTTCGAGAGTACTCTCAGCAGATGTTTGTGCCCGCCATGGAAGGTTCTGAGCTGCGCTCGAGCTTCATCGTGACCGGCCCTCAAGCGAAAAACCTACGCCAGGTCCTGAAAGAAGTCTATGGCGACAGCTGTCCCATCAAGAACTTGTCGGGTCTCATCAATGGCCTCGCAAAGGCCTACGGAGCTCTGCAAGCCAGTCCATTCAACCCCTCGATGCGTCTCGATAATGGCCGCAAGGCTTACGATCCCTCCCTCTTCACCGACAACATCTACAAGTCCATGGAAGCCACATTCCTCAGCATCAGCGACTACTACGCGGACCCTGCCAACGCTGATGTCTTCGTATCAATATACGACCCTCCTGCATCGGATTCCCAGCCTGCCGCCACTCCTGCTGCCGAGGCAGAGGCAGTCGCACCGCCCCAGGACTGCATCCACACCGACGACAATCATGGCGACGGGTATCACACTGACGAGGCGGGCGCTGGGAACTACAGCGACGATGATGAGGAGGACGAGGGAGAGGACCGGGCCACTGGCAGTGATCGCGACGCTCAGGCAGTGTCTGAAAGCTCCAGCGATGACGCTGACGCGACGACCGATGCTGCTCCCGCGACCGGTGGCGACGCGACAGCCAACATCGCTCCCACGACCGGCGGTGAGGCCCAGGGTACTGCGACCGTTCCTGGCAGTGGCAGAGCTCTCAGGAGTAAGAGGAAGCGCGACGACGATCCTTCTCCTGGGCCTCCAGCTCCCGCGCGCGCTGTCAGGCGATCGCGCACCAAAGGTGTGGAGCCGTCTCGTCGGTCCCGGCGGCTAGCGGAAAGGCAGGAGGAAGTGACGCAGCCCCGGCCTGCTGCAACTGGAGGGCCCGCGCGTCGGCCACGGACGACGCACCCTCCTCCGCCGCCGAAAAGGCAGCGTAGAGTCCGTTCGGGGTAGCCTGGGTGTAGTAACCCTCAGTCGAGATAGTTTCTACGTGTCTGCTTGCTTTGTAACTTTACATCTGTTGTCTCTCGCATTTCGTTGGTGTAAAAGTATCTTGCTATCTCACGATCTGAGCCCGCGTCCGTCTCCCGTCTTATCCTTGAGTACAAAAATGCCACAAACTAGTCCACGTATCCACCCTCAAGCCAGTCGTCCATGCCGATTTTTCCACTGGTGCGTTGTATAGATTGAGGTCTGGAGCGAAGGGACCAGTGCCCAGGTGTGCATTTGGTTGATGAAGGATCCGTAGTAGGAGCCAAGTATGTTTACACGACTACATGCGAATGTCGTTAGCCTTTCGAGACCATCCTGTGGGTTGCCTTAGCCCGTCAAGGTTGCACACTGAACGACGGAGATCTCAATGAGGAGACCTCACAGCGAGGCGCCGCCGCTACAAGACGAGCGGCAACTAACCCTCAGAAAACAGTCCTTCCCGCGAAACCTCTTCGTGCCGACCCGACAGGCGGCGCTGCGGGAGGCTAAGGGAGTCACGAACATACGAGCTAGAAAACCTTGTCTAGCGGCATTTCAGCCGTCTTCAGCGACGTGTCGAGCGCATAGAATGTGTCATGTTCGCGGGGGCGGCAGCGTGTAATATGGCTAGGGTGTACGAATAGGTGGTGTTGTATGTAGATCTACCGCGACCCTGGTCTAGTGCGGCTTCTGCAGCCTGCACTCCTGGGGCTCACGCAGCCTTGTACTAGCACGGCTCTCGCAGGCCTGTACTAGTATGGCTCCAGGCCGAGCAGCCCTTGACACGCGCCCTCGACGTCGGCGACCTGAGGGATAGACATGTTAGCATGGAAAGGCCTGCGACGTTCGCGATGCATGGGTGCACGCTCGCGACGGGCAAGAGCGACGCTGCTCACCTCCTTTGGTGCCGATACGGTCAGGACGGTCGGATGGCGCTCGCCCACGACCACCTCGTCCTCTATCCGAACCCCGATGTCGTGGAAGTGCTTCGGGAATTGCGCCGTGGGTGGTACGTAGATACCTAAACGAACAAAGTGTGGGTCAGCCTCGTCCACCCTACCATTCATCTACCCCACCACCACCATCCGTGAAAAAAAAATCGAAGACCCACCTGGCTCAATCGTAATCACCATCCCCGCCTGCAATTTCCCACTCCGATCAAAGCTGCTCGACTCATGAAGGTCAATCCCAATCGGGTGGCTCACAAAGTGCGGATACAGGATATCCACATCCGCGAGGTCGAGCTGAAAGCGCGGCAGTTGGTTGAGCTCGGCGCGCAGCATCGCGCGGCTCTCGCGGTGGATGCTGTAGAGGCTGTGCCCGGAGGATGCGGTGCACATCTTCACGAGCTCGCGCTGGGCGGAGAGGACGGCCTGGTAGATGTCGCGTTGGGCGGGGGAGAAGACGCCGGAGGCGGGGAAGGTTCTGGCTGGGGGTTGTTAGGGGGTATAGGTGGAGAAGGAGGAGTAGGCTCACTGATGTCTGAGGCGTAGCCGCTGGGTAGTAGTGATGAGCATGTACATTCTCATATGGAGAAAAGTGCCACCTACTTGTATTCGCAAGCAGCATCAATTAGAACAAGCTCTCCTGCACGTACGAGCTGGTTATTAGAGGTGTAGTGAATGATCAGCGCGTTGGGCCTGTATGCTGCGTAAGCAGGAGTTCTGGGTCCGTCAAAAGGGTTTACGCTCACCCTGAAGCCACCACGGGAACATAAGCCTGCCGTTGCGCCCCGCTCATAGCGCACAAATACGCAAAGTGGGCAGCAATCTGCGACTCATTCATCCCAGGTTTCGCGAAGCGCATAGTCTTCGCGTGTGCGCGCGCACTGATATCCGCCGCGGCGCGCATGACGCGCACTTCCGCGTCGCTCTTGATTGCGCGCAGGCGCGCCACCTCCGGGCTGAGGGGCAGCGGATTCTTGGCGGGGTTGAAGAGGGTGAGGTGCTTGGGACCGCTGCGGGAGCGCCCCCGCCGTTGGCTGGGGCTGTCGAGGTCGGTGTAGATGTTGGAGTAGAGGGGGGTCAAGGAGCGGAGGTGGTCATTGAAGTGATCGATGCTACGCGCGTCGTCGGCGCCGAAGATGGCGGTAGCTTCTGACAGTCCTGTTCTGGCTTGGACGTCAGTTCGGGGAAGGGGGCAGAAGCAACGGGGGACGCACTTGGCCCCATCCCACTTCTCCTGGGCAAGGTTCTTCCCGCTGCAAAAGAGCGTCATGCGATAGCCTTTTGAAGTGCTTGTCTTCTCTTCAGGAGGAATAAGCAATAGTTGGAATTGTAAATGATCCTACTTACCAAGGATGACGGCTGAGTCTGGTTCCTCAAAGCCGGTCAAGTACCAGAAGTCAGAGGACTGCCGATACTTGTAGCTGGGTTGGTCTGAGTAGGGGAAACGAAGGGGGGACGTCATATACTCACAATATCGCTGCAGGAACGTCAGAATACTGCCCGCACACGACTACACCTGCGACTCACCTCCGCTCATGTACTTGATCGGCGCCGCTGCACACACGACGACACTGTTGTCCGGCAGAGAGTCCATCAACGCCTTTCGCCGTCTCTCATACTCCTCCTGAGGTATACCTGGCGTGAGTTCACCAGGCTGGACGAGATGCGGATGGCTCTGATATAGTGGTTGGCCGTATTTCGTTGGCTTGTCAGCGGCCTGGTGCGCTTCGGTCGCCATCCATCGTGCAAGTCTTTGCTTCCGACAGTCCACACGCCTTAAAGCAGAGCGGAGGACCGATGACCCAGCAGCCCGAGAAGCAAGGCCGCGCGACAACATGACGGACAATGGCAAGCAAATGTTATGTTATCTTATCACCCGGCCCGGCTTGAGCCGGTTGTGGCGCTGTGGCCGTCCACGTTTTGTCGCGTACGCGAGACTGTACTAGTCTCCCTTGGCTAAGACTGCACTGTACACAAGCCTGAAGGGGCCGTTTCTCAGTTGTGCGGCACGATTGAGCTCGAAAAAACAGACGGTGAGAGGGATACAAACAAAAGATCATATGGCGCATTACACTTTGCTAGATATTGTAGCAATTATCATCTCACAGCACGTCGTCAGTACACATCGAGCGCACGGCCCTACGACCGCCCACCCTTCTTCTTCTTGTTCACCACCTTGAAGCCTCCCCACTCAGGCTGCGTCGGCTTCGGCTGCGACTTGACTACGTCCGCGATCGACACCGGCTTCGCCGAGCTCGTCCCCGCCGCGCGCGACGCCACGTCCGCCTTGCGCTTGCTCGCGAACTCGGACGCGAACCGCCGGCCGTCCATCGTCGTGCTGTTGGCGTAGATGACCTCCTGGATGAGCTCGAGCGTCGCGGGCTGGCTGATATCCTCGACGGGGAACGTCGTGAGCATCGTCATGATCTCCTCGGCTGGGAACGATGTTAGTATGCGAGGACCACCGGCGAAACACGACCCTGCGCACCATTGACAGACGCGTTGAGGCCGCGGCTGAGCGAATCGTACAACCACTTGAGGAAATCGCTCGATGGCGTCGTGTCGCGGATGACCGGGGCCGGCTTGGGCGGTGCCGGAGCTGGAGGTTTGGGTGCCGGTGCACCGTTTACCTTCGCAGCTGCCGAAGGCGCACCGGTGCTCACAGTCTGCGTAGGGGTGGGCCGAGGAGCCACCGGCGTCGTGACCTTCCCGCCCGACCCGATGGTCGACCAGACGCTCTGCTGCGGTGGGGGTGTGCTCTGTAGGTATATTTGTGAGCGACGATGCTAGTACCCTTCCTAGAAATTCAACGCACCTTCTGCGTCGTGTCCGCATACGCGCGACGAGCAGCAGCAGCCGCGACCGTCTCCTTCGACGCCGTCTTCTTCCGACGCTCCTCCTCCTCCAGGATCTCCTTCATCGTCTTCTTGGCTGGGTGACTCGCCCCGCCCGTCATCCATGGTGCGGCCGCACCAGGCGTCGACGCCGGACTCCCCGATGCCGCCTCTTTCGGCGCCGCCGAGCCTCGTCCTCCAGCCTGCGACGTCGGCAGCCCCCACGACGCCGTGAAGCCAGCGGCGTCCTCGACGGGGGTAGCCGTCGCCGTCGCCGTCGCCCGCGCCGCGCGCTCGCGCTGCTCCTTCTCCGCGGCCTTGCGCGCCTCCGCCTGCTTCGCCTCCATCTCCTGGATCTCGCGCAGGCTCAGCGTCACGCCCGACTTCTTCTTGTCGTCGTCCTTCAGCCACACGGGCTTCGGCGCAGCGGACTGCGGCGGCGTGGGGTCGCGCGCGGCCTCCGGCTCGGCGGGCTTGGGGGCGGGCGAGGTGAGGTTGAGCTTCGTGGTGACCTCCTTGCGCTTGCCCTTCTTGCTGGGTGCAGGCGCAGGCGCGGCGCGAGCGGGCTCTTCGGCAGCCGGTACAGCCTCGACAAGCGATGGCTGCTGAGGCTCGAACTCCGTGGGGGCAGGCGCTGAGGTGTCGGCAGTGGCGGCGGTGGCAGCGGAGGTAAGGGAGGGCTCAGGCTCGGGCTGTTGCTGCTGGCGATTGTGTTGCTCAACGTTGAAGTTGGTGAGGCCGTTTGTCTCGCCTGGACCGCCCCAATTATCCTCGACGACACCCCGCGACGCAGCGTACCAGCCGCTGCGGTCGGCCTGAGACGAGGTGACGCTGGTGGTGCCCCACGGGGCTTGCCCAGAAATGGCGGGTGAATTAACATTGCTCGAGGACGCAGAGTCCGTGCGCCTGATGTCTGCGGGAGCTGCATGCCTGAGCCAAGGCGACGAATGCGCACTACCCGAGCCCAGTTGACCTTGTTGGTGGTTCAGAGGAGGCAGCGACGCCGATTGAGGGAAAGCCCCTTGAGCCTGCGCATACGCAATCGTCGGCGACGGCACAAACTGATGGTGCTGTCCCTGCTGCAGCGTCATGCCAGAAGCATTGTTCAGCCCGCCAAACTCCAAGCTCTGGTATCCCGGCCCCATCCCCCCGAGCCCCGCGTCCTGCGAATTGCTCCGCATGACCCCACCAAACCCATTCAGCGCCTGCCCACCCTGCGCGTACGCCGCAAACCCGGGATCCCCGCGCGCGTCAAAGCCCGTCGACAGCGCGCCGGCGGAGCTCGGCCAGGGCCCCGCGAAGCCGCCGTTGAAGCCGTGCGCGTCCATGCTGCCCCGCCCGAGCATGCTCGCGCCGTAGCCGGGCCCGCGCATGCCGCCATCCGCGTCGAACGTGTTCCGCCTGCCCGTGTACGCCTGCTCCGGGCCCATGGCGAAGCCCGCGAGGCGGCTGCTGCCAAGCGGGCCGTCGCCTGCCAGGCCTGCGCGTCCGCCGAAGGCGGCTGGATCTGGCGATCCGTTGCCGAATCGAGCACCAAGGGAGGACGAGGGCGAGTCGGAGGGCGTAGAGCCGGAGCCAATGTAAGAATCTAGCGTCCCGGTGCGTAGTTGGCGCACCGGCGCTGGCTGGTACGGGGAGTTGTTGAAGGGGGCCGAATCTGGGATCGCCATGGGCGAATCGTGACGAGGGATTCCGGGAGGTGCAGGAGGGTTGATGGGTGACATGAATATTTTATCGCCTGCCGCACGGCGCTTGAGGTCGCCGACGCTAATCCACTCCGTGTCGATATGCGTTCGTTTCATCAAAAGGTCGTCGCTAAAGTAATTTCCTTCAAACCACTTCTGCATGACGGCGGCCTGGAAAGGGCCTGTTTGCACGAAATATTAACAGGTCCATTTGGCTGGTGTATGTGCTAACTCACCTTGTACATTCTGCTGAGGGTCGATATAAGACCATTCCACGGCCGTGAGATCCACCACAGGTGGAATACCAGGGGGTGCTGTGCCATTCGTGCCGTTGCCAGAGGTCCCAAAACTCATTTGCGCCACACCATTGGCGAGAGAGTTGGGGCCAGTCGTGATACCGTTAGCCTGCTGGGCAGAGCCAGAAGGGGGATTCTGCGCCGCGGGAGGGTTCCCATTCTCATCTTCCTCTGCGATGACTTGCGCTTTGTCGTCTTGCTCTGAGTCACGAGGCGTGTGCCCCGTGTCCGCATCGCCACGACGGCGAGACAGCCAAGAGCCCCCACTATTGAGGACGCCGTCGAAGCCTGGGGAGTATGGCATGCGCGTACGAGGCGATTGAAGGGAGGGGTCGCGCGGCGATAGAATAGGCGCCTGCGTGCCCGTGAGGGATAATTTACGCGGTGTGGTCGCAGGAAACGCATCTAGGGCAATCGAATAAGAGGGCAAACTCATTGAGGGGCGCAGGCCACATACCAGAGCTATCGCGGCGGCGCGACATCAGCGCGCCAAACCGCTCCCTATGCGGACTGCTCGCGGCCACGGAGGCGGACGTCGCGAGCCGCGGGCGCTCGAGGCCCTGCGTCGATATCGTGGGGAGGAAGTCCGTCGACTGGCGCCGCCGGATCTCCGAGTTGAGCGGCCCCGCGAACGCCTGGAGGGGAGCGCGCCGTCCATCGGTCAGCCTTTTTACCCTACGCGGTCGGTGGCGCACGCACTTTTTTCTCGGCGTCGCTCATCTCGCAGAGCGCGATGGGCACCGCGGCGTCCTCGCGGACGACGCCCTCCCAGCGCTCGACCTCGAGCCCGAGCGCGTTCTTGCCGCCGCCCTCCTGGTAGATGCGGAGCAGGTCGTCCTTGGAGTAGCGGAACGGGTGGGAGACATCGCGCTGGTCGGCCTGCGCGGGGCCCGCGGGCGACACGAGCGCGGAGTACGTCGAGGCGCTCGCGGTGTTCGCAGGCGGGGACGGCGGGGGATGGATCTTTGGGGACGGCTGGGGCTTCGCGCGCATCCACTCTGGGCCAAAATGCATGGTGGTGGTCGACATGGTTGGAGATTGGTTTGGGACAAGTTCAACTTGAGCAGGAGGAGGGCTCGGAGGGCAGGATAGCTCGGTCAGGGTCTGAGGCAAGTGTCGCTTCAAAAGAGCAGCTGGACTCTAACCGCGTCTTCGCGCCGAGAAAAATCGCTGGACTAATCTGGCAACCTCCGGCCGCGATCATCCGCCCGCCCGCATGCATTGTTCTCTCTTTGGGCAATAAGGCCTGAGTCGTATGCGCAATACACCCCTTGCATTAAATTATCCTGATTACGGTGATCTATGTACAACACTCCCTACCAAGTTTACAATTTTATGCGCCAGACGTGCGTCGGGAGGGCTGTGGGGGGAATTAGTCATGTCCGGATGCCACCGGGTGGCACTGACCTTGCAGTCTGCGCGCAGTGGGTATGATATACGCGATCAGGAAGATCACACCAAAGGCCATACACAACGCCGACAGAGTGTAGTAGCCATCTTTTTCCGTGATGCACTGGCCCCCGATGTCGGCGCAATGGGCTTTTCCATGGTCGGAGACGCACTCTACGGCTGAACACAAAGTTAGAATACAAACACAAGGTGAAGAAGTTCGCGTACCTTCGACAGCAAGATCGTCCACCCTGCACGTCGAGACGCTGAACATGTCGATACCTGGCAAATTTTAATATTGCTTCAAACTCATCCGACCGCCTGACGCACCCTTCAACACAAAGTACTTTGGCCAAGTGCCGCCCAGGTTAGTGAACGTGTTGAGCAGCTAGTGCGAATGAGTGACAGAACACGACAGACACCTGGATCGACGCACCGTCATATACGTGCCACCAATCAATGGGTCCGACACCCGCGTATGGAACGCCGAAATACCCACAAACTGCACCGTCCTGCAATCCATATCAGCTCACATCCACCCTCAACCATACTTCCCCCACTCACGAAGCCAACGACCCCGCGACCGTCGAAAATATCAAAAACGCAAAGAACGCGCCGCTAATCGGCGGCTCCGGGAACCAATACACCGTCAGCGTCGCCACCAGGCAAAACAGCAGCCTTGGCCAGTAGGCGATGATCCACGGCTTGAGCGGCGTGGGCCCGCGGGACCACTTCGCCGCGTACCAGCCGCCGATCATCTGGAAGGGGAAGTCGATGAGGACGGCGACGGCGAGGTCCTCGCGCTTGAAGCCCTTCTCGACCATTTTCAGGGAGGTGGCGGCTTCGTTGGCGGCGAAGCCGAGTTTGGCAAAGAAGTGGAGGAAGATGAGTTGTTGGACGTCTGTAGAGAGGGGTTAGGGTGGGAGGAGCAGGAGAGAAAGGAGGAAGAGGGGGAGAGGGAAGAAGGGAGGGATGAGTGCGTACGCTTAAGTTTGCAGATGTCCCAGATGGTTTTGTAGACGCCGGTGATGCTCATGTCGGCTTCGGTGACGACTTCCTTGTCCTCCTTCTTGAAGAACAGAAGCCATAGCGTCACGAGGTAGCAGACGAGACTCCAGAACTTCAAGTACACATCGAGCGTCAATTGCGGCAATCCCCACTTATTCCTGATCGTAAGTGAGCATCGAGTAGGTGCAGTGTATCGTCAAGCTTACACGAAGTCCACGCTGTTAAACGCAAGGAAAACGGTGAAGGAAGCGAAATAGCCGGTGTTGAGGCCGATCGTCTGACACGTCGACGCGTACGATAGGGAGTCGTGCGAGAGGAGGGTAAGCGCCCAACCTGTACGTACGTCAGACGGATGGGGATAACAGGTCATAGTAACCCCACGCACCGTCGACTGCGATATCTTGCGTGGCGGACAGGAAAACGAGGGATGTCCAAACGAAGGTGAGCTCGCCGACGTGATTTGCGGGCTGCGAATGATAGTTAGGTTGAGAAAGGTTGGGGGATGAGGCGTATGTGACGCACGTCTTCCATTAGTCGCTGTACGTTGAGGGAGATGTAGAGCATGAGGGTGCCGACGATCATCTGCATGGGGACGATCCAGGACTTCCGGCGGCCTATTGAGGGGACGAATACGGCGTCGACTATGGGGGACCATAGGAGCTTGAGGGAATAAGGGTAGCTGGAGAGAGAGAAGGTCGCGAGTTGCGAGTAGGAGAGGTGATCTTTGAGAAGGAATGGTACGGAGCCTGGTGTTCCACTGTCAGTCAGGTCTATATGATAGCTCTGCACTGTCACGCACCCAAGGCAAGGCCTAACTAAGATCATCGCAAAGTTTAGCAATCGTGGCTTGAGTCTCGACCTCTGCCGACTTACAGGGACACCTTGGATCAAGTCTGGACCACAAACGACGCGTCAATTGTCTCGCATTAGGAAACAGAGATATGAACACGCACATAACACACACAACAATGCCATACTGCGTTTATCCTCCGCAGACATGGGCTTCGAATGCGTCGGGGTGACGTCCCCTTCGCCGTGGTATCCCCCGTCTTCTCTCCTGTCCTCCTCAGACAGCAAGCTCATCTCGAGATCGTCGTCGCCATTCTCGAGGCTGCCCCGCTCGCGGAGCCCAGCACTGCGGGGCACGGAGGAGGATACGCCCACGAGACCGTCGTTCATGCGATCCGTGCTATTCTGGTCGCGAAGATTTGTGCGGGAGCTCTTCTTGGAGGACTTCCCGGCGGCCTTCTTGCGGCGGGTAGACATACGAAAGAGCGGGGGGAGTGGGGGGCGGAGGTGAGCGTGAGCTGTGGGTGCTGATGGACGCGTTTGCCGCCCGCGCGACACGTATTCGCAAATGCACGTGCCGATGATGGCATTCGATGACCGTGGGAGCGCGCCCGGGGAGTGCCGAGCGAAAGTGCGACGGAATCTCAAGGTTATCTCCTCCAGATCTGCCTTCTTCTCCTCCTCGTCTTCGCCGGCGAGATTGCGCTGTGAGATCTCAGCAGGCGGCGGCGGGACCTGCAGAACAGGCTTTGGCTACGGCGTCGATCCTTCGCTGCTGATCTCCATCTTGGCAGGCTATGATCCCGACGGACTTCTAGTCTCCGTGCGCGACCCGAGCAAGTCGAAGCTGCTGTACTCCGAGCGCGGGGCTTTCTCCTGCTCGGAACTTCGATGAACATCAATGTTACCAGAAAATCCCCATCCTGTCCTTCTTTTCAAGAACTCGGAGGTGATGGCCCCGTATCTGTTTGTTCTCGGAAAGAACCACCGTTCGAGCCACCAAACGTCCGGGACTTTGCGAGCGACGGCGCCCTCACCAAATCTCGCTGATGCTCTCGCTTGCGCGCACGTTAATCTGAGTAGCCGTATGTGTATCTCGCGCTATTCAGCCTTCACGGCATCGCCCTCCCGTCCTGTCCGCGGTGCCGCAAAATCAGGACGCAACCTATCATGAACGCCTGACGCTGGCTCACTACTGGCTCGAGACGACGGGATTCCAGATTCCATGGTTTATTCCATCCGAACCTGTCCGCATTGCGGCGTGCGCACGTCATCCCCCAACGCCTCCCAAACAATCTGTCGGAGGTACGCCCCGGGTTTCTCTATGCGCCCCGCTGGATTCCTATTCCCGCCCCCCGACAGCTTCCCCCACTCGTGTCACCGCGTCTGTCCTCCGCACAGTATTCCTCCTGCTTCACTCTTACGACCCGCCCGCGCCGTGAAACGGGCGCGCGCGCCGATGAGTATTTGCGCCGACAGATCTTGCCTTCTGGTGGCGCCGCATGCGGCTGTTCCTCATTCAGCCGGCTCCCTAGCCATACAATCGTCGGCATTTTCGAAAGCAGAATGAATAGGAGGAACCTCGTTCGGTGTCCCTTTGATCGGCAGACGAGTCTGTGTATTGAGAGCGGCGCGTATATAAAAGCAGGGGGAAGCAGGTCATGTCTCAGACAACAGTTGTTCTTCAACCGACTTCAACCCCCTCCTTTGCGCCTCACCTGTACACAGAATGGACTACGTCCCCCACGCCGCTCTCCTTCTCCTCACCCTCGTTCTTGTCTCCGTAGCGAGATACCTGATTCACATCCTTTCCGCACGTTCCGTCCTTCGACGCGTTCCAGGTCCATCCCCCTCCTCGTTCCTGTGGGGTGAGGAGTGGGATCTCTTCCATACATCTCCTGGCTCGCGTTACCTCTCCTGGCACAAGCATTTCGGCAAGGTCGTGCGCCTTACAGGCGCTTTCGGGGTAGGCCATCCTCCGTCTTCCATTCAATTCGTTGCTGAGTCTAATCATTTTAGCACCAAATCATCTCTATCACGGACCCTCGCGCCATATCGTTCATCATCTCGGAGAAGACGTACAGCTTCCCCAAGCCGCACGGTGTTCGCGAATGGTTCAAGGCAACTCAGGGCAAGGGCATCATCTGGGTCGAGGGTACTTGTCTTTTCCGCATTCCCGCTCCCTCACCTGACAACCATCTCAGGCAAGGAAGCTCACGAGCAGCAAAGGCGTCTCATCGCGCCCGCACTCAGGTCAGTCACCATTTGTAGCACTTCATCTTGTATGCTCAGCCCATACAGTCAACAAACCGTCCGCGCCGTCGTGCCCGTTTTCTACGACATCTCGGCCAAGCTATGCTCCCAATGGGCGAAGATCATCGACGCCTCACCCACTGGCGCCGCCGAAATAGAGGTCACCTTCTGGGCTGGCCGTTTCGCGTGAGTCTTCCCTCCTTCTCATCATCATTTCCCTTTAACCTTCCCTATAACTCACTAACAACCCCTCCTCAGCCTCGACGCCGTCGCGCGCGCCGCCTTCGACTACGACCTCGACTGCCTCGCCGGTACGCCCCACGCGCTCGCCGAGTCCCTCGACGGCCTCACGAACAACGAGGCCAATGCGTCGTCGTTCTACATGCGTGCCTTGTTCTGGCTTTTCCCGTCTATTCTTATGATCGGGGAGAAGGGGCGGATGATCCGGCGCTCGAAGGCGGAGCTGGGCGCGATTGCGAGCAAGATGTGGCGGGATGCGCGGGCGGGAGGGGATTCGCATGGGAGGAATTTGATTGCGACGATGCGTGAGTATCCTAAGATTGGTATAAAGGAATTGAAGGCTTATGCTGACCCCCATCACAGTCAAAGTCGCGGAGGCGTCGGGGAGTCAGTTGAGGGAGGACCAGGTCATTGACCAGATGCGCACGACTATCTCGGCGGGGTACGAGACGGTGTCGGCGATTGTGGCAGTGAGTATTTTGGTTCGAATGCTAAGTTGTCACTCGCTAACTAGCTCTTAGTGGATTCTCTATGAGATCGCCGTCCACCCCGACCTCCAGAGGAAACTCCGCGAAGAGGTAGAACACGCGGGCGAGCCCTCTCTCGACGAACTCAATGTCAAATACCGTCTACTCGACGCCACGCTGAAGGAGACCTTGCGCATGCACCCAGCCATCTTGGAGAACCATCACGAGGTCCGTATCTCTCTCTTTACTCTCCTCTTACCTTCACCCTCCCCACACCGTGCATCTCACTTACAACCACCCACAGGCATCAGAAACAATTTCCATCCCCCTCTCCTCCCCACTGCCCGACACCGAGGACAGCCAGCTCGTCGTACCCAAGGGCACCCTTATCGCCATCCCGCTCAACGTCTTGCAAACCGATCCTGCGGTCTTCGGCGACGACGCGGACGTGTTCCGTGCGGAGCGCTGGCTGGAGCGCGCGGAGAAGGGCGTGCGCCACAAAAGGGAGTTGTTTGCCTTTGGCGAGGGGTGCGTTGAATTTCCTGGCGGACGCCAGCCTGTCATATTTGAACGTCGCTGACGCCACCTGCAGTCCGCGCTCATGCTTGGGCCGCGCGATGGCGATGGCGGAGATCAAGGCGCTCGTCATCACTATCCTCAAGCAATACTCGCTCGAGTGCCACCACGATATCGAGGCGTTCCAGAGCTTCGTCATCCGGCCTCGAGTTGTTGGCGAAGGGCCGAGCTCTTTGCCGTTGCTCGTGCGCAAGTTGTAGTTTCGAATTCCGCATCGTATCGTCCTGACGCCGTTGGTTGTCTTTCACCGCGAGATGTGGTCTTGGATCCCGCGAGGCGCAGTCTTGGATCTCTCGATGTCCCACAAATCACACAAAATGTAGCCCGTGAACGACCCGCGCTTGTTAGCCGCCGGGGCCGCGAATAAATTAGATGTGATAATGTACAAATGCACAGCTTCTAATTCCGTTCCTTGAGCCGTCCTTCCATCCTTTTGAATCCCGGCTACAATACTTATCTGAGTACATTCCCCGAGTCGCTTCTCACGCTTCATGCCCTCGCACGCTATCGTCTCTTCCTCTGAGCCATCGTAGTGCCGCGAAGTCTGCGACCAGCGGCGGGTGGCTCGTTCGTGGTGGTGGCGGCCTGAATAGGCTGCTGAGGCGGGGCAGGTTGAGCTTGGTTAGTCTGCGATCGGGCGTTCTGAGCTTGCGTGGGCTGAGGTTGAGCGGGCTGGGGCTGAGCAACGGCCTGAGCCTGAGCCCGAGCCAGTCGAGCACGCCGCGCTGGGCGCTCGATAGGTGCACCGTCCTCAAGCAGTCGCTTCAGCGCCCTCTTCGTGCGATGAGCAATGGGGCAGTACTCTTCCGGAATAAGCTCGCCGGGCCCGTCCTTGTCGAAGTTCTTGCTCTCCGCGAGCTGCCACGCTGGGCACGCCGGGAGTCGTGGCGGGCGCGTCGTGGGAAGCGGGGGAGCCGTAGGAGGAAGCCGGACAAACTGGTCAGGGTGGTCGACGTAGTGGTCGCTGATTTTGCGGAAGGCGCGTTCCATCTTGAGGTAGATGTCGTCCTGGAAGAGGGACTGGGCGTACACCACGCGCCCGTCGTCGAGCGTCGTCGTCTGAGAGGTGTCTTGCTCGAGGTCGTTGTAGGCGTCGCGCAGATCGTTCACGAGGCGGACAGCGTCGAGAATCGGGTGGTCGTTGCCGTAGACCTTCGCCAGATCGTCGCAGAGAAAATCCGCTTCGCTGGGATCCTTGAGGAACTGAAGCCGCGTCTCATTCCCTTCGACGTCGCAGTCGAAGAACTTGTCGTTGTGGATTCTGAACGAGCCTAGGAGCGCGTTATCCATGCCGTCTAGCAGTCGCGTTTGGGAAACCCGGTAGAGAATATAAGCGAGGAAGGCCCAGTAGACAGACTCGAGATCGTGGTAGAAGTTGGTGACGAAGTTGTTCTTCTCGGACGGGCAAAGCTCGTCGTCGTCAGAGTATGGAGCGAACAAGTACGATTTTTCTTGCGTTTCGACGGCCATGAATGGCGGGGTTCCCTGAGAGTGCAAGGGGTCAGAAAAGCCGATCACTCGGTAAGGTAATCGAAACGCACGATGTAGCGCTCATTGACGGGAGCATCAAGGTATGGCCGCGCAAATTCGAGATCTGTGATGATTGTCGTCCATTGTTCGAGTGCCTCCCTATCCAAGTCAAGCAAGGAAGGAGGCACCAGACCGCTGACATGATGGAGCAGAAAGTTCCCGAGACTGACGTCCTTGTGCAGATACCCTGCGCGCTTCATGTACATCAAGACTGCGAAAGGCCTGTCAGCTAACGTCCACGGCAGGATAGACAAGACGACTCACTCCTGGCTACCTGGCTGAGCGCGTGAAAGAAGAGGGCGGGATTATCGACGGACCCAAGGTCGACACAGAGCTGCTTGTAGACGCCGCGCATGTGAAACATGTTCCAATTTTCTTCGGCGAACCTCGTATTGACCACTGTGAACTCAGCCGGAGGGCTCGCAGCTTCGTCACCCGAATCCGGAAAATATTGGACGATCCCGTCCTCGAGGATGTCCATGAAGTGGCCCTGCATCGCGGGCAAGACGCCCGCCGCGTCCATCTTCTCCTTGATATCTTTCTGAATAGCAATCTCGTGCCGACGCTCGTTGTCATCCCAGTAGTCGCGTAGCACCGCAGGCGTAGCCATGAGCTCGCGTTCATTCGGGTCCTCCGCATTGTCCAGCACTTTCTGCACCTCGAAGACGGTCATGCACTTGAGATTGTAGCCGGGGTAGTCTGCGATAGGCGTGGTGATGATGCGCGTGGTTTGGTATGTGAAGGGCGTGTAGGTGTCTTCGCGGTCGCATAAGAATTGATACTGGAGCTTGCCGGCGACGTCTTTGACGCGGCGGACGCTGGGATCGAAGCCGAGGTCGGGAAGGGGGGAGTAGGTCACGAAGAGGACGAAGTGGATAAGCCATTGGGGGTCCTATTGGAAGGTCAGTGAGGTCCAGGCAAGGCGATTGGTGACACGCACGTCGTTGATGTCGAAAACCGGCGAGCATGCTGAGTGCGTGCGCGTATGACACCAGATGCGCATAAGAGTGTTCTCGATGGTGAAGGAGAAGGTTGTTAGATGCCTTGCGTCGCTCCAAAAGACACTGGCCGCGTGAGTCAGAACCCGATGAGCATTCTGACAGCCATGTCAACGTCGTGCGAGCGATTCAAGATGAGGGACATACCTCGCGAACACCATGTTTCGATTCACTCGTTGTGAATACTCCGCCTGCCACCGTGTCGGCCGTGAAGAACGATTGGCCACCGAGCCAGTCGACCGTCGGATTGCGCGCGCAGCCACCATCGCAAACGTCGCTGGATGCCGGAGAATCTGCCCTGACAAATGCAGCGTCTGCGCCATGGTGCGCATCCTCGCTATGGCGACTGGGCATCGGCCTGTTCGGCATGCCGCATCTGAACGTGGTCGTGCGCTTTGTCGATGAGAAGTGGTAGGGAAAGAGCTACTCGACAGTAACAAGGATCTTCTCCACGATCTCCTTGATACCCTGGAGTCTTTGTTGTTTGACAGCGTCCGATGGGGTCTGCCAGGACCGAAGCCTGATATTTTTCGCAGGCCTGCGACGGAGAGGGGCCCACTGGTAGCTTTTGTTCAACACGCCCTTCTCGCGCAGTTCGTCGATTGTGAGTCGTACGTCGTCATCGGAGGAGCGCCTCCATCGTGGCATATATCCTATGAAAAAGTTGAGCATGTTGCCGATGAACAACGTCCTTTTGCCGTAGTCGGATTCCTTGTGGTAGTCCCGTGCACGCTGGCCGTAGTTACCCATTCTTGTGTTTTGGAGTCTCGTGCGTACAGGGCAGTGAGATAATGGAAGGAGGAATGCAAGGGCTGGCGATGCCACTGGAGGTGATGGTCAAGGTGCAAGTTCAAGTTCAGAACGCGATCAACAAACAAACAAGCACGTGCGCTCAACAACAACACGAGGCCTCGCAGCCAATCGCTGATTGCCGGACAAGTTCGATTCTCGCCACGTTCCTCTTCAGCGTGTTCGTTGCGTGCCACAGATACTCACATCGACGGCGTTATTGGCTGGACTTTACTCACTTACGAGATATTCATATTCTAGAAACAATAGATATGCGCATAACTTACTATCCACTCTGCAATAACCCATGCCAGATTAGGGTTACAAGCCGCCGGACTCCCCACGCTCGTTCTGCCAGATATGAGGTCACTCTCTTCCCTCTGCGATACAGCAATACATGCAAAGAGATCTATAGCTCCTGGTAGCTCAACCACATCAGGCACGTATCCTGCGCGTCCTCTTCGCCGGGGGCTCGCCAGCAGCGTCGAGAGCACGTCGTTTTAGCGCCGCTCGAGTGCCCGCAGCAACAGGAGAAGTCGGTGCAATGGCCCCCACACATTCCGCACATTCGCAAGTCCCATCCTCGATACCGTCCTCCTCTTCAGGCTCCGCCAGCTCCCATACCGGGCGCACCGGGAGCCTCTGCTTGGGAATTTCCTCGACGTTGCGCGGCGCGCGTGGCGGAGCTAAGCAGAAGATATCCGGATGGTCGAGATAGTAATCGCTGACCTTGCGGAACGCCTTCTCTATGCTGTCGTAGACCTCGTCCCTGAAGCATTGGAGCGAGAATATTGTCCGTCCGTCGTCCAGTGTCACCGTAGAGCCTTCGACACCATCGCCTTCCAGGGCCATGTACGATATCCGCATGTCCAGGGCGAGGTAAAAGAGCTCGAGCACGGGATCAGTGGGATATATCTCCTTGAGCAGGTCCATGGGCGTGCTGTACCCATCGGCCTCCATGAGTCGGAAGCGCTCGTGCTTGAATATTCCTTCCGCGTTGGTCTTGAAGTAGGCCTTATAAAAGCATTGAAGCTTGTAGAGCATGTTCTTGGTACGGTCAGGGGCGGAGGTGAGCAGCAGTCTTTGCGGAATGCGATTGAGGATGTAGTCGTAGGCCATCCAGAGGACCGCTTCGAGGTCGTGGTAGGGGTTGTAGATGAAGTTGTCCTCGTGCGTTGGATCTGCCGGCGTTATGGGCGCGTTCGTCTGTTCGCCGGTTGATTCATCGGGTAATTGGTCGCTGTTGTGCCGGTATGACTGTAAATACCACTCCGTGGACATGTACCGATACGTTCCCTAGTATGTCGGATGAGTTAACGATCAACACGACGAGACGAAGACAACGCACCCCTTTGTAGTCTTGGGAGGCACTGTAATACGACCTCGACCATTCGAGGTCAGAGACTATAGTGGTCCAGTCGTCCAGATCTTCGCGCTTGATGTCGTGAAGCGACGCGGGTATTTGCCCGTCGCGCCTTCGTATCAAAAAGTTGCCCGGGCTCACATCCGCGTGAACATAGCCGGCATGCTTGAAGTGTCGGAGGGCTGTCGCCAACACAATCAGTACTTTGCGAGTGTGCAAAAAGACTCGAACTTACTGTCAACGACCTGGCTCATCGCGTGGAAGAACAGGGCCGGATTGTCGACCTTGTACAGATCGGTGCACAGTTGCCCGTACACGCCCCGATAGTGTGGCAGCTCGCCCAGCAAGTAGCTCCATACCATGACGGGCGAGCCTCGGGAGCCAGTCTCGGGATACCACACCTCGCCGTCTTCAAGGATGTCCAAGAACCTGCACTCCATCTCGGGATAGAGGCCCTCGCGCCTGAGCGCGTCGATTATATCGGTCTGCTTGTCCTTTTCATTCGCAGCCATGTGCGGCTCGGGCCAGTAGTCGCGCAGGACGTGCGGTGTGGGTCCTAGCTTGCAGCGCTCGGGGTCTGACGGGTTCGCGAGGACTCGTCGCACTTCAAAGACTCGCATGGACTTGCGGTTGAAGCCGGGGTAGCCGGGATTGTCGGGGGTCCATATGGTGCGCGTTGTCTGGTAGACCCTGGGGCGCTGCTTGGCGTCCTTGTCGAAGAACATGAACTGATACTGCAGACGCCCGTCGATGTCGCGGACGCGGCGCACGCCCTTATCGAGTCCGAGACAGCTGCACGAGCTGTAGGACATGATTATGATGAACTTGATCAACATGATGGGATGCTGAGGGTGATTCGTGAGTGAACGAGCACGAGCGATGGGCGACAGAGGAAAATGCTGCGTACCTCGTCGACGTCGAAGGGCTCCGATACAGCACTGCCTGTATGATAGTGGCTCCATACCCTCATAATCGTGTTCTCGATGCTGAAAGAAGAGACTGCGAGGTGTTTGACGTCGCTGACAAGCACGTCTCTCGCGTGGGTCAAGACACGTCGGCCGTTCTGCTGGCGTGTGAGCTTTGTCTCGACGACCAGGTGAATTGGAATCTCACCTCAAAGACTCCAGCCACCGTCTTGTCCATGGTGAGCACCCCGCCCGCCACGGTGGCGGCAACGGGAAAGGACTGGCCATCGAGCCAGTCGACTTGGGGGTCGCAAGCACATCCACCAGGCTTTGTAGGAGACCACGCAGCAGCATCCTTAGTCCTGATGAACGCGGCGTCTACGCCAGGAGGGTCGCCGGCGCTTTTATCTTCGATCGGTCTCGTGGGCAAACCCCAAACAAACTTCGTCCGGCGAGTTGCGGGAGAGCATAAAAAGCCTGCCACGCTTTCCGCCGCCGTGCATACCTGCTCCACAATCTCACCAAGTCCTTTGAGTCGCTGTAGCTTGGCCCTGTCTTTCTTCGACTGCCAGGAACGCAGTGGGATCTGCGCTGGTCTGCGATGTAGCTCTGCCCATTGCCCACGGTGATTGAAGGCGCCATTTGCGGTCAGCTTCTTGTGAATCTCCTGGATTTTGTCTTTCGAGGGAATAGTCGATCCTCTGAATAATTGGCGGAGAATGTCATTTGCCTTGATGAGAGTGGTTTTCCGCCCGTAACTGGTAGCGCAGAACTCGTTGAAATTGGCGATACTGTAGCTTTCCATGTCGGAAGCCGCAGAAACGCCAAAACCCAGGATTGTGGAGATATATGAGAAGTGAGAAAGAGTGGATAAAAGAACACAGAAGGAATTGGCTTTGGTCAAGAGCAAGCCGTCGATGGAATCCGAATCAACGCGACCTGCCGCGTGCCCATCACGTGAGAGATCTGGCAAGCGGCCCGGTACGCCACGAATTCCCCGAATGGGCTCGATCGCGCCTGCCATTGCCGGTGACCGTTGACGGCGACCGCCAACTGTTCCGTCTTCCGCATTCCGGACGTTGTTCTGACCATCTGAGGGACAACTCGGTGCCCACTCTTTCTTCCTACCACTATGTCGGCGATATTGCGCGCGAAGCTAGGGTCCCGGCCGGCGAACGGACACACTACTTTCCTCCCTCACATCCGCAAAATGGTGTTCGAGTACTGCGAGAAGTGGCCCACATCCGCGAACACGCGCACGTATCTTGTCAAGCACCTCGAGGACCTCGCGCGCGAAAACCCGCACGTCGAGATTGTGGTCAAGCCGAGGAACCACAAGCAGCCCATCGTGAGGGGATTCTACGGTGCGCGTACCCTCGGCGGCTTCTGTCCCGTATTTCTGAGCTGACTTCGGCTTGTCAGTCAATAACAGGGACAAGGTCATCCCTCTGCGGGACTTGGAGGTGAACGGCATCGAGAAGAAGGTCCAGCTGCTACTCGACTCTTCTGGGGCGAAGATTGTACCCCTCAAGCGCCGGACGGTGGAGAGCATGACCGAGTCTGCGAGGGGCATATGGAGTGGATTGCACGCACCCCGGCCACAGCTATAGTGCGCTGTCACTGCATCCAGTCTTACTTCATTGTGCGTCAACGTTCGTGTCCTTCAACCTGTGCTGACGGTGTTATAGATGTAGAACCACCCTTAATGCACTTTCACTCACGCCTCTTGACCCCTACCCCTGCAGCTCGGGCGGAGCAGCACCGCCTGAGTAGTAAGGATCAACGCTCACAAGCCGTTCATCTCCACCTCCCGCGGACACGGGCATGAGCGCTGCCGACCGCAAAGAAGACCGCTCAATGCAGGTCCGATGACTATTCCTGCCTGTAGAACTCCAGAGTCGAATCGTAGAGCGCACTAAATCATCCACTCTTTCAGCGTTCGAAGCATGAAGGCAAAATCTCCAGGCCCAGGCTCGCCTTGTCGCGAGAGCAACTACCGCCGTCAAGTAAGCACAACTTCTTGCCTATAGAGTCCGGTTTTGACGTCAATGCCAGTCCGCTTTTTCCTGTCAACATCCCGCTTTGGTTGCACCCTCAACTTGAGCGTGGCCTTGCGCTGTAGGAGATAATGTTTGATGTCTTCATGTTGCAGCCCCTTATCCAATCGCGTTGGACTGTCATCGTCAGAGCAGGCGGGCGAGACACTTCTTCCTTCTCACCAACATGCATACCGGAGCCTTCACGTCTGCCGTGAGGAAGCAGCGTCCCGCTCATTGCACTTCTGCCACATGCCGCATGGCCGACGAGCTATGAAAGCTAGCCCTCGAACTTACTTCATTGCTTCTAACCGAACTTTCTTCTACACGCAGCCCGACTCAGAAAAGCAGAGCCGTCACCGCCGCCTACCCCAAATCGTACGCACCCATTGTTTAATCTGTACGTTAACTCATCTCTGACTATGTTTTAGGCCATCCGCCGCAGACCTCGCCGCCGGAACAGTTGCAGCAAGAGCGGCCTGTTGTCCCGCACCACGTAAAGTCCCCGCCTGCGATGGAGGCAGCGCCTAGGCGAGGTCACGTGGGAGCTCTGCCTCGCGGCCTACACGCTTCATGAGCGCGCTATCGCCCTTTGCGTACTGCATGTCTCCGTCCGAAGCTCTCCTCATTCGCCCTGAACACGTGCGGGAAATGAGGTGATGAGGACTAGTTAAACGCGCGAGCCGACGGAACCTTTCTTCTTTACTTCCCATCGCCTGCGTTCCCCTTTGTGTGTCCGTCCACTTAGTCGTGCGTTCGCGCGTCCCTCCGTCCCTCATTCGTTCTGTCCGCTACGATGTGTTCTGTACGTTGCTCGGTGCTTGACGACGGGGGGTGTGGGATGCTAATCCTCGCACAGAATGATATGGAGACCGGCGCTTGTCCACGGCGCTCGCTTACGCTAGACGAGTTGCGGTGGCTGGAAGCAAGCGCCTGGTTTGAAGGGAGGGCATCGCGACCAGCGTCGCCAGCGGTACGCCCTCTTTCCTTATCTTACCGGGCGTGCGACGCTGACCCTCCTATAGCCATTCGACAGAGACAGCTCCCCTCCGCGGTGGTCTACCCTGTCTACTTCGGCCCCCGAGCGATCGTCTGCCTTCCCCAGCCACTACGACCTGCCCCTCAAATCCAAGTCGCCGATGCATCTTCGCTGTGTCTTGGTGAGTGCGCAGCTGCCTCGCGCGTTGGAGTGCGTCGCTCACATGCCCATCCATATCGGCGCCGCAGACACCACCCACGCCCTCGCCGACACCACCCCCGCCACCCTACTCCTCTCATGCGGCATCGATCCCCCGTGCGGCGTCCAAACTCCGCCTTAAAGACGATCCCCTCCCCCACGTACAGCCCACGGAGATCATACCACCTGATGAGGGCCCGCGTCCCACTGAGTGGATCAACAGGCGCCCACGACCCTCACGCTCGGGGTCCTCAGCCTTCAGCCAGCGTTCAACCAGCCAGCGGTCAGTCACTGGCCGTCCAGTCACGCGCTATGCGGGGCCGAGCACGGCGTCTGTGAATACATACTCGACCGCGCGGCCGGAGAAGGAGAAGACGAAGGACGCGCCTTTCTGGAAGGTCTTCATGCGCCCGCGGTCGCGCACGGTGCCCTCGGAGCCCCGCGCGCTGAAGACGCACCCGTCGCAGGCGCTAACGCCCTCCGTGGCGCACTCGCTTAGCACGCGCACGGCCTCGGGGCAGAGCCGCACGCCGTCCATGTCCTCGCTCACGAGCTCCACGACCTCAGATTCGTCTGCGCGGCCTGAGACGCCGTCGCCCCTTTTGCCGTCCAGCAAGTTCGAGCCGCACCATCGTGGAGTGGCGGGCGGCGCGCCGCCGTGCCTGCACCACCGAACCGCGCGCACGTCGTCTGTGACGACAAAGGACAGCGCGGCTACAAAGGCGAGCGCGGCGTCTGCGTCGTCTTCCATCCCCCCGCCCTCTGCGATGTCGTCTTCCAAGTCTGTGAAGTTTGCTGCTGCACCAACGGTGCACTATGCGAGCGCGGGATACTGGGAGGTCGAGGCGCGGTTATGTGCGAAGGAGGAAGAGAGCCTGGGCATCGACCTAGATAGCATGGACTTCGACCTCGAGAGCGAACACGGCGCGCTCATCGCGAGCTTGCGACCACCGCCGTCGCCCAAGAAGGAGAAGAAGGAGTCGAGCTTAGGATTCGGAAGGAAGAAGAGCAACCGAAGCAGGAGCAGGAGCAAGGAGGGCGAGGATCGCAGCCTACGACGCCTGGTTGGCCTCCGCCGCGCGGGGCCACCACCACGACCGTCGATCTCGGGCCCGTACGCGCTGGGGACAGCTCCGGTACCTGTCCCGCGCGACCACGACGCGCCCGTCTCCTCCGCCTCCTCCTTCATGTCGACCGGCTCGGGCTCCTCGTCCCTCCGGTCGAAAGCCTCCCTCCGCTCCCGCCTCTCCAGGCGCACCGGCCTCTCGTCGTCCCTTCCCCTCCGCCGCGCGCCCTCGATGGACAGCGTGAAGAGCGGCGGGGCGCGGAGCCTCGGCAGTATTGCGAGCACGACCGGGAGTGTCCGCGGCTGGCTGGGCCGGGTGGGCGTGCCGTGACCGGACTCATGGCGCGCGCCTGGCCTATTGCCCCCGGACTGCCTTCTTGGTCGGCACCTCGCGTGCTGCTATGCTCTTCTTGGACGCCCACGGTAGACGCTTGACGCCATTCCGCCGGCCCTGCACTTGGCTGGCGCTCAGCCCTCGACGGGCTTCGAGGCCAGTGACTTGCTGCTCTCTGTCTCAAACTAGCGCGGTGCTCGCTATGCTATCACTCCATTGGCATGGGAGTGCGGCCCCGCCATCGAGGCGCCCACCGCTGGACAGTTGCTCGGCGCTTCTGGCGGGCCGCACCCTTCCTGCCTATGCAAACAGCCTATGCTTCGGGACTCTTCTCCCGAGAGACGATGACTTTGGATAGTGTCCTTGACTTCGGATGATGACCTTGACTGCGCATTACGACCTTGGACCATGCTCTCCCACGATGACTTTGACGCGTTCAGGTTCTATTCTCGCCAGCCGCGATGGCTGGATGGACGCGCTGCATGCTACTATTCGCTGTGAATGCCTACTGTATATCGATCAACTTATGACTATGTACCTTGACGTGTACGATAATCATGTTCATGCCGTGTACGCTACGATGACCGAGTCATGTACTTACGACGATGGATGGATGCGATGGATGTTGGTTGATGTTGATGTTGAAGAGCCTGCCGGTGAGGTGCCTGCGCGAGAAATCGTCGAATCGGAACAGAGTCGAGGACCCAGGTACGCTTTCCATTGCATTGAACGTGCGTCAGAGACGCCCTCGACGTCAGCTGCAGCCAGTCAAGCTGCAGCCAACTATGAGAAAGTACGGTACCTGCCGGTAAGTCCGTGATGATGAACACACGTTCCGTCCATTGTTCAGCCGCAATTTGCCGCTTCATCCGTTGGATGGCGAGCGCGGAAGGACCATGGAAAGTCGGGGAATGTGCAGAGGCGCCGAGCGGCATGTTGACCGAAACGTACAGTACCTGTGCGTCATGCGCGGCCTCGAAGGCATGTCAGGGACCGCCGGGCGTACGCTGGACGAGAGCTCGACGAGAGCAGGCCAGAGTCGGTCGCCATACACTGGCATTCGGGGGAGCGGGAAGGTGCATAGAGATCTTCATTGGCGCCCCGTGGGATGGGGTGGCACGCCCGTGGGCAGTCCGCGGGGCGTGCGCGAAAAGACCTGCCGACGAGCTCTAGCCCGCCGTCTATCGACCCCGCGATCGCGGGGGTGTTTGGAGCTTCGAAGAGCGCGGAACTTGCGAGAGCGACAGAGAACGCCCCCCTGCGTGCGCGCAGTGAGAGTCGAAGGTCAAGTATCAAGTGGAAGAAGAGCGGGAAGACAGGTGGTTTTGCTGCCGCCGGCCATAAAACACGTGCGGACTAAGATTAGGCGCCATCAAATCTCGGACTCCGTGCAGGCTGCCGCTCCGCCGAGAGACCTTCAGAACTCAGAAACACAGAAACATCGCCGAAATGACTTTCTTTTCCGCGGACAAGGGGGGCTTGGGGGGTACTCATCTTGGGGGATGCTCCACAACGCCTGCCCTTAAGCTTTTCTAGCGGCTGAAAGAGTGCTCAAGATCATTTTATGGCTTCCCTCGATGGCACTATCGAAGTAGTACGTGAACTCAGCGCTTGCTGGACGGTTGTTTACAGGCCTTCGCCTTACGGAGGGGGCATTTCTCAGGTTGTTTTTAGCGAAATAGCCTTCAGGGGTGCCGTATCGATGATACTATCAAATTGCGCAGCGCTCTGGGAGAGGATCGTGCCGGTCCAGGCTCATCTGGGATTCCTCTGCTATCACCGTCACGGCGCGACATGGTGCTCCAATAACCCCCGCCGCCTCTGCTTTCCCTCCCCCACCAATGCCAAACCCTCACTCCAGCAAGAAAAGCCATGTCCACGTCCGACTCAACGAGTCGGCTCTCTTTCTCCGAGTCCCCTCCGACCCAGAGAGCGCCGATGAAGCGCCACAAGCCCCTGCTTCACTCCGCGGACTGCTCATCGTGCACCTCACGAAACCTGCGCGCATATGCTCTATTGACGTAGAGCTGGTGGGTACATCGCAGGTGCAGTGGCCAGACGGTGCGTGTCCCCTCGAGCGCCTTCCCCTTCGCCGCTGACCGTTCCCCCAGGCTTGGGAACACATCACGTCGAGTACACGGACACTGCACGCATCTACCATCAGTCTCAGACGCTGTTCAAGTCGCAACCCAAGCCGCGCCGCGCTTCTTCGGTCGGGCCAGGCATCTTCCTTGAGCAGGACGACAGCAGCCAGCCCAGCGTTAGCAATAGCGCTAGCGGAAGCGCTGAGGGAATGATCGAATCCGTGCCTACACTCCTCACTCCCCCTCGCGCACCCTGGGCCGATGTCGTTCCCAGTCCTCCCTATACCCCGACGAGGGAAGAAGCGGACGACTACTTCCGCCACCATCCGCCACAGGCCTTCTCTACTACCCCCATGGACTCCTTCCCCTCGATCGGACAGTTGACGACCTCCCGCTCTAATCCGAACCTATCCCTCCCGCCACCACCGAACCTCTCCATGCCTGGTGTCCGCCCTAGTCCCTCGGCTCCGGAATCACGACGCAGTACGCCTTCCTCCACGCGGCAGTCCTCCCCAGTCATCACCCCTTCGAGCTCAAAGGAAGCCGCACACAGCAAGCACGCCAGTTTCCACCCCCACTCCCACTCCCATTCCCACTCGCGTTCGTTCCACCTGCCGCATCTCCCCGTGCCACACCTCTTCTCTTCCTGGCGCCAAAAGTCGCCGAAGGTGGAGCACGCCCACTCGCATGACCACGAAGAGACGCGGGGAGCGGACGACCGGCGTTCGCGTTCCCGCGCGGTGCGGTCCAAGTCTAAACCCCCACCTGCGACCGCCTTCGACGAAGACGAGGAAGACGATGTTCTCCCACCGGAGCCTTCTTTGGGATGGAAGGAGTTCCCTGCGGGCACGTACACGTACCCCATCTCGTTCACTGTCCCCGGCAATGCGCCGCCTTCGCTGGAGACGGAGTTTGGATCAGTGGTATGGAAGCTGAACGCGACTGTGCAGCGGCAGGGCGCGTTCGCGACGCGGCTGCACGAGTCGCATACCGTCACGGTCATCACGTGCCCGACCGAGGATGATACGGAGGATACGGCGAACATCATCGTCGAGCGGTCGTGGCATGAGCAGCTGCAGTACGCGCTCACAATCTCTGCGCGCAGCTTCTTCATTGGCGCGACCGTTCCCTTTTCGTTGACGCTATTGCCTCTCACGAAGGTCCGTATTCATCGCCTTGCGCTGTTCGTTGAGGGTGAGTCCGTTCTGATACTGCGCTTGCGTGTGAGGCTGACCCCCCGTCTAGAGCAAACCGTGTATCTTGCGCATCAAGATGAGACCGCCCGCACCGACCCAGTGCTGCGCGTCCCACTCATGATGATCAAGCACGAAGTCGGCGGGCCCATCCTCCCCCTCGACGGCGACGTGCGCAAGTCCCCGTTGCACGTCCTCGCCCAGTCCAGCGCCGACGCCCAGCAAGAAGACCTCGACGACCTCGCGAGCACCTGGACGGGCCCGGGGCCCTGGCGCGTCAGTGGCACTGCGCGCGTGCCCAACCTCCTCCGCCCGACGAACCGCAACCGCCGCGCGGGCGTGATGGTCACGCACGCCGCGAAGTTCCTCATCCGCGTCGAGAGCGACCAGGAGATGGACCCGAAGACGGGCCGCCGGAAGCTGTACGACGTGACGGTGCAGACGCCGATCCAGGTGTTCTCCTCGCGCTGTGACCCGGGCGCGCTATGTCTGCCGCAGTACAGCGAGGGGGCGGGGGGAAGGGAGGCGCGCGACGGCCGGACGGGCTCGGATTCGTCCGATGTGAGCATAGCGGCGATAGATGAGGTGAATGCGGACCCGCGGCAGATTCCGAGTCTGGCGGGGGGTGCGCTGCAACACCTTTTCGGGCGCAATGCGCACTTCGAGCGCCTTATCGCCGGCCAAGAGAGCGAGTCGGGAGAGGCGCCGCCCGCGTACGATAGGTTGGAAGGATCGCGGCTTGCGTCGGCCGTCAGTGGCTGAAGGACTGGGCTGTTATCATCAAAGTGTTCGTTCACCAGGATCGAAGGAGTTCCGACCACCATCGAAGGAGTTCCCACCAACATCGAAGTTCCCAGTATCGGTTCACAGGTTGAGTTGTGTGATAGACGGGGGTGGATGATCTTTGTACATACATGATATCTCTACTTACATCAGGGTTCTACGAAACTCACTTTAGGTACGCGCTGTAGCATAATGGGATGACCGCGACGACACTAGACTTTTAGACAGACAGACTGCATATTTACTTAGACTACTTATGGAACACCACCCGACCTGCTCTTCTCTCTCGTCTTCTTGCGCTCATGAAGTTCTTCTAAGTCCGCTAGCAGATATGATAGACCAAGCGCGTCAAGGTCCGCATTTACCGCGTAAGCCTGGTCTTTGTTTACTTTTGCTTGCACCTGCAGGTCCTACGCCAAGCCTTTTTCTCGCCGATCGATCCTCCTTTTCAGGCAACCTTTGTTTTTCGTCGGCATCGACGTATTTCCCCGTAATTCCGCCATGTGGCGCCCCCGGCCTTCGCCTGACGCCATGTCTTGACTCATGGCCTGACCTTTGCTGTCTTATTCATCCTTCTTGCCACTCGCTTATGAGTCTGGGGTGATTCTCTACTGGCCGCGGCTCAGGCTGTACATATAATCGCACCAAGACGACGAGTTGGAAGAGGGGCTCAGACTCCCATTCACGGCGACCCAGGAACGAGGACACGAAAACGGTAGAAAGGCAGTCAGACTGCGACAACTAGACTCACGGATCTCGTACGATATTAGACGACGCTCTTCGCCATGTTAGAAAGTACTGCTTCGCCACCGATAGGCCTGCGCTGGCGGTCTTCGTCTTGGTTCACGACGATAGTCGTGGGGTTGGGTGAGTTGTTTTCTAGCCCCTGAATCGTTTATGGCTTTCCCAGCGGTAAGCAGACGCAGATTGATTGACATCGTTCTTGCAGGCATAACGACCGACCTTCTCGTTTACTCTATCATCATCCCGGTCCTGCCTTTCCAGCTGCAGGAGCTGGGATATAGTGGCGTGTCCGGCCTGGTAGGATGGCTACTCTTCGCATACTCCGCCGGTCTGGCCCTTTGTGAGTTCGTCTGCCTCTACCTCTTCACACTCGTCTAACCACCCTCCAGTTACCATCCCCATCGCCGTACTCTCTGAGCGCTGGGGCGCACGCCGCTGGCCGCTCATTGTGGGCCTCCTTATCCTCGTCGGCTCACAAGTCATGATGATGGAGGCGCCCACGTACTGGGTGATGTGCCTCGCGCGCATCATCCAGGGCTTCGCGAGCAGCATTGTGTGGGTGCTCGGCCTCGCGCTGCTGTGCGACTGCACGCCTGCGAGCTCAGTCGGGCAGAAGCTGGGTTTTGCGATGATGGGGCTGTCGGTTGGGTGAGTGGGATCTTGTTGTTTGGCTGGTTGGATGGGTATTGTGGAATGCGATGCTGACCCCGCCTTTGCAAACAGCTCGATCGTGGGCCCACCAGTCGGCGGTGCGCTGTATGAGCGCTTTGGCTTCCGCGGACCCTTCATCTTTGGTATCGGGTGCAGCGTCGCAGACCTGGTCGGCCGCATCGTCATAATCGAGCGCAAGGATGCTCTGCGATGGGGTGTCGATCCGGCGGCAGAGGTGGAGGTTGCGCAGACCGAGGCTCGCGACGAGGAAGCGAGATGCGCCGAAAAGCCCCCGGTCATCGTTGGCGAAGCGCAAGTCGCGAACGAAGGCACGCCTCGAGAAGGTGGCGAAGCGCAGACGGGTGCTCCGGCAGCTCCAGGAGGGTTGGAAGAGGGCCGGTCGTCGCCCTCGGTCGTCTCGCCTCCAGATGCCGTTGCGCGAACGATATCGAACAGTTCTTCCCGCAAGCCCCATTTCTCTGCCGTGCAAGTCCTGCACAAGCTCCGCCGCTCACCTCGCGCGATCGTGACTGTCTTCATGACCTTTGTTTGGGGGTACGTTCTCTTGTTCTATTCTAGTTGCTAATGACTGCTTCGCTGATCGGGTCTCCTTCCTCCAGTATCGCGTACAGCGCCCAAGAACCCACTATGCCGCTGCATCTCGAGGATAATTATGGCCTCAGCTCGTCCAAGGTCGGCTTGATTTACCTTGCAGGGGTCATTCCGACGCTATTCTGTATGTGCCCCTTTTTCTCTCTCTGAGTCCGAACGATGGAACTGACCTCGACATTAACTCATAGCCTCGCCAATTACAGGCTGGTACACGGACTACAAGGGCGCAGAGTGGGCGATCTCGTGGTCGCTTCTACTCGGCCTCCCGTGGTGGGCAGTCATAACAATTGATGGGCACCTGGCGCTGTTCATTGTGGCATACTGCTTTGAGAGTGAGTACAGCACACCTATCGTGCCAAACATGTTTCTGACCTTTTTTCATTGCAGACCTTTTCGTTTCGGGCGTAGTTTCACCGCTAACGGCCGAGCTAGCTGCTGTCGCTCGAGATATCGAGGGTGTCGGATGTACGTCGTCTTGATCATATTCCATGCGCATATCCCGACTGACTGCTCTAGACGCTCATGTGTACGGCGCCTTCAACCTGGCATACGGTATCGGGTCTTCAGTCGGACCTGTCGTTGGCGGCCAGGTACGTATCACATACTTTGATGAAGAAACACAAACTGATTTGCATACTACAGATGTACGACCACCTCACCAGGGGATGGCTGGCAGTCTGCCTCCTCGCGTTGGGACTTTCGGTCATGAGTCTCACCCTCGCGTTCTGCTACACCGGGGAGAGGCCGCTTGGGAGGAGGCTGTTGGACCTTTTGAGGAAGAGGACGCGCAAGGCTGAGCCAGCAGCTCCGGAGACTTAGGCTAGTGCTAGCTGGCTTTAGATTGGTGGAGGCCGCCGCAAACGCTTCGGAGGTTCTAGAGGGTGTAAGTGATTTAGATGAGGTACAGGTTCAGTCTGCAGTCGTATCACCCCTCATTCGTATGTAGCAAATATCACCACTCCTCTTCTCCCCCTTCTAATCGTTGCTTCGATGCAGGTGTTGAGTGCTGAGACTGACTCGGGTGACATGGCCGTCAACAACTGCTAACGGGTCGCTTTCTCGCCCGACTTCCCTGACAATCTTTGCCCGCAAAGTCCAAGCACGGTGTAGAGTGTCTATTTAGAATAAAAGCGGCATTGGAAGATAGAAATACGCTAGGCGCGCTAGAGCTCGTGTATCTCTTTTTTTTTGGGTACTGTAATCTCTGGAACATATTTGTCCTCGCTTGCACGGCAAGTCCCGGACGCACATCACACGTCACGATTGGTCACGCTTCTCCTCCTGGACCTCTCAACTCGGCGAGAGCAATACTCTCGATCTGCAATTCCAAGGCTCTCCTTTGTTCCTGTCCTCATCTGTCTTTCCCTAATATTCTTTCTTATCTTTCCGTATCTTCAGGCAACGACCCCAAGGATTGGAATACACTCCCAACGATGGCGGAGAACGCATACCCCTCGCCGACACAGTCACTGTATACGGAGGACTTTCAGGATCTTCCCTCCCCATCGTTCACCTCGGATATCACGCGCAACCTGAACGCGCAGAACAGCCTCCGTCAGACGTCGGAAACGCTGCAGGCAACATATCGCCGCTTGCGCCAAGTGCGCCAGAGCCTGATGGAGCTTACGGCCTCGCTCCCATCGCACTCGCGCCAACTAGAAGACACCATGTCGCTCATGGACCCCGGCCACGAAGCCATCTCGCTCGTCGATCACGATGACGATGAGCGCCGTCCGACGACAACAACAGCGGCGGCAGCAAGCACGTCCCGCTCGCCTGTGGCCACCACCACCCTGCACGAGCTCGAGCGCCTCCGCCCCACCCTTCCTCCCGAAACATACAACCGCATCCGCCAGTTCGCGATGCGCTACGACTCGCATGCGTCCTCAGCGCCGGGAACGCCGGCGCTGCGTGCGGGCCCCCTCCCTATACCCTCCCCCGTGACCGGCGTACGGTCCCCTCTGAGCCCGCGCAGCCGACCCTCCCTCGCCGAGCGCCGCTCAGAGCACGCCTTTGTTCTCCGCCGCGGGGATGAGGAGGCGCAGACGACGCTCGGGCGGCGCGTCACCGCCCGCGAGGCCAGCCCGGGCGCGTCTGGCGATCGGGGCACCCTCCCCGCCCTGCGGATCATGCGCACACTCTCGCGCACGCCCGACGCGCGCCCCGTCAACATCGACGGGGATGCCCTGTCGCCGCTGGAGCCCCGCGCTCGCACGCCCGTGGCTGGTAACGAATTATACATCCGCACGCGCGCCACACAGGCGGGCGGATCGGATCAGGGGGCGTCCGCGGGGCGGCAGACGCCCTCTGGGAGACAGACACCCTCTGGCCGGCAGCTGGGGCCCCAGAGTCGGTTGTCGACCTTATCGGGGCTGGGTAGTGTGCAGAACATTGCATCGCCGTCGTCGCCGATGCTTCCCCCTCGGCCCGTGCTGTTCGCCGAGCCTGAGTCGATGGCGGAGAACGAGAGTGTTACCGTGAGCAATGCAGAACGTCGGGCAGCGGACGTGCGCGCTTCCTACCTGTGGGATTTGGCAACGCCTCAAGCGCCGCGACCCCCGCGACCTGTGGCACGGACTGGTGCGTATATCATGCACACGTACGCGTGTTGGCTAACGCAATACACAGTGCGCTACGACGTTGACGGCAACGAGCTACGCGAACCTTCCCGTGAACCACCAGTGACTCGCGCACCCATTACCCCAGACTCTGCTCACGGGGACCCGCGCGTCCGCCTAGGCGCCTCGCGCAACCTCGAGCGCAACGAGCATGGCGACGCCTGGGTTCTCGTCGATGACGATACATCAACTGCCGTCAATGGAGGCCGCGCCGCCGCCGACCGTGCGTGGGCCGCTCGCCCTGAGTTGCAATCTTGGCGGGAGTGGCAGTCGGCGCGGGAATGGCGAGATCCGCTCGTGCGCCGGGAAAGGGAGAGCGAGGCGCCACGGAAAGCGCCTGAGCCCGGGCTCACCACGACGGGAGAGCCTGTGTTCTATGGGTCTTCGGAACCGTTTGAGCCGGATCCTCTACCTATGCCGTTGGGCGAGATGGTCGTGTACCCCGCAGAGACCCGGCGGTCGCTACCGCGGCCACGGACAGTGGGCATAGAGGCCAGTGAGGCTGGTCGGTGAAGTCAGCGACGCTGCAAGGTGAAGCAGTGGAAGTGAAGGATTTGTGAGAGTCTGGAGATCTCGATGAGGCAGGGAGCTGCCCTGAATTGGGTTAAATCGATACTCGTACAGGGTCCGTATATGTCCTACTTACCCGCCTGCAGAATTCAAGTTTCTGGAGTGGCGCTAATGGAACATGATAACACCGAAAGCTAGCTATGTACGAGTCCGAGTTGCACTTGAAAGGGTGAGGAATGCGCCGGCGGATGCCGGTCTACTATTTTCCCTCTTTTGGTAGGTTTTGTTCTTGCTTCCTACCTCTTCGACGTGTCATGTAATATGACCCTGACAATTTCGACTGTTTTTCTCTTTCTTGGGACCCATATAGCACATATGGGTGCTAGTCAGTGCCGAGTGGCTCTCTAGTAAACGCCCTAGTCAATGCGCTTATCGCGCTGAAAGATCACGACTTGGGCTCTTGCCCAAGCTTCGACTTTCATTGGTACGACGCTGTCCTTCTTCAGCATACACGATGATGAATGCGCTACTCCTGAAGTCATGTTAGGGCTCGAGTGCACACATGGAATGAAGTGGTGCGTGTTCAGTCCATGCTGGGCCTTGGACAAGCTCTAATCAACCACTACCATCTAGACATCCACTTTGTCACCCATGATGCAGTGCATTCTGCATGGATTGCTCCCCCTCACAGTTTATCGCGTAACAGCATATATTTGAGGATGATCGTAGGAGCTGGGCAGCCGAGTCTGCAAACCTCCCGGACCCACCCAACGGCGTTGAACTCGTCCACAAGCTCGAGGCTCACTGCATGACAATTCCGCCAAGCCCGTGTCGCTCCAACGCCAGCAGCTCGGTTGCCAATCGTCATGCAAGCCCTCAACGTTGCCAACTGTAACGACTGCGTCATACCCTCCGCATGTGCCTCATATACCGCGCACGGCCTGCAAGTCCAGGGCACAGTCCTCCCCTCTTTCTCCCCTCTCCTAGCACCTTCACCATGTCGCTGAGCTCGCTCAGGCTGCTCGCCCTTGTTTGTGCTTTGGAGCTCTCCGCGGGTGCGCCCCCCGCGACGGCGACCGTGCCAGCCATCATCCCCGATCGGCGGGACTTCATCTCGAGCGCGACTTCGGTGGCTGGAAGCTTGACCTCGGAGGCAGGCGATGCGCTCACTTCAGCGCTTCCATCTGCGGTGCAGAGTGTGTACTCGTCGCTAGCATCTGCGGTTCCGACCGAGGCGGTCGCGGGCATGATCCCGGGCTTCGACGTGCCGTCTACGGACGACATCAAGAGTCAGGCAGGGCTCAGCGACGAGCAGATTGAGCAACTTCCTGTGCGTATATTGAACATTCCGTGAGTGCTTGTATTGTATGCGCCTGTGATCGTCACTGACAGTGCATACAGTGGATATGCGAACCGTACCGACAATGGATGGAGCGTCCTCTTCCACGGACAAGCGTACCGCCAGCCGCTGGACAACAGCTCCAAGCTCGACGACCTTACCAATGCATTCCTGCCAGAGAAGGACGTGTCCGAGCTTAACGAGACACAGCAAGAGCAAGCACGCAACCTCACCTCCGCCATATATTCGCTACCAGTGTCCGACCTGTCCCTCACCTTCACGCTGTATAATGCGACGAAGGAGTCACAAGACAGTCCGATATTCAAGTTTACTTTTCCTCTGCCAACGGATTCGCGCGGAGAGTTCAACCAATTCATCAATATGAACGAGAGTGTCCAAGCCGATCTGGGAGAGCGTGTGCATAGGATTGAAGTCCGGACGAATGCTGGCGATCGTACGTGCATTGTCCATGATTATGATGTATATGCTCACGCCTTCGCAGTCGGCAACAGTTCCGCTTTCCTCGTCCCACCTGAGGGCATAACCTTCCTGGCCGACATCGACGACATCCTCCGCGTCACCCGCATATACGCGCCCCTCTCCGGTCTCAACAACTCCTTCGCCAACCCCTTCACTCCCTGGTCGAACATGCCCGCCGTCTACGCGCAGTGGCTCGAGACGATCCCCAGCGCGCACTTCCACTACCTCACCACGACGCCCGAGCCCGCGACGCGCATGTACGAGTCCTTTATCTTCGGCAACTACCCCCTCGGCTCCTTCGACACGCGCCCCTACAACTTCACCACCTTCGAGCAGACGTTCCGCGTGCGCGCCGTCGCGCTGCGCCGCGCGCTCGAGACGTTCCCGAACCGCAGGTTCGTGCTCATCGGCGACACGAGCAACGCGGACATCATGCGCGACTACCCCGCGCTGGCGAAGGAGTACGGGAACGTGCAGTGCATACTGCTGAGGAATACGTCGGCGACGGATAGTGGAGACAAGTTCCCGTACGACACGAGTGGGCTCGAGGGGCTGGATAACTCGACGTACTTTTTCTTTGATGTGCCGGATGATTTAATGGGGCTGGATATCGAGAATGGCGAGTGCGTGAATGGATCGGTGGCGCAGAATGTACAGTATGGGTACCAGAACCTGCCGACGGACCCGGACACCGACGCGGCGGTGCGGTTCAGCAGTGTTGCGTCCCAGATGGGCTTGTTGGCGATAGGGTTGGTGGTTGGCGCGCTGGCGATGTGAGGACTCGATGTTTATTGTTACGACCTTTGACGCAAACGGACAACCTTGTACAATACCTCGTGTAATTACGTACGGTACAGTCCTTGTACAGACTCGCTTGACGTGGTACAACGCGTCAGCGCATCAACCGATTGCCACACTTGCCCTCTCCGAGTCAGGCCTCGCTCTTTAACAAAACACACGGTCGGCAGCGTCACTTAGCCGTGCCCCTCGGAGCTCAGTCAGCGCACGAGCGGACAAATGCATGGCTGCATGGATACCGGACTGTTCTCAGAGGCGCTTTGGCACGCTTGCGATACCGCCGAAGTCAGATCAATTTACCGCACCCCCAACCACTGACTTTGGTTTGCTGTGAAAATTCGGTCCCGGACATAGTTTGCGCATCTTTGATGTTTGAGTAACATGATCTGGAGCCCAAGTAGATTTGTAGACTATCTTGCCCTCTAGAATGTATGCTTCGGCCTTGCTTTATCCGCTTTATGACCCCGCAGACAAAGTTCAACCAGATAATCTCCTTATGGAGTTACTCTGGCAGATGCCGAAGCGTGCCGTTTGAGCCGGGCGTGCGAACGCGGTTGTCTTTGTTCAACCACCACTACCGTCGGCCACCGCGATCCTCTGCTGCACCCACGGCATTTTGTACTCAGTGGCGACCTTTGCCGTTTGTTTCTGCTCTCATCCTAGCATAAAAGGTGCGCATTCAGCCTTCAACCATGCTCTTCCCCACCCTCCCTGCCCGTGGCTTCGCGCTGTTGCTCAATATGCAATCTCTTCAGAATTCCAACCACCGCGTCAGAACCGACACTCTTCTACTAGCTCGCCATAAAACTCCCCGGACCATGGATCCCGAGAACCTCACGCAATTTCGAGCACGCTGCCGTGAGAGCGCCATCTACGGTGGCAGAACGCGCGTGGCTGGCATGAACGCCTTTTACGCGAGCTATCTCCCTCAATGGGAGCGTATTACCACCACCGAGTGGGCCACGCTTCATCGAGCGCTCATCCGGAACGGGACCATCACCAAGAGTGGTACATGGGCGCGACTCCCGCGACCCAACAAGAAGACTCGCACCCAGAATGAAGACGACAAGTGTCGAGTAACTGAGGACGCGCATTTCCGAAATCTGGAGAAAGTCGTGGAACGGGTACTGGCCACGGCGGAAAGCACCTTAAAGGACCGTTTTTCGCCCGACAAGCGCACGACGAAGTTCATGTGCCGGCCCCTGCACACGACGGACTCAGAGGTCCCGGGCTCCTCTCACCGCGTCGATGCTATGTTCGTCAGACGCCACTCCTCGTATCCCGCCGTCGCCCTGCCAGGTGGTTGCGCTCGCGACAGCAATGCCGGAGTCTACGACGGCGAAAGGATCATGACCGCTGATCTGACGAGCACCGGGGAGTTGAAGTTGGGCGTAACGCCTCAGGATATTGTCAATGTGCGTTTACCCTAGCTTTGAGTTGCTTTCTGACTGACAACGTCTACAGAACGAGGAGAAGACACTGGGACACGCCGGCCACGCGTTTTGGAACGACGTTGGACGTGTTGCTGTGCTGTCGTTCACCATGGAGGGAAGCCTCATGCGTTTATGGCACCATACCCGCTCGCATACCGTTGCTTCCGCCTTGTTCGATATACATAACGTACGCCACCTCAGCTGCTACCTCTGCGCCTTCGATACTAACGATCTTCCTAGGAACGGCTATGGTTCGTCGAGTTCATCCTATTGAACACCTATGCACCACTTTCTATGCTCGGCATCGATCCCACTGTCCGTCGTGTCATCGACGATGAAGCCCACCTGCAGTACCAGTTCGACATATACACCGAGGATGGATCATACAAGACCTACCAGACCGAGAGCGTCCTGGAAGACGTCGACGATCAGCCCATCTACACGCGCTCGATGCGGGTGTTCAAGGTCCATCTCGTCACCCACAACACCGACAATCCGAAGGAGCGCGTACTCGATAAGACACCGAATGACCTTCGCGACTACTGGGTGTTCAGCGACGTGAAGGATGAAGGCGTCATACAAGAGGGCATCAGGCGCAAGTTGGAATCGTTCCCCGACTGGCCCCAGATTAAAGACCACTTCATGGGCATCGAGGAGGATGGCGCAGTTCGGTATCCACCCGGGGATCCGACGGCTCGCAGTAGTGTCCCTCCTCCTCCTTCGGACTCGCTTTACTTTCACTTCATGAACAAGGACAACCCGAGCAATACTCCGGCCGCCGAAGCCAAAATCAAGTCCGCAAGTGCGACTCGAGACTGGGAGAAGAAGCGCGATGGCGTTGCGAAGCTTGCGCCCGGGGCGGCCTCGGATCCCGTCCTACAGGTGCACGGCAAGAAGCACTGCCGCACCAAGTATGTGCAATTCTGCATGGACTTGTACAAAGTCTCGCACCCTGCCCTCTATTTCTTCGCTTTGAGTCAGGTAGTCAGGAGTGCGTACTTGAATTTGGTTGCCTCATTCCATGCTGATTTGTTATATCTGTTGCAGTCCTCAGATACCTGAAGCGCGAAGGTTACCTGCACAGGGACGTTAGTCCTGGTAATTTCCTGCTTTACCATCGAAGCGGTACTCTGCCTACGGAAATCGTCGCAGAGTTGGATCAGTGGATCACCTTGGTCTCTGATCTGGAATACTCAAGGCCCTACCACGGTGGCACCGGACATGACCCTCTCACCGTACGTGTGCATTCTCTTGTGTCACTGCGATATTGACCTTTCCACCAGGGTACATCAAACTTCATCGCAATCGAAGTACAGAGACACGAGCATATTTTTGCCCCATTGGCCCTGGGCACGTTCCCACCTATTTCGACCTTCTTCGCCTTCAACTACTACCATGACTGCGAGTCGGCATTGTGGATGGCGCTCGACTTTGCTTTTCGCAAGATATCCAAGAGCAAACTCGGCACCTCGGTATCCGGCGATTTGGCCGAAGAGATCCTGCGCGGGCACGCGGTTGACCTCTTTCCGCGGATGGAGTCCGGGTCAGCGGCGCGCCACGGTCTCCTCACGAACAACGGAAAGATAACAAGGCTCGACGCCGCTCTCTGCGCCGTCTACGGCCTCGACACGCCATTACGGAAGATCATCGCTCTCATACCGAAGATGCGCGATGCCTACGAGAATCTCGAGGACAGTGTACACGTGCCAACTATCAAGCTCGACGAAGACCGTCAAGTACTCGACGATTCGCTCTTCTTGGACGACATTTACGACAAGATGGAGGCTACCTTCCGCGAGATCAGCGACGCTTTCCTCAACTGCGATGAGGAGTTCGTCTGGCTGCCTCCTCCACCTGTGAAGGTGATCCCACCACCTCGCTTCGCCTCTGAGGCGCGCATGCTCGGCCCCGAAGTACCGCCCGTGATCGACTCGGAGGAGACGACTCAGGAAGACAACGGCAGCGACGCTGACGCTGACGGCCCCTTCTCTCGGCTGGATACCCCCACGCCCGGTCCTCGAACACGCAGTCGCGCTAGACAGGCGAAGGCCAGCGCAAACTCCTCAAGGGACACCTCTACCGATACCCAGCGCGGCGCCCGCAAGCGCGACACTCGCGAAACCGGCACTGAGCGAAAGCCGCCAAGGAAACGTTCTCGTCCTAGCCCTGAGCCTAAGCGTCGGTCTGATCGTCTTGCGGCGAAGAGCAAGGAAGCGCTTCCACCGGATGGACCTGTGGCCTCTAGGACTCGGTCAGGCGGTCGTTCCAAGTCTCCGAAAGACTCAGGAAGCCGTCAGAGAAAGCGGTCGGGCAGGCCCTAGCATAGAGTAGAATTCGAACAAGATTGTACTTGTATCTGTTTCCATTCCATCTTCTCATCTTCAGCTTGAACTGGCGTGAGGTCCTCTAATCTTGCTATACGCCGTGTTAGAAGGTGGCTGGGCAGTCTTCGCCGACATTCAGGGCCGTGCGCCAGGATCAGTCGCAAGCTTACTCGCAGCAATGATCATTTTTGGTGAGTGAACTATATAGTACTCAGCACATAAGTATGTACCATTCCGGCCCTGTAGATGTCGTACTCATGCGCCTAGGTTCGTGATCTCGTGCCACTGAGAGCAATGAAGGTGAGTATGGGTTAGGCCAGATTGCAATACACTATGCGCACCTCTGTGATCTTCAGCGCGCCGTCGATCTCCCGAATGACCGCAAAAGCACCATCCGTCCCCTTGACCTGCGTCCCACTCACATCCCCGCCCTCCACACCCGTCACGATCCCATACCCGCCCGTGTTTCCACCCGTCGCCGACACGCCCACGACGCTCGTGAATGAGTGGTCGAACGTCGAGTACTTGCTTTCTAAATTCGCCTTCACCGCAGCGAAGTACGCTCTGAAGCCCGCGAAGTCGTAGCTGCCGTCGTTGAAGGTCGCGGTGAGGTTGGGGGCGAAGGCGGCGTCGAAGGCGGTTTCCCAGCCGTCGTTGCCGGGTGCGGGGAAGAAGGCGTTGACGGAGTCGGAGAGGAAGGTGGCGATGGTGGTGTTGGAGGTGGCGCGCGGGTGGACGAGTGCGAAGGCGGAGGAGGCAGAAAGGAGGGCGGGGATGAGGGCTAGTAAACGTTAGCATGGCAGAATGGCAACATTAGTTGACGATTATTGGGACGTACCGGTGAACTTCATCTTGAGAGTAGGAGAACTTCGACGAGGTGGAGTGTGCTCGTGGGGTACACTACCTCACCTATATACCCATCGGCCAAACAAATTCGTTACCTAGCCGCCGCGCATGCGCATCACGGACTGGCGAGTGGGATCGTCAGGTCCTCGGTGCGGGCACACGATGATTGACTTGCGTCGACAGCGTTCGGCACGGTGCTCAGGTCCACCGGGGGCATGCCGTTGCCTGCCGTTGCACGGCCCGAAAATCAGTCGTCAATCACGACAATCCTCGCGAAACACAAGCGCCCTGCGTCGTCCCACTGCAGGACCAATGAGCCACCGAGTCCGAGATAGTCAGAGACACTGCCTTGATGCCTGGATCGTTTCCCGCGCGATGTATGGGATGGCGAAAAAGCTGAACGATGTTGGACGAGGCGAATCTCTTCGTTCCCGGTAAGGACACAAGTGAAGCATACTGGACGACTAGAATTGGCATAGATGGACGGCTGCACTGAACTTAGTCAAAGGTGGTTACCCAGTAGCTTACAGAGAAGCAGAGTATCACATTTGAACACATAAGAACGCATAGCGCCCAAGTACAAATGGACCGAACTTGAAGGCATCGCGCTGGTTGGCTCTTGGATGTTCAGGTCTGGGTGTGACCTGGCGCTAGTATGAGTCCAGGCGCCAGTAGAGCAGGACACGTAGAGGCACGGGCACGGTCTGGACAAGAATTTGGTGGCGCCAGGGCGCGGGCATGAACCTGGCGTGGTAGCAGCGTGAAAGAAAGGGGCATCGTGGGAAGCGGGTGCATTCTCGGAGGGTCGGACCGAGTCACGTTGTTCCCAATTAGCTAGGTATTGTGTTGTGTTGAACTTTCGTTGAGATTGAGACTTCTTGAGACTTGGAGGCGAGAGAAATCATCGTACGACGAGCAGGGCCTGAGTTGGATGTATGTGCGTACAGCAGAAGAAGCCGGCATACTTGCCGCGCGATGGCTCTTCTTGAGCTCTCACGACATGACACATGTCGTCGGGGCGAGTGACATGCGGTGAGCAAGGTCGGTGGCGGGCGCTTGCGTCGACGACAACATGAGAAGGCTGGGGCGATCTGGGGGTGGTGCATACAGAGAGTAATGGAAGGCGCGCTAGGGAGTACCTTGCGACAAGGTTCAACCTGGGTTATACTCGGTCTTCTGGCGCACAGAAGGAAATGAGGGTGTGATTTGCGCAGCTACCCTTTTAGTTAGGGGCGTAGATTGAGTGCTCTCGTGCATGGCGTCGTTTTGTTGCGGGCACAGCCACGCTTGATGGATAAGAAAGGCGTGCGCCCACAACGCAAGGCGTAGGGGACAGCCATTGGCAGGACGCAGTCTATCAGCACTGATTTGGACGGGGAGCAGCGCTATTGGTGGGAAGGAGGCCGATGCTATTGGCGGAGCGGACATACTGACGCTCTCGAAGCGGTGATCGGGAGATAGCCAGTTATAAGGCGGCTCGCCACCTTGCAAGCGCCGGTTGGCAGCGCATGAGGTGCGGAGGCACGCGAAATGTAGTCAGAAGTTTGGGAGTGAATGGGGGTTGCATGGGGGACATGGTTAGATGAGGGTGGGGCGGGGGTAGATGGGGCGAGGTCGGGGCGAGGACGATGTCACGCGAAAGGGAGGGCTCGTTAGAAAGTGAGCGCGAGGGGGCATGGCATGGTACGAGATTGAATGGTCAATTTTCGAGGGGAGGGGGCAGGAGGCGCAGCACTCACAGATGGGCAGGGGCATTTGGAGCTGTGTTGTCCCAGGAAAGCCAAGGTGCCCGATCTTCTCTGTAACTGACGACGCAGAATCCACTGGATCTGTGTACTCGCCGCCCCCGAGGGTGACTTCACTGGGGTATGGAATCTGCTAGGCGGAGTGGCGCGCGTCAGAGTTTGCACTGAGTTACAGGTGCCCTGTTTTCGACAGTAATAGTATTAGGACCAGGGGCTTGCTGGCTGCTATTGTTTTTTGTAGAGATCAGGAGAGAAATGGGAATAGCCATTGTCAGCAAGGCGAGCCGAGGCCTGCGCTGGCCTGCGCAAGCGCCATTGATTGGGTGAGGCACCGGCCTGGGCCTCGGAACACGCGGGCTCGCGTGGCGCACTGACGTCATTCATCGTGCCCGATCCGTCGAAAACGCCGTCGCCGAGGATCACCACCTTCGCCTTGAACTTATCCGTCGTCGCCGCCATGGCCAACGACGACGACTTTTTCTCATCGACCACCACACACGCCGTGTCCGGCGCGCACATGGGCGAGCCCGACGGCGCTGTCGACTTCGCGGCAGCCATCGCCAGTCGCTTTGGCTCCGCATCCATGCTCACCGCCAAGCTCCCCGCCGACGTCCCGACACCCGCACCCGCACCGCCCAAGAACGACGTCCCCGATGACTTTGCTGCGGCCATCGCCAATCGCTTCGGCTCAGCCAACATGCTCACCGCGAAGCTGCCCGCGTCGCTGCCCAAGCCCCAGCAGTCCCAGTCACCATCGCCCATGCTTCGTATGCCATCATCACCCATGGCGAAGCTCCAGATCACCAACTCCGCCCCACTCGACATCACCACCGTGCGCCCAAGCGATCTAGACAGCTGGCTCTTCGACGAATCGACGGCAGCCCGCACGCTCGTCGTCGACATACGTCCGCACGCCGCGTACGCGAATGCACGCCTCCCCAAGGCCGTATCGCTCTCCGTCCCGTCAACGCTCCTCAAGCGCCCGCTCTTCTCCCTCGAGCGACTCTGTGAGATGCTCCCCACCCCTAGTGCCCGCGCCCGCTTCTCCGCATGGAAGACCGCGAGCCGCATCCTCGTCTACGACGCCGACAGCGCCCACATCCCAGAGACGAGTAACATCTTCGGCCTCCTGCGCAAGTTCAAGAACGACAAGTTCGCGGGTGAACTTGCTTGGCTGCAGGGCGGGTTCCAGCAAGTGTGGAAGGAGCGCAGATCGGTCGTTGACGACAAGCCGCCTCAGGGCACCGACGATCCTGACGAGGAAGATGAAACGAGTTCCGATGATCGCGTTCTTCGCACCAAGCGCCTCCCCATGGCTGCCTTCACCCTCACATCCACGACTCAGAACCGTCCCAAGCGACAAGGACCGGGTCGCACGAACCTAACCCTATCCGAGATGCACACGCCATCCGCCGTTGCGCCTCCACCCCCTGCGTCATCCGCAAATCCCTTCTTCGACAACATCCGGCAGAATGCAGAGCTATCGCATGGCATCACTGAGCGGATACCTTTGCGCATACCTCGACGCGTGCGGCGACGCATCAACGACCTGCCGTTCACGTGGCTGCAGGAGATCGCAAGACGCGCAGCTACGCTCCCGCGAGCAGCGTCACATCCTGCACCTCGCCGAGACGCCTACTCCAGTACATCCGAGTCCGAGGATGACACGGCTGATGAGCCAGATCCCAACGACGTGGAGGAAGGCATGGAAGCGTTGGCAATGCAGTTCTACCGCATCGAGGTCGCTGAGCAGCGCCGGATGATGAACATCATGGAGCACCATACGAGAGAAAGCAATACACCACAGGCGTCGCGCGACAGCAAGCCTGACGACAGCGATAGCTGCGTGAGCTTTAGTAAGGGTGACCGCATGTTCCCCTACAGCATCATCGCTGGCGTAGAGAAAGGCTCCAAGAACAGGTGCGTTGCCTATCGCTCATCCCATTCCAGTGCTTACTCCTCAGCAGGTATCGGAATATCTGGCCCTTCGAGCATGCCCGTGTGCGTCTACGTGGCCGTAAGCGCAATCGTAAATTGCAATCGCAGCCCTCCTCGGGACACATCTCAGAGCACGAGCACTCCCCATCTCGAGAGCAATTTGCGCAGAAAACCCCGCGCGCTACGCAGCCGCTGCTCTCCTTGCCGCCGTCTCCTGGTGGCGACAGCGACGACTATGTGAACGCGTCGCACGTCCAGCCGCTCGGCACGACGAAGCGGTACATCGCGACGCAGGGCCCGTTGCCCGATACCTTCGCCGATTTCTGGACGTGAGTGGCTGCCTTTCGTGTGCGATCCGTCGTAACTGACACTGCATCCAGTCTGGTCTGGCAGCAGAACGTTCACGTGATCGTTATGCTCACTCGCGAGATCGAGGGTTCCATGATCAAGTGCGGCTCATACTGGACGGAGAACTCGTACGGCCCACTCCGCTTGAAGCTGGTGTCGAGTACCGGTGGCTCCGGCGTAGAGAGCGACAACATTGTCAAGCCTTCGCCGCAGTCCGGGGGCTTCTTCACCTTCCAACCACCAACACCCAAGGGCGTCCGTCCGCGGCAGATCAAGCGCGTCTTCGAGTTGCGGCATACGAAGTACCCGAGGGCGGGAGCACGCAAGGTGGTGCAGATCCAGTACCTGGAGTGGCCGGACATGAACGTGCCCGACGATCCGCGCGGCGTGCTTGAGCTCATCAAGGAGGTCGACCAGTGCTCGGCGCAGGCAAAGGCTGAGTCCATGTCTCAAGCCGGTAGGTGTTACCGCGTGTCAACCAGTTCTGTTCGACTGACTCATCGAAGCAGCAGTAGACAACGACGCGCAGGGTGAGGAATCCGACGACTCCTGCGACCCGAGGACTGGCATCTGCCGGGATCCGAAGGGTATCATGATGAACCCGCCTGTTCTCCTTCACTGCAGTGCTGGGGTAGGTCGTACCGGGGGCTTCATTGCCGTTGACGCGGTGCTGGACGGCATGCGCAGGGAATTGCGGAAACGCCGAAACGACGCCCTGGTCAACGCCGGCATGGTGCTGTCTCCGATGTCGCCCACTGTCCCTCTGAACGACCGCGACGGCGACGTCACCATGGCCGACGGCGTCAAGAACTCCACCCAGGCCTCCACCTCAGTAGCATGCCATCGCGGAGACATGTCTAGCGCCACGAGCGCTGCTCCGCACGATGGTGAGAGGGATACGGAACATGACATTGAGATGAAGAATAATGACGAAGTAGGCGCGACCACCGCCGGACCGCACGTCGTCCACGTACCCGTGGCCACGGTGGAACAGCGCCAGGTCGGCAACTTTGACGGCTGGGACGGGCACAAGATCTCACCACCGGACCTGATGCAGGTCGACGGGGAGGAGTACCACCACAAGAAGGGTCGCGAGGGGACGCGGCGGTGGGTGGAGGACGTGACGGCGCAGACGGGGCTCGGCGCGAGCGCGGACGAGCCGGGTGCACCAGTCGGTGCGTCTTCTGCCTCGCCCCCCTCTCGTGGGTCCGTATCGAACAGCGCGTCTGCAGGCTCCTCCACGACGTCGGATGAGAGCTCGTTCGGCTTCAAGACGAATGCGAGGAGGGCGAGGAGCGGGAGTTTGCATGGTACGAGCTCGCCGCTGACGAGTGGGGACTCGGATGCGGCGGGGCAGCCAGGGAGGCAAGGTGGTGAGGATGGCGCGCAGCGAGCAAGGACGTCGTCGGTGCCCTCGACGCTTCGGCCCAAGCTCAATGGGCTGAATGGTGGCACGTTGGGATCGAGCCCGCTTGCGACGGCCAGCACGCCCTTCCTGGGTGCAGGACAGAAGACACCAGGAGGCTTCTTCGCCGTGCCGGCCCTTCCCGCCAACGCGAACCCTTCTGCGCTATCTCACTCGACTTCCCCTGGTTCGACCGACGCGCCAAGTCCGCCTACCAGAGCTAACTCTGGGTCCGGGTCTGGTACCGGTTCCGGTTCAGGGTCGAATGGCTCGGTGCCGCCATCGACGGATCGTTCGTTCTCGTCGCCTACACCAGCATCGGCGTCTCCGCACGAATCAGAACGCCGCCTCTCGGAGCCCTTTTCGGCGATGAACTCGATGGACTTGACCATGCCTTCGACACAGACATCGCAGGCACAAGCGTCTCAGGAAAAAACTGCAGGGGAGAAGAAGGAGCGTAAGGGGAGGCATTCGAGGAGGCCGTCAATGTCGTATGTGGACTACAAGCAGCCGCGGAAGCTGCACGATGATGCGTCCCCGCCGCCTTTGAGCTCGTTCGACGACCCGATCTGCGAGGTTGTGCAGGACATGCGCGAGCAGCGGATGAGCCTCTGTCAAAGCCTGCGGCAATATGTGTTTGTGCACGCGGCGGTGATCGAGGGCGCGCTGATGATCGTGGACGAGGAGCGGGAGGACGCGCAGCGGCGCGGGGCGGCGATGGTCTCCCAGCGATCGATTCGGAGCTTGCCGGGGGGCATGCGTGGTATCTCGGACGAGCTGCTCAGGCGCCCATCGAGTGTAGCGACGACGACGCAGCGCCCAGCGAGCTCGAATGCGCAAACGCCGCGGCCTACCCTGCGGGCCATGGACGTGAGCGATAACTCGTCGACCACGACGACGAGCACGGGAAAGAGGGGCGCGAGCCCGACGGAGCTTAGGAAGGAGGACGTGCGGGGTGAGGTGCGGCTGTCGAAGCGGCCGAGTCTCAAGCGGAAGGCGCCGAGTCAGAGTCCGGGCGCGGATAAGGAGATGCAGGTAGAACATCCGCACCCGCGGCAGCTGTATAGGCCACCTTCGACGGGGACGAGGCTCTCGCAGGTGGCGCAGGGCGTGTCTTCGGGTTCGCAGAAGTCGGGCTCGCCTTCGCCGCGTTCGCTCAAGTCCGGAGGGCATCCTCCACCATGAGCATAGTCACAGGTGTGTTCGCCCTTTGTACATATTTTCTACGAGCAACGTTTGCTAACGTGACCTCTCAGTTCATCTGCTAGTATTTATCAACCATCATGCCTCTTCTCTCGTTCCGTTCATCTCAAGTCTGCTGCGCGGGCTTGCGACCACCACGCATATCTTCCAGGCGAACCCCACGCCGCACGCCCGACATGCTATACATGCACTGCTATCCGTGGGCGCAATGTATCCATATCTGCTGGACTGGACTGCATCAGAATAACGACTACTGCTACATACATACTGTATCCATTATAACGTCTCGTAATTGCATCTTCATATGTTGTGTCTAGCTTTGGGTGATCGAGATACGCCAAGATTTTGGTGAGTGCGACCTGACTCGTTGCAGGCGCGCAGAATGAGGGCGGTTGACTCGAGGAGCGGCGTGACGGATCGTGTGACTCGACGCGTCTGATTCAGGTGCCCCACGGGGATAATACGACGCGATCGCGGATTCGGGCCCGAGAACAACGTGGGAATAAATAGGGGCTCAACGCGTCGCGACTCAAACGGATTGTTCAACTCCTTGTTCCCGACCACCATCATCTCAAGATGCCCCCTCGCAAGAAGGCAGATTTCGACGCGGCCCCCGCGGTGCCTACGCGCCAGAGCTCGCGTATCAAGGCCGCCGCGGCAGCTGCACCGCCGCCTGCGCCTGCGCCGCCTGTGAAGAAGGCCCCAGCGAAGAAGGCGGCGGCGAAGAAGAAGGAAGTGGAAGAGGAGGAGGAGGAAGGTGAAGAAGAGGAAGAGACGAAGCCTAAGGCACGGTCGAGAGCTGGGTCAAGGGCTGGGTCTAAGCCACCTTCGACTACCAAGGCAAAGGCTCCGGCGAGGAAGCCTGCTTCCAAGGCTGCGGCCAAGAAGACGGTTGAGGATGTACAGGAGGAGGACGAGGAGGAGGAAGAGCCGCAGCCAAAGTCGAGGTCTCGCGCAGGCTCGAGGGCAGGTTCGAAGCCCCCTTCGACCACGAAGCCGCGCGCCACGTCGAAGAAGCCGGCCACAAAGGCTGCTGCGAAGAAGACGGTGGATGATATTGCGGAAGCTGATGAGGAAGACGAGGATGAGCTCGAGGCGGATGCGGACCAGGAGACAGATGCGCAGCCAACGGGGAAGCGGCGGTCGCCGAAGGGCTATCGCGCGAGGGCCAAGCCCAACTCCGACGCGAAGGCAAAGCCCAAGTCAGATACGAAACCCAAGTCGACGGGCAAGCGCGCCCGCGCTGTCACCCCGTCCGACGATGAGGACGAGCAGCAGGCGAAAACGGCGAGCAAGAAGGCGAAGAAGGCTGCTGCTGTGGACGATGATGCGATGGACGAGGATGACGAGCCGCCGGCGAAGATGGTATGCGACCTGATTGTGGCCACACATCGTTGTAATGTCAGACACTGACCACACTCTGCAGGTCTCCGTCCTAAAGCGCGGCGCCGCCCCCGTGGACCCGGAATCCGGGAAAGTCTGTATGTATCTCGTTACTTCGCTACGCGCGTATGCCACATACTCAACTGTGATATGTGGCAGCCACTCACCAGGTCTATGCGAATGCCGAGGGCGTCTGGGACGCTATGCTCAACCAGACTGATATTGGGGCGAATAAGAACAAGTATGTTGTCTTCGAGGTCTTTGAGTGTGGAATGAACCGATCTTGGACAGGTTCTACGTCATCCAGCTGCTTCACCCTATCGATAACGAGAGTTCCTGCTGGCTGTACACGCGCTGGGGCCGCGTCGGTGAACGTGGGCAGAGTCAGCTGAAGGTGAGTGGACTGTAGTGTTTTCTTTTTCTTTATTACTGGAAGGCTCGTTTCGGTTGCTGTTTTTCTGTCGTTATCGCTGGAACGCTGAGTCGCTGACTGAGATGACTCACAGGGTCCCTGGCCTCCGGCTACCGCGGTGAGCGAGTTCAAGAAGCAGTTCAAGGCGAAGGCGGCTGTGCCCTGGGAGCAGCGCGTGGGTATGGTGGCGAAGAAGGGTGTGTATCTCTTTGGTTTGCACGCGATTCGTATCTGCACTCGTTTTGGCGAGGGCTTAACTGACTATGACCGCAGGCAAATACTTCTGGCTGGAGCGCGACTTCGGTGACGAGGACAAGGCCGAGGAGCCGAGCAAGAAGGGTAAGGGGAGGAAGTCAGAGCGCGAGGCGACGCCGATTCCTGATAGCAGCCTCGATGCGGAGGTGCAGGATCTGTGCAGGCTGATTTTCAATACTGCGTGCGTGTTCCCTTCTTCTTCCTTTCCCTGGGCGTCTCCTCTCCCTCTCCTCTTCCTTCTCTGCCTCTCTCTACCACCTAATATATTCCACCTCCACTAACACTCCGCTCCAGCCTCATCGACGCGCACCTCTCCTCTATGAACTACGACGCGAACAAGCTGCCACTCGGCAAGCTCTCGAAGAACACGATCCTGCAGGGCTTCTCCGCACTCAAGCAGCTCGCGGACGTGATCAAGGACCCGAACGGCGAGGTCGCGAAGGCGAATGGCGGCCAGAGGGCGGCGATTGAGCATTTTAGTGGGGTGTATTATTCGTGAGTGGGCTTTGGCGTTTGTTTGTTTTGGAGGGTGGTAAGGTTGACAAGGTTGACACATCAGGATCATCCCGCACGCATTCGGCCGCAACCGCCCTACGCCGATTGGCGATGAGAGGGTGTTGAAGGCGGTATGTACCACTACTTTTCTTCCCCCACCGCTCACCTTCTAATCATCAATCCCACTCAGGAACTCGACCTCGTTGACGCCCTCGGGGACATGGAAGTCGCCTCCAAGCTCATCAGCTCCAGCACCCCGCGCGACGAATCCGGCGCGCCCATGAACCCCCTCGACGCCAAGTTCCGCTCGCTCGAGCTCACGCGGATGGAGCCCATTGCGCGCGCCAGCGCCGAGTTCGCCGCGCTCGAGGCGTATGTGAACAATACGCACGGCGCGACGCATCATTTCCGGGTCGGCGTAAGGCATATATATCGGGTGGAGAGGGAGAGCGAGACGGTGGCGTGGAAGAAAGCTGGGTTTGATCGGTTGGGGGAGGGCGAGAGGATGTTGTTGTGGCATGGGTCGAGGACGACGAATTTTGCGGGGATTTTGAAGCAGGGGTTGAGGATTGCGCCGCCGGAGGGTGAGTGGTTTTTAGTTTGGCTTGATACGATGGCTGACCAGGATGAAAGCTCCCGTTACGGGTTACATGTTCGGCAAGGGCGTGTACTTTGCGGATGTGAGTATCTTGACTGCATTTTCGGGCGTTATGCTGACTGAGTGTCCTTTCAGATGATGTCCAAATCCGCGGGCTACTGTTATATGGGGTGAGGGCATTCTCTCATATTCTTCTTATGACCGTACTGACATCGCGATAGACTGAGCGGTCAAACCGGTCTCCTCCTACTCTGCGAAGTCGCTGTCAAGCCCTTCTACGAGCGCTACGACGCCGAATACGACGCGGACAAGGGGTGCAAGAAGGCCAATGCTTTGTGCGTATATCATCCTATCATCAAGTCAAACCCCCCTCCACACTAGAACTCACTAATACTTCACTCCTCAGGGCCACGAAAGGTATTGGCCGCACCCAACCCGTCAACTGGAAGGACGCGGGCGAGGTCCTCGGCAACGACGCGCTCAAAGGCTGCCATATGCCCGATGGTCCGTGCGATAACAATGCGGACCCGAAGGCGTATTTGCAGTATAATGAGGTGAGGGCTTCGTGAGATTGATACTGAGGGGGATGCTGATTATTTTCGTAGTACATCGTCTACAACACGGCGCAGATCCGTGCTCGGTATTTGTTGATGGTGGATCAGAAGTAGGGTTGTGGTAGAGTCGATCTAGTATTGCGAATGAATTCTCTGTTTGATTTATGGTTCTCTCTTTGACTTGACTGGATATCTGCATGCACATTGCACCTTCATGTGCGGCTTTCCACAGTTAGTGTAAAGGCTTACAACGTGCATCGCGAGTTGAACTTCAATGTCATGTGACTGTGTGATACGGTACGGGATTTGCTCCCGCTTGACATCATGGACCCACAGCTTACAACTCAAACCGAACCAATTCCTTTGCCCACGAGGTCTGCCCGCGCATAAGACACCAGATTGAACCCCGAGGGAGACACACTTCGGCCTTAAAGCAACGATGCCTGAGCTACCAGGTGAACTTATAATCCAATCCGAACGGACCGCGGTTAAGAGACAAGAAGTTCATCGGCTGACCGGCCTCCACAGAGGTTGAGAAGGCTGTTAGAGAGATCAAGCGAGCGGGACAAGGAAAGGAGATAGTCAGAGTAGAAACCCAAGACGATCCCATTGTGTTTGCTGGGGTAAATCATCAAGAATTTGTAGGTTTCTCCTGAATATGCGACCTTCGTCTTTCGAGTGACTAATAGCAACCCAATAGGCTGCCGAGGTCACTGGGCGCACCCTGGTAGACGTTGGCAGATATGGTCAGTATGATAGTCTTGGCCGCGAATGCGATGCTTATATGTGGCCAAGGCAAAGTCTTCTACCTAACTCTCAGCGGTAAAGGACGAATGCCTGTCCTGCATTTCGGTATGACGGGTATGATACAGGTGAGTAGCTTCCTTTCCCTCTCGCGCAGTCCTTTGCTCACCCTTGGCCCAGGTGAAAGGTAGCGCCGCTACGTACTACATATCGTCCAAGAGACTCGTCGGTGACGAGTGGCCGCCGCGGTTCATGAAGGTTTACATTGTCCTCTTCTCCGCCACCCACGCTCATACCCATGTTCAAGTTCATCCTCCACTTCTTCGACGGCACACAACTCGCCTTCATGGACGCCCGCCGCCTCGGCCGCATCCGTCTCTGCGCGGACCCTCTTCACGAAACGCCCATCTCTGAGCTCGGGTTCGACCCCATACTATCCATGCCCTCCCGCCAAGACTTCGAAAAACTGATGACCCGGCGAAAGTGTCCTGTCAAGGCCCTCCTCCTCGACCAGAGCTTCAGCGCGGGCGTGGGCAATTGGGTGGCGGATGAGATATTGTATCATGCGCGGGTGCATCCTGAGCGGAGGTGTAATACGTTGACAGGGGAGGAACTGGATGGGCTGCATAGGTGGATGGGAGAGGTCTGTCGGATTGCGGTCGAGGCGGACGCGGATTCGGAGAAGTTTCCTGAGGATTGGCTGTTCAATCATCGCTGGGTGCGTCTTGTCAATCACCGTGATATTCTACACTGTCTCACACAATATAGGACAAGGGCAAGAAGAATAAGCCTCAGACGATGACTTTGGTAAGTGGCCACCATGACGGAGATACGGTATTCTGATTTCGCGTTAGCCTTCCGGCGAGCCTGCCACCATCAAATGGGTCACGGTCGGCGGACGTACGTCTGCGTATGTCGACGAGCTGCAGAAAGCACCTGGTTTACCGCCGAATGCCGTGAAGACAGCCGGAGACTACGGCGAAGTGCTGAATGTAGGTTTACTACCTTCGTAAGACGCTAATGTCTAACTTTCTATATCCAGGACGACGCGAAGAGCGTCCTCACGGAGCTGTCAGACGAACCGGAACCTGCCACCACCGTATCGAGCAAGCGGAAAGTGAGTCCTGGTTCATGTCGGGCACTATATGCTGCTGACGGTCCTGTAGAAGCTCTCGAATTCGAGGAAGCCGCGCAAGAAGCTGCACACATAGTCAAGGCAATTCGAGGCTGCTTCGTCGGTACCGAAGACCACGAGACCAGTCCCACGGTTGATTTGTTTCTTGCATACGCATCTGTTGCGAAGCTTCAGGTTGCAGCGCTACCACCGAGCCTAACATGCACAAGACAAAGGTATGCATATGCATGATATAGTTACACGGATGAGTATGAAGAAACATATGAGTTCGTGAGCACTTGCATACGTGGCGACGATGACGTGTACTAGTTCTACATAGCTAATAAAGTTACTCGGAATCACTAGCTGTACAAAGACTTTAAGGTCCTTGGCTATGGCCGCGCACAACCATACGCCTATAGTCACGCAAACACGGTCCGCGGTTGAATCGACGGTCATGCGCGGCCAGCCAGCATATGAATTTTTACCATTGTATAGTTTCTACATCGCCTTTATCTCGTCCTTCGTCGCTTGCGTGCTGCGACTCCGACTCGGCGAGGAGCACACATCGTCGTCAAACACCACAGCATCGTCGTTCACCACACCTCGTCGTCAGCCACCACGGCAATCCCGCTATCGCTCAAGAGCAGGGCCTCCAGTCGTTCAAGAGCGTGAGGATCCCTGTCCCGATCCTTGTCCCTCCTTCCTCGTATGCACATTCATATGTCGATTCAGCTGGTCGACGCGCGCGAAGGCCTTCCCGCACCCCGGATGCGCGCACGCGAACGGGCGGAGTCCAGTATGAGTGCGTTGCTGGTGAGGGTGTCAGTAACTTGAAAGCCCAGTGCGACTCAAGACACGAAGAGAAATCAAAACAAAAAAAGAGTTCTGACAACTCACATGCTTCGACAAATTCGAGCTCTCCGCGAACGCCTTCCCGCACACGCCGCACTTGAACGGCTTGTCGCCATTGTGCGTGCGCTTGTGGATCGTGAGCGCGCCCATGATCGCGAACGCCTTCCCGCAGCCGGGGTGGTCGCACTTGTAGGGCCGCTCGCGCGTGTGGCGGCGCATGTGCTGCGCGAGCGTCGCCGCCTCGCTGAAGTGCTGCCCGCACTCGCTGCAGGTGAAGGGCCGGTGGCCGGTGTGGGTCTGCGCGACGGTCAGAGAGCCGGGAACGTAGGAGACGAGAGTGAGCTCCACGCACCTGCAGATGCCGACAGATCTTCTGCTTGCTCGAGAACCCCCGCTCGCCATTGCGCTCGCAAGTGCCCCAGAAGCAGTCGTATCTGAAAAAAACAAAAAAAAGGTTTGAGCAAAGGTCTCACTCAATACACCAATATCCCACCTCGATCTCCCGCCCACGACGTGCACCTTGTCAAGGTGCTGCGTCAGCGCCGCACAGCTATCGAATGTAGCCTTGCAGCCGCGCCATTGGCATACGTGCGCCGCCGTCGCGCAGTCGTGCTCGCCCGTCTGCTCCTCATTATCCGTGCTCGTGCTCGTCCCCGGCTCCTGCGACGGCGAGCGGCTCGGCGTGCCCCGGTTGTCGCCCCTCAGCAACATCGTCGCGTGCGCCTGCGACACCCCGAGGTGGTGCTGCAGGAAGTGCTCCGCGAGCTGCTGGCGCGCGAAGGGGAAGGCGTTCGGCGAGAACGCGGCGCTCTGGGCCTGCCATGATGCCTGCGGTTGGAGCGCGCACTCGTTCCACTGGCAGACGGGCGCGGAGAGCGGGTCGGCGGGGGTGACGAGCGCGAGGTGCTCGGCGTTGACGTGCGCGGCGAGCGCTTGGACGGAGGTGAAGGTGCGGTGGCAGCCGGCCCACATGCAGTTCGCGGTCGCGTCCGGGGCGGGCGCGGGGGGCAGCGCCAGCTCGGGCATCGCGAGCGTGTTCGTGGTGGCGGCGCCGTCAGCGCTGGGCGAGGCGCTGTTGCTGGACGTAGCGCTGGCTTGGTCCGACGGGGAGCCCGAGTCGAGCCCAAGCTCCTCGCGCACCTCCAGCTCGATGCGGCTCATGCACGGCAGCTCGACGCCCTCAATGATGTGCGTGTGCGGGAAGTCCGCAGAGCGGAATCCGCGCAGGCGTTCAGGAGGCAAGAGCTCGGGCTTCTGCGCGAGATGGGGCGGGATGCGCAGCGGGGCGAACGCGGAGGGCGACATGGGCCGGTCGTCCGAGCCGCGAGCGCGCTTGGGGGCGTGCGAGTGGTGGTGCTGGTGCGAATGATCCTGTGGGTGTTGGTGCTCATGTGGGTGTTGATGATCATGAGGACGTTGGTGATTCTGAGGCGCATGCGAGTGCCCCAAACCAAACAGCGCCTCAAACTCGCGCGGATGCGGCTGCAGCTGCGGCTCCCGCGACCGCTTGCGCCCCCGGCGGTCGCCCTCCTCCGCCTCCTCGAGCTCAAGCCGCGCCGCGCACGGATACTCGACCCCATCGAACATATGGCCGCGCGGCAGATCGCGAGACGTCAGGCCCGGCAGCCCGCGCGCAGGATCAGGCCTGAGGTCTGCCGGCCTGAGAATCCGCGTCACCCCCGTGGTATCGGTGTAGTACATCGGCGGCGTGAGCGGCGTGATGAGGGAGGACCCGACGAGCAGGGACGCCGCGTCGAATGCGGGCGAGTCGCCGGAGGCATACGACGGCCGCGGACGCTGCGCCGGGTCGGGGTACATGTTGTTGAGGTAGATGTCGAGGAGCTGGCGCCGGCAGACGGGGTCGCGCATCGCGGCGGCGACGAAGCCGCTGTCGAGGACGGGGGCGCCGGGGATATTTGCTGGGATGTGGTCCCGGTGGGCGACCGACAGGCAAGAGAAGTTAGGGGTATCTCCGGACGGAGGGGCGGTTTCGTTGTGGCTGGGAAAATGCAGGTCGCCAAAATCGCCCGTGCTGTTCTGAGGGAGCCAGGGAAGTTCGCAACACTTGAGGATCGTCAGTATTTGGCGCGTATTACGTCGGGGTATGACATACCTCGTCACAGTGCGTATTGTCGACGCATCGGGGGTCCGTGCAGAATATATCCGCGGCTCCTTCGCAATTGCCATCTTTGCAGTTGGGATCGCAGGGCGCGGCTGTCGAGCACTCTGCATCGTCGCAGCTAGCGTCAGTCGCGCAGCCTGGCTCTGAGCATCCTCCCTCGGCTGGATGCCCTGGGTCGTCGCAGTGGATCACGAAGCAATCGTCCGTGCACTGGCCCGTGATGCTGGTCGAGAGCCAAGGTGTGTTGTCCGACCACGCGGACAGGGTGGATGCAGGAGACCAGGCAGAAGATGTGGGTGTACCCTGCTGCATCGGGGGATGTTGAAAGAGAGGGTCATGGTGCTCGCTGGACTTGCCCAACCAGTCGCCGTCCTTCGGCCAGTCGGACATCATCTGCTCGAAGTCGCCCGACGCACTCTCGAAAAAACTGGGCGTGTCGATCGTCATTGCACTGTCTAATCGGCGCCCTGGATCTGCGTATCTGGGGGAGGAGGCCGCGGGGCGTCGTGCAGCGGCGCGATGAGCGTCTGGGGTTGTTTCGGGGTCGCTCCTGGCCAGACTGACTGGGAGCTGTATCCTGCTCTCTGTCGTTGCGGCTATGGCGAGCAGGGACAAGCGCAGGGACGAGTGCTGGTTCGGGGGCGCGGGCCGTTGGCGGTGGTATGAAGCAAAGGGCGTGGCCGGCGCCATGCCAGAGCCGCCGCCACTGCGAGGGTACTGCGAAGGTTCTCACTCGCTCCCAACAAACTCGATTTCCACACCGTCGGCATGATCTCGGCATCGACCCCGGCCCGCCTCCCGATCTCCGCGGAGATCACTCCAGCGTCTCAAACCTCTTCAAGTCGCAGTGGCGATACAGACGCCGGGGGGCCGTAATTATGCGGCTGACCTATCTGTCCAGGGCAACGACGGAGACCAATGGTCCGTTCAAAGGGACAATCGGCGTTGAGGACAAACGGGGCAACTCGATATATGTCCGAAAGCAATTCAAAAGCTTCCGTTCCGCGTCGAGTCCAGGTCTACACTCTCCAAGAGGAGGATCGACGATCTCTAAGAGAAAACGCATACTAGATTCGCTAGCTACGACTTGGAAATGGTATATTTTTCACAATACGCTCCGCCAATATTCTGTGCACCGCGGAAGAAAGGTGCAGGTCCAAGGGGGGTGCGGAAATTAAATCCGGCACCGGGGGTATGGTAGGTAGGGGTACCCCCAAGGGCCTTAGCTCGGAAGTGACCCACACAAAAAATATTCAATTTGTGCGTTAATTCGTAGTCATACGGTGCACACAGACCTTCAGCCCACTCAAAAGCATGTACAAATGAGACCTGTAGTTCGAAGGTGAGGTAAAATAGATTGACACGAAGATATTTGGATATGTGTGGAACAGCACCTTATCTTGTGAGCTCAGCAATGTCCGAGGCACGAGGGATGGGCCGACAGCTGCTTGGCTGGATCGGCCACCTTCGACATCTGCAGAGCTGTACAAGCGTACGCTCTTTCAGCACCCACCCACCGCTCCCTTGTTCTTTGAGTTGTGTGATTTCCACGGGAGAACACCGTAACTTCAAGATTTAAAGTTTCCCCGGCTCTAAGATCCCAGTCGGGGTGTCCCGCTCATGCGCTGAGCCCGGGATCTCTCGAGCCTGTCGCAGCTCCCTGCCGCCCATCAAGATGGCGGTAGAGAGCGGTGTCCCCCAACCTGAGGAACACATGAGTCCATAGAGCAGCATTATTTTAGAGGAAATGGCGAACATATCATGTGACACCGTTTGTGACATCGCGTGGGACTGAGTTCACTCTTGTGCACGGCTCAGAAGTGCAGAAGATGGGTATGTAATTGATATCAATGAAGACTACATACAGATACCGAGCGAAAAAGTGGAAGAATTCGGTCCTAAAGTTGGGAATCTGGGATTTAGCGAGGCACGAGCGATTTCCCAGAATAGGTCTACGTACGAGCAGAGCGTGGTCCACACGTGATTGAGGCTTTTCCTTCCTCGACCACGTCGTACCCGCGCGCGTCGAGGCGCTTTTTCGTACAGCGCTCTCCGCTTTTCTGCTTTATTCTACTCTACCTTTCTCTTCATCATAATACCTCTCATCTCGAGACCACTCCGGCTCATACAATGTCATCAACTCGCCTCACCACCGACCCGAACCTCGACTCGTGCCCCGACTTCGCGGCAGACTCTTGGGAGGTTATAAGGCGGGCTCTAGTCTCAGCCTCGCGCACGGAGGAACAAGCAATAGCTGCACTGCAGGAAGGCTGGGAGAGGGACCACCAGGCGCAACTAGTCGCGTGGGCAGAGCAGACTCGGCTGGATCAGGAAGCCGAGGAGGCTGCTGCCGCGGCGCGTGCCCAGGAGGAGGCGAGGAAGAAGGCGGAGCAAGAGCTTGCAGAGAAGGAAAAGGAGAGGGGAGACACGAGCAAGGGCAAGAACAAGCTCAGCGACTTCGATGAAGACGCCCTCGCCCCGGACAGCTTCATTCCCCTCCCTTCGGCATACGCACGCAACAAGCTCGACAACCAAGAGTATGTCGAGCTCTACTACTTCACGAACGAGGGCTGTCAGGAGGCAGCCAACCAGAAGACGACTGCCGACGACGCTTTCGGCCTATCCCGTGACGCCGACCAGGTTACCCTCCGCCCAGCTTCGGCAGTCCGCGCCTCGAAGAACGCCATCGCCGACGAGAATCTCACGTGGACCCAGATGACGATCGGCAAGACGGGTTTCCTGAAGGCAGCAATGGCTGCGGGTTGGCCGGAGAAGCACATCGCCGCCCTCACCAACTTCTTCTGGTCCATCGAGAACCATCCGATCCTCGAGCGAGAACATGGCCAGGCGATCCTCCTGCGGTTTCAAGCTCAGACGCGTCGCTGGTGGCACGAAGACCTTCGGCATCCGAACGCTACGAAATGGAACATTGGCAAGATCAACGAGAACGCGATCGAAACTGTAGCGAGGAAGTACTACGCGGAGAAGCAGGACCTCGCCCTTACTAAGGTCAGTAACCCCATCCAAACCATGCTGATGCCGTCGCTGACCAACACTCCTCGCATTTCGTCAATGCTCCCAACGCACGCCACCCCCCCCCCCCGCCCCCTCGCCCCATCATCACTTCACACCGCGCGCAACGCGACCCTCGCGTTTCGGGCCAACTTTACTCTGCCCGCATCCCTCCTTGCGTCGCCCCATCCCCTCAACGCGTTTTTCGTCGGTCGTTCATCTCTCCATGCGTCACCATTCGCCCGCGTCGTTTGCGATATTGCGTATCTACGCGTCGATACTCCGCGTCTCCCTTCGTCCCGCGTCATATCATAACCTGCGTCATTGCGTCGTCGTGTCATGCGTCGGTTTTATCGCAACTCCTCCGGATTGCTGCACTCTACAGCTGGAGGCCATGACCTCGGTGCAGGTCGGCGTCGGTCAGCAGAGTCTCGGGCAAATGTCAGGCTCATACTCTCGTAGAGTGTCTGCCCGCGCAGCCCCGTCGGACTGGGCCGGTCGACGTCGCAAGTCCCGGTCACCATCCCCGCGTACATCCTCCAGGCGGATCCCCAGGAACTCGGAGACCCATTTTCGCCGCGGCGCAGACTCAGGTGGCCCCCCAGCCTGCGCCATCTGCCTTGGCCGTCACAAGCACGACAAGATCGACGTCGCAGAATGCAGATCTCGTACCTTCTGGAATGGCGGCGTCGCTCGGTGCACACGCAACGCCCAAGGTCGCATTGTCGACCAAGATGGTCGCATTCTCTGCACCGACTGGCAGCGTGGCCTCTGCACAAGCACCAGCTCTACCCACATTCACGAGTGCTCCGGGTGCGGCAGCTCGACTCACGGAGCTCAAAGGTGCTCTCGAACGGAGAAGGCATGAACCTGTCTCCCCCCTCCGACCTGACGCCTGGGCGCGCGCCCTCGCGGACACTGGCCTTGTCCACAAATATCCTACAGTCACTAACGGAATACGATACGGCTTCCACGTCGGCATCCCCGCCATTCATGCTACACGCACACCCCCTAATAACGACACCATCGCTGTACATCACGATCATTTCATGTCCATCGTCTCTAACGAGTTCCGGTGCAATAGGTACATTGGCCCTTTCACGCGAGACGAGCTCGAGCAATGTATTGGGCCCTTCCAGACTTCTCCCCTGTCCCTTGTACCTAAGCCCCACAAGCCTGATAAGTTACGCCTTACTCAGAATTTTTCATACCCTCACATTCCTAGACACAATTATCTTTCGATTAATTACTTTATTGACTCCAGCGACTTCCCCTGTACCTGGGGAACATTCGCAGCTATCTCGTTCTTGTGCGCTCACCTTCCCGCAGGCTCCCAAGGTGCCATCCGAGACGTCCGCGAGGCCTATCGCAGCATCCCGCTCGCGCCATCTCAGTGGCCGGGCACCGTCGTGCAGATCAGCGCTGGCGTCTTCGCCCTCGACCCGACCCTCGCCTTTGGTATCACCTCTGGGGGAGGAGTTTACGGCCTCGTCGCAGATGCCGGCCTCGACATCCTGCGCGCGCGCGGCATGGGACCAATGGCTCGATGGGTCGATGACCACCTTTTCATCAGAATCTTGCGCCGCTACATCGACGAGTACAACTCCTCCCGAGAAGCATGGAAGCACGAAATTATCCGAGCAGGAGGCCGACACCAGCGCAGCGCCCGCATCTGGTACAGTGGCGACGTCGCGGAGGGCGGCTGCATCCGCGAGTTCGTCGAGGACATGTCATTCCCCATCAGGGACCTGTCGAACGCATCCGAGCGCAGCCCCGACGACTCCAACTTCACGTACTGCCTGCGCGACGTCGACTTCATCAGCAACCAGCTCGGCGTCGATTGGGAGCACTCAAAGGACCAGGACTTCAGCTCAACCTTTGTTTTCACCGGGCTGTCATGGGACCTCGACCGACAGTGCGTCGGCCTGCCGGATCTCAAGCGAGCGAAATACTTGGAATCCCTTCACGATTGGCAGCGCTCCCGAGTTCACATCCTCGAGGAAGTGCAAAAACTATATGGTTAGCCCTCGCGTCGTTGAAGCCAGGCGTCGCGCATTTCCTCTCCTTTCTCCCGCTCTAACACGTGCACCCCAGGAAAGCTGCTTCACGCGTCGCTCGTTGTACCCGAAGGCCGAGCCTACCTCACAAATCTCGAATCCATGCTGGCCATATACCATAACAGTCCTCACATGCCGCGTACCCCTCCCCGACATACTCCGGACGACCTCGACTGGTGGGAGCGCACCCTCGACAAGCCCGGCCTCGAGCGGCGCATACCTCGGCCCCAAACCTTCGTTGATGTTCGCGCCTTCTCAGACGCGAGCTCCGAGGTCGGAATCGGGGTCATCATCGGTGAACGCTGGCGCGCATGGGTCCTCTGTCCCGGGTGGAAGTCAGACACCCGCGACATTGGCTGGGCAGAAGCGGTCGGCTTCGAGTTTCTCCTTCGCATCCTACTCAGGGACGACCCCGGCAGCGTGTGCATCAAAGTATTCGGTGACAACAAGGGAGTCATCGACGGGTGGCGGAACGGGCGCAGCCACAACTGGGAAGTCAACCTCGTCTTCCGCCGCATCCACAGAGTCCTTGCTTCGACCGCAAGCTCTGTCCATGCCGAGTATGTTGCGAGCGCCGACAACCCTGCCGACAAGCCATCCCGCGGCATCTATCCCCCTTCCCACCTACTCCTCCCACCCATCGAAATACCGCCGCCTCTCCAACAGTACGTCGTTGACCACGATAGCCCTACCGCCCAAGCCATCCTTGCCCGTGTTCGGCTGCGCCGCTCACAGCGGCCACACCTTCCCGCCTCAGACGCGACCCCGGCTAGTCACGACATCCCGTACGAGCTCCTCACCGACCCGAGATTCTGGGGCAAAGAGACATTTTGACGCTCCAGTCGCGCCACCTCTATCACCAACCAAGGCCCGTCCCCGCGCCTACCCGAGCACGTTGCAACTGGCGCCTTCGATCCTCCGCCCCAACTGCCTCGCTCGCGAGAGACTGTACGCATGGCACCCGGCTTCAGTCTGCCGTGCTAGCTCGGATGCGCACCTCGACACGGACCGCATAGCGACGGTCATGGCAAATGGGTATGCGGACGGCACTGCGGAGACCTACGGCAGTGGGCTTCTGGTGTATCACGTCTACTGCGACTTGAAAGGAGTCGCCGAGGAGGACAGAGCGCCCGCAGCGGCAATTCTGATCTCGTCGTTCGCAGCCAGTCTCGCCGGCTCCTATGGTGGAGGGACGGTGGCCAACTACGTGTACGGTGTGCGTGCATGGCATCTCATCCATGGGGCACGCTGGGCAATGAACAAGGACGAGCTCGATGTTCTGCTCAAGGCCGCGGACAAGCTAGCGCCTCCCACATCCCGGCGCAAGCAGCGGCAACCATACACCATCGAAATCCTCGCGCGCGTTCGCCCGCGGTTCGATCTTCAAGTCCCACTGGATGCCGCGACGTGGGCCTGCCTCACGACAACATTCTGGTCGGGAGCACGCCTCGGCGAGTTCACAGTCACAAACCTTCAGTCCTTCGATCCACGGGTGCATGTCAAGCCGTCAGACATGAGCAGTGTCTCGGACAGGCAAGGGAACAAGCAGCAGAAGTTCCACATCCCCCGAACAAAGGCAAACCAGCTTCACGGTGAGGACGTGTTCTGGGCAGAACAGCCCGGCGAGATCGACCCGAAGCTCGCCCTCGATGCGCACCTAGCGCTCAATACGCCGGGGCCCAACGACGCGCTTTTCTCCTATCCTCACGGGAAGACCCGCGCGCGTCGACCGCTCACAAAGCATGCTTTCCTCAAGCGGGTGGCAGCTGCTTTCCGACAGGAAGGCCTGAATCCTCTCCAAGGTCACGGTCTGCGTATCGGCTCCGTCCTCGAGTATCTACTGCGCGGACTTCCCTTCGAGGTTGTCAAGCAGATCGGGCGCTGGGCAAGTGATTCTTTCCAGAAATACCTGCGCAAGCACGCGCAGATCCTCGCGCCGTACATGCAGGCCAAACCACAAGTCCAGGAGACCTTTACCAGATACACCATGGTCAGCCTCCCGCCCGTGCGTTGATGGTGAGTGCCCATACATTTCCAGTCCGACTCCTACTCGAGCGGGGAACCAGCGTGAGCTGGCTGCGTCGTCGCACTCCTATATTCGTTGGGTACCACAGCTCACTCAGGTTCCCCGCAGATCAGCCTGCTTTCGAGGTTGGAGTCGGGGCCGCCGAAAGGCGGCTTTCACCCGAACGCGTAGCGTTCGTCCATCGCGTGTCGGCCAGCGACGAGTACGTAGATTGGGAATCTGGGATTTAGCGAGGCACGAGCGATTTCCCAGAATAGGTCTACGTACGAGCAGAGCGTGGTCCACACGTGATTGAGGCTTTTCCTTCCTCGACCACGTCGTACCCGCGCGCGTCGAGGCGCTTTTTCGTACAGCGCTCTCCGCTTTTCTGCTTTACCCACCCTCCGCTTCCCTCGATGTCCACTGTGTTGTTTTTTCATCCTGTACACCTCTTTTCTATCTAGTTGGTTTTTCTTTCCCTTCGTTTGGACCCAAACTCGAAACAGGCATCTGCGTGTCGGGTACCACAGCTCACTCAGGTTCCCCGCAGATCAGCCTGCTTTCGAGGTTGGAGTCGGGGCCGCCGAAAGGCGGCTTTCACCCGAACGCGTAGCGTTCGTCCATCGCGTGTCGGCCAGCGACGAGTACGTAGATCAATAGAAAGGGCGCATGACAGTCACGTGACCAATGACGTGTATAGGTAGGTAGGGCGCTCGGAGAGCTTAACCCGGAAGTACACGTCGATACAAGTCGTTTCTCCAACGGAGTACCCGCGCCGCCACTTGCTCGGAGTGCTGGGGCTACTACCCAGAAGTCACCTCGTTACTCCTAGTGGGTATCCAAAAAATTTGTTGGCGGGAGCGTGCGAGTACTCCAGAGGAGAAATCGTTCGGGCCGGCCGCTGTGGACGCGCATGCAGTAGTAAATCAGCGCGTTGTCGGTGCGCGAAAATCTATAAGTCCCTTGCTCCTGACCATCACCACCACTACCAACCTCAACACCACCACTGGCCGGGGGCATAAGTCATTATAACCAGTAATTGCTGGGGGTCGCATTACATTATCACCAACAATTACTGGCCAGTGCTCACAGGGCGTATACCTTTATCACCCTGGCCGAAAGAGGGAATCCAACAATGCCAGAATTGCCTCGGTAGTGAAGCAATTCCAGCACATTTGTTGGGTTTCCGGGTTTCCTGGCGGTCGTACGGGATCATTGCGGTAACGCCCGGCCGGCCGTCGTGCCTAGCTTGCGCGCCGCCGCTCCTTGTAGGACTAGGTTGATAGACCTGCGGTACCTGTGGGAGAGACATCTGGTCGTAGTGCAGGTATATGTCAAGAAGGACGTCGTATAGTACATAGAGCAGCAGAATAAAATCACCACAATTTGCGCGCTCGCGCGGCACCCACACGAATACATACATACAAACAATGGCTCATGGACGAAAGGGGTGAGCAGCAGGGTATATCGAGAACAAAGCACGCGAAGTAGTATACAATCCATGGCGAGAAGTCACGGTCGAAGAAGGGGGACACGACGAGCAATAGAGGAGGGGAGCGCCGCCGGCAGAGACAATGAGCAGAATCCTGGCCGTGGTCGCCCTCAACGTTGTCGTGCGCCTAGCTGGCTGCTTCGTCGTCGTCCGGATCGCCTTCGTTATCCAGCCCATCTATGAGGTCGTCGAGTTCTTGCTGCGCTTCAGAATCCTGTAGGCCTTGGACACGGCTGAATCGCAGCGCGAGCGCATCGGCAACGCGTTCCCGCACCTCCTTCCACTGCACCTCTAGACGATCAGCTCGGGCATCGGCGCGAGCAGCGTGCTCCAGCGCGTATGACCGCAGTCCCTCTCGGAGGCGCTCATCATCCGTCGACCGCGCAATCGCTCTCTGTTGCCAGTCCGCGGCATCGGTCCGGTTTGTCTGTATAACGCGCCGCATCTCCTCGAGAAGTAGCTGTAGCTCCTCGCAATGGCGGTCGCGGCGTGCTTTGGATTTGAGGTATTCGACTCGTAGAGCTGTAGAGCAATCAGCAGATGAGCGAGAATGATAGGCATGTAGATATACCTTCGTTTTGAACAGCGTCAGTGAGACTGGGATCGTGCGGTACAGAGTACCATATCCAGGACAGTGTGCGCGAGCTATCGCCACGTGCGACGACACCCGCAGTGTACACACCGCTCTCCGCACCAAAGTCGACGTCGGCGAGATCCCGTGCATTATCACGCTGGGCTTTCTCCTCGGCGGTCAAGGCGCGCTCGTTGAGTGCGCGAACATCGTCGTCGTAGAGAGGCCGGAGTGCGTCTTCCCACAATCCATGTCCACGCAAATGCAGGAGGGCGTTGCGCGAATAACGATAGCGCAGCTTTGCAGTGTGCGCGCGCTTCGATATCTTGTCCATGGCGCTACGCGCGCGGGTCGCGAGGACGTTGCCGCGGGAGTGCTGGTGGCGGAACATGTTTGTGACGGTTCGCGCTCGAAGGGCACGCCGTATGTCCTCGAGGGCTTCATGCGCCTCGCCTTCCCGCAAGCGCGCCTCGACGTCGCTGAGACCGGGGGCACAAACAGCAGCGCGAGCCCTTGCGTTAGGAAGCCCTGAGGGTAGATACAGCTCGATACTTTGAGGATCCTCTACACCGTCCTGAAGATCCCGGCGAATGGTAGAGAGATGCGCGCGGAGTCCTGGCATGTAGACTTGCTGTTGCCGGCGATAGCGCTGGATGCGCTTCGTGAGGTTGCGTGCGCGCTTCAACAGCTCGACTTGCTGGGCAGCTGTCGGGTCCTTCATGGACAGGATGTCGATGGATAGCATCCTTCTGGGCTAGTGTCAGCGATAGGGGGCGGCTACAAGGATGGAAATCACTCACTGCGTGTGTTGAATCTCGAGGCCGTTCTTGACAAAGGCAACGGGTGTACACTCGTGGACAACAACCGTGCCATCAGCAGTGACCTCCAGTGCCTCGTTCTCCAATTCTAACTCAACCTCCTTCATGGTCTTATCTGGAATCAACGTGAGCACCATTCCTTAATGTCGCAGAAGAAACGACTTACGAGACGAATGATACTCGTAGGGGCAAGTCTTGTTCTTGTCGAGTTGCCAATCGCGCTCATCTTGCAGCCATTGTTGCACGATGACAGGGTCGTGAGCGAAGAGACCGTCATGAAGCCTTTGGAATTCCGGATGCGCGATTGCGTAGGACTTTATCGTCTTCAAAGCGCGTCGAGGTAGTTGCTGTTCTGTGCTACTTCAGCGGGCATTTGGAAGGATGCGAAGGATGCCTTACCTAGCGCATGGACGTACATGCTGTTGTGGTGCCCGATCATGTAATCCAGCGTGAGTTGACGCGTTCCCGGTCCCATCGGTTTCGTCTGCGCAGCGGCCTTATTCAGGCCTGACCAGTTCTGTTCAATGGTCTCGCCATGGGTATCGCCTACGCCGTGCGTGAAATTGAGCGCTTCCTTTGCGTGACAGCCGATCTTGTGCGCGGGTAGGTGGAACTTCGGGACGCGGGAGGTATAGTGATGGGGGTCGATGGTGATGCGGAGGTCGGGGGGAAGCATGGCATTGCGACGCCATAGGTTGACCTTGAAGATGCAGGACACGTCGTAGGTATGAAGAACCTCGCGCACCCCTGATGCGCGCAGTGCTGAGGCCAGGACGTAGGTCATGTTGGCAAATCTGCGCCACGTCAGTAGCTGTTATGTGCTCGCACCCACGACTGATACTACATACCTTTCGCCCTTCTGGAGGTCTGCGAAGGCATTGGGACGAAAAACGTTGTGTCTTGAGCACGTAACTGCCGCGACGCCGGTTGCGCGGAGACCTTGGACGCGCTTGAGGTTGGCCAGGAACAGCGCAGCGAAACCGGAACAAGTGGAGATCTAAGGAACGACGTAAGTCCATGTATGACGCGAAGACCTCAAGAGCACATACATCGGCTTCATCTACGTTCTGTTTGATGTAGTCCATGTAAGGTTGGCGGCCGACGAAGTAAGCCCAGCCGTCACCAAGGGGCGGGTCGCGCAGCAAGCTGGAGGCTGTCGTGTTTTGCAGTCGAAAGTTTGCATCCTGTGCTACTAGGTCTAGAGAGGGCCAGCGCTTCGCGTGGCATACGGTGGGGTAGTCTAACCAGGGGGGTTCTTCCTGATATGTGCAAGTTGCCATATGTTAGGCTCATATTGACATGTTTGTTCTCTATCCACGTGTGAAGGCTGCTCAACATGCAGTATGGACAGCTCATCTACAATACATGCCCAATTAAACTAGAACATATTGACTGAACAGTTGAAACATGTACTCAATAGTCCTACAGTCCTACAGTTCTACAGCAACACACCGACACGCCGCGCTTCGCGCGGCGTCGGTGTATTGCAAGGTCACTATTGATCCTTCAAAGCATCACAGACATCAAGAAGCCACCCACACCAAGCAGGCATACACCATACACAGGTATCCTGACAAAGCCAGGGATATGATCGGGCATTCGATCGGTATTTGAACTTAACCTGATCGGGTAATAGGTAGGCCCGATCTGGCTAACAGACACCCGATCATCTGTTCTACAGCGACACCCCGACACGCCGCGCTTCGCGCAGCGTCGGTGTGTCGCAAGGTTGGGGTTGATGCATCAACCTTGGCAGCAAGGTCCTTGGTCCTGCTACCCGTTCACACAGTGTATCGGCCCTGGGCAATGGTGTTGTCGCAGGGTGAGCCCCTTCTCTCGTCCTTTCGTAAGCTCA